TGATAGTGGGCGCTGTTTCAGCGTTGCACTACGATAGGTGATGTTGCCGATCAAGCTTGTCTTGCCCCCCGTCTGTTTGTCCTGAGGATCGACGCGAAAGTGGGTTCGAGAGTTTTGATCTCTTCCGGCCTTTTCGTGCGAAGGAGGATGCTGGACGATGGGGATAATGGGGATAATGGAGATGATGGGGTTGGCAATACCCAGCCTGCCCAGGTCCCACATCGATGAAGCCCAGGGGATCGCGATTGTGATAGCTGCTAAGTTAGTCTCATTGCCAAAGTCAACGTTGTATCCATTCGTGCCGTTCCCATCTCCTTTGCTACGCCAACCTTCGCATACCCACATTGTTCGGAAGGGTTGGAGGATAGTAAGGATAGTAAGCGGGGATAGACCTCTACACCGTCGGATGCGACTCACTATAGCCACAACCACAAGAACGGCGCTTCGAATCTGATGGGAGATGCCCTAGCTAATCATCCAGACACGTTCGTTTGCTTAGGAGTAACGGTGACGATGATCATATGTACAATAGTATGATAGGTATGATAGTATGTAGTGGTGCTCAAATCCCATCTCAGCGGCATCCAATCAACTCCTTGTCTTGTCTTGTCCGAATGCGCAAAACGGGTTATTCGCCCCCCCTCCGCATCTGGAAAGTCGCGATAGGTCCCCAAAATAGGCAATTTGCTCACACGTAATGGGCTAGCCTGCGGTCTAATCGGGAGAGAGGCTGCCTCGAAGGAGAAGTACGTAGTAGTGATCCGTCTCAGAGCAGAGGGTAGGAAAAATGAAAGAAGTATCAGCCATAAGCACTTGGAAAGCACGGAAGCTATCACATCTCCAACTCTCGCCTTGCTGCATATGCAGAGGTCCAGCCCTCGTCGCCGCGAGTAGGTAGGTAAGTATTGTACCTACTGACCCTAACGTAGCCATGTACGTGAGTATGATGAGAGGATGGATGCAGCCGAAGACCCGAATCCACATCTCCGGCTAGAACCTAGAACGCCTATTTTGCTTGCCGTGGCGCTATGATGGGAGTCGTCACGGTTAGCGCTTTGGTAATGGAGCAAACCTCCAATCAGCGGTCTTTAACCAACTTGACGAAATCAGGAGACTGATCAGTAACAGCGTCATCACCTGGGCGGTGAACGAGAATAACGACAAGAGAGAGACGGGCGTTTTTTTCTCTCGTGCGAAGGGATGCCGAGAAGCCTGAATCACAAACATGAGGGGGTGCGCTGATCATGATTTCCAGCTTGGATTCCTTAGGTATCGACGACGTGCTTGAGGTTGTTCCCGATTACATGTGATTGGATTCTGCAGCGACGCTGGGTCCGTGTGTACGTTAAACATCCCACAAGGCTTTAAATGTTGTCGCATGTTATATCTGCAAACTTCGAGTATGAACAATAGGTATACACAATAACGAAAATCATATACCTACAAGGTAAGATAGAAGAATACCTACCTAGATAAGGTAAGTACTACCTAGCAGGTATTAGAAATATAGCGTCGTGCTCCCCTCCATTACACCATTGCACCATTGCACCACCTATTACACTACGTCGTTGCCTTGTATACCCTGAAAAGATAAACTCTACTGGACGCTTGATAACGCCATTAGGTACATCCACGTCGATGATCCGATACATTGGATGTACTAACTCTATGCCATCCCCAATATGTACTACGGAAGGATGCATAACCTAAAACCCCAGCCAGAATCTTGGAAAGAGCTGCCCGGGGCGCCCCGCGCCTCAGGCTCAGCCCGCTGGATCGGGTCAGCTGTATGTATGTATGTCTGTTTCGGGGGGAGGGGCAATGATAACCTTGGAACCTTGGAACCTTACAGCGTAGAATTGCTTAGGGGAAACCTTGAACTGGGATACATGGATGCCAGACAAGATACTGGATGGATGTACTGGATAAGATAATATCACCTATTAAAAGAATACATTAAACCTCGTGGTTCCCCATATTATCTAGATACATATTATCATTATCATGTCAATTAATATTGCCAAGGTATTTATTTTCCTATCCCTATCATTATACATTCACCGACAGTCCTCCGGCTCCTACAGTGATCCTGTCTCGAAAAATAACGCCATTGGCGACCCTGATTGCAGATTTCGATATCGTCTATCTGCCTCTCCACGTTTTTGCCAACGTCACACTTACATATACATGCACGATGTGCATAGGAATGCATGTAATTCTACGTCGATCAATCTACATTAGGTGATGCTGCCGCCGCCGGCTCGAACGATAGTCTGAAGTGGCTATTATTACCATCATCTTTCTCAGCAATCCTGCTCTTGTGGCGCCATTGGGCCATTGGACCATTGGGTATATTAAATTATGTAACCTTTTTTAATATCCTGCTTACCGCATCGGCGTAACAAGCGTCCGCGAAAACTGAATACCTACAGCCCTAAGCTCATGCGATCGTGGGATCGTGGGATGAACCCGGCATCCCTAGGACATTTTATCGACGCAGAGTACGTGTCCGTCTATCGCTATAGGTCCGGCTGTGCGGCTGTGCATGTTATGAGGCATCGTGCTTCGTCGGCTCGACCTGTCTGCACCCGGATCTACACAGCATCTTGCGTACCAGACATCTGTGAGCTTCAGCCAAAAAAAAATACGAGAGCCTACCTGCCTAGCTAGGCAAGTGATTTTTGACAGCTAGCGAGATTGCCGAGACAAGCTGCAGGATTGACACTTCAACCACCATGTCCAATGGCAAAAATTTCTCTTTTACAATCTCTGTATAGGAGAAGGTCAATTAATATCAATCGCATGAGGCTCGGTCCCGACCAATCTCGATACTGAAATGAATCTTGATAGATTATGCTGGCTAGCTACCTACCTAGGTATCCGTTGCGATCGCAGTTAGACGCCCTAAGCGTCAGGTGTGAATTATCACCACCCTCAGGCTCTACGCTGAATCCTAGATGGAACAATCTACGCCTAAATACTACACGGATAAGTTGGTTGCTCCCATGCCAACACAGGTATTCGCCATCTGATATCCTGCGAATATATCGAGTATAAAAGAGTTGCAAGAGCCTCTTGCTCCTAAGGCTTGGCCCTGGTTCTTGAACGTAGTCATTGGCGAAGGGTGGCTTCTACGAGACCTAAAACGAGTTCTCCCCGGAAAGATCGGATATGCCACTAATGATCTTGTGTTTGTCTTACGAATAGCCTTAAAGGAACTCGCCTACATTTGTCCTACTATACGTACATATAGCCAAACCATTGGCCCTCGTCGAATAACGGCTTGATTATGGACTAGGATATTAGGATATTAGAGAACGACTCGAGTGTAACAGCATCAATGATCCTTTCTCTTAACCTAATTCCGATATTCTAGAATCCTCGGCCCTGCCTCCTCCTCCCCTACCTATAGCACCTATTAATCCATCCCACGACGCCAAGGAGGTATTCGGCGCTAACAACTTCCCCTCCATGGACATCTACAGGGCTGTGACATCATCATCGAAAGACCGCTATCACAATCGAATTATCGGAAATGTTCAAATTGGCGAAAATATGCCCCAGCTCCACTCCGGTTTATCGCGGGTAGAACCGTCTGTACTTGCAGGCCAGGGTTCTTGAAACCATATGCAGAAGAATCTTCAAGGCCCTTGCTACTTTAACATTTCGTCCAATCCCGATCCACTACGTCCATTCTACTCTTGTATCCCAGTCTACGTTGGCCAGCGCTTCAGAAATTACATCTCGACATTCAATTTTAACCTCGTCTACCGAGGCAGGCTGGATTGAGAAAGACATCACGCAACGTACCGTCTACGTATTTTCGAAGCATTTCTATGGCAAGGTCTTACGTCATCTAGATGTAAACATGAGGCTAAAAGATACGATGGAGGATAACCTTAGACATACTAATTGCGTGTCCGCCTCTGATAGGTACAGCCTTTGATTATGGCACTAATAAACTGTCATGAGAACTAAGCAAACATCGAGGTTCGACGCCTTGCGCAGTTGAAGTCGAAGCTGGGGACGATCCTCCGCCCATCCCCCGATTTCCTCCGTCGATGAATGGATAGAAGCCATTCAACTTCCAGGAAACCCCGCCTGACCTGCCTTTTAGCAATTTGGCCTCGCAGCTAATGCGGCTTCAAAAAATTCCTCAAACAGTACTGGCTGGCCCTACCGTAGCCGTCTTCTCTAGTTAGGCTCTGCATATACGCCATGTCACAGATTTACGCTTACTTTCTGCGTATCAAATCGTACGCGTCCGCCTTCCTAAATTGTCCCGGCCGTCTAGAATCTCACGAGACAGGCATCTCAACGCACTTGGCGACTAAATCGTACGAGTTTCTACACAAAAGAGAAAGAGAAAAAACGAAGATAAAATAAAGGTCAGTCTCGATTAGCTTAATGAAAGTCCCTGGCCATTTGGATATCATCCATAATTTCCGCATATTCCAGAACAGTCGCGCTCGGCCAATCGTCAACGAGCTGTTTCTGTTCCACGACGTCAAGGGACCGATTCATTAGACTGGCCGGTGACTTATGGGTGTCATGCAGGACGTAAGGGCACGAAGGTGACTCTGCATTGGGGTATCAACCAATATATATCCCTCATGGTGGTGTGTGCATCGTGATGCTTGGCTAAGACCGAGTTGATGGATGCCGCTCTTTGACCCTTCTCGAAGTCAAAGTTGTTTTGCCATTTCGCGGTTCTCTTTGCATACGGCAAGTCAAATCCGCTTTTCCGGACGTTCCATTGCATATGAACCCTGTCGGACTCAGATTCGACGTTAAATCTTAGTAATGTTACGCAAGTAGCCTACGGTTCGCGGTCGAATGAGCTCGAACCAGTCAGAGACCCTTTTCACCGCACGCGACTGAGCACCATATACGATTGCCGAATATCGGCAAGCAAAATTTGTGCGGCACGGAATCGATCCTCTAATTCAGATTACCAACTTCTGTTTTCAGCTTTGAACGCGGCTCCGTACTCGGAGAGATTTTGCTTTGCCTCACGAGGCTGAAGTAGACCCGGTGAAGCCCGAAATGCATCGAAAATTCCCGATGAGCGCCTGTGGCATTCCACGGCCCACCCTTACTTCGGTCGGGCAACATTGTCTGAGCGTCGCATCTATTCTTTGCATAGACCTCATGGCCTAATAATATCGTGATGCAGACATTTTTCTTCCTAAGTCATCCCTGCTCCCGTAATCTAAATGGCAGCCGACATCTAGACCGCTATTTCTCGGCTTCGAATACCGAGTAGAGGCTTCCAACGTGCGGGAGCAATTCAACCACGTACTCGTCCTTGTCCTTAAGATAAGCTGGAGGTTTCTTCCCGAGACCTACACCGGCAGGCGTGCCAGTGATGATGACTGTCCCTGGAGGAAGCGTGGTGCCCTCGGATAGGAAGCTCACAAGCTTCGCGCAGTTGAAGATCATGTCGCTGCGCAATCAGGTCAGCCAACGCACCCCCTTTATTCATGCAAGAACTTTTTTTATCGCGACGCAACGCTAGCCACCTTCTCATCTCAAAATTTTTATTTTTATCATTCACAGCGACTTACCTAACAGCGGAATTCTGCATCTCCTCCCCGTTTCTCAAGCCGCGAATGGTGAAGGCGCCAGGGTCGGGCATGACCGCCGCAGACACGAGGATGGGGCCAAGGGGACAGGACCCATCGAACCCTTTCGAGTAGCAGACCTGGCTCTGGGAAAACTGCGAGGCCCTGCTTGACACGTCGTTGGCGGCTGTGTAGCCTAGGATGTAGCCCGGTGCCTCTGCCTCGCTCACGTTCTTGCATGGCTTCCCAATCACGATGGCTAGCTCGGCTTCGTAGTCCGCGCAGTCGTCCCTCAGAGTGTGCTTCGGGATGACGGTGGGAACCGGCCAGGGATCCGCTAGCGCCGTAGCGGGCTTCCTGGTGCATGCATGTCAGACACTGCCTTAGCTGCCGTCGAAGTGCATCGTGCGTTAGTGTTTAGAATGCCGAATCTTACATGAACATCATAGGTATGTCAGGAACTTCGACTATACGTTTCGGGTTAGTAGCCGTTTGCTTATCGACGAGCAATGAGGAGGGTGAGAGATAGGTCGCGATGTCTCGGAGCCGAATACTGCTTCTCGACGCGGTTACGTTCGTCTGTGTAGGTTTTGGAGACTGCGAACGGAGATAAACAACGCAATGGTTACTTACCATCTGCCTCTTTAGCATGGTTCGCGTACTAAACGTCCTCATTAGCTTTCGCTTTCTTCCTTCTAGAGCGGCCTGGCTTTGCGACAGATATACGACGACGAAAAACTCACATTCAATCCAATACACCGGATCGTTCCGACCTCATCCGCGGATAGCGGCGACAATATGCGATCGATGGTCTCTATCTGATCTGTCGGCGAACCGGAATTCAAGACAGAGGTTCCGCTGAATGCCCGTACTTCGACGGCCTTGCCTTCGTAGACAGCTTTGCCGACGTCGATAAGCCGATCGACGGGTTGTCCGATCAACGGTCGGGCGAATTGTCGACGTGGGATGAATCGGACGAGCCCTACGTCATGTCATCAAATCTATCTAACTTCTGGTTTGCTGTCGTCCCTTTGCTTGCTTGTGATTGACTGGGCCTATGTAGGCGGCTAACAGCAGGGAATAAGAAGGCGGGATTGTTGACTTACTGTCAAATGCCATCTCAGTGACTTCTACGTGCTTCTAGCGTCTCAAGACTCTCTTTCTACGTATTACTGTCGTCCAGGTCGAAGCGCAACGAAGACCGTTATATTCCCTTGAAATCGGACGATTGAACCCTTCGACCGGGGACATCCTTCTATTTTCCTCTTTTAACCCATATTGCTTTTACTGGCTTCGCCACGACTCAGGTGTTACGAATGTGATTGCATTTGTGTCCCGGTAACATTCGGAACTACCCCACGATATCCGGCTTCGCGATGTTCGGCGCCACCTACAGTACAGACCGGTACATGCCCCGCTAGAGCTGTACAACGTTGGAATGGAAAAGTCGACCCTATAGTAAGAGATCACAGATCACAGATCACTAGGTAGATAAGGTTATCACCTCCATACCAGCACCCTCGTACGTGTGCCTGGCGCTTGCACATACATATCTCGCTCTCTCTCCGTTGGTGGGTGTGCGTGTACATCCGGAGTTATGCACGTAAGACGTAGGTGGTGGATAGTGGGCTTACCCCGCTTAGTGAAACCGCTCACACTGCAATAAAGCGCCTCTATCACGGCCCGTAAAGGGAATAATTAGCAGAGCTGGATAGACCGAGGAGGCAAGGCAGAACGGAGATGTCTTCGGAAATTCTATGACATAATTCACTTTGTGTGAAAATCTCTGCGAGTCTTTAGAAAACCCCGAGGAAAACGGGGGTTTATGTGTAGGTTTGTTTCTCTTATTTGGAACAGGTGATATTAACATAGATAGGAAATGGCTCCGGTCCTCCAAATTGTATCGTCGAAGATTAGCTCCTCTTCTGCGTCCTTTCGGTACTTGGAGAACTACCGTGCGCCAAGCCAAGTTGGAGTGTCTAAAAGATGCGCGCATGTGGCTATGGGTCGGATCTTAGATTCGTCCGTCCTTGCTAATGTGGGTTTTATGTATGTGAGCTAGAGTGTAGATCTAGAAATACAGTCGTACTTAGGTAGGTAGATAGAGATAATTTACAGTTATTAGACGTCTTACAGGTAGGTTGGGATTTGTATTACCACGGCGGCGCGTTCTTGCATCGGCTTCTTTTTAACCGAATGTGAGGCGTCGGTCTCCGCTGATTACGTTCCCTACGGTGTTCTGCACGGCCTCGAATCGCGAGAAGCCGCAGCTCTCGCTCTCGAGGTGGTTCACTGCAGCGCAGGGGTTATTATTACTTGCTTCTCAGGGATATCTGGTTGCATTTGGTGGCGTCTGGGGCTTGGATACCTAGCTATCCCACAAACGCAGATAGGTCTGTTTGGGTATAGGGATGGCTGAAGACATCAAGATACAGGGGACGACAATGTCAGGCATGAGGGAGTACTTACTAACAGCAGCCAAAGTCTTGAATTCACGACCGCAAGGGAGGCGATTCGGGCAATGGTACAGCGCCTGCTGGTCTACACACACACCATCAAGTCAGCGTCTCACACTCAAGCACCGAGCACCCTAGCCGGCTTCGAAACCCTTTCCGATGCACTTACGCGCAGCCGAGTTCAAATGCTGATTCAACCCATTCCTACTAACGAAATCGCGATGGCACAGATAACACTCCCAAGCGTCTCCGTTCCAGGAATTCCCGTTAACCTCGTACGTCGGCGACCCGGTCCAGCCGATCAGCTTCTTCGTCAGCACCCCGTCCGGGTCTTTCGATCGCACCGCTTTGTACACCATATCCCGGTTCAGGGGCGCGGCGGTGCATCTCCCGCCTTCTAAGTGGTGCGCGAGGCCCGTGGCGGAGACGAAGCCCGTTTTGCAGAACGGACATTTCAGGTTTGCGCCGCGGTGCGTGCGGGAGTGCAGGTGCTGTGGTTTTGGGGGTGAGGGGGTTAGTCTGGGTGCTTGTTTGATGGATAGGGTGTCTGGTCATGGGAATGAATGGCTATGGTAAGCGTCTCACCATCCTCAGGTTGTTCGCGTTGTCGAACCCCCGGTTGCAGTCCGCGCAGTGGTTGTGTTCTTTGGCCTCGTGCTCTTTGCGCGAGGTTGAGCTCGCGTAGGGGCGCTTGCAGCAGCGGCAGTCGAAGTCGAGGGGGGTGTGGTTTCGCGCGGTGCTGTGTTGGCTGCGCGAGTGCCAGGATGCGAAGGTTCGGTTGCAGTCGCTGCATTTCCAAGACATCGTTACTTGAACCTTTCTGGGGGGATGACTTAGGTTAGGTGGTAGGTAGGGGCGAAGGAGAAGATCTATTCTATCTCTACCTACGTCGAATTCTAGAAATTTAGATGTTGGATTTGGGATCTAGAGACATGCAGGCGATTACTAGGTAGGCAGGAGGAAAGGAAATCAATCAGCCCAATCCGCCCCTACCTTCTTGCAAACGGACGAGCAGAATGTTGGGATAACTACGTCTATGCCCGGCGGGAAATTACATACATTAGACAACCAATGTTTCGCATTAATGGATGTGCCTTTTATTGGTATATTGGTTTGTAAAAAGTAAATATTTGGAGGTGGCGCTTGGACACATAAGATGTTATCTGTACATAGCCTTAATATTAGATTCATACTACGATGTAGTTGTCGTTTACGAACTTCATGTTAATAGAGCACGACGGGCAAAGACTCGGTTTGGGGTTGACCTAATGAATGAGATATGAAAAATCAAGTTTCAGAGACATATCGTAGGCTTCCTAAATCCAAATTTCATAGCTTCCGTGTCTCAGCCCCGTTCCCCTCAACGACCCAAACTATCCGGGGCGTTGGATATTGAGGACAAGGTACCTGCGAAGTACAGTACATACCAGTACTTTGATACCCCTATCCTATCCGCCTATCTCGGTCCTCTAACAAACAGCGAACAAATTGAACCGTCCTTCCAACAAGACTCCCCTCCAACGGTCCAAACACGAATACGCGACCTCGAACCTCCAATCCGCGAAACGGTGATATACGAAATCCTTACGTAACACACCATTCAGGCGCTTACATAGGTGCCCAGCAGTATCTTAGGCAGAACTTCAAAACCAACGAATAAACCCAACACCGCGACATCGCAGCCCCAAACAAATGCCACAGACACCCCGATCCCAACAGCGCCAATAAAAGACCACTACGCGACCGAGCAAAAACCAACCGCGACACCGAGACCGGGGCACAAAAAAAGGAAGCCAGGGTGCGTGCGAGGGGGATAGGGAAAGTATTACTCGAAGAGGGAAAGCGGGCAAATGGACGGTACTTACGGGCGTGGCGACAGGGAACAGAGTCGCAGTCACCGCGCGTGAGCGCAACATCGAAGCTTGACATTTCTCCTCACGCGCATGAACCGCACGTCACCTGACTTGCGGGCACTAGCTTACCGTTCTATTGGTGCTCGCCTCGTCGCTGCTGCTACTCAGATAAGCGCCGTCTGACTACGGGATCGAAGCGGTGAGACGAAGATTTTTTTTTCTTCGAGCGTTTTTCTTCGAGCGATGTAACTGGAATAATTGTGGAGTTGATGTTGATGTTGAATTTTTGTGATGACTCAATAACTACCTATACAATGTCTATTAAGCCGCTAGGAAATGAATGGTATTTACATCATCGAACGCTGAGTATCTAACATGGGGTAAAGCTAAACATACGATAGTTACCTAGGTAGAATCAAATCAACCCTTGGACTTGTGTTCCAGACTCGTAACCCCGCTACCGAAAATCTCGTCCCGCCTCTCCTCCTTGCTCCAGACAGTTGCCCCGTCGCTTTTTCGCTTGAAAAACAGGATGCGATGCTCCGGTATGAATTCCTCGTGCGTTGTCTCCGACTTCCACAAATCAACAGGCCTTTCCATCGCCCCCGAGAAACGGTCTTCGTAGCCAACTATGTAGTCGCCGCTATCCATGCTTTGGTCCCACCGTATCCTGTTAAGAACATCACCAGCCGATCGAAACTTCCCCTCGTAAGCTGGCCTAATGGGTAAGTTAATTGTTACGTCTTTCTTCGCTCGTAGGTTGCCAGGCTCTTCTGCTTCCATGGAGGACCAAAATTCCGCATCCCCAATATCATCATCCTCGGCTTCAACTGTATACTTTGCCCATTCTCGATTGTCGAGTCGTAATTCCTTGACCTTAGACCTGGGGACTACTTCTGCGCCAACCCAATATGACTTGGGATCGAAGTGCTTTGGATCGCTAACGACCTGACTTTGAAACTTGTGCAACGCCGTTTGTATGCGTTCTAAGGCAGCTCTCTTATCCTCTTCATTCATCGGCCTGCTTTCAGGGTTCTTCATTTCTAAACCAACGAGATAGTGTCCTTCGTACTCCGTATCTTCTTCGGAGGCGTCCTCATTTATGAAACGTGCTGGCCAAATTCTTGGGTTCATATGGGGTACTTGTTTGCTGAGATCTACTCCTATATCAGTATATCGTCTAGTTTATAATAAGGTAAGAATGGACTAACCTGCTAGGAGAGAAACGCATCTCGATTCTAGCCATTCCACAAAGCTATTACCCTTCGCCAAAGACACACCCCAGAATTGAGTAGTGATTTTGATATATGTCTTGTAAGTACTCAGAAATTCCACTGCGCCCGTATCTTCACCGAGGAAATTCGGCCACAAAACCACAAAATGTGATAATAGCTCCTGAGCCCTCTTAAACTCTTTGGAGATGACATGCACAGTAGGAATGGATGCATATACAGTATTCAGGTTGGGGCCGTAGAAACCTAGGATCGACATTGGTTCCTGTGCGGTTCGCCTGTATCTTAATGTCTTGTGGAAGAAGCTGTCAAAAGCGATCTGTTCGGCCCAGTCGAAGTCCGCGTAGTGGGCATAAAAAGTCATTAAGAGTGTCGGGGCGGATACGGATCTACCACGACACGACAATAGCTTGTAGATTCGCGACAGCAATATTGATATCTGAATGCCACCGAGATATCCAAACTTGGCCGCATAGATCCCACGTCGTTTTGCCCAGAATGTGATAAACCGGTGCGCCAACTTGAAGACGGCTAGATCTGGAATTGTCCTCTGGAGATGGCAAAGATCACGCAATGGCTTCAATTTTGCCAAAACATTTGAAGGCAATTTGAAGATGGGGTCGGTTGGAGGTAATGTCAACGCACGGGGCCACGTCTCGGCGATGGTGGTTGCTGAGCAGTATTGCAAATCCATTTTGATATGCCCTACTTCTAATTCGAGCACCGTACCAAACTGGGCGTCGACGCGTCGGAGAATCTTCACACCCCTCGGCGCAGCTTTGCGAAGCCGTTGAATAGCCAGGGTGAAGAAAATATTCGAACTGATAGGACCGATGCAGAGGCAATTGATATCTGAGACCGTAGTCCACACACCGAGCCCGTATGACCCAACAGGTACTATCACAAAAGCCGGAAGACCACGGACGCGACTAGGCTCATCTTGTATGATAATCTCCTTAAGTAAGTTCAGAGCAGTCTCCCTTGTTGAAATGTCAACTTCGGAAGGGTACTCCGGTTGATTAGAAAGACATGTTGCCAGTCCGAATATGTCCTCTATAGGCCATGATGGGTCCGTCTCTACTGGTAGAAGAGCCTTTCCAGCTTCAGGTAATTGATCCAACATATCCGTAGAATAACCAAACGAGCATCGTATTCCCCAGCGATTGCTACCATATGAAAGTTGTCCCTTGGAGTCATCACCGGAGCAATCACTGATAGTATTAACACCAGGACCGGCCTGTAGAGCCCCCTTGCTCTGGCCAAAGAGGTTGAAGTTCGTTACTGTAAAATCCACCCCGTTGATCAATATCCTGTCGTAACGCTGAGGTCTCTTATCAAAATCGCCGAGAACGCTGTTTGCAGCAAGGTCATTTGCTGTCGGGTCGAAAGTAGCGCTCTCTTCACCCCCTAAAGAGTTGGCATCATGCTGGTTTCGGTTTATATTCGGTGGTTCACCGTACTGAACACGTGAAGAAATGCAAGTATCCTCGAGGCCTGCATCAACGAGCATCGATTCGAGTTCAAATAAGATACCCTGGCTACGTGCCGAGATGGTTTTATTTCTGACCGCTGTTTCGATGATGTATGAACTGGTAGGGATATTCAAATCTCCAGCAAGTATCCAAGGATTTTGAGGGTGTCTCTTGGACATATGCCCAAGAATAGCTATCAGTTCATCTCTTTTATTCTCGATGGAAATGTCTGTGAGGCCAGGGGTAAGATGGACGGCAGATAAAATGACTGGTAGGAAAACTCCGTTTTTATGCTTCCCGATATCTCTAAATTGTACAATAACTGAACCGCTCTGACCGCTTGGCAGTGATATCGAATCCCAAGTAAATGGCCATTTGCTCAGCACTACAACGTTAGTATGGGCTGGTAATGGCTCGACGTCATCTTGATCAGGAGGTCCACTTGAGAAAAAGGGATAGATTTCTCGAATATTTCTGTCCTTGCAAATCTGCGAGAGGAAGTCATCTGTGACTTGTCCGAGGACTACTGCATCTGCTAGAGCCTCCTTGCTTAGGAGGTTCTCGATGATGATAGAATATCGAGACCGCGTTGGGGGATCTCCGGCTTCTGTGTGTACGTTGTAGCTCGCGATAGTTAAGGATTTTGGCGTTGCCTCTACCTGGTGAGGTGTAAAATCCATCTCTGGCTGTATCCATTTGTATTTGGTGGAAGAGAATGTATACGGAAGGCGAGTCAGTGGATGGCTTGCTGGAGTATCAGTAGGCGTGTCATTTGTATCATGGCCGCCTGTCTCGTCTTCGCCCTCGTATTCATCCTTATAAAAGCTGATGGGGGTTTTTACTGTCAGTAGTGTTAAGGTCAAGAGATCAATCTCGCCCCAAATTTTCATCTGGCTAGAGAGGCCCTCGTTGATGCGAGCTGCATCCTTAACCCGTATGAGAATATAAAGTTTATCAATTGTCCATTTAAGTGAGGGTAAAAGATCGAACTTTTTCACGACGTATTTGTTCATATGGTTGTTTGCTTCTTTGCTTTGCCCAACCGGCATATGCGGAGGCCCCCGTGCGGCTTGTTCTAGCTGTAGAGAGTCCAGAATGAACTCCTTTAGTCGCTTAAGCTCTGACACATGTTCTGGATTATTGTCCCATTTGAAAAATATTGCATGATTCTTCCTCTTATTGACGAATACGCCTGTCGTTTGTAGCTGTACCGATAAGTCGAAGTCTAGCTCATCGGTTCCACGCGCGCTCGCCTTCTGAAGCTTAGAGACGATTAAATCAGAAGCATCTTGGAGAGAATGGATTGGAACAAATGGGTAGATAAGATTAATGTGCGGCGGCCATGTCTTGTATGATGGATCGTAGACCGATCTTAAGTGGTCTACCGATGTCCACAGGCGTTCTGGTGGGACGATAGACAGGGCTGTATCGTAACAGTCGAGAGAAAGAGACTTATTGTCAGAATTATCGGAAGCCATAGCTCACTTTATCTCGTGATATGTATTAGACGAATATAGGAAAATCAAGGTATGTTATAATATTAACTACAAGGTAGAATCAAATAGTGAAATATGTCGAGAAACGCTGCTCTGAATTAATGACTGTATGAGGTGATTATATATTTGGCCAGGACGTGGAAGTTATTTTGTTGGAGATGAAGATAATAAGTAGATGAGATAGAGTTATCTAATACTTTATATGGTGCCACGGATTTGGGCTATGTTTTTGATACCTACCAGGTAGAAGTTGCATCTCATCGTAACTTCTTCGTAACTGTCATCCATTAGCACTTGAGCTGCGCCACTAGACTCGGCGTGAGTCAACTAGGATCGCCCTTTTAGCGTACTAGGCACCCTAAGCGTGCCGACCCGCTGAAGATTAGTGGACTCTAGGGCTTGGTTGAGACCCTTAAATCTTTAGGGCTATGATGTATGTAGGTAGGTACTTGGGTACTTAATACTTTATACCTTAACCCCACTACCCGTAGTGCGGGATGGCGGGGTTGTGTCCGGTACAGGGTAGGGCATTGCAGTAAGTAAACCTAAACCTTTTAGCTCCGATCGATTTAATCGTGGAGGGGTTACAGGGTCTTAAATTATTTAATGCTTGGTGCTTTTATTTCTACCCTTTCCTTCTCTTCAACCCATGAATATCATATAAATCTCAGCTTCCCTTCTAAGGGTCACCTACATATTGCCACGTGTGCGAAGTGCATCTCTTGGAAGTATTCGATGAATGAATCAAGACTCGGGAACATGTGTGGATAATTCCAATACGGTGACGACGCTGTGTATGATCCGGCACTTTGCCATGTGCTTTTACTCCCCGCACTGCTATATTTGGCCGGCTAAGCAGGGTGGCTGAATGGTAGCGACAGCTCTCGATATTAAATCTCATACCTTGATTTTCTCTGATCTTCATCCGTTCACAACTTGGTTCTTTTTTCCACCTATCTGGTAGATATTCCGAACTCCGACCGTTCTGGTTTCATATGGATGGAGATGGTCCGGTTCTCTCTCTATCCTACTTCCCAAAACGGGAGAGTATACACTCACTTCCGGCAACGTTATACTTGAAGGGCCGAACCAAAACTATAAGAATGATGTGAAGGCAGAGGTCGACGTACCTCTCAGTCCGCGTTTCGGTGTAGATTCCCTTCATATGTCAGGCCACCAGTATGGACTTGTCCGCCAACCCCTCGGAATTAGCTCATGACGAGAGAGCTAATGCACTTATTACTGTAGTATGTATTGTATGCACCGTGGCTACAGTCTCCGTAGGACTACGTTTTTATACTCGATCGTGTATTCTCAAGCAACTTGGCGCCGATGATTATCTGATATTTATTGCATGGGTTAGTCACGCTGGCCATACCTATTTCGAATCTCCCCCTGAAAACTGACCGAACACTTATCTGAAGGCATTTGCCCTAGCAACAGGGATTTCTCAATCTATGAGTAAGCAGTTGATGAATATGCTGGAGACCATAGAGGCAACTCCTTATACTTGATAGATACACGCAACGGGTTAGGTAGGCATGTGTGGGATCTAGGTAGCGTTGTCGAGCTTAGGAATTACCTGAAGGTTCGCTATTTTGCTCTTCCTCCGAGAGATTCTCATTATTGACAAGTATATGCTAGGGTTTCTATGTCTCAATTATACTCTACAACACGGGACTTTTGTTCGTCAAGCTGGCTTTCTTGACACAATACTACCGGGTGTTTTCTCTCAAAAACATGCGGTTGACCTTCATTGCTGCCATGATTATAATTGGCTGTTGGTCGCTGTCTCAAATCATCGTCGCAATATTCATCTGTGATCCAGTTGATGGTTTTTGGAAACAATCAGCCGATTCTAAATGCATACCCAACTATCCTCAGTGGTACAGTACGCAACACCGAATGTTCTTTTTCGAGTAATTACTAATTTCCACTGTTGTAGTCAATGCTGCGGGAAACATAACAACGGATATTGTTATTTTCGTGTTGCCGCTACCAATTCTGAGGCATCTACACATGCCTCGAGCTCAGCGGCTCGTTCTTATCGGCATCTTTAGCCTCGGATTCTTGTGAGTTTAAGGATGGACAATTTCTTCGGCAGTAATGAGCTAATCTGTTATTAAGCACCTGCGCCATATCTGTCATTCGTGTTAAGTTTCTCAAGCAAGGAGGCGATTTCTCGTATGAAAATGTCGAGGGATCAAGTTGGTCCACTACTGAACTTTGCTCGGGCGTTACTTGCGCATGCCTACCAACATTGCGACCTCTTATCTCTAAATGGATACCTTCTCTCTCAAATCGCCTCCATAAGCCAATGAAGAGTTACAAGAGACACTCCGATTCATGTAGAGCCGCCGTACAGAAAGCAAGTCGACACATGCGTTTAGGCTCTGGCGCAAGTAATAACCTGGATATGAAGAGTGAAGAGGAGCTTTTCTACTGTATTGGTGTAGAAGCGCATGCGAGTAATAGTGCGGATGGCTCAGAAGACCTCTCAGATATGAAGGAACATGAAAGAAAATTGTCGGGTCGCGAACAAACCTCACCAACCCCGCCGCCCTGTGCCCGTGTGGCGTCGCACAAATATTATAACTGGATGGAATCATCTGTCACCACGGAAATCGGCACAGAAGGGGGTAGCAAGAGACTTAGCTCTAACCCAAATCTCTCTGCAACTGTTATTCAGGTTCGACACGATGTCGTAGTGCACAAGATATAGCTACAGCTTCAGTAAATAAAATATAATAAGATAATTGGATAGGTTGTTCCTGGCCTTTAAAGGATGTTACGCTCAATCTACAATTGTACTCTAAATAACATGCTGCTACCTTGCAATTACCAATTAGGTATTTTACCTACATAATTACCTCTAAGCAGGAGGGATATCTCCAGTTATATTACTCATATCTAGAAACTCGGACCCCAGTCCACTAGGGAAATGCCTTTCGCTTTGCCTTCCATTATACATTCCAGTTTATCTTCATTCGTAACCCAGCCCTGACGTTTCGTCGCAATACCGTATTTGATAGGATCGCGCCATTCTTCCCACCATGTCTTCTCATTCTGTACCACGCATCTTCGTCCAGGCTCGCCATTCCTGGCTGAAGCAAACGGCCACACAGCCTTAACGACCTCGTACTTGCTTTTACTGGAGAATAGTGACGTGACGCTCGTTAAGAATTTGTTGTGTTTATCCGGGTTTTGTATGACGACCTTAGCGTGTGAAACGGGAAACTGCACTGTGACCTGGCCTTTATAATCCGTGGACGCAACGAGGCTCCGTATTTGGCCTTCTATCCAGGCCGTGTCGAGGTTTGCTACGACGCGCTCGAGTGTGAATGTTTTGATGGATGCTGAGTCCTTCACATACCGATCGCACCACGCCTCCAACCCATTATCCATACCAAAATCGGGTTTCAGTCCTGGCTCGTTTCCTCCGCGTAGGGCCATCTCGTCCTTGCCGACGCACCGGAGATAGTCGAAACGATTATTAGGATCGTTCGAGACCATTAAATTCATAAGATTCAATTTGAGACTGAAGTTGATTTTGCGGTCATGTTGTCCTTGGATCAAGACTTGGGGTTTCGGTGGCACAGTAGCCAGGGACCGCAGCAGTGAGGCCAACGCTTTCGGGTTTTCAGAAAGATAATTGGCCTTACTGGTGATAGTTGTGGTATCTGTCGATAGCTCAAACATAGGCGGCGAGTACTGACGATAGTCTAGGACAGGAAGGCCGGGATAGTATTGTGGGCCTCTTGGTAATTGAGGATCTAACGTATTATCTGAAGGGCTTGAATAAGGTGGTGGCATATGATGTTGGGCGTTGTCTGTAAGGTCATCGGCTGGTAGCTCAGCCGGAAGTCCCCCCGGAAGCCCTGCTGGAATATTGGCTGCAAGTTCTGCTACCGGGGATGGATTACTAGGACCAGCCTCATCTGCTGGGCGAGGAACTGGTCTTCTAGTAAGGCTTGCCTTCTCGGCAACAATGGATGGTTGAGAATCCATTCCCAAGAGGCTATCGGTCCTTTTTAGAAATCCAAAATCTAAGATGGTCTCGGTTGCCTTTCTGGTATGACTAAGTGCTCTTTCTCTGGGAGTCTTAAAAGCGAGTTTCGCAAAAGATGGAAAGGCACAGTAAAATATGGTAAGAAACAACTAGGAGAAGAATATACGAGTAACTTCGATAAACGAAATAAACGAAATAACTTAGCCAAAACGATTATACTGCTTTGTAGTTCTACCCTCTCTTCAATAGACAAGAGACCACGTTTACTAGATTATACGCATGTGAAAAGATAAATAGAACGATCAATTGATCAGTCGAAAGCTGAAACAAAACTGTTCAAGACCGTGGCGCAGTTCGAATGCGAAATGCGAATAAGTACGATAGTACGAAAAAGTCTAGAGCCGATTGGTTCTATGTCGCGACGATAGTCCTAGAATAAACTGCTGCCTACGATTTAAGCTTATTGCGTTTAGATAGATCCATGGGTCTTTCCCTAGATAGGTAATATACTTATCCACTTTGGGTAAGGCGAGGGTCTTATAAACGGGTCAAAGCTACCAAAATCACTAGCACATCAGCTCGCAGCAGGAAGATCGTCTCAAACTTCAATAAAGTTCTTCTAATAATAATCGACAGCTGAGTCCCGAGTCATCCAAGAACTTACATAATCGGAAAACTTCAGTCAACGGAAAAAGCAAACTCACTTCATAGAAGGATTCATCATTTATTTAGGTACCTAGGTAACTACTAGGTCCAGAAATACCTACATGTCTAGAGACCTATCCAGACGTCAATGATGATAACTGAGCGATCTCTCCATAACTGTCCACGAACGGAACCCCTACCATGACACCTAGTACGCTCCTAGGATGGCATACAGCCTATCTCATTTCGTATGTATTCGATCCAATATTTGGCCCCGTTCAGATCCTCTTTAAGATGGGGAGTTTCAGTACCGATCAGAAGCTTCTCAAGGTCGAACTCTTTGCCCGCATACTCAAGGGCCACATCGGAGAGCCCGGCGTCGAGGGCATACATTGAACAATCGCGAAACCTGTTATTTTCTTCATTAATTATAATTCATGAGGTATAATTCCTGGACTTTACAAGTATCACTTACGCCTGACAAAGTTCCATGCTACATAGTCTCTGTCTCTTAAAGAGCTGTGAAAGCTCTTCTGCCGCTTCTAGGGCTTCCTTAGCTGTCGATATTTGCGGAATGCCGTAGATAGCACTGAAATTCAATTCCCGAGACGCACCGCATGCGTATGCTGCCAAAGCTTGGTCGATTACCAGCATACGACGTCGCATTTGATCGATTGCTGGTTCGGTACAGGCCACACAATTGCAAACTATCCCCCACGTCGTGGAGAGAGAGAACGCACGCTGTTGACGAGTTCGGCAAACTTTACCGGTATAGTTTATAAATACTTTGTCGCCGGCCTTGAGGTCATGAATTGCATGTATAGTCAACCGTTCCAAAGTCGGGTTCCACGAACTATAGGCATTGGGGACGCAGCTATGGCTGATCCGGCTGTGTAAGGAGAACACGCCCGATCCGTATTTTCCTCCCGGGCCTAGCTCGACGTTGTGGGTGAGATAGACGGCGCAGAGGTTGGTAATCCTCTTCACCGCCCGATTCAGCTTCTTGCCTTGAATGTGATTTCCCTCATTATCTCTCCATTTCTTAATCTTGTAGAAGCTCCAAGCTTCGCGGCGGACGTGTTGGTTTTTCTTGATACTCTCTGTAACCAGAGGCTGGCTAAATAGTTTCGCCATCTCCGCCGATTTTTCTTGTGGCATGTTGTCGGCAGCCTTGTAAAACTCGGATATTTCGTCCTTGTAGGATACGGGTGGTATTGTTAGTAGAGGAATCTCGGCAGCAAACCGCGTACCTCGGCGGATATCCATGGCCGCGAACACTGCTTCACCGCCATCAGGCTGTAGCCGGCGAATTTCAATCATTTCTATTATGATTAGTTTCAAACGACGTACTGGTCGTATCTCATAAGGTACCTGTATGTAGCTTACTTGCGTCATCCATGCTTCCACCTGTCTATCTGGGATGTATCGTGATAGTTCGTCAGAGTCGTAAGGGCTGATGTAAAGTTTAGGGTAGATCAAATAAACATGTTAGATATAATGTTTATGGTAGTAACTAGTAGAATATGATAGATCAGGGGCTTTGGTACAAGTTCCAAGAAGAAAGACTATTTGCCACTTCATAGTCTTTATGCTTAGGCATCTGAGCACCTGTCCAGGCAGATCCTGGTATGGCCTTACCGACGTTACTGCGGTTGCTTTTCGATACCTAAACCGATACCTTAAGCGTTAACAGATGTATTCAAACAAGCGCCTCTCTGGCTCGACCATCCCCCCCCGTATCCACCATAAAATCAAATATCAACAAACCCATAGCATAATCTAGATAGCAAGATAATATCACTGCGGAAACTGGCGGCTTAAGAATTTACTTGTTGCTTCGCAGCCAACCTGAATTTGGATTGAATGGACTCAGAGGTAACTATTTCGTAGGAACCCCTTACTACCACTTGTACTTGTGTAAACTCCATACTGCAAGACTATAAATATAGAAACGAGATTTAGACGTTGAAACTCGTTTATAATGCTTAAGAAAATAGCCCGGGTCATTAAAATGCTCCGTTCAGTCCATCGAGAAACAAACCGGTCCTCCGGCCCCACTAGAAACCGGAAGGTTGCCGGAGCGAGTGGAACCCGGAAAGGTATCTACCGTTGCCTATTTAGGCAGGTGAATAGTTACCAGGTTTCCAAGAGCCCTACTTACTTGCATAAACAGATCTGATAGTCTATAATAAGGGCTTAACAAGTCAATTCGATGTTCTTAGGTAAGTGCCAAACGGATAGCTTAGCCGGAACCCGATGAAAAGGGGTTATTCACAAAGATAGACCAATAGACACCAGAGGAATGTCTGGAAGAGGGAATACTCCACTATTCTCTTCGGCGTCTTTAGACCCATATATCAATTTATAAACTTCTCATCCGCGTCGTGGGGACCTTTTATAGGTAAGATCGACCATCATCTACTCAAATCTGGGACGGGACATGCAATTTAGGCAAATTACCCCATGGAGACTAGTTGACTCCTATGTCATTGATGCTTGAACGCAACATGCCTAACCGCCCTGTACTTGAACCACGGGACAATATTCAAATCGTATAGAAGTTCAGGGGATCGGCATATACTGCATATATTAATATCTGGTGACCAATATCCCCGGTATTCACAATAATAACTATTCTTGGTCGAGTTCTATATAGTCTCTCGAGCCTGCCTCGCGTTCTGTTGATCAGAGTAGAACCAATCTCATTCTTCAAACTCCGTAAACTCGTCGAACTCTTCCAGAATGAGAACCGCCGTCGCCGCACTTGCGTTGGCAGCTACAGCTGCTAGCCACGCTACATTCCAAGAACTATGGGTTGGTTCGAAAGATGAGGTGTCTACCTGCGCTAGGCTCCCCGTATGTTGAACCTGGGATTTATTATGCTGGTCGAAGGCTGACTCCTGACAAGACGAACAACAACCCGGTTACTAGTGTAACGTCAACTGATATTCGCTGCAATGCCGGCGGCACTAAAGCTGCTGGCGCCAAATGCAGCGTAGCTGGTGAGAATACCGACTATCGTATCAATGTCTTCGCAGCTTCTCTAACATATATCTAGCTGGTGATTCCGTTACGGTGGAAATGCATCAACAACCCGGCGACAGAGACTGCGTATGTGAACTGAATCCCACCCCTTTTAGCCAATCACCAGAATCATAGCTCTACACTTGGGAAAAGTTACCCCTAGAGCATTCTACGAGCTCCGAACCCCCAGCCTAGAGTAATTATTGCTAACTCTCCTACCCGTGGCAAAGTCGAAAGAAGCACTAGGTGGCAACCACTTCGGCCCCGTTATAGTATACATGAGCAAAGTCGAAGATGCCGCCTCGGCCGACGGATCGTCATCATGGTTCAAGATCTTCGAGCTCGGATACGACTCCTCCACCAAGACCTGGGGCAACGACCTACTGAACAAGAACTGCGGCAAGCAAGAAGTCAAGATCCCCGCCGACATTGCCGCTGGCGACTACCTCTTGCGAGCTGAAACAATCGCTCTACACACCGCATCCCAGGCAAACGGTGCCCAGTTTTATATGAGCTGCTACGTATGTAGATATTTCTCTAATTCAAAATTCGCATGCTAATCAAATTAAATAGCAACTCACGGTTACTGGAGGAGGATCCGCGAACCCAGCTGGTGTTAAATTTCCTGGCGCGTACAGCGCTAGCGACCCTGGCATCAAAGTCGACATCTGGGGTAACGGTTTTACCGAATACAAGATCCCTGGCCCGGCTGTCTACTCTGGTTAAATTTCTCTAATGTTATTACGTGGAGCATTATAATAGGGGAGGGAAGGGGCTAGGGGACGGCGAACTTTCGTGATGTTCAAGTAGTGCACGTCATAGCGGGAGTTTGCCCTAGGAAACAAGACAATTACGTTCTTGCCTAAAGCGATCAGTTTTTGTCATTGTGATTGAGAGAATGTGACAAACGAAATGCTAAACTAGACCTTCAAGTTTTAGTTCCTACATGTAACATTAAACGGACTGTAGAATATTATCCCGGGAACTGAGTAGATTTGTCTGGAGATATCTGCATTGTCTCGGCCTAAGGCAATCCCACCGGTTCTAAAAGGCACTCTCCCACCGGGATCTCAGACTGCGCAGATTCTCGGCGGTATTAATCTAGAAACTTGTGAATTTGATTAATATACACATCAAAGGTCTTTATGCAACTTCCCACGCATGGGTCGTCTTCATGGTTGCTTCTTTCAAGTTCTCTTTGATTGCCTGAAACCTGGATTGTAGAGCTACGTGCCCTATAATTACGGCGCTACCCCCTGATTAAAAATGCCCGGACAGCGGGTAGTAGCGAATATGGATAGCGCCATCTGGGCAGTGTTAGGGGATTCTTTTCACCTGGACGGGTGTGGGGTAACGCTGTGGGAATATGCGGGGTCGCCCTAAGCTAAGTGAAGTTAGCATAAACCTTGGGACTCATCCGTAACTAAACTTCGTAAACCTGAAATAAACCTCATCAATTGACTGTGAATAAATCCCTACATCTTGGGACCACAAGGTTTTATCAGGCCAGTGAAAACTAAGCAGATCGCATTCTAACCCTCGTAGGCAATTCATCTTTGACACAACCTAGGCCCTCGCCGCATTTGTAAGCACGCTCACCATCAACTTCGGTCGGTGGCTTAGTCGTGTCCCTATTCATCAACCTATCCCACTCCGAGTAATTGAAGTCAAAGTCGAGTACACGTGCAGTCAGTACCAAGACCAATGTCAACTCGATCATTGCCAGTCCTTCGCCAATGCATCGCATGTTGCCCATCTCAAATGGCCGCCACGCATTCTCTACCGGACGTAGGGGGTGGCCCTCGGGCACCAGGTACCTCTCAGGCAGAAACTCGTTCACACGCGGCCATAACTCAGGATGAAGCGACATTGCTGACGGTGCGGTCTGAATGACGGCATCGTACGCTGGGTATTGTCTGCCTTCCCATACGAAACTGAATTGATTGCTAGCCTGCCGGAATGTGGACCCTATACCGCGCAATCGAAGAGTCTCTTTGACGACGGCCGCAGTATAGCGAAGCTCATTGATCTTATGAGGATTCTGCCGAAGAGTCTCCCCGGCCTGGCTAGGGTCTGGTCCTAGAACTTCGTCGTGCTCGGCGCGGAGTCTTGGCCATAGCTCGGGAATCTTGTTGACTTCCCAGAGAAGCCAGCAACTAAGACTGCGATCAGTAGAGATCCGTGGAGTATCACGATAATTTGATGAGATGCTTACATTGTTTGCGCTGTTGTATCATGGCCAGCGAATAAAAAGACTTTGATATTCGATACTAATACATCTATGAATTGAGAGGTGAACGGTTCCTTTCCATTGATTACGTTTTGCATAGCAAAGTCGATAACTCTCTTCTGGTGTCCAACCTTCGAGGGATTGAGGTCGTTCAATATTTTCGGCATCAGGATATCGCGTATGACCTTGGAATTGCGCGCGACTTTCCGTCTATATGACGGTAGTAGCCGCTCTAACATATTCTTCAGATTTCGAGTCTTCGAATATCCGATGAGGTTCCTAAAGGCCTCTAAGAGCGGGCTCGGACCGTTGGTCTGCTCTTGGGCACGAAATCCGCTGATACTGGTTAGAAAAACCCACACACTCAGAAGTCTGGTTGGTGTTATCCGCACTTACAGCACAAGGGTTATGATCACATCAAACGTGAGATTACAAGTTCGATCGTAGAGTGGAAACATCGGGCCCCAATCACCACCACTACCGGCCATCTCTCTCAATAGCCGGACGAAAACCTCCACCTCTCCTACTATATCAGGCACGTTTGCGAATAAGTTTTTAGACGAAAATGCCGGATTGAGCTTCGCGCGCCAAATGCGGTGATCGGCCATATCCATAGATATAAGGTCGATACCACCCGTCACTGGCGTGAGAGCCCATTTAAACATGACGTGTCTAGGTTGTGGTTTCTCCTGGGTGAACTGGTGACAAAGTTCAGGAGAGACGACGCAAATAACCGGTTCTGGCATGAAAGGCCATAGGTCTAGATATATTAAAGGCGGACATTTCGATTCGTTCGGAAAGTATTTGGGCCAGTTCTGAATAAGCTTTTTGAATGTATAGTCTGAGTGTATGTCGCTTGGATAGCCTTCGTTGAGCTGTCTGAGTAGTAGGAGGTGGCCGAAAAGGAGAGAATGGGATTCAGCGATAGGCTATTGAGACAGGTATTAGCCAATGGTTTAAGTCTAAGGAAGCTTAGTGCTCACAATTCCTTGGGCTTTCATTCTGCGAAATCTTATGCGCAACATCATTCCTATGTATAAAAAGCGCACCACCAGCCCCCCGAAAAGCAGAAGAGCGCCGGATAGTAGGAAACGCATGATACCGGGCTTGATAAGTATGAAAGTCATAGTGTCTCTATTCGCTATTCGCGCGATCTCAATTACAAAGACGAGAAGAAACGAAATGGTGGTATACGATGCTCAATGGGTAAAGTGAAGGGAAGCAGGTCCTGGCGTCTCAGCGACGAAAGCGTTTATTTAAAGATAAGCCTCGTATCATAGCTGTCGCCGCATATACCCAAAATGGTACCTACATCATGATGCCGACCGGTTACTGATTACAAACCAGCATCGAAACCTCTCTATTGGATGATACCTACGCGCCTGCAAGCCACGGACGATTCGTACTTGGGAGTTGTTCCGACTGCCCGAGCACGTACCTGAGTTCCAGGGAGGCAGTTAACCGCGACAGGGCGAGTCCCACTGACAACCTACAGATTAGGTACCTCTTTGAGATAAAGTACAGTGGTTTATAGCCCTTCGAATGGAAGTGTGTTATACGATCGCTAGCGACGAGACCGAACACCCTTTTCCGAAACACCTACGGGCAGCTCGCTAAATTTACACGACAGGCGAACGCCCCGCAAATCAAAATAGCGCTGCCAGGCTCAATAGTGATGCGCTAAATCGCCCTGAGCCCTAGGTCGGGCAATCATTAGAGAATGGGTTTTAAGCTCCTAAAGAAGGCGAGACAGCATACACCAGCTCCCAAGTTACCACATTGTTACAACAGAGAAGGTATGATGATGGCGTTTGGGGCGAGCAACAGCTTTAGGTGAGGTACTTTTGAAAGATAATTTTCCTAAAGGCAAGATGAACAAAGCGAGGCATTGCCATAATAATAAAGAAAATGCCTTTCTAAAGTTGCGGACGCCTTTTCGGGATCAGTATGCTTGATGAAATCCCCTTAGTTTAGTTGTTCAATTAGTCGTGGTCACTATAGCCAAGTTTTTAGTCACTGTAGTACAGTGGCTAAAAACCTCTATTACCCCTAAAATTTAATGACAGGGACCTACTAAGTTTCCCTTCGGGGCTGTATTATCCGTCCGTAGGACATTATAGTATTATTACCGTAGCGAGAACCCTTAGATCGCGAGAATGATTCTAAACCTCATAGAAGCATTACATGCATAAGATTGATGGAAATTGGGAGAAACTATTCTTTATATTAGAGTTATCCATTTAATAGAAATATTCTAGACTTAATAGAGTCATTCTAAGCTTCATAGAATCATTCTCGCGATCCAGGGGTTCCCGCTACGGGGTGTAATAGTGCGTCTAACGCACTTATTCTAAGGACTAGCTAATAATGACCGAAACATGATAAACGTCCAGCTTCTGACACTTAACATTGTTAATCCCTCTAAGTAAATAGGCTATCAATCGCTCTTACAAAGAAAATGCAATAAGGAAATTCACCCATGGATGTGTAGCAAGCTTTTACACGAGAAAATGGGTTACCACTGGGCTGCTCGTAATCTGATGTAACTATATGATAAGAGAGGATTGACAGGGCGGACTCGAATCTTACGAAAAGTCCATGAGTAAGCGCAACATGAATTCCGCTTCACACCCACCTAATTACTTAAATACCTTTCTCTTTTAGTTGCTACAGCCATTAGCAATATCTCAACACGGTTACACATCAAGAGGAACTAAAAGGTACCGATATACCTTACCCGACAGTCCATCAAGAGGAGCCCGTCATGAGCGAAGACACGGAGGTCGTGCTGCGCGGCACGAAGCGAGGCATCAAATCGCGCCAGGCGCAGATGCTTGTGATAGGCGGTACTATTGGCACCGGTCTCTTCGTAGGCACGGGACAGGCATTGGCGATTTCAGGCCCTGCTTTTCTCTTCGTCTCTTACATAGTGATCTGCTTCCTCGTCCACGGCATCGTCACAGCCATGGCCGAGGTTGGCGCCTACCTACCGGCACAAGGTATGTCTGTGGCGTACTATGGGAACCGAATTGTAAGCCCTAGCCTTGGGTTTGCGTTGGGGTGGATGTATTGGTACATTTGGGGCTTAAGCGTCGCCTACGAGATCACCGCCGCCGCTGTCGTCATCAACTACTGGCCTAACACGGTACCGGTCGCGGTATGGATTACCATCATGCTAGTCGTCATCGTGGCCCTGAATTTCTTCCCCGTGAAAGTCTATGGGGAATCGGAGTTCTGGTTTGCTTCGATCAAGGTCTTCGCAATCATTGGCCTCTTGATCCTATCCGTGGTCTTGTTCTTTGGCGGCGGACCAGATCACACGCGCTTAGGTTTTTGGTATTGGCAAAACCCTGGAGCGACTAAGGAGTACCTTGTGGATGGCGCTGGTGGGCGTTTCTGCGCCTTTTTGTTCACCCTCATCTACTCGTGCTTTAGTTTCAACTTCAGTCCCGAGTTGATTATTATCGCGGCGGGCGAGATGAAATCTCCCCGTAAAAATCTTCCGAGGGCCGCATTACACTTCGTTTGGCGGCTGGCAGTGTTTTATGTTCTCGGGGCCCTTGCTATTAGCGTCATATGTCGAAGTGACGAGCCTGCGCTTACAAATGGCGGTACAGGCGCTGCTTCATCCCCTTGGGTTATAGCTATCGAAAAGGCCGGGATCCATGGACTAGACAGTGTCATCAATGCTGTCATTATTACTTCGGCCTGGTCGAGTGGAAACTCGGTGTTATACATGTCCAGCCGCTCTCTATACTCACTTGCCGTAGCAGGGAACGCACCCCAGATATTTCTTCGTTGCAACAAGCACGGCGTACCCGTTTACGCCGTGATTGCGTCGAGCTTATTATCCCTATTCGCGTTCCTAAATATCGGCACAGTCAGTGGCATTGTGTTCAACTGGTTCGTCAGTATTATCAACACGGCGGCATTCATCAGCTGGGCTTGTTGCTGTCTTATATATTTTCGCTTTAGGAAGGCATGCGCCGTTCAGGGCATTACTAGATCTCACTTACCGTACTCGAGCATCACGCAACCGTGGGCCTCTTGGATCGCACTTGTGGCGTTTTGTCTTTTTGGGTTGCTGAACGGATTTTCGGTCTTCTTTCCAGGACATTTTACGGCATCTGGTTTTCTTACCTCGTATATTGGTATCCCCGTGTTCATCTTGATATATTCTGGGCATAGGATCTGGGCTAGGCGAGACCCATGGGTTAGACCACCTCAATCCGTTGATCTTAAAACAGGATTAGCAGACGCATTAACAGATGAAGAACCCGGAGACGTTAGCGAAGAAGAAAATGTTTCTTCCAAACATGCAGGTAATCGATTGTTAAGAAGAATATATGTCATATGGGGATGGGAATGAATTAAGTGGTAGGTTCTTGAGTTATTTCCAGGTACGACTTTACAGAAATGAATTATTAAAAGAAAGTACCAGTTTATGCAAGTGCGATGCATGGCATTCATTTATAGGCTGTATCATGCAGCCCCGATGTATGCATATGTCTCTCTATGTACATGTCTGTAAGTAACTTCCCCGCGTTACCATAACCTGGAACCTGGAACTGATGTATTCCGGCAACAGAAATGAGTCAACAAACTACATCCACTAAACCAACGGAGGAGGAGCTGTGGATTGAGGTCATTAACCAGCCCGAAGATATTATCGCAGGTTTCGATTGTGCTGCAAATACATTCGGCAAACAAACCCGCGATGCAGTTTGGATAGCTACGAATCCAGAATGGGACCAGGACGGCCCTGAAGGCCGAACCCGTGCTGCTGCACGAATGGTTGATCGGTGGCGTCAAATCACTTTCGACAATGCTGGTAATTCGAACACTATCTACCTTAAGGCCACTCTTCCTGAAGGAAGTCATCGAGTCGTGGTAGGAATGGCCATTTGGACACAATTCTCCATGGTAGAGGGCCGTGGTGTTCGGCCTTCAGACGACCCAAGTGAATCTCTAGGTCTAGAAAAGCTCTATCCGGACGATGAAAGCGAGCAACGCTACCTGCGCCAAGTTTTCCGCTCATTTATGAAACGTCGCGGCGAAGTCATCAGGGAAAAAGAGACATCCCAACCGCCATCGTTGTTGCATCTCGAATTATGTGTTGTAGATCCTGCTCACCAACGCAAAGGCATTGCCTCGAAATTAGTCCAATGGGGACTCGATGAAGCGCAGCGTCGTGGTGGTTTAGAGGCAACTACAGAGGCATCTAGCAGTGAGTCTCCTTTGAAATACCCCATCCCCCATATTATGAACTGACTTGTCGCTGCAGTGGGTCGCCATGTATACAAACGCCTAGGTTTTCATGCTGAAGGACCGGATATCGAATATCATGTTGATAGCGAGTTTTTGCCGCGAGACAGGCCATCTAACATCTTTATGCGTACAGGCACCAACCAATAGCGATATTTGTCACTGATGAAAGAAGATATCCAATATGTTGCATACCAACTTATATCATTAAAAACATAGCAATTCACGTTTGAACAATTTGCATCTTGAAATGGATATCTACAATCTACCCCACTAGATCGTTCCTGGGAAAAGCTACCATTTTCTTAGGCCATTGTTTTTTCCAATGGCTAAAGAACCCATATGAAAGAAGCAAGATTAAAACTGGGTTATTGTTTCCGTAAGTTGAAAACAACAATGTCTCATGGAACAAGCCCATTGTTTCGGTCAACAAACTTAAAGGAACAACACAAGTTCATTGATTATAGATAAATTATAGTTCTCGATACATATTTAAACGGCCAAGAAGATTTACAGTCACCGGAATTATTTCTCAAATCAAACGCCAAACTGAGTCTCACGTGGCTCAGGGGAAAAAAACTAACTAATTTTTTCTTCGCGCTTTTGTAAACAACCCTTATATACCCATCTCAAGATGGATCCATCAACTTATCAAAGTAAGGTGGATATAATGGAGGAGCGCTTTAAGGGCTTGGAATTAGAGGTGGAATTACTCAAGTCTAAGATGATGTCTGGTACTAAGTCTGCTGACACACCCTCAAGCTCTGGCGCACCCTCAGTCACAGGACCAAACCAAGGCTCGGACCCGACAGCGTCAAACATGATCAAGGAGCTCGAGATTCGATTAGAAAGAACAGAAGAGGAGCGTAATATGCTTCAGTCTGAATACGACGATCTTCGTGCGACTTTCGAGCGTTGGAAAGCCGAGTATGACGAGTCACGCGAAGCGCAAGAAGAATTGGAAATGACATGGCTAGAGAAATTCGAGGAAGAGAAAAAGAGAAGTCGCGCCCTTTTCCAAAAGCTACAGGAAATGAAGGGGAATATCCGTGTCATGTGTCGTATCCGCCCTGCTTCGGCGGATACACCAGTGGATGAACTTGTCGACTTTGGACCGCGAGAGAAGGGTGAGTTTTCAAATTCATGGGGGCATATGGAACTCCCTGTAGAACGCAAGAACGTTATTGGTAATATAGTTACCAGTAAGCGGCCATTCGACTTCGAGCGCATCTTCGGCCCAGAGGAGTCGAACAATGACGTATTTAACGAGATCAGCGATCTCGTAGAATGCGCACTTCAAGGTGATAAAGTTGGAATTTTTGCGTACGGGCAGACCGGGTCGGGTAAGACTTACACTCTTAGCCACAAAGGTCCCGAGGGTGGTTTAGAAGACGGTATTATTCCCCGAACAGTAGCTTCAATGTTCAAGATCGCTGAATCATCAACGAGGAACAAGTTCTCGATTTCCCTGTCCATCTTGGAAATTTATATCAACAGCATCTTTGACCTACAGGAGCCCATTGACGGTGAGAAAGTCCAAACGCGCATTGAAGAAGCTAAGTTTCTGCCATTAGAATCTCTAGAATCGGCGGAAACTATGATCGAGGAAGCATCACGACTTCGCGTGTCGAGCTCCACGAACAGGAATGAAACGTCTTCTCGCTCACATCTCATCTTGACCTTCCAGATTACTCGAGAAAACCTCGAAGGGGGACCAGCCCAGCACGGATTTCTGTATCTCGTGGATCTCGCGGGTTCCGAGAGATCCGCGGCAAGCGGATTGAATGGAGCACAGCTACAAGAAGGTATCAAGATCAACGAGTCGTTAATGAGCTTGAATCTGGTGATCACAGCTTTAGGAAAGGGTACACACGTAGCTTACGATACTGTGCTAACGAAAGCATTGAGACCTGTTCTGGCCCACGATTCCAAGACTCTCATGTTTGTCATGGTGAGCCCATTGAAGAGAGACTTGATCACGTCGATCCAGACTCTTGAAAAGGGTCAAGAGGCGACCAATGCCAAGTTAGCCGCAGTCAACCGCAATGACGCTAGAAGGCCGGCTACTTCCGCTCCCGCGGGAGTTCGGACTCCACAGCCAGCGTTATCACGCGGGCTGAAGACTCCAACGCCCAATCCGGCACAATCCGGTAGGTCCAGCCCGAATACTGCGTCCCCTAGGCAAGACACACCGCGTTCAGGAAGGAATTCCGTGCGCAGCCCGCTGGGTGGGAGAAGAGGAGCGGGGCGAGGAGGCTCTAGAGCGTAAGTTGAGATTTCTCGATCGTTGCGTACGAGGTACATCTGCATTACTTCCAATTATTTAAGCAGGTGCCTATTAGGTTCGTATCCTAAATACGCCCAGGAGCGTTACTAACACCAAGACTCTTACCATATCTAAATTGTATATCATACCAATAAATCCTCTTTCAAATATAGGCATAAAATTCCCGAGTGAACACATTTATAAGTGTAATTCATGATTATGGACATTAGCGACGTTAAGTATTTTCAGTAAATCAATTAAACCACTTAAACATGTACGAAAAAGTGAGTCACAAGGACCAAATAAAACCCCTATTATAACCAACCAACCAACCACCCATGCAACCCCCCTTTTCGCCATAGCCTCAACGAAATTATCTTTTCGTGTACCGTATTCGCCTGAACGCCCTCCACTCCATACCATCATATACAAGCCCTGGCGCCGCTATATTATACAGGTACTAATTGCGCAGCGCGATCGACGTGAGTCGATTATCAGCTCAGGGACATATGTATGTATGTAATAAAAATTATGAACAATAAATGATTAATGGTGGTTATGCGAATGCGGCTGTGATGACGCTTGTGCAGTCTGTCAAGCTGGACGCGTCGTTGCCGAGGAGGCTTAACTTCTCCATCCTATATGAAGAGTTAGTAACTTGATACATCGAATTACGAGTGTCGGATAGGAAACTCACGCTGGTACAAATGCATCAGCCCAAGACGAAGCGTCCGCGCCGAAGGTATTCCAATCGGCTTTCGTCTCGGACGAGTTGCTCATGGAGATATCGCTATTAAGACTCGCGGGTGCGGTGCCGGCCGCGGTCTCCGTGTAGAAGTTCGTGTCGAGGTCGTCGATCGTCGAGTCCAGGCCATTTCCATTTAGATCCTTGGCGGCGCTGTGGGCTCCCACGAGGGCGACTAGTTCCGTGGACGTGAACCCCTTGGCTGCGAACGCGGCGACGATCGAGGTCGCGTTGTCGTTGGCCCCGGGCATCTGACCCGCCGCGTTCGCGGTCGAGGAGTCTGTCCTGCCGACTTTGACGGCGATGGAGGGGAGGCCTGGGCAGGAGGCTATTCCGAATGCTGGGGATATGTGTAAGCCAAGGGAATCCAAATATGGAAAGACTCGTATTAGGGAACTTACCGGCAGCGAATTGGATCAGGTCAGCGGTACCAACAGTGAAGTTCGATGCCATGGTCCCTAAGGTCGAGCATATGCCAATCATCTGAGTGTTCTCGCCGCGGTCGGTGCACTCGTCTGCCAAGATTACGGACCCATCACATGCACCGGGGAAGCAGTCGTGGAAGGCAAGTCTGATAGCCGCACGGGCGTCGTCGTTGCAGTTGCCGCTGCTGTCTATGAAGGTTGTCTTCAATTCCGCAGCGACGTCAGTCCAGACTGAAGGGCATTGGGCTTGCACAAGACCGCAACTGGCTGCGAGAGCCGTGAGGAGAACCGTAGGTCTGAATGAGTGCATTTTGTAGGAGTTGCTGTCGAGTGATACAATGAATATGTAAACGGGATGACGTAGTATGTTTGGGATAGCTGTAGAGTGATAGATATCGGTAACGATCGAAAGTAACTCGCAAGTAACCTGCTCAGGAGTAGAGGTATGATTGGGAATAGGAGAGTGAAAGCTGATGAGATGTTGTCGGCCTCAGCAAAAGTTGAGGGTGTAGTTTCCCCTCACACTTATATATCAAAAAAATGTTTACTCCTAAACCGATAGGCCCCTAATAGAAGCTGTGATACCTCTCCCCTGGAGTTGTTGGGCTCTCGTTGGAAGACCCTGCATGGCGTACATGGTTATCTTCGCTTGGTCCCCCCGAGGGTGGTCCCCTAGGACGCATCAGCGAATGGTTGAATAACGCCCAGACCGAGATGGAGCCACGCAGACGGTTGCAAGGACGCCAACCGAGATGCTAAACGAGATCCGGCTCATGTTTTTTTCTGCGGACAACTTGGTGAGTTGTTTTTGCAGCATTTTATCCCTGTCTGTGTTACTATCACGGAATATACGAGGAGGAACATGAAAGATAACCTCCTCAATACCCTCGTTTAACGGCGCAAACTACCTAGTACCTATGTTTCCTTCAGATTAGTCAATACAGAGAAACAGCCTTGGAGATGTTCGACGAGTGGACCTAGCTAAATCGCACGATGTAAAATTTTTTATGTTTAGAGCACATGCTGCTACATGTTCGTAAGTGATCAAACCGATCCCAGGGGAGATCGTGGGTTCTGTCACCATGGTGAAAAGGGTATGCAGGGAGAAAATCTCCGGCCTATGATACGAATACACGGGTAACAGCTACAGGTAACAGAGATCTTGGTGCGTACTTGGCGCGAAGTTGCGGAACCATCGATCCCAGCGCCGGGGAACCAATGGCGCGGATGTAAACATTTGCTGGAGCTGAGCATCTGAACGTTGCTGCCGATACAACGTGCTTACGACGACAAACACCGTTGTTTGTCGCGCGCGCTTAGACTTTCTTTTTCCCGTTTTCGACGTACTATGTAGGGAGAAGTGTTTCTAACACTTGACAAGGCACGCAGGGCAGAGAGTCTAGACAGGCCAGACAGGCCATGGTAAGTCAACAAGGGGCAAGGGTTCAGAAGAGCCTCCAGCATCAATGTTACAGCAGAGCTGGAGTAAACTGGAGTTGGCAGGGATCGTCACATTGACCTAGCTGGACCCCAGCTCACAATTGCCGGCCCCTCTTAACGGTGGACATTGGACGCGTGTTTATGAAACAATATTCGCCTGATCATTCGAAGAAAAAGGAGGGACACGGCCTATCGATAACGCTTTTTGTCGATAGGAAAATATGTAGATGCAAGTTAGATGCAGCTCGATGTAACTTGACCCCGGTTACGGCACAGAAATCTAGAGGTTAAATTTAATGAGCACCTGGGCAGTGAGCACTTACACGACGAGGAGTCTAGTCCCATTCCTATCGCGACCGCAACTCCTTGAATATGAGCAGGGGTGGTGCGTGCTAAGGCGGAAAGGAAAATACTTTTTCTAGATGCTATTTTGATAGTTCGTAAGGGGATCGACGGCCGCTGTTGTTACAAACACCATGTTTTGCGATCGAGGTCCGGTAGTAGTGAGGAATTAAACGCTATTAGGTGAATCCTTTCCCGTTTCTTATCTTGAAGCATTCGTCATCACTCTATCTCCGTGTCAGTACTATGTAGGTAGTCTGCCGAGGTGATAATTCTCTCTTACCTACCTACCTAGGTACCTATCTAGGCTGCTAGGTAATCCCCTTCATATGACATGACAGCTGCACAGCACGCACTCAAAGTTAGGAGGTGGATTTAAGCTACGGGAACTTTTCCGCTAACGGACCGCCTCATGAATTTCGCTAATAAGTAAAATTACGTGTCTTAGGTCGCCGTGCTATAGTATACCTAAGGGTAAGTGTTAGCATGCATATAATGAACCCATTATGGGACCATACAGCCATAGTCCACGGACCTTGGCTGCTTAGACAGCAAGCCACTTATGTCACCGTTAAAGTGGCGTACAAGACATTCATTGATCTGACTCGAGGGAATTCTTTGTTAGTTCTTTGTTAGTCACGAACCATCCTTGGCATGTTCAAAAGAGCCATGTATAAAGAAGTCTGTTCAAAACAATGTTTCAGGTGTTTGTATGGACTCCTGACACTCTTGATCCTGAACTCGAGATGCTGGGGGAAATAAAAGGTCTAGCCTCGTATGGTTTAGGTCTTGGACGCTATCTGAGCCCGGTCCACAACTCCCCTTAACGATCTGATTGCCTAATGTGAGACATTCGGCATCCCATTTCGTCATGGTCATAGAACGGCTCGTGCGCGAAAGAAGCCTCAATTTCAGCCGCGATCTTGGCCAATCACTCGCTATCTATTTCCTTGAGTAGATCCTATGCATGCGTTCATCCGAACCTTTTATGATAAATGTTACCCAAATTCGTAATCGATGCCATCCGAACGAGAATGACAGTTTGGTGTTGATGTTGTGTAACAGGAGCTTACGGGAGACGCTTGAAAAGACAGTTAGTTACCCGTAGATACTACAAAAATGTTATATTACTATTAGTTACCTACTTTATACGTATTAAGTAGGCAGTTTAAAGACATTGTATAGTTAAGATAGGAGTTCAAGGCTTCGAGTAACTCTCCGAACAACTCCATGTACACATATCTTTTATACATTTCACCCGATAGTTACTTCACTTACCCAAGTCCTGGGTAACATAAAGCTTGATATCCCCTTCCCTGACCAATATCTCAACAATCATTGGTGTTGGTGTTAAACGAATATGGCTGTCACTTTTTATTAAGATCCATTTGGAGTCCCATATAAACATGTGTATTAGTCCCACTTGGAAGCTTCCGAGACATGTGTTTACCAGGTCCCCGGTATTGTTAAGGTATCATTTACTAATCATCTCAACGTCGGGTGCGGCGCTAGGAAAATATGCCGGACCCGTAGTGACCGGTAGTCGGTAGTGGCGAACGATGTATGGTTGGGATTTCGAAAACCTCTTTCTTTCTTTTTTTCAGACGATAAAATGTTTGACCTCTGCTTCTAATCGATGTCGAAACATCGAAATTTTCTAGCTTGTGAAGACTTCAAGGTTACCAATTTGTATGTCACAAGTCTCATGTGTGTAGAATTACAGATACATATGTACCCTGATTCAGGGGCTGATCTGTGTGACTGTTACGTAACCCTGCCAGTGGTACGCGGCCTGCAGATAATTAGCTCTCATACCCCACGGTTTTTATTTGGTCCCTATTTCGTCCTTGGGTGCCCTAGGTAATTATTTTAGTCTTTTATTCTTATGAGGAACTCCTCAGAGCCGCACATCGTATATCCACCTCATAACCACCAATAGATCAACTTCTGTAGATCCTCTCAATGTTACAGCGATCTAGAATTCGTAACATCTGAGACATCTTTGCAACAACGTTATGAATTCCATTCCTTCTTCCTCTCGACGTATCATTCGGTCCGACCAATTAAGGATTCGTAGGGTCTGCAGAAATTGGTCACGATGTTGGCTTCTTCCAATATTCGTAAACAAGAAAACAGCCAAGAAACCTGTTTGTACACGGCGGCCGCAGGTAGAATCGCCTTGGTTACCTGAGACTTTTTGACTAATGATATTCATGGCACTCCTGTTTCCTCCCCTATCCTATCGAACTTTTTCTATGGGCGCAGAATGTAGCACCTCACCCGCCAACGTCAGCTTCTCTCAAGCCGACCTGAAAATTCCATTGATATTCTCCGGACCTTTACACAGAAGCTCGTATTTCTCTATAGCCTCTTACAACATTACACTGCTATTTCTATGTAACCTTTTTTTATTCTTGTGATCGTTTCTTTTTACAGTGCTCACTGCAGACATCCAAGGTTGCAGTCGCCTCTTAAATCGGCCACCATCTACTTTCATCTCCGATCCGTCTCCTCTCATCCGACCAAAGTTTTCAGGTGCCAATCGTTTAATCTCGAGGCCAACTCTTGACAAATTCGCTATATTTCGATTACCTTCTCTTCATCAAATCCGTCGGCTTGAGCAAAGAAATATCCCCTCTGGTTCGCAAGCAGCCTCAATGGGCCGGCACCGTCGTTCCGCTCAACGGTAAAGTCGCAGTTATAATGCGTATGCCCGGATGCCCACAATACGACTTTGCTACTCGTCCAGCATTTCTTTTCGGACAAGTCGGTCGAGAAGGCGCTCGTGATCGAACTAGTAGCATGCTTTGGATCAACCGTACGATCGTCCTTCGATGGGCTCCAGTGTGTAAATATCATAATACGCACGTCGGACTGCTCGAGTTCAGCGACCTGCGTGTCAAGCCAGGCAAGGTCTCGCTCATGCGCTTCGTTGTGCAAGTCGACATCCCAGTCTTCGATAGTGTAAAAATCATTAAGCCCAAAACTAACGGCCATACGACTTTCAGCTGGAATATACGAGAACAGGCTGCATCCTAAAATGACGACGTTGGTGTCTGGTATTTGATAGCAGACGCGATCAAGAAGGACAAAGTCTCCGATCGAGTTATCGTTACGAACATCCCTTTCGAAAGCACGAAGAACATCGAGGGTTTCCGGCCAGTTTGAATGATAAGCTTCGTGGTTGCCTGGGACGAAGAGCACAGCGCGAAAATTCTTCAGCTGTCGGCTTAAAAAAGCAAGGCATTCGTCCTTGTGTAACGCGACATTGCCAATATCGCCAAGCAGTGCTAGGTAAGGTGCTTTAGGCGCAATACTGAAGATATCGTAAGCTTTTGGGGTCTCTAGATGTAAGTCTGAAAGGATCTGGACCGCCATTATAGACAAAACAGCAGTATGTCTATGTTGAATGAAATAAAGGGAAGAAATGAAGCGCTAGTAGTGATGTATGAGTCTACATATTTAGGTGGTACAAAGTTGTTGGTTGGAAATAGCACTATACCTATTGAATGTAGTTGAAAAGAACCGCCCATGCTGTACTATGAGCCAATCTATCCCCTTGCAGTACAACCTGCATTCAATACCCATAATATAATGTGTAAGATACCTATAGAAGCGAAGCAAGGGATACTCAGGCCCACAGTAGAATACAGTGAGATTAACACATGGAGCTTTTTCCTGCCACCATTCTCTGCTGCCTACGCACCTCACAAAATAGTTATTAAAAACAGAGGTGATATCTCGAAGCATGATCTCCTCTTTCGACCAAACATGTCGGCCTCAGACCGCTTCATGAAATTCTCTGCCCTGCCCCCTGAACTTCGTCTTCAGGTTTGGGCTGAAGCGCTCTCAGTTCGAACCGTCTGCGCTGTAACTCGCAATCCCGCCGGCGACCATGCGCCGATCATCATGGCTTATGTTGGCCCGGCGCCGTATTTAGCTGGGCTGTCTTGCAAGGAGGCCCGGCGAGTACTGAAGCAAACACACGTAATGTTTTCTCGGGGGCCAAACGCCGGTGTTCACTGGGTCAACATGGACCAAACAGTCATTTACCTTGGCAATCGTACTGCTGCTGTATCAGTTCTAGACGGCTTTCGGAGTGATGATTTGTCTAGGTTCAAACATGTCGCTCTTCTGTGGGACACGTTCGATGAACTCGCTAGACTTTGCATGCGTCTGGCGAAGGAATGTCCGTCTCTTTGCACTATCATTATACATGAAGTTGTAGGTGCAACCGAGACCGGCGTTAGGATCAGAATGCCTCGCTCTCAGCCTTTGACTCTAGAGGCGGCCCTATACTATGCCTCTATTCTCGCACACACTGGTTCTGAATTGGGACACAAAAGGCTGGACACCAATTACTTCCGGTCGCTCCTCTTGGAATACTTTGATGCTTCACGTCCACGAATACATTTGTTGCCGTCGAACCCGGCCGATGCCTCCTAACGCCTTGTTTCAAATGATGGCGCCGAAGGGGGTTATGAACTCAGACTCGACAGGGCCGACAGTTATTTGCCGCTATAACCTTGTTTTTGTTTAGTAGGTATTACCCTGACGGTTCGTCTTCAGCTTTTCGTCGCATACCACCCAGCATCATGCCCATTCGGTCTAAACCCAGTAGAAGAGTTGCTGAAATTATTAGCCACTTACAACATATAAAAAACATAAAATAAACTTTTACTTCTAATAAAGGTCAGGCTAAAATAAGGTTCAAACTTTATGTCCAACGACGGCGACGGGAATGCGTTCCACTTAAGCTATTAATAGCTAGTCTCTCCCGTGTACAATCAACACATCTCAATACGATTATCTTAGCTACGTCAAGGCCGGCGAAACCAAAATGCGCTACCATCAAGCCTGCAGACTCTTCAAGAACAAGCACTGGGAGACCCTATGGCAAAGTAATATCCCAGACCTTAACGCGTTGAAAGAAAGATGTCAATATACTTTCGTAGCTATAGATTTTGAGGGGCGGATCACCAAGGATGAGCCTATCGGTATTACTGAGATCGGACTCGCTGTCCTAACCCCTTCTGCCGCTACCAGCACCATAAGTCCAGATGATCTTAGATATCAAGGTCAAGCACCAGAAATCTTCTTTAAACAAAACGCAATCGAAAGCTATTCGATCCAAATCAAGGGAAGGGAGCGAAAGAAGAAATATCGAGACCGATACCGTTTTGGCCCAGTCCAAGAAATTGAAGCTGAGCAGGCCGAGGATACACTGGTCAGTTTATTACAATCGATTCGACACCGGTCCAAGAATCCCTTGGTTCTTGTTGGGTTCGATCTCGTCTTTGAATTCAAGACGATTGCATCACATCTCTCCCAGATCACCCAATATTTCACATCCTGGATTGATTTACAAGAAATCATGACGGAAATCTCTAACACAAAGAGTCCAGGTATGAAAGCTTCGCTTCTTACTTTCGGATTCTTTTCAAAAGACTTGACTACCCGCGGTAAATGGGATCATAGTGCTGGAAATGATGCAGTTCACGAACTGGCTATCCTCGTCAACCTGCTAAATCTAAGTAAGGGCAACACTATTCATATTCAACCGATCAAACAGCTTAAAGACGAGAATACGTTACGAAGAATTTGGTCGAGGAGTCAACCAGGCCCAAGGGAACTTTATCCTTTCACAGCTATGATTCTTCTCGAGGGCAAGCGTTTAAAGTCTTTTGTCCCACATTTACCGCATCTACTCGGTATGTTTTCCAGCTATCGACCGTCAGCAGTAGGGATGGCCCGGAATGGCAATTGCGGTTGGATATGCCTATCAACAGCAGAAGATCTAAATCGGTTCATTAATGACCTTCATGGCCACGAGTTCAAAGGAGAGACGTGGATCGCCGTCACAGACTACGACCCCCAGATATCGCATCCGACGCCAGAGCAGCTTCGCGAAGCCAGACGAGCAAAGCAGGAAGCTCAACGAGAGCAAAAACAACAGGAACGTCGCGCGAAAAGGGAAGTGGAATCGGATTATCTGGTTAATATTAGATGATTTTGTGCCCTTATGAGGGTAAGGAGATGAACGAGGAAACGTGATCAATTGCTAGCTCTGATAGCAAGTCTCAGCTGGGTATCTATCCATGAAGTTGCAACTTCTAGTAGCAATTCCCGTGTAACAGATGACGCGGATAGGGATAAACTTGGTCGATTTGAGATTAGGATATAGGAGAAAATACACTTGCGGCGCTCCGGGTCGTATAAATGAATGGTATGTTTTAGGAAATGAGGTTAGGGGTATCTCGAGTGAAAGGTAGAGAGCAAGGGGAGTCCCTAGGCGATCACTACTATCATCCCCTAAAAGTATCAGCTTCGCGTTTATGCTTTATCTTGTTCCTACTTGGCTCGCTAGCGTTGAGCGAGTTACACAGATAGATGTCTCATGCTAGAGCCATCGGTCTAAATTCAACGAGCCTTTCGCACCTTCCCCTGTATCTAAGGAAGGCAGCTCTTTCTACCGCTCTTGATAATCGACTGCTAAGGTAGATAGCAAGATAATGCCGCCCAAAATCAACAATAAGCTAAGGCAGGATGGCCGAGTGGTTATGGCGCCAGATTCGGTATCTGTTGGGTTCAACTCACGCGGGTTCGAATCCTAGTTCTGTCACCCCCTAAAGGGATAGTGATAGAATAGATTTCCGAGTCTGGTCTCTCCGGAGGCGGGGCGTTCGAATCCCCCTCCTGCCATGCTTTGATCTTTTTCATTCCATTTAGAATATGTTAATCCTTATTTTTCACGCAAAGAGTTAGGTGTCGTCATCCTTACTTACCTACCTAGAAGGTAGCAAAGCATTTTTGGTGTCCTAGATGAAGGAAGCTAGAATCCTCCATATTCTCGGACCTGGATTTGTAGCATGTTGTCCGGTATGTGTCAGATGAAATGTCATTGGGAAAAAGGCAGATGCGAATGCTATACTATTACAGCCTCTGCCATGCCTCAATTACAAGCCCCAATATTGCAGGAATATCCAACCTTCGAGGCACCAGGAGATTTTATCCACCGAGCTGTCCAATAAGCTTGCGTGTAAAGGGTTTGAGAGATTCAAAACGATTGTGTTGCCAATAAACATTAAAAATAATAAATACATTCTCAACCATTCAACTTACAATTCTGGGCAGTATATATATTATTCGATCGTCGTTCTGTCCTCTAAGATAGCTTATGTAGTCTCGTTCATTGGTGAATTAGTTTGACCCCACCAGTAGGAACAGATACCATGTGCAGCGACTTATACCGAGCCTCACATCAACAACAGGAAAAAAGAACCAGGAATTTGTTTAGGCAATGTCTTTTTTTTTAATTTATTGGGGGGCTATCGGAAGCCCGTGTCTATTCGTAGGATAGTGAATGTTCGTTCGCAAGAGCATCATGAAAACCCCTTACTCAAACACGCCGACTCTGGGATATCCTCTCAACCACCAGCCACGATCGCATGGCGCTCTAACAGCAAGGCAAGTACCTAGGTAATCTTCCGTCCCAACCAATTCGCGCAGGTCAATTAAGCCGCGATGGACTTCTTCAGCAGAGCGACGAGGGCGCCGGGGTTGGCGCCGATGAGCTTATCCTGCTGCTCGCCATCCTTGAAGATCATGAACGTTGGCATGGATGTGATGCCGAGTTCTTGGCTCAGCTCAGGAAGCTCGTCGACGTCGATCTTGGCGAAGAAGATGTCCTTGAACTGCTCGTCGTTCGAGTGGCTGTTATCAAAACCCGCCGTTAGCGACCCGCGCTCTCCCTATACCTGTACCTAGACAAGTATGAGGGATTTCGGGGACGTAGGTAGCAGAAACTTACTTCGCTAGGAGAGGCGCGATGGCCTTGCAGGGACCGCACCAGGTCGCGAAGCAGTCTAGGAGGACGACCTTGTTCTCCTTGACGGCCGTGTGGAAGGCGTCGGCGCTTTGCGCGATGTTAGCTAGAGTTCTCAGATCATGGGAGCGAAGACGGAGCTTTGGAGGGGTAAAGTGTAAAAGGTGAAGAAGCTGTTGGGGCGGGGTAGATAAGGCCGACCAGCCTGAGACACGTACGTGAGGATGTTGTGGACAGTCATTCTGGGCAATGTAGTGTGGAATTGACGAATAGGTGTGATATGCGACGGTCTATATACGGAATGTCTGAGTGAAGACTGGACTGTTCGGAAGAAGTTCGTTGACATGGAGAAGAAGAAAAAAAATAGCGCGGGGTGCCGGTGGATTTATGTATAATTTAGTTTCTCTGTCAGGAACGGGAAGGAAGTAAGGCTATGCCAAGGTTACTCTAGGTAATTCAGCTCTCGGTGTCATACAGGATTAGTTAATGGTTAACTTAGGCGTAGTGATATCTGCTTTCTTCGCATTGAGCAATGATGTAAATTCTTGATTTGTCAGTTTGTCCAATGACGTGATCCGAGCCAAGCCGATTCTCTTCTAGGCTATCGGGATGCACATGTGGTAACACAAGGTTATCGGGTAGGTCTGTGGCGTTCAGCCTCTTTTCGGCTTCCTACCCGTACCTACCTCATATGACAAACATTGTCAAACAATTCCCCGATTCCATACGTATAAGAAAGATTCCAAATAATTATGGACTTTGACATTGTTAGATCTAGGTATTTTAACATTAGTAATAACCGTAGGTTTGACACGAATATTCGGGATTTGAAACATAGTAACATAGAGTCTTCCAAATAATTCCTTTGCCTGACGTAGTCTCTTACTAAGAGATAGTACTCGACTACAACAATTAACTAACAGGTTTAAAAATAATCTGACACTAATCTCGTGCTCGAGTCGAAATTTTCGAAGATCCCGAAATCGACAAGTAACATCGATAGAAAATAGTAACAACCATCAACTCCTTTTTTAGTCCCCATCACCATTTTCGCCGTCTGTATCACGCCTTCACAAACACCCTAACAAAATCACTGTACTAAAATATTCATTTCATTGGAAACAAGCCCCCTTTTTCTCTTTTTCTCACAACTCTACAAGCTGTAATACTTCATACATTGTACATACAACATGACCAACCTAAAGCTCCAATATTACGGGCGAGGTAAGGGTATACATAAAAACGGCCCAACCCAGGTCGGCCTCGCGGATTTCCCAACACCTCTAAGTTTGATTTGCACTTCCAGTAATTTTTTTCCCTATCCCCGAACACCTAGTTCGCCGGCCTGCCTGCTTGCCGACTCGGGCTCGCTCGCCGAAGCCATATCTATTCGAAAAAAACCCCCTTGGAAATCAAATCGCGACAGATCAACTCACAACCCTTGGTGTTCTCGCACGGCGATGTGAGAGCGGAAGCCTACGCAATTTCGAAATGGGTATGCTTCAGATCCGATGCTGTAGGCGGCCTAGCGTGCGTGAATCTCAGATCATGACAATCCTGCCCGAGACACGGAGCTAACTGAATAGACAGTAGTATGTGCTATCAACATTTAGGTCGGCCAGTGTATGTAAAAGAAGACATTCCATGCAACTTTGTAGGCACTCCTCTCGGCGCCCGGGAAACCTCTGCACCATGGCAGAGGATGTAAGTGGTATCAAAAACAGGAAACCCGCCTCGCATAAAAACATAAATCCCTGTGGTATCGCAGTATATCAAGAATAGAAAAATAAAACAGTTCACAATTCACTCCTCCTTCATGTCTTCGGTTAAACCGGTAAATTCGATAAGGTCGCCTCATGTATCACCCCTGTGACATAATGAGTCGCTATACTCGATGAGAGCAAGTAGAAATTGGCTACATAAATAGTGAGTCTGGTAGCGCATTGGTGTTGATGTGATGACTTGGGCGACTTCGTGGGTGGTGCGAATAATTCGATCAATAAGTAGGCCAGGAGAGAGACCAGGTGGTTTATGATATTTTCCACGTTTTTTTCTGTTTTATTCGTTGAAACAGGTTAAGAAATATCGTAATGAGCGAATAAGGTCGGTGCTTGAGAGTGTAAAAAAAATATCAAATGAATGTGATGTAAACAGGGCTTAATATCTGCCTGTAAAAATGGAAGGAAAAAGGTAAATGATGGTTGTTAAATCGTCTCTCCTGGCTTAGATCGTGCACCTACCCGGTGCTAATCGTGGCTGTCAAACATCCGAACCAATCGGTTCCAGTCAACCCGCAGATTTACTGAGTGCCGTGTTCCATCATGCTTCTCCGAATCTCACCGGATGCACGGGGTGAGATCTCAAGCAGCTTGGCGCTGCCTGCGCTAAAGTTTCGAGCGTGCCCCTTGTCGAGATTGACACTAGTTGCCCTCTGCGGTTGAACAGGACTGTGACCCTCCTCTTCATCGTCACTATATCTCTCGGCATATTTGTCGTCGTCCTCAAAGGACTGGAGAAGACCTTCTCGGCTTCGCATTGTGTCTCGGTGATGCGTCACAATCGGGGTCTGGCCGACTGCGCCCCACTTAGCTTCCTGTTCGTCATCTTCCCCGTCACTGCTGGGACGAGCCTCGCCTGTGGACTTGCGATGTAATCCACTAGGAACGACGCTGTTCATGTACTCATCTTCGACGATGTTGCCGTCGTATGAAGGACGTCCTTCTGATTCACCTGAGAATGGGGCTTGGGCGTATTGTTGAAGAGAATTTCTCATGCCTGATGAGGCTCGCTTCCTGTTCATGCGACCAGAAAGCCAAGACGCTTCCGAATCGATAGAAGCAAGCGACATGGACTGAGGTGCCGGCGAAGCTTGTATTTCGTCTCGGTGCCATGAGATGGGAGTCGCCCACATGGCTTCGTGGTGACCAGAGGTAGGGGTATCGTAACGCATTGGGACATCGTCGGGGATTACGGGAAGAGGCTCGGTAGGCATAGGTTCGGCTTCCGGTGATGCCACACGCGAGTCCGGTGGAGAGAGCGGTAATTCGGGGAGGTCTTCCCGGAAGCGAGACATTGTTCGCTTGGGCATGTTAGGGTTAATTTTGCGTGGAACGAAGTTCGCATGAGACGGAGGTGGACCTCCCTGCATCGAATCCCGCGAGGTGTTCGAGAAAGATGAAGGGCCAGAACTACGTCGGTTCTTGCCCCATTTGAAGAACGATCTCCATGGTCTCGAGGAGCCGCTATCCGATACTCTTCCACCTGATTCAGCGTACTCAGGCTTGGTAGGAGCAGGTGACGGTAAATCGACATCGGTTCTCGCCTTGACGGAATTCTTCGGTGACTTTGAGCGCGATGTCCTCGATCGGATGAAACTTAAGATTCTTGGGCTTGAAGAGCGCGAAGACGGCGGCTTCTCCGGAGTAGACTCTGGCACATGCTCGGCTTCGGGAATCCTGGCTGGGGTAGACGGCTCTAGAGGGATGCTGTCCGTTCGATGGAATTCGTTTAACGGCTTCAGAGACTCATCACGGTTCTCTAAGTCTTCCCGTTCCCTACTTTCTCTCTTAGTCGAGTCGAGCGACCGTCTCCTTCTTGACGACGTGATGACCACTGAAGCTGGGTCGCATCCTTCGCTATCCATTTCACGGCCGAAAACGCCTCTCTCTAAATTTTGTGGCGGCGGGGTGCCACTTTTACGAGCTTCAGCTACTTCTGCTCGTTGCTTTTCTGCCTTCCTCGTGAGGCGTCTTTCTAATCTCTCGCGCTCCTTTTCTTTCTTTCTTTCTCTTCTCCGTTTATCTCGCTCCATCAACTCTCGTAGATCTGCTGCATCCAAATCGTCTGCCAAGTCGTCAATTCTCTTGTGAGCTCTGAGCGTAGCTTCGGGAATTGCGCCTCTATCGGCGAGTTTCCGCTTTGTCGACTGAGATCGGGTCAGTGCGGCGCTAACTGAGGGGCCGTAAACGGGATTTGTAGCACATCGCAGAGTCGGGCGAGGCGCAAGCGCTTCGAAAGTTGAAACTTTCCACGAGAGTTGTTCCGAATCAGACGACATAGCTGAATGGATAGAACCAGGAATGGGTAGGGACATATCAGAAGAGGGTTCGTCCCAACTTCTGTTTAGGCCAGTCCTGATCCGTTTGCTGTCCTTTTTCGACGGACGGCCACCTGTCCAAGCGTCCGCGGTAGGACGCGCTGGCATGAACTGGCTCATCGCCTTTATCTCGGCTTCTCTGACATGATCCTCCTTTCGTCTCTTACTCGACTTCTTTCGAGGTAAAGGTTGCCCTCGTCGCTTGTTTCCAGAATTGTCATGGTGCAAGGTGGGAACTCGAGTTGCGAAGTCCCCGCTGGACCCCGAAGCAATCCTCTGGCTTCCGTGTGCTTCATCATTGACGGGAAGGGGAGGCATTGATGCAACTTTACCCTTCTTGGATTTGGGAACACGGATAGAGTCTCGACGCCCTGGCGAGAAACTGTACGTACGAGGCCGCCGCTGTAATTTATTTGGACCATCTCGCTTTCCCCTAGGAGGCTCAGGGGTATTAATGGGTTCAGTCTGACTTCGCGACGGGGTTTGATATTGACGACCACGACCTGAGGCGTCGGCATCGGAATCGAGGGCTTGCGTTCTCGACCGCTTGCGCGAGCCCTTGCGGCGGAAAGGCCACAAGGCCATATTTCCGGAGTCCGATAGTCGGGCTCTGGTTTTTGGAAATATTGGCGAGGCTATATCGTGGCGCGCGATTGCGGGTTCCTATGGACGATGCTGGGTGACGATCGCTGCGGAATGATTATCGCCATGGGCGCGGATTAACTTGAGCTATGCATATAATCAATTAATTAAAGATCGGGCTGAACGTTTACAGTCGATTCGGATCGTCGAAATATATCGCAGATCAATCTGTATTATCGTATTCGAATTGATAGAATTTCGAAAACGGCTGTCGCACTGCAGCAATCGGTTGAGTCGGCGTTGGCGTTGGCGTTGACTTTTGGTGTTAAAGAACGCTGGATAGGTATATTGGTGTCCCTCTATACTTGAGTCGAACACCAATTAACAACAACCGAAAAAAGGGAGCTGATGTTGATAGCGATGCGTCGACGCGAATTGTTTCAATGCGTTTCCAGCGCAGGTATGTAGATGGAATTTTGTTCGTGTTGGAATGTTGCGGGCTGCGAGTTTTAGATTTGGGACCCAGAGCTGGTGGTTGTGGTTCGAAGGTGGTTCAATCTCCAGTGGGTTGTGGGTGTGGGCAGTGGTGGGTAGTGTAGTGGGAAAGAAATGATAGAGAGGGACTGTGGCGGTCGGCAGTGGGGATTAGAACGTAGAACTCACAACGGGCAGAACGGGGAAAGGAAACCTTGGAAAAAAATAAAAACGGGGGAGGGAGGCGTCGTTGGCGACTACCCTAGATAACTGCTATTTTCAGGCAGTGCCCAGGTGCGAGTGGCAGGGAAAGGGCGATTAAATGGGCATTGCGAAATGAAGTCACACCAAGGGGGGACTTGGGCTGATGTTTAACGGGTTGACGGGTACTGTGGACAATCACTTTTGGTGGGTCCTTAGCTGATGTAGATTTTTCACCATGCTACGTAGCATGTTAGTACTATATACATCGTAAAACCCTAGTCGCAAGCTATTCTGTCACACCTTTACAAGTCTAACAATACTTCCAATTTACTTACAGGAAGTATCTATCCTAGTTGTCTACCTGTACCTACATCATGCATGTAACATCCGAATCGCTACCAACCCGCCCCAAGCAGCCCAAGTTGATCCTATTAGGTACAGTGCTTTCGAAAAAGGAGCGGGTCGATGAGAGAAGAATAATTTAGGTAGATTTGGCGAACTCTCGGGGCACGAAGTTGTCGAATAAGTTTAAAATTTAAGATGGAGAATATTTCCGGTCTCGAGCCCCTCAATTGATTTTCAATATGAGGTTTGAAGTCTGAAATATGTATTCAAGGAGTCAAGATTGACTTACAATAGCATAACAGTAGGGTATGTGCTAAGAATGCAAGGCATTATCAAAAGTCAAGGACTAATCCAATTCACTCTTAGTATGGATCGTAACCAATGAAACAAGTCGTCAGCAACTACGCAGCTACGTAGGGATTGCCTATTACATGCCTACCGTCCTATTACCTACTTCGTACGTCCTCCTTCTACCTCTTTTAGTAACCCCCTTTTAGGAAACACTATGCCTACCTTGTCTTTCGATGTCAACACTAAAATCCTTAAGTCTACTCTTGTATGGCTTCTCTTAATATCATTAGTATGACATCGGAAGATAACATTGGCATAGTGCACGCTAGATAGCAAGGCATGGTATAGCGCAGGTAGTATAGCGGCACTTGAGAGAAAAGCCGGGTCTTTATTACCTAGACAGCTTAGCTCCAACCCGATCAGTCCGGTGATGTCAGGAACAAGGGAGAGCAGCAAGGTACCCATACGACACATGACTACTGCATAACCTCAACCATGAAAAAGATTGCTAGTCTGCTAGTCTGTTAATATGCTAGCGGGTTGTCCGAAACTTGTAAATTCATCCTATGTAATAGTGGATTATTATTAATGTGTAATGTTTCCTTGAGAGTCTATTAAGAGACCCCTTTTTTAATAATATGTCGCTTATCGTGAAGAGGGCAATACCTACACCTGTAGGGCAAGAGGGTTAAGGGCACTAGACTGCTAAGAGTCTCTCCAATGCCCAAGCACAGCGGGAACCCCCAGACGGCGGCACCACTAGCAGATCGTGTGGCGGCACGGTTTGCCGTTTGACCCATGCTACCATGTTGCCATGCCTCTACAGCGTACCAGCCTATGCCAACTTATGATCATTGATCATTGATGGCGGGTAACATCTATGTATACCTCCGTTATGGAGATTACTTCGACAGGCCGCATATGGACAAACCTTTTATTGATCGCTTAATCAAGAAATTCTTGGATCGTCGTGAGATAAACAGTGTTTTGCAGCAACCTTCCCCTTGTTCATTTGATAGAATCATGGAAATCACGTCAAATTGGTTCCATCAGCACACGTGCCCCCTAAATTGTTGAAGAATATAAGGGGCAAATACCGTTCAACAACCTATGCCAAGCCAATGGATTCTGTGCCTGTTACGCCGCTCCCGAATGAACGCTAAACGCCCACTGGCACCGCGTTCGTCCACTGCTAGTGTATGTATCCAGCACCGTACGCTAGGCGGGTTGCTCCGTTAAAAAGAAATAGGTAGGTACATATTATATGGATGTGTTACCGGCGAAAAAATCGGCGGCCGAATGCTCTCAACTTAAAAAAGGCTCGTATTCAAGACCACGCCAAGGACTTCGGTCACGAGGTAACAAGGACTCATGTAACTACAGTACCAAGCAGTTAACTCTCTAGTTCTCGGTGTTTGTACTGCACGAAATAAGCATCCTACCACCATCAGGAGACTCTTGAGCATAGATAACCTAGGAAGTTTAGCAGACCTACATACAATATCGTCATAGAAGTGTGTGTGTAAGTGGTAGAGTTTGTTAACGATGATCATATAGGGTAAAGCTTCGGGTAGGCAGGTTCAGAAATGGTAATGATATGCATTCCGGGCTTTACAGGACCCTCTAGGACGGCCGTAGGGCGGTCAATCTTTCCTCTCTCGTCACCCTTGAAAAGATGCCGAAATTTTCTGGGCTGCTGGGTTAGTTGTCTGGCCGTCTGGTTGTCTTATCCCCCGCCAGCCTGCCAACCTTCCAGCGAGTAAGCAAAAGTTGCAAATGCAAGTCGATATTAGTGATAGTCTGTCCGGCTCTCATTGGGAATCTGGATCTATGCCTCCCGCATGATGCGGGGGTTGTGTGTGGTAACTCAAACATGCTAGTTGCGCCTTCAGAGACTGACACGTAGAAAGTTGTGCGCTTGACACACGCATCTCCCCTGCGCCCGCATGCGAGAGAACGGTTCCTGAGAAGCTTAATGGACGATCGAGCCCAAACTTGCATTAAGATAAGGTCCTGTCTAAGTCTTTATCATGTCTTTCTAGCTAGACGATCAAGCTCAGAATGGTCAGTTTGCTTTTGACCTCGCTTCGAATGAGATATATTCTGATGATTGGATGCTTGGCTTCGATCAGAATTTTGTCGTGGCTTCTCGCTATAGCTTAGCTTGTTACATATCTGCAATGATGCTTGAGAAAAGCTAGACACGGCTTGTTGAACGCGTGCTATCTATCGTATACGACTCTCAATGATTGGGTATGATTGTTTTATAACAGTCATAGCAATCTATAACATAAGATAACTCGCACACGAGAACCTAAATTACCAATTAGAAGATTCAACGTTTGGGGGAGTTGATTGGTCACACAATTACCTGATAGCATTAAGCCTCAGCGAAGAAAAGCACTTACTAGACTGTTGTATCACAGTAAATCCTGATTGTGGCTGTATGTACCTAGGCAGAATAGCGTCAGAATAAATGGGCCATGTGTGAACCACCCGAAATGGTACTGTATTACACTGTGTTTTGATCTATCCCCTATCTTATCTAACTAGGAAATTGTCAGCTTTACCACAGCATTAAAGAGTCTAGGGGATAGTAAACTTACAGTGTATTACAGTAGTATTAATACATGGCTCGCACATGGCTCACTTATTCTGACGCTATTCTGCTAGGTAGGATCTGTATTTAGGTACAGAGCTGAATCTGAAATTCAAGATGAACCAGGTTGGAGCATGTAAAAATAAACGGCTACACTACACTACAGCCTCCCAGTCCAGGTCTTTTGGTTCTGGGCTGGATCTCGTTAACGTGAATTTCAGATCCATGGATATGGTACCTAGTACGCATCTCAAGCCACCCGCACTTTGTATCGTGAACTGATGCACTGGCCATCCATAGGTACCTCCGAGGTTTTAGATGGATTAGTAACACCCGGCGCCACTTACTTATTCGTATCCCTTCCCATTCACATTGCTAAAATTCATATTAATTGCTTCATAATAGGTAAGTGATGCCACATTTTGGAGTATGAAAGATCTTGTATTAAGAAATGTGCTAAGTATATCCAGCCTTGAGTGCCAACCATCTGAAAAGATACTTTAGCACATTTCCATCGCTATGTAATAATTGTCTTGTCCGAGAGTTATGCTACCAATGCAGTTGAAAAGTATGGTATCCTCCAAATGACGTCTATGGCGACGCTTGCTCCAAAGCCCATCCTCCCACCAAGTTGAACATCCCGCCCCTAGTCATAGGCTATAACCAACTAGGTAGTGAGGGCTCTTCAAGCCACTTCTATTCCTCAATAAGCGAGATGTCTTCTCTCGCCAAAACCCCACGTCTTGTCCGTTTACAAAGATAACCACGTTCCGCAGAAGATCAAGAAGATGGAGACCTGAACGATGGGCATAGCAACAGCGTCGACGGCAATGCCGGGAGCATCTGCGATCGGTAGGCCAAGAACAGTGCCGGCGGTAAGGTTGGCGGCAGCTCCGTCCATAGCAATCTGCGAAAGGTTTCCACATTGTTGGTTTAGCTGTACGTCCATCATCATTCCCATCAACTTCGGTGATTCGACATCTAGGATAGCGCGAGCGTCGAAGGTTCCTAGGTTGGAAGAGCGCAAGAAGGCGGCGCGATAGGTTGAGTTCAATCCGACGGTAGAAAGGTTGGCTACTCTCGCATAGTTCTGGCAGATGGGCGAAGCTGCGGCGGCTGCGCTTGGGCTTTGTCGGGGTACTAAAGCATCCAAGACTTCGGCTTGGGCTACTGCGATGTTGCAGATAGACAATAGGAGCACGAGGAACTTGAACGATGTTCGGAACATGGTGGAAGGCATCTTGTCGTTAAGGGGTTTAAGCAAGAGGCAAATTATTACTGATCGTCGGATGCTGTGGCCTGCCACGGAGCACTGTATTATTGTATATGGATACGGATAAAAAACGAACGAAGCGATGTTGAAGCGAAGGTTAATAGGCAGAGAGATCAACTCACGAGAAGAGAATAGAAGAGTGAGATTAGAACCTACATGAGAGGAAGGATCTGAATTAATCCTTTCTAGCGGAGGCAGAGTCGCAGGCGCCTAAGGGTCTACCAGGTTTCGGTCCAGGGTTATCCGACGTCTCAGATCCTCAGCCGGTCGTAAGATCCAGTCATCGTCAGATTCGCTATCATAGCCACATAGAAAACTAGCCACAATACGACGCTGACTTGGTACCTGTCTTCTGGGCACCGTCAACAGTGCCAATCCATCGATGAAGCCTTCATAACATCGTCATCCTGAAGATTATTATATAGATGAATTCAGAGCTGATTTATTTCACAAATACGTTTTGTAATTCGAAATCGGTAGGACCCATAACGGCTCTTCCACGCACAGACTTGAAGCTTGGCTAGCAGGCTAGTTCGACGATAGTGAGACTAATAGGGAATATACACCCCACAGACGGATATAGTAGTAGTATTTCTGCAAAGTCCAGTGTGATAGCCAATAATATGTATGTGATATCGGAGTTGAAGTACGCTGTAGTGATCAATGACAGAGCTGAATTGAGACGACATTGGATCGTCATTCGATAATAAGCTAACCTAGGTGCTCGGGACTGTTCAATATGTACGAATAGTTCTATCAATCGGAGAGTAATATTTATTCTGCTAAATAATGTTAAAATGCGTTTCTTCATACTAGACGATAAATCTCTCCTGTGTCGACATCTTTGCATTTCCCCCCTTTTTCGAGTCACTGAGTTAGGCGATATAAATAGTCCTTGGCATAATAAATCTTAGTCTTCTTAACAGTTACTTACTTATATTGTCAACTTCATTTCATTCTCAAGATCTTCGGTTATTTTAGAAGCAATCCATATAAAATTGGCTGAATTATAATTGATTCTACTCCACGATGGTGTCATAGGTATGGAGTACTCTGTATCAATATTTGTGTGGAGAAGGAATAAGGATAAGCTTCATAGCGGTTTCTAGTGCAAGATCGGACCAATTAACATAGCTGACCTAATCAATTAGTATTAAGTAATCAATTGTTTACTCACCCCCACATAGCAACCATACCAAAACATCCATCTCCCTAAACCTTTTTCGATTGACTATTCCATTCGATAACCTTAAACGTTTACAATCTGGAACGAATTATCGAAATATTTATTCCGCTTCGACATCCTACGCTAGAGTCATAGCAATTAAGTTCATAGGAGACAAGGCGTACGAAAACTCCACAAGAATTTCAAAGAGACGATCGCAAATACTGTACCCAACACCGCGATCATGTCGTACAATCCACGAATGTCGATTATCCCGCCGGCGCAAACCCAATCGCGCACGCGCAAGAAGGAGGAAGAAGCCGATGCATTCATGAGACTACCGGACAAGGAGATCGTCGGATGTATAACAGACATCGGGATCCCATTTAACGTTGCCGACCTGCAGAAGCCGAATCCTCTCCAAGTACAGATGATCTTCGAATGGTTCGCTGAATTGTTGTTGAATGCGACACGCGAGACCGTCGAGCCGGCTATGCGCGCTGCCGCCGAGGATGTCTGTGGAGAGTTCACCGATATCGTGCCCCCCGACACGCGCAACCTACTAGGCTTCTACGTCTCACTACGCAAGCTACTTCTCGAGTGCGGCATCACCGACTTTAGCTTCTCCGACTTGTACAAGCCCACCCACCCGCGCCTCGTCAAGATCTTCAGTTACCTAATCAACTTCGTTCGATTCCGTGAGAGCCAGACAAATGTCATTGATGAGCATTTCAACAAGGCCGAACAGACTAAGGCGCGGATCGAGACGCTGTATGGCGAGAACCAAGATATGGAGGCTAGACTAGACGAGATGCGACATAACCGAAGAGCAATGGAGGCTCAAGTGCGCGAGAAAACAGAGCGAAACGAAGAGCTGAAGAAAACTCTACTAGAATTACGACGGAACCAGGAGAGGGTTGCGGATCGACTAGATGGGGCTAAGCAGAAGAAGGCAGACCTGGCCCAGAGATTAGAGCAAAAAACAGCAGAGAAGATGTTGTTAAAGCAAGAAAGCAACAAACTGCGACCATACACCCTACAAAGTCCCCAAGCACTACAGACAAGTTTGACAGAGCTCAGCAATACTCTCAACGGAGACAAGTCGCACATAGATTCCCTAGATCGACGAGCAAGAGCATTGCAGACCTCAACTGATTCCTTTGGAGTCGTATCGACAGATGTGGCATCATGTATCAAACTCTTAGACGATATCGCGAACGAGTTGACAAAGGAGGAGGAGGAAAATGCTCGAAACGCGAAGCAACGAGACACATTATCAGAGCGTGGCAATAACGTCAGAGAAGTGGAGAGGACAGAAGCGTTGCTACAAAGGCAGTTAAGCAAGTGGAATGAACGCACGGAGAAGCTACGCGATCAGAGTCGAGAAAAAGCCCAAGAAGCGACGAAGAAGATGGAGGAGCTCCGAGCATTGCACAAGAAACTGACGGAAGAGAGAACGGCGAAAGGTAATGAGATCGAAAAAAGGAGAGTTCGGATCGAACAAACTGAGAAGAAGGTAAGCTTATCTCATTTACATTACACATTTACTTTCAGTCCTTAGTACATTGCTAACATAGGAATAGATGTTGGATCTCAAAGAGAACATCGAACGTGAGGTCCATGCGGCATACGATGAGTATCTGAAGATGGAGTCGCACATCAAACTGTACATCACAGAGATGGAACAGGCTATTTGATTACTATCCCTTATCTGTTTGGTGCATATGTGACGAGATCATGATGGGGATACCACGGCAGGCGTTCGGGTGTTGAGGGCCGGTCAAGGCTTAGACAGTCTATATAGGTAGACATGAAGTTCATAATCAACGTTTCGAGTATCCGAAAACACAGACAATTGATAAAATATCCATCAAAATATTTTTCTTTTTCATCCCTTGATATCAGCATCAGGGTGTTCTTTATCTTCAGAGCCCCCCGTATCCCATTCCCCACGCTGGAAATGAAACCATCTTTTCATAACCCTTCCCACCTCCACAGTCCGGCCGGTCCAACCCCCTTCTTCTGAGTCGGGACCCAGCCTCCGACCACCGCCGCTTAGAAAGGGGACAACTTCCTTCAGCATGTCTTGAAACGGCTGTACGGAGTTGTGCTTTCGGGGCTCGATGATGACTGTCTCCCAATCTAATCGATGACCCAGCTCTACTAGCGTGGAAGCGGAATTTCCAAGACCCTGCGCGCTCCATTCGCTAGTGTCGCGATGCATCTCTAGGAACCCATACAATATTATATGTGGCGGGTGTCTCCCCGTAGAGTTGAAATTGGCCGGGGGAACTGGGATTTTGGAATCATCTGGTGAGAAGACGGACAGGTAGGCGCGGAGATGTGTGACAGTAGGGATGTATATCACGCGAATATGTCGTGATGTAGCAACCTGGTAAAGAGGAGATGAGAGAAGTCTCTGCTTTTGTCTGGCCTGCTCCTCATCAACACTGCGAACAGTCGGCGTGACGCCAGGCAGCGGAGTTTCTGCCCCTTGCTCGACAGGAACTGGCTCCTCAGGACCTTGGTATACATCGTCGGCGAGGCTTGCAAGAAATTCCTGCCGAGAAGAACATATTATAAGAGTAGTAGGGTAAACGTGACAATTTAGGATATAAGTGAGAAGTTCGGAGGGCAATGCTGGAGATAAGATGAGGAAAGATGCCGAAGACATGGATATTGTGACTTCATAGTGGCCATCCTATAATCTCAATAGGGAGATGCAAAGATAAGCTATCCAATGTTCTGCATATCTATTTGAACTCAAGGTACCTATTCTTAAAGTGTCGTATCCATACAAAGTTGGATCCGCCGTCCCGGATAGAGTTGATCGAAAAACGGAGGGAGTTGCGATGGTGTATTAAGGTTCCACAAAAAGGCGGGACAACGGACTTAGAAAGGTCCCCCTACCCCCGTCCCCACCAAAAGCTCAGCATTCAACTTTCTTCCACCGACGTCACACGCTCCTAAGAACATCTACAATAACGCGATCGACGTAACAGCTTACGAGCTGTATGCGCGCGCCTATTCATACATCATGGAGTCAATCTCTCGAATATCCAACTTACTAGAGAGTGGTAAGAACGATTACCTCCTAAGAACTACGCGACTCAAGCGGGCTAACATTTATCACCGTAGCTCGGGAGCTCACCCTCGACGCAGCCCAAGCCGCCCGGAGTTCTCGAAGCACCACACGAACATTACCTGTACCGCAACTCAAAAAGCTCCTAGATAGTCGAAATGATCGTGAGGTGCTCGATGGACTTCGGCGCGTCATCTCCGTACGCTTCAGCCCTTCTCTCCTCGACCATTAGAGTGCGCCAGCTGATCGATCCTACTTAACCAGATGATGTACCGCCAGCAGAAAACCCTACCCTTCTTCTCCTCTGTCGTCAAGAATGTAGCATCGCCGAACATAGAAATCAAGAAACTTGTATACATATACCTCATTCACCATGCCGAACAAGAACCAGATATGGCTTTACTATCCATCAATACCATCCAGAAATCCTTGTCAGATTCGAACCCTCAAGTACGAGCCCTCGCCCTACGTACCATGTCCGGTATTCGAGTCCCAGTCATCAGCCAGATCGTCTCGTTAGCTATCAAGAAAGGTGTGGTCGACATGTCTCCCCATGTGCGCAAAGCCGCTGCTCTTGCTATACCGAAATGTTACCGTCTCGAACCGAGTACTCTGCCGCAATTGTTAGAAAACTTGACGACACTCCTCGGTGACAAGCAGTACTTTGTTGCTGGAGCTGCCGTTAGTTCTTTCAACGAGATATGTCCCGATAGAGTGGATTTGATTCACAAGCATTATAGGAGTCTCGTCAACAAGGTCGTCGATATGGATGAATGGAGCCAGCATGCGATGCTAAGGATGATGTCAGTTTACGCACGGAAATGCTTTCCGAGGCGAACTAGAAGTGCAAAAGCAAAGGACAAGTCGGCAGATCTCCAGGACTTCTACGGGGATGCTTCATCGGAATCTATATCGGAAGGGGAGCAAGTGATTGTCCTTGACCCAGATCTTGTCCTATTGCTTAACAAAATCAAGCCACTTCTCCAAAGTAGGAACTCTGGAGTGGTGGTGGCTGTAGCCCGTTGCTATGTGGATATAGGTACAGCCGAATACACAAAAGCTGCCGTTGGACCCTTGGTTGCTCTTTTGCGGGGAGCGCAAGATATTCAACAGGTTGCGCTCTACAACATAGTTTCCGTCTGTCTAGCACACCCAGAGTCTTTCGTTAGACATGCGTCCCATTTTCTTGTCCGCGCTACTGACACAGCCCCGGTGTGGGAATTAAAGCTTGAGGTTCTCACATTAATCTTCCCTCATAGCCCCTTACATACGAAGAGCCTCATACTCAATGAGCTCGAACACTTTTCTCGCGGGACGAATAAAGCTCTTGTTCGCGAGGCCGTACGAGCCATTGGCCGTTGCGCGCAGGGAGACCCAGCAACCGCATCCCGATGCATGCGACTTTTACTCGGACAAATAACAAGTTTAGATGGCACACTAGCTGCCGAGTCTCTAACAGTGATCCGACACCTTATTCAGCAAGACCCTCAAGCGCACGTAGGAACTGTCGTGCGCTTAGCAAAAAACCTAGATTCTGCAACCGATCCACAAGCGCGCGCAACCATCGTCTGGCTCGTAGGCGAATTCGCCGGTCTGAACGGCGAGGACAACATCGCAGCCGACGTGCTACGTATACTCCTAAAAGAATTCGCAGACGAGTCCGAAATCGCCAAGCGGCAGATCGTCTTACTCGCTGCAAAAGTGTACCTGCATCACCTCAACCGAGTTACCGAAGCACAGAAGTCGGAGGAAGAGAGCAAGGAACCTCCTCCTAACTCAGAAGACCACCCCATAGCCCGTCTGTGGAATTACGTCCTGCTACTCGTCCGGTACGACACCTCGTATGACCTCCGCGACCGCACGCGCCTGTACAAAGCCCTGCTCAGCGTGCCCCAGCTCGCGACCCTCATGCTGCTAGCGCCTAAACCGGCGCCGCAGGCCCCGAGCCCGTCGGAGACCCGTAGAGGGTTTGCGTTGGGGTCCTCAGCGCTAGTCCTTGCGGGTGGCGGCGGCGTGCATGGTCTTCGTGGCTACGAGGCCCTGCCCGACTGGGTCGCAGAGGGCCGCGAGCCGGACCCGAAATTAAGAGGTGTGGAGGGCTCTAGAAATGAGTATGCGGATGAGAAGAGGGTCGTGCCTGCTGCGCAGATGCTTGGGGATGCGCGCGGCGGGGTGGTGAGGAGTAATGGGTTATCCTCTGCGGCGGCGGCGGGAGCGGGGATGGGTGCGAAGACTTTGGATGATTGGCTTGCTGAGGATGAAGAGGATGATGGGGAAGATGAGGGTGGGGAGGAGGAGAGTGAGGAGGAAGAAGAAGAAGAAGAAGAAGAAGAGGAAGAAGAGTCGGAGGAGGAAGAATCTGAAGAGGAAGAGGAAGAGAGCGATCAAGAATCGGACGATGCGAAGGCTGAGTTGGAAGGGTTCCTTAATCGTTAGCGTTATACTCTCTTCGCGTCCTATAATCCGAACGCTCTTACGGATTTTTTGGAATTGGGGTGGTGGGATAGAAGCTCTTATGGGTGCATTGGGACTCGCTACATAGATTTGGAGCATCACTGGAGCATTAAACCATGCCCTGTTTATGGATAATGAAGAATCGTTAAAGCATAAGACTTAGTATTGGGATGGAATGTTTTGATGGCTGTTTAAGGTGCATGTTAGATCACTTAAGGGGTCTCGTTTAGAGCAATGGCATCCATATCCACGTCCGTAAGCAAGGGGCCTCAGTTCTATCTAATGCGAAAAAAGCATAAAATCTAGCTATATCTTCCATCCATAAAAACAGATCGCTCCCCTGTAAACCCAAACGACATGAATTGTCTACACCATCGAAGTCCGCGCCTATACGCTCGAGACCTCCTCCGGCACCGTCTTCCGCTCCACCAGCGTCCCCTCGTCACCCGATATCACGGGCTCTTCGGGCTTCTCGGACTTGGCCGTCCTCCTAAAGCGCTGGGCTTCGCGCTCAGCCATGTCGGGGAAGAGGAAACCTGGCGGAAAGGCGGTGAGGAGGATCACGGGGATGACGATACAGCTATAGACATGGTTAGATCGGTTCAGCAATTGTATTCCCCCCTTTCGCGACAAGGGGTACTAAAAAGAGAAAGGGGTTCAAGCGAACTTACAAGCCCTCGAGAACCACAAACGACGGCTCGTCCTGCATGATAGGGTTTCCCCAACCTCCCGCCATCTCCGCGATTCTTCAACCCGTCAGCATGCGCACTCATATCCTCAACAGCAGAGGCAGAGAAACTCACCGGTAAATACACCTCACCAAAATCCCGACATACGCACCCGCAACAGCATACACGAACGCGCGGAACCTCCCATCCCTCCACGTCGCCAGCGCGCGGCGATCCGAGTCCCCCAACACCGCGCTCTCAACACCGTGCATACCCCTCACCCACTTCTTGACGCGTAAATAGTAATCCACAACCATAACCCCGAACCCTCCCAACACAGCGCACTGCAGCGCGATTCCCGCGATAATCACGCGGTCCCCGGAGATCAGCAGCTCGGGACGGGTATACCCCGCGCTAGCGGCGAGACTCCCCCCGATGGCCTGGAGGATGAGACAGGAGACGTCGGCGGGGACGAAGATGAGGGGGTAGAGACGCGGACGCAGACGCGAGAGGGAGGGGGAGAGGGAGAGGGTGATGTGTTTGAGGGTCAGGTAGATCGAGATGCAGATGAGTGTGGGCGCGAGGATGATGGCGCAGATTTGCGTCTGGAAGGCGCTGGAGTTCCAGGGGTTGGTGTGCAGGAGGATGCGGGAGATGTAGCCTGGGGGGGTTGTTAGTAAGGGGGTTGGAGGGATGGGATGGTGTATGGTATGTATGTATGTATGTGTTAAGGGGGATAGTGGTGATGGGCTGAGATGGGAACGTACCTGCGAATTCGAGAATACATCCCGCGGTCAAGGCTAGGGAGTATCCCCAGGTCCGCTTCCAGATACCGGTTGTGGCGAGGCCGATTATACATGCGCCGAAGGCGGCGGCGAGGAAGGCGTTGACGCCGAGGTTGGGATAGTAGCCAAGTACCGTTGCTTCGACGGGGCAGACGGGGCTCACTTCCGTGCAGAGGCGGAAGGAGATGCGTTGCGGCGAACCTGTGCTGTTCGTGCCGTTCGACATCTTGTGGAGCGTTTCTCACAAACTGTTTCTCTCCCTCTTCCTTTTTCGAATCTTGGTGACTGTCTAAACGTATGTGTATCGACTTGAGGAGGTGCTTATCGTAGGTATTTATAAGGACTTCGCGTGAGTAAGCACGGATATTAATATCATAGCAAGAGGAGTAAATAGGTAAAATAGGTAGGACAATAAAAAGAGTATAAATAAGTTGATTTATAAATAAATTTTATCAAAGAGCAGTCATAGCAACGGGTATCATAGGTACTAAGTAGGTATAGACAGATCGAAGAAAAGGAATAGAAGGATGGGAGATCCTAGCAAGCAGAAATCCGGCAGTATGGTAAGTTAATAAGGAAGCGTGGGAGGCTCAAGGATTATGGGATATTTCAGGCGAATCGGTGGCCATCGTGCCACGGATAATCTGATATCTCGGCATCATCGATGGGGGTGCGATCTCGAACCGAGTCACGAATACGGGGATGGCGCAAGGATGCGGTGCGGAAAGAGATCGAATAATGCCCGCGAGTAGGTTACTAAATGCGGTAAAGACGAGAGATGTGTCGCTTAACCGATCTGACAGGCCTTATGTGGGCTTCTAGAACCCCCGGTGCCCAGCTCGGTACGCCAACCGAGCAATCGAATCGAATCTTCCTCCAGCTGCCAAGTCTTGACATTCAAATACCTTGGTTGCATCTATTGGTCTTGGTCTCTTTACTAAAGGATTCGGTTGAAAAGGTTGTACTACCTGCCTACCTAGGCCTGCTGGTCTGAATAATCTCTCCGGTAATTTAAATAAGCGTCTTTAGTTACCTTCAAGGTTGTTGTTATATCGTTGAAAAGGACCTAAAATATGAGATCGATCCGAACCAGAGGCGGATAAGGCCACATCCGGGACGCTACGGCGGCGCCACGCAGATCTTTTGACCCGGAACATGTACCCGTATTGGGTGCTTATTCTCATAATCAACATTTTATGTTTGGTTAAGATGCCTATAATTTATAGGTACTAGGTGATCAGGTAGTCAGGTAGTATTCATCGACAGTTCGGAGAATTGAGGTCTCAGATATCTATAATATCTTTCAATTAAGTATGTATGTCTCATTCCTTACCATCAAGAAATCTATAAATGACGGAAAAGTCTCTACCTTTGCACGACTCTACTTGTTCCGCCGTCTCGTAGACTTCCCTTGCTCGGTCGCCCAATTCTAGCTTTGCGCCAGCTTCGTTAGCAGCCACGATAGCGAGCTTTAAATCTTTCTTCATCAGACTAATGCCGAACCCACCAGAATAGTCACGGCTGGCCGGCGCACCTTCAACTACACCTTTTACCGGATTATTGACCTCGCTAGGCCAGCACTTACCAGTGCTAACATTGATGATATTCGCCAACGTCTTAGGGTCAAGTCCCCATCTAATACCGAGATTCATAGCTTCGGCCGTTGCAATGTTGTTGATCGCCAGCAAATAATTGTTGGCTAGCTTTGCGCTAAGCCCATTGCCCTGAGCGCCGCAATGCAATACTCGTTTTCCCATTCGTAGCAGTAATGGTTCTAGTCTTGGCACTAGAGCATCAGGGGCACCCAGCATAAAGGTTAACGTGCCTGCAGCAGCACCTACAACGCCACCCGACATAGGAGCATCCACAAATTGCCCTTGGTTCGCATCTGCAACCCACCTTGCAACCTCTCGGGATGATGAAGGGTCAATGGTTGAGCAGTCGATATATACCCTTTCTTTCCTGGGTAAATCTGGAGATAGTATCTCTCGGTACACACTCTTCACATGAGATGGTTCAGGTAGCACTGTTATTACAATGTCCTACGAAGAGTCGGTTAGTCTCGAAAATCTAACATTGCTCCGATAAATCAAATAGTGATATGAATAAACTCTTCAGAGGATTGGCTTTAGTGTAGGTTGATAATCACAGGAAGGCCGGCGAACCGACCCCAACTTAGATCATAGATAGAACAGACTCATCATAGAAACACCACGGGATTGAGGTAGAGTGAAGCTTACCGAATTTTTTGCAGCATCGTTTGCACTATGCGAAATTTCAACAGCGGCGCCACCAATTTGAGAAGCTTTCATCTCTTCAGCTAGACGTTTTGTAGCATCATTGTTGATATCGAACAGGCTAACAGAATCATTGGAAGAAAGTTTCGACTGGAGATTTTTGGCCATCTGGTAACCCTAAATTTGCATTCGTTAGCATTTTTGGCTGTCGGGTATTGAGAAAATGAAGCTCGGGACATACCATTTGACCTAACCCGACAAAACCATAACTCTCCAACCGTTTTGGTGTTGTCGAGAAAGCTCGCTGTTGAGCTCTAAAGAGACTCCGTGCAACCAGATGTACTCTCATACTTCTTAATGCCGAATTTCAATTATTCTGAACCTAGAATACATAGGTAAGATCAAATCGAAGCGTCGTTACACGCTGTGAGTCGTTACACATTGGGAGAGAGAAGATCAAAAGTCAGTTGGAGACTTCTCCAAGCTCTCCAAAGCCCTGGAAAGTCGCGGGGTACTGGGATGATCCGAGGGCAGTCATAGCACAGAACCGACCATTGCCGATTCTAAGCTGTGTCTTTGAGCCCCAGAGATCCAGTGACCTTCAATGGATCAAGGGATTTGCAAGCTACCTAGGTACACATTGCGCACACTACACACATTGTGGAATTTGTGGTAGACCATAGTGGTATCTCAATCCATTAGGACTTCGGAAACGTCTCCAAATGCATCTCGACACGGACGTCAAAGAATTGTTTGGTTAAGACAAAATTGCGTTTCTTGTTGAGGGAAAATTTGAAATTTAAATTGGGAAAACGAGAAAAATAAAATGAAATCGGGAAAAAATTTTCGACCCTTGTATTGGGAAATTTAAAGCTTGGGCCACCGGGCTAGAACTGGTGGGACCCCTACCCGTTTGTTATCCGTTCGTTATCCCTTGATGACTCGAGACTGGGGAAGTCACATCCACAGATCCAACTAGAAAGGAGCCGCATCATGTTGGCGCTTGGACTTACGTACATGTGCATGTACTATAACATCAAACGTTACCTAAGTACAAGATATATGGATTTATTCTCATAATGATGGTTTCTGTTCCTGTATGGCGACGAGGGACATTCGGACGGACTTGGGATAGCGCCATAGACACGTAATTTCTTTGTATTCTCATCAAGATAAATATCTACTTACATATCTTCCTTGTTCTACACAGATATTGTAATCCGTAATTTGATATCACCGAGGATTCTCTCAACTTGACAAATCACAAATACAGATTAACGAGTGAATTTTCTCTTTTCATTATGGATTTATCGGGATCTGTAGAGTACGATGAGCCCTCGCTTCTGGGAAGAGGCCACCGAAAGGGGATGGATGTATACATAAGCTATTCCATATAGCTTCGCGAAATCAGAACAGCCGGTTCTGAGCAACTGGGGGTATGTGCAAATATAACAGACGATTGACCGGGCCTCCCCACCAAATTCAAACCCCCTGTGAAGATGCCTGGGTTTATTATGACGAGGGGAACAGAGTGATGATGGAGGCAGGATGGAGACTAGTTGGCTAAACAATCAAGAAGACACTGAGAAGAAAAAGAAACATCGTGATGGTCTAAAATACGCCCATAACGTACGGAATTAAAGCGCTAGAACGAACGGTTAGCTTCCCACAATCACAATGGAAGGAATTCAAAACTCACCCAACCGCAAGGGTTGCACTAAGACCAACCAATGCCCGGTTTCTGACACGTTCCTTTCTCAGCTGTACCTCCGTCTTTTCAGTCTTGGCCTTCTTAGATCGTGGTTCATCCGAAACTTCGACAGGATTTTCTACCTCCTCTTCCTCTTCATCAGCAGCAATATCGTCGACCTTCCGCTTGCCCTTGCTACTCGAGCCAGACGATGCCGCGGTTTCAGCAGCAGCGATTCTCACCATTTCCTTCGCCTCCTCAATCATTCGAGCAGCTTCTTCATGGCTAGGTTCTCCGCTAATAGGGAGTTCTAATTCGACAGCAGTTTGTGTCGTCTCAACGTCACCGTGGAACTCGACTTCCTGGCCAACCTTGATTTGCACCTTAGGCTCTTCCTCAGCTGGTGCAAAGATAACAGCAGGTTCCTTCTCAATGGTCTTGATGGCGACCTCCGAAGTAGCGGCGGTAGACGCAGCATCCTCGTCCGTCTTGGTGCCATTCGTCGCGGGCTCAACTTCTTCCCTCACAGGTGGGATATCTGTAGGGGAGGGTTGAGGTGCTGCAGCTTTAGCAGTTCGTTTCCGTGGAGACGCGATAGCTCGTTTCTTTGCGGGGCTAGCTGAACGGCGGGCTCGCGTGCTGCGGGGGAGCGATGACGGGGTCGGCGGTGCAAGGACTGGCTGTGCAGGCAGTGAAGCCTCGAATTTGGGTGGCGCCGTGATTCTCTTAGGAGGGCTATCTGGAGAGTTTGTGATGGCGATGTCGGCCGGGTCTAAAAGAGCAGAAATCCAAGGAGTGACTCGATACTCGTCGGCGAGAGCCAACGCTTGCTCAGGCGGGATCCAGACATTCCCAGCCGTCTCCTCGTGGCTAGTTGTAGGCAACGACTTGATGAACTTTCGCTCCATCTCCTCTTCGACCGCTTCAGCATAAGGGAAAGTCGCCTTGAACATTCCGGTCGCAGATACGTATCCGTCTTGACTACGACGCATAAGGAAGTACGAGTTCGGAGAAGACTTAAAGATGCCCGAAGTGATGCCCTTCGGCAGAGGAGCTCGCAGGTGCGCATAGTCGAAAACACCTAGGCTTGATGGATCGATATCACCAGCAGTGCCTGCAGCAACCATCTTCGCAGTCAATTGGGTCTGACCCAGACGTCGGCGCGAAACCAGCTCATGATCTAAAATCGTGTCAGCGATGCAAATTAACAATTAGTAGATGTGAGGATTTCAGTACAAGGAGGGATATCATCCGTCATCAGAGGGTTATGTTTGTTGGGAAGATGTCTCGGAGTGGCCATTTTGCGAGGTTTCTAAGACGCGACCGAGAATCAAGGCTTTTTTTGCGCGAAAGATTTCGTATTTGATTTGAATTCGCGACGGGCGATCAGTGCCAAATAAGACCAGAATTAAAAGGAATCAGAAGAACTGGGGCTGGTCGCCGGGTTAGCAGTTGTTTGCCATGGAGTCGCGCGTAAATGCGATGCGATGCGATGTCGCCGGTCGCCGTGGAAGCGCGCGAGCTTACGCCCTCTCGAATAGGCGGGTCGCCAGGATGGATCAGACTCACGTTATGTGGAAATTCGTCAGGAAGAGAATACTATTTTATGTATATAAAAAAGGCTATACACCAAGGTTGACAGTCTTGGGTAATAAGTGAAGATGAAAAGAGAATTCTTTTGATCACAAATAGTACTGAAGGAAAGGGGTCGATGCAGATGTGACACCCGGCGCAAAGAAATCGAGACGATTTTTTGAGGCGAATGTCAAGGAAAGGGACAAGGTCGAGAAGCACTTGAGGGAGGGTAGGCGAAGAGAATTGGGAAGAAAGCTGGGGGGAAGGACCCGTTCGCGTGCTGCTACCTGCTAGTCAAGGTGTCAGCACCAGTCGCGAAATAGAAATTGATGAATTACCTCGAGGGGCTTAGCCTCCCCCGCTTTTACTAATGGTTAATCCAATCGAGGAGAAGGGAAGCTACAGGGGGTATAATCTCCTACTTCGCAGAGAGCGATAAAAGCTCGGACCAGAACCTTTTCAGGAACACACGTGTTGTACTCAGTTCATCGCGACTGCAGCTAACACCAAATAAGAATCGGCGGTTGATGAAGTACTGCGCAGTACAGTTGGACAGTATAATGATACAGTATTAAAGGCTGTCATTCACTGTACTACCTAGGTTATCTTCTGGAATTTAGTTTAAGCATGAGGGCAACTTCGATTCTTCATATTGTAAACTCACTTTTAGCAATCTGGATCAATATGATTCGATCTCATTCTTCGGAATATATCATGTCTTTACTTATAAACAATATCCACCTCAAATTTAAAAGCACCTTGAATTCCAGCTCATATCTACAGAATAGAAAATGGGTATACCGATGAGACCTCAGCTATTATTAATATACATCGCCCCTTTATTTCTTTTGCATCATAAACGGTATTATTAACCACACATTATTTTATGAATTGTATTGGTTATTTAATGTCTGTTTCCATAATATATTTCATCAAGTCAAAATTAGTGAATCTTTTTGTTATCTGCTGCTAAACATACATGGATATGTTAACCCCTATCATACATACATATGTATGAAAACATCAAGGACGTTAAAGCAACACTAAAGGCTGCGGTGTTAACGTTCGGAACAACTAGCACGCCCAACTTTCATCATGCATAACCTTGGAACTCTCTCTTCGTCCCGATTTGCTATCATGTCAGGCAGCATCAAGTATCACCAGCACAAGAGTAAGCACGCATGTACAAGGCAAGCGCGGCTTTAACTTGACAGCATCGAACTTGACACTGCAATTGCAGCACAAATATAGGAAAGAATACTAGGTAGAAAGGCCTGAAGGCCGATCAGACACAATCGGGACGAAACAGAGACCCCTCGAAGCACTGGCGCCCTTCTTCTTAGCCCCGCTGCACCATCGCACCGCTACTAGATACATACATTGCCGCACTTGAACTGCATCTTTTAAGAGGAATAGAGCCACAAAAAAGACCAGAAGTCCCCAATTCTGTGACATCGTATCCATCCCACTTTCTTTGTACACTAGATCGGCGTAGAAGTATTTCTAGGTACTTACCTTCAAAGTACCTTTTTAGTGAGCCCCACTGCCATAATTACACATTTGCCAAGTACTTCACCATCACCGCCAGTCTACCCCTCCTATTGACCTTATTTCACTGAACGACAACACGACAACATCGTCCCTTTATTTACTTCTTTCCAAACAATACCCAGAACCTATATTCACTTTCTCACCGTTCACTTGAATTAACTTTCACCTAGTTTGACTTTTTTGTCATTCGTCATCCGTAAAAATGGCTTCTCATGACGACAACGATCATTTGCCTGAGGAGACTCAAGGCTACAAGCTCTCGCAGCCCAAGCAGAGCTTGGCTGAATACCAGAATATGGGTGCGTATACATAACAACTTTTCTATACTTCTCCACTTCACTTTCATAACCTCAAAATTCAAAAATAAATCATTCTTTTACATTTGTTGGAAATGTCTATGTGGTTCTAGGACGATGGCTTTAAGACTGTGTGTGTTTGGGGGTAGGTGAAGGTTGGAAAGAGTTGGGTAAAAAAGGGGGAACGGAACGAAACGAAACGAAACAATATGAGGGCGACGACAACAGTGAGAATAGTGAAGACAGGTGTTGCAATGTGCATCTACCCCCACTTGCTCCTGCCTGCTACTACCGCAATTCTGGCATCCATACCTACACAGGATGGAGGTTAAAAAAATGCTGTCTAGTGGTACGGTGACTATGGTTGTCTGGGTTGGAACCTGATGACTACTGAGGTCGTGCACGACACCCTTAAAAAAAACCAATTCTTGTCATCGACAATGAGTATTAGGATGACTTTTTCGTCCTACAACTCATCCTGTTATTCTCCCTTCCTCACATCTTCAACAATCCTGAGATGGCCTTTTTTTACGACGCCATCATCGCCATCTTTGCCCGTCTTCATCTTCGACACCTATTATCACATTCCTTAATGCATCACTCTACTCAATTTTTTCACCATGGATGTCCCCAAGCATCGTCTACACCTGTTCCCCAGTGATGGCACAGGACATGGTAGAACTCCTCGTCATATGGTCTCGATGCCACATATGATGCATGCTCGTGTCGACAATACGCCTCCTCGACCAACCCTTCAACGAGTATCAGAGGTCGATCTCAGCACTTTGCAGGAAATTGAAGAAGAACCCCGGGGACCTAGCCTACACCAAGAAATCACACTCGTCAACAGCTTAGAGTATGATTCTGTCCACACCAAAAAATCCTTGAAGGGTTTTCTCAAGCATCATCTTCACATTGGCACCACAAAGCCCAAGCCCAAGCCTGTCACTCGCGAGCCTGTACGCCGCTCTAACAAGAGACCACCTTTACGCATGGAGTTCTTGACCTGGCTCAAGGAGAGAGCATCATCAGCCATTACAAGATGCCCTTCTTCATCTTCATCTGACAGTGGCCTTGATCCTTACATGACATGTATTGGAAATCCGGCACACATGATCAACCCCGAGCTGGAAAATACTGCTATCAACACTTCAGCAAGCCCTTCTCTTTACACTTCCTCCTTTTATTCCACCTCACCCACACAGAATGAACCTAGCATCACAATCCCCAAGGTTAGACTAGATACCTCTAACAAGACTTCCGTTGATACAGATGCGAACGACGAGTCTCTTCAGCGATACAAGCAATCCCTCGGTCTTGGCGGCGGAAAGGACCTCTCTGATCCCAACGACCCCCGGGTCTGTATTATCAATGCACTAACTATGGAATCTCCCGGCCGTTCCCCCGTCACCATCGACCTATCCGCGGCTGGAAGCGAGCAGACCCTCAAGGACCGCCCCTTCAAGATCAAGGAAGGTTGCAAGTTCACCATGGTCGCCAGCTTCAAGGTTCAGCACGAGATCCTTAGCGGCCTTCAGTACGTCCAGGTCGTCAAGCGCAAGGGAATCAAGGTCAGCAAGGACTCTGAGATGTTGGTAAGTAATCATTTCTCCCTTTCTACTTGTATTTCTTTTTTATATAAACTAACTTTTTCTGCAGGGAAGCTATGCTCCGAACACAGACAAGCAGCCGCTGTACAGCAAGCGCTGTAAGTATATGAATAACCCTCCATCCAAACTTGAAATATTTCATCTAACCTTTCCATAGTCCAAGAGGAGGAGGCTCCTTCTGGCATGCTTGCCCGTGGCCACTACAACGCCACATCTAGCTTTGTCGATGATGACAAGAAGACTCATTTGCAATTCGAGTGGAGCTTCGACATTGCCAAGGACTGGTAGACGGCTCGATAAGTCGAGCTCTGCGGAGAAAAGTTTCATTCCAGTTTTACGGTAGAAGTCGAGGGTATACGGATGGATATCCCTCCCCCAAAAATCGGCAGGAGAATTTGGTTTCCGCCCGTTGATTCAGGCGACCAGGGGATAGGATGCTGCGTTGTGCCTATAGGGGGTCGATTCTTGAGTGTAGATAGTTCATTGCCGGAAGTTGACCAGCTCTCTGCTGATCACCTTCTCTGCACTTTCTTATTCTGATTCTTTACGACACTCAGCATAGCACTTTTCCCTCTCCTCGTTTTATTCGACGAAAGGAGGTCTGAATTAAATAGGCATGCAAAAAACAAAACAAAAACACAACTGGGTATTTCGATCCTACTTCTTCTACTTATGCCCTGCTACATTGATTCAGGTATCTTCCTGATATTTCCTTTTAATGTGGTGATGATCCTATGTACTTATGAATCCGAATCCAGCTCGGCTGTCATGCCCTCATAGGAAGTAATCGGGCAGTGCATTACCGTCGGCCGTTTTCTCGGCCCCCTGCTGTATCTCCTTGTGCTGGTCGTTTTCTGGCGCGGCTGCGAACACATTAAAAAATCGCTCTCCTACGTCACTAACTTCTAGCACACTGGCCATGTTACCACATCTGTAGCAATAGTTGGGCGCGCTCCATACCGTACTGAGGTGGTCGTCGTAGAGGACTTGGAAGCCCTCCTGGCAGAGCTGGTGTGCGCGTAGGATATGATTCATCCCGTTGACGGCTAGGAACTTCTTGACTACGCGCGCACCAAAGGTATAGCCTGCGCCTCGAGGCGATAGAGAGAATTCGTCTCTCTCGGGATCTGGATCCGACCAAACTAAATCCGCCATTGGGCCCTCGTGGGGTATCTCCCGGAAGCGGTCGATGATCTTGATCTGGTCTATAGAATGAATCGACGGGGATAGGCCGCCGTGAACGCAGAATATTTGGTCGTTGATGACGACGGAGAGGGTTAAGAAGTCGAACATGTCCGTGAAGTAATGCCAGACGTTAGCGTTGCCATACTTGCGCGAGCATTCCGTGTAGAAACCGTAGGACTGCGTGACACCGCGTGATTCGTGGTTGCCGCGGATTAGATGAACCCTGTTAGGGTATCTAAGTTTAAGGCACACGAGGAGGGAAATAGTCTCCACACTGAACATGCCACGATCCACGTAGTCGCCTGTAATGATCCAGTCAGAAATGATTCCTTCATCATAATATATCGGCTGCGCTTACCAAGAAAGAGGTAATTCGTGTCCGGACACCAACCGCCGATCTTAAATATCTCGATCAAATCGTAGAATTGGCCGTGGATGTCGCCGACCACTGTGACAGGAGCCCGCACGTGGACGACATTACTCTCTCGCATGAGTAGTTCTTTCGTCTTTGCGCATATTGCCTCGATTACCGACTCGGCCAAAAGCTCCTTTTTATACAAACGTGATATGCATTCATCAAGATCGACCGAAGCTATAGGGTGGTTGTTAGTGAGTTTCATCTGAACAAATAACCATCGTCATCTGATATCTAATGCGGAATGTGGGGGTGGACCAACCTGGGAGGCCAGGCATCTTGGCCGGCCAGCGACGATGCGCGAAAAAAATTGTAATAAAAAAAGTATAGGGTTACCCAAGTCGGATTCAAGATGCTGTCTGCGGTAGACTGTGGGGTATCGTTGTCGACTTCTTTCTGCTCCGAGGGAATACAAAGTCGTATGGGGAGCTAGCAGAAACCGCAAACATGTTCGGAAGAGGAAGGATTCTTGTCGCCTCGCATGGGGGGTGTCGGAATAAAGTACGGCGTCGAGACAGGTGGTGGATTAAAGTTGGAGGGTAGGTGACGAATCGAGTGCGAACAAAGTAACGGTTCGTTTTTACCTGCTCGAGACGATGACTTGGTGTAGAAGACGATCCGATGCGCTGGATGTCAGGAACTTTGGGAATTGCTAAGCTAGGTACTTTCTTATCTCTTATCACTTTTGCGCCACAGATGGAAGAGCCGCGCTTGCGCTAGGTTGAGCCGCTAGGCTGCCTTGGGTTAAACTACTCATTATGGCGGTATCATACCTCATATGAATATTGTCTCCATGTTGCAGTAGGAAACTTCAACTAACATGATATTCTTAATTAAATCTAGAAAAAGAGTCATTTAATATAATTTACTGAGCTTGTCGAAATATCTAAATTTCTTCAAGATCTATCTGAAATTAGGAGGGTTTATCCGACGGAAAGCGTTACCTAAATAGTAAGATACACCGTTATGGCACTGGACTCGTTATGCAATATAATTCCTCTCGGGCGGCTACCCGACTTTACCGCGCATGAAAATCATCCGATCAGACTTTTCTACTACTTCAACTTCTTTCTTTTTCAACTTCATCCCATAAGGTGTTCTTCAAAGCCTTGGAGCAGTCGTTCTCGGATTGGCGTATATTATACTGCACCATTTATTTCTTTAGGAACTCACATCGCAGTAACTTGATTTCGGACGGTTCATAGTAGAACAACCGATTTCTTTTTCTTTTCTTCTCGCTTGAAACTTAGATCCAGCTGTTGCTTTCAACATTGCAGAGGCTTTTATTTCATATTTTGTTGACGTTCGAGTACTTACATGTATTCGGCTGCCTTTATCTGACTTCGCAACTAAACATGAGTCGGTAGTTTACCTTACGACATGTTGAAGTGGCAGGAAGGGATGGAATACCCGGAGTTGGTCTGGTCTCCTTTGGCCTAACACTTTCCTTAGATGTCATTGATTTATCTGGATCCGGGTTTTTTTATTCATTATCTCAAACTAGACTTGTCTTTTAGTAGACGTTGTCTTACACATTATATGCTTCAATGTCTGGTTTTTATTATGACTAATATTATCAGAACCTGGTTCCAACATGGAGGTTATACCATAATATCCGTCTCTTAATGTCATCTTACGTCAAGTTCATTTCTTCTTCTCAGAGATCTACTTCTCCAATACTACAGAGTGAAATATATCCATATCATCTCTTGCAATGTCTCGTGTGTGTAGAATTACCTAGAGGTATATATCTTCGTCTATCGTCTATCGTGTTGATTACTGTTTTATATTCGTATTAAGGTTATCTCCAACAAAGTAGTTTGGAGTAACGGACCGAAGTTTAACCGTTGACGCGGTGTTTAATGCGGTACTTCAATCCATGTACCTCCACGCTATTTGAACCTAAAAGATAGTCTCACTCGGAGGTACCTTTTCAATCTGGACTTTTGAATCTCACCCGTGAAACCAAAGCCTTCAATTTCAGCCCATCGCAATTGATAAATCCATGTTGGGAATTTCAAGCACCCATATTGTTAGATCGACCCCAATTGCTCCCAGCTCGCCTTCCCATCACACAGAGAGACCATTCTTGATGAATTCACAGCATTGGATCTCGCGACAACGGAGTGGAGGGATTTGTGTTGTTGGTGGTGGTCATCATTTTGTCGCGGTGAAGAGCTGATCCGGTAAGTCATCGACAAGGTGACTTATACCTACTTCTCTCCATCATTTCATCCTATAGTCTCTTTCCTATGTTCATCGTCTGGTCTGGTCATACTTCTCCTTGGATTTGGAATCAATGAGACGATCAATTGTCAATTCCTCTAACCCCGCGCGTAGGAAGTTGCCCGACAACTTCTTCGTCTCTTTGCGCGCCGCCATCTGTTGCGTTGATAGCTACCCTATCACGACGTCGCGCCTTTCTTCCGGAAAGTCTTTTTATATCGAGTCCACTATACGCGCTATACAAGATTTCATCTGGATGATCATTTCGCGACTACTATAACCTTTGTTCTTTCTGATCGTTGCGCTTAGGTGCTCCGCGCCTCGTCTCGTCAGCACTCATCGTCAGCCCTTCCCCTATCCATACGAAAGGTACACTCCGATTCGCTAGGGGTAGCTTCCGATTTTTCAGTATATTCTTTCTTTTTGAAGATGGCTCAAGTAGCTCCGGGTCTTGGACCGGACCGCAATGACCGTCCTTGTTATAATTGTGGTATAAGAGGCCACATGTTTAATGCATGTCCCGAGGAGCCTCGGAAAGTGCCAGCGTAAGTACTTTAAGCATATTTCTATTTTTATCTTTATAGATCGCCCTATTTGTCTTTGTTTCATCACTTTGAACGGTATTGGCTAAAAAGGGCAACAGTGGGTTGGAGGCTTCCTGGGCGCGACATCAGTCAAGTACCAGCCCTCATAACGACAGCTTCACGCCTAACAAGAGAAGCAAGGGTCCGGTAATTACGCGTTACCCACCTCCACCCCCCGCTGCCTCTCATCACCCGCCCCCTTTACCTCGCTTTGATAATTCACCATCTCAACCTTACCCATCCGGATCAGTTCCAGGCTATCCTCCACCAAATCCGTCATATGATCGGTTTAGACCTCCGGGGCCTCCGGGGCCGCCACCGCCGCTTAGTTCTCAGCCATTAAACCCGCCTGGTTACCACAACCCCTATCCTCCTGCATACGGTCCCCCGGGTTCTATTCATGTACCTTTTGATCACCACCGTGCCCCCCCTCCTGCGCGCCCAAGCCACTATTATCCAAGTGATTATCCTCCAGGTCCTCCCGGTCGACCTGATCCATATCCTCCTCCTAATCATTTCCCTGCAGGCCCACCAGGTCCTCCACCGTATGCCTCACAGCAACAATATCCCTCTGGTCCTCCACCGCCATATCCACCGCCTCCTAGTTTTGGTCGTCCACCACCGCCATTTGGATATCAGGGCCCTCCTCCCGGATATGCTCAAGGTGAATATAGCCAACCACAGCGGGAACCCCCTCCTACGCTCTATCATCATCAGTACTCGCCTCCCGACCATTACGGTCAATCATATGGGGACGAGAGAGACCGTTATCAGCGCGACCGAGACCGAGATCGGCAGCGTCATTACGATGATAGGCGTCCGGCCGAAACTTGGCACGCTCAAGATGGATGGCATAACACTCCGTCATCAAATGATAAACCATATAGGGACGAATATCGCGATGGTTGGCATGGTAAACATCCGCATCGAGATGATCGACCAGCCCGAAGATGGGGGCATGGTAAATCTGGAGATGAGCGACGTCGAGATCACTACGATCGTCCTCATCCATATAAGAACTCGGACAAATCGGATAGGAATCCCCGTCGTAGACAACAGTCTATAAGAACTCCAAGTCAGGCAGCTCCTCGCGAGCGCCGTGAGCGCAGCCCTCTTGACAGAGAAGCATCAATCACTATTAAACCTGACCAAGAGCGCGAGCCTGGCGAGATAGTATCTGAGCCAGCCTCCGCGTCAGAGCACGGTGAACCGGAAAGTACTCTTAACGCAGCCCCGGATAAGGATGAAGAAGATTTGAGCTGGGATGAACGAACCATCTTCCAGGAACCCCTTTCTACTATTAAAGTAGATCCCATCGCAGTACCTCTACCAACCGAATATTCCGAGGATGTCATGATCCCTCCCGCATTTGATGCCAAAGCCTTGAAGTCTCGGTTCATCACGCCACGTAATGTGGATGATTTTGCACAAAGCGTCCGCGAAACTCGGGATTGGCAAGTGATGCAACATCATCCTGCATTTTTAGATCCAGAACAAATATGCCTTGAGAAGCTGATTGATTACTATGAAGCGACCCAAAAAGATACTGTTCGATATAGCCACCGAGACCGTTCTGGAAATTCTAACGGGATTGGCAAACATCGCCACGGTATATCAAAGGGACCGGGGCGGCAGCACGGGAAAAATCAGGACATTCGGAATAAACCGGACCAAAGGAAGCGAAGATGGAATGATTTCCACAGCGAAGCTGACGAATATAGGACGGAGAGGCGCCGTCGCGATTTTCCGCATGATGATACACTTAATAAGAGACTCAAGACTGCATCACCCGAACCTGGTGAGGTTATCGAAGATGACTCTCAAGAACCCCCGTACGAACCTCCCGAAGCACCCACAACGATTACAGACAACCACGAATGGGGTTGGGAGCCAGGGAGCACCAAAGATACTTCGTCGCAAGACCTGAGTGTTAATGGTAGAAGCAATGCATCAAGAAGTCATGAATTGCGAAACCGTGGGGATAATCAGAGAAAGTCTAACAACACACATCTGTCAGTGCCACTAGCGCTTTCGGTAGACAATTTCCCACCATATGATAGACCGTCGAGCGGAAACAGCTCGACCAACTTCCGCAAAAATAGCTCGCATAGTCGACGTTCCTCGATAGGGAGCCAAAATTCCGATTCTGGAGGATCCGATCTCGATTCTATCGACCGCGAATTATTAGGAATAGGCCAGCCTTCGGCTAGTGGTAGTGAGATCGAAGGAGGTTCGCCAAAGCAGCGGCTCAGCGACGTGACGCCAAAACGTAAACCCAGACAGCCTATGTCTGCAGCATACTCGTAAGTTGAATCAGATATCTTATCTCTACAAGTTACATCATTGACTAAGAATTTAGGCGTCGGTGGTAATGAATTGTATATATGATTGTGCGATTTCATGATTATGAAGCTAGATGTCTTCATGTCTATATACTACATCATCCTAGAAGAGGCACGAAACGTCTATCCTGATATCTCTCGGAGACGTTTATACATAAAAACTTTTGGGGCATGGATTGATTTAGTATTTAAATTAGTACGAGCGATAGGAAGCCCCCCGGACGACGGTGTCGGAACTCGTGTTCCTGAGATATTGTTAAGACTACTACGTTTGGGATCACGAAATATGATGAGGGTTTATTTTTATGAAAATGAAAGAAACTCGGGAGGATAATGGCAGCGGGGGTATTTGGTTTCTTTTCTCTATAAGCACCTTGGACAGGCGAGGAGTGTTTGCGGAGAACCAGAGGCGTTCGGTTGCTCGGTGCATCATTTTGGGCGGTATGATTGAGCTGTATCAATATATTGTACAGTTGACGGATGGGAACAATTGTCGTATTTGGCGTTTATAGGAATTTGCACGGCGGACAAAAGCCACGTGATGGATTGATGGCTTCGTAATAGGGATTACAATTGACTTGTCAAGATGGGCAATCATCTCTGCAATTGACCACCGCTTGTGTCAAAGGTCACATGTGCAGTGCTTGTCTTCTTTGTTTCGTCTCACCGACTATGATGGCTCTCTGATTCTTAGTTCCCTCAGAATGGTAAGGGCTGTTCCAGCACCCTTCTGTAGTCCATTGTCTTCCGCAAAAAAACAATCTTCTTTGAACATACAACAATGGCGATGAGGGCGGTCTACATAATATAAGCTATTTTTCCACTATGGAAATTTTGGGGAACACCAACCCAAACTCCTCATCCTCCCTTTTCCTAGTCTACTCAGTGGGAAATATTCATTGTCAACGCTTCTTTGCAGGTGGGAATTTCGAAGCAGGTCTTCGAATTTGCTTCGCTCCCATATAAGATACCTACTCTATCCACATTCCTTCCTCTCTTTGAACCTCATACACATATCCACAGCTCGAAGTATACGCCAAGCAACTATGTGTACCGGAATAGGCTGGGACTACCGTTGTCGCAGCTGCCGCACGGTGATCTCAAAGGACGTCAACGTCTCCGGCCACACATGTCACGAAGCGAAGCGAGCTGGTACGCGGGGCTGTTGCCGCACGGGTATCGAGTTCATGTTCTTCAACAAGGTCATCGATGAGTTGTGTCTGCTCTGCGAGATCAAAGGCGAGGTCGAGAAGGTCGATGCGTTGACCTGCGAAGAGGGTAAAGGCGAGGAGAGGGTTGGATACTGTTTCGCTAGCGACGAAGACGGATACGAGGAGATTCAGGAGTACACTGCGGAACAGTTGAAGGAGTGGGATGAGTGGAAGGAGGAGATCACCAGCGACGAGGAGGACGATGAGGAAGAGTACGAAACCGACTGCTTTAGCGGCACTACGTACAGCGTTACTACTTCGATGAGCGAGCGAGATGAGAAGACCGATATTGACGATGACGACGACGATAATGATGAAGATGGCGGCGCTCGATTGCGTCAGGAGGAAGCTCGAATTAAGGCTGAAGTACGTGTTTTCCTAGTCCGCGTTTACCGCATCCCCCGCTCCCCTTAGCAACCTTATCCCCCTAATTCCATTTGATCTCTAGCTCGAGAACCATCCTGCTTATCTAGGTACTAAGTAAGGTACCTGAGCTTCTTCGATGGTGGTACTAATATGATATTCATAGGCGAAGAAACGACTTCCTCCCTGGGCGCTGGCTGGCTCACACCTTTTGAGAAAAAAGATTTGGGATATCTGGAACAGGTGAGTAACAGACTATACTTATACACGACACCTAGATGTAATAATTAGTGGTTGCGAACAATTCCCTTTCCTATAGCTCTCAGACAGACTGAATATACATGTTTTATTGTTTTACGTTTCGAGATATCGTGAGTTTTATTGTCTATACGTTAACAATTCCTTTCTAGGCCCTTAGGATGCACTTAGGCCAATCGAGACGGACAGACCTGATGGCCTTAATTGACTAAGGGGGGTGAAATATGGATGTCCGCATGTCGGTGTTATAGACCCCTTTTAGGGAGCGGTTGACTGAATAGTATAGAAATACTGAATACTAGTTATAGTATTTACCTTATAAGATAGCCGTTAAGTTCCTATAGCTGAAAGAGAATAGATGATTCTTTGTTTTGGAATTGGAGCTAAAGATACAATTCTCTTCATTATTCACGTTAGATAATCCACATGTTATTTTGCTGTGAATGGTAGTGTATTACAAACACAAATATGGTGAGTTGAAACTGATCCGATTTGTGTTGACTAGTTGAAGGTTCTAAAGCAAGCGTCTCGATGAAAGATGGATTTTGTTAGGAACTGTTAGGCCAGGCCGTATGCGGGGTGGGTGAAAGCTACAGCCAACGGCTTCGCACACCAAAAAAATTGCTAAGTGACGGCACATAGCTGCTGACAAGCGTAACTTGCGGAAATTACTACTAGGCACATTGACGTAAATGGCGCCAATGTTGGCCAGTAAATAGTCTTCCAGTACTACCGACAGCTTGGCTTTGATCGATTGACCCCTGACTAGTCTTATTTAGTTGGTAGGGCGAGTAGCTCTTTGTGTGGATTGGCATTGGTTACAGAGTCTGACTGTTTCCTAGAGCTCCAATTTAGCAATAACCTCCCTCATTTCAGTTGAGCCAAGGGAGATATGATGTAGCTTTGGTTTACCTTTTTGTGAAATAAACATTTGCTCTCCTTACATGTTAGAATGCAAAGATATCCCTAGATGTACTGTCAACCAAAGTAGTGGTTTCTCACAATTTAACAGTTCAGTATCTGCAGAATATGATGTTAGAATAAGAAGAAAGAAAAAACAAGAGTTAGGAGACAGTTGAGTTTCGGCTAGTAACCTTGAACTGGCTACAATGTGACACAGGAGCTCCGATAAGATTAAGCTACCCCGCCTACCCCCCGCTTTATTAAATACACCTGCTGCGTACCTCATAGGGCTGAAGGCAACGAAGCGATGACATAAACGGAGGAGGCAAATCGACATATCAGTGGTTTGATGTCGGCAGTTACTCCCTAGCTCCTTATTTCAACAACTCTACATAGGATCGCTTTAATAAACCTACTACCTACAACATCTCAATCCAAGCTAAACAAAACCTGACCATTTCATCCCGAATATCCTAAATTCATCGAGCATATTGGACGATCTTATCACGACTATGTCGACAAATCCCTTAGGTCCGTCGGCCATCCTTCAGCAGATGGCCGATGCTCTACCCACTCATCCCCAGGGCGACACCACTTCTGATTTGAGCAGCTCCCACGAAGCATTGGCCCTATTCGCCCATGCCTGCATGACATCGCTTGGATTTCGCCTCCTTGGCTTTGACGAAGATAAACTTGATGGTTAGTATTTAATTAACTATGTATTATGCTCTTTAACTAAATATGCTAATGTTCTCTATATAGAGCCGCTATGTCACGAGATAGCTCCACGACTACCCCCAAACTGGAATGCATCCTTCAACACCTACGCATTTGTGTATGCGCATCAGCAATCTGCGCTTCGCTTTGTCATTAGGACTGACCGCATGGGAGGCAAAGCCGAGATTCGCGGTTTGGGCATTAACCATGATCGCATCACACGCGTGGAAGTAACAATTAAAGACTTCGTGTCTAACGCAGCCCTTCCCGTCAGAATCACTATTAATGAGGATGGAGAAGACCGCTCTAACCTACCGCAATCACTGCGGAATGTTTTCATATCCGAGAGCCGTATTGAGGATCTAGCCAAACTCATTAAGATCAACATTGTTCAAAGGCTTTTGCCGTCGCTACAGAAGGAAGGTTACGAAGAATCTCCCGACGACCGAGCTGCGCGCGACGATGCCGACGAAGCCGGTCGGAGACCACCGAGACAACCGGTCATGCCAAATCCACTACCCCAGCCGGCTCAGCCGTACCCATTCAACGACCCACTTAACCCACCTCCACGCAACCCCGTCCCGGCGGGAGATTTCCCTCCTCCGGGCTTCGAAGACCCTTACGATATCAACCGTCCGGCGCGAAATCCATTACAGCCCGGCCGAACTCCGTTTGGAAATCTTGGAGCCGATGATTTGAACCCGCCTGGGCTGGGACCACATGATCCCCTACGTCCCGGATTGGGTATCGGAGGGGGGCTACCGCAACCTGGAGGCCGAGGTATGCACCCGACGTTTGACGATCCTCTTTTTGGAGGCACAGGTGGCGGTGATGGTTTCTACGAGCCCCAAGTGCCACCTGGAGCTCGCTACGATCCTTTAGGACCGGGAGGTGTTCCGAGACTAGGAGGTCGTAGGCCCGGTGGTGGTAACGGACCATTTGGCGGCGGGTTCGGTGGTGGATTCGGCGGATTCGGCGGAGGTGATATCATCTAATAGGTGATTCGATGTGGACATGAGTATCCGTGGAGGGAGATTGTAACACTGGATTATGTATCCTTAACTCCTTACTGTCATTACTAGCACTCTCAACACGGGTATAATTCAAACAAAGGAACCATAACTTACCGACCTAATACTTATGGTATGACTAATATGACAATGTCCATGATATACTACGATAGCAGTAGGCCTGAAATTGATATGAATATATACTAGGTACCTTATTCGCGGGAAGTATTCGATGAGTGTTGTTCTTTAGCTTCGCCTTCTTCCACCCAACATTCGAAGAATAGGGGACCGGCTTCGACAGCTCGAAGAGTAGTCGTCTTAGCTCCTCCAACATCTTGACCAGCCGTTTCTCTGTTCTTGGACTTAGTCTGTAGATTTGATTGTGTAGGTATCCATGGTTGAGGATGCTGATATTAATTAGCCCTTCTATCGCGATGAATCTAATGGCCTTGATGACAACACTCACGCCAATCGGGGCCTCGCCCTCATCACGCAGCTCTACCGCGATGGTGAAGGTGCATCCATTGGGAAGTTGTTTTAACTTTTCAGCGGCGTAGGCTAACTTTCTGACGGTAGCACGTAACTGCTCATCTACATCTGCCCAGTTAACCTTCCCCTCCATAGCATTCTCGATATTGCCCAGTATTTCTTCGTCTAGCTCGTCTTCTTCATCCATCCTTATGTTTTTAGCCTCCGTGAAGCCTTTCCAAGCGGGGAAGCTAGCGACGTCGAACATCCAGCGTTCCATTACTCTTGCCTGTCCGTCATAGATCACGACAGCAATGCGCTCTACAACACCAAGTATGAGCTGGGCCTTTACAGCATCAACAGCATCTCGGATCCAGGAACACACTTTCGGATGCCTGGACTGGTGGACTGGTAGATTATATGCCCGGCTGGTGAGAAACGTCTCTGTTGGATATATGGAGCGATAATAGAGGATATTGTGAATACAGATCGTGAGGAATTGTGTGAACGAAGTTAGAAGCTGGGATGCTTGGCTCAATGGCAGGGATTGTTGATCTTCGAGAAACTGGTCGTCTGGTTGGAGAGACATCGTGGATCTTTTCAAGGTATTTAATTATGCCACGAAAACCCCTACCCTTGGAAATGAGATAGGTGACGCGTTGTGGGGTAGCGATAGAGGTAGAAATTCGTTAAAGAGAATTCGCCGTGATTTTACATTGTATTTAGCAGGTCATAAACCGATCAAGAAGATCTATGTTGTAGTATTGATTCTATCAAGATTAATAAATGGAGAGGTGATAGTGGATTAGTTATAGTGCAGCTTTGTGATTTTCAAGGTTCTGTCAGTACCTACAGATAGGTACCCACGTACCCGCGTTACGCACGCATAGGTACATATGTACCTAGTAGTTCTTAAATGGACATAGTACTTTGTACCTATCTAGGCACCTTTTTAGTGATCGACAACGCCAACAACAAAAACGCGACGCGCTAACTCTAGCGGGGTGAGTACCTTAAACCGTGCAGGTGCCTCGATTATGGGCATGCATAAATTAATTCGACAGTTCGAGTAACAACCCCCACCTCAAACCTTCAAACTTACTTGGATACCCGTGTCCTACCGTCCCACCGTCCCGCCATTGACCGCTTTCAGACACTACACTTTTAATTCAAACACAAACAATTCCTTGACGAGGCGACAATCTCGATCAAGATCTCAATCCTCGCTTTTAGACCCACGAAATTCCTTAAACTTTTGTAGGTAATTTTGGTAACAATCTGACTCGACTGGATCGTGTTACGATTCAGAGACGGACAATGGAGGACCAGCTCGTCCAGGTCCTGGCCAACACCCAGTTGCCCGCCGAGGGTCCACGAAAGCAGGCAGAAATTGACCTCAAGCACGCTGCTAGTAACCCAGCTTACCCTCTTTCCCTCGCTAACATTGCCCGACATTCTTCTATCTCTACCGATGTACGACAATCTGCCTTATCCGCCCTGCGACTTTTCATCGAGAGAAACTGGAGCGGCGAGGGCGATGATTTCCCCGTAATTCCTATCGCGGATTCTGTAAAGGAACAGATCCGACCTATGCTTCTGGACCTGGCCTTGAACTCTGATGACAAGAAGATCAAGACTGCTGCTAGGTATTTTATTTTTTTCTCCCATTACCAATTTTAAAATATCCCGTACACTAGTTTTGTAGACTTAGATCCATACTTACAATTTTATTTAGCTATGCTGTGGGCAAAATTGCCAATGTTGACTTTCCCGACCAATGGACTACACTTCTACCCACCCTCCTCGAAATTATCCCCAATGGCACCGATAGCCAGCTCCACGGAGCCTTGATCGTCCTCCGCGACCTAGTCGACGAGAGTTTGAGCGATGATCAATTCTTCTCCATGGCTCAAGACATCGTGAAGGTCGTCTACGATGTTGCTATCAACGAGGGCCGAAAGCCCGCTCTGCGCGCGCTCGCTGTCTCTGTTTTCCGAGGTTGCTTCGATCTCATGGATACTGTCAAGGAGGAACACCTCAAGGAAGTTCAGAGTTTTGCCGACGAAGCCATGAAGGGTTGGTTCCCCTTCTTCCATCAGAGTATGAAGTTGCAGCTTCCTGGCCTGGATTCCGAGGTATCGGAGCAGCCAGAATCCTGGAATGGCATAATTGCGCTCAAGCTGCAAGTAGTCAAGTGTCTCCTGAAGTTGAAGGTGGTCTTCCCGGGCCTCTTATTACCTGAGTCACCTCAATTCTTCCAAGTGGTCTGGGAGGAGCTGAGACTCCTCGCGCCTTCTCATGAGAAGATGTACATCTTGAATGATTCTCAGGGTAGACTCGAGGACTCTGATGGAATCCCCTACACCCTGGATTTCCTCATTTTGGAGGAATTGGATTTCTTGAATGGATGCATACGAGCGCCGCCGGTACGCAAGGAGCTTGAGGCTCAGTTGGCCGCTCACCCTTCGACGGGTGAAACGCCTTGGGTGATCGATTTGATGATGATAATTTCGTCTTATGCTCGCATCACTCGCGAGGAGCAAGATTTGTGGGACATCGACGTGTCACTCTATCTTGCAGAGGAAGCATCCGTCAGCGCGAATTACACTCCTAGAACTGCATGTGGAGATATCATAATCAAGCTTGGTGAATGGCTTAACGTCCAGATCCTGGGAGGTCTTTATGGGTTTACCAAGGGGGTATTTGCCGATGAAGGAGCATGGAGAAGACAGGAAGCCTGTCTCTTCTTGCTTAACCAGGTTTCGAACGACTTTCTTGATTGCAACAAGGAAGTACCTATTGAAGTCACTCAAGCTTATCTGGAGTTGATCAACTATGCCGTCAACCGACCCGACGAACCACTGTTGCGAGCACGCGGTTATCTTGTTGCTGGCATACTTGCCCAATTTAACGATGCCGCTGCGACCCTTACGGACAGGACGATGGATGCTATTTCGGGAGAAGAATCCGAGCTTGTACAGGTTGCGTGCATAAAGGCAATCGAAGGATTTCTCCGCAATGGAAACGCTGCTGGAAACCAGCAGATCCAGACCAAGGTGGTGAATGCCATTCAGCAATGGATGTCAACCAGAGATATGGCTGATCTCGAGGAAGCGGATGATTTGTTGATCACACTTACCGAAACTCTTAGATCCGCGATCAACATCGACCAACGCGTCGCCGTGGTCAATGACTTTCCCGCTTTGGATTTACTCTTTCTCATAGCAAAGCATGGTTCCACTAACTGGCAGGTATGTATATGTAGCGATTCCAATCCTATTCATAGATCGTCATATTTGTATACCATATCTACATAGTGCTAACCGTGAACCCTGTCTAGGTTACTATGCTGATATGCGAAGAGTTTGAAGACATTGTTAAGTCTCTTCCTGATCCGGTATCATACCAAGCTCTGTGCCAGAAGGTTCTTCCTTCATTGACTGGCGCATTCAACGTTGCCGATATCACTTCGGACAACCCACTGGTTACGGTAAGTCTGGTATGTTCTATATGAAACTCAGAAGCTAGACTAATCGTTTTACAATAGTTTGCCACCGAGTTGATGGCCTCTTTGACTCAATATGCCTCAGAGCCTCTCCCCCCTGGCTTCGTGGCGGCAACGTTGCCTAAGCTAAGCCGTTTACTCATGGAGAGCAACGAAGGGGATATTCTCCGCCCTGGTGCTGAATCAGTCAAGTATCTGTTGGCGCATGATCACGAGCAAGTGCTCAACTACCACGACGAGAACAACAGAACTGGTCTAGAAGTTTGTCTTCACATTATTGACCGTCTACTTGGCCCTTCTATTGAGGACAATGCTGCCTCTGAAGTCGGTGGCCTTGCTGCCGAATTAGTTGAAAAGGCAGGACACGAACGCCTTGGCCCGTTCTTACCACAACTCTTGCAGGCTGTCGCCAATCGATTGGCTACTGCTGAAGCCGCCCCGTTCATCCAATCTCTGATTCTAGTCTTTGCACGACTCTCTTTGGTTGGTGCTCCTGATGTTGTTGAGTTCCTCAGCACGATTCAGATTAATGGCGAGAGTGGCTTGCAAGTTGTCCTAAGCAAGTGGCTCGAAAACTCGGTCAACTTTGCTGGGTACGATGAGATTAGACAAAAGTAAGTACCACCCTGCTGCTAATTAGACAGACTTTACTAATCCGAATAGTGTAATCGCACTTTCGAAGCTATACAGCTTGAATGACGCTCGCGTAATCCAGACATTGGTGCGAGGTGATCTTATTATGCCGACAAGCGACAGAATAGTGACGCGCTCTCGGTCTAAGCAAAGTAAGCCTTTATCCCTTGAATACCTTCTACTCCCAATGACTAATGAAAAAAGCGCCAGCTCCGGACCAATACACCATTGTTGCAGCCCCTCTCAAGATCCTTAAGGTCCTTATTGAGGAACTTCTTTCGGCTTCAGGAGTAGGTGGCGCTGCCAACGCAGCAGCTGCGGCCGCTGCCGAGTTCGCTGACGACAATGACGATGATGGATGGGAGGACGACCCAGATACCATTGATCTCAACCTTGGTAGCGTTAAGAATGACCTGATGGGATTCTTGGAAGCTAGTAACATGCGTACCCGGGATGACGAGACCCAAGCTTATCTAACGGAGTTCTTCCTCCTGGCGGCACGCGAAAACATTGCTGGCTTCCAAGAGTGGTTCAACCAGCTGTCTGAGAACGAGAAATCGAAACTACAGGAGATATCCACGACGCAATAATTGCCCGATTTTACAGCTAGGCAATCGCAAGATACGTGGATCATAGGGCGAGAAACGTGGGAGGTATTGCGAGTGATTTGAGCAACTACGTGGTGGATAGCTAAGATACGCTCACCTCGACGGATGGAGCTCACCAGAGTTCCATTTCAGGAGTTGCGAGGAGTTAATGCCTTGTTAATGGCGAATATCAGTTGGGCAGAGGGTGGGAGGTTATCTGCGATTTGAATCCAGTAACCAAGCATCAAACCATGCCACACCAGTCTATTGGATTGGTCAGTGTAGATATTTGGGGTTGAACGGCCACGTTTGAGATGCCTTGAGTAAAATAAACAAGAAATCCATGTCTTTTTAATGATGACTTATTGATGGCCTTTATGTGACCTCTATGCCCAGTGCCTAGTGAACTTATGTAACATACCCTCGTTGAAGTCTGCTGAGCTAATCGATTATCTAAGTTACACAAGATGACATAACACGTGCTTACGCAATACTTACCTAATAGTAATAATGACATAATATAAGATTACATAAGTTTACGTAACACATTTCGATGACATAATCTATGATTACCTAATTGCTTCGTGCAATATCTTAGGTAGGCGTTTACGATGTAGAGCACAATGAGAGACAAGTATTAAGCAGGAATTACGATCGTCAGCGTAAGGTCTATTCAATTAATGATCATGCCAATGCAGCCAGCCCAGAAAGCCTTACGAGCCCAGCCATGTTCCCCAAGTCTTATACGAGTCGTAGTGTAAAAAAAAAAGAAGAGGAAGAGGAAGAGAGGCTGTCCAAAATAAAACAACATTCAAGCCATGTCGAGGGATTGCTCTCATCTCGTTACAAGTACAACCGTCTGCGCAGTCGTTGTGCTCGACGGAGGTCGTCGTCATCATCGTTGTGGATGTGGTTATGGTTATGGTTATGGTTGTTGTTGTCACTATACAACATGGACAGCAACACCCTCGTCACAAAGTCCGTAAATCTCGTCATGACCCTCCAGAACACCATTCGTCCTAATGAAGTTATTGTTTCCCGATTGTCATCGCCTCTCGTTTTCCTTCTCTTCATTCGTGTGTTCGTCTTCGTCTTCTCGTGGGCGACGTCCTTCTAGGCGTCGCCAGTATTGGTGGCGTTGCTGTTGCTGCTGCTATGGTTGCTGCTCTTTACTAGGGTTCGCAGGCTGGCCATCTCGCGGCGCAGTTTGGCGTTTTCTCTCTTGACGCGTGCGGTCTCCTCGCTGTAGTCGCGCATACGCGTCATGATTTCCTCTTTGTCGTCTCGTCCTTTTCCTTTGAGCGCTTTGACGATCTTGCCGAGCTCGCTATTGAACTTTTCGTAGAGTATCTCGTTCTCGGCCGTAGCTTCTTTGAATAACTGGTCGATCGTCTTGACTTTAGTCTCGGTTGCCTTGAGCGTACCTTCTAGCTCTTTCTGGAGTTGATCGTGGCGCTCATTTAGGTCGGAGATGACCTGTGGTATGCGATCTTCTAGAGCCTTTACGCTGGACGACAGCTTCTTAATATCGACTGTTGCACTACGGGGCAGTGACGAGTTGACCCTGGCCATGTCTGCGGTGATCTTGGAGAGTTCTGACTGTAGATTGGCGTCGACGTCCTCGACGGCTTTTTTCTCGGTCTGTAGGCGCTCGCGGAGCTTCTGTGTCGACTGCAATCGAAGTTTCCCAGGCGACTTAGTTGGACTAGAAGTAGGTCTAGGGTTTGATTCGGTTGCCGTATTTCCAATATCTCTCGATGCCTTTAGAGTCGGAATATTAGAAGTTGATAGCATCTTAGCATGGCTCTTCTTAGGGTCGTTTAATGGTGTAGGAACCTGGAACGCATCGTCGGCATTTTCTTTCTGTCGGGATGAGCGGAGAGTTAGGTTGTTGGAAAGGTTTTGGGAGGCTGGGCTAGTGGGGATCCTAGATGGAGCTGGGACACGCGGACCCGAATTAAATTTCTCGGAAGTCTGCTTCATATGAGACAGAGGCTGTAAAGGCTCATCTTCCAGGCTCGCTGCAGCCATGAGGCTCTTCAAGTCCGACAATGAACTTCGACGTTTCTTCCTCGGAGCCTTAGTAACGGCCTCTTCGATCTCGGGCTCCCCGATTGTTTCGAGCTTATGCGAGCTAGGTGGCCGTGAATAGTTATCGTCGAAAGCACCGGCGATAGGAGGTCTTTCCCGCGACCCGGGCCGTCTTAGTTTGTTCGGACTCGAAGGAACACCAACGTCAACAGATCTCGTTCTGACCACGGTGGATCTCACTGAACCTAGACTCTCGCCGGTAGCTGGGTGTCTGTTATGCTTGCTCAAGCTACGCCATACCGATGATCGACTATCCACTTCATTCTTGCTATTTTGTCTTGATAAGAAGTCGCCGAACCCAAGCTTTCTTCTTAAGGAGGATGTGTTCGATGTCAACGACCCCGAATGCGACTTCGCACTACGAGTAGTTGAATTCATCGATTCGAAGGCAGAAACGATATTGTTCACACCCGCGTTAAACCCGCCTGAACCGTCCTCGAATATGCGGTCGCAGTCCTCTACAAGCCTATCGAGGAGGTTAATATAATTATGTGCGGTCCCATCGTCAACTAAAAGTTCGGAAAATGCTAGAGTAAGTGCTCCCCTGTCACTGTCATTCCCACAGCCATCGAGAAGATCAGCTAGAAGTTTGATGAGAGCAGTGAATGCCCTTCGATTCTGGGGTGCCATATCTGTGAAGAGATAATGGACGAAATCCGCAAAATCCCCAGGTAATTTTTTGGATGCTCTTTCTTGAAGGGCGTCTAGAGCCTTGGATGACATGATAGGCCCAATCTGTTCCTTCCACGCTATGCGCACAAATTTCTCGAAGGCGGCAAAAACGACGTCGGGGGTAAGATCAGCTGATGCCTCGATATCGAACGGGCTTTCGTTGAGTTTGTTGTATAGATCGTTTACAGAAAGTTCGTCAACATTAGATCTGCTGAGTAGGGTACGACCGATGAAGCAACCCTTGCGTGCTTGAAGACTAGCCATATAGCCTGTAAAAGTTTGCTCAAGCCGAACTAATGGGTTTTCCGGTCTATCGTCGTCCATGCCGCCAATTCGAATGCCATCTCTACTTTTAGCTGAGCCATATAGCGAGACTGCATCTCTCGAGCTATTCGAACGACTCAGCTGACCGGGAAGGCCTGGACTTTCTGCTGTCAAGCTACGTTGATGTTTAGAGATACTAGTTAAATCTGAAGTGCTGCCCCCGCCTAGGATACTAGAGAGATACTTGACAGGCGATGAAGCCAAGAATGACTTTGTTTTCTCGGCTCTGTTAGAGACACTTAGGCCTCTAAGTACCTTCGTATGAAACGATACCATTGCAGCGGTAAGCTTCGGATTTCCGACATTGAATTGAGTGCTGAGAAGCTGAATGACTATATTTAAATTAGCAATTTTGCAATAATTATGTCGTGGAAAAGGGACCTACTCCTCCTAGCAAGTGTTGGGAGGAAATCCTCCAACGCAATCTCATCGGCTGCCTTCTTCCCATTGAGCCCTATCGTGATGACGGTCACCTTCTTCATACTTCCAGTTTTTACTTCTGAGCATATCTCTACTCCGTAGTGACCCACGGGTGCGCCTTTCGTACCTCTTTCGTTGTCTATAACGATACGGATAGGGGCCGGTTCCTTTCGGCCTTCGACTAGTTGGTCGAGCCCTTCTTGAAAGACGGCAGCGAATAATCCTAATCCAGTATCAGGCATCCTTGCAGACCTTAAAGTCCAGCAAGGGTCTTCGCGTTCCTTCTCTGCGAACCGGCCCTCAACCCTAGCTTTAACGACGTCCTCGCTCCATTTTCCTGCTTTGCCTTCGTACGATTCCTGTAGTACGAAGCAGCGTGAAGTGGCTGCCGTGTTTGAAACAAAATCGCTTGCATGCGCGCCTTTCATCTCATTTGACGAAGTCATCCAGATCATACGCCCATCGGAAGATTCCGTAAAACGGACATCAGCTAGAGAATGCCAGCCGGCAAATGCAAGATCGTAGGAACCCTGACCACTCGCCATGTTCGTCATCGAGGCTAAAAGGCCTGCAGGAGATGGTTTGTCAATCTCTCGCAACAAATCACGAGCTGTTGGATTTGTGCCGTAGATTTTTCTTACGATCACGATACAGTCTGAAAAAAGGAGGAAAATGCCCGCTTGGTCGTCTGAGACAGGCTCCGCGGGTAGACCAACTTGATATGGGGCAGGTATCTCCGAGAAGTCGGCAGCTACAATTAGACGGCCGTGAGGTTCGAGGTCATCGGGCCAATTCTCAATCATGTGTTTCAGCCGTGTGTTCACATGAGGCTTGTCGGTGAGAGGGTCATCCATAGAGCAGATGTTTGCGATGATGTCCCTGGCTTTTAACATAGGTTGAAGCGCAGGGTGAGTGATGGGTAAACAGCTAACAATCTGATCAATCACCAGGCTGTATCGCGGCAAGCGCTGCACGGGCTCGATGACGGCGGAACGAAGATGTTGCTCTCCAGTGAGGGCTAGTCTTTGCGAAAAGCTAGACTGTTGACTAATGAAGGAGGTTATCAGCTGAGGGAAATTCTGGCTCGCTCGAATGTAGTCCTGATAACAATCGGTGAATTTCGGAAACCACTCCAACATAATCTTTGCCATCGCCAAAGCTCCGCTTGCATCTTTTGTCTTCCCCATCACACTTCCTGATATTCCAACTCTCGAAGACGCGGCACCGGATTCCATATCTCTCAACGCATCACCTTCAGTGTCTTCCATTATTTGTTGCAGTGCATTCATAAAACCTGAGTTTATTTGTAGAATTTCACTCGCCGATCCAGGGAACAGTTTCTCGACGTCCTCCTCCGATGGACTGAAGCTATCGGGTTGGCGGTCCTTCGCCTTTTGTCTATATTCAGGCGCAAGATGATTCACCAATTCGTCTACCTTCACCACGTAGCGTTCCTCTGTCTCCACCAATTCATTCATCGTTCTCCGTAATTCAGCCTTCTGATCCTTGGAAAATGACTTTGTTCTATTTAACGCACTCGGTCTGGAAGGAGCTCGTCGTAGTCTTGCGGTTGGTAGGAATAAAGGTTCGCCAAAGAGCTTGACAAGAGGGGTATACATTCCATATTGCCGCAGTGTTGGATCCAGAATATCATCCTCGTCTTCCGGTACATCTTCAAAGTCGGCAGGTTGCAATGGAATAATTGACCCAGGAGGCAACACAAGGTCGATGTCAATATTACTTATATGTTGCGTCTGAAGGGCGATCTGGAGCCTTTGGATGGTATCGGGTGTATTATCTGCCTTGACCATCGACTTAGCGATATCGGCAGCGTGTTCTTCGCCAAAAAGCGTAGGTGCCGAGCCCGGTCGACGACTTCTCATAGAGGGGTATTGATTTCTAACATGGGTCTTCACATGTTCAGGTAGCTCGCGGAAATACTTGAATAGACCAAAAGCCAACGCTCGATATACCTCGTCACCTTGGAACTCGCGAGGCAGGTAATTAACGACATTGTAGAAGGGCGAGTTCGGAGAGATAGTGAGTCGGGGGAATGATTGGAAACCAGCCGGGGTATATACGTGGACCTGCACTCTCGAACTGTTTAATGTGTAATTCGCAGTGGTGGACGGACCGTGTAGTATTAGCAGAGGAAGGTGGCCGAGCAAAGGGTCGGTAGCTTGATAAAGAGTGAGATGGTCTGGCGATAGAGCCAGCTCCTCGGTGACGCGAACCATGGTCGCCTTAATGGGCCTTTCGTCTCATACTTCGGATTGGGGGAAACGAGTGTGAGGAGAGAGGAGGTCAAGTAGAAGACCCGATGACAAGAGAGATGTCCTAAGACTCGTCAATCTTAGTAAACAAGTTTGTGGTGTTCCTTGTGCGCGTCGAGCGAGACCTGCAGCCGATTGTTTACTTGGCCAAAAAGTATTTGTACCACACTAAATCAGTAAAATACAATACTGCGGCTACGAAGATAGTCCATGCGACCTAAAAGACAAGATATACTAAAAGCGCCAAAGGCTTAATCCCGATTCTCGAGAACTGCATACAAAGAAGAATGAGAAGAAAAAAAGAGGAAGATCTTGAAGTTGTACGAAGAATGCTGTGTATGTATTAAAGTTGTCATTTGCGGTCAATAACAACCTGGAAGGTGACCGAAGTTGACTAGGATTAGGACCGGGGTGGGTAGGGTTATTTTTTTCCATTTTAAAATGGGTCCTTCCGAGTCTGATTCTAAATCGGGGATTTTACATAGTAACACAAACTGCACAACGCGACTTGAAACAAACCGCACCGCGTTTCTTTTACCCCACCTATACATTGGTACGTACCTAACCTGGGTACATGTAGATACATACTCAAGCTAATCGCCTATATTATCTACAGATAAGCGGGGATAATCTATACTCCTCCATAGGAGGTACATACCTATCGTATCTGATTCAACCCTCAATCTCTCACTACCTACCCTATTCTCTAAAGTAGAGTCATTTACCTGCTCAGAAAGTAAATATTAAGTGGTAATGTCTAGTCAACAAGAAACTGGCATTCTACTCAACCACGCCCACAATGGAGTCGGTTATAAATTATTAGAGCTACCGCCCGAGTTGGTTGCACTTTTGGAGTCGGAGAATGCACCCATGTTAGTACCTATATCAAATGCCTGAACCATTCGTCGCTAATGGCATATGACTAATGCAAGCTTCAATCACAGCTTAACTATAGAATCTTCGACGAACTCGGCGATATTAAAGAGCGGTACACAGTCTTGGGGCCTTCGCCAGAAGAATACGTCGAACGCCTTGATCTTGATTCAACCCTCTAACGAAACGAACACGACGTTATCACAAATCCCGGAGATAGGTTTAAAGGCAATCGCAACGGTTCATGATACAATCGAGCTTGCATCGGAACCTACGGGAGAAACGGCTCCTGTCGCGAGAGGTAAATGGCACGAACGGTTTGCTCGCGGGAGATAGATCTGGTCATTTTAAAGAAAAAAATAGACATGAACATGATTGAGCTAAAGGAAGCCTCGCGTACCAAATGAGTTCAATTACACGCGCTAATTGAATGAACAGTAAGGAGTTTTGTTTCGGTAATCTATTTCTATATCCTACTCAGAGTAACTATGTAATAGAAGAAGTCAAAGCCATATCATCTTGATAATGACTGGCGTTAAGAGTTTCACACACCTTGGCTAATGAGTTATTTAATAGATATCATAGCTTAGACTCGAAATGAGAACACATTAATGCAGCTTTCCAGGACAGTTCTCTTTTGTTAGAAGATCCAAACGAACTAGAATATCATTCACAAAACAATACTTCATCTAAAATCATTTTATTCTACATTGACAGTTAAATTTCTATTTAAAAACATTGTAGATTCCTTAGTATACTAGATAGGCCTAGATCGTTCAAGCAGTGGAAGAGTAGGCATCTTGATTCTGGGTAGCACGAAAAATTTCGGGAATTATCATGGATCCTACCTAGTACTTTCACAGCCCTGGAGTTGTACCGAGGCGGCAGCTTTGTAGTATGAGGGCAAGGTCAACTGTTCTTGGGTTGAGATTGCTGGAAAACTGGAAGATCTACAAATCTTGCAGATCAACCCTGCCAGCACGTGCTTAAGTTTCTCCGCTACGCTAATATCAACTAGATCAACTAGGGTTAGCAGGGCTAGGTAGGTCCAGGAACTCGGAAAAAGAAAAAGTACGTACCTTGAATTACAAAAAAAACAGATCCTACATATACATGGATATATTCAACTACCTGCTAATAGTAGGTATCTATTATTGCTTGACAATTACATAAATAGTAAGTAAGTAATTAGTGTGTACACTACTAAGTACCTACAGAAATCAACATCGTGCATGTTTAGGTGTTTAGAAATGTCCGATCGACAGTCACCATTAATGGACTAAGATAGCGATAATTACAAGGGTAGAACTCGGGGTTCCAAGATTGGATTGACCAGAGCGGGATGCAAAAGCAATGTGCTGGGCTGAACTTACAGCCGAATGAATAGGTAGTAAATTAGTACGCGCACTACGCGCACTACACACGGATAATTTATTTGAGCCTCATTCATTCACCTCCTAACGGTCCTTCCCCACGAACCATCTAGGCACTAGCCTAGCTATCATGCGCCTGATGCCTTGGTTTGAAATGCGACTTCCTCTATAGTATCCGCAAGTTTGCGAAGATTACAGGTCCCCTACTAGGTAGTAGGCAGGTGCTATCCTATCACTTGCATCAACCTACTACGTACCTCAGACAGTCAGACTTGATTCTTCGACTACTACCTACCTACATGTGTAGATTCTTCCAAGGTTATCACCGCTTCCTCATTAGCGGGGTTTCATTCTAAGGTCAATCTAATCCATGGATTTAATCCCACACTCACTTGTCCCCTAAATTTGAAGCACACTCCACCTACCTAGTACTGGGTAGACACTGTAAGTAATTGATATTTTCTTACACGACTTCTTCTTTTCTGCATTTGAAATCTTTAACACAGACACACCTAGTGCGCACTTGGTCATTCGTTGAAGTGGTATCTTTCATTTGGCCGCCCTTTTTAATTTTCTTCCTCAGACCACCACACAACATCTTAGGACCTAGGTAAGTACCGAGCGTGAAAGACTACCTAGTAAGTAGCCTCTCAAGTCTTATATGTTTCTACCAACACACACACATAAATACCTAACCAACTTTATCGTGGCAAACGCTAAAGTTAGGTTAAGCCAACATTCGTGCTCGTATTCTAAGTTATCTACTTACCTAGGCACGGCATAAATGCAATCCGTACCTGCCCTATTGCATTTACGAATACCGCACGCATTATTACAATTACATAGGACGACGTCAGTTTCTACTAGGTAGATCATCAGGCACCTGCCGTTCATTTTGACATTATCTAGGTAAGTATGTATTTGCCTACCTAAGATCTTAGGTTCCTATTTCCTTCTTTCCTCCTCTCTCCCGTTTTGATTATAATCGAAATGAATCCTTCTCAACGTTTCCTAAACGTCGCATATCAAGCCGTATTCCTACGTATTAGGACTTCATTACATACGTTCAACTTATCTTTTTTACTCACATAACAATTTTCACTCTTTTTTTTCGCAGCATTCAGACGTTAATTTACACCGGACAGATCCTGTTCTTCAACGAACCACTCCGCCACTTAAGCTCAACCCAAACGTTTTCGTCATTAGTGAAAACAATTTCTAGCCTACTACAATCTAATCCTCTTGAATTAGACCTGTCTACTACAGCCGAAATGGCGCCTCCACAAGATCACGAGGTCATCGTAATAGATGATGATGACGACGATATCAGCAACGGCGATATCGATGGCTCTAGGGGCTTATTTCTGGGACGCGATGGGCTTATCGATCTGGACGACGACATTTTTGCAAGGGGAGTTGTTGATTATTTCGATGGGTTTAATGCTATTGAAAACGGGATGGATCAGCCGCTCGCAAATAACGTTCCTCCGCAAATCAATCCCAGAGATAGCGTCAGGGCTGTTTTCCCGGATATCTGCCCGGACTACCTAGAGAGGCTCACAAATGAATATGGTAACAACTCTGATGTCATTATTGACGCGATACTGGATTCTCAAGAGAAGGGCGAGGAATACCCAAGACAGCCAGTCAATAACCCTCTCAAGCGCAAGAGAGCCCATGGCATTGATGACGATGGAGGCGCGGATATGAACGATATCAAGACCGAAGACGACATTACCAAGGATATTAAGGCCAAGATTTCCCAACCGGGGTACCATCAAGATACCGTGAATTCGTCATATAAAAAGCTGGCTACGAAGCTTTTATCTATCGAGGTACGTGTCTGGGAATAATGAATTCTCATTCTAACACCTTAGATCACTAGCCATTTTGTAGAAGCTAATAGTCGCATAGTATGTCATAATTTGCCGTCTCCTGCTTTATTATTTGGATTTACCTTTTGAGTAAATTCCATCTGCCGTGGGTATCACTCGAATCTTCTCCCCAGTACTAATCTTTTTTCTTTTAGTTTCCCTAAGGTCCACATGTCCCTCATTAGAACTTACCTCACGGAAAATTCTGGCTCTCTTTTCAAAACATATACAGCTATGAAGGACATTGAGAATAGCCGGAAAGACGGCGAAGCGCCTTGGCCTGAAAAGAAGACCCTAACGCCGTGCATCCGCATTTTTGAGAAAGATCACATTGGTCATCTCAATATGAACGAGTATACCGCACCGGAGCAATTGGCGATTGCCGAACTACGTGCTGCGAGAGATCTGGCAGATTTTAAGCAAGGGCAGACCGAACTGAGAATTGAGGAGGAGAATAACTTCAGTCACGCCAAATTGACAGGAAAAACTGAAGAGTGCGGTTGCTGCTTCGAAGAGTGCGCTATTAATCGAAGTATGTAATATGAAGATGCTTATATCCTCTTACCTATACCTGGAACCATACCTCTCGATCAACTCATGACGACATAATTGCTAATTTTCATCGCTATAGTGATCCATTGTGATGGAGAAAATCCACACCGGTTTTGCCGAGACTGTATGAAGTCTCAAGTAGATGCAAACATCGGCCTTTCAAAATACGAGTTGACTTGTATGTCCATGGACGGATGTTCGGCTGGCTTTGAGGGTTCTCAACGAAAACTATTTCTCGACAAAAAAACCCTCATGGCATTGGATAGACTCGAAATTGATGCTTCATTGCGCATGGCGGGCCTCGAAAACCTTGAGACATGTCCTTTCTGCCCTTATGCAGCAGAATATCCGCCTCCTGAAGTCAATAAAGAATTCCGCTGCGATAACCCGGAATGTGAGAAGATTAGCTGCCGGCTCTGCCGGAAAGAGAGCCATATACCGAGGACGTGCGAAGAGAATGCTGCTGATCACGGCCTCTCGGCTCGGCACGTCCTCGAGGAGGCGATGAGTGAAGCGCTGATCCGAAAGTGCAATAATTGTAAGCTATCCCCGACACCTAGCTCTCCCTGTGGTGTATCTGACCCCTTGGCTAGGCCAACATCCATATGTGAAGCTTGAAGGATGTAACAAGATCACATGTACGCGATGCCGTACATTGCAGTGTTACGTTTGTCGAAAGACCATTATTGGTTATAACCATTTCAACGACCCTTCACGAGGCGGCCACCAAGGCCAGTGTCCTCTTTACGATAAGACGGAACAACGTCACGAGGAGGAAATCAGACAGGCTGAAGAAACTACCCGAAAGAAGGTAGAGATGGAACACCCGGGATTGGTAAGTCGAATATACTACTCTAGAGCCCATATATAATATACTGATGCGTACAGACTGCCGATGCTTTAAGTATTAAAGTGTCCGATGAAGTTAAGAAAGACGAAGAACGACGACTTCTAAGACCTCATGAGCAACGAAGGCTTGATAGGCAAAGAGCCATGTTTAATCCCTGGGAAATCAATGCACGCCTTCCACAAGCTGGAATGGCTATTCCTCCTCCTATAGGGCGTCCTGAAGGCAATGGTCCAGACTTAATGCGTGCTAGGATCGCCCTCGCAGAGAGGCATGCTCAAGTTAGGGCACATTTGGAAGAGAGACGTGCTCGGGCTGCACGTGAGAGAGGATGGAACTTAGAACCTCCACGTTTGCCTCATCCTGTAGCCCCCCGCGTCGCTGACGCTGGTGAAGGTGCTCCAGTTAGACCTATCATAGGAGGAGGAAACCCGCCTATACCGGGAGCTCTACTCTTTCACGCTCTTAACACTCGTGAAGGCGGTCTAGCCGCACCCGCGCGACCGCTTAGAACAGCCGACCGTTTCCCTCATATGAAACTTCGAAAAATTGGTTGAGACGACCGCTTTTGTCGTTTAAATAACGAATGAATAAATCCAGTACTATGGGTTTAAAGGAGAATGGACAAGTTGCAGGGTCAGGCTGTGGTCAGCATGGATTATTAAGACAGCCTCTCAATTCTCTGGACCGGTACATACGGAGTTCTAGTTCTTTAAGAACATATACCTGAAAGGCCTTTTGAAATCTCTAAAATTAGTGATGGGGGACCAATTCTGGGCTTTCTTCTAACCAACGGAGTTGGTGTTTCACTCGTCCTCAGATACCCATATTAATAAGAGGATAGAATCGTTTGTGCATCGAGAGGATTTTACGATATCAGAATTCATAAGGCGCAAGGAGTCCCGGCTGCTCCGATGAATCGCTTTTGCCTATAGCTTAGATAGGAGATCTGACTTTTTGCTTGCTAATAACATTCGCGTTTCTTTCCGATGCTCTGCAAAGTAATTACCTTGATTTGACGAACTTTTATGTGTGTTATCTAATGGTATAGAATCATAGTATAGAGGAAGGGAGGCTGGTGGCTGAGACAAGAGGGGTAGGGCTAACGCACATAAATTATATTCACGTAAAATTATAGCAATGGGATATTCAAGTGATTACAATATACCTCCATGCAGCTCTCCCGTCATGAGCGCTTCATAAACATTTCATCAACAACCTTGGAATTTATCACACCATAAATGCGTGCAACCATGATAGTAATGCCATTCCCTTTAGAAAGCGATGCTACAGCGCTATGATCTTTCCGTCTTCAGCCAGAAGCCCGTATAAAGCCAGTCTAGATGCCCCAGACATACCGTCAGCCATGAGGGGACGATATAATCCCCCATCCATCTTAAGCAAATATCGCTGTATGTTTTCCCTTTCTACCTGCACTCCCGCCTACTTCTACATTCTTGACCTCCTTTTCCCTCAATGCTCCAGATCTAACACCAGCAGTATTTCTCATTCGCAACCCACTCGATCTCGCTGATTTTTTCGTCCCCGTACCACATCATGCTGGGTATACTGTCGACATCCCTTTCTACGGGCCGGTGCTGCACCCCGCTGCGCTCGATCAACGTCTTTACTAGAGGCGAGGGATTCCACAGGTCGACTTTGCCTAAGTTCCAGATGGCGGCCTCGTGGAGGGCCGTCCGCAACACAGCCGTGAAACCCTCGACTACGTCCTCGCTCGGTTTCTCTCCCTCGGAAGCCTCCGACTCGATGACCAGCCGAAGAATATACAAAGTGTTCTTCTCTACGTTATCGGTAGGTTTACCACTGCCACCGTAGTAGTTACGGGACCAGACCGCCCACACGCGACGTCCCTCCTGGGTCCCGGCGATCACACCCTTGATCGAGGACGGCACGCTGGTGGGCCCAGGAGATGATTTGAACAGAATGGATGCGATGAAGTCGTCCCTATACAGATGCCACCGCATAGTATCGTGATCAGGTGCGAAAGCCACGCACGTCCGGTTGGTCTCCCGTGCCTTGCGCAGCACTTGTTCGCGCACGAGCTTCTCGTCCGTCTCGCAGAGTTGGCCTAGGTTCTCGTACGTGATGGGCGAAACCTTTCCCTTCCCCTTTCCTATTTCTACACTCCCTTGAGTCTGGTTGGCGGGTACGGGGAACTCGATATGCAGACTGGGGAAAACGGCCCATCCTTTCTTGGCATAGTACGTCTTTCCGATATCCGACCAGAGAGCGGAACATACAACGTCTGCGCTGCCTTTCTTTTCGCACTGCCATGTCCGGAGAGCGGTTCCCAATTCGTTCAGCATACGTCCCGCGTATCGATTCCCTCGGTGCTCCGGATATGTGAAAACGGACCCGACGCCGTGTCCAACGCCATCGCGTACTGCCGTATCGCCGGGAGAGGCGACTAGTATACGCTTGCTTATGGACTCGCAGGAAGCAAGAATTGGTCGATTCTCTCCACTTTCCGCTGGCCAAGATGAGTCTGTGAGGACCCAATGGGTCATACCGCCATCACGAGTTAACGGAATAGTCGTTAGGTACGGCTCTCGCTTGAGGTAATCTTCTAGACTCAAGGCGCCACCCCATTCTCTGTGGTTGAGAGTCCAAGTCCGGCGCTTCTCATCCTCGGTTGGGTGGGTGAGAACGAGCGAAGGAGCTGTGGCGTCGGGTAGCGTGTAAGGATCTTCCTGAATATTTGAACCCATGTTTACGATTGTCCTGTATTTGTACCGGTAGAAAATAAGACAGAAGCGATCGACTTATCACAGAGTTTTTGATCTTCTAATTGCCCTTCCTGACACGACCCGGTGCTGGCAACGGAAACATAGGTCGACAACAAATCCGATATAAGCTGGCCAGTTTGATTTTCTGCGAGGCTTAGCAATACTAGACCAGCGCAAGCAGAAAGTGAAAGAAAGTTTGATGTCTCAGAGACATGCCAATGTCGGACGACCAAACTGGAACAAAGAGATATATGTATAAGAGAGAGCAAACAGATCGCGGCAAGCATCAGAAATGATAACCACGTCAGCGATCGCTTTGACGTATTAACCTTGCAATCAAGGACACCAATATGAAACCCGGTGACCAGTTGATATGCATGTATCCCCGCGAAGAGAGGATAGTACGTTACCCTGCTCCACGGGGTTTATCAGGAAAGGGGGGGCGAAAGGACCTAGTACCACATAGGTCAAGTTCGATCAACTTTATGTAAGAGAATATAGGCGGACCACAGAGCCGGTTGGTTACCGGCTTGGTCTCACCTGCTTGAGCCGCTTCGGCTCTCCTTATCTTGGTCCGGTGTTCGTAGAACCACTTAGTCAGAGAAACACACCGACCGGGCTAGGCATTACTAGGTAGTGGAGTATTGACCTTTTCTGATAGCCTGATGGATGTATATTCAGGTATTGTATAGGTAGATACCGACTAGACAATGAGATAGGGAATACATACCTATATGAGGATGATTTACATGTAGATAACAAGTAAAAGTTATAGAATTAAGTTGAAGAATTTACAAGGTTCCAAGGTTGCAACAAAGACGGCTGTAAGGCATGTAATAGGTTAATAGGTCGGTAAGTTCCAGCTAGGCTAGGGCTGGTTGGGGCTGGTATTGAATAGACCCACAATACAGATCTACATGCCGACGGAACCCGCCTTAGAACCCGCCTCAAATACAACTACACGACTTCTGCTGACCAAAGCTGGAAGGTCACCGATATCATCTCACCGCACGTACTGGGTTGGCCCTGGACGCTAATGCCAGCATGTGGGATGGTCACTTCGGAACCGGAATTTTGATCGTTGAATTAGACTTGTGTCTTAATTGGTCTTCGTATTAGGAATTCCTCGCCCCGACCATCGACCGACTATCGGATTTTCCTTTTATTCTCTATCAGTGACCGTGGCCATCGTCGGGCTCTCCCCTTTCTTCCGGATCCAACTTAATCAGGGTATCGATTCGCATTATGCTGATACACGCCTCCACCGCACTCTTCAGTTGCCGAACCTTACTCACGCTGGGCTCTAGCACACCGGCCTTGACCTCGTCCACCACCTTTCCCTTCATCAGATCTAAACCGTAGTTCTTGTAGTTCTTCTTTTTCGCAACCGTCTTCTCATCCTCGTTAGCCTCTCCTTCCTGTGTTCTTTGCGATAGAGCGTGTCGAGATCGTAATTGAGCTACCAACTCGCTGGCGTCCTTGGCAGCATTGACAGCCAACGTCTTGGGGATGACAAGAAGCGACTGCGCGAATTCCGCAATTGCTAGCTGCTCTCGAGAGCCGACAGTGCCGGCGAATTCCTCTAGGTAGATATGTAATGCCGTCTCCACTGCACCACCGCCAGGTACGATGCTACCACTCTCCAAAGTTCGCTTAACCGCACATAGCGAGTCATGAACGGACCGCTCCATTTCGTCCAGTTGGAAGTCATTCGGTCCTCGGAGGAGAATAGAAGCAGATGAGTGCGACTTAGTTCCCTTGACTAAGATGCATTCGTCATCCGAGATTCGTTCCTGGACAACTTCTTCGGCCTGGCCTAGGTATGAAGGCTCGAAACGCTCGTCACCGTTGAGGTCGGAGAGTGTGCTCAACAAAGTCGCGCCGGTGGCTTTCGCAATTCGTCGTAGATCTTCCTTCTTGCATCGTCTCACGGCCATAGCACCACGTTCGATGAAGAGCTTCAGGCACATGTCGTCGATACCCTTGGTTGTTAGAATGACATTTGCTCCAGCCTTGAGTATCATCTCTACTCTCTCGATGACCATTCCTGATTCTCGTGCGCGGATCTGCTCAAGCTGTTGAGGGTCGTCGACTGTGATCTGTACACCTAGCTTCATCCTTTCTTTTTGCAGATTCATGTCAAGTACCGCAATTTTAGCATCCTGTATCCGTGTGTTCATTGCCTGAGATGCAACGGTGCAGTTCAAGGCATAACCCTTTACCAAAACCGATTCTAGGGCGCCTTTTCCGTGTGCTTTCAGGATGTTGACAGCCTTGACGGGGTATTTAACTTCGCTACGGTTATTTGTCGACTTAACCGCTTGCATAGCATCAACCACCATATTGGCAAAGAAGTCGGAATCGGAGCCAATAATTTTGCTGGACATAGATGTCTTAGCAATGCTGAGCAACGACTCACGGCCAAGGTTTTCGACCTTAGTGCTAACATTCTCGTTCATGTACTTGATAGCTTCTCTTAATGCGAGTCTGTAACCTGTGATGATAGTAGTTGGGTGTATTCGGTTCTTCATAAGCTCGTTTGCTCGTCGTAGAAGCTCGGCAGCAATCAGGACAACCGAGGTGGTACCATCACCGACTTCCTTATCTTGCTGGTGCGCTAGGTCGACAAGGATCTTTCCGGCAGGGTGTTCGACATCTAGTAGGCTAAGAATCGTGGCACCGTCGTTTGTTACTGTGACATCCTACAATAGGTTAGCTACATGAATGAACCATTCATAGAAGTACAGAGAAGGTTCACTTACTCCAATATCATCTACCATCATCTTATCTAGACCACTTGGGCCGAAGGAGCTCTTTACGACATTCGCAATAGCTTGGGTAGCGAGAACTTTACAAAAGATTAGCTGTATATCATAATTTTAAGGAATAGAGAGCTACTTGCCATTTTGATCCCTGATATCTGATCCAGATATCTTCTGGCCACCAAGGAACAAAGTCCCATTTCCGGACTGCTCAAAAATAGAAGTCATCTTTGACGAGCCTCCTTATTCTTTAAAATAGATAGATGTCTTCTGTTTTGCGTAGTCGAGAAAGAGGGGAAGCCTGTTTAAGTCGGAGCTACCAGGCTGCTGCTTCGATATTTTGTTTAGGTGAAGCTTCTAAGCGGTTCCCACCGTAACTTTTTTGCGGAAGCAATGGTTATTCCCGAACCGGTAGAGGGGTTGGAGTGTATGTGCACAGACCCATTTTAACGTTATCAGCCAGCCAGCCCCTCTTATCAAAGATTTGGACCCCTCGACTTCATCCTTGAACCCCACCATCCTACCATTGGAAGATTGGGCAATCGCGGGGCAGTTATTGAAATTTCCCAGGCCGCGTTATTGCTACCAAATACGGTTGTGTACCTTCCTCCTTATTTGTTCCCCAAGCGGCACTTTCATCGGAGTGACTCAGATTTATTCAGGCATTACTACATTCATTTAAGTTTGTGGTAACAGCTCCCCTTGTTTTCAACTTTATTCTCTCTCAAATCAAAATATTCCTTCCAATTCAATTCTCAGAAAATCACGAGACAATCATGGAGGAGAACAAGCCAGTTGAGCAGTCGAAGAGTGCGTTGAAGAAGGCTGAAAAAGAGGCCAAGAAAGCTGCCGAGAAAGCTGCAAAGGCGGCAAAGCAAGCTTCTCTCCCTGTTGTTGGCGGAAAAAAGGTGGACGATATCATTGGAATCACCTCTTCGAAAGCCGACAACTTTGCACAATGGTACCAAGAGGTCGTGCTCAAGGCCGAAATGGTCGAGTACTACACCGAAATTTCGGGATTTTACATCATGCGCCCTGCAACCATGCATATCTGGAACGTCATTCGAAAATGGTTCACTGAGCGTATTGAGGCTATGGGCGTTGACGAAACTAACTTTCCTATGTTCTTGTCTCAAAAGTCCCTAGAAAAGGAGAAAGACCACGTCGAAGGCTTTGCTCCTGAACTCGCATGGGTGACGAAGGCGTTAGTTATACCATTCCCCTTTCCTTATCTACCTCAATTATATGCCCCTCTATCGGATGGTAACTAATATTAATTTCTCTAATAGTGGTGACAAGAACCTCGAGGTTCCAGTCGCCGTTCGTCCCACATCCGAAGCCGTCATGTACCCGTATTACTCAAAGTGGATTCGCAGCCACAGAGATCTCCCCTTCAGATTGAACCAATGGAACTCAGTCGTTCGATGGGAAGCAAAGCAAACCACTCCATTCCTGAGAGCAAGAGAATTCTTGTGGCAAGAAGGTCACACCGCACATCTAACTGAAGAGCTTGCCGGAGAAGAGGTCCTACAAATTCTTGAACTTTACGCTGGTGTTTACGAGCAACTCTTGGCAGTTCCTGTTGTACGAGGCACTAAGACCGAAAATGAGAAGTTCGCTGGTGGATATTACACCACTACAGTCGAGGGCTACATTCCTTCTAACGGACGAGGCATCCAAGGTGCTACTTCACATTGCTTGGGCCAAAACTTCAGCCGAATGTTCGATATCACAGTGGAAGACCCGAACGAGAAGGGAAAGCACATCAATGTTTGGCAGAATTCCTGGGGTCTGTCAACTCGTGTTATTGGTGTGATGGTTATGATTCATGGTGACGACAAGGGATTAGTCCTTCCCCCGAGGATTGCCAAAATCCAGACGATCTTGATCCCCGTTGGTATCACCAAGAGCACTACTCCTGAAGACAAGACAAAGCATTACGAGAAACTCGAAGATATCAAACAGACCTTGAAGAAGGCAGGTGTGCGTGTCGAGGATGACTTAAGAGATGGCTATACCCCGGCCTGGAAGTTTAACGACTGGGAATTGAAGGGCGTCCCATTGCGTCTAGAGTTTGGACCGAAGGACGCCGCCAAGGAAGTCGTCAGCTTCGCACGCCGAGATAATGGTGAGAAGGGCACCATTCCTCTAGCAGAACTAAGTACGAAGGTCCCCGAACTCCTCGAGACTATCCAGGCCGATATGTACAGCAAGGCAGAGAAGGCCTACAGAGAGCATCGTGTTATCGTGAAGAAGTGGGATGATGTAGTCCCTGCCTTAGATGCCAAGAATGTCGTTATTATCCCCTTCTGTCTCGACGGCAAGTGCGAGGAACAGATTAAGGAGTTGACAACGGGACGCACGGACGAGGACCCTAATACCCCAGAGGCTCAAAGAGCCCCATCGATGGGCATGAAGAGTTTATGTATTCCCTTCGAGCAGCCGGAAGGCTTGGTCAAGGGTGAGACCAAATGCCTGAACCCGGAATGCAAACGACTCGCTGAGAAATTCGTCATGTTCGGACGAAGCTACTGAGTCACCAATTGCTATAGATCGCAAGGGTACCCCTTCTCGTTTGTAGCTATGAAGATCTTCGTTGGAGTCGGTCAGGCGGGCGTCTAAGATATCAAAGGCGAGAGCGGCACAGCACTCTCCAGTTGCAGATTATAGTGGATCTGCTTTCGGAATAATGAAAAGCTACTGATGTATAACTGGCTGCTTGACACCACTTCCCACACGTAAGAAAATAATTGTGCCCTGAAAAAACTAATAACTAAGGAGCCGTAAGGCTGAAGCGCACATAAAGCTAACTTAAGCATTTATCTTCCGAAGCTATACGGATTATTTCCGCCATTGGGTCTCACTAATCAGAATGTCACCCCCTTATTATCACATAAGATCAAGCTTTAGCTATAGTACTCAAGGTTGGTGGGTTGTGATTCCAGAAATTCTCTGCAGGTAATTATCGATTCGTCTTGCTCCGAATTTGTCTCGGAGAGATCCCATGATGAGTCGTAAAAGAACCGTACCTCCGGGAGGCTTCGGTTCTGCAACTATCTGGTGACTTACTTAATTTGAGCTGAGTAATCCCAAAATGTTCTCAAAAGAGACTTCGTTCAGGCTCTAGCTAAAGGTTAATTGGTCGTCCCCCGCGAATGCTGTATCCAGTAGTACATGTCAGAGGAATTAATCAAAACCAACACATGTAGGTCAAGTAGCATCACATACGCAATCTAGTGGCACGGCCGGCATCTTCGGCCTCATGTAAGGTGATACCAGCAATAGAGAATATCATCTTTCTAATGCGTTATATCTAGATATGGTGGAAATTGGAATACAGTCTCCGTCGTGAGTGATAGGCGGAAATTTATAGCAATGGCTGCAGAAGCCAAGACTAAAATAACCCACGAGTGTGATATGGTTGCTTATACCCCCCTTTCAGATCGGCGTTAATGGACCTAGGGAAAATATAAGGCCACCATGCTCGATTTTACATGGTAGGTAGTAGTATGCGAAAGAGGGGAAGGGCGTAGGAAACATACAAACGAGACAGCTGTTCATCAGGCGTGATAATTTGGTTATCAGGTGAGCAAGGCTGGAGCCTTCCGGTCTTCATTTATTATATAAGAAGCTTCAAGGTCCCTCGAACTTGCTCATGACAGCTCATCTAGTAAACCATCAGCCCAGCGGTAGTACTACGCAGTTTACCCTCTCTCTGATACCTTCAAGACTGACACTCTCGAGTTCCTAGAACAACCCAAGTCACAACTGTTGTTTAACCTATATACACGATCAACTCGTCCACTTCAACAAGATGCCTGGAGATGACTTCAGCGATCTCGCCGGGAAAGTTGCTATCGTCACGGGAAGTGGTCGGCCCAACGGAATCGGAGCCGCAATCGCCAGAACACTAGCACGCAATGGTGTTTCTGTGACCATCAACTACGTCTCCGAGAGATCTGCTAAGCCGGCGGAAGACTTAGCCCAGTCGATCCGGGACGAGTACAAGGTCGGCGTAGCTGTAGTCCATCAGGATGTGTCGAGTCCGGAAGGCGCTCAACGAATTGTTGCGGAGACGATGAAGCAGCTAGGGGTGGACCATATTGACATTCTCGGTATGTAGGAGTCGCTGAGCTTCCCTGAGGCATATAATTGTTGGAATTTTTATTTAACAAGGGGCTCTCTTTAGTCAATAACGCAGGACTCACACGTCCTGGTCCACTCCTGGAGGCCACAGTCGCAGATATTGAGAAGCAATTCTCTGTCTTGGTGTACGGCCCGCTGTACTTAACCCAGGCGGTGGTTGGCCTGGGCAAGATGCCGAAAGGAGGCAGGATTATCAATATCGGAAGTATAGGCTCGAGGACATTTCCAGTCGCCCTACCCGTCTATGCAGCGGCCAAATCAGCTTTGGACATCCTAACTGTGCTTTGGGCTGGCGAGGTGAGGAGAGACCAAGGTGCATAAATTCCTTGGGTTTATAGGTACTAATCATGCGTCGACAGCTCGGCCGTACTCATGGGATCACGGTAAACACGGTAGCACCGGGCCCAATCGCCACCGATCTAGTCGACAAGACACCGGAGACGGCCTCGGAACTGGTCGTCCAGCAGCGAGGTTCCGATCGCATTGGGGAACCACAACATATGGCTGACGTAGTGCTACTGATAGCGTCAGAGAAGAGCCGTTGGCTAACTGCGAAGTATATTGCTGTAGATGCTGGTATTCTTGGAAATTGCTGAGCCCTGAAGAGCCGGAAGTAAAGGGGGATTATAATCCATTTTTATGTATTCAGTCTCCGCTCCGCTCTTAGCGTTAGTCATACCTCATTCTGCTCCCATTAGTTACAATTTGGCGTTCAATTAGATCGGTAATTGTGTTTTGTCTACATCAGCTCTCGATATTTCCGGACGTCATGTCGAAATTGGGATCCACGGGTATATTTTCTAGTCGTTGAGATAACGTTGCCTCCAAGTAATTATCAATCTCGCGGCAGAGTGAATCCGACTTTCCCCCGTCTATAGCATCTACCCATATAACGCCACGGGCGAGATCCATGGCCTGGTTTCCGGTCTGCAAGCCTATGTTTTCCATGATACCAACAATGGTCAGCACATGCCAAGCCCGGCTTGGGCTCTCTTCCTGCATAGCGCTTATTATATGAGCCCACAGGTTCAGCTCGGCCACAAGGCCCCAGTTTACTAAGGGTAGCTGTGAGATTTGACGGAACGCCTCGAGGTGTTTCCCCATCTCCAAAGCCCCGGCACCCATTCGGATCTTGATGGCGGCCAAGAATATGAGTGCAGCTCGCCGAAAGGCCTCTCTAGCCGCGATACCGGAATACTCGGGATTTAATGGATCATCGGGAAGGGGGATTCCCTCGAGAGTAAGGATCTCGTGAAAAGCTGGGCTTAAAACTCGCGCTATCTTCACATCGTCTATCCAAAAGTTGGGAGTGTCTTGATTTTGATTAATATAGGCGGCAGCGGCCGCAGTTGCATTCATGGCACTCATGATATCACCTAACGTGGGACAATCCGCGTCCCAGGATTGCAACAATTGACGTAGATACTGGGAATTATTGCTGGTGTCGATCTGCGTGATGGAGTCTCTTGGGATGTGAAAACGTGGTTTGGAATTAAAGTACGTTGCCCCGGCTAGATCAAGCCTATTGTTATAATTTTATGAGATTGGTATCCTGTGTTACATGTTTGGATGAACGACTTACCAAGATATCATCAATCTTAGGAACGGACTGCTCAAAGCATGTAGTCCCCCTTTTTTATTAATCAAGCGCTGAAGTCCTTCTATATGGATAGCAAAGCGTTCGAAATTGCCTATGGAAGCCTTACGGACTATCAGTATCACCGTCTACTGAGGCTAAATATCTGGTCAATAAGGGATAAAACGTACATCATGACAGACAAAACCAGTAACAGCAATAATAAGTCCCTCGCTTTCACTTTCGGCTGGATCTGCAAGCCTCTTGGTAATTGAGGCTAAGGATAACGTGTACCATTTCATAGCCTCAAGATTGGTAAATTCACTCTTCTTCTCCCCTGGCTTCATACCGCGATAGACTACTGCGTTCGCAAGGGTGATGTGCCAGGCAGCTATATCCGATAAGCCCATGGTTAGCCATGGAAACCGAAACGGCCGATATGTATTACGGGCCTCATCGACGACTATTATCACGATTAGATATCGAGTCAGTTGTAGCGTTGTGGGGATGTATTTACCGTATTGGATTAGATTTAGCCGTTTCTGGTCCATATTGATAGGAAATACTATTGTATGCAAAGTACCATCCATTCTTGGACTTGGTAGTCTCACAACTCGAGATGGGCTACTTGGTTGCGCTTCATCCTGATCTGTAGTAGCAGAAGAGCTACCCTCTCCCATGATGACCTTGCCCTTCTTCGTCCGCGGTTTCCTGCGTGCCTTACCGATATCTTTCATGACATGGCGGCGAATTGCAGTGGAATGTTGTTTTACGTCGCCGGGGCATGCTACATTTACGAACTCAAACTTCGGCATTGCTCTCCTAGAGATAGTTCAAGATTATGAGGGAGTGGGGTTGACCGCTCTCGAGATACCAACACGGCCTTACAGTATGTTTAAGACAGTGGGACTGGATTTGAATTTGGGACAATCCTCACTAGAATAATTTCTTCAAAGCTGAAGGTGAATTTTCGTCAATTAATGATGTTAACAGATATGAGGCTATTTAGATCTGATGTTCTCTGCGGCGAGGTGACAGGGGAAAAGTCCGGCTGACTAAGATTTCATAATACAAAATCTTAGGACCGAACCCCGATTCATCTTTATGTCAGGAGCGATGACTAATCTGACTAATCTGATTTAGCTGACTAATATATTAGTCATAATTACTTGGTCATTTTTAAGTCATCCCGAGTCGGACTTTGGTGGCTGAACACTGCCCAGTGTGCATCTCATCATTCTAATCTTTTACCTAAGCACAATGAGTCAACATTTCACGTATGTCAAGTCGAGATACCGCGAACGTTCCGTACATTCATTCCTCACATATTGAAGTGACAAGAGAACCTTCATCACGAAGCAGACGTCACATTTAAACTTATAAACCCCTTAACTCTTAAATCTACAAAAATCCCATACTTTCGATCATTCATCATGACTTCCCATCCAGCCCACCCTCTAAAACCGAGCGAGCAAAGACAGTCCTTCCATCCCCTCTCTAAACACCAAGCGCAGCATTGAACGCATCAGCAGCAGCCTGGCCCGAAAGCGAGTTCGCCGCATCGGCACCCTCATTGCAAGCATCAACAGTAGCAGCACTAGCACCGCACTTGGAGCCGAGCTGCTGGCAGATGAAGCTAGTGATGACAGCAGGCTTGAGCGCGGATCCATGGTTGAAGTCCTTCTTATCAACAGGCGCGAAGGCGTTCTCGTTGGGGCGGTCGGACTGCTTGCCGAAGGAGATGGCGGGGGATCCGCAGTCGCCGGTGTCGGCGGCGGCCTGGCGACGCTTGGCTCCGTTGTTCTGGGCTACGCACTGCTTCTGCTGCGCGTCGCAGTCGGCGACGGTGATGGAGGCGGAGCCGCCGTTGGCTGCGTTCGCGCAGGCGTTCTTTTGTACGTCGCAGGCGCGCTGGATGGCTGCGCCTTGGTTGAGGAATTGCGCGCCGTTGACGGAGAAGGGCTTCGCGGCGTTGGAGCTGACTACGGGAACGGGGGCGGAGCCGACGCTGCCGGTGAAGGTGTTGACGTTGTTGCCGGTAGTAGCGGTTGCTCCGTTGCCTGCTTTAGTGGCAGCACCGGCATTGGTAGCAGCGCCAGCATTGTTGTTGGTAGCAGCGCCGGCGTTATTGTTGCTGGCGGCATCGTCTTCGCATGCTGGTGTTGTTAGCATAGGTATTTCAACTTGAAAAGCGGGTCAACTCACCATCATCAGCGGCGGCGTTACCAGTGGAGTTTCCAACGTTAGAGTTAGCGTTGCCAGCCTTTGCCTTGCCACCGGCGGAAGCGACGGCAGCGGTGATCTCGGCGGCAGTGGCATCCTCGACGAGGAGGTTTTGGGTGAAAATGCAACCCTCTGCGTCGTCCTCGGTATCGCACGTGTTTCCAGCGCCGGTTGTGTCGCCAACCTATAATCATTTAGTTACGACCGGCTAATTAAGTGATTTTGGGGATAATCATACCTTTCCAGGTGCGAATGTTCCGGATTGTAAGGCGAGTTGAGGATCGGCGCCGATCGCCGAGAGCTGAGAAGCTAGCTCAAGAGTGATCTTCTTGTTTAGAGCAGCAGCACCGTTTGAGGCGGGGTCTTGGTGCTGTTGAAGAGCGGCGATCTCAGGGTTCTTAGCAGTTTCAGTGCAAAGAACGGAGGCAAGGCCGACGGAACCAGTGTTCCTCTCCTAATCTGTTGTTAGATTCCTCTAAAATGAGATCACTCGGAATGCGATACGTACAAGGGCACGGAAGATGAGGGCGTTGGTCATGCCCTCGACATCGTTAGCTGCCTTGGCGTTGGTGAAAGCCTGGTCAGCAACACGCTGTTGCAGGCAGTCCAAGTTTGTGACTTTGCCGGCACCCTGAGCAGCAGCGGCGTTGCCTAGTAGAGCGAAGACGGGGTCTTGGACCTGGTCAACGTTGTTCAAGTTCAAGGCGGCACCAACACCAGTGAGGAACTTGTTGTGGGAGTGCTCCTCTGTAAGAGTGTTAGTATCCCATCCCCATTCAATTAATCCAGCCAAAGTGTGACCTACGAGGAACCTCGCGCCTGACCTTGGCTGAGTCATGGCGGTTCTTTCGGAACAACCTGACGGCATCAGGGCGGGCAGAAGCCACACCCATCATGGCCAACAAAACAGCACTCGTTTCAACCTTCATATTGTCGGATTTCGAAGTTAACGATCGTTCGTAAAAAGTAGAGATCGTAAGTATAAAGAGGCCCTGCCCGATGATAGAAATGCCGAAGCGAAAAAGAACGTGAGAATGAAACGAGAAGAAAGATAGTTCCCAGAACTAGAAAGAAAGAACGTAACAGGGTTGGAAAGATGTGCTGTCGTCGGATAAGGAAGAAGAGAATAGCTGTATCTGTATCGTCTGGGGACAGCCATCTCTATATATACAGCATTGAAACGCTGAGGATCGAACGAGCGCCAAGTGGACGGTACATGCTAGAGTGTACGCGTTGGCGAGGCTTCAGAGTAGTATGAGCCCGGCAGACTATTCCGGGGGCGGCACGCTCCTACCGCCAAGAACCATCTAAACTAACTGTCGCACCAGAAGAGGTTATATCGGGCCCCGTTTTTTCCTTCATTGAACCCCAGCCTCGTAGATCTAATCGTCCCAACATCTCATCTTGGGCTAGAGAAGAAACATCGTCGTCCCAATCTAGGATAGACAGCCAGGATGGTCAATATCGGCTCGAGTAGAAGCCGGAGGAGGAATGGAAGCCAAGGAATGAGATGAATCGCTTTCAGGGAGGCAATGGAAGAGAGATCAGACCCAGGATATCATCTTCACTACTCGGCGCGAGGACCGATGAGCCGCGCATGGTTTTTAGCGCGGCTATTGATGAAAGCAGATCAATGGCCTTGTCATCAGCTCATCAATTCTGGCTGAGGATCGTAAAGAAAATTCCCGTTTGGGGTAGTCAATTGACGGTGTCTGTGTCAAGCTGCCGTATTGCTTGGGACGAGGTGGGCTCCGGCCCCTTGTGAGAGCGTGTAATAGCACTCATTTTCAGTTTCGAGACTGATGAAGTTGGGATGAGACCGACTATCCTACCCTAAGTGTCTCATCATGATCGAGCCGCGTCCGGGGGCAGCAGGGGTTGTGATAGGTTAATATGACACGCGAGACACCCCTAGCCCCAACCTGGATCGCCCTAAGGCTTAACTCCACCATGGAAATGCGAGTAATTCAGCTGTGTTTTGTGTTAACAATATGCCGGGTGCCGACAACAACCTTTAGACAATAACAACAACAATTCTATTGAGTATCACTTGTCACAACTCAAGATCTCGTGGCCCCCAGGAACATAAGCCAGGGTTACATGAGCGCGTGAATCGTCGCAGAGTCTTTTTTCATCGTCAAATTAATCCGAGATGGTCTTGCTTCAAGTTACTAGGTATTGGCCTCTAGAAATATCAGATGCATGATACCTCGGCTTCTCGAATGTCTACGCATAGTTACTCTTCACATTTCAATCATTTAGATAAAATTGAAAACAAATACTCCTGTGACGATGCCAAGTCAAAGAACTACCGGCAGACGATGCCTTCCCGTGCCTAGGAAATCTTATGATGTCGTATATGGCTCCATCCATAGAACCATAGACTTGGCTCTGACAACTACAAGAAGTCCTTCTCACCCCGACCATTTTTGGGTATGCCACATAATGAGACTCTGACATGTTTTGACATGTAGCATGTAGACGACACACACACAACTCGTCCGACCATCCGTCAAGACCGATTGATCGTCTCTTGGGAGTCTCATCCGAACTTTGGTTTTTACATAATACACATACTTGCCTTATATGAGTATCATACGAAGCCATTCCTGTCCATGATCGTCGTTAGATATTACCTAGGTAATCTACCCAATTATAGCCTACTCAGAGCCAGAAAAGCGGAGGTGCTCTCCAAGTCTCGTCTCGTCTTTAGCACACATATAACTTGATGTGATCTAATAATTCTCGCTCATCAATAATCAAAAACTGGATTCGATCGAGATCTTAGATAATTAGAGATTGATCTGCTTTGGGAACTCCCGTAGCAAGACAAGGAATAGCTCAATATTCCATTGTTTGATTATCAATGACACTTGCCCAGATATTCGATATCATCACCCAACACAAATAAGTAAACAAGTCATAAGAGAACCACGGGTATTTTTAAGCTTCACAAGTTTTGATTTGTTTTTGTACAGTATGGCAGCGCCAAGGGAAAACTTCTAAAGAATGCCATGCAACCTCACGATCTTTTTTGCCATTATGTCTATCATATCCTGCCCCCGGCTCGACGGTGAAAAATGGTGGTAGGTGGTGAGGCACGAGTCTAGTAGTAGTGGTGGTGGTGGAGTGGTTGGATATGTAATTGTACATGCACACAATCCCCCACCTTCGCTTAACCGATGACCAGCTTGTCGTCCTCGGGGAACTCGTATGTGGGAATCTCGAGGTTGAGCGGAGCCGGTCCTTTCCTTATACGTCCAGAGATATCGTAGTGGGAACCGTGGCACGGGCAGAACCATCCGCCGAAATCTCCAGCCTCGCCGATGGGGACACAACCTAGATGTGTGCAGACACCTACAATATCGAATATTAGTATTATTATTCCGTTCATAACCACCATAACCTATCACCAGAGAGAATCTGGGAGCAATGGATAGATATTTCGGGTGAAAGGAAGGTAATCGTACCCAACATGACCAGCCACTCCGGCTTCTGAACACGGTCCTCGTCAGCTTGAGGATCTCTTAACGAAGCAACATTGACCGAGTTCGCCTCGCCGATCTCCTCCTCGGTACGGTGTCGGATGAAAACCGGCTTTCCTCTCCACTTGATGATGACGTTCTTGCCCTCGGGGATCGCGTTGAGGTCGACCTCGACCTTGGCCATGGCCAAGACGTCGGCGGACGCGGACATGTTCTTTAGGAATTCTGTATATCCGCAGAGTATTAGATATATGCGCTTAAGCAACCGATCAATATATCCAATTGATGCCTCTAGCTAACACATCCGTCTGGATAGCCTTGAGCGCAACATACCTTGCACCGTCGATTTAGCACCGGCAGCCGTGATGGCGCCTAGGGTGCCGACCATGAAGTACTGGTAGAGCAGGTTGGTATTCGAGCTGCCCTTATTGAAGTAGTGACCGAAGTCCGGGATCTTAGTCGAGCTCTGCTCGCCCTTGAACGGGCTGGAGTAGGATCCGCCATGTGCGGCATCGTTTCGCTGGGGTGTCGTGGTGAGGGTGCGTGCGGCGGCGACGCGGGTACAGGACTTCGACACTCCTCGCGCAAGGGCGCGGGAAGCGATCGTAAGGGGCGCCATGGCGTTGTGCGGGATCAATTGGGACTCGTCTTCGGGTAGGAGAGCGTAGGTTGAGGTTGAGGTACTTTTTTTCGGGAACGAATATCGAAAGACTTCGGGTAAGGTTTCTGAGCTAACCTAAACTGCGATTGCCAATGGGACGTTAGGTAATTGGTCCAACCCACCAAAAATTACAAGAGCTCTGAAATTGGTGTCCGGTGATTGGCCAAAATTATTCGGGTTAGCCCGATCTTGATGAGTCAGCTAAGCTTTTGTGTCATGTGATCAATGGATCTTCCTGTGACGTCGCATACACATAATTACATAATTATATGCTCAAATTATACGCAGCACTATACGCATACTGCGCATAGTACTTCAATTGACCATGGTCAATACGCCAGTAATTATTTTCAATATGTTTTCGGTTTCAAAGTTTTGCTTATGCCATAGATGCTAGCCTAACGCCTCGTTCATAATCATTCCATCATGCCCCTATGAGAGCCCAAATACACCAACCCGTAATCTAGTGCATCCGTTTTAACTCCTCCACCAAGTTCCGTATAGCTTCAACATCCGGACCCAACCCTGCGCAAATCTCTACTTGAGTCTTCTCATCGATATCTAAGAATCGTTCAAGAAATTCACCATCAATGAACCGGAATGGCCCTTCCGATTCACGTTCCTCGTTCCTAAAAGAACGATATCTTGAGAAGAGTATGTTACCGGTAGTCTCCACAAACTCAGCGAGTTTGGTTTGGAAGCGAATGAGGAGGTCCTGGTAATTGGGTGCAATGACACCGAATAGATACACGCCACCTTCGACCTGTTATTCCAATTGTTAGTCAGTGTATCTCATATGAGTTAATAAACAGAAGAACTTACCGTGCCGAGAAATGCATGTGGTGTGATGATAGCACTTTCGCTTGCGTCAACGGTGACCTTTCGTATCTTATTTACCATCTCGCCCAAGTTTATCTCACTGGTTACCTCCATCCGACGCTTGTCCTCTAATGTGACACCAGCTAGATTTTGTCTCAAGACTAATAAATTACCTTGCGTATCCGATTCTAGCCACGACTCTTGATCTATGTGACATACAGCAGTGGACCAGACGGATTGATAATGCCTTGCTACTTCGACAAGCTTTGCGCCTTGGCCATCTGTAGGCGGGACATACTCAATCAAAGTCATGGATTTCATTACATCGGCGACAGCGATGATGTTATCCTTGATTGATAGATCCACAGGGTATGTAGCCGGACGATAAGATGCAATCTTTTTCATCTCTGCAGTCGTTGAAGTCGTTTCGATGTATGAATACATGACCACTGTTTTAGTCAAGGCCGCAACAATCTTGTCGCCTAGGACGTTAAGACACCTACAAGCGCCTTTTAACCTCCGGCTAGTGATGAGATATGGACTCCTCTCGCCGTCGACTCCGAGAACTAATATCCGGCCTCGAATAGCATCATCCGGTGCAGAACCGTCGGCGTAAGTTAGATAGGAGGTGCCAACCAGGAACCTCTCAACCAACTCTCCATAAGAATCTGGAAGCTCGGCTCGGATCACGGCTTCCACCATTTCTACTCTAGGTGAGCTGTCTAGAGCAAAGCTCCCGAGCTGCTTGAATACGACCTCATCGACTAGCTTAAAGGAGTTAGTGAGAATCTCTTCATTGTCCCTCACTTCTCTATGGAAGCAACCTAATCCAAAGGCCCGTTCGTTACGAGAATAGGCTATGCGACGGATAGTTTCTCCTGTGGGTAAAGTTTGTACATGTGTACGGCGCTCTGTGTCGATTGTGGAGATCTTGATTTCTTTCTCTGTTGCGACAACAATAGAGCCTGGGAAGGCTTCGGAATCGAACAAACAAACGCAGGTCGCATCATCAGCTGTGACTGCGGAGTAGACTATTCTACCTTCTGCTCCGTATATCAAGCTAGGATGTTCACTAGTTGCGAACACGTTATAAATTCCGGCTTCCCGAGGAAGCAGCTGTAGTCTGGCTTGCCGTGTCCCTAGGACGACACTCTTTCGGCCAGACAGAGAAAAATCAGATTTGGAGACACTAAATGTGATAACATAGCCATCTTCCATAGCTACAAACAATGTCGGGCCAGCTAAATGCGTAGGCAGGACTTGTGCGAGAGCGATATCTCTGGGTATAGAAGCGTTATTGTCCTTTCGTCGTAGGTTCTCTCCATGAATAGATTGCAGTGTGTTGAGATCGATGATAGAGATTGTGCCTGATTTCCAAAAGCCAACCACGCCAATGCTCGGGAATTCGGGGGGCAAGTGAATGCAGGCAACTTGATCTTTCTCTTCGAGATCATTATCTACTACACGAACAAGGTCCTGTTGTATTTGTAGTGATATGATTATTCTTCCATCAACGGATAGGAGGACCCATTCGTTATTTGCCGAAACATTGGTAATTTGTCCCTCGGCTGGTCTCCATATCGATGCGACGACACCGCTGTCTATGTCAACGAGTAAAGCGCTGGTTGTTGTAATCTGAAGAAGCCGGCCATTGGGTAGGTTCTGGGCTAATAGAGTCTGTTCGCTAAACACCATGCCCTTAAACTCTTCGATTTCTTCAACTTCACCTGTGGGACTAAATGTGAATACGCGAGTTTCGGTTAAGAATGAGACCACCAATGTGTCGATCTTAGAGGTTCCGTCCGACTGGAGAGAGAATAATGCTCGGACGTTCTCCATGTCAGCGAGAACTCCGACGTCGTCTAATCCAACGCCACTCCGCACACTCCGCAGGCTTCCATCCTTGTAAACGCCACTCCCAGTGACAATCCTCGCTTGGCCGGAAGAGTATTCATTAGTAGTCTGTCCTTCTCCTTCGCGATTTCCCATATCCATAATGTTGAGGTCTAATATAGGAGCAATGTTATTCAGGGTTTGTATCGTCTCTAGTGAGTTCGAATCACCGAGGTTAACACGGAAGACTTGCGAGTCGCCATAGTGAGATCCGACAAACAGAATGTTGTTTCCCATGTAAACGAGACTATTGGCCCTTGGAGTTATACCGATCTTAGTCATCTGCAAGTCAGTTACCACAGCTCCGTCCAGGAGGATTTCTAGTAACCATAAGACTCCGTAATCATCCCCAAGAAAGTAACGCGAGACGTCGTATTCGGCCCAGGCGACGAATATGGAGGATTCTGGTAGGACTGCCTCAACTTTCTTCTTGGCAGCATCGTCATAGTAAAGCAAGCGAGTCTCGCCAACAATAATTACGCCGCCAAGTTGGGCCCGCGCGGTAGATGCGTTTCTTATGATGTACCGTTTTTGGTCTCCTTCACCCCTACGAACTGGTATCAATATGGAAGCGCCGGGATCAGGGGTCTCCATGCGATCAACCTGATCGCGAACTTCAAATCGCGAAACTTCCGTATTCTTATCATCTGACGTCAAACGGTAGGTGACGAGTTGGGAGTCTGGTATATCGGTTCGGGACTGGTATAGGAATGCAATCTTCGGGTGGCCGGTTTCGACGTGTAGGAAAGTTACACATTTTATAAAAAGCTCAGATACCCGTATTTGATCCATCCAATGCAAATTCTGTCTCTTGCTCTTGACTGTGTGCATGCGGAGGACATTGATGACTCCTTCCCAAAGAAGGACAGCCATGAATCGTCCTGTCGGGTCGACAGCACACATATCCTGGCTTTGGGCATCTCGCAAATGTTTTTCGTGAATATCAAAAAATGAATCGATGGTCTCTAACTTTCCGTCTACGGAATTCCATCCGAATGTGAAGTAGTGGAATCTGTCGGTTCCTACGAAGACTATCTCGGTCTCGGCATCTCTAGGTCGGAGCTTCTGTAGGATAGAAATGGTCCCGTTAATAGCCTTTGTGTCGGTATGTACCAGTGTACCAGATTCCTCGAGCTTCCATATCTCCAAACGGTTGGTTTTGCTGCAAGAAGTTAGCCCTTCTTCATCATTACGTCGTGCATGCGCTTAGGAGGACCCACGCAAGAATGAGGCATTCGTCCTCTCCAGGAAACAGGTTAACACGCAGCGCATGTCGGACACTGTTAGGCCGGTGGATAGGCGCTATGTAAGCCATTTCGTGGGTTTCGCATGGTTTGGGCGAACTACAATATAGCTTGTCGTGGTATAGTAGACAAGAATTGTACAAAAAAAAAAAAAAAAAAAAAAAGAGGGAGCTTCAGTGAAAGGGAATTTTGTTGGTGGGAGTGGGAGGTATTGAAAGATGATGCAACGGTCCGGCGATAAGCTAAAACGCGGGGATTATAGGGCGGGTCAACAGCTGATAAAGCTCTGAATCTCTCCCCTGCTCCTTCCTAACAAGAACAGCAACAGAATGTGACATTTGGATAACAGCTTCCAGAAAAAGGAAACCACGTTCTGAAAAGAACGTAAATAAAATATTCAATATTTCCAAAGACAATTGATTACCTATATAATATACTTTGTTTCTTTTTTCAAGGAAAGAGCCAATGCTGGTTCATCCTTAGTATATATAGAGTACCTATTAAGTACCTTGTATTTCAAAGTTTGGGTAGGTGCTATCCAGCAAGCAGCCCCAGAGCTTCAGGTCCACTATAACATCTGCCACTGAATCTTAAGATAGCTAGGTGCCTAGGTCCTAGGTGACTTCCTAAAGCTACCTACCTCTCAGGTAGCTATCGTAAGTCGCCAAGTTATTATCACGGATTTTCATAAAGTACATATTAAACCCATATTTATTTCCAACAATGCACACTAACAGAAAATCGTCGGGAATACTAGAAAAGAAGTGCTGCACATGATCGCCATGCCGAGATTTCCATTAGTGAGTGGTTATACCATCATCATCACTAATAGCTCTCTCTCGTTATCTCATTATGATCTATTAGCCCGACATTAGCAATATTTCAACTTGCTCTAGAATGTTAGAGGCATGTATTGTAACGGAAATACACAATACAGTTTATCCTAAAGTCTAGCAAGACCCAGTGCCATGGATAACGAAGACGTTACGAAGCATATTTGCCAGGAGGAACCATGAAAGATTTATTCGCGCTCATAAAACACCAAAAAGCTAGCACGCACATGTGAACCAGAGAGATGGGAAAGCTTATTTTTCAACCTAACATTCAAGCTGAAAATATAGACCATGATGAACACTGATGTAAGATCGACAAAGATGCGAGTCAAGACCTACAGCAGAGGAGTCTGAATTTCCAATATAAAATACTGCCGTTCAACCCCCAGAATTCCGCAGAATGCTGGAATTTGAGCAGACATATCATATATCGTATATTATATATCACAGTTCCTATCAAAGATGAAGCTCCTCAATCTTCTACTTCTAGGCCTCGCGGCAGAGAGTCAACAAGCTGTGATTAATCCAGGTCATAACCATGAGCGTGATGTGGAGCAATGGGGTTGGAACAGATACCAAGCTCACTGTGTAAGTTGCAGATGTCCACTACAAAACAACTATCTTGCTAAAGCTTACACCTCTTAGATTATGTGTGTCGAATACCAGAGGACGCAAATTGGCAACTACAACGGGAGCATCGTGATCATAGAACAGTAATAACCCCCTCCTTCGACATATCTGATTTTCATATGTAATTATAACGAACTAACATTTATTGATTTTCTAGAGCTGTAACTATATGCACAGATCAGGGCCCGTGTCAGAATTTCAACTATCTGGACACCTTCCACCGTAGCTGGGCGCCCCCCGATGCAGTCCAGGCTGCTCGGAACGTTTGGGGATAAATGGACAGAAAGTTGCTTATCATGACCTAGTCATTATCTGAGCTTTGTTTGAACACGTTCAATACAGGATGCAAGATTTTGAGTTGACGTAACTATTAGGGTATGGGATAGGATATGTTTACCAACTCAACTCCCCTCAGTTCTCTGTCGGGTCTAGGGATCGGCAAGATCTCGCGTGATTGCCATCATATGAGATTCTCCCCGACTGGTCTCCCTAATTGAAAGCTTACACTTGGGCATACACATACCATTCAATATGCTCCATCTGTGAAAAGTTAGCATTGGTTATATATGAGTCTTGATAGTTTGAAGAAAAAAAATCTCTCACATTTTAGTTGAACTCGCCAAAGTCGCTGTTGAGCACAGATGAAAATCTCCCCAGGTTTTCCGAAACATAGATCCGTACAGCCTCCTATCTCAGTATCAGCAAAGTGCTTGGATGGATAGCACCAATCTATTACCAAGTATTCGATCATGGTAAAGGGAAGCGAATGGTTAGGTATGAAAGGTATAAAAGGTGATATGTGTCTTCACTCACCAGGTACCTCAATCAGCCCAAGAGCCAAACCTCCTGGACTCCAAACCTCAACACCATCCCCACACGCAGCAAACACATTCCCCTGGTGGTCACATATTATCGCCGTCGGCACACCTTCTTTGACATAGGCAAAAACGCGTTTGTTTGCTGCGAACGGGCGGCCATGTTTCCGTATGACGTCGAACGCGTAGATAGTCGCCGGTCTATAGATAGGTATATTAGTCCTGACATACCTGCTATTATGTATGGAGGGAAGCATGTATACCCCGGGGGATAGTTCGTTCCATTCGCATGAGCTGCTCCTGTGTCGGTAACGTATAGGGTGTTTTCGGCACTCATTACATCTATTGCTATTCCCGTAGGTCTCATAAACCCATCTGCAACGACACACAGATCTCTTGTCCTGGGATCAAAGTGGTACACCTGATTCGGCAGCATCGGTAAGGGCCTGATCTCTTTCTCGAAGCCGATCGATGTATCTGTAAACCATAGGCCCCCCTCCATATCCCTGACAACGTTTTGGATGGAGTTGAAAGGCTTATGAAAGTAGCTAGTCAGAATAGGTATAGGCGGCTTTCCTGCGGGCATATACCAGAGGCCGCCAGATTCAGGAACTTGAGTGCCCTGAGAACAGTATAAGACTCCGTTCTCGTAATGACATGCACCGGCCGGCATGGTCATGGACGAGGGCGGCCGTAGTTTCATCCATTCGACTTCTTGGATGGCGTTATCGGGGCCACGACGGAAATTTATCTTTGATATCAAAATTGTTGGCAGTAGTGAGCTACTAGTGGACTGTAGAAGATCCGACGTGATATAGAGTTCGTCCTTTTCAGGTATATATGCGCAACCACCGTGAAAGAATGGGTTTTTCGACGAGTCGTCGGAAGAGAGTAAAATAGACCACTCCGGCCTGGACTGCGGCTCACGGCCGGCGACTGTTTCGAAGTCTGTGTGGTATTGTTTAAATATGATGTTATTTGCATTTGGCAACAACTTCCTGTTGGTAAGTAGTTTAGCACTCAAGAGGAAACCCGGAAATGATTGCAAGTATTCGCTAACATGTATGGTCTCGTTCCGGGATCAAAGTCTACAACCTAAGAATGATGCTTAGTATGAGGTGGGGTTATCCTTTGAAATTTACCGGTGACATACTTGAATCAGTGAATCCCATGACTTAATGTCTGCCTTCTTTATGGACGACATTCTAGAAGTTTCCGCGTGTCGGATTCCTGGAATGACGTTATATTTGTAAGGTGAACTTGCAATGTCGGCCGATAAGTGGTAGGTGTATGTACCGGTAGACTAGGGTTACAACGCCCAGCTAGTGCGACCTTTAAGTGCTCTTCAGGTTAACAATATATCTGATTTGCATTATACACAATCCGGTTCATTCTTTTGTTTATAAAATGGAATAAACATCTCTAATCCAGCTGCTTGCTTTCTTCAGACAGGTTGGTGTTTTGAAATGACTTAACCGTCGCCATTTAGTGTGCCAAGACTCGAGATATCATAGCACAAGGTGCGCCATTGGCCCTCCTGGCTTGAAAAGGAAAACCACATCATGCAGGTCGATCATAAAAGTAAATAGTAATAGGCACCAGCGCCATAACAATATAGACTGATGTAGAAGACAAAGCCATCATGCCGGGATTGATACCTACCTAGGTACGTATCAGGGCAAACACTATGCCCATCCTCCTTGTCTGACTGAAGTTCAAATTCCCGGTTATGTCTTGCTGTACTACGGCTAGGAGCCTGCTACTAAATAGAGAATAATAGTGAAACTAGCTGAGCTAGTTTTGGTCAACAATGATAGCTCCTCTGCCATGGAGTGGTGAGTCTGGGTTATATGAGATTGTCGGAGCCGAGGCGTACGGAGATACTTCATAAGAATTTGAACACGAATATCAGTGAGCTCCCAGGTGAATGGTTGATATTGTTTATTCCATCTATGTCGTTTGCGGACATGAAGTCCTCAAAATATCACAAAAGACTTCTCGCAGATTAGAATCCTGAGCAAATATCAATGCTCTTTCGCAGGTTGGCTGCTCTCGTTGTGACCATATCTATATGTACAGTCGACCGGTATTCCAGGCCGATATGATGCTCAATCAACTCTAATGCTTCGCCGCCTTTTCGTCCGCATCAGCCTGCTTTAAGAAGTTCCTACGATATGTCAGTATTACAATATTACATTGACGCGGGATATTCGGGTATGCGCACTGGATGAAGTCGGCCTCGTCGGGAGTCGATGCGTTGATGGGAGGTGTCTGAGTAATCTTCTTGCTTCCGCCCCTTAAGCTAAGGTAACTGCCGCCGAACAAAGTGGCGAGAACACCCATTGCGAGCTGGAAAATAGAGACAATTAGTATCTCAATATCGACTAGAATTAGGCCAGAAGTTCGCCGAGACTACTCACGTAGTGCGAGCCGACCTGGCGGCCGAGGACGTTGTACATAGCAACCATTTTGACGGTGTGGACGAATTGACTCCGAGCGAATGGATATGATAGGTGCTGATATCGAATCGACGATGGCGTAAGAGTCTGAAGGGTATTTGAAGCTGTGGAAATAATGCTCAATACTCAAAGAAGCTCCGAATTGAAATCCCCAATCTTCAATCTTGGTCTAGCCCAAAATGGCTTAGGAGTAATCGCATTTAGCAAAGAGTCAATCCATTAACACCGGGGTTTATCCGTCAGAATATCTCGGCTTTTTAAGGTTATTGACCGGACAAGGGGAGGATCGTCCGAATGCCGACGGCGACGTCACCAAATTTCTGCCGTCGCAACCTACGCTAGCATTTACCTAGGTGCATACTTCTGACTCTGTGTTTCTTACTAAAGCCCATTATATCCCCTTTTGCGCAAATATTGAATCTTCTTCCATATTCAAGTTCTTAACTTCTCACTCTCGCTCATTACATTAATTTCCCTAGTTACTCCAATTAATTACTACAGTACAGCTGAACTGTATCAAGATGTGGTGGGGAAAAGGGTCAGACAAATCAGAAGCTTCGAAAGATAAGCAGTCGGAAGCCCCGCCAGCCACGGCAACGAAGGCAGATCCCCGTAAAGATGCTACACACTTCGATCCCAACAAGCTGCCAGAGCGACGCGAGCTACCGAGAAGCTTGCAGACGATCGTGGATAAGTCAGACAGGGATGACAATTTCTTTGATGAGCTTGTAGAGGGATAGTGCGTCTCTCCGTGAGGCCTGTCTCATCATGCCGTAGCCAGATGGACTAACACGTTATTATTCAGTGCGCCCGACTCTACCGAATCCAACGTTCGATATGCCGCCTACGCAAACAGACTACGAACCGTTATGCTTTCCGCCCACCGTTATGTGGCTTATACGTCAGACATAGGAGAATCTTTCCGACCGGTCGCACATCCGTGGCTAGTAAGAAGCGCATACGGTATATCGTGGGCGTACATCTTAGGTGATGTCTCGTACGAAGGCTACAAAGCCTACTGGCAAAACCAGCGGACATTAAACCCACAACTGGTGCTCTCCGCGAAGGCACAGAAGGCTACCGGGTTATCTATCCCGGCATCTTTAGACACTCAACCCGGTGTTGTATCACCCTTGGAGGATTACCGAACCGTCATGGTTCAGCGAGGCATATTCCAGAGTATCGCCTCTATGGGACTTCCCGCGTTCACAATCCACAGTGTTGTCAAGTACTCGAGCAAAGCCATGAAAGGCATGAAGAACAAGACGGTCCGAGTATGGGGTCCTATAGGTCTCGGTCTCTCCGTCGTTCCTTTCTTGCCCACGTTGTTCGACAAGCCGGTCGAGAATGCGGTTGAATGGATGTTCCACACAGGCTTCGCCGCATATGGCGGAAAGGAGTATATTGGCGATTCCCCAGCAATAGGACGAGAAGCGGCTTTGACACACAGGCCACAGCCGAAAACCAAGGAAAAGGAATTGTAAGGTTATGGATACCAGGATAAAGGGTGGAATTGTGATATTCACGGCGTATGGGAATGAATCGTCTCTACTTCTCGTTCAATCTTGTTTGATGTCGCTGAAGCCTGGACTAGGGATGGAAGAGAAACATTTGGCATCGCGAGGTGTATCTGTCGAGCAACAACGCTCCATCTATATCAACCCCTTAAATGTAAATAAACGCTGCCTCCAGTCATCGCCTGGTATATCGTCCCCAAAGTGCAATGCTCGTAAAAAAACGCCGTCCCATGATGCAGCCCGTCATATCCCATAAAACCCCCTCACATCTCAATCAAATCCGGCGGCGGCCCTATGCCCCTCAGCAACACTATCGTGTTCCCACTAACCAGCGCCGAGCCGACCTTCTCATTAAACTCCAGCACGCGTCCGCCCTCCACATGGAACACCCTCAACTTATCCCTCTCCTCCGAAGACTGGTTATTCACATTCTCGATCTGCAAGCTCTTCGCCGCCGCATCCAGCACGCGTCCAATAACCCAATCCTTCGAGTAGAAGAACTCGCCCTTATAATTCTTCGCCGTCGTCGTCTCCGCCTCCGCCTCCACATACACGTACACCCTCTTCTCCGCAGCCAGCTTCGCGTCCCCCTTCGCCGTCTTCCGCAGCTTATTCACAGCCACTAGCCGCGCCGACGCCGTGCTCGGCTTCGGCTTCGGCAGCGCCCGGCTCGCGGTCTCCCGCTTCGCGGCCCCCCACGCTTTCAGTCGCGCGAACGCGGATCGTGTTTGCTCTGCTACGTCGAACTGTGCGGGCCGCGCCCCGATCGGGATTAGGTTCGCGCAGTCGTGCTCCTCGCGCAGCCGGTGCTTGAGGCAGTAGTCGCGGTTACAGGTGGTGCAGTGCACGCCCGGGACCAGGGACGTGCCGACCACGGTCTTGCAGTCGTGCGCCGCGCAGGGTTTCTGTGTCACAAGATCGCGCATGCGTTTTCCTTCACCCGCGGATGGCCGCGCGAGTTGCGCTTGGCGCTTGCGCGCGGCCCAGGCGCCGGCGTCGGTGCATCGGTGGGCGGTCTCGCTGCGGTGGTCGAGGCAGAAGGTCTTTTTGCAGGATTGGCAGAAGAAGGGGAGGAAGTCGAGCTGGTTGCAGTATTCGAGTTGGCAGTGCTTGCCGATTAGCGTCGCGTCCGCGCCGCTGTTGCTGTCTTTGTCCATTTTGACGTAGCTTGTGTCGTCGTGGGAGTCGGGTGTTGATGAGGACGCCATGGTTGCTGCGGTTCGAGGGGTTGGATTTGGCTTATATATGTGTTTATTGCTATACTTAGGTGAGCGAGCGAGTGAGTAAGTTGGATTGGAAATAGAAACAAGTGATGGTAGGCAGAGGTGGACTCGTAAGCCTTGGGGATGGCGGCGTTGATGATTAGGTGATGGAGGAATAGTCTGGAAGGAGCTAGCGGACCTTGGGGGTTGTTAAGACCCGATGGTGGCGGGGCTACAGGTGAGTTGGGGCTGAATATTGCGCTGAACCTAGCGGCTATTTTAGGGGTAATCGACCCGTCAACTCCACTAACTAGTCCAAATTAAGGCTTAATTGAAACTCAATGGGACTTGGAGTCACGAGGTTTCGCGTTTTCGATGACGACAATCAACTTTCATCAACGAATTGCTTATCCAGCGTAACTAGGGACGGGAGTTGTTGCCTTCTATTAACGTGTTCAGCTCTACTTTACTAATTTTAATTTCTTAATGTATTTGTCACCACAACCAAGATGCCTCCTTACGTGCCGCGCAAACGAGTGCGCACTCCGTCACCAGAGAATAATGGTCAGGCTACGAAGAAGCCCGATAAGGGTAAAGGGAAAGCCACGGCGGTAGTATCTTCACGGACTCGAAAGGCCACGCTGTTCGACGATTTAGATTCTGGCTCTAAGAGAGGCTCAGCTGAGAAGACTAAATCAGCAGTGCAGCAAATGCATGATGACAGTGATGATAGCTCTCTCAGTTCGCTCTCCGATGTCGATTTTGAAGATGTACCAGCTGCCAAGCGACAGAAGGTAAACCATGATTCGGAAGAATCAGAGGACGAGGACATGGAATTCGAAGATGTTCCATCTCATGAACCCGAGCAGCCCGAGCCCGAGATAGAGCTCGAAGGTGATCTTGAGTTGACATTACACCAATCCGGTTATGTTCCATTAGTCAGCGAACTAGGAAAAAAGGGTGCTTCAAAGAAAGAGAAGGCTATGCGTATCACAACACACTGCATGCATGTCCAACTTCTACTCTGGCATAACGCAGTCCGGAATTCCTGGCTATGCGATAAAGAGGTTCAGGCTATCATGATTTCCCACCTGCCGCCAAGGCTCTGGGAAGAGGTAGATCGCTGGAGACGAAATAGTGGTTTAGATCTCCCTGAGGAGGTTCCGAAGAAGAAACCCGCGAGGGGTAAAGGAAATACTAAGGGAAAAGGCAAACAACGCGCTTCGACGTCGACGAGAAATTGGAGTGATGCAGCAGACCGACTCGAAAAGGGAGTTCCTGACATGAGCCACGGTGATCCTTTATTCAGGCTTATGAAATGCCTCGTCTCGTGGTGGAAGCAAAGGTTTCGGATAATAGCCCCTGGTTTGCGCAAATGGGGTTACATGAGCGCGAGAAGACTAGGCAAGTTACGATCGAGCTTCGAGACAGAAGATCATGATCCAGGACGTTTTGGTGAACGAATCAGAGACCTTGAAGAGTTCAGGCAACGTGCCCAGGACTGCTCTGGTAGTCGCGATCTTGGCTCCCAACTGTTCACGGCGCTATTACGTGGTCTTGGACTTGAAGCACGGATGGTAGCAAATCTTCAGTCACTCGGATTTGGGAGGAGTAGGGTTGAGGAAGCAGAGGACGAAAATAGTGTTCCGGGAGCTCAAACAGATCCCAAGAAGCCTACCGAATCAACACCAAAGAAGCCAAATGGAAAGAAGAAGAAAAGTCCTGTAAAGCCAACGACCCGTCGGACGAGGAAGACTGACAGTAATGCCCTAAGAATGGAACTGGACGATTCGGATGAGTATGGAGAGCCTCTCACAGACGAGAGCGATAACTCATCGATTGTTGATATTACGGATATTGCTCGTCCGAAGCGAGCAGAATCGAAAGCCTATGACAAGGACCTTGAGTTTCCCCACTACTGGACCGAAGTTTTGTCGCCAGTGACGAAGAAAATCCTCCCGGTAGAGCCCATTGTTAAGGCAATTGTAGCTACTAGTAGAGACCTTATTGAATCTCTGGAACCACGGGGAGGTAAAGCCGAAAAGGCGAAACAGGTTATGGCTTATTGTATTGGATTCTCCGAAGATGGCACTGCCAAAGATGTTACGGTTCGGTACCTCAAGAAGAATATTTTCCCTGGTAAAACGAAGGGGTTCAGGATGCCCGAAGAGAAGATACCCATATACAACAAACACGGCAAGGTTAAGAGATATGACCAGTTCGATTGGTTTAAATCAGTTATGCGAGGGTATGTCAGAGGCGACAGGAAACACCCGATAACAGAGGTAGACGAGGAAGAAGACTCGACTGAGCTTAAGCCAGCAAAACCAGAGAAGAAAGAAGTCAAAGAAGGAGAGGAGACACTCCAATACTATAAGACGTCCAAGGAGTACGTCCTACGACGTCATCTCAAGCGAGAGGAGGCTCTGCTGCCTGACGCGGCTCCCGTCAAAGTATTTCAAATTAAGAAGAAAGCGTCTCAAGTTGAAGAGGAAGATGTATATCTTCGAAAAGACGTGGTAGCAGTGAAGAGCGCAGAAACATGGCATAAGCAAGGACGCGCTCCGAGGGATGGGGCTGAGCCGCTGAAACATGCTCCGTACCGAGCGGCAACGACTAACCGACGAAGGGAAATTGCCGAGGCCGAAGCACTAACAGGCCGAAAGGTGATGCAGCCCTTATACAGCCTCGAACAGACGGATTGGATAATACCTCCTCCTATCCAGAACGGCGTTATTCCAAAGAATGAATATGGGTACGTTCATTTTCAGCCTCCAGTGTCTCCAGGTAAGGCTAACATCAACATAGGAATATTGATATGTTCGTTGAACATATGTGTCCAGAGGGTAAGTTGTATACCATCACTATTTTTACTTAGCTAAAGGAGATGTAGGTGCCGTGCACGTTCCGTACCGTGGTGTTGTTCGCGTCTGCAAACGACTTGAAGTTGATTATGCGGAAGCTGTAGTCGGATTCGAATTTGGTCATCGGATGGCCGTTCCCGTCATTCAAGGTGTGGTCATAGCTGAGGAGACTTATGAGCGTGTGATGGAAGAACTCGAAAAAGACGAGGCAGAGCGAGCGAGAAAGGAAGACGAGAAACGTCGCAAAGAGGTACTGGCAATGTGGCGGAAGTTCTTGATGGGATTGAGAATTGCAGACAGATTTAAGCAAGATTACGGTCATCTGGACGAGTCAGTGGAAGTCTTCGGGCACGATACTGGAACCGACAAGGACTTCGAAGCTATGCGCCAGAGGGATGAGGATATGGCGGGTGGGTTCTTACCTGAAGGATATGAAGAGGAGGAAACGACTAAAGTAAAGGAGAATAAGGAGAATAGTCGCCAAACTTCAGGGTTCTTTCCGGTTGCAAATGACGAAGAGGACGATTCCGATGACGGAAACGATCCCTTCGAAGTAGACTTTGGGAAAGAGGAGGCCGATATCCTGCCTAGTTCGCCCTCTGAACAGGAAGTCCCAGTTCATACAGCTCCTAAGAAGGCAGCTCCAAACCCCAAAGCCAAACCAAAGCAAACTGCACGAAGGCGAACTCGAAGGAAACGGGTTACGTCTTCGGAAGATGACGATGACGAAGACTTTGTAAACTCGGATAGTGGTTAGTTTAAAGCAGCCAACCCACAACAATTCATCTTCGATAATACAATCCAGTCAACTCATTCAATCATTTGTGTCTATTATTTCATCCTATCGCGATCGACATTTAATGTTGAGAAAGACCTTCAAATGCAGTAGCCCCCACGAAGATTGAAGATGATAACAAATGGCACGCCCACCTCCAACTTACTTTACTTCAAATATAGATGGACCGGTTGTTAATTCCATTCTCATAAGTTGTATGGGGCCCTAGCTCTTTCTATCTCGCCCTGGTTTCTTCAACTTAGTTTCATTCACGTACAGCTGCCGTTTACCAATCGCTTCACATGATTTCCCCCTTCAAAAACATACTAATCCACTCAAAACCAAACCGATTAAACATACCAATTCACTAATTATTCAACATAGTCAATCATGGTCCGAAGGATCGTCCAAGACGAGCTCGAGCAGCTCAATTCTCTACATCTTTCCTACCTGGATCAATTAAGACAACAGTTCCATCAACAGTTTCCCAACACGGTCGGCCAAGGACACCAGCACTGGGAGGAGTTTATGGAGTTCGTGCGCCTGCAGATCCTACCATCCTCCGAACGGGGTGACTCTGCGGCATACAGACCTCCTTTCGAAGTAGTATGCAGGTTCAAAGAATGGAAGATAGAGGAATTGGAGAAAAAGATCGCTCATATCGAGTCAACTCATACTACACCTCAGACCGCCAAGGCTACTCCGGTCAGCAAGATTTTCCAAAATAAACGCCTATCCCAGAATGATGACGTCGGCGGCACGAAAACTAGCAGCAGCCAACAGGGAGCCGGTGCCACCAAACCAGAACCTCGCAATTCACACGAGAAAGAGGACTCAGATCCCCGGGATTCACGCAAACCTCGAGATCTCAAAATTGAAGAATCAGTGTTGCGAGTCGCGCCATCTTACTCGATGAAGGACTTACGCGCCGTAATGCGTATGGCTTGGCGTCTATCGCACAGTGAGGAAAGTTGAATGATTTCTGGCATCAACCTCGTGAGGTCCTCGTATGTCAAATAGGCCGAACCGATACATCAATAACAAGAAAGAATTCCATTCATACGTTCATGGATGGTCGGCTATGATGCCATACCTCTCATACATTATCATAAGTATAAGGAAATATCGCATCTCTAACTAGTCCCAGTCCAATATTCGTAACAAACGAAAAGACATACAAGCCAGCAATCCTTAGTAAGATTAGTTATGTATCACGTGACATGATGCGACGACAAGGTTGACGATATGACGGTCTGTTTGAAAATCACTCAGCAGCCTACAACTTTCGGATTTCAACGATTTCAACGAACATCTATTTCCCTCTTACCTAAAAACCACTCCTAAGTACCTACATGTCCGAGTTTAGTTTGCTCGGTTAATAGTTATTATAGCAAAGTCCACGCTGAGACCTCGTATGTGTCTTAAGCTTCTAAGGAGCTACTTGAACTATCCACTAGGAGCTCTTCAGCAAGCTCTACAATTACTGATGTTTAATAGTTCTACTTCTAAGGTTGTTATGCCATCACATCCAACACAAGTTTTTCTATGTCTGCGGTATCGGTTCGAATCGGGTAGGTGCAGCTCGGATCGTGTCTTCGCCCTATGGGAAGTAGCTTGAGCGGGAACGTTGCAGGATCTTGAAGAAAACGGGCTGACGTGTTGAATTAATAATATCTAGATCTATCTCGGAGACGCGGGGGGGTAAAGGATTTCCCCAGATCTCGGTGCTGGTACCACAGCGAAGGTAGGACGTCCCAGTTTAATCTAGCATCGAAAGATGTCTGATCTCGATTGGCGATATTAATTACAATCTTTCTGCTTTACGAAGTAAAGCTTGAGGTGGAATTACGGTGTGAGTTCCTCGTAATGGTACGTGGTGCAATGATAAATGTTCAACAGTTGGGATATCGATGGGAGTTTACCCCTGAATCATTGTCCCCTTGCAGTGAGGACGGTTCAACTCACATGAGCCGCACCGCCATCATATGATCATTATATACTAGCTTGGAGGACACTATGGTAATTTGAGATACATCACCTTATCTTATTTTATTTGCTCTTCTGAATTGTGTACTTTATCAGGCATTGTTGTAGTGGGTCAAATCGAAGCGGCCGCGATTCCATGACCCAAAGACCGATGCTAATTCGTACAGATAGCACAATTCCCATACCACACTTATTAAGATGCTGTGTAGTGAATCCGGCTTGGCTACATGAAGCCTCGGAAATGGCACTATGATAGAGAAGTCGGTTTCCCGCATCTACGCAAAACCAATCGCAATCGTGGGATGACGCAACCCCTTTAGTCCCCGAACAACTTTTCGGGGACAAGCGAGTATTTGGATTACCAGAAGCTTGATCCTACTCTCAATATGTTTTGATGCAACCTGATATTCTGCTTGTCTTATACAACGACATACAAATCGCATTTGGTCAGATTCCGACTGGTCTCTATCTGATCCTACAGGCTAACAAGAGCATTTTGTGTAGTGAGAAAGATGCGGTTTATCGTTACAACCCCAAATGATGGGATATCGGGACACAGCGGATGGACGTTGAGCCAAGCGGTTATCTTGCTGACCTATCCTAGACAGCTTTATTTCGTGATACCAAACCACGAGGCGTCTGCGTGTTAAGGTATTATGGATGGGCCTCGTGTAGTGTAACGAATTACATCCGCAGATGGGAGCGCCCGTGTCTCTTAAAATATCCATGAACCTTGTCAGGTTTATATAGTTTCTGTGTTCATCGAAGCACAAGCCTGCACACGACATGGTCTTATCACACCTCCTTTCTCTCAACGTAGCAAATATACGGCCCGGCAAAGACAGTTCGTCTTTCATTCCGGGGAGGATGCCATGAAGATTATTCCTACCTTGGACAATCTAGAACAAGGAGGAAATGTTTGATGGAAACGCCACCAATCATGAATCCAATATATCTGGTGATTCTTACGCAAGAATGACTTGGCGTTGGGGATGATTGGTACAATGCTATAAATATAATGAGAAATCGTAGATCCCAGTGATTAGTATGAGATCTACATAAAATATAAGAGCTCCCATTGTAATGATTTGGTTTTCCAGGTACTGGGTAAGTGACAAAGGAATTCTTTGTGATGTTATAACCACATGTATTCTTGTTGTACGGAGTCACAGACAGAACGGCTCTCAACCACCCCTGACGGAAAAGACGCGATGAGATAGTATGTGATACAACTGTGAATCATGTCCTCTACTCGCTCGTTTGTCATCATATACTCGGGTATATATTTTCACTCGTTTAAAATTGGGAAAGGGAGTAAGGGAACTGAAGTGCACTCTACCTGCTAAATCAGGCGATAGTGAAAATGAGATATTACGGCCGTTTATACCGTCACCGACCATTCTTATGAATATCCCCTACTTCATGTCTCAGCCCTAATGAGATATAGATTTCAAGACTACAGTGATGGACGTGCCTAACGCGCACTCTGCTGTAGCTCCAAAATGATCGGAGTAGCAGGGCAACCACCAAGTCATCCATCCCAACCATGACAAATCCATATATCCACTCGGTACTGACCCTTGTAAATTTGACCGTACAAACCACAACCATATTTGATGTTGGTGATTCTATCGTCACTAACCCTACCTATCTAACTTTCCTCCCCCTCAAGATTCGTCTGGTCTTTTAAAACATTTCATTACCCCCAACAGCATGCCTGACATGCTGCCACGATTTGAAACAATCTTCACAACCAAGACTCGACGATGTCCTTAATCGCGTGTTTGATGGCCATCTGGCTCTTCGGAGTCAAGGCTATTCAAATCTTCTACAACTGGTACAGACTCAAGCACATCCCAGGATCATTCTGGATCTCATCCACGAAGCTTTGGCAGATCGCCACCCAGATGCGAGGTAATTGGTACCTCGAAGTACGAAAGCTTGGTGATAAACACGGTATGTTTTCCTCCCTTTTCCCTTTCTTTCCCTTTATCGTCAATTTAAGCACCATTTCTCCTAAAATTCTTATTAACACGATAAAGGAAAATTGGTCCGCATCGGACCTAACCAACTCCTGACTACTGACGTTGATGTGATTCGACGAATGGCCCATTCCAAGTCGTCTTACACTCGTGCCCCGTTCTATCAGACGTTCAGATTCATTCCTACTCAGGACAATTCTTTCTCTCTTATTGATGATGTTGAGCATACTCGTCTTCGAACCAGCCTTGGACCTGGCTACGTTGGCAACGAGTTCGTAGAATCATGTGTCGATAATCAGTGCTCGCGTCTCGTGAATCTGATCGAGAAGAAGTTTATCTCAACCCCCGGAGAGTACAAGCCTTTGGATCTGACTAAGGTCTCCTTCTTCTTCGCGATGGATTGTGTTGGTGACCTGTCCTTTGGTCGAGCATTCGGCTGCCTCGACGAGGGAGAAGACGTCCACAAATTCGTCAAGTGGAACGAGGATTTCTTCAACATTGCGATCCTGATCTCGAACTTCCATTGGTTGACAAAGATCTTCTTTAAGCATCCCTTCAACAAGATTTATCCGTCAGCTCTCGACAAGGACGGCGTTGGCAAATACATCGCGTATGTTCCTACCACATTCTAGTTAATTGGATACAATAAGCTAACTTCAGAATCAGACTTGCACAAGAAGCCGTGAAGAAGAGTTACGACGAGGGTCAGGGTCGCCTGAGAGATACACTCTCATCCTTCATTGAGCAAGGCATCACAAAGGACGAGGCAATCAACGAGCTGATGTTGCAAGTGTAAGTCTTCCCCTAAATTACTCTTCAAAGACATCTTTTACGACACTAACAACGTATTAGAGTGGCCGGCACGGATTCCACAGCAACTGCTATCCGAATGACCATGTTGTTCCTCGTCACCAGTCCCTCTGCCTATAGCAAGCTCAAGTCAGAGATCTCTGAAGCCATCTCAAAGGGAACGATTAGCTCGCCAATCAAGGATGCCGAGTCTCGTAAATTGCCGTATCTTCAGGCTGTCATCAAGGAGGGACTACGCGCATTCCCCGTTGTTACCGCGACCTTCTTCAAGAAGGTACCCAAGGGAGGAGATTTCATCAACGGTTATTTCGTCCCCGAGGGCACTGAGGTCGGACACAACGTGATGGGTATCATGCGAGCAGAGCAGTACTGGGGCAAGGATGCCGATGTCTTCCGCCCGGAACGCTGGCTCGAGGCCGATGAAGAGACTTACGAGATGATGACAGGTGTTCTTGAGACACTCTGGGGATCCGGACGATACAAGTGCCTTGGCCGAGCTATTGCCCAGGTCGAGTTGAACAAGGTGTTTGTTGAGGTGAGTTATGACAACAACAAGGGACAAATGTTTTCCTATGCCCCTTTCCTAGACCCCACTTTTCTCTTTCATCTCCTACTACCTACCCAAAGAAGATTGAACTAACCAAACACATCTTTTAGTTACTCCGCCGATTCGATTTCTCAGTCGTAACTCCTCAAGATCCGGTCAAGATCGTGAACTCCGGTTTCTTCCTCATGTCTGAGATCAAGATGCGAGTCACGAAGAGTGAATTGATCAAGGAGTAACTGACTCACCAGGAAAGGGGTTAGGGGTTCAGGGAATATTTGGAGTTGTGGGGGGTATTTCAATTCTCAAAGTTGCTGTTTAATATGGTCGCTCTGGACCTTCAAAGGCACTTCGAGCTGGTCTGGAAATGGGATACCCGGTTGATACTTCATTATTCCCTTCATATACCCCAAATGCACATTGCAGAAAGGACGCTGCTGTCTGTCCGATTATATCTTGCTTCTCGCTGACTAAGCTTGGTTTCACTGTGATTTGTTTCCGCTATTATTTCGAAGGGGCATTTAACGTGGGTGAATTAGTCCCACCATCATCGTTAAGTGAACCAAATGGACTGTTAACAAGTAGTAATCATGAAACCTAAGCACAATCATGGAATTAATCACCCAAGTATTCTTGTCAAATATCAACAGTCAAAGTCCCCTTCATAACCACAATCGCAGTACCACCAAGCCAGAGCTCCTCCAACGCCACGGAGCCGTCTCCAGGATCCTTCGTCGTAGTCTCGACATTAATGTGGCTCGTTCGGCCCATCTCCACCCCCTGAGTGAGTTTAAACTTCCTCCCTTTCTTTTCCTCATGAAGGGTAAGATAGGATCCCAATGCCGTAGCCGCGCTCCCCGTCGCCGGGTCCTCGAAGCCCAGCTCGACCATACGCGAGCGGATACTCCTTTGCTCCTCCTCCTCGCCCAAATCCACATAATAATACCTACTAACGAAGCTATCCCGCCATCCCTCATCGAGTAGCGGTTTCGGTAGATTGGCGAAGTCGATTCTATACGCAGTGCTGACCTGGGCCAGCAACTCCAGCGAAGGCAGTTTCACCAGGACAAACGTCATCCCTTTAACCACGCTAAACACGGGCGCCTTGAGCTCGGCCTCGCGGATCTGCGGCACGGGAGATAGACCCGGGTGCTTCGTGGCGTCGTCGGAGCCGAGCACGTCCACCAGTGTCTTGGCATGCAGGCGCACGTTATGCGGGATCCTAGCGCGGATGGCGTTACCGGGCTGTGGGACGATGCCGATGGGACCGGCCTTGGTGACGAGGGTGTCAACGTGCGGATGAAGATTGTACTTGACGAGAACGGCGGAGCCGATGGTAGGATGGCCGGCGTAAGGCAGCTCGCTCTCAATGGTGAAAATGTCGATGTCGCGCTGCTTCTGCTGTGCCTGGTCCGGCTCCGCCACCTCGTGCAAGAACACAGTCTCTGAGAGATTGAACTCTTGAGCTATCTTTTGCTTCGTCGCTTGCGTGAGCTTGTCCTTCAGCGTCGCTGGCACGGTGACCACAGCCAAGGGGTTACCTTGAAGTCGCTTAGATGTAAAGACATTGAGTGTCACGAATTGGAGATCCATATTGGCTAGGTCTTTTAAAATTTTGAACACCTGTAGGTTGAAAATGTCAATTCTTTTTTTTTTCACAGGTTATAAAGGTAAGAGGGTATATATGAAGATATGGACGGTTCGAGTCACATTTAAATTAGTGTTGATTCCTATTTTCGGACTCTCATGCGAAAGCGCTAGGTACTTAGGCGTGTGGAGATGACGATGACGACCTGGCGATATCCGACAAAATCAGTTAAGGGCGTAGGGTCCCACTAATTTTGACGCAGGTTGACAGGTAGCTTAGGTACCTATACCTACTAATAACCCCCAAATAGTAGGTACATAAAAACCATACGTTGCTCGTTACACCCTGCGGGGAATCGTGCTGTTAATATGGTGTCCCTTAAAAATACAAAACTTAGATGACTAGATTAGCAGTAATGCCGCCCATAGACCTAGGGGATTGGACTAATCTAGGCGGAATGTCTAGTTAGTGTTCTAAGAAGGACTCATTTTATGTGCGGACAGTGTCAAGACCAGCACCGGACTGGAGAGACACGACCAAGGCAGTAAGTCGATCAATTTTAGCCGATAGTTCCGAGATTTGTACCTCCATATCACTAGGTGCATCGCCGGCGTAATCTTCTGCATCTTCTTCTCGGAGCTTTGGCCTGCTAATAACTTCGGAACTAGTACGCCGTGATGTTGGCATGCGTGGCCGAAATCCTGACCGTATCCTGTTGTCAAGCCGGTCGAGCGGTGGAGCTGATTGTCTTTTATTGAACGAAGTTGTCCGTGGTCCGCGAAAATTGTCGAACCCATCCGGGTTGACTTTCTTTGTGAGCCATTCATAGGCCTGGATCACTCCGACAATTGGTGCGTGGGTTGCTCTGAGGAGTAGGATACGGCCTTGACGAAATTTATCGTCCGAGGGTAGGAATAAACGTAAGGGTCTGAAGATGCCTAGCGCGAGCAGATTGAACGGTGCTGACAGCTTAGGTCAGTATCGAATGAATAAATAAATAAATGCAGTAGGTAAGTTAGAACTTACGGTAAAAGTGCGTGAGCCTATTACTAGTAGATGCTTCAAGCACATATACACTATACACGTATAGATACTCCTCGCGGGCGTGTGTGATAACGCGAGAGAAACTGTTGCTTAGCATACCCGTTAAAGAACCCATGAGCAATATAGAACTCAGGGTGACGAATATAAGCATCAAAGGAGGTCCTATGAGTGGTCATTAGAAGAGTCACCATACCCAGGCTTTCAAAAAAGGAAATATACCAAAAATTGGATCAATATCCTCCATTATATCGAATCCAACATAACTAGATCCAAAGAAGATCTTCGTCACGATCATAGCCATGTGCGGGAATGTATACATCTCTCTCCCAACAAGAGAAAACGTGGTCAAGAAGCCAACATATACAATAATGACCAAGACCATAAATTTCAGAAAGTCTTTCCCCATCTCCTTAAGACAAGGGATCAAAGTGCCCCAGTATGGTGATAGACTGAGGATTGAACAGACTCTGGGTACCATGAATAGAGCTTCTAGCGATAAGACGTCAAAGGCAATATCTACAAGAGTGTAGTTTGCCTGGTATAAGCCAACAAATCCTGCGATTCAAAGTTAGCTAGAACTAGCTTACATCTAGTTAAGCCGGTAGGGGGTTGCTTACTCAAGACTGCAAAAACGATTCCTATAGCTATCATGATCATATCAAATAAATTCCAGACGTCAGCAGCGTAGAATACCGACCCAGCATCGATATACTCGCTGACTTCGTCATAAAAGAAGGCGGCAAACCAGATATAAAGCAGTATCTCTAAAGGAGTAATGGTGTACCGGTTTTGTTCGATCAAGACACTATAGTATAACATTAAAAATCCGATAAAAAATGCGACCTCATAAGCCTTCAGATATTTCGGGACTCGGAGGCGAGAAAAGGGGTCAGCTGTAACTGCATTGTAGAATCGAGGCTTTTTCTCTGAATGAACCGAAAGACGGTCCCAAAAGATAATCTCGCCATTCCAAATGCCTGTGATAATCTTTTGCACTACGTGCTGGCTAAGGAATCTTTTCGCATCTGCAATCGCCGCGATTTCCAGGGCATTGAGATGTATGAAAGGTGCCGTGGGGTCTTCTTCGAGTTCTTCGACATCACTAGCATGTCGACTCATGGTCAATTTAGAAATTGATTTAAATAGCAGATTTCTTCTCGAAGATCCCGAACGATTAAAATCGGAGTAGTGGTCCGGTGAGGAGGATCCAGATGTGTGACGTAGCAAAGATGTCCTTTCGTTGCTTTCGCCGCCGTCCGCAGGCTCATCGGCATCGGAGGAACATTCTGCTTCTAATGGATCCGGAATCTCATGTAGGCAAAACTCTACAGCTTCTCGCTCTGACAAACGGGTCAAAAATCGCCAGGCGACAATCTCGCAGGCGTTCGCGCGGGCTTCACTAATTCCTCGGCCATCATTAATCGTGCCATAATGCCACCGCAATGCCCTATTACGATATTAGTAACGGATATAGAGCTTGTAGGCTAAATTATCTGATATTTCAATATGCCATACTAAAGACATAACTAGGTAATTGATTATAGATGGGCAATGTAAATTAAGAAAATATCACTCAAGTATCTCACAGTAAAGCATTTACGATTGCAGGATTGGTGACCTGAGTATTAAGATGTTCGACAAGGATGCGTAATTCATCGCCGACTGCTGTGGTCCGGAGCTGCTCAAATGTACTTGGCATATGAACTACATCGGTGATACATCTATATAGATCTAATAAGTATAATTTCGGGGCTAGTTGGCAAGTCCGCACTTACTGAGACAGCTTCTTAACAACATCACGGAAGGCATCGTCATGTTCAATGTCAGGGAGCTGGACATCTGGGTGTGACGAGATGGGCGATAGACCACGATCTGGCGTCGGTAGACGACGCGACTTGACGCGAATTGGCATCCTAATTGAATACTTCTGCCGACTCGGTAATATCTGCGAAAGTAAATTTCATTCCGGCAGAACTTTGAGTTCACAAAATGTCCGGGGAAGATCGATATAGAGAGATGTGAAACGGAGAAGGTTGGAGGATTAAAGAAATTGTGGAATAAGTTCCAAGGTTCGTCCCGTAAAATGCGGACGTTACACACATGGATGATATCCACTAATCTGATATGGAGATACCGCTAAATTTCAGCGGGTCTGTACCCCGACGTCATGTTCTAATCACCTGGGCACTTTCGCAATCGTGCTAACTCCAACTAAAATTTAGCTTCGTTCAACCCCCTTTCCACTAGTAACTTAGAAGGTTCCACTCTATTTCAAGGCTCTTAACCGAAATATCAAGATGCATTGCGCTTAAACTGAACATCACAGCACCAAGTATTCATATAATTATTGTCACCCAGACACCTTATCAAGAAATGAAATGACAGAATCTTGATTATTTTCTGCTATAGAAGTCACGCAGAAACTTCACCTATATAGATAGGTCTCCATGAGGAAGCTGTTTACTTCTTTACAACCTCAGTCTTCTCCACCATCAAACTCACAATGGCCGTGATCGTCGTCCCGCACGCTATCTCAAATGAGCTGCTACGTTGGCGCCAGAATCCTTAGTGATCCAATTATGCAGCCGAAACCATAGTCCAATAATTGTTCGGGCGGCTCGATGTTGTCTGCCGCGATTGACATAGCATATAATAGTTTAGTTGTGACCCCCCGCACGACCACGATCTTTAAACATATCTACCTGTCAGGATAGAGTTTTGAAGTTCGCTCCCGCTATTTTCGCCTACCACTAATGAGAAGCCCGAAAACGCAGGCCGCAGTGCATCCAATGCGCCAGAGTGGCTAAATTTAGTGAGATAGTCAGCTGGCGTAATGACGCCCGTAAGTACTGGCATACGGGTCTCGATTATCACTGTCTAAGGCGTTTTAGCGGATTTGCTGGTTGATCACTACCTAGATATTCGCCACAGTGTGTCTGATTATACCGTTATGGAAGCTTCCCAAAGGCAATAACGAGTTCATAATTCCGCGAGAAAAGATTGTGTTGCGACTGAAGAACATGTGGTTCACGAGGATATCTAAATTGCCCGACAACACTTTTTTTTCTCGAGACCAACCATATTAAAGATTTCAACCCCGATCATCTTAACAATATAATACACTGTCTGGCCGGTCGATCCCGCGGTCCTCTACTCTGTACGTTACTTAGAAATTCCGAACCCTTGTCCTACGGAAGCAAGCGGATGACCTGAGGCTGAAGGTGCAATAGGCTTCGACCTTACGGTATCCTTCAGGACGGGATTATTGTCCAGAACAAATGTTACCTTGTGTACGTTGACATTGACCGAATGTTAAAATATACCTTCCAGCTACCTGCCTGGTATTAGGTATCCATAGATCTTAAATACCCCCACACAAAGACCCTTGTAAGCCACATGGCTTCACAATCCTTGCCAGCTAGCGGGTGTGTCCTTGCATAATAGGGGTATAAGTTAAGTGCATAAATGCGATATTAGGGAATCTACTTCTATATAAATACCATATCATCCTTAATATAGATCCGGCAATTGAGGATACACGATAATTTCCTCTTCCTCGCGTATGTTTATCATGTACTTTATATATACTTCAAGCTGTCTGGCCTACATTACCCCCAATATCCATGCACCGAGATCTCGGGGCATAACTTGAAAGAGACTAGACTCTACATCAAATGTACGACCTAGCCCTGACCGACTTGTCTTCAAGTCGGAAGAAGCCTCGAGAGGTAACTGAATTCGTAAGATAATTGAAATGGACCAATTCCGAATTTACCTCTCGCATGAAAAGATTTGGCATGGTCATTATAAGATTTCCTGTGTTTAACGGCGGGTGTAATACCCAAAGTTGTTGCAACCCATTATGAGCACTCGCCCTTCCTAAGTGACGCATGCATAAACGACCTCCAATCCGTTAATTGCGGGTTAGGCACCGCGGCAACGACACCGACGGAATCCTGAAATCAAAAGCCAGCATATCTACATGACATACTTCCCCGACTTATTCACCCTCTAGTTGGAGTACCTGGCGGTTGACCGAAGACGAGGTCACGCTAAAAGGAATGAATGCTAGGAGCAGCCAGGAGGCGATATGATTCTTTATACATATTGTACGCTATATTGTAACAGCTGTGCAAAGCCATATTGGATCATACTCGAATTGTTTGGATTCCTTTCCGGTAAAAATCCGGCGAGTAATATGGTTAGGTAACTCTTGAAATAACATGTTTTGAAATCAGTTGATGGAATGGAAAGAGAGGAGGGACGGAGGGGTTATTTCTTGCCGCATCCGCCACGATTACCTAGCTCACGCCACAACTCATCTGTGGCAGTGCTACTACATCCATGCAATAAATGGCCTCCCTCGATTCTTCTTCCTTGCTTTTCTACATAGTATTTACCTCATGCTGCTCATGATAAACTTATTGCCGCGGAAGTGTAATATGGCAGCAAATAATCACCAGCATTAACTACGAGATTCATTAACATAAGACCAATATTCGAGTCCCTTGATTCGGCATTTCTCGTATCCATCATCCGTTTAGCACCGCGCATTAGCGTTTACCCACGTTGATCCTCTCCAACCTCTCGGGCATTTTGCCTAGGCGACTCGCCGGCCACTCGTGATTCCGAGCACGGTTGATATTGTTCTTCTCCAATGGACATCCGGGAGGGCCCACTACCGTATCAAAAATGCATCGGAGCGCTCAAACTCTACGGTAGCAGTGTTTGGCTATGTGGATAGCCAGCGCATCGAGACGATGTCAATTCTCTTCAATCTCGGAAGCGGGATGTAATCGTCGTCCGAGCATCTCTTATATCCAGAGTAATATGTACCATGTCCCCCGAAACGCGAAAGGATAGGGCGACAACGTCTGGGAATAGTGGTTTTCTAGCTGCATTTCATCATGACTGTACGACTAGATTAATGCAGGTACAAAATTATTTCGCGATTCGCCTGCATAATGGCAGGTGGCTCAAGCTATGTACCAAGCTACGTAATTCGGTCCTTCAAGGGATGCCAACCGTTACGCCCGGACAGCTGGCACCAGATAAAGTTGATCGAGGCATTCAACGGTTTTCTGGGCCTGCGATTATTAAGTTGGCTAAGCTAGAACCCAGATCTATCCCAACGTTCGAAACTGGGACGATTCCAACACGAGATCGGGAAGTGTAAGTAGGTACGTACCCGAGAGCTAATATTCAATGTTGGTACCATTCTGTCGGTATCGTTGACCTGGTTGCCTGGTCTTCAGTCACTGGAGCAAATGCAAATTTCCAGCACTTTAATTCATGGCCGGCATCGCGGGGTGCTCTCCGCAAGGTTACAATCGCTATGTCATTATTTTAACAATCTTACCAGCCTGCGAGCCTCGAGCCTGGAAAGTCTAGACCTGGACAGTGATCATTACCGAAGTGGTTGGAACTGTGGGAGCCGACAGGGGGTTAGCGACTAAATCCCTGACAATCTCCAGTCCCCAGAGCCTTCATCGACTTCCCGCCGTGGCTGTGCATTTCTTACCGATTCTACCTTAATTGGTCGGAAATGTCTATAAAAAGTAATTCCCAACGAATATACACTTCGTGATTCGTCATAACTTTTCCCTCCAGCCATTCGCAATTGGGATTTTACCAGACCCTGCAACCTCTAGCGAAAAACCCTTGGACCGACTGCCTTTGCGTAGCGTGTCGATCGCTGGGATTTCCTGCTGGCGAAAGGGAACCTGATTTCATCGGTGGCAATGCTTCTGCCACGATGTTCGATGTTCACGAATATGTTTCGCCTTCAAAGGTTTTCGAGAATATTATCATCGAGATATGAGGTAACCCGAGGTAATTCTACGCTTTCTTCCTTCAAAATTTGTTCAACGATATTCATAGCTTCTGCACCATGCTATGGATAGCGACAGATGTAAGACACACTCGCATCCAAGACCTATTTCTAGATTTTTGCAGCGACACTTGAGCAAGTCTCAGCCTTGTTGTGTAACACCCCGGTCGTGCATGTGCAGTAGTCTACTGCTACCTTACCCTCGCCTCTTTTTTTAAAAGACCCTTCTGATCTGTTCCAATCTTCAATCTTGTTCCTTCTCGTTCTTGATGCCGATTTGGGTCAAAATTTACTTCCTTTTCCTCTATTTCCACATTCCTAACCTGGCTGGACGACGTCTAGTCGTGGTTTGAACCATGGCCTGTTCAGCGACATTCAAGACCTGCTTTCTACAACTCCCCCCCTCCACCGCTGTTCTCCTCATCAGTGTAGCATTTGGTTTAACAAATGGCCATGCGCTACCTAGGCAAACGAAAACCATTGATTTACATGAGTTGAATGTTGTTCCTTTTCCGCAGCCCACAGAAGCTCCGATGTTACTTTCAGACCTACTACGAAGACAAGCGCAGAACACAGTTTGTGGCTATATCGGAGGGGATCCAAACCTACCTGCAACATGCTTAGCGGGCTCCCATTGTGTTTTAGAACAGAACTACAGGATGGTGGGCTGTTGTCCGGACGGCGGAACTTGTTCGACGGGTATATTTACGGGATGCGTCGACCTGAACAGCTCGCCGCAGACCGAAATTAACCCTTACGTGTATACGTGCCAAGGGTCAGATTTGTGTTACAGGAATGAGTTTGCTGGCGGATATTTCCAGTACGGCTGCGGGACCGCATCATCACTAGCCACCACTGTCGAGACGTCTGCCGAGGGTATGTCGAGCCTAGTATTTGAAGAGACATCGGTGCCCCTGACGGCATTGCCGGTTCCCCTTTCTGAACCGACTTCTATTGGATCCCAACCTCCTTCAAGCGCCACGGCGGATCCAGGCGGGAATCCTTCCTCTAGCGGACCCGGTACGGTACCACAAACATCCTCAGAAGCGACGTTACCTTCAGGTTCGTCCGCATCATCACCCTCAGGTTCTCACACCGAATCAACATTGTCTTCGACTTTATCATCGTCCTTATCATCTTCATCGTCGTCATCGTCATCGTCATCGTCTAAATCTTCCTCGTCATCCACCACTACGACATCTTCCTCCACCACTGGACTACCGAATGCTACAGGAGGTTCAGCATCATCAGATGGTGATCCAGCAGAGTCATCGACTGATCCCAGTGCGCCTGCGACGGGAGCAGGAACTGGAACCACTAACAAAGGAGCCATAATCGGAGGATCTATCAGTGGAGCTGCCGTCCTAATAGCAGTATTAGCTGCCATTATATTCTATTACCTACGGAAGCGACGAGGCAATGGTCGCGAAGGCCCTGGGCCTCTACCGACTGATGCACCACCAACAACGTCGTATATTAGGTAAGCGTCGCACGAAGCCCCTTAGTTGTAGGTGTTACTAATTAATTTCATAGCCCGATGCGATCTCACGGCGCGGCATTTGCGCCTCTCCCATCATGGCAAGATGAGGAGGATAGGCAACCACTAACCCAGTACGCCACCAATAATGGGCAGCAGCCTTACAACCCAGCATCCGAGCCGTGGAGGACAGGCCCGGCCCCAGCGCCCGCCGCCGCAAGGGCGAACGCAAATAATCGCGGGTTCTCACAGCCCTTGCGGTATCACCCCGCCACCATCCGCATGGTGCCCCCCGCGGGTGTGGGAACTGGGCTAGCGCCTGTGGCGGAAGAAGAGAGCCCCCAAGAATACGACTACACCCATAATACCTTTAATAACAATAGCAGCGAGTACGACCGCGGCGTAAGCTCTTCCGAGATCGACGATTTTTCGCGCGCATACTCTAGCGCCGGCATCGGCTCCCGAGACTACGATCGACAGCCGCTCACCGTACTCAACCCGGACGACAGTCCGCCACGCTCAGGCGCGACATCCCCAGGCAGCAGTCCTCCAAGGAGCACGACGCCAGGAAATAGACCCCTATGGCAGCAGAATAGGCAACGGGGGAGGAATCTAATGTGGGTTGATCAGAACCAGAATAATAATAGGTTTTAAGAAACGGGGTACGGTGATGATTTACATAAAATAAAACGACGACATGGACATGATATAATCTAATAATTGGGAGGAAATGCTTATAAAGACGAGGTCATGGGCATAATTGGCGTCGGCTGGGTAGAGAAATGAGGCAAGCGCATTACGGACGGCTCCTTGATTTTGGATGATTTGCATCCAGGTTCGACACGGCGTTTATTGGGACAAACCAGGTGGCGGCGATTCTGGTTACAGATTACGGTGCATTGTATAAGGGGGATTGGGTCGGCTACTCGCTACGAGGTATATATCATGAACATACATGTATTTAGGGGCGTTTTGAACGTCGACATACATCCTTTATTAAGGTTGCTCTGAAGAACCCAGAGTAGCTTCGAAGCATGGAAGAGAAGAGAGGCCATTTAAGCCTGCCTCATGTTGAACGTTGTCTACGATGGACTAGATAGCATATGGAAATACAAACCATTAATACAAGCAGCTCCATTGCAAATACTTGTCTCACATCATACTTTGCTTCGGGAATAAGCAGATGATCGATCATGTCACACTTCAACAAACCTACTAGGCCAGAGGGTTCACTAAGTCAATCACCAATATTCAAATCAAAGCATACAATCACTACTCTCCAAAGACCAATCCAATGGAGGAAAATGCAAAGCACATAGAATTAACGAATCTGGTACGTAGGGACCAATGATGGAACACCGAAGTCAAATTGCCATTTTTCATAATCTGCGCAGAATCCCCTCCCGAATTCCATAAACACCAGGGGCGCGGCAAAACCACTCCTTTGTGCAGCCGAAAGAAAACACGTAGGAAAAGGAAGAAAAAAAACAAGCCCAAAATTCCATAGCCGGCCCCTTGTTTTTGTGCACAGCTCCCTCACATCACCGTGTGAAGGGGCATAAAGTAGTGGTAAAAAAAGGGCATCCCATGCTGCGCATAGTGGATGGCGGAACTCCAAACGCCTCGTAAAACCTCCCAGTCCCATAACCTTGACCCATCATACAAACACCAACTCCCCCCATAGAACGTAACCATAAACGACGGGCCTTTGGCAGGAAATAGAGATTTGCTTCGAGAAGTATGAGATACGTGGATGATGATGATATGTACGTCTTCTTAGACGACGACGTGGGTGCTCATGTGTTCCACAGCTTCCTTAATGCTGCGGAGCATTCGCTGATTGACGCAGAAGGGACAACGGATGGGTCGATCTGCTGCTGCTGCTGCGCCTGCACCTGCACCTGCACCTGCACCTGCACCGCTGCTGAGGGCAGCAGCGCCGGAGATCGGCGTTAGGGTGAGAGACGGGTCTTCGTTGGCAGCGGGAGTGAATATAGCACTCGTGCGCTGTTGAGGCTGAGGCGTTTGTAGGTTGGGGGCAATGGGGGGAATTCCCTGATCCTGTCTGTCGCGTTGTTCACGAATGCTTGCCGCATGTGCCTCTGCATCTTCTTCGTCCTGCTGCATCTGGCGCAAAGCATTCTGAAGTACAACCTCAGGATCTTCGGTGCCTGCGAATGCATTGGCGGAGTCGGCGGGGTTAACAGTCGCGCCGGCAAGTGTGGGGAGGGCTGCAGGAGTAGGGTTTTCTATTCGGCGAACAACTTCATCGCGAACCTGGGCGCAGGTAGCAAGACTAGCTTCGAGGCCGACAACGCGAAGAATAGCATCGCGAATGGCGGCAGGGCTGGTATTAGCGCTAATGTTCATAACTGAAGAGACGGTATTAATAAGGTAAAGCATGTCATCGGCAGGATTACCGGCACTGCCATGGCGACGTTGGCGTCGAATTAATAGGCCATATCGTTTTTTGAATCGATGAATCCAGCCTGGAGAGAATTCGGGCGGTGACTCGTCCTTGTAGCGTGGTAATTGCTGGAAAATAGACTTGGCCTTCTCAGCCAGCTCCTCATTAGAAGGGTTGCGACCGGAAGCGACAACTTGACCGTGCCAAAGTAGGACGAGCTTCTCTACGTCGGGCCAGTTACCAAAGCGCAAACGCGAACCGCTGAATTGATTGTCATTGTCGAGGCGTGCGTACTTAGGCGAAAGTGAATGGCTAATGGTTGACTGACTAATGTTCTGACCATATTGACTGTAAAACCATTCAATACATGCCTTGTGAGAGGGTCGGCTTGATTGACTGTGAGCCCAACGACGAAGAGCGCGACGTTGGTCAAGGGTAAGAGAGTGTCGCTCTTTGGGCGTTCCGATGACAGAGGGACTGTCGGGGGCTGCGGGAACGTCCGACATTGTATTGATGGTTAGGATGGTTAGGATGAATTACCTAGCTATAGCGATGCTATGCTACCGTTCGGGTAGTGAGGTAATCTTTTTCGGATTAGATGGAAAAAAAGATGTGAATCCTCAATTGATTCAATGAAATTCGCCGGTCTAATCGTGTAAACGATCTCGAACCCGGGTTTTGGTTGTAAAGGGGGCGAGGTTGTGCTTAATGAAAGGAGGAGAAATCGGGGTCAGCGGGTTTTGTGGCTTCAGAGGTTTTTTGTGCAAGCTAAAAGTCGAGGGGGCAGGGGCCGCTGTACCTTCTCGGCCAATCGATAATCGGGTCCCTCGCCGATTCCTGAAATTAACAGGCATAAGCTTTCAGTGGTCTGTGCCCCTCATTGCATTGAGCGGCTTTATGCGTTAAAGTTCCACAAACTCCCTCCGTCCACCGCCGTTTCCTATGCAAGTTGCCGTCAATGTTTGCCTAAGCAGCCTAAGGTAGCAATGCATATCGTTCTTTCCCACCTACAGTATCTCTTTACACCATTCAAATATATTTATTCGACTTTATACCTATTAGGTAAGTACATCCAGTATTAAATATCCTTTTATGAACTAGAACACGCTCATTGCGCAACTATACGACGAATAAACTTGACAAACGAATATAAGAATTACATGTTGTACCCTCAGATCCGTGTACTAACTTTGATGCAACTAAGCAAGATTCAAAAATTTGCTATTTATTCTCGTCTTGCGGTATTCTTCCTATCTGTATACACTGGCTAAGGTAGTATTTGCCGGTATTCGCAGGTTAAGCCCATATCTAGTAACCACATATCAGCATCGATGCTGCTGGGATTCAAGATACTAGTAAGCAGCAAGAAAAAAGAAAAAAAAAGGGTCAAATTTTAGAAGAAATATACTCGAATAGTACTAGGTAGGCGCAAATGTCCCTTTATCATTTATATACAATTTACCATCACGAATCATAAACTAGTGATAGATGTCATTCAGCATTCCCTTCCATTTCATTCCCTAGTGCTATGGAGTGGAAGGTATCTCGGCGCTAGAAAGCATGTGAATCATGCACATTGCTGCTGAAGCATCCTTTATCGACCTCCTGCGAGCTTGATTCGTGATCTCCCCATCCACTTGACCGAAGGATGCTTGTTCGAGATCTCCTGCGCTCGCAAATAGGATCGAAGCCTCGGAGCAGCATCCGCTGGGTCTCAGGATACCCCCCTCACTCCGAATTCCTCTGGACGCCCCTTGGCCAACCCGACACCTGCTGCATCGTATGTTCCATCAAACCGCCTTATCGTTCATTCGTCCATACACTCGTCGCCCGGTGGATAGTTGATGATAACCTCAGAAACCTCTGATAAAGAAGTTGGGAATTTGAATATAGAAGAAGAAAAAAAAGTGAATTGGAATCCGTCCCGACAGAGGAAAACAACCCATGTTCGCGCCGGACCGTAAGGTATACCGTATAAACGACTTGAAAAAAAGGCTGACCTATGAATGCCATTTTCGACCAGACCCAAAATGTTGAAAAGGTTTTCAAGATGGGCAGACGAAAACAATGCGAATAAGTGGCTATAGCAGAATTAAATAAAAAAAAGAAGCATTAAAAAGTCGCGACAAAGTAAACTCATTCCGAATAGCCATTCGGTAATATCTACTACTTCAAGCACTACCAAGTGAATTGCGTTTCACTAGACAACATTGTACCAGTTACTACAGTGCACAGAGAAATTGCTGCATGATATCGGGTCGATGAATAGTTTGTATTCGCATGTTGAGGACCAAGTTGGTCATTGTCAAAGTGGTAGGACCGGGTTGAATCTTTGCCGAGAGGATTCATGCTTCATGCATCATGTTCGGAGAAAAAAAAGTTGTTGAACTTTCGGCGTAAATGCTAATAGGATGAAGGGTATTGGGTATATTGAAGATGGAAATATTCTGGGGGTATCAACCGTTCCGTAATGCCCTAGACCTGCTCAACAAAAACCACCAACTTTTCATTATGCTCTAAGGCATAGTTTAGATCGTTGTTGCTTAGGAGATCGAGCTTGTCACCACTTTGCTCGTCTCGGTAGAAGAGTTGGATGTGATCTCCGTTGGTTACTTTGGTACGTTCTTTAATTCTCTCATACAGTTGTTGAAAGTTGGTATCAGAAGGCACGCGTATTAAAAATGTGTCGTCGTTGAAATGTAGCTTAACCTTTAAGGACGCCTGTCCTTGGGTAACTCCTGGAGATAATGACGTTTGGGAGGGCTGAGAGAGCGATGACGCTTGTCGAGTCATCTGCGGCTGCCCATTCTGCATCTGCCTAGGAGCTGCTGATAATCCTGAGTATCCGTTTCCATTCAGATTATTCCTAGAGGATTGCCGAGAGTTGCCCTCTCGGGGAGAATCGACTGATGAACGCGATCCACCAGAGAGTCTATATTCATCTCCGTTCGAAGGGGGTTCGATTTCGTAATCACCTTCTCTCGGCGCGAAGAATTGCTTTACTAAGTTGCATTTGGAAATATATGCCGGTTGTCCTAGTAAATGCTTAACATATGCGTCTAGATTGTGTAATCGACCTTCCGTAATCGCGTCGGTCACGTAGTTAACAGGACCAGGCATGTACGGCAGCGTGCGCTTCTGTGTGCCGGTGTTTCCGGCTTCGGCAGGGAATTCGGTAAGGAGGGCGATTTGGAAGTCGTAGAAATCTTCATAGTAGCGCGACAGCTCCCAGTGCCGCCCGTCCTCTAAAGTAGCCTCAATGACGAACCAGTACTTCTCCTCGGCAAAACAGTAACGCGGTATCCGAGCGGATATAGGCGCATACAGTTGAGAGGTAGATTTGGAAGCAAACTGGCTTTGCTGCATAGTGTTTCGTTGCTGTTGTTGAGCTTGTTGTTGATACTGCTGTTGCTGGTACAGAGTTATGTTAGCACGTCACCGCACAGGGACGTAGTGGCTCATTATAACTTACGAATGACGCATTCTGTTGTTGACTCTGGCGATTTCCGCCTTGGCTTGGCTGTAAGCTCATACGTTCCATGCCCTGCTCTAGGCCCGGCGGGCCACCAGCCTCGAACTTTCCTAACGTGATGCTGCTATTCTTGTAATCGGCGGCCATCTTCTTCCATTCCTCAACCCGCGGAACTCCAGCTCTTTTTACGGCCTCTTGGGGATTGGCAACAGCAGTGTCCGTAGACATATCTCGAATTTCCACAAACGAAACAGGAATGAGACCGGGGCCTCCTAGACGTCCGATCGGCTTGGCGACAAACCACTCCGGATTAGATTGCGCAATCACTATAATCGCCTCGCCTGCTTTCGCCTCCAATTCATCTGCTCTTTCGGCCTGGAAGTCGTACATGACGATTCCGTATACCATGGCGCCGTTCTTGACGACAGACTTAGAGCTGCGCTGGCTAAGCGCAGGAGTCGGAGGTACGTTTGTATTAGTCTCGGAAAATCCGGAATCGTGGTCGTCTTTCTTTAATCCCAGCGGGTTACCTGGATTACCTGGATCGGATTGACCACTATCCCTCTCAGTACGTCCAAGAGCTTGGAAGAATGATACCGGGACGAGACCTCGTGCATCAGGGAGAGCCGGGTTGCATGCTTCGTACCAGTCCGAATCATTCTCCCGGCCAATGACATGGAAGAAATCACCTCTGGAAAAGCTCAACTCCTGTGTAGATGTCGCTTCATAATCGTAAAGAGCTCGAATGACCTGTAATGTCTCGGGCATCAGCATCGTGTCGAAGGTGACAAAAAGCGGGTCAATCCACCGTCACCGTCAGTGGGAAGAAAGGACACACGCAAAGACGAACAAGACTGACCTTTTTGGGGGGGACAATAGCGACTGCAGATTTCGGCGCGATGGACAACTGAGGTTTGTCCTTGTCGCCTTTGATGGATCTCCTAAGAGCCTGAATAGAGCGCATTATGTTAGCTATGGCGTCAACGAGAGCGATCAGATCGCGTTGGGAATCGGAACGCGACATGAATGCGACCGATAGGCAAATGCGTTTTTAGAGGCATGTCTGGCAGAAAGGAAGGGTAATTGCGGAATGACTCAAAAACAAATGGAAGGGAGTCCTAGGTTTAATGGCGCACCTTCATCGTCGTACAAATTCGGAAGTTTGCGAAATGCGAAAATGCGAATGGCGAATTGTTAAGGGTCTGGTAATAGACAGAGACAGGAGGCGGAGGCGGAGGCGGCGCGAAGTAGGATTCCAAAGAGGAACGGGCGCAGACTCGTTAACTCGCAGGCTAGAAATGGCGGACGGACTATTCCCGAGGCTCAGGCACTTGTTACGCCAAGGCAGCGGAGTCTCGCGGTGCTGTTCGACAGCGGGTCTGAATCAGTGCGACAACGTGTAATAGGAGCGAAGCGAATCGTCGTAAAAGGTCAGCCGGTGAGATCGAATAGGTGAAGTGAGGTGCGTCAAGGTGAGACCTTTCGCAACGCAAAAGAAGAAAATAACGAAATTTCCCAAAAGCTTTGGCCTTATTCTGCTCCTCGACCCCGATCGATGTCGAACGATTAATAATTGGCTAGAGGGAAAAAAAAACAAGAACAGGCAGGCAATGAGCAATGAAATTTCCCGACTCCTTTTTTCCCCAGTCGATAAAATCTCAATAAGCGATTGCCGACCCTGAATTGTCCCTTTCACCAATCTTTTCTTTCTCGGGTTTGCTTCTTTATCTTTAATCCCAACTTAGCCACGGTATACGGTTTAGTCGGGTATCAATTGTCTCGCAAATGCCAATATGCGTCACAGTACATAGACGTATAATAACAGATTTATTCCCGTCTTGGCAGTCGTATCGTCCTTTTTGTCGTTGATCGTCGATAAAAATCGTCGTCTTATATTTGCGATAGTCGAATGTAGAAAAAGTGTCGACGGGGTCTGTTCAAAGATTAGGGATTGGGGAGGTCAGGAGGACAAAGGAAGGAGGGAGAGGAACAGGACTGGCTAGATTTTGCAGTGACTACTTTGACTGCTTTGCGCTTAACCAGGATGGGGGTTGACTGACTGGCTGAGAGAAGAGGGTGGAAACGTCGAAAAAGGTGGAGTAAATTGAGTCGGGCGTTAGCATAATTGGGCAGGCTGAGTCGTAGGTATGTGCGACTGTGGGTTTGTGGGTTGCAAGTTGGTGGTCGGTGGATATGCCTTCTCTAAAAAAATGCTTGAGATGGGCGGATAGCATGCATGGATCACACGGTACGTACCTTCTATTACTACCTAAACACAAGTACACATGTACCTTTTACACATTTGTGGATATGTACTCTGTACCCTTTGACCCATTGGACTCTTAGGCCACGGGATAGCGGGGTCTTCTTCGAAAAGATCCGATTAGACCTACATAAACTGCCGGGGGCTTGCTAGCAAGGCAGCATTAGCACATGTTAGCCCTGTAAGTTTGGAAGTTTAGTGCATTTGACGTGCCCCTAGAACGTGGAAGTAATATCCATCCTGATCCAGTTTCATCAAATCATAAAATGATCTCACTACGTAAGCAGGAAATAAGAAATAAGATAATATTATCGATGTCTTAAATAATATGACTTATGCCGACCTACTAGTATGATAGGGAATTAATGACGGCAATAGAGGAGAAGGGATATAATCATTAATGTGATTAGCCAGTGAACGAGGAGCCTCCATGTAAGGGCTACACTCCGGTTAAGATATTGAATAGGATATTGAATAGGCGGTAGGTATCTAATATTGAACTGACAACTTCCAAGGTTCCAGGGTTACCAAAGTTCAATGTTGATGGCATGACATTCCAATAGGTCAATAAGAGTTTAGCTATCCGTAGTTGAGGCACTAGTTCCCTTTCCCAGGGCATCCACCCTGGATCATTCTTAACATTGAAGAGCTCCGTAGGGTTGTTTAGGTACCTTGGTAGTAGCTAGGTACTTCAGGTTGTTTGCCCCTCTACCCCTCCGCCCCTCCCTCACCTTCCAGCTACCATCTTCAGGGCTATGTGTGTACTTTCCACCTTCTACATATCACCCCGCCACCGTCACATCGATTTCCAAGGTCACCCCTACCGTCCCTGCCTATGTGCTTAATCATGAACGAAAAAGCCCTGACTAGGTACTAGGTAATTATGTAAATCTCCAGCTCGTCAACTTGGAACTTTCATGATCATTTGATTGATTGACTGACACAAGAGTCTACTATGTAAGAGATCGCATTGACTCTTCTGAAAATCGTGCATTATCGAACACGATCTACGTGCCAAGTTGACATATTTTGAGTCATTCATCCCATTCATCCCGTTCATCCATTCTGTTCTGGTTGTTTCCCCGTCAAACACACAAGGATCGGAATTCAGTCCCCCTGAAATCACTGATGGGCGAAGACTTCAGAATACAGCCACCCGATAATAATATTAACAGCTGAAAGAAAATACATTCAATATTCTCGATACCTCCAATACAATAATCCGATAGGCTTAATTAAAGCCTACTCTTTACGAACTTTCCAACCTGTCGGATGTCTGATAAGGCTTCGCACAGTTTCAAGGTTAGGATATCCTGGGTAACATTACTCTACAACTGTCACGACAACGCATCCGCATATCGAAAATACATAATAAGACCGAACAATTTATTTCAAATACTAATATCCGGAAACATTTCTTCAAACTACCTAGACTTTTGACGAGCATATAAAAATTTTCCACGCAAAAGTCGGACTTGAAGCTAACAGGAACCGGGATGTTGTGCTTCACATCGAACAAATAAGAATAGATGCTTTAACTTCGACACCTAAACCTCAAGGGGCGCCCCTTGCGCATACTCCACGCCCCAGGGAACTTGTCAGCTTGTTCATCCATTTTGAAATTGTACCTTGCAGCATGCATGGCGACCTACATACTACATATGCATCATTAGGTGGAAACTAAGCATCGTTTGTGACTCGAGTCTTCATAGACAGGGAGAGCGACATGAACTAAGAGCTCCTAGATCGGGACTGATCGGGTGGAATCAGTCCAGTTTCGTCATGCCCTCCAACAACGACAAACATAACATCCATATATGACTAGGAAATGCGCGGTAGCTGGTCCATACAAATGCGAACACATCTACAAGCACAATTAACATGATAACAGTTCTAATTGCTACAGTGTCTCCTAATGGACTTGTCTGCTTGTCAACTTCCTTAAGGACAATCAGGTTTATGGGGAAAAGCAACGTTTCTATGGGCTAGACCCAGACACACGCGGCACTAAAGGTAAACGAATGCAACTAGGAAGCATGCAGGGCAAAAGCCTGAAACACCACAGAAATTTATTACTTCTCTGTACCTAAGCGTAGGTACGCATAGTACTGTTGAAGCATCTTCGGGTCCCCATTACCTTATACACTTAACTCAAAGCTTTATAGGCGTTACTATAATTACAAGACCCAGCTTATTGGATCCTCGATAAACGAAGCCTTACCTATTTTTGAAGAGTCGCCATGGACTAAAGGGGATTGTTACTACCAACGTTACCTACGTAATTACTCACAGACCTCATAAATACGTAGGTGCTTCAATGATTAACCATGATTAACCTACTAGATGACGTGCTTGGCCAACCATATATCAATATATCGACCTAACGTTGTATCGTTACGTACTGCAGCCACAGCAAGTAATGCATAACGTCTAAGTAACAGCCCCTGTCCGGACCTGCCCCGGCCAGCCCGTAAAGCCCGGAATGCATTCCGGGGGCTTTTCCAGAATGGTCGCTAATATTGCCCTTTGCATGGCACATCAGCCACGTTCGACGACAAGTAACAGGAATCTATTACATATGCGCTGCTACCAAGATAATAGATCGGAGGCCGGAGGAGGAGAGTCCAGATCGCGAACTAACTACATCTGGTGTGCTTAATGGTTCATGCGTAGACGAACCGGATCGACCATTGCCGGCGGCGATTCCAAAGCAGCATGAAACTGGGCGGAGCGCTGAAACATACCTGGGTAGTGACGACGTAAAGAAGTCGACGGCCCGTCCTCTTACCAACTTTTGGGATTTGCGAGAGGAACATTTTTCATCGAGGGAACGGGAGCACATCGTTTATCACCGGCCCCGCAACCGATCATTGTATGCAAATCCGTGCTCTACAAGACCTTGATTGCCCTCCCCCCTCAACGCTTTGACCTAAGTTCTCGATGCATCTCGCATGTGATGTAGATAATCAGGCCACACGATACCACAGATCTCTCCGGGAGACTTGCGCCAAGAGATTGATTTACTTCGCCAGCGGAGCCGAATCGACAAATTCTCCATTTTCTCCTCACCTCAGTGTTCACTTCGAGGTCCTCACTCAGATCTGATTCATCACGTAAGTCGGCTAGTCGGACCCCGTGATAACCAAAAGCCCCCAAGCATTTAGCCACCGTCTGTCATATGGGTGTCTCTCGTCGCACACCGAATCAGGCCTCAACCCAGCACAGTCTAGGCCGCCCCCTTAGGACATCCCATCCCGCGCACCGAAAAAAAGGGTCGGGTCTGATCGAGACACACAGGCAGACAGGAAAAAAAAAAAAGGGAACGATCTCGTACCTCACCCAACCACCTTTCGCCAGGCTTTTGTGACTCGGGCAAGTAGAGCCGGAACCGAAAAAAAATATCGACATGTTCCCGTCATAAGGGAGAGGAGCTGCAGCAGGGCAGGGCAGGACAGGGCTCCCCTCAGGAGTCCAAAAAAAAACGCCTTAGCGCCACAAATCAACCCAATTTCCTCGCCCTGCTGCTTTTTGCGTCTAGGTACTCGTATCGTCTGTGCGACTTCCCGTCGCGCGGGTCTCGCGGCACATACATAGAGCGCATCTGACAGGATACGGGAAGAAGCGAAGAGAAAGCGGCGGCCACCGTCTAGATTCCCTTGATCCGCACCCGGCATCTCTCTGCCCCAGGCCGTGCGACGTATCCCGCCTGCGCGTAGGGTAATCTGTCTATCTGTCTGCCTAGATACGCTCGGGTAAGTTACATAGCCAGCATCGCGTTGCGCGGGACGTGAGAACACAGGCACGGTGATGCATGTCTTAAATTTCTAAACTCTCCGTCAGCTTTCCCTCGCGGCGCAAATGCTGTTGGTTTCTTATTAAAAAGTCAGTGCGAAGGAGAATACCTAGGTTCATGTGAAAGAAGTGAAGAAAAGGGGCGGAAAAGAGTTTAAGATTATTATAGTATATTTTTCAACACGTAATACTTATTTACCTACGTTTAAACACCAATTTTATACATGAGGTCCTAAGCTATCAGCTTCTTAATATAGTAAATTCGCTTTTACGAAAGCATTTTATTCAGGCAACCCAGAAAAGCCCCTAGGACTATTTTCTGTCCGGTGGCCTTCACCATCTTACGTTCTGTCTATGAACCAGCTCAGTCTTGACAAGTGAGCTTCCTGGTGCAACAGTTATCAACCCAAGTCTAAAACTAGGTATGCTAATTTGACATCTTTCAAGATATGTCGTGAAGTCGAACAAAAATAATGTTGAACTGCAGAGATTAATGGCGATCCAGCATCAGATAAAACTGCCCAGTCACGATGCAGGAGATGATAGTAAGGTACTCAAGACTGCAGATGAATTATGTTCGGCATCAGCTATGCTGTCTGACTGTCGAAACTATGAAACTTTTATCTCGACTTAACTATCTAGTTGTGTCTACCAATCCTTTTTGTCGAGCCCTTCCATGAAACTCCGAGTTAATAGAATAGGTTGATGAACAACAGGGTATCGGTAAAGCAACTAGGCCACTCGGTCCAGAAACGCCGAACTCCAAACACTTCAGCTAGATAGACACCAAGATGCCGAGGTCAACCAGTGCTCAGTAAGCACCCATTGCCCCTGTGTCAAACGCCAGCCTCGAAATCAGATGAACCCCTCCACTCCCCACCGAAACTTCCCCCCTCGGCCCCCAACCACCTATGCCAATGCGTACCATTACCGTTTACTGTGATGTAAAGTCAATGTAAGGGCCTTTCGAAAGCCGACGTAGTAGACCACGAGAGATCGATCTCGAAGAGATATCAATAGTCGAACCACAGATTCGAACCCAGGCGGAGCCAAGTTTCAATATCCAGAGTCATCTATCTCGTACGCATATCGTCAAACTCAAGAAGTGGTGTTGTTCGGAAATGTTGCAAAGGGTGTCTACGAAGGAATGATGCAAAGTGACTTGCTGCAGTCACAGATGCCAGAAATGATGAATGTTATGTCGGAGAGAAACGCAGGGGATACGAAAAGAGAAGAGAAGAGGTGAGATAGGTCAAATCTGGCCCTTAAGGTCGACCCTACGGAATGCTTCACTCCGAGCCGTCTCGAAGAGCGTTCCAGCCTTTCCGGTCAGAAACATAATATGCTCTGTCCGTTCTTGGAGGAACTCTCCACCGTTGTAATCGAGAATGAATTGGGCAGCTTCAGCGTCAGACTCGAACGCGAGCTCCTCAGTAATGTACCGTAACTTAAGATCCTGTTTAAATCTGTTGTCAAATTAGCGCTAAGCTCTCTGCAGTGATTCGGGGGAGTACTCACGATTTGCACATGGTCGCAAGTGCAGAAAGTCGCTCACGTTTAATGAACATATCCATCAGATATGCCCCCATATTGGGGACGTCCATGTAAAGCTGGAAGAACTTGTGGTAGTTGCCTAAAGCCAACGCTGAACGTACGTCTAGTGCGTGTTTGATGGGTCGCTCTTCTTTCTCTGCTGTGGTTAGATCTGCAATGGCATCATTCAACGCCGTTCGGTTCGCTGTGTGGATGAAATACAAGATACGATACGCCTTGAACTCGGTAGAATTGCCCTTCAGTCCAGCCTTGTAGAGAGCACGTAGCTGGGTCTGACACTGATTATACTCACCAAGATCCCCCTTCTCTAACGCAATTCTAGCATGGATTTCATAAACGGAAACGGTAAACTCATTTCTGACACGCTGCACGGTCAGATCCTGGCGAAGCGACTTGAACTGGTCACAAATATAGTTATAGTTGCCGTCCTTACGCCACTTCTTCTTAAGTAAGTCCAACGTTAGGTGTAGGATGCGTTCAGGGCGAACATCCGTCGCTTTAGGGGCGGCAGTCAGACGAAGATATCTCTTTTCTAGATTCTCGTTGAGACCAACGATGGGTCCGGCAGGGGGCGGCGGGCTAGGAGATCGATAGGAAGACTGGTAACCGCCATCACCGCGGCGCTGCCGCTTCTCAACATTTTTCTGAAACTTACTTTTAGCCGGTAGGGGGCCGTCCATAGCGGGTTTAGTAATTCGGTCTTCGAGGGAAAGTACCTTAGCATCGCGCCACGGCACTGTAGGCTCAGGTCCGCTAAGATCCGAGGATTTCCTCTTCTTGGGGTTTGCAACAGCTGGGGTAGCTGTTGCCGATACTATGACTGGTGCCTTCAACGCTTCTTGACGTTCATACTTAATGATATCTTGAGGCAAGGGCATAGTGTTCCAATCCGCGGTGTACATCGTTCCGTTGTCCTGAGTGAAGCGTATAGTCTGCTTAAGCTTGGCTTCCATCTCGGCACGGGATACACCGGAATCCTGGCTCCACGTCTGGAAGGATCGTTGCACGTAGCTGCGGACGGAATCTGGCCAGTCGAACTTCTGTTGCTGAGGGTGTTGCTGGTTCGTTTGAGAAGCCATGGTAGTTGTTGGTTGCGGGGGATTAGCAGGGGCGGAATAAGGATACTGTGGTTGGACTGTATATGTTTGTTGATCAAAGCCGGTACGAACCGGAACTGCAGTATACGCAGTATCTGTTGAGAGTATGTATGTTAGTATTGATAAAGAAAGGATCAAGATTTATAGAGCGAACAACTTACTGATTGATTGCGGATAAGAGTATGGCGTTGTTTGGACGCCAGGCGCCGCTTGTGATGCCCAAGACATTGTCGTCTAAATGGTTATGTGTTCGGTACGGAGTGTGGCTTCAGTGAAATTAAAAGGTTAGTACGAAAAACGACTCTTCAGAAAAGCGAGATATAGAAAAAAACTGTAGTTATCGCCTTGTTGACTCGGAATTATGTGAACAAAGGCAGTCACGTCAGAACAGTTTTTGAGATGGAAATTTGTGGTGGAAACAAAAGATGGATGGTTGGATGGATGGATGATGGATATTGTGAATAGGAAGAGGAAAGACGGGAGAAGCGCGGGAATTTTGGCGGTCAGGTGCAAGTAATTAGAACCTGGGGCAGTCAGGTTGTGTGTTGGCAAAGTTCACTTACCTAAAAACGTTAATTAGTCGCGTCGAGGCTATTGGGTTTAGTACGCTATACGTGGTCTGTGCTTAATATTAGCAAAAGTCTGCTGATACACATGGATGCATAGGGTAAGGATAGTCCACTAAGGTAGCTAGGTACTGGGAGGTAAGTACTCACATGGCTGGGATTTTAATGAGTGGGATGAACCTACAGGTTCTTATCCAAGGACCGTTAATGTTGATGACAATATGTAGGTAGGCGTGGGATTTAACTGTAACTGTTAAATGTGAGAATCCGTTGATGAAGATTCGTCGATGGACCACCAAAGTAAAAAAGTGGAAGTTTTATGAAGTAGGTGGAAGGTTAACGTACAAATCAGTTTCCGGTCATGAATTTCAATTGATTGGTGTTATGCAAGATAAAAGTGTGGACCCTCTAGATTGATAAGAAGGTACAAAGTACTTTGGTAGGTCAATGAGTTACGTACCTTCCATATGAACATGATCTCAACCTGCATCAATTCAACATTAAATTCTCCCAAGATTCCTTTACTGTCTGCTTATATATAATCGGATTCACAGATAATAATTCGGCCTAGCCGGAACTCTTCCTGTAATCCTGCCTCTTTTTCCTTCAGATTGAACGATATGACGAATGTTTTTAAAACAAATCGACCTCACTACCGCCCTCAGGCCGTCCTATCTACCCGACGAAGTTCTACTCTTCGTCCAGGACAACGTGGGACTCTATGAGGGGTGAGTTTGTTATTGATTTATGGGCGATTCTCGATGACGTTGAATATCACTCAGGTTACTAATTGTCGTTATTACTTTCTTACCGACAGAAAATACAAATTAGCCAACCAGCAAAATGGACAAGTCTATCTGACTTCACATCGAATATGCTATGTCGATAAACAGGAGCCTAGAAAGCACTCCGTTGCTCTAGATCTTAAAGATGTGGAGAGATACGAATTTTATGTACGATCTATATTCTTGACAAATTAGTTTTATAGTTATACTAACATCTAAACAGGCAGGGTTTCTCAAGTCTTCCCCGAAAGTAACTCTCATTCCAAAACCAGCCAAACGAGGTTCTCTCCAATCTAGAGCGGCGGCAGCGACATCTACAGCTTCTCGAAACGGTGGAGCATCACCTTCACCGGCACCCGATCCTGGGTTTCGGCTTCCCTCTAACGGCGCGTCCCAGACTAACTTGGCGACATGGATATGTACGATTTGCAGCTTCCCGAACCCGGTCCCATCCAACTTCGATCCAACAACAGCAAATGCACATACTCCATTACCACCGTGCCTAGCATGTGGTATCAAACCAGCATTAACACACATTCTGAAGGCTTCTATATCTAATGCTACGAGTAGACAAGTGACTTCCTCTGCTCCTACGCACCAGTCACCATTTGCGCTTCCATCTCGACCACAGAGCACCAGTCTCGCAGTCAATGATATAGGCGGTCTGGAAGGAGGTGTTCCGCCACCAGATAGAAGAACTGGTTCGACAACGACAGATGGCTTTCAATGTCCACGTTGCACTTTCCTAAACCACCCTTCTCTTCTGTCTTGCGAGATATGCGGCGCGCCTCTAATATCTCACGATGTCCCCATGGCGGCTGTGCCTAATCATGCGAGAACAGACTCGCCGGGACCTACACTGAATGTGGCTAGTGTAGCCGGCCTAGAGAATCCCGAGAGTGTCAAGGTGTCTTTCCGGGGCGGAGGGGACAAGATATTCTATGAGAGACTGAAAAGTTCCATGACCCAGCGCAAATGGCTCTTGCAAGAAGCACCGCCTGTTCCCAGCGGGAGTGCCAATGATGTACGCTCCGATTCGCTATCGACGTCTGGGCCAGGAACTAGTCGAAATAAGACTGCCGGAATCGCAGGACTTGAGAAGATGGGTCTGGACAGACGCAAGAATAACGAACTGGTCATTGGGAGTGCATTCGAGGACCTTGAAGCTCTGATGGCTTCCGCTAAAGAAATTGTAGCGCTTGCAGAGTCATTTTCTCGACAAGTCAACGGTGGTACCGAAAAGGCAACGTCTGAAGCAAGCGCCCTACTCGCCGAGTCTGCTAGCCAGTTAGGGCTGGTGACTACCAAGGACATTGTTGGCGGCTCAGGATCTGAAACACTTTATTTGTCGGAATTGTCTAGAAATCTTGCCGAGTTCTTGACAGACGACGCCAGAGGTGTACTTAAGAAAGCTGGCGGAATTATTAGCTTGGTTGATCTATGGGCTATGTTTAATCGTGCTCGCGGGGGCGTTGAACTTGTTAGTCCTAACGACTTCGAAAAGGCTGCTCGGATGTGGGGGAAATTAAGACTACCAGTTCGATTACGCACTTTCAAGAGTGGAGTGATGGTCGTCCAGAGTCGTGATCGGACAGACGGAACTACAATTAAGGCATTGCTGGCGTGGCTTCGCGATCTACATGATATCCCGCCAGATAGAGATGTGACCTGGGATTGGCAGGAGTTCGGTCGCGGCGTTACTGCGCAGGACGCCGCCGAACGATTTGGATGGAGCATTGGTGTTGCCGAAGAGGAGCTCGAGATGGCCGAGGAAAAAGGCGTCCTCTGCCGCGAAGATGGTATCGAAGGGCTTAAGTTCTGGGAGAATTACATCGATACCGGGGAATATCGTAACAAGTCGCGGCAGCGCAATGATGGAGACAAGATCATCGAAGCCTTAAGTTCGGCTGGTCTACTCTAGATAACACCATATATCATGCCCAGATATGCAAATTGTTTGTCCAATGAAGTATTCCTGCTTGCCTGAAATTCTATTATATAGTGTGTCATCATATCGTCAAATTCTGCCAATACCCAAGTAAACCACCCTAGAGCTTATTGCTTTGCTCTTATATATCCCAACCCATCTAATATAGCCAACCAATATTTTTTTTCCATTTTAGAAACCAACATATACCATATCCATGCCGTACCTATCCCATATCTTTTCGATATCCGCCCAGTATAACCAGTATCCGTGAAACGCCGTCCCAAACCCACTTCGTACCGGGTGTTACCTTGTACCATATATCATCAAACAAGCCACCAACATCTTCTTTTCAAACCAAACTCTCCATTAAATTCCTCCGCACCTTCGTATTAACTGTCCCACCAAGCCCAAACGCCGGGACTATCCTACATATCCTCGCCGCCGTGCTCACCGCCCAGTTCTTCCAGACCTGCGTCCATCGATCGCCCCAAGGAACCCCGCGACCCCCCGTCGCTGGCCGGTTGAACATATCCAACCCGAGTAGATGTACCGGTGTCGAGAGAATCTGCACCGCGGCCGGTGCGGCGAACTGTGCGACCGTAGTCCCGCTTACCGTCTTCTGCCACGCGGGCTTCATGCGCTCCGTCAGTATTGGCCCGAGCAGCGGCGGCACGTTGAACGAGGCGAAGATGGTCAGGCAGTCGCGCATTGTGAAGAGGAGGTAGCTTGGCAGCGGGACTGGGCGTGGAGGTCCACTGGGACCGAATAATTTGACGAAGAACTGGTCCTTGTACACACAGAGCCCGACGTTGGCGGCGCTCGAGGCGGCGAATTTGGGAGTTCCTGTTGTTACGTGGGTCGCGGGCTGGTTGCGGGCTGTGGATGTCGCTGTGTCAAGCGTGTTCGCGGTTAGGTAGGTGCCCCCGTATACCATGAAGATCAGGGCGACGGGCTTCGAGAAGATTAGAGCGTGGGGGCGTAGGAGAAGCGTTCGGAAGGAGGATTTGAGGCTGTTGGAGACGGTGCTTCGGCCGGACGCGTTTTCCATTATCGATCTTTACGTGGTGGAGGAGGTGGTTAGTGGTGGTGTTGAAGGAAAGGCTTTGTCGGGTTGGAGGCGGTCGCTTTACCTATCAATCACGGCTATTAGAGGTGCGACCATCGACGCGGCACAGGAAGCGCTCATCAAGTCTGCGCCCAGCCGAAGTCCCAGGTTCTTCGTGTTCCGTTGCTGCTGGTGCTGGTGGAGCTTCGGTGATGGCATGTCGATGGCGCTTTTTCTAGGAGTCGGGATGAGGGACGTTGACGATGCTGGCATGGCTAGCTGCTTCTCGACGGTAGGACCGACTTTATCTATTAAATACCGCAGCTACCCCAACACTTCGATGTCTCCCCACGAATCACTCAAAAGATCTTCCCCGGCAAGGATTCACGAAAAGGAAAAGTAAGAGGAATAAGTTGATGGAGACATCGGGACCTCGCATCTGTGCGTATCAAGATAATCAGGTATGTGCCGGCAACTAATAAACTTATAGATTGATGGCTTAACTAAGTCCTTTAATTCGCTCCCCCCTACGCGTAAGGGGTGTTACAAAGAGATATCTAATATCTGTAATGGGCGTATTAGCGCAACTTGATAGTTCAGCTTATTGTCTGTTGCACAGCATGCAAGTAAATGATATTCGTCCATTGAGAAGCAACAGCTTTCTAAGCTTTTACACCGAAATCGGAGATATTTGATAGGCAAAAGGTCTTGATTGAAAGAATCCCTGCCAAGCTAAATTCGGGGAAGATAATGCCAAGAAAGAGATCTGAGATCTAACATGGCGGACAAGGTTTCCCTTGAATCCGAGGTCCGTCCCGGGTCCTAGTGGATATTACCTAAGCGAGTACTTGGCACAGTCGTGAAATTAAATTTGTTGTGGGTTCCAAAGATCCATATTAAATACGTGAGCCAGAATCTTTTAACCTACAGCTTCACTCCAAAACTATCGATTCCTCCCCCATACACGTCACAGCTTATTCTTCATACACCTCACCTGGCGATTGACCATTGAGATACATTTCGAGATCGATGTGTTATCACACAAGTAAATCCTGCCTAACGGATCACACAACATGGCATTCTCAGGTCAACAACTGCTCAACATGAGCCAGGCTTTTGGCAGTGACCTTCAACTTGACGAAGACTTCATAACTCTACTCGTCTTCCACTCACATCTGTATGTTATAATGTATGATAATGACTAGTTACGCGCTTCATTTAGAAATTAATATATATCTATCTAAATCTATATTTCTTGCATTTATTGAACACTATGCTAAACGTCTCTCGCTTCGGAACTATCAAACAACATGGCGAGCAAAAAGTTCACGTCTAACCTGCTCGTCTCAATGCCTTATCGGTACGGTGCTATACCTAATCATGACGGAACGTTGGCCTTATATGAAAAGATATCCTCTAGTAAAGATCGCCGAGGCCCCATCTACCAGCTTCGAATAATGAACATCGCAACTGGAGGCTCATATCCGCTTCGAAATAATTTCATGGAAGTTGGAGCGACCTGGCTTGGAGATGGGACCAACAGGATTGCCTACTACGATAGCACCTACGATTATATGACAATTCAAAACGTCGACTGTCAGACTGAATATAATTCATGCCGTATCGGCGGATCCGTAAAAAGTTTCCGATTAAAGCCTCTCGAAGACGGTTCGATCGCCATAGTTATGCTTGGTTTCACGGACGCAGAAGGCCGTTTTTGTTACCCTCGCGATGTTAAGCCTGAACATGACGGAATGGTCTTTGACAGCTATCGAGTACAAGAGGTAAGGATCTATTGACATATTAATATACACTCTAGGCAAGGTCTAACATTGCTCCCTATAGATAAGTAGATACACCGACAAGAAATATTCAATATTCTACTCGACCTTGTCTAGGAGCGGACCTGACGGTTGGGAAATCAAGCAGCCTCTACATAACATTCTTGCCGGCACGAAACTAGAACCTTTCAATAACCTCGATCTGGACATATCTCAAGGAGGGATCACGTTCGCTGCTAAAGATTTAGATGAGAAAGATACTTCCCTGATATATTGTTCTTCCAATATTTATTACATTCAAGTAGATTCGTTTACCACAGCCACCGTCCATAAACCCGAAAAATTAGGCGGACAAGACAAGGAGCCTCATGGGTACAACTGGAATCATAGCCCGAAATTCAGCCCGGATGGATCCCAGATTGCATTCTATCGCTCTCCAAATCGGATTTGTATCAATCGGCTTGGGTCACCAAATGTGACCGATGTTTTTGGTACTGCGACCGATAAAGGATGTTCGCTAATACCAATGGGGTTTGAATTCGCCCGGGATGGCCGCAGTTTATACATGACCGCCGAAGATCTCGGTAGAGTTGGTCTTTATAAACTCGATCTGCAGCCAGGCGCATATCCAAAGACACTTTTGCGCGATGGGTCCGTAGCAGCATTTTTCCCATTTGTCGAAAACAACGAAGAAAAGCTCTTGGTCAGCAGTTCCAGTTTTGTGGACAACTCGATCTATCGCATTGTCAACACCGACGGAGATCCTACCCCCACATTAATTTCGTCTGTTACGGAACATGGCGCGAAAATCGGCCTCTCATCGAAGCAAATCTCGGAGATATACTTCGAAGGCGGCGGTGATTATCTTGTTCACGCTTGGATGATGAAGCCAAGCCATTTCGACGAAAGCCGACAATATCCTTTGGCTATCCTGGTACATGGCGGCCCAAGAAGTGCGTGGAACGATGCTTGGAATTGGGAGGCAAACCCTCTTCTCTGGGCCGAGAAAGGTTATATCGTTGTAGCTCCCAATATCACAGGCAGCACTGGCTATGGTTTGGAATTTCAAGAAGGTACGTGGAAAATCATGGGTTTAGGACTCTTGTCTAACTTTAGTAGCGATACGAGACAACTGGGGCGGCCGACCGTACGACGATTTAGTGAAATGCATGGATTACCTAGAGACAGTTCCCAACATTGACATAAATAACGCTGTTATTTGGGGTGGTAGTTATGGTGGGTACCTGGTGAACTGGATCCAAGGCCATCCACTTGGGCGACGCGTGAGTGCTTTCGATTTAACCGTCTGATTTTGTTATTAAGGCTGCTAATCCCTCCTCTCATTTAGTTTAAAGCAATGATTTCTCGCTCCGGTGTCTTTGACCTGCCAACATACTTGCTGCAGCGCGATATCCTTTTTAATACATTCGACTTCGATGGTTCGCCCTTATTGTGGGAGAACGCTGAGGGTCTCGAGCGGTATAACCCAGCACGCCCAGATCTCCTTCGTAAATGGAAGACACCCATGCTTGTTGTCCACGGCACTCACGACTATCGATGCCCGTTGTCAGAGGCATTATGCGCCTTCCATACTCTCCAAGCATTAGGGACACCGTCTAGGCTCCTCCTATTTCGAGGCGAAGGTCACGGTAGTGTTGGTGGACCGGCGAATAAACTCGAATATCAACGGCAGGTCTTTGCCTGGGTTAATAAGTACACAGGTAATGCGGACGAGGCTGATGTAGTAGATGATTCTAATACATTTGAGGATCCTGATATTGAAGATTAATCTAAAAAGGCATTATACTTATCTGAGATATCCTCGTTGGTTTATCAGTCCAGTTAGATAGATAGAAATTGAAGCTAGGCTGTTGCGTTCTGTATGATAGCGTATTATGGATAGGATTCCTTGGCAATTTACTAGCGTCCCAGCAGCTTGGATCCCCCACTATCACCCCTGTAAGTCCATTAACATCCCTGTACGTCTTCCCCCATAGATCTCAGATCAAGTGGAGCGTAGGTATGGTTATTATTTTTCTAATACTCATTTATGTTGCTTCAATGCCAAAGGAAAAGCCTGTGTTCAGGATTGATTTTGGGCCGGTTTACAATGCCATCAAGAGTCGCTTATATCATCCTACCTAGTATGTTATTGTTATTTTAAAGACAAGAAGACGGTGGTGAGAGGCTGTCATATTACTCATTACCTAGCGACACTACCAATATGAATACCTATAATCCCCCAATCCCCAAAGCATGATACCTGAGATCCAAGCCCAACCGTCCCTATTCTAAATCCACAACAACATGACCCCCTTTCCTTGACCATTTAACTCCTTTCCACTATCCCAATATCCCAACCTCACCTCTAAAACCCACCAGTCCCCTGAACCCTTTTAATAGCGCCGAGTAAGCCCTTCGCCCAACTAAATCTCCCCGCATCGACTCCCGTCGCGCCATCGGCCTCCTTCCCCTGACTGTCCCTCCACACTCCGTCTTCACCCACCCTCCCGTACAAATGGGTATTCTGGTTCCGCCTCAGCGCCTCAATCCACGCGCCACAGACCAGCGGACTATCGATCATGACGTTGATCTCCTGAGAATGGAACCAGCTCTGTGTATCCTGGTTTCCGTTGCCGACGATGCCGACGCGCTCGTCCGCGATGAGTAGCTTGATGTGGCAGCTACGGCGTTTCTTCGTCGCCGTGATGGGTGCGGTTTGATCTTTCGCGACGTACCAATACCAGTGTAAACGCGGCTTGGCGTCAGGCGAGAGAAGTTTGGTGTAGAGGTTGTGCGCGATGGATTCGTTGTGGCCGCCTTGCATGGGGAGCATTTCACCCTGGAGAGTGCGGGTTAGCTCAGTTTATGAGGCAAGTGCGCAATACCATGTTCTACTTACTGAATCGTTGTATCCAAGGCAGACGTAGCAATATACGTCAACACCACGTTCACACGCCTCTACAATAGCTGGAATCAGAGGCTCGGCATTTAGCGTTGGCGACTGGATAAAGACGTTTTTCTGCGCATTCCTTAAAGCCGACAACCACGCCGCATTCTGTGGGTTTGAAACAGAGGCGTGATTCGGTGGACCATAGGGCGGTCGGCACACAAGAGCCATCGGAAAAGGTTCATGCGCCGGGTGAGGCACGTAAGGGGTCATCTCATCCCGCGGGTCGCAATCAGGGGCATTTCCCTCGAATCCTTCATTTACCGTGTGGTTGAGATGTCGCGTTACTGCTCGCATTGGAGTCTCACCTGGTTTCAGGCTTATTGAGGCCTGCACACGTTGAATCTCTCCTGCGAGGTCGACGTCGTAGTGAGGGTCCTCCGCAGTGTGTTCTGGGAGCGTCTCTGGCGATATGACAGAATGGGTTATCTCAGAGTCGTGGTCTGCGCTGGTAACCCTACCATGAGAGCCATTGGATTCGATGATTTCACCGTTCGAGGAAGATGGGTCGGCTGTTCCGTTATGGTTTACTACTTCCCATGACTGCTTACGCTCCAAGACTTCCAAACCTTCACCATTTCTCTTAGGCAGTTTATCTGGATCGACAACTGCGACGTGGCTTTTAACGGCTCCTTCTGGTCCGAATATGGCAGCATGACTGGCATCGAAACTCCCACTTCCGCTCATGGCCGCAGGACAATCGAGATATGGTAGGGGCGGCTCAAGCTTTTTATGCCAACTTATAAGCGCCATATCGTACATAGAGTCGACAATTGGGCCCTCAAGCTGCACCATCATTTCTAGATTATCGTTATCCTGGATATTGTTGCTTTGCAAGACAGCGATTTTCCGATCTACAATCATGTACTTGGCATGAAACGTGCCTAGGAGCGGACGATGGTAGTTGATGACCTGTAAATCGATGTTGGGAATCTCATGCGAAGCAGGCAGCGCAACGGCTTTGCCAGTGTACTCGCTCTCAGGGACTGTGTAATGTGGTTCTAAGAGCTGCTTTGGACTACCGCGGTCGTAGATGATCTTCATTACGATCTTGACCTCCCGCTCGCCTGCGCGACGCGACAACTCCTTTATCGCATTCGTGATGTATTTGGAGGCCACACCATTTTGCCAAAAATTTGTTGCGAGAAATACTTCCTTTTCAGCACGGACAATAAGGTTGGACATATGCCTCACAATGTCAGGGACACTTGATGAAAAGTCAGAATTCATTCATGACAAGCAAATATGTCATTTCGTAAACTCACACAGAAGTGATTGTCAATGGCATGGTGCCGCTGCTACCAAGTAGAGACGGGCTCACCATACCACTCGCCAGGTCATCGTTAAGTGTGCAAAGAGCATCGTGGTACATCTTCAACGTAATTAGTTCGTTGTGGGTTGATTTATGAGGACATCGCGAAACTGACTCTGACGAACAAGTCGCAGGGTTCTTGTGTGCCCCATTTCCCACAGTTTCGAGTTCTCTCTATTTCTTGGAGATCGATAACGCCTTTTCCAATATCGCGAATGTCCCCATTGGGACTCTTAGGCGTGTGGCCATGATGTCCAAATGCTTTCTTCCATGCCTCGCCTGGAGACGAACATGGATCTTGAGCTAGAATGGACGAGACGCTATCTGATGAACAGCATAATTCATAAATGTGCTCGCTGATCTTATACGGAGATTCCGTCGGCACATCAGAAGTTCGGATCTCGGACATAACTGAGTGTGGCAACCTGCCACCGGGAATATATGAGATATGTAAGCGTGACGAAATACCAACAAAACGGGATCATCCGGGTTCAATGTATTCAGCATTAAAGCCACAGAAATATTTGGGGAGAATTAGCATCTTCCACTGGCTTTTAATTCATTCGAGCCAGGCAAGATGAGATATAAGTAGGTAGGTAGGTACGAAGACGTATGTATAAGTGACATGATCCTTGGAAGTTAAAACAAGACTTTAAAGACCTATGATGCCAAGACTTGGGGATAAGTCAGATAACTCAGATTTAGTGCGATCAGGGGTGATGTGGCTGTTGAAGAATGTAACTAATAGCAGCTGCAGCTAGGCAAGCTCGAGGAAAGAATGACGCAAGCTCGACTCTTCCGACATATCCTGCTCGGATAATCGGCTTTGTGCTGAAAGCAGCTGAGATGAGCAAGATGCGGTAGGTACCGCCTCCCTTGCCTTGCACCTGTCTCGTGGAGTTCCTTCCAGGTCTGAGCCTCGGAGGGGCAAGGAACAACCTTGAATCGAAGCCAACTCAATTCAATTCTACCTATTGATTCTGTAGATCGATCTAGGCATCTGATAGCCGTATACAAATAACATTGAAGTCACAATCTACTATTATCCCAATGCGCCTAGCGACTGCTTGAAAACTCCGACAATTCCCATCAGCTCTTGATAAGCAATACTAATGCTGTACGAACATGTCTGAAGAAACATAAATGCTTCATAGTTCACCCATTTCATTATCCTTCGTCAATCCTTCGAAATCAGTGAACCCTAGCTCGTAGACGAGTGCGAGAGTCATGCGTGCATGCTGAAGCATGTGGTCGAAAGAGAGGTACTTGATTAGATCGTCGGTGCTGTGAATATGCTGGTCCGATTCGCCAAAGGTTGATTCAATCACGAAAGCAGAAGGGTAGCCAGCCTTGGAAGCGGACGCATGATCGGAGCAAGCATAGCCGCACTTGGTCTCAACCCATGGGATCTCGCAGTACTCCTCGATGACCTTCTTGATGAAGGCTGTCAATAGAGGGTCAACAAAGTCTGTGATCACACCAACACTCTCAGGCTTTCCAGCATCGAGTGTTCCCTGGACGTAGCCAGTCATATCTTGCTGAAGCATGGCCTTGATATCACGGCCTTTCTTTTCGTATTCCGAAAAGATTGCCTGGCTACCAAGGAGGCCACCTTCCTCGGCGCTGTACCAGTGGAACTCAATCGTGTTCGACGCATTGCCCTTGATGACGCTCTCCGAGGATAGGAGAACGCGGAAGGCCTCAAGAATCGTAACAGTACCGCTTCCATCATCATCAGCACCGGGGGCCGGAAGAACCGATGGCAGCCAAAGGTTGATTGAATCTTGGTGAGCGCCGATGACGACAGTCGAGTTTGACTGACCGGGAATCGTCGCGATGATCGAGTTCTGACCCCACGAGTGCTTAAAGTGCTCAGCCTTGACTCCATATTTATCAGCGCCAGCCTCCTTGATTGTATCTTGTACTGTCTTTAGTAGCCACTCAGAAGACTGGCGACCGTAGTCCGACTTGTAGTATCGCGTGTGGAAGCTTGAAAACTTCTCGAGGTGCTCCTGCAATAGGTCCTTCGATAAACTCTTCAAGAGGGGATGGATGTCGGATTGGAGTTGGACTTTCTCGGGAAAAATCGGTGTCCATTTCGAAGCAGTACGTAGCGCGCCGAGGTCGCCATTTTCTGTGATGTCCATGAAGTTCAAACCTCCCTGTAATAGCTACATTAGTCATCGTGCTCTGGGATGCGGGAGAGCGCATCAGGATTAGAAATTGGAGTGACACTTACACGACGTAGCTCCCATTTTTCCTCTTCGGTTACCCACGCCGTCTCACCTGGAGACAACTCGATGAGGAACCGTTCTGGAGCTTCTACTTTTTCTAGAAGCGCATCCGTGTAAGGGAGGATGCGGTTGACTTCATTCGCTTCGATGAAACGAGCGCTAGCTGCCGCAGGCAGTAGGAGTGAGATAAGAGACGCCTTCATGGTGGCGAATCTGCACTTTAACGATTATGAATAATAACTAGATTGATGGATGAATATTGAAATGAGATAGATTCTTGGGATTTAAGATAAAAAGGGATAGCTAGTAGCTTCAGGAGATGTTCCTGAATGTCTCTATGGTCATGCGGGAGTTGGAACAGCAACAGCTGACAGGTGACCAATCTCCAATCTGGAAGCTGATGCACTCCTGGCGGTACCTATCCATGGATCCTTGTTAGCACAGGCCATCCCCCAACCATCGCTGTTATCAGTGGTTGAAATGACGTAATTTAACCTGAGAACGGATCCGCAATGTACCTAGGTATCTGCCTCATACTTCAAGGTTCCAAAGTTTTACCGTATTATATTACGTAAGAGCTAGGCACCCACATAAAAATTGGCTTACATAATTAAATACTGAGCCCTTAGCGCTGACGACGAGTATCATCATAGCCATTGAATAAACGACAAACCATATTCAGGGGGGAACACACCGCTAAATCACATTGGAAGACATCGAGACATCATTATTTTGTGGTATTAAACATTTGGTTGTCCAGGCCTATTGTACTATACACATGAGAGTGCAACCTATCGTTGACTCACTGACCTAACGTTTCATGTGAGCCTCGTTTCTCCATCATCAGCATGCCTTCCTAGGTTGTCTCAGCAGTCCTGGCGGCTGCGTATATTTGATCTCATTACTAGGGCAAAAGAATAGAAAAAGTTGTCGTCCACAGATGGAGGGGTATCAAAAAACCCGCAATACGATGCGAAGACCGTGGTCTCGAATGCCGGATGATGCTATGAATAGAAGAAAACGAAACGCCGTCTCTGCAAATGTCTAAATGCCTTCACATAAAATCAGACACCCATGCTCGACACCCTCCCTCCTAAACGCCACATACGCCAAAATCAGACAACGACAATTACCAACGACGCCTTACTCGACACTTTCGGACTTGATAGGATGGAATAACATTCCTCTGAGGCACATGCGGTCTGATTTTGACTGCTCGGTCTTCTTGCCACCCTCGCCGTTCTCCTTGGCTCCTAACCATCGTCGCCAGAGAGCACCACTAAAGCCTGCGTTGTAGTAGAAACTACCACCTTGCATGTTATGTTCGCCCCAACCGAAAGGGCTCTCGTGTGGCGCAGAAGGGTAGTTGAAGGTCTTATCCATGGTGTCTAGCGGCCATTTTCGGTCGAAATAGACCGGATGCGGGGCGTAGACAGCTTTGTATCCGTGGTGTAGCGCAACGGTTGGCGGCCACATCTCCGGGAACATGGTATGGTGCAGGCGATACGTTTCCTCGTGCATAGTGTTGAGCAATTCTCTCGACAGTCGCGCAACAGTGATGATTGCTACTCGTCGAGGCGGAGTTTCAACTGACGTATTATATCCCGATACATCATTGCGAAATACCCAATTTGTCTTTGCCGGGTCAAATAAGGGATCGAACACGATTAAATCTGCATCCTCACCAACCCCCCATTTATAATCGTCATCCTCGAATTTCGTCGGCGGCGTATTCTTTTCGGGAGACGGTATCTTTCCGTAACCACCAGTTGGAAATTCCACGGGTCCCCAAACTGGTTGCTCTTTTCTTTCTGCCGTCTCTTGCTCGACGAGCTGGGAGAACTTCGACCAGGGACCATGAGCGCCGGGTATCCAAAATCGCGAACTTCTCTCCCATAGGAGCTTTCGTGGCTGCTCAGCTGCCCAGTTCGAAATACCATTGTGGAATTCATAGTAGTGACCAGTATATCTCAAATCCATCTCCCAATTCCAAAAGAAATCATATTCCTGGTGCTGCTGAGCAAACCATTGCAAGGCGAAGTGTGCACTTCGATATACACCATGAATATCGCCCTTTGAATGGTTTTCGACGTTGTCTTCCTCGCGGAATGGGCCAGGGTAGTAGGTTCGCATCAACTGTTCCGACCATAATGTCGTAATATCCCAGAACTCCTCGGGTACATTGGCTCTGAGTGTCTGATTATAAATATCCTCTGATGCCCAAATTGGTATCGAATCGTCCTTGACGTGGACCAGGAGGTGTACGTCATACTCCCCACCAGATTTCAAAGATAATTCGGTAATCATGGCTCGCAGCGACAAAAGTTGGATGTCGGTGTATTGGTATCCCGTCCAGGTGCGCAATACATAGGCGGATCTCTTGACCTTTTGTTGCAACAAAGCTCCGTCGGCGCTTACTAAACTGGGGTCAAATCGTTCCTGGTTCTTTTTAAAACATCTCTTCTGCGCTTTGCCCCAGTTAACACCGCGGTAGTCGATTTTGGTGAACATCTCCTGGACTTTCTCGGCTCCTACATGCGCTGAGTTGTTCGAGAGTCCAAGTCCTCCCTCAGCGGGGTTGTAACTATAACCGTATGGCCCAAAACGACCAAACCGCTCCCAACATCTATCCGGCGCAGTTTTAATGCTCTCGTACGATCCCCAGTACGGGGCTGCCATGCCGGCAGGAATTCCAGGATAGGCGAAAACATCGGGCGCACCATGCTCCTCATTCTCATCCAAATAACATCTCTTGGGGGATTGGTGAAGTTTCAGATACTCCTCCGACTCAAAAGGATAAGGGTTGACAACAACGGGATCGAAAGGAGGAGCCTTATTGACCTTGATCTTTGTTTTTGGCGCGGCTTGCTGTTCCGGGACCCAGTCTGTATAATTCACAAGGGTGCGGACGCCGTTATAAAAACCATTCAACCTACAAGCCACGCGTTAGAGACACCAACGTCACATGTTTTATTTCTGAGACATAAGATAGATATAATATCTTACCGGTCATACGCTTCCCAATGATAAGGGATCCTCTCTTCAGTTTTATCCTTCTCGGCATAGTAGCGGTTCGCTCGTAAACTTCCACCAGCGATTAAAACGAGCGTGACAAAAAATGCCAATGTGGCGATAACCAGTCTCTTGGGTGATGTGCGGAATAACCCTAATCGGCGACGGGGTGTAGATGTCCCTTTGCGCCGGGAATCTAGCATTATAGGCGACTCGTCAAGAGGAGAACTGGCATGGCTCATATCATGAGAAGGTAATTCCTCGTACACGACTTTGGATCCGGATCCTGGAAGACGAAAAGAAGGTATCAACGACAAGGGATTTTTGAAAGGACCCATCCTGACGGTAGGAAATGGGAAAGAAATGGGGGAAACGACCGAAACGCGTAGGTGAATTATCCTTCGCAAAACAATCCTAAAGCGATTCGAAAGTTTGTTTTTCTCAGCATCCCGTTCGGTCCTACGGTTGGCAGAAAAGAAACGAACGTCTGCTTTTAGGAGATAGTGAAAGAAAGGAAAGGAAAGGAGTGCTGAAAAAAAGGAAGGCAAGCCCTGGAAAAGGCCAAGACAAACTTGAAGAAGTGGAGGGTCGTGATTTACCAGGACTCGAGATGAGTAAAAAACTGGATACTTGATTGGACTCCACCAAAAAGAATGACGGAATCTCCTATTTGGTGGGCTGGAACGAGCTTCAAGGGAGGAACGGCCCTCTCTCAAATGATTGCACCCCACATGCCCACCAGCGCCTACATGGGAAGGTAACTTTTACTACGTAGTGGGTTAGGTCCTTGGCCAATTCCTGCTACTTCCGTCTAATGCCCCGGCAAGGTACGCCGATACTTCATCCGTAATTAGAGCATCTAAATTCTCAACCTATTTGACCTGATTCGTTGAAGGAGTAAGTCGCTCTTTAGCCATTCTAGCCATTTACGATAAAGATCCATCTAACGCGAAAACATCTTTTAGAGGTAACTTGTGACCGATTTTACCTCCTTTTAGTACACAGATTATCTACATATGGAATTATAGTCCACGATTGGTTCGACGTTTGGATATATGGATCGATATCCACGATTCTGGTGGCCATCAGGTGCACGATAGCTGCAGAATCCCTGCATGTGTTCTGCTGTAGCATATCTTACACCTACATTACATATGCAGCCCCTGGAGATAGGTACTGTATGTAAGACGGGTTGGACGGGAGGAGTATACCAACCACAACGCATCGCATCCAACATTACATGAACTTTACGTACCCAGCAAGGTAGGTGAGTTACATCAGGTTTTCAAGCTTGGTAATCCACGGTAATTCACCTACTATGTAATAGGCATATGTATTCTTTGACGACACTCGCAAGCGTAACCTGAATCACTGTCTTTTAATGCATTAAAAACATGATTTAGAAATTCGCGGTTCCTGGTCAGATGACAGATAAGCGAGACACTACCTGTAATGCAATAGCACCTTTCCATGAGGCTCTGCAGCGGGAAAAGGCGAAGCCACCCCCACAAGCGATGGTTGAAATAAGACAATCTGGTGTCGAGAAACAGGAACCGCTTCCTTTCGGCTGGATGACTGTGTGATCAACTATACGGAAACTTCCAACGGCACATGATCTGATTCAGCTTACCTTATCGACGGTCTTGTAGAGATACAGTTATTATCGTCATCACGGCAAGTAAATGCAAGTCATGATAAGACGTGATGAAGTGCTGAAGTTCGCCGCCCCCAATTGAAGGATTTAGCAGGGATGGTCGCTAAACTTGTTCCAATCGAATTTGGCCCGGTCGGAATCCTACGCTACAAATTATCCCTCAACACCTGAACTCCTTAATAGGTGCAGTATAGTATCTTCTGCTGACCGATAATCTGTGCGACGCTGGTAATGGACATGACTGGGCAATTTTACATTTATGTAATCACGAGCACAGATATATGGATATGCTCTGAATATCGTACCTTCAAATGAACCCAACTTTCTGGTACCGTTGGAATAAAGAATCAAAGTTCAGATGGGGTGGATTCCTATTCTTAGCAATCAGTATAATTACACGTCCAGGCTAGAAGAAAAATGACAAGAGTCTAGGCCGCATTCCTGACTCTACATTACAGCGGTTCCCATGTCGTGACACCGAGACTAGTCTACTAGGTAGGCGGGGATTTCGCCCGAATTGGCCGATCTTACGGGCTGTGATACCGCCAAATTGGGACAATCGACACCAACGGCTCTTGCATTGCATGCTTAGGGGGTCGTGATTGCACAGCGCAATCAACATCTTCGGTGTAACTCGAGCAAACTTCAAGGTACCTAGTGACATTCGAGATCGCTTAAACTCTAACAAAAGGATTAATAAAAACTTTGTGAATACTTAGCGTTACTGCCGATATTTGATTTGCTCAACTTCGTGGCATCTTGTACTGCTTTACGCGCAATTTCAGGGAACATCGTTCCATACAACCCGCGAGCTCCAATAAGTTCAAAAACGTGGCCTGGTTTAATCCAAAAATCTTGTTTATGACGTAGTGCAAGATACCTAGCTAATCTCTATCGTATCAGACATGCCAACCACAGAGTCGTGGTCTTCCCACCGCTCTATATGTATATATTGATCTCACTCATCAACCCGGAACAGTACAACGCCAGTCATGCCAATCGTAGAACCATAGGACAACTATAAAACCTCGCGCTCCTTCACATGCTATCTTCCATCTGTCGACTACGGGCCTTTGCCCAACCATCTCTTTCTTTCTTCCCTCCCGATTGTTCTAGGCCCATACCACGCTCAACCCATTCTTTACTCGACATCTCAGTTAATCGTGAAAGCGCTCGAGCGAAAGCGAAACGCTCTTCATCACCAGAAAAGAGGCTTGAGGTTTTCAGCTGGTCGATGTTACTGTTCATGTCTTCCAGCATATGCTGCATAGCATGACTAGTAGATTCGTCATCCTCGTCATCCACAGGCTTTCCGTCCCTTTTCAGGGATTCCCGTAATTCAGATGGCGATATGAATAACTCCGTCAGGGGAACGGCTGTCGTAAGGACGAGCTTGGCACGTGACTCGTAGACAGCATCTATAAATGTAATGAACCGTCTTGCGAGATCGCGTTCTCGAAAGGTCATGCCGGGAATATCGGAGATTATAAACGCGTCGTAGCAGCGCATTAGCTCGAGGTAGTCGGCAGCTCCCGTCGCACGGCCGATCAGTTCTTGGAAAGTGAACCACGCGCAGCGGCCGCTGACTCTCGGCACGTGTATGTCGCGACCCCATACCTTCTGCGTTTCCGGCCGAGGCTCTGGGTTGTCTGGGTCGCCTAGAAAACGAAGCCATTTTTCTATGTGCGAAGCCGCATGGCTGTCCAGCGGCGTATGGTATACGCCAGATGGCGGTCTTGGAATTTTGCGGTAATCTGTAGGTGAGTCAAGGTTGATGACATGCAGCCGCGCTTTAAGCAAGTGAATCGCCGGAATAAAGGATTCGCGCTGAATTCCATTCTTGTAGAGCTCGTCTGGGTGACGGTTCGAGGTGGTGACAAGAACAACGCCGTGAGACATGAGGGATTCCAGAAGCCTCCGTAGGATCATCGCATCAGCTACGTCAGTGCATTGAAACTCGTCGAAACACAGTACATTTCCCTGCTCTGCGATATCTGCCGCTACAAATGGGATCGCATCTATATCGTTCCCATGCTCCATCTTCATCCGATGTAATCTCTTGTGTATATCCTGCATGAAATTGTGAAAATGTATTCTCGTTTTTGATCGGACGGAACTCGGTAATGTATCGTAGAACAGGTCCATCAGCATGGTCTTCCCACTCCCCACGTCACCGAACAAGTACAAGCCCCGCGGTAGATCATCCGGAATCTCTTGTATGGCCCCAGTGCCTGGTTTCGGTCCAAACCAAGAAAACAATGACTTGGTAGGTTTTAAGGTCTCGATATTCGGATGGACAACCGGTCGCGCTCGATAATGGACTAAATCGTCGTGCAGATTTTGTAAACTCCGTATAATGCCGCGCTGGTGCTGATCCTCTCGAAGGCGCCCTTCCTCGACTCGACGGTCGTATTCTTGTATCGGGCCATGACTGTTGGCTGTTTCCCAAGGTAATCAGATACGTTACCACGTAGAAAAAAAAAACGATATTGGAAAGCTTACCTTTCTTTGTGCCTTCTGTCGCAACAGTTGCCAACTGTCTAGATCCGCCTAATGAGAAAGTGGGTCGCCTCGAGACGATAGATGAGGTTCTACGGCTTGCTATTGGAGACCTAGGAACATTTTGTCGCTTCTCAACGGTCCTTGCCAATAAAAGACATTGTGTACATATGTGGTGCCTCCTCTCGAGTCCCACGATAGTTCGCGTGGAAATAGGTCGCACAAGAGGGGCGTGAGGAAAATAACGGCGCATTCTCGTTAATTGGTCCCTCTCGCAAAGGACAATATAGAGGGAGGTTCTTCGTACATCATACGACAATAATGTATATAAAAAGGTCCATTAATGTCAAAATAGCATGTGTAACATGGTCGCGATTAATATTATATGAATACCATCACAACAAGAAGAGTAATCGCTTCTTGCAATGATCCAATGACCCAATGGCTTACATATTTGCATATGCGCCAATGGCGTCAGGGGATTTACGGTAATGACCGGAGTAATCTCGCATTTAAGATGGCGGTAGCGATTGACCGAGGCCAGTCCCTTCTAAAAACGGGACCGGTTAAGTGCGGTCTTTCTTCAATTCCCGTACAGCGACTTATTACCGGTAACAAACACCGCGGTCAACTAATTCACGAGAGCATCAAGTATGGATAACCTTGGAAGGCCTACCTACCTACACATTCAATTATTAATAAACACTTCATATTCAGCATTCTATATTCTATAAATTATTTATGAATTTACTCGAATATTCCCAGTATTTCGTAATGGATCCATTATTATTTGCATGCTTATTTCACATTCTTAGCATGTCTGGGTAGTAGGTCCTACAGCCTGCCAGTACCAAACCCCACAAGCAAAAATTTCGAGTATTTGTTTCATGGACAATAACATAAGGCTAACTTCAATAAATAGTAATAAATTACATACCTACCTAATAGCCATCCATAGACATACCTAGAATACCTAAACTTCTTAGGTATTTACATACATCATGAGCTTCTCGGTGGTTGGTAAGGCGGGCTAGGGGGGTAGAAATAAGCTTGATTCTAAACACCCCTGAAGCTCACTGTTAACCCCTGGAGCGATCAATTCATCGTCCATTGTTAGAACATGAATTAACTACTTCCTAGCACCTACATATTTATATTTAGATCAGGAGGAATATATCTTACGTACCGACTATAAATGCAACATTCTTCGTATCACATTGATGTTGTTCGCTGACTAATGGCTCTTCATAGCTGGAAGTAGAAGCCCTGTGTCCCACCCACGTCAGTGGCGCCGGTTATCAGAAAGCATTTACAGATAACTTCTCAAACCCTAACCCTGATACGTACAAACTCAAGATCGTTTGAAAATAGCCCATAGAGTTTCGTTGCGTACGCTTATCAAAGCAAAGCCTCGTCCGGTTGGTAGTACCTAGCTACAAAGGGGCTCCTTTCTTTCGAATAGGGGTATTCTCTCTTGCTCTCCCATGTAGATGATCTCAGCCTGGAAATAGAGCATATGTGAATGACAAACGAAGCGTTTTAACTACTATATGGTAGCATACGTATTTACCACAAGTTGATACTAATTGCGTAGGTAAGTTTACAGAACCTTTCGTTACTCGCGATGTCACAAATAGGGGTAAATGAGAATTATAACGTATATGGGCACGGCTAGAATATTCCTAACCAAACCAGTCGCCTGAATACGGCTAGACCTACAATACTGTCTTCTAGAGTTAGTGATATACCAAATTGCCGATATTATAAACCATCAGGAGTTACTGTGTAGAAGTGGCCGAGATGTGCCCCCTGACAGAATCCTACCTACTCTTTACCTCAGTACGTCTACAAGTCCCGAAGGTGCACTATATCTCATTTAATAGATCCCTACTTGACGAAAGTTTAGGTTCTATTAATGGTAAATAGAAGGTGGAAAGTATACAGAAGAGTTTGGAGGTTTGATGTTAACCTAGGTAAGGCGAAATGAGACGGTACGATGGTAAAGTCTATATCGGTAAGGCGAGATAACAGCCAAAACCATACCTCTGTAAGCCACCAAATGATAGAAAAGGTTTCACTTGACGTGAATACATAACAGGGTACCGTCGTGAGGTTGTGATATGATAGAGCTAAGTTTATAGGGAAATATTTCAAGATGAGAGGTGCTCTGTAACACCTCATCCAAAGTCGCGATGAAATATGACTGATTGGAACGTCATAATAGAAACAAAACCAAAAGGACTACCCTAGTGAATCACGACAGGTTTAATATGCCCTATGATTTTTGTAAGCTTATTGCCTGCCTACTAGCTATGATTCATGGCATCGACTTCGTACATCTAACATTCTTCCACAATACCGTGACCCAGTGAATCAAACAATTGTGTTACTGTCCACAACACGTGGGTATAGCTGTGTTTGTTTGCAACTCAGAAACAGGAATCAAAATGTCATAAAAGCCAAAGGTCTCGAATTGATTTCCACGAAGACTTCATAAACTTCCAGTTATTACCTAGCATCATTGACATTTAGTATGCGCCTCCATACCAACTAGCAATAATTGATCGTTACTGCTCGCCATTTACGATGGATCCTCTTCACCACCGAACACCGAAAACGAACCGGCGGAGTTGTTGTTATGACCTGAAATCCAAGGACGGTTGGTTCAAAGGGCCGAGAGACACGGCATGGACCATCGACTCGACCGTTAATGGCAAAAGCAACCCATCAGGTTACGACAGCAATACTCTCATTACGATTCTCCGCTGGTCCCAATTTTTCACCAGTGCCATGACATTGATACTTTACGTATTCACATTGTCAGCCCCTGTATTATGGCTCCTTCTCCTAGCAGGTATCGCGGGCTTTCTCTCCTGTCTTTTTAGCATACTCGCACTCTATCTCAGACACCGCTGGACGATATGGCTAGTTATCCCCGAGATCCTGCTCACTATAGCTTGGATCGTCTTATTCGCCACAAGCTCTCTCTCCTCGCCGCCGGATTCCAAAGGGGAAACATTCCAGTTGGGATTGATAGCTATTGAAGCCTCGATGGTCCTTTGGATCCAGACATTCTTGTTGGCCATAACGCCTGCCTTCCACAAGATGCTACCCCGACTGTTCGGAGTAAAGAACAGCGGTGTTATCGAACCGCACGGATCTATGGATAGATCTGAGGAGAGGGTAAGATGGTCCCTGACGCTAGGCGACGAGAAGCTAACCGGCAGCAAGCAGCCAAGTTGGGCCGCAAACGCGGCCCCAATTCCCGCGAATACTAATATATATTCTTCTTCTGCAACTCCATCTATCGCATGTCCGCAACCGACTCGTAGAGGACCTGCATTATCCGACATTGAATTGCAGGACTACCTCGCAGCTCAGGGGGCGGGAAATTCAACATCCGCACCCCGAACACTTACGACTCCGCATAGGTCGGCTACGCATTCGACGCCGTACGCTGGGTCAATCGAGAGGACGGACAGTCACCTCAGAAGAAAGCCGATAGCCTCCGGTGGACTTCCACCACTAGAAACTTCGAGAGGGGTCAGCCCTGTTTCCATGGACTATATTGGCCCGTTAGAGCCTGTCAGTCCTTTGTCGAATATTGACCCATGGTCGACGTCGACTGTCAGGGGAGGAGACGCCCGAAGTGGCTTCTAGAGGAAATTATGAAAAGCGATGCAATGTAGGCATGCGCATGAACATTGTGCCTGTCCTTGGCCATTGAGTCGGCCTATTAGGTAACTCGAAGGATTCATCGTCAGTTTTCATTTACCCACTCCGACGCGGAGTCATATCGATTGTTCCGATGTCGCCAGTAAGAGCAGGAACTCGATTAATGTTTTGGGGGTTCTCCTATGCCAGGCAATAGTTATTTTGGGTCTCGAGGAGTTGCGTCGCTGCAAGGCTCTGTCGATTTCGTTTCGTTCTGGTACTAGGAATGTTGATGAGAGTAAAAGCATTACACCATGTACATCTCATGCAGCCTCAACTTACCTAGGTGGGCATAGGTGGGAAGCATGGTGAAAGGTCACTATATTGTTTCAGCGTTTCATTATATCCAATAGACAGACGAATGAATAGGAGTTGAGACGAGGCTCCTAACGATCAGGGCGCAATTAATAGATTCTTCAATCACAATATTCTCCAAATATTTATCGATTCTTCTAACTGGCTCTGCCATTGTCCCCTTTGGGCTACCTAGTAGGCAGGCTATCATTGAGCATTGAGATAACAGACAATGACTAGGTAGGTAGGTATGTATGAAGGGTATGAACGCCACAGCGGAAATCGTCGACTCCCATGTCGCCGCGCTTACATTGAATTTTCGAATGGATTCTTTATATCCGCAAAACATACGAGAATGTCAGAAATGACGTGTTGTCGATTACCCAATAAAAGGGGATGATGGCTTTTTTCTCGCAGGGGCGGTAGTATGGAAAGGGGATGGTTCTCGGATGCGGAAGAGAACCGGAAATAGTATCTGCAATGAGTGAAAAATAGTATCTGCAGCGAGTGAGAAGTCGGGAAAAGTTGGTCGGCGAAAGGGGCTGGATACAACGATACTACATATGCAGTACATACGATCCATACGATCCAAGCGATACATCCTGACATCTAAGCAGCGATCAACATGAAGAAATTGATTGCGTGGCTATAAAATCGACTGGGTCCTAAGCGGAACGGGCCGGACTTTAACCCTCGCAGCCCTCGATGCATTTGTTATCAAGCCTGCGAGCACATTTCATTAGCATATTTGTTAACAAGGGTTAGGGAACCAGTGTGATGGATCATAAAGACGCTAACGAATCATATCTGCACATTTGCACCCTTCTTTTGAGTAATATTAGAAAGAACTACCAAGACATGCCTTAGGGCCACCAGGGCACTGAAGAGCCACCACGGTGGCACTGCTACCCTCCAACTTTTTAAAAAAAATACATCCATAAATACATCCATACAGTACATACACCCATGGATATATGGATGTACATATTACATACTGATACCAGAGAGAGAAAAAAAAGATAGATCTTATCGGCAACTGCCCATGCCCATGTACCTTTTAGTAGCCAATGCAAATGTCTCATGATAGACTATGATTACCCCAGTCGACCAGTGGACTGGCTGAGTTGTCTAACAACCAATTCGACGCCCCGGACGCCCTCCTTCATAAAACCCCCCCTCGGAACCGCAAACCGCATCCATACCCAAACTAGAAGATTTTCTTTTTTCTTCTCGTCGGCCAGAAGTGAATCTATATGTAGTATGGGTTTATCCTGGTATCCTGACATCCTGGCACCATTTAAGTAGACTTGTCATTACCCCGCTCTCTCAGCTGAATTAAGAAGGGATAGGTAGTCCAGTCCGCATGATCCGGTCAATCGGATCTGCTCACTTCCTCCCTTGACAATCTCCACTACCAACTCTTTACCAAAGAGGCCACCCGCGGCTTTACTATACCCTATTTCAATCTTGCTTTAAAGATTCAATTACCTAACTGCCTTACCGATCCTTTTTGAATACAGATCAACTAGGTTTAGGTCCAAACCCAGAAAAGACGCAATGACGATGTCTGAGGGAGATGGCTTGAATGGGCTGAATGGGTCCCAGAGATTGACCAGTCAGGCGCCCGCCCCCAGGAAGAAATTTGCGATTCCTCCCGTCAAAAACGCCTGTCTATCTTGGTACGTCGCAACATGCGCCTCCACCCCTTTAGCCTACAAGCACTATACTATACTATACTATACTATATTATTCTATACTATCGTGTACTATCGAGACATCATGGGCTAACTCATTATTGAAGCCGCGCATCGAGGACGAGATGTAATGGCGAGAATCCATGCGCAAGTGTACGCATAACCTAGTTGCTATTTCCTAGTTCGTATCTCCTTACAGTCTAAAAATAAATAACTATGTCAGGGGAAAAAAGTAAAAGCACATAACAGAAAACGTGGAAGAGTGGAGCGAAAGTATTCTAACTAGTCCAATCATTCTAGTGCTTGACAAAAGATCGCGACTGCGTCTATAAACCCAGTAGACGAGGAGGGCCTCGCATTCGGAAGAAGGCCCGACCGATGTCAGATTATCAAGATCTGGCCATATCGCTTCCTACCAACCAAGAAGAAATTCCCCAGGACAGTAAGTTGCAGTTGCCAACATGTTGCCATCCGACCGCGAAGCATATTCGATGCTAATTAAGGGGTAGCGCTCCTTCTCGAAAACTACATAGATCCCGGCGCTGGCCTTAAGCCTCTAGCTGATATCTGGAGAGACAGTGATGCTATCTATGACAACTTATTTCAAGATGTTTTAGTAGACACTGCTAATGCCACTACTCCTAACATCAAGATACCGATGGTTAGGACTTATGGAGGGAATGATCGGGCTATGTAGGTTGTCTCGATAACTACCTATTCCACCTCCCCACTGACCAATCCTTAGACTAAATGCCTATTATATCTGGATCCATCCCTATTTCCCTATCTTACCGCCCCCGGAGACGGCGCCGGTACTTGATCAAGTCTTGCCCCTCTACGAAAATGAGAGGGCCAAATTCGAGGAACCGTCTTCAGCTATCGCTCTAGCCATCTCTGCGATCCTGGCCCTTATACCATGCCCCCAGGATCCCAACCCGCTGGAGCCAGAGTCAATCCGCTGGAGGCGGGCATACTCACAATTCCACGCCAAGGCAGCACTAGAGAGTATCGAAACTGAGACGGAAAGGCCTGAGTCCTCTGTCGAGCCACCCAAAGCTCTAGATGACTCCGACGAGGAGATCTTTCGGGAGAAATTCCACTCGCAAGTTCCTCTAGAACTAGAAAGTGTTATCGCTCTCGACCTTCTCAGCGTATACGAATATGCGCAACGTGGGAACTTGAAGAAGATGCGGGCCAGGGTTGGCGCTGCCTTAATGTCCGCCATGTCCTTGAATCTTCACATCAATAACGACGTGGAAGATGAATATTCAGAAGCACGACGTCGCACATGGTGGATGACATACATCTGTGTCTGCCAAGGGTCAATCGTTAGCAACACAGTACGCCTCTTTATTCTCTAAAGGAGCAGTTTGACACTTCGCTAATATCCACTAGGCTCCGACGCTCGACGTCTTCTCATCTAGCTTTAACGCCAAGTATCCGACCGTTAAGGCCGACCCAGATGTATGACTCTTGACTTGTATATTTGACTTCTCATCTAACCGTAGACAGGCATGGCCTTTGTTCGTTCAGGCCCAGCAAGCCATTCTCGCGGCCACCCAGTTCGTTATTGACTTCAATAAGGCCAGAAATGAGCAAGCGGATATGACTCGCATATACAACAGAATGCGAGAGCTAGAGCGCCTGTTGGAGCCTTTGATCACCAAATCCGAAACATGGCTATTAAATTGCCCACTAACACAGCCAGTCGATAGGACGGAGCTCGTCTTATCGCAATCGCTGCGGTGTATCTCGCGCATCAAGTTGAACAGGTATTGCCCACACTTGAGATTTTAACTTATCATAAACTGACTGGAGTCTACGTGTAGTGCTCGAATCAAAGTCCATCGGTACTGTGCTTTCTTCGATCTCGCCGTGTTTTCGGGAAAGCACTGCGATTTAAAGAGCACGAACGAGAAGAGTGTAGTTGGTAGCCCGGAAAGTGTAACCCAATTACAAGCGTGCTGCACTTCCATGGGAAATTCGCCGTCTATGGGCAGTTCACCGTCCTCACACTCGAGCCCGTCCGGAGGATCCGTCTCGCCTACGCTTTCTAACCGATCCACACCGAACGTGGATAGTTGTGGCTTCACCTATCAGCAGCCTGCACCAGTCCAACCATTCCCATTTACCACCCACCACTCATCGAAGATATGTCTAAAGTCCGCCTTGAATATCGCCCAGGCATTCGATTCCATGCCCTACCCGAATCCTACTGGCTTGCTTTGCGACGCCCCTTGCTACCTAGGGCCATCTTCTACGTTAATCACACCGCGGACAATGCCGTCTTTCGCTTGTTGCGCGATGCAGTGCAGCTACGCGTTGCTCATGGTTAAGGACAGAACGGAAACGATGTACCCGACCGCGAATGGCGAAGCTGGGGTCCTCGTGGATAATCTCCGTGATCGCCTTCAGCAAGGCCTAGTATCTATACTAGTAACGCTAGAGAACTATGCGACGGCTTTCGAAGCCTTGGGTGGGATGAGAGGTAATTCGATTCACTCGCTCCTTCTAAAAGAGGATATAAATATATACTGACGCATCGTACAGACCAGATTCGAGACAAGGTTGATTTATCGCTAGGGTTCTGACAGGGGTTGGATGGTCTTTCGTTATAATAATTTATGGATATCCTCTTGGATGTGGAGGCATGTTAGGGCGCAATCGTTATATATAGCTTTCGTGGCTTCTCCTCTCCTTGGACTAATGTGATGAGACTTCTCGATGATCGAGACCGGATGAATTCGGCCAATGTGTACTAGAACATATGGCTGGGTATGATAACGTAAAGTAAATAATTCATTGAGGCTATGTCAATTAAGAAATCTGGTTCGGAGCCGTGTATGGATGTACTGGTGTGATAGGCTCATTAGCCTCTAGAGGTATCAAAGTACTAGGTAGAATCAAAATCTTGTCATACATCTAGGATATTATGGATACTTGTGTACCTAATGTATATTACTAGGTACCATTTATGTATTTGAAGGGTTAGACTACATGATTTGGTGATACCGCATTAACTTCGCGGGTTCCGGTCCACGACTACCGCCTTCACCGGCCGAGCTGGTTGATCCACTTCTCCCGGGTCCACTCCGGGTGTGGATCCATTTCTCGGCCGATCCTAAACCGGAAAATGGAAATACATATCAGAACCCGGGTCATGACATCCCGTACGTGGTACTTTCAAGGCAAACAAAAGTTTCCAAACTTAACTAGTAGGTGAGCTTAGTCTCCTTGGGCTGATTTCACATCAGAAATAAACAAAGGTCAACCATGATAGGCCAGAGTTAATGATGAGAATGCCACTAGATACCCCTACCCCTGAGAGACTGTATGAACTCCTAAGTACTGCCCAAGAAAATAAATAGTAAATATAAATTTTTATTCTATTACAAAGTACTAGGTGTACTAGAGCATCTACTTTCGAGATGTCAAGTTACCTATGTAAGTAAAAATCACGTAAAACGTGAAGTACTGTCTCCCTAGAAATAGGGGTAAAAAGTACCAAAGACCCGAATATAAGAAGGTACAAGTGATTACCTAGTAAGTATCTGGTTTGTCCCTTATGAAAAGTCCTCTAAATATGCCGAATGTGGTAAGGTATACGTGATAATTGGCGAGGATTCATGATTTGCGGTCCAGTTTGTCACAATGTACCCCCTATACAACGTACATAGAGATACGTACAGAGCACATCCTCATTTTTTGAGTCGACGGCATGGCCAACGATCATATTCCTCTCGATTTCAACAGAATCAGCCGCGTAACTCTGCCCTGGTGGGAGTGTTTATTTAAATCCTGCCCTGATCTAAATTTCCTTTCCTTTTTCTTTTTCTTCCCACCTTCTTCACGCTTCCCACCTCACACCCTCCACCTCTCAACCTCTCAACCACCCCCTTCCCTCACCCTTTCCCGAAGACAAGCTTGCTTATAGCATAAGCTTGTTTTCTTTCTTTGCCTTTTTTCATTTTGCAACGCTTCTATTGAAAATTTGATTCAATCATGAGCCGCATTCACAATTCCCAGATGGGTTCTTCTCCTATGGGCTCCGGCTCAGCTGAGAACGGCGCCACTAGCCACGGCTCAATCACCCCAATCTCCATCGGTGCCCGCTCTCAGGCTAGTGCCACTCCGGCTGGAAACACTCCTAACCGCGAGTCTTTTATCACTTCGATCAATGACAATCCTGACATTGAGACCTCTGCCGCTTTACTCGGAGGTGGTGCTAACACCGAGTTGCCTGCCGCTCATGGCGGCACTCATCGCGCTGGCATTTCGGCCCGCCGATTGAGCAACTTGATCCACTCTGAGCCCATTGACATTCCGGCTCGTGGTAACGGTAACGGTCACGCTGACACTTCTCCTATCCGCAGCCGTTTCAACGATGAGCTCACCCCGGGCCGCCCCCCTAGCACGGGCCCTCGTCGCGTCGCTGGTACAGCTCAGGATCTCTTGTCCACTCCCATAGCGGCTCGTCGCGGCGTCAGCCCGACTTTCGAACGCCTCATGTCGCCTGGCAGCTACTTAGGTCGTAGCCCCATGCCTACTCCGGTTCGTCCCCGCGTCTCGTCGACCATCGCAACTCCTTCGACAGATGCCCACGAGTCCACCCAGGCTGAAGTTGGCGAACAGATCGTCACCCCTGACATCGGCAGCCGTGACCACTCAAGCGTTCGTTCCTGCGGCGGCCGTGGCGGCGACCATGTCGTAGAGATCACCAGCCCCACCGACGGCATTCCCCTGCCCGTCGTATTCCCCGAGACATCAGCTGGTCCTTCTCACCAGCGCGGACCCAGCACCGGCACCGTCCGCCGTCCCCGCGCTACTCGTCTGGAATACAACGGAACTGGCACCGTCCGCGCCCAACGCGGCATCCGTGACATCAGCCTTCTCAGTAGCTCCGCCACGTCCCTGATGCCCCGATCGTCCTACAACAGCCTCACGGGCACCGAGGACGAGAACGGAACCATTCGCGCCAACGGCTCGGGTCGTGTCCGCAGCGGACACCGCGCTCACCCGCCTATGATGCAGCCGGTTGTCGTTCTTCCGGTACGTGAACCCTTTCCCTCTACATACCCCTGTCCATCAGTATCAGTGAGAGACGAGTTACTAACCCCAAACCAGTCCAGCGACAGCAGTTCCTCGCTGTCCTCGCTCTCGACCACGGACGTGGAACGCCAGCCGATGCTCAACGCGGCGGCACCGCAACAGCACCGATCGTACGGCACGGCGGGTCCCCAGGACCAGCACCTCGAGGGCGGAGAGGAGGGTGCTTGTCGCCGGGAGCACGTCGGATTCTGGTTCCGCTTCACACGCAGCGAGGCCGTGCTGTTCTCCATGTTCCTCTGCTCGGTTGTCTTCGGATTCACGTTCATGGCTATGGTCATGGTGCATCTTCTGCGCGACTAGACTCTGGAGTGCTAGGCTGCTGACGGGGATATACTCGTTCGTGCGCGGAGTACGTAGGTGACGTGAGGAAAGCAGGATGGGTTTGGCAGTGCTATTCTGGGGCGGCTTTAAGTACCACCAGATAGTTACCGGTTAGGACAGGACTACGTAGGCATGCATAGAATGCAAATAGTCCTCTGAGATAACGTAACTCGTCTTTCTTCTATCATTGGATCGTGACATGTTCGTAGTCGTGGTTATAGGTAAGTAGGTGGTAACGTGATACCCCGCCAGCCCGCCAAACTACTTGGTAGGTACCGACGATCACGGTGTGAATAGATGGTGTGGTACACAATCTATCCACTGTATTCCATTTAATTCCATTATATTCAGTGGTAACACAGACGCCTCAATCCCCATCGGAACCCCGGATCTCGCTAGAAATCGTGGGGGCATTTATCCAGAAGCCACTGACGCGCACAATTCCAGACATTTATGCAGTATTCCCACCCCCTCGTCGTATATTGGTTCTATAACTGTAACCCAACTTATATCAAGTACCTAATACATAGAAATAACCATCCATTCCCTTAGACATCGACGCCTCTGAATCTACACTTCTGAGCTGTATCCGAGACACATAACCACCAATATCAACCATACGGCATCGAGCTAAAACCCAACCGATACTCCAAACTACCCATCCTATTGCGCCATTGACCACCCTCCCAACCCGACCTACTCAGATGAATACGGGAGGCTTATGCGGATCATAGGTTGTGTTCACTTGCGATCCGTACGCCGTACTCGCAAATGGATCGTAAGCGGCGCTCGGGTTTCTGCTATGGCGGTTGTACTTCTTCTGCACAGGCCCTGTAGCGAGATCGCTAGGGTAGTCATGTGAGAAGTCATCTTCCACAGTCGCGATGAGGCCCCGTCTGTCGTCTTCGGGGGAAGCGCCGCGGTGGAGAACGGGCTTCTGTTTCTCGACTTCCATGTATTTGTGGCGGTTCCAGGTGGTTACTCTTCTCATTAGGCCGGAATTCGGTACTAGGTCCTCCGGAAACCCGTTCTTGTCTTCGAAACTACCTTGTTGTTGTCGTTGAGAACGCGAAGCTTTCAACTGGAGGGACATCAGGACAAGTGCGACCACGACTGCAAACGCGGCTCCGAATCCAAGTCCTATCATCCTAGGGCTGGTCTCAGTGTGAACCCCAGAATCCCCGAGCGCGTCGTTGAATGTGGATTTCAGCTTGTTCGAGCTTGTAGCGGTCACAATAGACGATGCAAGGAGGAAGATAAACGCCAAGCCCGAGGTCAATAGGCCGAATATGACTGCGCTGGGGAGGAAACACGATGCGATGATAGAGAGACATGTCAAGGCCGTAAAGAGAGCACCGACGATGTATCCAGCGCCAAGAAACGTTGAGGTTTTCCCGTATGACTGAAGCTCGTCGGAATACGCCGAGGAGAAGGTTGATACGCCTTCTAAGCGAAGATCTGAGCTAGGGTCGAATTTAAACCCGATTTTAGGCGTCTCGCATGTAGTCGATCCGTCATCTTCAGAACATGCCGTTAAGAGGTTAAGGCTGTAGCTAGGTGCAAGACCTAATGATTTGGCATCTGTGTCTGATCCAATCCAGTCTTGACCTCCTATCGACGACAAGTCTTTCAGGAGCGATGATGTGCCTAGTCTTGATGGGACGTTAAGGTCTTCTGTATTGATCTAGGCCAGTTAGCACGAGCTTAAGTCCCGTAAACGATCAATTTACCGTTAAGTATTCCGCCAATACATGTCCACCCACTCCGGAAAGGACCACGATCAGGGTGAGAAGAAGAGATATGAGAGAGAAGAAAAGCGCGATGGCTCCATAGGCATTAGAGGGTTTTCGTTTCAACATGGCGTTGAGTCTTGGCTTGCAAGTATGGTAGGTATGAAAAAATTCGGGCAGAGTTCGGTGCTCTGAGGGAAAGACAACGGATATATCATGTAAGTCGCCGTAAGCGAACTTCTCACATACTAATATTGTCGACATAATAAAGGGTTACCAACCAGTTGGTTGGGCTCTATAAGAATCTGATAGCATCAAATGCTTATAGCTATCAACAGGGGTTACCATTGGCCACATCGCTACGATGCCATGCACAGATCTATTTTCCAACCGGAAAGGTTACTTCCAGGCGGGTTGGGGTAGCTGGACCAATGCCACGAGCGGCTAAGCGCTTATTGCGCTGCTGCGCCGTGACATTCTAGAATTCCGGATGCCCTGAATCGACCCCTGTCATCAACCTCTTACTGAGCTCAGTTCGTCACAACATCACCACAGTCAACTTAAGTCTTAGATCGGGATTTGCTATCTATTCTAACATCATCCCTCACTCGCTATCGAAGGTGAGACCTTGCTGGCGCCACTATGGAAACAATCAGTTCCGAGCAGTCTGACTTGGCCAAAAGGCCAAAAGAGTGGCGCAGCCAACCGGATGCATCGTAGCCGACTGCAAGAACGCCACGCTCCCCGCGCTTCAGCAATACAATCGCGAAATATAGGGCACCCTCTGGATATCCCGTGCCCGCGCCGAGTGGCTGTTCCAACGGTCCAACGCTTTCCGACGGGTAGGCCCCGGCCATGTGCTGGCACTCGACCGTCGGGCAGAACCTGGAGACTGGAGTAGCAACCCAAAGACCATGCACAGCTAGCTGGCTGATCTCATTTTTAGAGATTGGGCCTTTCCAGAAATAGATCGCGATAGCTTTGTCCAATCAACTTACACTGTTTACGAGCCGGGTTATACAATTTAGGATTCTTGTTATGTCGACGAACATAGTAGAATCGCTGTGCTTAGATTGGTGTAATATGCAGCGGCTTCATTTTTACCATTATGTCGGGATCTTTTATAAGACAGCCTTCTCACGCTCTTGTTGAGATCCCTTGTACATCCTTAATCCAGCATCTTCACTCCTAACATATTATCTTCTATCCCGCCAAGAAGATGTTGTCATTTCCTAGTATATCATTTGGCCTAACAGCCCTTGCTGCTGTTGTCAATGCAGCACATTACGATGTCACAGTTGGTAAAGGAGGACAACTAAAATTCGACCCAGAGACATTAACAGCACAAGCTGGAGATACAGTTACCTACAAGTTCTTCGCCAAGGTAAGTTTACATCACTTGTCACTTAATAACCCTAAACACTTAGCTAACGCAAGACATTAGAATCATGCCGTTGCGCAATCTGCCTTCGCTACCCCATGCCAGTTACAAGATAAAGGCATATTCTCCGGCTTTACTCCCAACAGCTCTCCTGACGTAGAGGCTCCGACAACCTTCACTATCACCGTCAACGATACAAAGCCGTTATGGTTCTACTGGTGAGCTTCCTACTCATCAATACACACAGATACCAGTTATTAACCATCTTTTCCAGCCCCCAGACAAACGGAAACCACTGTCAAAACGGAATGGTGCACTCCATCAACGCGTAAGTCAAGTCCACACAGACACATCTTCCAACTACCATACTAACACCCACCAGACCAGCCTCAGGCAACACATTCGACGCCTACAAAGCCAACGCCCTGAAAGCCGCCACCCCAAGCACTCCCCCAGCAGGAACCCTCCCCGTCGGCGGTCTACGAAAACTGCATATTGACGTCGGCTTCAACGGGAACCTAGTATTCAACCCGAACAACGTAACCGAGCTAGTCGGCACAGTCTTCGAATTCAGCTACAACCCTCAAGTAAGCCCCACCCCCTCCCTTCTCCCCTCCTGTCCACTACATCATCTAACCCCCAACAGAACCACTCCATAGTCCAATCCTCCTTCGACAAGCCCTGCCAACCCCTCACCAACGGCTTCGCCGCGCCCTTCGTCCCAACAATGCAAACGCCCTCAGGCGTGACCTTCGAAGTGACAGTCGAAGACAGCAACCCGATCTGGTTCTACTGCGCCCAGACCGCGAAAACGCACTGTCAAGCCGGCATGGTCGGAAGCATCAACGCGGCCACGACAGGGGACAAGACATTCGCCGCGTTCGCGGCACTGGCAGCGAAGGCGCCGCCGAGCACGATCCCGCCGAACACGCCGCTGCTCGGGACGCTGAAGGTGAATGGCACGATAATCGCTAATGTAAATGGAAACGTGCTTAACACCACTACGCTGGATCCCTCGCTTGTCGGCACCGTGCCGCCTCCGGGCGCTAGCTACGCGCCGTATATCGGGGGCATGGCGGGCGGTGATCAGCCCGCGGACTACCAGTGGGCGCCTACGATCAGCGACGAGGCGGTCGAGCTGCTACAGGCGCTGGAATACATCAGCAACGCGCTGGTATCCTTCCTGTTCTCGGGGTATGTGCGACTAGCCGAGGGCGCGTGGACAGGCGCATACCCGACCTCTATAACGCAGACGCTCGGGTCTCTCACAGCGCAAGCCCTAATTCATCGGAAGACGTACTCGGACTCTCTGCAGCACTACAGCAAGCCGACCGTCCCGCTATGCCAGTACAACGTGACCTCCAGCTCCGTCGATACCTGGCTCCAAGACGTCCAAACCATCCTCACACTCTCCATCGGCGCCAAGATCGACGTGATGTCGCTAGCCGCCACGAACGACAGCTGGATGATCCCAGCACTAGCCACAGAGCTCGGGGCACAGGCGCGCATGTCTGCCGTGCTGAACATGATGCAGAGCCACTACGCATCCACGGCGCCGCGCGAGGCGCTGATGCCGTACCAGTTAGCGTACTCGTACATCGCGAACAAGTACGCTTCGAACTGTGGCGACGGCGCCAAGTCCTTCGGCAAGGTATTCCCCGCGCTCTCCGTGGCGAATAAGACTGTTGAGCCGAGTAGTGGTCGTCTGTTGACCATTAAGGTTGAGATCCCGAGCGGAAGCACTGGTGATCATTGGGTAGCGTGGATTGGACCGTGGGGTGGTCTACAGTACACGTCTGTTGCTGCTGATGGAACGACTACCGTCCCCTCGAATTTGTCCGGCCACGTGTGGGCTGTGTTGACGACGGCTAAGGATCTTAAGGCTCATGATATCGAGACGAAGGCCGTTGCTGGACCGGAGATGATATGGACCACGCAGCAGTGGGGGTCTTAATCGTGGTTGAATGGTGCTTCTTGGTAATGGGTATATAGATTTTGGTAATTTGGTTGTACATATTGTCTTTGGCGGCGTATCTGCATAGCATTAGAGGGGCATGGGTAGTACTCACTTTGTTTTTGATAATTTGGATGGATCTTTTATTATGTTCATAAATACATTTAAACATTAGCATGCCAGTGTAGGCAGTTAGCATCATAGGATATTAATCGTCTTGAAACATTAATCGTCAAAAAAAGCCCACATCACCATTAGTAATCTTCCCCAGACCATTACCATCCCCATTATATCGTCTCCAATAAAATATTCGCGCCTAAGTAGAGCCCGAAAACTTCACATCTCCCTATTAATTAGGTAGGACCCGGTGGATGTGATCCAGAAGTCGGATCAGGTGCGTATAGATAGTGGTGTCCATCATACGAATCCCGCCAAGCCTCGTCGACGCCGGTGTTCCCCTCGGACGTGGCTCCCATATCTCTGGGGCCAGAATCAAGCATCGGATAACACCAGACCATTCTAATTCCATCCGGCTCCGTGAACAGCACTGACACGCCGGAAAATATGCCGTGCTGGCAGTACACCACTCTATGCTCGCCAGGAGGTCCAATCCCAGGGTCTCCTGATTGGCCCGGCCATTCGCCTGACGAGGTGGGGTTTAGGGGGAACAAATAGAGAGTGCCATCGGTGCGCCCTAGATCCACAACTCGGGCGCGGTACGCTTCTAGTGTGATGCTGTGTGGATACTCTATGCCGCTCCAGCGCGGCCGTTTTTCGCTCGAGTGCTGTGTGAACCACACGCCACGATTGAAGGCTTCCCACACTGCCATGGAGTCGAAGACCGTGAAGAGGACTCGCGGGTTTGGACACACGTACCGCTGTTATGATGAATCATACTAGTTAGAAGTAGACATTTTCAATAGGGAGCTTGGTGTAGAAGATACGTACGGCAGCGATACGGTTCGCGGGGTGATCATGATTCCATTTGTCGATTTCATTTCGTTTCTCCAATCCTCGAGAAGAGAGATTCATAGCTCGACTAAGAGCTTCGGCATAGGAGCCCTCCGGGACAGCGGTTGCATTGGTGAAATTTAGCCCAGGTAAGATATAGGAGAAGAGAAAGGCAAAGACAATGTATAGTCTCATTTTGGTAATCCTCTGATGGCCGGATTCCAACACAAGGATAATTTTCTATATATGAGAAGTCCAGAGAAATTACACCACCCTAGACGCAAAGAATGCGTCCGGATTGGAAATATTGAAGGGAAAAGAAAAGAAAACGAGGTATTATGAGTTAGTTATTAATAAATCCCAGGGCTAGGGGACGGAAGGCACCTCTTTATCCAAGGAACATAAAGGGGAAGTGCTATCGAGTCGCCGTACCACCCTATATATACCAACCTTATATATACCAAGTTTCATCTTAGTAGGTAATTAGTTTATTTCTTAGCTTCTTATCCTACACGCGGTTAGCTCTTGCTTGGACCAGTTGATCATCGGTTTAATCGACAACAATAACATCGTGGTCCCCCTCCTCTTCCTCATCCTCTACTGTAATAACATCACCGGCTCTATTCCCTCGCGAGGGCACCGGCTTCGCCAGAACCACCGTCTCAATAAGAGCTGGGCTCATATCCTCCGGCCCCATCGGGAGGGCATCAACGTCGATTTCCATATTTAGCAAAGTTTTGATAATGACTTCGCTTCCGGCTTTGCTCATCACCTCGTTAGCCTCCTTGCAGAATTCCGAGCAGACGCACTCCGGACAGCCCGTCTGGCAATGGCAGTGCTGGACTCTTTCCAGCGCTTGGACAAGGAGTAGGTCGATGAACTCGAACGCCTTCGTGCTAATACCTGATCCATTCGCCCCGCCCTTCGCATCGTAGAATGTCAGCCTAGCAGGTCTCTTTCTCGAAGTTTCTTTTCGCGCGAACTCCTTCAGCCCAGATTTACACTCCGTCCGAACGTCGTCGGGTAAGCTTATGACGAAGTTGGGCATCATACTAATAATCGCATGTTCGGCGGCGTGTATGGCACCGGCCACGTGGAGACGACGGTCGACGAGAATCTCGAGGGCCTGCTTCGGAACATCGAGCCACATACCCTTACTATGACGAATTATCGGGGGATTATCGACCTGAACGGCATCGAGGATGCGACGTTTCCTGTCGACTTTGAAATAGCCGAACACGTTCTGGGTAATACGGATCGAGCCGTGGAACGCGCGTGAGAGAGAACCTGGGATTTTACGAATAGCTTCTGTTTCCACTGGATCTACGTCGGTGAAGTCTCGTTGTTGCGTCGTCCATTCCACCGTAACCTTCTCAACCTTCGCGATTTTCCTCTCAGGTTGGAAGTCGCGCACTAAATACGAATTGCCCTGATGTAAAAAGATAGCGCCATCATAAATAGTGAAAAACGCTCTCGACGCCTCTAATTCTTCAAGGACAATGTTTTTTCCGTGGGATATATCAACAATTGCGAAATGGTCGTCTTCCGTATCTCTAATGGCCACGAATTTGGATGGCATGGGTCTGAACCTATCGTGACAATGGTAATACCCCATGTCATCCTTAATTAGGCGTTCTTCCGCAATCTTTGACAGGTCATTGCCAAAATAAATAGCATCCTCAACAGGCTTGATTGGCATTTCGTATGCCGCGCACTGAATGTGACCTTCCAGAGCCAGCATGTTATTCAAGTCGACCTGAAGCTCGCAATTAGGCTTGGTAAAGAGCTCGTCCGGGTTTTGCATATAATGCTGATCGGTCGGAAAGCAATCTCCAACAAGCACGGATAGCGAGTCTTTATTCCTTCTGCCAGCTCTCCCACTCTGCTGCCTCAGATTCGCAATGGTATACGGAAATCCCAATGTGATAACGCAGTCCAAGGTGCCAATATCAACACCTAGTTCTAGAGCGGTAGTCGCAATAATACCCATAAGCTTGCCCTCGAACATTTCGCTCTCAATCCTTCGACGATCTTGCGCCGTGTATCCACCTCGATATCCCATTACACGGGCCATGCATTCTGGACGACCTAATGATTCCAATTCGGATCTGGCAGCCGTCACAAGCTCTTCGCACTGTTTCCTTATACGACAGAACGATATCACACGAACGCCGCGGAGAATTAGTTGGCAAAATAATCGAGCGCATTCAGCTATGGCATTTCCGCGGCCGCTTGTCGGGTCACTAGGATCCTTATAAGGTGTGTTCCAACACAAGAACTCCTTTCGACCGGACGGAGATCCATCAAAATCGACCAAATGCACATCATCGATTCCAAAAATTGTCTTGAAGTGCTCCTGTGGGTTTGCCACCGTGGCAGAGCATGATATAAATCTGATTTTTCGGTTTCCAACGGCAGCACATATACGTCGAAGCCGTCTCATAATAAATGCGACATGGGATCCCATCAAACCGTTATAATAGTGTAGTTCGTCAACTAGTCAAGTATCAATTAGTAAATGAGTATATCGAGAAAGAAGTCCACATACCGACAACATAGCGCAAGTTCTGAAGAAAACTCCGCCACCTATCTTCCTGCGGGAGAATCGTAAGATGAAGCATGTCAGGATTTGTGAATATGACACGAGCCTCGTCGCGGATCTGATTTCTATCGTGCATGGGAGTATCGCCATCAAAGGTCTCAACGAGAACATTTTCTAGTCCCGTGAAATATGCCAGCATATCCTTCAAGCTCTTCTTTTGGTCTTGAGCTAGCGCCTTGGTAGGGAAAATGTAGATCGCTCGAGTATGAGGGTCCTGTTCTAGCGCGTGTAGGACAGGTAATTGATAAATCAGAGATTTTCCAGAGCTCGTAGAGGTTGAAACGACGACATGGTGACCGGCTTGGAGATTATTGATTGCTTCGGTTTGGTGGGCGTAAAATTGAGTGATTCCTTTTGCATTATATAGCGCATTCACCATGTCCTGGCTTAATAGAAAATCGAGCTCGCCGAAAACAGGTTCTTGCGCCTCGAATACGCGATGCCCGTCTGGTACTATCTGATTTGTATACCATGAGCTACCTTTGAGTTCCTGGATGATTTCGGGAATGCTCTTTCTCTCCTCTGGTATTGATTTAGGTATAGTACTCGGTTCAGGTTTAGGAGTAGTAGATTCGGATTGAGAAGGGATTGGGATGTATGATACCGCTTCTTGGCGAAGTATTATTTCGGGGTCTAAGTTTTCATCTACACAGCGGTTTATAAAGGAACTCACCGCATTCGTGAATTTCTGGTTACGCTTTTCAATCAAAGTTGTCAGTTGCTTCTGGCTGTAAACAGGCATCTTCAGCTCCTCATCTCGAAGTCGCCTATTGGGATTACTGAGCTCTCCAGTTTTCTTGTTCTGGACTTGTCTTTTAAGATCACCGTCGACAAACTCAAAGTATAAAACTTCGCTACCGCCAGGAGGGAAGTCATCGGGATGATGGCTACCGAGTTTATCCAAACCAGTATAACCACCGACGGAGGCGTCAGGAGCGGGGCCTTGGACAGTAATGTCCTTTGATCTGCCAGACTTAAACGTCGAATCTCTTTCAGCTCCCTTGATGTCTGTCTGCAACTGAAGTTCATCCACGTAGCTAAAGTTTATACCATCTGGTCGTAACGCTACGATGGCAGCGATGTCCTCGATCGTTAACTCGCGCTTCGTATTTGACTCGACTGCAGAGCGGATCGTATCGAATGTCGTCGCCAGATGCTTCCGTGTAGAGCAGAATGTAAAAACCAGATTTAGGGCCCGATGGGTCTTATCTAAATCCTTGAACGCCTGTGGCCATTCAATAAGACACTCAACCTCCAGATTCTTTCTTTTCTGGCGCTGGGATGCCACATGATTCCCTGGTTTTACAGATTTCAAGCCGTCTGAACCCCCTTCTAACCCTTCCGGGAGATCACCGCCTTCAGCATCTTCAGTACTTTCGGCGTTCTGCCTCTTTCTCTTTCTCTTAACGATCTTATTTGAAACTGTAACAGCTTTAAGAGTAGACATCTCACTTATAGTCGAGATGCATCAGTGCGAGGGCATTTGGACGGAAAGTGCCCTCGCTGTTAATAAAAGACAATGGAGTTTGAATAGAGGTCGCCACGTAGATTCGTTTACGCTTCTAGTGGCGCGCGAGATCTAGACGAAGGCACGTGACTAGTTGATCTGGCGCTCATTGATTACATAATGATCCCTATTGTGGGTTTGGTATTTTTTTTGTCCCAGGCTCTGAATTGCGTACAGGTAATCGACTACAATTTAGAAATCTTTATAACGCTACATAGATTATGTCTCTTTAGCGTGGATTATTAAATGGATCATTAAGTTCATTCACGGATTACATTGCAATGTCAAGATAGTTTGGGAGGGGGAATGTGTACATTGGTTAGGTGCCTGCCAGTAACAGAAACACCTGGTGGCCACGAGCGAGTCCTCAAAAGACAAGAGGTGCTAACTAGAGACCGAGAACTATTAGAAATGAACAATCATGGCAATTTATGCTTATGATTCAGTTTAGGCACTTTATGCCATAAACTGTGTTCGGGGTAAGGTAGAGGGGAAATAGTTCTCGGTGTCCGGGCTACAATGACCTCCCCTCTCAACATGAAATATCCTTTAGCAAATATCCATTGCTACCATCCGCCAATGCCTCCCGCAAATGACCAACGCTACCCGTAGAAATCAAGCCAATGCCTTCCCTGAAAATGCTCAATGCCAAGACCCCCAACCGTTCATCATACATTAAATGTTGCTTAAAGAAAAAGCATCCATCTCGGGTTGCTCCTTCAATGCCATGAGCTTCCTCTTCTTAGCCCGAGTCATAGGACCCTTCGACTCTAACTCCATAGCCTTGCGCTTAATCGGAGACTCTGTCAAAGCTCTCTTCTCTGGACTTGAATCGCGAACAGATTCTTTCACAGTCTCAGTCTCAGAGGTGTGAATAGAGTGAGAGCCAGAATCAGGATGGGCGGATTCTTGTTGCTCAGATCCAGAAGTCGTGTGAACCTCACTGTTGGACGCGTGGTCGAGCGATCCGTCGGACGCGTCGCGGTTCTCGTTGCTGGTGGCCTCAGTACAGGATGCCGCTTCCAGAGCTTCGTAATATTCGTAGTCTGGTAAGTCGTCTAAGGTGTCAACCTTCTCATTGGCCTCAGGTACATTGCTGGGCTTGTCGTCAGGCGTATTTAAAGCATCGCTATGAGCGCTGTCGGAGATGCCATCAGGTGTGTTAGGTGTGTTTGGGATGTTGGTAGAATCGGTTGATTTTTCCGAGAGTGCGTTATTTACCGCATCAACTTCCGTAACGACAGCAACAGGTTCAGTAGCATTCTAGACTGACTGAAGTTCGCGCTGAATCTTTCCGACTTCATTGACAAAGTTCTTAGCATTTGCCGCGTTCATCTAGAGAATAATTAGCATAATGTCACACTTAATAAGGCAGGTGGACGAACCTTGAGCTGGATGCTTACGGCACCGCCATCTTCAAGGGCTGTAAACAGCACACAGGTTGCCTTGATCCCAGATTTCTCTTGGAACTCCATGCCTGGAATGATGGCCGTGTTGAGAATTACTCGATGAGTCGAGTCCTGTCGCATGACTAGACGAACAACATTGGACTGGGCATCCTTGAGACCAGAGGCCTTGAAGCTTCCAGGGACAGGCGTTCCCGTTCCTTTGTCATAGGCGATGGAGCCATCAGGCACGTTGATTTTTAGGTTTCCGGCGCCTCGCTCTTTCCAGGCTGAGTTCGCCTTGTCGAGGTGGAATATCTTCGCGCGAACTTGTAAGATAGCGATTTCACCAGCTTCGCCGTCGTCGATAACCACTATAAGACCAATTAGTATCAAGTCAAATCGTTATAGATGTGTTCTAACTCACCACGCTGGAGCTTGGTTTTCTTTTTATCATCAACAACTGCAGCCTTCTCCTCCGTGGCTTCATGCTCCTCGTCATCATCAGACTCTTCATCGCCAGAGTTGTTGTCCCCTTCATGATTGTCTTCACCGTCACTAACGGGTGCTCCGAATGGCTTGGCCGGCATGTTGCTCTTAAACGACTCGCCGGGTTTGCCGAAGCTAGCTAGGGTGGGGCCCCCAAGTTTGCTGGCGAAAGATCCGCCAAAAGAAGTGCTCCCAAATGTTGTTGTCACTCCTACTCGGCCGAAGGGAGAGGTTGTTCCATTGGTCATGCTATTGCCAAACACTGATGTAGCAGGCTTCGTAGCGGCGGCAGCACCAAACGGAGACTGAGACGAGGGGCTGGCAAAGGAGGACAAAGGCGTCGAACCAGCTTGGAGAAATGGCGATGCCTGCGAAGCGAATCCTGAGATTCCGGAGGTGCTAAAGGCAGAGGCGGATGTCGTGGTCTTTTTCTCCCCAGAATTGGAACCATCATTGGTTACCGCCAGCTTCTCGGCCTGCTCGTCTGTCTTAGAGGTTGGTTTTGATTCGGACGAGACCTGGAAATAATTAGTAGGTGGAATGATTTGGGTGAAGTAGATAGGTTCTTACGGTAGCAGTGTCCGAGCTCACTTTAGACTCGCTCGAGACATCTCGAGGACGCTTCTTCTCAGGTTCCGACCGGTCGGTACGACTCAGAGAACCACTGGTGTAAGAACCGATGGGAGAGATGTCGCCGTTCGCATCTGAAGTCGCATCTCTAGCGTCAACTTCATCGTGCGCACGCTTCTTCTTAGGTGAGGAAATCTGATCTTTAAGGTCGTCGTTCTGTAGTTCGACCGACCGGCGATCGGGCGTTGAGGATTTTGTAGATGCCTTATCACCGCCTGCGGCGACATTAGGCGCGGGGTCTGATTGAGGAGCAGACATGGCGGATAAGTCAGATTTATCGGAAATGACAGTTTGTCTTAATTCCTTGCGTGCAGCTGCAGTATCTGGATCTTCAGGTACGTAATTCTCTGGAGTAGGACTGCGTTTGCTGGTCTCCATTTGATTGACGAGACGCGAAAAGAAGCTGGGTTGTGTGCAAGAAAGTTGGTTGCGTAGTTCTTAGTTTGAGAGAAAGATTGGTTGGTGTAAAAGTTTAGATGTGAACTTTCTCTAGAAAAGAAAAAAAAGTTAAGTAGTGAATTGTGAAGACGGTCAGTCCAGCGGCAGAATTATTGCAGTGGGGCGTCGACAATTAATGGTTGACGGTTGCTAGGGTTGAAGAAAAAGAAACTCGACAGTGCAGGTGGTGAAATATAGCTGGGTCAGTTTCGAGGAAAGCTGAGGCTGCGCGTTGTGACGAGATAGTCTAGTAGATTGTGTCCACTGTACCTAAGTACATGGTACATAGGTACATAAATACAAGGGTACATATGTACATAGGTACAAAGGTACTTTGCTACCTTGACGTTTAAATTGTGGGGTCGGATAAACATTGGTCAAACATTTGATTTGTAGTACGTATTATATAAGCGGGGTGATGGTGGAAATTAAATGGAAATTTCGATCGGTACCCAGGTACATAATATCTGATTGGATTCCCAATGTCCGGTTTCATTTTGCTGTAATGCAAGATGTGAATATTGGCATCTAAACTCGCTAATATTAGAACCACCCTCCGTGCCGCACATTCTGTGCAGATGATTGCCAATGATTATTACAAGATGCCTACATACCTACCTAGTACATAATTGCCACCCAGCAAACTTCAGGTGTTCTTGACTTCAACCCATCCATGAAAGATCTTGTCCCTCTGCTACGCGCAGTTCGCGTTTCTAAAGCGACACGTACCTTGACGTGAGTTGACGCGCCTCAAACACACTGGAGGATAATACTGAAGACATCCATGGATGGTGATAACTACCGGTCTATCGCCTGGGTGCTCTCAAATTATCAGCATACACGTAAATATCTCACTAATCCAAGCTTGTTGAGGTCGGCGATCAGCTTGGCGAGAGTCGGCCTAATATACCTCAAGGACCTAACCAGTATTCGTAAAGAGCACTCACAACCCAAAGGAAAATATGTAGGCAAACACATCAAACTGCCTACGGGTAATAGTTATGTAATATTTACAATCACTCAAGTTCTTCTATCCAACCTTACTCTAAACGTGTTTGCTAAGTAACATGATTTCCTAGGTATATACCTAAGAGCACCCCGTCTAAGCGATGGGTTCTATCTATATATACTCTGAAGATGCAACTCTTATATACTTAGATAGGTATATATAGATAGCAGTTTTTCCTAAAACACGCACCTATCCCCCTAGCTATGGTTGCCAGCCATTTGTGCGTCGGATACCTAGAAGAAGAGCAGATCGTCATCCTTCCAGCCCAAGCCCTTTAATATAGAATGGACGCTCTTCTCGAGCGGCTCAGGTCCGCAAATTAGCACTAAATTCTCACCACCGATATTCGTACAAGGTCCGATTTCCTTTTCGAGTAGCTCCTTGTCCATCCGACCTCTCAAGCCAGTCCACGATGGTTCGGGTTGACTTAGCGTATATATTAGGCGGTATCTATGACCATTCCCAATGGCCATTCTGTCAAGATCTTCCTTACAAAGAATATCCTGCTCAACACGGTTGCCGTCAATAACTAGGCACGAAGTAGGGTCTTTGCTGTCTGTTAACACGGCTCGGAGGACCTGGAATATTGGTGTTATTCCGGATCCGCCACATATCATGACGAAGCGCTTGACTTTTCGTTGTTGGCCCGAGATTGAACACGATCCTCGACCCAAGTACTCGAATTTTCCCACCGGGCCTTTGAAATCGACGAAATGACCGATAGGAATCGAGTCTAATGCTTGGGTCATCTTACCACCCTTCCTTTCAGGTGTGTCATAATAGATCTTGATAAGAACATCCAGCTTCCCTCTATCTGTAACTTCCGAGAGCGGTGTATACGATCGTATGATGGCTTCACGGGTTACAGGATCGCGCAGCCGCATCATCAAGTGTTGCCCAATCGGGAGTCCAGAGGTCTGTGTAGCGTGTTCGAGATCAAAAGTGAAGATTTTGGTGTCATCTGAGATTTTCTTCTTGGCCGATAGAATAGCTTTCGTCCACACTTTCGACTGGAGAAAAGTCGCTCGCGGCGTCGAACTCTTCGTATCTTCGGGTTCTCCATTGGCTAAGGCAGTTCGCGAGGCTTCGTTGAGAGAGCCTATGTGATAATCGACTAACATCGCCTTTGCATTCTCGCTATCTGCTTCCGGGGTTAGTATTGATCCACAATGGCCATTGAAGTTTGAGGCTTACGAATGGTGAGAAATTCTTCGCTAGCATCCTGTCCGGCTGCGCCAAAAATCGAGGCCGCTCCACCAGGATGCCCTTCCAAGAATTTTGTGCCATCGTAAACTTGGCCATTAACTACAAACCATGGCTCGATTTCACCGTCGTGTTTCTTTAATTCGTCGAGGGTGATTGTACGATCAACCTCCTTGTTAATCATGCAGATCTCCTTTGCCGGTTCCTCTTCAACAGCATCCCCTTCTTCGCCAGATAACTTCTCGCCCCAATATCCATTAGAGAGGTTTCCTCCAGCCTTCTTGACGCGTTCCATCCATCCACCAGGTATCAACGCCGCCTGTGTCGGATGCTCAAACCGCAGTGTATGACCCTCCTTGTGAATAACAACCCGGAACCAGGGATTGTTCATCATACCCAAAACACTCCAGTACATATCTCGCGGTTGTACCATCAGAGACTCATCCATTGCTCGTACCATAATGTCGTCCGCTGCCTGCAGTTCCGATATCTTAATATCCAAATCCCAAAAACACCAACAAAAGCAGCTTTCCCTCCAAGATAAGTCCAATCGTCCACCATACAATTCTTCTCCATCGGGTGCGACTCGATACTCGTCTTCGGGGTACGAAATATTGGCGAGCACCCAAGATTTTCCCTTGTCCAGAGTCACTTCGACCCTAGTTATTCTCTTACCCCCACCAGCATAAGCATATCCGCGAACTTGATAACTCTGAACACCTTTAGTCAAGGATAGCGTTTCGTCATGAGCTGGATAGCAAGTAGCACTATTCGTGTTAAGGTCATAGATGGCATAGCGTTCATCTCTCCAGACATCGGGCAAGTCGGCACTCATATCGGGAGTGATCATCGTCGGCAATACTCTGTTGTCGTAAATATGGTACCAGTTGTCACTCGGCGCCGCCGTTACAATCAGCTTCTTCAACCACTTCACACTTCGGCCGCCAATCTGACCCGGCACGATGACTCTTAGGGGCTTCCCGTGGTCAGGAGGCAGCACCTCGCCGTTCATCCTATGAGCAACCATGATTCCACGGTTAGGGTCCATAGCCCAGTTCAACTTGACGCATGTTCCGTAATAACCGTTAGGCAGCTTATCAGCACCTTCGAAGCACACGTACTTTGCTCCTCGCTTCGGTCGAGCCGCTTTCAGCAGATCACCCATTACGACCCCGGTCCATAGCGCTGTCGATAAGCCTGCTGCTCCCCAAGAGAATCCTTTGGTTTTCCTGACGATGTTTTGTTCTTTCCTGCGATTGCCCGCACAGACAAGAGTGACTGGGTACGTTACTTGCTCGAAATTGCTAAGAAGTTGCGCCAGGCTCATTTTGATGGGGTTGTCTACCATGCCTTCTATTGTGAACTCCCAATCCATAATCTCTTGATCTTCTACATTAGGCACTGCTCCATGGTTTCTAACATAGTGTAGATCCTTTGTTGTTAAGAAGCCCTCATCGTAAAGGTCGGTCAACGGTGCCTCGACATTAAAAGGGTGGACGCCCGTGAGGCGAATCAACCGAGGGTCTCTTATAACATGTTTGTCTGGAGTTTTAAGATCTTCCGTCAGCACCTTATTATCAGTCCTACTTCTCGGTGGAAGCCGGTACTTCCGAGAACCTCCAGATTTTGTTTCATCGTTATCGAGTGGAGTCTGGACGTCGAGATGAATACTCGTACTTGATACCCTCCTCGAGCCACTCTCTGTTGCGGGAGGAGTAGGGGGGTACGAATTTAGAGGCGCGGTAGACGACTGCTGGAGACTGATAGGCTGACTGGAAACCTCCATAATATGTGATACAGGAACAGTTGGAGTTGGGACGGATGTATGGATAAGCTGACGTCGACTATGAAGTATATGTAACCATGTATGCCAAGCATTCATATATGATAAAATCCATGCCGTGAATATGAAAGACCTAATAAAGGGGTAATAGGCAAGATCTAACGTAGAAGAGATAAGCAGGTAGACGAAATGGAAAATGGTGATGTTAGAAGACGAATATAAAAACACGACATGGAATGTCATACCAAGTAATAACGCTCGATCAAAAACCCCATGCGTCCCCATTCCAAGATCTACCTAATGTCCAAAGGAGCGGATGAAAGTACCTGACGATAGGTCCACCGGAAGACTTGTGTTAGTCTCCCAACCATTCTCGTCTCCAACCCACATGTAAGCTGCAAGAGAGAAATCCCGACCTATTGTTACAATGCATTTATATGCAAAGATCCGCCTCATCCTCCAACCGGGTAGAAACCTTGACAACAAATGTATAGTAATGATATCCTCCTGGTATTTATATGGAGCCTATGAATTGCGCGGCATTGCGAGTAGGGAAGCCTCGAAGCAATCTAGTTACAAGCCTGGTACCCGCTATGGCATCGTTGGAAGCCCGGAGATGCAACAGTCAGTTGAGTAAATCCCCGCGGATGTGTCCAGCAAATATTTTCTAACAGGGTATAGGGCTTATCAGAAGCAATTGGCATTTCTTCGCAATGTTGGACAAGACAGCGAACTATGATTGGTGATAAGATTCTTCAGAGTTGGCGGAGATACGAAAATCGCCCAGGACCCGATGAACTAGGCAGTTTAGTCCCTAGCTTTTCATTTCGTGCCCCATTAAAACCGACCGAAGACTTGTATGAAATAGGAGGCTTTAAAAATAAAGCGCAGGATACGATATCCACTATAGTTCAGATACCGAGTTAGGTACTTAAAGTTAAGACACGAGACCGACGAGGTGTTTAGTATCGTTGACGCCATAGTGATAGCAAGAACCAATGGGATCAATAAGACAGGTAGTATCGAGGTAGGATCGAGAACCGAAGACCCGCGTTTCTTAAGATCCAACAAGAAGTTCGAGAGGCTCGGCTGTTACTTGCGTTCGCACGTAAGAAAGCGGAATCATGAAAGCGTTGGTCTCCGCGGAGCTATGCTTGTACAACTTTTAAATGGGCTATTGTGAATAGCTTCATAACTATTCCGGGAGGAATAACAAGCAAGCCGAGTAAGAAGTACATGATTTCTTAAATGCCGGTTTATTTAGTTCTTCAATAATATGTTTGACTACCTTGTAGAATAATGTGTGTATTCCAAGTTAATATGTATTGCTTGGGCATCTACCCAGCAGGTAAACAAGGAGGTAAGCATTGTATGGTAATTCAAAATGCTATCGTGTATTCTCTTTTTTTTCGAAGTAGAGTGGCAGTTGTTTTGGGCCAAGTTGATATAGTTGTTAAAGTATGATGATTTCTTGAAATTCTCGTCAGGTAGGTATTTGAAAAGGAATAAAATAATGGTATCCTTGGCTTGGCCTCAGGATAGATTTGGGTTGGGGCTATGTACCTAGTTGATACTTAAATATGGATGACATAATCACTTACATCCTTCCTGTCTCTTGAAGCTAGTAAACGTCTAATTATAATAAGGATATGATCGAATGGATTAATTAAGATATTCGAGAAGATGTATCTAATCTTAGATATTATGTAGGTATAGTACTTAGTGATTGACGTGCAGACGCATGTACGAACAAGTACCCACCGTAGCAGGGCATGTATGTATCAAATGATAGGCATTGATTTGGGGATCTTTGGGGGATTGTTTAGGGTAACAGACAGCCCTAAATGTGCAACAACGTCACTGTTCAGGTGTTCCTGCGTCCCTGCTTGTGTCACGCTTGTGCACCTAATCAGCTAAAATGAGGAAGTGGCCTTAGCGCATTTTAGGACTCTGTATTCTGTGAGGTTCCATACTATTAGCACTGGGCAGCTGCGAGGCTGAACTTGGATGGCCCACCCCGCTAACTAGTGCCCCGCCAAATTGTCTTGTTCAACTTTAAAGAAGCCAAAAACAGCTTACGATTCCCCGAGATTTTCGCGGAACATAAGGAAAGCGCTGCTTGCCCGTTCTTTCATTGGATGATCTAAAACGACATCATTCACAGATGCGCCTTCATTTGACTGTAGATGTTTGACTTTCTCTTTTTCACATCTGCATGTCTTTCAAACCATCGACAGATCTTATGACAATTACATTACCTACGTAACTCCCACCATCAGAATTCCTCGTCCGTCGTACAACAATCCTCTCGTTCCAACCTTCGATTGCCTACTCGTTGATCTACATTACAATCTCATTGGTCCTTGTATTGCTCTTTTGGCGCAGGGCAGTGTCACTCGAATTACGAATCTACCGATGCCCACCGAGCCCGATACACCGTGTCGCGCCCGCCACTGGGGCCGATTTCTCCCTTAGCAGGGCTATCACGGTTGCGAATGTAGCAATTGAGCCGAGAAGTAATCTTCATATCGCAAGGGTCGCCCGGCATGGACCGCCCACGAAAACGTAAGTTAAGATTCATCAAGCTGACTCCTAAAAACTCTGCTAACATTTAAATTTCAGGCGAGTTGTTGTCGCTCAACCAACGCGCATGGAATGGAGAGCTAGGTATACGACTTTCTCCTATCTCGCCCTATCTCGACCTATCTCAGACTACTAACAAGCAGGTAGACATTTTCCCTGTTGGCTCGTCCCTCGACTCTTCTTTGAAGAAAAACACCGCCTTCATTAAGCGATTGCGAACTACCATCAATTCCGCGACCTTAAACACGTTTCTCCAAGATATACGAACCCTTAGTTTATCCAAATACCTCTCCGAGATAATCTCAGCATGTTACGAAGGATTGAGCAAACTCAAGACCACCGGAGAAATCGACGCAGCCATTGAGATTGTCAGTGCTTTACACCAGCGATTCGGACCCGGAGATTTCACAGAGTATCTAGGATGGCTTCTTGGCAAGGGGATGGCTACGCCGGACAAGAGTCTGTTAAAGACCTTGGCTCCCGAGGTCCGCGAGAAGGAAGAGAAAGAACGTCTCATTCGACAGCGAGCTCTTTTGAGAGTAATAACCGAGCTTTGGCTTGTGGGAGTTCTCCGCACCCTCGACGACGTAAAAGCAGATGACGCGACGCGTGGTGTCAATGGGAAAAATGCCGAACTAAAGATCAAGTCGGTTAACTCTACAAAAGGCGGCGGGGCCGAGCCGTTCCCCCTTGAAGTACTTAAGGATCTCTTGGGCCACGACCGAGAACATGTGAATTTACCCCTTCTGGTCATTTTTGTGAAATCGTTCGGTTGGGATATCCTAGGAGTCAAGGCTGTTGGATCGGAAGGCCGCAAGACTGTTGAAGAAGATGGTGCTACCAAGGCTTCGGGGGAGACTTCTGGACGAATTGATGGACAAGAAGAAACTAATGATTATGATTCCGACGATCCTCCTTTTGCCAGTTCCGAGCTACGCGAGCGATTCAAGAATATTCTCAAACGATATTTTGAGGACGTCAAAGCCCACCTTGAACGAGACCAAAAGAATATTGTCACACAACGCGGTAGGAACTCCGAGGCATATGTCAAGTCCGGAGAAGTCTTTGAGGATAGGCAGGCCAATTTTGAACGGCAGCTGAAAGCTCAGGAACGTCTCGTCGGGAATGCCCAGGTCATAGCGGATGCAATTGGTGCTGAGATGCCGGACCTCAAAGAAACTGAGGATGGATTTTCAAACACTAATGGCGCAATTGGTTTAGTCAAGACCGGGGAGTACCTTCGCGGACAGAGCGAGGGCGCGGGGATTTGGGAAGACGAGGAGGAACGTCGTTTTTACGAAAATCTAGTAGACCTGAAGGGGAAAGTCCCTGGTATGTTGCTCGAGGATGGCAAAAAGAAAAAAACCGACACGGATGAGCAGGTCGGTAGAAGAGCCGACCCTGTCGATGGCATAGAGGGGCCTAGATCTTTGGACGCGAATGACGACCAATCTACCGCCATTGCCAACAAGACAATTGGAGCGCAGGTAGATGTGCTCTTGACTCGGCTTCCTGAGCTTACGCACAAGGATGCAGTCGATCAAGCTGCCATCGACTTCTGCTATCTAAATTCCAAGGCCTCCAGAAACCGACTTATCAAAGCGCTTACCGAGGTTCCAAAGGGTCGTACTGATCTCTTGCCATTCTGGTCTCGCCTGGTAGCTACCCTCGGGCGCTATATGCCAGACATCCCCAAAAGTGTTGTGGACTATCTCGACGCGGAGTTCCGCAGTCTCCAGCGACGCAAGGAGAAGGACTTCCTTGGCCAAGTACGATTAAGCAATATCAGGTACCTTGCAGAGCTCACCAAGTTCGGCATGGTCCCAGAACACGTCCTTTTCCATTCGTTGAAGATTAGCGCAGACGATTTCTCTCGCATGAACATCGAAATTATTTGCAACTTGCTAGAGAATTGCGGGAGATATCTGCTCCGTAATGCTGATACGTCACGCCGCATGGCAACATTCCTGGAAACAATCCAGCGCAAGAAATCAGTACACCATATTGGCCAGCCAGAGCGTATGCTCATCGAGAATGCGGTATACTACGTGGACCCGCCGGAAAGGGCGTCGATCCAGCAGAAGGAGCGGACACCCATCGAGATGTTCATTCGTAGGCTCATCTATATCGACTTGACGAAACGCAACTACACGAAGGTTCTTAAGCAGATCCGCCGACTTCACTGGGAGGAACAGGAGGTAAGTAGCATAACGCCGTTTATGAAATTGGGTGCTGATCTATATAATAGGTAGTAGACATCCTTATTAAGGTGTTTTCAAGACCTGCAAAGGTCAAGTACGGCAGTATCCACATCTTGGCTATATTACTTAGTGCGATCTACCGTTACCATCCAGGCTTCACCGTTACGGTAATCGACAACGTTGTTGAATCCGTTGTCTTTGGGTTGGAGCAAAATGATTTCAAGTTCAACCAGAGGCGTATTGCAGAAGTCAAGTATTTAGGCGAGCTCTATAATTACCGGATGCTAGAGCACCCTGTGATCTTCGACACCATGTACAAGATCATGACGTTTGGTTACGGTGAGTGCTCCAACATATTCGAACATACCTTATCTGCAGCAAACTAATCGTTTTTTAGGTGGCGCACCTATCCCCGGTCGACTGAATCCTTTCGATCTACCAGACGACTATTTCAGGATTCGTCTTGTGGCCACGATTCTTGAGACCTGCGGCATGTTCTTTAACCGAGGCGCCGCAGGGAAGAAGCTCGACTATTTTCTTTCTTTTCTCCAGGTCCGTCCAACTTGAAACGTGCGGAATTAAGGTCATATTAACAAATTCGCAGTATTATATTCATACTAAGCAACCTTTACCAATGGACATTGAATTCATTGTCCAGGACACCTTTTCTCTTACAAGACCGCAGTGGAAATTAGCGACGACTCTGGAGGAGGCCACAAAAGCCTTCCAACTTGCGGTTGCCCAGGACCAGAAAAACGCCGGCTTAGACAAAGCTGCCGATCCAGATGATGGTTCTAGTGGTACCTCCTCTGATGACGATGGTGGTGATGGTGACGGAGACATTGTGCTTCCTGAAGCTGATGGAGACGATGATTCAGAATCTGATGAAGAAGAGGATACTGAAGTATGCACCACCAATTTCTTTTCATACTTTCATTCGGGAGCAATAATTAATCAGCTCTGGATCGGACAGGATGTCGAGAACCAACCACAATCTCCTCGAGATTTCGAGTCGGAGGAAGAATCGATCGTAGTTACCAGAAAGGCTGAAGAAGTCGATCCTGAGGATGAGGCAGATTTTGAACGTGAGTATGCGAAGATGATGGCTGAGAGTTTAGAATCCCGGAAATTCGATCGTAAACCACTCTTCGACGTCCCACTACCCGTTCGACCCAAGACTCGCGATGTCTCTTCAACGGCGGATGCCGATAATGTAAATGGCGAAAGTGCACCTAGCACAATGGCCTTCTCGTTGCTGACAAAGAAAGGCAATCGTCAACAGGTAAGACTACCCAATGAACAGGTGATCTCTGAGCATGGTACTAACGTTGGCAGACACGAACTGTTGCACTTCCATCAGACTCGACCTTTGCGGTTGCTATGAAGACACAGCAACAGGCGGAACGAGAAGAGCAGCAGCGCATCAAAAACCTGGTGCTCAACTATGACCTTCGCGAGAATGAAGATACAGATGGTGATACTCATTTGACCCCGATCCTACCAAACACAAATATTCACAGCTCTGCTTACCTAGGTCACGATAAATCTCCGTATCACCTTAATCGCCCCGATAAGTCCACCAAGGAACGTGGCGGACAACGTGTCCGTAGATTACAACTCAGTGATGTTGATTGGTATGAAAGATCCCAGCAAAATCAGAATAGGGCCAAACAGGATGCCTCCAATCCCGAGGATCAGCCCGCCAACCATGCGTATGATGAGGGTGACGCTACTTCGAACCGAGTGGGCGGAAGTAGTATAAACAAGCGTCTTGTTGTCCCCTCAGATTCTCGATCTCGTCATCCCACACGACGAGGCGGTAGAAAACGCTGAAGCCCGAGATGTTTGAAAACAGACGCTAACCAATGCGACCATCTTCACGAGTTTAGGACTTGACATTCACCTCTCATCGACCGGAATGCACAATACCCCACCTAACTCATTTGAGCATTACAACAAGGAGTTTCGATATCTCCCGACTGCGCACCATGCCACACATAGAAGCTACGATCCTCAACCTTCGGCGCGAGCATAACACATCTCCCGACACGAGGAAGATTGAGACGGAGGTTCGATAATCCCGAGCTATGTTAACCCCATAAACATGGGACCTACCTACCTTAAGGACTCCGTCGACGTTAGTGAAGTAAATACGCCTAAGCTCTCGGGGGCGGAAGACGAGTGAAGGTGGAGATAAGTCAAGGATCCGGGGCCAAGACAGAGTAGAGAAGTGGTAGTTGCTTTGCTGGTTGCCTGGCGGTTCCTGCATGACCCCTTTCGGTATAGGACTCTATACCTGAATTCGTCTAAGAGTTGACTACGGCAAGACGATCTTACAAGCCTATGGACAGACTAACGATCCCTCATTTGCAGACTGTATTTAGGGCACTTTGTGCCTCGTTTAATTCTAATTCGCTCGTTACATTCTAACATATATACTGATCAACATAAGTGATGACATGTTTTATCTTGAGGGGGTAAATATATTCATATGAAACCGCCTCGTCTCAATTATGATGCGAATAACTACCTAAGTAGGTAGGTAGTGTAATAATTGTTCCCCCCTTATTTTGTAGGGTTAGCCCGTATCCTCTTTTAAGTTAATTTTCTCATGTCTAATGCCTTTCTTTTTAGACTCACCTGAAATTGCCGAGCGAGAAATATCGTGAGGCCATTCTAAAACATTACTGGTTCAGCCCCATCTCATACATATATGGAGTTGTACAACATGAAGCCTTCCCCATCTAGTCATTGTGGCGGTTCGTATTGAAAGCCTTGGCGATGCAGCTCTTGCATGCGGAATCAATGGTCTAGAAATAAGAACCACTGAACAACAAAGATGCACTATAGCACGTCATGAGAAGACACCTAGGTCATTATCGATCGCAGTCTTTTTACCTTTACCCGAGATTTAGAATCGGTTTGATGTTGCATAGTCAACTTCTATCTCCTGTAAAATGTTACATATTCCCTTGGCAATGTCCCTCCTTTCTTTTTTGTTGCTACCCAGGTCTTCATTTTGCATTTCGCAATGAGGTATCAAGGTCCTAGGCGAAGATGGCCGAAACTGAGACATTGAGAAGCTCCCGGTCGGAAGGGGGTCCACGCACTCGGGATAGCGCGATCACGAACTTTCTTACGTGGAATTGCTAATAGCTGTACTACGTATGCTTTATTTAATAGCGCTCGCTTGTGAAGGTTATAGATGGGTATAGATAGTAGTTCCATATTGCTTTATGGAAGTAGGTAGTTTCCGTTAGTCACTTATTTGACACTTGACAGGACCGTGCCTTACGGTTGATCCAGCGGGATAGCGGTTAAACCGGTTGATGTCAGCTCGTGGAAACTACATACCTGCCTCGTGCCGCCTACACATACCTAGCAGGATCAAACAACGATGGTCGCAATTAACCATTAAGATTCCGCGATTTTCTCCCCAGAAAATTTTATATTGGCAAGATTTTTTTGTTCGCGACTGCTACCCTCTGCAAATTAATATATTTTTCACTCGTGGAAAGAACATGTTGCAGGCCTTGTTGCAGCTCTGGAGCTTACGTGTGTGTCCATGGATCTTAATGATACCCTATTAGAGATATCTGGGAAACGAAATGCGAAGATTTCGGGAGTGAAGAAAAGGTCCGTCGCATATTGCTCTATCGGAAGTCTCGCCGTGCTCCACGATGCCGAAAGCGAAGTAACGAACGCTAGACTTCCTGTTGCCATCTGCCATCCCAAAGCGCTTAATAAGGTTTTCAGGGAAGCTGTTTGTACTTTTCATTCGTACCTGGCGGGGTGGTGTGGGCAAAGTAACGTGGCAAGCGTAACACTCCACCACCCTTGCAGCAAGACATTGAAATACTTTGGATCTCTCGCTTAGATCCCCCTTTTTAGCGCGCCTCTTTTTCGCCTAAGCTGCTAGACTGAGTTAAAGTCTCTTTTTGAGCCGCCTGTGACGTTTTCACTATGTCCATTTAGCGCCATGATCGACGCCTATTTCCAAATCAATCAAGCATTTAAGCATTTTTACGGTTCCTCCAAGGTCTTTGGTCTAAAATCTAAGGTTAATCTCTCTAGCTAAGTTTCAACTATTGACACATCTGAGTCCAGATGTTCCCATTCAGCTCAACTGTTTGACGACTATCGATCATGTATGTAAATGCAAGTTACCTACATACACACAGCAGGTACATATCGAGACTTACCTAGAGTGGTAAGTATACAATGCACTCTGTGGCTTGATATTTCGGGATTTAGACTACCCGCAGTATCCTTCCCTGTCTGCCTGTACCACGCTCGTATTTGTATTTGATAACATTGGACATCCAATAGGTACCTAGGAACTTTCCTACCTACCTAGTACTTATTTTTCATCTTGTCACCAACATACGACAATATGCCACTGGGTATGTAGGTACATTGGTATGTACCTTGAGTGTCGATCCACCCTAACCCATCGATCGGATAATATAAATGAAAAGAACAAGTCAGCTCGCCTTATAATCTATTAACAGCATCATAAGAAGAAGAAAAGAGGGAACCTGTAGTCATTAATTGTTTGCCAAACGGCCCGGTACCAAGCCATATCGATGGATCGAAGGAGTATTGGCTAAAGTGAACGTGTGCATCTACCTATTCTCTCAACCCAGACAGGCCACGCAGCTAAACTGAATCAACTGATTGGGTACCCATCTATAGGTACATTGAGCAGCTGCAATTAAGTTTGTACTTCAAGCTCGATGTTTTTATAGGTACTACCTACCACCAAGCCCAAGGGCGTTTCTGGAGTTCCATTTAGCCTTCCCCGCCTGAACGTAAGGTTGTGGCGGCTTTGACTGGCGTGTAGCTTCGTAACTTAATGGTCATTCCCGTCCAGTACCCATTTACTTTGTGGATTGAAGTATAGATGAGAACTTACATGTACTAGTTTCCGATACATACAAATAGGTTCGGTACATAAAAGTTCACGGGTGGACATGTGGACATCTATACAAAGTTTGTTCTAATTAAGCCATGCTTTCCCTCAAACTACCCAAACCCTATCCAACAAGGTGTACCTTGTAGCAAGGTTGAGACTTTCGATCTTCTGTCTGATCAAATATGGATTTTCTTCTTTCCGTGTTGAGGTAAACAATAACTGATTGATCATTGTGGCTCGAAATAAATAAGTCCAGACTCAACTTCATCTGCCGTGCATGGGAATTTGGGTAACCTTCTAAATCCCTGTAACTAACTCGGCTTTCTAGACGCGTTCCATCACCGATTTCTTTCTCCCCTAATCACGGCCGACGTGGCCTGGCAATGGATGTATCCGATCTAGCTAGCTTCAGGAGCCCAAGCATCGGATAGTTATCGTCACATTTCCGCACACTGGCCCAGACAGTCGTCGTACGCAGTGAGCCTTCTGGCCAGCTTCAGTTTCTCTGGGCTCCGGTATCATTTTCCATCTTATACCATGTAAGTCTAGCTCCCATAGATGCGACTCGCCTGCAGGTCCCGCAGACCAGCAGGTACATGTATACTCGCCAAGAGACGAGTCCAGATCCCAAGCATCGCCTGACTGATATAGAAAGAGCTCACTAACCTCAAAATTCAGCTATCCGGCTCCCTTGCTTAACCAGCCAAGACCTTTCACCGTTTTACTTGGCACCGATGCCGAAGGCTGCGACTGTTGTCGATTATATTCATTCATTCAGCCACCTTGTTTACTAGCAGTCCTTCATTCATTTGGGTACATAAGCGCACCCTTGTTCTAAATTTCAACCCTCGCCTAGAACGATACCTATGAACGCTCTCCCGTATATGGTGAGACCTCTCTTAGCATAACAATCGACCTGCTATAGTAGACTTACCGAAGCATCTTCAGGGTCAGAAGAGCAAATTCCAACCTCGATAGGACGTCATAAGTAACGAGTGGACAAGGTACCAGCCTGTTCGATCGTTTACATATAACGGCGTTTTTATTTTTATCTTATACGGATTGTCGTGGCACCTCGTCTTATCCTTCGAGATCAACACAGCAACATCAACGCCACCTCCACATCCATATATTCGGGACATCACCACCACAAACCAACCATTACCTAACACATACCTTGCTGTGTGGGAGGGCTTCAACGTGGACCGATTTCCTTTCTTTTCCGAGCACACGAAGTCCGAGACGAGGGGTCCCTTGCATTTACGCTGCACGTAGCCGTAAATAAGCATCATTGTGTAACAAGATAGCCTGTCATCGTCTACCTCTTAACTAAGAGTTATAACGATGATTATATGAGAAACGAGCCATCCAACAGCCCGTATCCGAGCCAGAGATAAAAGGACTTAATAGTAGTCATTCACCTCGGAAAGAAACCCCTCCCCACCAAATTCATTCATTCATCGGTCAAAACAATTCGACAATCTAACTGGCCAACCCAAAGATGGCGCAAGATATCACGAAAACATGGCCGGTCCACGAGGTAAGAAATCCCAATATAGATAAGATTTCATGTCTTCAAGGCTTTTTTTGTTATTGACACATCTTCACAGATCATCTACACCGCCATCGTAGGCGTCGTGATGCTAGCAGCCCTTCTTGAATGGTTTCTATGGCTAGCCGCATTCCTATACTGCCTAGTCAAGGTCTTCCAGAAAGCAGAGCACTGGACAATAAGAGTATTAGCAATCATCATTGCTATTCTCTTCACTGGGTTCCGGTATGTTCTTCAACTATGTCCACCACTCGATCATCACTAATAATAAAATAGATTTATCTTCTTACCTATTATGGTCGTAACCCTACCTCTGCCAGGCGAAATCACGCAATATTGGCCAGCTAATATGGTCGATATTCTTCAATGGTTCGCCTTCTGGAGTTTTGCGGGACTCTTAACTATCCCGTGGCTTTTTTGCGTTTATCAACTTGTCACCCATCAGCTTGGCAGAACAAAACGTGTTAAGGAGGTCCTGGATGAGGTTTCTGCACCGAAAGTTGTTATCGTGATGCCCTGCTACAAGGAGGAACCAGAGGTCCTCGTCACTGCTATTAACTCAGTCGTGGATTGTGATTACCCCCCTTCATGCATTCACGTATTTCTCTCATTCGATGGAGACCAAGAGGATGAACTTTATCTAAACACGATTGAGAAGCTCGGCGTCCCTCTGACTCTGGAATCGTATCCTAAGAGTATCGATGTCACATACCGATCAGCTCGCATTACGGTCTCTCGGTTTCCCCACGGAGGAAAACGCCACTGCCAAAAGGCCACCTTCAAACTCATCGACAAAGTTTACAAAGAGTATCTTAAGCGGAACGACAACCTCTTTATCCTCTTCATCGACTCGGATTGCATTCTAGATAGAGTCTGTTTGCAGAATTTCGTCTATGATATGGAGTTGAGCCCCGGGAACAGCAGAGACATGTTAGCCATGACGGGCGTCATCACCTCGACGACCAGGAAGCACAGCATTATTACCCTACTCCAAGATATGGAGTATATTCATGGTCAATTATTCGAGAGGACCGTGGAATCTGGATGTGGTGCCGTCACTTGTTTGCCGGGAGCTCTGACTATGCTTCGGTTCTCCGCATTCCGAAGGATGGCCAAATATTACTTTGCCGATAAGGCTGAGCAGTGCGAAGATCTATTTGATTTCGCCAAGAGCCATTTAGGCGAAGATCGATGGCTAACGCATCTTTTCATGATTGGTGCGAAGAAACGGTACCAGATTCAGATGTGCACTTCGGCATTTTGCAAGACAGAAGCGGTGCAGACTGTCCAGTCGCTGATTAAGCAACGGCGAAGATGGTTTCTTGGGTTTATCACAAACGAAGTCTGCATGTTAACAGACTGGCGCCTTTGGAAACGATACCCTATCTTACTCGTGGTGCGGTTTATGCAAAACACGATACGAACGACAGCTTTGCTTTTCTTCATCATGATGCTCTCGATAATGACGACGACCATGAGGGTCGACCAGCTACCCGTCGGATTCATCGCCATCTCTCTTGGCCTAAATTGGCTAATGATGATATACTTCGGCCTTAAACTGAAGCGGTTTAAGGTCTGGCTCTACCCGATGATGTTCATACTGAATCCCTTCTTCAATTGGTACTACATGGTATACGGAATCTTCACTGCTGGCCAGCGAACTTGGGGTGGACCGCGTGCCGATGCTGCTACCGCGGATGCGCATACGACGCCCCAGCAGGCAGTCGAGAAAGCTGAGAAGGCGGGAGATGATCTCAACGTTGTCCCGGAAACGTTCATCCCAGCCGCCGAAGTACTGAGACAGAAGGGTAAAGGAAAGGAGACGAACGGAGTCCAGAGGTCGAAGAGCAAGGTCTTACCTCCAGAAAAGATCGAAGGGAAATTTGCCGCCCCAGAGAAGAAGGCAAACGGATTCTATGCCTATCCAGGAGAATCAACGTACAGTTTTTATACACCAGATGCCGATTCTTCGCTCTTCGGTGGTCCTACTCCACACCATGCTCTCCACAGCCGCGATTCGGTGGAGAGTTTCTTGACCACCGGAAATAATTCTGTGTATTTCCCCCGACGGGTAGAAAGCATCATGGGAGACGAAGATCGGAAGAAATACGAGATGGCACAAGCCAACCAGTATAACCAATTCGTTGAAAATTCTAAGAAGTACGCAATTCCTCCACGAGGTCAAGTGTACGAATTTACCGACCTGGAACTCGCGAAAGGGGGTTGGGAAGGGGGTGAAGGCCGAACCGAACGTACTTACAGAGACGACACTAACGAGAGCGGTCCGGATTCGCTATCTTCCCGTGCGCCCTCTCCTGGGCCTAGGTCGTCTCTACTAGCCCACCAGGACACTTCGCAGGCTCAAAGGCAGAGCCTCAGTGTACCGAGGGGACACCATCATCAACGGAATAGAACAGGGAGGAGTCCACTTGGCCGTAACAGCCCGATCCACGCGCCAGCCCCAGACATTGACGAAGCGGAGATAGACAGGTCAAACTCGGGTCGAAAGAGGTCACGTAGACCGAATACCCCAAAATGAAAAGGGTGGATGGGATGACGAATAATTACATTTAGAAAGCCTACCTCTGTTGGCGTATTGCATAATAGGTACCTAGTAACTTCGGGAGTTGCATTATAGAAGGCGTTTGTTGGGTAAAGGAAAGTAATGCATTTATGACGCTGTACAGGACAGCAGGTTACATACACGTTGGGTTTTGGTGACATCCCTTAATTACATACCACACAGTTTAACGTTTATGAAACGTTGCTGTATCATCATCATCTCCTCTTGCAAGACATGATTATACCCACAGAAGAATATAAGTTATTTTCAAAGTCTTCCTTGAGTATCTCTGATATGGCAATACTGTGACACATCTGGCTTACTTAGGTGGGAAAGTATGGTGTTTCTGAGTCTAAGAAGCTATCTTAACCCGGATTCTAACTCGGACTCGTATTCTTGTATAGCGGAGATAGAGCCTCCTAAAAAAAAGAAAACTTCATGTGTCATTATTTCATTTTTCTGTCAAAGAAAGTGAGGAAACCTCATGTATGTCCGAGGGAAAATATTAAGATGAAATGCTTCAGACGACAATGCAAATCAATACGAGCTACGTCATAGTAATGTTTGAATGCCAGCTGTTTGCACCCGATAAGTTCCTGACAGTCCTGAATGTTGCACATTAAACCGGGGATAAATATGGCAAACTCACGTGTTAGCTAAAACCTAGGGCTAGCAGAGGAGGTACGACTGCTACAGTAACAGTTAGCAATCACGCTAGGTGGTTATTGCACTGTGCCCCCCCTGACAAAGCCAGAGCCAGCATGGAACGAATTGATTAGGCAGTCGACAACGCCAAAACTCTACTGTCTTTAGGAGTTGAACTTGGAACCTTAGAACCTTGAACGCTCGAAACGGTTATCTGTCTATTTCACACTAAAGCAGCATACAACGAACCCATCGAACCCAACGAACCCGAGCGAATTCATCTATATCCGAGCTTTAAATCCAACCATTTCGCGTTCGCATTCCCAATTTTCCACCATGGATAATTTTAAGGCATTCGGCAGTAGTTTGAGGTATGCTAAGCATTTAATGCTGTCATTGGAGTACCTGCATTTGCAAGCCAGACGCTGATATCATGCTAGCAACATTGGCTCGCAGATTACACCTTTTGCTTCACGTACTTTCCAGTACACCAAGGAGCAACTTGGCCAAGCCGAGGACAAGGTAGGAGTTGACGATTCAAATGCTGGCAAATGCTAGAAAACTAGCTAATAATAAAACCTCTACAGACCCAGCTTCCACCTGATTATATCGACCTCGAGAAACGTGTCGATGCTCTCAAACAAGTCCATCAGAAGATGCTTGCAGTGACGTGGGTCCATCTACTGCAATGTGCGATTGCCTCTGGCTAACATTCCTTGGGCCATTCATAGTTCACAATACTCTCACGAAGCCTACGATTACCCTGCCAACATCAAGGAGAGCTTTTCGGACCTCGGCCGCACCGTCAGCGAGAAGGTTCAGCTTCTCTCCTCCGCCACCACCCCCGCAGAAGCCCAAGCTGCCTTGACCGCACCCCCCACCGCGAAGCCGCAGCCCAAGACCTTCTCCCATGCTATCGCACGTGCTAGCTTAACAAGCTCTCAGCTTTTGCATCAGCAGCACACCGGCGCCGGCGAGGATCCACTTGCGACTGCGCTCGAGAAGTATGCGTTGGCTAGCGAACGGCTAGGCGAGGCTCGCCTTGCGCAGGATGCTCAGATCCAGAGCCACTACCTAGCTGGGTGGAATACTACGTTGAACACCAACTTGATGTTCGCGACCCGCGCGCGCAAGAACGTCGAGAAGGCGCGTCTGACGCTGGACTCTGTCAAAGCTCGCGCCAAGGGAACCACTTGGAAGATCGGTCCCACGTCTCCCCGCGAAGATCACCCCACCGATGAGCTGAGCGCCGAGGCACAGGAGGAGATCGAGAAGGCCGAGGACGAATTCGTCACTCAGACTGAAGAGGCCGTGAGTGTCATGAAGAATGTAAGTCATATTCAAATCTAACGTCCTATCTCCATACTCTATCGGCTAATATCATACGATAGGTTCTCGATACCCCCGAACCTCTTCGCAACCTCGCAGAGCTTGTTGCTGCCCAGCTCGAGTACCACAAGAAGTCTGCCGAGATTCTTAGCGAGCTTGCTCCCATCATCGAAGGCCTTCAGGTTGAGCAGGAGGTGAGTTAAAAGCCATTCTCCATATATCATAGTATAGTTACGCTAGATCTAACAAGTCGCTATAGGCCAACTACCGCAAGAGCCGCGAGAGCGCTTCGTAGATGATTATTGCGCACGATACCCTTAAATGCGACGAAGTGCCCTTTTCGTAATGTTTTACGACAGGACGGGACTACAGAGAATCGTTAGGACCTGCAGGGACAGTAGCAGATTTGTCAGGATCCCCTTCTCTTTTCTTTTTCCTGCCACCTGATCTGGCATGCTGCGTGTTGGAACGAGTGTGATATAGACGGGAAGTACGTCCTTGAAGGACTTCCCTAGTGGATTTTGTTACTTTCAATGCTTCATTTTCCACCTCCGCCTGGAGATCGATTGGTTGGCGCTATTTTAGAACTCTGACTTTATGCGTGTGCGTGAATGTAGTAGTGATACGGTGAGAAGGAATATATCTTGTTACATGGATATTTATAGACTATTTTTAAGCTTGTAGATTCTATGCTATCTCTGCTATCTTGGTAGGGTAAAGAGCCGTTGTAGCTCGCGACTCATAAGACGTTAGATTCGTCGACATGGGTAAGTACAAGATATTGGCTTCTAAATCTACTACTAATAATAATAGAAGAGCTCAGGGTAGCTCTTTTCTGAAACACTACTGCTCAAAGCAGAGTAACGGACAAGGATGGAAGCATGGAAGGCGACAAATATATTAGATTAGTCGTAGACGTGCCATTTCCAAGGTTGAAGCGATGACTTCTACAGGATGAACACGGAATGTGTACAGTATTGATTGGTAGACCAATATTCATGTCTACAATTATTATAATTCTCCTTGTGTAGACAATACTAGAATTAGATGATCATGGTCCGATAGCATGGAACACGAATGCAGTCAATCTGTCTTCCTCATGCCGAAGCTCAAGGCATCGGTCACAACGAAAAGAGTATGAGATCAAAAATTGCGCTCACTACGATCCACGAGGGATAATAGAAGAGGGTCGACTCCGCGCTGTGCAATGCAGGTCTCTCCCCTTGGCAACCCTCATGCTTGAGCGAGGGTTGCCTGAACAAGGTAAGTATGAAGAAGAAAGGAAAGAAAAGGTCAAAAGGTGGGAGGAAGGCCAGGTATTTATGTCTTTCCTGGAGGCGCGCTAGGGCGGTGAGTCGGCAGAATATCTCAAAGGCGCGGCTGCCTGCACTGTGCAATTTCCTTTCATGCATGGTGCGAAACTAAAATATTGGTCATGTGACGAATGGTAGATCGTCCAATCAAATGACTCCGATGTGAATACAGCACGATTGTCTCTTGTACAATGCCGGAACGGTTTGCAAGTGATGGTATTTCAATGAAAGAGCAGTGTTGCTACGATTTATCTGATTCTAAATTATTGATTGCAGTTTCCCCTTGAGCCTTGAAATATTACCTCTCACGTGAAGAAAAACTTGTCAAAAAGTTCGTTGCTAAACCGTTGTCGAGCTTCCTCCAAATCCCATCCTTGCTTTTTCGCAATCTGACCCAGCGTGTCTCGGAACTCGACGATGGCATCGCCGTACGATTCTTTCATGTATTCGACCATGGGCCGTCCACGAGCAGTCATGTTAGCCCATTCCTTAGCCCAGTGTGGCCGTGTTTCGAGATATTTCCCCTCGTTGTCCTTGAGTTCCATCCATTGATCGATGACGTATTGCGCATATGGAGTCCATTCGGTATCCATATTCTGCAATGTTAGGACCTCGATTGAACAGGTACCTAACTTGTGCCCACGGAACGGCGCCATAGTCACTTCGGAAGAACCGGTGATGCGCATTTCGAGGGGCATACGCTGAGGACATGTATCGGTATACTTATACGCAGCTAGTATCGCATCCCACCATGCTTTTTGCACAAGAGACCAGTTGATTTCGGCGTCGGGCTTTGCATCCTTCAAGCTACCGACTTTGGGCTGTAGTGGTATCTCGAGCTCCGTATCCCTAACCCTGACATTCTGGATGGCTCTCCGGAAGTGCAGCGCATCTGGCAATTGCGTTCTAATTGTGTCCTTCGGGTCGGTGATATTCGGCATAGCATAGAGACCTAGTTTGGATAGCAACGTAGTTTGCGCCCATGGGAATATTTTCTGCAGCTTGAAGAAAGCCTCAGAGTCTTGGATGACCTGAATAGCGACGGTCTCGACCCACTGGAGAAGAACGCCGGCCTTACTCGGGTAGTCCTTCGCTCCTTCACCGTCATCCGTGTTGTTCCAGCAATTGACCCAGACTTTGCTCGTATAAGGGAACCAAAACCATTCCGCATAGAAGTCGTCGGCCGCGTGCTTCTCAAATTCCGCTTGAGCCTGGGCACGCTCCTCTGGCGACATCTTGATCCGAAGGGCTTCGGGAATGTCCTCATCCGCCAGCCCAGGAGGTGGCGGGATAGCTTGCATAACGGGAATTTGTACCGGGGCCATAGCTGCGTATGACATGGGATCAAGCTCAAGCGTAATATGAGTAACGATTCCCAACAGTCCAAAACAACCACTAGCTACGGCCATGAAGCTAGGGTCCTTGTCTTTGCTGATGGTTTGTAGGTTCCCGTTCACATCTACGTACTCGATGGCGTATACCAAGTCGCTAAGAGTCGGATGTTTTCGGCCAGCACCGTGGCAGATCGGGGCGTTGGATCCTCCCAAAGTAATCTCTACCATTATAACGTTTAGTGGGAGAGTCGAAGCAGCATCCATCTTCTGTTTATTGCACCACCTCCTGAATATCTGGTTAGTCACTGCGGTGCCAACCCGAACCAGTCGCTTCTTCCCTTTTTGAGGCGTTCCTACAAAGTCGATACTGTTGAGCTCTGTACCGCGGACGAAGAATTGTGACCCTGGCAACGATACGATGTTCGGAAGCTTTGTAGCTTCAAATAAACCTAGAGTCGAGATGATGATCTGGCCGTCGTCGCTGAAGACTGGGGACCATGAATGACGATATCCAGACGCTCTGACCCTTAGGCCACGAGCCTTTGCATGTTTAACAATTTGTTGAATGCCATAAGACGTGCTCGGGATATAGGTGAGGCTCGGTGTGTTCTTGACGGTAAGGCCCCAATTTTGAAACTTCTCTTCGGCGTGAACAGCGATCTTCACCTTTTTATTTTTATCGTTATAAAGGGTTACATGGTCATGCCTACCATGGACTACCTTGGAGAAGGCAGAGCGTAATTCTTCTTTAATTGAAGGGTGATCACCTTCCTCGGGTAAGGTCGGTAACTCATCGCGAGCGCCTAGAGATAGGCCAATATCGAAATCGTCGGGGAGGTCGTCGGCTGCTTTCTCGTCTTCGACGAATCTTCGTATCAAGCTCTTTTCCTGGTCAGAATAACGTCCGAGGATGCTACTATATGTTCCATCCGACTGAGACTTCCAAAAGACGCGCAGCAGTCTGCGAATAGAATCCTCTCGGGGCACGTTTACGTCGGGAGAGACGATGTCGTCGAGAAGGTCTGCTAATCCCGGAAGTTGGTTACCAAGCTCATCGTCATGATCGTGTAACTTCTCGGAAAGCCTTGCAAGTCTGCTTTTCGACCTTTCAAAGATAGGACCTGTGTGGGACATGTTGGAGACAATACCTATCAATATACTGAAATATAATAGCCTAATAACCTGAACATTCGTCAAAATGAACTTTGGGGTGTAACATATGTTAGGCGGGCTGAGCTCGACTATTTGTATTCGCAATCCTCTCAGATCTTCAGCGGTAAGCAGGTTTGTCTAAGTCGCCGAATTATGTATACCTACCTACGTAAAATTCCATTTACTCTGGCCATTTAGATTCAAGAACGCGTATAGTGAAGCGTTCCGATCCACGCCTTGATCCGCGGTGCCAGTAGCCGAGTTATGCAGTATGTCAGGGGGTAGAATAGGACAGTAGGCTTTTCTCATTGCTTTTTTTCGTTTTAGACAACGCCATGTCTGGAGTTCGTATGACATCGTATCAGGAGCTTCCAGGTTATACCAATATAATAAACGCTAACTGTGATTAACAGCTTCATATTGTAAGCTTACCTCTACCTCACCGATCAGCAGGTCTGCCGCGGTAAGCATCTTTACACCACATTATAACAGTATATAAGTCCTAGACTTCCGGGGAGTCCATCACACCGACTTGGCATGACAGTTATAATCACAGGACGATTCCAGCCCCTATCCGCCCCCAAGAAATGGCGTTTTTCGGTCAGATGGCCAAGACCGTGAGGCTGGGGTTTATGCTCGGATACTGTGTAGCAATTGGGTAGCACAAAAGCCACTCGCTTGTATGCACGGAATAGAGACGCACATTGTACGTAAGCACTGTCTGTCACACCGTCCATATTGTGAACTAGATTACCCGATGCAGAATATACTGGTTTCTTGTTACCAGATCATCCTTGCAGTACTAGGTATGTAGTACTCAGTTATCAAATAGTACTTTAACCTGTGGAATGTTGTTGTCTTATCCCCCAGACATACGGGTCTTTGGAATCGAAACATGTGTTTCCTATGAGTTCATAAGGAAATAATGATCATTGGTAGAAAGCATGTATCTCTTCCAGTTTTGAATAAAAGAGATAGGATATGACGAGGTGGGGTTTCCGTCCGGATAGTTACTTATCTAATCCATCTCAATGCAATAAACCCCACCAATGTAAAGTTCCACGTGACTCCGGCTGTGACGTTCGTTTTTTCGAGCTTTAAACACTCACTGGAGCTAAGCTCACTTAGAAATCGGAATCCCTCAATTGGACCGAAGAAATCGACCAGCCTTCTCTCCAATCCCACCACCTATCCGAAACAGCGCCTCCCAACCTACCACACAGCACACGAGAAACCATATACGAAAGCCACACCTATAGACGCAAACACACGCCATGCGGTCGTCGTTCCGACTCCTCGCGGCCGTGAAGCCAGGCGCGCGGTACCTCGAACCGGGCGTACCGACAGGCCTAACGGGGCTCTGGACACACATAGCGCCGCGGTCAGCACTGCTATTCTTCTACTCAAAGACACTAGAGAAGCTAGAGCGGTTCCCCGAAGCGTCGCTGTACCGGCAATCAATCGAAGCGCTAACGCGGCACCGCCTCGCCGTCGTCAAAGCCGTCGAGCCCCCGGGGTACGCGGAATGGGAAGCCAACGCGCGCAAGATCGTCGAAGCGCACCCGGACCAGTTCCCCGTGCGCACGAGCCCGCCCTCGGGCGGCCCCGCGGGCCCCGCGACCATTCTGAAGAACGAGGTCCATGGCGAGATGTTCCTGCATGAGGTTAGTCGACGTAGGGTCGATAAGAGGTATGAGGAGTGGGATGGCGAGGCGGATGAGGGACCTGGGGCGGAGGGGCTGAAGGGCGAGGAGGATAGAGCCGATTTTGAGAAGATCTTTAGAGAGCCGAGGGAGATGCCGGATGAGGGCGTGCCGTGGGTGTCGGAGCCGCAGTTGACTGCTGATCAGTTAGTTGCCCTGCGTTGTTTTTATACCTGGTGTTTTGACTGGGTTTGTTTGGTTTATGGGATTTCGCTTGCTAACGGTGACGATGATAGGGTTGAGGAGATCGAGAACAAGCTAGGAAGCGGTCTTATCGAGGAGGTGGTAAGGTTGGCTGAGAACGAGTGCAAGCTCGTGGATATCATGTATGAGAACAAGGTGTAAGTGTTCTGAGCCCCATTGACTATCCACAAATAGGAGTTTTAGGGAGATGGTATAACTGACAGATAACACAGATGGGAGGACCTAGAGGAGAAGCCGGTCGAGGGTCAATGGACGTATTTCGAACGACATGCCACCGAATAGACGAATTCGACCGCTCGATATAATACGGTTCCAAAATTCTGCGGACTTGCTTCTATGTGCCGTTACAGAGCACATATAATCGAGGAAACTTGTACATATGAACTACGAATTAGATTATGAAATGCTGTTAAACACATACCGGGTGCGCCGTGGAATAATTGGAGCTGGAGCCAGTCATCTTAGATGTAGATGAGTCGTTTCGTCTTTCGGGCGCCCCAACCTCTCGAGCGATTGAAGTTTTCGAATCCTTCATCGGTGGCCTTTTTAAATCCAAATCTACTCGAAAATATGAAGATGAGGCCACTACAGTCTTCGTGCCCTGGAAGACTGATAGAGCGAACTTATCCCTTAATTATTCACACGGAAATTCGCGGATAGATCCTAACTGATAAACATACTAATAAGTTGTAATGTGAGGTTTGCAAGATATTTATAGTCTTGGATCATACAACATACCTCCTAATATAGTGTATTGCGTTTATATGCCTCTGGTTATTGTGTTATAGAATATGAGCATTGTCTATGATAATGTTGATATATAACTACCTAGTAATCTAATTAAAAGAAGAATTTTTGCCATAAGACACATAAACTTCACTAAATATTTATCAAGACATTTCCGTACAGTTACCTATGTTGAATCCATAAGCCGTAGTTATAGGTAGTGTTAGTGGTGAAGAGGAAGAATATAGGGCGCAATCAGCCACTAATGCAAGCACGGTTCGGCCCGCAAACGCTATTACCACTATTTTCAACAAAACTTGAAAACGTAAAGACTGACTGAGCATCTCATTCTTCTAAATTTCTAGTTTTTAATGGCTATCTTGTTATTTGGATAACTACTTAATACCTAGTAGGACTATAATACAACAATATATTTGAATGCGTCCATCTACTTGGCGGATGGGATAGGGAACCATGGGACCATTCGCACTCCCGGTGCCCAGTTATCGTCTAGGGATACACTCACGCACTGAGAATAGGAAGAAAGCAGGCAATGAAGAGGAAAATGGGTTATCTGAACCAGAAAGGGATATACCATCCCATCTTCCTTCCGATTCCATAAATCCCCTCAGTCACCCGCCCGACACCCTCCGCCAATTTGCTGTTGCTGGGTTGTCACCCACAGAGGAAGTACCATCAAATTTGCACCCCTTATTTCCCCACAAGCCGCTCCCAACGATAGGGAAGGGGAGGAGACAGGGAGCACACCATGATAGCACCATATCCACAGTCAGCGGTGTTGAGAGCGAGGACGACAGAGGAGGAGCGAAGACCCAAGACAAGAACACTACAGTGAAGCAGCTCACAGAACGACTGAGACATATCAATACCATGACAGCCATCATGCACCGCTGCCTCAGCGACGGCGACATCGCGCGCGCGAAGCGGGCTTTCGGTCTGCTCGTGCAGAGCAAATTCATCGATATTCGGCTCGGCGGGCTCTGGGCCGTGGGCTCGGAAATACTGATACGGGACGGCGAGGAAGAGGAGCAACGAAACAGACCATCCCCAAACGACAACGAGCAGGAAGGTATGCGTCGCTGGGGCTCAGCCGCCAACATAGAAAAAGTGCGGACCTACTTCGAGAACCTGATCCAGCAACACCCGCACGACCAACACCGGCCCAACTCAACCAGCGCGCTGGACTTCTGGCCCGCGCTCTTCGGCATCGAGATCTACAACCTATCCGCCGAATTCCGGCGCGCAACAGCCCGTCTAAACGCATCTCTCTCCGACGAAAACGAGGATAGTCTTATGGAAGAAGATGGTTTCGACATAGACGACAACGCAGGGATGGGGATGGGGATGAATGTAGACAGAGACGTAGATATGGCAGACCCAGACGAAGCCTTTGCAGCGCGGGGACGTGATCGGGGCGGTAGGAAGCGCATGGAGTGGGCGGCGCGGGATGAGATGCGCTCGGAGACGCAGGTTGCGGCTGAACGAATCGCGCGCCAGATGGATTCGATGATGGAGAATGCGCCGTTTGCGACGCACCGCGGGCTCCTGTGGCTGCGCGCGAACTTGGCGCTGTTTATTGGGGATTTGTATATACCGTCGCGGCTGCTCGATGGAGATCGTGCGGAGGAGAGTGAGGATGAGTTACGGGCTCGTGCTGAATCTGTCGAGGAGCGAGGTGCGCTGGATAGGCGGAAGGAGGAGCAGGAGCGGGCAAGGACGTTGTTCCATAAGATATTGGATGGAGGAGGGGAGGTGGATACTTGGGCGTTGAAGTTTGTAGATGCGGGTGAGGAAGAGGAGCAGGATGTTAGCATAGAGGATGGATGGTGAGTGTTTATATACCTCGGGACATGATAGATACCCTATTGCATTGGAGTCTTAATACAGTACTTCTAAAATTTTCGTGCGTTCCCCTATCTTATGAACACATTATACGTGATGTATAGCCATGAGAAATACATCTATGCGGTAAAGGTAGAACGGCAATAACCGTGCCATAATTCGAATATCTTGATTGTACAATGGCATCTAGAGTACAAGCAATCCCAGAATATAAACGCGCAATAATAACGTGCCGCGCGCCAGTCCAATGCAAATTCACCTCATACCAGGAGCCGACTTGTCGGACTCCTAACTGATCTAACACATCTGCCTTCACGACCCAGCGTCAGTCGCAAAGCCTAGCTGATGAAACATAGGCATCCCAGCCCAAGGTAGAACACGAATAAGGGGTACACGGCGATGCCGACCCGATTCTTGACAACGCCACTGCCACCCAGTATACTAACGCCTGCAGCTAGCGACCAGCCCACAAGCACAAGGTAAACGGGGATTCGAGCGATCGTAGGTAATCCGAAGGCCGACATGATCGAGGCGAGAACCAGGGGGAACAGCGTGTATCCGATAATACACACGCTTTGCGCAAACGAGCTATCACACCAGTCAGCACATACCATCCCCTCACAGCCGGGAGGTCAAAACTCACATATTCCCACCAAGCAGTTTAATCTGCAACGTAACCACCGCCTCCCCAATCCACACGATCGCAAAAACGCCACTAAACACAATATCCTTCTGCTCGTCCTTACCCCTCAGGCTCAGAAACAGGGCCAACAGAAGACAGAAAATCAGGGGTCCCCACATATCCCAATCTCTCAGCCCCGGGCTCATATTATTCTGATTAAGCAGACTCTCCGGATCCATGACTCTGCCAGCAAGACTCGTCAACTCCTCACGAGCACCCGAGAGCCCGGCTCCGCGGAGATTGGCGTAGGCGCCGCGCAGGCCCTCTGCGCTCTCGAACATGGTGCCGCCGAAGAGGTAGCGCGGGTACAGGACCTCGCGCATCTTGGACCACACGGCGAGCAGGTCGCGGCGGACGGTCTCCCACACGCTTTCGTCGATCGTGTTTTGCGGCGCGCGCCGGTCCTCGCCGGGGATGCGGGATGTGAGGTAGTTGCCGTCGACGGAGCGGGGGGCTGCTGAGGAGCCGGCTCCGATGTTGCCGGTTAGTGGCGCGCGTTGGGATTCCGCGTGCGAGAGAGGGTCGTCGAAGTCGTTGAGGTCCGCTGTGGGGGTTGTGGTGTAAGTAAGTTATTAGGTATGGTACGGTTCATTATTGTGAAGTGGGATAAAGCACAAGCTACCTAGGTATCTATGTGGTGTAAAGCAAGGGACGGCTAGGAGCACCAAGTGAAGCTAACCACCTTCACCACGTGGGTATAACTCACCATCATCAGGATCGATCAAGTCGTCGTCCTCTATCTGCGGGCTCTCGTAGTGGTGGCTAGCAGAGGAAGCCATTTCGGGCAAGTGGCGGTTTTGCTTGGCAGGTCGTGCAGCAATCGTCTAAATATCTCCTTCGACAATCTCTCAGATCGTCATCAATCAGGACCAAGAGGTAGTAACCCTCCTAGTCGTGCATATGTTGTAGTGCCGTAGTTTTGATGTTGTTTGATTCCAAAAAGCTTCAACGAATTACGGAGCACCACCGTGTCAATTCAAAGACGTAAGCTTCACATGGTCCAAGCTCCCAATTAATATGGGACCAGTGTGGAACATTGTAAGGCTTTCTGATTGGCTACTTCTAACGAGCCTTCATTTATTACAAGCACTGAGAACCCGCATTGTACTATATACCTAGGTACTTACATGTATCTTGTAGGTACATACGTCACACGCATATATGTACAAATTCGTCACGCCATCCATTTCACAAACCAATCTGCCACTGCCGTATGCTGCCCGCCATTGCCGCCAGGAAGAAACAATGACAATAAGGAAAATAGAGAAAGAGATGGATGAAGGAGGTATCACAATAACGGACCTCGACCCGTTCGACCGAAAGAAGCTCCTCTTCGCGATCCAGCCATTTGACTGCGCGGCCGCTGCATCGGGAAAGTCACATACGGCAATCCGACTTGGGAAGGCAAATCCATCAACACTGCATTCAACACTGCATTATGCTTTCCAACTAATACCTGACAATATTCTGATATTCTGATATTCTGTACCTCCACATCTAGTATGGGTATCTCGATTTGTGAAGCGTCTGTTGTCCGCTTCGATGTGCCTATATCTCCCTACTTCCTGCTATGCCGTATCCTATCTGTCAAAGTCGAGCGTAACCTTCATGAATTCCCTCCTATATTACTCCGTTTTAAGTCCCCTAAATGCAGATATCGTCCCTTGGCTGCATTACCCGGGTTACGCACAATCCGATAACCCGCTAGATAAACATGCGCCGTGGTAGTGATGCTTCTCCATGATTCCCTCGAAACGCCTAGGCCAAAAAGAGAATCCAGGCCTCGCTAATTATAACCATAACATTAGTACAAAGGTATGATGCAAGCCTGATGAAAATAAAGCCCTAACTCCAAACTCCTACTGCCACACGTTTCTGTACGTTCGAGGGCCGTCTCTAAATCCGTGAGCCTGTGTTGTAGGAATCGCGTAGTTGTTTGTGTTCTGTTGGGTATACGAAACTGATGCTTCTACCCATGGTTCTGTTAGATGCTGGTTAAATCCAGACAACGAGGGTTGAGATGATGGTGGTAACTGGGTGTATGGCCGCCAAGGTTCAAATGTAGGCGCAGACGGCCTCGAACGCGTCCATGGAGATGAGTTTGGGTAGCTGGAACTCCCGCCACCAAGTTCTGTCGTAGTAGTATCATAACACCCCTGTGGCGTCTCGACATTAAAATTAGACACGTAACGTGGATCAGCCGGCACTGCTGCTTCGGCAGAATGACTCTCCGATGAAGATGCTGCCCATTGTTGAGGTGGTGGTTGCGGCTCGATACTGTGATATGTGGATTTCGGTGCCTTTGGATCCCAGGCGGGTAGTCCGTCCTGGGGTTGTGAACTCTCTCTTGGCACACCGCGACCATATGCAGCAAGATTGCCATTGATACCTACTACTGCCCAAGCAAAAACAGCTACATCGCGGATTGACTTCATAAGCTGATCAATCGGTGGTCCTCCCGCAGTCTTGACATGCTCCCGTAAAGGCATATATTGTGGGAGGAGAGGCGGTCGAAAGGTATAGAAATGCTCCGGAGGGTAATAGGGCCGAATAGGTTGCTCGCTCCATGGAGCAGCAAAAAGCCCATTCTCAAAGTCGACTGGAAGTAGAGGCGGATGGAGAGAAGGAATCGGCGGTCGGGCTTTTCTCAATACTACGACTAGCCCGTCCGAAGTACAAGAAACGACAGCTTCTAACTCAAACGTGGGAATAGGATTCCGATGGCGACGGAGTCGCCTATTTCTTCGTCTCGTCGAATTTGTATCTTGGTGGCAAGTATCTTCCGACGGTTGATATATCCTATTCTCCGGATATGACGATGGTGTGAAGAGCCCGTTCGGAGAATCCCCGTTGCTGACAATACTTTTCGATAGCTCCGGACTAACGGTAGCCTCGGCCTTTATCTTATGGTCGCAAATTCCGTCTACATCAACATCCATCGCATTCTCAGCATAGATATGGGCATCCGAGGTTATAATATCGCCGTCGGCCACTTTGCTATCTTGCTCTTGCTCAGTTTCCTCATCTTCGTCGTTCTCGTCTTCCTCTTCGTCCTCATCGTCGAAATCCTCCTCCCTTCGGGGGTCCCGGTACCAGAATCGAAGATACGCGATCGAATCATTGGCTTTGGCGCTCTCTAAGCATTTAATAGCATCTGCCAAACAGTTCTCCGCAATGCATTCATAGAAACTTTTATCTTGGACCTGGTCGGGCCTCACACCAAGTATTGAAGAAACAGCATTAGTAGCAAACATTACAGTCAGAGTCCGCGTAAATCGGTTAAGAATAAGAGCTGCCCGTGGTTCCCTCTCCATTGGCTGCATTTTGAATTTAGGTGATAGGTGCTCAAGCATATGATACCGAGGGTCTCTTGGCGAAGACGAGAATATTCGCCGGATATGGGGTGCTTCTAACGCCCGTCCTAGTTGACCGTTAGCAGTTAGAATGACCTGAACCACGATATGGCAGGGAAGCTGGAACGCACTCTTACTCCTTTCACCATGTCGATAGATGCTCGTGCAAGCTACCAAGACATCGTGAACTATTGTAAAGCAGCATTCGCAACTTATCCACCGTCCATCTCTCGACATGATCCGGGCATAATGTAAAACTGCCGCCTTGTCGAGGAGGACGCCCCTACTGTGCACGGAGCGCGCGAATGGCACTTCTTCGGGGTGGAAGAATTCGAAGCATGATTTTCCTTGCACATCTTGCGGTTGGTACCCTAAGATATCCGCAATCGACTCAGATGCGAAGAGGATGTTGGCGTCGGGCGACAGGTCTGTGAAATATCAACTATTAGTCGCCGTTTGACTGGTTGGGCACGCAAGATAGAGCGCGCTGCCCTGGACCACCGTGCTTCCATCGTGTCTGAGCATCAAGGGTACTAACTGTGGATGGTCATGAAAGTCTGCTCCATTTGATTCGATATCCAGGCTCCTGGAAGATGCTACTGCTGTTCAACGAAAATCGAACTTCACCCCCATAAGCCAAGACTTTTCAAGAGTCAACCGGCACCAGCTAAATGCTTGTTTCGGAGGGCGCCAACAAAAACCCGAGGACGAACAAGATGTAGTGTCCCAAGGTGGCTCCCCAGAAGCGAGTCTGATGGGATGGCAAGTTCCGAAATTCGTGTTTCGTGAGACTGAATTAAGAGTCGGCTGTTCAGGACAGTTAGGGAAAAGCCCAGGCGGACGAGCCAACGAGGTGTCTCTGGATAACCGAGTATTGTATGACACAGATCCCGCCGTCACCGTCGGGTAGGTGAGAAAGTCATACAGGCTGAACCCAGAACAAGTTTCGTGTAATGTCCAGGGAGAGATGGCGAGATTAATATGGTAGTCTCGCGCGCGAGAGAAGCTGGTTGAAAATCCGTTCAGGCCTTTCCTTACACACGTTGTCGTAGCATCCAGCTAGCCAGGAGGGTCGCCGCTGGTGGTGTCACAAGAGCCTATAATCACTCGGCTCGTTGCAGTGGGTGAACATGGATCAGCATACGCAATGCAAGAGAGCAATGGTAGCCACTGGGTAAGTATACCGGTTACGGGGAACGATGTGGGCGACGGGAACCAAGTAGAATAAATATCCAGGGCAACCAGGCTGTCGTGTGGTAGGGCTGGGCTAATAGCGAAAGAGGTCCGGGTGTATTCGAGTATTAAGAAGTCTGAACGTCCGGCGGAGTTTGGTGTGGGTAGCGGGGATAAGATATTGAGGCCTAATGGTTGGTCTCGTTTTTGCTCGGGGGAAATTGATTAATGAAAGAAAACATTCGAGTTGGACCAAGGGATACGTATTCAATCCGCCCTTCCTAGTGGTGGAGGAAGAGGAGTAAGTGTATGGGAAGTTGTAAAAGCGAGTGAAGGTTGAACGTTAGTGTCAAAATACAATTAACATTGGACATGGAAGTCGAGGGTCACTGTGTTGTCTTTAAGGCTCTTACGCCAAATATGCAGCACGCTTTCCCATTTGCCAATGCCACCGGCAGAGTATATATGCGGGAAGGTACAATGTGTGAAAGTCGTAACAAGGTAGCTACAACTTGAAAATATAATTCTGTTGATGTACAATTCAGTACATGGAAGAAGAGCTCGAGTGCTTCGGTAATGCAGGTAGCGTAACGGCAATGTGTTAAGCTGCCTTGAAATACAACCCTTGGATAGTCGCTTCCATCCCGTTTATGGATGATACCTCCCCTACCTGGATACTAATAGTAGGTACATCGAATTCCGCAGGTGTACGTACCCAATTCCCAATCTGCCATGTCTGCCAATGCCCAACTTCTCTACCTAATGCCAGTTTCTTTCCAATCGCAGGGGTCCATTTATGGATGAACCCCTCAGTCCCTGGGGAATGTATTCCCTACGTGCCTTCATACACACCTATCTCCATACCGCCGTCCTGTCTAAAGTCTGCTAAAGCCTGGGCTTTCTTACGAGGGTCTGTAAACCCTACCGTAGGTCGCTCTTACATACTGTATGTAGTACATTTATTGGGGTCATATTACTATGCAGCTTAGCATGATGAGAGCAAGGATGGCAAACTAGCCGCCTTAGGCAATATGGTGTCTTGGGTATCTTCCTGTGTCCCACATGTAGATGCATGGAGAGTTTAGCTTCGTAGTAGCGTGTCCGTTTATCAGCTAGAACTTTTAACCTTAACTCTCTTTAACATTAAACGTCACATGTACTTGGATTATTACTCCGTGCTAGTATTTGAAGTATGCAAGTATTTTTGCTAATCAGCTTCAAGATTCGCACGGTGATTTATAATGAAAGAATGGGAAAAATCATGCGCATGTGGCCTTTGTAGCCTTGAAAGTTTGGACCCGTCGTGCGCTTACGTTTGTTCTCTCGGATCCATTAACTCTATCCATGTATAGTTTTTACCTGGATCAATGGATGTTGTATAATAAGATATGCATTAACTTCGGCTTTAGTCAGTTTTCTTTCGGAACGCGTTCCATACTAGCAAACGTTCAGCTAACCTTAAAGTTCAACCTCTACACTTCTAGATACCTAAGCATCGTATTATCTTACATGTACAATATTTGTCAAGTATGAAGAAGTATCTTGAGGAATTTACCCTCTCTTAATAATTCGGACTTCTCAAGATATCTCCGGATTCCAGTCGTAGGTGTTACTACGCGTTAATCACAAATGAATGAATACTGATCGTGATATCCGTGCCGGTCTCGAGGATAGATATCAGATCAAACAAGGATGTTATGCAATTTGGGAATTGCTTGCGAAGCAGAAGCTAGCCTCAAGGGTTAGGCGGCGCTAATAACCCTTTGAGTTTTCGGGTATGTGCGTGCAACAAGGGCTGAGCCAATGTCGTGGGTTAGATCATGAACCAGTTCCAAAGTCGAGGGAATCCTTTCGCGTCGTGCAGGTCTTGGTGTTTGCAGCTTAGGACGGATAGGAGTTGCATGGATTGGTCTGTTTGGAAACGCAGCAAAATCCAAGCCTAATTCAGACGGAAAATCCAGCCCTGGGAAGTCCTTGGGTCTCTAGGATCTGCTGCCGGGATTCGTTTTAACCTAGTACTAGCCACGCTTCTCGGCCTCGCTGTGCTGGGAAAATATGTATACGCATGGCGACGATGTTAAGAGTTGGAATTTTATCGTATCGTACTATTTCTGGCAATTCACCCAGCTTACACGTAAGCTCATAAATACAATGCCTATAATAAATGGCATATTCGCGTAGTTTTATATGTAATATGTATGGTCCTAAATACACAAGGCGATATTATTCAATTAATGACCTACTCTTATTTTAATGATATCGTGAGTTCTTACAAGCGTTGAAATCCGGGGAAGGACTCGGACTTTGCGGTTTCCGCACGTGGCACTTTTTACTCCTACCGTGGTTCTATCCATCATATTTGGTCCTTGTACCTGGGGATAGGATGAATTGCTTACTAGAAGCTAGCGGCTCCGATAGTAAAAACTTGGCCAAGTCCATGATGATTACCTACTTACTTATGTATGTATGCAGATGCTGATACATGTAAATTGTTTAAAAAAAAGATTCATGATCATATCAAATAAAAGTTCAGTCCTTAAAAAGTTTCATAATAACAGATAATGCTACTAGGTATTATACTGAGATTTTTTTTTTTCCGTACATGAGAATACAACTTGTTAACATCGTTTAGAAAAAGGAAAAGATTGGCAAGTTTAACAAGGTCATAATCTTTAGCAAGGTATATACATAGTCAAGGTCAAAGCTCACACTAATTATATCCCACGATGTTGAGCTCCCTTGAATAGCCGCACTCATCGGTGAGCTCTGATTGGATAGAAATACATTGGAGGCTTTCCCCAGGCAGACTAGGGTCAGCAGCATATTGAAACGGCTTAACTGTAACTATGTACATAGGGGGGACAGGGGGGTCGATTTTACAGAGGAACCCACATAGAGCAAACTTTGTACAGATGAATTTACTAAAAACCGATTCTCACAATAACAACATCGGAATCGGCTTAAATCCATGATCTACGCTAACCAGGTAGCTCCAAGGTATCGTGGGAATACTCGGACAGGACCATGCCAAGACGGAAAAATCCAGAAACAGTATAATGATCAGAATCAATTGCGTCTATCAATCAGAGCTCACGATAAAGGCAAAATCCAGATGAAGCTAGATATATCTCTGGGGTAAATATTCTTCTTTGCTCCCTTCAACATCACGTATGCTCGATGCTTAACGTACCTACGTACAAGATAGCTCATAGCAAGCTAAAAGTTTGGAATCACATCGTCATAGCATTCAACGAAATGGAATAGCTGCATTTCAATCAACCAATTTCTATGCACTCCATACATCATTCTAAGCCTTACGGGTTGCGCCATCAAGCTAGTTGCATGTGAATACGGAATACGGACGAAACCCCCATGTATCATACTAGACTAGGAGCCCCTTGGGGAAGGGGCACGCTGTAGAGGGGTTGAAGAGCGATGCGTCCGCGGCGTCTCGCTAGCACAGCACCGTCCAGTCACATCGAGTCGTGCATGCAGTATCGCACATGTCAAAAGTGCAGTAAGTGCAGTAAGTGCAGTGTGTTATACTTGTCGAGCTTTAATTCATGGGTGTGTCAATGAGCTTGGTCTTCTTGCCAGGGTCCCTCCCAATACTACGGGCAAATAAGTTGGGCAATTCTGGGATATTCAGTCCATGTCTTTCTCTCGGGCGTCATTTCGAAGTTACACATAACAGCTGAAGGGGTTGAATAGTTACAGTTAGGTACATTAAGTTGGAGATGAATACATGATAATACTCAAGCATGTAGGTCAACTGGTAGAAGATAGGTACGCTGTATGCGGGCAAAACTAACAGCTTAAAGCTTCAATCTTGCTCTAGGGTCACTGGAACGGCCGTAAGAATGGATCTTTCAGCAATTTCTCGAAAGGCTTCTAAGCCTACCTGGATAATTCTGTCTTGCTTTTCTGGCGTCTATTGGATGTTGGATGTCTGTGCGCAGTTGCTTACCATTTGAATTGCCCATCCATGTCAGCAACTTATGGGTTTTCCATGTAATAAAACCCGTTATCCATTCAAATGTAACTTTAAGTGCGATAGCGAGCATCTGCATTTAGCCATCTTTATTTCCATACCCGTCCAAGTGGAATGAAAGATGCTTTTAAAGTGCTTATCTATTTGATCTTTACACATTACATATCAACGGCACATATTCACCTACGTAATATTTACTAATAAGAGTTATAAACGATGGATCGTGAAAAGGACCTTAGAAAGCTTTAGTAATATTCAATGTTCACCTGGCATGGTTCCGATAGGTACATGGTACAAGATATCAAGCAGACCAAGTAGAATAATATGATAGCTCCAGCCACAACCTTGTACGTACATACCTAGCAGTTAGCGTGCGGCTTGATCGCGGCGCAAAGGCCACTAAAGCTGCTAGGGCGACTTGAACACCCCTGACGCAGCGGATTGATTTGATTTATTTGATTACTGAACATCGACGGTCGGTACCCGAATAGTCTCATCAATCAAATCAACCAAATTCACCAAATCAAGTTTCCGAAACTATTCAGAATTGACCATTGGAATCCCGACATCCAGGAATCGCACATCACATCCGAGCTAGTACAATTGCAGCCTCACGGAACCCCCATCTGCACTCTGGGAGCTTAGGAACAGCCCCTGAATGCCCTGGAATACCAGAAGACCCAGCTGCCCAGGTGGTTTGTCCGTCGCAACTTCGCATTATCACTAGTGATCCTTGTACCCGATTTCTCGTCATACTACGGAGTACTCTCCCTACTTTTGCCCCGCCATTAAGACCGAGCCTGTCAACTTAAACGGGGCTTTTAGGGGGCTGAAAAGTAATTATGCAAGACACACACACTCAAGATGCCATCCGCGATCAGCAGTGATGAGTGGGATCTCCCGCGCTTGAAAGCCTCAATCGTCTTCGAGGTGAGGCTAACCACCCCGATCTCTCCTCCAGTGGCTGAGAACGCGCGTTGACCCGATCACTGTATCTTAGGACGATTACCAAAACTTAGCATCCGATGATCAAGATACCGGTGAGGCATCTCATAACGCATTACTAAGTGAAATTTCTCTAACCTTTGCCGTTAAGAATTTTTTGATGTGAAATTCTATCCCTACTCGGACGTCACACACGATCCAATCTTTGCCGCAGTGAGCAAGAAACATGTTGTCATATACCGCCTTTCCAATCAAGCAAACCCCCCTTTCGAACTTGTCCAGCTTTTTAGGGATGACGACGTGAGTTTGCCACTATCTGCATCAGAGACGCCTTAACTGACAATGATGTAGAAAGATGCCTTGAATTGCAGTTGTACTTGGACTAAAGATCCCGAGACCGAAGTCCCCTATCTATGCGTGGCCGGTAGGGACGCTAAAATCAAGGTATATGATGTTGTTCAGGGGAAGTTAGTAAAGGTCAGTCAATTAGTAGCATCTACTAGGTAACTGTGAATATTGCGGCTAATACTTGACATAGGTCCTTGTGGGTCATGGAGGAGTGAGTTTTGACAAAGTAGACTGTCCGAGATACTGGGCTGACAGTCTTTGAAGGAAATCAATGACCTTGCCACGTGCCCAACCAACTTCCTTTTGATCGCATCTGCATCAGAAGATACTACTGTTCGAATATGGAGCCTCGATCCGGCACACTCTCAGCAACCATGCGTTTGCCTCCTTGCCGGAGAAGGTCATTCGTCGGGGTTATTAACTGTCGTATGTATCCCTAACTGATATTGCAAATTCATTGGTCTTAGCTCATAGTCCGAAGGCATTTCATAATGGTGGGCGATACATTCTATCGGCCGGCCACGACAATGTTATCTGCTTGGTAAGAAACCAACTCCCATTCTACACAGCTCATTAACATATGATAGTGGACACTCCCAGACCTACCACCTCAATCCAATGGCAAAGTCCCCTCGAAACCTATCGTAATCCATTATCCTCATTTCTTTACATCAGAGGTGCATAGTGGTATAGTAGATTGGTAAATTAACATTCCGTCCAATAAACTGTGGGACACATTTCTCACAATAGCTTGTAGTGTGGCTTTCTTTGGCGACCTCGTTCTGTCGCGGGCTTGTCATGAAGATATAATAGTTCTGTGGCGAATTGAAGGATTCTCATCCCGCGACCCTCCACCCGAGATCTCGGAGGCACCTACTACGAGTGATACAGAACGTTTAACCCGGTCTGCATTTGCCCCTGCGACAGCGTCAGCATGCCCGCCTCAATATACTCGTCTATTGGAATTCTGGACGCCGCATTGTGGCCACCAGTTCTATCTTCGTTTTAAGCTGTTTCATGACAAGGATAAACACCCAGTGCTAGCATTCGGTAACGCGAAGGCCACGATCTTCTTCTGGGATCTCGCACGCCTAGGAGGTTATCACCAGTTCATCAGCGAAGTTCGGGATCCCGACCGCGACAAGACCCAGCCAGTTCACCGTCCAGGTTGGCTTGCTCCGATCCAGCATAGACATAAGGGTGATGCTGTCAGCAAGCTCAAGGATGCCGCTAGCGATAGGGAATCAGTCGTATCGGGGCGCACCGGCAGCGTCGACCTCGAAACGCAATTGGATCTTAATACAAACTATTCTCAGGAGACGTTAGAATCCTGGGAGCTGAAATATGACATGACACACGTGGATGAACCCATACGATCACATTCGCAAAGCGGTATTTCCGCCAAGGATTTTGTCGCGCGGCAAGTAGCTTGGAGCGCCAGCGGCGAATGGTGCGTTGTAGTAGGCAGCAAGAATCTCGCTGGCATCTTGCAGCGGTGGCATAAGAAGGACCGCGCAGATGATAAAGAGAAAAAGCCGACCAAGTCTACCAGAATTGAAGGGAGCTGCGATTCTAATGAGTCCTAAGACGTTGTAGACATGCTTCTAAACCTTACCTACTCGATGGGTAGGTAGCTATTACTTCACATAAGCTAGTACGATGTATACTAGTATAATATTAGGCGACGGATTTTAACCAAATAAGCATTCAAAATCCACCTTCTAGATCATCATGCATTATTGGACTTGATGATGTTTAAAAAAGGAATGTGTGCCATTTTGTACTAACTCCTACATCTTAATTAACTTAAATGAATGACTCTCCCCCTCGCCCACGTTCCTCGCCGTACGAAATTATAGGACGTAAATAGTCCTAGGAAGCCACAAATATGAAAGGCAGACGTAGTCTTACAACCTTTCATGTGGCCCTGTCGTTGAGTCGTGTTTTTCCAACCCCTAACTGATGCAGTAGGGTAAATCGTTGATGTACTCGCACCATGCATCAGGGCCGCAATCACCGCCATCCTGTACATTATTAGCGATGAAAATGGTAAGTATACAGCCGATGTTACTTACAACATACCACCCATCAACATTGCAGACGAGCCAGCCCGAGAAGTCGGACTTGCAGGCGTACGCTGGGGGCGTGCACTCCAATTCTTCTATGGCGGTGCCATTGTTGGGCTCGGTCTGGTTGTACTCCCCGGCCAGGGCCATCGTGACAAATGCCATGAGCGCAAGGAACTTCATCTTGGAGTTGATAAGAGAGATTTTGGGTATATAGAGGTATTGGATCTTTAGTTATTGCTTTGGGAATGCTCTTGTCGATGGGAGATAGGTCCTCGGATACCCTTCCTTATATAGAATGGAAACCACACAACCAGTTATCGTGGGAACTCATCGTGAAGCAGCTGTTTGGGAGCCGTTGACTGTCAGTTCTCATCAAGGTTCACGATGCTGTATAATGCCGTAATCCACCCAGAGAAATATGACCTCCGGAGCTAGTTGATGTCAAATAATTGACATAGAGTGGAACGTTTCCATTGTAACTTTCGAGATTCCATCATGGAATTTTGTTCTCCGGAGAATCCGGCTCAGGTTATACGATTAGACCAGGTGTATCTTAGACTTATCGCGCCAAATTCAGCGTTATGAAACCCGAAAGACGGTTTTCAACCCGGCGAGGCGGGAAATCATCAGGGTATTCGGACACAACATCGGGGCACACCGGCGCGATCCAAGCAGTGGTCCATATGCCTCATGATATTGACATGAAGCTAGGAAGATAGTCTCCATGTGACGAGTTCGCACTGACATACAGTCCAGTCTGTTTGAAAGGACCACATAACAATGCAATTGGCTCTAGATCTTCTGGAGTAGCTTGCTAAATCTTTAGTAATAGGTCATAGCCCCGAATAGCTCTCGGAGCTAAGAAACCGCCACGGCGTTTTAAGCACAGATTAGAATCGCCGTTGACTTACGCCACGCGGACACGGGTTGTTCACGCCGCAAGAACAGAGGCTGCTATGACCTTTTGACCTGTTAGCATATGACTAGGCAATCCCCAGTGCTAGCAGAACGCACGTCTGTTTCGACGGTAGGCCATGGTTCAATTAGTCCAACTTTCAGATAGGGGATTTTATCGTTTACCCCTTTTGTTTCTCATACGGGCCAATTGAGAATCATATGATCTGCTTGACCTGCAATGTCCATAGCCATGGCCAGAGTTTTCCCCATCGTGGCGGAATTCAATAGTTTATTTTCTCCCTTCGCTCTTAATACTCCGATGATCTACGAATTCGAAGTAGCATGGGAAATCGTCACCTCCTAAGTGATGTAACGAGGATTAAGAATAAGAGACGTAGTGTAGTTTCATTGAACCACATGTAAACACAAGATGGTAACAAGTTATTTTCCTCTTGTTGAGTTCGTGTAGATTCTGAATTGAGATCGCATGGCTTTTTAGATGCCAGGTACATTTGACATACTCGACGCAAAGCTATTCTCGGCAATCCATGAATTGAAAAATGAGGTCAATGAGATAAAACAAGCGCGGGTGAAGATTTGTGACGATTAATCTCATGCGGATAAGGGATAAGGTAGGTAGACTGTGACATAGCAAATAAAAAGAAAGAGCTCCAGAGTCTAGGCGTCTGTAGATAAGCTACCTCATAACTCGCGCTTTCTCAAGTGATAGAGTTCCGAATATCAAGATATGTCGAGGACTTCGGGAAGGAGTAAGCAGTTAATGTCATGACCTGATTTCTGCAAGGGATAATCTCTATGCATTTCTTCCTTTCCAGAAATTTCTTTCATCTCTATTTCCCATAGAATCATGTTCAAGTTCAGATATTTGTGAACATACTCAGTACACATAACATTCTCTGGTTCGGTTAGCATATGCCTCCCTGAGCTCAATCTTCTATGCGAATAATCACAATACACGCTTTCAGATTGTTTCCTACGATCTCCCAACCGAATAACGTCCAGTTCTAGTCGTTCACACCCCCAAACCAAGTTTCCACTGATTCACAATACGGATGAATCTACAACACGAGTTTTCCTGGCTCATTCGTAGGTACCTGTCTACCTACTACCTACGAATACAGCTACGACTGAAGCCCGTTCCACATCTTTCAAACTCTCCCTCATACGGATCTAATTCCTTAGAAACTAAGCACATGAGCTATCCACCTTCTCCCACCTGTCGTATCCATTTTGGTAAAGAGACGGTGTTTTTCAACCTTTCTTAATACTATACGAGGCACCGGCTAAGATAGGTAGTCTCTTCTATGGTTTCGGGATCCCGTCCTCCTTTATTCTCGTATATCACTTACGTCGGTACCAGATAATGGACTGGAAACGATCGGCCACGGTGATAATACTTTCCGCGCCCAATTCTCCTCGGTCCCGATCCTGTTAATAGCGTTACGCACATCGTTTGCTTCGCTCAATCTCGTGGGGGTTGGATGACGCTTAGTGGCCAGTTCTTGTAGCACTAACCATGCATGGCGGGAGCTTGCAGCCATTTCGGCGCGGGGCTTGAATACAGTGCAAGAACCGTAATAGTCACACTTCTTACTGTCTATCTGGCTAAAACTTTATAGGTTACAAAATTTGCGCCCCCTCATCAACCAACCACCATTCTGAGCATTCGAGTTGTGGTCTGGCACTGCTGATAGCAGTGTAGGGCTTGTGGTTTAGTGGTATAATACTCCCTTAGCACCGTTAGATGCAATTCTACAGACGCCTGGGAGTGGTCCGGGGTTCGATTCCCCGCGAGTCCATCGCTAGAGGTTAAATTCCTCTTGTACCATGATTTTTTGCTATTTTGCTAAGTCCTATTTAAACTCCTATACTTTTTTCAGAGAATTTTTATGGATAACCCGTACCTTTCATCATTAGGATTTCTGTAACACTCTTTCCCTGGCGATTTTATGGCACTCGAAAAATACATTTTTGAAAGGGACCATCTTGCCTGACCGTGTGAATCGTCTGAGATAGGTGTAATTGTATGATGTTGGTAAATGTCACGCGCAGTTCCACTTGAAGCTGTCGTCAACGGCGATAGCGGCACCATGCAACAGCATCCTGCAATATCCTAATCTTAGTAATGTTACTGAATAGTTGGTATGTTACCATCCGCTACGTTACAACCCGGGCGATGACAGGTCTTGTCTGCCACAACAGGTATGGTAAGTAACACGACGTTGCTAGAGACTGTAGGTTTGCTAGATGCATTCTAACCAACTTATGGTTTCTCTGTGAAAGTACATGGGCGGTTCTAAGGCTGGTACGCTGGATGCTGTATATGAATACACCTTATAAATGGACCGGTTGTGGCATGATGCATTTCGTAGTAGGTATTCAGGGCTAGTCTGTCATACAACAGATTAACTGAAGATACCATAGTTAATACCTCAGTGCTACAATACTAATCTAGTAGCACATAAGTACCTAGACATAGAATAAAGATTCGGATAGACCGCTAATTCTGACCGCAAAAAAATGAAATCTAATTCATACCTACTCGTCGACTAGGACGAGAGATAGGTATGACTTCGTACGAGGCATAGTAAGCGAAGATATGAAACGCCCGTTCATCCAGGATGCGATGCTGGTTACCTACCTACCTACCTACCTACTTAGGACTTAGATACTTATAAATGAAATAGTCTGCGCTTCCTATTCATTATTTTAACAGTTAAAGGGTGAGTTTGTTAACTCGCGGATTGCTTTCGTCGAGTTTTTGACCAGGTGAATGATTACCTTATAGGGAATTGAGAAAAGTTCGACACAGTTCTTATAATTCCATTTTATCTAAGGTGACCTTCGCATTGATTCGATAATTCAACAGGCTATTCTGCGACCAGCTCGACGTGAAAGGCCACTCTTATTTTATGAACGATGTTGCGAAGGATTAGACGTGACAAGCTAATAATGAATTAAATTTAAATAGGATGTAGTTGTGGTGACCGAGGAGATGCCTATCTGGTAAAGTATGAGTTTCATTGTCAGTGACAATATTGATAGATTTGATGAAAGTCGCACAGCGAAGCTCAGAACGGCGCAGAAGTTTAAATCGGCTAGGTTCCCACTCCAAGATCGTTCTAGGCAATCGATAGCATTCTTGAAAGATAAAAATAGAGATTCAGAAAGACAAGCGAAACTTCAAGCAGTCGCGCGGCAAAGACATATGGAAAGCGTCTATTGACAGAATTGGAAGTTGTTATGTTGCTGTTTCAAGTTTCAAAAATCTAAGCCCCACTAGAAAGAGTACTGTAATTAATAGCCAATAAGATCCCACCATTCCCCCATTCCGTGGCAGCTAAAGATCATCGGCATGGGTACCCTGACGCTCCTGAAAATCCATTCGACCATCTGGACCATCGCGGGGCTTTCACCAACGACATGTCCTTCCCAAAAGACACCACAAGTCTTCCACCGATTTTCAACGTTCTAGCCTGAGGAGCTGTCGTGAAAACAATTAACGCTATTTTACCTGACTGATGGATTCAATTGTGGCTTTATTGTTTGCCAAGCAAACTCCAAACTCTTCCTTGCTCATTTCTCCATATCTGTTATTGTCTCTTAGTTGATCTTGGTAGCCAACCAAGGCACATAGTCATCCATCGCCTTATGGTACTTGCGGCTGTCTAATATGGCAGGGAATATCGAGTTTCCTACTCCGAGCACCGATAAACTCGATACACCATGTATGTGGGCTGGTAGGTAGGAATCCAACCATGCTCTGTGCGTTCCCATGACAGTTTAGGGATTTGAATATAATGTCATTGTTTCCCTTTTACACCTTACAACAAACCTACGCGAATGAGTAAACCCACGTCATAAGTCATACTTTCTTTGCTGTCTCTTTTTGTTTACCAGCGTTGATTGCTCTTTCTTTTCCTTGCACGCTACTCGTTCCTTTCTAGGCCTACTGTGAGTTTATTGTGAATTCGAACAAACTGTCACTCTTGTCTGTTGTTCGACTTGACACACATCACTTGTAGAATTTTGTCCTTCATTTCCTATAACCTAGAAGACGTCATATCCTTTACTGTTCCCTACTAGGTACACCAATTTGTAAATTTCATTCGCTTCTTCAATCTCTCTAGAGCGTTCATTACATAACATCTGGTGTTCTACTCGACTCGAAGTACAAGAAACAACTCGAGAACACAAAATAAAACCTGCAATTTCCGGGAATTTATACAAATTGAAATCGCTGGGCGGTCGATACCTTCATTTTCACCAATCGAAACGAATATGCATATGAAATCTGTTCGTGCTGCTGCACTGGCGGCAACAGCGGCGGTTACACTGCCGAAAGACATCAACATCAATGAAACCTCATCTATACGGAGCGTTTCTAGCACTCTTGCCTTTGAACTGATGGCATGGTACTCTGGAAATGTAACTAACACCCCAAAGGTAAGATATATCATATTTCCTAATATTATATTGTTTAAGCTAAAGCTAACTCGTTGTGTCGCAGACTATTGCTGTCTTTCCTGAACCATACTGTAATATTTGACAGCCCATATTCCCTGTTTACAATACGAAACATTACTAACCATGGACACAGATTGGTGGGAAGCTGGGGCTATTTGGGGTGCTATGTTGGATTACTCGCATTACACGGGTGATCCAAGCTACGACGACGTTATCTCGCAGGCATTGCTGTCGCAAGTTGGCCCTAAGTTTGATTTTATGGTACCGGAACATTACGGATCGGAAGGAAACGATGATCAAGCATTCTGGTCTTTTGCCATTCTAAATGCTGCCGAGCGGAACTTTCCACAACCCGACGACACCATACCCCCTTGGCTTGACATCGCAACGAACATCTGGAACTCTATGGTTGTAAGGTGGAACACAACGGCTTGCGGTGGTGGGTTGCCTTGGCAGATCTTTGAGTCCAACCCCAACGGTATGAACTACAAGAACAGTGTCTCCAACGGTGGCTTCTTTCAGATGTCAGCAAGACTAGCTCGGGCCACGGGAAACAACACGTACTTAGAGTGGGCGCAGAAAGTGTGGGACTGGTCCGAGACCGTGGGTTTTGTGGACAACGACTTCAACGTGTACGACGGGGCTGACAGTAAGGACAATTGCGCCGCTATCAACAAACTGTCGTTCTCGTACGCGCAGGGAATCTACTTGTATGGCGCAGCCGTCCTATACAACTATACGGGAGGCAACCAGACGTGGGGTGACCGCACGACAGGCTTACTGAAGGCGGCCGACTCGTACTTCAATCCATTCCCCAACGCGACAGACATCATGTTCGAGCATGCCTGCGAACCGTACGAATTGTGTAACAACGACATGAAGTCCTTCAAAGGCTACCTGTCCCGCTTCATGTGGGCGACTACCCGCATGATGCCTTCGACCCTACCCCGTGTCCAGACCCTACTAAACGCTTCCGCCATCGCGGCCGCGAAGGCGTGCTCCGGTGGCCAAAACGGTACCGTGTGTGGCCAGAAGTGGTACGTAGGCGGTTTCGACGGCGTCACGGGGTTAGGGCAACAGTTGACTGCGCTGGAGACCGTACAGGGTTTACTCGCACAGGACGTGGTGGCGCCCTTCAAGGCTGGCCAGATCAAGCATATTAAGGGCGTGGTGAACCCGTCATCAACATCGTCATCATCGTCGTTGCCTGCGGCGACGACAGTGTCTATGACATCGACTGTCTTGGCCCCGGTTTCGACGGCCCCGACAACTACCCCTTTGCTTACAGCTGTGCCTACTTCGTCGATTAAGGTGGCTGCTGCGGACGGCTTGTTTGTTGATTGGAGATTGGCGACACTGCTACTTTTAGGGTCTGGTTTGGTTCTGGGACTTGCATGATAGGATGATTTGATTTTGCATGAGGGTGGGGTAATTGACATAGCAATTGGCGTTTGGGTTGCCCTTCTGGCTACCGGAATGGAAGGGCAGGTCGTTAGTTAGGTTACTTAACTTGACTTCATAGGATACCATATTTAGAATTACGATTAGATATACCAATATATTATTAAAATATCTCTTCTATGAGATGTCTGAATACTTCGCGTGTCTCCCCCGTAAGTCCAATCTGTACCCTTATTTCAAAACAATTCCCACTTCACATAATGAAAGTGTGCACAGTAGAATTATATCCCAACTTCGTCTGAAAAAACGCCTCCGCCAAACTCTCAAGACGTTTCTGGTACACTTCCGGTGGTAGGCGCGTAACTTCCTCGGGACTTAAAAACGCCTTTATCAAAACAGATATAATGTAATGGTGGATTATAAAAGGCAGTATTATTCTCCAAAGAATGACGAAAACCCCTACTAATAATCTCGCGTGATCGGGGCGGGTATTTGCACTGTCCCTACACTCTTAGCACCGAGGACTACCTAGTAGAAATGCGGTTGGTGGGGGTTACTCACTAATGATGACTGCTGAGACACCTGTACGTCTGCGGCTTCCTGTAGTAGTTCATGCACAACTCGTTCTTGCATGGGGGGATGGCGCGCGGGTTTTCTGGGGGAGGATAGGTGTCGGGGTCCATGGCGTGGAACCACTCGTGGGTTGGCCCGAAGGCGCTGTGTTTCCCGTCCACGCGGCAGATGAAAATGTCCCGTTTGTACTCGGTTATCAGACACGGTGGTTGATTAAGCCCGTGAGGGCGGTGTGATATCTGATCGACTTGTTGGCCGTTGTGTCCCCATCCGTAGTTTCGGCGCAGGCGATGACCGGCGATGCATTGGAGGGTCTCGAGATTTGATGGGCTTGATCCCGTATCTTGCTGTCCCGTCTCGTAGCGGACGCAGTTGCATTTGTCGGAGTTAAAACAGCTCATTTCGGGTATCGGATTCGAAGCGTAGGCAGGCAAGAAAATGCGGGCTGCCCCTAGCCGATACTTCTTGAATAGCTCCCTCAATTGCGAAGCAGGCACCTGATTATTCTTGATTTTGAAATAATCGGTGTCGCTGTGAGGTGCCCATTCTAGGCTAAGGACCACTCGCCGTCGGTCATAATAGGATGTCTTGAGACAGGCTCGGGGCCAGGTCGGGATGTCTTCAAACATGCAGCGAGTATCGTGAGACGGGTGTTCGCACTGTATATTGAAGGCATCGAAACAATCTTTCCACTGGCCAGGAGCATGAGTATTCCATTTAGTTAGGTGCTCCTCGATCTGAGACCAGGTGATATCAACGTGCTCGCACAGTCGTACGGATCCTTCCCGGCCAAGACACTTCCGCGTGTTTCTAGTCGCTTCCTCCCTTGAAAACGATATAATATCATGATATTCACCACAGCATTTGCAGTGTATATGTACCCCTTCTGGCTGCTGGAACTTGCAATGGGTTTGAAATACTCGATTAGGGTTGTGTTCAGAGCACCAATAATGAGCTATCCGTCTAGAGACTCCGCTGACGGGACCATCGCAATATATAGAGCAGTCATCACACATTCCGTCTCTTTGCAAGCGTTGTTTGAGTCTATTAGCCTGTTCCATAGCGAGGTGTAGATGGTTCTCGAATTGGTGGTAGAATCCAGATGCGGTGTCCTTGGGCGATATGATTCTCCAGAAGCGTGGCTCATAGATGATACGCCGGAATGTCCTACAGGTACGTCGAAGACAGAACATACTGACAGCGTCTCTCGTACCCACGTAGCCGAAAATTTCAACCAGAAGTTCCTCTGGTAATCTGGCGAGGAAACTGTGCTTGTTGTTCCAGACTTGCGCAGCTATAAGGGGGTCCATAGTGTTCTCTAGTTCCTTCAGAGTGGAGGCCATTCCGGATTCCTCCTCTGATATCCTTGGCAACCTACGTAGTCTCTTTGGTCGAAATTCATTCTCTCTCTCGTCGTTCTGAACTTCTGTTTGGTTTTGAAAACGACATAATACGAAATTTCGGACATGGCGAAAAGAGGAACGCATGTTGACGGATAATTACTAGAAAAGTACCAACGAATTTGTGTTAGAAGTAGATTTGAACTGACTACCAGATTGTCCTAACGATAAATCAGTTAAAAACCATTACTGTTCACAGTCTCGCCCTGAGCTTTTATGTTTAAAACAGTGATGGGCACTGGATAGGTATATATTGGGGACTCTATCGCTGTGGCTTGGTGCCATAACGGCAACCATCGAGATAGAAAGCTTTACTATTGTCCACTACCTAGCAGGCAAGCAAAACACTGTCAATATATGAACCTTGATGAATATTCTTTAGATGTAGTCAGCTTCGTTTCGTTTGTACTAAGGAAGAAGTCACCATAAGCTGCAGGGCGTACTCCCAGCTATTTCACTTAGCAAGCTTTGAGAAAATGTAACTTTTTTCTTCAAAAATATACTTATACCCTGGGAAAGACATATTATAAGTCGATGTTTTAGCCCCATATTATTTGGATATGCTTTCATTGCTTATGCGCCCAAGTGTAAGATAGCCTCGTAGGGGGTGAGAGTTGAGTCAGTTGACTCAAGTTTAAGTCGAGTACGATATCCTGTACGATATTGATAGACTTCGTCAGCTGAGGATAGATGGAGCTTAATGGTATGTAAGAGTTGCGAAAGTGAAAGTAAAGTTCTAAGTTGCGAGTTTAGACTTAAATAAAACATGTTGCCTTCGAAGTTGCAGAAGTTTAGATTACATAAGAATACCAACTACCTAGTATTCTACTATAGCGCTGACAGGCCTAAGCGGGGTATCAGAGAGCGAGTATATGTGCCTAAGCGGTATCATAGCCCCACCTAGAGTGTCAATTGAAGTTTTATTTCAAACCCCTCCGATCGGACATTTATGCTATGACGGCGCTGATAAAGTAAACCCTTGCGATTCGATCAGTGACTCACTAAAACGTTCGAGATAAACTTATAAATACGTATAATTGGACGAGAGGTACCTTAGGGTATAAGTAAGATTTAAGTGCAACGGGTTCCTGGAGCATAGCATCTTGGGCGTTGCTGGCTGTTATCTGGGTTAATCATGTCGCCTTTCAACATCGAGAAATGTGCGAGACCTAACATATTGGCCCTGGAGCCATATCGATGCGCACGAGAGTAAGGCTCCACCGTATCAAGCCACCCAATTTTAATTTCATCGTATACTGATACATATCATAGCGACTACAAGGACGACGGCACAAACATTCTCCTTGACGCCAATGAGAATGCATGTGGACCGTCGCTAACTCCAGCCGCTGTGTCAGCGGCGTCAAAATCTGGAGTGGATATTGACTTTCTGGGCTTGCACAGGTATCCGGACCCCCATCAGCGGGATCTGAAACAGTTGCTGTGCAACTTGCGCAACACTCACCACCATACTGATAAGGCCATCACCCCGGACAACCTGTTCGTCGGCGTGGGCAGCGATGAGATCATCGATGCGCTGCTAAGATGTTTCTGCATCCCCGGCAAAGACCGAATTGTGGTGAACCCCCCGACGTACGGTATGTATTCCGTGTCGGCAGAGGTAAACGATGTCAGACTGGTCAAGGTCCCTCTACTACCAGCGCCGACCTTCGGGCTCGACGTCGCTAAGGTGAACGAGGCGCTGTCAACCGAGGAAAACATCAAGATGGTTTACATATGCTCCCCTGGAAATCCCACCGGCTCCATAATAGCCAAGGAGGACTTAAGGCAGATCTTAGAACACCCGACGTGGAACGGTGTTGTGGTTCTGGATGAGGCTTACATCGACTTTGCGCCAGAGGGATCGTCGCTGGCGGAGTGGGCCGCTGAATGGCCTAATCTGGTCGTCATGCAAACGCTCTCTAAGGCTTTTGGTATGGCGGGTATCCGACTTGGCGCTGCCTTTACATCACCGCCCATTGCGCGCCTTCTTAATAACCTTAAGGCTCCGTACAATATCTCTAGCCCAACTAGTGCGCTTGCATCTTATGTCGTTACTGGAGATGGACTCGCGGTTATGCGCGCGAACAGGGAGAAACTAGTTCAACAACGGAATAGGATGGTCGCGGAGCTACCTAAGATCAAGGGAATAGGACGTCTACGCGGTGGTGTAGCGAGTAACTTTTTATTATTCGAAATGCTCAATGCGAGCGGCGAGCCGGATAACACGGTCGCGCTGGCAGTGTACGAGACACTGGCTGAGAACAAGGGCGTGGTGGTCAGGTTCAGGGGTAAGGAGCATGGATGTCTTGGGTGCTTACGGATCACGGTTGGCACAGAGGAAGAGGTCACGAGATTCCTAAAGGCTATAGAACAGGCGCTTGCTGAAGTTAATGGGGGTAAGACGGCAGTACCAGCGGACGAGGCGAAGAAGGAAGCTCAGGCAAACGGTGTTCTGGGTTGAATTAGATAGGGGAATGGCTTTTAAAAAGGTTCTAAATAGAAAATGGGAGAGGTGTGTTTATAGATACATAAATGGAATACTACGAATGAGTTTACAAATATTGTAAATGAAAGGCCCTGAAAGGTTGTGTGACAAACGGAAATATGATTGCTCAAATATAAAGGAAATAAGCGATAAGTATCATGATGTTTACTTGCATATATTCAGCTAAATACCTTCGTAGATGAATATTAAATGGGCTCTATATCGTATTAGGTGCATATATCAACGTAATCGTGCATTTTGAATTTTTGAAGTTAGGCTCCTTTCACTAGAAATTCTAAAATTCATCAAGGATTCAAGGTCAATACTAAATTCCAAGACGTTATTAGACCAACATCTAATAACGCAATATTCAACTCATTAGTAAGCTATTTTAAAAAGGAGTAAAGAGACCTATACAGTCGGGGCCGAGAAAAAGTGGACTAAAATGTCCGTTGAAGAGATCTCAGACGAGATCGCAGATCGCCTCAAAATCTCCGAAGGGGAGGACAGCAAGTCTCAGTCTCAAGAAGGAACACCACAACAACCTTCATCACAAAATGCCCCAACAATAGCACCACTAGTCATGTTCCCGGCACTCTCACCCGGCCGGGCCATGACCGAAAGAAAAACAGTCGACGAGGTCGTCGCCGAGCTAAAGAAGACCCCATTCTTCATGACGGAGCTCGAAGAAAACGACGACACCGAAGCCCTCAAAGCGCTCGCGTACGAGGGAACCCCCTTCGAAGTGGCCTCGGAATTCAAGGAAAGCGGGAACGAATGCTTCCGCGTAAAGCGGTGGGCCGACGCCAAGGAGTTCTACACGAAAGGCGTGCTGGTGCTCGCGGCCGAGGAGCGCAAGCGCGCGAAGGGAGAGCCGCAGGACCCCGACGTCGTGGTTACGGAAGACGATATCAAGGCGCAGAGAGGCGTGCTCGAGTCCCTGTACGTCAACCGCGCGGCGTGCCACCTCGAGCTGCGGAACTACCGCAGCTGCTGGCTCGACGGCGCCGCGGCCCTGCGTCTTAACCCTAAGAACGTAAAAGCGTATTACCGCTCCGCACGGGCGTTCCTGGCTGTTGGCCGGATCGAAGAGGCGGATGATGCGTGTGCGAGGGGGCTGGAGATTGATGAGGGGAATAAGCCGTTGAAGGGAGTAGCGCAGGACATCGTCACGAAACACGGCGAAATCACGGCGAAGCAGAAAAAGGAGAGCGAGAGGCTTGCGAAAGAGAAGAGGAGAGAAACCCTCGTGAAAGCGTCTCTGCAGGCGCGGTTTATCAAGACCAGGACTACGGCGCAGCCGCCTGAGATGGAGGACGCGAAGTTACAGTTGGTGCCGGACCCGGACGATCCGCGGAGCTCGCTGAGCTTCCCGACGGTGCTGCTGTACCCGGCGCATTTGCAGTCGGATTTCGTGAAGGCGTTTAATGAGATGGATACCCTGGCCGATCATCTGGCGTATATTTTCCCATTGCCGTGGGATACGGCGCAGGAGTATACGCTTGCGGGCGTGGAGTGCTACATGGAGACGCTGACTGGCGGGTTGGTTAAGGTCGGGAAGAAAGTACCGCTGCTGAAGGCCCTGTCTGGGAATGTGGAGGTTGTGGATGAGGTGGTTAGGCTTTTTGTGCTTCCGAAGGCGAAGGCGGCGGCTTGGATACAGGAATTCAAGATAAAGAAAATGGCGGAGAAGGGGGGTGGTTAGGAACAGATGTCAACGTAGATAAATGGAAATACAACCAGAGATACTTCTCGACGTTTAAAATTCACTGCCTAGATATCTAGGTAGATATCTATTTAGGCATGTACGAAGCGATGAAATCGATTCAGGTTGTTCAGTTTTCTTTTAAATTCATGCGATATCGACTAACAGTAGGGTAAACTGACTATGGCCCGCCTATCTAGATGCTTGTAGATTGCCACCCTACCCAATTTTGATGCCAACAGATCCAAACTCCAGCTATCCGTGTCATCAACAGAGCCCTCCCAGTTTTAGGTCCGACCAACCCATCTATCCGTTGCGAAACGAAGCTATCCGTCTATCTAGACCCCAGTATTGAAAGACATCGTGAACACGTATTGTCTCCCCGCTTCTAATCGCGTCTTCTGATAAATAGATACTTACATCGAATTAGCCCTGACCCTTTTGATCCTCGGAAACTCCCCGCCGCACGGAGAGCTCATCTCGGATGTCACGCCTGCGCCGCTGCCACCGGTGGCTCGCGTGTCCCTAACACTGAGGTTCATCAGGAGCAACGCCGCGTTCTTGTCCGCCCCGAGAACTGCTGTTGGATCTATTGCTAGCTTATTATTATTATTCTTCTCATAGCCATCGTCGTTGCGGTTCGTTGGTGCTAATATCTTATGCGGACTCGTCGTCGTCGGTGTCCGGCTATTTTCACTAGCTCTTCCTTGATCGCGATTATTTTCGTACTCGAATTCGGTCTCGACGTGGTCGGCTGATCGTTTGCTTCCCCCTCGCCAGGGTTGAGGATGAGGTTGAGAGAGTGTGTGTGGAGATGGGTAAGGGGGTAGGTGGGCCGTTGTTGTGAAGCGCGGGACAGCACTTAGCCAGGGGCTGGGTCCGGGCGCTTCGTAATGGTGCGGTAGCACTACATTTGCAGGCGTCCAACCGCTGCTTGTAGGTCGGAATGACGGAGTTACTAGAGATGGTGGTGGCGGCGGCGGTGGCGCCATCGGCGAGTATGGAAAGCGATCGCGATGGATCATTCCGCCCCGCTCCTGGGCTACGGGGGACATGTCGCTATCTGTGTCCGTAGCGTATGGGCTGTCGCAACCGGTGGGCACTGCGAAAGGCTTTCGTACTAGATGGCGGCGATAGTGTTGATGACTTTGCCTGGGGTCGTCATAAGGGCTTCGGAACAAAGGCCGCCGATCTCTTGGAGGGCTGACTCTACCTCCGCCATTATCGGAGGAAGTAATCGAGTTGGTATATAACCGACGGAAGCGCTCTGCGTCCCTGGTTGCCTGGACTACGATCGCTGGATCAATGATCATGCGACTGTATTCTGGTGCCTCTGGAGGTATGCAGCGCGAAGGGAAGTCGGGGCCAAATATAGGAATTAAGGCCCCTGCAATATTGTGACAGAAGGTTGCGCAGACGGCTTTGGCACAGTAATATGGCATCCAATAGCCTTTGCACGAAAACCCGTTAATCCCTGTAGATGAGCAGCATAATTTAGAGACAGCACGCACCTTGAGCCATAATAGAACCTCCGGTGATGCTGTGCGTGATTTCCTTCAGCCCGGGATTCAGGTTCAGCATCTTAGCTGGGGTTGTCTAAAGACATATTTAGCTCCCGTTAGCCCCCGTATTTAAAAAAGAGGTTCTTCTTGATCTCCCGGGAATTAGATGGGCTGACCTTGGGGTATTTACAGCATTTGAAAAAGGGGGTCATGCGGACGAGACCGACGTTATAATCCCACATTACGGTATACTCGGCCTCGTCTCCGGGGACTTTGAAGTCATATTGGAAGACTGCTTTCGGGTCAACAAACCGACTATGCTATCTCAAGGGGATTTTTCTTTTTTGTTCTGGTTTTCTCTTTTTTACCTTCGAAGCTTTCTCGACTAGTCTTCTCGAAGAAATCCTTCTTCGTGCTATTATAAGGGATATGACGGGAATGGTCCTGTATGTTCCCAAAGGGATGAACCTGGAATTTTCGAACTTGCTGGAGCGAGGCCTCATCAAGTCTCTGGTATGCGGCGAAGTTTATGGTTCCCTTGGGCCTGCTCGTAGGTAGAGTTGCTGTGCCCTTCGGTATCTTCTGTCTGGCCATGATGGGCTCATCCAGAAGACCCGACTCGTCCGGTAGAGAAGCTGTTGGGGACGACGACGAGGCTGGGCTTGGAGGAAATCGGTTGATTGGTGGCCCCGGAGGGGCAGGATTAAGAAGAGACGCCAGTGACAGCATAGCGGTGAGAGGTAGTGGGGACAAGATGTCTCGAATATGGATGGAGCACTGATGCAAGCAAAGTTGTGGATGGGTTATCTACGAAAGATCCGGAGGAGAATTGAGCAAGGAGACTCAAGACAGGCAGTGCTTGCATCGGCACGTCAGAAAGGAGAGAGGAAACCAAGTCCTTTTGAACTTGGCAAACAGCCGAACTATTGAGGCACACCCTCGCGAGACGGCGAGCCCATGCTGGTACAAGGGGACCGAGATTGCTTCCTTTCTTAACTGCACCCAGTCATGCAGCTATCTGCAGAACACTTGGAGCGGTGTCCGGTGCTGCCTTGTTGATCGTGGTATTCGGTGCAGCTTTCTTTGTTAAAGTTGTCTTGGAATCGACCTGTGAGAGTAGAGCAGCGCGTTTGTGTACGCCCACCGCTTTTTAGAAGATCGAGTTTAAAGCCACCAAAGTGACAGGTGACGGGGGAAGGCTAAGAGAGGGAGACAGAGAAATGGCCGAAGAAGCCCTAGGTTATCTATCTCAGATGAGTGAAGGCGGCTCTGGAAAGGCTGGGGTAATAATGAAAGGCAACTACTTACCGGCAGAGCAAGGACCTGACGGAGAAGTTTCGGAAGCAGAATACTCCAAAAATCGCCAAACGATACGCTCGATTCCGGAGCCTTGCCGACGAGATGGTCCCAAGCACTGCTGGATGTATCACGTCGATCCGTGGATTCTAGGACAGCATCGAGGTAAGGTCGGTTTCATTACATTTCACCAGTTCAGGCTCTGGCCCGAAAGGGGTGATCACAGGCGACCGCATGACGCAGCAGATCTATGGCTGGACAACAAATGAGTTTGGTACAGCAAATACTTTACTACGGGCAGCCCAAACAGGGACTAGGATTGTTTGGAAATGGAAAGGGGAGTTTTGACAGAAAGCAACCTCACGGGAAGCTGCATATAGTGCCGTCCAAGTTACCAGGGTAGTTGGTTTCTCAAGAAGGTAGAACAAAGAAACGACCGTGATAAGCATATTGAATCCTAGACACCGATTGCTAGACTCGACACACGTGTACCCAGTGCCTGTCATCTTGTAAGGGGGTGAGTCCAGAAGGTTTCTCTAGGACCCTTCGCTCACACAGTTCTTCGTTGTTCTCCCATTCAAGACAGGGAGAGAAGCAATCGTCTTGGGCTTGACCGCCGTAAAGGCGACTCACTTAGTGGAGAGAGCTCTGTGCCTATCCGGGGACCACGTAGGAACTCTTTCTCTGGATTGAAAGAATTCGCTGAACATTTCGAGAAGCATTCAAAGTACCTTAAGGGGCTTCCCGTCGGCAACGAATGTCGTGACTGTGGAGATTGCAGCTGTCACAACATCCAATCCATGTTTTCCTTAGGAGTCAAGCGGCGTACGAACAAATGATGGATGCTTCCCCGGAAAACACAGAAGCGGAGCCGTATCTAACTTTGAAATATTACTCATGAGAGTACAAGTGGGCCACGCCAGTAATGGGTCATCGTTGAGCAGGCACCTAGAGAGATCAATCCATTTCTGTGGGGGTTTCCTGCGTAACTGTACTGCACGTCACGAGCCTTACCAGTGTAATAGTTGGTTCGGTAGATAGACAAGGTTGGAAAACAATAGATGAAATGGATACCACGACGTACCTAGATCACTTGAATAAGCTTCAAGGCCATCTCCCTCGTTTTCCACCTCGACAGTATATTAGATGGACGGGTTGTCTGTCGCCTCACATTCTCCCCTCAGTGCTCCAGTAGAAGCTGAGCGGCTGGCAGGCTGCTTTCGTGGGACACTAAGGCTCGAGTCATCGGCCCCCTTTGGGCATGTCTTAGCAAGCTGCGGTTCTAATTACATTAAATCCTGCGGGCTTCCGATATGCTACCAGGTTTACAATACCAAGCGGATTGCATTATCGAAAATGAGTGCCTGACAAACAGAGGCGGTAGGTAAGCAGATAATGCATCAGGATGGATGATGAGAAGAGGTCAAGCACAGAGGTTATATCTCATTCACTCATTCACTCGTAGAGAGCTGAAGTGACTCGAAATCAGACCCAGCGTCTTCCATATTCACTTTCATTGAGCTCTCAAGCCGTTAGAAGACCAGGCTATGGAGAGATTGCCCCACCCGTTCCGATAGGCGGGAAAGTGGATAGAGTATCCTGGATATGTCACAAATACATACCCACACACCTTGAATACCTACTATTAGGTACTATGTAGTTGACAGGTATAGGCGGAAGAAGGAACCGGCGGCAAAGGAAGGCAGATGGCATGGACTTAACGATCCGGCCTCGTCGGTTCTCTCGCCTCTCTTGCTTCCTAAAGGAGCTTGGCTTGAGGCTCAGCAAGGCTACATCGGGTAAGATGGAAAGTTCCAAGGTTTCAGGTGATTGATTGTTATGCTGTCTATTGTCGTACATTGTAGGATGGCAGAATGACAGGAGACGGCTTTGAGAAATTTCCATGCGTGGTGCGACTTTGCAGCAAAAGCCACGGGGACTTACAGTCGACTTCGGGAAATTTCTTGTCTCTGCATTTTTTAGGAAACGTTGCCAAATACGGTCACACGGCACATGCGGAGAATTACGCACCAATTGCTTGCGAAAGACTCTCATTGAGACCATGTGTTTTTGGTAGGACGAAGAGTTGTAGGCTTCAGGTGAAAAGGATTATAAGATGCCAACTTCAAAGATGGATGGCTTAACCTTGAAGGTTGCATATGGCCGAAATTAGGAGTATATTTAGTATCATGCTATTCCCTGATCTCAATAGGTCTAAAGAAATCGGCGTCGCGACGAGATTGTGATTGGTATAAGATGTAATAGAAGCTTATTCATGTTGAATGTAAAGATTACTTCCAGGTTGGAGTAGTGTAAATTATTATGTGAGTAATGGGTAGGAAAATTTAATAGGGGAAGGAAGATAATCTTTATAATACTCAATTTGTTCGAAAGTAGCTCCTGCCTACATGTATATAGAAAGAGGCAATCACGAGACACATTCGCCTACCTCCAAGTAACCTGCAACGATCATGACTGCCCAGTGAGAGTGTTGAGTGACCGAGACCGCCAAGTCATGATTGCATGTGGCTGATTCAATGTGGCTTACTTTCCCCAACAAGGATTATCTTCAAACACGTCGTTCGCTCCGATATTTAACCGCTCCATTCGCGCTTACCTCTGTTAGCACTAGCTCGCCTATTTTGGCAAGAAGCCCCACAACAGGACGCGACTCCCTGTTACAGTATGCAAAATTGTTTACATAGTACGTGCAACAACATAACAACGAGGCTGCTATTACCTACCCTATTGAACCATCGCCCTGTAACACCCCCTCCCTTGATATCAGATAGCAAGATCAAAACATTGGAATTTCATATCTAATTTCCCAAATCGTAAATTTCAACCCCTAAACCTTTACCTTTCATGAAATTTACGTGGGGTTCCTCCCAATTGCGATTTACTTTTTCTCCGTTAACGACTGGTACATCGAGAACAACCTATCTAAATAGGTATTTTTCCAAGTCGTGTGTGAACGCGCCGCACAACTTCCAACGTCCATCATGGACTCCGACATCATGGACGACTCGGTCTTTGGCGACGACGCCAACAATGACTCAGATGGCTACTCTCCCGAGGTGGTATGCAGCAACCCTCGTTTGTATTTTTTCTATTAGATAACAATTACTCACTTCTACTATCGGATAATTGCAGTGCTAAAGCTAACCTTGAGCCCTCACAGAAGCCTAAGGCCAAGGCTGCTCCCAAGAAAGCTGCATCAAAACCTGCAGCCAAGGCTGCGTCAAAGAAAATGGTTCAGACTACCCTCAAGACGAGTAAAACGGCTTCTAAGAAACGCTCAAAGCCTGATAGCGACGATGAAGACGGCAACGATGTCTCGGGCTTCTCTAACACGCCTCCGAGTGCAAAGAAGCCGAAGAAGGCTCCTGCCGCTAAGAAGTCTGCTGGCGAGCCTTTGGTCGAGATTGAGAATGATAGCATGATGCTAGACAGCCCTAAGCCGGCCAAGAAGAAGACCGCTACCGAGACATACCAGAAGTTGACCCAACTAGAACATATCATCAAGCGACCTGACACCTACATCGGCTCCGTCGAGCGCACTGAGCAGCAGATGTGGGTTTTCAACAAGGAAACTAATCAGATGGAACTACGACCCAAGGTCGGCTTCGTTCCTGGCCTCTACAAGATTTTTGACGAAATTCTCGTCAACGCTGCAGACAACAAACAGCGCGACACAACTATGACGTATATGAAGGTGACTATTAACCGCCAAGAAGGTCAGATTACTGTCGAGAACAACGGAAAGGGTATCCCAGTAGAGATCCACGATAAGGAGAAGGTTTATATTCCGGAATTGGTTTTCGGCCACCTCCTTGCTGGTTCCAACTTTGATGATGACGAAAAGAAAACCGTGGGTGGTCGAAACGGTTATGGTGCCAAGCTCTGTAACGTCTTCAGTACCGAATTCACTTTGGAGTGTCAGGACTCCAAGAACGGCAAGAGGTATAAGCAGACGTGGAGAGATAACATGGGCAAGATGGATAAGGCAAAGATCACGAGTAGCAAGACTAGCGACTTCGTCCGTGTCACCTTTAAGCCAGACTGGGCAAGATTTGGCATGCCTGAAGGCATCGACGATGACCTTGAATCTCTACTCTATCGTCGAGTCTACGACATGGCTGGTACAGTTCGCGGCGTCAAAGTTTATCTTAACGATACCCACATTAAGCTAGATTTCAAGAAGTACTGCGAGATGTACGCCAAGGCTATCTCTCGTGAGCGAGGAGACGAGGAGGGTACCGAATCACCTAGCACTACGGTTATTCTTGAGGATAACAAGGTTCATCGTGGTCGATGGGAGATTGGTTTTGCCGTCTCGGACGGCTCCTTTCAGCAAGTCTCCTTCGTGAACTCTATCGCTACTACCACGGGTGGTACTCATGTCAACTACATCTCAGACCAGATTTGCGAATCCCTTCTCAAAACACTGAACAAGAAGAAGAAGGGCCATTCGTTAAAGGCCAATCACATCCGTAACCACATTTTCATATTCATCAACTGCTTAATCAACAACCCAGCATTCACTTCACAGACGAAAGAGCAGATGACTACCAAGACGAGCCAATTCGGTAGCAAGTGTGCCTTAACTGATGGATTCCTCAAGAAGATTGGTCAGACGGATGCAATCAACAACATCATTCAATTCGCGGAAGCAAAGGCTGATAAGATGCTTGCCAAGAGCGACGGCAACAAACGATCAAGGATTAGCAACGCCAAACTTGTCGATGCCAACTTGGCTGGTACCAAGAAAGGCCATGAATGTACCTTGATCCTGACTGAAGGTGATTCCGCCAAGAGTTTGGCCGTCGCCGGCCGTGCCATCCTGGATCCCGATCGCATTGGTGTTTTCCCCCTCCGAGGAAAGATGTTGAACGTCCGCGATGCTTCGATTGATCAGATAACCAAGAACCAGGAAATCCAGAACATCAAGCAATTCCTAGGATTGAAGCATAAGCAGGTTTACACCGATAACAAGTCTCTTCGGTATGGACATCTGATGATCATGGCTGATCAAGATCACGATGGTAGCCATATCAAAGGTCTTCTCATCAATTTCCTTCAAGTTCAATACCCTTCGCTTCTCAAGATTCCAGACTTCTTCCAGGAATTCATCACGCCTATTGTGAAAGTTTGGCAAGGATCGAATCCAAAGAAGCCACTCAGGTTGAAGTCATTTTTTACCCAACCTCAATACGAAGAATGGAAGGAGACACACAAGGCCGAATTGAGAAGATGGGAGTCAAAGTACTACAAGGGTCTGGGTACCAGTTCGAACGAAGATGCCCAGGTTTACTTTAATGATCTCGACAATCACCTGAAGCAATTCGCTACCATGCAACCAACAGAAGCTGAGCTGTTCGAGCTCGCTTTCTCCAAGAAGAAGGCGGATGCTCGTAAGGAATGGCTTGGTAACTTTGTGCCAGGAACTTACTTGGATCATTCAACTAAGCAGGTCACATATGACGACTTCGTCAACAAAGAATTGATTTTGTTTAGTATGGCTGATAATATGCGATCCATTCCCTCGGTTGTTGATGGCCTCAAACCCGGTCAACGAAAGGTCATCTACGCTTGCTTGAAGCGAAACCTAGTCAAGGACAAGAAAGTCATTGAATTGGCAGGTTATGTGTCTGAACAGACGGCCTACCATCACGGCGAAGTATCTTTGCAGCAGACTATCATTGGTCTAGCTCAGAATTTCGTTGGTTCTAACAACGTCAATTGTCTCGAACCCAGTGGAAATTTCGGTTCCCGACTTGCAGGTGGTTCAGATGCCGCCAGCGCTCGATACATCCATACACGTCTGTCCCCATTCGCCCGGCGCGTCTTCTCTCCCCTAGATGAACCCATCTTAGATAGTCTTGTCGAAGATGGAAAGACTATCGAGCCGAAAGTCTATGTACCAGTTATTCCTATGGTTTTGGTAAACGGTGCAGACGGTATCGGCACAGGTTGGAGCACATCAATACCAAATTACCACCCAGCAGATATTATCAGGAATCTGAAACGGCGCATGGGCCGTTTAGATGGCCCAGAAGAAAAACCCTTTGAGACAATGACTCCTTGGTTCCGAGGTTGGAAGGGTAACCCACAAGTCGCTGAGAACAACCGTTACCAGTTCAATGGTATTGCGTATCAAGACGAAAAGAAGCCCAATGAGGTCATCATTACCGAATTGCCCATCCGTATGTGGACTGATGACTTCAAAGCGAAACTCGAAGATATAATCCGAGGTGAAAAGACTCCCTCTTTTATCAAAGATTACAAGGAATTCAATGACCACAAGAACGTCCATTTCGAGATTCAAATGGACGAAAAACATATGAATTCAGCCTTGACGGAAGGTCTACTTGAGAAGTTCAAACTGGTCAAGCAAGTTGCAACATCCAATTTAGTTGCATTCGACACTCGTGGCATGATCCGCAAATATGAAAAGGTAGAGGATATTCTCGAGGAGTTTTATCAGTACCGACTGGAGTTCTATGTCAGCCGTAAGGTATGTGAACGCCACCACCACTATATTCAGGTATCGTGCTAACTATTTTAGGCTCATTGGCTTGGTGTCTACGACGCGGACTTCCGCAAATTAAAGAATCAGGCTAGATTTATCAAAGAGATTATGGATGGCGAATTGGTGGTATCTCGCAAGAAGAAGACTGTTATCATCGAGGAGCTTCGTGAGCGAAAGTACGAAGGGTTTCCAAAAGGCCAAGAGAAAAAGACGAAATCAGAGGATGATGAAGATAACGTAAACGAAGGTGATGAAGAAGAAGTGGATGGCCCTGCAAACGCTTACGATTATCTTCTCTCCGTAAGTTACTATGCGAACACCCACCAAAAGTATACTGCTTACAATGAATAGATGCCCATCTGGTCGCTCACCCAAGAACGCCTTGATCGCCTTAAGGATCAAATCGCTAAGAAAAAGGCCGAGTATGATCACCTCAAGGCGCTGAGTGAGTTGGATCTATGGTGCAAGGATCTTGATGAATTTGAGGCCGAGTGGGAAAACCAAATACGCCTGGACGCCGAAATAACGACGGGCATCCGTAGAATGGGCCGCCGTGTATCAAAGAAGATCGGTGCCGGTGTTGGTACCGGACGCGGTCGCAAGCCAAAGGGTGACGATGACTATGCCCCAGTCGCCAAGTCAAAACCAGGCCCTAAAGCAGCCGCGAAGCCGAAAGAACCGCCAAAAGAGAAATCCGTCCAACGTTTCGCTGCTATGTTCAACAGCCAGCCCAAAGTAAAGAAGGAGAGCATTGATGCAGCGGACTCTGACTCCGACTCGTTCTCGGATGGTGATTTTGCCAAGTTAAAAAAGAATCCGGCCAAGAAGGAAAAGCCCGTTAGCGAAGACGAGGACGAGTCGATTCTGCCCAATCCTCGAAGCAAGCGTGCTGCAGCTACAAAAGCTAAAACATGGATCGTAGACGATGACTCAGAAAGCGATGACGACAAGATGCTCGGTGATGTTGGCGATTTGGTCAAAGGCATCACTAGCGGCGGCGGCAGCGGCGGCACATCCGAGAATAAGACTGGTAGGCTTAGTTTGTTCTCCATGTCACGACCGGAAAGCAGCAGCGGCAATAGCACCGGTTTGCAGGTCAAAAGCAAGCCCTCGAAACCCTTAGACCTAGACGATCATGACGATACGAACTATGAGATGTTAGCTAAGTCCTCACCTCATAAGAATGCTCGTGGGGATGAGTTGGACAGCTTCCTCTCTGACGACGACGATTTGCCTCCCGTTTCCAAGGTTGTGAGAAGGACTAAGGCCCAATCTACCTTGTCAGAAGATCCTAAGCCTAAGTCGGTGGCTGCCACCGCCAGCAGCGCAGGTGGAGCTGCAGTCAAGAAAGCTCGTGGCCGGCCTGCTGGGGCAAAGAGCAAAGACAAGGAGGACGCTCCCCCGAAGAAGGCGGCAGCTCCTAAAGCCAAGGCTAAGGCTAAGGCCAAGCCTGTACAATTGTCGCCTGCTGCCAAGGCTTATGCTGCTAAGAAGGCGAAGTCAAAGGACGTCTTCGACATGGATGATGATGAAGACGACGATATCGAGATGGCTGAACCTGATTCCCCGCCACCGAGACCTGCGGGCCGCGGCAGACCTGGCCGTGCAGCAGCAGCCAAGGCCAAACCAGTCTATGTCATTGACGACGATGACGATGACGATGAACTCGAAGACGCTCCACAAGCCGCCAACGACTCCGACGACTTTGCTATGGACGATAGCGAGTAAATCTTCGACGCACAGATGTCGTCTAGCTGGGTGATATTATCGAGAAGGGTTTATTCTTTTCGCAAGTAACGAGTTGGATGGGTTTGCTTAGAGCTTAGAGCTTGATGAGAAATGAAGGCAGCACGGTTGCTATATTCTTTGCTGTAATGGGATGAAAATGGGTTTGGGAGGGCGTGATCGTCGAGTCTGATGATCAACCACGAGGCGTTTGCATTTTTCGTCGGGCGAGACCGCTAATCGATGCTATGCTTCTCTCCTAATACTTCATATGTACATGTACACCAAATAGGAAAAAAGACACCTCCGATGAAATAATCTGCATTTGTGATATGTTCCTTTCCTAAGCCAGCTGGTGGTGACTTGTCGGGTCTTACATGAGCGATGGCGCATCTTCTCCACATGGCCAGCTCATGCTGTTTCTTTGATGCTGAACGCCACTGTCATCCATGTTTCTCGACTTAATATCGTATCCGAAACCAGATGGAAGGTGTCTTAATCATACCGCTAGGATCAGAACATCATAAAAATCAGACGAAATACCTAATTTAAATTCATGAAAGGACTTGTTCAGGGGCAGCAAGCTTCAAATCTTCTAATATCACCCATCTACGAAGCACGTAAGGTCAATAACATCCATACAACCAACCGTCAACTACACCACCTCACCTCGCAACACGGAAACACTACACAAATCACATTCAACATACCCACAACTCATCCATGGATATACCCCAACTACTAGAAGAGAAAGCATCGAAAATTACTATCTTACTAAGCGCAATCATCCTCATCCTCATCCTCCCCATAACGTCTTCACATCCATGATGACGACGACCCTAAAAATCGTGCTACTGTTACTGCAAAAGCCATTCTCATTCACTAATAAAACCCGCGACTCCTCCAAAGTCCCCCTTCCGCCCCCTCTTGTCGGTGGTCTTAAACCCCGTCGCACAAACATTTCATTCCAACGCCGTCAGAGACAATTTAATTCCTCCCGGGGTCGATGCAGAATTGCCACCACCACCACTACTACCTCGAGCTCGCGTGATTACTAACTACAGGTGTGTGTTTGTTATTCGTCGCCAAAAAAAAGTCGAAAACGTTTCCTTTAGGTAGTGAAACCGTTACTCCCACGCCAGAACCAAGTTCCAATTCCGCCTAGTGGCTCATTCTCGTTGTTAAGGAAAGTCGTAGACGAAAAAAAAATATTTGGCCCCCATCGAGGGAGCTTCGAAATTTCGCAATGTCTCGTATCTTTCTATGCCATGAGTCGTAATAAATTGCCGTGCCATACCAGACGGGTCTCGCGAATTGGTGCGGATATACATTATGTACTGAGGAGGGAATCGCTATCGGACAAGCTGCCTAGCACGCGCCTAGGCGGAGATCAAAGGCTCGTCCTCGGACTCTTCCTCAGAGGATTCCTCCTCCTCTTGACCCTTTAGGTCCTGCTTGGGAGCCCTCGGGAAGTCGGAATCCTTGAGGTTCGACTGGGCTGGCTTCGACGCAGCCTCGGGGGAGGCTGATCGACCACGAAGCATCTGTTGGGCCTTGGCAGTGTAATCACCCATGTACTGCTTGGTGAGTTCAGTTGCCTGGGATGTGTGCTTGCTGGCGACCTGGCGGAGCTGTTCGGTCTGACTTTCCACTACATCGGAAGCCTGCTTAAGGTAGTGGTCGATGAGCTCTTGGTTGGTGCTGTAAATCAGGGGTACGAAGAACAAGAGGGTGGTGGAGATTAGAGCAAGGCCCCAGTAGGGGACGATCTTGACGAGGTAGTATGATAAAAATGCTCCAAAGGCAGCCTATAATCTTATTGTTAGTAAGATCTCCTAACTATGTCGATCCTCTCATTTACAGGGGTACTCACAACAGCAGACACAGAGACATTCTCGGCGAAGAATACCCGTTGAGATTCAATAACGAAGAAGTTAATGAGCTCATGGACATCACCAATTAAAGCGTCGAGTGTTTCCCTAGGGACGGTGTAATATTTGCGGGGCCGTAGCTGAGTAGCAAGACCGGTACCAATGGTGGCCTTTCCGGCAGCTTCGGCAAGGACGGTGACGCCCAAGGCTAGATATGTGAGCTTGAAGGTGTATCGGATGACATCGAGGTATCTAGCCACAAATATCAAAGAAACAACGGAAGCATAGGCAATGGCGGATGCTCCTAAAATAGCTTATCAGTATGGGATTTCTAATTTCTATGGTGGGGGCAGTAATATGGACTTACGGGGATTGTTCCACGATAGCAACTCGGAGAAGAACGAATGGTAATGAGTCAATGGCTGGCCAGTGGCAGCAGGATGAGAAGGTGTTTGCCGGGCGTTGGCTAGGTTGGAGAATTCGGCAGTTGTCTTTGCACCCTGATCTCTAACATTTTGGGCAACAGGGCCTATGGTGAGATAGTGGTTAGCTATGATGTAGTCCAAGATAACGATAGGGGACCGAGGTAGGAAATAGTAAACGTAAACAAACCAGATGCGAGTTGATTAAAAGCAGCTTGGGCATCTAGTTTGAAAAACGTTAGTTGTCACGATGGTAATGGTGACGGTAACGGTGAGGAAGACGAGTAGAGGGGGTGTAGTCATATTAGTCTATAAACACTATTTAGAGTTAGCTACATGTTTTTCCCCCTATGAAACGAGGTGGTGATAGGATCGTTTTGGATCGAATAGACATACCTTACTGCCTTTCAAAGAGTTAACAGAATTGCCATTGGCAGCTGGATCAGTTGCAGAGTCGGCCATCGCGAATGATTGTTGTTGTTGTTGCAGGATATGATGGTAGCGAAAGAGATCGAGCGTGTTAGGTGTTCTGTTCGGAGTGTCGGGTGCTTGTGCTATCCCTTCTAAAAAATTGTGGGTGAGCTCCAATATTCGTCTTTGTTGTATCAACAGGAGCGAGGACAACAAAACTTACTCGTAAGATATACTAGGTGTTATAGGGATTTTATGCCAATAGTATGAAGAAGAACAAGGTCAAAGCAACAGAAACGCAGTCTGGATTTTCTGTCGCTTGTTTGTGCTTTGTATTTGTGCGGGAGGGAAGAAATTCAGGTTAGTTGGTAGGGGGGAAGGTTTAGCAAGTTAGCAGGTTAGCGGATTGACCGATCTGAAGCCAAGGCAATAAAAAGGAGTGACAAGTGATTTCATCAAGCTTCAGGCCTTTTTTTTCCAGGTCTTTACGTACTGTTAAATGTGGCTAGTGCTATGGTGTTATGACGCTACGCCAGGGCCAGCATGATGCACCTGCCTGACTGACCACCTGCAACCAACCACTTAATCAGTAGGTGCAGCTGCTACAGTAACAGCCACACCTCACACTCCTCACCTTGCGGCACAGGGCATAGGGTACAGGGCACAGGGCACCTGGGCACCTGGGGAGGCAGCAGCTCGAGCACTTCAAGACCCTAAGGACCCTTCTAAACGTGGAGTCGTGGACCCTATCTGGCGAATGTACCTCGGTACCTACAATACATCCATACTTCGAAACGTTTCCAAAGCTTGATAGTGGATGGATCATAGCGTCCAAAAATCGCAAACTAAAATCGTCAGTTCTCAAATCCTAACCCGATCAAACGTCACATGTTGTCATCCTATCAAGTCACCATTCTATCTCTGTATCACTTGGGACTTCGGAATATTCATACAAGGTGCATACTACATATATATATTATATATTAGACAATATTACGCCTTCGACGATTGTGTACTATTGTTGCTGCCATGGCTTCTGCCGTATCTTGTACGACTCATTTCCAATCCGAATCCGAAACATCCCTCTCCTCGCAGAACTAAACCACGAACCGCCCGCATGTCGTCACTTAAGGATAGGTACCGTCTATTGCATGTGATTACCCGCTATGAGCACACGACACCACCATTTCGAAAAAAATTCTAGTCGACTTCAAAAAGCTGCTAGTGACATTCCTTCAGGTGCGACGGAGTCCGAATGACGCTACCTTCTCACCTTGCCCTCGTCATCACTACAGACAAGCAGATGCCTATTGGACCTGTTCCCCAAATACTTCAGCCATGTACTGTTCATATAAAATGTACTGCATGAACTGTGTACTTGTGTACCCAGATAGGTACCACAGAGGGAAAATATGGTTTCCAAGGACGGTTATTTACTGCTATGAAACTGTTCTTAAAAGGGAAATAACGGTTATTTTTGAAGAAATAATCGTTTTTGATTAGGTAACGCTTTTCTTTAATTAACAACGTTTTTTTAATTAATAACGTTTTTATCGATTTTATAATTATTTAAAAGTATTTTTATAAAAAAATAAATTATTAAATAATATTATTAAAATTTAAAAATCGTAATATAAAATTTTAAATTTTTTTTTTTAAAGTAATTAATTATTTTTTTTATATATAACTTTTATATATAATAAGTTAATTTAATTATATTAACTTTAAAAATTAATTTAATTTAATCGCGTTAAATTAATTTAAGTTTATTATATAAAATATTTTTAATAAATTAAATTTAATAAAAATAAAATATATTAATTTAAATAATTTATTTAAATAATTTTAAAAATAAATTTATTTAAATTAATTAATAAATAAATAAATAAAAAGTAAATAAATTAATAATTTAATCGCATTAAATTAATATTTAAATTAATTTATTTATTTATTTATTTTTTAATTTATAATAACTATTTTATATAAATATAATTATATAAACTTTAAATATAATAATAAGTGAAATTATCGTTATTAAAATAAAAAAACGTTATTAAAATAAAAAAGCGTTACTAAAGTAAAAAGCGTTATCGATTAGAAAACCATTATTAGGGTAAAAACGATTATCCCTTAACTGAAACGTTATTAATGGGCCAGCCGTTTTTCGGTTTAATAACTGTTCTTAGATTTCATATATTGCCACTGCGGTAGGTAGGGTCCAACTTTATCTCTTTCTGCACGGCGGACATAACTGGAGAATTGCTACATAAGCTCAGCAATAGTGCCAATAGTGCCCAAGCCATGTACGAGACACATGCATATGTACACAATAAAAAACTCATGCAACCCGTTCGGGAACGACAACGACTGGAAGATTGGGAAGACATGTTGTATTGGGGGATATCATAATAACATTTCTTTGCTATGAGCCGTGAAGCAAAATCAGTCCGCATCTTGCCTTTCCAAAGCTGCTACCCCTCTCTGCTCTCCTTTCTCTGTCTGCGCGCGCCTAAGGAAGTATTTGATTCTCATGTGGTACCCCTTTTAGCTAGATGAATATCGAATGCGAAAAGAAGCGCCCAGCCAATAGCCCCTGTCTAAATATACGGGGCTAGGATATGTGATTACGATAAAGTAAGATGAAGCTTTTATGCGTAGCGTAACAAATGAAGCCTGTCTTGACAATGTCCCGACAATGGCAAGTCACCACGAGTCGCCGTAGAAATGCTCGAATTCCTGCCTCCCCGACCGTGATCGTTCCAAAACATGAATTAATCCGGTTCCGCGTTGCTTCTTTTTCGCAACGCCGTGTATTATGCTCGCGCGACCATCTGAGCTATTGAGTGGTGCCCGGCAGTTATCGTCTCCAACCCCAGAAGCCACCAGCATTAGTAGCAGTAGAGGGTGTAGGTGCGTGAGAAGGGGTGGTACTCTTAGTGCCACCGCTTGCTTCTGAAATTGAGGTTGCAAATCGATTGATCATCCCCATCGTAGATGTACCGTTGGGCGACTCTGCACCAGTAATCCCATAAGCTTTCCGTAGACTCTCAAGCTTCTGCTTGTATTCTTCGGCCTCCTGGCGAGCCACTGCCTCGGCTGTCTTGGCCTGTATGAGTTCCATCACGAGGCTGTCATTCTCGCTCGAGGGGACTGGCTCCGTTTGCGTCCTGACTAGCGATCCGGAACGAGAGGCGAAGGCCGATGTGTTTGGCGTCGACTTGCTACGTCCGAGCTTAAATTCCCGAAGGCCGTTATTAGCCCTGCCACCGTTGACAGTACCGCTGTCAGCAGTCAGATTAGCCCCCGACGAGAACCAGCCTCCGGGTTCCGCTGTCGATCCGGGCGTTTCAGCCGAAGCTCGCACGCGCATAGTGTGCACCTGCCTCTCGAGACGCTGTTTGTCCTGATGCAGGTTTCGAACGTGGGCGTGACTCTCGCGAATCTGTTCTCGTAATGTGTTGGCTTCTTGTCCAAGTTCCTCGATGCGACGATTGAAGCCTTGGGTCTTGGACATCTCAATTCTGTATAGATCCTTTGTCCTAGACAATTCATCGCGTAGTTGTGCCTTGGTCAACAACGAGGATGACCTGCGCTTCTGTCCTTCATCGACATGGAAACGACCCTCGACCACCTCCATCAACACAGACAAGCGATCTTCATCGGACTTATTTCCTTCCTCCGCTTTGTCTTCTGTCTTGTCATCGGCGGCGTTCTCATCCTCTGCCGTACTAGTTTCCCCATTCCCAGCTTTCTTCTTCAATCCAGCCAGCAATGACTTGACCGCTTTTCTGTCCTCGTCCCTCTCTTCCCTTTCTTGTTGGAGTTGTGTAGCTAGCAAAGCATGATTTCGCTGCAGTTCGCTGAGGGCGGTGAGGAGGTCCTCAATCTGGGTATGAAGATTCTTGTCGGCGGCGGCGCGACTCGATTGTTGCTTCGTCACAATTGGCGTCGACTCACGGAAGGATGCATCGTCGGCATTGGACGAGTCGCGCGATAGCGTGGTCGCGTCGGTGGATACGGTGCTAAGGACACTAGCGGAGCTGGCTTCCATAGAATTCAGCGTGGACGCCAGACTCTGTTTTGAAGCACTTCGGCGCAGCATGCTTAACGGTCTCAACGGTGCGGTGAGTCCCGGTGAAAGAGTTCCTGATCTCGGGGAAGAGGTGCTCGTAGTCCATAGACGGCCCAAAAATCGGGAGGCAGCTGTGGTAACATCGGCCGCTCGCGCGGCATTGGCACTGGCGATCTTTTCCTCGCGATACCCCTGCTCAAGCTGGGCTAATTTCTCTCGCGATACGACACTAGACAGGCTAACGAAATCATCGACAAATTCATCTGCATTGTAATGATAACAATCCCACAATCCACGAGATAAAAGGAGTTGCATAACATCTTCAAGCTCAGTGCAGGCCAAGATGCGGCTCTCGTTTTTGCGCATGAGCGACAGGGCCACCCGCATAATAGTCTCCGACGCACCTTCGGCAAAAATGACATCGTAGATGCGAAACAGCATTGGCAGGGGGCATGTTACGGCAAAGAATGAGAGGAACCATTGCGAAACATAGGCTGGGTCGACCTGTAGTTCGTCGAGATGGTTCGATAAAGTGGGCAGATTCAGCCGAAGCAACTCACGGAATTGATAGATGCGAACGTGCAAACCTGACAGGTCGGGCAAGAAGCATGATCGTAGATCGTAATACTCCATCAACCTGTTATCGAATATACTAGTCAGCTAGTTGTACCCCAAGTACCCTGCAAGATCATGGATGTTGGATTGTCAAATGGTCATATGACCAAAGTAATCAAAATTACTCACCGCACTAGAACACAGAAAGCTTGACTATCTGGCATATGCATTAGTAAAGGACCAACCAGGAATGCAAGTCCTTGACAATATCCAATCTTCTGATCGTAGAGACTGAAGCATTTCAGCACTCTTCCAAGCATTCGCTGCCCGTCGCCGTCCGGGTCTCGGAACATATCCACGCCTGGAAAGCTTCTACCAAGATCTTTGCCGATGATTCCCTCATAAGGACTCGATTCGCCGCAGAGTCTATCGAATTGCTCGAGGAGATAGCTGTCGCGGGCACCAGCCATACTCTGCCAAACCACGCCTCGCAAAGGTGGCGGCACTCCCTTTCGAATCTTCTTGGACAACAAGGTAGGTAGACGAGCAGCGGTCTGTTGATAATCCTTGACGAGTGCCATGTAAAATTCGAGATCGGTCATAGGCGGGGGAGGGAGGACAGAGTATCGTAAGGCCATGGGCGTTGGCCCGTTGACCATATCTCGCATCTGTGCCATTGATGGCGGTCTCGGTCGGCGGGTTGGTGTTTGCTCGACGACCTTGACTTTGACGCTCTTCGGATTCGTGGCTATTTTATTGTTCTCTTGTTCGAGTCGTGCCAGTAATAAGGCTGTAGACTAAATTGTGGGGGATGTTCCGTCAGCATCATCATCGTAGATCTGGCCTGAGTCAATTTAGTTCCTGGCAGCCAGCAAAGTGCTGACTAGCTGACTCTACTGACTTTACCGGCCTGGCCTACTTTGCCTACTGTGCCGGCTTTGCGTGATTAGAGGATAAAAATAGAGAGCGTGGAGCCTACATTATCGTCTTGGTTTTTAACTTGTTCGTCCTCCGTCTTTTGTAATTGGTCCCAATCGACCTCTTCCGTATCTGACTCGTCCATTGAGTCGGGGTCGGGGTCGATATCGTCTGTTGGTTTCTCGTCTTCCTGACTTGTCGTGTTTGTTTCTTGAAGCTCTTGTAGCAAATTTTTGGGAGGATCGGCCGGCGTTTTCAACTCAATCTCAGTTTCAACTATCTCCTCCGTCGTCACTTCCTCCTCTATCGCAGGTGTCGCACTTGGCGCAGTTGCACTTGTGGGTGTACATTCATGTCCCCATATGCTCTTTCTAAAAGGTAATGTATTCGGCGGAAAGTCCGTATTCACCGTTAGGGAAGGCGGCTCTGACAACCGAACCGTCACCATCGAATCGTGTTCCGGCATTCTTCGGTCGTCTTTCTCGACAGGCGATTGCATTGCGTTCGATTCCACCAACGTTGGGTCCCTCGATTCCGTATTAACCGGGGAGTCTTCATTTTTCTTCTGAATTTCGGGGTCCCGCTCCATCACGCGGCGCAGGCACTCAAGTCGAGATTTAGAGTGGCCGGTAGAGGCTGGAATGTCCGATCTCTCCTCAAGCCTTAAGCCTTACCCGCCTAACCTCAATTAGTCTCGTGTGACGTCGGATAGGTGGTGCATCGACAGCGGAAGAGTCAAGCAAATAACTTCGAGATTCGATGATTGTGTGTAATGTTGTAGTACTAGCAGTTAGCAGTACCTATTTACTCAACACGAAGGCAGAGACCAAGACGGATTCGTCCACACAACCACGGTCTACACAGTCCTTGGATGTCGCCTGCCAAGGTACTGAAGTAACAGGGGGAGCTGGATAGAAGTGGGTTCCGTCAGGGATTCGCGAGACAATCGGCTTCTATGTTTCCCTATTTTGTTTCGTCGAGGGGTAGAAATCGACGCTTAACGCTTAACAATGAGTTGGCTCTAGAAGGAAATGCGTAGCCTAGTACCTAGTACTCCAAGGTTGTGGATTATGCAATGCTAATTGCTAGTAAATAGGTAAGGGCACGTCGGCTAAGCAGTGGATGCTGCATCAAGGAAACAATTGGTGTGACATTAAGGAGTGAATAACATAGCGAATAACCACCAAAAGAACGACTACGAATGCTTTCTCGATTATTGAAAGGACTAGGTAGGGATAATGAACGGATGAGAAACAATTCTTGTGGATACCAAAAAAACCATCGGAAGTTATTAGCTATCTACGAATAAAGGAGGGCATTCGCAGGAAAAGGAAGAGGGGAGGTCTTGCTAGACGGGACGAACTCCCCTATCACGTAAGGTTGCATGGGTCCATCCCATATCGCGGGTTTAATGAGCAGATGAGTTACACCTACTATTCCAACCTATCCAACCCGCCTCTCTAATTGGTTCGATGAAAGACCGCTTATGGGCTCTTAACACCCCGTCCCTGCATTAGCGGTTACCTAACATTACCGACATAACATTTTATTTGGCCCTGAATACAAACCACTGGACATCCATGATTCCATTTCCTTAGTTGAATCTAGGGAGGTTCAGGTAAAATAGGCATTCAATCACCAGCGCGTATCATACAAATTTTTATATATCAACACATCCATTCCAACATGACCTCATAGCCCTCCCTGAAAAGAGGCGATTAGCATACCTACGTCTTACAGCACCCGCGCACTACGGTACATAAGATCGCACGGCCATTTAGCTGTGATTCGTAAGGCAATAAATGTCTAAGACACCGGATGATAGCGGTGTGAAGTAGGTACGTACCTATATACATGAACTTATGGAGGGTGGTCCCTGTTTTGCGCTCGCCTGCAAGATTGAATTGGGAAAGAGCCGCTTTGTCGCATAGTCCCGCTGCATCTAGTGCATAAAATTTCCCCACTAAACTTAGAGTCGGGCGAATCGAGCGAATCGAACTATCTTCATCTGCCTTACCGAACCTCACTACCTTACGCGATAGAATCGATATTTTATAGTTCACATAACTAGTTCTTAGAACTAAAGCACCTCGGATGAACACCACCACCTACTTCTCTTAATTCACAACCATATATATCAACCAGACAAGGACTCACCGCCAATATACATACATACCTACTTAGTACTTACTGGCATCCCACTTGAAAAGATGAGGGGCAGTGAGTCTCCACGATATAGAAGATCTAACGAATATCACACGATACCGGCACGTAGGCAGGTATACAATCATAAGATATCTATGTATACTATTCCACAAATGTCCAAATAGTATATCTCCTTGCACATCATCAAGTCGAAACTCCATTTTCCTTCCCGGTCGATTTAGCCAGTGTCCTATCTTGACGCTCTGACAGTTTTGGTTGCTTGGCATGAAAGGATATCATATGTAGATGAGGTGGCAAGCAGGGTGATCTTAAAAATCAAGTTGAAGATAATAGTATATCTGAATATGAAAGATATACGTATTGGAGCTGAACTTTTCCGTACTTTTAATAATGAGCAAACTATACAATGTCCTCACGATGGTATATACGTGATCTAACGAAGTAAACCAGCTACCTATTCCGAGTTTTAACGCCGACGCCGAGTCATCTCTCTTCAAGACCTCAATGTCACCACCAAATATCCTTGACCTCGATGGGGTATTTTTCTATACAAGGCGCGAGAACGCAAGGCGCCCTTCTCATAATAGGAAGCCAGTCCTTCAAACCAGAACCCCCGAAACCATATTATACGTCAACCAACATTAACTTATGTTCGAATTTCGCTTTGGTATCTAAGACCAAAAGCAACATATTCCCAGGTGGTCTTAAATCCCTCTACAATCCTGTCGTTATATTTCCTACTGAAGACGGTGGTGCCGAAGTCATCATTTTGGGAGTCATTTGCCTTCCGGGGATGGGACTAGGTTGACCAGGTGTCCGCGATCCAGGCTTTGCCATGTTTGCCGCTTGCGTACCTTGCCGTCCAGCAACAGTTGGGAATGTTGGCTCCTTGTTGGGGTCAATGCCTGGGTAAAGACCTTGGAGCTTTTTGTATAAGTCTTGGATATATTTGGCTGTTTCATTCCGATCTGGAGCTTCCTGACTCTCCGAGCCATCCGGGCTTACCATCATCTTTAATTTAACACCGGTGTTTAGCGGTGGGGCTCTCAGGTAAGTAGGAGACGGCGCGGCCGGAACATTGCCTTTCTTATCGGCCAATGCTGCCAAGTATGACAAGTTTGACTGCAGTCTACGCATGCAGCTATGATGATAGATTAGTACACTTCGTTTAATAGTCAACAACTAGACTTACTGTAGGTAGTCCTGAGCTAGTATCTCTTCGTCGTCTGTTGGCCTATCCGGCTCATTTGCATTAATATCGGTGCCATTAGACGACGCCCTCTCCTTTTTGAGTGTATCCCGCGTATAGTGGATCTGCATAGCCTCTAGTAATAATTCGTTGTTGATCTCCAAAATCACGCCGACTCTCTCCTTATCTCTAGAATCTGAGCCTGGACTTAAGGGTGTTGACCCAGATGACGCATTGTTGGGGCCGTTATTCTGGACTGAGGCAGGGAAAGTCGGGGTTTGAGGCGTCGAGATATTGTTGGGCGGCGGCTGGTTTTGAGGTTGCTGTTGCGCGTTATTCGGCGTTTTGCTCTGGGGTGTAACGTGGGCAGTTTGTGGTGTCGACAATGGATGCTGTTGCTGCTGCTGCTGTTGCTGTTGCTGCTGCTGTTGTTGTTGTTGATGGTGTTGGTGTTGGTGTTGATGTTGCGCATTCGACGCGTTATTAGGAGTTGGTGTGCCCTGGGGAGGTTGATTTTGAAAGGATCGCTGAGGCGTAGGAGTAGAAGCAGACATTCCCGGCGCGTTTGGATTTGGCTGCATGCGCTGCATCATCTGCTGTTGCTGTTGCGGATTCATCCCAGGATGCATCGGATAGCCAGACATAGGCATACCACCTCCCATCGCATAGCTAGTAGGGACGTTCATTTGCGGCGCGACAGAACTGGGAACGCCAGCACCATACGGCGAGTTCGTATACGGTGGTTGATAGCCAGGCACTAAAGTAGCAAATCACTCCATTAGTATATTACATTATTATTGGTAGGATAAACAGGCAACGATGGTCGTGCCTATGGCTATTAGACGAACGTGGGAACCACAGGATAGAGACTGTGTGAGAAGCCGGTATCTCTGTTGCCGTGGACGGTATATGAATGCTGCGTGGGCATGCCAACACCCGCTCTAAACGGCAGTATGGGAAAGATTACGGGTATGTAGTGTGGCAAAGGAGACAAAGAAGCCTGACGGGAAGGAAAGCTGCTTACTCGGGCCATTGGCGGCGGCCATGTGCGGCATACCGGTATTTTGCATCATTCCTGCAGGACTGGGACCCGGCATCATGTTTGGGGCACCAGGGAAGCCAACTCCGGGTTGCGCGCCCATAGGAAACTGCTGAGGATTGTACATCGAAGCCTGGTTGGGAGGACCTTGACCGGGCTGCAAATGAGGGTTCTGCGAAGCTGAATGTGGGGCGCCACCATTGTATTGTGATCCGGCAGGAGGAACAGCATTGGAAAAGCCATAGTTGCCTGCGTACATGGCTCACGATAGGCTGGCACCACGCTGGCACAGCTGGCAGGGCTGGGCGTGGGCGTGACGTGGGTGAGAGCAGATCTGGGACGGGACTCGTTGGGGCTCAGATTTGTTCACCACACAAGCGAATATGGTGTGTCGCGCGTTTGTGTGGGGTGCGTCCGAAAATAGCAAGGGGGTACGGCGATCAAATGCCAACTATGCGCCCCCGAGAACCTCTCCCGAGCCAAACAGCGAGACCTCGGTGTCACTTTATTAAACGTTAAACGTTAAACCTTGGATATAAAATCTGATCCTTTCTCTCCCAATCGATCGGTATGGCCAAATGCTAGTCGACCTAGTACCGAAGTAGGTATATTTACCTAATCCGAAAGAAATCGCTGTACGGGATACGCCACGATTTCATGTACGTATCTGTGTATGTGTCTATGTATCGTACCTTAATCAGGGAGAGACCGGCACAACACATACACGGTACATTAAAAGGTACCTAGATAAAATATATAGGCGTACGTAGGCCCGAATAGTTTGATGTACTTGTTGTACCGTATTGTACCAAAGCAAACTGTACCAGTACCTATGTAGGTATGTAGGCGGTAAGGTGGTAGGAGGAGCTAATGCCAGGTAGGCACCAAGATTTGTCCCTTTCTCGAACAGACACCTTCGGTGTCGTCCGTCGTACGTAGTATTTGTCTAGGACGAGAACCAAGGATTTGTTATGAGGATGAGTCAAGTAGTCAGGTAGCTAATATAAGAAGCAGGTCCACGGTGTGTGTAGTATGCGTACTAAGGTGTAGTATGGAACGTATGGGATGATAGCAATTCGCCAATCTGCGAATCTCATCAGCTGTAGAGGCGTGTGAGTGTGAGTGTGAGTGCGTGTGCGTGTACTGTATGTATGTACGCTGTATGTACACTAAACGTATAGGCGTATCGAGGTATCGAAACGCCAGGTCTTGAAGACACCGGCCAACCGCGACTAGAGAGGAACTACTAAGGTCGGTTAGGGGGGGTTGGAAAACTGTGACAGGACGGCCCTATGCAGTTGTAGCAAGGATTCGCCCTGTGGGACGGTAGGCCACCGTGGTCCGTGGATGGAGGATGCGTCAAAAATGATGGATGCTTGTGTTCCCGTCAGAAAAACGAGGTTCATTCAGGTAAAGTAATCTAGAGGTAGCAATCAATTACCACCTGGGCATCGGGGATACGGGGGTGGTTGGTGGGTGCGTCTAAAAGGCTAGAGTATGTGACTGGAAGACTTGGAAATATGCGAGAAATCAGGGAAAGATTAAGAGCAAATGGGAAAAGCTTCTAGAAAGGTTGCAGGTGGCGCTCTCCTAAGATTGGAAAGACTAGCAGACTGGAAAGAGGAATTAACACTGGTGGCAGGCGGCATGGTTGTGGGGCACGATTATGCTTATCCGTATATATCCTAGCTCCCTCCACTTTTATCCTCGACTTTCGCAATTTTGATAGTACATACACTGATACATTACATACATACTCAAACCATCCAAAATATATCGAATATATAATCGCATACTACTGCCTTACAACTTTCCAACTCCATCTTACATGAGTTGATGATGACAATATAATTCGATATGGACAGTTTTATTGACGGTTCAATGTTGAAGTCACTTATATATATTGCTCAAGTCGACCAGAAAAATATGGTAAGACGGTTATGTAAGAGCCAAGCAGTTAATTGTCCCCTCCCATGTACAAAGGTTGTCAAAATTGCCGTTTATTCTTCCCCCAATGATAAACATAGTAAACTTTCTTTTCGGGTCTAGACACTAGCCAAATATAAATGTCTTCCAATTCCTACCCAGCTGTTCAACGCCATCACGCAACTCCCATCCTTTTACCTCGCATATTTTCCTGCATACATCTTCTAGGTACTGATCCATCTCTTCGCCTGCCGTATGCAGGTCGCTCTCTACCAGTATGCGATCATCGGGTATAGCTCGGATCGCCTCCTCGGCCTTGTCCCCGCCCCCTGTTGCCCAATTTATCACGATTGAGAAAGAGAAGAAGATCTTCGCCGGTACAGAGGGATGAAGATACTGTTTGACAACCTCAGCTGGACCGCTAAAGGAATGCACACAGATTCGTGGGGGGTAAGGCTTCGGTCCCTTCTTGGGTTTCTCTTTCTTCGTGCTGGGCTCAACGGTATAGTCCTCATCGATCTCGTCTTCAGATGAGCTAGAGAAGTCCTCTGCTCCTTCAGCAATTCTTCTCTTATCTCTTCTTGACATTACCGGTTTCTCGTGTCCTTTCCATAGCTGAGAGATTGTTTCATAAAGCACGCCGTGCGCCTGGACTCCGTGAACACTAACCGCACGACCCATCTCACCTGCTAACCGTAGTTGAGCTTGGAGGATCATGGCCTGGTGTGCCATTTGTACTCGATGAGGGCTTAAGGCCCTACCCTCCCGGCCTCCAGGTGTAAGCCCTTCGTTGTGATGAGCCTTGTTTGTCGAAGTCCAACTTTGAGGAAGTCGAAATGCTTTATCTAAACCAACTTCGCCAACGAGAGATATGGGATGCTTCTCTAACCGAGACTTGGTTTCACGTAGGAATTCAGACAGTGGCTGCGGATCTGGAAGTCCTTCGCTGAAAGACACATCTTTTGACGAAGGTGACGGGACTAATATTTTATCATAGTATGATATTTTACCAGATGAGGTTCCATCATATGTTAAATCGGAAGAGAGGTCGTCATAGATCTGGTAGGAGAACCAAGGATGCCATCCAAAGCAAGGAATTAAGCGGGTTTCGCCAGAAGAGCGCGGTGTAACCGCTATTTCGTCGTCTTCAACCTTGTAGCGAGAAGCTACATCAGATACGAGGTCCTGATCTTGGGATCTCGTAGACATCACAGTTAAAGCACGTGCTTTCATATGTGGTATACTTGCTATTGACGCCATTGTATCGGTAGGGTGGCAGTGAGCATCGAAGACCCCAGCATCCCAAGGGAATGGTTCGAGGGAAACCCCTGGTTTGCTATAAGATACCGGTGCCTTCGAAGCAGAGGGCTCTGGCTTCTCTGAATGATATTGACACATTGCGTCCAATCAATTTGAATAATTACTTAACAATCGGTTTAAGATATTCAGGGGGCCTCTACACGAATATGTCCGCGTAAAGTTGCCCTATTAGTCGGCGAATTCTGACGGCTGAGACCGATGCCGAAACAGATCAAGATTTTTGGTCTCCGGAGCACGCAATTATGAGAAATGACGCTCGTCGAAATTTGGAGTCAGTTATGAAGACCTCTAAATCTGCCTTCGATAGAATACTGCGCATTGCAGGGCTATGTGAGGGTCAGTATCTAGGTACTCATGATAGAATCTGATCGAACTACAATGTACAGATAATGTACAAGGTAGTAGGAGCTGAAGGAGTTATGACTCACATGAGGAGACTGCAGTAGTAAGCCGCTAATTGGCTAACTGGATACTCCTAAATATACGAATTTTGGGGTACATATGTACGTCTCCTAATAGCTTGACTCTGCGATGGTCTTCGCCAATCGATGTGTCGATTCAATTATCTACTAGGTGTTGGTACAATGATTGGTGGTTTCAAATTAGACAGAGCCTACCTAAATCTAGTGACGTCAGAGATTACCGCCGCCTTAATTGCTCTTTCCCTTCAAGTGCTCCGGATAATTCCAGCTATTAATGCATTGATCCATACGATACTCCACAGCTCCGTAGAGCCGGGGCACAACGGCTCCGACGGGAAGGTAGGACGGACTAGTGCCGATCCATTGCCTAGGTAATTGCTAGGAACTGTAAATTGAGGAGCTGTTAGTTTTCATTCTTCGCCTTATCAGAATATCAGCACTGAGCACTTTTTTCGCAATGACTGGGCATTCCCAATTCCCTCATATTAGGTAAAATGAATTTACATATTTGTGACATGCTTGGCTGATAACAAAGATCTCGCCACCCGGTAGCCCCTCATTCCCTCAGAATAATACTGGCTGCTAAAAATACTACGATACTATTATTCCGCCTAGGTCTCGACATGTGAAAGCTATTCTGTGCTATTGGAGCTTTCGGGATCGAAGACGTCGAGACAGAGTTTGTTACAACACACCCTTTCAACGTCGAGGCCATGGATATAGTGCCTTAGCTTCGAGTTTCTTCGTGCTCAATTATATCTTTCGCGCCGCCTCCAATCTCTCCTCTTCTCGTGTTACCGTCAGCCGGCACTTAAAACTATCATTTTCTTTCCCTTCAACACTAAAGTCGAATGTAATAGGGACAATCAGGTAGTCCTAAACATTCGATGACCATGTGAACCGACAAGCTTGTCGATTCATTGACCAGCCTTTGAGTGATGCAAATAGTACTGTCTTAACGGACAATTCGGGGACTTCCGATGGCACTCTTCAATCCTTTTCAAGTCGTCATATTTCCATTTCTCTTCCTCGTCGCTCTTCCGCTCGCCCTATGCGCCGGGCTCACGACCATCCTAGCTTTTATGGTCTTATTCCTGCGTCTATTTCTCGTTTACTTTGATGTTGGGCTAGAAACCGTGCGCTATATATTGGTTGGTCATGCCGCGCATACCCGTTCTGTAACAGCACGACAGGCTTCTTCGATCCCGCAGCCACTCCCGCTAGACCATTCTTTATCATCCTCGCCGGAGCCCCGGCATCGTCGTCGACGTAAGACACAGGGTAGCACTAGCAGTGGTTCTATCACGCCCGTTAATAGTCTCGATGGATTTGCTCTAACACCCACCATTGGTGTAGAGAGGGATTTCGAGGGAGTAGGTGGATGGAGATTAGACAGCGTGGACGTGGACGCCGATGCTGCCGACGATCGCCAATGGTACAATCTTAACTCGCGACTTGATCTATTGGACCGTCGTCATCATTTCAGATCACAAAGTGGAGGTGCTGTGTCAGGAACAAATGGGCTAGGTCTTTATGTGAAAGGCCCCAACACGAGCGCAGCTTTCAACTCAGAGGGACCAAGAATATACACGTCGCCTAACAGTTCGAGGTCAAGGACACCAACGAGTAGCAGGCCACGCGGCTTTACGAAACTTGATGGGGATGAGTATTTCCCAACGCTGGAAGGGAAATATATGAAGAATGGTCGAGTGTAGGATAAAACGAATAAATGCAGGAGAATGCTTTTTGTGATCATTATGTTGCCTGATAAGGAGTATTTGGTTGGTACTTGATTGTAGGACAGTGTATCATTGGGTTAGCGTCGAGGTTTCTTGGGTACGTATATCGGATTCAGGAGTGTGGTCAAGGTCAAAACTTATGAACAATGGTTGGGTTTGTTTAAGGGGTTCAAAACACTGACATCGCATTTAAGATGATCTTGGCAATGAAGTTGATTTCTGGAGATAGTTATCCTGAAATTTGAAACAGTGGTATTCTAACAACAAAAGACGCCTAACGCCGTGCGGTAATCTCGATAACGTTGATCTCATACTATTCCAGGTGAGCCTCGGTATAGCTCTAGCCCTAGAGTGTTTGCCAGAAATAGTTGGCATAGAAGTAACGTGAGAACTTCTTATCCATGTTTATAACATGAACATCGCCCTTGCGATCGTTACGCACAATGGCTCTAGAGAACTCGCCGTCCTTCTCGTCTCTTTCTAGGTCGATACCTAGACTTCGATACACTTTCAGGCGTAACAAAACTTCATCGTCGACTGGATCTCTTCGATTAGCCGCATCGTCCGGCGATCCTTCTAACCCCTGTATTTCTAGCTCTTGCAGTCGTGCGGCTAGATCAGCTTGTTGTGAAGATAGACGTTCGGCTTCCATCTCTAAGTCAGACACTGCTTTGGCGATACGGAACTTCTGCGTGTCGAGGCGCGAGATCTCGGATGAATGAGCGGATGATGAATGTGTCGACGTAAGCTCTTCATGTTGTGTGTGAAGGGTGTTGAGGGAACGGCCAAGCTCTAGATTTCCACGTGTCAATGAAGACTAGGAAGGTTTAATTGGGCACGATTCGATATCATACTCTTTAGGGAAGATTCGGCTTCTCTGACTCGCAACTCTCGTGCCTGCTTTAAGGTAGAAAGCGAGTCGCCAATGCGCGAGACAGCAAGCTTGTCGGGTGCAATGTTAAAGTTGTTGATTGTGTGGTGGATGAGCTGAATGTTGTTAGCAATTGAAGGAAAGGATGTAAAGGAATACCATACAGAAGCGGGATCCTCGTCGAGCAGCATTGTGATGGGGAATATATCAAATTAGTTTCGAAATAATTCAATAATCTGATGCTACTGTATAAATCTCAGTGTGTCGATACTCGGGTGATTCGAAATGCTTTGTTTTTTGTGAAGTAATTTGTCGATTGATTCGCGACCAAATGGAGTAGTGAACAAAACAAACCGGGGTATCACCAGGACGACTGATAAGATAGAGAGGTTTGCGACTGCCCGCCCTAAAATGGCCATGCGCACACGGCGTACCCGCAGACCCACATTCAACCAAGGTTAAACATTTAAAGCGTTCTGCGTCATCCGGCGCCACATTTGGACCACTGACTAACAGGTGACGACTTGAGAGCTCCCGCCACAATTCGGATCCCGCACCAACTCTCTATCGTCGCTGGAACATTCCGAGGTCATCTTATCTTTTACTTAAGCGCTGCCTGTCTACCTAGCGAGGTAAGAGACCTACAGACGAATTGTCGACCTAATAGTATATAATCTGTTCACTCAGCACTTCTTCACCTATAGAGCATACCACGAACCTAAGCTTGAGTAATTAAATTTTTTGTCAATATCGGCAAGATGACGGCGCTGCCTTGTACGTATACTTGTCCAGGTCTCACTTTTAAGTAGCGCGGGGGATAATGAACAAAGACGTACTAACCATTCTGATTTACTTTCTTTTAGATGCCGTGGACGCGGAAACGTATGACTTCCTCCGCAAACCTTTCGCCCCGATATGTCGACTAACCATTTTTCGAATAGATCGCTGAGGGAAGCGGAGTTGGAAACTTTGCGAACGCAGTATGATAAAGAGGGTGATATGGCCGGTATTCAGACAAAATTCAACTATGCATGGGTGAGTTCGGTTTGCGCTATCCGTCGGGAGATGTGCATTACAATATGGTTATCGACAAAATGCTCATCATCTGCTGCAGGGCCTAATCAAGTCCAACAAACGAAGCGATCAACAGCTAGGAGTGCGTCTACTTTCAGAAATATTTCGAGTCTCGCCTGACCGTCGCCGTGAATGTCTCTACTATTTGGCATTAGCCAACTACAAGCTCGGGAACTATGGAGAGGCAAGGCGCTACAATGATTTGTTGTTGGATAAGGAACCGGCCAATCACCAGGCGATGGACCTCCGTAGATTGATCGATGACAAAGTAACGAAAGAGGGTCTGATGGGCGTTGCGATCATAAGTGGTGTCGCCATTGCTGCCGGTGTGGTTGGTGGGATTCTATTCCGAGGCAAGAAGCGGTAGAAAAGGAGATATGAATTTCCAGAAAGGAAGCCACGCGCTAGGTAAACTCCTGTGGGAGGCTTCTGAGCCTAGGTCGAATGAAAACAATGGCCTTGCACCGGTTGACATCGGAGGAACATCTATCATTTGTCTTGAGGGTAGATGATGCATTCCGGGATGGTTGGCACATCGGAACGGTTCTACAGAAGCACTGGGTTAGAATCATGGGTTACAGCGTTAGGTCTCGGCGTGAATACCATGTAATAATACACAGAAGCCACTCGATTCTACGTCAGGTAGGAATACGAAATTCATCAACTGAGATAGGGGTGACTTAGTGACATATATTGTACATACTTAACTAGTAGTATTCATAGAGGTATCCATATGGATCTGGCAAAACAAAACATGATTGTATGGTATTACTTCGTATTAGTGTAGCCAACACTGTTACTCATACTGGGCAACTCTAGGTGCCTACCGGTCCTATTAAACACATACTCAAGTTCGGATGAATTTACGCTTAGTGGAAATTTAACCCACCTACAGAGCCCGAGCCTACCCTGGTCCACTAGCTGATGCACCTAAATTATTATGTAACAGAGTTCATCAGGTACCTACCCTTGAACCTACAGCGTAGATTGCCCCGCGGCGTAAGGGTGACCCACCTGTCCTTACCTTACTTAAGTACCTCCAGCTTACAACTCCATCGATGCTGGAAATGACGAAAGCAACTCTGCCTCTACATGTAGAAGCTTAGATGCGCACCAAACTACAAAGAAGCCTTCCACCCTTTTTACGTCGATATATGTAGTATTTAATATTTTCTTAGCATCCTGAAGATTACATCCCGAAAATTAAAAACTCCAATCACTTCGAAGTTTGACAATAAAGCTGGGTACGCTTAGGTATTCCACATGGACTTCGGATCTCAGAACTTCCATTGGATTCCGATCTCAGCAATCATTCGCCCAGTTCGCCGAGCTTTCCTTTTGGCGAACATACCCTCAAATCACTACAAACCAGCCTATCAATACGGCTTGTACGGGGTTCTACCGTCGTAATTAAGCGTAGCACCGTATTGCAAGGTGCGCCCACAGTAGTTTGTTCCGTATGATAAATCTGCTGACTGATAATACCAGTTGTCGCAAGCCTACTTCTTTACACCACTTCTGGAATCCGCCTTGCCGGATATTCGACCAACCCTACATTAAGGCTGCATGCATTCTAACCTCACAGATATCACCCCCGCGTCAGCCTTATCAACTTCACCACATCCATCCATCATTTTCGCTGCCGTTCACATAGGCGCCAACCCGCCTCGATCCGGCTTCTTTAGTACGGTCACCTTACACAACCCGACTTGCCCGACCGTCGTTCCCCTCGTCTCATAATTGAATTCGCACTCTGGCTTTCCGCGCAATTCGAGCAACTGGCCTAGCTATTGGCCTAGGACTCACTGCCCTTGCCGCTTATCGACAGTCTAGGCAAGGCCAGATGGCGTCTAGAAACACCCATCTCGACGCGACTGTCGGGAGAGAAGTAGTATTTTGCCATAACTGCCGACATGAATGGTACCGGGATGAGCGCCCAGATGCTTTAGATTGTCCTAGGTGCCGGAGTGATATTATAGAGATAGTACGTTGTTTGCTGTAAACTATTCTTACTATATCATCATTACTTACTCACTATTGATTAGGTTGAAGTCGAACATGACCCCCGAATTATGGACGATGACCGTTCGTTGCCAGATTTAGATCATCTTCGACTTCGCCATCACCATCACCGCACCCTCGACTCCGACGATGAAGATGACGATGACTTAGAGGAGAACATATTACATGGCCCTGGTGGCTTTTTTAGCCATCGAACTATATACCGATCACCTGAGCGCCAAAGTACAGGAAATGGATCGCGCGCAGCTCCCGAGAATACCGAGCAGATAATCCGTACATTCACCGAATTATTAGGAAATATAGGAGGACCTAACATGCGATCTGGCCCAGATACCGTATTCTCTAGCCCTCCTCAACGAGTCACTTTTCAAAGGATATCTGGTCCTGGCTTTCAAGGTGGCATGAGTAGCATTACCTTCAGCAGTACTTCTGCGCGAAATCGTGCTGATCCGGGCCAAGGAGGCATAATGGGTCGCGATGATCCATTTCGAAGGTACGATTCACTCTTTTTCTTCCTGTGACTTTTTTGCCAACTATAACTAACATGGGATGCAGAGTTTTTGGAGACATTATGGGAGACATGGGTCCTCCAACCGTGGATCGCGATGATCCTAATTCTACGAATCAGAATGGTGATGGTAATGGCAATGTCCGCCCACAGGCGGATTTCTCTTTAGCCTTGAGCCAACTAATAGCAAGTCTCATTAACCCCCAAATGGTCCATGGTGACGCTGTTTACTCGCAAGAGGCGCTGGATCGTATTATTACAAATTTAATGGACTCAAATCCTCAGTCAAATGCACCAGCCCCTGCCTCAGATGAATCTATTGCAGGGTTACCGAGGAAAAAGCTGGATGAGGCAATGCTAGGGCCTGAGTTAAAGGGTGAATGTACGATCTGTATCGACGAGATGACGGTGGGCGACGAGGCAGTCGTGTTACCATGTAGGCATTGGTTTCACGAGCAATGCGTCACCTTATGGCTGAAACAGCACAATACCTGTCCTATCTGTCGAGCAGCTATCGATGGTGAGGCTGCTGGTCGTCCCAACGAGGCTGTCCCGCCTACACAGCCTGGTCCATCCGGCATTCCATCTCATTACAGAAGATCTGCACCGACACCCCCGGGTCGTGTGCGATCCGACCTGAGTACTTTTTCTAGCCGGCAGCAATCAGCTCGACGAGACTCGAACTCCCCTCCCACGTATTCGGGATCATCGCAACCTAATAGAGCTAGAAGCCCTTCTCCTAGTCGTCGTTCAGCGCAGAGTGACAGAGCCCGTGATGCTAGAGGCTCTTCTGGCGGTCCCTTTAACTGGATTAGAGACCAATTTCGAGGAGACAGACGTTGATGAGTGTGATTCTTACCCTGGTTTACCTAGCCCGATCGACCTATACTATGCCTACGTAGCCATACTAAAAGTCGGCGGCATATCAAGTGACAGAACACATATTTGACGGAAACCTTCAGGTCAACGGAATCATAATGTCATGGTTCTGTTACGCACATAATCACCCTCTTTACTTACGGTATTGGCGTGTCTGACGGATTGGTTATGGATTTATGGTGAACCATGATCTTATATCACGGCACTACCTCCATTCAACCTATGATCTTTTAACTAGGCATACCTCACCGCCTGACATTAAACGGATAGTTAAAGCGTATTTGGAAGTTGTGAGATGAATACAACGGGCAGGGGGAGAAAACGACATGAGCTTGTCCACACAGCTCAAGGTATTGAAAATGGAGTTGAGGAAATTCGCGGTTGATAGATCTCCATGTCCTGATGAATATGAACTCTTACGATGGATTGACGAATGTTCGCTCTGGACTTTTGGTAGTATACCGTGAAATAGCCATGTAGTCTCACAGCCCTGAATGACTACTTACCTAAGTATGCTACTTCCTTTCTACGAGTCATTGGAAGACAATACTGCTATCTCAGTAGCTAATTTCCTATAGGCATTAGTTTGAATAGAAGCCAGTGGTGGCCTATTCAAGGTTTGAAAGAAATCGTTCGTATGCACAGGTACATGATGAAAAGTATCATGCTCAAATAACGAACAAGGCCTTAGTTTATTGAGACCCTTTACGTCATACGAGCAAGTTCTTTCTTCGGTCACGAACACTATCAATGTGAAGCAACATATAAGATAGTCTCCTATGGACGGGTCGAAATCTACAAAGGCCCCATTTTTGCGAGTAATAGGGGGTAGAGGAGTTATCACTCTCCTGTGTACCTACTTGACCTCTTTTTACTCGTTTATCTCATTCACTGATATTTTCACGTTTTCTTATTAAATATATATTTAACAGGCATATAATAGATTTAATACTCGACTCCTATTTAAAACGGAACTTGAGAGGTAGTAGTCCAAATGTAACTGCTAACCACCAACAGGTATCCGAAACAAAACTAATAAACATAACTTACCAGTAAACAGCTGGGTAAACAGAACTAAACAGCTTAAAACATGATCAAAGAGTAACTCACCTACCCCAACGCCCGGAAATCAACTCACACACTTAACTCACCGCCGACACAGCTGCCGATAAGGCTGCGCAAAAATCCTCACCGTCAAGGGAACCCACGTGTCGACCACGAAATCCAACTCACTCCCAGCCCCGTACCGATGCGGGCTCTTATAAAAGTACCCCGCCCCCGACAGGAAATAGTACGCCCCGTTATACATCATCAGCCGCACCACCAGCCCCTCGGCCAACCGTCTCCGATGCCCCGGGCGATCGATATGCGCGCCTTCAATCGCGGCGAGTAAATAGATCTGCGCGTCGGGCAACCGCTCCCGCCGCTCAAGCGCGTGTCGCGATTGCTGCCGGATCACGGCCGCTTGTCCATGTGCCCGACCTGCGGTCACTTGGTTCGCGAAGTCCCGCTCGGCGCGCCGGTGTTGCCGCGCGAGACGCCGTGCTTGTCGTGCGGCGGCGCGTTCGCGCGCGATGCGTCGCCGGTCGAGGCCGAAGAAGTGCGCGAGGGTGCGCGCGGCGCGGGTTGCGCGGGTGACGCTGTGGGAGGCGCGGGTGCGTGAGCGGGAGTTGGATTGTCGGGATCTGGCCATGTTAGCGGTTTAGGGTGATGGGTAATGTGGTGTTTGGGAGTACGTACGGTTGTTCTAGGTGATAATAAGGTTGTTTGGTGGTTATTGGGTTGGTAACTAAGGATAGTTTGGTACTATGCTGGTAGAGAAAGCGAGAGAGATGATTATTGGGGGGGTTGTCGTCGCGGTTTTATAGTTGAGTGGAAGAGGATACAATGAGGTTGTGTTGAGGCACTATACGATTGTTTTTTGGAAAGGGGGTGCTGTTTTTGGATACAGTGGGCTTGAAAGGTGGTTGTTTGGGGACAGTGAGGATAGGGTAGTTTGGAAACTCGATGGTTGTGTAGATATAGATCCCATTGTTGCCGAACAGAGACTCTAATCTCCATATGATGATGGTAGCTTGGGAGAATTTCTGCCTATGGGATATCAGCCCCTATTTGTTGGGAAGATGAGCTACTCCGGGCGAGAAACGGCGATGACGACGGGATAGATCTGCTAATTTTCATCAGCATGCTTTACGTTCCTATATGAAATGTATAATCTTCACTTAAGGGAAACATATGCACGGGGTGATCTATACGAAATTGAGTAGGGGATATCAACATTCACATTGAAATATACGTTGTCTGCAATGTTTATTCGGAGTGCTCAAAAGCGACTCTTTAGAGCCCGCATGAGAAACTTTGAAGCGACCTGCGCTTGAGTCTCAATGGCGAAGCTTTTTACTTCTTAGGCTTCGCAGGAATCTTGATCGGGGTACTACGTTCAACGTTCGTACTTCCACCATACCCGCCGCCCTTCTTCTTAACAGGAGAAGGACCCGGGGGAGGATTTCTGTGGGCTTCTACGTAGGAAGTTTCGCTACCGACCACGGGGGCCCACGACTCATACTGGTTTGGAACAGAAGGCATCTTGTGTAAATGGTGCTGTGATAGTGATTTGGCTTGTATGGTCTCTTGGTGAATGGTATTATCAAAGATGGAGGTGTTGGTAAGGTAGGTATGCACGGAATTTGTGGATTTGGTTTACAGTGTTTCGTCAATAACATGCTTGACTTGTCGTATAAATATTTACATCTCGTTAGACAATTCTATTGTTTCTTAATAATATTGTTATGAACAAAAATATTAATCCGTACGTATTGAAAGACTAAGTAGTTTACAGTAGATGAACTACTTCATAAAGAGAAGAGGCTCAGCATTCTGCCTATATCAAACTAGACGAACAAGTTTAACTACGTGACGTAGTAGACATCCTACTGCATTTATCTAGGCACCTACCTGCCTATCAAGGTACCGATGAAATAATTCCTCTAAAACTTTCATGATAGTCGTTAAGCGGACTAGTAGCTATGGCGAGCCCGCAATTCATTAATTTCAAGGTTATCTTAAAGCAAGTTATAAAGATACGGGCAATTCAACGTTCATACCTAACGAGATTCAAAACTGAGCTAGAGCCCACAAGGTGTGATTCTGGCACGAGTATCGTAAAGTAAGTATCTACTTATACGACTCAACTTAAGCTGATATATTACTTGACTATGTGTATCCAGCACCTAGGACCACCGGAGATAACCTTCCAGACTCTTTGTCGCATATACGAAGTGAAACAGCGTGATACTGATAATATTTTAGGAGAGGGAAGAAGGGGAAAAGGGGTAAGGACGTTTGATGACCTACATAGACGGTATGGCTACGGGGAAAGGTCCTTACCCCTACCTTGTATTGACTTGATATTGGACATATGTTTTATTGAGCTTTCTTATTGACTTGGCATACATATATCTCTCATACTCTGCGTCTAGTACAAAGCACCTACAGCTTATATTGCTTGTTAAGCAATTAACCCCTAAACCCGCGCAACCTTAAGCAACTTTAACTCAAATATTGATGGGTTAAGTGCTGACAACATTAAGCCATTATGTAATTCATCGACATATGGCTAAGATTTGATATTCCATTTTCTATAAATATGAATCACGGTCTTGTAGTCTCACCCGGATCTCCATCAGATGTGTAATCGGACGACATCTCGGGACGCCGGCAAGACTTGCATTGGTAGGAATTACGAGGACGAGGCCTAGTAAGCTCATGCCGGTGGGATGTTTCCGGTGAGAGATATTGCTACCTTTTGGAGATCTAGAGGAGTCTCTGGAATCCTTGAGATATATCTCGTTGAATCTGACTGCCTCGTACAGTCTCTAGGAGCCAGGCATTCACGGTACATTCTAACTCCGGATTGCTGCTTTATGACGCTGCTTTGTAAACATTAATTACCAAACCGTTTTCTGTCGGTCGAGCGTGAGCAGGTGAGAAGAAGATGCATGAAGCTATCAAAGGATAGGGTTGTCCCGGGCTTATGTGGGAAGATATCGATACAATTCTTGATACTGCTTGCGTAATCGTATAGTTGAAAACAAGGGTGGAGGCTGAGATGGTTTCGAATTCCCCCACTCCAGAGCGACCAAGGCTGCACGTAACTGACGTCAGCATGGGAAGATTAGATGTATGAGAAATAAACTCCAGATCTCCTAGCTCTAATGGTATCTTTCGATGTTGATCGATCGTGGGTAAGCTCAACCGTCTTCGGATATCGGCGGCGGTGTTTACAGGCTGACTACCCCGGACGCGCGTGAAACAACGGTTGCAGCCCAACGAGGCATTTCACACCCCATATATTGAGTTACTACCTCGGTACTTTTCTCTTCAGCCGACAATAGTCCTTGATCGTCAGATATGATAGACTTCTACCCGTTCACAGGTTCACCGTCTTACTTGCATGTCCTAGAGCATGGATCGCGAGTTAGCTTCCGATAAAAGAGAGCTTAATGCAATGTACGTGTCATATTTTAGTCGGAAACTAATGACAGGGATCCGACGCGCTGGGTTCTAGTGTTTCTACCATAATAATCCTCCTGTACCGAAAACCGATGGAACCATACGCCGGAGTCTTGCTTCCTTAGTAACAAGGGTTGAGGATGTGAGATTGCGCTATCGTTATTCGGTACTAGGGTCCAGCCCGGTGCTCTGGGCCACGACTGCATAGATCGCTCTTGAGTTCATATACAGGGTTGTCATCAAAGTCCTCGTAAGCCATAGGTGGAGGATACGGCTGCGGGAAGGTTCTAGTCTTGTATGGATGATATGCAACGAAGGTCGATCCGTTGGAGATGGTATCTGTGGCGTCTTCTAGGCTGCATTGTTTACGATGTCGAATGGGTCGAACAATTCAGGGGTAGATGGCCTATGATAATCCGGCCTAGATTCTCGTAGCAAGTTTGCAAAACTTGAGACGCATATCAAATACATATGTATCATGTAGAAATCGAACATAAACTTGTTTGGTTCGCTGACAACCTTGAAAAGTCCTACAGCATGGTTCCTCTTGATGGTGTATCTGCGTAGCGTTGATGGCCATTTTAATGTTAATCTAGACACTAGAGAATAAAATAGGGTTAATAAGATTGTTGAGTTGGGCGCCACTCAACCCTACCTGGGCTTAACTCAAATCGCCGAAGTCGCTGGTATCAGCCGTACCAGATGTGCAATTTCCACATGTCCTTTGAAGACCTTACGCTAGCAATTCCAGCTGCTAATCCAGTTGTTCACCGCTATCGTGGCAAATACTGTTGTGTCCCAAGTCGTTTCTCATCTACTTGCCCGGTATCAGTGTGTTCCGAACTAGGAAGATAGCTAAGAAAGAGACAGTGTCGATGTAAGGGAAGATAGATATCTGGGGGGGCGCGGTCTGAACTGAGGTCGTAACATCACGCATCACGGGAAGCATAGCGTGGTTACACAACGGCGTAATTTCGCATTTCTAGTCATTCGCAAGGCGTAACTGGCTACCAGGATAGGTACCTGTACAGCACTAGCGAGTGGGCAGCTGTCTGACATCGAAAGACCGAGCCTGCGAACGCGAGCTTCCGTTAAGACGAGATCGCGTGGCGGCGGACCTGCCCCGGCGAATTAGTTAAAATTGATGACCTTAAGGACGGTGAGTAGCTCATTGCGATGGCCGGGCTGGGCAAGTAGTTGTATGCAACTATGTTATGTCGCGACGGCAAATACTAAATCTTGGAAACTCCGCTTTATATTGAAAGTGACGTTAAGTTGTGCTCGATGGTAACATAATGCGATCAATTAAAGAGCGTCGATACTGTATCAGAGTCAATGGATAAGTTGTCCGGCAACATAACATTGGTGTTTTGTTTTTAGAATGCTGAATAACGGGAAGGATGATATTGATTCGTCAAGACGACCCTGTTGACTAAACATGAGAATGCATAGTTCGGTGCCATGACAGGCCAGAATGGACAGTCTGTCTGCGACATGCTTATGCCGGATTACCACTTATATGTGCGCCCTACCATGGGGACGTCTTACCGTCCCTATACCAGATCCTCGGGACGAAGTCTTTTGTTCCTTTAGCGCTTAGTACCTGCCAAGCCAAGCCATAGAACATTACTACAATCGAGAAACTGGGCGGGGTTTGACTTAGCTGACAATCGGTAGCAAAACCCGTCTGCTAAGAAGCACGCGAGGAAATTCTGGAAAAGAATAAACTAGGCTGTGCCTGTCAGATCTAACGGTTCCCGCATAAGTGTCCGCCGGTCTGGTAGGTCTGGCAGACCTGGCAGGCCTGGGAATATTCATGACATGCATACATGTTTAACGTCGCAACGGAGACTCCCTCGTGGCTCATCTCAACGGCAGACGGGGCCGAGAAAGTCAGATGAGCACGGTGGTTGGATGTCTCTACGCCGTGCTATAGGAGTCTTACTAACCATCTTAATAAGTGGTCAGAACTCAAGTCGTAAACTTGAATAGCTAACCAGCCAACCAAGGCTCACCTCTCACATTACGACGCCGTAAAAGTGCTTGACGTAATAAGTTGTTCTAGACAAGGTCAGCATGGATGACAGTGATCGACCCCAAGGATTGGGTCGTCGGATTCTGGGGGTTGGATGTATTGTAAGTTGGGGTCCGCCTAGAGTTACCTAACTTGATAAGGGGGTCGTAGATGAATTAAATGAGCTATGTCCCTATTCGCGGTGTTGGATATTCTAAGTGATTCCATGACTTGGAGAAGACATTTCGACAACTCGACAACAATGACGATGTATTCAAGTATGAGTATTGACGACGAATGATAATCGGTCTCCTGACTTAATTCGGGATACCAAATATAATCTGATCAGTCATGCAGCTGCGGTGTACGTAAACTGACAGACACCATACATGAAAAAAGATCGGGCGGAGAGGCGGCGCAAATTGAATGTTAATCTTCATCAGTCAGCGCGCGTTTTCGGCATTTATAATCACAGCACGCGTGCTTGCATGGTTCATGGTTCATGCCGTAGTCCGACTGCCAATCCATCAAAGTAACTTGGAACTAGGCAGTAGGCAGTAGGCAACTGGAGCAACTAAAGCAACTACGCACCTGGCCGCCTCCTTAGCCCTCCTTAGCCCTCCTTACCATCCTTCCCACTTCCCACTTCCCTACTCCGCGGGTGACCCCTGCCAACGCTACGGCACTTAAAGAGCTTAGTTGGACCGCTTTGCGGGGGTTGACTGCATACAGCGTATCTCTCAATCGCTGGATCGTACAGTACAATAGCTAGCGCTGAAAGTTACTTTCATTAGCTCGATACTTCAATACTTCATACAATACATTCACCGACATGGTGGACACTGGACACATTGGTGGACATGGTGCGGAACCCTCGAGATAAACCTACCTCAATGATACTTGGACATGTAACTTATTACCTGCTGGACGTGAATATATTGGCTTTCACGCATACCTACTAGGCACCCAGGTGGATACATCATATACGAATTAGCAACTTTCCCATGTCATGCATGCACCGGTCAGTCGTGACGTGATGCTGAAGAGCTGCAGCGACGAGTGAGTCAGTATTTTGAAGGTAAGTGAGTGAGCGAAGGCACGCAGCCACGATAGCTGTAGGCTGATTAAGGGGGGGACATATGTATGCATCTTCTGTGTTGTAACTTACAATGTCGTAACCTCGAACTTGTAAGGCCATGTAGGGCCATGGATGTATGGCTGTGTAGGTACCGCAGTGGCAATATATGGAATCTAAGAACGGTTTTTAGACCGAAAAACGGCTGGCCCATTAATAACGTTTCAGTTAGGGGACAACCGTTTTTGCCCTGACAATGGTTTTTTAATCGATAACGCTTTTTTAATTAACAACGCTTTTTTATTTCAACAACGTTTTTTTACTTTAATAATAATAATTTCATTTATTATTATATTTAAAGTTTATATAATTATATTTATATAAAATAATTATTACGAATTAAAAAATAAATAAATAAATAAATTAATTTAAATATTAATTTAACGCGATTAAATTATTAACTTATTTATTTATTTATTTATTATAAAAGGAAAATATAGTTTTCGAAAACGGTTATTTATTATTAAATAATTATTATTAAAAAAGAAATAACGGTTATTTTTAAAAAAATAATCGTTTTTAATTAAATAACGTTTTTCTTTAATTAATAACGTTTTTTTTAAGTTAATAACGTTTTTATTAATTTTATAATTATTTAAATTTTTATAACGATTATAAATAATAAATAAATATTTAAATATTTTTATAAAAAAATAAATTATTAAGTAATATTATTAAATTTAAAAATTATATAAAATTTAGAATTTTTTTTTTTAAAGTAATTAATTATTTTTCTTATATATAATTTTCATATATATATATATATTATAATAAGTTAATTTAATCTTATATTTTAATAAATTAATTTAATTTTATATTAAATTAATTTAAATTTACTTATATAAAATATTTATTTTTAATAAATTAAATTTAATAAAAATAAAATAAATTAATTTAAATAATTTATTTAAATAATTTTAAAAATAAATTTATTTAAATTAATTAATAAATAAGTAAATAAGTAAATAAATAAATTAATAATTTAATTACGTTAAATTAATATTTAAATTAATTTATTTATTTATTTTTTAATTCGTAATAATTATTTTATATAAATATAATTATGTAAATTTTAAATATAATAATAAATAAAATTATCGTTATTAAAGTAAAAAAACGTTATTAAAGTAAAAAAGTATTATTAAAATAAAAAAACGTTATTAAAATAAAAAAACATTATTAATTAAAAAAACGTTATTAATTAAAAAATTATTATTAAAATAAAAACGGTTATTTTTTAATTAAAACGTTATTAATAAATTAACCGTTTTTCAGTTTAATAATTATTTTTAAATTTTATATATTATTATTACGATATTTATTTATTAATTTAAATAAACTTATTTTTAAGGTTAAATTATTTAAATTAATTTATTTTTTATTAAATTTAATTTATTAAAAAAAACTTAAATTAATTTAACGCGATTTAATTAAATTAATTTTTAAAGTTAATATAAAATTAAATTAATTTATTATAATATATATATATAGAAGTTATATATAAAAGTTATATATAAAAAAAATAATTAATTACTTTAAAAAAAAAAATTCTAAGTTTTATATTATAACTTTTAAACTTTAATAATATTATTTAATAATTTATTTTTTTATAAAAATAATTTAAACGATTATAAAATCGATAAAAACGTTGTTAATAAAAAAACCATCGTTAATTAAAAAAAAGCGTTATTAACTTAAAAAAAACGTTGTTAACTAAAGAAAAACGTTGCTTAATTAAAAACGATTATTTCTTTAAAAATAACCGTTATTTCCCTTTTGATAACAGTTATCCAGCAGTAAATAACCGTTCTCGGAAACCATATTTTCCCTCTGTGGTAGGTTGGTATGTAGGTATTATATGGATGTATTATATGTACAATACAACAGCATTACGATACTATATGTACTAAAAGTTAAGGATTGTAACTAGGGGTGTCAACTGATCTTTCCCATATCCATTGGCCATTAAAATACCTTGCCTTTCTTATTATTCTTGCTCGAGTGCTTCCTCCAAACTCCAAGGACTACTACATAGTACGTAACTTGTAACTTTCAAGGTTCGTAACTAATTCCTTCCCATCTGAAATTTAACATTTGACACTTGACATTTGGCACTTGCCATTCGCCATTCAATGTTCGTCATTTTTCCAATTCCTCTCGATCCTCGTTCCCCATATTAATTTTTCCCTTTTACCTCGAAAGAGATAAGAGAAAAAAAAAGTCTTGGCTTCTCCCCTCCAACAGTCACTTTATGTTTCTTTATATCCATCCATTCCCATTTTCCACATCCGACCTTGTTCCAATTGAATAGGACTAGAAGGACGATCGGCCCTTATTCCCGGATGCGCCAACCTGCAGTTCTATGTTCAGCCTCAATTGAATCCTTCCGGCCGGGTTTGCATACGGTATAAATAGAGAGACACGAGCAACGCGCATGTCGTCATCGCAGCGCCCGACCGATTTGTCGTACGGCAGCGGAGGACGTTCTGGGAATTCTGCCAATTCTGTCAATTCTAATTGCAGTTCATCCAATTCCGCATTGTCGCCAATAGCCATCTTAACCCCGACTTCCGCGAGTACTCTTTACGCCTCTCCCGATTCGGCAAACGGCCAGCATTTCTTTGGTGCCAAGTCAGAACCCGAAGATGGCGACGGCGCCGGCAGCGGGGAGAGCGTCACCGCTATCCCTTCCTATGCCGAACCGCTCAAGAAGAAACAGAAACGCAACAAGCCAACGCTGTCATGCTATGAATGCGTCGAGCGAAAGACGAAGGCAAGTGCGCGCGCAAACCCCATGAATGCTTAATAATGCCATTTTCTTTTCATCTTCACTTTCATAATTCGGCAACAACGAGTACTAGGTATTGTGTCTAGCTAGCGCTAGATCTGTTAATCATTTGCAGTTGCGTCAGTATCACGTAGCACAGCGGGAGAAAAAACGTGGTAGTCCTTTTTTTAGACTCACTTAGCCATGTTTCGGAAGAGAAGAGCGGGAAGTGATGGGCAAATTGGGTACAGTGTTTGTTCTAAGAATTTGGCCCGTGTACAACAGCGACAGCAACATCAAGAAACGCTTTGCGTTACGGGGGTTCCAACGACATCATCTATCCACCAAATTGGAAATAATGCAACATGATTTAAAATGTTTTCTTATGTATATTAGCTACTACTAACACATACAATTGCGAGTTTAGTGCGATAGAGGTAGACCTCATTGTTTAGCATGTAAGTCAAGCCACCGTTTCAGCTCTTAATTATCAAATATTTATGAATCGTTTCCAGGCATAAAACGACAGACGGAATGCAAGTATGCGCACGTTGCGAATCTCCTTGAGTGAGTCGCTCTAGTCCGGAGGGGGTTCCGTTGAGGCGCGACTAAACAGTACCAGGGAGACATCTCGGTCGGCAACCAATGGCCGCAGGATGACGAAACCGCCGAAGAAGAAGGTGACGATGAACGGAATGAAGCCTTCGATTCCAAATATCGCAGAAAGAGGTATTCTCACCGGTCGCATCGCTTCTCGTGGGTCCGTAGCATTATCCACAGGACTCCTCTCTAACGTATCTTTATCCCACCCAACAGCATCAAATGTCTTTGGGATAGGCTCAGAACATCCATTTGCCAACTACTGGACTTGCGAAGGTGGGCTTCCGGAGGTGATTGGGGTACTCCCTGAGAAGCTGCAAGCCGACATTTTGTTAAGTCAATATTATGAATGCGTTGACCCCATCTATCCAATAATCGATCGGCGCACTTTCTACCTCGAGTACGAACATTTTTGGTCGCTCAGGGATTCGGAGAAGACCGACGCCGCCTTCGTAGGTCTGCTTTTCACCATGATGGCCCTAGGAACACAATTCGTTTCAACTACCAACCCTAAAGACCGTAAACAAACATCCGAATTCTATGCCTCGGCAGGCAATCAAGCCTTACGCATGTTCTCCTATCTGAATACTGCGTCTTTGCATTCTGTCCAAGCCATGGTATTGGTTGGCTACTTTCTAATAAACGATAACCATGCCTCGGATGGCTGGGCGTTTTCGGGCCTATTATGTATGTATATTCCAGACTTGACTATTGTCCCTTTATGGCCCTATTTGGTAGCACAGTGTTCCTCGTAATATTTCGTCCGAGAAGCCACATGCTCATTTAGCATGTCAGCGTTCCACGAAGATTTATACAGGAGACTTCCACAAATGGGGAATCGCTGACTCTTTGGTGTTGTAGTGAGACAAGCATATGCGATGGGCCTGCACAGAGACCCAAATATAGGTAGGAAAAAGCAATTGATCTTGGGTTGAAATTAAGCTGATGATAAAATCTGTCAGTCACACCAAATGCTAGCGAATTCGAAAAGCAGCAGCGGCGCAAGCTTTGGCAAGCCGTGCTTGTCCAGGATACATTTCTGACGGTCCTATTATCTCTACCTCCCAACGCTACGCATACTGATGTTAAAGTGGAAGATTTCCACGACGATCCAGCTGGATTTGGCGACGCAAGTCCCACTGACATAGCATATATCCGAGGTTCTTGGATGTTAGCAAATCTGGTTCAGGAAACCATCTCTAGTCCTCGGTCTCTCGATGTACCCATCTGCTCTACGCAAAGGCAGAAATCGAAACTTGTCGCCGACTTTCGCGCAGTGTACCGTTCATTTCCCGATGTCTTTCGGTCTTGGGATCAAGAGAGTATTGCACAGCTCGCATGCAGCAACAAACGTGTCGTTAGACAAACACTATTTTTGAGTAGTAACTACTATCATAATCTTATGCTAGTACATGCTTCCGAAAGCCCAGACGTCCCCGTTAACGTCAGAGCGACACTAGAAGCCGCACACGAGGCAATCACTTCATTCTTCGTGCTTTTTACACTTTTCGATACGGAAGCACGAGTGTGGTGGGTCTTCCACCATAGGGCGTTCTTAGAGGCGCTGTGCATAGGTGGCGTTTTACGGGAGGCCGGAAGAGATCCCGCTACTGCGGACCAATTTCTGAGAGATCCGTTGTTCGCAAGGGCGAAAGCGGACATAAGTACGTTTGACTCTTGACTTCCGGTGTTTATGTCTTAAATGCTGACAGTTCATAGCTCGCATGGTACAAATTATGAAGATAATGGCTGACGGTGAATATGGCTCGGATGATGCTAGGACAAGAGTAGCTGTCTTGAGCGAATTTCTGTAAATTACGATAATCTACGAGACCTTGTTAGATAATGGGCTTGTACATAACTTCATATGTACATTGATGATATTCTAGGTACATATGCGCTGGAGTTAACTGAGATGGGCTTGTAATTAGTTGCAGTGTTAAAATACTGGTTAGCATAAGATATCATTGATGTGTTTTTTTCTATACTTGGTTGGCCTGGTTCTAGCTAGGATCTAGGTACTAATTTCGTCTAAAAGCGAATGGTGTGGCAAGTCTTCACGAAGCTCAAACTTCCCTCTTCATAAACACTACTAACATTGAAGAAGGTTCACAATGCGACAATGGATCAAATCAATAATCGGATCTGGAGAATTCCACAGTCACTGCAGTCATATTATTCTAATATATGAATAAGTGGACAAAGAGCAAAACGACAAAAAGAAAAACGTACAACACCAGGGATTCGCTGGTCGTCACCGACCCAACTACTGATCCGGCGGTATCTGGCTTGTCCAGGGGAGAGCGGACGGGATCCCGAATTTTCCAGGTCCTATGGTCGTACGTGGAAGGATAGCTCATTACTTTTCTCTATAAGGCGGAGACTTGGAACTAGCACTGATAAATGATGGCGATTGGCAACAATGAGAATCCCTATTTTAGGGGTATAGTTTCACCAACTGCTGTGGAAGTGCTGTGTCTTACTTAATGCGTGTATGACTGCGTCCGAAGACACAGGACTCGTGAGGATGTTGGCGACATGTCAATTTGAATGAAGTCAAGCTTGTGATTTCCGCTGTAGATAAAAGGGGCTAGGACAGGTGATGCGATTTGACATTGACACAATAAACTTGCATCTATAAGACGAAAGGGGTGTCATACTCAAAAAAGGATCGAAGCTGCGGTGGTGGTGGTAACATAAACGTTTATGTGTAACGCTATAGGTTCCACGGCGTCAAGTTGTTAGTTGATTTAATGTCATGTTAGCCATTGGAATGAAAAAAAAATCAGACGGGTTTTAAGCCGAGAGTTGCATTTACTTGCCACCAAACCTACCTAGTATAGGCACCTATATATACACGCAAAGGAGTAGTAGAACCCCATCCCACTAACTATCATGACTTGGTATTATTCTTGTATCTCGACATAGTGCTTACGGCTTCCAATATGCGGGACTAGGCGATCCGTATGGCGTAATATCTATCATCTACGTGTGCTTTTTAGTTACATTAGATTAATTACTAGGGATCATCATGAGCTTGCAGTCAGCGCGCCAACAAGCAATGGCAAACCACTAGAGACTATAGCGGGTGAGAGCGGCCTTGTGATACATACCTACCTACCCAGCAACTAGCTCCAAGCCGACATCTCAGTTGATAGTAACACACGGCCCTCGCCAAGGTGATACAGGAAATCGACCGACCTCCACCCACCTACAGCCATGATGTCGTTGTAGAATTAACTAACTGCATGACTCCCGCACTCCCGCCCATCCACAAACACCAGCCCAAGTCTGACGTGCGCAACCAAACATGTTTCTCTGTCTAATCCTACCTCAACGAGGCGCGGTTCGGACCCGAACACTCGCTGGCTGTGCCTCCTCCAAATCATCACGCCACCCGGCCCGGCCGGGACGTCTGAGGCATTAACAAGCAGTCGTACCTTCCGCCGGGAGACCCGCCAACTTACCCCTTTTCTCGGCGCGGGTTAAAACCCGACAGTGCCGCGAAATGCCGAAGTGTAGAAGGAGAGATCAAAGGGACAAGGAAAGAGCGAGAAGGCGAATAAGACAAAAAGGAAACTACCAACGGCCTCGCAATTACTAAGATAACTGTCGTGATACCAACCGAGTCGCCTCTTTCACACGAGTTCGAGTGAGCAGTAGGTATCTTTTCATGCGGTCTAAGTCGACAATTCGCGTTGTGCGAGGTAGCAATTTCTAGTGTCTCCCGGTGGGGAGCCGCGGAACCGGTTTCCAACCGCAGGAGATCGCTCCGTTGGGGGTGAGGTGAGATGAGACGAGATAGAGGCACCGCTGTTCGATGGATCGATAGGAAAGCTGTTTCATCGGACGAGACGCGAGATAGAGATATATACCTAGGTATATATAGGTACGTAATCGTTGCAGTGTTTGTATGCGCGTTTTTTCATTCAGTCGAATTCGATCTATCCACCTACTTACTCATACCATATCTTCGCATTCTCTTTCCTCCGTTTCATTCGCATCTCTTCTTCTTATGATTAAGTAATTATAAGAGAATCCATATCTCCTAGTACACTTAGACAATCAATACTTCCTACCACGTGAACGGCCATCCCACCTAGTCCGCTACCCCGGATTGGGGGTTCTCAAGGTGAGAAGTGAGGCGAGAGGAGAGGCCAATACGACGCTGGAGGGCCATCGACCCAGATATAACACGCATACACACGCCCATTACTTGACGCGCGCATTACATCCCACATACATGTATGTGCATACATGCGTATCCGTACACATGAGAGAAGCTCACCTACCTACCCCGGTATGCGTGAGTAAACCAAGTTCCGCACAAACTTCCGCATCACAAACACCCGCCAACAACCATACCCTCACGATCAGAAGACGAATCATCAAGAAAGCGGTGATGAAAACCACGATCCACCCCCTCCGCCCAGAAACGCGAAACAAGTCTTACCAACCATATCAACCTTACCTATCAATCCCCTCCCCTGAACACAAACAAACTACGCGTCCCCGAAGCCGAATCTCAACCCGCGTCCACACGGACCGAATCTCGGCACCGAACACAATTGGCCATCCACCCCTCTCCCATTCCCTTCCCAGCCAAGCCTGTGAAACGGGGAACAAGCCCGTATACCTGTTGGTTCTCCCATCCCCATCCCCAATCTCTGCCCTACATACATACCAACAACCTTGAACAAACCCATGCAGTACATATGTACAAACATAGGTACACATATACCCAACCAGGCCTAGCGCATACGACCCGCGCATGCACATCGGTACTGTGCTTCCTCTAGGGCGGAAGCACTTTGCGACGAACGGGTCCTCCATTCCGCGTCCTTACCCCTCTGCCTTCCGATCTGGAGTTCCGCATCCGGAGTCGTACATACATACGCAATACGTACCTAGCTAGCTAGGGCTTTTTTTTGTTTGCTTTTTAATATGACATGATAGGGCTGGATGAAGGCCTGAACTTATCACCTATCTCCGCTTGCTACTGGGCGGCAGCGTAATTCGATGAAATCATGTTGATTCGAATAGAACGGCTTTTTAGTGCTATGCATTAATACTATTATAACTAATATATCGATGAATTTGTTTGAAGTAGAAGGTAGGTAATAGTAGGTACCTAGATAGATGTGCCATTACGCTTATTGTATCCGCCTAGAAGGATATCCAATCATTCCGTGTCAGTGTTGGCAATTTGATTACAAGGTCGCCTCTGTTTCTCTAAAACGGCATTGGCTTAATTGCAAACAACTAAGTCCAACAGAACTTGAACCGCCCACATCAGACGAACTTGAAGAGCGCATTGATATATAGGTAGTTATTATGTACACACAGCGACTGCTAAGCCGTAATTCCCATAAACTCGTAAATGGTGCAGGCACCATAGTTGTTGATTCCAACACTGTATCCAGGTCCCCACGGACCGGTAATGTCAATGCCAATGGCTTTCCCCTTAACGCCAAGCACGTGTCAAAATCGTGAAATGTGCTGATGCGTGCTTTTTTTATCTGCCTAGACTCCAAAATCGAGTAAGGATCAAAATAAGTATGGGTTTAAAGATGCCATCTCCGAATCCGGATTGAAATAGTCCTTTCGCGATGACACCCGTTAAATTTGTCATTCTTTGTGTAAGCCAACTAACTCCATCGCGATGTAGTATGCGAGCAAATATGAGTGTATGAGTGATATGTGGCAGTTATATATGCGTAAAATGATGCTGGTCGTTATCGGTCGGTAGGTAGGTGGACTTAAATGAGCGAAATATATGGCAAAAGATTAAGACTTCATCAACCTAAGATGTAGATCCGTTCAGCTGCTCCGTTGACTTGGAGATCGGCTTGATACCGTCCATATCTTGAACTCCTTCATCCTCCATCTCTACAACGTTCTGCCTAGAGGGGCCCTTAGAGTCCTGCTTGGAAGGGCTCTTAGAAGTTGACGCACCCCTTCGCATCGTCATTGGGCGAAAACTGCGCGACTTGGTGGGTTCGGACGAGTCGTCGGGACCTTCGGCGAGAACGCGTGCCATCTCTTTGTCGGCCATCTCCTTCGTCTGTGCTAGTCGCGCTTTGATCTTCTCGACTTCATCGGTGCAGTCTCCATCTCGAAGGAATTGATGTGCCCCATGTTCACACATGCCTTGGACAAACTCGAGGCCCCTATCGAGGTCTTCCCAGATATCACCCTTGTCTTGGAACGAGCCTAGTCCGCCGTTAAGTCTAGACATTCGCAGGTTCATTCTACCAGGCGCCATGTTTCGTAATCCCATCTGTCGAGTGCTCACGAAACGCAATCTAGGTTCTTCCGACTCATCTTGAGCTCTAAGGGGCGCAGCCTTGATGTCGGCGGCGAGTAGGCTATCTCTAGGATTCAGATCGTTGTTACCTCCGCCGTTGCCTTCATCATCGTCATCCTCTTCGTCGGGCATCTCCAACTCAGCCATACGCCTGATACGAGCAACCTTGGCGGCCATCTTAGCCTTGCGCATAGCGTTCCTTTGCATCGATACGAACTTAACCAACTCTTCAAAGAACGACTGCACATAGCTGTCATAATAGACAATAATCATATTCCGTGATCTGTATTTTTGGACGGTATTCTCATTACTGATCATAGAATCTGTCTTCTGCTTCTTGCGGACCGTTGCGCGCGCTCGACGTTGTGCAGTTGCCATTACTTCCTGGCGCTGTATCGATACCTTAGAACGAGGTTCGCTTACGGGACTCGAAGGTACCTCGGCACCGGTACCGTCTCGTTTTTGAGCATTGGGTCGCGTCAGAGGGGGCGGTGTCGTGGAGCGTGTAATATCAGCTGGATTGATGGGAGGACATTCATCTCGCGGCTTCAAAGATTCGGTGGACCCCCGATTCCTCACTGACTTCGCGGAAGATCGCGGCCGGTTCTCGGGCAACAGAGCCAGATCCTGCTGGCGTTGGTCGATTTGTCCATTAAGCTCCTCCAGACGTTTTACCCAGTCGGGGATATTGTTGATTAACGATTTTAACGAGTCTACCGACATTTTAGATATGGAAAGATGGTCGTTTGTCTGCGATTGATGCTATGAAGAACCGAGTGGTCGGTCGTATCCCGGCATCTGATTATTATTCAAGGTTGAGGAACCAGGTGAGAAGGTGAGAAAAGCAAATAGCTAGGTAACCGTTAAATTGGATGTTCCAAGAAAGGCATCAATCAAAAAGTAGTTGGCATTTAGTTGAGCCAAGTATGCAGCGCGGACGCGGACGCGGGCAGCTACTCGGTAAACTCGACGATACACTACAATTTAGGGCCTTAAGAGGCCTATTTCATCCGTACGAAGTATCCAAAGTATTAGCCAATTATAAATCGGGTTGTCGGCACAATATAGATAATAGAAGAGCTCGATCAATTGCTCTTCAGATTCAGGCGGATATGGTGGGGAGAAAGAATGGTTGTAATGGCTGTGAGACGGGAAGGAATCGGATCGAGTGGAAATAGAGATGATATCGAGAAAGGAAAGATTATGAGAATTGAGAATTGCCCAAGCCTAAGGTTGTGGGGTACTAGACATTGTTCAAGGTTGGTCCTGCTACGGTACACTGTTACATTTACCTAGATGTAGCTTCGTAACTTCGGTACGTACTACGTAGCTAGAGTGGCAGAGTGGGCGTTAGCTGGCCGCGGCAGGCACTACAATTATTAAAATATGATTATTTGAGTACTGATGTATCCAAGTACTCTCGTAGATATATCTAAGACCAGGGATAGCGGTAAGGAAGACCCTTGTAGACTGCGTGCAAGTGTACGGCGGTACAAACCTACTCTTTTAACGGATTTGGTCGGCGACTAATAAACAAGCTCCCGTGGCGGTTTATTAAAAAAACGACCTTGCAACTTGCTCACCTGGGCAAGACTGGCAGGAGTGGCAGGAGTGGCAGGACTAAGAGGACTGGAAGGACTGGGCAAGAAAGGATGTTCAACTTATTTTAGAGATCTGGTTCCACGGGTGGATAATCAGATTGATACAGATTGATTCGCATGGAAGAAACCAATCTACTCGGGTCACACACACATACACACAAAACTCAACGAAGGAGCCGAGCTGCGATGTTCTTTTGTCACCTTGTTCGGTCTTCGGTCTGAAAGGGGAACATTTATATGATTTGTTTTTTGTCTTTCAATCTTTACAGAAGGAAAACTTAATGGGAGGGTGGTCAACACGGCCCGAAAAGTTACCTTCTAAGGTATCAAGTAACGCGATTCCCATTCTGGATCCATGAATTTGACAGCACTTGAAGGTAACGTCTCTAAACATGTTTCTATTGGCATTTGCAAGTTCATTGGCCTACACGAGTCAGGCCTTTTTCAGAAGAGTCTTACGATTAAAAAAACATTCGGATCTGGTCGGATTATTGATGCTACGACAAATGATCCAAATGACCAATATCATGAAGATGTAATCCGGTCGCATTTGCCTTGACGGCCAACAGGGCAAACGCAAGCCTGGAAATGCAATGCCCATTGGCGGCAATCGACGAACGATGAACAGAGTTTTAGCTAAGATGCATGTCACTTCGCGTAGGACCGCTTTTAGCGGTTGTAGCCATAGCGGGAGTGGCTGGAAGTAAGCTAAAAGCTGGGGGCGCGATGGGGTCTATGCGAAGCGGGCAGCGGACAGCGGGCAAAGCGGGAATAGCCTTGTGTAGCAGTGCACCATAGTACAATCCACTACGATGTACCTACTACTCAACATTGAAAGCATTACAGCGCACGTATGGAGGTACTGTATGTATGAATGAAATCTAGAGGAAGTTGGAGGGTGATCGGAGATGCAGCTCCTGATTTGGATGTGGATGGAATGCGCTGGCTTGCATCGTTAATACGTAGTTACTGATCAGCAATCATGCTTATCCGTATACATGTCTCGGCAAGTGAAATATATAGAGTTAAAGGCTGACGATGACTTCAACTTTGTTTGAATGTCCAACATCGGATGGATGTTTAACGTTGTCCAGTGGTAGGTACTAAAACTAAAGCAACTAATAGATTCAGAAGTACTGGTACCTCAGGTAATACAAAGTTCACCTATAAGGTTCAACGTTATATTATCAATGTCGATATCCGCTTATATTCGGTACATAGACCTAAACTCGACTTCTCATAGGCTCATACGTGTTAGCCACCCCCAATTGTCCAATGGATTCTACAAACAACTTTGGAACGCGCATAGTCGACACTGGGCATTGCATATACCTACATGAATAAAGCGGTGAATATATGCAGCATATATCATACTTATCCAATCCTTTTCCTCTTCTTTCATATTCTGATCAGATTGGCTTATGCCTGAAACATCACCTGGCAGTTGAAGAAGACCCCGCTCGCGAATCCGAGGATTCCAGACTTTGCCATGATTATTCAACGTTTGCTTACGACGCTCGAATGTGTGTCTTTGACTTAACGATCGTGTGTTTAGTTTATTACCTGCCTACCAATGGAAGTACCTAGGTACGTATATGTGTGTTGTTAAGGAGGAACAGAGCTAGGGACCCTGTCACCATAGAGGAGACTCTAGCTTACTTACAGAACACAGACAGCAGACAGATAATTATGCCTAGTATATTCCCCATTCTTTTTCAACCAAATATAGGATATGAGAAGGCAACTAGATCATTTATGATAGTTGTATGGGGTTGACCTCCGGCTTGACTGCTTGAGCATGTCAGCTTGTGGATCTTCAACAATGCAAACACTACCCACAATAGTTACTCCTATCACCGATCGTATGTATTGGAGAGAATACGATATATCATACACAGGGGCTGGCGTTCCACAAATGCAGAATGCGGAATGCAGATAAAACCCTAATAGTCTTCGCACAGCATCTGTGCAGTAAGATTTTGTCCTAGTGTCGTCAACATCAGGTTATGATCGTTGAGAACTCCTGCCTGCTGACATCACCCGAATCGAGTTTAGCCAGCTCGTTCGATGCTGCAGATGCGGTTGCAAATGCTGTACGACCCACGAAGGAGTTCATCTGAGCCCCGTAGGCGCTTCTTCAACAACAGATCGCGATTGCTAGAGGAGACTTTTTAACGTTGATCGAGCGGAGATGAGCGACCTATTTTTCAACGCCCAGCCTCGTCGTACTGCGTAAAAAATTCATACTGTCAGGACAGTGCTCAAACTAGACAAGAGCGGTCAAAACTGAACTGAACTGCCCTGACTGCCCCCCTCTTCTTCTCCACCACCTCCCCCTTCCGGACGGACCCCGGCCTCGAACACGTGGAAAAGTCGTGATGGTGCCCCTTGACCCCTACTAGGTAGCCTGAATAACTTCGATTCCCAGTCCCCTTCGAAATGGAAGCATCTTTTTTCTTCTTTTACCCCCACTTTCAACCTCTAGTACTAAAACATCATCAGATGGATAAGATCCGAAATCTCGTCATTCAAGGGTCCGGCTCGTAATTAGGATCATGCATCAGGTCACGGAGGTAAGGGGGGTTTCTCATCCATACAGTATTCTACCATGTGCATTGTGCATACACACAACATCTCCGAAACATTAGATTCTACCCACTCGGACGTTCGAAGAAGACTGGAATAATTCAAAGCGCAGCGAAAAAACACATGTCTGTGGCGGCCTCAACCACAATGGCCCCCAAGATCCCCCACGTGTGGTGGTTAATCACATCCCAGGGTTTCAGCCGTTAAGTTTCAATAGGTAGCACTATGGCAAATTCACGATCAGAGCTCAGTAATTTAAGAGAAACCCATTCCACCCCTTTTTGACTCTTCCACTATGAGCTCCACGAGGTCACATGCCTGAATGTGGAAATGCGTAGTAACATCCATACCTAGTAGGTAACAAGGTAGAAAGCCGAAAACAAGGAAAAGCAATCGGTTGAGATCTGCTTACTACCTGCCAAAGTCTCGTATATACATACATATGTACCACCTACCTAAGCCATCCGCGGTCAGTATTTTCGAATGTGTCAGAGCAAGCCAGGATCATATCGTAGTTTCTTCCGGGAGCAAGATCGGCAGAGGGTTTAAATTCGAGGTTGCGGCATTCGGACCGCAGATAGGTAGGATTGCCATGTGGTCGGCTCGGCAAGGGACGTCCCTTTCTATCACATCACACCAGATCCTATCGTATCACACTCGAGGCACACACATATACGCGCCGGCCCTGACGCGCTAGGCAGGTCGCTCAGATGAGCCTCATGAGGGAATTACCGGGCTGAGTTAGATTGAGCGCGGCAATCTTGCAACGCCAAGACATCATCTAATAGTTCCCGTCTCCGTTCCCGTTCCTGTACCTAGGTAAGTTGGGGGTAGCACACCGGCACGACGCGAACCGCCGTCATCATCACTATCGAGTGTACTACATACTGCATGTAAGGGCAGGAACCCATTTCCCGAGCCGTCAGCGTAAGCAATAGAGCGGCCATTAGAGCAAGAAGGTATATATTTATATTCAGTTACCTACGTAGGTAAATTTTATCGCGACAGCTAGACCTCACTTCCTACCTATTCCCCCATCTCAACGTAGGTATTTCTTTCCTCATCCCCCCTCCCAACTACGGCCACACCTCAACCTTCTCCCACCCATCCCGTATACTCCCGCCCCGCGTCGTAGACTCCGTCTTCCCACCCCCGACAAACGTATACAACCACCTCCTCGGAGCCTCCGGATCGCTCAAATCAGCCTGGTCCAGCTCATCCGGGACAATAACCACGACTCTAAAATTCCCCCTCGCAACCTCATCCTCCAAATCCCCCACCTTCTGCCCAAGCCCCAACCTTCCATCCTTAACCGGCAGCGCGACCGGCGTTCCCGGCGGCGGGTTCCGGAACGTCCCTCGCATCTGCGGACTCAAGTTTCCGAAATGCGCCGTGACCTCGCGGCCGAAACTCCACAGCCTGCCGTCCGCAGGCTCCGACCCGGCGTTTTTCCTCCTCCGCATGCGCGCGCGGAGTTTCGTGATCACCTGTCTGCCCTCAGCCGAGCCCTCGATGTCCGGGGCGAGGACCCACGCCTTCCCTCTGACGCGCCACTGCGTGCCTTTCTCCCTCGCCCAGAACACAGCTTCAACAGGCGCGCCGCCCCCCGATCCCCTAAGCAGCCCCTCGTTCGCGCCGTCATCGGCGTCCACGTCGAATAGCTCTGCCATCTTATCCATGCGGCAGTCCGTAGTCAGCGTCAGGAAGTCGCTTTCGTAGATATCCGGGTTGAGCTCGGCCTCGTTCTTAGGGTTCACGGGTAAGTCCGCGAACAAGCCGCGGAAGACGCACGTACGGGTCCGCGGCGCGTACGCGAGGCCCGTGAGGGAAGAAGTTTTGCGGACTGTGGCGAGGCTGAATTCCGGAGACGGCATTGTCTGTACGTGGTCCAGAAAGAGCTTTCGCCAAGGCGCCGGGCCTAAAGTAGATACCGTAGCCATTGTGCGACGGGTGATAGGTTCGTAGGCCAGGTGAAATGCGATCTGTGCTAGCCGTGAAGATGATGAGATAGTACTTAGTCGGCGGACGAAGCGCTGCATCAGTTTGAAAAAAACGAGTGGTCGCCCCCTTTAGGCGGTGGTGTGATATTGGAGAAGTGGATTTAGTCAGGTAGGAGGGTAGGCGGCTATGTCTAATAACGATGATTAAACACTTCTATTGGAGCGTCTCTAGAGGGGCTCTAGCACTTTTCGAGAGTAAACTGAAAAGTAGCCCTATGCCGTCATTACCCGAGCATTCCAATACCTCTAGGCTAGGTAGTATTTATAGCGCACCGTCACCATCTAACCTTAGTAGAATTAAACCACTAAACGCTAAGCCACCACACATCACGAAAAGACATAACGGAACAAAATAATAATTCAGATAATTCTATAATTAAATGATTCTATATACTAAACATACGTAGGTATATACGTATACACGTATACACATACACACACACACATATATATATATATATACGTATAATACATACCTATAATACATACAATACATACCTATACCCCTAACATACATACCTAGTACGTAATATGCCTACCTACCTACCTATACCTTATACGTAAATCATTCACTCATAAACGGCGTGAGCCTAATCAATGTCTAGTGTAGTGTTCCTACAAATATACGTCGGGTACCTAGTAGTTTTTGATAAACCTTTACGAAAGGAGACGATATGACTATCTAACTTTTATGCTCCTCGAAAACAAACCCTTATATCACAATCTTATAAGAAAGATTGTCTACGAACGTAAAGGCGCGAGTTGGCCATTACAATAGAAAGTATGTCTAATTTTCAACCAGACATGACCAAAGCGAGCAAGGCCATGCGGCAGTAAAGGCCATACCTCATCTATAATTATGTTAGCATGTCTTTCATTGTCACGATGGGTCTTCCGTAAGCACTCACTTGTCTGAAATAAGCTGCGCGTTGATCGTAATCAACCTCCTCCGCAACCTCCTCATTCCTAGGGAGAGGGTGTAGCACACGTGTCGTCTGCTTTGCATATTTGAGGGTTGCGTTGTCGATACGGTATGAGTTCTTGACTTTCTCATAGGCTTCGACGCTTGGGAAGCGCTCTTTTTGCACTCTCGTGCAATACAGCACGTCGCTCCTAGATAGAATCTCTGGTGTGAGCTCTTCGGACTCACAAAGCAGCTGCCCAGATTCTTTTAGCAGGCTGCGAACCTCGGCCGGAAGTGCCAATGATTTTGGCGCAACAAGCTGAACCTGGACTTGATAATGTCGCAATAAGTACACCAACGAATGCACTGGCCGTCCGTAAAGAAGGTCACCTATGAAGGTGATCGTCAAGCCCTGTACAGTACCAAGCTCTTCACGAATCGTGAAAAGGTCGAGGAAAGCTTGAGTGGGATGTTCCTTGCTTCCATTCCCACCATTGATGATAGGAACCTTGCTATACTTCTTCGCTACATCCACCGACGACTCTTCAGGGTGGCGCAGTACAATGGCGTCTCCGTAACATTCGAGCGTCCTGAGCGTATCTTGAAGAGTCTCTCCTTTCTGAACAGATGAATGTGTCGGTGTTATTGCGATGGTCCTGCCACCTAGGCGTTGCATAGCGGCGTCGAAAGATGCCGAGGTGCGCGTCGACGGTTCATAAAACATAGTGCAAAGCACGCGACCACGCAAAATATTGAGAACGCCCTCCCTGTCAACGCCGAGGCGCATCTCTTGGGCCACCGTGAACAGTAAATGAAGATCGGACCTTGTGTATTGCTTAACAGAGAGAACATGCGCACTTTTAAATGCGGAAGGCTGCATGAGAAGGTCATGCAGGGAATCAACAAAAGGCGCTCGCGCAGGACCTGGCAAACCAAACTCATCCAAGGCGGGCGCACTTCGCGAGGTAGGGCGTACCGTATCTACCTCGCTATCAGCTAGCCGCGGAATACCCGCTGGCTTACCAAGGCTTGAAAGGCGTCGGGCACGGAGAACGTCGAGCGGGTGCGATGGTTGAGGGATCGACTTCATAGGCGGCGACAAAGGTGTAGGCAGACTGCCATGAGTAGACATATCATTCCCAAGTGGGCTGATCGGAATGATTTCTCCATCGAGGCAGACGGTCTTGTTGTTAAAAGTAACCCTTTGAACTGCCCCGCGCATGGTCTTGCCAGCGAATGGCGACCAGGACGATGTTCTCGGTACAGTGTATGGGCGGTCAATTTCAACTTCAACAGAGGTTCCAACTTGCTCGTGGAGTTCGAATATCTCCTTCGGATTATCGTAAAGACGTGTCTTCACGTCGTCAATTGTCAACCTGCCTTCTGTGACAGAGGTCAACAAAAGAGGTAAAGCATCAGCGATACCGACTGTGGGGTCCGCGATGTCTACCGAATTTGCATCAGATTGCATGTGGCGCGCAAGCTGGTAAGGAAGGCTGCCAATGGAGAACACATCTATCGTGCTGAGATGATCCCAGAGTGCCTTTTGGTCTTCAGGATCGGGAAGACATTGGCACTCAGGGAAATCCTTTCGCGACAAGTACAACGAATAAACCGATACATCGCAAGTAACGTTTAAGCCTTTCTGCTTGCTTAGGGAAATAAGACGGATGTCTTCCTTGGTCGTAACACTTGTAACGTGGATGCGCCTATTGTGGAGACTCGCAAGCAGCAAAATAGAGGCGAGGTCTGTTGTTTTCGCATCGGTCAAGATGGGCTTGTGAATGGGCCATGAATCAAAGTGCGCGGTGACCGCCGTAACCTTGCTGATATTATCTGACAGATGATTGAACGGTATGAAGAGCGATCCGACTTCGCCTGTCACCTGGCTGATCTGGTCGGAGTTGTTGGAGGTGGCTGTGACGGAAAAGTTGTAATCGCAATAACCGCCGCGCTTGCTGCTTTGTTGAGCAATCTTCAATGTCCTCGCATCAGTAATAGCACCTTCAACGCCCATGGGCATGATTCTTATCATGCTGAAACCGGAGGCAATTGAAGCTCTGGTAACGGCCTGTAGATCGTGGCTACCCTGAGTACCAATTCCAGGTACAAAAGCGGCGATATTGATCAATCCTGGTAAGACGATGGTACGATGACTTGTCTGATAATCGCGATTGCTAATTTCTAGCTCGAAATGTCTTGCAATTGCCTCAATGAGGATCTTCGCGTTCTTGACATTTGTGACCAGCGGGATCTGGTAATCCACGGCCATTCGTCGAGTCTGGTATCCCTTGCTCATATAATTGGCAGGTCGACGGTACTTATTGTTAGATGGCAAGTTAATATAGAGATTGATCATATTCTTTGCCAAATGTTGCGTGAGCGAGAACTCGGATCTTTGGTCGTCTTCCTCGTTGCTGAGGACCTCCAGGAATTGGACGGGAATACCATGTTCCTGAAGGAAATCAGCAGTACCTGCAGTAGCGAATAGCTTATATCCCATTTTCTGCAATTTCTCAACCGATGGAAGCATCTCCTTTTTGTCTTTGTAAGAGCCAATCGATAACAGGATGTTACTCTTGGGGATCTTGAAGCCCGTTGACATCAGCGCTTTAAGATACGCCTCATACTTGTCCATACCGAAACAAGCAACCTCTCCAGTCGAAGCCATCTCCACGCCCAACACTGGGTCGGCCCCGGAAAGTCTCGAGAAACTGAATTGTGGAACCTTCACTCCGATACAATCCGGCTGCAAAGTGGTTGGTGGGTATTCCGTGAAGGGAATCCCCATGATGGCCTTGGTTGCCATCTCAATTAGGTCAACCCCCATGACCTTTGATACGAAAGGGAATGAACGTGAAGCACGAACATTACATTCGATGACTTTGATGTCGTTGTCCTTTGCAATGAATTGAATGTTGAACGGACCCGTGACATTAAGTTTAGCACCAATCTTTCGCGTAGCCTCTTCGATACGTTGGATCGTGGTCGGTTCAAGATCTTGAGGCGGTAGTATAAGAGTCGCATCCCCGGAATGAACACCAGCATTCTCGACATGTTCGGAAATGACATGTCCAACCACAGTTCCGTTCTTAGCGATGGCGTCCATTTCAATCTCCTTAGCATTCTCGATATACTTCGTGATAACCACAGGGTGTTCACGTGACACCTCAACAGCTTGCTCAAGATATAACTCGAGATCCGCTTCTGAATACACCGTATTCATAGCAGCACCGGACAGGACGTACGAAGGTCGAACCAAGACTGGGTACGAGACCTTCCTACAAAAACTTTTAGCATCTTCAAAGCTAGTAAGTTCTTTCCACGTTGGCTGATCGACAGCAATCTCATCAAGCATACGAGAGAACTTATAACGATTCTCAGCCCTGTCGATCATTTCCGGAGAGGTTCCTAAAACCTTCACACCCGAACGAAGTAGTGGTAAAGCAATGTTATTAGGTGTTTGACCACCCATAGCACCCAAAACCCCACTAGCCGATTCCATTTGATAAATATCAAGAACCGTCTCTAGATTTATGTTCTCGAAATACAATCTATCCGCTTCGTCATAATCAGTCGAGACAGTCTCGGGGTTAAAGTTAACCATGATTGTCTTGAATCCGGACTCTCTAAGCGTGCGGATGGCTCTGACAGAGCACCAATCGAACTCCACCGACGACCCAATGCGGTAGACTCCTGATCCGAGAACCATTACGCCGTGGTCGTTGAAGTCGAGATCGTGTGTGGAGGAGTTGTATGTGAGGTAAAGGTAGTTGGTATAGGCGGGGAATTCAGCGGCGACTGTATCGATTTGTTTCACGTATGGCGTGATTCCGGCTTCGAGTCTCATACGTCTTACTGCTAGTTCGTTGGAATCCCAGAACTTTGCTAGTTGACGATCGCTGAATCCGAGGCGTTTTGCTTGAAGAAGCAGATCGATATGCTGCGAGATTTGGCTTGTATTGTACTTGGCCATTTCTTTGCTGAATTGGCTTAGACCCATGAGTTTGTGCAGGAACCATTTATCAATCTTAGTGAGTTCCCAGATCCTATCTACTGAATATCCAGCGTGCATAGCATTTGCAATAGCGAAGAGACGTTGGTCAGATGGAGTTTGCAGCTCGTCGTCGATTGACATGAGAGCTTTCGTTTCGCCAAAGCCAAGGTTGTGGAAATCGATGGCTCGGATTGCCTTTTGGATAGCTTCTTCGAATGTCCTTCCAATGCTCATAACCTCACCAACGCTTTTCATTGATGATCCAAGTTGTGTAGATACTCTTGTGAACTTCTTCAAATCCCATCGGGGCATCTTGACGACGACGTAATCCAATGACGGCTCGAAGCAGGCACATGTTACTTTCGTGACCGAGTTCTTAATTTCCTTCAACGGGATCCCTAGTCCTAACTTGGCAGCGGTGAAGGCGAGTGGGTATCCGGTTGCTTTAGATGCGAGAGCGGATGATCTTGAAAGTCTTGCGTTGACTTCGATGATGCAATACTCCTTTGAAAATGGGTTTAGGGCATACTGAATGTTACACTCTCCAACTACACCTAGATGACGGATAACATTGACTGCTGTCGTCCGTAGCATGTTATAGTCTTCATCAGACAATGTCTGCGATGGCGCGACAACGATCGAGTCGCCTGTGTGAATACCAAGAGGGTCAAAGTTCTCCATGTTGCAGACGGTGATGCAATTATCTTGGGCATCCCGCACAACCTCATATTCGATTTCCTTCCAGCCTTTCATACTTCGTTCGATTAGAACCTGCGGGCTTGCCGCTAGAGCCTTATTGCAGAGATCCAGGAGTTCAGCTTCGTTGTTGGCAAAGCCGCTGCCCAGCCCACCCAGAGCATAAGCAGCCCTGACGATAACAGGAAAGCCAATGTCCTTCACAACTCGCATTGCTTCATCTACGCTGCTAGCAGAGGCAGATTTGGCACACTTCTCGCCAATTGAGTCCATGCTGCGGGCAAATAATTCTCGGTCTTCCGTTGTAATAATCGTGTCAATAGGAGTGCCTAGCACCTTGACGCCGAGGTCTTCAAACTCATCCTTAAGTTGAATGCCAACTTGCAGAGCAGTTTGGCCGCCAAATGTAACATATATTGCGTCCGGCCGCTCATGAACGATGACTTTGCGGACAAACTCGGCTGTAACGGGGAGGAAGTAGACTTTATCGGCGAGACCCTTCGAGGTTTGGATCGTCGCAATGTTAGGATTGATTAGGACGGTGTAGATACCTTCTTCCTTCAAAGCCTTGATGGCTTGGCTTCCTGAGTAGTCGAATTCGCCTGCCTGTCCAATACTCAGGCCACCGCTTCCAAGGACTAGAATCTTCTTGACGCTGACACGAGGATGCAACCTCTCATTTTCTTCAGTAGTGCCTCCAGGAAACTTAACCGGAGATTCAAGAAGTTCTGGGTTCTTGGCACAACTGACGATAGTATTGATAAAAACGTCGAATAGAAATTCTGTATCGCGAGGACCCGGTGTACTTTCCGGGTGAAACTGTACACTGAAGTACGGCTTGCTGACATGCATGATACCTTCATTGCTGCCATCGTTGGCATTCACAAACAGTTCCTTCCATTCTTCTGGGAGGGATCCGGCATCAACCGCGAAACCGTGATTCTGAGAAGTAATGTGACATTTTCCGGTTACCATGCTTGTGCAGGGGATATTGTGTCCTCGGTTGCCAAACTTCATCTTGGCAGTCTTCGCACCGGCAGCTTGGGCAAGTAGTTGGTGTCCAAGACAAATACCAAATACCGGCGTACGGTTAGCCTTCATCGCCTTGGCAATCTGCTCTACGGGTTCGTGCATGACGGCCGGATCACCTGGGCCGTTCGAGATGAAAAGACCGTCATACTCCTCTCCGGCGCCATTTGCAAAGTCATGATTCCATGGACACACGAGAACTTCGATTCCTCTGTTTAAGAAACACCTGAGTTGGTTATTTTTCATGCCAACATCTAGGCAGAGTACGCGAAGAGGACGTCCTGAAGGATGTTTGAGCGCGGAAGATGGAACCGGCTTATAGAGCTGGGGCTGTTTGATAGAGACTGGAAATCTATGAGTATACGAAGACGGATACTTTGTCTATGGGGGCACTCACCCTCAGCCACAAGGTTCTTCGTGTTAGGATTGACCCAGTCGATCGAATCGAAGTGCGATTTCCAGTCTTGCTTAATTTGATGATTCACAGTGCCATTGACACCGTTGGTTGTTCCATTTGTCAAGCCTTGCTTTTGCAACAACATTCTGCCTAGCATACTACCTTCTTGTCGAATACGTTCTGTCAGAGCCCTAGTATCGACGCCATACATAGCAGGGACACCCTGCTCTTTTAACCATGTTCCCAGGGAGGAGGTCGCGAGGAAGTGTGAGAAATCTTCGCCAGCGTAGGAAGACACGACGAGACCGGCGATATGGATTTGAGAAGACTCGAAATGTGCGGGACGGTCACGAAGTAATTCGTCCATCGTCTCCCTAGAAGGGACACCGTAGTTCCCCACGAGAGGGAATGTGATTACAAGAATCTGTCCACGATACGAAGGGTCTGTTACCGACTCTGGGTATCCTACCATACCTGTCTGGAAAACCAACTCTCCAGCGATGCTCTTCTTGGCACCAAAACTGTACCCCTGGTAGGAAGAGTGATCCTCGAGATCAAGGCACATAAGACCTTCATCCTCGGAGCCCACAATCCGCGCAGAGGCGGGCTCATAGTGTACGGAATCAACCATTTCGACTCGTAATGGCTATTAGCCGGTGGGGGACGTTGGTGTTAAAGTCGACTGGGAATGTTTAGAACAGTGCGATGAGAGGGGTTAATTGGAAGCAGCAACTAGGAAGCTCATAAGTAGAGCTTTCTAAGGCCGCAAAGAAGTAGTCAGTTCAGAATATCATGTCGTCGCAAAACTCAATTGACGATTGCAAGAGAATGTTTCCTACAAGATTCGACTCCGAAACTGAAGAGAAAAAAGTTTTAGCTCTGACCAAGAAATTTTCATCATTTTTTTTTTCAGTTCGTCCCTTCTATTTTCGTGCTACATACAAGCTCCCGCTTTGAATGGCTTGCGGGGCTACCAATTGTAATGCAATACGACGTAAGAGGTCCCCTGCAAAGGCCAATCAGCAGTGAGAATCTCGAATTAAGCATTAGTTCACCAGGGCCTTTCCTTTTACGGTCGCGCGTATAACCCAAACTCGATCTTTGACCTACCTTTTTCTTGTCATCCGATAAATTATGTCATACCATAAAAGATTTCTCGAGTCCACTACCTATTGGGTACCTGGGTACCTACCTATGGAGGTGCTGTATTCTTTCTAATATTATATCCATATAGATATTTCAATAATAGAAGGTTCGTAAACTTCAATGAGACTTCTAAAGTACTGACATCTAGATCTACGTAGAAGCGCCGATGGCTTAGCGGGGTACAATATAAACTCTCCCGCATGGCTCCAGGTTAGCATCCCACCAAGCTCCAAAAGCCCCTCTCTTTTAAAAGACCTAGGTTATAACCTTAGAAAACACACAAATTAATCCATTTTCGAAGAAAGAAATCAATAGTCGAAATATAAAATCAATATATCTTCATCTCCTAGAGGCTTTGTATTACATATTTATATGTCAAACATTTATTCAAACTTATTAAGGTGGGACTGGAAGTTTTGTTTTGGAGGGAACTTAAAAAATAGGAGGTATGTGATCAATTGCCAGAATTGTCGAAGGAGCCTCAATTACCGGACCAATAAGCATTATATGAAAGCTCATTACCTGTTATCAAAAGTGAGAGATCTCAATTCTTAAATCTAGCTATGGATTTGATTATTCAAAATACTTTTTAAAAACATTTAGAAGTGCATATGGCTACCTACCTAGTAGGTACATGCTTACGTCATAGCATAGAAATTGGGCTCGTCACATTCTTCACTTTAACACCCTTCCCCGGCAAACCAGGGCGACAATGAAAGTCGCTATATTTTATACTAAGCAAGTCATTGGCTTATATTGACGATATTAAGCTATCAACGGTGCCCATGGCTATATAAGTACCAAAAGACGGAACTAGGTAGTTACCATTGACCTATTCGTTGGCTCAACGCTGTTACTACTTGTCAGGGAAGTTGGAAAGAGGGAGCTATGGTAGCAGTTAGCTCGCTATAAGCTCGCTATAGATCTCGCTAATCTTTCTAGAGAGCCTTCGGTCCCTTTTATATTCCACCACACACGTTACACAATTTACAGCTAGTACGCCGCTACCTCGATTCCTCCTCTCAACCCCTGACACTACTAGCTCTCGCGATACAATATATCTGTAGGACTCTAATGATCTTGTCACGGACGTGGTTTGGAAGATTGATGAAGTATGGTAGGTATTAGTGATCCTTGCATTATGGCGTAGATGAGCCTCTTCTTTGTGACGTAGGTACTTCTCGAATTCTTAGGTGGAAGCCGCTAAAGGAGTCGACTGGGCGGCTGGGTTAAAAGTGGTGAAAGCAACCTACCCTCTATAAAGTTCCAGGATTTAGTGTCCATGATAGTGAGGCCAAAAACAACACTTTGCGTTCGAAGTTCGTTTTCCATTTCATCCCCAATACGCCTACATCTCAAGAATAACTAGGTACTTACCTACATCTGATTGATAACTTGCCATACATTTGCCAGTTACTTGACGACTTTTGCGCGTATTGGAATAGCATTGTTCATCATAGGCCTGATACTTAGTTGCTTGCTTGTACCTACCTATAAACTTGTTGCCTATCGAAATTATCTATATGGAAGGTAACTACACGTTCGTGTGAAGATCAATAGAAACGTAAGTTATATACCTAGTAGATAAGGTTATTACCACTTCACGTTTCCCATTTACCTAATATGATTTAAGCTTCTTAAGAATCTATACTCTGAGATAGAACTCATGGTATTCAATATAACGCACGCCCAAGTACCTACCCACCTAAGTATAGTACTTTACCGGTTCCGCATAAGAAAGCGCGTAATATCCCTTATAACCACAAGCGGCTTTCTAAGGCCTCCTGACCTGATAACCAGCAAATTCATCTTTCTATTGCTAGGAAATGATAACATATGTTGTGAGGAAACAAGAGTTGAGGTCGGCCAAGGAAACTAAAACTCCATGATATGGCACGATTTTGTTTAAACGAGTACTACGTACGTAAATGTGAACATAGGCATCCGCGGATGCCGACATTTAGATATTTAAGCTGCGTCTAAGGTGATTTCTAGCCCTGCTGTTGATTTCAGGTTTTAAACATACACGCAACATTCGAGGCGCAAGCCACCCACTACAGCGTACGCCCCCGTTCTTTGTGAAGGTCACCATTAGAGTCCGCTAGGCCGTAGTCGTAAAGCTCGATCCTGGCATTATTTCATTGCTAACAGTCGATAATCTTTTTACCCCTCCCCTCCCCCTTTTGACTTCAAGGTTGCTAAGACGAGACGAGAGGATTTAAAGGTTGGCATATAAGATGACTAAGCTTATCTCTCCAATGAAGACTACTAGTTACAGTATTAAGGGTAATGCTTTTTTCAGAACATGAAGTTTTATGAGTGTCACTTAATTGAACTATTATCACGAATAGAATTGATCTCAACTTATGATGCTCTCGTTTTAAATAGTATGATATCGTATGGCTATATCCACATGTATGAATGCATTACTATTCATATATCTCCGGCACCAATGCTTAAGAAACGTGGGGTAGAAGATTAGAGTTAAAAAGTTATTTTGTGTGTGGTATGTCCTAAGGGTCTAGATGCAAGGGAGCATGCTCATCATGTGCCATCGTCGGCTATCCTCAGACTAGATGGATGTAACCTTAAAATCGTACTAATCAGGAAACTTGGACTCGAAGGTGGTTGAAGGAGCGGTGAATTAACCTCAACTTAAAGAACGATAGGAAAGAAAAGAAAAGAGAACTATCATCTCCGGGACTTGGGTGTTTCGCTATCGCTTGGAAATGTTAGACATATGTAGCATGTGGCACTCTTTGGAGAGTATTCTCCTAGCCAATTAGAATGGTTGGTTGAGGTAGAAATTGATAGTTCTCAAATAGGCCTCGACAGTAGCACAGCTTATTCGGGGAGGGCGAAGGAGGCGTTCTCGTGTAAGTGACGAGTGACTGGATACAAACGAGTGGCGTAATCTCTAGACCGAGAGATGCAGGCTACTGTAGCGCCGAGTTGGTAGGCAATGAGTATGTATTTCTGTCGATCAACGTGGTGTACCTAGTTCCTCACCTACCTGCACGAAATCTTGTATTATTTGGGGGGTAATTACCGTTATGTAGGTCGATGAGCGGACTTTTCCGTGTGTAGTCCGGTAGGTTTTGTAGATGTAAGAAACACCTAAGGTATATTCCGAAGTCCTTGGTCTAATTCTCTTATATCAACTTTTAGTATTTAGTAGTGTGTAAATACTGAGTGGAACTAGATGAAGATGAGCTTATATTAATGTTGTTGTGTGGCATATGATTGAAGGATTATTAGAGCTGGAGGTGAGCGGTGTGAGCAAATACGCACAAGTTTATGGGAGCTGTAGGAGGCAACCCTCTGCGATGACTGCATCTAGTGACCAATTGTGGACGAATATGGTGGTGTAGGATGCTTGATGCGGAAATTTCCTAGGCGAGTTCAAGGGTGAGCAGTATGTTGTGCTACCGTACTACTACGTACATCATAACATCATCCTATCAATGATGTAACGTCGAGCCTGCTGCGCGCTGCAATCTGCAATGCATGCTGCAGCTTCCTGCAAGTAAAAAGCAGAGGAGGGAAGGAAGGTAAGAACGTGCATGAAGATTTTTAGCTAGCGTCCGGGGCATGTGGTGTAGCTAGTTCCTATTTTGTGGCTCCCGAGGATAATTACTACTTGCATTAACAATTTAACTCGTCCAGCTCGTCTCTCATCTCTTCCGTTCCTGTCAATGCTAAAAAATTCCTTCTCCCTTTCAAAGCCCCGAAAGTCTCCTCGCAGATCTGCGGACTAACTTCGTCATGGAGTCCCTGCCGCTATACTATGCAGATAGAGAACCCGCTCCGATATATATCTAACCAAGTACTAGTCACACTTGACTCAGTACGCGGTAGAGGTTGGAGGTGGGTGTGTCATTTTGTGATCGTGATAGGTGATGGTGTGCACTAGCAGACTAGCTATCAGCGAGCGCAGGAGGCGCAAATAGTGGATTGTTCCACCTGAGCTACTACTTCCAGCAGTTCTAGGTAAGCCCTTGTATCCCTGTCTACCAGGTAGTAATTGTTGGCTCTTTACTTCGGTGGGATAGCTTGGGAGCTCGTAGCTGCTTTCCTTGTCAAAGGTCAATGCTACTAGTCAAGATCTTCACAACGTCCTTATCGTCGTCTTTTTCACTCTACCTGTCTACTTCTTTCTGTATCCCATATTCTGTCTTTCCGCGCTTCGCGGTCAACTCATCCTGTGTAGCGTCACGCGCACACGAGCGAACGAGCTAGAGCCGTCGGCGAATCTACTGCACTTGACCTTTTTCGGTCCCTCCAATGCTTCTATATCTCCCCTAGCCACTGCCGCGGAGGTAGGGGGAACAGGAGTTGAAGATGGTTCCTCCTGCGAAGGAAATGCTTTCCTCGCTGTTGCGACCAAGACAGCCCGTTCGGCGCGTCGACTCGGCGCATCTTTTCGAATCAAATCCGAACACACCTTCTCCTGGTCAGGCGAGCCGCGATTATGGCGAACGACGACAACGACATGCCACTGCCGATTTTACTGAGGGCGACGATGACGACGAGGATGATGAAGACGACTTTGATCTTGACGATAGGCCGTCTGGTCCCCGCGTGACTTGGCCATATCAAGAAACCAATGCGCGCAGGAATTCGGCTTCCCTTATACCTCTATTTTCCGCCAGCCACCTCGGTAAGTTTACAATTGCTTCGCGATGAGCCTATATTATTAAGAACATGCGCTTATAATTGGATTAGATTCAATACCAGTCTACAATGTCGTCCATGCCATCAGAATAATCGTCCAAACAAAAACCGAGACTACTTTAACATGGGACCAAATTCGGTCGCCGCAGGTTTCCCAATTCCTTGTCAAGCCTATGCAACAACAAATTCGGACTCTGCATTTCAGCCGCGTGACGTTGTACGCCCTCATGGCAAACTGTCTACAATTTGCGAAGGAGGGGCAACTGTATCCGGGTAACGCAGGTACCAGTATCACGCGAGCGAGAGTTTGTGAGCTCCTGGCCTTGAAACTGTTGAAAGAGTACACCACGAGGGAGCTTATCGACGCTTTGTCCTATGACTTTTACCCACTCCAAGGAGCTCCCGACACGCCGAATATCCCCAATGCGAAGGCATCCGACAGCAAAGCTCGCCCGGCTGCAGCTCGATCTTCGACGCTCGAGGTAGCTATCCGAAGCAATGCCAAACACTTTCTAGCGCACCCGCTAGTGGTTCAGCAACTTGAGGCTATATGGAACGGCGCAATCAGTTTTTATTCAACCCAGGATAATATCCATAGGATGCCTTCTACGCCTGCAGGTTCGGGTGGAAATACTCGCAACGGCCAAATTAATGCTAGAACACCTCTTCTCAGCCATCAACCTGCTAAAGAACAGTCCCAACTTCCATTACATGCGGCACCTCTTCGACGGGCTGTCACTTTATATGACCCGCGCCAAGCCTCTCCCCTGAAGCTATCTCGTCTTCGTGTCCCGCGATATAGACAATTTCTATCAACATGCTCTTTATTTATATTGATATGCCTCTTCCTTGCTGTCTTGATACGGAGGTCTAATCGCATTACTGAGCTAGAATTAATTTTCTGGTTTTGGAGCGCGGGTTTCATGCTTGATGAGGTCGTCGGCTTCAACGAGCAGGGATTTTCTCTGTATATCATGAGCTTCTGGAACATATTCGACCTTGGTATTCTGTTACTTCTCATCATTTATTACTGCATGAGGGTTTATGGTGTCTTCCTCGTCAACCCCTTTCATTGGAATGAGATGGCATACGATGTCCTGGCAGCAAACGCAATTCTCTTGTTGCCACGCATCTTCAGCGTCTTAGACCACTATGAATACTTTTCCCAGCTCCTGATTGGCTTCCGATATATGTCATCTGAAATGGCCTCTTGCTTTTTTCTTATCCTAATTTGTTGCTCCGGATTCTTCGTGTTCTTCACGCTCTCCGGCGTCCACAACGACGCTTCCGATGTGGCTTTTAAGATCTTTCAGATATTGATGGGATTCACGCCAGCTGCGTGGGACGCGTATGTTTAACGTACCATTGGTTCCCGAATATTAGCTAATTACTATGATTCTTAGGTGGCCCGGATATTCTTATCTAGGCAGGGCAGTACTGGCGTTCTTCCTTTTCCTTACTCATTACGTCGTCGTGTAAGTTCACCTCTAACAATTAATTTACTGTCCTAACAAGAAATAGGACAATCCTGATTACTGTTCTGACAAATTCATTTATGCGCATTGCGTCGAACGCCAATGAAGAGCATCAGTAAGTATTTTCATTACTGCATCACTAAATTTATATATTAACACCAGCCTAGGTTCTTATTCGCGATCAATACCATATCCATGGTTAAGAATGATGCACTCTTTTCCTACGTTGCTCCTGGGAATATCTTCGCTTGGATCTTGATGCCATTACGATACGTTATGCCTATAAGACAATTTGTCATTCTGAATCGTACCATCATCAAACTCACTCATTTTCCTCTGTTGTTCTGTATATTTCTTTACGAGAAATACTTTCTCGCCTCCTCCATATATGAACCTACAGATCTAGTTGAGAATCCAGGGCGTCATACAACCAGAGGAATATCTTTCGCCGATCCCAGTATCAGGGGCCCAGCCCTGTTTAGCCCAACTTTGCGAACTCGCGAAGAATCGATTGCTGGTTTCCAAAAAGATCGTGCTCTTGAGGAGGTTTTCCGTCGCCCCCCAGATGCTGGCACACTACGAAGTCAGAGGAGACAGGAAAGGAGGAAAACGCAGACAGCTATCCGAAATTGGATGGATAACAATGATGAGATTGGGGAACGCTTATCACATTGGCCTACAATCGATAGTCGCCCGAGTTTATCGCAGCGAAGAATGAGCATGAGTCGTGATTTTCCTAAGAGGTTTAGGCACGTCTCTGATATTCGATCGGCTGCAAGTGACCCGGCGGACCTTATATCGAATAACGCCTTTCCCGTCTCCAACATTAGAGAATTAAATGGCCAAATTGTGGAACAACAGGAACGGTATAGGGATCAAACAGAAGCTGACGGCGATGACGAATTCGTAACAAACGACGAGGATGAAGAGGATGAAGCAGCAGTCGCTGCAAATCGCCGTGATGGCAAAACTGACGAAGACGAACAGGATGATTACTTTACAACCCCTCCAGCGGTACGACGTAGATCGACTGTACCGTCCTCTCGAAGCTCTTCCTCGCACCTCCAGAGCCCGTCCTTCGTGTCACCGAGGGCTGGCAACCAACCTAACCGCCAAGGTCTACATAGCCGCACACTCTCTACCAATACCATTCTCTATGCTCCACAAGGGCCTAGTCGCCACGGACTTAGCCCATCTTCGATATCTGAAGAACCATCCGGGACACGTTCTCGGCCGCGAACGAGCCGATTAACTAAGACCGCAGAATCGGCCGACCCAAGTGGGACACGCTCACCACGAAAGATACCAAATGAGCCCAGATCCACGATCCGGCCAAGGTCGATACCAATAAAATCGGCGCCTAACCGCTCCACCCTCCTTAACCTCGACCCGAGACATCGGCAACTCTCTTCTATCGATGTGGATATCAATTCTGACATGGGGCTTGATGGACATCATGAATTTGGGGCGGTTGCATCATCCTTTGCTACGCAAATGGCTATGGCTACTGGCCAATTGAAAGCTCTGCATCGAGGCAATCAAGATCGCGAGGACGCTGATAGAATGAGTCGGCTAGTTTTAGCTCGAATGAAGACTCTTGAGGAGGGCCTCGCGGACGTCGCCAAAGAGATGAGAGTCTTGAGAAGTACAGTACCAACAGCACAGAACTCAGGCGACGACAATAGCTGGAAGACAAGTACAAGTAGCGAGATGCTATCCAGTAATAAAAATAAATCCGAGAAAGCGGTTAAGGGTAGAAAGAGCCGGCCCGGAAGTTCCAAGGAACAAAACTTTCCGCCAACTATGACTGTTCTAAAGAGTGGAGATTCAAAGGATAAGGGCAAGGAGGTTGCGAGATCTGAGACTGAGCCGGCCAAAAGTGTCTTAAGAAGAAGAGGAAGTTCGTTTTAATTGATCCGGGTACATGTATATGGGGTGTGTTGAGGGTTGCTGACTCTATAAAAGTCATGCATTCTGGCGTTTTTGGTTTGCTTGCTTCGAGGTTCAGGTGGCAGGTGTGAACGAGCTTAAGCTCCGGTTCGGTGCCGTCATGAAGGAGTTTGAGGGCATACCCGCCATCTGTGCATCTGATATGGTCATGATATGCCGTGTGGTAGGTTGTACTATTAGCCGGAACTGGGTTGTATAAAACAGCTTGCTAAGGCTGATGGTTATTCGCAACAATGAACACGATCAACAGGCCTTTAAAATTATTTTACTTTATTGGTGTCTTTGGTGTTATACTATTTTCATCTATTCGGTCTCTAACGTGATATTGAAAAACATCAACCATTCTTAGTCCGTACGTCTCTGGGTACACGTATTCGTCTAATTTGAAGCCAACCGAACCTACCAATTTATGGTAAGACATCAGGTTCAATTCATCAAATATTTGATTGAATCTGAACATATCCACCCTTAAGGTTCTCATGGTTGCCCTTCATATGTATATATTTCAATATGTCGTAGATCCCATCTCATTCTGGATTTTACTCTCGGATTCCCCTGATCTAGATCCCGCCACCACTCCTATCGACGCTAACGTAGAAGTTCGGGTGCTCGGCAGAGCTCTTCTGGGCTTTCTCGTTGCGGTTCATGGCGGATTGTTGGTATCTCACGGCAGCTACGATACCCGTTGCAGCGACGGCAGCGAGAGCGAGACCAGGGTGGCGAGCGCTACAGAGCCAAAGGTTAGTTTGGCAAGTTCTTGCATGTCTACGTGGATGTGTATAGGTAGTATAAGAAACAAGACCCATTGTCTGCACGCTGATTGTTGGAAGAGGGGATCCGAAACCGGGGGTGAGAACGAAACTCCTAGACTTACATGTTGAGACGTCCTCCGCTGACAATTCGTGATGCTCCGGTTCGATCCATGATTGTATCGGCTGTGAAGGCTGTTTGGATAGAAATAGCAATTATTATGCTTGTTTGAGTTCAGCCTAAGGATACGCTGCCCTAGGAACCTGGTACTCTCAGAGGATTGGTTGTTATGGCTATGATAGCTTGAATTATGATTCTTTGTATATGGTATACAATAAATACGACTCAGGGATCCATGTAATAGTTACCTTGTGTGTTAAGCAAGGAATATAAATGGTTGTATTATGTAATGTACCCTTTTATCTAGACAAAGAGAAGCTTGAGAAACTTTGAAGCTTGCCCAGACAAGGTGACAGAGGTTTATGTATTCAGATCCCAGGGTGTTGACCGCTATGTGCGTGTACCACGATGGCCACCCTAGCTGCCTGCCATCAAAAACCGATAAGATATTCTCCATATTTATGTCATACAAGGGGTAGTCGGTCTAGATTCCCCAGATTCTCGGTTGAGTGGGCAGATACTGGTGAGGTCCTAATGGTGCGATCGGATGCGGAACGAAAAAAATAAGGGAAGTTAAGGGAACCTGGTTGTGGGTGCCCTAAACTTTGACCGAAAAGGGACAAGGAGCACGCGAGCGAATGGGGTGCACTGAGAAGAAATCCTGGAAACTTACTAAACCTCATGAGTTTGCATTAGCGGGGGAATTTAGAGTTGGATTCGGTATTGGATTATCGGGTAAGGACGGGTTGCGACGTTTAAAGCTTGGAAACCATTGGAGATGCGGGGTAGGCTGAAGCAAAAACTTTAGAAACCAGTTCTACTATTCATTTATAAAACCAGTTGACTTAGCTGCCTAACAGCTTAGGTACCTAGTATATAGGTAGGTGCCTACAATTAATCATCTCTTAAAATGACATATCAATTCTTAAATCTACCCTGTCAGTCTGTTCGCAATATGTCTACTGATACGTCTACCTCCAGCCAATCGCCACCTCAATGCATTTGTAGTAGGCAGCTTTAAAAGCAGTCAAATATGATTCTCACCTTAGCATACTACCTACATAGTAGATACTTACCTAGTAGGTATCCATGGATGTATTCAAGAAAGGTAAGTGTCCATGACTTACATGTATACCTGTTTCTATACCAAACCATGATACTATATACCAAACACAGCCTCTGATTGACGCGGCACAGGTACCTACTTCATTAGATATATCTAAGCCACTTCTGAAAAACCTATACTTCCTAGTACCTAGGCACAGTCCGTCTGAAGTGCACCAGCACGGTGCCATAGGGCTAGAAAGAGTGACCGTGTTAAATACACAGTTAAAATGCAGTCATATTTCGAGACAATGTTGACCAATCATGGTACGAGAGAGGTGCGTTATAGTGGCTGAAGCGGCGCGGACTTTTCTGCAGTAACGGCATGTGGTAGGTACCTACGTTATACATGAACATGGGTAAAGTTTGCCACTTCGTGCAGGGTACAGGGGTATCTACACATCGAGACAAGAGCTCTGGAAGCTTACAGGTAAGGCAGTCGTGAGGCATCAGCCAAAAGGCAGCTACTACTACAGCCTTGCCATCTATTTGATTTCTCATTCCTTTTTAAATCTCATCTCTTCCCTCACAATATACTTCTTCCATCTCTTTAATTTCCTGTATACTTTTCCATTTTGCCCAGCCTTAGTCTTGGATACCCCTCCGTAATATCCATACGCGCAACTTATCACCAATTACTCTGGCAAACCCAGGTCGTCGTCTTACTTTGGTCGCTTTAGACGATCCTTATACTCACCATGTCCACACAAGATACAGAGGGACAGGGCCAGGAGCAGAACATGCAAGAAAGATCGGATTCTCCTATACCATCTACTTCGCCTATTCCGTCAACCCAACCCCCTCCCCAAGGTTCCCTACTTGATGCGGCTATCAGCCAATTGCTCAAAGAGCACCCAAGTCAAGGGAGCAGAACCTACGATTCCGATCATCGAGAACATCGAGATATCAATTTGATCCATCAAGTTTCAATTGAATGTCAATCCGGTGATACATTAATCATAGTTAACTTCCCTCAAGGCTATAAGAATTGTAAACGGGAAACGGTAGGCGCATTTCCAGACATTCAAATATCATATACCTATATAAATATATATATATATATTTTCTTATGTCTTCATAAAGCCCATCCATCTACACAACAGATAGGGAATACCCTATGATCAAATGGGCATCTCGATATAGAGCTGATTCAGGGTGCGTCGTAGTGGACCTCGAAACGATTCCACGCCAATTCGGAAAATCTTCTTGCTACTGGTTCGAAAGTGTTCGCACAGCTATTGTCCCCCGAGGGACAGGCCCGTATCCGGAAGAGGATCGGTGAACCTCTCCCACAGAAATATGTTCTTGATCTTACACCTTCGGTCGAAGGAGATGAGTTGGCAGCTCAGCTTATGGAACTATCTCTCCCTCTCGGCGTGAGAGACTGGTGGATGTCCAAAGAGAGGCTTGGAATATCGAAATATTTTGTTTCGGGACACGACGACCACTGCCCTGCTCATAATGAAGTCCCTATCGACTGCAAGAAGACTGATGAGTATATTGATCATGACATGGGAAGAGAGGTACTCCCAAAAATTGATCTGGACCATATCATATTGTCGGAATCTAGGGCCATCCTTGATTATTGTCCAATCCGGCATCGCGCTAACATCATTCGCCTCGTCTTAGCCATCCAGGGCCACGACTTAGTCTTGAACTCTGCACCGCGGGCATATACTCTCACCGGCATTGCGAGAATACTGGATTGTACCAATGCCATTGTAAGCGGATCCCCGAACTAATTGCCTATCACAAGAAGGGTACTAACTTGATGTTTTAGCGGGACTCGGTGTGCACATGGTTGATGGTAGAGCCTAACACCGACTTTGTTGATATCAACACCGAGGCTGCCTTCACGATGGCATGGAAACTGGAACTATCCAACGTCACCCGAGCCGCCTTTCGTGTTCTCGTAGTTGAGAGGGCCCTTGATACTCTAGCTGCTGAGCCTCGTGTGGACGCAGCTCGGTATACAATATTCGGTCGTCCTCGTGTAGACCTTTCCGACGATTTGCAAACGGTCGTTCAATATGCAACACTTAAGCTTGTCGACCGTGTCCAGCAGATCCTCGCAAAGTTGAAATCTGATCAGTTTTACGATCTGCTCGGAATATCGGAATATCAGAAGTTCGTGCAGACGGGCAATCTCATTCGCAGCGCTCTTTCTGCCAATACGAGCCACGATACCGAACAATCACCGCCAGAAGAACTATGCGAATTATCCACACGGTACACGGCCCTTCTTAATAGATTACTAGAATATAATGGTCGGATCGTGTGCGAGGCAATGGATTCCTCGCCTGGTAATGACCTGCAAAGAGACTACGATCGCGACCGTCGATGCTATGTCCCAGCTACGAGATGGAACCCCACTGCCCTCATCTACAAAAACTTCACTGATGCTCAGCATCTGCTAACTCCAACCTTCTGGGAGGAGCTGACATCAATACCCTACGCGTATACCAGAGAAACCTATCCGGACCACTTTTTAGGCGATACCATAGATGCGTTCAACGCCAAGCTGAACAATAATATTCGCTATCTTGCTCCTACCAGCGGAGATTTGTTTGGAATTAGGGTGTATGACAACTTCTATTTTGATCTACCTAAGTTCCGCGACCAACTTCATACTGCTATAGAGCGTTTAATGTTCATCTGGACGAAACCGGACTCGGAAGCCCCTCTGACCCGATCGAGGCATTTGCTTCTAGCATTATCGGACGAGGAGTTCCAGTACCTCCCACTTTGGGCTGGTGGATTTGATGATGGCACGGGTGGTGTTTTCGAACCTACTGTACCGGACGCCGACCTTGGCCCCATCGGACCCGGCCCAGCATATCGCACCGGTGAGACGGTGACGACGGATGTCTCGAGTATCTGCCAATCGGACAAGACGCCCAGTCAAGCTAGCACCGTTACCCTAACAGCCGGACGGTCGCTGGCCGCTGTGCCTTCTAACGCAGTGCCTACTACTATAAACGATGGCGTATCTATGGGAGGAACAAACACTATGTCTACATCCTCTATCGTCATGGTGGATGACGTAAACGAGCTGGACGATGATACCGACGATGCGTTCGAATTCGACGATAGCGACGAAATCAGCGATGAGGCTTGGTCTCAGGTCGAAGAACCTTAAGCTCAATCATCCAAGGCAAATCCGGGGTACTTATGTTGTTGATTAGGTAGCATGGCGGCTTCATGAATTCTTTTCGTTCTTGGCGCTTTTATGTTGTGGGAGATATGAGCCATGATGGGATGATCTAGCAAGCGAGTTTTCTTGGTATTAAGGGGTGAGGATATATCCCATTGGATTTTACGACTCCTTAATTAGTAACCACCTTCGGTTGTGTTTGTAATAGCCTTCTAGAGTAGGTGTGAGATGGTTAGAGGATATATTCGCCCTGAGCGATATTTACCTAGGCGACTTGGTTACGTATTATTCCCTACCTACCTAGTGTACCTAGTCAGGTACCTGAGCGGGCAATAATAGGTACTGTTTCAATTGTCTGGTGTTATGGCCCTAAGGTGATTGTAAACGAGATGCTTGGTGGGTCGGGCTCAACTCAACAGAAAACCGGCGATCCCAGGTAGGCCGAATTGAAAGAGATCGCCTCTGACGTCATTTGTGGCTTTTTTTAAAATATTAGGTACGTATATTGGTATCGTTTGTAATACGGTCACAGTGTGAAAGTACATAGACGAGTTCATCTGAATATGAGATGGCCGGAATCTTTATTTTACCTCGGATCACGCATGTACCCGTAGGTATCAAGAGCTACATGTAGCTAGGTAGCTAGCGACCAATTACCACCCTCCGCCGATCTTAAGTAGTGTACAAAGCAAGCATAATACATTGAGGAATCATTGCAGAAAAAGCAAAACAGAAAGTATCATTCCCCCTTCAAAATGCCAAGCAGCAGTAGCAATGGCATGCATTCGGACATCTCATGTGAATTCCAGGTAATTGACCAACTCCTCTCTCCCTTTTCCTTTTCTAAACGCCGGTTTCCATGTTCGTCAGTGTCTCTGTTGCGCCGTTTAGTTCAATGCAGACCCCCTTCCTGCGTCACGTGTATGATGAGATGGTTGCCTAGTCTATGCGTGGTAATGGGAACATAAACGTGGAAATGAAGCCAGATCCATAGGTGTTAATGGAAATTTCCCGGACGTTGACAATGATCTTAATCAAATCCATTCCATATCGACGTCGGCGCCGGCTTCCATCGCCTCTGTACTCTGCTTTTTAGGTCGGCCTCGGGGTCTTGGCTTCGAGTTAGACCGTGCCCGCTTCTTTCGTCCGCCGGGTGCATTGCCTGCCTTCCTCTTGCGACCGCGGGGATCATGATCGGCCGCGTCTTCATCGTCGTCTCCATCTGGAGAAGCTGCCTCCCCGTCGAGATCAAACTCGTCCTCTTCCTCGGGAACTTTGACTTCGTTGTCGACGTTCAAGAGCTCCACAAATGCCCGGCATTGTTCGATCATGTGTTCCGGTGTGTCGAATGCAGACATAATTCTGGATACGTCATCCCAGAATTTGTCTCCGGTGACACCCTGAACCTTGACCGGGGACTTGGCGAGATCCTTCGGGGCACTCTTTCCCTTGCTCTCGCGCCGGCTGGAGCTAAGCCCATACAAACGGCGTAGGTACGTACGGACCTCCCAAAGGGCAAGAAGGATCACTGAACCAGCTGCTAGTTGATGGAGCCGTTGGGGATCGACAGTAGGCGGCGCCGGAGCAATAGGCTGTTCTTCGCCACTAACGATTTGCTGGGAGATAGAGATCGGATCCATTCGTACATGAAAGATCTCGGACTCGATTGCTTGAGCGATACTAGATCCCGTTCCAGTCACCATTTTCTCCATGGTAATAACTGTAGTCTGCAGCTCGCCGATCGTGACGAACTCAAAGAATGCGATATTCTCGATTATAAACCGAGAAAATTGTACGTGTGAAGATAATGCCTGACCTGCGGGAAGCTTCGAAAGGTCGAAGTCGATTTGCCCAACAAGTTTCTCGAGAAATCGAACGCGGTTTTTCGATTTGCTGATTTTCAACACTTCAGTGAGAAGATGAAGTTTTGACATAAAAGGGTGCTCGGTCGCGCCTCGTGGGTCTTTGATAATATCACGTTGGTACTGAAAAGCTGATTGTATCGCTTTTGCATACTCCCGCTCGAGCACGCTCTCATATTTCTCGTGAAGTGCCCTATGCTCATGATATGCCAATTCCGAGATCTTGGGCACTGGGCAGGTCTCAAGAGTAATAAGTGTGACCCCGGTCTCTTTCGGATGCACGAGACCTTGCCTATTGATGCTTGCTAATACCTCCATGGCGAGAAAGGCGTGGTCATCATGAGTCGCAAGCGTAATACGAGTGATGTCTTTTAGGAACCGCTGCGTGGTCGCACTGGCAACGTCATCGAAACTGGTGCCGCCCATAACTTTGAGATCCCTCTTAACGGATTCTTTGCCTGCGGCCGCTTGCTCGGAACGCTGCTCTTCTATCAATAGGAATTCCTTGAAAGATCGAAGGATCATTGACTCCAAAACCGGCATGCGCTCATCGAAAGCTTGTTGGAAGGTGGTATAGACATTGGCAGACACGTAATTCCTAGGGTTGGATTGGCAGATGAGCCCAATGGCATCCAGTGCTGGCCGCCTCACATCAACTGGCCGGGAAGGGTTTGCAAAAGGGACGAGAACATCCACCATGAGTTTTGATACGGAACCCTTCCACTTTGGCAGATTGGGCTTGGACTTGAAGTGCTCTTCTTGGCTGTCTAGGCTGCAATGTTTGCCAATCATTCCAACGATGAGGGAATATCGGTCAAACTGTCTGATCTTTGTCCGGTCAAGCGGTCCCTTGCCACTCATCAACTGGATATTCTTAAGGCATGATAGCACCAGGTGAGTAGGTGGCTTGAACGTCTCGAGGAGTTCGCTAATGATCCAGACACATGCCACAACATCGTCCAGTAGTGCCCTCGTGACTTTGGAGGTTGCGGGCATGAGGGATCTTTGAACCTCGACGAGGAAGTTCGAATGCACACTTGACACCTGGGGCAGCACACGACGATATATGACGACTACAGCTCTCGAGACCGTCAAGTCTTCGCTAGTGCTGACGCTAGCAATATGAGGCTGTAGTTGCCGGATCTGCTCAAAAGTGAACAGCTTGGGATCGGCTTTTGCGAAAATCATCAAGACTTGGAAAGCATCTCTGCTGGAAGGAATTGATGGGTCGTCCGATTCGGGATTGCCGATAAGGTCGACCAAGTCGGCCACAAGTCTTGTGCAAACTCGAGAGTTAGCTTCTGCAAGCTTATAGTCGGGCGAGAGGATTGTCTGAAAGACCTTGTCTAGGACGAGCGCGGTATTTCCCTGCTTGACGGTCTGGACCATTAGAGCAACATGGTCGGTGAGAGCCTGTTTGAAAGCAACTGAGTCGTCCTCCTTGTAAAAAGGGGAGATCCAAACTTCTTCTATCATCTGTCTTGCAAGCTCCCGTACGCCCTCATCCGGATCTTGTGTACGATGTAGCAGTCCGTTTGCAATGGTGCTTCGAACTACTTTGCTCTCGTTACCGAGGTAAATGTCTTTGGCCAACTTCATCGCTCTTTTTCGCACACCTATTCCGGAATCGATGAATCTTTGGATGACTGTTGGCGTCATCTTCTCCTCTAGCCTAGGGCGCATGGCCATGCACTTCCCGATGAGACCCAGGGCCGAGTCTCGTACTTGGGGCGAGGAGTCATTAGAACACTGAAGGATGAGCTGGATGAACACACTATCGCCGTCCAGGATGGTCGGATCTGTGTCGAGCACGAGATTGATACTCTTAAGACTACGACTACGCACAGTTGCCTGATCCGTAGTCATTGATCCCATCAGTATGTTTAGGATATTTTTGAATGAGGCGCAAAAGTTTGACCGGAGGAGGATCGTTGAATGAGAAAGCTTTGCGTGGCTAGGAACCACCGATTTGAAGCTGTATTCGCGCGAGAGCCATTTCGGGTCGTCGATCATGTTGCGAAGGCGAAATGCAATTCTCCCGAGCTCGGAATCCCGTTCCTCTGGCTCCTCATTCGCAACGGAGTCATAACCAAGGCTAACCTGTGATCCCCAGTCTGTGATAAGGTAGGAGATGGCACCTTTGAGATAAGGGTCGTCACCTAGGCGATCTTGCAGGTGTTCCAAGACAACGCGATATGGTCCTAGCCAACTAATGGTCTTTTCCGTTGACATGTTGCCTTCAAGAACGTTGAGAGTCAGATCAGCTAACCACCGACCGAGTTCATCCGAGTCGCTTCCCTCAAAATTAGTAGCGGTCTTCCGGACATAAGATCGCAATCTCGAGATAGCCGCAGCCATAACACCGAGAAGTTCCAGGGCCATATTTCTTGCGGGTGCCGCATTTTTATCACCATCCACCTGTTGGAACATCATGTACATTGTGAGCCGAAGCAACAGTTCTGCCGCAGGCCAATCTGGAGAGTCTAAACAGGTAGTGAAGTCTTCGATGAACAAGTCTAATAGGTTTCGATACGGCGTATCTCCGGACTTGGTGGATTTCAGTGCTCGCTTCACTATGAAGTTAACGACATACGTGGCGTTGCGATAAGCGCCGTCCGCAAGCGTCTTCGCAAGAGCCTGTAACTCTTGGATGGCCGTTGAGTGCTGGACTGCAGCATTGGTCTCCGTTTTGATCGCGTAGGTGGGTTCTGCTTTGCCGTTGACGCCATCGGATAATGTGTGGCCACCGCTCCCATCATCTTCTGCCAGACTCTGCATCATCCGACCACGAAGCTTTTCTTTGCGATCATCTACCTTTCCAGCACTTGCCTGGATGAGTCGCATGATCAGTGCTGAAACGGGCTGGATACTTTTGCCTTCCGAAAGTTTGAACTGCCTCGCGCTCTGCTTTCCTATAGGCAACTTCTCTAGAGAAGTTAGGATTTCATTAAAGATTCCCTCTCTCTGGGCAGGGTTCATCAAGAATATTTGCGACAATACGTTCATGGCGACCAGACGAAGGGCATCAAATTTCTGGACACCTACGACCGAATCCCTCTCTGTGTGAGCATTCTCCACGAATATTAGACGCGATGCCACGAACTCTAGAGTGTGTACAACGGTCTCAGAGAGGTCAATGCTAACTATCAAGTCAGACATCAGAGAGAAGACCTTCTGGCAAGTAGTGAAAAGAGTGCCGATGACTTTCTTGTGTATCGTTAACAGGCGGAATATGTTACTGGTGGGACCGGTGCTCCGCAACTCGGCTGTTGGGATGATAATGTCACTGATGACATTTCTGAAGAGATTTAAACCTTGTTGGATTAGGTCTTCAGAATACAGCTGTCTCTCTTCCCGACCGCCGCACATGATGCGGAACGATGTGCGCGCAGCTTTGAGGCCCATCTCGATGCCATTGAGCTGTTGTGCCCAAAACCCGATGTCGGTTTCTCCCCACGCCTCATCTAGCTTGAAATCGAGCGATTCTGTTTGCTTCAAAGAGCCTTCGCTCAAGGTCTGGATTCGAAGTAGATCATGTAGAGGCGCTTGGCGGAAACATCCAAGGCTAATGACCCTATTTATTTGCTTATGAGCTTTATCATGCGCAGCTATTGTCATGGTAGGTTCCTGATCATTCGTCAACGTAATTAGATGCGATGTAGCACCTCGCTCGTTCGATAGGTAGTCATCGGCAGAAAATATCTCCTGGAAACATCTGCGCAAGTCCCCAAAAGCGGCATTAGCAAGTTCGCGCTGGTTGAGCTCTCCTCCAAGGGCATCTTCGAACTCATCTTGTGCGGCGCGTTTCCTTTTCGCAGATAAGTGTGCCGGAAGTTCAGGCGCATCGGGAACTACAGCGAATTCGTTTTTATCAAAGCTAGCCGCTGGTAGTTCGATTTGAATGGCAACATGCTTAAGAGAAGACGCCGATGATGGTGGAGGTTGATCTTGCTCCGGCACATGCGACAACTGCTGAGGAGCATCCGATAATTCGGTCTTGGGTATGATAGCCTGCGGTGTTGGGGTTTCTGGTTCTACCTTCGGGGCTGGTGAAGGTAGCACTTGTGAGGGTTGTGAAACCGGAAGTGTGGGTGGCTTTGGTGTCACCATCAGATCGGCAAGTGAAACTGTCTGGGCTTGAATTTGGGCTGCTATAGGTGATGATGGAGCGGGAGGTCTGGGAGGAGTGTAGATGGCAGCGGCAGTATTTAGCTCTTTTCTGGTGGGCAGATGAATTTCAATGCGAGACTTGTTATGAGCAACTGCTTGCGCATTTGAGGTAGCAGGATTATGTTTAACTACCTTAGGTGGCTCTTGTCTGCGTGCCTTGGGAGACGACTTCTTCGAGATTCGAGGAGACATGCCGTGACCGTGACCTTGGCCGTAGCTGTGACCGTGGCCATTCGGTGTAGAAGCATCTGTGGTCTCGGTGTTGGAATAACGGAAAGAGATGGAGGTATTGTCATAAATCAGCTTAGCGAAGGGTGAAATTCCATCGGCGACACTTTTGGTTGGCTTGTTAAGTGGTAATGTAGCTATCGGCGAAGTTTTGAACTGGCTGTTACAATTTCTGTCAATACATGCATGATATATGACAAGACACATAAATTGGAAGAGTTCAATGGATATGCTCACAAGTGCGTGATCTTGTCCGTCTTCAGGAGATGCTGCACGAATTCAAGGCTTCCCTCAACACGCTTCGAGTGGCTAGATATCTCAGCTTCTTTATTTAAGGCATCGTAATCTTCCCTAGAGACTAGGCCGGCGAGAGATGGTGCGAGAGGACCAGAACCAATCGTAGGATTTCTAATGATATCTTTTCGAGATTTAAACTTCTCGTTAGGTTCAAGGTCACGCGGGAAAAGTGCTTAACGTCTAGTGTCTAATGTCTAATCGCGCAAAGTGCAACAACGACAGAGAGGAAGGGGAGAGGCAGGAGCGACCAGAGGATTTAAGACTCACCTGGTTCAAATGGAAAGACCGACGTGAAGGGAGTATAAGGAAGGGCTTCGCCTAAGGTGAAGGGTTTCGAAATATTCGGCTGTGGTTGATATACGCCTGAACCAGGACCGGGCTGCGGATAGCCTTGTTGATGAAAGTGAGGCGCGATGCCATTCTGATTGCTTGATTGAGGGTTTGCCATCGTGATCCAAGCCTCTTATACAAGCCTCCGATACACTACAATCAAGCTATTTGGTTTCCAGCCGTGCTGAAGTAGGTATGTTTCCTACCTCATCGCAATCACCGTCGCGGTAAGATGTGTAACCGGAGCGTGAATTGTGCCATACGTAGCAGTTGGGTGTTGTTTGTCTAGTTTTGTCGGGCTTTTCGGGCTTGTCGGGATTGTTGGGCTGGTCAGGTCTAATTACGACTTCGAAGGTTGATGTATTGCGGAAGATGAGAATGGAAAGTTTAACTTGAGATGCTAGACGGGAACAGCCTGATACCTAGTCCAGCCTTGCGCAAGTCAGGAAGCTTTAGGTAATTTCATTGAGGCGCATGTGGATTGCATTGCGACCTATTGGTGAGTACTAGGTACTGCCTGGATAACAGGCTTGCACATGTGCACATTCCATGCACAGCTTTATGTAGCCTTTGTTTTATGTACATCTACATATGTATGTAACCAAGTACCTGTATATAATAAAGCGGATCCATGTAGCTAGTCTAGTACCAATCAGCACTAGCTTTGTGGGTATTTAGATTATCGATAAAGTGAATCTACAGTAGTACGAAGTACTAACCTATCGATAATCAAGATGACATTTTCTCTTCTGTTACAAAAATCTTCTCCAGAACAGCAAGCTTCCATCACGACAATGGCAGCTATAGGCTCCTTGATCTTTTGTACCGACTGCGGGAACCTACTCCCTGTATCCAAAGGAAACGAAAAAAATATTCTCAATTGCGATTGCTGTGGTGCTGAGAATCAAGGTTAGTCATATCAACGCATCCAATATCGTACGCTCCTTTTTTTAAATGTTAACCAGTTACACTTATTAATATTGTTAATCGGCAGATACGGCAGCGAAGACGACTGTGACAGAGAGCAAACCCTCGGACTTCCCCTCCTTGCTTCGACAGAAACTCTCAATTGTACAATCAGTAAAGCGACACGATGTCCAGACAGAAGCTGTCATAAACGAGACGTGTGAGAAATGCGGGCGCACTGAAGTTAGATATACAGCAGTGCAGCTACGCGGTGCTGATGAAGGCAGTACAATCTTTTTCACTTGCGAATGTGGTCATAAGTATGTTTTATTCTCTATTGCCGATCGAGCGCAGCTAACCAGGAATCTTAAAAATAGATGGAACACAAACAATTGAGATTTTTCTAATAGAGAGCACCCTGTAAATTTCTCGAGTAGTTGCCATAAACTCAAACGCAAGTCGTGTAAAATAAAGCCATGCGCATGCGCGTTCTTTTTTGGTATCCTTCAGCCAACCCCCCATATAACGCCAATCCTACCTATCCTATGCCACTGCCTTTGGAGCTTCTGGAATAAGCGCATACTCAGCTTGGTTTGATTGTTCATAATCAACCATGTCTAGAGCAACGACGACGCTCTCGCGCACAACCTTCTCTTCATCATGAAGAAATTTCTTCAAGACTTCCTCGACACCCTCCTCTTCACCAAGACTTCCAAGTGCCTCTGCCGCTTCATGTCGAACCATACTAGCCTCCTTGAGATCGCTTAGAGCGGAGGTGAGAGCTGGGATTGAGGCTGGATGAGAGAGTTGGCCGAAGACAAAAGCAATCTCGTGGCGAAATAAGGCCGAGGAGTCGGCGAAACCCTTAGCTAAGGCAAGGACGGCAGGCACGGCGGTTGGGAGGTCCGGCGGCGATGCAAGATCGCGAAGCGCAAACATGGCTCGGTATCTAAGGAAGAGGGGTAGATTCGTGTCCATCAAAGTCTTTTCCAAGTCTTGGACCGTCTGCTCGGAGTTAGGCATCGGAGGAGCGGGGTCGACCGAGGCGAAATCGCTATTATTTTCCCTTGCAGTTAGGCCTCGTGAACCTCACACATGTAGTCAATACGTAAGCAAGTAGATGTTATGCATACCTTTGGCGTAGCTTTTCAGCTTTCCGTTGTTCCGAGTTTTCCCACTCGATTCTGTCAATAGCAATCTCGCAAGTCTCAATGATAACCACATCTTCGCCCTCGCGATCGCGGAACTTGCGCAAGATATCCAAGTTTCCAGCATCGCCTAGAGCGCCTAGAGCCTCCGCCGCTTCATGTCGGCACATTGGATCTTCTTGCAAATCTGCCAAGACTTTCTCGAGGTAGGGAACAGCAGCTAGGTTAGCCGACTGACCTAGGCAGTAAGCCAGCTCATGTTTAAGAAGCGCAGATGGGGAGGCGAAACCAGCGGCGATAGCATCTAAGGCGGCGAGGGCTCTGTCGCCTGTCTCGTGTCGTGCTAAATGTTTGAGGGAGAATAGGGCGCGGAATCGGATGGGTAGTGGGGTAGCTTCGGAGCAGAGAGATTCGCGAAGGCTCGCGATAGTTGCTGAATTATCTGTTTCGGATGCCATGATCTGTAAATATGTGATAGCTAGATTTTATTGGCTAGCGAAGTCAGATATCAGTTTAAAGTTCGTGAAATTGAAGAGAATAGTGCGATGAAAAGACTGAGCCTTTAAAAATACCAAATCTTTTAGCTTTGCGAAATTTCAAGCGATGACTTCTGTATGTAAGTTTATTTTTATTTTACGATAAGGCAGGCGACCCCTCTATCGCACTGAAGGTACCTAGCTACATAGCAGACCCAAGCCTCGGATCCCTGTACGACGCGAGTATCGCCGTCCGCTAGGCAATTCCAAGGTTGATAAATTTTCATTTCATTGGCTAGTAGAGCTCATTGCAACAAAACGTTATAGTCCTTAGATCCAGCAACTTTTAACAATGTCTGATATGGCTGCAAGATGAATTAAACATACTTGTCGGTTTCCTGGTGTAATGGCTAGCACTGCGGATTCTGATTCCGCCAATCTGGGTTCGATTCCCAGGGAGACCTCTCTTTTTAATTACCATTCCCTCCCATCTGCCTTCCTAACTTATTCTTTTTAAACGAAGAATACAAAGCTTTTCTAATCTGAATTAAGGCAGTAAGGTTTTTAAATACCATTCCACTAATAGAGAAGGTACTGTCAAGTTTTAGTATTTTATTCACTAGGCAGGTATGTATCTAGTATGTACCGACCTAATGTACTAGGTACATAAAGGCAGCATTCGTACCGTACAAACTTTCGATTCCCCTATAAAAGTTAAAATGATATGCGCTAAAATGCATGTGTTTAAGTGGTATGAGAACAACGTGACTGAGTTCCTTTTAATATTTTCGCACTCGTCATCAACACTTTGCTGATTTGTATTTTCGCATCTTCATGTTCTCAGTTCTCTCGCGATTTCCACTTCAAAATAGCAGGATGGCATTGCATTCTGCAAGTGTAAGTAGCAAGCTCATCTGTATGTAACACTGCTTCATCCAACCACATAACAGGTTTAGAGGCTTATCACTAGATTAGTTGCGCCCGCAGGCAAAGAGGATCACGGGCAGGCAGAACAATTCACCAGAGGCGCATTAACTCGCTCAGATCTGGATCAAGCCTCGCCCATCCGTCAATTTCATATATGGTTTGAAGCGGCCCAAAGGTCTGGTCTTGTCGCCCATCCTGAAACATGCTGCTTAGCCACAGCATCGCTACCCTCTGGCCGTGTGTCATCACGCATGGTCTACCTAAAAGAACTTGATCCCCAGGGATTCGTCATCTACAGTAACTTTGGGACAAGCAAGAAAGCTCAGGACCTTTGCACAAACCCTTGGGCTAGCCTTACTTTCTGGTGGGAAGACCTTGAACGCCAGGTGAGAGTAGAGGGTCGAGCAAGCAGGCTGACCCGCGAAGAGAGTCAAAAGTATTTTGACACGAGGGTTCGTGGCAGCCGGATTGGTGCCTGGTCAAGTCGTCAAAGCCAGGTCTTAAAGCCGATCCGAGGGGACACCGGTGCCGAAGAAGACGACGGACGAAAAGTTCTTGACGCGTGGGTCGAAGAGACCGAAAAACGATTCGAGGGCGAACAGGACATCCCAGTCCCTGACTTTTGGGGCGGCTTGAGAATAATACCCGAGTCTATGGAATTTTGGCAAGGTCGGCAGAGTCGATTGCATGATCGTTTTGTCTACAACAAGAAAGCATCCGCAGATGAAACTGTGCAGGAATGGGCCTTGGAAAGGCTTAGCCCATGACAAGCCGTCGGCGTATCTCAGATCCATCTAGCGTGGATCTTCTCAACCTCAAGATGCAGGTGGCTATATTCCAAAATCGGGAAGAATGTTGCAATCGACAGTTGCAGTCATTATCTTTTTGCCGTTTCGTAATTCCGATATCCCACAAAGCCTCTTTCGGACCCCCACTTTCGTCACCGGTTCCCCCCCTTGACAGATAGCCAGCTAATTAGAAGTACAGCTAGATGATTAATACCCTACCTAGGTAGATACCTAATCAAAGTATGCATACTATTACCACGCCTCACAGCCTTGTGGCATCGTCAAAGTCCGGTAGCGGATATTCTTTAGAAAAGTCCTGTTTCACCCAATGAACCCTTTTAATTCGCATGGGGGTCCTAATTGCTAATCTTTAGGCTCTCTGAATTATGGCAATAGATATGGTGATCGATGTATTAACGGCCAGCTGTGTAGTGATCGCGATGCGGACTTCGCTCCTTACTCGTCGATCATCGACTGGGCTAATACATATAAGGAGGTTTTAAGCCAATTGTGGGTGCAGGGCAGAGACGGCTGTTGTTGCAGGTGTACCTATCTGGAAGATGATGTCTGTGGCGATAGAATCCTATGGAAATTGTTAGTTAGGTACATGTCTAAGACCCGCTGAGAAATATCAGATACATGATACAATGCGAAGTATTTCGTAGAGTGCTTCCTCCTCAGGACTCGGATCATAACATGAAGGTTTGATATTTGGGCATATCTGATGTATTTACGCGTTCAAAGAACATATTGTATTACTTCACCAAGTTCCACTAACAAATCAACTACCTGCACACGGATCTACATCGTCGAGTGAGACTAATTGTATAGCATCATTACGCACCCAAATCCCGACCCGTTCATTAGCGAGAAATAGACATCAGGGTTCACTAAATGAACCACCAAATTCAATGCTCTAACGCCACTGGCGTCTTGCATGCGGTATTCTCCAAGTCTCTAACTCAACTTCAACCTGCATACATATAAGCCTCCTGCGGGTCTTAAATGCATCTCGTCGCAAACATCTACCTGTAATGGCACTCGTCTGGCTACAATTGATCCGCTGTAGTCATATATCATGTCCACCAAACGATAAGTAGATACAACCATATCAAGAAAAAGATGTTTCGTGCAAATGCCGAACCGCTCTACCGTATCTACGGTGAGGTTCGGGGAGAAAGGCGGCTTATAGCCCACCATTAGACTGATTTGGTCACCATACCTAAGTCCGTTCAATGTTAAAGGAATCAAGACAGCTCTAGATCATATGAAGATTCCCTATTAGACATCCAGCAGATCTGATAGGTGGTCGGCAATCGCACGAAACAGGCTAGGTGTGTTCGATGTTAGGAACCATTTGAATGAAACCTCTCATGGTCAACTTGAAGTATAAATATCTAGGTAAGTAGACATTCAAGCGTATCCCCTCTTATTCTAGCAGCAGACGGGCAGCCATCCTTGGCGGTGGCTTATATAAAATACAATTCAACTCTTTTCTCTTTTGTATTCCCTATTCAGATCCAACCAACTTCCAGCCTAGTTTGTTTACCTAACCATGGGCTATACGGTTATATAAACAATCGCTCATCATCATGATACTCGTCGTTACCTCGTCGGGCCTCACAATATTCCACAAGGCTATGATGACTTGAAATCAACACTTATTCGAACCTATCAATACATATATCAATACATATCAAGAATCTTGTGAGAACGGAGGATCCCACAAGTCAAGTAGTTCAAATCATACCGATACTAAGGATGTTCTATCGCCCACTACTCTAGGGTTGCCCATTTCCGTTTTTATACCTATGTATTAGGTATTTAACATGGCAAAATTAAGCGAGCCAGATCTTGTTAGAATACGAAATAACCAAAGGAGATCACGGGCTCGACACAAGAAGTACGTGGCAGACCTTGAAGAGCGACTAAGGCAGTGCGAGACGAAGGGCGTCGAAGCCAACTCACAGATTCAACAAGCGGCCCGAAAGGTCGTACAAGAAAATAGGAGACTTTCAGGTCTTCTTAATAACCTAGGATTTGACAACGAGAAGATAAGTTACTTTCTTCAAACCGGCCAGCTCGATGTCAGTAATGTCACAACCCCAAAATTTCTTCACGACCCAGAAAGCATGAGCCAAACACCAGATCTCCGCCTGCAACAGACTGACCTTTCCACATTCGATTATAATACCCCTACAAGCACCGCCTGCTCTCCTTCTGAGCTAAGCAGCATTGGTGGCGATGTTACATATGCTCTTATAAACGGTCAGGAGCCAACCCAAGCTTTTACTACTGGGGTAGGAGAGCATGTACAGCTACATAGTCCATGCGCGACGAGTAATATTGCTCTTCAACTCGAAAGCCATGGCCTCCCGGAGTACTCGGCATCCGATCTTCCTCCCAGTTATCCCATCGCTGGATCGCAGCAACATCCACCTGGCCTGACTTATCAGCCCAGAGGGTCTCAACTCTTAGACTCTATTCAATATATGACAGATATAGACTGCACCTCACACGAAGAGGAAGCGGGAAAGAAATGGCATATGACGGACGAGCCTGTGATGGCTTCATATCCAGCACGAGAGAGAGATATCAGCTACTCTATATCGCCTGAGAACGTGTACCAGGACTTTCATTATCAAAATTACACCTATTCTGATTATTCATCAATTGGGGAATACGATAAAGACGTAGCCAATGTGATGAGTGTCTATTTATGCTCTTCAGATAATACCTAACGTGGATATTCTTGCCTGAGGAGGCATAGGAGGGGGGATAGAAATGATAATGTAAGCACATCATTCAATGCCTGAGCCAGTTGACTAAATTCCTGTAGATTGTGAACAATCCAATTGCAGACTGTCAGTGTGGATTCAAAGCCGCATTCCAGAACTGTTGTCTGCTACCAACGACCGCATTTGGCAACCTACCTCCTGAGGAAACTATGGGCCTTTGTCTTATAATTCCCGCGAAAAAAGGTCTGCAAGCGAATATCGCGTGCAAGCAAACATGGGTGCCGGTTCTTGTCGTTATCGCTGTTTTCGGCAAGGGGAGAAGGGTTGAATGTTACAAAGCTAAACAGCGATTCTTTGTCCAGTGTCTTATTATTAACGAGATTGGCGAATTTCGATATCGTCGTAGATCTGATACTAAAAAAAATATCTTAATGAATTATTATTTAGTAGTGAAGCTGTATCATTTTCACCAACTCTCACTTTTCAACTACCAAGTCTGTGTGTAAGCACCGACAAACATAACCACCAAAAACAACCTACAAAAAGAATATACATACAAATTTCTGTCATTACGAAAACTACAATTTTACCACATCTGGTTATTCCGTTGTCTCCCCTTAGCCAAAGAGATTTTGAATTTATCTTACCTCGATTCATCCTCGGGCTGACGCCCAGAACAATTGCACTAGACCTCTAGTACGAGAAGCAATATGGATTATGATGGCTGGTTTAACATACCTCAAGAGGCCAAAGACCATTTATTTCCATCTAGTCGGGTGATGTCTAGGTCCAATGTACCGGGACCAATTAGAACCTCGAGACGGGCAACCCCTAGGTCGACCTGGAGCGCCCCCTTTCCGTCATCGAGTAGGCCTAGATCAGTTAAGAACCCTTATTATACCGGGTTCGACGATGAAGATGACGGGTTCCAATATCCTATGGCTGCCACTGGTCAAGGAGCTCCAGCATCACAGAACGACAATCAGTACCAGGGTCCCGGGGTAGGAATTTTCGCAGGAGATGAAGAAAACCCGGTGCTGGGTGTGAATCAGGACTTTGTTGACATCGTCCAGGAATGCCAAAATAAATATAACAATGCGGTTCCGGCGGGGTTCGATGGATCGCGAAAACAGACCGAGGATTTATATAACTATCTCAAACGAGGTCTTGAGGCGCTAGGATTCGGAAACAGACTCAGCGCTTTAGACAGCAAAGGCTCGATCCGTGGCACGGTTAATGGCAGCCCTCCAAAGCTTTTCTGTCCAGGCTTCGTAAAGACATCCCATGAGGATGACCCCGCCAGTTACGTATCTAACGAAGGCTGGGCGGCCTTCATAGATAAGATCTGCGCCACCCATAGCGGCTACAAAGCCATCGCCGACGCCCGCAATGGCGCAGGCACTGGTGGTGGCCGTGGAACATTGAGAGGCGGCGCTGCTCAGAAGAGAAAAACCGAGACGGATGAAATAGGAGATGAAGAACCAGGCGATCTTCCGTATACGAAGACGAGTACTGCATGGAACCAACTCAAGAAGGATGCAAAAATCCCACAGGGACCGGTCCCTCAGAAATTCGCCGACATTGTGAAGAAGGTGCCTCTAATGTATTCCACCAATGACATGGGTTCCGATGTGCGCGGGAAGCTCTCTCGCGGATTCCTAGATGTGATCCAGGCCCATGGCCCAACGTTCGACGCCGTCAAAACGGCATCGCTAGCAGACCTTAGACGACACCGTGATAATGTGGCGAGAAGAAGCGACGGAGAGAGACTTAAGGTGACGAAGTTCCTGAGAAGCACGATAGATAGAAAGCAAACGGGCAAGGATCGGTTCTTATTAAAAAACAGAGCTGCCGACAACGACGAATTCCGGAGGGTCCTGACAGCTGGCTTCAGTTTGAGAGCATTCCGTATCATTCACACCGCAGCTGTACGTGAGATATTCAGAAAAGGCGGAGCAGAAATATTCGAGCTATTGCATTCGGAGATGAACCTCTTAAGAACTTTGAAGTTGAATGAAGAACTCTGGCGAGAGTATGATAACTTTCGTCTCTCGGACTGGATTAAGACCACGGACATGGTGACGGCCGTCAGCAGGCGTGTCGAATTACGAACAGAACTAATTGCGTACTGGGATGAACTTCTCGAGCGTTTCGGGGTAGAAGCGAAGAAGTGGGTTCCTAAACGCGAATCGGATGGGGTCGATAAAGATGACTCTAAACCTTCTCCGCGTATCGTTGAAGGCGCCGTTCCCAACGTAGATTTAACGGAAGCCCTTTTAAGAATGCGGAAGCAATACGTCGATGCTCGCGAGAAGACAATTGCCGAGAACGAGCAGCTTTCGGAGGGAGACGTAGGTGACCACCAGAAAATACGATTGAACAACACCGACATCGCAACCAAGAACTCGATCATATGGGGGATTGACGTAGAGCTCGAAAACGCGAAGAGCCTTGATCCGCTCCAAGAGGGAAAACTAGGCTTCGGAGCTCAACATCGAATTACCATGCCGGCTGCTGATGATTATTGGAGAGACACCAAGAGGGTTCGAGGGAATAGGGATCTCCCTACCAACATTAAGACACTAGGACCAGGCCTTATGCCTGGCGAGCATCCGCTTCCAGGTATACCTAGAGTAATCGTCGGCGACCCAGGTAATCTGGGCGAACATCAACCTTCTTATGCCGAGAGACTGCCTGAGATTAACGTGGTACCTGGCTACGACACGACTGATATACGCGTTACGAAGCCATCTCAACATGGTAGACAACCTGTCAAGCCGGATCAGCAAATGACGGATTCTCCAGGTGACGAGTCAAACGAGGAGACGGTAAAAATTGCACCTAAACCCCCAGCGCCGCAGCCCCAAGGTGATAAAGTGTGGACAATAGGACAAGTCTTAGCGGATCTCCAAGGCTACGATAGATTAATGCCGCAAGCAACGCGGAACAACGAGACTGCCTCTTTACAGGTGTGGGCAGATGTCTTCACACGTGCATGGGTCCTTCGCGGCTTCAACAGCAGGATGCAGCCGATTCGTTTATTGACTGAGTGGACTATGGAAGACTTCGTCGCTCGGGATTTCGTGCGCTTTGATCAGGGCCCAGGGCGGGGGAGAACACAAGCACATTACTACGACGCGCTTGCAAGTGCCCAGGCCAGGTTTCTTCAAGAGTCCGGTCTAAATAATTGGATGGCTGTTTTGGTGTCTGGATGTGCCATCGCACGTATGTCGGGGCCCCATTCTCCCGCACTTGGCCGGCGATCTCCCGTAGCTGCATACCTTCTGGCGGTAGCGCGATGGTTCGTTAGTGGTGGCCCTCTGCTCACAGAGCCGTATCGCGACCCGGCGACTGAAGTGCGGCAAGTGAAATCGGTAGACCCTGTCCACTGGAGCATGCAGGAAATAGCATCGATGACCTTGGAAGATTATATCCGTACGCTACCACAAATACTGCGAAAAGACCTAGGAGAAGCCATTGATAAGCATAGAGTTATCAGGAGAAGCGCGCAAAAAATTAATAGAACCGTGGGACCTAACCCCATTGTACGACCTCAACCTACCGCACCACCTCAACCTACCGTGAGACCTCAACCTACCGTGAGGCCTGGACCTACCGTGGGGCCTCTACCTGGCGAGCGGCCTCAACCACCTGGCGTGCGGCCTCAACCTACCGCACCACCTCAACCTAAAGTGCGACCTCAACCTACTACTACACCAGTTAGACCTATCGTAGCACCTCAACCTACCGTGCTACCTAGCCCCTTCGTACGACCTCGACCAACCACACATAAAACTAACGTACAACCTAAACCTAAAGTGCGGCCTCAACCTACTACACCAGCTAAACCTATCGTAGCACCTACCGTAGTCGCTCCATCCCAGCCAACTCAGCCTGGTTGGGGGTCGGGATCTAAGGCCGGTGGGGTTCGCCAGTGGACCATGAAAGACATCGAAAGCGCGACCTTCGAGGATTTTTGGAAAACACTGTCAGCGGAAGCGAGGAGGGACGCACTAAATGCTCGCCAGGATTGGGTACTTATCAAAGATAGCCTGAAGAGGATCAGGAACGTCTTGCCAGAAGGAACCCAGGATGCTTCTGGAACAGGCGCTCCTGAGGAAGGACAGAACCAGGAAGACTATCAACCTGCTCCCGAGGATGGACAGAACCAGGAAGACTCTCAGCTTGCTCCTGAGGACGGACAGAACCAGGAAGACTCTCAACCTGCTCCCGAAGACGGACAGAACCAAGAAGACTTTCAACCTGGTCCTGTTCTCGTCCCTATTACTATTCCCGCCAAAATCAGCCGGAGCCACCCTAGCACGTGGACTTGGGACGAGTGGAAACGTCTAGGAAATAGATGGTCTGAGTACCTCGCGAGACTACATGCCTGGGAACGGTCCAGGCCCGGCTATCCCGAAAATATGTATTTAAATTGGAGGCAATGGGCACTCGATTATGAGCTAAGGAACCAAGGTCAGGCGCCCGAAGACCCCAATGTCCCCGAGTTAGAGACAGGTGCTAAAAAGGACCAGGGACAGCCGGAAGACCCCCAGGAGCCTTCTAGACAAGGGAACGGCGGACAAGGGACCGGCGGACAAGGGACCGGCGGACAAGGGACCGGCGGACAAGGGACCGGCGGACAGGGAAACGGCGAACAGGGAAACGGCGAACAGGGGAACGGCGGACAGGGAGACGGCGGACAGGGAGACGGCGGACAGGGAGACGGCGGACAGGGAGACGGCGGACAGGAAACCGGCGAACAGGGGATCGGCGAACTGGGACATCCCAGCACGTGGTCTTGGCCTAATTGGCGAAACAACGGTAACAACTGGTCTACATATATGGGGGCCCTAGCCCAAGAGGAGCGAGCTAGACATGGTTATCCCGAACGATATTTTCATATCTGGAGACAGGCGGCACTTGAAAGGTGGTTGAGGAAGAACCGTGAAGATCCGGCTTCCGGTTCCACTCAAGGCCCAGGACCAGGACCAGGCCCGGCCCCGGCCCCCTACCCAGCTCCAGCCCCCTACCCAGCTCCAGCTCCAGCCCCGGCCCCCCTCCCAGTTACAGCTCCCCTCCCAATCCCACCTCCAGGCCCACCTCCAGGCCCACCTCCAGGCCCGGCCCCGGCCCCCTACCCAACTCCAGCTCCAGCCCCGGTCCCCCTCCCAGTTCCAGCTCCCCTCCCAGGCCCACCTCCAGGCCCGGCTCCGGGCCCGGCCCCCCTCCCAGTCCCGGCTCCAGTCCCGGCTCCAGTCCCAACTCCGGCTCCACCCGCTCCTAGGCCTCAGGAGAATTTCGATAACTTGTTCAAGCTACTAACATCGCAAGGCAGTACGGGAAATAACGGCGATGCCGCACCCGGTCCTCCAAAACAACCTCCAACAACGCAGGATGACGCCAGAAGACAAGAATTAATGGAGATATTCAAGCAGATCGAGGAGAAAAAGCAGCAGTTCAATGATTTGAAACAGGAAATTGACAGTGCGAAACCAACTCTGGATCCCTCCACGCAGCAATCTGGCCCCACGTCAAATAAGCAGGTTACGGTCCCAGACAATCGCCAACGTGTTACTACTGGCGCCCCTGGGCCCGGGGACAACACCCTATTCAAGCATTTCAACCTTTTGGCCAAGTCCACCGAGGTTAAACAGAGGCCCATCGAGGATAGGATCCGGGAGGTGTTCGGAAACCGTGGCGTCCCGGATATTGACTTGACGACTCCGGCCCCAACTAGAGCTAAGGGTACCGGGGGCGCTCCCCAGCCCCAACCTACCCCCAAGACTACAGGCACCGGGGTAACCACGAAGCAGGGCAACGGTTCCTGGGGCAAGAGAGGAACCCAGTTCCAGCAAAAACAAAACAGGGTTACCAAGCCCACCCAGACACCCAAAGCTCCCCAAACACCCAAAACCCCCAAAACCCGCGCCAAGCACAACCCTCCCCCAAGTATCCCGCGACCCACCACCAAGACCGATGTAAACAGACGCCAGCCAGTGACTCCCGCCCCTGTCACCAAGGCGCCGAAGCCCAAAGAGCCATGGAACCCTCCGACACCCAAATCAAACCCGGTACCCCCCCCAAACCCTCCGGGGACCGGATACCAGCCATCGCCCCTGAACCCCGTGGCACCGCCCCCCATGCCGCCCCAACCGGCACCAATCGTCCAACCATTCAACCCGTTCTCCGGCTCGGCGGGGCCCGACGACCTGGAAAAGAAGCTAGAGCAATCGACCTTCAACCCGTTCTCGGGGGACCTCTTCCCGAAGCCGCAGCCTAAGGGTCCAGCTCCAGGTACGACGGCCCCAGATCCGGCAGGAAACAAGGGTGTGCTAACCGCGGCGCAGATGGTGCCGGTTCCAGGTAAGAACGGCTGGCCTGATTTGAAGTACCTGATCCGCGGGTACTGGCGTGCGAAGGTGGCCGAGCAGGCCCTAGGACAGCGAACCCCTGGAAGCCTGGGCTACGCGGCGCCGCCGCTCACGGGGACGGGGTCGCAGAAGTACCCTGCGCCGGTTTGGACAATGATAGCTGGACAACAGATTGCTGACGTGTGAGTGAGAAGGAGTGTGGGGGTGGATATGGGAGGACGTGGTGATAAAGAAATTGAGAGATGTATTTGTACGATGAGAGAAATGGATGGATTAGTGTAGTTTACTAGTTAGGGGGGTGGAGGAGTGAGACATATGGTGGGAGCGTTGTGTAGAGGGTACTTCATTCTTTTTTTTTCTGTAGACTTTTCATTATTTCTTTTGTGTAGGTAGTAGGCGAAAATAAACGGCATTCTTAGGTTTTCATACATCGTTGATCCGGACTTCCCTCGCCCACCGTAGTGAACTAAAGCGGGAAGGGGTAGGGGAACAATATCCTCATTTGACTATGACTGTTTGTCTTCGTAACTAACCCATCTCGAAGCAAACTTGACTACCAGGTAATCGTGCATGTAGTTCAGAATACAACGTAAACAAAATTCCATTTCTCTTTCCCGTATTCCCGGAACTCCATCAGGTATCATTACCACAGAAGACAGCAAAAACACTGTTGACGACCACCTAAGTTTGCTCATTTTTTATACAACGCCCCTCTCATGCCTGTGAATTCTCCCTACTCATAGGAAGTAATCTGCTACAGGCTTCTTAGCAGGCATACCCCGTGAGTCCTGCGGCGCCGCCTGGAAAACGCGGTATCTTCTGGATGGACCGCTCTTAAGTCTCTTCTCACTCTCCATCATAACTCCCTCAACTCCACCGCCATCGCTCCTGCCTACATCGCCGTTGCTGCGCGCGAAGAAGCTCTCTCCTGTGGGATCTTCAGACAGCTCTAGAACGGCGGCCACGTTACCGCAACGATAACAGTAGTTGGGCGCGGACCAGACGGTAACAATACTTGCGTCAAACATTTCTTTAAAACCTTCCATTACAAGCTGGTGTGCTCGTGCAATGAGTGAGAGGTCGTTCTTGTGATTGAAGACCTTGACAATATCTGCCCCGAAGAGAAAGCCTGCACCACGCGGTGATAGACCCCACCCGTCGATCTCGTCCGGATCCGACCATAGTAGGTCGCACATGGCGCCTTCGTGGGGGACTTCTTGTTTGCGGTCCAATAGGCGAATTTTATCCACCGTATCAATAAGCGGCGATAGGCCACCATGTACGCACAATACTGCCCCCGTCGGATTTCCGATGGTGCCTCCACTGGAGCCCGAAGCTCCCGACCCAGGTGGACCTGTCTTCGGTTGAGCTCCATTGGGGCTCTTTCGCTCACGGTTCCGTCTCATAAATCGACTCATGATGTCCCCATCCGCATTACAGACTTCGATCTCGATATCCTGCTCGGTGTACTCTATAATTGGCGTCATCTCGTTGGGAGGCGACAAGGTGTTCGATGCGTTGAGGACTATGGCTCCGAGGGCTAGGTAATCAAAAACGTCACAACAATACCTCCAAACATTTGCACTACCATACTTCCGTAGACATTCGTCGTAGAAACCATATACAGTCGTTATTTGACGTGATTCATGATTGCCCCTGATAAGGGTCATGCGATCGGGGTACCGGACTTTTAGGCACAAAAGTAAGAGAAAAGACTCCAATGAGTAGAATCCACGGTCGACGAAGTCGCCTGTATGAATAAATCTAGTTAGCGATGCATTATTAAAGGAAAATGATGATGCGCTTGAGGTTCGTACCCATAAAAAGATAGTTGGTGTCCGGCGGATCACCGCCAACCCGAAAGAGTTCCATCAAGTCGTGGAATTGACCGTGGATATCGCCACATATCTGCGCACGTTTGTCAGGATAGATCCGTATATATATCGTTATCGCTTATATCGACATACTGTTACTGGAGCCGTAACTGTGACAACATTGCCCTCTTCGATTAACAACTCCCTCGCTTTGTGACAAAGCTCCCTGACTTGAGGCTCGGGTATCGGACGACATGCTCGAAGCTGAGCAATCGCCCTATTCGATATATGTCAGCAAAAGCTCACACGCATGGATATTCTGGACGGAGACATACTTATCAAGGTCGCTCATATCTGGGATTAGAGAGTGTTGAAATACGGCTGGGGCAAAGATCGGAGATGGTCGTTGAAACTTATCGCCGAGCCTATAATTGATCTTGCGACTCGGATAATAGTTTTTTTATAACATATCACCTGCATTAACTAGTTCCAATAAATGATAGTTGATAGAATGGAGGATGCCGAATGTGTTAAGTCGCGATAGACGGCTCGTGCTGCTCCCGCGGTCGTGCGCGTTGGGATGTGATAATTGTTCGTCCAAAATTAGAAAAGTCCCAGCATTGAACCAGGCGCGAATTGGACTAAATTTCTGAAGTCATTTCAGTGGGTCCTGGCAGTTACTAGGTAGTCGCTGCAGTTTTAGAACCGTCGTGGTACCCCCCTGTAAAGAGATGCATGGCCCGAGCTTTGAGGCTTAAACTGACTAAGGTTATGAGGTAACATGAATTGCCTGAGAATTCGGGCAGCTCCATTGTCCCACCTTTCTGGTAAATCCTCGGTTGATAACAAGCGTCAAATCAGGTTGATTGGATTTGGTATTTGGCACCCAGCCAAGGCAAAAGCTACAAAATATCGTCGATATTTCTGTTATGCGCTATCTTGGACATCCACGACGCTGTAGCGATACCGCATCTTCACGCGCCTCACATCCCTCCAATCGACATGTGGCGGATACATAGTGGTCTATTATAAGTAAGAATCTAGTGCAATTATACCAATTGGCGATCTCAAAGAAGATGCATTAACATCTCAACCTTAGCCTTCCGACGACCCCCGCTATCCGCCATGCCGCCGCACCTACACCCGCGATCGCGGATGACATCTTCGCTCTTCGCCACGACTGTAGCAGCAAGCTTCTTTGTCGTAGCTCTCCCACACATCCTCCCATGTCCGGTGCCTCGCGTAAAATATGCCGATTCAGAAATAGCCGCAGACGGTACCAGGCGACGCCGACGGAGGAAACCTACCGAGCCAACCGAAGTGAAAAGCGGTATCGTCCAATTCGAGAGTTCTAATGAGGATTTTGAGAAAATTGCTGCTGTGAGGCGCGGCGCTGCTATGGGGGCAAGGAAGGAAAGAGAATGCCCTGTCCCGAAACCGGGAGGTGTCATTGGCGACATAATGGGATTTAACAAGTCGAAAATAGAAGAGGGTAAAACGGGGGCGAGTGATAATACGTAGGGCAGCATTGGATTGGAAAGTCACCCCCAAAGACTTTCTCCCTGTAAATTGTATATATCATAAAACGGCACAATGGGTGTCTACGGCATCAGAATCGTCACTCCACAAATATCTCGCCATGAATATATTAAGTAATTACTTTGCACATACTCCGAAAGCTAGCACATGGTAATTGGCTAAGCACATCAGATCGCCTTGCGGAAACACGTTGCTTTGAGCTTAATTTTCTAGTTTATCTATGCCACGATATTATTCGCATGAATAGAACCTCGGGAATTATAAACTAGTGAGGTCTCTAGTATCATTATTAAGAATGCAAATCAACTTTTATTGACCATTAGCCGGTAAGTGGGTGGTATCCCGGCAAGTTTGGTGACTCCATAAAACTCCTTTCGTATTCCCCATTTTCTCCCAGCAAGCTATCGCAGGGTCGATAGCCACGAAGACCAAGCCATTTCGTCATAATGGAGTTTATCCCACGTCGCGAAGCTGCTCGAGATTTTGACCATATCAATCCGTAGGCCGCCGCAACAAGTAATCGTCCCGCATCAACTAATGATTAAAGAAGCCATGGACCTGTCCGAGTCGGAAATGCCTTTGCTGTCTCCTCCCCCTGGACTTCCGAATAAAGAAAGCACCAACTGAGCATAAGGGAAATCGTGACTAAATAGTGTTACAGGTAAGGAAAGGATGAATTGAATAGCCGAAAGGTATCGTTGAATACGGTTAGAAAGAAAACCAGGGCCATCAAGACCAATTCCTGTCACTGCTCGATGTTCAGGATGCAGAAGGTGGTGTCGGTACCTCGGGCTCTTCAACTTTCATATCGTCGAGTTTTGGCTTCTTCGCGGCACGTTCCGATTCCGACTCGTCTATCTTGCTCTTCAGATCCTGATTCTCCTGCTCCATCTCGTCAAGTCGCCTCTTAAGGATATTCTCTCGTCTGTGGCTATCTTCTAGCTGTCGCTGAGTCTCTTCTCGTTGCATTCGCTCGGTTACGGCTTCCTTAGCCGAACTCTCCGCAGAATGTCGGTAGTTGTCAGCGTTCTGCATATCCTGCTCTAATTGCTGTAATCGTCCTCGGTAGAGCTCGTTGACTAGCTCAAGCTCACTGACGCGTGTCTTCAGGCTGGAATTGGCGGCGATGAGCTGCTCGTGGGTTTGCGGAACCTCCATCTGTTGCTGATCGCCATTCATAGGAGACTGGTGTCCAGGAGAACCGCCGGGGATTTGGTATTGCGGCATACCATCCGATTGGAAATGATCCATAGCTTGGAAGGCAGTCAGATGTGGATCATACAAAGACGGGGTCGCAGTGCGCGACACGGGCGAATCTGTACCATGACCGTTTGTCGCCTTCTGTTGACTCGCGCGAACGGCAGCAAGGGCGGCAGCAGTTGCATTCTCGTGGTTCTGGTACCCATTTCCGTTCGTAGCAGGGAGACTCTGCTGCAAAGAATTGTAAGTATTGTAGCATTAAAGATTGCAGATTGCAGATTGCGAGGGGTTGATGAAAGGGGCGAGTTTCTTTTACCTTTTTCTTCACTTGCATGTCGGGGCGCATCGTCTTAACGCGATTACGGCTCTTGATAACATCGGTCTTTAACGATATCGGACGTGGACGGCCGTGTAGCTTCAGGAATAGGCCGCACGCATTGCATAGGACGGATCCGGTCTCGTCGCGACGCCATAGCGGAGTGGTCGAGGTGCCGCAATTCTGGCAAGTTGGCTGTGTAGACGGTGATTCATTATTAGCGGAGGCCGCTGCGGTGGGGTGTGATGCCATCATCTTGATCTCGAGTTTGGGGATTTTTAATGGGTGGTAGGTGTATCAATGGATAGAATGCGGCGATGGGAGACGGGAGAGAGATGGATATCGATAGGGAAAGGATAAGTTGATAGATAGAGATTGATAGAATTGATAGACGGGAAGATTGAAGAAATTCCAGAAAGTGGGTGCTGATAAGAACGTAGCCAATCAAAGTTTCGCACGGGCCTTGACCGTGCCAGGGTGCCAGCGATTTCCTAAAGCCAATGCACGAATTGAAAGAGGAGAAAAAAAATCCACCTTCCATGTCCACTGCTAGCTTTTCGGTACTGTGACTTCCAAGGTTTCTATTACCCACGATAAACTATCAAGTCTATCTAGGTACCTTAGTAGCTCAGCAGTTCCACTGATAATGGAATACTCACCACTCTTTCTATTTAGTAAGAGGAATTTTTAGATATCTCGACATGCTTACATGCTACCTCAAGGTTTGAAACTTGAAACGGATAAAATAGAAAATAAAGTGAAATTGGTGACTTACTAAGTTACCCGAGGCTGTTGGCGCATGCGCCGCAGGTGATGAATTCATGAAGGGCACCGGTGTACTTGTTGCTCTAAATAGGTCATCCATAAACGTTAGTCGAGTTCTATCGGGTACGAGTATTTTGATCGAGGACTGGATTTTGTGAATGATTATGTGAAGAACATCAATGTACTTGTGGTAAGGTTGTTGAAATGGGTACTTTCAACTTTCAAGTGAAGTGGATGTCCAGGTTTGTAGGTGTCGGGTGTCCTCCTTTTTTCCTTTTTTTTGCGGTTCTTTACAGTGGATGGATGGCACCTGTCGCTCAGTGTGTGTACGCCCCAACGCCCCAACTCTAATGCCTTTAGCTTGCCTTCTCCTTAGCAACGTACACGGAGAAGTCGCGAGTTATTCCAACACAAAGCGCACCGTACCTCATATCCACCTGATACATTTTATTCCTCACACATGATTTTGGTGTATTGCAATTGTATGTGTATGTGTATTTCTTAAGATATAAACTCACCTTAATTGCGGTGAACTGGTTGCCGAACTTGCAGCTGCCAGTGCTGAGACTCCAGGGAGTTGCGCTATCGATGCTGTTACGGAAGATGTCGAACTCGGACGTGATATCGGTTCAAGGGTTGCCGGTAACGGCGCCGCCGCTGTACCTTCCTCCATCACTGATCGAATTGGCGGTAGCGCCGGTGATGATGTTGTACGTGTCGGAAGAGGTGAGGTGATTGGTGGTAGATTGCTCTCGACCTGCAACGATGCTACTGTGGAGGACGCCGTGGTGAATAAATTTCAAGGTCCCGAGAAAACTCGGAACTAACAATCGTGGTGGGGAGAGGTCGAGGGTGGGTATTAATCGATATCAGTTACACCTTAAATCGCCAATGATTTTACAGTAGGATGTATGAGGAAATATTTCGTGATCGCGATTTCAAGGAAGAATAATGTACATGTGCGATATGTACCCAAGTATGTAAATTCGCTTTTTTTAGAACCCGCCGTATAGAACCGTGAACCGTGAAATCAAAATAAGCCGATTGGCAATTAGATAGTGGAGCAGGTAATAGAATGAACGATTGACGATTGAAGGTTATAAGATGTAAGTCGTGAAATTCGCCCCGTACGTATGGGTAGGTAACGTCAAGTAGTCATGCAGAAAATGATCTAGACGATAGGTTGAGAAAACAAGGTATGTAGGAAGAGCACGCGGTGCGAGAGAATTAGATTCCCCTGAGCATTCAGATGTAGGACAGACACGTAGAAATTGCAGAAAAATTATTATTGTTATCAATCGATCTTACCCAGAAAAGTACAAGGTACATATTCCTCCCTACATGCTTTTTCCTTACGTTTATATACATATATTCGATCCTATTTGCTTGGCAACGGGACACATGTATCTAATCCGGTTCTGTCTAGAGGCTAAGAATTTTAAGATCATCTTAACTTCGATTGGCTGATGTCCCTTGTTCGCGGAGTATGATGGGAGATTATCAATGTGACAGGGAGCAATTGGCACAGCCCTACGCCAGAATGGGGGTTCCGATAATATTCGTGTTGAGTTGTTGATCTTCTGCTGGTTGACATTTTCGGCTAGTCTAAGGTAGGTATGTAAGTAATTCCTAAATCAATAAAGAATTGGAATTTGGACATGATTGGCGTTATCCTACATCCCTCCGGCAGTGTCATTCATACATAACTACATAGTAGTTCATGTATGTAGCCAATGCGTGGTGTACAATACGATTCCTGGCTTGAAGGCCAATGGATTTTCAATTGGCACATAACCGATAAGGCAGGCTAATCGTGTTAAAGTGAGGCAAGCTGAAGGGTACCGAATGCGCCGATAAGCGAAGGAGAGACCTCACACTTTACCCCTGAGATTTCGATATCTTAATACCGCATCTGTCCCTTGCGATTTACTAAAATACCATCCATGGATATCATGGTATGAACAACCCGTTCTGAGATAGCCTATTGTAATTCATATATTCTTGAGTAAATACCTATCACATCCATATAATTGTATTCATGTCTGATTTAGCCTAGCATTATTAAAAAGGTTCTGACTTTACCAAAACTTAAAAGGCACCACGCAGGGCGATTAGGGCAACTAGTACTACTCATAGTAGTTAACCAAATACCATTAAGGTTTATAAAAGAGTATAGAATATATCTGTAACTTTATATACGTTTTATTTCAAGGTTAACTCCTTTATGTTCAAGTCATTATTGTGATTGAAACTTTGAAATCCTTTTATTGGTTTCGATATTTCGAGTCAAGCCGCAAATTGTGTTATGTAATCAACTATCGAAGGTGGGGTCTTCGTGTGTAAGTACCTATGTATATGTGGCTAAGTGATAGATCCACATAAAAGTTCTGGCTAATGACATCTTCAGGAAAAAAGTTGCAGATGGTCGCTCGTGAATTTACATTTACATTTCAAACATTACCACTTGATCAATCACCGCCACAATGCCGTCTACACACAAGAAAGACAAGCCGTGGGATACTGATGACATAGGCAAGTTATAAAATCTCAATATCAGAAATTAAAATTACCATAAATCTAATTAATTTCATGTTCTAGATAAGTGGAAAGTTGAACCTTTCAAACCCTCCGACAATGCAGGTGGAACGTTTGCCGAAGAATCGTCGTTCGCAGTGTAAGTGAAATTCAACCAAGACATAATGCGTTAGAATACTTTGCTAATTCATATCCAGCCTCTTCCCCAAATATCGGGAAGTCTACCTTAAAGAAGCCTGGCCTCTCGTTACGAAGGCGCTCCAGCAACATGGCATCGCATGTACTCTAGATCTCGTTGAAGGTAAGAGTTGGACACCTACATCTTATACCAACACAAAACTAATGCGTATTGTTATAGGATGCATGACAGTTAAAACGACGAGAAAAACGTTCGACCCCGCTGCCATTCTCAAGGCACGCGACCTTGTCAAATTACTAGCGCGCAGCGTCCCCGCCCCTCAAGCCTTGAAGATTCTCCAGGACGATATGGCATGCGACGTAATCAAGATAAGGAACCTAGTGCGCAACAAGGACAAGTTCGTAAAGCGACGGCAAAGAATACTCGGACCCGAGGGTCAGACCCTGAAAGCGCTAGAGCTCCTCACACAGACATATATACTCGTCCAAGGTAACACCGTCAGCGTCCTCGGTCCGTACAAAGGTCTCAAGGAAGTCCGAAGAATCGTCCAAGACACCATGGCGAACATCCACCCGATATATCAGATCAAGGAGCTCATGATCAAGCGAGAATTGGCAAAAGATCCCGAGTTAGCGAACGAAAACTGGGAACGATTCCTTCCGAACTACAAGAAGAGGAGTCTCAGCAAGAGAATGGTGCCGCACAAGGTCACGGACAAGAGCAAGAAGGTCTACACGCCCTTCCCACCAGCACAGGAGAAGAGCAAGGTGGATCTGCAGATCGAGGCTGGCGAGTATCACATCGGCAAGGAAGCCAAGAAGCGCATCGCGCACGAAGAGAGAATGGAACAGCAGAAGGTCAAACAAGAAGAGAAGAAGCGCCAACGAGAACAAGACTTTGTTGCGCCGGAAGAAAACGTGGCCGAGAGGAAAAAGAAGAAGCGGAAGACCAAGGGCGAGGAGTAGTCTATAGAGCAAAGTCAATTTTATGTACTATATCAGCCGTCGTCTTCGGAAACCTTTACGATACCCACGAATGTCCGAAAGCGCATTAGGAGTCTCACGGCTTTATGTTGAATTCAAATTTGTTCAGGTGGTTTCTCATTTACTGTGGGACTAACAAGAACATTGCAATGCTACCTAGACTTTTATTGCAACCTAGGCCCCAAGCTTCACAAGATGTATGCCTTGTATCCATGCAAAGCAATAGTCCAGGCGACGGTGATGTCAGAATCGTAATTTATTCCGACTTCGGCATAAAGAACGGGAACAGAACGCCGAAACACCAGTATGCCCCTTCATGTCCTCATTGGTATCACGTTTTGTACGGCTCCTCATCCATCGATTACCATCGTGTCATCTCCATCGAACGCCGGGCCCGGTTGCTCGATCGCAACTCCCCGTCCACGTCCAGCTAGCAGTTCCCTTCGGATCTCCGGGCCGATCTTATGGTGGCCATGGGTCAGTAGGAGGTCTAGCAGTGCCTCTCGTTGGTCCTCGGTAATCTCGTTTCGGTACCGTTGCGCGAAGGCAAGTAGGCACTGATGCCAGATGACGGGAAGTTTGGCCTGCGCAGCTGCGCGCTCGGCGCTTACGTCAATGGCGTCACCTTCCTTGATGGATGCGGGGTCCACACTTCGGAAGCGCAGGAAGTGGAAGACGAGAGAATCGATGACTTGGTACGGTAGCGCGTACTTCTTCTCTAGGAGGGTCTTGATGAATACGTTCGTGGCGCCTCCACCCTCGGTTCCTGCCGATGCTTCCCGTGCTGCGATATCGCACAATCCTTTGATAGCTGCTCCAGAATGAAGAACTGGTACGGAGATCCTGGCTAGGACGGCAGAGATGATTACTGCCTCTCGGAGAGTGCAGGTACCACTCTCAACAAGCGGGAAGAGGAAGCCCTTGAACCATGCCGCAGGCTTGTATAATGCCTTCTTTAGCGCATTGAACAGATGCACATTTAGCTTCTTCGTCTCGTAGATGTCTTCTCGTACACGCTCGAGGAGGATCATCTCCATAAATCTTCGGACAACGATTGGCTTGCTCGACACGAAGATTCTCGTGGCCTCGTACACGGCATTAGGTGTCCACTGGTCGGGCTTTGTGAATTCGATGATGTCTTCCCAGTGCGGTACGGTGGGGAGGATCTTGAACGGTTTCGGTAGTTTGCCTGACTTGTATCGCGAGAGTATTAGACCAATCCTGTGTATTGTTAGCATGAATCTCATGGCGTGTCGCAGTTTTGCGCAACATACTTAGTGTAAACTTCTACGACCTTCGGAGATAATTCATAGTCGTCATCTGCGGGACCCATCTCCTGTTCTCTGTCCTGACCGGCTTCATGTTGTGCGATTCTCGCCAGGATCAGGTCGGCAAGATTAGTTCCCGAGCCCTGCTCTTCTGCAGCAGCTTTGCCTCCCCAGCCTTGTGTCAATAGAGGATCGTCGTCGGTAGGTAGGAATCTGTTGAATGTGTCTAGGTCCTCCGGTTCAATCTCAATCTCCTCTACGATCTCATCTTCGTCGCCCCATACTTCCTCGTCCTCAAAAGCCTCGTCATCTTCACCATCCTCGTCAAATCGCGAGTCAAAGCCGAATGCATTGGACTCTTGCGGAGGTCTCGGAGGGGCTGTATCGGCTTCTTCGGCTAACTCGCGACCAATTCGCAAAATCTTCTTAGACGCTCTAGAGTCTATGTAATTTTCTTGTTCATCCTCATCGTCGCCCTTAGACTTCCTTTTAGGAGCCTTCGTACGGAGAGGTCCTGTAGCTACAAGGTCGTCTTCTAGGGGGTTGTGTCGCCGAGGATGGCGAGAAGAGGTCGGTGTCGTCGCTTTCGGCATGGTGTCTGTCGAGGGCGAATTGGTTGAAGTTTCACGATTTCACGGCGTGGGGCGCACGAGAAATGTGAATGAATTTCTAAAGAAAATTAAAAATTCTGAGGGGTGGGACGGAACTATTCCGCTAAGTGATTAGTTCCGTGAGGCTTGGGCTGAATTCTGTGTATCAGTATTGCATATATACACTTTTAAGTGCATTTCCTAATCAGATATGCACTAAGCAAGTTAATTCACGTCATTGCCCCTCGACGAAAAGCTTCCAAAAGTTTATAGCCCCTCCAATGAACTTTATCGCATCGCAAAATTCTTAATCTGATAGTGATAGTAAACAATCTATCGCTTCAAGTTATATCCAACGGTTAAATTACCCAACCTTGATTCTTGAAAACTTTATCAAGGCGTTCGTTATCAAAATGCCTACAGAACTTGAGGAAGTATGGTCAATAAACCCATCGTCAAACAACCCTTTTCTCTTACTGATGTTGAATTAGTTGGTTGGCTTCATCGCTGACCCAAAACCAGAGATTCGAGCTCTTGCGACAGAGCATCTAGTGCCATATTCAACATCTCAACCTAGTATCTTCAAGGTTGAAAATTTCAAGCCTATCAAGAACTTGAAACTTTTAATAAAAGATCATCCAGTATATCTTACACCATCCTTTCTGGATGTAATTCATGAATGAAACTAATTATGGGGTAGAAAATTGCCGAGCATGTTATAACCATACTCATCAATCTGGCGGCTGACCGGGAAATCTTAGAAAGTCTAGCTACTGACGATAAATTTGTAGATGAAGTGCTAAGACAGATCATTGTAAATTCTCGATCCGGACCCCAACTAGCCGGTTGGAACTCAGCTAATCTGTATATCAGATCGCTAATGAGCCCAATGCAAACCTTCTATCTATGCTCCTAGCAAATCTTGCAAAGTGGGACTCTCTGAAGAGGATTCTACATAAGAAGCAGCCATCTCCAGAAGAACTTGGATCAACCGATTTGGTCTTGAGCCAGTTGGTTGATCTGTTCGTCAAGGGCGCCGACGGGACGTACAATAAGGATGCAGATTTTGATCATTTGGCTTATCTCTTCGCCGATCTGACAAAGCATCCCGAGATCCGCCATTACTTTGTACGGAAGCAAGAGTACGACGGAGTGATACCTATCTCGAAGCTGAAGGTTTTCACTGAGTATAAGTCGGACGTCAGGAGAAAGGGAGTCGCGTCTACTATAAAAAACGTCGCTTTCGATGTGCCTTCACATCCGTCATTCCTATCAGAAGATGATATTAACATATTGCCGTATATATTGTTGCCGGTTATGGGGAACGAGGAGTACGACGAGGACGAGATGATGTCGATGCTTCCCGATCTTCAACTTCTCCCACCTGACAAGCAACGCGATACTGACCCGAACATCATTCAAACACACGTGGAGACTCTATTGCTTTTCTCCAGTACCAGAGAAGGTAGAGATCAGATGCGCGAGGTCAAAGTCTATCCGATTATTCGGGAAACGCACTTACGCGTAAATAACGAGGGCGTTCGAGATGCCTGCGAAAGATTAGTCCAAGTTCTGATGCGGGACGAGGCAGATCCAGATAAAGTGGGGGATAATGCCGGCCAGGACGACAACGAAGACGACGATGACCAAATTATCGAGGTGTAAATCCCATAACTTGTGCGAATTTGCTCGCATATTATTGGTGAAACCGTCACATGCTCGCTTAGAGCCGTTGGAGCCTGGAAGACTTCTTCAGCCGCTTCGGCAAGACAAGGCGAAAGGACACACCGCGGGCTTTTTTAAGAGCAAGTCGCCACAGTTTGACTTTTCTCGATGGTCACGTTGCTATAGGATTATAATAGTCACCATGCCAAGACCATTTCCCTGGCATGATAATCCTGAAATTGGGACTTATGGCTGACAGGTTGAAGGGTACCACAACCCTTCTCACGCGTATAGAGCTTCGTAGCATCAGCCAAGGCGGATTATGCGGGACTAGTAGCCGTTCCGAATCCTTGGAAAATGCCAACATCTAAAGCGAATAGACTATCCGCGTGGGTGCAGTAGCTTGCGTCAGGTTCTCAGCATGAATAGGTATAATACCAAAAACGATACCGAGTACCCTTTGGTGAAAGTGATCTGCGCGTGACAAGATCGTGTCATCTACCTTCTAGCGAGAATCGTGAAGAAAGCCAACGATTATGCCGAATTTAAGAGCGTTTAATCGTTGAGTTACTCACCACCATCTAGAGCTCTAGCGAAGCTGGTCTATGATTGATTTTACAAAGACACAACAACTAGCCTCTCACCAAAAACCCAGGGTCCGGATTCAATGAATATCAACTATGTAGGTACATAGTAAATGCCAATTCGCAATTGGTCGAAATGACTCGATTAGCTTGAACGAGTGCTTCGATTCTAATGTTAAAATCCGCCGTCTACCTGCCGAAGAAGGAATCAGGTCAATCAGGTTATTGATGTTTGTACGGGCAAACATAGAGAACTCGGAGCATTCGAGGTTCAGGAGCGTGGTCGAATTCTGACGTTTGATTGGTCGAGGAGTAATTGGACACTAAACTCACGAAACAGTTTTCATTACTGATTTTACTACTGAGCGATGCTATTTTAGCTAACAGCTATACTTATACGATCCACCTGCGGTTTGGAGCAAACTCGGCCAAACCCGGTCGTCTGCCCATTTGCGGATTCTGGTCTGGTGCGAATTGAAATTCGAGGATACGTGAATGGTAGGACCTAGGTATGTGTATACTTTTACGTATGAATTTCAAATAGGGGCGATGTTTTAAATCAGACTATGGAGCCAAGAGTTTCGTCGCATGGGTTTTCTCGAAGCGGCGTGACTTGTTGATGTATCCGTTAGAAGTATTGGAAGTTGATGAAGCCAAGTCTGAGACGGCATTCGAAAAGCTTATTTATTCTTGGGTTACTATCTTGACATGACGAGGAATCCCTAGAGGAACAAGCATTCCTTATCCTGTCTGCCGTCTTGTCGTCGAGTCTAAGGCTCTTGGTGAAGTCTTATTTGGACCTCTAGAGATCTTGGCGATGTCGAGGTTGTTGGTAGTTGCAGGTTGTTAGATTCGTTCCACCAAGAAAGTCAATCCATCCTTCACGCATCTGAGGGACCCCACATTAACAAGGGTTAAATATGGGTAGCAGCGTAGTAGCTCCTAGTACGAAAACGCTCGGGGATCCTTGCTAGCACCCTGCTGTAACCCCACTGATTTACGAGTTGCGGCGCTGTCTAGGTCGCTCTTGCTCCCGGACGAATCAGAAGTCGAGAGCCGCAACATGTGCTCTAAACTACAACTCTAATTCGTCTTCAACAACCTTCAACTTCTTCTTTACTTTCTTACAAAGCCACTAACACTCTTCCCCGAACCCGCAACCTCTGAACAATTTCGTCAGCCTAGCCTCATTGCGCGCAGCAACTAGTGAAAAATTAGCGACATCGTCGGCTTCCGTTCCCCTTCCATTTAGCTTCTATGCGTTCTTGGTTGACATGTTCAAGCGACTCATAGCCAAATCCGCACGAGGGTTCTTTTGGATCCCAGAGATCCGAGATGGATCGTGCCTTGAAATTATAGGCACGTAACCATCTACATCCCCATCTCGATCTAAAAGTATTTTCGCTGGAGCCAACCCTACTAGGTGCTCCGTAGCTGACGATAGTCTATACCAAATCTCGCCAGTCTCGCCTGATATCTCGAGACACGCGCAGGCGTAGTATCGTCGTTTTATTTCTCCGTGGAATGGGAAGAATGACGTTCGCGAGCTAAAGGTGTCTATCTGCACTGTTTCAAGCTGAAAAAAAGAGTTGTATCGAGGATGTTTACTACAGGTGCATTCGAGTCTGCCACTCCATCAATGTTGCATGAAAATGTTACGAAATTCAGATATTTGGTGGTCTTGTTAGGACCTCCTGCACCCTATGCGTATATTAACATGTGTGATGTGTAATAGCTGAATCTGGTTGTGGACACCGACGTGACAGATTAAGGTAGCTCTACCCAGTCCATGCGTCTGGCCGACTGGTTAGACACTGATCCATGCAGGCCGCGTTTATCTCATGTTAAACAGACTACCAATAAGCATACCAACCCGGAGGTACCGCCCAGAGTGGTGGGATCACAGTGCCTGGGTCCCGTCTCAGGCGTTGCGATCCACATCTTTCTGCCCTCTCGCGTCTAGACGCTGTTGGTTGGATCACTCGGGATCCCCTGCAACAAAGAAAACTCCCTTAATCGTAGCCCGCCTACCCATATACCACATGGCCAGGACTAGCTGAAGATCGGTAAGGGACCTACATAAGGATCGCACGTCCCATCGGCTTATATTCTTTCCCCCCTCTGGCTTTTATCGACATCAAGTCCCTCCAAGGGTAACAGGCCTCCCTTGCTTCCATCTATTGCTTGCTGCTTTCCTCGCGCATAGAAAGCGGATTGCCAATACGTTCCCTTCCGACATTCGGTTTACTTAGGTACAACTCCAACTCGATCATTAAAAAAAGGCACGGACAACCGTACCGTCTCCTTCTGTAGCTATGGCCGACGACGCTGCCGCTACGCCCGCTACGGCGTTCGCCCAGAAGACTTCAGGCGGTAACAACGCATACCACAATTTCCACAATGACTTCGTGCACATCTCGGATCCTAATGAGCGCCGTCGTCTTGCGCTCGCCGAGATTGACAAGGCTCCCTTCGGATGGTACCACGTCAGGTAAGATATTTCTCCACAACGTCGCGATGTGACTGCACGAGGCTGACTTGCGAAATATAGAGCTTGTATAGTTGCCGGTATTGGTTTCTTTACAGATTCGTACGATATCTTCGCCGTTAGTTTGTTAAACACCATGCTGGGAATTGTCTACTACCCGGGCAAGGGTTCCCTACCTTCTTCTTCCGACAATGCCATTAAGTTGTCGACCTCCGCCGGTACCGTTATTGGACAGTTGGCTTTCGGTTACCTTGCGGATCACGTCGGACGAAAGCGTATGTACGGTCTTGAGTTGATTATCATCATCTTCGCAACCCTCGGTCAGGCTCTAAGCTCCGGTTCTCCCTCCGTTAACATCATCGGTCTCATCATCTTCTGGCGTGTCCTCCTCGGTGTCGGTATTGGTGGAGATTACCCTCTTTCCAGTATTATCACTTCCGAGTTCGCGACTACTAAGTGGAGAGGAGCCATGATGGGTGCTGTCTTTGCCATGCAGGGTATTGGACAGTTGGTTTGCGCATTCGTCATGTTGTTCGTTACTCTTGGCTTTAAGGAGGCTCTTCAGGCATCGCCCGCGGTTTCTGACTGCACGGGATACTGCACGGTTGCTGTCGACAAGATGTGGAGGACTTTGATTGGTTTCGGCGCTGTTCCGGCTTGCATAGCCCTCTACTACCGATTGACGATTCCCGAGACTCCTGTAAGCCATATGTTCCCCGCCCGTATATGGAAGCACAACAGCTGACATCAACTTTTAGCGTTACACCTTCGATATCGGCCGCGATGTTGAGAAGGCCGCCGACGATGTTAAGGCGTACATGTCTGGTAAGGCCGAGGGACAGCCTGACGATATTGCCCGTATCCAGGCCCGTGAGGCTGCTCAGACGCAGATGACAATTCCTAAGGCCAGCTGGAGCGACTTCTGCCGTCACTACGCCATCCCCAAGAACGGTCTGCTCCTATTCGGTACCGCTGGCTCGTGGTTCTGCCTCGACGTTGCCTGTAAGTTGTACCTAAATCTAGCTAGTTCAACAAAGCTAACATTGTATCCTAGTCTACGGTCTGTCCCTGAACAATGCTACCATCCTAAACGTCATTGGCTACTCTACCAGCGGCGCTAAAAGCACCTATGAGGTTCTGTACAACACTGCCATTGGTAACCTTATTATCGTCCTTGCTGGCGCCGTGCCCGGATACTGGGTGTCGGTCGCCACTCTCGACACTCTAGGCCGAAAAACCATCCAGATGGGTGGTTTCATCATCCTAACCATTCTTTTCATCGTCATGGGCTTCGCGTACAACCATATTTCTAGCAACGGATTATTGGCCATCTACGTGCTTGCCCAATTCTTCTTTAACTTCGGTCCCAACATGACCACTTTCATCGTCCCCGGCGAGGTATTCCCGACCCGTTACCGATCAACCTCGCACGGTATCTCTGCTGCCTCCGGCAAGATTGGCTCCATCATCGGCCAGGGTGCCATCTCCACTCTGCGAACGAGGGGTGCTACTCATAATAACCCTAACCCCTGGATGGACCACGTTCTCGAGATCTACGCCCTATTCATGTTACTCGGCTGCTTCACCACCCTTTGCATCCCGGAGACCAAGCGCAAGACCCTCGAAGAGCTTTCCGGCGAGGATCAACCCGCGCCTCTGCCGGTACCATCCAGCAGCAGCAACGACAAGAATGCCGCTGAGTCTCTATGATTTTTGGGTCTACCACCCCTTCTTCTTGGATAATAATTTTACTATTTCCTCTTGGAAAAGTTTTTGTGTATGCGAAGAACGTGTAACGAAGGTCGAGGAACGTATTTGGTGGGCCTTTTTACGAGCGCGGCGGGCCTTGATTCGGTATACTGACTGATACGAACACACCCGGTTCTTATGTTTTTGTATCATATAGAGATAATTTATATACCCTGTGCAATCGTTGGAAATATTTTTATCACTTTCGCGTCTTTGTCTCATGAAGACTCCGGCTGGCCGCATGTTTTGAATATTTTTATATTTGAATAAAACTGCTTAGGAGGGTATCTTCGTGTTCTGATGTGTTTGCCTCAATGCTTGGAACTATAAACCGCTAAACAACCGCTAACCCGCTAGAAAATAGGGTGCAATTAGTGGCGTTTATACTGCACACGCACTAAATCCCCTGTAAGAATAAGGGGCTTAGCGCACTCTTTCCGACGACGGTTCAGCAACAGCTTAGCAATGGCTCAACAACGGCTATGGAATTCGATTATATACTTAGTACTAAGTACCACTTACAAGAGGTAGTATAACTTACATTGTTAAATTGTATATTTGAACAGCTTCAATTCAAGCTATGTTGCAGTATATAAACTGTATTAGGTATTAGTTAGTTTATTTATAAGACTTCATTCTAAACTTTCGTTGAACTATCGTTAAAGGGAGTAGGGCTAGCTAGGTACCTACAATTTGATCAGCTGAATTCACTCGCTATAATTAATCACTAGGCCCTCTATGATTGTAGCGCCAAAAGCGCCAAGTCCCCTATCCCTATAGGGGGCTTAGTGGCAAAAACTTACCTAGGTAGCGTATATAGGTACTATTTTAAGCCTAGGGGTTGGTTTTTTTTATAGCAGTTTAGCGGTTTCAAGCATTTCTCACAGTGTAATTCCTCACAATCACCTAGTAGCGAAGGTTTCATGTCGATTTTCAAGGCATCAATTCACACGCAGTCTAAGCAACGTACTTTCAAGTTATGACTCTCACAGATTAAAACTGGTATTTATCTATTGCTAAAGGCTACCTGCTCCCATCTTCTATGTCGTTAGAGCTTCATAGGATTCAATAACTAGAGCCGTAGCCAGGCTTATGTGGTCGTCACGTCCACCTTGGTTTTATCTAAAGTCGGATTAGACCCGTACCAACTCCAGTATCTCGAGGATATGTCTAAGTAGGTATTGACGAAAAGGAATACTCACAGAACGCGACATAGTCCTTGATATGCTTCGCCTTGTCAAATGGTTCGGGATAATACCACGCAGCATTTGTCAACTCCTTGTCTGGACATATTTCTGTTAGTCTCTAACTCTGGAATCGTTTGTCGCCTGCTGTTACCCAGCATATTGTGAAACAACACACCTCCAACTTTGATCGTATAGTAGCTAGCATCTCCCTTCCATCCGCAGTGCGTTTGAAGATCCGTCTTACTGAAGAATTCGGACTTTACGGAAGATGGCGGGAAGTAGACGTTCCCTTCGACTAGCTCGTAGGTGTCGGATTCGGCTACCACCGTGCCGTCTATGATTGCTTCGACGTGACCAGACGGCATGATGTGTTGTTTTTTATTGATTCACTCTTGTTATGGCGAGAGTTCGTTTGTATGAGATTTAGTATTTGGGGAGCGGATGGCCTTCCGGGCTGGCCGGACTATGCGGGGTTCTAGCATGGAACAGTTCTAGAAGGATTCTAGAAACGAGCCAATCACTAGAGGGAAACCCAGAGGTTGTCTACGTGATACGGGAATGGTGTGGAGGTCGGCATTATGTAGTGTTAAGGCACAGCTTGCTTTCCCCATGATTCTCGGCCGTAGTGATGCTCCATGATCAGATTTGCTCTCAATTGGTAGACCGACTATTACTAAATTTGAAGTTTGTTGCCTACCTAATCCCCTTTCTTCCCAGTAGACCATCAAGGTATACGAACTGAGAAGAATGTGCTTTTGTACCTAACAAGGTAAGTCTAAATGAGCGTTATTGTTACTTTATCCTCGCCCATACGAAACGCGTATGCGATTAGGTATGTGTTCCTAACATTATAGAAAGGAAACTCATGCCATGTAGCAATACGCCTATAGAACCCCAGTCTTCCCTCGCAAGGGCTCACAACTACTCCACGCACATGTTTTCCATATAAATCTGTAAGAGGCAGCATGTATGCCTGATCCCAAAGACGACGGCTTTCTGTGCTGTCCATAATCATCTTCCCCTTATCAACCTTAATCTTCCGGTCTTCCGGTATTTGGAACTTCGCGTCGTCAACATTTAGCTGAATGTAGTTGAGTCCTTCCTCGGAGGTATAGATCTTGTAAAGGTGGCATCGCAGTTTTAAGGGAGATTCCCGGACATCACCTGTAGTGCTACTTTGATGTCCGTCATGGATATCGAGTACATCTATGAGGCTCACGGTGTTGGGTATAGGGGGGAGGAAAGATACCCTTGAGTTAAGGCATGCCCAACTCCAGGAGGGAGCAATGTCGTATGAGGGAGCCATGAGATGAGGTCTGCCATCATGATAGCGATAGGAAGAGTCCAGCCTCCAAGAAAGCTGCCAAGAGAGCTGCGACCGCCACAGGCCTGCGACGTAACCGTCTATACCTTCCAAAACATCTTGGATTCTAGTTGCAATCCCCAAGATCGCCACCAACTTATCACTTCTATGTGATAATTCGCAAGATGAATACCACTCAACGAGATTCGTCCAATATTGATAAACATTATATCTCATATGCGCGAGTCTCTCATCTGGAATGGCCCCTTGAAGATATTTTGACGTCTCTTTGAATCGGGACACATTTCTACGTCGGCAAAGGGTGTCTATACTGGTATAAGAATGGTGAACATGGCTTTTTGGAGACGGATTAAAATACAAGTTGTACTTTACTCCGGGAACTCTTAACCTGCTCATTTCTAATAGTGTAAGACCCAGACCTGTCAACTCCACAGTTAATGGAGTCCTATCGGCCATGCAGAACTCCTCGTGGAACTCAAACATAAATGGGAATGTCTCGCATGCTGTTGTTTGATAACATTCCCAAAAGAGCTGCTCTCGGCCGCAGTGGATTTGTCGTGGTGCCAATACACGTTCCTGCAAAACCCAGGATCGCTGGTTCAACGGCGCGTCCTCGATACTGTCACGCCATAAATTCCTGCCGAAGAATAAATATTTCTTCCCACGGCGAAATGTGAATTCTAAGGGGGGAATTCTGGTTGGGTCTCGAGTACGAAAGCAATATTCAGTTGGCCCTTTAGATGCTGTTGCTGCAATATTGCATTTCGAATGACGATAAACTTCAGCCATTGTCTTGCTCTCTTGAATCCAATCATCCGTCGAGTCTTGGATTATACACAGGGAATCAATCCATACATAATCGTTGCGAAGAAACCGAGATAAGCGAACAAAATCCTGGAATGTTTGAGGCAACTCTGCGTACGAAAATCCATTCTTTATTCGGTGATCGTATGTGTCACTTGTGAGTTTTAGCATTGCATCGGAATTTCCCCAACGGTGGCTAAGTGTCATGTAAGATCCCCGAGGCTGTTTGTCTTGTGTTGAATGAAGTTGAAAATTTAGGGAGCCGAGGTCGTCATTATTGGAACTATCGATGTATAGGAGCCTCGTTGGCCACCACGCTTCCGCGCGAAAGCCTTTACATATGTCATGGTTGTTGGTGCAATTATCTATCCACGAGCGACATAATTCCCACGCTGACATACTATCTGTTGAAATAGGAGGTACGTAATTTGGGTTGCGGTATGCTTTGATTGATGCCAATTCTCTGAGCACCTCTTCTCGACCTAATAACACGTAGTAAGTTAGTCGTTTCGTCCGTCATATATATAGGCTAGTTCAATAAAGCTCACACGATGTGCCTGGATAAGCAAGACTGGAATCAAGAACTCCCACTGTGTCTATGGATGGGCTCCTGGGGAAGTCAGGTGGCAAATAAGACGGCAAATCGAAGTATAACTCAAATGTTATCGTTTTGCCACCATACATATATGCCATGACTGTTAGCGTATCCCAATGGGGATGAACGACGTTTGGCTCCATGGCTCGAATTTCGGGTTCGAGCATAACGCAAAACTGACAACCGGATCGGACTGCATTGTGCAGACTAGATAGTGTTGGGTGGTGGTTAACTCTCGCCTCTATTTCCTCGGAGGCTTTTTTGGATGATAATTCTAGGACGGAAAATAGTTCGTTACAGTGACGGCAGAGTCTTGGACCAAACCGGCTTTTAGAGACATTTATTTCACGGTCCTCTGATAATGGTCTTGACATCTTTAGGGCACTCACGACACGGAAAGTCTAGTGAGGTAAGAAGTATTAGGATTTAAGATGAAACGATGAGAAATGTAAGGCTAGGAAGGCTGGTAGCCATTTGCTTTTGTGGCTGTGGTGACGGAGTGTCATCCATGCACGCCCCGATTGTTTGCAGCCCTCAAATTCCGAAGCTTTTCAACCTGGCAGCGAGGTCTTCGAGTCAGTGAGCCATCCGAAGAAACCAAACAGCGTCGTGCCCATTTCCCTCGGACTCCCCTTCTGTATAGAGGGTTTACCCATGATGCTGGTGTTTATGCTATCACACATTTGTGTCTTAGACTTAGTTTCTGCGTAGAGCGAACGCCATATACCCGCGGTACTTAGATAACTCGAAATTGAATGACATCGCTGGACAACATTTTTCTACACTCGGCTACTTTTCTGTGTCATGGTTTGTCTCAGCCATCTTATTGACAATATTGGTCGTTTCGGGTATCGCCATAGGTTTGATGAAAATTGGTTGGAGGTATCCGGACGTAAGTGGCAGCTCTCACTATTAGCGCAGCCTGTCCTCCCCCAAGGGAATTGAAGATTCACATGAAGAAGAAGTGAGGTGGGGAGTGATGAATAAGAATATGGACGGCACGGTTAAGTACTCATTTAGCTTGTTGCTCGCTAGGTTGCCAGACGTTGAGATAACTAATAGGTATTAGTAGATTAGAGTTTCGGGTTCAAGTTGCGGAGTATGCTCGCACAGTATGATTGATCTAACCTTAACCGGCAAGGTTTACACGTGGAGAAGAAGTGCACGATACAGTTTCGGTTAACAGGATCCACTAGCAGCGAATAACGGTGAAGACATTTCCAAAAGCAGCCCCAGCTTCCCCGCTATATTTTCTCCCGATGGCCGAGTTCGATCCACCATCTCCAGTCTTTTCTCCAACCTCTAGCTCTCAAGTGCTAGACCCTCGTTACAACGCTAGACTTAGTCGCCCACTTCCAACCATGAGACCGAACGTCGGCATTATTTAATCCTAAGAGAGCCTCAGTGGCCAATTCAACTTCATATGTAAACATTTATCAACTTACTTTTGCTGTTCTTCTTTGAAATTCTTTTTATGCATATATATAAGTCTTGATAGCAGTTAAACACCTAAGCTACTATTCCCCCGATTCGAATACGTCATTGTACTACCTGTAATAAGAGCGAGTGCTTGCGATGGCGCTTTCTGGAGTTGAGGTTTCCAAACATGATAGCAAGGAGTCTTGCTGGGTGGTAATTCATGTGAGCTTCCTACCACTTTTGAAAATGAATCACCCATTTAATTACTAAAGTCTTACTGACCCAATTGATCAGGGGAAAGCGTATGATGTCACGGAATTCTTACCTGGTTGGTAACCTATCTATAACCACTGATATCCAAAGCTTAGAAATTAACCAATTCACCTAATAGAACATCCGGGTGGGATGCGTATTATCTTGAAATATGCGGGGAAAGACGCCACCGAAGAATTTGAGCCTATACATCCTCCGGATACCCTAGACAAGTATCTGGACAAATCGAAGCATTTAGGACCCGTCGATTTGAGTACTGTTGCGAAGGTGGAAGAAGAAGAGGATCCCGAAGAGGCTGGACGGCAAGAGCGCATCTCAAATAAGCCCTTGTTATCGCAATGCTACAATCTAATGGACTTCGAGTCTGTTGCCAAAAATACCATGAAGAGGGGTGCTTGGGGTTATTACTCCAGTGCTGCGGATGATGAAATAGTATGTTTTGCTGTATCGAAACTTGGGGAGGAATTATGCTAATTAAATCGGCAAGACATTGCGAGAAAACCATGAAGCTTTTCACAGGATATGGTTCAGGCCTAGGATTTTGGTCGACGTGAAGGAAGTGGATTTTTCAACTACGATGCTCGGAACTAAAGTTGACATGCCCTTCTACGTTACCGCGACGGCACTAGGAAAGTTGGGACATCCAGAGGGTGAGGTTGTATTAACCAAGGCTGCAAAGAAGCACAACGTCATACAGATGATCCCCACATTAGCATCATGCTCATTTGACGAGATCATGGATGCGGCGGAAGGCGACCAAGTGCAGTGGCTGCAGCTTTACGTCAACTCGGACCGCGCGATCACCGAACGCATTGTCAGACACGCCGAGAAGCGAGGGTGCAAGGGGCTTTTTATCACAGTTGACGCCCCACAATTAGGGCGAAGAGAGAAGGATATGCGATCTAAATTCACCGACTCGGGCTCCAACGTCCAATCAGGACAACAGACGGACAACTCTCAGGGCGCCGCGCGCGCCATCTCATCTTTCATCGACCCGGCCCTGTCCTGGAAGGACATCCCGTGGTTCCAATCTATCACCAAAATGCCCATTATCCTCAAGGGCGTGCAGCGGGTCGAGGACGTGATCAAAGCGATCGAGCACGGCGTACAGGGCGTCGTGCTCTCGAACCACGGCGGTCGGCAGCTCGACTTCGCGCGGTCTGCGGTCGAGGTCTTAGCTGAGACGATGCCAATCTTACGGGGACTCGGGCTCGAGAATAAGATCGAGATCTTCGTGGATGGCGGCGTGCGCCGCGCCACCGACATCATCAAGGCGCTGTGTCTGGGCGCCAAAGGCGTCGGTATTGGCCGCCCCTTCCTCTACGCGATGTCGGCCTACGGACTTGAGGGTGTCGATCGCGCCATGCAGCTCCTGCGCGACGAAATGGAGATGAACATGCGCCTCATTGGCGCCACGAGCATCGACCAGCTCAACCCCTCACTCGTCGATGTGCAGAACCTAGGCGCCCATGTCACCGGCGTGCCGAGGGATAACCTTGGGTATAAGGTCTACGATCCCCTTGCTACACCAGCGTTTAAGGCCCCCAAGTCGAAACTATAAGGAGGGCCAGGGCAGAAAGGGGTGTAGAGAATTTCGTTGCTTTTTGTGTGAGATACCGATGTGGCATGTATTGTTCAGTGTGGCATTTGGATCTGCTGTTGACTTGGGTTATGTGTATTCAGATATATATGTATATACCTATCAAGTACTTATTATTGAACTGCTCGCTTTTTACTACCTATACCTAGGTACACACTAGTTTCAACTTAATCTAGTCGTAAGAAATAACATGTGAATATTACCCGCGCACTATATACGATCCGGAATAGTTCCTCTACCGCCAAACTGGATCTTAGTTCCATGATACCTGCAACTAATTAAAAATACCTATCCTTGAGTAGGTGCTGAGTAGAAGATCTTTGTGGGGTACATTGAACAGATCTTTCAGTGATTCAAGCAAAATCTACAAATAGGTAGTCAAAGTTCATTGTATCTTTTTGGAGCTTCATGTAGCTCTGGGGTTGTTAATATTGACTTACTACCTACCTATGGTATCAGCAGCGAGGATTTCACATGTTAAAATTGGAAGATGGTGCTTTGACTCTGGAACTATCTATCATGTCGCTTACATTCACGTCATTAACGTATAATTAGTCATATAGGTATTATTGAACAATTATTATTTCCTTCTCGGGCTATTTCTGTCCGAGATGATATTTGCTGGTCATCGATATTTCTTCCATTCATACCCTCCTCATTGACAGCGTCTCTAACAAATGCAATGGCTCTCTTCCAATCTCTAAGTGTCTACAGAGGGATATACAGTGAAGCCGAGAACCCAAAACACGGAAAACATCACGCCGCACCACAAATGTACAGAAAACAAACCGAAAACCCCAACGAGGTTTAAAAGGTTGCGACCGCAATCGCGATGGATTGCGTCTCGGAATGTGAAATGGAGACGCTGATCTCCTTCACACCTGCCTTCTTTGCGGCTTCTTGAGCATCACCATGAAGCTGTGATTGGTTAGCAAACCTGTGCTTAAATATTTCGGTGGGATTTCACTTACAGAGACGACGGGTGCGCCGTTCTCACTAGAAAGGATCTCAATGCCCTTCAGGGGCGCACCGGCACCTCTACTTTGGACACCTAGACTCTTGAAGACAGCCTCCTTCGCGCTCCACCTTCCCGCGAAGGAGCTTTGTGGACTTGGCATCTTCTTGCAGTACGCGATCTCCTTCTCCGTGAAATTACGCTCAACAAATGTAGGATTTTCAATGTTGATGGCTGTGATGTCTTCTACATCAACACCGACCTTGTTATTCTTCCCCGTTTGGAGACTTCGAGCTAGGCTCTCTACCACCTCCTTGGTGTTCTTCGCCTTGATAGTGTGGGGTCGAGCAGCCTGTTGGGCGAAGTCGGCAGCATAGACGAGCTCAGCTGTCTTCACATTCTCCGTAACCCTGGCGTCGGGGTTTAGAAGGACGGCGGTGAGCTGGTCGTCGGAGTACGGCGAGTGATTCTTAGCTTGGAAGATGGCGTTATTGACGATACCATTGTGCATGTAGCGATAAGCTTTCTTCTGGCGGGCTATGACCTTGGCAGAATACTCCGCATACGTCTCCTGATCTAGAGTGGCAAACAAGTACCTGGGGTGAACGCCAACTGCTTGGGCACCCTTCTGGCCGAAACCGAAGGAGGTGAGAGAGAAGGCCTTTACACCATCGGTTTGGATGCTTCGGCTGGGGTATACAATCAGGTCAAACTTTTCCATGTCTTTATCGACGTTGTCAGCGTTGCGGTTACCGGGAACCAAGCCACTGTTCAGAACTTGCAAGCAGCCGTTGAACATCCAAGCTCCGGCAGCACCCTTGGGGTGACCGGTAAGGTACTTCTGGAAGACACCAAGGACGGCATTACCCTTCTTGCGACCGAGATGACGCAATTGCTGGCAGATGACCGACGACTCGTTCTTGTCATTGGCCTTGGTTGATGTGCCATGGAAAGATGCAACATCCAAGTCATCAATGGTTAGACCCCAAGTAGCAAGGGCGCCCCGAAGAGGAGCAATGGTGTTATCTTGCTTCCAGAAGTTGTTTCCAAGGCTTCGTAAGGCTTCCTTTTCTTGCCGTGCAGCTTCCTTCTCGATGTGAACGGCTCGAGCTTGGGTGTATTCCTTCTCGTCAAACTTGTGACCTTGAGCCTGCATAGCAGCTGCTTCCTCGTAAAGATATTCCAGTTCAGACTCTTTCCAGTTACGAATCTGTCTCTTGCGGAGTTCAATCTGTCGGCGACGGTACTTGAGATCTAATAGAGGCGATGGGAACTTGCTGGGGGCTTCCCGGGCCGTGGTCAACAAACCTTGTCCAGGCGCGGGAACGGAACGACCAATTTTGTCGCTTGCAGTGGTGGTAAGGGCGAGTACACCATGAATTGGCACACCCATATCAAGTGCTAGTTTCGCTGTCATGATAACTTGGATACCACATCCCTGAGATTCCATGAACCCACCCCTTGTCGTCGTAGTCGGACGTGACATTTCCTGAGGTGTACGCCCATGGGCAAATTCATCGAGACTGTTGCTTGTTGCTTTCATGTTGGCGAATTCATATGAACCTTCTTCACCGAAGTCATCAAAACCACCGACTAAACAAATACGTGCTTTACCCTCCATGATAGCTTCGTACCCGATATCGACGGATTCCACAGCTGTAGCACAAGCTCCAACGGGGGTTTTGATGGGACCCGAGGAAGACAGCAACAGCATATTGACCCATGCAGCCATAGTATTGATGAATGACTCCTGTAAAATGTCCTTCTGGATATCGTGGTCCATCTTTCGCTTGGTATACATCCCATTAAGAGCATTCATACCACCTTGGCCGGAACCAATACAGTTGCCAACTTCGGACACATGCACGTACTTATAGAACTCGTACGGGTCGGTGATACCAGAAGCCAGGAGGGCTTCGGCAACGGAAATAAGCACATACAAGGTGACGCGGTCGACTTGAGAAATAATGTCGTCGGGAACACCATATTTCTTGGCATCCCAGCCCGTGGGTATTTGACCAGCAACAAGACGGTCAAATTTGAGCGCCTTGGGAATCCAAAGAGTAGCGCCCTTCCTCAAGCGAATAGTGTACTCGCCAGTCTCCGTGATTTCGAAAATCTCGCACTTGTCGCCATGCTGCCTCTTGAATTCCTCGGCTGTCTCCTTCGATCCCTCAAATGGTTCTAGATCCTCTTCTAGTTGGATTTCATGTAACATCATCTTCTTATTGGGATCGTACCCATCAAAGAGCTCCGGCTCAATGAGACGGATACCGGAATGCTCAAGAATGTAACTCTCGTACTTTTGTTTGATCTCCTTATCTTCGACTGGTTCGTTTGTTTTGGCGTCAACCCAACCTGAGTAAGGCTGTCCTTTAATGGAACCATTGAAGTTCTTGATGAGACCCATGATCCATGCCATCTCGATGCAGCCTTCAAGTGAAAATTGGCCATATGCTTCCATTTCCCAGCGAGTGCGAGAATTACCCCAGGGTCCAATCTCAGCAAAACCAGTGACAACGACGATCTTTTCCAAGTCTACCATACCCTTCAGGCTATCATTGAGTGGCGCGATTTCCTTCTCCCAGTTAGGGAGAGTTGGGAAATCAAATTTGATGTTGGCACGCGGCTCAACGATTTTCTTCTTGTACAAGGCTTCCGAGTTTTCACCATTTATGACCTTGTTCTCAATCGCAGTCTCTTTTGTGACTGCTCGGCGGACTTCGCTAGTCTCCATGATATCCTTACGTAAGCGTGTCATGGTATCATTTAAGTTGGGAATGAATTGGAGACCACCATTGAGATCTGCAAACACAGGCTCATTTTGGCAGAGGTCTACGATAGCGGGAGACATAAGTCCGAGAAGGTTGAAAGCCATCTCCTGCTGGGAGAAAGTGCGGACGCCGAACTGCTCAACGCCTTCGGCTACGATATTGTTACCGGACATGAGACCTGTACCACGAGTCCAACCAATGACAGCGCCGCAAATGGTGAGATAGTTGGCCCAATCCTCAGAATGCCAGCGGTTGAAAAGCGTCTCTAAGCCGAGCTTTGATTCGGAGTAGAGACCATCGCTGCCGAATGTGCCGTGGTTGGGAGACAACGGAAGTACGACTTGAGCAGGACGAGTTTCAAAGCCGCGCTCCAATTTCTGCGCTTTCACACAGCCTAGGAGACGGATCAGGTTCGTTAACATGATGCGGTGGGCAAGCTCGGACTTCGAGTCGACACCGTCAATCTGTCGGCCATTTTCAGAAATGGCAGCAAATGGAACAATGTAATCCAGGTCCCATCCTAGACCGGCCTTGGGGTCGTAAATGTAATTGACTAGTGCTTCAACGTCTTGTTTACTTCCCTGGTTGAACGGAACAACGACTAGTTGAGATCCACGCGCACCAAACCTAGCATACATCGCCTGGTAATACTCGGTTACCTGTCGCGAAAAACGACTGGTTGTTACGATGACTCTGGCACCCCCGCTAATCAAGCCTTGAAGAACTTCGGCACCGATCGAGCCGGCACCAGCACCGGTCATGAGGACGTATTTATCCTGGTAAGTGACGCCGGCCTTAGCAGCCTCCTCTAAGCAGTCCAAGTAAATACCCGTTAGTCGTTTGCTGTATTCCCAACCGTGTAGATTGTGGCGCTTAAGGTGTAGGAACGGAATAGTTTCCATCTTGCCCTTTCCACTTTGACCATTGGGCTTCAACGTGGGCTTTTTAAGGGGACCGTTAGCCTTTCCAGCATCCTTAGGTAAGATCTGACTTTCATTCATGGCAAGTGAACGAAGAACATTCCCATAGAGATTCTTGAATTCTAACTTCGCGGTCTTAGACATCTTATGTTGCTCCTTAATGAGCTTGACGAGACGCCCGAGGTCATTTTGCACCTTAGTCCGATTGCCGTACTCGGATATTTTCCCGCCTTCCGCCATTTGTTGGACGTAATGTTCAAGCTTGCGGCAGCTTTGCCTAGGGATTTCTTCATAATTGAGATTACCACGAGCATCTATAGAGGTATGCGGTCCAGTTGGAATAGCTACGTCTTTATAAGCGGGCGCGACGTCTAGGACATCTTTGCAATTTTCGATTAACTGTTGCCCAAGCTCCTTAGCAAGCTTGTAGGTCTCTCCACGGTCCGTTGGACAGTTGTCGATGTGGTATTGCATGAATTCGAGAAGTAGGGGGTTTGATTTACTCATGATGCGAATGCATTGACTAACGATTTCTCTGTCGACAGCTTGTAGCCGGCCGAAGATAACATCGTAATACATGCTTAGGGCATCCTGTCGCGCCCAGTTCCAAGAAGAATCATAGGTACGTGCTTTCAAGGGACTAAAGACGGGTTCAATACCCGCCGCATAGAAGTCACCGTGCTCAGCACTCCAAAGATCTAGCTGTGCCTGTAGTACTTGTTGCGACTCTTGGGATGTCTGTGCAGCTTTGTCGCCTGCCCGAAGATCCATTTTCAGGTACCTTGCCAGCAGCTCAAGCTGTTGCTTGAACAGGGCACGCTGATCTTTGGTAAGGGCATCGATGGCGGCGGGGTCCATCATCATGCCTGCTGACCCACCAGCGGCGGGACCGGCGGATGATGCTGTAGACAAGCTGACGCCGGAGTTGGCAGCATATTTTTGGGTAACATCGTCGAGGTAGGCTTTCGCATCGTTTTCGGAACCGAGACGAGATGCTGGTTCCATAGTGATGGCCAATACAAGAGCACCGTCCTGCCTCCCAGGACCAAGACCCCACCTCGTTTCTAGGTACTTGCGCGCTGCTGTCATGTTGAAACCACCCGGCATCTTCGATGAAATTAGGCGGGCAATGAGTGATTGTGACTGCTTCCCGAGCTGGCCGTTGAATGTCGCCTGCATCAATCCTGATAATTCGTCGATGGGAGTATCTTCTGGCTTTTCTGGAGTTGACCCAAATTCCTTCCCTAGATCACCGAGGATTTCATTCTGAAGAGTTGATTTACCTGTATTACCATTAGTGCCAGTTCATAGAGTTTCCAAAACAGCTGTACTAACCTCCAACTAAATCTTTGATCGCCTTGCTTAGGGGAACGTCTAAGAATGGCTTCTTCAGCTTTTGCGCGATCAACGCTCTGACAATCTCGAGAGCAGACACTGGCACATCGTCAATAGATGCAGCGGGACCCGCGCTCGGCGCCGGAGCTGCCGCAACAGGAGCCGCCGCTGCCGAAGGTGCTGCCGCAGAACTTGACGAACCCTCTGCAGGAGCAGCAGCGGGTTCTGGTTCCTCCTCGATTGGGTCTACATCGTAGTAAATCTCTTTTGCATCCTTGTTGTAGCAGAGGATCTGACGTTGGATAGACTTCGCAGCATCGAATGCTTCATATTTGGATGCGATTGTTCTCTTCGCCATTACACCTAGAGTATCCGCCGGGCCGACTTCAACGATACGCTCGGCCGTCTTCTCGCCGAGGAAGACATCTTGCGTTTCGATCCATCTCACAGGAGAGGCAAACTGATAGGCAAGAAGCTCGACAAGCAACGTGTGAGCAAGTTCCTGCTCAACTTCGGGACGCATTTCGGCGGTAGGATCGAGATAGGTGGGTAGAGGTGTGTGGGGTATAAGCGGCAGGTAAGTAGAGTCTGGAGGAATGGAGTGTCGACAACTCTAAATGGCACCTCTACTTGTTTGATATTATGTCGACTAGGAATAGGGACACAAAGTGAGGGGATTATCTCGTTCGTGTTGAGTTATGTCCCTTTTCGTTGATAATTCTAACCCCTCGACTGGAATAGAAGCCAAAGGTTGATCGTACGGCACAAGCAGGCTTGAAGGGATAAGAAAGGAGCGTATACCATGCACGAAGGAAAGAGAGGTTATTTGGTGGAAGTAGTGAAGCACGGATGAGAAATGGGGAATGAATTAGTGATCGGTAGAATTTCACTTCAATTGATTAGTAGGTGTGTACGGTATGAAAATTATGAAGTGTTGCCGTTGTGTGGTTGGCGATCACCTTGACGAAAGTTGTTTTTGCCTGCACCTAAGGAAAACAAGCAGGGGAGGTACATATGACAAAGACTAAACGCGGATAGGTAAGTACATGTAGAGAGGTACCTAGGTAACTGTCGTACAGGCAGGAGTAGAGGCGGCAGGAATGAAACGAGCTTTCCCAAATGTTGAACTGCATTAATGGAAAATTTTGGCGGGATCCTAGAGGGTCGTTGTTTCCCAATTCCGGGCCAATGGCTAGACTACAAGTACCTACCTAGACCTAGTAGTGATTATTAGTTGCCAGCGACCTAGAGCATTCCCCATGCTGCAGCAATCATCGTTCTAATGCATCGAGCCTGTCGTGCCACCACAGCTGCTGTGCGATACCACATAGGTACTTCAGGCGCGGTTGGAAGGCAACAGGGCTCTGACAGGTATTAAAATTTCTCTGTCGTGATTTGTTCCGAAAAACAATTCCACTCCACTATTCCTCAACCACCTCTTAGGTTCTATTCCTATCAAGGTCTAGTCACCCTAGAGACCCTTTCTCCACAACGACCTAGCCTTGCTAGCCCGCAAAAGTTGGGGTTGAAGTATTTAATCGATAGACATTTTTTCTTCTTTGCCTCCCTCGTTAACAATATCGTCTCATTCCTCGGCTTTCTGATCCCGTTGCCAGAAATCGTTCGGACGAAAGAACCATTTTTCTTTTTATCATTAACTTCCCAAGTACAGATCGTGTTCAGGTTTAAAAACTCAAGACGTGTCTTAAGACCTTATCCTCGATTTTTATCTGCAAGGTGGTCGATAGTCAATCGTCATTCAACTTTAGTCTCATGCAGACTCTCTCAGTTAGGACGAGTAGTATTGCAGGGAATCCTCTTCCGTAATACCAGGCACCACGCGAGGCCGCGTCTGACTGGCCCTGGCCGTCGTTTGCCTGCCGTACCATTACAGTGGACCAACTGGTACGGGCCAGGGGTTGGCCCTTGACAGAAGTATAGATACTTCCTTATCCATTATCAAGGTCATTTTAAGGTTGATTTCATCCCACTCCTTTCGCCGGTCTCTCCAAAGAGATTTGAGAAACAAGAAGCGAAGGCGACCAACCACATGTCGCATAGTTTCGTATTTTGACATTATTGAATCCGAAGACACTGCATGTTTGTGGAAGATCATAGATTGTCATTGGCCGTCTTATCATCTTGATGATCGAACAGAAACCCATAACTAGGTACCATGGCGTTGCGTCATCTTACCCTCTCCGCAATTGAAACTGCAGCCAGCATCTGAATGACACGCATCAAGGATGACCTCGGTTCACTGAAGCACGGATCTATTGATTAGAAAATCGATCGCTATCCAGACTTCAAGCCTCGATGTCAGCTACGACAGCCACAGGTAACATGAGATTGTGAGAAAAAAAAGATCCGTTGAGCCGAAAGATATTTGGTTGATATCTGTTTCTTCACTTTCAATAATCCTTTGCAGCCCGAATTTGTTTTCCTTGCTTTCCTCCTTCGTCACCGCTGGCTTTAGAATAAACCAGCCAATCACCACATATTAGGAACGCATGATAAGTCTCCACGCTCTTACCTGACTCGAGGACCCAATAAATCCGATGCTTGATTATGCTTTCGTCCGATATGGCTGTGACAACTACATAATGTTCTTAATTTGTAACTACCTGTAGAGCAAAACTAAGTTCTGGGGTGACAGCTAGATATAGAACTTTGGTGAGGGCTGAGCAGCAAGTGAAACAAAATTGTCTATGATATGATGTCCCTTTGTCAGATTAAATTGTAAGGTTGTCTTGAAGATATTTGATCATTAAAGGTTGACTGTGGTTGAAAAAGTACAGATACTTTAAAGTTGTAGTGACAATGACAGTGGACCAGGGCTGCAGCTGCAGGCTAGGATAGTTGCTAGGGACTAAAAAGGTGTGGCACCTAACCCATATGGATCCCCAACAAGAACTTAAATTTTTTTCTGTCGAGGGAGCTGTCCCTGTAACGGAAACGTTAAACTTATTCACGTACTCTGTGGGCGGTTTATCGGGTAAATTTCTTAGAATACCTGCTAGGTACGTTGAGACCACCAATTAGACAGGGGACCTTCCGCGCACTGCAGGTGTTTAGTGCCACAACCATCGACCACTTGTTTCCCGATTCCCGAAGTTCCTACCTGGTGTATCTATCACGATCCTCTTCTTTCATATCGAAGCTGCTGAATCACATCTTTCCCAACTTTAATCCTGCCTCCTCCTTGACACTTTTGATAACTTCATACTTCCTTATCGCGACAGGCAATAGTCTTCGCCCAGTCAATCTCTCTTCAGCGAAGCTCTTGTTTGCCTAATAGCAACAGTTGGCGGAGTAGAGTTCTTCAAATTGTTTACTTTTTTTGTCCCCTCAATTTCCCAAGAGCCTCATATCTCCTGCTCTTTACTGAGTTTACGGAGGTAATCTTAATAGTAAGATAGGCTCTCTGTATTATGTAGATCTCACATATTCCGGATGCTAATAGGGACTTAAAGGCACCAGTTTAGACCGGTTTAGACATCTGCCTCGCCAGCAACTTCACGATACCCATAACCATGTACGGAACCGGTACGGGCACAGGCCCTCAAACGGGCGTTTCTACTCCTAGATCGTCTTCCTCCCTTCGACCCCTCACTCTTTCTCATGGATCTCTCGACGCTTCATTTCTCGTACCTACCAACCTTCATTTCCATGCATCGCAGCTCAAGGACCGATTCACAGCCGGTCTCCCCGCGCCAACAGACGAATTGGCCTTGGACGATGAGCCCTCATCCGTAGCTGAGCTTGTCGCAAGATACATGGGGTTTGTTGCACACGAAGTTGAAGAAGGGGAAGACGATGCTCAGGGTTCGTATGAAGAGGTCTTAAGGCTCGTTCTTAACGAATTTGAGCGCATGTTCCTTCGGGGGAACGACGTCCATACGCTAGCAAAGAATCTACCAGGTATTCTTGCTAAGCAAATCACTGTAGTGCGGTGCTACTATGTAGCCCGCTCAGTAGCGAACCGTGCGATCAGACCGCATGAATCTGCGCTCCTCAGAGCTGCCGACGAAGGAAGCGCCGGCATTTACAGCATCTTCGGTGGCCAAGGAAATATTATCGAATACTTTGACGAACTTCGTGAAGTATACGAGACATACCCGTCATTCGTGGGTGAGCTAGTTGCTACATCCGCCGACCTTCTGCACACCCTAGCTCTTGATCCTAGGACAGACAAGTTGTACGCAAAAGGACTTGATGTGATGGAATGGCTTCGCTCTCCGGACACAACCCCTGACCCCCAATACCTAATATCCGCCCCTGTGAGCTTGCCGTTAATCGGATTGGTGCAACTATGCCACTATCAAGTCCTCGGGAAAGGCCTTGGTGTACATCCTGGAATACTACGTGATCGTATCCGTGGCGCAACTGGTCACTCTCAGGGCGTCATTGTTGCCGCTGCCACTGCCGCCGCAGATTCATGGGAGTCGTATGAAAAATTAGCTAAGGACGCCTTGACAATCCTATTCTGGATCGGTGCTCGTAGTCAACAAGTATTCCCTAGAACTTCGTTGACTCCTGCTATGCTTCAGGATTCTATTGATAATGGTGAAGGGGACCCGACGCCCATGTTGAGCATCCGAGATCTTCCCCAGAGCGAAGTGCAGAAGCACATTGATGCCACAAACCAGTACCTTCCAGAAGACCGCCACATCGCCATATCTCTCATCAACAGTCCTAGAAACATGGTTGTTACTGGCCCACCAATTTCTTTGTATGGTTTGAATCTCCAGTTGCGAAAGGTCAAGGCGCCCACAGGCCTTGACCAAACTCGAATCCCTCATACACAGCGGAAAGTTCGATTTGTCAACCGTTTCTTACCCATCACTGCGCCCTTCCATAGCAAGTATCTTTCCGATGCAACAAAATTGATCGACGAAGATCTTAAAGATATCACCATTGATTCATCTTCCCTGGGAATCGCCGTCTACAACACGTGCTCTGGTGCTGATTTAAGGGATGAAGTCGAGGGTGATATTGTGCCCTCCTTGATCCGCATGATCACGCGAGACCCCGTGAACTGGGAAAAAGCAACTATCTTCCCAGAGGCGACCCATGTGTTAGATTTTGGCCCTGGTGGCATTTCTGGCCTTGGCATATTGACGAGCCGTAACAAGGAAGGCACAGGGGTGCGTGTCATTCTCGCTGGTACTATCGACGGTGCTGCACAAGAGGTGGGTTACAAGTCCGAACTCTTCGACCGCGATGAGGAACATGCCGTGGTGTATGCCAATGACTGGGTTAAAGAGTATGGCCCTCGGTTAGTTAAAACATCGAGCGGCCACACTTATGTAGACACCAAAATGAGTCGATTGCTCGGTGTCCCTCCAATTATGGTTGCTGGTATGACGCCTGCTACAGTTCCGTGGGACTTCGTTGCTGCGACAATGAATGCCGGATACCATATTGAATTGGCCGGCGGAGGTTATTATAATGGCAAGACGATGACTGAGGCGCTGTCACAAATTGAAAAGGCCATTCCAGCTGGACGAGGAGTTACCATTAACTTGATCTACGTTAATCCCCGGGCTATGGGCTGGCAAATTCCTCTCATTGGACGATTGAGGGCCGAGGGTGTCCCTATTGAGGGCTTGACTATCGGTGCAGGTGTGCCGTCTATTGAAGTTGCTCAGGAGTACATCGAGACTCTCGGATTAAAGCACATCGCTTTTAAGCCAGGTTCTATGGAGGCGATTCAAGCAGTAATCAACATTGCCCGAGCAAACCCGACATTCCCCATCATCCTACAGTGGACCGGTGGACGTGGAGGTGGTCACCATTCATTTGAGGATTTCCATCAACCAATTTTACAGATGTACGCCCGCATCCGACGTTCGGACAACATCATTCTTGTTGCCGGCAGTGGTTTCGGTGGTGCTGAAGATACATATCCCTACCTCACGGGTGAATGGTCTAAAAAGTACGGCTACCCATCCATGCCTTACGATGGCTGCCTCTTTGGTAGCCGTATGATGGTTGCAAAGGAAGCCCATACGAGCAAGGCCGCCAAACAAGCCATCATAGACGCCACAGGTCTTGACGATGATTCATGGGAGCAGACATACAAGGGTCCGGCCGGTGGTGTCATCACCGTTCGATCAGAAATGGGTGAACCTATTCACAAACTCGCCACCCGCGGTGTTAAGTTCTGGGCAGAGATGGACAACAAAATTTTCAGCTTGCCAAAGGAAAAACGGGTTGCTGAGCTGAAAAAGCATCGTGAATATATTATCAAGAAGTTGAATGATGACTTCCAGAAAGTTTGGTTTGGGCGAAACAAGGCTGGTCAAACTGTTGACCTCGAAGATATGACTTACGGCGAGGTTGTGCGACGAATGGTAGACCTCCTTTATGTCAAGCACGAGTCGAGGTGGATTGACCCATCTTTCGCCAAGCTCACAGGTGACTTTATCCATCGTGTTGAGGAACGATTTACTCTCAACGCTGGTCACCCATCGTACCTACAGACCTATTCCCAACTGAACGAACCGTTTTCTGCCGTGGAAAAAATTCTTGCCCAATATCCGGAGGCCGAAACCCAGATTATAAATGCTCAGGATGTTCAGCATTTCTTACTCTTATGCTCACGCCGTGGCCAAAAACCAGTGACTTTTGTTCCATCTCTCGATGAAAACTTCGAATTTTTCTTCAAGAAGGACTCTCTATGGCAATCGGAGGATCTTGAGGCCGTCATCGATCAAGACGTCGGACGTACTTGTATTTTGCAGGGTCCTACTGCTGTCAAGTACTCGACTGTAATAGATGAGCCTATTAAAGACATCCTAGACAACATCCACAACACCCACATCGCCAATTTGACAAGAGATGTATATGCAGGCAAACCGGAGTCCATCCCGGTCATTGAGTATTTCGGCGGCAAGCTCATTGACACTGAGATGCCTCTGGATATCGAAGGTCTTACAGTATCTTACGATCAGCACAAAAACACATATCGTCTATCATCTTCCCCCGGTGCTGCTCTCCCTCCCCTTGATAGCTGGCTTGCACTTCTAGCGGGCCCGAATCGCAACTGGCGCCATGCCCTTTTTACCTCTGAAGTCCTGGTACAGGGCCACAAGTACCAGACAAATCCAATGAAGCGGATTTTCGCACCGGTTCGTGGTCTCTTCGTGGAGATTTTGTATCCCAACGACCCAACCAAGACATCAATTATCGTGCGCGAACAACCACGGCACAATCATTACGTCGATGTCATTGAAGTCAAGTTAAATGGCAAACGCGAGATTATGGTCAACATGATAAAAGACACTAGTGCTCTCGGCCAACCGGTATCATTACCCCTTAAATTCACGTACCAGCCTGAAGCCGGATATGCACCGATCCATGAAGTCATGGAAGGGCGAAATGACCGCATCAAGGAATTTTACTGGCGTGCGTGGTTCGGAGATGAAACCCTTGATCACGATACCCCCGTCACCAGCAAGTTTGATGGAGGAAGGGCCACTATCACTAAAGAAGCCATCAATGATTTCGTGCATGCCGTTAGCAATACCGGTGAAGCATTTGTTGACCGTCCTGGAAAGGAGATGTTTGCTCCCATGGACTTTGCCATCGTTGTCGGATGGAAGGCTATCACAAAGCCTATCTTCCCTCGAAACATCGATGGCGATCTTCTTAAGCTTGTGCATCTTTCTAATGGTTTCCGGATGATGCCCGGTGCCGACCCTCTAAAGAAGGGAGACGAAGTAAAGACTACTGCTCAAATCAACGCCGTAATTAATCAGGAGTCTGGCAAGATGGTTGAGGTCTGTGGCACTATTTATAGAGATGGTAAGCCTGTTATGGAGGTTACGTCACAATTCTTGTATCGTGGTGTTTACACCGATTACGAAAACACCTTCCAACGTAAGATGGAAACACCGATGCAAGTCCATCTCGGCACCTCGAAGGATGTTGCGGTCCTGAAGTCAAAAGACTGGATTCAATTCGACAATAACGACATCGAACTCCTTGGTCAGACGCTGACATTCCGTCTTCAGAGCTTCTACAAGTTCAAGAATAAGACCGTCTATAGCAGTGTTGAGACGAGTGGTCAAGTGCTACTCGAGCTCCCTACTAAGGAGATTATTCAAGTCGCGAGTGTCGACTACGAAGCTGGTGCGTCTCACGGCAACCCAATTGTTGACTACCTCGAACGCCACGGCTCTTCTATTGAGCAGCCAATCAACTTCGAGAATCCCATCCCTCTTAGCGGCAAGTCGCCCTTGCAGCTAAAGGCGCCCGCTTCCAATGAGACGTATGCCAAGGTGTCCGGCGACTACAACCCGATTCACGTTTCTCGTGTCTTCTCCAGCTATGCCAATCTTCCTGGTACTATCACCCACGGGATGTACTCAAGTGCTGCTGTGCGAGGTCTAGTAGAAACTTGGGCAGCGGAAAATAACGTAGGCCGTGTTCGCAGCTTCCACGCTTCCCTTGTCGGTATGGTACTACCCAACGACGATATTCAAGTTAAGCTTCAGCACGTCGGAATGATTGGTGGCCGCAAGATTATCAAGGTTGAAGCGAGCAATGAGGAGACCGAAGAAAAGGTACTTCTCGGAGAGGCCGAGGTTGAACAACCCGTTACAGCATACGTATTCACCGGGCAAGGCTCTCAGGAGCAGGGTATGGGTATGGACTTGTACAATACTAGCCCTGTGGCTAAGGAGGTATGGGATAGGGCCGACAAGTATCTCCTTGACACATATGGTAAGTTGAAAATCCCACATCCACATGGTGTAATATGCGCTAACCCATTCCAGGCTTTTCGATCTTGAATATCGTCAAGAACAACCCGAAGGAGCTAACTATTCATTTCGGTGGTCCCCGAGGCAAAGCCATCCGTGAAAACTACATGCAAATGAACTTCGAAACCATCGCTGCGGACGGCTCTGTCAAATCCGAACGCATTTTCAAGGAGATCAATGAAAAGACAACATCATACACATACCGTTCTCCTACTGGTCTTCTATCAGCAACTCAGTTCACACAACCCGCTCTCACTCTTATGGAGAAAGCCAGTTTTGAAGACATGAACGCCAAGGGTCTTGTACCGCGAGACAGCACCTTCGCCGGCCACTCTCTAGGCGAATATTCTGCTCTTGCCGCGTTGGCAGATGTGCTACCTATTGAGTCCTTGGTCTCTGTTGTCTTCTATCGTGGATTGACTATGCAAGTTGCCGTGGAGCGAGATGCCCAAGGTCGTTCGAACTACTCCATGTGCGCTGTCAACCCTAGCCGAATCTCAAAGACGTTCAGTGAAAGCGCCCTCCGATATGTGGTTAGTAATATTGCCGAGGAGACGGGTTGGCTATTGGAGATTGTCAACTACAATATTGCCAACATGCAGTATGTCTGTGCTGGTGATCTTCGCGCCTTGGATACTCTCACCGGAGTCTTGAACTTTTTGAAGTCGCAGAAGGTGGACATCAACCAACTTCGCCAGGATCTGAGCATCGAAGAGGTGAAGGCACACCTTGTCGACATTATCAAAGGCTCTGCCCAGCAGACTTTAACCAAGCCTCAGCCTATAGAGCTGGAGAGGGGATTCGCCACGATCCCTCTCAAGGGTATCGATGTGCCATTCCATTCGACGTTCTTGCGATCAGGTGTCAAGCCTTTCAGAAATATCCTACTCAAGAAGATCAACAAAACTTCCATCGACCCCGCTAAATTAGTTGGGAAGTACATTCCTAACGTAACGGCACGACCCTTCGAGCTCACGAAAGAATATTTCCAGAACGTGTATGATCTAACAGGGTCACCGAAGATCGCCCAGATCCTACAGGACTGGGAGAGTTATCAGGACGAAGTAAATGGTGTTAATGGTGTGAGCGCACCTATACAGGTGAATGGCCACTAAGGACTTTAGACCTGCGTGGGGCATACATGAAAGCGCCTTAGAGCGGCGCGGGGGAATGTGATGATGACGGGACAGCATTATGCGGATTGTGTTTTATACTCGTTGTATTCTCTAATTCTGTGCTATTACGTCGGTGATGTCCGGATGGAAACTCGGTGTTGGTTTTATGTCCTCATAGATATACTTGGAAGTTTAGACAAAACCTTCCAACACAATGAACATTCGATGCTTTTATGTTGATTCTTCGTGTAATATTTACGTGACCATTTCTCTTGAAGCTATACTTTGAAGTACTAGGTAATTAAAATTCAATTTCCTTGCTTAGTGCATGATCGGATGGGTACCTGAGTAATCGTTGGATACAGCAATTGGGCTAGGTTAAGACGTTAAGACTTAGGCTTACTAGTGATGTATCCGCCTATAACTTTACTGAAATACAGCGGGCATCGATTAAGTTCTAGGGACTCAGCCACCGGAGAAAGGCGCTACAAGATTTTATATCACGCGGTTTTAGCCCTTGAGCACCTATTATTTTGGTTAGATTGCGAGAAGTCAAACAGCCAATTATGAAGATATTCAATAGCCTTAGGAGAAGCCAGTAAACTACGAACTCTTTAAATAATACAATTTCGTAACTCGATGTAGGTACCTAAGTACCTATAACTCTTTCATGTCGTTGCCTATACATTGCACGCCTCATATGTACCTAGTTTATAATGCTTCGATCCTCAGATCTTTACCATCTCAAGGATCCAATGCGAACCACGCATACAGGTGGTTTATGTAAAACCTCTACTTCCGTCATCCTCATGCATACCTAGTTCCATCACATATCTAGCATTCTTAAAACCCACACCCAACGAATCACATATAACCCACCTACGTCACCCACCATATCACAGCTCACCCTCATCCACTATCTTCAGCTCAACAAGTTTCTTATAAATGATATCAGCAACAGCCTTCATGCCCTCAGCGCGGGGATGATACGCGCCCCCCGCGTAAAACAGCTTCCACGAGAACCCGGAAACCCAGGGGTCCGGCGCCCCTATAGCGTGGTCCTCGCTGGGCTCGCCCACGGACACGACATGGCACCACTCCGCGCGGCCCTCAACCGCCTTCGTCGTAGCCTCTAGTAATCGCGCGCTTACAGCCTTATGGTGCGCGACGCGCTCTTCGCCAAACGGCACGTCCTTCCCGGGCTGCACGTGCGAGCCTAGCATCGTCAGGTACTCCACGACCAAGACCTGGGCTTTGGGCGCCTTAGCGTGAATCTCGTCCAGCACGCCGGCGTACCTAGCCGCAAGCCCATCGACATCAAGATCCACAGTCGAAACAGGTGCGCCGCCCGTTCCACGCACTTTCATAACGAAAGTGCCGAGCCAAGTCGCGGATAACGTGTCCTCGAACAAGCCGCCGATATACCCGATATCGTTGCCGCCGCCCAGCACGAACACAAGGTCCGAGTCCTCGGGCAACCCCTGTATTTGCGGGGGGAAGATGCGGCCGCCTCGGTCCTGGGGCTCGGTGGTCAGGTTAGGCAGGATGGCGCCGGAGACCGTGAGGTCCGTTAGCGAGGAGCCGGGGATGCGCTGGTGGATCAGACATGCGAAGTTGGCGCCTGAGCGTCCGGCGTCCTCGTCTACGCATGGTGGGATGCTGGGGCCGGCGGCGAAGGAGGAGCCGAGGTTGGCTATGCGGAGGGGTGGCATGGTGGTGCTTTGGGACTGGGTTTGGTGGGAGGGGGAGATGATAGGTTTAGGGGGTGAGGGGATTGGTTGGTGAAGGCGTTTGGGGCGAGATAGTAGAGATGATAGACAATTGCGCATGAAATTAACAGGGTATGTATCGAATCTAAACTAGTTGAGATCATCCGTGTTGTTGTGATGTTTCGAGTTTTGAGTTTCGGGTTCGGGTAGTGATTGTATAGGTGAGACGAATGACAAAAGGCGACAAACGGACTTGTGATGACGAATTATATTTCGGGGTCGGGGGTCGGGTGATTTTTGGGGTTGGACAGCGTCGATACTAGATCCGGGGAGTTTCTGCCCCTCCCCCCTTTCTTTCTAATAATATACTTGGCCTAGGCGTCTGGTTTACCGGAACCCCTCGACCCCTCGGTTCGCAGAGTTCGGTAGTATGGTTTGCCCCAATATAGGCCAATTGGGAGATGTGAGCGTTGTCGCGAGTCACACCGCTTATAGTATTTGTTGCGAATATGTGAGTTTGTCTACGATAACTGTTTGATTAAACTCATGATTGAAAGTTGTTGAATGAGAAAGGAGAATCAAAAAAGGAATACATCTTAGTAAGTCCTTAGTAAGTAACATTGACCTCGGAATTATTAAGTAATTACTAAGTCAAGCTGAATAAGAATTTACCTAATGATCTCGGATCGACCTCGAGGCTTACGTTATTCACAGATTACTTAAGAAAAGTTAGATGACTAATTTTGCTTAGTAAAAATGCGAAGCTCTGCAATTCGGGCGATGAATTTTGAGGCTCCATAATCCATATTCAAGATATGACTATTCTAAGAGATTGAGAGTATATTCCAACGGAAACATACCTGTTCCTTATTTGAAGACAATAATTAGGTCAATCAAGAAAGGGGGACAAACAGTTCCACAAGTGATGGTTGCTTGGTAGGATAATACAGAATAGACTTGGCGTGTTAGTTAAGACATGACTCAGGAGTGGTGCTACTCTTTAAGAAGAGGCAAGTATGAGTTTAAAAAAGGTAATAATGAGTGTAGGGGAAAATTAATCGGATTACTAGGAGTCTTCCATTACAAAATACCTACTTATCAAGAGAAGTTTTGAGCTAGAAACGAGAATTGAAGCATGTGCAAGGACTAAACAAACAGGACGATAGCAGTGATAGCGACTAATAACCTTGAACTCCAGTAAGCCTTAGTGGGGGTTGGGAAAGCGGATACCTATAATTGGCACCAATAGGAAAGCTCGCTCGGGTGCCGGCGTCAACCGGCTTTTATCGGACGTCACCATAAATGCTGTACGCCGGTGGACACTTCCGTCACAGATGTCCATACACGTTGCGTTGTTAGAACGGGCCACCACATCGGGTCCTGGGTAAGGTTCGGCAAGGCCTTAGTAGATGCAGGAACGCCCTTAGGTACTTCCATATTCCTCTAATCTAGAATATTGCCTTATCTAGCTGGGTATTCTAAAACGTCGCTTAGTACTTCCCTTGCTGCCGCTAAATCTATAAGATCTAGAACCTCTCCCTTTCATTCTTTTTTCCTCCTTCTTGAAATCTTTCTGTTAATCTTGAATCTCTGTTACGAGTTACGTCATTTCAACGCATTTATTCTGAATTTGGAAATTCGTTCGCTCATGTTAAGATTTGTCACTTATGAGTAAAAGGTCACTGCGTGGCTGGGTCAAGAAATACGTTGGATCCCGTGTAATTGAGGAAGGATAACGTGAAATTGGATTGGGTGAATCCCGTCTCACAGGATCTGTGACATCTCACCACATTACCTACTCCTGACCACAGCGCGCAACCTGGATCGTAGCAGGTGGTCTGTTTGCAAGCGTTTTGGTAATAGGCCTAAATTTCGGATCTCGGATCTATATCAGATCTATATCAGGGTCGAGGAAGGTGGCCTAGGGGCGTCGTACATACGGGAACAGTGGAGTTGGAGAGAAAGTCGTCATGGCCCCTTTGAATAATGAGAAGAACCAATTGTTCCTGGGTTTGTTTATACATAGCATCAAACTCGGAGAACTTCAATATCTGCGTGATGCTGCAGTCTGTGTGGACAAGTCTGGCAAGATAGTTGCCGTTGAATCCGAGTACGACCAGAAGAAGGCCGAGGAGAAATTATATCCTACGCTCGGTTGGAGTGCCAGTGATGTGGCAGTCACGAAAGCAAAAGATGGCCAATTCTTCTTTCCTGGCTTCATTGGTACGCTAACATGATTCCCCTTTCATTTTATTCCTGACTCTAGTTCCTCCTCTTTACTGATTACGAATAATAGACACACACATCCACGCACCACAATACCCCAACGCAGGTATATTCGGAAAGTCAACGCTGTTAGACTGGCTGAATACATACACGTTTCCAATGGAAGCATCCCTCTCTTCGCTTCCCAAGGCCCGTAGAGTGTACACACGGTGTGTACGGCAGACACTCGCTCACGGCACTACGACAGCAGTTTATTACGCGACGATCCACGTGCCGTCCACCAACCTCCTGGCTGACCTATGCCTCTCGATGGGCCAGCGTGCCTTCGTCGGTCGTGTATGCATGGACCACATCGGGCCAGATTACTACCTCGACGAGTCTCCCGCACAGTCGCTTGCTGCAACGCGCGAGACGATCGACCATATTCGAGGTATCGACGCTTCCTTCGCGCTCGTGTCCCCAATTCTGACGCCCCGCTTCGCACCTGCCTGCTCCCGGGAGGCGATGACGGCTCTTGGGAAATTACATCGTGAGACGGGTATCCCGATCCAAACGCATATCTCGGAGAACAAGGACGAGATTGAACTCGTGCGGGACACGTTCCCTGAGGCTGCTAGCTACGCCGATGTATACGACGCCCATGGATTACTAGGCGCACACACGATCCTCGCCCACGCCATCCACCTTTCCGATGCAGAAGCGGACTTAGTTGCGAGTCGCGGGTCTAAGGTCTCTCATTGCCCAACTAGCAACTCTGCTCTAACAAGTGGGGAGGCGCGGGTGCGCTGGCTGCTCGAGAAGGGAATCGCCGTGGGCCTCGGCACCGATGTCAGCGGCGGGTACAGTCCCAGCATGCTCCTAGCCGCACGCCACGCCGCCCTCGTCTCGAACCACCTAGCCATGCCTCTGGGGAAATGGGCCGACGTCCCAGCCGCCGAACGCGAGCGCGCAAAGCTTAGCGTTGAGGAAGTCCTACACCTAGCTACGCGGGGCAGCGCTGAAGTCGTCGGATTAAGCGATAAAATTGGCGGGTTTGAAGTAGGCATGGAATGGGACGCGCAGCTCATCGGACTAGGTCTCGTCGACGAGACGCCCGGAGAAGACGATATGACGGATCACGGGAACGTGGATATCTTCGGCTGGGAAGGGTGGGAGAACCGTGTCGCGAAGTGGGTGTATAATGGCGATGACAGGAACGTGAAGAAAGTATGGGTTAGAGGTCGGCTTGTGCATGAGCGGGCATAGATGCATTGATTTGTTGACGGTGTAAATGACTGGATAAGCGTTGTTGATATGCCGGATTTGAGGTCTGTTTATGATGTTATAGCACATGGTAGATAGATGTATGTATATACCCTTTGCCCCTACCGTCTTTTGCGAATTGGTTGATTTAGATCGGGTTGATTTAGATGTAGAGAATCATGATACTGGTAAGTCCGCCTGGCCGGCGACTATTATAAACTCACTTATATTAACCCGTCTACTACATACCTTGATGTAGTGGGTATTACCTAAGCTATGTACTCACTTATGTACCTGTACCTGGGTACTCCTTAATCCATTTACGCCGTTGCCGGGTCGTAATCCATTACCGTGACTAACCGTGAATACCTCAACTGCCATTTTTAATCCGCCCAAAGCAAATACGCAAACCCCTTATTTTTATACGTGAGAATGTAAGGTAACCTGTATGCAAGTCTGAAATCATCAAATCACTGCGACTCCTATCCTATTCCCATCGCCTAGAACCCTGGAATGGTCTTGATAACCACGTATTATCAGGTAGAAACAGAAGACACCCCTTCAACACAGACGTGAAACTGAACTAATGTGCAGAGTTGCCAGCCCGCAATAGATCATATAGAGCTTGATCATCTGCCCCAGAGCCATAGCCGTGCCCGGAATAGTTGTGAGGGGCAGATCTATGGCTGTTGTATGCAGCTTGACTTGAACTGGCGGTAGCGGTATAACCGCTGTTCCGGTTACTACTATAACTGTGTTGGTTTGCACTGCTATTACTATTGTTAGGGGTAATACCGTACCAATTCTGCTGGGTCTGCTGATTCGTATTGGGTTGTTGCGTCGAGTAAGATCCATACGATTGTGTTTGGGTTTGGGTTTGGCTGTAAGGAACGCTCTGATGTGAGGTTTGTCGATCGGTAGATCTTGTTCCATAATTGTGAGATGTAGAAGCAGCAGTTGACGCCATAGCATAAGTGGTATTTGTGTGTGACTGAGTGTGCGGGGTACTACTTCGGCTTTGTGATGTTGCCCATTGACTAGTTGTAGGGCCACTAGTACTGGTATATGCTGAGGCATCTAGTGCACGGGAAAGTGGATTGGTCGATCCGGTGCTCCGTGAATAATCGTATGCCGCCGTCGATGGGTATGAGGTTGACGTCGTGGTGGTTGTTCTGGGATGATATGAGCCAGGTTGATAGGCAATACGAGATGAGCCCTCATCGTTGTTTACATTATCATACTGGGCATTAGTCGTATTGTTATAACGTCCATAAGAGTCAAAATTCGGCGTCGAACTTGACGGAGCAGTGCTATAGGCTACGCTCATAGCAGCTTGGGGAGCTTGGGGAGGAGGGCGGGACGTAGATGTGACAGGTGTATTTGTCCGTGACCTCTGACCTTGTTGAGATCTTGCTTGGGTTATAACTTGGGCTGCAGTCTGGTATGGTGAACCCCTCATTGAAGGCGGCTGGTTCGGCTTCTGTATCGCAGGTTGCGACAGCGCAGGTTCTGGTTGCATATTATTATCATCGTAGGTTTGTTGATTTGTTTCCATATTAGAATGACGTTGTTTCGATCGCCTAGATGCCTGTTTCTTAGTCATCGTTGGTGATGATTTAACAGCTTGTTCTGGCGTAGGTGAGGCATTCCAAGTAGGAGTGTGGTGTGGAATTATCGGTACTGGGACTGGTGTTTGTTTATTTTGACTTGTAGGAAGGCTACGGCGACCGGACCTTGGCTTATTCTGCCTCTCCTGGTTTGCCACCTGTGAATGGGTTGGCGTTGGTGAATGATTATTCTGGTGCGAAGTTGAAGAGAATGTTAAATTTGGAGAGGTTTTGAATTGAGTCCCACGGGTTTGAGATTCCGGAAATGTCAATGTAGGCATTGTTAAATGTCCAGATGAAGGCTGTGGATCTTGAGAGAATGGAAACCCAGAGCTGGCACCTGAGTAGTAGTGAGTTGGAGGAGGCTCTGTTGGTGGGGGTTCTGTAGTTGGTTGATGCTCAATAGAGGCCGACAAAATGTTCGGGTCCGGTATGAATTCTTCATTGTCGGGATCCGGGGGTGGTGACACAACTTCATGTACTGGATGTCGTTCTGAGTGTCCTGAGTGCCCTGAATGTTCTGAATGTTGTTCTGAATACTGTTCCGGGTGTTGTTCCGGGTACTGCTCCGAGTACTGTTCCGAATACTGTTCCGGGTGCTGTTCCAGGTGCTGTTCCGGGACTGGGACTGTTGATGTTGGCAGTTCTGTAGGGCCTTCATTAGATGCTTCGTCTTGTTCATCTTCTCTCGGCATATCGGAGTCCTCGTTGTCGACGACCTCGCCAGACTTCCCCGATTTTCTTCGGCGTGGCTTAGGAGGTAAGTAAACACAGTCTACGCCGGCCTTAAGGCAGATAGAACAACTGGGGTGCTGTTTCGTACACTAGACCTCGTTAGTATCGAGATATCGCCTAATATGCAGGAGATATATGCTCACCTGAGTTTTCCTGACTTTGCAAGTCTGACAAGCACCGCGTGTCTTCCTCGGTTTAACGGTCAACTTCAAAGTGGAAGCCGTCGTCCCGACCTCACCATTTTGCTCCACTGGAACCACTGCACCCGCTTCAGCTACTGCTACGTCAGACTTTTTCTTCCGACCACCGCGTCTCTTAGTAGGCGTCTCATTTGTCGCAGGAGCAGACTTTGGTCCCGAGCTAGCTGCAGGAGTTACATTGGAGGACTGCCCTTCAGCCGGGGTAGAGGTAGAAGGTGTGGGTTCATCCACATCAAGCGGGTGGACAATTCTCAACTTCTCTGCGCCATACATTTTCAGCATCTCCAACGAAGCTGCCTGCAACTCAGGTGACTGGTTTGAAAATATTTCGAACTGGTCCCTGGAAAGGGTTCCCGGATCGATTCCTTCCGCCGTGAGGAGTTCTATCGCTGTCTGTTGGCGTCGAGCAGCCTCGTCTGGAGGTACATTTAAAACCGAGGTATAATGGACGTCACTCGGATCCGTATTTTGCGATTCAGGTCCAGTGCGGCTAACATGACCACTTCCACTAGCTGCATCTCCCATCGGTGCTTCTGGCGCCTTGTCCTTCTTCCTTGGGCGCTTCCTACGACTTCCTTCTTCGCCTTCAGTCGGTGGGGGTCGCTTAACCTTTGGTGTTCGCTGGTTGGCTGCGGTGCCTTTATTCACCGGCGGAGGCGGCAAATCGGGAGTAAGAAGGTCGAATAACTGTTGGACAGTTTTATGAATAGGCGTGTGGTTATATTTGACGATGATACCTCTGGTGGATTTGGAGAAGGCGATGTTTAGAGTCCCACGACAATCGAAAGCAGGACGAGCTACGATGAAGTTAGAATGTTTATCCCTATTATAGCTGAGTGTTTATCCTTACAGGCAGTAGTTGGGTCTAGACTACCTGGACCACTATAACTAGCGATTATAAATTTGTCGGTATTCTTCCCGTTTGCGTGATTCCACTCTTGTAGCGAGTCTTTGCAGATGTACGTAAATGTCCAGCCTTGCGCGCCCCTAGAAACCTTCCGAACTACCCACGAGCTACCATCAACCACTCCCATCGCACCAACTATATGTTTCGCGACAGCACGTTGAAGCACAGGGTCGTCGGCCGGTTGGTTCTGCACTGTCTCGGAAACATTGACAGTTCTAGCAATAGGCGGTTGCTGCGATTGACTTGTAGGATCGATGGAGCCATCGGGGCTATTATTGTCGGTATCTCCATTTATATTGAAGAGGGTATTATGCCGGAATTCGAAGGTGATGGAGGTGTGCTCTGCGTGGGTATCGGAAGACTTCGAAATGAGGCTATGATGCAATTTGTCTTGTATCTCTTGAATGGAACTGCACACGTAGTTGCCTCGTGGCGAATCTAGATTCAAGAGTGCATCCATTCCGGCAACGGTATGGAGATTACTCGACCACGCTCTCCTCCATAGGCGCTGCTCGGATCGCGCAATGAAAAGACCTGTTTAAGATGTAATCAGGACGCAGGCGCAAGAAGTCAAACGCGTAGATTAGGACAAACCGTGGTTCTGGGGTATTCGTGGCTGAACGCTAAATAGAGTGGCTAGTGAGAGTGGTAGAGTGGGGGTTATCCAGGTGGTTGGTAACAGAACAAACGCTGGCAGGGTTTGCATTACGTAATACCTCAATACCCCGACTGCCCGAACCGTGACATTCAAGATGATATAGATACGAAATACATCACCTGTACTTCCAATTTTATGCTCTTCACTATTCTGACTACTTGATTTTAATGTAGTTTAGAAAGAATAGTAGGGTATCAGTATATTTTACAGTATCTATAGCACACACTGAGTAACAAGGTACTTGGCAGATCTGAATGAATACCAACCGAGTAGTCATCACAAACGCCACAGAGTAGACTACATCTAGATTCCTTTTGTCTTAGCCGACACATGCCTGTACATTTACACATTCTCTTCGATCCACCCCTCAAGCCTCTCGACCATAGCCTTCTTCAGCAACCCCTTCGAGTCAAGCCCACGGTCGCCGAGTATTGGCTTCAACTCAGCTACTGTCAATTTTGACAGGGTGCCGTCATTATATCTCTTCTTTAGCTCGGCGTTACTCATCCCTGTGTTACTAGGCCCGGCTCTCGATGCCGTTGTTCTCACCTTCTTTGCAGGCTTGGACCGATCGTCTTCGTCATCATTCTCCATCTCCCGCTTAATAGATTGCGCATCTCTAACCATTCTCAGGACATCATCGGCTGTCCGCGACCAGTCCTGGATGTACTCACCACACCGATTGTGAATAGCCTTGTACTTCGGGAGAGTAGCATCATTTGGCGTCTCGGGAACCTCTTCCTCTAGCGCAAGCGCTTGTAGGATTTTGTAGTGCCATTGAAGAGCAGGATTCGGATACTTCGACGGGTTGTACGTAGCCATTGGGAGTTGTAGGTTTCCGATGATCTTGTTCATGCAATCAGTCAACTGATCTGTGGTTCGAACTAATTTGACATGGTCGGGGCCGTCGCGTAAATCATCGGCATACGGGATGGGATAAAGCCACAGGCCAGCAGGTATGTAGTCTGCTCCCGTCTTGCTGTCTGACTGCGCCCTGGAGGGAATAATTGCAACTAATTGAGGGTTGCCATTTGTCCGAGCAATATGCCACGCAATGCCAATCTTCTTAGATTTAAGTAGCTTTTGCCACAATGCGGTGAAGACGCGCGAGGAACCAACATAGCCCTCTTCGCTCGGGAAGATGAAGATCGATTTCTTGATGGATGCCCAAAATCCTAGGCTTGACCTATCCTTAAAGCCGATGATACGTATTATCGGTCCTCCAAATTGCTTGATAGACTTCTGCTCATCTTCGCCGAAATAAACATATTCGCCTCCAAACTTGTAAGCCTTTTTCACCTCGCCTGTTTGAACCGTCCGGGCACTGTCCTCGGCAATATGGGCGGTTTCGCCTACGGCAATTTGCGCTTTCTCGCCATCTAGCCAGACGTAACAACTACGCGCAGGAGTCTGTGGGTGAATGATATTATACCCCTTCACTGAGATTTGAAGTCCAGGGCCAAGCTCGAGCGGCATATTGCTGAAGTATGCCCGCTTTGGTGTTTGTCTGGAGTTGACATTGGAAACCAATGAATTCATAAGCGTCAGACCGTTGCCGGATTTTGACGTCGAGACCTTTCCCGGATGCGCTTCATCGACAGTTGGATCTCGATAGATAATGTCCTAGGGTCTGTTAGTTAAAAGAATAATAAGTGATCGAGCATTAAAGTGGGATTTACATCATAGAACTTGCTAAAGTCGAACTTTTCATCCCCACGAGTGATTGCAAAGAGTTCGATAGTGACTCCAAGATCATATAAGTCCTTGGCACGATATGCCGCATTTTCTTTAATTTTCCTGTCGTCCTTATGAGGGTCGTCATTATCTGTGATGATGAACAATCTTCGAGATCCAAAGTTGGGAGCCTTGGTGGTGAGGAGATTATTTGCCAGAAAGAGCAAATTCGACATCTGAACTCCCTCACTGGATGGTACTAAAATCTCATCCGTGTCCTCGCCTTCTTCGACGAGACCTTTTAAGTTCTTTACGTCGTCGGCCGCAGGGATGTCAAGGTCGGTGTAGACATAACAGTGAGGATAGGGAAGATTTTGATCATCTCGGTACTTCGTCTTTTCAGTACCGAAGAGTATTATGCCCATCATATCTTTCGGGTTAGATATAATTCGTTGCTGCATCACCTGGTAGGCACACTTCAAAGCGGCATACACAGGGGGGTCCTTATCTGCCTTCTTGTCATTTGACTCGGGAGGCGGCTGAAGCATTGACTCGCTCACATCGATAGCGAAAATGAGAGCATCTTTCTGCGCTTTATAATCCTAATCGATGTTTAGTTTTTGAAATTCTATGAACTAAGTCACGATGGAATACCTGTTCGCCAATCTCATCCTCCTCCTCATCCTCTTCTCTTTTCTCATGGCGATCTGCCATAGTGGTTTTTATGTCTTTTCTCCAGTCAATCTAGGATGGTAAAGGAGAGACAAGCTTCAGAGAGATATTCTAGAAGGTGAGGAAAGTTCGCGATGATCGGCTTATTTCCATTTGATTTATACGGGACTGGTTCTCGTTATGGAGCTTAATGATTTAGGCAGATGTCGCGACTGAACGCGTATGATGTAAGTGGTTTCCTATGAAGTAAATCGCGGTATCAGGTGACTTCTACTAAGCTCCTGAGATGTTCCTGCCTAAGCGCATTATTTTTTTATCTATTTTGTGGATAGCCTTTCGTAGCGCGGTATAGCGCCCCGATATACCAGTGATGAGCTCGAATAATCTAATAATGGAAAGTACCTATGTACATACACGTCAAGAGTTTCCAGCACATGAGCTGCGTTCAATAATCATCATTAATTGTTGTCTTGGTTGAAATAATGTAATTATTTCTTTTGAACAAGTATTATGTTCAAGTTATAGTAGTGATGAAATTGAACAAGATGTTGTAATGTAGTTAGTTATACCTATATACGATAGTAGTATGCTAATAAGGCATCTAATCTTCTAAATGATAGATTACGTCATGAATCTGCTAGGCAATTAAGCATGTTTCATTGGCCCCTCCTACCCTAGCCTGCCTAGTAAGAACGGACGCAACGGATGGCTGGACCCAAGCTTCTGCTGTCGATGACTTGGTGACATTCCGCAAATCCAAATCGCCACTAATTTATGTTGAATTGTCCACCTTTAAAACACACATTTAATGTTTTATTAAGATTTGTTATTTTCAGTTCGTAACAGTGTCAAGATTTCAGAGGAATAAGTTCGTGCAATATGGCTACACGCCATTCTGTCGCACAGCTCTCGCGTAGAGCAGCTGGTACTGCTAGCTCTTCATTGAGCCTACGATTATCGAATAGTGCGCTACAAACGAGATCATTCGCAACGCCGGTGCCACCTGTCACACAAAACTCAACTGGATCGAAAGGTCCAACAGCCATGGTATTCTTAAATATGGGCGGTCCTTCGACTCTAGATGAAGTTGGAGACTTTCTTAGCCGATTGTTCGTATGTGATCTATATATCTTGCCACGCCTCTCTGCGCAATTCTAATTTGTGAGTAGGCAGACGGTGATTTGATACCATTAGGACGACTACAAAACTATATTGGACCCCTCATCTCGCATCGAAGAACACCGAAGATCCAAAAACAATACGCAGAGATAGGAGGTGGCTCGCCCATTCGAAAATGGTCGGAATATCAAAACGAAGAAATGTGCAAGATTCTCGATCGGATATCGCCCCATACAGCCCCGCATAAACCCTACGTCGCGTTCCGCTATGCAGATCCCCTAACTGAGGAGATGTATAATAAATTGCTGGCGGATGGCTTTGGAAACGGTAAAGGAGGAAGAGCTGTGGCGTTCACACAATACCCCCAATATTCTTGCTCGACGACAGGAAGCAGTCTTAATGAGCTGTGGAAATGGCGGCAACGATTAGAAGGTAAATCTGGACCAGGCACGATTCAATGGAGTGTCATCGACAGATGGCCGGTACATCCAGGCTTAGTGGAAGCCTTTGCTCACAATATTGAGAAAACGTTGGCGTCATACCCCGAAGATCGCCGAAGCCAAGTCGTCTTGTTGTTCTCCGCTCACAGTTTACCAATGACGGTGGTGAATCGAGGTAAGGACTTGGAAGAACAAATCTAGGTAACCCCAACTGACATGAGTTAGGTGATCCGTATCCCGCCGAAGTTGCAGCCACAGTATATGCTGTGATGCAGCGACTGAAGTTTTCTAATCCTTATAGGCTATGCTGGCAGTCACAGGTTGGTCCCCAACCATGGCTAGGCCCTCAAACTCAATCATCGGTTGAGGAATACATCGCAAAGGGGCAAAAAGATCTCATTCTTATCCCAATTGCTTTTACCTCAGACCACATCGAAACACTCTTCGAGCTCGACAAGGAGGTAATTGGGGAATCCGGCCACGAGGACACCGTCAAGCGGATAGAAAGTCTCAACGGCAGCCCCATCTTCATCGATGCTCTTGCGGACCTTGCAAAGACACACTTAGACAGTGGGGTCTCCTGTTCCTATCAGATGGGTCTCAGGTGTCCAGGCTGTAAGAGTGAACGATGTACCGAGTCAAAGAAGTTTTTCGCAGCACAGGAAAATACTTCTTCAGTATCATTGTAGAGCGCACAGTTGTCACATGTTTGGAACCGCGCTTCTATTTTGGCAGTTGCAAGGAGTTCAAACACTACTCCGGTTTTAAGCAGTTGTCTTATTATGTGCGTATATCTAGGCATTCTACTCTACCCCCATACTAGCTATTTTCTGTTTTAGCAGAATATTGTACAATTTAGACGACCGGATAGGAAAATATGAATTGGGCGGGTACGGCATTGGATTGATGACTACTATATATTTAAATCTATTATCTACATACATAGCTACTCAAACATCTTTCTTGTGCCTCCCTGGAAGTATTACTAAGCATTGAGGCAGGTATTATTAATTACGTGGTATTCTGCCGGACATAAAAACATGCCGACGGCCGGAGAGGAACTTTGTAGATGCCCGATTATGCCTCAGGGTTCTAGGTTACACCCCGGACTGCAGAATCGTACGGAACGATGCGTCATCGATGTGCTGGCGACGATTACAGCAAGCTGTGTCTTATCTATGTACTAGGTATGTAACATAGGTAGGCATGGAATATGCTTGTGTTCTTTCATGGCATTGACTCGGTGTTTTATTTCAACGCTTCGGATTTCTTATATAAATCCATAGCCATAATTACATATGTAAAAACCTGTTGTATGTACTTCGTGCTTGAAGGGTCCAATGTCAACTTGGAATGTTCCGACGACTCGGGAAAAGATCGGATTGGTAATCGCCAGTTATCAGGAACAAGATTAACCTGATTAGATCAACCGGGGTAGGTGGGTACGTATCTTATGTAGATAGAGGATCTTCCCTATATCGCTTCTCGGGCATCCGATTCCGAGTTAAACGTAATGCAGGCGCCTAATGTAGGTTATTCTTTAGTGTACTTGTGAAGTACTAGTATTAACCTTCCTATTCACGTAAAGTACCCGGTTAATAAAGGCTATCGGGAACTTAAAGACTTGATACACGTATGTAGTCGTGTTGTAGCACTACGTTGGTGGCATGGAACATGGAACAATTAGAAGGCACTAAATCGGGACCACCCAATCCCAAAGAGACGGAATTCGACCCAAAATTGATATGGGTACCCTCGCGCTTCTCTCACCCACCCGTAACTTTCGCATCGTTTTCTCCAAGTCTCCTAGCGTCAGTACACTTCGGACGCTGGCAGTTCGAACTTGAGCAATTCAAGCTTTCATTGGCGTCTTCCGTACACATCATCGACTTAGGTAGCCCAATGATATCTTGAATTATTATAATCAGGGTTCTGGATATGGGACATATCTTTACTCACTCTCTCTCCCAACCCTCTTTCAAGTTGTTGAGGTCAACCATCGACTGTCCTCGGATCCCGAGTAAAGGTGTCGCTTTGAGATTTCACTCTCACCAGCCACCGAAGACTTATATGTAGCGTAACAAGCTTTAAGATAGGAATTCCGGAATCCTTCGGCCAAGGCCAAATCAATTTATGTTATTACGGACCATCCGCAACATCCGGTATCTATAATTGAGACGTGGGAAACAGACACCACACATGGTTGTTCACGACATTTGATATACGTCGAGAAATCAGATACAGCCACGCAACAGGCTTATAATAAAAATGACAAACAATGCGCAAGAAGTTCAAAAGGGCAACAGGCCGATTGTACTCATAGACGAAGAGGAACGACAAGAAGAGGCAACAGAAACAAGCCCGCTGGTCGGCGCAAGCAATGGGAATGATGCGACAGAAGACAACGGAGGTCGAAAAAGACAGGAGATCTGGATAGGTTATGAAGATTTCATCGGCCTTCCGTGGTATCGGAGACCTTCGGTATGTTATGTACCAAAATCCATAAAGCTTTTGAAAGATGTTAGAACTAAGTTCGAAGTCAGGTTTACTGGCTTCTCGGGCCATACTTTTTATTTACTCTTGCATTTGGTGGCGTCATTGTACCGAAGCTGAACCTGTAAGTCGTGCAGCACCACCACCCTTGCATATGGCTAGCAGCATAGATGTCTCTAACAAAAACCGTCATCGTCAGAATTGTCGATTTAATATGTCGCAATTATTTCAGCGAGCGCCAAACGCTTGACCCGAATTTTACATTCTTGCCGGTGGTCATGGGCGGCGACAACCCTCAATGCAATGATCCCCGGGTTCAGAAGAATGTTGCTGCTTTCACACTCGTGATCAGCGCTCTAACAGGTTCCTTAAGCGCACTTACGGCGCCAAAGTTAGGTTCGCTATCTGATCGATATGGTCGAAAACGCCTTATGGTGATGGCATCCTGTGGTGGTCTAGTAAATGAAGTCGTCACTATCCTAGCTGCGAAATTCCCCGACACCGTTAGCTACCACTGGTTGATCCTAGGCGCATTCTTTGACGGAATTACCGGTTCCTTTACGGCGGGCAGCATATTAGCGAACTCATACTCGAGCGACTGCGCTCCGCCGTCTAAACGCGGAGTGCATATCGGTTACCTCCACGCTTGTCTATTCACTGGTTTAGCATTTGGTCCCCTCCTCGCCGGCTACTTCGTCGAATGGACCGGGTCATTATTGTCAATATTCTACGTTGTCCTCGGCTGCCACGCTTTCGTCATCCTGTTCTTCTGGTTCTTTTTACCCGATTCGATATCTAAGAAGCGCCAGACGGCCGCAAGGGAGAAGCATCGAGCTCAAAACGAAGCTACAGCTATGCAGCTGAGATCAGGAATTCCGAGTTCAGTCGGAAATTTTGTTGGGCCACGAGTCGCTTCGTATCTAGATGATCACATGGGAACTTGGCTACCAGCAGTTCTAAGCGCTAACCCATTCGCACCCCTGAAAATGCTCGTTCCAAGTGGACGAGATAATAGTCGCTTACGGCGGAATCTGGTTCTCCTCGCTCTTATCGACTCAGTGGTTCTATCTTCGTCAATGGGCGCGAATATTGTCATCGTACTCTACTCCGAGTACATGTTTGACTGGGGAACCTTGCAAGCTTCGCGATTTGTATCGGCTGTGAGCATGGTGCGCGTAGTCATCCTTCTCTGCATCCTCCCGGTCATCAACTACATATTCCGCATCCGGCCCTTACGTCGTCAACAACGCGAGAGTGGAGATGCGGTCATGGTCGAGAAAAACTCTGGCGCCGATAACCTAGACGTATGGATTCTACGGGTTGCCCTTTTCAGCGATGCTATAGGCGCATTCGGCTACATATTTGTCCGCCGAGAGGAATTATTCATCTTGTGTGGTCTAGCGACGGCGTTTGGCGGCTTAGCAAGCGCCACCATCCAAAGCGCAATCACAAAACACGTCCCGGCGGAGCGTGTAGGTTCCCTATTAGGGGCTATCGGGCTCCTGCATGCGCTCGGACGGGTCTTTGCGCCCGCGCTTTTCAACGGCTTATACGCTGGAACAGTCGAGACATTCCCACAGGCATTTTTCGTCCTATTGGCTTCTCTATTCGGGCTGGTGGTTCTTGCGAGTTTCTTCGTGAGACCACACAGTAAGTTCTCACACACCTAAACGTGTCAGGCAATTGACTTACCACTCTACAGTTTACATGAAGGAAGACGGCTATGTCGCAGTCCCGTCTCAAGTTCCGAATGATGCTCGAACCCCGGATATTACTGCCGATGAAGAAGTCTTAGGCTTATAAAGAGTTTGTATATGTTGAATTATGACGAGCCACGTTTTCATCGTATCTTGCCCTACATAAACTTTTCCTTTAGAGCGTATAAAATTTTAATCGTACATATATGTACATTTGTGTTGAATTTTGGGTTAAAGAGTTGATCGGTGTTGGCGGCAGTGTGTCAAATCTGGTTGCGTAGACATACTTGAATTTTGGTGTAGCGTTGATTATTATATCAGTTGGGCGTTCGTTAGGTGATATCAATTATGTATTCCGTGAAACTTCTTAGTTCAGTGAAGCCTTGTGTTTCAACAACAAGAAGATGGGAATTTCACATCGATATTATATAGAGGCTATATTTGGCTTACAACATCATTACATTGAGGATAAGAGATTTCCATCTCATACAATATTCCAAAGTTAGGTATCATTCAAAATATGTACTCATTTTGAACCACCATCCTTCAACTACCAACACCGCTGTTAAAATCGACTAATGTCTCAACACACCTTTCTTCACATACTTCCTCTCATGAATCCTTCCCCCCACCTCACTTACGCAACACAACAACACATACCCCCGTCTTCAAATAACGCCTGCATTTAGACGTACTTCTTCAATACACCTTTGTAACCCCCCAGCTAACAGCCAAAACCCTCGCGCCAAGGAAGCAGCTCATAGCAATAGCGTACGACAGCGCAGTGAACAGGATCACCGCCAGCCATCCCTGCTCCTCATTACTTCCAAGACCCAGCAGCGCGCCGGCGATAGGCAGACTAGACAAGGTGCCAAAACTGCCGACCATCATGGCAGTCGAGAAGAAGCGGCCGTACTCCCTAGCCTCGCACAGCTGGCCGATGCACACAGGGTACAGGCCCAGATTGCTGCCGGAGGCGAAGCCGAAAGTCAGCGCGAACACGATGAGCATCGGGCGCGAGCCACCGGCGGGTAGCCAGAAGGCGAGGACGGTGACGACGCACAACGCGTTCGTCAGCGTGATCACGTTGAATCGACCGAACCGATCGGCCCAGAACCCGGGGAGGAAGCGGCCGAAGAACGAGCCGGCGCTGAGAAGCGCGAGGAGCGTGTATGCGTCGCGCGAGTCTTGGCCGTGGGCGATCGCGTACGAGACGATGTACGTGAGCGGGGTGAAGATGCCCCATTCCATGAACCACACGCCCGCGCAGCAGAGCGTGAACTTGAGGTCTCGGAAGAGAGACCAGTCGGGCATGACGCGCACGGGGTGCGGGCTTGGGGGCAGGCGCGAGCGGACTAGGAGGTTCGACACGATGGCTAGGAAGAGCAGCATGAACCCGATGAATCGCGTCGCCCAGGCGAACCCAAGCTTGGGGATCACGGCTTGCAGGAACAGCGGGAAGGCGATTCCGCCGACGGACCCGGAGGTTGCGGCGATGCCGGTCGCGAGGCCGCGCCGCTTCTTGAAGAAGTGCGCGATTACGCCGTATGCGGGTACGTTGAGCAGAGCGCCGCCGAGACCGCCGAGGACGGAGTAGGTTAGGATTATTTGGTAGTATTCTATTTCGGGCTTGTTAGCATATACGGATTTATGTAGGGCGGTCTACTAACCATGACATAACCCTAGCAGCATTTGGCTCGCAACACACATTACGCTACCAATAGCGATCAGATACCTAGGTCCATAGCGGTCAAAGATCGGACCGACTTGAATTCCAAAGAAGAAGACGATGAATAGGTACACGCTGAAGATCCAACCGATGGTCGAGGAACTGTAGCCGGCGAGCTGGTTCGCCGAGAAGTACGATTCGAAGACGGCGGCGACGTTGATGATACCGTAGACCGAGACCATGGAGCAGAAGGAGCCGAGGACAACAAGCCAGGCTCTCAGGCCACCTTCCGGGAAGTCCTCATCGTCATCGTCATCGTCGCTTTCGTACGATGGTTGTACGGCGAGATTTGCAACGGGGTGGGGATGTTCAACCTGGCTCTCATGTTCTTCACCGGGGCTAGGATTGGTTTGGGGTTTTGAGTTGAGTTGACTCTTTTCGTCAAGTTGCTCCGGCATAGGCACCAGGACCCCCTGGGCCACTGCCGGGACAGTTTGATTTATGAGGCAGCTGTCATCTGCATTTCGTTGTGGTGCGAGGGTCATAGAAGACCCCCGCTACTAACTAGGTAATTAGGTTGTAAAAGGACGGAGTGACTCGAGAGGTTTTGGTCACTCCTAACGCTAGGCTTTTTCTTTGAGATACTCTTAGTCTTGTGTTACTCTCTATACCTGAGTATGGTGATTTCTCAAGTGAGAAGGCATTGAAAGTTGAAGGTGGCTAAAAGGGTTTTAATAGTTTCTTTCCCATGGCGAAAAATCTGGGGAAAATAACGATTCTACGCTATAAGTTAAGTTAGTAATAGTACGATAGGAATCAACAAATGGGATGATTTTACATAATAGTTTCTGGGAATTTTATGAAGGTTGCTGCTAACACCGCCTTTTTCTTGATTCCTTCGCATCTCTCCGATGTCGTTATACATAAGGCGTAGCGTAGTGTCTTGTCATTAGAGGGTGTTGTCCCGCGGTTGAGAATACTACCCAATTTTTCTGTGTCCTACGGCCGACGGAGATCTACGCTGCTACGTTAGCTCGCTAGATAGTGTATAGGTACCGAGATATTTCTCAATTATCGACTATCATTCGTCAATTGAACTTGCGCAAACAATCCGATACGCTACACCTATATATTCCATAAGGAGGCAATATATTATTGAGCATTAGAAGTGTCGCAAACTTCTCTTCTGTCAATTCCCCTTACTGTTCAGACCGCAATGTCGAGGCTAGCGGTGAGGCTTGGTAAGGGTCCATTCTAACGTACGATATCATCGTATAGGTAGGTAACTTCCAATGCCATCATAGAATATCCTTGAGATGGCCGTCAAGATTTGCACCTCAGACAATATCATAACTTTGCATTCATGGTTCCCCTTGGCCAAGAAGTTCCGAGGATTTCGACTGCCGACTTACCCCCACTGTCGGTGGTGGGGGTATACCAACGAATTTGGGTCACCATTCTAGAAATTGTAAAATTGTCTGGAAGCAGATATGTAACCTTGAATTTCACATGGCAAGATTACTAAGATTACTAAGATGCAAAGTTCATTTAAACTCCACGACAAATAAGAAAAAAATAGAAAGAAGCAGTGTCGAAATCAGGAAGGCACGAAAAGTCCGGACGCTAAAGAACTACGTCATAATTGTCAGCAACGTCAACCCTCACTATAACAATTTCATATTTGTCAAACTTACCTTAGTTACATAACTTTGATATGATTTGATTTGATGTTTCATGTAAATAACCACTTGTATACTTTGTTTTATAAAATGCCATATCCTTCATCTAGGTAATTGTTCAATAATATGCTTCGCAGAGGCGGTTCGACGATATTTAATCTCATTTCCGCAAGTGCTTTTCAGAAACGAAATATGAGTTCGCAGCCTGCGGGACCCATTTTCTTCGGGTCATTTGAAGTCACATCTCAGGTGAGTCAAGCTTACAAACAGATATATACCTAACAACACTACATAACCCTCGATGTTAACCACGAAAATGAATAAAACTCATAATTGAAAGAGAATCATCATAATCGCCATTAGAACTAACCATCAGCTCTAGGTCTTTCTCACAACACCCCATTCCTTCGCCCTCGTAAATCTAAAACCGCTTCTCCCAGGACATGTCCTGATCTGTCCACGGCAGCCACACAAACGCCTAACGGACCTCGCCGCCCCAGAGCTGACAGACCTATTTCAAGCGGTGCAGAGGGTGCAGCACATGCTCGCGCGGCACTACTTCTCATCTACATCGCCGTCAGAGGATACACCCGAAGCCGGCTCCTTCAACATCGCAATCCAAGATGGCGTTGAAGCCGGACAGACTGTCCCGCATGTTCACGTACATGTCATCCCACGGATCCGGGGTGCTACCGCGAAAGAGGGAGATGGACCTGGTGACCGGATCTACAAGATGATGGCCGCGGAGGAGGGTAATGTTGGCGGGGCCTTGTAAGTCTCCTTTCTCTCTCTTCCTCCCCCCGGTTTCAAATCTCATTGGATTTTACATGAAAAAAAAGAAAAGAACGTCCATATGTACTAATGATAGAAGATGGGATCGAGAATTAAAAAACTTCCGGCCGCAGTTTGGTGATCGGCCGGAGGCGGGCGGCGAGTTCGAAAGTATCGAGGATTCGGAGCGGCACGCGCGATCAGCGGAGGAGATGGTGGCCGAGGCGAATATGTTTCGTGGCGTTTTGGAGCAGATGGAAGAGGTGGAAGGCAAGTCCGAGAAATGACTTTAATAAGCAATACCTACCCCTTTAATATACTTGAATGTACAAAGGCCTGGGTCAAAAGCTTCTCAAATAGACTACGCTCCTTACCCAGTGCGTAATCAAATAAGCAATCGCCGAATACTGTGATGGGTTTATCGGACTTAATAGCGATCTGTTCCCCTAAAGCTGCCTTAAGATATAGTGGTCATCCGCTAACCTTTAGGGGTTTGGCCACTAAAGAAATAAGCCACACGGTATCCATAACGGCACTTAACACCACTGATAAGGGTTAGGAACGACATCGATGTCGGCATCCCCATAGATTAGAACAGTAGATTAGGGGGATGAAGGATATCATAATACATGCTACCAGTACTAGGTAGATCTCACTTGATAAACGCAATGCTATTACCATGTATCCCGAACGCCCTAATCCATGCTCCAGCCCCTAATGTGCATTTAAACCCATCCAATAATCCACACATAAGCCATCGTCACAACCCCCTCAGGAGCTCATCAAGCGAAATAGGTTTCCGCACAGCATTGTTTAAGCCTTCGTGGAAGGTAACCCAGACCTTTGTCTCCCCCTTTTTAAGGGACCCATCTCCACCTTTGCTAATAGGTCTACCATTGCCATCCGTTTCCCTCAGCGCGCGAGCTTCTGTGGTTTGGATAATGCGCCCGAAGAAGTCCTTCTTCACCCCTAAAATGGGTAGGTCGGCTATTTTCGGACCCTTATTTTCTTTATCGTTAAAGACCAGTGGCATGTCCTCAGGCGCTGCGCCATTTGGATTACCACCGGTGAATCGTGCTTGTCGCGATAACCTTTCGCGCTCTAACTTCGCTTTTTGTAGCTCCTGATCTAGCACCTGTCTGACGGCATAGCGCGTTGGGGCTTGCGTGCCGTGTATTATGGCTGCTGATGTTTCGAACGTTGATAGGATGTCAAGATCGCTGTATATAATTAGTCCTCGGACTTAGGTAAAGACCTAAAATCTTGGAGAATTGGGTACTTACGGCTCCATTCGGTACACCCATTGCGGCCCCCTGCTGAATGGGGACTCAGTCTCGATCTTGCCTCTCTGAAGCTCAATGCCAACTTCTGCTAATGTCTCTGCAGCCCGTTTCACCATGGCCTTCTCAGTATCCTTGCGGACACTCGCTGTGCCTTTTTGATCCCCACTGCCCCCAACGACGACGGGTTTTACGTCTGGGGATACTAGACGGACTAGATATGGAAGAAAATCTGTCGCAATATCTTCAGCGCTTCGGAAGGAGCGCATGAGAGTAGCCGGTAGCTGAGCCTGCATGGCTTGGAGCATAGCACGGTTCTCCTTTTCGGCCTCGCGTGCGAGAAAGTCGGCTCTCGTACCTGAAAAGGGGAGTGGTGGTGCATCATCAGCATCGCCATTGCCCCATTTTCGCTCATAGGCTAGATTGCCGCGCCGGATAGGACCCGAGAATAAGTGATGACATGCAAGGATAGGTTGGCTTAGGTAGGGGGCCAACTCCCAATCCTGGTTTCCGAATAGTCTAGAAGAACAAGTATCGTGGAAATGCATCCATTCGTAAGCACAATCCGGCTTGCTTAGAAACGAATCGTCGTTGAATTCGTGGTTGGGGTAGTCCAGAAATACATCCGTCATGACCCTGTCCACATCGCCGCTCGTCTCGATCATTTCTCTGAGGCGTTCCATGCCATACTTCTTCTGCTGTTCCGAGAACCCGAGCTGCGCTATCGGCTGCTCACTGCGGTATTTCGACACCGGAGCCGCGATAAGTACGTTACTCTTGGGAAACCCAGCTCCGTCTTGGAAGACACGAGTAACAATATCTTTGACACTACCCCGTCCTACACCTCTTGCTCCGCCACCGCCATGAGATAAATCATGAACGATGTGCCGCTCAACCCACTGTCGTGTTAAAGACGGGGGGCCTTTGAGAGACGCAGACCTAATACGGCCTGCGACCCATTCGCCAACAACCATAACGCCACGTAGATCTCCCTCAGCTGTGCTCTCGGCACCCTTCTTAGCGTCAATACCCCCGCTCATACCCCAAGCCGCTTCACATAACTTTCGCGCAGCGTCTTTTTCACACGGGATTCCTTCCTTCTCGAAAACCGTCTTAAGGCGAGTTACAACAGCGTCAATGGTAGGCTTGCCAACATGGATAATCTCTGCTAGATTCGATTGACGTAAAGGCCTCAGAGATGCATGATAGACATCATTGCATATAAGAATGAGCGGGCGCATCTGACGAAAATCGTCGCCTTTCTTCTTGCGACGTCCTGAATATTGATCGGACGTGTCTTGCCCCGAGGCATTCTTCTCTCCGGTCGTGATTAAATCAATCAGAGCCTTAACGAATCCACCTTCCCCAGAAGCACCGGAACCCGTCACAACGCCATCAACTTCGTCGACCACTACACACACAGGGCGTGCAACCTTCTGCTGTTTTGCATCCTGGAGCTTATTCAATTGTACGGTTTTGACGTTCTCTGTGCCTAAACTCGTGCGGATCCGGTTCTTCACGACATCTCGGCTCCGGTCGTCACTGGCATTGATCTCCATTACTTCATAACCAGCTTGCTTCGCACAGACATGGGCGAGCGTAGTCTTTCCCAGTCCCGGGGGACCCGTGAGCATTAATATTTTTCGGTGCGGCTTTTCCTCCTCTGCCTCTGCTTTCGCGCCGGGTCGTCGTATAATGCGTCTCGATTTCGCGGCCCCTGGGAAGACGAGGGGGTCCCATCTCTTCAACCATCGTAAAACTTGTCGATTTGTCAGGTCATCGCCAACCAAATCCATAAAATTCCTAGCACGATATTTCTCAGTCCATAATAATGACTTCTTCGGCTTCTTGACGGGTTCCACGGAAGGCATCGGCTCATCGGGGGCAGGATTAGATGTCGAAGGTTTATTGGCAAGTTCCTTGGTCGTAGACTCTATTAATTCATGAATATCAATGCCGTAATAACTCTTCTTTGCTCGGCCTTCCTTCGTCTTCGATCGCGACGCAACCATTTGCTCATACGATACGCCAGTGACCGGTTTTCGTTGTTTGATATCGATTGTCTTCCCTGAACAGGTCGTGATCTTCAAGTTACTTGCTGCTTGGCGAGAAGCAAACCGATCAAAAATAGACGATACATTGTTGGTGAATAAGGAGCTCGTAGTGGAAGGCTGACTCCTAATGTCATCGACTGTTGGCTGTGGAGTGGGTTTTAGTGACGAAGATTTAGCCTCCGTAAGTCCAGGATTTGAAAGTGTAAGCGGGGGTGAAGAAGGCTCAGTGTACTCGGCGATCGCATGCTCGCTAGGACTGCTAAGCATTCGCCTTTTGGTGGCGGGTTCCTGCAAAAGGTCCTCATCGTCGGAATCATCGTCGATAAGAAAGCCGCCTTTGGCACGGGGCCGAGGGTGAGGATCGGGATGCGGTTTCGCTCGTTTGGCTGCTCCCACCGGAGAAGAGCTGGCCGGATAGATCACGGGAGACGAAGGCGAGATCATCCTTGGTAGGTCAATTGAAGAATTTGGAATTGGTATACTTCAAAGACAAGAAATTGTACGCAGTTCGTTATTGAAAGACACTTCGTCACTGGATAGACTAATATTAATTAATTGTAAATGACAAACGCGAAGGCGCGTCTTGATACGCGTTTGGTGGGGCATCCGAAGGTATCTCGTACCGATCCATTTTTATAATGATAGCAGGGATCAATAGGACCAATAAGAAGCCATGAGTGGGTATAGCGGTAACATCCGCCATTTCGTCCGAATTATTTTGCTTTTATCAGAGGCGGATGTTACCGCTATCATCCAAAGCAAGAACATTCATGATTTACTTTCTTTTTATCATTCAGAAAGCCACCATCATCAACGATCAGCCCTTGGTATCGCGCGACGTCATATATCGAGGCTTCACAGATAGGATAACGAGTCTATCATCCGATCTGGAGGGCTTTGTGCTACTATAAGTTTATCGCCAAGACTCAGAAGTCTCAGCCTCAAAACGCCATTATTTTCAGCTCGTGGCTTCTTGATAAACGACCGGTTGATACATTATGCTGTAAGTACTAGTCCTGGCTTGTAACGCCTCCCGGTGCTTCCGGTGTTGCACTTTAATTAGGAAGAGGGGCAGGAGTTAAGGCATATTCAATGTTAGTAATATGCTACATTTTAGTGTAAGGAGGTAGCTACTTACCTACTTCAATTTTACTATAGTTTAGATGTCGCCCATTACCCGATAGAGCTTGAAGCTTTCTTCTGACAAATAATCCTTGAAGTTTTGGGAATCTTATCAAGAAGAGTAAAGCGAAGTTCAGGGAGAAAAGTGATATCGCCTCCTATTATATGATGAAAAAGGGGGTGTAAAGTTGATGTGACTCAAGTAAGTACCTGGTTGCTTTTGGCAACAAGAAGGGCTTTTTCTAACCAATCAGTTTCATTTACGGAATCTTCAATTATTAGGTAATCTTGATAGAAATGTATTGTCTACCTGGGTAGGCGTACTTGTGTGCGAATAGTCTAATATTCTGACTAATACAATAAGGAGGGTTGATAATAAAAAGGAGAGAACTAAGCCAAATATTGCGTGTACCAAAACATAACTCCACATCCATCCATGGATATACAGAATAAAAGTCATAGGGCCATAATTATGGCGCTCCTTTGCCGTAGCAATTGTAAACCTGCCTCTGAAATTCCTTGTCCATCTTAAACACCTCGTAAACCTGGCTTGGCGTATCGCAAACAAGTTGCAGAGTAAAATATATTTCCTGCACACACTTCTACCATACCACGCGCGAAGCGCTTTTGGCTAGGCGTGAGATCGGTCTTCAGGAGTCGAGTGAGCTCGTCATTGATCTGGAGTTCGAGATCCCACAGATAAGCCCGAAGAATGACCTTCGCCGATCTAGGCGTGGTGTTAAGGAGCAATTCTATGATTCGGACACAATTTAGGAGCGCAGCTCCGCTCTCGTTGAAAGCATAGAGCTCCTTATTATACGAGTATAAGTCGTTTGTTAATGAGAAGTGAGTCATGTAGAGTCGATGCAGAGTATCGAGAGGTTCCATGTCTGCCGGGGTCAGGAAGATCTCGCATGTTAACATCAGAGCTGCATCACAGAATCTATTGACGATTAGCGATCTTATCATTCCCCTCGTAAGGGGGACATACTCAACGGCGAAGTCGCCGATACGATATTCAATATACTCTTCGAGCGACTTGAAGGTCATGGAACCTGGCAGTCGCTTGCGAGTATGATCTACCCATAGCAATATACCCTGCACGAACACTGGTCCCACAATCGGATCTTCTTTAACGCACTCGTCTGAGAACTCCTTGAAGATTTTATTTTTCCACAATATATCCGTACTTGTTCCATTTGGAGCAATAGTATCAGCAAATGCGGAATCAATTATAGTCGGGATCTAGCCTTGAAGTTAGCAATTAATGGTGCAATGCTATGGTAGTAGTTATAGTATCATTGTAGTATACCTCAACCGTCTCGGATTCAATGACATCTGTATCAACTTATTAGTATATTTTGGAATCGTTTTTAACTTAAGCCTCTTGCATTCATCGTCACCCGGATGTATGAACGCAACCATGAATAAACATGTCCAATAGTATCATGGCGTCATCATTTGGGGTAGATGGGTATATCTTACCATCGTGCATAAAAATAAGCAAGTTTGCCTTAGCCATTATCCTTGCCCGTGGGCCATTCGCCGCCGGGAACATGTTCATTGGAGCAGCAGCAGATGTGTCGAGAAGTTCTTTCCTCTTCGCCGCTTTCTTATTTGCGTTAGCCATCTCTGATGGCAAGGACCCCTGTTGCTCCGGCGTTGCGGCAACGATCTCATCCATCATCTCCGCTGCTGCATGCTCTGCCTCTCTCCAGTATTTGCACTGGGCTGCAGCAGGGAAGGATGTTGGCCATGGTACCCCTACAGAAAGCGGTTCGATGACATTGCAGTTCTCGAGGCCGGATACGGGACGCGAAACCGCCTCGCGTAGAAATTCAAAGCTCTCCTGTTTACCTTCTGAGGCAAACGAGATCCCAACAGGATCAAAAGCACAAGTGATTGGCCGCATTATGTAAAGATATATGAGATGATTGATGTATGATTAGGATGGACTTAGAAGAATGCGGGATCTTGAAGTAGTCTTTATACCCACCGCAGCATCGCTACTCGCGGCGAGATCTGCTATAGCCATTTTGTAGAAGGGAATCATGTCCGAGACCTAACCACCTAGTAGGTATGTTTGACGACTAGTTGCATGAAGTGGCATGCTTGGGTATATCTGCGTGACTCAGATGCATGCTAGGTATACCCCTGGCTGGCAATGACCAAAAGCTTCAGAATGTTGTGTACAGTACTTACTTAGGTAGGTAACTACTCTAGTAAATAGTGAATGCCCTGCGTAATCGGAAGGCATATAGACGATTAGATCATCAAACGACCTCTGCGAATCACCGGTGGTCTATGGAGGCATTTGGTTAGATCACCAACGACCAACAAGGTCCAAGCCAACACAACTGAAGGTCAAATATCGCCAGTTTTTGTTAGTTGGGAGTTCTCCCCTCCGATAGCCACCTATGTCCTATTAGCCCCTTGTAGGCTGTCAGAACTTTCAAGGGAAAGGTGAATTACTTGCATATCTGAGTGGATCGTGCAAGGCCAGGCCTGTTGCTATACAATGATTCTTTCGCCGTCAAGAGTGGTTGTGGGCCTGAATTATCACGCTAAACAAGCGAAGGCAATCCTCTCGTAACCATAGTAAACCCGAATTTTACTCCGGGGCATTAGTTTATGGTGATGGTATTGCCCTTCCCTTTGCTTTCAGCGGAGTGAATATCTGCATCTTACTCGTGAGAAATCCTGGATAAAACCGGGAATTGTTTAGATAAGCGGCCATTACGCCCAATCAAGAAGCCAATGGACGATAAAGTGGTCTGTGATTACGATGAACGTCAGATTCAAATCCGGATATAGCATCTCATGGGCATGGGGACTTTCTGAATGAAGTTTGATTACGCACCATACGACTCCCAGACAACTTCTTCATAAGAGGTGGTACCCAGTAGGTGCCATATATTTCGGTGATTACCTAAAGGGATGTATGATAGGAACAATATGTGTGCTTCCAAGTTGTAGTTGTAACAGTCATCATCCTATTGCGACATTACCTCTGCAAGAGAGGCTGCGTATCTGGAGAAACAGGTGATTCTCAACTTATTCGCCAGAAGACCCTATATGACGATCGCTTAGTGACCAATAGATAAGCCTGTTCAAGTATCGCTACCCGTAATGATAACGGTGGTCATGGCTAGGGTATTGAAGAGTCGAGGGTCCTAATGTGTACCTACATTGATAGAACCTTGGAAGTCTCGGTGTGGAGCATTTTCCCTAGCTCCCGCTGTGGATTATCACCCTGGTATGTGGAAACACCCGTAGACCTAGAGGACAAGGGTTGGATAGGGCAATAGAGCAATAGAAGAAGGATAAACCCGGAGGAAGAGGAATTCGCAGAATTTGAAAGGAGTGACAGTTCGACAGCGTGGTAGGTAAAAGGTTGAACCACGAACTGTAAAGGGCTTGGCTTCTGAACTTGGTAAATCCTTCACCGTGAACAGCCACTGATGTCATGTACGTTAGGTAGGTAGGTAGATACCCAGGTACATGTAGGTCACCTCTATGTATGAGAGAACCGATGTGACGCCACCATGTTCCTCATGCCTAACTACCTATGAGGTTTCTTCCAAAAATAAATCGTTATGTAATATGGATTACCGGGTTGCGTGTAGTAGAGACCTCCGGATTTAAGAGTTGAGAATTTGAGAATTTGATGTGTACGTGTACCTAGGTCCTGGGTAGGTAGGTAGGTACACTACCGGGTTGGGGGGGTGTTTGGACATAGTCACAGGGATAGTCACCAGGTGTAGACATAATGTCAACTGGTGATTATTAACCCACCGTCACTACTCCGATTGGCTGTTGGCTGGATAGTATCACCCCCGAGGGCAATCGTAACTTCCGTACAAGGGTTATATCGAAGGAAATAGCCACCTTGGAGACAGCCTCACCTTCTATTACAATGGTTGTTGATCTAATAGATGTCAGGTTGGTGATCGTCACCACGCCAGTAATCGTTACTAGACCTATTTTTTTAAGAAAAAAAGGGAAAAAGAAGAAGCTATCGCGGCCAATTGAATGCTAGGTATTTCCCTAGGGCTTCAAGGTGTATTTATATTATAAGATATTACTTTGAAAAGTCAGGTTTTTTTTTTACAGGTACAGTCACTTGAACTACTGTTGATTTACGAGATTTACCATTACACTACGAGAGTCACAGTTTACGGTTTACATGATTACTAATCCCAGTCTTTTCGAACTTTGATATATAACCTATTCAGGGAGATCAAGGATACGTATCTTAGATGCGTTGATCTGACATGGTGTCAGGTCTTGACACTGTTGCTAGGCTTTGACACTATTGCCAGGGCTGAAGATAAATTCGGTTCTAAACCATTGCAGCAATCGTATCCACCTTGTAACGCTTTCAATTATATAGTAATTGTATCGATATACAATAATATCAATTCAGAAATTATAGCTGTAATACTGTTGATCCCTAGTAAGACTTATAGAAGGTGGTGATCAGGTCGAAATACTGAAACGTTAGTTGTGACCATGTCCAAATACCCCCCCCTCCCGGTAGTGTAGGTATTAATAATATGTTGATATTCCGGTAATTCTCTTTGGTCGCTTATAGCATGGTGTTTCCGTAGTTTGAGAGTTCTGGCTTTTGATCTGGGGAGCCACGCAGGCATGTAATTTTTATGAATGCTAGAAAATATACGGGTTGGATACTCGAAAACGATTTAACTATATTGAACTTAGAAAGTTGAAATAAGCTTAACTTTGTGTCAAAGCTAATATTGAGGCTGAGCAGCTTATTGAAGCCAGCACCTGCCTAGATCTGAAGTGAGTAGACCCTTCTAAATGCAATGTAAACAATTCAATAGCCCTAGGGAAGGCTAACTCCGAATCTCCGATCAAATAATGACAGTAGCCCTGGACAATTTAAACTTCCGAGTACCCCCACCTTATCAAGCAGTCAAGGTCCCCTCCCCCTCCCTCTTTCTGTGCCGGATCTCGCAATTCGAGCAATTTGATTTGTTAAAATCATGAATAATGAACGCTTAAGTACTTACTTAGGTAGGTAAGTAAGCATGAAATAACTTCAAAGAGACTTACAACTTGATATTTCTTTAATATTTCTTTAATTTGGGTTTGGTTCTAGATCCATATTAAGGAATCACAATCACTGACCTTATTAGGCGGTTGTACGGAAGGAAGGGGGGAATTCATTCGCATAACGCGCTTTCCTTTCGGGCTCTTGTCAAGGAAGCCTTGGGTTCCTTGGCGTCCCGGCCCGGGACTTCCCCTCACCCTAGTGGCCCGAACCGGTTGACGTTTCCTACAACTTAATCCCTGGACCGACCTTCGGGATGAGATGATCTGACGACTATGGATGCGAGTCTCTTTTAAGACCCGGATTATTCCTCATCCTGGACCCCTCGCCTCTTCCCTACATGTGTATGCCGAGAAGACGGATGTATTGCAACCGTTAAACATGACCAGGGTGATAGCGAGCAACGGTCTCGGTGAGTTCGCTGTAATTGGTCTGGCCGTAGGACCCTTTGACGAACCCCGGCCAGTACCGGGCAGCCCTGGCGGCCACATTATGCTACCTAGCGGGGTTCCGTCACACATTCCCTAGTTGGCAACTCTTAAGTCAGAAAGTCTAGCATATGACCGATCCGAACCATATTACCATCATTTCCTCCACAGAAAATTCATCCCATATCAGTTAGAAGGCATCCTATTTCCCTGGGTCCCACTGCTATGAATTCTTCGCATACTGTTCGTTTTGCACAATCCCGCGCTCGGCGGCAACCGAAAATAGTGCTTACTCCCTAGTCACGTCGTTCCCGAAGGTAGGTGAAGCCTTCTTCGCAGGGGTAACTTGTTCCCAGCATTTTCTTAAGTGAGATCATTACTCGAAGGGGGAATTTTTGATTCTCTGTTCATTGCGGATCACTTAGGTAGCAGAGTCTAGACCATGAGCCATGCTTCTCGGAACAGTACGACACTCCGCATATGACCCGGCCTAGGATTGTTGTCTTAACGGGCTTATGGATCGACCTTGCCGGGATTTGGAACTCACATATCACTTACATATTTATCGGACGTTTTCCCTGATTGTCATTGAGACTTCACCCACTGAAGTTCTGATGCCGTGTCCAGGGTATTTTCCTAATGTTATTCGCGGCTACCTACCTACTTACCTGGTGTTTTACTGGGATCCCACGAGTGTCGTTCCCAAGGCTCTCTGATTCACACGATCATTTCATATACCTCTGGTTAACTATTAACCAAACTCAGTCGTGATGAACTTGATTTATTGATTTAACAGCGAGTTATAAGAGTGTTTACGACACTATATTCAATGGACGCTTAGTAGCTACAATCTAATAGGAGAGCCTGCTTACAGAAGTATCTTGGTCGTTGGGCGGGAGTGTAGGTAGATATCAGTTGAGTTAAAGAGATCAATCCATTTTACATCTTCTCCAAGTTAGCCTCAATGAGTATCTCGGAACCAACATACACATGAACGAATTGAGTAAGAGTGTTTGAGTGATCAAATAAAAAAAACGCCGAAGTCTTGAGTATAGAAATGACTTATGATATAGCGGGATTTCATTAGCTTCAAGGTTGTTTTTGGTTCGTTTAGAACCGACATCATTCCTCGAGAGTTGGAAAATGATAGCAACTTTCCTCAACTAGTAAGGACGTACCTATTTCTTCGCTTAGTTTCAGCATAGAATGTACATATATTTTCTATATTGCTTCGATGCCCTGGGTATCCTTTGCCTTCAATTGATTGCTCTGATGTGGGCCGAGGCCATTACCTCGGTATTGGTAGGATGTCTAGTTGTGCAAGAGTGTCGTATGCATATGTATCGGCAAAGTCGATCAATACTGTTATGCATTTGAAGAAGCTCGCGAAGCATTAACCTAGTCTGTACATAGATATGGCTCCTGTTGCCTGATTGCACAAGTGTTGTTATTTAGACCATTGTGAGATATTCTCGTGCTTATTTTTTTTTTTTTTTTTAGGAATTAAGAGACCCGGTAAAGCCGCTGATGAATAAGATGCACCTTTCGTACACTGCTTTTATTCATTGCGGAAATAACCAACTTTTACTTGGATATGTGTCTTCAGTAGGTACTCTCGTCATAATGATGGTGTTGCATTTGAAAATATTCCGTCATGTATGTAAAATCTCATGTTTAAAAGCACTTGGGGATCCGAGATTCCTTTATTAGGTAAATGTGACGACTCTTGAAGAGCATATATCTATATAAGTACATAAAATGTACGTAACCCATATCTGTCATTCGCGTATCAGGCATCATTTGTAATCTATGCGAATACGCCAATATCAAAGTGATTTATTCTCAAGACCCGCTATTTCTCTTTGAGAAAAATTTTGTCACTTCCAACCTTACATAATCACTGAGCGTCTTACTAAGGACTTCACCTCAGTACAAACTTTACTTTAGCGCGCATCCTTGCATTTATGTAGCTACCTAGTACTAAGTGGTAGCAGATACAACTTGGAAGATATCACCAATTTTGCGATCAAATTTATTCTTCTAGATACTTCACTATCGTAATCCTATCTCATTTTTGTCACTCCTTTACCATTTCTACGACATCTCGCACCATTCGCGAGTTATTTACGATCATACACGACCCTTTACACCTACAACTTCCGATTGCCAATAAACACCAGCCGACTTTTCGACCCACTCCCATGCTTGCGACGCGGTCGCACACGTAGCCAAGATGCCTGTCGTCAAAGGAGGAGTGTGGACCAACATCGAAGATGAAATTTTGAAGGTTTCCGTTTCCAAGTATGGTCTTAATCAATGGGCGCGTGTTTCATCGTTGCTGCCACGCAAGACTCCAAAACAGTGCAAGGCGCGATGGAACGAATGGCTTGATCCAAGCATTAAGAAGATCGAATGGAGTAAAGAAGAGGACGAGAAGCTATTGCATCTAGCTAAATTGATGCCCACGCAATGGCGAACTATCGCTCCTATCGTTGGCCGTACCGCGAATCAGTGCTTAGAACGCTACCAGAAACTCCTTGACGAGGCTGAACAACGAGAATCATCTGGCCTAGGCCTCACCGGACCCGAAGGCGGCGAAACCCAAGCACCCACAGCCGATGATGTACGACGACTCCGACCGGGAGAAGTTGACCCAGATCCGGAGAGCAAGCCTGCGAAGCCTGATACAATCGATCTCGATGAAGACGAGAAGGAAATGCTGAGCGAGGCGCGTGCTCGTTTGGCGAACACTCAAGGAAAAAAGGCTAAGCGAAAGGCTCGAGAACGCCAACAAGAGGAGTCCCGCCGACTTGCAGCCTTGCAGAAACGGCGAGAACTGAAGACTGCTGGCATCAACATTAAGGTTGTCACGCGCAAGAAGGGACAAATGGACTACAATGCCGACATTCCATTCGAGAAGGCACCCGCCCAAGGGTTCTACGATACCACAGAGGAGATGACTCGAAACGAAAAGCAGCGAGCTGCGTTCGACCCCCGCAAACAACAGCTAGCAAGCAAGAGAAAAGGGGACGAAAATGACGAATCTGATCGAAAGAGACGGAAGAATGATAAGGATGCCCCTTCTGCCTCGATGCAGGCTGCCTTGAAAGCTGGGCAAATGCAAAAGGTCCGAGAGGCTGAGCAGAGCAGCAAGAGAAGAGCTCTCGTCCTGCCGACTCCCCAAGTAAGCGATGGCGAGCTTGAGGATATCGTCAAGATGGGCATGATGGGCGAGCGGGCAAATCTGCTTGCTCAGACTAGCGAGAATGATGCTACTAGAGGACTTGTCAATACGTACTCTACTCTTAACTCGCAAACCCCTATCCGTACTCCTATGGCACCCCCTCAGCAGGATCGAATTGCGAACGAGATAAAGAACATTCGAGCATTGACCGAGAATCAGTCTGTACTATTGGGGGGTGAAAACGCTGATCTTCAAGAAGGTACTGGCTCTACGGGATTCGAAGGAGCTACCCCTCGAAAGCAAGTCATGTCAACCCCTAATCCTCTAGCTACTCCTCTCCGAGCTGGTATGAATGGCGCCGGTACCACTCCCCGAAGGCCCGGAGAGACCCCTCTTCGTACTCCCCGAGACAGCTTTGCCCTTAATTCAGGAGAAGAGGAGATGTCTATGGTTGGAGGTACAGCTAAGGATATGCGACTCCGGGAGTTGTCAGTGAAGCACCAGCTCAAGCAAGGCCTCGCTTCCTTACCAAAGCCAAAAGAAACAGAATGGGAACTTGAGATCCCCGAAGATCAGCAAGAAGTCATGGATGTAGATGAGACAGAGGAAGATGCCGAAGTACGGGACCGACGAGAGCGAGCTATCAGAGAAGCCGAAGAACGACTGGAGCGAAGGCGACGCACACAAGTCATGCAGAAAGAGCTTCCTCGACCGAAATCTGTCAACCTGGAAGCCCTTGTCCAACAAGCATCTGCAATTTCAGACCCCATTGAAGCGCAGATTGCTAAAGAAGCCGCCTTGCTTATTGCAAATGATGCCGTAAAATTCCCCATCTCGGGCTCAAAACCCAGTGTTGGTCCTGTCCGTCTACAACAAATCGACGACGTTTCGCTGGATGAAGCGCGCTTGCAAGTTCTTATGGAGGTCAAGGGAAAGGCCCAGCTGGAAGAAATCCAAGAAAGCTGGGAACGAGAAGGTAGCAACGCGCTCCTTTTAGGTTTGGGCTGCTATGAAGATGACGACGAAGAACATGTGGCAGCTATGAATGCAGCTCTTGACGTAAGTTTTAATCACATTCCCTACTTATCTCGTAAACCTCACTAACACTTATCCATATAGTCAGTACAAGAGTCCACCATGGCGACTGCGGAAAAGTGCTCGAAGCTTGAGAAGAAATTGACACTCCATCTAGGAGGTTACCAGCAACGAGCTAAGACATTGCGGTCGAAGATGGGCGAGGCACATGAGGCGCTTCAAAAGGCCAATTTCGCCCTAAGCGCATTCAAGACACTAGCAGTATCGGAGGAGATCGCGGCCAAGAGCCGATTGGAGGCTCTCAGAGAAGAGGTCGGCCATATCACACGCCGAGAGCGCGAGGCTCAGGAGGCGTACCGTCAAACTAAAGAGGAACTCGACGCCTTCACAAACGGTATTAATGGGTTTCATTGATTTCACGACTGCCAAATTGAAGGATCATTCGAACACGGGCTTGTATTTACATTATTGGGCGGCCCGCCGCCCCCACTAACGGATCTAGAAAGAGTGGTATCAAGAGACGCAGGTACACGAAGCTGTATATTGACTTTGGTGAGCTGTAGAATAGGAAGGAAAAGCATTGGGTGCAAGGTTCCAGATTTGCATGTCTTCACGATCGACTCCAATGAGAGTAGTGAGGGAGACGAGGGGACTGGTTATCATAGTCATCAACAAAGAATGCTTGAACCATTGCATGCACTGTAGTCCAAAACGTCCGAGGCACGGTATCCTGCAATGAATAAGGGGGAGAAAATCAATAATAAGACTAAATCATCATTTGCTAATGTGCTCATACCCGTAACCTGAAATATGCGTGACCTGTGTACCGTCTCATTTTCTAACCAGCCTTTAACCATATTTTCTCATAACACCGTAAGTAAATAAGTAGAAACCTAGGATATACGTGCTCTTTATCCCGTGTCGTCATATTTTCCATCTCCATCACAATCCCTATTTCCTAGCCCCCAACCTCGGCAACTTAACCGGCACAATCATCAACGCGCTAACCGCCGCGAAACCCACCAGACACAAGAACGTAAGACGCACAGCAGACTCATAACTCGCAACGACCTGGTCCTTCAGCACCCCATCCGGCAGCGCAGCAACAGCCTGCACGCTCTCACGCACCCGCTCCACAAGCGCCGCTTTCCAAGCCACCGGATCGGCCTCGCTCGCGGGCGGGACGACGTACTCCATCAAGAAGCGGAGCAGCGCGTTCTGCAGCACGAGGGAAGAAAACGCGACGCCGAGGACGGAGCCGAGAGCGCGCCAGAGGACAAGGGTCGATGTTACGACGGCTTGTTCGCGGTGCTCGCTGGCGGCGAGGACGGCCATGAAGGTCCCTGGGAACTGGAAGCCTTGGCCGATGCTGGAGGGGACGAGGCACAGGAGGTATGCGAAGAGAGGCCACCCGCGACGCATGGAGGAGAGGAGCATGGTGCCGGAGAGGTAGAAGAGGGTGCCGAGGGTTAGAGGCCATTTTAATCTGCGGGTGTAGGAGATTAGGAATCCGGTGAGGGTGCCGGCGGCGCTGGCGGTGACGACGGGGACGACGAGGTATAGGCCGGAGGTTGTGGCGCTGGTTAGGAGGACGGCTTGGAAGAAGAGGGGCGTGTTGAAGAGGATTGCGTTGAGGAGGAAGGAGGCGATGAAGTTGGAGAAGATTATGTTGGCGCGGGGGGAGCTGTGCAGCAGGATTAGGGGCATGATTGGGCGCTCGTGTTTTGATTCTGCGTAGAGGCAGGCGGGGAAGCAGATGGTGAAGATGGCGAGGGAGGAGAGGACGAATGGATGGGTCCCTTGGCGGTATGTTAGTTTATTATATTCTGGTGAATTTGGTTGGGGAAGAGGGGAGAAACTTACAGGGCAGGACGTTGCCTCCGAGGTTCTATGAATGTTCTGTTAGCATATAGAATTATTACGATTGGTGGATATCTCTGAAGAAAACGTACCAAGCCTAATATCAAGAATGTAGTAGAAATAGTCAGGAGTATCGATCCCCTAAAATCAAACGCCTTCATAGCCTCCTTGAACGTCTGGTGCTTATTCTGCAGGCCAAGGTCCCCAGGGATACCGAGAGAAGCTATTATGAAGCAGAGGACGATGGGAAAGACCTGGATGCCAAATTCCCAACGCCAGCCGAGACTGTCTGCCATCAGACCGCCTAGAGCCGCGCCTAAAGCTGAGGCAAGTCCGTAGACAATGTTTACATAGCTTTGGTATGAGCCACGACGTCTTTTTATGCTAGTTAGCGAATTTTATCCACCGCGGAAAAATAGCTTGATCTAGATAACTTACTCGATAGGCACCAAATCGCTAATTATGATACTCCCCATACCCAACACGCCTCCAGCACCAAGTCCGCAGGCGGCTCTGGCGAGGATGAAACTCGTCATGCTCTGCGCCAGCGCGCACCATAGTGTCGCAAGCGCGAATATGACCGTCATAGCGAGGTACGGCGGCTTGCGGCCTACAGTATCAGACAGTCGGCCAATGACAGGCTGAAACGCCGTGCTGGTGAGTAGAAACGCGGTCGATAGCCAACTAGCGCTATTAGAGCTATGGAAGTAGCTTGTGATGACCGGGTGAGACGATGCCATGATGGTGCCTGTTTTATATTAGAAATAAAATCTTGAGACATCGGACAATTTAAGGATATAATTCTTTAAACGCGTTTTGCCTTCATTTGAGAGGAAGATAAGTGAACATAGTAAAATCCTTACCGTCAAAGCATGCTATGAAATGCGTAAGCATAATGCTTAAAAACACAATCCAAAACCGTCGTCTATCCGTGTCGATGAGAAATGAAGGTTGAGATTTATCGTGCTCGACGCGTGCTGCCTCGAGATCGTCCTCTAAGCTCCCATCCGACGACGGCGAATCGAGTAGTTCTCTATGGATCTGGTGATGCACATTGAGTATAGGTCTGGGGGATATCGATACCATGCTCCGGTTAGTCGACGCCCGCCGTGCCGAACTTCGCGATCGTCGACGCCCCCTAAGCAACGCCGATTCGAAGGATTCTGGGGCGAGCCCCGACCCAGTAGACGTGTAACTGCGCGCGATCAACAGGTCCGCCTCGTTCGGGTCCAGGTCGTCGCCTGAGCTCCCGTAGTCATCGTCCACGTTACCCGTCCGAGGAATCGTGATTGGACCGGGTTCCTGGGTATACCTAGTCCTCGAGTCCCCCAAAAGCGTCGTCCACTCAGACGCAGGCTCGGAGTCGTGCCCGTACGATCGGGCGTTGCCGTCGCCATTCCTCTTAGGTGTCATGATGTGTGCGAGATCGCCAAGAGATCTCTCAGAATCCTTTAGGCCTAGTAAGCTGTCTCAAGCTTCACTAGCTTCGCCGGGCTCGTATGGGATCCCAAGATCCAATGACCACTAACCCAGCGCAACTATCGAGGTTCAATATAGATATATAAGTGGTGGTTTTGCCTCGGAGGAAAAAAGGGAAAAAAAGAAAAGAAAAAAACGACGGGTTTCTCGGGAGGTAAGACAGGTGACAGAGCAGTGACAGTCAATTAATAGCGAAGTTGTCGGACAAAGGATTTGGGCAAGTCGGTGAGACGAAAAAAAGGAAAAGAGCTCATCAGTGGCACCTGCATGGGACTGGAATAGGGATGTTATACTACACGATAGGCGCCCGCTAGCAAACCAACCGTGGTTCTACGGCTTGTTAATGTATGGCGATCCCGAATTATGCGGGGGGCCGCTTAGCGCCGAGGATCGGTAAGTAAGGTGTGCCTCATGATCCGTTGGAGTACGCCGGTATAGGGGACATACCTGGATATACAGGACCCTTTGTGCCCTAGTTAGTTCTAGTCTGAGCCTCACCATCAACCCCCAGGGCTGTATGGGGATACCGGCAACCTAGCCGGGTAGGTGAGGTGATGAGATCGAGCACTAAAAAGTGGCGGTGCTTGTGGTCTTTTGACAGGCCTCATACCGCGCGACAGGCGGTTTCAATCCTTCCCGAGGCAGCCTATATTTTTTTCTTTGATTTTTCTTGAATAAACGAGAATGAAAACTGCGCATGTGGCGCAAGTTATTGTTATACTTACTACTATGCCGTAGAATGAGAATGCCTCATGCTAGGAAGCGTTGGTTAAGTCGATCAGCCGCATACAAAGCGCTAAGATAGATCTTACCAAAATGCACATAAATGTGGATAACACCAAAATCAATCCATGATGCTACAGCGTACATGTAAAAACAATGCCTCCCATACGAAAACACCTCTGTTGCTATGATGAGATGCTGTGGTCACCATGATACCCGATACCTATGTCCCTTCTACTATAGTATGAACATAGCCTCTCCCAACTCCAGGATATCCCAGTCTATTATGTGATAAAGACATTAAACGCTAGCATCCTTAGACTTTGCCTGGGAAGCGCCGCATAACACACCAGCGCCAGTTATTCCGCCATCATGACAGGGACTCAATACAACCCTGACCGGGGCGTCTTCGCCAAATTCGGCCTTAATGATAGCATCGAGAAACTTTTGGCAATCTGCCAAATAATCTTGAAAATGAACGATGCAACCACCCGTGTAACCAACAATCAGGTTCAGCTTAGACCGTTGTTCCAGCTTGGTGTGGCCGTTCGTAGTATCTTGAGATGATTCTCGTAGAGGGATATCCCCTGCGCACATGAGCAGTCCGATAACAGCCGCGGCAACGATCCCCGCTGCTCTGACTTCAATGGCCTTGGATATATTATATAAAACCAACGCAATTTCCTCCGTCCATTGAAAAGGATCCGTAGTCGAGGACGGAAATTCGGCCTCGAGCTTCTCTAACAATGCAACGGCGTTCGGTGGTCGGAAATGGCTGAGAAATGTGGTCGTGAGGCCGAATCGTGTTAAGAGTCGTGGGGGTAATGTGTGTATCGGGATATTCATGTGATGCTCAAGGTAATCTAATAACATTAGGCGTCCAAGCTCGCCTAGGTATCGTCCCGATGTCATATATTCGAGGGGTTGAAAGCCGGGTGCTTCGCCTTCGGAATCGAGTCTCGTATCCCACTGGCTGACCAAGCCAAACTTCCGCAAAGGTGGCGCAGTTCCATTGATACTCCACTCGGTATTCACCGCGATCTTCATGTCATCGGTTGAATCTCCGTTCAAGACCTTGACTTTTCCGAGTTGCTTATCTTTATGGAGAGTGCTTCTCTTCAGGGGTATTGTCGCATTGCTTCCGGTGCCACAGATCAGTCCCATTGCTGCTTTATGGGTGCTGTCCTCCTTAGATTGATATATGAAGGATACCAATGTCGCAACCGCATCATTCAAGATCGCCGCGACTTTAATGGGAGGTAAGTCCGGGGTCTTGGACTTCTCGTACCCATTAATTAAGTGAGTTCCCAGATGCAGTCGTGATGTGATAGTGAACCCCTTTCCCATAGCCATCAGCGTCGCATCGGATAGAGTATCCTGTACCATCGGAAAACTGAATGTAACCCCCATAGGAAGTTCGATATCGCGAGGTAGATTGAACTCCTCACATCCCTCGCGCACGACTTCTGCAATACAGCTCCCTATCCACTTGAACAGTGAATCGGCATTTTCGTTTTTGAGAACATCTAGGATTGGCCATGACTTCTCGAGTAATCGACGGATATTAGAGGATGATTCCGAATGCGAGTTCTTTAGGCTACCATTGACGCCATTACAGAAACCATTCACGCCAATCTCATTCCCTAATAACTCGATAAAGCCGACTCTCAAATTAGTACCACCGCTGCTAGGTATTAGTGAAAACTACACAAGTAATTATTCCAATTGATTAGGCGCGTACATATCAATGGCTAAATATCTTTAATATGAGTTAGCATGTTAAGATCCGACTTGGAACTTCAAAGCGAAATGGTTTGAAGTAATGACAATGAGGAATTCTAGAATAACATACCTCCCCTTTTCTCTCCCGGCCGTAGGCCGTAATATCGACTCAGATATCGGAGTTGGGAGAAACTGGTTCAATGAGTCGGCGGATAAATGGTGAAAAGATCGGCATAATTCATGCGCAAGCGCGTGTGCCTTTTCCTCATCAATGGAAAGAGGCGTAAGAAAATGGTCGATATCGCTCTTCATTGCTGCGTTTGATACGTTCGTCGTATATTCTTTATATCCTACCTGAGCAGGTCGTCGAGAAATATGAATGCGAATTATAGAATTATATGTTCAATAGCTTAAGGACCGGATGATGACGTCGGTATCATGTCTACAATAAGACGTATGTAGAAATCGGAATGTCGTGCTAAAATCGAATAGGCAAGGTACCTCAGTTAATGGTATGTAATATGTATTATGTAAAGCGCCGAAGATGAAGAAGAATATGAAGAATATTTATTATCGTAAAGGTGGTCGTAGTCAGTCACAGTCGCAATCGAAATCGCACAGGTGACTTGGGAAAAACGAATCGTCGTGATCGAGTAGATACAGCAAATACAGCACACTGCCTCTTAGGAGATAGACATGCGTATAGGTATATATGTATTATATGTTCGGTGGTTTCAAGAATTCGATTCATAGATGGAAATGGATCAATAGTAAGAGTCAGAGCGAACTGCCGAATCAGCGGCTCTAGATTTCTAGAAACGTTACAGTTGCAGGGATCTCCATTGGGTACCGGGGTAGGTACATAGGTGGGTAGTTCCGTAGGCACGGAAGGGATGAAGGATGTTGGTAATGTTGGCAAGAACTTAGGTATAGTCGAAGTATATATATTTAGCTGAAGCAATAATATCGAAACGTCAGGTAGTTGCCCCCTAAGACATCACGAAATAAGTAAGAGATTGGTAACGTTGAACCATATTTAACCAAGGTTTGGAGGCTAGATGTCAAGATTTCAAGTCTCATGCCCACTGAGGAACTCGTAATCATTTCTTGGTCCTATCCGTCAGTACAATCGAATCATTGAATGCAGTACCTATGTACAGTACTCTAGTAGGTACCTAGGCCCTAATCCGTACTTCGTATCGCGTATCTTCAGCCACATTGCGCCCCACGATTCTAGATACAATCAGGCATGTACCCCAAGTACCTCCTTGTTTCTTAAAGCCTACGGCGCCTGACTCGGTCGATTTACAGTGGTCACACCATTCCTGTACACGTTAGCGTATGCGCTGACCATGCACTGAGCAAGCTTCGCAGGTAGGCAGGTACGGGGGCTACATACATGAGCTCCAGTGCCGGCAGGAGGCTCATCCAGGGAAAGGGGACCCTCGTTCAAACGGTTCCAATCTAGGCTAATCCCGTGCCTAACGTTGATCACGATCGACTCTTCAATGTTTGCATCACTAATCACTATTGTACCATACCACCACCACCACCACCACCGCCATACTTCGTGCACCAACTCCATTCACTTGGTTCTATTGCTTTTGAATACTTCTTTGTTTTTTTGTACATATTATATCTATGTGTTGTTGCAATCGTTGATAGTTCTCGCATTATCATCACAAGCTTGATTTATCAATCAAACGACCAACATGGCTGCTAAGATCAGTCTTCCCATCACGGAGGAGAAACGGCCGGTTCAATGCCGCGCTCGACGTCGATGCCGACCATTTCTTCTGCTTACCCTCATCGCGACAGTCCTCTACGCAGCATGTAATCTCCGAGTCGTATCGTCGTATGCCGTTCTTTTCGTTCCAGAGACAGCCCAGTCGCGTCTATCTCCGACAACCGACCGACCTATATCGGTAGACCGAGAGCTTGTTCCGCTCGAAGCACACATCATGAGCAAATGTCCCGACGCTAAGGATTGTCTCAAGGACCTTGTTCTTCCCTCCATGATGCGCGTGTTCGACAAAGTCAACTTTACTTTATCGTACATCGGAGCGCCGACGGAAAATGACGGTGTAGACTGCAAACATGGTCCTGGAGAATGCATGGGGAATATCATTGAATTATGCGCGCATCATCTATACCCGGATCCCAAGATCTACCTCGGCTTCACCATGTGCTTGACAAAAGAATACAAACTGATTCCGCAACGGGAGCTAGTCGAGGACTGCGCCCTGGAACATGCTATTGACTTTGAGAAATTGAACGAATGCGCTACTAAGGATAACGGGGCATATGGTGTAGAATTGCTCAGACAAAGCGTAGCAAGGAGTTCCAGCGTACGTTTCACCGAGCCTTCTCAAAATGAAAACCTAAAAAACGAGATTTCTAACTAATTGTCTAGGCGGGAGTTACAAAGAGCTGCACAGTCCGACTAAACGAGGAAGTATATTGCATTAGAGATGGCGGAGAGTGGTCAGATTGCAATCACGGGCCGGCCGTGAACGACCTTGTTATTGAGATTGAGAAGCTCTACCAGCGCTCTTAAGTGGTTCGAATATTTCCATCCATAAATCCGATGCCTCGCCCAGCGTGTAACTTAGCGAAACACTATCCATACCAGTTTCACTATCCCCTTGCATGGATTCGAGCTGTTCGATGATGCTGTCTAGCCCAATCGCCTTCCCAACTGATTGGGTAGCAGTCGCCTCTAGCATGACGTGTACAACGTGGATATGGAAATGGTAGTACGTTGGATGGTAATGGCAGAACAGCTTCAGCTGATCTGTGTCGATCTGAGGATATGTCTTGACCGTGGCGTCTATGAGTTTGGCCTTCATGTGTCTAAGCCACGGAATGTGTTTCTTTTTGAGGTCTCGCAGGCTCCAGATATCGCGTCTTTCGACTATACCCAGTAAATACAATGCTTCGATTGTTTTTCGGTCCCAGTGGAGGTTTGGTAGCATTAGGAAACCTTCGTCCCCGTCTCTCCCCAACGGCGTTCTGTATATGACATCTTCTGTTTCTTTGCGCCCTTCGATAATATTGAAAACCCAGTTCAATCTTCCTTCCTCTCGATTTACTTGCATGTACGGCCGCACCTTGTCACGATAGATCTCTGGCGTCTCCGTGACAACGCGGAAGCCTTGTCTGCTGTGCTTCTTAATGTGCTTGTCTGTGCAAGGACAGATCATGGATATCTTGAAGTCGGCGAATTTGTCATTCTCGTTGTCCTCGAGAATCGGACCACCTGACGCAAGTGACCAAGAATATATATCATTATTTCCCAAATTCGTTATACTTCGTAGATTAGAAGGCAAGGCGGAGAGGTACTCTTCTGCGTCGGGGAAAGGGGCGCGTTCCAATATGAGGAGGGCGGGTTGTGAGTCGACTTGTCCATATAGTGTAATTTCCCGTCCGGCAGCGCCTTTTTGAATACTATTAGCTTTTATATTCCATGATTTGTTCATGTAACGGCATCAATAGATGTTGTCTTGCGTGTCAGGTGTTATTTTAGAGACTAGTATCGAAGACCTTGATCAAGATTATCTCATACCTTGATTCAATATACGTTCAAAGTGAAATTTAGGAACTAGCGCCTCAGCGCGACGTTTGTATTCTTCTGGGGTCATGTTCGACAGCAGTTGTAAATTCTAAGTCAATAATGTCTACGCATAGAAGTCTGGAAAATGTTAAAATAGAATGACCCTGGCAGGCTGGGCATTAGATTGTTCCTGCCGTGTTTCTTATCGGAGCTACCCCTCAGTCGATATGAACGGGTAGGTGCAGAAAGAAAATGGGTCGGGTCCAGCCCCGCGGGCCGTGCCTCCCCTAAAACAGGCAACCCTTCGGATCCGAGAGGTACGTATTCCACCAACTTCCATCCATACATCATTAATTTGAGTCTCACTATACCTACTAACTTAAGCATATATAAAAAGTCATCGAGATAGCCTACCGGTCGATATATCCGAATGAATATGGGACGCCAGCTCAGCTACTTTACACCCCTAACCTACTATCAATCCTAGGTTGGACCGGATACTACCGCGGTGGTATAGTAGCATGGGTATAAGAGACCTAAGCTACGTAGTCATTTATTTACTTCCAGCCACTCGGAACTTGCCTTGAATCAAGAACAAGTTTGAAGTCACCCTCGAGGGACAGAACACTAATCAAGAAATAAGTGTTCAGAAAACCATGATGTAACGCTACTCTGTTGTCCAGCACGCAACTGACCTCACGTTACATGAGGCTACGAGACTAAGCCTTAAACACTATTAATATCCGGTCCAAGAAATATAAAGCTTAAGTCCCGTAGCCCTAGCAATTTCGGACATGAAAAATATGACCTGTGCGCTCTTTTCTTGCTTCTTTAACTATATACCAGGTACTTGGTTTGGTTTTTTACCTTGACGTACTAGGTACCTAGGTCGATACCTACCAGAGTGGTGTAGCCACTGGGCAAATTCATATCCACCTAGGTATGTAACTTCAGAGGTTCGGACTGGGTATTGGTATGTAGGTATCGTTACAATAGGAAATAGGTTGACGCGCATGCTAGTGACGAGGTACAGCCCACCGTGATGAAACAGCTCGGCGGCATGTCGCTTGGTCGTCGGATCATGTTGAGATGATTTCGGCCCGGACACGTGTATTTGTGAATATCAACAAGGGTCTTTCTCTAAAAGCCCGAATATCAATGGCATATGCTAAATGTGTTTCAAGTTTTAACTATCTAGGCAATTATTTTACATTCTTTGTTAATAGTAAGGCATTCGGTGTCTAGGTGCTTATTCTCTTCAATGGCTTCACATGCTGCTCCATTATAACAGTCGGCCCGTTCTCGGTTTTCGCAGTCTTCCTGGCAGAATGGTACGTGTCTAAGGAAAAGATGGACTTGCTATAGATAAAAATTAGTGAAATCATATCATACGTTGATAAGTACATATAGCTCTATCTAACTTTACATAATACCTTGAAAGATTCATACGATGACAAGGAATGAAACATGATTCAACCTAAGGTATGGAGGATATTTCACAATATTGACATGTTAGTGAAATTTCAATGATAAATAAATCAGTTTATTCGTTTCATTATTTTCCCATTTAATGAAAAAAAATGTGTAATAAGGATTGTAGGCATTGATATTAGTATCCTTTCCAATATTAACAACCCACCTGATACCAGATTAAGAGTTGATAAAACTTATCTTCGATCTACATTTTAGGTTAATGACTTCTAAGTGCTATGATCGAAGAAACATAGGTAATTAAGTTAATTTTATTTATGAAGACTGGTTGATTTGCGAAAATTTGAGTTATAGAAATACATATCTTTCGTATTTCATGGAAGTTGAGCTAGTATTATAGCTAGTTATCCACGGAAATGGATATCATCATATGGACCAAAGGAATGAGGATCACTCAAAAGCTCATGGCCAAGGAAATAGTGGTAAATCATCGATCTCGATGACGGTATTGATTGGTTACTCCGGTGCAGAAATGGCGCTTTACATTGTTGAAAGTGGCTTATTACCTACCTACCTAGGTACCTACCCAATCAATATTAAAAAGAAAATTAGGTTGAAAATTTACTATCATAAGTCCTTCCAAAACGCCTCTTACCTACTACTAGATAGGTAGGATAATAGCAATAAGGGGTAGTCCCTAGAATGATAGACGCAGCTCTCATCATAAGGGGTTCGACCTCGATCTTAGCACTCGCTTGGCAGAAACATAACCCAACGATTCCCGAACACCCTAAATGCTGCAGAACGTTTCTTCAGTGGCTGGACCTAGAATAATCGCAATTGATCACTGGGCTCCGATATAGTAAGTGTGGATGGCACTTAATGTTGTGGCACGTAGCATTGCATCCCGTTGTTGAGGTAGCAGACATGTCAGAACCATAATACCACAAGTACCAAGGCATTCATTGTGTCTAGACCTTAACCAATTACTATCCCTTAATTTCCATGTTGGCACGGAGTGCAAGGTTGAATGAAGTATCTTTCTAACTGGTCCAGTACGTATAACTATGCGGAGTCCAATTCCATGCTTCTAAATATTCATAGGTACGTAGGTGCAACTTCTAGGGCTTCGTAGGAGGAGTTGACAAGAAGCCCATGTGAAAGCATGAATAATCATAATACCACCCATTTCTTTCTTGTATCTGTACCGTATCTTCCTAACAGAACGCCTTGCTCACCTCCAGACACCCTCGGCTATTCAAACAAGTACCCATTTACACATATTGTCCTTTTGCCCAAACCTGATTCATTTATTGCCATCCAGGGGAATCATTTTGGTCAACCATTGATTAAAAAGTAAGCCACACAATCCAGTCCGTTTTGTAACACCTTTGAGAAAAAGTAAAAAAAAAACACGCCCGACGCCCACCCGGTATATACAACAGGACAAGGGAAATATACTGAGGTTATTGAGGTTATAAAGCTAATCCGGTGCCGTCTCCGGTCCATCTGTACAATGCAAGAAGCTCCCGGCGGCGTTGGTGTTGCTCACCGAGGTCTTCGGGCACGCGGCCGCGAACTTGAGCTAGAGCACTACGCATCACCTTACTAAAATTGCGCTGAGTAGAATGTTAGCAAAATTTCATGCAGTGACGTTGAGTATATATTTTACTTGCCTGGTACTCGGTGTTGAGCGTAACGACACATGCCTCGTGTGCACGGATAATCGTTTCACAGGCGCGGACGACGCTGGCCGAAGCTTCAAGTTGTAATTTATCGGCAATAAGTAGTAGTAGGAATGAGCCTTGCAAAAGATAGATCCCAAAAAAGAAAGGCATGAACTCAAGGCCGGGGTCGTACTCAAGGATGTTGCTGATGGCCTCAGCGGCAGACACGGCGTGACCTGTGGCTGTGATGAAGCCTTGTGATGAGATCCATAAGTCATTGTCGTCAAGGAGATTGATGGGGTCCCATTTTCCGGTGAGGAGGATGTGTAGTACATGCATGACATGCGTGCCATATGACATGACGATGCGGGTTTGAATATCGGATTCAGTCATGCGAGAAGAGCTCGTATGTACCGATCTCCCTGATGGTGAGCCGATCTGATCTAGCTCCGAAGGCATCTCCAGAGTTGCTGACTGCTCGTTTTTCTCCTCAGAAGAATTGAAATGTCTCTGTTCAAACTTCTTTAAACTTTGCTCATATGCTTCAAGGTGACGCACAATCTCGGCCTGCTGGTCGTCCCATTCCCTGGCCGAGCGGAACCCGATGCCGAACCGCGGGTGATTACGTGCGTGATGAAGATCGACAATCTCGCCCAAGATGGTCATTAAAGGTAAGAAGTAGCCGAAGATGCTGTGACCGGTGCACTCGAAGTGTGGGCCGCGTACTCGGTTACCATCAGTCCCTGATTGCTCTGATAAGGCTGGGTCGGTGGTATGAGAGTTGAAGTTCCCATTTTGCCATTCGGTATCATCCATAGGTTGGAGAAGGCCCTCACATTCAATATCTAGAAGGAACAAGGGCCGATTGTAGCACAGAGCTAGGTGACGGTCCACGATGTACGTAAGCCACCAAATACGTCGTCGTTCTTCCCGTTCCTCCTCGGTGACCGTTCCAGGGGCAACATTATTGCATAGTCCATCTTCGGTTTCTCCGTCGGCATCGACGTCGTTGCTATTGGTATTTTGGACCATCGAAGGCACGCTCGGTGGTAATTCTCGGCCAAGTTTCAATTCTCTTGCAAGGGACCACGCAGCATTCCACCATCGTAGGCTGGCACCTTTGTACTCGCTTGCGGAAACTACTGTGGCCAGATGAATATAAGTGACGACATCATCAAGCGTCCCTGCGGCACCAAAAGCTCCTGATTCTCCCGTCAAGTTTTCCATACTCATGGAGCCTGGGAGCGCAACGCCTAATCCCCCTAAGGCAACGCCATCTATAACCGGGCTGGAAACTGGCGAAGCTTCTCCAGACGGTGTGTGGATTAATGGCTTGAGCAAGCTGACAGTAAGTTCGAGGAGTTTTTGGCAGATCTTGCCTCTTGCGGATGGGACGCCAGTCAAAAACGGAGCATCGCTTGTCTGTGCGGCCACCCAGAGCATGCTTGCTAATAATGCTGGCTGGCATTGTCGAGGTTTACTCGGATGTAGAAATGATCGTTTTCGAAAGACGAAGCCAAGAACATAAGGTGACATAGGATGTGCGTGAGCGGAAGACGAGCTCGCGAAGTATAAATCGATCAAATCGCAAGCAAGAGAGACAGGAATGATATTCCCAAGATGAGGTATTAGCGGATTGAGAACTGGATATCTTAGCTGATGATGGTAGTTATTCTGTGGAATATGAGATTGGAATTGTGGGGGAGGTGAAGACATTGACATCCAACCACCTGGAGAGGTCGGCTCCCCACCAATTGGATATGCGCTGAGAGGGCTGGTACCTATTCGAAACGTTGGTTGAGCGTTTGCTGAGTAGTTGGTAGGACTCTGAGCCTGCAGCGCGTAGGGAATCTCAGGATAGTTTGAAGAGAGATTGCCCTGGTTGGAACCATACGCATTGTGTGTAGATCCACCCATCAAATGTCCCATTCCTTGCCTGTCGTATGGGTTCTGAACATTCCCGTACCCATTGAGATCTAACGATGTAGGGCTATCAAGCTGATCTCTTTCCATGGCTCCTGGATGACCTGTCAAATGCGGCTGATGAGCACTTAATTCTGCTAAGCTATCGAGGCTTCCTGTCCTTTGACTGCGCTGTATAGCATCTTCACTGATATCATTAAGCGCCTTGTCGCTAGAATTCGATTGTTCCGGCTTCACAGATGACGTGCTATCTGTTTGTTGCTCCGTAGATGGCTCGCTATCGTCGTTCTGATTTGGGGATTTGTGTCCGTTCTGGGTGGCTGCCGCAGCGGCGGCTTGGGCAGCAGCTTGTTGGGCGAGGTCCTTGCGGGAGGCTTTGCCTCGCTTCTTTCGTTCGCGAATATACTCACAGCCAAGCCCAAATTCTGATTCTATTAGTACCCTGATTCAGCCCTAAGATCTCTCAGTATAGATAATCACCAACCTATGCAATGAGCGCAAGGGTGCTGTCCATCACACTTGGTCCTGAGCTGGTTGCATTGGTCGCAAGCCCTGCTTATTCTTCTTCGAATAGGGCCGGCTGCTCCTGTGGCTCTTGTGCTTGGACCCCCGTATGGATGCTGACGATGCTTTGGCTGTGGTGCTCGGGCTAGATGTGGTGCGTGTACTCCTACGTGCTGCTGAAGGTGTTGCAGAGTATATTGCGATCCATGACCGAAGGCCTCTAGACCAGCGTGAAGGTGACCCCCAGGTACATGGGAATTGGAGAGTAATGTGTTAGAAGGCAGTGCATGGTACGGTGAAAACCGTTGGAGTGGGTTAGACAACATATTCGAGTAATCCGTGGCTGCGAACGTTACTCGATACGCCTTTGGTGAAAATAACAGTCTGTCGACGATCTCGTCTAACCTTGTGTATCATGAACGACGGGCAACTTCAAACGAGTGCAAGCAGTTGGGCGAAGCGCGAATATGTTTAAACTGCAGGAAGCCCGTCTTGTATCGGGAGGTGCGAGATGGCTAAAGCTATATGCTTGTCGAAGAGCGGTTGTATCTTGCAGCTCTTGGCGAAGCGTAGCCCTTCTAGACAGCGGCACTTGGACGGACCGAAAACCTTTTCACTGTGGGGACCTAGAGACATGAGTATGACAGTATAATCAACAGCATGAAGCAATCCAAAATAGGTAGTCAAAATGATCGCCACGGTAGTATAACAAACGGCACTCGTTTGCACAGCACGGATGGCAATGGCATGTGGCGGGGTTGGAGAGTAACAAGAGTAGCGAGTCGACAACGGGTCGAGAACAGGGGGTAGGGAGGGTGAAGGTGAACATACAAGATACGGGATACGGGCGTGTTCCACAGCAGCGCAGTGAATTTGAATCTCTGTAACTCTATACAAGGCCCCTAGCAATAGTAGTACTCTTAAGTAAGGGACCACCAGAAAATTCGGAAGGACGGTGGACCAAAGGAAGTATAGAAGAGGTCTGGTCTAACCAAGATAATCTTTCTTCAAGACTGGAGTGCAGTCCTGGACGAGGGCAAATAAAGTCTGCGTCCTTGGCATGCAGGTAAAGAAAGGTTCCTGCTTGCCTCTGTGGATTCAATTGGAGAATAGGCACACCTTCTCATCGGTGCAATATCGACAGGCGCAGGTAGATTGACGATGCAATATACAACGGCGGAACAGGTTCAAGCTAATAGAGCGACAAGATGGGGATGTGATATGTGACTTCTGGTCATTCTACATAGTAGTAGCAACCTTCCCCAGAGGAATTTCCCCTCGGGTTATTCTGCTATATGACCCGCTTTCTCACTCGAGCGAACGGCATGGGGCTGGCTGGGTTGTGGGAAAAGCATACAGGGGTTCATAATGGTATACAGGTGATGGTACCTCTCGCAGGAAAGACACGCAAATTCGGACGACTAGGTGACTAGGACCGACTAGTCTACAGGCTTGTAGATGGGAAAGGGTTCGAGTCAGGAATAACGACCGAGAATAAGACACACTAATTCAGTGAGGCCCACATCGGTGTGAATCCTTGAAATCAGACGACCTTTTTTTCTATATCTTCAAACGGGCTGACAGCACCAATATAGTAGGGTATATCGGTCAGTTCCAAGCTTGTCACGTATATCAGCTAGGTGAGTAGGCTAGGGTGTGTTGTTGGGTACAATACATAGTGACAAGATGTAGGTAGCGACATATTGCTGTGTTGCAGCCTCATCCTCATACAGCCCTCACGCTTGCAGAGGGGTTCCTCGCTTGTGGAAAGTAGACATAAAAAGTAGCTCGTTCCCCATCGTCTATTAGGGCCGTCTGCACTAGAGTATCGGAGGAGGGTGGAGGGGATGAAGCGCAAGTGGTAGCCAAGGGTGTGTCATGACTGGACTGTGCCATCCCTGATACCCCAGCTGCCCAGTTGGTACGATCCTTGGCAAGCATGGGGTCCCGCGAATTTCCCCAAGTCGGACGGAAAGCAGCTTCATATTCGGGTAGGGTGTCGCCGAAGAGTTCCTATCAATTTTTAGCATAGTCTCGCTAATAATTAGACAGGTACATCTTCTAATGCTCGATATTTTTATTTCTTTGGTTCCCTTTTTGTTCTTTCTCGCTTCACAGGTGCCGGTGGCCATGTCCATTGTGGCGGCGTCCAAAGCCGGCCGGTAAGTCAATTACCTAGGTAGGTATGTATGTTGCCCTGTACCTGTGCCTGCGATGATACCCTGCCAAAATTTCCATCTTTGCTAGGTTCATCGCCATCTTCTTGAGGTCATATCCTAGATCGCAGTGGCTTCGGAACAGACAGCAGTTTATAGTCTGTACGAGTTTTACTTAGGGCTTTCATCTTGTGTGTAAAATATCCGGAATTGTGGATCAAGATGATAACCTAACAGATCAATCGGTGGTTATGATATTTCCCCACGATCTCTCTAATTACGACAGAAGATCGTGCGGCGAAACGGTATGATAGACCTCGGTGTGTAAGTGTCTTAGAATATATAGTGGCCCACTATACACACATAGGGCCGTAATAAGTAGCTGGTGGCCAACCTTCAATACTGAATTAGGGGTCCATGGTAACATGGTAGTGATGCTTTAAGGTCCAGGGACCTCTGACCTCGTTGTTAGAATAATGTAGGGTTGCAGTGAAAGATATTCATTGCAGTTTATGCCGATCGTGTCTCGACGTAGCCGTTCGTTGATGAATGTTCCTAAAAGTGTCATGAGCTTAAGTTGAAAAGTACAAAATGGAATGGTGGCTGAAAAGTGTGGTAGGTTTTAGGTTGTCAGCTTGTTGGTCAACGCAAACAGTATTATAGAACCCAAATAAACTGTGGAAAGAGCGGCGGGGTCGTCACTGTAACAAATGAACTAAGCGATCTTTCCAGCACCTCCTTATTACATTAGGTACATAAACTCGCTAAAGAAGAAGTTTTATCAGGTACTACTAGGTAGCTTATCTCGTATCTTCTCACACTGTATTTTCGAATCTGATTCTTTGAAGTAAAAGTGAAACTTCATCCTCACATGATCTTTTCTTTTATTACTACGCAGCTACGGTTTCGTCAACCATTGTCAGATTGCCAGATTATCAGTGCCAGCTCATCTCCAACGGAGATCCCTACTCTTTAGTAATAGGAGTTATTGTACAGATCCATGATCTGTACAACTTCTTATTCAAGCCACCAAAGAACAAAAATCGCAAACGCCAGTGATACCCTGGAGCCAGGGACTTCCCGCAACCCAATTTTAATCTTCAGCACATTATTACAAGTGCATCGTCCAGGTTAGACTACAATTTCTTACTTTAACCCCATTATAATGAGTCCCTATCACTTGGGCAGTACGGGCCTGTTCCGTACATCATTCTTAGTCGACGAGCGTTATAGGCCGAAATAAAGACGAGTTTTTATGAAGGCAAGCTCGTTATATTGTGCCCTACGCCCAAGAAACAAAACACCTCTTCAATTTTCCCCAACATCAGCTAAGTCCGTTCTGTATTAGTCTTGTCTAACGCTATGCGTTAAACAACAAATAGCCCTGTCTCCCAAGACTTTTACAGTTCATTTTAATGAAGCTCCTGACCACTCCAGGAAGATACCACGCTGGAATGGTTTGCCAAGATGCGCTCCTAGGCGCAGATTGCAACATCGAGTACTTGACATGACCCCATTTTGATCTATCGAAACAGATGTCTATCGATGAGGTCTTAAGTTAAGGTTGCAGTCTACTTTGATAGATGCGCATGTCGTTGTGTCTTACATAAGTAACCTATTGGAACGAACGATGAAGACTCCGGTGCCGAATAGACCGCGGCTCACTGAGTACTCCTACCGGCACTTAAAATACTCGATGTCCCACGATCGAACATCCAGGTACCTCACCTGGTCGAGATACGATACCCCCTAATCTAAAGCTGGTTGGACAGGCGAGCATAGCACCAGAGCTTGTTTAATTATTCTACCAGTCTTCTCTACATAGTGGATGTGCTTGGCACGTCATAACTACTGCTTTCGCTTACCCATGCGGTGCAGCGCAGTGTACCATGCGTCCAGACTCTAGAGATGATAGAGACTCTCAGCTTATGCACAACCTAGGGAAGCACAGTACACCCTATGGGCAATAGATTTTACGTCTCTAGTCTTTCCTCGTAAGACTTTTTCGTCAACAATTTTGAATCAGGGCATGTTTCAAAGAGCACGTAACTGGACTATATCACGACTCAAAAAGCATCAAAATCAGCATTTAACGGCCAAGGCGTTTGACATGGTTTGGCGTATTCCGAGTCGCATCATGGCAGGTCGTCCTATTAGTACCTAGTGGTTGACTGGGTTGTCGAACCGGAACTCGGCCCACCCCTAATCTTTAACGGTGGCCGGTCCGAATTTCCCACTAGCACCATCAAACTGCACGAAATTATCGCAAAAGACTCCTATTGGTGGCTTTTTACTGACACTCAATAGACATTAATGCCATCTATTAATTCCACGAACCAACCGAAGCTATAGCCCTTCTAAGAAACCCTTATGTAGAGGGGGTTTAGCTCTACGCACCCAAAAATATTATAATAAATGAACATATACCACCAGGAAACAGAATACGACGCGAGCCTATCTCCGATCAGGATATGATGAGATTATCGATACAGAGAAAGCTGCACTTCACGTCATACCTAGGTTTCTGACATGATTTCTCAAGGCCCCCAAATCATCTAGTGTTGTAAGTAAGCTAGACGACGAATAATAATCTAAGCACATGTCTCGGCTGGACGCCATCGCCCCTAGCGCTATACGATATTAATCGACAAGAAAACCCCTCTCATACCACCTCCCCCCGGGCGCGAGCATATCCTATTGAGCGAAACCAGCGTACAGACACAAACATCACAGTTCATTTTTAGGCCATTCAGTACCTGTCAAAAGTGTATGGTAATGGTATCGGAGCTAAGGGAAAATATCCGACTGGTTGTTTTTGATGGGGATGTAATCCAAGAGAGTCATAGACTACTGTAGGAACTTCACTTACAGTTGCAACTGCGACTACGAAACCTTGGGCGGCTCTGACGAGGAAGGACTCGTCCAACTACATGGTACGACATTGACCTACGATCATGGAGCACTGAGAGGTTGGGCAGATCCACCGATCGGTAGTTGAAATATTTCCCTGCCTTACATAAAGTCCGTGCTCCCCAGCTGGGAAATAATTGTAAGTATTCCCGTGCCAAGATATCCAGGGTGCGATCCAACGGACACTGCAATATGAGATGCTGGAATTGAAAACGGAATGAGGTCCGACTTTCCACTGAGCTCGAACACAGCACTCTCTCATATTACAAGATAGTTCAAGAATAGAATGGGCCTTACATTCCGTCATTGAGGCGAAATGGCATTAGGTATCTTCTCCAGGTTTTCCCATCATTTCGATGTTACCTACTAAGGTAATCACTTTCCGCGCCTATTTTATTCGACGAATATTTGACGCCGCATGCTACGCGAATCGTACAATAAATCAACTCACCGCGCTTCCCAAGCGCCATATCTGCAGGTCCAGGATCTAGGCTATTTTCCCACGAGCTTCGAGTATACGTCAGCCTGGCCTCTGGTTCCTGAACAGCCGGACAATGCAGGGCTGAATGGACGACGGGATGCCGGAAAAGGTGAGATGTGAACTGGGTTACGCGTAATATACATTGTCCCTGAGTACCCAGCCTGATATAGCATACACAACCAGGTTTTTTGAGGCTGCTGACGCGATACTAATGGTAAGTTTAGATTATCTCGAATCTCAAGGCATCACATAACCAGACGGCGGTCCTGAACTCAGTAAATGTCACCTCATCTGTTAGCACTGCGGTTTCTATCCCGTGGCGAATAGACCGGGAGAAAGGAGGAAAGTAGATTGATTCCACGTGCCGCACTCCTTTTGGGGTTGGTTGGGGCATGCACCTCTCCCATTATGTAGTCGTGTTACAGGGCGCATTTATGCAGTCTATTTGAATGACAGCTGCATCTCAACAAGAACCGATCCATCATTGGGGCGCCTGGCGAGGCCGCGGTCGACTCTCAGCGGCGTGTCTTGCCGGCTTCCTCTCTATTCGACTTTCTCCAAATAATCGGACAACTGAACCCAGAGATCTACAGGCCCGGAGCTTCACCTACCACCTGAAATCTAGTACAGGAAATGATAGACGACCCCTGAGTAGTCTATTATATTAAAGATAGACGTCTTATACGTTTCAGTGATACGTGTTGTTCACCCCTGCTACCGCATCTTATACTACGTCGATGTGGTGAAACAGTAAGATTCAAGCCTATGGGACTTATTAGACCCTTTTATGATATAGCTAAGAAATTATCATAGTAGAGACGTTTTATCAGAACTAACCAGACTTAGGTAGTCAACATTGGTGCCTGCAGCAGTCCAAGCTGTTTGACATGTCATGTCAAAAGACGTCCTAGATCGTGCAGGGAAAGACATGGTATGCTTGCAAGCACCCATAAGGCTTAAAGCTCCCGATGTTCCGTCCGGTATTGGGGCGGCGGAAATTTTTAGAGCTAGTCCAACACCTTTCAAAAGTCGATCTTCAGGCGGAATGTTACCCCAGAAATGGCGAGCCCACCCCCCAATCTAGACAGTCCCTCCGAGATGGTTCTTAGGTTACCATTCGACAAACCACGATCTGGGGTAGAAGCTGCAGGCATATAGATCTGCAGGTCAATATGCCAGTGGCCCGTACACAACTAGATCCAGACGTCCGAGTTCCTTGCAGATCTAGGCGCCAGCAGCTAGCGAACCGTCATCGCTGATCCGGAGGGATCCTCCACTCCTCTACCCGGAGTCGCGCTGGCTCCGATACGAGATAGCCACGGGCGTGTCGTGAGACGTTCCGACGCTGCCGACGATACCTCCTCTTCAAGCAAGGATTTGCGCTGCGTGGTTGTACCCCGGTACGAGCAGAGGTCTTGGCCGCCCTTATTTGGCTTACTCGGAGTCATCTAGATCCTCGACCCAAAGAAAGCGCCGGCCATGCCGTCTTCATATCATCGGATAACGTTCGCCAGCAAAACCTCGACTGCCTTGAGACGTGCCAGCGGGGACGGTATCTTACCGAGGTTGTATACTTAAGCGAGAGCGGCAATGGAGCTGCTCCCTCCCCCTGCTCGAGGAGACTGACGTTTGCGGTCATGTGAGCGCCGGGACCCTTTTCGTCTTTCTTATTATGACGCTTAGATCATCCCTAAGAATCGGTACGCGTCACCTATTCTTGTCATCATTTTCGTCTTATACATCATCAAACAACGGAAGTCGTCTAATTAAAACCCAAAGTTAGGTCATAAGAATCGCCTATGAACCGTTCTAACTTCAACCCGATTACCTTACTCACTATGCCGCTCGTGACTTATACAATCACCCCAATTTCCCCCTCGAACGATTAACATGCCAGGTCCACGTACCCAGTCCGAGTATATCCTGTGAAGATTTTTCATCCCGAGTTTCCCTCGTTGTTCATCGTTGCCCAAAAACATCGGAACTATCAACAGGACGTCGTAAATAAATGAATCGTGCTCTAGATTAACGATGCTAATAAACTATCCTACCATCGCCACCTAAGTCCGCGCCGGTGTCATTCCTCAATGGTACCTGAGCGGACGATCTTTCTTCCATTGGGCAACTTGCATTATCGAGATCGCCCTACTACCGGAGTCTTCTGGATAGTAAAGGGGTCGACGATGTAGTAGATCGTCGGATCTAGACCTAGCATATCTCTGAATCAGTAGAACCAAGTGTGAACATTCTACCTATACATCGAAACATCAATAACAAGTTGTCCAAGCACGTCTAAAAAAGCTTTTCTTCTGTGCATAGGGGTTGAGAGGTCCACCGAGGCCCATTTTCTGATCGACGACAGAAAATCTGGGGTCGATCTTTTAGATCGCCTTGGTTCTCCTAGTGTATCTCTTAGGCTTCTTGGTCCCTTGGTATCGCTTCCTATCAGAGATGTTGAATTACACACCAAAATCTGGTGATCTTGAATTTCGCCTAACAAATGAGAAATACAGACGTTGTCGCTGGACAAATCGCTATGATGAAAATATAGTACCTGTCTTTGTCCCAGACTAGGAGTTGGTGAAGATAAGTGCTAAATCGTAAGAACATTGATTGATGCCATATCATGACTATTATAATTAAATACCTAGTGTCAATCAGAGGATTTCAAAATCGCATTGTCTTGTCCTAGTGGGTTATCCGAAAAAAAAAAACTCTTTAGACCTTCATATTCATCATCACATCAAGGGAGAGCAAGACTGATAGGAGGCATAAAATCATTATATACAGCGTGTCGTCATGGTACCGTCGAACTCTACTAACACCCCCTTTTAATCCGAACCCATTGCATAGCCCCAAATACATAGCAGACCTTAACACGCTAACCTAATCAACCCTCTAATACCCAACAATAGGTATACATTTGAGATAACCATTACCAGATTCCGGACCTCTATGGTACAGGTACATAAGCCAATCTTCAGTTACCGCAAACCAATAGTCATCCAAATCCACCCTATTCCTCCGCATTCGCGAGATCCCATCCATCCATGGAGGTAAGGCTTTCGAAGTTGAATTCCATGGGGGTAAGAGACCGACCGGAGTTGTTGGCTGGTGAATTCGACGCGAATATGAACATTGATGGATCTGACACGTTGGATCCAGAAGGTCCGTTCCCCATGTTCCATGTATCGAAACCGGATTGCCAATTCACACCGTCTTTAAGATACCAATCTTGTCCATCTACTGCATACATAGAGTTTAGAAATTGATTTCGTCTCGTGCTTTGAGACGCCTGGTTCGGCCTAGCATTATTTGGAATTGGGGGGAAAGCCTGCGGGTAGTTAGAAACAGGCTGCGCCGCTGGAGGTTGCTGCCAACTCGGGTTATCTAGCCCTTCGGTATCTAAGGGTACTGAATTACCCATGATAGAAACGCTATCTATTATCTGTGGTAGTTGGCCATCGGGTTGGAAGCTGGCTGGTGATGACGTTAGAGTATTCATGATCTCCGGTGATACACCTGATCCTAAGTTGACATTTGGGGACGGCGACGAAGTTGGCGTGTGATGAGACGTAGGGCTATGCTCCAGTTTTGGCGATGTAGTATGGGCAGTCGTGGATGAGGGGGATATCGCCATATGCGATCGCGGTGAAGGCACGTCAGATGTCTTGAAAGTACCCCATTTTTCGTCTGTACGTTGCAGAACGTGAGAAGCTTCTTCGGGAAGTTCAACGTTCCATTTACGAGCAAGAACGCTGATTATGCTGAGCGTACGACGTCCGCAAAGCCAATCCTCGGCAATCTCTTCGAGGTGCTTAACGCCATGAATAATATCCCTCCTCGCAGTCTTCTCGGGGAGGTTGAGTATGTGGATAGTACAAGCAGAATGTAACATATACACTGCGATGTTACATATTTGGCGTAAATTGTAAAGCTTTTTGTATAAGCGCATCAGCTTGGAGATGGCACCTGCATTTGCTGTACATATTCTCCGCGGAGAAACATGAAGTGGTAAAGGAGAAGTGGCGGGAGCGTATTTGAGAAAAGGTCGGAAGAGGTGGATATATTGGAGGTGGAAGAACATGCTGGATTTAATTGGTCAATGTATACTCTCAATGTTGTAGCTGTAGAAGTTGGCTTACTGCATCAGTATGACATTAGGCAGCTGACCCTCCTTAGGTTCGAGCTCCTTAGGCAACTCTTTGCGCCAGTCCTCAAGTCGTCGATGTAGTTCGCTAAGTTTCTTTAGCTCGACTGACTTGCCGCTTGATCGTCCTATGTGATTAGGATGGTAGAAAAATAACAATAGGTCACTACTGATTTCGCACAATTTCGATAGCTGTAGGCCAACTGTGCGTGTTCGTGATGGCTGCTTCGCAAGTTCATCGAATCCAGAATCGGTATATGGGCACCAGGACTCAGCATCCTCGTCCGGGAAAACGTCATATTTAGGTACACTGAAGGAATTTTTGGGTAGTTGTGGAAGTCGACCTAGATAATTCGACCAGCATTTGTCGAATAAGAAACAGCCCCAAAAAGTGACTCTTCGTGCGTCGATCTCGCGTTCGTTTAAGTTTTCGTTGTCGTTCTTGAGACCTCCGATATCCAGGTTGAGACCTAAATCCTGTGCCATTCGGAAGCTCATGCCGCTATAAACCCATCCCTTGGCTTCTCGTCCACAGCCAGCTTCTCTGACTGACATCATAGCTAAAGCTTGAACCGTTGTTAAGCGAGGCTTTTCGTACTCGTCGTGGTCAACAATCAGTCTCTTAGCTTCAGCAAAAAAATGATCTCCTTTAGTCCAGCTATCCCCGGCGGTAGCGTAGGCACAGGCCGCGTCCGTGAAATGGCATCCCAAAGCAAGCATCGCATTGATTAACAAAGGCGAGCAGTAAGCCGTCTTATTGGGTGAGATATTCGATCTTCCTTTTAAAAAGTCCCGATAGAACAGGGATCGTGAAAGCGTGGTAAAGTAAGGGTAGTGCCAATTGAAGTACATGTTGAGGAGATGGTTGACGACGTCTGGATCTTTGGTGACATCGGACCAACTAGTAATAGGGTCTACATCAGCCGCGTTGGCATTACGATATTCATATTCCGGATTGGGTGCGCCGTGAATGTCCCAGTGTATTAGATGGGATGTGCCGCCGATAAAACGTGTCGATCCGTTTTCTACTCTTAGTTCCCCCATTTTGCGAGCGAGGTCTCTTTCACCCTCGATGGGTATTTCTGTGCTATAATCTTCTTCCAACTCTTCTTCTTCTTCCACTACTCCCCCACGACCAAAATCTTCATGTTTGAGTATCGATTCGGCCACGGTATCTAAGCTGTCACAGGTTCGTATTCTCTTAACTATTTCGGGAACATCGTCTTCCTCTGCGTTGAGTATGGCTTCGATCAGGATCTGGAGGGTAGAATTCTGAGCCTTCATGCTATCGACCTTCTCTCTATACACTCCTTTGCGACGATGGTCCGAGTTGGGGTCGTAAATGCATTCGGTGCCGTACACACTTGCGCACGCGGCGCAGCTTGGGAGTGCGCCGTCGCATTTCGATTTTCGCCGTCGGCAAGCTATACAGGCGCTGACACATGGTCAATAGGGACTACTATGAAGGAGTTAAGGCAAGACGTACGTGCTGACGCATCGACGTTTTTGGATGGACGGGTTCCCGCCCCTCCTCGACTTCTTCTTAGCCGAGGGAGGATTAGAATCTTGTAATGGAAGACCAGAAGTCAAAGAGGTCTGTGGTCTTAAACCCGATATATCGGGACTGTCCATAATCTTGTTTCACGGCTGCAGATTAGATTATGTGAAACGGAGTTTAGAGAGTTTTGGCAGTTTGGACGTTGATAGAGAGAGGAGAAACGTAATAGAAAAGAGTGGACTTTTCAGGGCACATGCAAGCTAGGCAATGATGGACATGGATGTGACAGCGATAATCTTTCCGGGGGATGGCGGCGAAGTGGCGCAAGGTTATCCGGCAGTTTGGGTCGATGAGATTGACCAATAAAGCCTCAAAAGGCTATCGATCTCGGTATTGGTGGCAGAGTATGTATGTAGGAGTATGTGGGAGTATGTAGGCGTATGTAGGTATGTATAAAGGAGGGTTTTCATTGAGAGATTCCAGAAATTCCATACATGTATACTTGATAGTTACCTGCCTAGGCAATTATAGGTATAGGTACCTCCTAGTAATGAATGATAATGGCGTTGTGTCTATTGGTTCCAGCAAATCTTGGCGTGGGTAACTCGACTCTATCTTCGACTATAAGATAAGAAGTTAAAATCCGTAGCTGTGACGATGAGGTCATCCTATACGATAGAGAGGTGTTTACTTACAACCAACGGCGTCCTCACTCGACGGAAGCCTTCGTCGATGGTTGCACGCTTGTCGAATAGATGCAGGAGATCAACAGATAATGACGAATAGAATGATCGGAAAGCGGGAAAAAGATAACGGATTGAAATTTAAGTGGATCTAAGTCCGAGGTCTTTTCGATACATAAATATGATTATCTAAAAGATTGTATTATGTAATGATTAATCGTGTCCACTAGTAGGTAGTCCACTTTTCTAGGTTACTAATAGATGGATCCCCTCAACCTTGAACCTCGACATGTGCAACGGCTACTCTTTTCTATCGAAATAATTACTGATGGAATCTCTTCTTACAGAGAAATATGTTGAGTGAGTCAATCCGAGTGTAAATGTACTGGATGACAACCCCCAAGGGCGCATGAAGCCTCGTCAGCATCCACCCAAACACCGACAGACCGACATCCTCCTAAGACAAGTCTCGGGCTTTTCGGCATATGCGCGATTTGGTTACTTCAGTTGATGCCTAGCATTTTCCTATTTTCTTCCATGAACGTGACTATGCTGACTCAATACTATGCAGCGGAGATAATCATGGTTAAACATGCCTATTACGGGTGGTCAATCTCAGTAAGCCATCCACCTATATTTTGACTGAAACTTCGCTAGTATATATTATACCGACTGTGTGATTTATTCCCCCTGATGTCATCTAGCTTCTTACCCAGGTACCTACCCACTTAACCATCAATTTTCTGACATCGCATCCCTGCAACATTCTCTATAAACCTGTTCAGGCCGAGTCTATACTCCTTCTCGCGGTGATCCGATGTTAAGAGAGATGGTAATAGCAGCTTCGAAATCCGTCGCTGGCTTCATGTGCCATTAAAGCCGAAAGATGATCAATACTAACAGCTATCAACTCCGGATCATTACCCTCAACGAATACTAGTAGAGTATGCCTAGGGAGGGGCTGTAGTCCTTATAAATGGGAACGGGATCGTCTAGGTTGTTCTGGTTCAGGCTCATATCGCAAATCACCTGGAGATTTCTTCCCGACTCTAATAGAGACTCGACCGTTTTAAATGTGTGGGGACGGCTGTCATGTTCGTGTACGTGTGGTTGGTAAAGATGTTGGAGATGGCTATGAACCAAAATGGGCCATCCGGTGCGGTCTCTTCTAGGTCCCACTGGAGTATAGAGTCGGCTACGGCGCCAGGAGAGCTACGGCGACCCCAGCGTAACCTGCGCAATAACAGAATGCTGCTCCACGATGGCTAGTAGCATCAATAAGGAACTTAACTTCAAAGAGTAAGCTGTGTATGTGAGTAAACTGATAAAGGCAACGGCCCTATCTACCTAGAGTCTTGTAGCAATGGCCGAACAAGATGTGTGTCGTAGATTGATAGTTTCACTATGTGTAATTAACCTTATGGTAAACTTTTGTCACTGAGAAGCAAGATGCTTAGGTAGTGTTCGGAAACGTCTGATATGTATATGAGGAGCGCCGTTCTAAGGGTTTGGTTTCGGAACAGAGATGTGGTGTAGTAGGCATTTGTCGATCAGGTTTGTTGACTGCGGCGAAAAGCAGGCAAGTCCAAGTCTGTATTCAGTGAAAAGAAGTAAGGTAGAATTAATTTAGTTAATAAAACCACATCTTGTGCTACCTCAGATATGATGGTAGGTACCAGTACAGGTAATATGAGCCCTATCAGCACCCATCAATTATTCAAGCCGCTACGGTAGGGCCCAGGTATTGCTCGCACTTTTCACTACAGCACAGCGAAATCGATTATGGATACGGAGACGTACTTGATAACCTGAATTCTCGATTGTTACAATGCTTATTAAATTCACCTTGAGCGAGCTAACATACATTGTACCTCCCTACGAACATCGATCTTTAGAATATCGTGTTATAAACGCAAGTCATTCCAAAAATTCGCCTAAATACAACACCATTAATAACGTAGATTCATGCGCGATAGGCATTGTGATAGGCGTTGTGTAACGAATGCGAAGATACCCCGCCCTACTCAAGGCGCGGGTCATTGTGGAGATCAAGATCCGGAGATCCCAGAACTTCCGCTCGCATTGCTCCGAACAAGGTTGCACTTGCTCTCCTCAATTCCCGCTTCTACTCGGCAGATTACTTCTTACTCCCGCCTAAGGAGGGGTGCGGGTGTTCTAGCCTGCATATGCGTATGCAATGACTACGTGCGCAAAGAATGTCAAAGCAACCGGGTAACGACCAACACTACCTCCTAGTAGTTTTGGTGTTTATTTGAGAAGCACCACACGCTCTACACATATCATTGACGAAATGATACCAGCAGCAGTAGAACCCGCGTCGATACACTCACCCATAACTCCTCTCTGGCGAATTCGACTATTCAGGATCTAATCACCAAACAGAGACCTTCAGTGCTTGCCCCTCGGCATAGGACTTTCGGACGTTGATATCGGAGACCGGGTTAGGGTCTCGGGTAACCAACTTAGGAGCTAAAATACCTGAAATCAAATTACCTAAAGAGTTTAATACTACGGCCGGCATGGTTCTCCGAGATGCTCCAACTTCGCGGAGGGGAGTCTCTCGGAGATCAATCCTCGATCCACGCATACTTGTTCCGATGTATTTGAGACCCTCCATGAGTCTGAGGTATGTTGGTGGTAGCGGGGAGGAAACGTAACGGAAACTTTGTAACCTTGAACCTCAAGGTATCATAAGTGATGTAAGGGTTGATCATGTCCTCATCTTTTCGTTGGTCAATATTCTACCTTTCCGTCTCATATGTGATATATCCTCTTTGTCCTAAACAAACACACTGATATAAGAAGGGTCAGGTTTAAATTTGATTACGTACGAGGAGGCAATGGGCATGCCGTGTCTGAAATATATCGCACACCCTGTTACACGACTCCGTTTAATGGCCAATTCTAGACGATTGAAGTACGCTGATATGACGGGAGCTGTAGTATACAGTCAGCCAAAGGTTTCACGCTAACCACTGGGTAATTAACTTTTTATTATCTTTTAGATATTTTTCCTCCTCAGAAGGCCTTCACTGCCACGACGCAAGGGCTTCATGCAATGTCATAGGAGGTTTTCAGGAGGTTTTACGTTGAGTATATCCGAAATAATGACTTGATATGGAAGGAGAGAGCTAAGCAGTTGAATTGGCGAAGCAAACACCAATGTTGTGATTCATGCCATTGCAGTAGGTAGATTCGCCCTTCTTAGCAATCCAAAATATCGCTTTCGGAATGCTTAAAGGCGGTTGGCTTAGCGTATAACAGGGAGTTGAAAATGACTTCGGTGTAGGTAATCCTTCAAAACGAAACTGTTGTTAAAAGTTCAAGAATTGACTAATTGAGGCTTAAATGGAGTCGTTATTGCTCTTGGCGAAGTTAGTTAGGTTATAATCAAGATCTGGTAACAATTCGGTTACGTGCGAATCCCGTTTGATCCTGCTAATGGTTGACTATTCGTCGATATACGGGGAGTTTGCTAGGGTGGATCCCGGCTCACGTAAATGATACACGAGCGGCAAAGAGGCTTCCCTGAACTGTGCCATCTTCCTCTTACTCATTGTTACCAACGACATGGCATTATCCGGGGATGTGGTTCGATGTCACGATGTGTACCTGGCAATTTAGAATGACTTTGGCATCCTACGGCACAGCCGGCGGCACGTGCAAATACAAGAGAGAATGTCTCAACCTAAGTATTTAAAAGAGCTACGGATAGCCCTAAAACTTGTTCATTCGAATGCTCATTGCGACAAGTTGAACAAGTTGTCGTGGTTCTTTTCGAGAAATCATGTTTAAGAAGATCTTCTTCCTCTCTACATTCGCCCTTGGGGCAACGGCGTTGAATGAAACCATCAACGGCTATAAGTACTTCTTATCCGGTCCTAATGTGGATCTATCAAAGAGTCAATATGAACACGACGCTGCGAATACTGCCTTTACTTTGCTCAAGAAGCGACTAGGCTCCGAGCCACTTCCCGACCTCCCATCAGACAACGTGGAGGCGGTGCTCAAGCTTAAACAGACCCTTGGCACCGAGAAGCTGAAGAAAATGTTGGAGCCAGATATGGACGAGGCCGACGAATTCTGGAACTCGGCAATTGACAAGTCTCACAACAATTCGTGGGTATCAGCGGATGCGCGGGGTGTTGCTTTCCTGCCCAATGTGACGTATCTTCAATTTGCTCAATGGTATGCGTCTGCGAATGCCGATGCGGCCAACTTAGCGGCCGAGCCCGAGCACTACGCAAAAGATACCGTCGCGAATGGAAGCGAGCTTTCTTCGAAGATTCTTGAGGGATGGGGTGGCGTGACCACCAACTTCACCATCCCCAACTTTGGCGCGCCAGACCGTAACAAGGACCCTTTCCTACGGCCTCTACCAGAGTTTCCTATCCAACAAGCCGGCGACAAGAACTTACGCGATGGAACGAGGTTTGGTGTGTTGCATATCTCTGTTCGGCCGGTTAGCGGAAAGGACTATGGCCAATCGTTCGATGGTTTCGAGGTGTACTCTACTGTTTGGTACCAGGATGGCGTTAGCGATGATCATTTAGATCAAGAGCGGAGACATATGGTGGTTGAGATTGTTAACCTAACCTTGCAATCTCAAGAAGATATCGCGAGTGGTAAACTTGCGGTATAAGTAAGATAAATGAGAGGGGGGCATGGCATTTAGAAAATAGGGAAAACAAAGCTATCGTGAATCTCAGCTTTTAGAAGACCGTATGAAAAAATGGCGATAGGGTACATAAGATACGTGATTTCAGGATGAAGATGGTATCTGTAGAAATCGGGAATGAAGTAACCTTGGAAGGTTAATGAGTATAAAATTAAACATAAGAAAAGGGGAAGTAGGCCGATTATACACTTTCGTTGGCCTCAAACAAACGACTGTCTTCGCTAGGGAATAATTACCAATCTGTGAGTCTCCGATCAATTATTTCATGCTAAGCTCTGCCCCACGCGTTCTAATAACGCTAGTTGGGGGGGTAGGTACATAAATCCATGGATATTTCATATTTACCTACCCAGTATCTACATGCGATACTATCCATAGGTATCTAAGCAAGATGAGATGACTTTCGGGGACGGGATTGAAGATCAGCCCGCCTTCACTGCTTGAATGATGTAAGTGAGGGCTTTCAGGTCGCTGTGTTCAAGCACGAGGAGCCCATTTTATTATCGGAGTCCTCGGTTTGTCTGTTTAATGTCTCTTTAAAGTGGCGCTGCCGAGGCTTCTTTACTGTTACAATGTAACGAAGCAACCCGCCTTACCATCTCGTCTATGCCGCATGTTGAAAATGAAATCTGATAGGATATTGATAGATTAACTCGGTTTCTTTAGCAACCTCGTTATAAATATTTAAAAACCTGTAAGTTTCTGCCTCGGATACATCATTGGAGTGTGTAACCAATTACTTCATTCAGAGTTCTCCAAAGTTCGCAGCTCAGGAAGTCTTCACTTGTATGTATTAGTGCAACTTTAATTGCTGATCCAGTTGGCTGGATCCGATCTAACCGTTTCTCGATTAGATATGGGTCACCTTGCACAAAAAGGGCAGGCGGTGAGCATCTCGTGCGTCACTGTTCCTTGGGCAGGTGCCACGGATTTTTGCTCCCCTCAGGCGCCTCGGTCTATCCGATTCGATCTATAGGATATTCTACTTCCTCGCTGTCACATGAACCTGTAAGAGTCGTTCGTCGAGAACTATTTAAAAACTGATCTGCGTCCTTGGACTTTGTGGACATCCAATTCTTAGCTCTTATGAAAATATTCTATCCGTTGAGATACCCCGTTGCTGCATTTTTCAGATTCCCCACCTACGCCCACTACGCCCGAGTTTCACAGAAACCTTCATTCGTATTCTCTTCTAATACCGCACGCTTCTCCTATTCCCAGTTCCAATTTTCCCGATTCTCCACTATGGCTCCGGGACTCCTAAGTGCCAACGGCACCCACAAGCACAAGGTCACCGTCATTGGTTCCGGTAACTGGTATGCATGTCTCTCCCGCCCCTCCAAGCTCCGGACGCTAATGACGACATAACCTAGGGGTTCAACGATCTCCAAGATCATCGCCCAGAACACCAAGGAACACCCGGAACTCTTCGAAGAGGATGTGCAGATGTGGGTGTACGAGGAAGAAGTAACATACGAAGGGCAGCCACAAAAGCTCACGACCATCATCAACACGCACCACGAGAACATCAAGTACCTGCCCGGAATCACGCTCCCGACCAACATAATCGCAAACCCCTCCCTCGAAGACGCCGTGACCGACTCCTCCATCCTAATCTTCAACCTGCCGCACCAGTTCATCCACCGGATCTGCTCGCAGCTCAAAGGCAAGATCCTCCCCTTCGCCCGCGGCATCTCCTGCATCAAAGGCGTAAACGTGACCGACGAAGGCATCTCTCTCTTCTCCGAGTGGATCGGCGAAGGCCTCGGCATCTACTGCGGCGCGCTATCCGGCGCAAACATCGCATCCGAGATCGCGGCGGAGAAATGGTCCGAGACCACCATTGCGTACGACCCGCCGCCAATGGACAACTCGCGCAACCCATCCCGCAACCCAACGCCTCGCTCCGCAACGCCGAACCGCGGCTCCCCGCGCGCCTCCGAGCTGAGCATCACGCCGCTGGCCGAAACCCAGCACCGCGACGTGCGCGGGCGTATCAGCAAGACCAAGCTCACGCCCGTGCCGCCGGAGTACCCGCCCCTCGACCACGACACCTTCAAGACGCTCTTCCACCGCCCCTACTTCCACGTACGCATGGTCTCCGACGTCGCCGGCGTATCTCTCGGCGGCGCGCTGAAGAACATAGTTGCGTTAGCAGCCGGCTTCGTCGACGGCCGGGGGTGGGGCGACAACGCGAAGGCGGCGATAATGCGGGTCGGTTTGCTCGAGATGGTGAAGTTCGGGCACGAGTTCTTTGGGGAGACGATTTCGACCGGGACCTTCACGGAGGAAAGTGCCGGTGTGGCGGATCTCATTACGAGTTGTAGCGGGGGCAGGAATTTCCGATGCGCGAGGAAGGCTGTGGAGAAGGGGATTTCGGTCCAGGAGGTCGAGCGGGACGAGCTGAATGGGCAGAAGCTGCAGGGGACGAGCACGGCGGCGGAGGTTAATTCGTTTTTGAAGAGGCGGGGGCTGGAGCAGGAGTATCCCCTTTTCACGGCTGTTCATGATATTTTGGAGGGCAGGAATACGGTTGATGATATCCCGGATCTTGTGTCGAGGACTTAGGTCTACGGTATGATGATTTCATCGTGTGAGGCGGTAATGGAATGCTTGGGGAAATTGGAAGATGGTAGAGGGGTAATGAGGATGGATGGCTGTTTTGAATATGATAACGATCAAATCGGTTTAGGGGTGCGTTAGGTACTCATCATTGGTTGCGGTAGACAATAGGCTAGACGGGCTTCAAAGCATGGTATCCCGGACCAGAAACAAAGAGACTCTTTTGAATTCCATCGTGTATTGATTGATTACTATCATCATCGTGCGACGTCATGCTACCAGTCTCCAAGTAACGCATTTTTCTCACTTCCCCATATAGATGTATTTCTTATCGCACCCCGATTCCTCATTCTTCTGGAATGGGAGTCATCCTCCTCCTCTTCTATTGTCCGCTCCCCAGACCCGAACACTGGTTTGAACACCACATCGTATGTTTTCCACATTAGATTTGCCAGAACAGTGGATGTGGCACCCAACCATGCGGGTATCTTGCCGTCCTTTTTATCGGCGAAGAAAAAGCCGAGGAGTAGTATCAACGCGAACCACGGCAGCCAAATTAGTAGGAATAGCCAACGCCCCACCTCCTGTCGGCAAGTCGTGATCTTGTAGGCTTGTAGCTTCGCGAGATATAGCAGGTAGTCGTCCGGGAGATAGTGCTCTAGCGCCCCGTCGCGGATCAGCTGCAGGTAACGCGCGCTCGGCTGGCCATAGCTATCGGGTCGGCGGACTGGCAATAATAACTTCTGCCACCACTTTTTATCTCTCGGATCATCATCGTCATCGCCATCGTTATCATGTCCATCGTTATCGTCACCGTCGCCCGGGGGTTTGAGCGAAGGTAGTCGTGGAGCATAGAGCGTGTGCGCTATGAACGGCTTCGGCAGCTCGGGTATGGGAGGCTTCTCGGGGATGTTGAGGGGTGGGGGGAGCGCGAGGACCGGCGCCAGGATGTCCTGGTACGCGGACCCGCCGCCCTCCGCTTGGATTATCTTCCGGTAGTCATCGCGCGTTACTTCATACACTACGCCGTACAAGCCCTTATCCCACGAGGGGAAGCCTGGCGGGAGTGAAGGTAGTAGAAATCCCGGATATTTCGCTGAGCTTAGGTGCGGGGGGTCGAACGGAGGCTTTGGTGGATCAAATGGAGGTTTTGGAGGATCGAGAGGAGGCTTAGGGATCTTGCGCGGCGTGATGTTGGAGAAGCGTGGTTCCCAGTAGGGAATACCGGGTAAGTCGAAGGCCAGATCGAAAGCTGGTGCGGATACGTTGATCTGGCTTATCGGTTTGACGTCAAGTCGGTCGAAGGTGGATTTGGAGAGGTTGGCGCCATAGGCTAGGTATAGGACGGTCAAGGAGGAGGATTCGTCGGGTGAATCGGGGGATGCCAGCGCGAGACGTTCCGGAGAAGTCCTAGGGATGCTAGGAGCGTTTGAAAGAGGGGCATAGGGAGAGTAGGGAGGTTGAATTGAGTTGCGGATAAGTCGGATTAGAGTGTAAGCTTGTTGAAGTTTATCGACTTGCTCGTTCTCCGTGCGCCCCAGCTCTATATCATCAGGTTGACTTTCCATCATTCCACAATCGCGACAACTTTCGTTATCTAAATGAAGAGTTTGAATTATGGGGGTTTTGGGAAACTCCAAATAGTTCATTCAACCAAGCCAAGTCTCGTCATTCCAAGGATTTTCACATAAATGTATATATATATATACTCGGTAGATTAGGAATTTCGCTTTGAGAGAGATAAAATCTTGAGGATTGCTGCGATTTTTTGATATGATGAGGCATCTATCTCGAGGGCGGGCTGAGCATTTCAGAGAAAGACTTACGTCAGTTGGCTTTAATGCATGAAGTATCGATATGTATTTATGCAGAATCGTACAAAGAGCAAATGCCAGACCCACCTATTCCCCTATCTTTCAAGCCCTCTTATTAATTAGGAAAGACAATTTTCTACATACATCGGATCTCCGGTCTATCAAAAAGTATAGTAAAGTACCTACTAACTAATAGCTTAGCGAGGAAATATCAGAATAGCGGCAACAGAGACAACTATTGAGAGCGTTGGGGAATAAATTCTAGACTTAAATCTGAGAAACCATGAGAAGCAACGCTTGTCATATTGCTGAGTTATATCAACAATTCATCAATTAAGAAGTTGCTAGGTATCTAAACTACGAGATGGATACCTTCTTACCTAAGATAATAGATTAGCGTCGTTGTTCTAGGAGTACCGACCCCCAACTTCATAAAATATCGCACAAGCATCCCGATAGCATCTTTACAGCCACTTTCTGCTGTGATACCAATCATTAGTTAATATAAACTCTCCCCTCTTGACTCTTTTGTCCTTTTCTGATCAGGTACTCTTTTCATTCTTTTTGTCTCTAAATGACTGATTAATCCATCATTAGCATGGATATCTTCAATATGCAGCCCCTATATTTTATCATTCTTTTTCCTGTTCGTATAATGAATAGCTGCGCGACACATCTAGACGTTATGCCTACTGTTCATTCGATCCGAAATATCGCCAACCCTAGAGCCCTCGGCGCACCCACTTATCAAGTGTTCAAGTTGTTTGAACCTCACCATCTAGACCTCATACTTTGTGCCGAAGATAGGTAATAAAATACAGACTCGACTTTCCTTGAAAAGCTTTGCGGTACTTCTATGTATCTGTGAATACCATATTGCCCTGCCAGCTTTAGTGACGGCCCTAACAGTTAAGGATGTCTTCATAGAAGTATTCGTATGTTTATTCTTTGCTGTACTTTTTTGTAGATTAGTATTGATCATAGAGCTGGCAGGTTTAAGGGGTGTCAAAAACCAAAATCATGTTCGTGTCTAGGTAGACAGATCAATTGAAGTTGTTCGAAAGATGATCGTTGATGTCTTGGAGCCCCGCTGATCGGGGTGTAATTGTCTTGTACTTCAATCCAAGGGATGGTTGCCCTGCTCCCCGATAGGCAACGTAAGGGAAACACATGCCGTCATGCGATCGGCGGCGAAATGCTTATTATCTTTGCCATGCACCAAAACCGATAAAACGAACTCGGTGTTTTCATATTTATAGACGGTATCCACAGACGATCAATCGCACCATTCTTTGGGCTTATACCCAACGTCCATAGCCAGCGTGTATAGATGCTATACGAATATCTGTCTCCTCGTATGTCCCCTCTGCCCCTCTATGATGGAGACGATGACGATAACGCTCATCAGGTTGTGGCGGCAATGTCTTATTAGACTACTCCACTCCCTAACCCCCTCACCTCAACGACGATTGCGCTAAGGTCTATGCAAGATGAACTTCGGCGCGGTCGGAATAGCTAGACTGCCAGATCTACATATAAGTAATTCCCTTGTCCCGATAGGATGGTGCGTTGAACGATCTTCCGAAAAAGGAATGTGGACCCGCCGTTCTACGCCTGTGATTTGCTCACGCTATTAGGCAGATATGTGCCTACAAACCTACAACCCATGCTAGAGCCTGGTAGTATGAAAGCCTACTTGAGCCGCCAGCAAAGCTTGATTTGTCCAGAATATTCTTTTCCGTTTCTAACCTCAGAGTCGGAAATTTTCCCTTCAATCACTCAGCCGGCCCCCTGAGATACCTGATGAGCTGGGCATCACTATGTGGTGGCTGTTTATAGGTCAACGTTGGTCTGCCCCCTATTCTACGTGGAATTTTCCAGAGGCGAAAACGAGACGCGGGTGGTGCTGCCTCGTAGGCACCGTTTGCTTTCACAACTTGATGAGTAAACACGGCTCTCTACCTATATCATATTTTTCTTTTGTCAGATTCAACTAATGCCGTCGCATTTTCCCAAGATGCTGGTAAGCGAGCTGAAATCGGATATTGCTCTACCAGGATCTCGGGCATCTTTGACCCTCTGAACCGTTGTATTCGGCGACCCGATTAAATTCTGTTATGCAGATGATTGCCACTATCACAGATCTACGATGCATACCAAATCAAAGAGTACTACGTAGTCATGTAGGCTGTCTATGATGTCGGGACGTCCCGTCGAACGTCGACTACCTCGATTCGCCAGTCTCTTAATCCCCATCACTTGGCGCATAAGCTCGCAGACATCCTTCTTACTCTCCGTGGGATCGCGATTGGCCAGTTCCGCGATATTAAACTCCCGACGACGCAGATCGTTGCCGCCCTGGGCGATTTTTATACGTTTTAGGAAATATTACTTTCTCGAGGCCAGCTGAACTATCAGCATGCACATAAACCATAGTTTGGTAGATCGGCATAGTGGCTTTTAACGAGCCCTATGAGCTAGCGACTTTTCTATCTATTTACTCCGCGTTCCTTTTTAACATGCGTGGTTCTCGTTTCTGCATCGTCTGCTAGTGTCTGTTCAGACAGCTTAGCATAGCGGAGGGCCACGCGATATGGCTTCGTTCGCTCGCGCATTATTGCGGTTAATCTTTAAAAGGAAGCCACAAGAAGGACGCATAGAGGAAGGCCGCATCCACGAGGAGCAGGGAGCTCATCATGCCGGCTCTCATGTGGGCTTCGGCTCGACCACCTTCGCTTCAACGTTAGAAGGTGCTTCGAATGTGCTTCCTCACAGTCCCCGAAGCTACCTCGTCCCTGAAGATGACCGGTTAAGGCTATTTCGCCTTATGGTTGGGATTACTACCTCACCATACCTAGGCTACAGTGAATCGAGCCCTATAGGAACACGCCCAGCGGCTAATATCGGCATATACGCCCGAGTGGTGTATTCTGAACAAAAGTCCAAGGATCGCTACAAAGTTTTCTCAATCCTTATCAACGTCTGCTACTTCCTGCAAATAGTGGTCGCGGCATCTATCACGGCCATGGGAGCTGCGGGGGTCAGCCACGGCGCAGTAACAGCTTTCGGCGCCATCAACACCATCATCGCAGGGCTTCTCACATTCCTCAAGGGCAGCGGGCTGCCCTCACGTTTGAAGTACTACGGCAACGAATGGAGGAAGATACGAGAATTCATCGAGCAACGAGAACGTGACTTCTCTCGCACCAACTGTACCCTAGACGTCTACGAGGTAGTTGCGGCTGTCGACCGAATGTACAATAACACTAAACAAGAAATTGAGATGAATACCCCTGACAGCTATACCTCAGTAACGAGTGGCTTGCGGTTTAGGAATGGCAGTCATGAGAAGGTCGACGTTACGAAACTCGAAGGCCTAGCAACTCGACTCAATGGCCTAACTGCCGGTATCGAAGACAAGGCACAGCATGTTCGGGACCGTATACATGAGCATGGAAGAGGGGTACAAGAGGATATACGTGGAGTAGGAGAGACTGCGAAAGGCCAAGTTGAAGAGAGCGCGGCGTATCTAGATCGAGAAGCCCGAGAGCGCCGCGCACAAGCGGCACGGGCAGTCGACCAAGGAAAAAATGAGGTGCTGGATAGTAAGGATAGGATAGAGCATACGGGAAGACAAGCAGTCAGAGATGCGAACGAGACGCATAGGACAGCGATAGGAGAGATGAGATCGGCAGCGTCTGCGCAGATGCACAGAGCTGTAGACAAGTTAGGACACCATCACGATCACCACGATTCAAAACACGAAGATGAAGGATAACGATAGATAGGACGGGTATGTATTGTGTAATCAACGCATGCGGATCTCGGGAGGGGCGCTATGGAAAAGGGATCTGATTAATGTATGTATTTTTATCACTTTGCCTAAGATATCCCAAAGTTTGGCATATATACATCTGATGTCAAACCTGCTTATATTATACTACATACTATGTAATACACTAATATATCTATGTTACTATTTGCGAAGGTTAAGTTGTGTAATGCAAACTACTAAGTTACCTAGCGAATTATAATTCTATCATATTTATGCTCCATAATCCCAATCTTCATTTAGTTTCTTTTCACTGACTTTCTAGTAGTAGGAAGTCATAGAATATTTACATAGTATCTAACTTGCTCGGACCTAAATAGCCCCCACTAGGCTTTAAGTAGTTCTTACAAGGCGTAGCATAGTCGCACAGTAGCCCCAGGAGACACGGCAGGGTTTAGTATGCGCCATGGCGTTGAGTTTTATTACTGCGCAACTTTGCTACTTATTATCCCGTCAATACTAGGACAGTAACTCTCGATGACGTATGTACCAGTAACTAGTATTTATATATAATCTATCGTATCTTATATTCGTCTCGTTTACACATCTTCAACAATCTTACGCGCTTACTTTATCCGTAAACATCTAGGAAACCTTGTAGATTGGAATACACATCTCTGGCATCTTTTATAAAGAATTAACTATGAAGCTTTACATGCTTAAACATATCTCGCTAGTCGGGAAAATAGTGTGAGATATAATATCCATATCGGTACGCCTCAGCAATGGCACACATTCAGGTGCAATACAATTTATAAAGTGCGCTCCTCGCAGGAACGTTGACCGCCCACATAAATACAGACACGAGTAAATTTTCCTAGCAACAGCAAATCCTTAATCATAATTTTCTATTCAAATTACGTCTTTTTCATCTTTCATCTTTACCTCTACGAATATCTCGACTTCAGCTAGCAGAGAAATCCACCCCTAGTCGCTTTCCAACAAGGTGTACATACATTAGAACTACGGCGTGTTTATATCAACTGCTTGGCCTTATCACATCTTTGCATAATGTCGCGAGACTCAGCAGTATCAAGAACGTCGCTGTCGCGGCCAGCGACGGGGACGAGCACTAGACCAACCCAAACTATACCGATACTTATGCTCAACGGCCGTATAATGACTGAGGAGGAGATGTTCCAACATGGAAACCCCAAAATTCCCCGTTCTATATCTCGTCCACCGGCGCGGCGCGGCAACGACACTCCGCAAGCAGATGCCAGTCGCTCCTCCGCCAAGCCTCCCGCCAAACCTCCTATCTTCGGGTCTACATCCCACAAGAAAGGGATGAACGAAGCCATGGCCCAGCTAAACCTAAGCCACAACACCAAGAAGGTGAACAGTGGTCCCACCACAACCCCCCGCCAGTCCCTTGACCGCAAACCGCCAAACCCAGCGCATGGCGCAGAGTTCCAGCGCACGCACGCCGCGCGCAGCAACCGGCAAGCCCCATCGCAACCGGGTCAACAAGGGCCAACAGACCTTACCACGATCCCCTCCCCAAGCCAGATCCCCGCGCTCCTGAAACAAACCGACGAAGAATGCCGATACGCAAGCCGCAACACACACTACTGGACATGCGACGGCGAGCGGGACCTCTGGCAACAACTCCTCGTGGCCAAACTCGTGCTCGCAAAGCACCAGCGACTAAACGAGACCCAAGGCTCAATGCTGCGGTCCATACGCCTGTTCTCCCGGATCGAGCGAGTCGAGATGCGGTACCGACTGCGGCAGATCCGGAACTCGCAGGGAAAGGCGCGGGAGAAAGCGGAGAAAGCGGCGAAGGCGCGAGAGAAGAAGATGAGGAAGTTGGAGGAGGAGAAGGCGCGGAAACAGGAGGAGGCGATGGAGGTTGTGATGAAGTTGTTGAATTCGAGGCAGCGGAGAGGTGATGATTATGGGTGGTTTGGTGCGATGTCTGTTCGTGGGAATTGGAGGGATCTGCCGAGGTGATTTTTTCGGTTTTTGGATGTTCATGGGGAAAAAGTTATGTTTATGGAAGGATATACCCAATTGACGACCCTAGGTATCTAGCATTATGGCGGAGTTATTGGACGGGAATTGTAATAATGAATCATGTTGAGAGTCTACCTAGTATTAAGTCAGTTTGGGGGTGGATCATAGGAAAGGGAAGGATCGCATCCCTTCAAAAGGGGGGAATACGAGGGGCTTTTGCACAGCGGGAGAGGTTGCCGTATAACCCGGTGAACATCATTAAATACCTAGGAAATTACAACGTTGGAAATACGATTCATGGACGACATGTGATTTCAAATGGCCAAGATCGCTAAATGTCATCAGGTATTTGTGATATTGGTTTCGGTACTTAAAATAACTTATGATACATTTCATTTGTAGAAATAACCCGTTTGTTGAGGTGTCTCAACCCAATGGGTACACTTTTGTTTAAATGACCGTGGCCGCCATGAACAAGTTTCGGGGTATCAAATAGTAACGAATGCCATGCTCTGCCATCATCGTAACTCATCGCAACTCATTTGGTACATGCTTAACAATATGCTGTCCTCTTCAAAGTGAGACCTATGCTAGCTCGTTGTGTTCCCCCAGTTGATATGTAATATTCATGTAAGAACTTTGTAATGATGCTTCAAGACTAGGCGCCATGGACTAGAGCGTCAACAAGCGTCTGTGCATCGTAGAACAGCTTTCCGAGTATTGCCGTCTGTTTCGGCGTTGATATCACAGGAATCGCCGACTTGGTCGTCTTTCTAGTATAGGCGGCGAACACTATTCCTCGATTCGCAATCCCATTTTGTATTATATGGCTGTCGCCTATCTCGTTCGGTGCTGTCGTGATATGATCACTGTAGAAAGAGCATGTCCACCCTCGTGATATCATTCCTGGGGATGCAAGCTCATCACGGTACTCTTTCCAACCCTTGAACCCAAGCATCTTTTTATGGAACTGGGCGTGGATTCGAAAAGGCGACCCGAATTGATTCAGACCATACGCGGCAAGTATCCGACCAGTTACTTCAGACTTTGGATTCGCGACAATAGAGCATCTGGCTGCAGCATGATCTCTATCCTGAGACTGGGGTCGGCGATCGGTAGATGTTGATCGCCGTGATGGATCCGAGCTGTCTCCCTCTGCCTTTGGCCAGAGACTGATAATGTAAACCAAGTCAAAGTTGTAGGTACTGGCAATGCTAGCTGCCCACATTGCGCCTAATGCACCAGAGGCGTTAGTGGGCGAATAAGCCAACGTAAGGAACTGCGAATCGGTTGGTGTACGAGGCGGAGTGAGCTCTCCGGACGAGGAATTGATCGCAAATGTGGGCGCAATTGGCATATGTCGAGTAGAGCGACTTCTGCCGATTGGAGTTTTTGGGGAATCTTTAGGAGGTGGTGTTGGTGGTATTTCAACTTCGCTTTCTGATTTAGGCGTGGCAGGTCGGCGCTCTAAAACATCATCATCGTCGAGGTGATAGAAGTCATCAAGCGTAGGCTCCTTAAGATCGCGTTCGATCGGTCTATATTTAGTAATGGTCGATAGCGAGTCCAAACTCCCGGTTTTTCGCACGAACCGTGATCGAATCATAAATGCGCTTTCATCAAACGTGGTGTTGGCCAAAGGCACGGGATCTTGCGACCTAGCGCCCCACGATTCCCTGGTGGGGCGTGATATTTCCGAACTGTGTCGAGAATTGAAGTCAAGTGATGGCTGTGGTGTAATCCGAATAGGCGAGGCAAGAGCTTTAACTGGCACTAACCGGTCGTGTAAAGCATGCGAACATTCATCCTCGCTGTCTGAAGCCGGTGGAGAGTCAGGAATGGGGACTGGAAATGGCGGCGGAGGAGTCCTGGGTGGTAAAGAGAATTCATTAACCAATGCTTTGCTTGGTTTCCGAGAAGACTGTCTGGGTGGTACATCGGTCGTGTCGATCCTCGTTCGGGGTGAGGGTGGCGTAGACAAGGTTGGCGATGGTGGCTTAGAAACTGATAGCCCCCCGTTGGTTGCGGGTAACTTGGCGATGCGATCGTCAATAGAGGTATCCAGACCTAGATTGTTAAACAGTGAAGATACGCGTTGAGGATACCAATTCAATATACTCTCTTCTTGAGAATCTTTGGCGGTACGTTCTCTGGCTGTAATTCCCTTTTCGTCCATGGTAAGGGCCTCTGGGAACCTGAATCGGGATAGCCTCGGGGTCCCAAGAGGACTGCCGACCTTCATAGCAGATGGCGAGAGCGAATGTATCGGGTCGCTAGGGTGGTATCGGTGATTCAAGATATCACCGATAGAGCCGATTGAAGAACGTCTTTTCCGATTTCCATGCGGGCCGGGCAAGCTATGAGAGCGTTCTTTAGCTTCTCTAGACCATGAGATGGGTTCCTCCCGAGGCTTCATGTGTATCGACGTCGGATTCATAAACGATGGTGATGGAAAATGTTGATTATCAAGGGTCGACACAACTGAAAGTTCCCTGTTTTTTGCCTCTCTGTCTTTATCCCGTTTCCTAGAACCACCGAAGAATCTTTCCAGCTTCTCCAATCTGTTAACCATTTTTGCTGCTAGATTTAAATTTCTTGGTTGTTCCTTTGCCATTTTGTCAATCGATAAACACTACTACATTGTGGATTAATGGTATGAAAAGGCTTACCTGGTGCGTAGTTAGGATAAGAACAGCTTATAATATAGCAATCGTATTTTTTTGCCAGCGGGGCTTCCCCGGAACAATGTCGAAAGACCGTGAGCCGGGAAAGATTCGTACACCAGACCAATTTGTGAGTCTCCCTGACTCCTAGTCGCTGACTAGGGAACTCAAATGAGTAATATTAAAGACCAATTCGCGACACGCTGAAGTGTAGACGAGAAGGACCTGTAGGTGTTACGAGTCGAGCCGTAGACGATAAAGTAAATATCGCGAGGTTTGATATAGTGGCATCGCACAGCCGACAGACAGATTTGCGGTGTTAGAGAGTACAGCGGGCAGGTTCGAGGGGCACCGAATAAATTCGAGGGTCAGAGATAAGAGGAAGAAGATGTCACAAGCAGATGCTGTGTTGCCAATGCCCCTAGTGCTGAGTACTTCTTCTTAACACCTGTACGATTTTTCACCTATGAGACGGTAGATGGCCCAGAAAGGAGGTCGCAATGTCTCAACCGCGGCCGGGGTGCTGGACACAGGGATGGGTCTTGAAAACTAAGACTAGATCACGGTGGCGTCTGGGGCAGTTCAATGCTGGGAAACATTAGCTTGGGTACAAGTGAGGGCGTAGTTCTTGAATAAAGCAAGTGATAATATTAGAAAGAAGAGTGACAGGGCACGATGTCGAATAGATTGATGCGGGATTTGATTAGTAGATATTACTAGTGACTGGTATGCCGAAGCGGTTTATGGTGTTTGGGGTTAAACAAACAAGGAAGATAACTCTGAGTGAAGAAATGTTTGGTATGCAGACTTACGACTCGATATGAGGATCGTTCGATCTCAGGAAATATCAGATTTGTAGAAGAGCGAGTGGCAGTGGGCTTGTATGTGTAATACTGTGCGTCATGTTAGCTTGGTGAGCAATCGAGTCACCTAGCCATCTAGCTAGCTCCAGAGTGGCAAATGATACAGGAAACAGGCTCTCAAGTCTCAGTTCATCCGAAGTTTCGAAATGTCGAGTACTGTAAAGTGATGATGAAGAAGGGTTGTGATGGGATGAGAGAGAGGATTCGGGGCTAGTCGTTTAATACCTAGGTACTTTGTATCAAAGCAGTCGCGATCCAACCATCCGACCCCATTGGCCAACATGGCTGGTATACCACCAGTTTAGGAATGTAGGCTGGTTGGCTGGGATTCCGTACCTTCCAGCAGAATCCGCAATCGAACTTGCCACCCCATACCATCTCACACTTCTTAGTTAGAGAAGATACTTAGATACATTCTTCAAGAGGGCAGTCACAGCCAAGCACGGTGATATACTCAATTCGAGACAGTCTTCCTTTCTGAGAACAAATCGGAAAATACATGTATGGGATAGGAGGGGAACCTTGAAGAAACGGATAAGACCCGAGCACCTCGAGTCCTCCGCCTCCTCCGTGTACAATAATCTTGTACTCAGTATCAGCGTTCAAATTTCGAGATCTGGTGTGCTTCCTATCCATCATGCAAGTACGATATATGCGCATATGCATAGTACCTGACTATCTGCTCTTAATGTAGCTTGCCTTCGAAATAGAACAGGTCTATTGGGCACATAGCGCTTTCTAACTGGGTCTGCTGGGTGCGATGCGGCAGTTACGGTACCCGAGTCCCAGGATTGGGGTTTGGATCGCCCACAACGGCTTTTGGCCTCTATTGACTTTGGCCATTGGAAAGTCTTTTAACCTTCCCCACAGCAGCATTAGCATAGTAGGTTGTGTAAGACACAATGGATACGATAGGAACAATAGCCAGATGGATACTACTGTAGAAGCTAAGAAACCGACCGGCCTCTTATCCCTTATTTGAAAAATGAAAGACTCGAAGCTCGGTACGCTACCGAGAATGCCATATCGAAGCTACAAAGCCTCGGCTGCTGTAGCGTATTACAAGCGGTGGCTGCTCCCGTCGTCCCACTTGAGAAGTAAGATCACTCCCTCTCGATGGTTTAGGGGTATCGGGCGGAAATGTCGGTAGGTCTACTGGCGTAAGGGGCGCAAGGGAGCTTACAACGTCGTCGGTTGTGTAAAAGCAATAGATGATTGTCTCCTTAAAGCGTGGGGTTGAAGTTGGACAAATACAGGTACAATACAATGTCCCTATTTGGGCTGGTGGAAACCCCCAATCTTGGCGTTGAAACACGCTAAACCTAGTTCAATCATTAGTGCAATTGACTAGGTACATTTTCGACGGCAGTAACATTCAACATGAGCTACAAATTTGCAATTTACAGGTGCTACCGATGTAGGTAATCAACTTTTACTCTCTTCAAGTATCACGAAGAATTGCAATTCCAACGTTGAACGAATCCTCACACTTCTATCTTCCTTTGGACATCAAATATTGAGTTATCTATTGTGCTAATTGAGCTGTGGAAACATTATTTGTAACTCTTCGGAGTAAAACGTCCATTTTCAAGTTACTGTCTCAATAATGAAGATCCACTTCCTCGTCTCTCTCCCGATCTACAGCCTTCGGATATCGACATGCCCCTCCTCTTTTCTTTTTTGTTCTTTTTCAAATTCAGCTTCGCTTCGGAGTTCGCGAGTTGTATTTCCATTGGCCTGAAAAGAAAAAAACAAAAATACTTCTAGTCGAATACGCCTAGCTGAGTACCTAGGTAGGTAGGTATGTCAGAGGGCAAAGAGACTCTGAAGGACATCTATGATATCCTGCCAGCCTAGTAAGTAAATACCGCGTATGCGTAGGCGGATAGGTCGTGCTTCCCAGCACCGCAATATGCCGCTTCCATCACAAAGACGACGCAAACTATAGGAAGAGCAATTAAGCCCCGAGCCTTGGGTCGGAAGGATACAGACGCCATTCTAGGCGTCCCCCCTTCCCCCGATATCCTATCATATCCTATCGGGACACGATATACCTAAACGAGGTAATCTGCAATAACATGTCACTCTGCAATAGCATAGCATCCGTCACCCCTCGAGATTTGTCAAGATCTGATCTTGGCATATATACGTCCCAGTCTATCGGGTCTATATGAGCTGATGTTTATGATCTGTCAGCTATAATTTTATAGGGGTCTATATTGCCCAATTACGCCCAGTCTTGCTACGACCCTCTACCAAACTGCATGCACTAAGGCAAGTTCACAATAGCCTAGGGTCTACTGCCTCATCGGGAATGGATATCGCTGTCTCTGAGGACTAGCCGCATAATCTGATTACGAAGATTTGCATTACCGCATGAACTACTAGAATTGCTTATTTGGACGGATCCTTCTAGTTCATGAGAGTTAGCATATTGTCTTCGGCGGAGTGCGTCATCCTGTGTCCGGAGGCCTGCTATTCATAACTTTCCAGATCTCCATTCTCCTCCGTCGACGCTACAGATCTAGCCCATCCTGCATATTGCGACGCGTCCATCAGCCTCCGTGAGCTTCGGCACCGTTTCTGAACGCCCTGGCGTTCTACATATTGCTTCGGTGGGTTGCATCCAGTCTATTTAAGTTAAAGGGCTTTGCCGTGAACTAAATTGCCCCAATTAGATCTCACCTCTCTCAGATAGTTAAATAAACCGGCTGACTTCGTGGCTCGTATGAGAGGGGCGGCGTTGACTAGTGCTGAGGCGGCTTTCCTAAATATGCCGTGGCGGATATGGCATCACGCTTGAAGGGAAAGAGGCTCATATCTTCCTCGCCAGCTCGCGTCGTACACCTCCGGGTTATATGTCTCGGTGCACGGTAGCCTGCTTCTCGAGGACCAATGAGTCTCGAATAGAAGCGACAGGGCCCGGCCACTGAACTCTTTTACGGTTGCGCCCGAAAGGTTCAGATCCGAGAGATTTCTAGCTCTGACGTGCCCCTGTTCGGCTGCTTTCGCCGCCAATGCAATATTCCGTGACAGTGGTGCCGAGGTGCTCGATCTTCGACATCGATTGGACGGCACCGTTCTGGTTTTGATGGCTTTGATCTCGGATGTTCCTCCTTTAGCCTTGAGATCGACCCATTATCGAACCCTCATACCCCAGATTCTATCCGAATAACCCGGATCACGTAAAGGGGTCAATTCTCCGCAAAGCCCACTCTGCTCTAGCGAACCACTTCTCAATCTCTATGCAGTATTTGTCGAATCGAGAGAGAACACAACGCTTGTGGAAATTCCTCCGAATAGGGTTGTTTTCTCAACTCACAGCAGGAACGTGTGGAAATCAACCAATCTCCGAAACTTGAAGCCGTCACAACTGTACGCAAGCACAGCAGCCTGTATTACACGGCATGACTCTACATGGCTCAACTCGACCTTCTGAATCTAGTGCTACGAGCGGCGAGCACCAGTCTCATTAATAAACATTCATCTATTTAACAACACACACTCATGAGGAAGGTCACAGAGGCCCCAATTAAGGTAACGATATACGCCATGGCTATGCACATATTTCGCTGTCGCCTCTAACTTAGATTAAGCATTTGGTTGTCTTTCGATTTCACGCTCGCGTATTGGAGAATTCCAATTCTGCAACGCCGTTTTGCGAATCGTTCTATTGATAATCCGCTATGATGCATGTGAGATTACACGGCATTCTTTAACGTGTACGACTCGTCGCCGATCTGCACGGCAAGCAAAGACTATTGAATTCATAATCGCCTCTCGTCATTGGTTTTTCAGCTGAGAAAAATTCAGGTACAAGTTGATTTCTCGTGCGCCTCATTAAATGAGCTCATGAAGCCATAGCAGCTAAATAACAGATAATCATGTAGACTCAATCGAGTACTCTGTAGAATGACCTCGTAATTATGAACCCGCCCACACTGGATTTTCCCTCACAACTTAGGGTGGGTCGCTATACTGTGACTAAAACCCGCTCTATTAACTGTAGCTCGTCAATACTATGATACATCACAAACCTTACCACGTACAATCGGAACATACTCACCCTTGCTTCCCAGTAACTTCGCCTATCAAGTTCAAAAACGCGGTATAGACCTCGTCCGTAAGATCACTAGCCTGCAAACTCCTCCCCCTCTTCTCAAACGCGAGGCGCGAACACTCCTATAACACGGGTTAGCAAGCGCGCCCTTACATCTCCCATCGAACTCACCCTCGTAATAGCCGCACCCCCAAACGCCGCCAACCCCAGCGTCTCCTCCTCCCCGAGCTTCCCGTCGTGGTCCCAGATCTCATCCAGGTAAGCCTTCCGCCACGCCAACATCGTCGCAATACTCCCCGTCAGGGTATCGCCCTGTCCGCCGCTCCTCTTCAGCCCACCCTCCACATCCACCGTCATCGTCACCTCCCCATTCGATACCAGATCCCTCCCGCCCTTCTGCACAATCGTCACCCCGCCCAACGCCCGCGACAAAGCCTGCACTTTATGCGAGGGGTCCGAGCCCTCGGAACCGTCGTCTCCTGAGCCCTTAACCCCCTTCCACAGCCGCGCAAACTCGACTACGTTCGGCGTGAGCACGACCTCCCGCCACCCATGCACCAGCTCCGGCGCCTTCGTCACCAGCGCCAGCGCATCCGCGTCCAGAACCACAGGCATCTTCCGCTCGCGCGCCGCGGCCAGAACCCGTGCGCAGGTCTCCTGCATCAGCGGATCGCGACCGAGGCCCGGTCCGACGACAAGGACGTGCAGACGAGGGAGTAAATCAATGATCTTCCCGGATATATGCACGGGGTCGGAGTCGTATGGGGAATTAGGTGAGGAATGTTGGTGGTGCGGCGAGGGCGATTGCCGCATTAGTGGGTGCACCATGAGGTTCGGGCTGTAGGTCTTGATGACCGCGGCGGCGGCGGGGGTGCAGATTACGTGGGACTGTGAGGGTAGAGCGAGTGTTAGTCTTGTTATTGCTTGATGTCCAGTAGCTTATGACTGGATGTGGAGGGTACTAGGTAGAGTTGAGTAGAACGCATAGCTCGTGATAGAGCTAGCTAGTTGGACATCGCGTAGTGGAACTGGGTATTTGCAGGTAGGCATGGACAACGCACCATATCGCAGCCCAGCCGCGCGCTCGCCATCGCCGAGAAGTACGGGGCGCCAGTGTAGTCCTCGCTGCCTCCGATAACAGCCACGCGGCCCAATTGACCTGGAATGTCGTATTCAATCAGCCTCTTGCCTGTTCCCTAAAGCTCCCGGGCTCGACCTAGCTCCCACTACTATCTCGACCTGCGTGGAATCTAGAGAAAGGGCAAAGAAAAAGACGCACCTTTATGAAACTTCTCCAGCATAGGCGGCACGATCTGCCGTACCTTACCCAGTATTTCCCTCGTAGCCGGCGACAACATGTCGGCGACGTCGGAGCTCATGTCTCCCCTCTTTCGTAGGGTGAAAAAAAAACTACTCGAAGATCGGAATTATGCGAGATCCCGGTCAGATCGCGGGGTAACGGAAGCGAATAATGAGGTGGGATGGAGCTATGACAATTCACACAGGGACAGTAAGAATTAATGGTTATGATTGAGGATTGAAATTGGATATCTAGGAGGTAGCTTAAACGACAAGAAGTTGAAAGGTAGTACGTTTATGGTTGATTTGGATATAGGTTGGAGAATTGTTGAAAGTCGTTCGATATATTGAATATGATGTCATCAAAAACACACATCCAATAACGTAGCCGATTGCTCCTTCAAATCTTAATCCTACCTCATGGTAAAATTACGGCACGCATTTACACGATAAGACGGAGCTACTACACAATATGGACAAAAAGAATCGAGTGCTCTTGAGTTTTGGGCTCTATTTTACAAGGGTCAGAATTGGAGTGCTTCCGTCTCAAACCCGTCGTTCTCCTCACTAATCAGCACCCTTACCGCCATGTACCTCTCTAAACAAAATATGATCTACCATCATAGGCCCTTAAGGTATAAACAGTCCCCCCGTTTGATGCCTTTTGTGATGCGTTTAGGAGATGAAGCTCTTGGTGAAGTTGGAGACAATATCCCGCAACCTTTGCTCAAGATCCTTGCTGAGCGCACCCTCCTTGTCGATCGTAGCGAGCAGATCAGACTCGTTCGTCTTCAGGTGAGCTAGGAAGTCTGACTCCCATTGCAGAATCTTGTTGACGGGGACTTGGTCGAGGAAACCGTTGACACCGGCGAAGATTAGGGGAACCATCTCGTTGACAGCCATAGGAGAGTATTGCTTCTGCTTGAGAAGCTCGGTCAACTGTAGATAGCTTATTTAGTACATATTCATATTCAACCGAACGAGTCAATACTTACGCGTTCACCACGGTTGAGGGTCTGCTTGGTGGCGGCATCCAAATCGGAACCGAACTGGGCGAAAGCGGCAACTTCACGGTACTGGGCCAAGAAAAGCTTGAGCGAACCAGCGACTTGCTTCATGGCCTTAAGCTGAGCAGCGGAACCGACACGAGACACGGAAAGACCGACGTTGATGGCAGGTCGAATACCCTTGTAGAATAGTTCAGCCTCCAAGAAGATTTGGCCGTCGGTAATGGAAATGACGTTGGTAGGAATGTAAGCAGACACATCACCACCCTGGGTCTCGATGATGGGCAGGGCAGTCATGGAACCACCGCCGAGCTTGTTGTTCATCTTCGCAGCACGCTCCAACAGACGAGAGTGGAGGTAGAAAACATCACCGGGGTAAGCCTCACGTCCGGGGGGACGACGCAAAAGAAGGGACATTTGACGGTAAGCGACAGCTTGCTTCGAGAGATCGTCGAAGATCACAAGGGCGTGCTTTCCGTTGTCACGGAAATATTCACCCGCGGAACTCGCTATAATCATCGTATGATCAGTATGTACGAAGGAAAATCTTGAAGTTGTGAAGCGAAATGACAAATAAAAAAGAGGTCCGGTATATGTCCGGGGAGGTTCCCGAGAACAAGTACGCGAGTCTGTATATCGCATCTATAACAGGTGTGACCTGCCCATGTCTAGAAGAGAAAACAGGTCCCGGATATGATGCCACATGTATGCGGACATGTAGAAGGAGGGAAAGAATGGCAAATGTAGAGGGCAAAGTAAAAGGGAGTAGAAGACTTACCGGTAAAGGGAGCGATGTACTGCATAGGGGCGGCCTCGGACGCGGTGGCAGCAACAACGATGGAGTATTTCATGGCGTCGTTCTCCTCGAGAGTCTTGACGAGCTGGGCGACGGTAGATCGCTTCTGACCAACAGCAACGTAAATGCAGTATAGCTTCTTGGACTCGTCCTTGCCGTCATTCCATCGTTTTTGGTTAAGCATGGCATCGAGAGCGACGGCAGTCTTTCCGGTCTGACGATCGCCGATGATCAACTCACGCTGGCCACGACCGATGGGAACCATAGCGTCGACGGACTTGAGACCGGTCTGCACGGGCTCTCTGACGGATTGTCGGGGCAAGATACCAGGAGCCTTAAGCTGAGCTCGGCGCTTCTCCTTGGCGTTGATAGGACCCTTGCCGTCGATGGGGTTACCAAGAGCATCGATAACACGGCCGAGCAGTTCAGGGCCGACGGGGACATCGACCTAACAATGATTAGTGGCGCTGATCGGTTTAAGCTTAAATATTAGAGTAAACCCAAACTCACGATTTCTCCGGTACGCTTAACGGTCTCGCCCTCCTTGACCAAACGGTCAGAACCGAACAGCACAACACCAACTTGTCCAGCTTCCAAGTTCATGCACATTCCCTTCACACCGGAAGCGAACCTGCATCGCGATTAATGACGTACTCCGCAGCTTGTGGAGATTTATGCACCTACTCGACGAGCTCTTCGGCCTGGACGTTGGCCATACCGTGCACACGCGCGATACCATCACTACAGATTTAAAATTAGTAAAAGTAATTCAATTGTCTGGAGATTTATTATATGAATGCGATATTTGCGGTAGAAATGAAATTCCGAGGAATTGTTCACGTTTGCAAGAGACCGAACAACAAATTGTGTCGTAGGAATAGATGGCTGCATTTTGAAAAATCTCGCTTTCTTGGCTCCACACATACCCGACAGAAAGAACACGGCCAGTCTCAGCTAAGCTGGATTCTTCCGATACACCACGAATTCTCTGCTCAAGAATGGAAGAGACCTCGGTGGGTGTGGCTTTCGCTTCGGCGTAGGATCGGGCCTGGACGTTGAAGACGGCGGGTGCGGCATTTCGTGTCTAAGAAAAAAAACCCCAGTTAGCCGATAGTCCGAAATTGTCAACGGTAAGTGACCAAGTAGCCGCAGCTCTACCATCCAAGCTCTGCAAGCTTCAAGATTCTCTTTAAATCAGGATAAAAAGCTTCAATTGAGCTTTATAAATGCCTCGAAAATACTTCAACACCGATCGCACACCCTCGCCGATGGAATTGGGATGAAATCGGAGTATCAAGGTTAAAACGTACCGCAACGACTCTGCCCGAGGCAGAAATTGCGCTCACGGCGCGCGTGGACTGTCTGAGGGCGTTGCGAAACATTATTAGAGAGGGATATCTAATCCTCCAGAGGTAAAAGGAAAATCAATTGCAATTAAAAATTGCAATTGGGAGGAGAGGAGATTGAGGAGGAGGAATGGGTATTTTGATGTGGTTTGAAAATGGAGACTTTTTCGAGAGGAGTGCTGAGGCGCCCGGAAAGCGAAGGGGAAGAAGGAAAAACGTGCACGGACCAGGTATCTAAGCTAACCCCGAAAGGTTCCGACGACCAAGATCCAATCGGCCTGGTCAATGCTTTTTCCGTTCAACCTTGAACTTTTAATATGGCGGGCACAATTATTTCTCTCAATTACTTCAATTACCTCAATTACCCTCACCACTCACCCACAACTTCCAGCGTTGCACTTCAAAACACATTATCGTCTAATACGTAACAGTCAAAGTATGTATCTTGGTTGGTTGTTTGGGAGTGTTGTTTTCGTATTTTTAACTGCTCTCATCTATACAGCGTCTACTAGGTAATTAACGGATTTCACAACATGTAACCGCCAGGCTAGCCAAATATTGCTTAGTCTCCACACCTCAAATCTGACTTGAGCCTCAATGAGTTAGAAACCTTTTGAACGTCATATTCAAGGTATCCATATCAACGTTAAATGCCCAGGTAATAACTCAGCAGATCTCTAATACATAAATGATCTTTGCGAAGCTTTATAATGATCATGATAACTCTTCAAGGTTCCCATTAGCTTATCTAGGCAACGAGTGACTCCCACCCACTCCCGAGATTATGGGACATATCGAAGGCTTGTGGAATCATCATCTAGGTAGGAAAGATTGGTATCTCACCCTATCAAGATGTAAGAGGTTGCATGGCAAATAAATTAGACACTAACAGCACATGAATACGGCCAGGAGAGATACAATGTTAAACAATGCATTATATCAACCAACCCACCCTTGATATTGAGTGACGGCGAAGTGGTGATGGTTATAGAAGAAGTACACACACTAATTATTCGTGCGGCGTAGGGGGCATTGGTATTACAGGCTTGTAGGGTTTGAGCTTGTAGGGTTTATCGGACCGGTGGGTGACCGTGACGAACGGGACTCTGGGTGTATTCATAGGCGTTGACCAAGACGTACACGAAGGCTTAAGTATACTCGACCTGGTCGAAGGTTGGGATGTGGACTTCGAAGGGTTGAATGCGGTCTTTGGATAGCCCTTCGTGTCGATCACACTCCATCTATACAGGTTTGCCCTATGTTTGATCTGGAATCTCGTGGATTATTTTCTAATGTTGATTTGGGTGTAGGAGTATTACTTACCCAATTGTAAAGATCCTGTGCTTTCAACGTGTGCTTCCATATCTTTAGGCGCTCGGCTTCCAGCAGCAGGCCTATCGATCGATGCAGTTTCGTGTTATTGAGCAGTTCGAAATTATATCGTGTTGACCCGAAGCTGTTACGATTATATGGTTGAACCACGCCCTTTCTCTGCTGCAGTTTCTTCCTCCAAGTTTCCTGATATTTTTCCTGTAGCCATGGATCCTCTTTTATATTCGACGGATTGGGCCGTAACTTCCCCACAGTGTAATTGACCTTATATTCCAGTATTTCGATAACTGATTCTCTTATTCGACTCGTGCACCCGCTGGCCTTCCAATTGCATGTCGTGAGAAAGCGTATTGATTTTTTGTCCGGTTCTTGGTATCTTCTTCTCGAAATTTCCTCAAGGAGTAACCCGTAGAATCCAGAAGTGTCATCAAGCCATGTATAAACACGGTCTACCATATACCCAATCGTGTCCGTTCGTTCCAATTTTCGAGTGGATGACGCTTGCGCCGGTAGGCTGGTAATTATGAAAGAGCCGTGCTTGGCTGAGTGTGGTAGTATTGTTCAACAGTTCAGCTAAACGGGTTGAGAGTTTTCTAGGAGTAATGTACATGGGCATTAGCTGATAAGACATTGATAAGGAAAAAAGAGGTTAGAATTAAACCCTCCTATAAGAATATTTATTATTTATGTATTTAACTGGTATTTTCTAATAAGCCTACCCGGCCTACCCCCTCCTCCCTCTCTTTCGGACTCAATAACAAAGAATTCTTTGGTATTGAGTCATTAAATATTACCATTACCCGTTTCCATGTCATAATAAAAAGATGATTTATTTATATTTCCCCCTTTTGATAATATCTCAAAGGATGACTCTCGGTTCTAGGTAAGGGTGTTACCCCTGAAGCATCATTTGCCCGTGTATAGGTACGTAAGTTGGCAAATCTCTGCCTGTTTTGTGTTTTTGTATAGCTGGAGCTATTACCTGAATGATTCGCATAAATATTTTCCTGGCTGTTGTTACCGTAATGCAGCGCTGATGGAAACGAGCCGAATAGGCTCCTGGTGCTGTCGATGACCGTTCGTATTGACAATTTATGAACCAAGTACCGTAAAGTTGGCAAGCAGGCGGCGAATACCCCAATGCTGCATTCAATCATCCCCCAGTAGAGATACTCCGTTATCACCACTAAAACAGGAAAATTAGCAACGCATAACTATTGCGTGAGTACGAGAGAACTTACAAATTTGATCTTCGTAAGGATTATATGTCACGTCTGCGTGAACATCCCTAGTTATCACAAGGAGGCGTGCCAACGATGCTCCAATTGTCCTGCCGCATATTAGTGGTAGTTATATCAATACCCAAAGGGTTGACTTACACCCCCCCTAAGAGGAATACACTAATAATTGCGATCTTCTTGCTCACTGACAAGCTCAAACGCCAAATCTAGGTGTTTGTATTAACACGTATCGTGGTAAGTCTCAATCGAGTGCCTTAAAACTTACTAAGGGAATAGGGATACCAATTATAACAACGTCCGTGATGAAGTCTGTCACTCCGAATATAAGAGACATATACTGGGTGTTTACACAGTGTGATGTTATGTTCTTAGCGCTCGAATTGGTGCCCCAAAGGACCCAGAAGTCTAGGCCGCACTCGAACACCGTCGTGAACAAAAACCCTACCGTCCATAGGCTTACCAACACAATAAACCAGATAAGGAACCTATCGACTGTTTGATCGATCGAGAATATTCTCCTATAAAACAGTAGGAAGGATGCCTTAGTACATCCCAAGGTTAGCGGAATCATGCAAATGACAAGAAACTCGATCTAATACCATAGGAACAATGTCGTTAGCCGTCTTTAACCCCCTAAAGATACCTTCTTTCAGCGCGTACCTACCTTGAAGGCCGTGGAAAGCTGCTCGCTACTAATTTCAAGGGGGTTCCCAGTCAAGTTTTGATCGATCTTCGTAGGGTATCCGAAGGCCTCTTGCGAGACACCGTAAACTAAACAGCCACCAATTATGGTTGTGAGCAGCTAAGGTATCTGTCAGCTTAACTGTATCAAAAAATTACAGGGAACGAATAGGTACCGAAGCAGGTATCATAAGCCAATCGTCAGCTAGTAAACGTTGCCGCTGCTTTTTCCGAGTCCAAACCCGAAGTAACACTGAGATGATGTCCAAAAGTGACAGGATAACGCCAGCAGAAATAATATATATAGGCCTGCAGTAATATTTCAATGTGATCGACATAGCTTTGTAAAGTTACCTCTGCGGCCGGAGGAATGGTATCTGGAAATGGCATTTTGAAGAGTCATGGCTCTTTGGATGTTTAAATGAGAGACGAGCTCGTCGATAAGAAGGTGAGCGCGGTATGTATTTCTGATCATTGGCAGGTACTTAGCGAGGTAGTGCACACGTTTCGCTGCGGTTATCCGAAGACATACTAGCCGGCGCGACCGATCGTAGAGATCTTTCTCGGTGATCATGTTTGTGTGGCCTCTACTGAATGACTACTCCTCGTCACAAGTGGTGTGCAAGAACAACTGCATACCTACCTAGGTACAGCATATTCTACGCTAGCATCCATTTAGTCTTCTATGCATGAGTTGATTAGAATATCAGTGATACTGCCATTCTGTGTGACTGACCATACCCACGAGTTGAACTGGGATCCGCCAGTCTAGATCATTACCTACTTAGATATATATTCGTCTGTAGGAGATCCCACCTCAATGGTTCGGGATTATATTAAGATTTCTTGTAACTTATTCGCATTCATACCAAAACTTCCTAAAGTTAGAATATATTACCTGGTGACTAAAGAAGTCATGATACCCCACATCAGTCTCTTCCAATAACCCTGTGAAGATGTGTGCTGTAGTGTTCCTTACAAGGATACAAGGGTTTCATAGATGGTATTCTACCTCTTTCCCGTGGTGTTTATGGACGTTGCCGTTCGAAACTCATTTCTACTTATGTTATGTAGATATCTGGGGGGCAGTGGGGTTAGAGGAAGATAGAATCGAACCCGCAGATTCAAGTTGGCATTGGCTACCTACCTACCTAGGAATCGAATGGTACAGTATCCATGGATGTGTAACTATGCCTCCATGCCACGTGAGATGATTGGTGTGCTCGTTTAAACTCCCCTCTTCCTTCGTTGCGATGTTTTTAAATAATTCCCGTGGTAAGCTCCAATATCAACGAATCTTGTCTCTGATCAAAGAACTTAAGATTGTTCTAGTTTGTCTTGTAAATTGCGGGATACAGACTCGTACAATTGTTGTTCTTTAAGTATCACCATGGCAAACAAACCGCCGGACCGAATTCGCGTGGGTATCGTCGGAGGTGGATTGGCCGGTGCGACACTAGCAAACGCCCTCATCGTCCATTCCCATCTCGACATCGAACTATTCGAAGCTTCTCACGAGTTCTCGGAGCGGGGTGCAGCTGTTGGGTTATCCGTGAATGCGCAAAATGCCCTTCGTCAGATAATCCCATCCATAAGAGAATTCTTAGCGAAAGCCGGAGCTGTAGACATGAACTCTACTCGGACTGCGCTAGTAAGTTTGCTTCGGTCATTCGTGTTTCTTTGGTGCGATTCTGAGATCCGCCCTTAGGGTTCGGGACCGGCGGCGGGTACAATTATCTACGACATCGCAGCAAGCTCGGGTCTCGGTGTCGTGCTCCATCGTGCTTCGCTCCTACGCGAGCTCTTACATCTCTTGCCTAAAGAGATTCTCCACGCCAACAAGAAACTAAAATCGATAAATCCAAATAGAGATGGAAGAGTCGAGTTGGGGTTCGAGGATGGGACTATCGAGTGTTTCGACGCTGTCATCGGCGCGGATGGAATATTTAGTATCGTTCGCCATCACGTACTACAGGATGCTGCGGAAGAATGCGCCCCGTCTCCTGCTGGATATTGGGATAGTAGAAACTTAGTACCATTCGAGAAAGCAAAAAAGGTTCTTGGTGAGAAATATTTCGAAACCGATCGGCAATGGTCTTGGGTAGGAGATGGCGCCTTTTTGTTGCATAATGTTCTTGAGAACGGAGCTATGGTTCAGGTGATTATCTCTGCCATTGAACCTGAGCCCCCTAAAGATCGAAAAAGACCACTTACCAAGGAGTTCCTGGACCAAACATTGGATAGATGGTTCGATGGACCAATTGCAAAGGGAATGATAGAGGTAACTCCTCTCAAAGATCGCTTTGCGTGGTCCTACTTCTAGTTTTCGATGTACTGATGGAATCCTAGCTCATGCTTGACCAAGATAATCCGCAAGGATACTCTCAATGGGAGCATAGGTCGACTAAAACATACGCCAATGGCTATGTATGTGTTGTCGGAGACGCAGCTCATGCAACAACCCCTGTAAGTTACCAGAAATTCATCATCGCCCCCTTTTCAATATTTTCCACATGCTCAAATAGCTCCTGCTCTGCAACACGCCTCATACCCCCGAAGGCTATATCTTGATGCGCAGCCTTTGACTCTTATAATATAGTGGCAAGGGGCTGGCGCTGGTCTAGCTATCGAGGATGCCATGGTCCTAGGTACTCTATTCAGCAAGGTCACTTCTTCCAGAGACGTACCGGCAGCGTTCAAAGCATATGATGAGATAAGAAGACCTAGATGTCAGAGAGTCATTGACTCGAGCCGAGAGATGGCGGGAGTATACTGCGGAAGAAACCCTGGGGCCGGCCTAGATCCCGACAAGCTGAGAGAAATCTTTGCTTCTAGGTATAGCTTCATTCTCGGATTAGACATGGAAGCTCACAAGGCGGAGGCAATGCACGCATTCGTGAACTCTGGTTGAGGAGATCATGAGAGACAGGTAGAAATCTAAACAAGAAGATAAGGTACGGGCGGTCATGTAGGTAACGACCTAGTAGGTATCGGTACATATCTTTCAAGTGCTTTAACGAGATTCCCATCTCCTTGCCCAGGTGGTCAAAGATACTAGGTAGGTAGGTACCTAGTAGCTTACATGCCTTATTGCACATCTATCCATGATTGCCACCATCCCCGAGGCTATCTGTTTCTGAGCAGATTCAGCGCACAACAGTTATTGAGACTACCACTCTCTTAATTCGTTCCCCGGGCCGAAGAAATTCGGGCTCACCCACGCCTTCGCATCTTTTGATAAAGTCCGGACTTGCGCCTCGTCAATTTCGATCCCTAGGCCAGGCCCGCCCATTAAGTCGATATACCCATCTGTAACTTTCCAGACTTCCGGATTGGTCGTGTAACTCGTCAGGTCTTGGCCGCCGACATTGTAATGAATGCCAAGACTCATCTCCTGGATCACGAAATTCGAACTGACCGCACAAACTTGCACGTTTGCTGCCAATGCAATCGGACCTAATGGGCAATGCGGCGCCAGTGCAACATCGTAGGTCTCACAAGCTGAAGAAATCTTGCGCATCTCAGATATGCCTCCGACATGGCTGATATCTGGTTGCAAGATATCCACACATCCGGATTCCAGGAAAGGACGTACATCCCACCTACTATGGAGGCGCTCACCAAGAGCGATTGGCAAATGCGTGCGAGCAGCGATATCCTTGATGCCGTCGATATTCTCGCTTAACAAGGGCTCTTCGATGAAGAGAGGATCATGAGGTTCCAGCTTGGCAACTAATTGTTTTGCCATCGGCTTGTGCACTCGCCCGTGGAAGTCTACTCCCGCATCGAGTCCTAATGCCTTCACCGTCTTCACTCGTTCCACGCACTCGTCAAGCTTTCGAGGTGAGTCGAGCCACCCCAGGTCCTCGGTCGCATTCATCTTGACCGCATTGAATCCTTGTGCCTTACGGGCGTTCCTATTATCTTATCTCAATTGACATTCTGAAGCATCCAGGGTCGGAAATACATACGCTTGTGCTTCAACGTCGCTTGGGCGGTCACCCCCTATCCATGCGTACACTCGCAGCTTATCCCGGACTTTCCCGCCCAAAAGCTGGTAGATCGGAACATTCAGTTTCCTAGCTAAATTCACGTTAGCCCTTCGAGTTTTCTGAACAAATTTAAGTTCATCGTGCCTTTTAAATCCCATAAGGCGATATCAATCCCGCTCAAAGCACTCATGAGCACTGGCCCCCCTCTGTAAAAGCCCCCGCGATACGATAGCTGCCAAATATGTTCGATATCGCTTTCAATTGTTATTAGCGATTGAATCGCATACAAACACATGCATTAACTCACTCAGCTTCGAATCCTACATATTTTTCCGCCCACGCATCTAGACATCCTTCCACGGCTTGAGTGTGTCCTTCAAGACTGGCTTCTCCCCAACCGACACGGTTTTCTTCGTCCGTGATCTTTACGAATAACCATCGTGGCGGCACACGAAAATATTCTATCTTCGAAATTTTACCCATGATACTACCGAGGAACGTTTGAGTACTAAATAGTTAATAAAATTGGTACTTGGCTATGAAAACAAACTTAAATTGACATTTATGAACCTCGCTTGTGTACATCACAGGCATTATAGTGGAGGGAGGGGTTCTATAGGGAGTTAGGGGTAATTGCCGAGTCACTATCCAATGGAAGATTTGCCCACAATGGGGCACTTCCTAATCGATCAGCGCTGGATCGGATTGGATATATCAACCGGGTAGCTGCCGTGGTAACCTGCCTAGGTGCTTCTTCCTTTCTGTAATGTGACATATTTTCATTGTATCGGCTATGGAAAGAACCATCAACTTGGAACTTCGTGATGTTTCATCCAAAACCTACAAAAGTCAAAGTTTCGCCCATCTTTCGCGACATTGCCTGGGGCGTGATTAGGGGGGTTATCAATTGATTGGTACAATACGTAGGTAAAGGCCCTAGGCCTTATAGTTGGATGTCCCCGTTATAAGTTAGTGGTTAACTGCTACAGATTAGGGCGCTTAGCCACTACTATCGCGAGGTCTCATGCTTGGTAAACGTTTGACATTGGCCTTCCTACGAAGCCAGCTAGTTTAATACTAGGAGGTAACTAAACTTGTAAACCAAAGAATCCCATAATATTCGGGTATATTTACCGACCGGGACCCCACTTACCCCAACCTCGGGGTATAGTTGTCAGTCTTCGATGTCGCGATCCCCACCTAAGCTAACGGCCCCCCTCATTAGGACCCCGAGCTCGGTCTCATGATGAGACTATCCGAACGATATGTAGTTCCTTATATCCAACGGCTTTGTGTAGTATTTCCTAGTTCCTAGTAGTAATATCTTGATATTTTTGGAAAAATAGAAATCAGAAAAAATAGACAATATGGCCCGAATCCCACCCCCTGGCGTCTACGTTCCGTCGCCGACGTTTTTCAAACCTCTTATCTCGGGCGCACATCAGGCCGAGGTTGATGTCGCGACACAAGCGGAACACAGCGTATTTTTGGCCAAAAATGGAGTCCACGGATTGGTTCTTCTCGGATCTACAGGCGAAGCTGTGCACCTAAGCCGGGCGGAACGGCGAGGTCTACTCGGCGGGGTCCGTAAGGGGCTTGACGATGCCGGGTTTCCCGATTACCCCATAATGGCTGGAGTGCTCGTAAATGCTGTCGACGAAGCTCTAGAATGGCTGCAGGATTCGAAAGATGTTGGGTGCCAATGGGGTCTGGTTCTGGCACCAGGATATTTTGGTGGCGCAGCTTCGCAGCAGGGACTCATAGAATGGTACACTACAGTTGCCGACAAGAGCCCAATTCCCATCTTAATGTAAGTTTTGTTGATTACTTGGGTTTATCGCTTATGGCACTCGCTAATGTCAACGCTAGTTATAACTATCCGGGAGTGACAAATGGGCTTACGGTAACCCCTGAAACATACGAAAAACTAGCCAGCCACCCAAACATAGTTGGATGCAAGATGTAAGTAAGCCATACTAAACAGTCAAAGAATTTCATTAACAAGACAGGTCTCACGGAAATGTATCATACCACGTTCAGGTATCAACGTCGCCAGTAATCGATCACGAGAAGTTTCAAGTCTTTAGCGGTTTCGGCCAACAGCTTGGTCCTATTGTTGTTTTCAACGCCGCCGGAGTTATCGATGGACTGGCTTCGTTTTTCCCCAAAACCGTGGTGCGATTATTTGAGCTTGTCAGTAAGCGACCAATCGATGATGCTGCAATTAAAGAAGCTAGGGTTCTCCAATATCGGGTAAGTCGAGCCGAAGACTTCATCGGCCGATGGGGTATCTTGGGAATTCGGGAAGGCATTTACCGCGTTGCTGGCCTAGGCAACCTAGAAGGAGGACGAGCGCCACTGAGAGGGAAGATTCCTGAGGGTGCATGGGAGGAATGGACAAGTGTCATGAAAGCGATGTCTGAATCATAGGTACCTGTATATATATGTACAGTTATGCTGTCTTAATATTTCTATCCTCAACCCCTGAATAGGTATGCTTATATAAGCATATCAAAGGGAAGTTTAGTCAGCCCATGTGCTGAGTCATTGCACTGTTCCAATGCCTTCTGTGCAAAATAGAAGGCAGAATTTGAGATTGAACGGACTTAGTAATACAATCTATCCTACGTATTACATAAACTTGAACTGCCACTGGGCAGGCGCCACTATGAGTTGCTTATATAAGCGGAACAGGAACATTCAAGCGTCAAGTCTATCACTGTAATGTTAACATCTTTCGAACTGTATTCCGTGAAATACCTATTCTAGGAATTCACATCATTATCAGCTGCTAAGTTAATGGGTGCCAAATATCAAAGGGTATGCTGAAAGGGAGCAAAACTTACTCAGAACCCACGCTTAGCTAAGCTAATCTATGACTTGAATCTAAAGGCTGACATAATCGAGAACTTTGAAGATTACCTAATTACGCCATGATAGAAACGCCATCAATAAATGCTTTTTCTGTTGAAAATTTATTATATAAACAAATGAATTTGGTCTTCGTAAGTTGGAGTTGGTTTTCGCGTCAAGATTGAATTACCAACGCTGTCTTGCCCCATTTCCCTCCCCGTGGGGAAATTTGTGGAGATTCCAGAGGTCGTATCCAGTAAGCATATTTAATTCTTATTAGTTATCCTATTTTCTTCAAAATCCCATTCTTATAGAGAGGTAAATACTAAAGGATATAAAGTAGTGACTTTAGACCTGTTTGCGATAGAGAAAACGAATTCCATTCGATCCGTATTAGAGAAAGAGGAAAGCAGTAGGGGCCAACGAAAACTACATGGGTCTACGATCACAAACGAAGCATTACGATTCCACCCAACGCCTCCAATGGGGAAACCAGTTTCTCGACGTAAAGTTCTCCGATGCGGAGGTGGGGACAGAGACTATCTTCGGTATCTAGATCCCTAACGTCGTATGCATGAAGGTCGTCATAGTCCGGACGACCCGATATCAAATATGCCGAGGATGATAGAAGGCTGTCGACATGAGACGCCTGGAGTAAAATATAACCCATTCCCTCCGGAAACTTACCTATTATTACGCCTTGTATTCGCCTATGTTTGAGATTGGTATAACTGCGATCGTGGGAAACCTAGTATCTTACCATGTCTCTCGCAGCAACAACACATGTTCAACCAGATACCTCTAACCAGGATCTTAGTCCCGGAATCGACAGCGAAGCAATTGATTGCATCAATGATCTGATCGTCAACCGAGCAGCTACCTTCCCTTTCAAACCCCTTCTTGCTTATCCTGCGAAAGATGGTAAATACGTCTACTACACAGCAAATGAGTTAGATGGATTCGCGGATGAAGCGGCAAAACGGTATGTGGGATTGGGCTTAGTCCCCAAGGTACGTCATCCCGTGGACTCCCAGTCAAATATCCCTAACGATGTTAATAGAACGGTAAAGATGAGTCGGAAATTGTGGCGCTCATTGGTGTGTCAAATCTTGATTACATTATCTCGATATTGGCTTTGACACGCATCGGGTTTGGCATCCTATTCCTATCAACACGGTTATCTGTACAAGCATACATAGCTCTACTCGACAAGACAAACTGTCACAATATCGTCGCCGCACCAAATTACGCAGAAACTACCAGCAAAATAGCTAAAGGATATGAAGCTACCCGGTTCTCTATTTTAACAGAGGATATATATGGAAGAGCGGACCCAGCCAAGCCTCGATTCCAACGGCCAGTCAAAATTGAAAATGAAGCGCAGAAAATCGCCTTTATTCTACACTCTTCTGGTTCTACTGGCCTTCCAAAGCCTATATACCAAACCCACCGGTCTTGCCTCACGAACTACTCTGTTGGCAGTGGAATGAGAGCCTTCATAACTTTACCCCTATTCCACAATCATGGTCTGTGCACTCTTTTCCGCGGCATTACCTACTCCGTTACGACGGCACTCTTTGATGCGAGCCTCCCAATGACCCATGACAATTTGATTAGCGCCATGGAACAGTTTGATCCAGAGAGCTTTCACTGTGTACCATACTCACTTAAGGTCCTCTCTGAGAGCGATCATGGTATCGAGTTAATGGGACGGTGTAAATTAGTACTGTTCGGCGGAAGCAGCTGTCCCGATGATTTAGGAGACAAAGTGGTCAATTCCGGAGTCTACCTCGTAGGCCATTACGGAGCGTGAGCATACCTAATCCTATGCGACAGGGCACGAATGTTAATGAATAGGCGTTAGAACTGAAGTGGGCCAACTTATGACATCGTTCCGAGATAAGGAGGACAAGGCATGGAACTATGTGCGACCATTCCCAAAAGTTGCGCCTTATCTTCATTTCGAACCTCTCGGCGAAGGATTATATGAGTGTGTTGTCCTTGATGGCTTACCAACGAAGCTCAGTTCCAATTCAGATGACCCACCAAATTCATTCCATACGAGGGACATATTCATACGTCATCCCACGATTCCACTAGCGTTCAAGTATATGTCGCGCCTTGATGACAGAGTCACACTAGTCAATGGCGAAAAGGTGTTGCCGATTCCCTTTGAACATCGACTCCGACAGCATGAACTTGTCGAGGAAGCACTCATCTTTGGGGTGGACAAGGCATTTCCAGGATTACTCATATTCCCAAGCGAAAAAGCTAGGCAAGTTAGGAAGGAAGATCTTCTAAATACGCTTCGGCCAGTAATCGACGCTGGAAATGAGGCCGCGGAGAAATTCGGGCAGATTTCAATTGACATGGTAGAGATTCTCCCATGTGATACCCTCTATCCTCGTACAGACAAGGGAACTATTATTCGGGCAGCGGCGTACAAAGCCTTCGAGGGGGTAATTGAAGCTGTGTATTCACGGTTTGAGACACATGACGATGCCAGAGATGGAGCGCGAAAAGCTTTAGATCAGCCCGAGCTTGTCGCATACTTGTTGGACCTATTTACCCGTACGATTGGCGTAAAGGGGTTAACTGAAGAGACGGACTTCTTCGAATGTGGGGCTGACAGCCTTCAAGCCGTAACCGCGAGAGCGAAAATAATTCGCGAAATTGATATCGGCGATCATATATTGTCTAATAATGTTTGTTTCGAGTATCCGTCACCCAGAAAACTTGCATCGCATCTTTACTCGCTTAGGATAGGCGAAGAACTACCCGACACCGACGAAATAGCTTTGATGTCCAATCTCATAGAAAAGTACTCGGACTTTCCTCTCTTTATCCCTGGAAAGCGACAGCCTGATGGGGAGGTCATAGTAAGTTTAGCATGATTCCAACTCTGTAGGACATATTGACTAATATATTGTCTTTAGCTCCTCACTGGAGCGACAGGCTCATTGGGAGCGCATATCCTATCCCAAGTCGCGTCTATACCCGGGGTTAAAAAGGTCTACTGTTTAGTTCGAGCGAAGACGTCTAAAGATGCCCTCTCTCGTGTTTCGTCGAGTCTCGAGTCTCGCGGTCTCTCCTCCCAAGTTATCATGGAGAAAGTTGTCTGCCTACCTAGCGATTTCAGCCAGGAGTCACTGGGGCTTGACTCTTCCACCCTTGACACTCTTCGGTCTAGCCTAACCACTGTTATACACAGCGCATGGATGGTAAACTTCAATGTTTGTCTTAGCAGCTTCGAGCGATCGCATATCGCCGGCGTGCACAACATAATCAAACTATGTTTAAGTGTTCCATTCCAGAAACCGGCAAATTTCTTCTTCGTATCGTCGATATCTGCCGCTGCGGGCACCCCTATTCCCGCTGTAATCCGCGAAGCGCACATCAATGATCTACACTATGCTCAGAACATGGGATATGCTAGGTCTAAGCTAGTGACAGAATATATCATTCGAGCAGCAGCGAAGAGAACTGGCATAAATGCAAGAATATTGAGGACGGGTCAACTGATGGGAGATTCGCATAAGGCTCTCTGGAACCCAACTGAGGCGATACCCCTCATGATTCAAAGTGCGACCACCGTAGGAGCACTCCCAACGCTTGATGAGGTAAGATTCCCGCCCTGTCTACTTGCTCAAAAACCTCTCTAACATGAATTCACGAAGACTCCTTCATGGTTACCAGTAGACAAATGTGCTGCAGCCATTCTGGAACTATCCGGGCTCAGCCCCAGCGCAAAAGACAACATGTCAGAAAGTAGCGAAACAGTCTACCACGTATTAAACCCGTCTCTCTTCTCCTGGAGCGAAGACCTGCTTCCCGCACTACGAGACGCAGGGCTGGAATTCGAGACGGTCTCTCAGCGCGAGTGGGTGCGGCGATTACGCGAAAGCGAGCCAGATCCCCAAAAGAACCCCCCTATCAAACTTCTCCACTTCTTCGAGCAGAAATACGATAACGACTCAGCAGGGCGAAGTGGTCTTGTCTTTGAAACTCAGACGACTGCGAGGTATTCCGAGACTATTGGCCAAGGCTTTGCTATTGTCGGAAGCGGGATCTTGCAGAAATGTTTGGATAATTGGCGGCTCGCTTGGGGTAAAGAGTACTAGATAGTCGTGGCGAATAAGGGGTGTTGGGTTGACTTGGTAGAGCTTGTAACCTTTATCGCACAGCTATATGGAGGTACATATTCGCGTTTCTCAGGTAAGTGAAATTTTTTGATCGATGCTGATTTAATTGAATAAATCGGTGGCCATTTCAAGGTTTCTTTCACATGAGTCCAGTCGAAAATACAATTGAAGAATAGGGTACCTGTGGGCTGGTAGCGCCAAGTTGTCTAACCCAAAGACTGCCGAGTGGTCGGTTTCAGGCGACTGGTGAGTCACGAAGGTGGTAATTGAAATTTGACGTATCATAAAGTCCCCCGATAGGCTTAGGGGGTACGGCCCTCTGCATATATATCACTTTTCCCGCGAGGCTTCTACAAATGACTGGAAATTAAAAGGTCCCCTACGAGTCAGACAAACGGGGACGAGACTGCCACGCATTGATCACAGCTGTCAGATCATACAATGACTACCATTCTAGGGAATATATCAATGGATGCCCACATCCCTCGTAAGAGTTACACGGCATGTGTGCACTGTAACCCTCGCGCGGTAGTAGCACTTGCTGCCTGATAGAACTCTTGCTTCGGTCTTATATCAATCTTATTCATCCGAATACCTTATTCAAACAACAGGACATTTCAAGGTTGCTATCTAGGTATTGATGCACTTGCGTTAGAAAATCAGAATGGCGACGATGCTGCTAGATGGGAGTTTGATATGTGCGAACTCAGGTCATGATGGTTCTACATGCACCCAAGCCGGGAAGTTCGAGTGCAATTATTGCCATTTGGTCAAGGCAAGTAATCCCCTATTTATTTGATAAAAAGTTACGGTTTCTGACAATATACACAGTACTGCGGCAAGAATTGCCAGAAGGCGCACTGGAAGACACATATACGTGATTGTCGAAAGAACCCGCTACTAGATCCAAACTGGCGACCTGCGTGGGAGACGGAGAATCGCGAGCCCGCTTTCATGGGAGGCCCTCGGCTCCAGCATTTCAACTTCAAAAAGAAGTATCCGTGGGGAAACATGCCCGCATTCGACGTCCTCAACCTTGCAGGGAATGAGGGCGCCAACTATAATAGAGATCTTAATCTTCTCTTTGCCGGTAAGGCCCTGCAGCATTGCGATACCTGTGGAGAGTAGTACGTTAACTCATTGCAACATTGCAGCTTCTGGTGACATTAGGAATTGCGTCATGACTCTTGCCTCTATCCCTGACGGATGCAAAAGTCATATGAAGGTTTTCCTGAACGATCGAGACGCCGACGTCGTGGGTCGGAACGCCATCATACTTCTCCTCGCCCTGATAGAAGACGATGCTAACGTCGCAGCTGATAACATTATCCATCTCTGGTACTCATCCTTCATTTCCCAGTCCCTTTACGACACGCTGAACGGGAAGATTCGCCAGCTGGTTCAAGAAGTGTGCAAGAAGATAGAGGGAAAAGCGTCTGGTACAGTCTTGGGGAAGACTTGGACTTTCGGTTCGAGGTCTCTTAGGCTGGTGTTGGCCAAGAATCAATGGCTCGAATTACTCGCAAGTTTGGAAGTTCCTCGCGGTCTGACGGCGGAGAGGGCCCAAGATATTCGCCGAAGTGTTGCTTTAGCCCCTGAAAGAGTGGATTTCAGACATCGCCGATATTTTGCTCAACCGCCCGGAGGCCGCGCCAGTGCAGAGAAGTTTCGAGAGCACGGTATACTTGTCCCCTTCGGTGCCCCTCGTAATTCGTTTACGATACCAAACCCGTGGGTTTCTCCTTTCCTTCTATCATGTGCTCCTTTTTCTCTCCCCCCCCTCTTGATGTCATTAGCTTACCCCTCCAGAACTCTCTTCCGTGATACGGAGTCCTGGCCTCTGAAAGACGATGCGGACCCGATCAACGGTTACCGCCTAGACAAGATTAAAGTATTCCCATGCGATGCTCCCGCGAACGATCTCTACGGGAAACTCAGTTTCCTCCTCAAGGATCTCATCACCCGTTTCCACCGTCGGCTTCAAAATTCGAACATTCAGTTCCATCTGCTGAATGTCAACGCGCAGGACTTGCAAAACTACACCGGACAAGTCATGTTCGACCGTATAGAGGTATGCCAAATATGTATCAAAAAGATCAAAACGTTGACTAATATTTCACTGTGGTTAGGTTGCGAATATTACGGACGCGGGGTATTTAGGTATGGGGCAAACGCTGCTCTATATGGGACCCCTATTAAAGCAGCCATCTGATAATCGTCATGCTACCCTGGTCGCTCTATTCCTCAACGCAGTGGATGAGATTTTCGACGACAGCGAGAAAAGGAAGGCGATCTCGCGCGATATTCAGGAGGTGTGGAAGTATATGGACCCGAAGCCGCCTACAGGACCGTACGATGCCGGGATAATTGTCAGCGATATCGCAACTCAACAGGTCCGCGACGTAGACAAGTACTTCGACATGTACATGAAGCTCCATCATTTTGACATGCTTTGCGAGTTATCTGGCATGGAATTCAAAAGAAAACCCACGATAATCGAGGCGTGGCCATTGAAGGTGAAGAAACGCCCGCACCAAAAGGGGGCCAAGGAGGAGTTTGCCACTCTATTATCGTCCGGCGACTCGGGCTGTGAACGATACATGGAATGGAGGTTTAAGTAAGACTGATCTGGACGGATTCGAAGAAAGCAAACGCTAGGTTTGATCTGCGAGATTGCGAGATGTAGAAGATAGGAATGGATACGGCCTATTTTGCAGTTTGTCAGGCGGTTAATTTCGGGAGTGCCCTTTAAGATGATACCGAAGGAGATTGAAACCTCAGTTCAGTTATGCCATGAATCGAAAGAGAGTAAAAAGACACTCACTAGGTAGTATCTAGGACTCTTAGAGCCGATGCTCCCCTTTTTAGCTGATGGATCCCCGGTGGGACCTCTTAGGCAGTCCCCACCGATGGCTCTTAACAGATCATGATTGATGCTTCTAAAGCTCAATTCAGCCAATTGGACTCAAGCCATCTTGTGAAACTTGCCTGAACTGGCTTTTTGCGGGTTGAGTGCAAGGACAAGGTAAGTTATGTTATGAGACCGTCGTGCTGTAAAAATAGATGAGGCCTTGTATGTTCGGTATGCAGTGAGTGAATTAAGTATCATTATATGTTATGTACCTAGATAATAGAATTCATGAGACATTGTTTGTATGCAGTATGCCCTTTGGGGAATGCAAAATATATACCCAGCATGCTAATGTAAGACGTAACTTCATAAATCATGATGCAAGAGAGTCCGGCCAGTTTAAGCGGTTTCTGGCTTTTGTGCGTATACTAACCGCTGAGGTAGGTATACATGAATCGATTTGTTACGCATTTCTCTGCGGAAGCCAGCGAGGAATACGTGCATTTCTTCCAGTGTTCGGCCTAGCACTTTAGTCCACATGAACATGACATAGCCTAGAATTACGCATCAGTGCTTAGAGCGCCTAATAAGAGGGACAGGCAAATACAAAAATGGCTTCTGCTTACCTTCTAGGTCTTGCTCAAGGGTATACTGGAACCATTGTCCGATTTCCTTCAACTTCGGGTCGGCTGGCCAACCCGACTGTCATAAAGTCAGCTTTCTTCTTTGTCACGGAAATTCAGAGATCGGTCGAAAAGGTAACTCCTAAAATTCCGATACGGCATTCAATACGTACCACTGGGACCTATAAGAAAGTTAGAAATTGTGCCCCTCAACTAGTAGACTTAAACAACGTACCTTAATATCTCTAACTGTGATGTTCACGAAACCGGCTTCTTCAAGAGCTTTCGGTAATGTGTTGTCCGTAATAAGCGTAAAAGAGACGCCTAACTTCTTACCGCCCTCGGAGAATAGGTCGCGCCAGATATGAAAGTTCGAATCGGGTTTCAGGGTGCCATCATCGCTACGATAGTCGGCCTCGGGTTCAAAGCTCTCAATCCAACCTCCGGGTTTGAGCGCAGTATAGGCCTGCTTGAATAAAGCCGTCCAATCTGCAATACCGCCTACGATATAACGTAGGTGTATAAAATCAAAGCTGCTAGGCGCAAATGTCCACGGCTGTTGTGCATCGTCAATCTCGAACTTTACGTTGGGCGGACACCATGAGGGTTGAATAGGAGACAGATCCGTCCCGATAACCTCGCAATCAGGGAACTCATCCGCAAAATCACTACAAGCTTCATTAGTCGTCGTCAAAATACCACGGAATACTCAAAAGGTAGATTACATTGCCCATAAGCCTAGTTAATCAATTAATATAATGTCAGATTTCGAAAGGGAGTTCAAATCACCTGTCCCAGTACCAACATCGAGCACTTTCTACAAATTCTCAGTTAATGACATCCGTGATAAAAATACATAAAGTTGGAGCGCTTACTTGTATGCCGGGTTTTAAAGGCGACATGAAAAGTCTACCTCCCAAGCAGAGGGTCATGAAATGGTGGCTAGGAAAGTATGAGAAATTGAAGGTTGTAATTCATGAAGGATAACTGCGGCTCACTTCATGTCCATAGCTTCATTTTGTCGTTCATCGTTCGGACCCCAATAATTATCAGATCCAAGCCTAGAGCTATGGAATGTGCGGCCATTGAGCGTGCGATACTCCAAGATGCTCTCAGTCAAGGATGCAGTTGAGCTCGCGCTTTTTATCGTTCATTAGATAAGAACCCATGTACAAAGGATGATTTGATCTCTTACTTATCGCCATCTCCAAGCGCAGAGTCCGCGTCGTCGAACTCTTCTTCCTCCTCCTTACCAGTGATCGTTAGTTAACTCAATAGGCAAGCTATGACTGTCTTAGGCTAGATTATGTTGTCTAAGCTTACTTCTTGAGGGTCGGCTTCAATTGGCCCTTCTGTCGCGCCTGGCGGCAGGTTAGTGGGATCTGTCGGCTCTGGTGACGTCGTCGTGGGCGCCACAGCAGTAGCTGGCCCGGGGTTTTCGCCGGTGGCCATATCAAGAAGCTAGGAAATTTAGCAACGTGCTTGATCTCGACCTCTGATAATAATTATTAAGTTGCAAAGTGCTAAAAGATGAGGAGAAGTGGAGAGATCAAAAGTGCGCCTTCTACGAGTATAAGTCTGGTTAGTCTGGTTAGCAGGAAATGAACAACTCAGGGCATCAGAGCAGGGGTACAGGGGTCAAAGGCTCCACTTACTGTTCCAATTATCAACTAACCGCGTCAGGACTGGACTTTCTGATTAGTAGCCGAACGAAGCAAGTGATCGGTTAGAGACGTCATTGGTCAATTATTTCCAAGAAGAAGTGGCAGGAGGTATCTATAAATTATAATCACGTGAATTATCTAAACACCATATTCTTTGATCCTGTCAATATTTATTCTGAACCGCCTACATATCCTACCTACGATCCTAAGAATTAAAGACTGAGCCGTTAGAGCCCGAGATAGAACAAGACAATTCCAACCCAGTTGGTGTTACCATACATAATGAAATCTCTTCTCCTACTTTCTACTACTTAGGTGTAGTATTTTATCAACCACCATTGATGCTCTCGGCAATATCATCAATGGGTAATAGGGATGCTATAGATCTTATGTGAGTCGATAAGTTATAATTGGACAACTATGGGTTCTTACACAGTAGCAAAAGTGTCATAACATTTAGGGACCATGGCTTTGGTTTTATTGTCGAAGTCCCATCGGATCGGAGATAACGCCGACGCTGACGGATCTATATCATACATATTAGCCAACGCACCCAGTATCTTTTCTTGTATAGGATTTATACCTAAGAAACCCATAGACTTCCTAGTGCCGGAAGCCCAGATGTCGCAGTCACATTCAAACGATGCCCACTACGATGGGGGTCAGCGATTTCTTCGTTAAAGGGGTGTTGCAGGAGCCCTAGGCTCCCAAGACGAGCTAAAAAGAGGGGGAATGGGGGCTTGACACGCATACCTGCACTCCATCTTTACAGTTTCTGCAACCCAAATTCCCTTCCTTCGCTGGATAAATGATTCCGCCCGTGTTTATGAAGCAACTATCAGTCGAGTCATCAGCTTTTTCTCCTTTAAAAAGACATACCTACTAACTTAGGTAGGTAGCCTGTAGGTTGTGAGTATACTTTGACTTACTGGTTGAGATCAAGAAAGTAAGTGTATTTAACATCGCAGCTGTTTTGGTCTGGTAGACAGAACGTCTTGTTGGCATTGGCATCCCATGCCGCCTTTCCATTTTGGTCGATATAGGGAGAGACCTTCCCGTAGATTCCCCATGGAAGCAAGGCGAGGGCTGTGGCGAGGACCTTCATGATTGATATATAGGTAGTTGACCTGTAGTTAACGTACTGGATATAGTTGAGTTAGAATTTTCTATCTCCGTCGTCAGTCAGTATGTGTTGTAGTTTTCAAGCTTGCACAATAGGAATATATATAGTATTTATATTTGAAGCGTTCTGTAGAGATGGATAGTACAGAGTGAAGACATTGGAGACAAGATGCCCCTTTACAACATACAGATTGACTGATTTCACATACTAGTCGAACACATCCTCTCTTTATTCATGTTTGCTGTTGTTTGCTGTTGTTTAATTTATCATTCATTACGTGAATATGCTGCTAGCATAGTCTTTGAAATTACAACGTTTTGTTTAAATGTTATGTAGTGCATGCCTAAATGCCTCAATAGGCACTTAATATACCTATCTAGAATTCAGATAGAGTAACAAACTAATTCTAATTGCCCTCTCCAATTGGAATATGGGTGAGGCATTACACATTAAATTTTACTACTCCAACATCATTTAGACTTCACTTCTTTGAGCTTGGTATTCAACTCAGAACAATGGATTTTTTGAGTAATATGTTGCACATTTTCAAGGGCTATCCATGGAGGCAATTAATAGGTAGCATTCTTTTGCCGGCCAACACAATATCTTGCTAATCGGTACAATATTGAAAGCAGTTATTTTCAAGAATAGCAACACAATTATTAATAGAGTCAAATTTGATTGTCTGCCTGTAAAAATATTGACTTAAGTAAATGAAAAACCATGTTTATGTGATGGGGACCTCCTTATGAATAGAATCTAGGGGTAAATTAAACTGATGCCAAGATCGGGTATTTCCCTTCCCTTCCATCATATACGTACGAAATTCTTATGCGGGCAGGTATTTATCTCATAATTCCGTATCATAGCGTATTCACAACGGCCGCATGCCGTAAAGGAGGAAAAGAAAACCAGATGGACCTCAGTTATCCAACACATACTCGCTGTTCCAAGGTGTTTTTGTTACCCGTTTTCTTTTAAGCGTCCACTATAGTAGCGTGTAAAAACCCCAGCGGAAGATAAAATATAGTAGTTTTAATGAAGTGTTACCATAGTCAGTGTACATTGACGATGTCCTACTTTGTAGAGAGTCTACTTTACATTCAACGCGTCAGTCAAGACGGGAAGAGAGGCAGAATTCTCTGGAAGCAGATTATTATACCCATAGTTGACATTGAATGAGAAACACCCTCACTCCGATGGACGATTTTCAATTCTGACCGACAAATATATCCTGACGGTCGGGTTTTCGAATCAATCGCCCACCTAGTGAACTTATCATATGCGAGAACCTGGAAGGTACGAAGGAGGAATGCAGCGTGAGATAATCTGTTGGTATGATTGACAGAGCGCTACCTTTGCATGTGGCTTTGACATTGAATAGAATGTTTAGGATTAACTATTACCGATTTGCTCTCTGTTAAGAGATTAACAGACAAATGCCAAACTGAAAAGGTTAGATATAATTAGCAGTAAGAAAATGATGGACTCATAAGCCCCTATTAACTCAAAGATAGTTGTACAGACCACGACGGGCAGCGTAGGTGGTTGGTGTAAGGTAGGTAGGTACCTACTTATATATACTTGGGTAGAACTTGTAGGCGCCTATATAACTCGGTCCTGGAACGAAGGGATTGCTTCGATATAAGATAAAAGCTCTTGTATTTCGTCATTCTGTTGATATCGTCTATGTGGCTTCAGGGGGCACTTCAGAGTTGAATAGACATCTCGAGGCCGGTGGAACATAACCTTCGTCAAATTCGGTCTATAAATAGTGCGAATGGTTAGGTATCCAGGCACATCCTGAAACTAGAGTTCTCTACTTACAGCGCCATCCGGGGCCAGATACATTGTTGGGATGCAATGGAGACCGTTTCTGAATATGGTCCCACCACAGGTTGCCTCGCGAATAGCTGTTCTAACACAATCGTGCTCTGCATCTCGAGGATTCCATGCGGGACTGAAGTCAAATCTGAGATTGAGGCCCTCCTTCTGCACAACCTGGCCAGTAGAGCTATCGGCAGCCCAAGTGCGGAGAGAAGGTAGCTCTGGTGCTCTTCCAAAGTTGCAATGGAAAAAGTCAGGCGCCCCGACGGCACAGTTGTACATCATTCTCGCCTTGAACATCGCACACCAGTTCGCAGGTTCTTGTCCATTCCCGGAGAGCTTTCTGATTTAGTTGATAATATTAGTAAGGGGTACATCAATGTATTGATATCTCTTACATGTGAAATCTAAGGCGGTGGAATCTATAGCCCCAACCGTAGGTGTCGGCTTCGCAGTATTCCGTACACTCGGAACTGACATAGGGGATATAATTTAAGGCCCATTTACATTCGTCGGTTCCTTCGTATTGCCAGTTATCGTGATACTATGAGATTGCGCATTAGTGATTTCCATAGTCAATATTATGTATTAATAGATAACTGTAAGTAGGAAATCAAGGCAAATATACTAGAGTTAAGATTGACTCACGAGGTCATCGCCAGTTGTGTTCTTAGAGAACGTAGTCCCATTTGCTAAGGGAATAAGTTGACTGTACTGAGATATGTTCGCAGAAGTCGAATAATCGACACCAGCAGCTTCTGCCTGGAAGGCGACTATATGGGATACCAGTGACAAAAAGATAACAATAATGAATTGCATTGTGGCCGGCATCATCTGAGTAGTGACGATTGTTTGTATGATTTCTGTTAGTGATACGCGCAAGTGCAAGCGTCGCATTAGAGTTGAAGAAAAGAAGACGAGGAATTAACAAACGTAAGAAACATTTTACCTGAAATGAGAAAGCGATGATGAGTACCTTCCTACTTATAAAGTGCTACCAGTTGAAATGATGGGTTAGGCAGGTAGATTCGAGAGGGAGAACATTATAAAGACTGTTGCCAGGTGCAACTCGCTTGAAGATATAAAACAGGCGCATGTCGTACTAACTCTACTAATACGCCTTCCTGAACTTTCTACTGCGAATGTGATCAATGATCATGATAAACATGCTTATATACCTATATATATGTGTTTAGTATTAGTATCATTGCATAATGGATGTATTGTTGTGGATTGGGTAACTTGGTACCTATTTTGAAATATCGCAACTGATATATGGATGTTCTGAAATGAATCACTTATAAATGCGATAGCCGAAGAGGTTTAATGGGAGAAAGGCGATCAGACAGGAGTTGAAGTGTAGTTGAAAACGTTGGTAAGAGCATGCCTTCTATTGTATATCCCATATTTACCATATCGTTCATAAGGCACCAACCATGCTGACAATATCTCAAACATTCTAGAAGATGACCGTTATTCGTCTCACCTATCTTAAACCTTGAACTAGACTCGTCGAGGCGCAGTTTAAGCGTCACCTTGTGCGACCAATTTTCCTACAACCATGTACTTGCTCAAAAACCTCTCTTCCCAACCTTTCAAGCTCTCAAACTCCTCAGAACCGAGCCCTTCAAGCTTGTCGAGAGGTCCGTCGAGGTCCTTGGTCAGCATATCCTCAGCGAAACTGTGGAAAGCTAGGCCACGGCTAGCATCGCGACCGGCAAAGTTCTCGTAGGGGCCACCGGGCCCGTAGAAGTTGCGGCCGCTCGTAACGTCGAAAATCCGACCTCGCACAGCCAGAAATACTGGCATGCCGTTTTCTCCGTTATAAGGTAGTAGAGTGCGTGGGGTGAAGACCCGGAAGACGACGGCGGGCGGTTCGCGCGGAAGTGTCGCGGGAGGAGAGGGCTTGTAGAGCAAGTATGTCGTGTAGAGAGTGATGACTGCGAGAATGACATTGAGAGGCGTGACGAGCCCAGTGCTAGAGATAGCTTCATGTTAACCGGACATGCCGGAACTGCAGTGACACGGTGATAAGAGAACATACTATATCTCTGAGGAGGCTTTGGCAGCCTCCTGGGCTACGCGTTGGTTTACGTATTCCATTTCTCTCTTTCGGCTGGATGGTAACCCAACACGAAGCCAAGATCTAATGTTCAGAAAAGACGTTGATAACAAGTAGTAGGTACTAGGTAATAGGTTGAGTTGATGTAAGAGAAGGCCTACATCTGTTACATCTGTAGGTTGGAAGATGAGCTCGTACATGTCAGCGAATCGTGGCGGGGTATACTTTGGATGGTCCAAGCTTCGAATCCTACTTGTCAATCCTTGAAGCTTTACAGCTTATTTTTAGACTGTCAAAATGTATCTAGATATGTACATGTGTTGCCAGTCAAGTTTTAATACTAATTGAATTGATATTTACTATGGAATTGAGCTTACTTATTAAATATTTTGTGTTATCCGAAGTTTACTTTTATAAGATACGAATTACTACTAATTGCTATATAATATGACTTTGTGCTTAGTCTTCGAATTACCGGTAAATAAGGCTCTGATAGTGCTTGTTTTTAGGATGATTCTTCTAGGGACATGCTTACCCAAATATTATGCTAGGTGCCCTATCTACGGCACTTGGGTTGCTTAGCATTCGTTATGAGTTGACAAGTGCCGGCAATGGTTCTAGGTGCTGTAGGACTAGTCCGATCATTTCTAGGCTTTAACGAATACCTAGTTCTGTTACGCATTGGAAACATCGAGTCAAGGAACCATAAATGCATTCGGAAGTAGGTACTTGGCCGAATATAAACAGGTTACATGTAGTTATCATACAGATATTTGTTTATGAAGTGCACGTATTAATAAAGACAAGTTGGATCAATATGGTACCTAGTAGGAGTGAATCAGCCCTACCAGGTCCCTGTTTTAAAGTTTACCCCAATCCTATGGTGGAAGTCAGTTACAGCCTGTATGTGTACCGCCTACTGCACCTAGTACCTAGCAGTAGTACTCCAGCGCGATAGATCATGCTTCAAATTAATAGTCAAGTGCTACCCAAGCATTCAAATTGCTGGGTACGGATATCGATAGATAAGGGGAAGTTCAATTCGAACTTCCTCTTAACAACATTTTTTTATCATCCAGACTGTCGACTTCGTCGCGATGGATATATCGTATTTTGTCATTGCTCACCGACAATTGGGATTTAGTGTTTTCGTGTCAAAGTTCTTTGCCAAGGGCCATGGTTCATTAAAATGAATGATTCTCCTATTTTAATTCCGTTCTCCACGCATTGTGTCGCATCCCGCTCAGTCTGCTGCGGCTCAGCCTCATTGCCGTGCCGCAGAGGCTTGCTTATCCCCGATTCTATAGCCTGACGATCAACTAGAACAAAACATCCTAGGCTCCAACAATCATTCACTCCTTTACAGGCTTTGTAAGGCCTGTATGCATTTTACTACTGTCTTATTATTGGAGACCGGCTTGCTTTTTTCACTCTTGTATCTTCCAATCCCTAGTCCAATAGTCCGATAATCCAATCGCTACAACTTTCTCGCTATCGATATCCCTTTCCCGCCCTTTTCTTCGATTTAAGAAACAAAATACGTACATGCAGACCATGATCTAAGAAGGGCACGAGGACACCAGCCCTACCATGTTACGACGGATTATCCGTCCCGCACGACGCCTACCAATATGGCTTTTACTCTCCGTCGCCGCGCCTTTCGTCTTCGAGGTTATTTTACATCTATGGCGGTATAACGTGCCGAAGCCTGCGAGCGAGCTCGATACACCGTTTTTTACATCATGTCAAGAGCCCGACATTAGTGCGAAACGAGAGAACGCGATCCTAGTAATGCTTGCGCGAAACCACGAACTCGAGAAGGCTAATAAAACAATTACTTCGATTGAAAGACAATTCAACAAGTGGTTCAACTATCCTATCTTATTCCTCAATGACAACCAGTGGGATCCTAAGTTCATAGAGGTACTAAATAAGACGTCACGAGGATTGGCAACTTTCGAAGTCATACCGCAGGAAACATGGACATTTCCCGAGGGCGTGGATGCGAATGCAGCGAAACAGAATATAAAAGAGCAGGGCGAGATGGGGATTCCGCATGCGGGTGAAGAAGGATACCATCACATGTGTCGCTTTTATTCGGGGTAAGTATGCGCTGCGTAATGCATGTCGCAGATCTAGGGTTGCAATAAGGAAGAATAACTTCAACTAACATGCGTGGAAGAAAATTCTACCTGCTCGATGCGTTAAAGAAATATAAGTGGTACTGGCGACTCGAACCCGATGTCGATTTCAACTGCGCGATCTCATACGACCCCTTTGTTCAGATGGCACGACACAAGAAGGTCTATGGCTTTACGATTGCGTTGTGGGAAATAGGGAAATCATGTCCTGGCCTATTCCGCTCCGTCGCGGATTGGAAGGAGATGATGGGTATCCCTACAAATAACCTCTGGAAGGCTATGGTATCGGCTTCGTGGATGCCATTCCCATTTCGACGATTCATGAGCTGGCTTCCGCACCGTGATGCCTATGGCGATGAATGGAGCTTATGCCATTACTGGAGCAACTTTGAGATTGCCGACATGGACTTTTTCCGAACGAGGGCGTACCAGGATCTCTTCGAGTACTTAGACAAGAAGGGCGGGTTCTACTTTGAGCGGGTAAGTAGTTTTAACCCATCTAGGTCACGTACCTAAACTACGTACAAACAATTGTTCTAACAATCATATATAGTGGGGTGACGCCGCGGTACACTCCCTTGCCGTCGCAATGCTCGTAGATCCGCGTAAAGTACACCATTTCGAGGACTTCGGATATCGACATGACCACCTATACCAATGCCCTGCCAATGCGCCGGGTGGCCAGCTACCCGAGTCTCAGTTGCTAGGGAGCGGGACGTGGTCACCAGAGATGGATAACGGAATCGGGTGTCGCTGCGAATGCGACGGGCGGGTACAAAGTAACTACGGGGGTTACTGCTTGAACAAACTAAAGCAACCTACGACTGTAAAACGGCCGTGGTTCACGTGGCTCCTATAGCATAGGATAATCGGCATTTTGGTTGTTTCCATCTGTTGTTATTCCCTCCTGACCAATTTACGTTGGGTTCTTCTCGCATTGGACATATAAACAGGAAGAGCATAGCCCTAGGTGCTCGCGGTGCTTCTGGCGTACTTGTATTTATATAACACCATCGCATGGGAAACGGGGACAGGAGGAACTGGATACCACGGAACGGCTGCTTCATAGATATAGGGGATCTCGCATGATCGCATGATCGCGTGTGCGCTTCTGACCGGTTGGAACAGAGAAATACCAGTCATGCGTTACAAGATGAAGCATGTTAATACTTGATATTTTCCAGAAGCTCATTGCCAAAATAAAATTTAATGTGCAATGCCTGGAATGGAACATATGTTGGACATCATTGCTCTAATTTATATATTCCCGTGCATGTCAAGGTACAGCCAAAGCATAGCACGATTCGTCTAATGTATAATGTTTTGTTAGGACTTAATTCAAGCATCTATGAGCATGTGTATATGTACGTTTCGATGATTAAATAGATGCTTGGTTGGGATATCCCAACTCTATACATATATTGGAGGCGGTAACCAACCTCATACCTCCACAGCCGTACCTATTCTAACAAACGCCTGCAATGCAACCGCGACGCCGACACGTAGATACCTATACTTAGAACAGTCGCTCACCAACCTGCTCCATCCCGTTTCCCGCGGTGTGAAGTATCATTTCCACATCCCCCTTACTTCACCCTGCCTGCCATCCCTTCCATTTCTATAATCCCTAAAGCAACAGAACGCACTCAACTAAGCCGCGACTTCTAGTCGTCGTCCGCGTACTTCGGGCCCTGAATATTATTGTTATGGTAGTCCGGGAGCAGGATGTTGTCGGCGTCCAGACCATTGCCATTACCAGGCGTATTCCGGATCCACTCGGTCTCGACGCGGAAGAAGATCCATATCCATCGACGGAACACCTCCAGCAGCTCAATTACAAAAATCGACCCTTCCCAATCGGCTATCCGGCCCAGATGCGGGCTTAGCTTCAAACTCCATGTACACCGTAGAAACAGGTCCATCGCAATAACTACGTAATACAAGCCAGGTGGCCCAACATGCAGGCGGCGTCGCAGACCAAACGCCTTCAGCTCGGGCGAGTTCCGCGCCTGGCTGTCGAACAGCAGGAGGTCCCAATCCTTAGCCACGTCCCAGTAGAAGCTGTACAGCGAGTTGACAGCGCAGGCCACGATCCAGGCTTGGTAGTAATGATGCGGAGGCGGCTGGCCACCGGACGAGTTGCGCTGCAGGGCGCTGAATATGATAACCGGGAAGGCGGTGAAGTACTTCGTCGCATTGGCGAGGTGCTGGCCGCCCCAGCCCGTGGCCTCTGTTCGCCGGCCCCGGCGCACGCGCGAGTATTCGATTAGACACTGGCGAAGACGGATCAGCGAGGGCAGCGCCATGACCAGCGGAACGACGACGGTGCCGCCGCAGCTGCGGTCGGGACGCGCGGTTGCGCCGCCTCCTTCGCTGCGGAAGAACATGCATAGTGCTACGTATAGGTCTGCGAGGACCTTGGCGTAGCTCGTTAACACATCGGCAAGTAGGATGTCGCCGAACCGGCCGTCCTTTGTCTCGGCGAGCCCGCCTACGCTGATGCGCTTGAGGGTCGAGCGTAGGCGTGTGCGCCCGCCGTGCGATAGCGATTTGAAGAATGGTGCGAAGACGAGGATTCCGAGGAGGACGGCGAGGTACATCAGGGGTAGCCAGTCCCATGCTAGGACTAGATCGGGGTTGCGGTGTGTGAAGACCCAGAAGACGAGAAGGGCGAAGGCGAAGATCGAGGAGAGGACGGTGGCTAGTCGGTAGGTAGACAGGTGGTGCGTTGGATGGTGCGGCGAGGGCCGGCCCGGATACCGGATCAGAGAAGGCACATCGATGCCGATGAGGTAGAGGTAGTGTAGGTTAATGCCCCATGCCCAAACGGCTGTTATAGAGGTAAGAGAAGGTGTAAGCTAAAGTCAATTCGAACCATGGCTAGTCAGTGAGGTAGAAAAACTAACCTAACACAATAATGAAGGCCACGCGGTACGGCAAAGGGAAAGTCAAGCTGAAGGAGTCGAGCTCCGACTCGACTGCAGGATCACCGTCCATGGCCCGGGAAGATCTGAGTCCGTATAACTAGCATCGAGAATTATTCCCCCCAATCTCTTATACGGGGATATGTAGAATAAACCACAAATAGTGGTATTGAATAAGCGCCGAATTGGAATTAGTTAGTTACGATAATTCTTCAAAGTTGTGAAATATAAAAAATAAAAGATATTCAAATATTCGTATATGAATATGTACATGCCAGATAATGATTTTATCGAAATTAGCGGATTGGCGACGTCACCTTGGCGAGGCTACGTACCGCGAATCCCTGCTGCGCTAGCGCCCTTCAGAAGAGAGGGAAACCCCTGGCTCTTTGTTTAGTGGAAGTCAATCACGGCTGACCAAATCGCCGAGGTACGGCAACTGTAGTGATATCCACATATTCGAAGCTTCACCTCTAAAACTCCAAAAACTTTATCACATATAGCAATTCAACTCATACAATGAGATATCTAGATCTTTGTTCCAACCAATAACTCCTTCAACAGACATGAAAATTGAAATATAGTCATCACAAACGAATCTAGAACAACAATGGCAAACGATCCTCCACCTCCACCGTCCAACGGTCCCTCCCCATCAACATCAACACCCTCTACCGCCTCTCCCCCATCAACCTCGGCACCACCAACCACAACGTCGAGCACACTCCCATCCTCACCATCAGCCTCACCATACCCCTTCGCCTTCGCCCCCGACATAATCCGCGCCCACCAGAAAGACGCGTACTTCCAAGGCCTCCTCACGAACCAAATATCCGACCTCCACCGGCACCTGCTCGGCGCCCGATCAGCCCACGCCTGGGCCTCCGAGTCGCGCACCCTCGCCGACCTGCTCTACCTCTGCCTAACCACCCTCCTCGGCAACCGCACGCTAGGCGAAGAGTACTGCGGGCTAGTGCAAGTAGAAGCCGTGTCCGGCGCTCTGCCAGCACTCTCCAAACGCGCCGCCTACATCGCAGGGAGCATCCTCGCCCCCTACGGCGTCTCCCGGCTCCTCCCCAAGATCCGCGCCCGGATACGCGCCCGTCTGCAAAAAAACCTTGGCCTCGGCCCCAACGACGACAGCCTGCCCGCCAAACCCCACGGACCCCGGTCCTGGTCGCACAAACTGCAATCCTACCTCCTCGCCAACCTAACCTCCATAACCTCCGATGCCCCCGTCCACGCGGCCAGTCTAGCCCTCTTCTACTTCAGCGGGTCGTACTACGAGCTCGCAAAGCGTCTCGTCGGACTACGGTACATCTTCACGCAGAAAATAGGCGAGTCCTCCGACCGAGCCGGGTACGAAGTCCTCGGCGTCCTGCTCGTCGTGCAGATGGCCGTCCAGGGGTACCTGCACATCCAATCGACCCTAACCACACTCACCCCCACCACCCCCCTCGCTCTATCCCCAGGCACCAACAGCCCAACCGACCGCGCGCGCAGCACAGGCGCTCTCACCGTCTCCCTCGACGAAAACGCGTACTCCTCAAACAACACCCTCCTCCCGGGCGTCTCCGCCTCGCCCACAACCCGCATCGACGTCTTAGCCGCAACACACACGCCGGGCGGGGGGCAGCCACGGTACGATTTAGCCGAGGCGCAGAGCATGCGATGGATCAAGGGGGGGCAGCAGCGGAAATGCACGTTATGTCTGGAGGAGCTGAAGGACCCGGCAGCGACGCAGTGCGGACACGTGTTCTGCTGGTCCTGCATCGGGGACTGGGTGCGTGAGAAGCCCGAGTGTCCGCTTTGTCGGCGGGAGGCTTTGGTGCAGCATATACTGCCTTTGCAGGCTGTTTAAACGAAGGGAAAGGAGAAGAGAAGGGGGGAGGGGAGGGAGAGGGGTGTGGTGTTGTAATCGAAGTAGTAAGAGCTGTAGATGTAGCGGTGGAGTAGGCTTAGTGATGTGAAGATGAGACGTAAGAGGAATAGGTTGAATGTCGTTCTAATGGAAAATAAGATAGGGGATGGGGGCAGTTCTACATATTACATCCTAACACACATATCACGAACATCAGAGACGGAAGGATGCCATATGTACTTAAGTAGCATGCAAGCATCACGATATCAGCAATATGAAAAAGAACATATTTTATAACATCCATTGATATGGAAGATAACAATGCTACAAATGCGATCGAGAACGCTTCTCTAGTTGGCTTCAGCCTCCCTATCCACCACATTATCTGCATTGCCCTCGGCATAATATTCGAAAACATTTAAAGGGACATTCAAGAAAATGTGTACAGGTAGTAAAACAAGCCAGTGAACCTCCCCCGCCAACTTTGCGACGTCGATGCGACTTCCTCAATGATGAGGCTTCAAGACCAGCTCAGAAGCAAAATTGTTTTGATGCGGGACACCGGTACATATCCCAAACCATCCGCCGTCCGCCCACCGTCCGCCATCCACCTTGTTCAAGCATTCCATGCTCAGGTATCACATCCATTAGTTCCCAGAAAAGCATCCGCCTCCACTAAAACGCCGACCCTCTCCCTTTTAAGACCAATCGATACACTTAGGGCTCGATCGAGAATAAAATGATCTCCCCACGATCATTACGACGCATCCGTAACGACCGCCAGAGCTCCTTCTCCTCCACTGACTTGCCCAGGCTAGTACCGGATTCAGATCGTTCACGGTGATATTTCTTCAGGGCTTTGTTTACACTGCAACCCCGTTCACTCTCCGGTCCCTTGTTGCATAAGCTCAGGAAAACATCGGATCTCGGCTTGTAAAGGATCATCTGACCGGACTCTCCTTCTTTCTCGTCTCCTGATTTTGACTTGGGTCGGTACTCGATCAACTTCGGGATCTTATCAGAGCTTGAATGACGCCGAGTCTTCTTCTTATCCTTTTTATCCTTATCCGATGAATGCTTCCGCTTCTTAGAAATCTTCGATTTAGATGTGCCTGACATGAAGGCCTTGAGTCCTCCACTGAGAGTCTCTGTCCGACTAGGCTTGGATTTGTGAGACTTGGAATGCTTTGTCTTCTTGATAGGGCTTGCAGGAGAATTTTCTCCGCCGTCGCCTCCGGAATAATCGGGCGATGGAGGAAATTGGGACGGGCGCATGAGACGGTTAAGACCTCCGGTTAACCCCGAATGAAGGACAGGTGCATCGGTCATGACTTCGTCTCCGGTATGCTTTGTGAGTGCCAACGGTCCAGGCGTTTCAATGTGGAGCCGCTTGCGCTTCTTGTCCTTCTTCACCTCACGTTCACCTGTGCTATCCTTCGACTTCCTTCGATGAATCTTGGGTGCCGGTGTTTGATACTCGATAGGCGGTCCAGCATCGGGTCCGTATTGAGCCATCGCTTCGTCGTCAATCATATATCCTGTCGGGTCTACGTAGTCCTCTTCTAGACCCTGGTCAAATCGCACTAGTTGCCGACCGCCACTGTTGCCACTAGTTTCCGCCATGTTGTTAAAATATTGTAGGTTGACTTGGGATATATTAGGAGTCTGGTCGACCAAAAAGTCGAATACGTTCACGTTCGGGTCATCGTCAACAGCCGGCGGAGGAGTAGGTGCCTCCGGAGGCAGGTTTGCCTCTTCGTTTCCATCTTCTTCGTATACCTGATACTGTCGGTAATTTTCAAACTCCTCCGTCACATCCTCGACATATGCGTTATGAGCCATAGTTTCAGACCTGCCAGAGGGTTCGGCGTTGTTGGATTTTTGTCGCTTCGGTTTATATAGTGCACCTTGATATTTTTGCTCTTCTGTCATACAACTCTGATAAAATATGTTAGATGATGTTATTGTCTTATCGACTTGACAGACCGAGACTTGCGACCTACATTATGCGCGCGATAGTCAGTGCCGTAGAAGTGGACCATGCAATCAATGCAGGTGAAAGTAGCGCCGCGGCAACGGTTTCTATGTGGGTCGAGTTTCTTCTTGGTCAAAACGTCACCGCAAGCCTGTGGGGATGAAAGATAAGTATAAGTTAGATGGTAAAAAGAATATGATGCAAGTGACTGTTGTTAAAGAGATGCGAAGAGAGATACGGAGAATGCAATTGGGTTTCAGGGGGGCGTGTGTTTTATCTGGTTGGAGGGGCAGAGGGGTGAGAGAGATCAGGAGGCAATGGGTTCCAATACGTTCCAATATTATGGGGTAGGTATAAACAGGGGTGTGAAGGTGTGAAGGTGTGAAGGGTGTGTAGGGTGTGAAGGATGATGGATGGTCAATGCTAAGGTTGCTAGGTTGGTGTATTAGATTGCGAATGGTGCGAATGGTGCGAAATGGTGCGTAATGGTGATCGCTGGGATGGCGCGAGGGATCTTTAAGGGGGTTCCACGGTAGCGCAACGCGAAATGTCGTGTGTTGCTCGAAACAGATGGATACCGAAAGAGGGAGGGTTGGGCGTGATGGGTAGAGGGCCGTGATGTCAGGCACGCTTTGGGGCTTTTGGGGCTTTGGGGTTTAAATTATGGAATTGGCGATATTACCTCACACGAGAAGGAGACCATGTTTCTAACTGGTTTAAATCTGATGTGCTGTCGGGTATGTTAAAAGCTGATTGGCGCGCAGCTGTACAAATTTCTTGTGTGTCTCTTGTCGTGAGTGGTCGAGAGAGAAATTTGTTGTTGTTTTCTGTTTTTGTCTTTCCTTTGGGGGCTGCAGATGGTACTATGCGTGCTATGCGTGCTATGTAGATAGCAGATGGCAGTGCAGGTATTCTAGCCCTCAACAGGCGAAGTCGGGGAAGGGGATCAAAGCTGATAGGGCAGAGAAGACAGCCTAGACAGCCTAGAATTCCCAAGACGGGAACAATATAGTAATGATAGACAGCCGGTTCCTGGCTGGTATGGTAGGATTACTAGTCTTCTCCTTCCCAAGGGGTTACGAACTCTTCGGAATGAAGGGTCTTTTTCGCCTCTAGATAGTTGGTCTCAATACTGAGCATAAATGCGTCGTCATGAATACCTGCTTGTAGTACGAAGCCCAATGGGACAAACCTGGTATGACCCTCTCCAGCGGTACCGGATGAAGATAAAGATTACCTAGGTAGAGATGGATGCAAGGCCTACGTCCCAAGCGCCAATGTGCAAAACAGGGGCAGATCCAAGCGTTCGTTGGTTTCCGAAGTCAGGGCACTCTTTATTATTAGAACAGAGAACGATCTTGTCTGGGGTAAATTGTTGCGGGCTGAATTTTTATAGGCCGATGGAGTAGGAATCAAGGGAATTGGAGGCGGAGTTGATTAAGAATAGAATTTCAAATTTGAAGTTCAGAATGTGGAATGTAGAATGTAGATAGAATGTAGAATTGAAGCTTTCCAGGAATTGAATAGAAAAAGATAAGTTGATCGATTTTCTGTGAAGGATCTCAATTATATGGTTCTGTGCTGTGACTGGACAATGGGTGGCTACAGATCTTGTGAAAATATTTTCTTTCTCTTTTAGAAATTGGGTGCATTGAAGTTTTTCGCGTTGGGCGCTGCTGCGTTATGCGCGAATCCTCAATGGGGAGCGCTTGCTCTATCCTTTCTATCAATTGGGATGTGAAAAGTTTGTTTTGGGATAGCAACGGATAATTGGCAACTGGCAACGGGCGCTAGCAGGTTAGTGCTAGTGCTAGTTTAGCTCACCCAACTCCCAACTCCTGCCCATCCAGCCAGGACCAGCCAGGTCCCGCCAGCCAGCTTCGTACCCCCAAGGCGATCAAGTCGTCAGCGTTGGATAGCATTGGACAACATTGGATGTAACAAGCATGGTGATTCGTTTGGCCGACAACCGGGCATGATTCTTCTAGAAAAGATCCAACCCTTTACGGAGTGAAATCTACGATGATCGGCTTCATTGTGCATGAAACAATACGAATAAGGTAGGTGGATTCAATCCATGCTCCTAGTTGTACATATGTATTGGTTCTTAAGGGCTCTTTTACCAGAAAACCAACGTTGAACATTCATGCTGTTAGGATAACGATGGCATAAAAATAAATTGTACATCCATACCTGTGTACAATACAATGCAATGCCTAGAGGTGCCTAGGCAAGCCTATCTAAAGAAAGTTAAAACAGAATGGGGACAAGACGACGATAGACTTCACGAAGAGTTCCGGGGGCTTAGCGTTTTCTATTTCAATCCAAAACAGACCCGCTAACCACGAAACTGAATGTTTCTGTTTTCAACATCAGTTCCTCGGTCTGGTGATACACATGTGCAATTAGATACATAGACATGTATATAGTAGGTAGTATTCAGCCCCAATATGAATCTTGGAAATAATGCGACTATTGATCACCACGATGAGGGAAGTTAGAAATGATCTGCTTAACTTAAAGGGTAGGTCGTTACATAAAATACTTTACACGAGGGTGCAGGTGATTATCATCCTTTATCAATGTGATGAGGAAGGGTTTAACCAACATTGAAATCCATGTCATGTAAACCTTGGAAACCTGTTGTGTAAAGACAACCTTTAACACAGGACGCCGGCCGTAACAAGCTGTCGGGAACATTGAAATCTCTCCATTGATTGTCAATTATCTTAGTAACAAAACTCAAAAGCTTCAACTTGGAAGGTTCTAACCACCTGTAACTAGACGAGAAACAGTTAGTTGGTACTAGGTACTAGGCAATTGTGGCTCATCGGAGGTGTTTAATAATTTTCCAACTGGTGGTTCGGTCTTTCCCTTCCCAAATAATGCTTAGCTAAAATCCCTGGACCGAGGATTTGTTCAAGTCCAACCCAGTCAACCAGTCCAATCCAGTCCAATCCAATCCAATCTCAATCCCAAATCATCCACAGACCACCAAAAGTGAAGACTTCATAGATCCACTCAACGCATGCAAGCCTCCTAAAGGTCCTCCTTTTTTGTGTGTGTTTCATGTTGTATCTGGTTACCGCATTACCGCATACCGCATAATTCTTTCCTCCTCTTTTCTTTCTCTTCTACCAACTGGCATTTGCTTAGTTAGGCCATGTCTCCTTCAGGAGCTTCATCGTCACATCTAAGCTATCCGGAGCAGATAATATCGCTCCTCAGCACCGTGGCCGCTTACATGCGTTTGCCAGCTTTGGCTTCCACGGTATGCCTTCACCGTCATCTTCCTTTCAGACCTCAACCTCAGCTTCGTCCACCTCCTCGATCTTTGCCCGAGCTTGTCGGCACACACAAGTCGCTATTGCAAAACAATGCCGAGCTGCAGCTGAGCTAACTATCGTAACCCAGGGTGTTGCCGCCGTCCTAACCACCCTATTGTACTTCAAGCAAAAGTAAGCAACGCTACACCCCTTTCCGTCAAGCCCTTCGATACAACCTATCATCTGATGTAGGGAGCTAATCATCCTAACCCCACGTTACAGAGCGCTGATCTACCCATCTCACATGCCCCCGAATGCTCGGACTAACGTTCCTCGACCTTCGCAATTTGGCATCAAAGACTTTGAAGAGCTGGTTATACCTACCAATGATGGCGAGAAGCTGTCAGCATTCTACATTCGTGGTCCCAGGGACGGCCGGAACTCGAACTGTACTATTTTGATGTTCCATGGAAACGCCGGCAATATTGGTCATCGACTACCAATAGCTCGCATGCTTATCAACTATATCGGCTGTAACGTCTTCATGCTCGAGTATCGGGGCTACGGCTTATCGACTGGAGAACCAGACGAGAAAGGTCTGATGCGCGATGCCCAGACCGCCCTCGAATACCTACGAAATCGAGCGGAGACGAGTAACCATAAGCTTGTAGTCTACGGACAGAGTCTAGGAGGGGCCGTCAGTATCAAGCTAGTATCTAAGAATCAGCATAAGGGAGATATCGTTGGCTTGGTCCTCGAAAACACATTTCTCTCTATGCGATCTCTAATTCCGTCGGTCATTCCACCGGCCAAGTACTTGACTATGCTGTGTCACCAAGTTTGGCCAAGCGAGTCTATATTACCATCCATCACCGAAGTTCCGATATTATTCCTCAGTGGTCTCCAAGATGAGATTGTCCCGTAAGTTAACTTTATTGACTCTATTTACACTCCACCCTTTGTAAGATATCGATCATATGATGATTCAAGACAACCATCCACAAAATATGAGCTCCCTTTTGAGCACGGATTAAATTTTGTTCCCTGATAATCAAATATTCTGCTACAATCCCGGCATGTCTCAGTTGGAGAAGCTCAGCTGATTCGTCGACTAACGTCATTTGTCTCACAGACCCGCTCACATGAGAAGACTATACGAAGTCGCTACTACACCAACCAAAATATGGAAGCCCCTACCGGGTGGTGATCACAACTCAAGCGTATTGGAAGAGGGATATTTTGAGGCGATATCCGACTTTGTTTCTAACATTGCCGGAGATGAGAAGTCATGACCCTCCTAGCGACGATAGACACGTCCATAATATGGCGACGGCTAAGAATGAGCGCCGCGCCTATTAGGTTTTGCACCCTTTTACCTGAGATACCCCCTACCCTCGCGTCAGATTACGCGATAGGTCTTACCTATGAAATATAGTATATTGATATTTGTAGTACACTTACTATATAAGTGATTGGCGTTCCTCTAATATCAATATTAAATAGGCGCGACAATGCATCTGCATCCGAATCACATATGACAAAAAGTAAGCTTACAGCTCAGACTCAGGCTCAGGCTCGGCTCCGATTGAGGAGAGCCGAAGCTCGTCGTCGGATTATATCAGCAGTGATCCCTGCGGCTAAATATTGAAAGTTCCTCTCTGCGCTTGTTGAATCTGGTGTGAATCACGATTACCTTGCCTGCTTGCCTATGCAGGTTCCTGGCAGCAAAGACATACGTGTCACCTGTGATTTAGGGTTGAGAAAATTACATTTACTCGCTACCGCCCAATGTCTTTCTATCTTCCAGGGTTTTACCCTTATGGATAAGCCCCGAATCTATCAGGTCTCAAGCCTTAGGTATTAGGGCTACGCCTAGTGAGCGGGATCGAGCTCCGGAGCTACCCAAGGTGGGGTTCGAAGCTTTTGGTTCGTCAGATGTTTACCTAGGTACTTAGGTAAGCCCGAGATGTGCTGATGAGCGGCTGAAGGCTTTCGTCTCACCATAGCCTAACTTCGAGATCTAGCCCGAATAACGTGTCCGGGTCTTATGGCATTGCCACACCGTGAAAACAAATAATAACTCATCTTCCATGAATTCCATGAATTCCACGAATTCTATGAAAGAATAGTTGAGCCACGATGTTCTCGGCTATGAGCTGAAGGCTCTAAGCTAATGATTTCCAATTTCATAAGCCCCGATTGGAAACGTGGCGATATGCTTATTTATTCTTCGCATTCTTCGCACTCTCGTGCCTGGGTTAACATTTGATACGTTATTATCGCCAAAACCGCAACACGTCATCCCGCACAAATTCATCCAGATCATAGGATATGAGTGACTATAATTGTCCTGGGCACCAATGAGTCATCACAAGCATTATTTCGAAATTTCATTCTTAACAGGACAATTGTGAGCTGTACAAGAAAATCCACTCAAAGCCTTACTTCGATGCGGCTCAGTTTGTTATGTAGCTCACCGGGTGTGCCTAGATAATTAGTGAGATCGTCACGTAGCTTGAAGGTGTAGGTGTAGGTTTTCGGATTCAAATGATGGATATTCTACCACTTTCATTTCTCGACGCTGTGTATATTACCAGAGTAGGTATTGACCATTCAGAACCTAGGAGATACGTTAGTTACTAAGCATTGTCACTTGGCGGATTCGTCTCACTCTTAAACAATACCTGGGGTATTAAGGATTAAATACGAAGAGCCAAGTTTTACACAACGCCGATGTTTCGTAGGCTTCTTCCGTTAAATTCCGGTACCCCGGACTAGGCTACCATTAAGCTGCTTTCTGATTGCATTAGCACTATAAAATTCCAAAACGTACGAGCAACCTAGAGCTGAATTGGCTATAGGCTTCAGCTGAAGGATGCTTATACGAATAGAACCACCAGATTCATCATTTTATAACTTATATGTATAAGACACTATCGTCTCACAGTCACTTCCTCGAATAGTGTCTCACATCTCGAGTTACTTTGATTCGGAGTTCATTTCCCTCGGAATCAATCATCTGAGTACGTAAAACGCCATTATACGAACCAAGCATAAATGTAATAGGGATATTGAATTATTCAAGCAAGAATGGCGTTCCCATCAGTAGAAGAAGTATCCAAGAGCCCAGCATTCCCCACAGCGATCTGGAAACTCCAGCCGCACCGAAGTGGCCTCTTACCCGTCGCTGCTAGTCGAGGCGGGCCCCTGAATATCAGCTGGGAAGTCCACGGCGATGGACCTATCAAGCTTATCGTAGGAATTTCCATCTTCCCTAACCTCCTATCTCCCTGCGCACCTACCTAGGTAGACATCAAATAGTATTCGCTCTTAACAATAAAGGTGTAGCTCATAGGAGGCATCGGCCTCACGAAAGCGGACTGGCAACCGCAGACCCTGTACTTCGGCCACGAGCGCGGGGACAGGTACTCCGTGCTGATCTTCGATAACCGCGGCGCGGGCGCCTCCGATAAGCCGGTGCTGCGGTACAGCACGTCGGAGATGGCGCGCGATTTGGTCGAGGTGCTGGATCATATCGGCTGGACCGAAGAGCGCCAGCTTCATGTCTCCGGCGGTAGTAGTAAGCCCCTTCCCCCTCCCCCTTTTCAACAAAACCTAGATAGGTAGTGTACCGAGGTAGGCAGTCATTGACCAGCACCACAGTGGGCGGCATGATCGCCCAAGAACTCGCGGTCCTAGCCCCCCAACGCATCGCCAGCCTAAACCTGCACAGCACAGCCGCGAAGATCGAGGCCACGGGCTCGTTCACGGAAATGACGGGCCGGCTCGGGACCCTGTTCCCCCGCAGTCTCGAAAGCGAGATCCGCGCCACGGCGAAAGGGTGTTTCCCGCAGTCGTGGCTCGAAGGCGCGGACGAGGCCGAGGTTCCGAGCGCAGCTACGCCGAGGTGTGAAGTGCCGAAGGGAGGGTACGGGAGGTTCGAGAGTAACTATGCGCGGTTCGCGGCGCAGGAGATCTGTGTTGGGCGCGGGAAGAACGGGGTTTTGCTGCAGGCTGTGGCGGCGGGGTTTCATCGGAAGAGCCCGGAGCAGTTGCGGGATCTGGCGGATCGGGTTGGGAGAGGCAGGATTATGGTTATGCATGGGGTGGAGGATGCGATGATTCCCGTGGATCATGGCAGGACGCTGGTGCAGTACTTGATGCCGGGGAAGGCGCTGCTTGTGGAGGGCTTGGGACATGCGCCGATTTATCAGCGGACGAGGTGGTTTAATGAGGTTTTGGAGGAGAGGTGTGCTGTTGGTGAGAGGTTGAGTGGACGGTGAGGGTGTGGGGTTGGTGTGGATGGAGCTGAAGACATAGCGATGAGTTGGTTGTATTGAGATTATAGTAAATATCCCTCTGATTCGGATTATATTCAGTTGCTCTTGGTACCATTCTGTGATAATTAACTACTAGGTACCTAGGTAGGTAGATAGGGGTGATAGGGGTTAAGTAGCGGTGCAATCTCGTGAGTCCTTACATCTACGACTATCCCTCATGCAATATTAACTCCTCGGTTCCTAGCACGAATCATCAACTTTGGAACCTTCCATAAAGAGACCATCCGAATTTCCTTATGCCAATCAAGTGTTGGATCAACTAGTTCCAAGTCATAAACCCAGAATAGCTTAGCAAGAGTAACATGCAATTCTAACCATGCCACATTTCTACCTATGCAAACCCTTGGGCCAAGTGAGAATGGCTGGCTACTATCGAGAACATCGTTATTGTTAGGATCAATCCACCTTTCTGGTTTGAAAGACCATGGGTCATGGAAGTTTGCCGAGGATAGGGCAGTTGCAAAAGTGTTAACTGCTACATGAACCTACGATAATGATCAGCTCTCTCATCTCAATTTTGATATTGAGAAATATATAAGGCAATACTGACCCCTCCAGGAAGAAAGTGGCCGTCGACTGTTTCTCCGCCGCTAGGCACGTCGCGAGGTAACGGGAAAGATACTGGGGGGGAGATGCGTAGCCCTTCCTGGATGACCGCGCGGAGATACTTCATCGATATCGTAGAGGAATATGTAATCTGTGAGTAATCCTCGAACGTATCTCGAATTTCAGCCTTGAGCTTTGCGAGAGAAGCCGGATTTGAAAGCAAGAAGTATACTATGGCGCTTAAACCAGCAGCAGTAGTATCACTTCCCGCAATTACTATATCAGAAGAGTGAGCAGAAATCTGTCTGTCTGATATCACATTAGGGTCTCGTTCCTGGACGATTCTAGTCAAGAAGTCCTTGCGATCTGTTTTCGTCTCTATCCGTCTTATGGATGTTAGCATTAACGAACCAATTGTTGATATGATCTACCTACTTCTTTACTGTTTCGTAAACAAACTTCTCATTCGTCCTCATGTCTGACAATGCTTTCTTGAACTTTCCATTCAAGAGTAGAACAACGCCTCTAGCCAGAGTTGGATAATGGTTGAGAACGTCTACAAGAACAGCCATCATTAACGAACCGATGGCAGCAGCGACCCATGGATGTCTCGTCTCTATAACGTAGTTTAGTATTGATTGTTGACTGAGGAAGCTTCACAAGACTCAATACTGACCCATGTCCAATGCGCCGAACGCTTTGCCGAATGCTAGGTCACCCATCACGTCAAAAGTCATAGCCTCAAATAGGGGCGCTAAATCGAATCCCCCTTCTCTAGAACCCCTGATGCCAACCTGACGAATGAATTTATCGGCGGAGGTAGCAATGAGCCCCTCTTGCTCGACAATCGCGCGTTCGGAAAAGGCACTAGCCCAGGAACTTCGCATCTGCTTGTGAACTTCAGGCCTTCTTTCACTGACGATGGTTGAGAGGCCGCGGTTGAATTCCTGCGCCGTGAAGCAAGCACCATCGTAGAATTTACCCTTCCAGAATACCTGACGGCCAGACCTATGGGTATGGATATCCCTCCATGCCTGTGCGGTGTTAAAAGCGACCTCATTTGGGGCGATACGGATAATAGGGCCTGTGTTGGGTCAGCTTCAATCGGACTTGTATACCTAGTACCTGGTAGTTAGGTGGAATAGACGAGCCATATTTATTATGCAACTCAAGCATTTTGAAAGGCTGGCGGCCTCCGATAAGCCACCAACAGTAGGGGACCTATGGCTTATAAGTATTGAACCGCTTGGGGAGTGGCGTTGAAACATACATCAGTAATGGCGGCTATCCAGGGACCTGGAATCTTAGACAGTGGATGGAAGTAGAGATTATAGACTATCCGAGATGTCCATAGGCCAATAAGCTAGCAATATTTTTGATTAGTCGTAACTATACAATTGGAAGATGATTCATACCAGTAAAGAAAAAGGCAAGATGCCGGCTTGGATGTATTCGGTGGACATCGTGTCGGGATATCTTGGTAACTTCGTTATACGGAGAAGGTCTATCTTGGGCAATCAGAAAAGGGAGAAGTTCATGCGTAACACAACAGGATATCCGGGATGTAATACTATGCTGATGTCTTGGACTATACATATTATATACTTGTAAGTACCCTTGTGCGGTTGGCCACCATCCAGGTCTTACACGCATGATGCAACAGTTCCACGACATTAGTATGTCATACCTACTCCACGATAGTTTGATTCTCTTGGGGGATAAAGCGGCGATAACACTATACGTGTACCTTCTGGTCTTCAGCAGTCCAGCGATAAATTGGCTCGTAGATAATTATCAATAACGACAGAGTAGATGTTATTCGCCATTATTCAACCGGTCTGCCATCCGACGACGTTTATTGGATCAAACAGATGGAGGCGTTATCTGATGCAATTCAAATACCATGGTACGGGAACGTGGGAGGATCCCGATCTATCTATGAATGTCTCATATATTAGGTCAACTTGCATGAGAATACACCTACTTTGGTAATTATGTAACATCACTACATGAGCTGAAAACTGATCACAGATCGTTTTGGATTCGGACACATAGACTGCATATGAATAAAAAGCAAATCTACATACCTAGCTAGTTATCTATTTACCTGGGTATTACTTGATTGTTACAATAACTCCTTCAATAAGAAACGGTGGGATTTGTGAAAGGATTATACTATGATGTTTTATAGAGTTATACCGATGTTTCCCTATTACTGTACTGACTTAATATGGATTCCTTCACGGGTGAACTTGCTATTTTGTTGCGCCGTCCCTATTATCAGAAATGAATTGTTTTTATTTATCTGCCTATATGGCTGTTCGCTGCGAGAGTACTATGGTAAATGTGCCGCCGGATACGCCAATATTTCCTGTTGCCGTGATATACTTACTTACATATCGCGTTTCTTGGTGGATATATGTTACATTGAATCGTTTTATGTATCCTAATTTGAGTTAGTAGTGGCTGTTATAGGGATGTATGTTACCTTGTCTATGTTAATAGGCTAAGAATCCTACTTGATCAGGTAGGAAAATGTGATGCATTTACAGTCGTTTCAAGAAGATCCTATAGCTATTGTGACGAACAGAACTGTGATATTATGTACATTAGAAACACAAACTTAGGTAGGTTTCTATGTCGGCACTTGGGCTGCGGCTCTGATGCTGACATCATGGTGGTTGCAATACATTGTGTAACTAGGTAATCAAAATATGAGAGACCTTATAGGTCAGCTGGTAGAGTCGATGGGAATAGGTATTGCGCGTATGAGATACAACGTGGGACTCTAAATAGATAAGTTTAAATTCTACCGCGATCGCTTAACCAAGCTCGACATCAAGGTCATCTCCTGTTAAGAAAGTCGAAGTCGACTAGCTAGTATGACGGAAGTATAAACACTGATTAGAGTACTATGTGGACCGATGCGTGGTGAATTAGCTATACAGTTGCCAACTGGCGACTTTGAGCTGACAGCAGATCACATACATAACTGACAGGGGCTGGTCTATAGAAAAAGCGGTAGTCGGATCAGCCATGGAAAAGAAAACTTGCAGGTGGCTGATCTTCCACTACATTTTCATTATACTGACCTGGGGTTGTCGGCAATCGTTTGAAAAAGGGTAGGCTGCCTAAGTTACTACCTACTATGCAGTAGATATCTTTTAGGGGGCTCATAGTGATAACTTGGCATATACCGATTCCTTTGCCTGCCTAGGTAACCGCTGCATCGGCGAGGGTTTTTATGTTGGCCGGAGTACGGAGTCTGAAGACCATGCGAAGAGGGGGCCTCAATCTAGGGATCGGTGGTAATTCTAAATCTCATTGGTTCGCCTCCCCTTGGACTCCAAATGCCTCACAGGACCAAGAACGCATCACGATTGGTTGCCTTCATCTCCTTACACCCTCATCTTGCATAAATACGACATAGAGTACATCGAACCGGCATAATTTCCGTCCGGCCTCAGAGCCTTGATCTGTGGCCTCACTTAGGACCTTGACATCACTGCCTACATAAGATCTTCGGTATCTCCAATCATTGCATCTTCATTCTTGTATCCAAATATCTTGGGGAACAATCCTAAGGAGTGACCTGTGGCTTCTGTGAGGGTGAGTATCCTTGATAATATGATAGAGTCGATGATTTAGCTAATATTATTCGATATCGCCAGGTCGCAGTTCTTCATTGGTCCAATAAGTACTACATAGCAACTCCCGAGGGAGGACTAACACCGTCCTCCCTCGACCCTTATTTCGAGACGATGCAACAGTAATCAGGAAAGCAATGACTTCGGCAGTATCCTACCTCAAGTTAGTCATGAGAGCTCTTTTGATGGACTGGAAGGGCTTCCTAACTCAGGCGGATTTCTCGAAGGAATCGATATTTTTGGTTACTTGGGAGGAGAAAATGGATGGAGCGAGGGTCCTGAGATACGGACCCGTGGAGAATCGGAGGAGGAATGGCTTGGTGTACCAATGTCTGGCCAATTCCCCATTTCTAACTGGCTGTCAGATAGGCTCAATAACACCCGCAGTGATGCTGGGCCTATTTCAACACCTGATCAGCTTGGGGAACCTGAAGTTACCCGTCTTGACCAACATAATCCCGATTCAGGTTTGAATATAGACCGGGATTTAGGTCTATTATCGTCACCGAATTTTGCCACTCCGAACTCGATATTCCTCTCATGGCTACCCGAAGAGCAGGATATACAAGTGATTGATACGTCTCCTGGACGCATTTCACTAGAGAATTCCATGCTGTCACATTTAACATGCAATACATGCGGCAAATCTTTCTCCTCTCAAGGTAGATTGAAGTAAGTCGCTCCCAGCAGAAAGCTTGGTCACATACCACATACTTACGGTGAAATCGTATAGTTCACACAATCACCGCCACGAGAAAAAGCATCGTTGCATGCAATGTGACAGAAGATTCTCAGAATCGAGAGATCTGCGTCGCCATATCCAATCAGTACATGAGCGAATATGGGATCAATGTCCACAATGTGGGAAGAGAATGAAAAGACGCGGTGACAACTTACAACGGCATATGAGACGATACTGCAAGAACAGACGGCGTAACTTAGTTGGTTAAAAAGGCCACTTGCACAGAGGTAGCACAAAATGTAATGGATGGCGACTTTTTCTGTCCGCCAGGATCGATATCCAGGGGAACTATACGTTCGTTAAGGCTTCTAGGTGCCCTTACTACCCGACGCGGGACTCATTGATAGAGTCCTCCGTCGGGTAGTGAAGGCACCTATCAACGCAGTCCAACTTAACGTCTCCAGTATAATACCAATATTTCATCATACTACCTAGGTGGATACCTTAATATAAATGTCTTGTCAGAGTTTTAGGAGGATGACTATATCCCCCCCTAAAAAAACATTGGAGGTCGAACTTCTAGAGCGCGGACGTGTTAAGAAGCACTCCAAACTCGGGTGTTTAAAATTTTATTTTTAATTATAGCTTATCTATTAAGGGTATACCTTGCCAGCAAGTGTAAAAGTAGACGGATCCGTCGTGTCGACGGAGTACTCCCAGATCTGGTCCTCGGATATCCCGTAGAACATCGCATCCTCCGTCATCGCGATGGCCGAGAAATTCGTCGACTGCCCCTGAGCAAACGTGATCTCCGGAACGGCGTTATACGCCTTCCCGTCCCATCGCGACCCCGTTATGCTGCCGTCGGTGGATAGCGAGACGAAGAAGGATTGGGTGAAGTTCTTCATCGTCGTGGCGGCGAATTGCCGCGTTTTTAGGGGGTCGACGTCGTCTATTATCGTGCCGTCTGTAATTATAATTAGCTTGAATATCAGTGATGGCGTAGGTGTGATATGATTCTCACCATCTTCTTTCCAGTTCCAATCCCCCAGGAATGTTGTTCTGCCCATAGACCCCGGCCGCCTTTGAGTAGCCAGTGTCATCCCATCAACATAAGCTCCCTGCAACGCCGGTGCCAAAGCGAGTGATGCACCAGCCGAGACAGCGTTGGTCCTGACAACAGGAGTCGTATTATTCCCCCAATTCGATGCATTCGCAACCCTAATAAAGCCCTCGCGGCCCTGATACGCCAACGTCCAGGACCCAACACACTTATCATTCGGACAGCGCTGCCACGCCACCGCCAACTGCGTGCCGTTCCACGTCGGCAAGCCCGAGTTGTTGTATACCCAAAAGTTCGGGTTGTTGACGGGGTTGTTCGAGTTCACCCAGCTGATAACATCGTTCTTCTGCCCGGCTTCCGAAAACCAGACCAGGACTTGGTACAAAGAGCCCCATCTGCTGCTACAGGACGCGCTCGCTAGGGACGTCCCTGGGAGAGGGTTAATGGGCCCCGATGTCGACGATTGCATGAACTGGCTGACGTTCCGCGTCGTCCACGTCTTGTTCTGCGAGTCCCATTGGCGGGCGATGATGGCGTTGGTCGGATCTTGGAAGAACACACTTCTGTGAACGTAGCCTGACGGGTCCGTCCAATTCGAAGCTGCGAGCTTGGATTCGCCGAGGACGTTTACATTGGCTGTCGTTCCTGAGCCCGGCGTTGACGAATCGGGCGAGTTTGATGCGTTAGATGAATTTTTCTTGCCGGCTAAACCTCCGGCGACGCCTCCGACGATGGCACCGATGACAATCAGTATCGCGCCGGCTAGAATGACGTAGAATATGCGCGGTGACAACCCGCATATCGTTCGCCTCGTGGCCTGGTTAGGCTGTCCCTGGACGGCTGTCGCCTCTGTATCCGCATAGGGGGACTCTGGTTTTGGAGCATCCCATGCCGTCTGAGTCTGTGGGTCAACAACCTGCGGATAGCTGTGATCCGGGTTCGACACCACTTCCTTATTCGAGCCGTCAAGAGTTTGGGGGTTCGATGTCTCTACGCTACGCACTTCGAGCGTGCTGTATGGTTCGGAACCATGGGGGTAGTCCGCTGATGCCATCGAGATACATTGCTATCTGAGGGAATAGTTCGATGTTGAAGGAAGAGACGAGATCCCGCACCACCTCAGATCAGTTTTATTTGACTTCTACATGATAAGGATTCTTAGCTGCTTCAACTTATCTGGGGCACTTTTCCTTTTTCTGTTTCTGGTAGTCGGTTTAATTTCGACTCTCAAAACTTAGTGACGTACAGTGTGATTTTGGATCCCGCTTGGCGAACATATTACCTGCTCTTGATTGGCATAGCCAAAGCCACTCCCCGATAATAATATAAAATTGGTGTAATGGTTTACCTAAACGTGTTACCTGTTGCAGGGAATGGCCCACATGTAAATGGATCGTCGTAAAGAGTAACCTGTAATATTCATAGGCGCTACGTCAATAATAGAATATTATAGGCCAATCAATGGATCTCCAAAGACTATCGCATAAAGTCTCTCAGTACAATCATGTGTTTGAGGATGACATAAGCCTCGATCGGCTGGAGTGCGAGAGGCTGCGCCATCCTTCCTAATTCCATCGCGGCATTGGAGGCTCGTCTTACGATCCTTGTGAGGAACACGAGCGAATCGTTGGTTGCGCTGGTTCATATGTATTTCTAGGGCTGAAGACCGAAATTCAACCAGATTGGACTAGTCACGCAATGGATCTTGATCTGCTTCCCGACTTCCAGTAGAGACTAGTTGACTAACCCCAGCAACTTGGAAGTATGTACCCGAGCTGCCGAGACAATATTATTTTCATTCAGAAGCAGGCTCCGCGCCACATATGTACGTTCGTCCTTGGCTACCCTATTAGTGTTTGCAAACATTGTTACGAGTTATCACATCTCATAATCCGGGTTTGTGGCTTGCGCAGCTCGTGTTGCCCCAGCAGCCTAGGTATCGACTTTTTCAAACTTTAGTGATGTTCAGCCAATAGGGTAATTGCCAACTCTAAGCATAAGGATTCAAGGTTGTGGATGCGAAATTATTACTTGCTTAGAGATCGAGTAAGTTATGAATATAGTATAGGAACATGTTTGTTGATTTGATTATAGTCAACTGTACCTGAAAGTACTAAGACCTTTAAGTCAAAATTAGTTTCCTAGCCGTCTAGAAGCACGTATGACTGGCTCTAGGTACTCGAACCTACCAACTAAAACTCCATAGAGAAACTTAGTCATTATCCCTAACTAGCCTGTTTACCGTCCAAGTCGTCCCACGGTCGAAGATGTCGAAACAGAGTCCGGCCGTAGAAGGTGCGGGCCGACCCGGTCGAAAGTGGGACTTCCGAAGTCCAAGGTTAAGTTTCGGACCGGTACGATCAAACTTAGGAAGTAGCGTATTGCAGTAGAAAGAATATATACTCTCTTTTCGGAAAAAGGAACTTGGAAGTAGCTTCGCCTTGTAATGTACAATGTACAATCTTTGGGATTGAGAAATTGAGTGGCATGAGAGATATGCATCGTTCCAAAGCCCTGCAGAAACCATTACTTGTGTGCTTATGTTTTGTACAGTCTTGCCGTCACTGAACTCCCTGCTAGCAGAAAAAAATGTCAAGTTCTTTTTGATGTGACCAGCTCTTGCGTGCTGGCTTGCTCGCCGAGAAATGCATATACGGCACCCTATTCCTACATCATCACAATCCATCCATTCATTCATACCCGTATTCCATACCAGCCGAACGCCCGCTCATTTCTTTTTTCGTTCCACCGCATCCATCTTCTCTTCCAGTTGTTGGACGTATGTGTTTAGTCGTTGGCAAGCAGCCTGTAGAGCCTGTTTTCCCGAAATAACACAGGTCAGCCAAAGTGTTGCTCCCGAAACCGCGATGATGAACAGCAGAAGACATGGAATAATCAAATGCAGAAACGCACATAGATATCCTCCGTCAATAGCTCGTTCGAGGCCTTGTATTCTCGTCTATCAAGCACACAATTAGCAAATCGCTCATTCCCCATGTAGGATACCCCTGACCAAAATCCGTGCACTGGGCATTGGCCATTCTAGTATAGCCAATGCGCAATAGTATGGAAGGCCGTGGGATAGAGCCTATTAGAGTTCTTTGGAATGCACTAACAAGACGTAACCGTAAACACCGGCACCAGCAAGTGTCGAACCGAGGAGGAAGCCGAAGAGCCTATGGCTCGCAAACTATGGTTAGCCTCGCCCATAATAATAATCCTAGGGCGCATATATGCGCCGCACTCACCCTCCACGAAAAGCGCCCACGGGCTTGCGAACTGGTAAGGGAGTGGCCGTCGCTTCGGCTAGTGATCGTGGTGTCGCGTGGAAGCTTCGGGTAGCGACGCGCAGAGGGGCGGTAGTCGCGGAGACGCTTCGAGCTCCGCCGAGTAATATTCTCGAAGCCATGATTGAGGTAGCAGCTACGTCCAACTGTTCGTATGAGAGAGAATTGGCTAGGAATTATGGTTGAGGTGTTTCATTCAGGTTGGGTGGCCAAAGGGCTTCAATATCTCAATTAAGTTGGGGTTCTTAGTAACTTCCTACACATGTGGGTCTGGCGACTTTTAAAATGCGGCGGAAATTTATCGGCAACACTTTTAACTTCGTGTAACCTCGGGATAGCTTTTAGAGTTAATCGTCATGGTTGGCCATTCTTTATTCATTTGATGTTCGTCAAAAGATACATAAATACCTCACCAACACTACTGAATCCATCATGTGTACTAGTAAATTCATATAATTTCATCTTCATTACCAACACAATACATTTCATCAAACAAACAATAAATTCATGAACCTTATGCTGAACTACCTGAAGTCAACATATATCCCAGTCCCAAGGATGCCCCAGTGTGCCGGCTCATTAGAATTGCTCGGTCGATATAACTAGAAAGAAATTGACTGTACACCTAATTTTCTTGGCTTGTTCTCATACTCCACGTTTACAATTCGTCGTGGGTCTCTTGGGCAGCCTCGCTGCTAGTAGACTCAGTTGCGGCAGGGGCAACAGGGGTCTCCTCTTCCTTCTTCTCCGAAACACTAGCCTTGTACTTGCCGTTCTCCTTAACGAACTTGATCAGATCCTCGACGGTTCGGGAACCGCTGTAGTTGACCGGCTTGCTCTTGGAACCGGCGGGGTACAGCTTGATGGTAGGGAAACCCTGGATCTCATCTGGTACGTCGTTGGCGGTAGCATCGACCTTGGCGATGACAACCTTGTCCTTGAATTCGCTGTTGGCGTAAAGGGAGGCAAGGTCTTCGTACTTAGGGGCAAGAGCCTTGCAGTGACCACACCATGGGGCGTAGAACTCAATCAGAACGTCCTTGGTGTCATCCAAGACGATGGATTCGTACGACTTGCCAACAACAACGGTGACAGCACCCTCTTGCTTCTCAGGGATCTCCTCGGACTTAAGGCTGGGCTCCATCTTTCCGGAAGCGAAGTCATCAACGAACGCGCTAATGGTGTCGTGGGTGATCTCCTTCTCCTGGTCAAAGGGGAACTTCTGGTTCTTAACAGTTTCCTGGATCGCGAAAGACGGGAACTTGTCAGTCTTAAGGTTGAGGTTACCGGCATGAGCGCCGAAGGAAGAGGCGTCGATGGTAGCGAAGTTGATCTTGCCGCGGTACTTCTCGGCGATGGGTTTTAATGCATCACCAAGAGTCTTGCGCTCCTCGGCAGTCTCAGAGAAGATATAGGCAAGAGGAAGACCGGCTGACATGTAACCAGAGTAGGTGTCAGGGCCGACCTCACCAATCAAGGGGGTCGAGGCAACCTTAGCAAACTTCTCTATGGCCTCATCCTCGAACTTCTCAGTGAAGGTGGCCTTGCCCTCATCAAACTGCTTATACAGGATGATAGCAGGAGATTTGACACCCTCGGCCTCAGCTAATGAAGCATCGTTTGTGGCACCGAAGAGGTAAGAATCCCTGTACTTCTCGGCAATCTTAGTGTAGGTTTCGTTGGATGCCTTGTCAGAGGCGTCGATGTAAGCAACTAGGACAACCTTGTCGGCAGTCTTGAAATCCTCGAGGGTCTCAGAGGTTAGGAGGGAAACGGCGGGAAGGGACTGTTTGATCATGTAGGAGGTAATTCTGTGAACCCCGTCAGCAATTATAGGTGGATATGAATTATTCTAAGAGGAGTGTACTCACGCGCCAGCTTTCCTTTGGCCTGTGTAAGGGGTGATGCTCTCAAGACCGCGGAAAATCTTGAGTGTGGGGTAACCTTCGACACCATATGTTTGGCAGAGCTCACTCTCTTCTGTGCAGTCGACCTTGGCTAACTTGATGGACTTCTCCTTCAAAGTAGTAGCAGCCTCCTCATACTCGGGTGCTAGAGCTTTGCAGTGGCCGCACCAGGGAGCGAAGACTAAAGTGCCGTGTTAGTTAAAGCTATTTTATATACATAGAAATCTAGCAGAAGTTAAGGTCACGGGTAACTTACACTCTGCTAGGACAAGGTCATTTCCCTTAATGAAGTCAGTGAATGTGTCCTTGTTTAGTTGAGTGACGTCTGAGGCAGCATCTGCAGAGACGCCTGCGGCCGCGAGAAGGCCGAGAAAGAATGCCGAGTACATGGCGAAGGGCCTAAGTGAGGATGCAATTAGCTAGGCACTTTAACGGGTGCAATTTGCGTCTAGAAGACGGTTCGCAAATACTAGCTAAACGGAGGCACAATAGAAATGCGGTAGGTGATGTAATTTACTAAAATAGCAAATCGTACCTATGATATAACACCGGCTAGATAAGGTGAAAATAATGAAAAGTGGAAGAAAACAATTCCGTCAATGCAAGATGTAGAGGAAGACGTTTTGTATTCTTCTACAGTAGCATATGTGTCCCTTTAGAGTAGAAGGGAGCTCGAATTGGGAAGAGGATTGGAGGAGACCAAATGTTGGTTAAAAGGCTGAATAGTTCCGAATATCTGGCCACAGTCTTAATTCAGCTGAATCATCAAATAGTTCAATTCTGTTTAACTAAGAGGTACCTAGGTTCCCCTCAATTGCTGTGGCTTACGCACTTAATTAGAAATGCAGGGACATAAAGTGTCATCCCACCGCTTGTCGATTTGATAAGAGCGGTGGCAGCTGCCCAGGTGCATGGATGAGCAATTGATAATGACAAGTGTTCTCTTTTCAAGGAAGGTTCTGTCATGGCCCCTCATATCGCCAAGGTAAGACGCACCGCCACCACTACATAAAAATGGATCAAAGTTGAACTAACAAATATTTTTGGGGAACCCCTGCAACAAAAAAATCCAATGGTGTCCACTAAATCGAGTGCGAAGTTCGCTCCGCCTTTATGCCCCACATCGAGGCTCAATTCTCTCCATACTGTCCATACAAATTACCTGGCACGCTGGCTCAGATCATAACCCAGATCAGTAAACTCGGAAGGAAGGGGCTCGAGAATTTGGACGAATACAATACTCGGAAGAGTCGGTTCTCCAACCCGACAAACTCAATACGATGCTTATCCTTTCCAACATTCCACCTGAGCAATGAAGCCAGTTGTTAACTTTTCCAACCGGAGCATTAGTCATATTATTTGATCTAAGGCCATCACGTTATTACGGATATTGTCCTGTCACGATCTAAGGAACCGAGGAACCGTTGAACAAGGCACCCTGCATAAAGTGGTACAGTATCAACACGGTCCGTATTCCTAGGCACATAAGGGATGTGTAATAATGCACGCTGCCAGATTTATTAGATCGCAATGATCCTGCAGCGAGCCTCAAAATGGAACCCCTCTAGAACACCGGGACCCTGAGCGTCGCAATCAACTCCGGCAGTATCGATAAAAGCCTTGCTCGGATCTAGATAGTGAATGGATCTATGCACATGTTATCATGACGTTTGAATATCTGGTATATACCTAATACGCATTAGAATGAATTCAACTAATATCCATAGGATATAAGACAGGATAGAATTCGTTAGGTACCTAGGCCTTACTAATTATTAGGTATATTCCCAGAGCGCTATCGTGGATTGGAAGGTCAATATACATAAGGAAATAAAAATGACGTCGACCATCCCAAGACGAGCTGGATTAGGCATAGCTACCGCTAAAGCATACTACAGTATCTGCTAAAGTCCACCGCATCGACGACCATGTGTATGAAGACATCTTTAGATATATACATGCGTACATTGGTATCAACAGGACAACGACGGAGTAAGATCAGTTGACGTGGAATATAGCGTCAACCTGACTCATATCGACTCAAGTTCCTGACAATGTCGAAACGCGCTGTAAAAACACGAAGCACATATAGTGTCAAGGAGGTGAAGGTTAGTAAATCTATGGAAAGAGCAAATGAGGGTTGTTAGTATGATGGGATCAGATTTAGGTTCAGGTTCTGATTTCATGGATGTGGCTTCCATTTGGTGTTATTGAAAGGAGATTCTAAAGTCATGCGCTTGCCATATCACCCATCTCATCCCCCCTTATTCTTTTCATTTGACCCTTCTAACTTTTCCCCTCAACAGCAACGACCCCGTAAACAAATTATAGAGAACCAAACTTATTTACATCATTCTTCTAGCTTTTCAGAATTAAATGAGTTTGTTCGCAACACAACAGGCATCTTCATAATCTGTCCCACTTTGGCATCAGGCCTCATCTGGTAACTTTTCCAGACCATCGAAGCCGCCAACTCTGAAATCATAGGCTCGATGTTGTTCTAGGATTAGTTATCAGGTCTTCTTTTATACTAAATGCCGAACCCAATTACATTTTATTTCATAATCTAAACTCTTCCCCCATCGTTGTGCTACTCTCGTGCCTCAGGCTACAACTCTCCTGATGGATCCTTATCGCTTGCCTAGGCACAGTTCGAGCCATGGAACTCTGCGTAGTAGCTATTCTCAAGGAAGACCACCTCATGGCCCTCCTCCTGGTCGCCCACTACATAAACCTCTTCGAAGTGTGAATGAGAATTCTGTCTTGCTGCCTTCCCCTGGAGCCCTAGAGAGCATGTTGAAAACCACAACTGAAACGGGAGATATCGGGATCTTCAGCATCAAACCAGTACCTCCATCACCAAAGCGGAGAGATACGTTGTCCGAACTAAGCCAACAACGCCTATCACCACGTCCTTCTATCGAGGAATTACATCGTCGAAATAACGGCAAACATCTCCCTTCCTATAGGGATACGACCTCGGAGATAATTTCCATGTATGGTTCAGAGAGCCATAAATCAGCGACCAGCACGTTAACTCCAACATCTTCGGAGGAGATTGGGCTCCGTTCATATTCGATGACCACGTGTGGATCTCGCCATCTTTCTCATCATAGATCAACTACAACGCTTCAAAGTCAAGCTAGCGGAGGGCCGCTTCAACGTCCACGATCACCCTTCCCCTATCCCACTCGTCTGAAAAGACCTGGAGTTCGCCCAGCATCGCCAGCACTTACAGAAAATGGGCGAATTGACTATAGTCGGATGGTGGAAATTGACCGATCCTCTTATGTGAGTCGCCAAAATGATGTGTAGATTTAACAAGCGCCTGATCACTAAATGACTACAGAGGACTGTCCATGGCCCTTACAGACCCGCCTATCCTCCGATGCTGCGGAGGCCGCCTCCCTTAGGTTTTCATGCTTCTGCCAGCCTTTCCTCAGTTTCATTACCGCCGCAGGGTCCACCTAGTCGCCATGGTCCTCTAAGGCCTCCATCAATGCGGACGCATTCTGCTGCCTCGATGGTGTCTTGGGCCGCCCCATACCATGAAAGAGTAGATAGTTCTTCGTCTAGAGCATCGAGCCTCACCTCGGTTGGAAACATGTATCACCGTATGCCGCACAGAGTTGGACCAAGTGGCCTTCCCGCTCCCGTGCCACGCTATTATGACTATACTGAAGGGTTTGAGCCTAGACAGCCGCGTACCTTAACTCCAGTTCAACCGTTCGCACCAGTCCCCACTCGTGCATCAAATTATCAACGACCGTTTGTATTACAGGAGTCCGATGATAACTTGGCAATTGCGTATCAACAGCGAGATTCTGCATTCTATGGACTCGAAAGCCAGAGCCCTTATAGGGCAGGCACGGCAGAATCCATGAGGGGCACCAATACGCCTCGTGTCGAGAGCTGTAGGGCAATCATAGATCGAGCTCCCTCTCGTTGTCGCACTGCCTCCATACGCTCTGAAACCCGATCGATCGCGTTCGATAATTCTGAGATTGATGGAAAATTCGGGAGGGGAAGTGATATTGATCTTTTGCCATCACAGGCAGGCAGAGAATCTATGGACACATTCAACCCGAACCTTGATCTTGAGTCAAAAGACGTACCCACGTATAGGTATACGGATTACCTCTCTACTACGACACCAAAGACAAACGTAAATTCGCCGCAGAGGCAGGTCCAGGTTCAAGGCAGTGGAGCTCCTACAATTCGAAGTGAGCAAGGTGTGATATTAAGAGATGATACGCAGGACGAGACTCTACCTGAAGGGTTAGATGATAGTGCCGATGTTGATTTGGTCGAGGAAAAAGTCATGACCAGTCCGCAAGGCAATTCTATCGGACGTCGTTCATGTTCCGAACCTGCTCCTGGCTATTTAGGGAATCCGATTCTGCATGAGGCACAATCTAATAATAAACACGGGCTCGTAACGATGGACCGTACTAGTTCGCGTTATAGCAAAACGAGCGCCATGCATGGTGTGACTGGGTCGGTAGCGCCCAATGGCGTCAGCGGCTTCCGGTATAAGGTTAGTGATGCCGATGCGCCCACTGCCGACACGGAAAATTCCAATATTAATCACAACTATATTGGAGAAAGTGTCACTATCTCGGTTTCAAACCAGGTACAGAGGCAGAGGTTCCAGCGCCATAAGCGAAATCAGGCAGTTCCTAGAATTAGCACCAGTAGCTTACCTAGGGAGGACAACGAAGGTTTTCCGTACATTACCCCGTCATGTTCCACGACACCTATCGTATCGCCGAAACCAATCTCTCCCGCCCGCCAACTGAAGCTGAAGAATAGCATCCCTCAACTTATGAAGGCATTACCGCCTCTACCTGGGGATCCAAATTACATTCCTCCGTCAACGCCGAGCATACTAAGCACATCAAGCAATGAAGAAGACTTTTCTGAAGTCCTTTCGCCATTCAAGTTTGATCGGTCTTCTTCCCCTCAGCTTTTGGATACAGGCGTAAAAAAAGTAGAAACGACGTACAATTGTGATCGGACCTCAGGCTTACAGAAGCACGTTCCGAGACTAAAATTGAAGGCTAAAGCGTCTAACGACTCAGCAGCCACGGTCACCTCTGATACGAGACTGTTTGAACCAGATGTTAACCAACGCTGGCCTTCCAGGACTCCTAATCCAATTCCCGAGGGCCAAGAAGGCGACCTCATCCCCCGAGTCCGCACTCGGAACAGGCTAAAGCTTAGATCTTCTAGAAGTAGTACTTCTAGTCCTCCCGCACCTGCCACGGTTCGCCGGAATGCAGCCACAGAAACATCTGACATTGTTCTGGATATTACACGACGTCGGCCACGAGATTTATTTACCTATCCTCCCAGTCTGACATCGACACCCCACGCGAGTAGAGGGCGATTGGAACCGACGCGGATTGACCAGCCTCCTTCTAGTGGCTCACTTGATAAGATCAATTCGAAGGTAATAGAACCTGAACTTGAAAAAAGGACGGCGTCTATGCGTCTGGGCCGGCCGAGAAAACCGTCTTATGACTCAAGATCAATGGAAGCTAGTACAAATTCTGCTACAAAACATCCTCATGGCTTGAAGAGACGTTTCTCAAATCTTCGCTTCTTATTGGCGAGGACATCAGATTCGGTGCCAACGCCATCGGATTCGGCCACGGAAGCCACGAGGCATAATAGACTAGATCAAGGTGCCTATCTTACCAATGCTAATTTTGCTAATAAGCACTTTACAACCGGCGACGATCGGTCAGTGCAAGGATATAGTAATCGGACTGCTTTCGGTCGACGAGTGCGATCGAAGCTTCTGAAGTGGGTAAAGGACGCAAAGGCAGCAGTGCGAGCATGTGCAAAGAGGAATCATGGTGTATAAAAGAGGGCATGACGCTTTGCACATGCAACTTATCTCATTCTGGGTGCCCACGATCGAAGTTTCAGCATGCATTGGATTACACCAGAAGAAAGTTTTAACAGACCCATTTTGGAGCAATTTTGGGACTCGCTAGCTGTTAAGTTTGGACGACGGAATGTTTTTTGAGGCCTGTTTCTGTAGCAAGGTCTGTAATAATGTGGAAGCCAACTTGGTATAAGCCGCGGTGGATTGGACGGCTCGCCGAAGTAGGGTAAAGTCACCTTTGGCAGGAGGATTGGGGAATACAGGGGGTGTCATGTACCTAAGGTGACCCCCTCCCACCCCCTTTTTTAACCATGAACTGTATGATAGTCTCAAAGAACATTTGGTAAAGGCACTAAGCGGAAAAGATGAATGAAATAATTGAAAGTACTCTAATCTGTGCTAGCTCCCTGATTTCGATTGCTGACATTATAGATGATTTGAGGCTGAAGTCAAATTCGAAATATAGTTTGTGATGGTGTATCTATCATATAATAGGAAGTAGAGGCGTACAAAGGACGTCTGATTACGTAGCTCATGCGCTGATATGGCTGTGGCGAGATAGCGATGTTGGTGTACGAACTGTTCAATTTGACGTCTTTTTAAGCGTGGTGTGAAGTTTGCGGCACATGGTTATCTACTACCGAGGTAGTGACCGAGTGGTTTACTGAACCTAAACCACTAGAAGCTCTCGTGAGAATACCAAAACCACCTATATTTAGTTCAGTGGCGTTCAGTGTTGCTATCAGATAGATCCTCACGCGCCTCTTCTAACCCGAGCCTGTGTTGATATTGATAAAGAGTCTGGACATATTCGTCCAAGCGAGAGTTCGTCGTAATATTTTGAGTCGCCCGTATCTATTTTCTCACCACTGATCGCTCAGTCGCCTGGTTGATATCGCAGAGTTTGGACTGGAGTTCGTCCATTTAACTTAGCGGTCTGCTGCCGCGTCTTCGTCTGTTCCCTCGTTCTCTCTCCTCTGTGCGTTCCCCGTTCCCCTACCGCAAAATTCCTATGAGATAAATTCGAAGCAGAACGTCAAGTAAATCCACTTCTTCTTCTTATTCTTGTTGTTCTTCTTTGGCTATATGAGGGAAAAAGTGGCAAAATTGAACTGTCCTTTTTCTCTAGTCACAGTTGAACGCAGTTATCTGCACGTTGTCGCAGTAACTTGTTTACTGTAGTCGACACCAACGCACGCGTGAGTCACCAGCACGCAAAAATACGCCTCGGTCACCGACTCATAGTAATACTCGTCTGAACACAAGATCGAAGCATTAAAACAATATCAAACAATCTTCGAGTCTCTCCGTGTCCGACGGGTCACAATGGAAGGGAGAGATCTAGTATCAGCCCCAACCTCAATTCCATTCCGGAGCCAAAGCCGGAGTACCGCGCAACGTCCTGCCAAACGCCCACGACCCAGTCCCTTACACAGTGCCAACAGGACAGTCAGCGCACCCAACCCCTACAGCCAGGCACCTTTGATCGGTAGCAGTAGTTCAGGGCAGAGCTCAAGTTCGTTGACGCCCGACACGCAGAGCAGACCTACAAGTATGAGCAGATTATCGTTGTTCCCTAGATCGCCAGAGCCGCCGAAGGTAGTCGCGTCGTTGGAATCAGTGAAGGAGCCGGAACCTATGCCATTCACTTTTGCGTGCCCGACGGTTAAGCCGGCGAAGGTTCGGTTCCCGCTTATCGACAGTCCCGAGCCAGACTCCCCTAAGAATCAAGACGCCACCCCTGCGCCATTGCTTCTTACCAATGGCAATACGGTGGAGGATGACGAAACACCGGTGTACGACTATGAAACCGAGGAAGATAACATAGTCCAGGAACATCAATCGGAGCACTCCATCGTGGTCCCAGGCGTCGTTCCTGGAGGCCAACCCGGGCCGGTACAACAAGCACCAGAGCAGCCCAGCCCGCAGGAGGCGGAGATCGTCGGGATCCCAGCCACGGTTATTCCTAAAATATCGGGCCAGAACGCAAGATTCTCAAAGACGCGCGACGAGTACGTGAGGTACCTCGTCGACCTGTTCCGAAAGTACGAGTTCGAGCACGGGTGCACGACACCGGCATGGCTTGAGAAGTATCCTGCGATCAAGCAGGCCGCTCAGGCAGTCGCGGACAAGGTATACGGGATCCAGGAAGCGGAAAAGAAGGAAGATAAGGAGGAAAGCAACGAGGATAAGGAGAAAGAGAAGGCTAAGGAGGAATGTCAGGCACAAGGGCATCAGCCCACCCCCACCGAGCCGTCGCCTCCCCAATCTAGCTTCAATAACGCGGGGCACGGGGGCAAGGGGCGCAAGCTCGTGACCCGGTTCTTCCGCAAGATCAAGAACCTATTTAAGAAGAACGAGCCAGCCAGCCAAGTCTTTGAGATGGCTGAAATAGCACAGGTCCAGACCAATGTTCAGAAGGGTAAGGAGCGTGAGACGGTGACGACACAACCTACGCCAACGCCCAAGATGGAAGTAACTGCAGAGGGTATCGAAGATGTCGTGAATGGGTATTTCGTGAAAATTGTACCTGCGACGTATACCCGACGATCCCGGCTGGAGTACCGTGAGGAGGAGGGAGAGACATCAGCGGAGGGTGCGAGGAAAAACTGCCGTACCGCTCGCGAAGACACCGATTCGGAATCCCTTATCGCTTCGTTTGAACGACGCCATAGTCGGAACTAATTCGACAGCGCTGACAAGTTATAACATCGTAATGCGACGGTTTAGTTATATGCCGTTATAAAGTCGCTATTATTAAAAGTGAAATAATGGGTGGGAAGGTATAACACTGGTAATGGTGATAACTGGGATGGGAATGGAGTATGGAGTATGGGATTGAGATTGAATTGGAATTGTAAATGCAAATTATTTGTGCAGTTGTTCTCCTGAAAAAGGGTATCTTAGAAATGCATAGTCATTTAAATTCAAAAGACGCCTCCGCCTATTATAAACAACCGTTCCTCTTCTCGTTTCGCCCATTGAATGATCTTATTTGCTCCTTGTGTTATGACGGCTCGAGATGCGTTGGGTCCCGCAACGCAGTAGAATTCGAAAATTGGTGTAATCCAAGCAAGCGAGGTGCTATCTTCTCCGACACAATGCAGTACCTTTACATGAGTATGTTTGGCATGAAGGGTTGAATGTAGATTATGATAAAGAGACATGAGCCTTCTGTGTGACACTAGGCTGCTGAAGGTTGGTAGGAGAGACGGCATGCAGAACTGGACATTAGCCCTTGACTTGAATAAAAAGTGGCTGATGTGTGTTCCTGGCGCAATGTCGTTCATCTTTGCACGTCCTTGCTGCACTGCCGTTTTAATAATATCGAGGTGGCCCTTTTTCTTTAATTCGACCACAACATCATCTCGCATCTGTTGAAGATCAAAGAAACTCTCCTTATCCGTACTGATTAAGATAACTGCAGTTTCCTCACCAGCAGCGGTCAAGTCCCTTTCGGATTCCGGCTCAGCATCTAGGAAACTCACGTACATATAGAGATATCCTCGGTTGTTGAAAGCTGGTAAACAGAGTGGAATCCAATTTTCGCCTCCCCCAGCTTTTACGCCCCCAGATTCGAACAGCATATTGAAGATGAGTTGAAGATCACTGGGGTGAAGGGAATGGCGGCGTGGTCGAATTACACTAACAAGTTTTCCGCCAGCAACTATTAGACCATAGAGTAATTTTTCGGTTCTTGTTCTTAGGAATGCATTATTGATGGCATGTCGGTGTGACTTTCTGAGCCTTAGACATTCTAAAGCTCCCAGCAAAGCGGATGGGGATCCTCTCGTGAAGCTGTCGGCTAGGGACGAAAGTAAGGACTCTGTTCCTTGCAGAGGTTTTCGGAGATCAGTGGATGGCCGATTAGCGAAAATGTTGGTCAGGGCGGGAAGAGTCAAGGTGGATAAGATCTGCATGTACAGTGCATCGAGTTGAGCCCTCAGCTGAGAATCACTCTCTCCAAGCTTACTTATGGCAACAAAGTAGAGAGGACCCTCTGTCGCGATAACAAACCGCGTATTTCCGGCTGTAAATCCTAGAAGAGGGTTCTTTGCACCCTCGTAAAATGAGATGATAGTTTGTACAACCCCCATCGACGAATTAATCAGTCCTAGGTCACCGTGTCTACTGTAAATCGGTTTTCCAGCAGATGATAAAATCATGAAGTGTTTCAATTTCGATTTCCAAAGTTTCACCCTGTCCTCGTCATTCCAGTTCTTCTCGGACTCATCCGGTATATCATCGAATTCGTCGGCAAAATTAGCGAGGGTTGTATCCTCTTCAAGTTTGATACTTTCAAAAGGCGGAACAGCGGCATATTGCGAGCGTAAGAGAGTCCACGCGGCACTTTTCTTGCTCCCATCTCCAACAAGTAAACTTTCCAAGTCACCTGGTGGCCGCAGAGTCGGGGCTATGCTCATCACGCTCATAGACTCATCTATGTCACCGGCAATAGGATTGAACCCTATATTTGCCATACCGACATTTGCGGGCGTAGGTTGTTCGCTATCTCCGGCATTATTCTCATTAGTCGTTGAGAAGGTACCGCGTGATCCATCAGGAAATGAGAGAGTTTGAATATTCATAGAAGAGATAGCTGTAGTAGGTTTCGATTGTAAATTAGATCCTTCTATCGTGGTCGTGGTCGCGGTAGAGTCATTTCCTGATGTTTGAGCGGGCCTAGGAGGTAGAGGAGGAGCATTTTCATGGCCTGGAGCGGTAGCGGTGCTTGATGAGCCAGCATTCTCCATGCCCATCTTTCCTCAATTTCCGTGACAACCGGCTGCACTGTATCATCCTTTTTATAATTGTTTGTTAGACAACCGTGCCTGGTGTCAACTTTTACCCGCTTTGTAACAATAAGTTGCCATGAAGAAAGGAAGTTGGTGAAGTAAAGTTGAATTAAGTTAAGTTTACCGTAACTCACTTTCTGCAAGGTGAGCTGGTACTAGGTAATAATAAGGTCTGGGGTCTAGAGGACATGGTGGGGCTTCTTATCGTTATCGCTTAGACGTCATTTGAACATCCATCTCAACTGTGCTGTTTCGGGATATCTTTAGCATGCGCTGGCGGGAAACACCCTGAAACTACAGGGGGTTAAACCAATCAGATCACATGAAACGCATTCAGGCTACCTTATTTTAAGGTACCTACTGCCTTTGCACAGCAGGTAAGTGTACTAATTTTAGCGGGTACCTGCAACGTAATTCGAAAAGGTTCAATCCATGCGCTTCAATTTCACGGCCGTGTAATCCGATCTGTGTATCTGTTTTCTCTTCCTCCAAACGAAGCAACGATTCTCGTAAACGAATGCGCCTCAGCAAAGATATGCGCTTCGACTCCTCCACTCTTGACCGAGACCCTATGGTCCTACGACCAGTTCCTCCTTAGTATCAACTATACCAACTATGGCCCTCGAACCCGGCCCTCGTCGTTCTCTCTCTCCAGATAGCTCTGGCCCGAATACGCCCACAGTAAGACAATGGAGGAATCAACTTGGCGCAGGTACTCAACACCAACACCCACGGGCCGATGTTGCATTTTGATATCCTTCATCATGCTGACTTATATGAAATATAGAGGATACTCCAATTAAAGACAAGCATTACCGAAAATATGCGTCAGGTGTCGAGCGAGCCCTGTCGCTGTTTGATACAGCTTTAGAAGAGTGGGCAGACTATATCTCATTCCTAAGTAGACTACTTAAAGTAAGAGACTGTTTCACTTAAACATCTAGCTCTGGCTATCTTGAAATCATGCTGAGAAGTTCCTTTTTTGTAGGCGCTACAAGCACGCCAAGCGAGCACGACGAATATCCCATCGAAAACGCTAGTCGCGAAGCGCCTTTCGCAGTGCCTGAATCCTTCACTACCTTCCGGTGTACACCAAAAGGCATTAGAAGTCTACAGTTATGTGTTCTCGATAATAGGAAAGGATGGGTTGTCAAGAGATCTACCTCTGTACCTCCCCGGCTTAGCTCCGACATTGTCGTTTGCGTCCCTCACTGCCAGGGCCCCGTTCCTTGATCTCCTCGAACAACATGTCCTTCACGTAGGTCCAAAGTCACTACGACCAGCTATGAAGAGTATTATTTTGGCACTTTTACCTGGACTGGAAGATGAAACTAGTGAGGATTTTGACCGAACATTAAAAATCCTAGAAAGCTTCAAGGCTGCTATCCGCCCTCCGAATTGCCGAGACCTTACAACAACAGATTCGTCAGGAGATGATTTTTTCTGGCAGTGCTTCTTTTTAGCTACAATCACAAGCCAGAGTCGACGACCTGGTGCGCTTGCCTACCTTGTTCGTAAATTACCCACTCTCGGACACCCCCTCGCCCAAGAAGCCCAGTCAAAAAATGCCCAAGAAGATGAGGCCGAGGAATTGTCGTCAGAGCTTTCGAATCTAGTGACTTCACCGGAGCCTGGCTTACTTCTCAGATGTTTTGCTTCCGGATTAGGAGATGAGCAACTTCTTATCCAGCGAGGGTTCCTAGACCTTTTAGTGACCCATCTTCCTTTGCACTCCAAAGTGTTGCAGAAAAGGGTTAAGAGCGATGATCTGGAACTTCTACTCCGTGCTGCTGCTGGTGTTGTCACTAGAAGGGAGATGAGTCTTAATCGACGACTATGGGCCTGGTTTTTAGGGCCCGAACCCCCAAATCAAGAACATGAGAGTGGCCTGGAGTCGCCTAGCTCACCAGTTGACCATCATGGTTTTTTTAATTCTAAAACGACATACTTCGAAGAGTACGGCTTACATCCCCTGACTCGAGCATTACTATCAATGATCAATTCCGCCGCATCTAGCAGCAACCCGATAGAAAGGGCCCGGCCTTATCGAGTTTGTCTCTCCCTCATGGATAGGTGGGAGATAGGCGGCCTGGTTGTGCCAGAAATATTTCTCCCGGTGATAGAAAGCGTCAAAGATTTTAAGTCGAAGGCGTCGAGTAAGGCCGAATTCAATGAAGTTTTGCGCAGCGCGAGTGTGTTCTTCGACGGCGTTGAAAGCGGACTCATATATGGCGAAATCATTGGACTTATGGCACAGGCCATCGGTCCAGGGAACGCCACAAACGCTGAGCGTAATGAAAAGCTAGCACTTGTTCAATTCATCGTGACATACTTCAACGTTCGGGAAGAGGAAATGATTTCTCTCCATGCTCCTCTGGCGGCTTTATCCATCTTAGCAATGTTGGAGGAAATGAAGGAACGCAAACATCCATCCAGATCTAACAGCGAAAGTGAAGGCCCCAGCCTTTCATCTCAAGCACTTGATATTGCACGAAATATGGTGGAGCTTATCCCACAACGAGCCTTTCCAACTAGGTCAGAAAAGCGAAACTCGGTTGGTTCCATAGAGGGACCCGTAGTAGCATCTACGACAAACAGCGAAATGCTCAAGAAGATCAGAAATTTTTATGTATCTGATCAAGGTAATCTTGAGGCTACGCCAATGCCTTTTGCGCCGCGGACTGTTGGCGCTCTCCTAGCCCAAAAGGCTTGTAGCTTGACCTGTGATAGTCTTGCTGCGCCCAACCAAGAAATATCAATGGCTGTTAGAAGCCGACTCTTAGGACTACTTCTATCTAAAATCCCTTACGAGTATACTATAGATACCGAAAGACTACTCTCTGCCATGCAGGCACGACTCTCAACACCTAATCTCCCCTTTGTCTCCTTCAAATCTATCCTCTTCCTCTCAACACAACTTTACACCAGTGAACGGCTACCAACCGCCTATCTCTCAAACCTAGTTGAACCATTGGTCCGCCATGCATGGGGCTTCCTATCCCTAACAGAACCCAAGTACCACGTTGAGGCTGTCAGATGTCTTTGGCAGCTGCAGACTGCCCTTACAACTTCAAATCGCGATATTGAAGCTGTGATAGCTGACCTTATCCTAGAAAATGGTACTACTGGCATGTTTTCGATACGGCCGGCCGACCCAGGTCGAAGTTTTACCATTCTCTGGTCACATACATTGCAAGACAATCCTTCACATTCTGACCGGAGAGTTTCAAAAGCCCCTACGGCTGAGGTGAGGCCAACAACACGGTTGGCCGGAATGGATCATTACGATGTCATGCTCACAAGGCCTCTTTTCTTGATGCTTGATTGTCTGTTAGATGAACGAACCCAGCTATTTATGATGGTAAAGAATTGGCTGAATACTATGGTTGGCATTGACAAGTAAGTTTCAGTCTCGTAAGACGCGTAAAGAGGTGTATTGGCTAATGCTGACATTTTTAGGCTCTTCCTGATATTCGTCGCAAAGATCTCCCAACTTCGATTCCTGCGAAAGTTTCCCCAGACGGCCAATGCATTCACATCGGGCCAGTTTGTTAAATTTGAAGACGAGGATGACGTTGAGCTCGCACTCTACTATCTTCGTACTATATCCAACATATTCCGATGGGCCCCTGATGCATTCTGGGGTGTCCTCGCAACAAGCGTCCTCGAAGAACCTAACCAGAGCATAATAGAATTAAGTGAGTTTTCTTCATTCGAAATTGTTGATATTTTGCTAACGGAATCTAGCTGGTACCGAAAATAGTCTGTCTTTACAAGAATTCTTCGTTTGTGTCTGCATGAGATGTATCGGCGGCAATCAATTCCCGGACACCAGCCAGATGCCGCTTCGTGTAGCTCAGCTTCACCGCTGCGCCTTGACTTTTCTTCACCAGATACTGCTCAACCCCTTTGCAGAAACCCTGTCGCGTCTCAAAATAGAAGACGTTCTGATTGATCGACTTGCACAATCTCTTGGGGGGCCTGATCCCTATATTCAAGTACTTCTACTGGATGTTATTTTCGCTTCTCTCAAGCTCCGAGATGCCACACCCGCAGAATTACCGACCTCGCCAATTGGGGAGAAGCGATCTATGAGCTATCCATCCGGTAGCATGCGATTGTCTCTAGCTCCCCCCGAACACCTACATATAGAGACGCCACCTCCGGCCGCGCTACTGGGTTGTATCAAGGCAGGTCTTAGTGCGCCTATCAGTCGGCCAGTACTAGACAGTTGGGTGGGCTTTCTTGCAGAGTGTTTGCCCTTGTATTCAGATTCTATTTTCCAGGTTCTCATACCTCTAGTAGAAACTCTTTGTGGACAAGTCTCTAGCACATTTAGTAGCCTACAGACAACATTCAAGCGGAACGGGAATCCATCTGAGATGACCAGCGCTCCGGAATCAACTCTAATATCGCTACTCAATGCGCTTGAGCAAGTACTAGCCAAAGCTCATGATCAGTTGCTGGCCGCCGAGGCTAGGGCCCAGGTGGTGAAGAGTCCCGATCAGCCCCAGGGATTTTTTGGGAATATGGTGTCTGGAGTTTTCAATTCAGATGCCCCACAATCTCGAAGTGCGACTGCTAATGACCGACTAACCGTTTTACTTGCTTTCCAAGATGCAGTCCGGATGTGTTTTAAAATCTGGTCATGGGGGCAAGGAAGCGAGGCTGGCAATATCGACATGAATTCGGCCTCCTCATTCAATTATACGTCGTTACGTATGCGAAACCGGGCCAGGCGACTTCTAGAACATGTATTTGCAGCCGAAGCACTAGAATGCCTAGAGACGGTTGTTGATATTTGGCGGTCTTCACTAAGTGATCCTGATACAACGAAACACTCAGAAGTATTCAACCTACTCCCTGCTCTGGATGGGTCTCGGCCGAGGCATACTATCCCCGCTATATTCAATGCCATATATAGTCGAACAAATCCCAGCGCATTGGAGACATCTCGAAAATCGACATTGACTGTTGAATTACAGGACACGGACCTGGTCATTTTCTTGGTCGATTATACTAGGTCCCTTGAAGACGATACGATGGATGAAATTTGGCAAGACTGTATGATCTTCCTTAAGGATTTGCTGGGCAATCCGTTTCCACATAGACAAACACTGCCCAGTTTACTGGAATTCGCGGCAATTTTGGGTGAAAAAGTGGACAATACAAATTTCGGAGAGCAGAGGAAGATGCGAAGAGAACTTGGGGTTTGTTTTCTATAAATTCTAGGGGCTCTTGAATTAATTGCTAACATGACATTAGGATCTCTTCCTCCGATTACTCACTGCTATTTTCACTACTAGACCCGCATCATTTTCAGACGGATTATCGACCTCGAATCTAAATCAGTCAAAAGCTAGCGAGAGTCGTTTCCTCACACCTACGGATAGAGCAGATGATCTCGTCGGCATTCTATCCAATATAGTCCCTAACTTACCGAAGATTCTCGTAGAATCAGATCGTGTATTAACAGCAGCAGGGGCTATTTCCACGAACGTGATTGGCCCGTCTATCCGCTCGAAGACTTTTCCTGATACTATCTCTAAGAGCGCCTTAACTCTACTTCAGGAACTCACCAGGCTTCCTGGCAATCAGAAAACTTGGAAGAAGGATATTGGAGATGCTTTCAACGACTCAAGATTCTTCAACTCTTCCGTTGATCTTGTACGAAGTGATTGGTTACCGTTATTAAAACTTTGGACAATTACGGACAAGGACCGAATGACGGAGATACTGAGTCGCTTAACGCCACCTACGACAGCCGGCATAGTCTTTGGAGTGGGCGCCACCTCGGCAAGATTGGAAGCAGACCGCAGAACACAGCTCAATCTACGCCGCATCGCAACCCTAGTTCTCGCTTGTGGCACGGACACTTTTGTCACGGACTTGCCGACTATTCTCGAGCGTATCGTCGAGCTTCTCGCAGCAACATCCACTTCTTCGCCATCTTCAACTACACGTGCCGACATATATATGGTAGTCCGTGCCCTTGTCCTCCGGACATCCGCCATCCACCTTGCGGCTTTATGGCCAACTATCAACGCCGAACTTCATGCGGCCATATCCTCCGTTGCCGCTCCAGACAATAGCACTTCATCTGATACCTTTAGTAATATGTCTGTACTCCAGGCTTGTAAACTTCTAGATTTACTAATCACCGCGGCTCCCGATGACTTCCAACTCCACGAGTGGCTCTTCGTCACCGACACAATTGACTCCATCTACCGCTCCGCCAGCTATCAGCCAGTCGCCCTTGTAGACGAATTATCGGAGGAATTAGGTAACACCGGAACCACCATGTCAGCACTACAAACAGAATCGGCGGCAGCGATGGCGGCGACAAATAGCGGCTCAGGTCTACCTCTCCGCAGGCCATTACTCGGCCACCCCGGTGGCATCAACGATGAGCTATCCGTAGACCGCAAAGACGAGCTCGTCGCAAAGATTCTAAGGCCGTTCTTTGCACAATTAAGTATCTACGCCTTCGAGTCCACATATGCCATGGGCGTGATGGACATCGAGACGTGTGTCGATGGCTTGTTGAAGGATTTATTTGATGAGCGGACGATTGTTAAGGCGTTGTAGTCTTAAGTGTATTGAATACGGGGCGAACGCCGGTCCAAAGGCTCGGGATAGAAGAGGATGGATATTGTAGTGGAAAAAGCGCATGCGCGGGTACTAAGTTAGTACTGTACTAGGTAGTTTTGCGTTCGGGTTGGGGTTGGTGTTAGATGAGCATAGCGGAATAACATGAATCACGATTCTTCGAAATGTTTCAGTATATGGTGACATTCCCTACCTGCTTAAAGAGTTTGCTGGCTGACATGGTAAGAAACATACGCGTTATCAGCATCCTACCAACGCAGTAGAAATTTCCATAAAGTATAATGTTTCCCAAACTTTTAATTCCTAGGTAAGTACAAAGTCTTTTGGTTATAAATCAATATTTCCTACATTCTCGATCAACCATCCCATACTCCTTCCTTATTTTCAATCTCCTGTCGTCGCACACATATATACAAATACCTACAAACCCACCCCACCATCTCAACCATCCCATCTTTTCACACCTATGTACCTCCTCCTTCCCCCCTCTCCCCCCTAAACCCAACCAACCTTCCCAAACCCCTAAATCGCCGGCCCAGGAATCGGTCCCAAAACCCTCTCGACAGCCTCCTCAAACGCACCGCGGGACATCACGGCCCCGAAATGCAAACATTCCACCGACGGCGCCAGCGCGGCTTTCACGCGGTCCATGAGTCCGACATTCAGAACCACCCCGCCGCCGTACAGTCGCGCGACTTCGAACCAGGCTTGCACGGGCGCGAGTTCGGGGCCGGAGGCTGGGTTGAGCGTTGAGGCGAGGTGGAAGAGGGATTCGAGGGTTAGGGCTGGTTCGGTGGTGCTGGGGTTTGGGGGGTTGGTGGTAGGTGAGGGGGGGAAGGTTTGGGGGTTGTGGGTGTGGGTGTGGGTTTGGGTGTGGTTGTTGTTGGGGCGAGGAGGGATTTGCCAGGATGTTAGGGTGGTGTTGATGTTAGGGTTGAGACAGTTTTCATCGTTGCTGCTGGTTGGGTTCGGGAATCCAGGGGCATAGGAGGGACCGGTGCCCGTGCAACTGCCGGCGTTGGGATTGGCCTGCTTCCGACGCTCTTTCTCGGCGCCGATCTGCTCCCATGCCCCGGCTGGTGCGCTGCGGAGCGCGAGGGCGCTGGCCATTAGCATGTGTCCGTTTTCTTTGCCCTCTGGGTCGTAGTCGTTGTGGTCGTAGTACGAGGGGTGGAAGTGGTTCCAGCAGATATGTTCTAGCCTGTTTTGATAGATAGTTTATTAGCTCGATATAATGTACTTCTTTGCTCGTTTTTGTGCTTATTTTCTTTGGCTATAGTACGGTGGTACCAAAAATCGAGGAAATAGAAAAGGGGGCCCACGTACTCCAAGATAAAGTTGATGGCGTGATCGACCTGTTCCTGCGACATCGTCATCCCCAGAACCATTCCCGGGATCCCAGCCACGTCTACAAAATCCCCTCCACCGGCACTATGCGGCGATGATGATGACGACGGCGTTGGGATCCGTTGAACCTGGTAGAGCGGTGTACTTAGAGACTCGGACGAAGCAAGAAGACTGGCCGTGTACTCCGGCTGCGAGAGCGAAAAACCGAGAGACGGGATCATCCCCAGAGCCGAGGCTGAGCCAAGACTTAAACGATGCCGTATCGCCTCATTTTCGGTCCTGAGGGCCGAGCTCTGATGCTCCGTCTGCTCGATCAGATCGCGTAGACGGACTACATCCATCTCCAACTGCTTCGTGTAATTTGCCTTGCGCTCTCGATGCTGGATCTGGGCCTTTCGGACCTGCGCCCTTCTAGCCTTAGACTTACCCAGATCCGACTCCCGTCCATTGTTGTTGCCGTGATGGCCGTCATCTTTGCTAGGTCCTAGATAGAAGAACCAGGAGTTAGCTTTGACCTGCATGGCGGCGAGGCGATCGGGATATCTTTGTATGTAACTATTATCTAAGAATATGTAGGGTTAAGAGGCGTGTGTATGTAAGTATGTGTTGGCGCTAGGCTTTCCCTAGCCGTATCATGCAGGTGATATAAGATGAACCAGCTGAGTGAATAGAGCCAAGAATGTAGATTAGTACGGGTCGGTTAGGGTGCTATAAGGGTCAAGGAGGCGACCGCTTGGTTGGTGCCGTTCACCCTCATAGACACCCCCCTAATATCCGCAACGTTTTACATCATTGACCTGCAACGAAGTGGGCGGAATGAATGGAATTATGTGATGCGGTTTCCTGTAGCCAACCGATACTACGGCTTGGCGGCGGGCATCTCAGCCCTACCTATGACAAATAATTTCAGCCTAGAAAGGCGAATAGGTGTCCAGGTATTTATAAGTGGCCAGGTCCAAGGAAAATCGACGCTGATCTCAATGCCATTTCAACATATTCCATCATGACATACCTGCCTGTGCCTCGGGACCGCTTGAGACGAAGGTGATAGACCTCGCGGCCTCTTTAGTGCGTCTCCAATAGTCGGTAAAAGACGGTCTCGAGCTACCGCTTTTAGCACTACCACGAGTCTCGGCGCTCCCGTTATCGTTTGACTCCTCCAATGACGAATTGACCATTTTCCTGTGACGGCAAAGAAAGCAGGTGTCCGCGAACCCCCCGCGACGCAGAGTATGGGTGTATCCGGGGTAGTGGTACGCACGCGATAGGTAGGAAGGGTTTCGTCTTTGGTGGTGCGGCTAGAGATGACGGAGACGAAGGATGTAAGCAACGTGGGGCTCTCGAACCGTTTCCAGGGGGTGGAGATCGACGATTTGGAATCTGACTCTCCTTTTTGGATTCGCCTAAGTCAGCTTTTGTTTAATAAACTTCATCAACTCGAACGACTTTTTTTCAAACCACGTTATTTCAAACCAAACCCGAAGTCTCATGGGAAGAAAAAAGAGGTAAAATGAACCCATTTGTCTTTCTCATCTACGTAGAGAATCCGCTCAATTAGGCGCATATGGTATGCAGGTTGTAGCCGAGAAAGCATGGTAACCTCAAGGGTAATAAGGGGGTTGGCACGGGTGCTTAGGAAACATCATTCAGTCAATTCCACTGGCCTCCTAGTACGCCGTCCGTAAATACAGGTATCTTCCTTTTTGACCGCCTTACCCCATGCCGACGCCGATTAAAATGCAGTCACAATATACAGAAACCATTATTTACTCATCCTCGCCGATCTCATCATCCGTCGCGGTATCCTCCTCGACATCATCGTCCCCCTCCTCTTGCTCATCATCGCTATCCTCGTCTCGTTCGTCTTGGTTGAGGCCAGGGATAGTTCGCCACGGTATATAGTCCTGCTCGACCCATCGCTTGCTCACTGGTAGTTGGTACGGATCAAATGGGAAAAAAGAACCTAGCTGTTGCCAGCTCTCATCGTTCATGTCGAATGACATATCTCGTAGGGCGCCTCCGCTAGAGTATGCTCCAGATGCGAATTGTGACAGACGGACGCGCTTGTTCGACTCGATAAGTGGATACACGTACATGAAACGGAATCGGTGGGCTAGCTTCGCGAATTGTTCGACAATAACTGGAGAGCAGACCTTAAGAGGGTTGAGTTTTGAATAAATATTGCGCCTCATGATATCCTTAATCTCGGGCTCCCATTCAATCTCCTGGTCCAAATACGTCGAAGGGTCATCTTTATCGACTTCGTCAGGTACAGACTTGATAAGGTCTTGCCATCTGAAACAGTAGATATATATTAAAGCTTGCATTAATGCGTAAAAGGGTGCATATCGACGGACATCGGGTCCGCGACACGAGGTTTCGTATACCGCGCGCATCTGATCCAGATGGTAACCGAGAACTTCAAAAATCTTGACCACGATATGACCTGGTACATGAACTCCACGGGCGACGAAGCTCGCCAAATAAGCAGATGCCGCTTGCTGTAAGATGAGTGGCCGTTGTGACTCGAATGCGATATTGATGCAAGTGCCGCAGAATGCGTCTATGAGCCTCTCTGATTTTTGGCCGAAATGGAAGATCAAGAATTGAGTATGTCTAGACTTAATAGTAGGTAGAATGATGTTAGAGAATTCAGATAGAAGATCTTCGAATACCTCCGAAGCCTCATCCGAATCGGGATCGGCGAAGTTTGGCGTATAAAGCTCGAAGAGGGTGTCAAGTATAGAATCCATCTTCTCAATATTCTCTTTTGCTGTCTTAACGCGCGTGTACTCGTTCTCTTCAGATTCGTCGCTATCTACAGATTCGGCATCGCTCTCGTCCGAGTCTTCTTCGTCCTGATTGCCATTCTCGCGAGAAGATTTGAGGGCCATGGCTACCATTGCGGCGAGTCTGTCGTCCATGTCGTCCAGATTCATCTGCATTTCTACATCGATCTGGACTAGCCGACTGACAACCAAATCCATTATCTCCGCCCTAAGATCAGGGCAGTACGATCGTAATTTCAGAAGATTATCGACGTATGCTATATGCATTCGCTTGGATTCGTCGTGGAAGGGATATTTGGAACTTATAAGATGCTCTAGAACAGGTTTGGTAGAAGGAAATAGTTGAAGCAGATATCGTATGGCGACATGCAGTCTCTCCATGGCGACATCTCTACTAACGGTTGGGTAATTCGGTATGGCCCAGTCAGAGGGTCGCGAGTCGGTAAATCTTTCAATGATGGACGATAACACCTGTGTTAGACGGGCACCTTGTGCGCTGACCAGAGCGGCGAGGAACTGGACATAAATCTTGGCAAATTGTTCATCTTGTCCAAGCCATTGGCATTGTAGAACGCTCTTGACAATACCGTCGCATGATCTTCCCAGGCGAGGAGAGAAACTTGCGAGCGAGACAAGGTAGACCTTAAGTTCCTGGCGTCGCTTAGCTGGGAGAGTAGGGTCAACATCATCGTCTTCGTCATCATCATACGACGATGTTTGTTTTCCAGATAGGGTATCTTTCAATAAATCGTAGTCTTCATCGTCTCCTTGGTCATGGCGCTCCAGAGCTTTCTTAATCTCTTGTTTTATCTCCTCCACTGACCGTGCTCCAATCTCGTGAATCTCGATATTATTAAGGTCGAACTCGACTCTCTGGCGCTTGCGGGGACTTTGCGGGGAGTCCATAGTATCGTCGTCAAGCCCCGCATCATCGCTTGTCCTTCTAGTGCCGAGTAAGGTTGACGATGATTTGAGAATGGGTTTGAGCGGTATGGCAGCCTTCACGGCAGCCCGAGCAAGTTGCGGGGTGGCGCTCGTCATAGCGGGTTGAAGCATGAGAATCTAGATAGTGAAAACATAGGTCTCTTTAGGTCTGCGATCTCATTAGGAGGTATGCCGTATGCAAGTAGTCGAAGATTCTATTATGCGGTATTCCGGCATACTGATAGCCTAAGCTAATTTAGTATTTTACGTTGCGAATGTCGCGATATTGATACGATCAATTATCGACGAGGCTGCAGTAAGAAAAAAAAATCTTAAGAAAAAGCAAGCTAAGATTTGAAGATGACAAAATTTGGATTGCAACGCACAAACACTCACAGGAAAAGGCAGGGGTCTTTGGGGACAGGAGGGGCAGTGCGTTCCACTAAGACCTGGTCTGTGCTTTCCTACTTTGCCTTCTGCCAATCGACGCCTAGCTTTGGGGCGTACTTAAGTAAACTTAAGTAAGTCGGGTACCTACGAACTCCAATCTTCACTATTAACTTCAGGTTTCTAACCATCTTCATTTATACTCCCAAAATTAAAACAATGGCTATCATTATGGACAACGATTAAACTCGATAAACAATGGAAATCAAATCCCCTAAAAATAAAGTACCGAACAGTATCATTCATCCCTTTTCGTCCAAATGTTCGGTATACACAGTTACGATCCATAAGTTAGTCTGGCAAAGATATTTTTTACTTCTTTCATTTGGTTCATAAGTGAATAAAACGAAACGGTGCTATATAGCTTGTAATGCTCCAAGCATCGGGCCGTTCTCCGATGCTCGGGAAGCTGGAATATCTGTCGAACTAAAGCTGAAGCAGAATCTCAAGACTGATCCCGAGAAACGCAGAGAACCGAATACGGGGGATGAACGCCTCGGGGAATCTATCGAAGAGAAGAAGTGCAGAACCAGTAACCCTTTTTACGCGCAGCCTCATCCATCACTACCTATCCATAATGAGCCCATCATATACAGGGGCAGAAGATCCCTATCCCGAGAGTAGTGTGCTGGAGCCCTCAAAATCCCAATAGTTATACACACTCGAAGGGGGCATAAATCGCCTCATGAAAACCCCAAGATCCATCATCGAGATCAGGTTGGCGATATTAACCTACCCATGCCTATGCCATCTACGGACGCTAAGCGCGAGACTTAATAGGTCTCGCCGGCCGCGCCGTTGTGACTAGGCTGGGTGTAGATGTAGCCTTCGCCCGATTCACCGATACCGCCGGTCCCATCACCTCCCTGAAAACCAGAGCCTCCCGCAGCACCAGATCCGCTGGGGGCACCTGCTCCGTAACCCTGGCTGTTCGGCCTGTTCTGTTGGTTTTCACCTCGGTTTGACTGAGACTGCTGGTCATTGGTTAGCGCTGTTCGTACGCGAGGTCTGACGCACAGCATGCGTAGGCCTCGAAGCAAGGGATGGCAGGGGAAACAGTACTTCTCGGTATTTTGACAGGTAAATCTTCAGTGCTTCCGCATAGTTCTCGAAGCCGAGAGAGGTCATGGCAAAGAGGATATCTTCGCCGTTGACAGTTTTCCTCTTCTCCTGATGGCACTTCTCCGATGCTGCGTACGGTGTCAGTCTTTGCTTACTAGGTATATCAGATGGGGGATAGCATCGGTCACATAGACCAGATGAATATATATAAAGATAGGATCAAGAAAATAGAACTTACCTTCGCTCGTGATGAAGGAGATGAACTCGCTCACGCACTCTTGCATGCATTCCTTTGCCTCCTTAGCGATCTTGGCGTTCTCGGGCAAGGCAGTCTTCATGATACGGGCAACTGGAGCAAAGTTTCGTATGTTAGCATCGTAGATATCATATCTGTCAGCTTTAGAGGCGCGAGGCGCTTCCGGCGACTTAGACGACGAATCGTGAGACATGGACACCCTTCTGCTGATGCGCGGCTGTCTCGAACTAAGGGGCCATAAAGCACCAATTGACGGACGCGCCGCGGTCAGAGCTCCGCTTCAGCGACGAGCTTCTTTGCTTGCAGACGGTCGACTTGGGCGCACCAAATCAGAGACAAGAGTCGTCGGAGGGTCTTAACTCACCATTGGCTATGGGCAACCACCTGTCCTGCTCTTTTACCTCGAACTCATAGGCGAGGCCAGAGCCGTGTGGGTCCTGAGGGTCGTTCATCTGTGCTTCATCGTCGGGTGATTGTACACCTGGCTCGACATCCTTTGGAGGCGATTGAGGGGAGTCCGACATATTTGGCTACCTGCAGCGGGTGGTAGCTTTTGTAAAATTTTCTTGGACTGCCAGCTCGCACACAGCTGGTTACAAGGTAGAGATGATGTGTCCCTGCCTCTGACACGTTGCAAAGGTAGGGCTTGCAACTCTGAAGAGCGGCTTAGCTGCAGACGAAATGCGTCAATCCTGCCCTGTCGCGGGTCCCCAGAATTATGGCCTAGAGCTATTTACTTGTTCCCGTGTCCCGTGTTCCGCGTTTGGTAAGCCCTGTCTCTCGCGAACTTTTTCGGGCTATGACGGAATCTGCAGTTGGCAGAAACGGTTAAGGAATATATTTGATGTGATATAATATGGATTGGATGTAAGGATGCGTATGCAAAGAGCCTGGTCTTGGTATACTGTACTATACCGTAGCGTCTCGTGTAGTGTGTAGTGTGTGCAGTGTGTGAGTGTGCGTGTGTGTAGTGTGTTGTAGTGTGGTGGTGTTTGGTGTACGGTACAAAGGCAGACGTGACTTTTGTGTGGATTGATTTGATGGAGATTGTGGATGTAGGAAAGGAATGGGCAGCATGCGATCTGGGTTACGAGAGTACCTACCTAGGTACGTACTTTCCGCACTTTACGCACTCTGCGCACTCTACGCACTTTACTGGGTCCGGGCTTGGATTGGGACGAGCGGGGTGCCTTTTGTGGGTCAATTACTCTCTTTAGTAGACGCCGAGGGTTGCGTTACTTAGGAGACCCGCTGTTTCCTTTTACATCCGTGCAATCGTCTTATTTCCTTCTACTGTAGCTTCTGGATGTTTACCCTATGTTTGCTTCCTTAGCGCTGGGCGGCGGCTATCCAGACTAAAGCAAGATCGCCTTGCTGCATTTCAGATAAGTGTACAGTATGTGTGCCTAGGTATATATGTGCATATTTAAGTACTATACATTCGACACATGAGGTTACGATATTGTCAATAGACGTTGTATTTAAGGTATGAGATGTCGATGCTGTGTTTTTGGCCACCAATGGACAAATGCGGCTGCCCTAGTTTGTTGCCAGCAGCTTTCTCAGCTTACTTCGTTCCTACCTCCTTGATTATTATTAACCTGCTACTTAGCAGTACTTTCTATATGTACCTAATATCAAAGATGGACCTTCCAAAAGTGTGTATATGTTACACCTACGGACCGGATAGTCCTGAGTTGCTTCCAGTGGCTTAATATTTACGACTTAGCAGAGAGGTTCGGCTCGACTAATAACGGCGGGGGCGGAAACGGGCTAGGGGCAGTTTTCTGGAAAAGTCTCAGTTCAATGTTGGATGCACGAGAGTGGATTTCTGGCCGGCTGCATAACGCGTTATCAGCACGGCATGTAAGTTGGACGATGTATGTATTCTCATTATTCCCATACTTGCTTGTTACGATTACGTAGGTACCTATGTAGGCACTTCAATAATAGAGCCGGAACCTTTCTCAGTTCTTCTCTCAACTGCGTGATCTTTGTTGATGGGATATACCTAAGTATCTACTAACTACTAACTACAACTACCTACATAATATGTACAGAATACAGTTGGGTGTATTTCGAGGTTAGATGCAGGGTCCCCAAGACTGCCTAGGTACCTACGTAGGTAAGTTAGGTCAAAAGTCAAAAGCGGACACCCGCAGAAAGATGGACATGTACGTAAACGATGGAAAGTTGTATACCTGCTGTATGTAAGGTAGCTACAATTACGTGGGGTACATGCAGGAAACCCCTTAATGAAGACTATTATGAACGTTGAACAGGTCCGAAAAGGATTGGATGTTAAGAATAGATTCTTAATCAAAAACTGATGTTTCTGAACAGGTGGCTAGTTGTATACGGAAGAGAATAAGATTAACGGAAATAAATATCGAAAGACCAAAGAAGATAATAAACCTGATAGGTCTTGCCACATGGAAAATAAGAAAATCAAGAAAGAAAGTACTATGGAGGTGTTCCATTATTAGAGACGGGAAGTTAAACTGTACCTAGTAATCTTAGAAGCGCCCTTTAGTGCCGCCCTGAGGTACCTTCGTCACACAAGCTTCAAAGTTCTTTTTACCTTTTACGTATTTACAACACAAGTCCAAATATTTCATGTATTTAACATCTTCTACAACAATGCGGAGCCATATTAACCCCGCGGATCTTCCTATTCCTAATCGCTGTACGTGTTCCATCGAACGCAGTGCTCTACGTCTCCAAGATGTATGTCACCATATCCGCCGAACCAACAAGTGGCATATTTACCTCAGAGTCGAGCCGACCGACCCATGTATTTCATACATGAGGCGGTGTGAAGATAAGTTGCCACAGACGGGATGAAAATTGAACATATGATGTTCAAAAAATCACAGCCTACATTGTCCTCCTATTATCGGCCTTCCATTAGCTACATTTGAAAACTCTACCGTTACTTGCTCCATACCTGCGGTTGTGATCTATGTGTTACCCAGCGCCCTCACCAGAGAGACGGGACAAAGAGTGGAGGGTGAGGTCTATTGCTGATTTGACAATCTCTCGAATACCTACTAGGTAAATAGTTGTCCGACATATGTGCCTACCCGACAGGAACAGGAAGCACAGCCTGGTTTGCGGTTCTTCGATCTTGGGGGCCAGGGCACTTGTTTGGACGACAGTTAAATCAATTCAAGATGAAGAGGACCTAGGGGTTCGCATTAATTCACCATATCAACCAATTGTAATATTCGGTAACGGGTTGAGTTTTTGATTGGAAGTAAAAGCTCAATTCTAGTTCAGGACATCTTCCTCTCCCGGAATGTGGAGAAGGGAATGATAGGCTTTGAAGGCCTCCCAGGCTCTGGCGTATAATTACCGTCATCAATCGCTCAATCCCGGTAACCCATAAGATGGAGTGCTGTCTTGGCCAGCCAGCCCTGTAAAGGCTGCTGCAACACACAATTGTATAAGCACAATCCTAACCTGTACGATTGAGCTTTCTCTAACGAAACCCGCATTGCTACGCTACCGACCTGCACGTCGTATGCGGCCTAACTGTGTCCCACGAACCTACATACATACGTACGATCCCGTGGATGCCCAATCGTCGGAAGCAAGAATAACCCTGTAACCATTTCATCTATTACAATTGGGGAAGATATTAGATTTATATACATATGTAAGCGTATCCTGGGAGTAATGTATCTGGAATTCGCTCTAAGATATACTAAAATAGGAGGAACCGGTGTGCTGGGAAAGCAACTCATTGGCAACTTACCTACTACTGACCTCATACCTAGTACCAGGTAGGTACTATGCTAGGTGTGTATAGCGGTGTCCGTTGACATCCCCGAAGCTCTTCCGCCCGGTTCGGAAAAGGACGTGGGATTATTTTCCCCCATCTTCCCCTCCGGATCATCACCCTGCTGACATTTGGGCAGAGGTGCAGCCGTGCGAAGTTCACAAAGTACTCGTATGTAATTCCCTATTCAGGCCAATTCCAAATTTACCCTTAGGTATTCGATCGAAGCGCATACATAACTTCCGTTTCCGCCAGCCTGCCCGTCAGTTCCGTATCACATTGAGGCTACCCCAGCAGTTGCAGATAGCCAGAAGAAGTTGGGCCGAGTTTGTAATTGGGATCGTAGTAGTCGTTATCGTCACTCCCCTCCACGAATTTATACATACCTAGGTATCTGGCTATAACTTATAGCCTGCAGGTCTTAGTTGGGTAACTTACCATTTACTTAGTCTAGAAAGACGGCCGACACTCTTGTTTCAGCCAGGCAGATCGCAAACTGCCATCAACGACACGCTGGCACTTAACCCGGACCACCGCCGGCGCTCCATGGAGTTGTCATGTGGCATGTGGAGCTTGAAAATGCAGGCTAAGCACCCCGCCCTCGGATCATCTGCCGATTAACGAGGTAGATGATAATTCATAATATGTTTTAGCCCTATTTTATTTATTTCTAACACGGTGTGAGGATGTTGCTTCGATGACGGACTATATCAGTGTGCCTCGAAGATGCAGGGTCAGCGTAAGCCGCCCTAACTTGTCAGATCATTTACGGCCAGTCAAGACAGCCACTCCTGAACGCGGCCTACCCTCCAATCATTACTGCTTGCGAACCGTTGATCATGGCAGCCTTGACAAAAGCCTGTCGTTGGGCACTGAGACGCCCTTGACGCTAGGCTCCACCTCCTGCAAGCTACGATTGTACAACGCATCAACACCATCTTTCGAGATATCGCAGGGCTTCGAGACGGCTGAAAGCGAGGGCATATGGCACCATCTCATCCAACTCAACGCCGTGCAACAATTCAGTTTAGCTCGATCCCGATCACGCATATCAAACAGCAGTCATGATGTCCGAATGCCAACACTTCTGAGGCATCGATGCTCTGAGATGTTCTCTGACTTGGTAGCCATCCATTAGCTTGGCTGCCTCAAGCCGTCTACGAAGAACCTCGCATATACGCCTTCGAGGACGTAACCCCATGGAAACCGTAGCCCTAACGCCAATTTCCGCATCCACTCCCGCCATGCGTAACGTTGAGGTTGGCTCACGACTGGACAACCTGGATGTTGTTCTTTTTCTGTACGAACGGTTGTGTAAGTCGGCAACTTCGCAAGTCGATAAAGGGTGGGGGTCACGAGATTCATCTTTCCGGGTTTGCGGAGACAATTTACCTTCCACTTTTCTAGATCATCCTGCTTGATCTTGTATTGCTTGACTAGATCATCAAGCACCTTCTCCAATCCTTCGGCGTTAGTCCTCAAAGCGGGGATCACGTCCTTGACTGTTCGCTCCACCAGCACGCCGTTGATCATGCGGAAGCATTTGCGGTCCCCCGGGAGCGGTTCCAAGGTATCGAGAACAAGCCTAGTAAGACGAATTGTTAATGGATGAGCGGTGAGTTCGTGAAGCGAAGCGGTGAGGTTCATGAAAGATCTAGCCTATGCGCTAGAGGTAAAAACCCTAGTAGGGCTGAGGTCATGCGAGCTCTCATTGCTACTCCAGGGAGCTCACGAAAGTGGTTCCATGATGTCAGGAATGAGATGAAAAATATATGGACAGCGGAAGAAAGGTTCACGAACTTATGTTCTTCGGCTTCCTGTTCAACGTCGCCAATTTTCTGGGCTAGTTGCTGTAACGTATTCTTGTAGTTTGAATATGTTGTTTGTAGCTCTGTCGTATACAGTTAGAGGGGGACTCTTAGTTCCCATGTAAATAAAGTGATTTTCATAGTCGCGTACCTTGCTGCTTTTTGGCCGATATAGCCTTAGTAGCCATGGTGAGTGAGGATTGCCGATGCAACAAAATGGACTTTTTAAGTTGAATAAAGTTGATATGAGAAAATACACTATTTTCAAATGAAATCAGTTGTATTTGGCAGCCTTTGAAATCAATGGATGTTGTGTTGAGCCCTGGAAATATAGTTCATTGGAGGGGCTAGTGGGGTATGTGGAGCCTATAATTGTGTGGTCCATGCTTTTTTGCCCATTGGAAGGTTCCATCACCACGGATTTTTCGGTTTGCGACGGAGAGTGGCCAGTGAGAATTCAACCCACTTCCTATCTTTCCTACAACATCACCAGAGCAGTTTTGGAACTAATCAAAGATGCATCCTCACTTACACACAAAAGACAACACTGGTAGGTTTTCTTGATTCCTATTATATACTAGGGAGTGACTAATAGCATCCGCGTTTTCAACAGCTTGCGAGGACATTATGAATGCCCTTGAAGAATGCCACGCCAAAGGCTTTCTCTGGAAATCATTGGGCATGTGTTCCGATACCAAAGATAAACTCACGTTATGTCTAAGAGCCGAACGAGTAAAGCGCACTGCAAACAATCGAGGAATAGCCAGATCTAAACGCGACGAAGTGAAAAGGTTATGGGACGACATCGACGAGAACTCATAGCGCGCGCACAATGAGAAATCCCGACTATCGTCTGTATAATACGAAAGCAAAGCTGATGGCCGTGGCGCTTGTATTGCATAGCATGGCGTTTAAAAAGGCATATAAGGTTTGGCGTGGCTCATATAGGCAGGGCTTTTACAGGAGATAATTAAGCGACATTCTCTCCTCAAATGGATTACGTTTTTAGGAATCGTGTGGGAGAGTGATTGTTCGTTTAACAATTGTGCTATTTGGAACGATTTTAATACGCTATCCACCATCAAACCGATATCGTCGTTTTGCCTACGTCCGAAGGTCCCATCAACCAGCTCCTCCCTTATAGAGTCTTTCTATAAGCATTACCAAAGACCAATAGACCGAATATGGAGATCAAGCTCAGCACAGTCGGGACCGGCTTTCCGCTTCGGAGAGCTCGAGGGATAGATGCGCCTCCAAGAACAATGGATGCTAGGAGGGCAAACTCGATACCGTAGGACTGGCGCGATTGTAGGCGATATCCTCCGAGGCCGTCTAATTTCGAATTTGTGTCAGCCTAATGCAAATCGCAAGCTACCTATAGGTACCTAATAAAATAGCTGTTGACTTACACAATATTCCAACGGTCCAGCCAGCTGCAACCGAAGGTAGGGAGCCCGTCTTAACATAGCCCATCGTACCGCCGCCTGCGGTCAGAGCTCCGAGGATAAATGCGATAGTCTCTAGAGCCTTTGCCAGAGCTAGTTAGCTTTAGTTGATCATCAAATATGCTAATTCAACTCACCATTTTTCTTGCAAGAGTTTCTTATCGTTTGGGGTGATGAATTGATAGATGGAAATGATACTAATTGTCACTAATTTTCACAATTACGTCGTTGGAATTCTGATTTGTAATGTAGCCAGAGGGAGGTTCCTGCCTCAAAGCCTTGAAAGCCCGCGGACCCCCGATGCTCTCTTACACGCGAATCGCCGAGGGGTTTGTGCTACCTTAGGTCCTTAGCAATCCCTAGATAGAAAAGTGGGGACATCACATCGCATCTGTGATTTATTTCGTGCCGTGATGTGGCTGAAGCTCTCAGTTCTGTCAGCCACACCTTACCCCAGCATGCATACGGCAGACTAGTCTACGGCTTATCATTGGCTGTTTCATTGTCGAGATTGACCGGGGTACCTTGGAACTTTTTGAAGCTTTCGTGTCCCTTACACGCAATTCGGGGACCCATTAAACTTGGACATCTTGCGATCAACTTATTCAACGATAACGTAACCCTCCTACTTCAATTCACAACGGCATAAGCAATATTGCAACCATAATGGCGCCAAAGAAATCAGCTGCTGCTCCTACCGTGGCAGCACCTGTCACTCCAGCATCGATGACCGTTACCACAGCTAACACCACTACCGCCAAGACCACTAAGAGTGAGGACAAAGCAGTCTGGTGGACTCTTTGGGACTACTATAAGGCGAATACGCCGCAACGAACGAAGCTGATCGATGTGTTCATGGGATTTCTGGTGGTCGTGGGCATCTTACAATTCGCGTATTGTGTGTTGGCGGGCAACTACGTACGTATTCACGTCTTGTTCATTGAGAGAATGCGCCTGGCAGCTAACCAAATATTTCAACGATCACAGCCCTTCAACGCTTTCCTCTCAGGCTTCTCTGCGACCGTCGGCCAATTCGTCCTTACTGGTATGTTTTGTCTATACTCTACACGGAAATAACAAAAGGCGTGAAGGAATACACATTAATCATACAAACAGCATCTCTACGTATCCAAACCGCACAAGGAAACAAATCCGAATTCCCTTCGGTGTCACCAGAGAGGTACGTGCTCTTCCATCCCGACTCTCACATCTATACAAGACTAACATTTTCTCGCAGAGCATTCGCAGACTATGTGGTCGGAAGCTTGATCCTCCACTTCTTCTGTGTCAACTTCATAAACTAAGCAACGGCGCATGGCGTACACCAAGGATGGCAAGAGTGTGGAAACTGAGTTTTCGTTGGACCCGGCAATGGGATGGGCAATCGCTGTATTAAAACCAAAAATGGGTCACAACTGGGTAAATAAAGTAAAAGGAAGATAAAACATTGCATTTTCCTCATAGGGTCCTTGATATATTGTTCCTGCCATGCGTGCTCCGTAGTTGTGATACTATGTCTAATCCACCCCACCATCCCCATCACTCCCTTTCGACTCCTCAGCCTTAGGGGGCCCTCTCGGAGGACCGCCGGCCGCCTTAGGAGGCGGCGGGGGTGGCGTCTTGCTCGCAGCTATATTCCCATCTAGCTCCCTACTCTTCTTTTCCTCTTCCGCGAAGTAATCGTCCATCATCCTCTTTGGAGCATGTCCATGCCTATCTTTCTTCTTACTCCGCGGCGGCACGCTTCCCGGTGCCGGGGAAGGCGGCGAGACAACCTGCGCGGGAACCAAAAAGTCCGGCGCAGCAGCGGGGACGAACGTAGAGGCATCACTCGGTGGAGCCAGCGTCGTGAACTGGTCCGCGCCCGCGCCGACATTACCGCCGTTGTCCACGTCAAACAACATCTCCCCCGGCGCATTCACCGGCTCGTCGAGCGGTGGCGGCAACCGGTGCAGCGCGCCGTACCCAAGCACACAACCCAGTGCGCCCTCGCCGCCCCAATCGCGACTCGGCACGATCTCCACCTCCCTCGTGACATTGTACTCATTATTATAAACCCACAGCTTCAACGGACGACCGATATAATCATCAACCAGCTCGCCTAACCCGCTCTCGCCATGCAGCGTGCCGTCTGGTGTTCCGAGCACGTAGTCGCTATACGGTAACAGCCCCGCGTTGTCGGCGGGCGAGTTCGCGGGGACGTCTAGCACGTGCCAGACGTTGGAGGCGACGGCCAGGGGCGTCCATTGCAGAGAGAGCCCGAGCGAGCGGGTGTCGCCGGGCACGGGCACGTGCAGGACTCGGGTCCGTTGCCCCTTGGCGCTCCAGAGCCCGAGGGCGACGCTGGCGCCGGCGCAGTTGCGGACTTCTTGGGCGAAGAGGCGGGGGTCGGGGTTGTCCTGCGGGGAGACGGGGGTTAGTTATAGGCTGCTTAGAATTTCAAACTAGGAGTGTGTATATATGTGCGGTTCTAGGGATTGAAACCGTACAATGACGCGGCCGTTGATCCCGACGATGAAGTCGAACCACGGCTCTATCCCTAGCTCGAGGTTCGTGTTGCGCAGGACCTGGAAGCCGAATCCGGGGCCGTCCCTCTGCTGCTGCGGTCGCGCGTCGCCGTCGAGGCGCGATAGGTACCGGTTTAGTGCGTTGAACATGATCTGTGAACTGCCTCGTGCATCTGTAGGTAGGTAGTATTAATGTGATTTCTTGATCTACATGCGGGCTAAGCAGCTAAGGCACTAGGTACCGCCTATCAAGAGTGTCTGGATTCAACTGGAAAGCTGTCATTAAGGTTTCCAGCTCAGCCTTATCGAATACACGTGGTCCAAGCTTCTTTCGGGGCTATCTGATGTGGATCTACCGGATTTCCATTGCGCCTGCCCCCTGTAGCCCCAGCTATTGTTAGCCCTGGAGCTTCCTAATAGTACAACCTGAAGAGTCTTGTAAAACGCAAATCTTGTCTCTTCAACATTTTCACCATTTCAGTCTCTTTACGATCATACTTCTTGTTGGTTTGCAAAAAAAACCCAAGAGTTAATGAAATTTGGTTTTATTATTTTTAATTGATTTCATTAGGCAACTCATGCATGCCAATCCACCTCTGTCAGGATGAAACAAGTTAAGAAGCTTCCTCTAACAGACGAATGCCATCACTGGACTCGTCTAGGTGAAGTCCCGTGGGACTTACAGAAGTAAGTTAGTCCACAATTCCACCTGCCAACAATAACCAGTTTACTTATGTGATCAAATCCTTTAGGTATTGGCAACAAAGGTACACTATCTTCCCTTACTACAATGAGGGGATCTATATGACCGAAGCTGCTTGGTACGGCGTTACCCCTGAACCAGTTGCAAAGTGAGTTCCACATTTCGAATCCATCTTAGACTCTCGATCCTTCTCGCGCAGCATCCTTACTTAGACACGAGTTAACAAGGTTCTAGCCAAATCGCACATGAACATGGTTCTATAATTAGTTCATCAAAGACCACGGTCATCGATCTATTTGCTGGAGTTGGGGCAAATGCAATCAGCCTTGCCCTTGCCACAACCCCAGACGGCACAACACCTCGCTGGGAAAAGGTGATCGCTATCGAGTTAGACCCAGCCACGCTCGCCTGTGCGCAACATAATGCGTCTCTGCATGGTGTGGCTGATGATATCATTTGGGTCCTAGGTGATAGCTTCAAGTTCTTAGAGACTCTTCTAGGCTCCCCAGAAAAGCTCGAGAATGACTTGCAGGTAAACGTGGCTGCCACGGCCTTGTTTGCATCTCCACCATGGGGCGGACCAGGCTATAGGACCGACGAGATATTCGATCTAAGCACGATGGAACCCTATAACTTGGCCACGCTGCATGAAGCTTACAGAACCATGGATCACGCGCTTTACCTCCCACGTACAAGCGATCTTAGACAAGTCGCCAAACTGATTCCCGATGGAACAAAGATCGAAGTTGTCCAGTATTGCGTCGAAGGCGCCAGTAAGGCATTGGTTGCATACATACCTGCCGCCAAGGATGAAGACATTCGCATGGAGACATAACATTCACAAGCACCACTAAACCGTGGTTCCAATGGGTCATTCAAAATATGGAACGAATTTCGTAAACTTTTTAATTTATGCTTCAAAATATGAGGTACTACTCCGTGGAGTATGATCTCGCTGATATGACCGATTCGGGCGAGTCGGGGGAGTTGGTGTATTTCCCAGAAGGTAAAACCGGCTCACTCTCGGTTCCTCCATCATTGAACTTGCATTTCTGCTTCGCACTCTCTTTTCCAGCCCGTCCTGGAGAAACCTCACGGGATGTGCAACAACTAAACCAGCAACAGCCTCAGCCACTAGAAGACTGTCGAGGCCCGCAAAGAGAGCCTGGTTCTTTGCGTTCCAACTTTCTAATCCATCAGCCAGTATTATTACCTGGTAGAGATCCCTTCCAAACAAGCATATGGCGGATATTAACAACATTGCCACGAAAAATTTGAATCTATACGCCATGGGGACGAAACCGTGTACCGGATGGAATGTTGTATATCCGAATTGGCTGTTCGCTATGGCGGCTCGCAACAATACATTGACGAACAGAAATATGAAAATGATTAAGGAGAGAGCTTGTATAGCGGTGCCGGCAGCCATGATGGGACTGCCGATCTTAGCATTATGGCCGAGGCCTGTATCGACGGAGAGGTCTGAGAAGGAAACAATTATTCCGATAAGCTGGAAGACGAAGCCAATAACATCGATCCAGATCAGACGAGGATAATGTGCGACGTTTATTAACGAATGTTCGACGCCAATTATTTTGATAGCTTCGGGTATAGTAAGGTAAATGCTTTAGACTAGTCAGCACGTTTCTCAAACATGATATCGGATATAAAAAGGAGCTATTCAACTTACGCTGCGGAGATGAAGGCCGGCGCGACTAGTAGGAATGCAGTTGAGCCAGCATAGAAGCCTACGTCCCAAGGGTCGATCGAACTTCCGAGTCTAACGGCATAACCAATGGCTTCAAAAAGAGAAGCTATCGAGACTGGGATGCTGAACTCCAGCCATTTATTTCTCTCGGCTATATAAAATGTGTAGAGCAGACAGGCGAGGATGGACCCGATATGAATGAACAAGAATATTACTTCTGCGGCAGCGCTCGGCGGGTAGCCATACGGAGATGCTGCAACCGGACAAGTCTCGAAATTGCACGAAGCAATCGATCTCATCGTGAATGAGATTACGTCTGTCGGATACCCATATGGTAAACGTCTTAGGCTATACAGAGAGTAGCGTACGACGAAAAATGACAAGCATCAAGTGCACACCTAAGAGGGGAGGGAAAGGTGACGACACGGGTATATTAATATTTAGTAGATGGATTCCAGGTACGGTTGGGAATCTAGGTTGGATAGATCGCTTATGATCTACTTAGCCTCAAGGGGGTAGCACGGCCGGATGAGTCTATATCAAGGAGCCTCCCAAAAGACCAACGTTGCAACCATTATAAACCATGAGGAGCTGGGTTTGGAAGCTGCCCTTTTATCCGAAACATCACCGTTTACGCCTAGAACTGAAATCCTACTGCAACATCGGGCAATTGCTAAGGATCCCGATCTAGACTAAACCCTACTGACGACGCCCGCTATAAGCCGATGCCCCCAAAATCACTAGAGGCGCAAGTAAATCAGGCGAGTATCGCTCTTATGGGGGGTACAGGGAATTGCCAACCCAATCACAAGAAGCTAGAAGCTCCCAAAGGGCATGGAATAGGATTCCCTACTACTTGCAGGGTCTGCTTTAGGGTGGCTATGCCAAGTCTATTGTTAGGTGTAACAGATCTGAGGCTTACAGACCACTCGGGGCTGCTACCGAATTTACTAGCTACTGCTTCCCAGCTGAGCTAGCTACGTAAGGTCAGAATCCAAAGACAAAGTTGGCAATTTTCGACGAGCTGCACCGTCCTCATTGCTGCTTTTTCTTGCGCCTGCAATATCTCAATTGGATCAGATATTGGAACAAGCATAGAAAAGAAAAAATATCTTCTACCTTGGCAATCGTATGCCTTTTAGCACACAAATACCGATTTTCGGCCATCAATCGCTGCGCCCCGGACTCTCGATTGTTGAAAGCTAATTGGTCCAAGAAAGTATTCGTGATTGCTTACACTTTTGGAATCACTAACGTAACAGGATTATAGGATGACATTCTGCTACATTTCATCTTTAAGTGAGTGCTGAGATAGACGAGACAAATTAAGAAGCTGTCTTCTACACCACCAACTCGAGTACTTACATAAATCATCGCTACACCAAGGGAATCAATCCTCTTTTGTGAAAAGTCAGCTAACCATAATGTAGGTAGACTATCTAGGTAGCCACCTTGATTTCCTGTCAGCTCACCGTCAGCAATATCTCACGATTTGCAGTGCCGCAAGTATACACGGCTTTGTGCACAAGGGCTTATATCATCTAGTAGGCCAAATATCTGCCTGCCTAGTATTGATCTGAATAGTGGGTATCCGACAACCCCCTATTCATTTCTCGTTCATTTGTCGTCGCGGCAATACGTTAGAAAGAGGCTTCATATACAAGATGTGGCTCACCTGATACACGCATAGTCACCGGTGTGAAGTTCATGTGCGTCAACGACCATCCGGCACACCAAGGTAGGCCGGTCTCGGGGCCGGTCTACGTCCAATTCCCGCCAACCTATCCATTCGCGTAGATATGCATTGAAGAACAAAAATGTTGGGCGTGCTCCAAGGTGGCCACGGGTTCCTGCATATTTTATTTCCACACTAAACGGTCTTCAAGCTACCGGTAGTTTGCCAAGAGCAACTGCGTCCCAATAGAAAGTCCTCGCCGCAGCTTACTGAGCACGTGGTAACGTGGTATACACGTTTCGGGTAAGGGGAACTTACGTACATCGTGAATGTGGCATTCGACCCCTGGAAATAAAAATGACTGCCCACTGGCCGGCCACTCCCCTATTTCGTACATAACCTACGGAAGCGCCCACCGATCCGTCAAGACGTCGCGGCAGCGGGGGCGATATGTACATCTTCGGACTACCATCGATAATCTCGCCGACGTTTTCCGAGGCGGCTGGTAGCCCTTTAAATTATCGAAACATGTCAAATGATTTAATATTTTGGTGGCGTGAGCAATAGCGCTGAGAGGAACAAATGGGGAGCCGTCCGGGACCCCGTTCGGGATGCTGACGCTATTATTTAGTTCCGCAGTCTTTCACCGACGACTGAGACATGTGGCTATAAAAGAAAAGAGGTACTAAAGCTCAACACCCCCCTCCGGAAATGCGCTGTGGATAGGTTACCGACGACCGAATATGTAGCCTGACGGCATTCGCCATTATTGCCACTATTCCCAAATATTGATATCGAAATCTCAGAAAATAGTCCGATGGCTAGCTGAGGTGTGGTGTCAGCAAGCTCGTCCCAGCATCAGCAGTTTAATTTAGGGTCTTACAGACCACAGAACGGCACTACCCGCACGGTGATTCGCAATGACTTACCTGCCAGGAACCGGAGTTAATTTTTCGATCAGCTGGCCCCCAAGAGGAGCTCGGACTGGTGGATATAGATGACAGACCTCCTAACTATTTCTTATAATAGGGTTATTGCTATTCAATGCTTTACTACCTACTAGGCAGGTAGGTGTATATAATGTATTGTCGGCTGACCTCATTCTTAAAAACACTATTTCCCGTCTTTTCCTTACCTCTATCTAGCGCAGCACATATCTAGTCGCTATGGCAAAAGGGTCTGCGCATTAGATACGTACCTAGGTAGGTAGGTACCGTTATCCTAAAAGTTACGAGAGTTCCTCTGTGCGTCTTACAGAGGACGAATATACAGTGGATGCATAGTATCTAGGTACCTATCTAGGTACGTTTACACACCTATTTGGTCATTTCAGCTGTGGCCGCTACGCCATGACCAGAAAGGCCCAGCCAAGATAAACCTGGAAATATTCAGCTTAGTTCTCTTGATACTACTTAAACAATATGTACCAAAAGCCACATCATATATATTAATTTAAGGCAGCAATTCATGAAGCCTACGTTGTGGCTGGACTTACCATCGATGATTTCGGTACGTTTTGTTACACCTTCCTCCCTCTTAGTAAGTACCCTACCAACTACCTAGGCAGGTATGCGCTGGTGGGAAGAGGCGTGATGACAGCATATAAGACTAGAAGACGTCTTAAGACAAATATGTGTCATTAAATATATATAGGTACCTATATATTGAAAGGCGCAAACGCCTTCTAATAACCTACGTGCCTATCTGACAAGTGCAAGCCGTACCGTCTGCCAGCACCGCTCAATCCGGTGTAAATCCAAGGCATCAAACGCCTCTTTTCGTCAAGACCGATAAGCCACCTATTCATTAGGTATACACACACAACTTAAAAAGAATAGATAGGTACCTAATAATCATTATAAAAATCGATTCTTCATAAAACCCACAAAAGTGGAATACCAACTACCACCCTACCTAACTAATCAACTCACCCTCTCTCCCCTTTTCACCATTACAAAGCCCGTCCCTCAGGAACGTTCCCTTGCCAAAACCGGAATTACTTTCCAACACCAAATACGTAACCCGTAACCAACCTTACCCAAACACTAGAATACCAAACACATCCATCCAAGCATGGGTAATCTCCCTATCCAACCCCACATCTAAACCCCCGGCCTCGTAAAGTCATCCCCAGGCGGCCAATTCCCAAGCTGACCAGGGTCCCCGCCGATCCTGACATACGTGCCGACGGCAGGGACGCCGTTCTCAAGAACGTACATCTGGTACCAGCCGGGAGGCGCGATGTTGACGTTCGGCGGGGCGGTGACGGTGCACACGGTGCCGTCGCACTTGAAAGCGGGGAACAGGGTGCGCGCGCCCATCGAGTTTCCGTGGGTGCTGGAGACTGCGCCGAGGAGGGAGACTTGGAGGGTTCCGGTGGGGTTTCCTTCGAGGTCGAAGGCGACGGTGTCGCCGTAGCCCCAGTCCTTATTTGCGATGGTGAAGGAGGGGCGGGATATCCCGTTGAGAAGATACGGCGGGGTGAATACCTCGACGCGGATTTCTTGTGGGTGTTTTCCGTCTTGCGGGTCGGAGCCGGAGATTAGGACGCGGCCGTCGAGGAGGGTGATGGCTTCGCTGTGGTATAGTCGTGCGACGGTCGTGTTGGCCATGATGGACATGCGGGATCCGACTGGCTTTTTGGGGTCGTATAGGACGGCGTTGTAGTTGGGATCGTCGGCAAGACCGAAACCGGCGATACCCTCATGTGCGCCGTTGGCGATGAGATAAGTGCCGTCTGGTAAGGGAGCCATGCAGGTAAGCACGCGCTTGGAGGGCATGCGCTCGAGCGTCCATGTCGGGTTGGCGACTTCAGGGAACGTCGTTACGCAGTTGTCTATGGCGGAATGGCCAGTGGTTGAACCGCCACATATGAGAACCCCTAAGGGATCGGTGTAAGGAGCATACTGGGGAAGTAAGACGGATGTGCCCTCGAGGGGGTAGGTTCGACCGCCTAGATCGTCGTTGACGGCACCAGGAAGATTAGGCAGGGTCTTTATTGTGGCGAAGGTCCCTGCGTCTAAGATCCTAGCTTCGTTCCAGTACGAAACGAAAATACCACCGCCTGGAAGTACTGCTAGGAACGGGTACAAGTTGTTTGGATCGGTGCGCTCAAGCCAGTCCATGTGAAGGTAGGGGCCAACTTGAGGAAGAATCTCAAGAGTAGGTTCGGGCTTATCATTGGAACCGATCTCGCCACCCACAACTAAAATGGATCCATTGGTCATGACCATCGCGCTCGGATACCATCGTCCTCTCTGGAGTTTGAGTGTGTTAACATTTTCCTCCCAATCATTAGTTCCTTTAACGCCGTCGGATCCATCAGGGGCATATAGGCGCACACCGTAAGTCGAGTCAAGAGACCAACCACCCACAGTGAGCTGCCGCCCAGCCTTGTCAGGAAGAATGACACCCGCGGAGCAGAAGACGTCAGTCTTCAAGTGCATAGTCCTCCAAGCAGCATCGAAATTACCAAGCTGGCTAAGGTCAAGTTCGTAGGCGCCAGTACTGTTTGCCGCACCGGTTCCCCATTTCTCCAGAAAAGTGACCTTGCCGGTAATAGACTGCATGGTCATTAAAGGTGTGACTACACCACCGACCAAGTTGGAGTACGTGCCCGCGTCATTACCCTCTGGGTAGTTGAATATGTAGAGAGGATTGTCTGTGTCAGTCCAATAGTATATCGAAAGACGAGCACCGCCTCCGCAAATCGAAGACGCGTCTCCGACACAAAGGACATTACATTCGGTTTCCGGCCTCTTCGTAGAACCTGAAGCGTCGACGTCCATCGGGTCACCACAGTAGCATTCATCGCCATATTCCAAGCCGGCAGCAGCATAGCCAAAGGAGGCACATTTCGATAAACATTGTTCAGGGGTCATAGTGTTGGCAAATGTAAGCGCCCAGAAGAGAGTTCGCGCATTGTTGACGTTATCCTCATAGCAACCCTGGTACGTCCAATTGGCGATATTGGTTTTTGGGGCAGGGTCAGCGTAGGTGGGCGGCTTGCCGTTTGCGTAAATGCTCAAGTATCCGGGACCACCGCACATAGCACTGCTATCACCTCCACAAGGGGTCGAGCATTTCGTCGTATCATTATCCGGCACTCCACCATTGTAAATAGCATTACTGCAGAAGCACTGCGTGTAGTACTCAGTACCGGATACATTATACCCTTTACTAGAGCAGACTTGCGCACATTTCTGCCGTGTTAACGCTGCGTCGTCGGGGGCTTGGTAGGTAGGCATGATACGACCATTCGGTCCATCCTGCCAGCAGCCCTGATCAGTCCAACCGTCGGGAAATCCTGTGGCATCGGGTGTCGGTGGATCGGTCCCTGTCGGGCCTGCACCACTAGACGTACTACTCGATGTCGAAATAGAAGTCCCATTCTTGATGTAGACAGACAGTCGATTGCCAGCTCCGCAATATTCTAACTGATTTCCAGCGCAGAGCATGCTGCAGTCGCTCGCGGGAGCACTGGTTGAACCTGTACCGAATTCATTACCGCAATAACATTCGCGAGCATATTCGACGCCGAAGTATGTCGTAGATTTACCACTGCAAAAAGCTTCGCAGGTATCTAACGTCATCGCATCGTCGGCGTAAGTGAATAGGCTCAGGGCCCGTACATTAGTAGCTTCCGTCTGACAGCCATACCAATTATAAGTACCAACGGTCGAAGGTTGTAACGGTGCGGTTGGAGTCGCAGCGGCGGAGGAGACGACGGTTGTGCTGGGTATGGAAGAGGTAGCAGCCGACGTTAAGCTAATAGTAGACGATATTATAACGGCGATGGAGCTAGAGCTACTACTCTTAGGAAGAGTATACTTCATGTTGAAATCATATACATTCAAGCGATTAGAACCACCGCATACTTCTGACTTGTTTCCCTATGGTGGCGGTTAGCGACGTTTATTGCGAAAGACGGGTGAGACTAGTTGATATATAACATCTTCTGTGGGCAAGCTACTTGCTTACGGAGGAGGCCGAGGGTGTCATCGCTATGAAGATCTGAAAAGGAAAGAAAAAAGAAAAAAAAAGTAAGCCGTACATTACAAGTCATATCGCAGCCATCCTCGGCCGGTGCAGCGCCATTTAAGATTGAGTTCCCGCAATCTATTCCAACGTAAGCGGATGTAACAATACGACGTGAATACATATACGAATGGAGGCTTACAGCATTCATCCCCATACTCTGTGCCGGCGAGTATGTAACCCGCTACTTGACAAGCGGCTGTGCAATTTTCCGCGTTCATCTGCGCACTGGGGACGGAAGCGCCATACGTTAAACCTCGACCGGTAGTTCCTTCACTAAAGCCCTTTTTAGATTATGCACGGCATATAGTAACTTCAATGCTACTTTTTATGAAACCTTGCGAGATCACAAGTCACACTAGTGGCTAATAATGGGAAGACTTACGAGTAACAACCAATGTGTGTCCAGTTCGCGATACCAATATTTGGCTGGGGCCCTGTGATATACGGGTTGAAGAACATTGTCAACCGATTAGGGCCACCACAAGCCTCTGTGGTATTGCCTGAGCAACTTGTCGAGCATTCTGTCGAGTCTGCCGCCTCTTCGGCCCCTGTGGCGAGTTCATTACCACAGTCTGATCCTCGTTAACATGTCGATATGTAATGTTGTTGTTGTCTTGAGCCTATCAGGGATCAGGGATATACTTACAACATTCGTTATGGTATTCAGCTCCAGCATAGGCAAATCCCTTGTTATCGCAGAACTCAATACATGCTTCTAATGTCATGTTATCTGACGTGGTGGAGGCCGCATTTATCGTCCGACCAATATCCCTAATGGATTAATTAGTATCAAGCCCATACTTCCAAAGATGGTATGCCACCAACACATAACAGCCGCTGTATTGCCATGTTCCATTGAGCTGGCTGGGATTCGGAACCAATAATTGAGCGGAAGAAATATGCACAAAGGCGATAAACAAAAGGAGAGATAGATTTGAGAAGCGCTGAATAGACCACATGATGGAAAGCTTCCCCTTCAACGGCTTTCAACGCTACCTACGGACTCGATAGAAAGCTGTCGAGCTTCGGGATAGGTATTGTATACTTTCCCAATGTTTTCAATACGACAGGCAAGGGTATAAATAATACCTACCGCAATAAAAAAAATACTAACATCCATCCTACTTCATGATAGATCAGGCTGGACCTCATTGTAACTGTGCAGAACAACATGGGCCAGCCCAATCAGGATGGATACCGGGGTCAACAGCCGCAATCATACTATCACTTGATAGTATTCTCTCATATGATTATCGCATACGTATGAGCCATATCAAGATTCGCTTAAATAGGAGATACCTTGTCCGAATCCTTGAACAGACAAGAGAAGGCAGATAGAAAGGCATGTAGTAAACCAGTAGTTAACATGAAGAAAACCTGCTAGAGGTTCGTTAAGATCTAGACCGTGGGGAAGACTTTTCTGTTTTCCTATCTTCGTTGTTCGTCTCCCGGTCTAACTCTGCTGACGAGAAGCCCTAATCTAGAAAGTGACATCGTTTATACTAGCCAGTCACTGAGAGGCTCGATTAACCATCAAACTCACGGGCACTAACCGATAGTGGGGGCAGGATCATCGATACGAAGTTCAGGGGAGGCATAGAAAAGTGTGGGATCCCGCATGGCAAACAAGGGTAAGGTGGGTTATCTTATAGGCAAGTCTTAGGATAATATACCCTTAGATATAGCCCTTAGAAGAGCGCCGGCTTCCAATTGCCTTCCCATGTGTATACCCCTGACCGATCAAGGGTGACAGTGTATGTACTACCTGCAGCTGCAAGGCTTTATATAGGGATAGTTGTACCGTTGTGATGGTAAACAAAAAGAAGAGATGTTTAGGAGAACTCGAGATGTAAGAATTTAAGAGCCAGTTCGGTGATAATTTAAATGAAATTTGTTTTTTAACAGCGCGTTACGTCGTCCGTCAGTGGGCAAGCCATTAATGACATAGGCTACATCAGCCTCAGCGAGCCAAGCCAGCCACTTAATATAATATGCGTACTTCATGCGTAAATGACAGCATCGTCACATTGAAGGCATCCCGAAACACTTGTTTTCGAGGCACTATCACTCGACTGATATTTCGATAGCGTTAGTGGGTTTTCTAGATTTAGCTAGTAAAGTTGATACTGTATGTCAGCAATAAAATTTGTTGTCACCGTATGGTGGAGAGATACGATGCTAGATACCGGTATCTCGCGTTAAAATGCCAAGCGTCCAAATCTAGAAGCACAACATACCTGGGACCTAGGTACATGCCTCCAAGATACCTATTACCTAGGTAGAGATAGGTACCTAATAATGACCGTTAATCCGACAAACAATCTTAAGAGGTTGGTGATGTTTCATGCGGTTTATGTCGGATTTTGCTGCATTTTGGGCGAATGATTTCAGTCAGACGTGCATACGAGGTCCGCTGCATGTCCCTTGACCGTAAAATCTCTTCCCAATCCCATTTGAACCAATCGCGATATAGATTACAAGTAGGGCCAAGGGAACCTACGCCGTCTAATAACTATAACCGTAGCATCATTAACTCGTATGGTTGCTTTCTACTACTAATTTTAACCTTGAAAGGCCAACGCATTCATTGATCGCTAAACGCTGCTTGATACCTATGCTTCGACGCCGAAGCCAGTACGATTCGGGACAGATAGGGCATGTGGTGAGAGCTATGCAGAGACGGTGACGAGAAAGATTCTCAAAAGGCGTAACGGGGCGAGGACAGACGCCGCTGCTACTAGCAAGCTAGCGGCAACTATTTACTCTTGCAGATACGCGACTATCTGCATGGTTAGCTTGTCTTTAGCTCCCCTTTTCAGCAGGTGAACCTGACGATCAACCGACCTCAGCTCTGAACTAGCCTACACCCTATGATAATGAGTTCCCGCTCCCGATAGAAATCTTTTAGAGAATCGGGTAGATTTCGTGTAGGTTAGCCGCCGAGCACAGTAGTAGTAATGAAATAATCCATTTATGATTGGAGACCCCGCGCTTAATTTTTAGGGCGGTCGTCTTGGTAAAGAGAACACCCTCCTTAACCAGTATTGTAACAACGTATTGATAATTGGAGGTGTAGGAATATATTCGAATCTGCTATAGCATCCGATACCTTTCTTAGCCGTTGGCCCCTTTGATCCCAGTGTGCATTGTATCGCGCCACCTATGCCTCGAGACCATGTGGTTCCAGTGATATATGATGACCAAGTGGATTAGTCGAGATCCCTAGCGCCACCAGATATATTCCTGGTGTTTGAGGCCGCATAAGAACTGCCTTTCGAATGCATGCAGGTCAACTGAGGTCAAAGTAGCCGAGCATATGAATGGATGTTTAGGTGCTAAGTGGGTGAGATCCGATGACTAGAATGTTTAAGGAGGTGTTGAGGTAGGCGACAGCTGACAGTCGAAGAAATGCCGTTTCTGTTGAGAAGGGCCGAAAACCTTGCAAGATTTCAGCTCTAAGAGCTGGCTTGCATTAGGTAACCACTCACAACCGGTCGCCCATATCTAATGGGGTCTATGTCCAAGTCCGCTGTATAGAATAGTAAAATGCAGTCTTGATAAACCCGCCAGTTTAATGCTATACATACCATCAATAATTCCGATAATAAGAAATCATCAAATCCAAGTAGGAAACCCCCATTGGACCTGAAATCTACCTAGTAGTAAGTATTATACGCATGTAAGTACTAGGTAGATACCTAAGTAAGCCGGTCTTAATTTCTCAACTTGATCGATAAAAGAGGTAGATTAGGGGTTTTAATTGTCGTTTAGTAAGTCAACTTCCTTTTCCTGAGAGATTGATAAATGTTAATGTAAATTTAGATACTAGTCCTAGGGTAATATGCAATGAAGATTTATCAAGGATTTAATAGACAAGAGTAACCCCTTTTGTTTCATTTGCAATCGAGAGTTTGGTGATTAGTTAGAAGAAGAAAAGGACGCTCAGTGTACTCAGAATATAAAGATGATGAAGTTGGAATTCGTGGTTTGAAACTTTGGAGGGAGACAGCTCAGGTTTAAGTTTCCAAGTTGTTAGCGAATTAGGCAAAGTCTAGGTCCCTGTAACGGGAGACGGCAAGGTTCGTTCCGGGATCCAATTCTCCGGAATCCGCTAGCTAATAACGGATAGCGGATCAACAGCCCTGTGCTCAGTGGTTACAGGGTCTTAACCCCTGTTAATAGCACTGACGACATTGTCATTTTGACTCAAGTTGACTCATAAGGAAATTCTCGTAGCCTTGCATGAGTATATCTTTTACCTTCTCATCGCCACATAACAATTTCGTGAAGTCATCCCAAAGCGTGGTCTTTGCTGCTACTAAAAAATCGTGCCACTACTATATAATAGTAGTCGCGTGAAATTCCCCTTTATTTACCTTTTTTTTTCTACTTCACTTCACTCATTTCGTCTCACTTCCGTTCCATTTTCCTTCAATATCACCGAAGCTCAAACATTCAAATCGTTCATCCACCACCTCATAGCTCCTATATCGTCTAAAGTCGCTGTATTTCAAAAAGCGCAATATAAACAATATAATTATTACTCACATAGCAACCATAAAAATTCTCACGAATAGCTCTTACGTACCTTGTTCCCGTCACACGTATTATATCTTAGCATTTGCATATCAGACGGACGACCATGGCTGGTCCACAAGGCTCGGAATTACCACCAGATTCATCAACGGGGGGCCCGGGAAGTCGGTCAAGGGGGGGCAGATCATCTCGGGGCCCTGGGCGTCGTGGAGGTCGCCATAGCAGACCTCAGCGTGCACAACAACTCCCCACAACAAATGAGATACCACCACCAAACACACCACCTTCTTCATCCACCATACCTTCAAGTCAGAACACCCGAGGTGGAAGAGGCCAGAGAGGCCCTAGAGGTTCAAGGAGAGGAGGCAGTTCGAATGCCCGACGAACAACACTAGCTACACCACGATCATTTGGTGGCCATTTAACCACCAACATGGAGTCAGAAGAATCCAGCCCTGCAAACCCAACAGGGTTAAATATCGCTGCACCGGAATTCGTACCAGGCCAACCGATACCCGAAAATACACAGAGCAACAACACCACCAACCAAGATCCCGCTTACAAGAAGCAATCTAAGAGTTTTGCTTCCCGAAAAGCTCAAAAATCTACTGCCGATGCCCTTTCTACAAGAATTCACGAAGACATTAACAATGGCCAATATGAATGCGTGATATGCACTAACGAGGTTCTCCCGAATTCGAACATCTGGTCTTGCACTATCTGTTGGACTGTAGCCCATTTAGTCTGCGTTAAGAAGTGGTTCGCCAATAGACCCAAACCTCCCGACGGACAACAACAGCAGCAAATCAACTGGAGATGCCCAGGGTGCAACTCGACCTTAGACGACTCGCCCGAGTATAATTGTTGGTGTGGCAAAGAGCCCAATCCCAAGTCGATACCCGGATTTAATCCCCATAGCTGTGGCCAGCCGTGCTTGAAGACTAGGAAAGGTTGCTTGCATCCTTGTCACCTCCCATGTCATGCTGGACCCTGTCCACCGTGCGTAGCTATGGGACCGACTCAGCCGTGCCGTTGTGGCAGACATAAATCTACGAGACCGTGTAGTGATACGGATTACGAGAGTACTTGGTCTTGCCACGAGATCTGTGGGGAGCCTCTTGCCTGCGGAGAGCACGAATGTCAACAGGAATGCCACTCGGATTACTGCGGGAATTGCACGGCTCCCGTACTTTCTCTCTGCTTCTGCGGCCGAGAGTCAAAGGTGATTCCTTGCGGCCAACGTACTGACAAAAAGCCGTCTTACAATTATGGGCAGCTCAAAGAGAGTCCCTCGACTAACAACGACTTATCCGACGGTTGGTATTTGGGCTGTTTTGAGTGCGATTCTATCTGTGGCAGAGCATTCGATTGCGGAAAGCACTATTGCGAAAAGGGATGTCACCCTCAAGATGCCTCCGAAGCACATTGTCCACTATCCCCTGATATCATCACCTGCTGCCCATGCGGCAAAACACCACTAGCGGACTTTATAAGCCAACCCAGGACGAATTGCGATGACCTGATCCCCAGCTGCGGGAAACGATGCAACAAGCCACTATCATGCGAGCATCTTTGCGAGGATGCATGTCATACAGGTCCTTGTACGCCGTGCACACAGAAGATAGATATTGCTTGTAACTGCGGCCGGACAACGACGAGATCTGTGTGCCATCAAGGCAAACTCGAAAAGCCCGAATGCATGAGAGTTTGCCACGCGCAGCTGAACTGTGGAAGACACGAGCATAGCGAGCATTGCTGTCCTGCAGAAAAGAAAGCGGCGGAACGAGCAGCGTTGAGGAAGAAAAGTAGTAGACACGGCAACTACATGAACGACGAGGTGGAACCGGAACATATTTGTCTTCGCACCTGTGGGCGACCACTGAAATGCGGCAAACATCTATGTGAGCAATTATGTCACAAAGGCTCATGTCCTTCTTGCCCCGAGGCTATATTCGACGAGATTAGGTGTCATTGTGGTCGAACTGTCCTCCAGCCGCCGCTCCCCTGTGGTACTCAACCCCCACCCTGCCGATTCGACTGTACCAGGCCTCGACCGTGTGGCCACCCTCAGATATCACATAACTGCCACCTTGATGAAGAGTTATGTCCAAAATGCCCATTTCTTGTCGAGAAATGGTGCGTCTGTGGGAAGAAACCCCTTAAAAACCAGCCTTGCTGGTTTGAAGAGCCACGTTGTGGTTTACCCTGTGGCCGAAAACTCAAGTGTGGTGCCCACACCTGCGAGAAAACATGCCATCGTCTAGGTGAATGCGAAGATGCCGGGTCGCGATGTAGCCAGCCTTGCGGGAAAATTCGGACGTGTGGCCATTCTGATGTCGAACGGTGCCATGCCCCATACCCATGCAAGGAGGACAAACCTTGCCAGGCAAAGACATTCATAACTTGCGAGTGCCAACGTAAGAAGCAGGAGGTAAAGTGTTTGGGAACTAAGAGAAACCCATCACCCGACCGTGGAACACTTCCATGCGATGACGAGTGTCTCCGCTTGAAGCGGAATGTTCTCTTAGCTAACGCGCTCAATATCGACCCGCAGAGTCACACCGATGACCATGTTCCCTATTCCGAGACCACCCTCAAGTTCTATAGTGAATACACCCAATTTGCGCAGACATACGAACGAGAATTTCGAGTCTTCGCTGCTGCTCCAGGGGAGAAATTACTCAGACTCAAACCAATGAAGTCACATCAACGCGCCTTTCTCCATTCATTAGCCGAAGATTTCGGATTTGACAGCCAAAGCGCCGATCCGGAACCCAATCGACACGTCTGCCTCTTCAAGACCCCCAGATTTGTATCAGCTCCAATGAAGACGGTAGCACAGTGCGTGAAGATTAGAGCTGCACAAACAAGTTCATCCGTAGAACAGTCAGCATGGGGTGGAGAGGGTCTTCCAGGGAAGCAGCCCTTCAATGCGCTGCTCTTATCTGCACCAAAATTCGGATTGACTATTGAAGAGTTGGAATCTGCGCTTAAGAAACAGTATGCTGCCTATCCGAATATCAAGTTCGAGGCAGCTTTTCTATCCGACACAGTCATCATCAAGGGGTTCGGTTCATGGAGACCACAAGATCTAGAGTCCACTATGTCGGCACTTAAACCCGACGTATTAAACACGGTCACTAGTCTCAAATACGCCGAAAGCGTGTCACTCTGTCATGTCGACAATAACCTGAACGTATTACGAAACGAGAAAGGGGAAAAGGAGAGTCAACGCACTGACGATAAGGGCTGGAGTGCCGTTATTCGCCGTTCTTCTCGCCATAACGCAAGTGCCGCCCCGGCTTCTAAGACACTACCGATACGCAACACCTTCGTCGCTCTCAAGAAGAAGACACCGAAGAAGGAGAATAAACCTGTCGAGGAGGAAGTTGAAGACTGGGAGAAGGAGGCGGAAAAGCTGGGAGAGGAGGAAGAAAAAGCTTAGTACCCTACTTATTCTAGGACATGGCCAAGGCGTTTTGCGTAGCACGGCATGTTGCATATGAGTCCACGAGACGATCATGGCTAGTTGCTTTGCTTTGCTTGAGCTGGATGGTGACGGAGGGGAGTGTTCGACTACGAGCTTACAGCTCAGGTCGATGGCATTGCAGCAGATCCTTGATGGACTCGCGCATTTTTCGGCAATTAGGGTAAAACCTATAGTAAAAAGTCTACTTAAATCATTTTCCGCTGTTTTTAAGTGTTATGAGCACCATCAGACTCCTGATTAAACCGTAGACTTTGCCAGTGAATATTAGATAATCCATGATTAGGTAAAACTTTAGTCAGGGGAAATCGGGGTTATCGGATTTAAGAAAGTCACGCTGCTTATATAACAAAAGCCCCAGCTTACTAAGTAAATGCCCCATCATAAAATCCAATGATCGTCATAATGCATAGACCTCCCGAAGCTCTCACCCTCCCAACCCCAAACTCAATCCGACAAAATGAACAACTTCGGCGTGATCGAGCTCGCGACCGCAAAAACAACACACGCCCCGGGCTGGGCCTACGTGCCAGACACGGCCCCCAGCCTGTCCGCAGCAGCAATCCAGCCCGGGCACCGCAAACGCGCCGCCCGCAACCAGAACACGGCTAGCACCAGCGCTCTATACGCCGACGCCGACGCGCGGCAGGAAGCGAAGCTGCGCCGGGAGATCGAAGCTTTAGATCGGGATAACTACGGGCGCGACGTGACGATCCCGATCGCGGCGAAAGGTGGCAGCGGTAAGCTGAGCGCGAAGAAACACACGCCTAACGTCCGCAAGATCCTGCAGTCGCAGAAAACATTCGCGAACTACCTCGATGACTTCGACGCGCTGAGCGCTGCGGATAAAGCCGCTGCGATGGGGATCGTGGCCCCGGCTACGGCAACGGCAGCGCAGGGAGCGGGGAAGAAAGGGGCGGTGGCCGGAGAGAAGGGGAAGGGGAAACGCGGGGGGAAATCGATATCCCGCTCCGCATCAGTGTCGAAGCCACCTCCCGCCGCTGCCGCGCCTGTAAAGCAAGAAGACAACCCGGACATCGAAATGCTCGACGCCGCCCCCAGCAGCACGATCCTAACCCCCCTCCCCCCGAACGGCCTCCCGCCAACACACCCCCTCGATTCCGATCCGCTTATCATGTCTCGCGTGCCTCCCCTCCCCACCGACGCGGAGCTACGGGCTTTAATGAAGGCTCCGCCGTTGACGTACGCGGAGGCGCGGGGGCGCTGGACCGAGGACGATCGGAGGTACCCTGCGCGCGCGTTCTGCGAGGTGTGTGGGTATTGGGGCCGCGTGCGGTGTATGAAGTGCGGGGCGCGGGCTTGTGCGCTGGAGTGCTTGGAGACGCATCGCGAGGAGTGTGTTTCGCGGTATGGGATTTGAGATGTGGTATTACTCTTTGCCTAGCTAGGGGTAAAGGTTATCATAAGAAAAATTAAAAGGGCTGTGGGAGTTTACGGAGTCTGGTTTAGGGAAGCACATATTTAAGGAAAAGTCGTTATCATCGAGAAAGATACCCAGTCACAATAGAGGTAGAAGCAGCACCCGTGATGGATAGTCATGTTCGGGTTGGAAGATATATACAGCTTCGATTGCGCTATTCTACCAAAGCTCAAGGTTCAGCCAAAAGGCCATTGGTTTTTTTATACAAAATTTTCGTCAAACCGACGTCCATGGATCCTTTCGAATCCGCCGAACGCCCCGTGCCCGGAGTCCGCTAGGGTATGAGACCCTTCATACATGACGCGCGCCGACGTTTCCTGTCATTCTTTCTATTTTTTATCCCGTTTTTACATCTCTAGGTTGGAAGGAGATTTGGTTGGCTCGTGGCTGAGAGAGTGAGGGTGTCACTACGGCGAGGCGAGAGTGAAATCCACGTTTCCTGTCGATGCACCGCCCGCGCATGTCCCGCTTAGGCTGCCTGTCGGACACACGGCTCTGGCTGCGCGCACGCACTGCTCCCATCGGCCCTTGGAGATGTTGATCGTGGCGCCGGATGTTGCGGCCTTCAGCGTGAATTTAGCGGTGCCGGATGTGCCTGTGGTGGTCTGAGGAGACCCGCCACACTTTTGAATCGTGCCTGCAATGCCACCGCAGATACCTAGCTCGGCGACATTTTGGTCGTGGAAGACGATATTGCTATAAATTGTTTAGTTATATACGAGAGACACAGGGTCTAAAGGGTACCTACACGTTCTTGTCGATACACGTCACACCTGACACCGCGGCTGGGTTCACAGACGTCGAGGCTCGTAGTGCTAGGACTTCCAAGTGCGTGTTGTCTACCGAGAAACGAGGCCAGACTGGACCAGCTAAGGAGAGACTTGCACTCGCGAGAAGGAAAGACTGGAGGAAAGCGGACGAATGCATTTTGACGTTTGAAGACTCGGGTCTACCGGAAAGAAGGGAACTGGTGAAAAAAGGAGACTCGGGAGTCTTTAAAGAACGTTGAAATAGACGACTAGGTCTGGAGTTTTTGAAATGAAAGTGTCCTGCACAGAAAAATCGAAGGGATCGGCCGTAGGTAAAAGTAAATCGAGGCGTAAGCTAGAAATAGAAATAGAATCGAAGATGCAAAAAAGAATTGGGATAGGAGGACTTAAAAGGGGATGGGACGAAAGATGAACATGATCTTCCGGCCTCGATGGATACCCGTCCATGCGTAACCAGTAACTTTAACCACACGGCAAGAATTCCTGAAAAACACGGCAGCTTCCTAATTTGGACTAGTTCAAAGCTCGGACACTACACCTCCTTTAGTAAAAACGTCAAAAACTCTTTTATTATTAAGCAGTTATATCCACTTTTATTATTACATAACACTAGTCTTTTTTTTACTTATAAACTAATAATATTATTGGTTCAACTACCTAGCGAATCTCCACATTTAGTGATTACATAAGCATTTTGACTTTATGTAAGCCGCTCAACGCGCACCGCGGGTGTTGTTGAAGAAGGGTATCTCATGATTCGCTTACTAATATATAGTTTCAAATAACTTCTTTTATATGATATCAAGAATAACATAAAACATATCATTATGAAGCCATTTTTCTAAAGAGTAGATTGATATACGTTTCGCTTTGATGCAGCCAAAATTGAACATGTTATGAAGGTTGAAAGTGAGTAGGTCATATTTTCTTACTGCACGTGATACCCCTCGGAGGCAACACATATGCTTACTCATCCACTCAATCTACTTAAACTTTATTTATTAATATCTCAACGTTTATACGTCGGATCAAAGTGTAACCTCGATTAATCGACTTTTCTCGTTAAGTAGTATATATCAAGTTGAAATTATAATTTTATTAAGTTATTTCAACTTTGAAAAAGACTTGTTTGACTTCAACCGGGTGTGCGACAAAAACACTGCTAAATTAGGTGTTGTGTGGCAGTTATTTACTAAGCTCAATTAGGAAGCTGCCGTGTTTTTCAGGAATTCTTGCCGTGCGGTTAAAGTTACTGATGCGTAACGTCTTGAATCTCGAATCCTAGCATGACGAAGGATCCTTGCTAGGCGGCCGAGGGTGCACAGGACGGAGAACCCTTGACCCCGGCATCTAGGCCGAGTTACTGGCTTTGTCGATCCATCTGTGACGGCCTTCCCTTGGGACCTTACATCTGGGGTCTAACTTCCAAACATTGGCCGTTTTCGAAATAGAGGTACGATGGGTAACCAATCGTATCGCAGGAGCAAAATGGTGCGAAACTACGCTTTACTTACCTGTCTTTACTAACCGAGCGACTTAAGACATGTTCAAACGACCTAGTTCACTTAACTAGGCGCAATTTGTAAACGGCATGATTTGGAGGTCTGCGAACGCATAGAATTAAACAGCGACACGATGGTCGGATTAGTTATTTTCTCTATCTCGATAGAGAAATAGAAGCGGGAGATCTCTTCTCTCGAACTACATTTGGTAAGTTCTGGCGATCATATGAGCGACTTCCCTGCGTCGTTCCACGAGGAAAGATGCGAAAGTCCACGATGGTAGTGGGGGCGCCCCTGGGATGTGAAACGGTAGCGCCTCTCAATACAGGGGGTTTGGCCATAACAACTTGTCCTAAGTAAGCCAGAGATCGGACCACGCCCGAGTTTGTTTCAATGTTTCAAAGGCCCTTGAGCTCCGATAGGTTCGGGGTTCGTTTACCCCTTTCGGAAAATCACATTGGTTGGTAACGGGTGACGATCCGGAGCAACCCATCACCACTATATTCGTAACCTCCTGCACGCGTGGCTGACGACACCATAGGTAGTGTGCAGTGCAAGTAACTAGAACAAGATTAGACGATGGAGGCTGAAAATGCGGAGTAAGGCCGAGTTACCATGGGGTAACGGACCTAGCTCTTTCATAATGTCCAATGAAATACATACAGTATGGTTGTTTTACAGACATTAAAGAGCATGTCCTTGGATACGAGCATGTAAAGTTGTTATACATCTTCGGGGGCTACGCGGCTTTGCGGCCGCCGCAAACTCCGCAAAGCGCCGAATCGCCGGCATTTAAATACACAGTATCTCGACAAGTTGGACTTGTGCACTTCCAGGTATCCGGCACCTTGCTTGGATCCAGGACATGGGAACAGACGCAACAGATATGAGCTTCCGGGCCATTGTCGAACGAGCACATAACGCAAACTCCCATAGTTGAATGTGTCGTCTTGTTATCACGGGCCAGATTCTTGCCATTGCTCGGTCCTGCTGAATTTGTTTTCTCAGCACTTCCCTTCGAAGCTCCCTTTGTGTCACCTTTCGAATCAGTTTTAGTACCCCTCTGGCCAACCGGCTTTAGCGCTTGAGGTTCATTTGCCACTGATGTAGAACCATGCTTTTTAGACCCATCAGGTTTCCATTTAATGGTGGTTTGGAAAAGCTCCTTCAGCTCATTCCGTGCATCTTCATCTTTGATATTCTCATCCTCGCACACCTTGACCATGCCTTGGCCCTTGTTGTCGATAAGTCGTCGACCATTAATATCTGTGGCGGCTTCGTCCTCGGTATCGCTAAAAGTCTCAAACCCGCTGTCATCTTCTGTCTTGATATCAGCCTCCTCTTTTGTTTCCTCTTCTTTCTTATGTTGGTCAAATCGTGCGAGGGCTGCAGCAGCTCTAAGTTCTCGACCGCGCTTGCTTCCCGCCACGCGAGGCTTGCCCTGAGTTTTCTTCCCCTTCTCCAGTTCGGTTTTTATCTCTTCGTCCTCGCCGAGAGCAACCCCATTAGCACCGAATTTCTTCAATATTCGGCGTTCTTTTCTCTCTTTATAAGATGGCTGTGGCTTGGCCCGCCGCTTTCGTCCTCTAGAGCGATAGGTCCCTCCACATAGGTGCTCCGGAAGATCCTTGTCTGACAGCACAGTGTTCTTTATAAACTCACCAGTTTCTAAACTTGTGCCTTTCCCCCATAAGCCTTCTCCGGTGTAGCCGCGTGACCATAGAACTCTCATTTGATCCGCATAATTATTTCTAACCGTCCAGAAGGCCTTGGAATGGTTCATCTGCTTGCAGTGTGCTAGTCTTGTTGAACTTGTTAGTATATAAATATAGGGGTGCTTCTGTAGACATACTCGTGCATCATAACCATCTGGACATAGGTGAACGGTAGCCATTGCTTTGTTGACAGCGACTTTAGCACTAGCTGTATGACTTCGCCTGCGTTGAAGTTACGGCCAACAAACTCTCTATTTGGTTCATATTCCTCTAATGACGTGACCAGTATATGGTTTTCTCTCATTACCGGTACTAATAGAAGTTAGTGGATGAGTTCTAGGATCGGTAATCAGTGTCCATTGGGATTGCTTACAACATTGCGCCGCGATTAGTTCCAAGTATTTCTGCGCAATTTCTTGGTCAGGTCCTGCAAGCGGTTTGATGAATACGATGCGCTCGTTTGGCTGCGACTTTCTTGCATTTATTCGCTCGAAACCGAGAGGCATCGTAGCTTTCCGATCAGGTTAGGGACCACAGCCCAGGTGATGGTTCGTTCTCAGACGTAATAAATGCAAGTGGCAAAATGAAGAGATGCGATGTCAAATTATGTCGGGTATCCCTATAAGTTGCAATACAACGATTTCCTCCGCTAGGGTTAATTGTTGGCGATGAAAATTCAATCCACGATTATGAAGATGGATTGAGACGATTTGTTAAGATCTGTGACGATGAGATTTAAGAAGTTGTTCAGGCCTAGAATTACAGCGGGCTTGTTATCGGTGCTAGGGGGCGGTCATGCTGTAAACCCCGCTAATTCACTATCAAGTACAGCCCCGACCCAGCCCTAGAACATTTTCATTTACCCCTTTATTTACCTTCTTATATTTATATCCAGGTGCCAATATACCTATATGCTTCAGCTATGCATATGATAAAATGAATTTTATCTACAAATAGATAACTCCATATATCACCATCATATGCTAGATTAGCGACGATATTTCATCATCTCCTTCGGCCGACACCACCAGCTCCCGAATCACCTTTGTCAGCTAGAGAGACGACTTCACCAATACCAGCAGCTTCCTGCTCATCCTCGAGGGCAGTAATCTCCTCGCGGCAATCCCACCATTTCTCTTCGCTAAGTTCAAATGCCTTCGTCTTAATCTCCTTGATTGCAAGGCTTTCAGGTGGAATGTTCTTCCATCTTAAATTTGTCATCAGGATTTCTTGCCACTCATTTGAGGTACGAGTGAAAAAGTCTCTTCTGGACTCGAAAGGCTGCAATAAGTTAGCAGCGAGGTACATAATAAACCAGAACTAGAATAACATACTCGTGGATGTGGTAGCCCATCATCGACAGTAGTAGCAACTGTATCAGCTTCTGACTCGGCATCCCATGTAGAGGACTCCGCGGTAGATATGGTGTCAGCTATCGACACCTCGTCTATCTGCTTCTTCTTGCGTTTGCTAGGAGATACCGGAGTTTCTAGCTCTTCATAATCCATATCAAGATCGCCTTCTTCGTCTTCCTCGTCGTCATCATCATCCTCGTCTTCATCTTCTTCATCTTCGTCGTCGGAGCCCTGTAGCAATGTAAGAATCAAAATAACCAAAATTATTCTGCTATCAATGAAAGAATGCAAATATGGAACACTTACAACCCAAGTATCGTCCTCCCTCTTGAATATCTGCTTACAGCCATCCATCTTCCCAAGATCAATCGCATATAAGTCGTCAAACGTATATTCTCGGTCTTTGGCTTCATATGTGCCGCCGTATATATATAATACATCGTCCTGCACCGTTATTTGAGCATTAAATCGTGGGTGTGGGAATTCCATAGAAACTGGCATCTCTCGAACCGGGTTGACCGGTTCTTCAGGGTCTTGCCCGGTTTTGAGGTCGATGTCCATGGTATCAGCGTCCTCTAAAGACGATCCGGCCTGAAGAGCTGCGAGCTGCTTCAATAATTCCTCTTCATTTGCTTGAGCTCTTCCTCGTCGCCCAACTCTTTGGTCCTGTTGTGGGGCTTTCTTTTGAACCCTCGCTTTACGAAGTGCCAATGGGAAGAATCGATTCCTCTCTATGTTCCATGCGTAAAGTTGATTGAAGAACTCACTATCCATGCCCTCCTCAGTCTGCTCGACATCATGCACTCCACCAAAGAGAAGACCACGGCCTTTGTGGTAGGCCATAGTCGCTCCAGCACGAGAAGGGCTAGGGGTATTCGCAGGTTTCTTTCGCTTCTCCCATCTGACGTTTGGTGGCGTGTTTGGCGGAGAGTCTGCGGGAGGTTGTGTTATCCGCAAGAAAAAACAGTCCTCGTGTACCAAAGGTTTCATAATGTTCCTTTGACCTTGAGATGCACCTTTAGCTGATTTATTTGCTGATACAGTTTTCTTCACTCTCGAATAGCCACCAAATAGCACGGCGCCCTGATCATGAGGAAGAAATGTGAAAGACGACCTAGCGTCCGGTTTCAGTTGTGCTGGTGGAAGTGTGGGACTGTGCCACAAGAAGTTCTGCATGATTTTATTAATATAAATTGGCAACTATAAGTTATGAAGAGCACTTATTTACCTGGGTATCATATAACCAAAGATCGTTTAGATATTTCGTTTGATTCGAAGTATCTTGAAAACCTTTTCATTCAATATTAGTTTGATGTATAGGAGTCTGTTAATATGGATGGTATTACGTACCACCAAAGAGGATTATGTAATTCTTATAATAAGTCATACGATGACCACTCCTCGCCGGCGGGCTCTTGCCCTTTGTTTCTACTCGTGTCCATTCCCGAGAACTAGGCTCGAGTCTCCAGAAGTCATTATAATGGTAGAATGTGCCTTGCTTAGGGCTATATAGGGGATGAAGAGTGAAGAGTTAGTACCAGACATATAACTACCATTGGTATTATAATATGAGTTTATATCACCAACCTGCTAAATTCGCCACCAAATAAAAAGACAGAATCTTTCTGGTTTCCCCCTCTACACCAAGCATGACCAGATCGTGGAAGGGGAGCATTTGGTGAGGTCACGCAGTGCCATTCATCTCTATCCGTATAATAGATATTAAGGTCATTGTAGAAATTGGCAAGGGCTCCGTTCCAAGTTTCCCCACCAAACAACAAAAGTTGGTTACTATTCGAAGGAGAGGCTAGGAAAGTAGCGGATGACCGAGGTTTAGGGGGTTCTTCAGAGACAGTCTCTGTGATCTTGACGAACTCTTCCTGAGCTTTCTTATACTCGGCAAGCACCGCATCTAGATCGACGTCTTCGACATCGCTCCCATCGAGTTTCGAGGCTTTGGCCTTTTCTTTTTTCTGGGCCTTCTTCTCTTGCTTTTGCTTCTTCTCAGCAAGTTTAGCCTTTTTAGCGTCTGACTTCCCCTTCTTTTCTTTCGCCATGATACAGTCAACAGTCTTACGGTCCTGTCTGAGACATCGAGGGTAGGGTATCCTTAATATATCGCAATGTTATTTATTAAAGTATGAAAGAGTTGATATACCCAGTGGAACTTTTAACGAGTGGGAACAGCTGTCAGCCCCTCCCCCGCACTAAAGAGATCTATTTCCCTATCTGGAGAGCAATTTTCGAGCTTTGGAACTTAAATGTGGTGCATCCAGTCATCCCGGGCAGTTTTCATAGGGCAATTTCGACCCCAAAAGCCACCATGGAGCCTTGGAGTAACACCAGCAGCGCATTAACGAACCTTGTTGGAAGTTTCGCTTATCAGGAAGTAGTTTGACTTTCAGGTGAGCGGGAAATCTTCATCTCATCGTGAACCTTTTACAACTACAAAACTACCAACTACCCACTGCATACGACCTTGTTAGTTTTCCACCGACCGAAGACTTCTCGGAACCTCCACACGTCGCACATGCTACATAGCTTTCAATTAGGCAATTGAATTTGATTTCACCCACTTTTTTCTTTTTCGCCCTTTTCCCTGCGAGATGGTCCGATATACGAAGCCTTTATATTGGCATTTGCATCCACTTAGGGGCCGTTAGTGACTCTCGGCCGCGTTCCGTATAAGAAAAAAATACCGCGAACTAGCTCCACTCCTCAGCATCAAGTTCACTTATGACAGTATCGACATGTTCTAGCAGTAGTCCAACCTGGGTTTCGTCGCGATTATTTACTACTGTCGTGTGTGATTGTCAACTCTCGAACATCTCTAATCAGTTCTAGAAGCCAGATTTTCGAGTTCTAGGCCATAATACACAGTCACACTTTCTATCTATCTACCCTCTTGGACATCTAACCTGCGAACATGGCAACCACGGGAGTAGAGACCATGGCGACGAAACCCTCACAAACTCCCATTCGGGAGAAATCAGCTATAATGCAATCTGTAGAGGATATTCTTTATGGATCTGTGAGTTCATTCACAAAAAAAGTTTCTAGCGCGTTCTAACAAGTTTAGATTGCCGGTATCGTGGGTAAATATATCGAATATCCTTTCGACACCGTCAAGGTCAGATTACAATCTCAACCTGACCACCTCCCCCTCCGCTATACCGGGCCGCTCGATTGCTTTCGACAATCCTTTAGGGCCGATGGGTTTCTGGGACTCTATCGTGGAATAAGCGCGCCGCTCTTCGGAGCGGCGGCCGAGACAAGCAGCCTTTTCTTCTTTGAGCGCATAGGCCGGGAGGCGGTTTATGCATCTGGATATTATTCGCGAGACCGAATACTCCCACTTTCGGCGCTGTGGTTTACAGGCGCATTCGCTGGAGCCTTTACCTCCGTCGTCCTCACCCCCATCGAACTCGTAAAATGTAAGATCCAAGTACCCGCAACTACCGATGGATCGACGCCAAAACCTCCGACTGTAACATCTGTCATCCGAGAGGTATATAAGCACGAAGGCGTAAAGGGTTTCTGGCGCGGACAGCTGGGTACATTCTTCCGGGAATCTGGTGGCTGCGCAGCTTGGTTTGGCTCTAAAGAGACGGTAACCAAGATGTTTTATCTTCTCAATGAAAAGAATGCCAAGTCGCAACTAGAAAAGGATGCATTGGCAACAGAAGCCTTGCCAATATGGCAGCAAGCCGTAGCTGGCGCCTCTGCTGGCATGTCGTACAACTTCTTATTCTTCCCGGCCGATACCATCAAATCTCGCATGCAGACTTCGCCTGTTGGTGGCTCTGGTCAAAACAGCACTTTTTGGCAAGAAGGCAAGGCTCTATGGAACCAGCATGGACTAAAGGGACTATATCGTGGATGTGGGATCACGGTGTTACGATCGGCGCCCAGCTCGGCCTTCATTTTTATCGTTTTTGACAGCCTAAAACGATACCTACCGATGTAGACGGTACTGCTCATGATGACCTTTGGATGAGATACCAAAAATGCATTGATTTGGGATAGAGGGGAATGAATATATTAAGCGAGGTACTGGCGTTCGACATCTCATCTGTCTTTGTCATTTATACTTGATTTATTATAGATCTACGGAGTTATGACTCTGGTATCATATGTGCGATTGTCTGGCTGAGTGAGTAGGGACAATTTTATGAGCATGGTCAGATTTCCGTTCCTGCGGCAGTCTCAACTTTTGACTCATAAATTAAGCCAGGAACTCAACACACTGAAAGCGAGTTAAACGAAATGTTTACTCATACCCTCTTTCCTAGCTTGGCTTTGGAAATATCCCAATTATTCAGATAACCCACTCCGCCGGTCAAATACGTCGCAAACGCAAGCCAGGCCAGGTGTGGCACTTGACACCAGCCCGCCAGGTTGTCGACTGAAAAGTACAGATACGTTAGGTACCCATTTAGACCAGCGAGTAACACGATATCAGCCGCTGCAAGATCCACTCGGCGCATCCCAAAAAACAGAGGCATCCATAATATATTCACGCCAAGTTGGATAGTATATAGAGCCCCCATCTTGTCTGTCGAGGCGGAGGAAGGCGGTGACATTGTGATAGCCCGGTGGGATGCGTAACCCATCAATCCATATAGAAGCGTCCAGGCGGGACCGAAGACTTGGGCTGGTGGGCTTAAAGGCGGCTGTTTCATCGCATGGTACGCAGTCTGCGACTGTTTGACTGTTACACCGTTAGAAATCGATTCTGAGTGAAAGATCTGGGAATTAAAAGCAGACATACCTCCAGAACCAAGGCCTGTCGTTGTACCTAGTGCGATAGGTAACAAGATCGAGGCTGCTGGGCTTGCGAAGACATTATACGGGATTGAAATAAGAGAAGGGATAGAGGTGGTCATTTTCAGGGATGAGCTACCTGTGGTGATAACGCATTTGAACTTCGAGGACTTTGATTCAAGATGCTATGATTTCAAAGAATATTTTCATGATTTGAAGTACTACCTATCCAATATTTATTAAAAACTTAAGACTGGAATATTCAGTTGACTTGACTTGGTGACGTAGGTCAATTCGTTTAATCAACTGTGGGGCGATCTAGAGCTGAAGTTTAGATTTCGCCATCAGTTACCCCTTAGATGTTGCTATCTCTTTACAACTGCCCGTATAGCAAATATTAGATAATCTTATATAGCACAGTATAGGTGTTATTTTGTATTGGCACTTCCGCTTGTACGAATTGTTTATAAACACATAGCCCAGTACTCAGGTTTTACTGTGCTTATATTATAGGTACTCTGTATTTTTCAAGCCCGCTATGGTTCATTTTGCAACTGAAATTTGTATCAGGTGGTAACTTATACATGTCTCTGTTTGACATGTAATATTATGACATTCAAGTATTGTAATATCTTTAAAATTGAGAAATTGAGTATTACACTTAACACGAAGTAAATATCACCGTACATACCTAGGTACCTAGAGTCTTGAAAGTGAAGTAACGAGGTGATAGAGTTTGTACAGACTCCAACAGATTAGAGTCACGGCTCCACTAACTAAGCTCAACCCAGGCCAAACGTAGCTAGTAGGTCGCACTACAAACGCGTTCCAACCACCCTAGGACCCGTGTGGAACCAGTGACAAATTCGGAATCATAGATGCCGAGTGAATCAGCCACTGTTCTAATTGCAGGCTGGTATGTACTTTGTAGCCGAAACTTACTCTCTTCCATCTTTCTCATCACTCCTACAAAACACCAACAGTGGATATCCTGGATATTGCATTGGGACATCGCGCCCTCTAGGAGCATCTGCCATCATCTTTCCAGTTCGTCAATCCTATTTTTCCAAACAATTCCTTATATTCCTTATTTTCAATGGCCTTTCTAGCCCCTGTATTCCCCCATCTCTCCTCTTCACGACCGCTCCCTTCCAGATCTTCCAGATCCTCACCGATCTCATCTCCATATACCTGAACCTATACCTCAACCTATACATGAACATATACCTATCATTTATCAATCTCCCGCTTTTCATATCAATAGTCCCCTACCTAGTATCACCAAAGCCACAAAGCCGTGACAATGACAAACTTCTTATATCTTCCTTGCCACTTTCACTTTCGGTTTGCTTATTGCAGAGCTCACGCTCTTGCCCATGCTCAGCTTCTCAATTTGGCTTGCCAATTACACCACATCAACCCTCACTCTTACTAGACATACCTTCTATTCATCTTCTCATTGCTCTTTCCAAACATTATCAAGATGGCTTCTCTAACAGCAATCGCCTTGTCAAACAATAGGCAACGAATTTATTCCCAAGCAATCGGCAATACCTACTACGGCGCGTCACTCGCCGCTTTCGATCCCTACCTAGGTACATATACACAACAACGAGCCCATATATTCTACAGCCAGTAGATCTTACAAAGACCGAAGTTGTGTGACGGAGAAAGCCGACCGATCAACGCATCCCATGCGCACCGCATCATCATAAATAGGTACCTGGGCAATATGGACTCATACTCGTATCGCGATGCCTCCGGGCGCTCCCCTCCCGATCGTGGTTGGGGCGGCCGAGATGACCGTGTCAAAGATGAATCTCGTGGCGAAAGCTTTTATCGCGGCCGCTCACCTGGTGCGTCTCCTACCGTCTCTTTCAAATCTTGCTCTTTATGCTATTTTCATGTCAGATGAACCCTTTCTGGGTTCCCCTTCTTTCATTCTATGTTCACCCCCTATCATGGCGATTTTATTTCATCTAACTTACATATAAACAACTAACCATGATAGGCCATGACCGACCCCGACGTAATCGATCGCGTTCGCCTCCACCAGTAGATAGATATGAACCGAGAGGTCGTGGTAGAGATGAGTATGCTGGCACTCGCGATCGAGACGATCGACGACGTATCACTTCTCCTCCAGCGAATATTGATCGTTATGTTCCTGGCCAAGGCGGCGCCGCCGCCCAAGCACCCCAACCTACTGTTAACCCCTTGACCGATCCGGTCAAGTTGCCTTTTCAGGTTGGGTTTTCGTACTTTGGCGAGTGGTGGAGAACCAACGAGAAGATTAAGGAGGAGAAAGAGCGCGTACGTACCGGCCGAAGACGTGAACCTGAGCGACCACGTGGTAGGGATACTCAAGAAGATCGTGACAAGGAAAAGGCAAAGATCCAAGCTGCATATGATGCTTACAAGGAAGAACTTCAAGCAAAGATGGCGAGAACCTTCGTCGCCGAACATAAGAAGGAGCAATGGTTTCGTGAACGTTATGTTCCCGAAGTCCGGGATGCTCTGCGTAAGCAGATGAATGAATTCCGCCGTGGTGCATACAGCCAATGGGAACAGGATCTAGAATCTGGCACATTTGACGAATTTTCTCTTGAAGGGATTCCCAAAAGCGAAAGTAATGGCCTTGGTGGTGTAGTCGAAAAGGAAGAAGGTGAGGCTACAGCGGCCAATGAAGTCCTAGGAGTTGGCGACCTAGTTCCTGCAAACGGTAGTGACCTTCGGGATGAGAATTTGTATCAGCCTACACTTTTGATCAAAACCATCGCGCCACACGTCAGTCGCCATAATTTGGAATCTTTCTGTAAGGAACATCTCGGCGAGGAAGAGGGTGGCTTCAAATGGCTATCACTGAGCGACCCCAACCCGAGCAAGAGGTATCACCGCATGGGATGGGTTATGCTACATCCTTCATCCGAGACATCGGCACCTGTTGAACGTGCAGATCCGAAGGACGATGATGACATGGATGATGCCAAGATTGAGTCTCCCGTCGCAACATCTACCGCCGATAAAGCTCTTGAAGCTATCAATGGAAAGACTGTGAAAGACGAAGTGCGAGGTGACTTCGTATGTCATGTCGGTGTTCATAATCCCCCTAGCAACCCTCGTAAGAAGGCATTGTGGGATCTTTTCTCCGCACCCGAGAGAATCGAAAAAGACCTCAGTTTCGCTCAGCGACTCGTCAATAAGTTCGAAGAAGATTTCGGTTCTGATTTCAATGCTACTTTGAAAATTGAGGAAAGGGTGGAGACACTACGAAGTGTCGGAAGTCTCCAGCCGGCGATCTCCGCAACAACGCCGACAACAACCAAAAAGTCCAAGAAGGATCGAAACCTTGACTTTGACGATACGATGGATGAAGGAGAAGAAGGTGAAATGGGCGAGTCTGACGAAGAGGGCGCTGTGGATGATGAAGTTGACGACGAAGAGTTACTGGTGAAGAAGAAACAGCTCGATCTTATGATAGAGTATCTTCGCCGCGTCTTCAACTTTTGCTTCTTCTGCGTTTTTGAGAGCGACTCTATTCACGAGTTGACGAGGAAGTGTCCTGGAGGTCATCTACGCCGACCTCGCAGTACACTTTCGTCTGCTGCTAAGAATGTTGCCCGTGCCAGTGCTAGTGGAGATGCTTTCCCAGCAAAGAAGCCGAAGGAGATTAAAGATGAGGAGGAAGGAGAAGCAACTGAGCCGGACCGCAAATTTCGCAATGCTCCCAAATCCGAACAACAACTCGAACGAGCCTACAAATGGGTTCGGACTTTTGAGGATAAGATAATGCAAATCCTCGAGCCTGAATCAGTAGATGTCCGAAAGCTTGGCGGCAAATCAACTGAGGACGCCCTCAATGACGAGTTATCCAAGTTTGTGAAGCAGGAAGATGAGCACAAGTGGAGATGCAAGGTTCCCGAGTGCACGAAACTCTTCAAAGAGGACCACTTCTGGAAGAAACATGTCGAAAAACGCCACACGGATTGGTTGGACGGTATGAAGCAAGAGGTAATTGAATACTACCTAACGATTTGTGAATTTAGCTAACGACGAACATAGTTCGATCTCATCAACGCATACGTTCTAGACCCTGCACATATCGCGCCGTCTCGAACCGATGCTAACAGCAATGGTCATTTCCCACCTTCTAATGGCCAGACTCAGCAAGGCACTCCGCGTGGATTTAACCTTCAGAACTTTACCATGAACAACATGGTACCGCCGTTCCCCGGTTTCCCGGGTATCCCGCCCATGCCTACACTCTTCGCCGGTGGTCACGGTGTCCAAGCTGCCGGCTGGAACGCCGGGGGTGAAGAACGTGGAACTGGCCCCATTCGCCGTGGTGGCGCCAATGCTGGGCGATTCCAAAACCGTACCGGACCCTACGACCGTCGCCAACAACAGGGACGTTGGGGTCAGGATGGCCAGGGCGCCGGACGCGGACGAGGAGGTGCTGGTCGATGGGGCGACGGAGCTGCTGGCGGAGCGGCAGTCGGCCCCCGTGAAGCGGTTCAGGGTCGTAGCCTGAAAAGCTATGAAGATTTGGACCACGTTGCGGGAGGTGGTGGCGGTGAGCTAAACTACTAGGCCTTGGGCAATGAACACTTCAAATCACCCGGGAAATCATACCGCTACGCTTATGGGCATTGGATCTCTTCATACCACGGAAATTGATATGCAAGGTAATGGCTTGACATACTCAGGTCGCTAGGTCAAGACGCACGGGTCATGAGACGGATATTGCGACTGTACCATATCACCACATTGCATTTGCTCTTGCTATTTAACGCACTTTCGAAAGTCTCAATTCCTACAGGCTCTAGGCAGTTGCCCTCCTAGTCCTCTGGTTTTTGACGACTGGTCACTTGTGTTTGTACATTACATACCAAAAACATGGCTTTAATGGAATTTGAATTCTCATGACTTTTTCACCTCACTCAAATCCCGCCTCCTCTTACCAAGTGATACCTAGCAAAGACTTTTCCTACTTAAGTTAGACGTATACGACATCCTATAGTTATCCTGTTTATTAATCTTCCCTAACTACCTACATACCTAGAGTTACATAGTTCGACCGATAGAACGGGCACGACATGCATGCATATTGAGCTACGGAATATCGACTACGGCGATGTAACGGGGTCTCCGAATCCACATGGTCTCCTTCGGGTCCGAGGGTTCCCCTTTTACATACTAGTATCGCCTAGTCCTACTTACGTGTGTCTCCTTAAGGATAGGCTTACATAGGTAGGTAGGTAGGTATAGATAAGTCGGCGATCCTCTCGATGTCGTTATCATACGTAATATAGGGGTTGATGGGGGATAGATAGGTACAATAGTTCATGCAGAGGTCGCGGAAAGGAAAGGGGATGATCTTGGCGCTGACAACGCAACGCAACGCGGGCGCAGCGACGGATCGCTGTGGTGGTGCATGGGACGCAGCCTAGAGTGATATAGCGGTATGGCGGTGTACAGCCGCCTTCGACGGCGAACGAACTCTGCTCTGCTGTCTCAGTTATCGGCGAGCGGAGGGTCCCGGATATGCGGATGTAGGCACGCACGTGCGCTAGTTAGAGTTATATAAGGGGGAGCTATATACGGTAAATGAGATGGGTAATGTGTGAATCGCCGGGATATTGCGGGCTTCTAAGCGTTCGCGGGTTGGTGATGGCCGGTAGCAGACGATAAATCAAATATACACTTTGCTAAGGTTGTGTGACACTCATACGGGTATTGATCTATGATAATGTATGTATAACTGTCCAATATATATATGAAATCTGCATGACATATACTCTATGCGGGCATCTCTGATAAAAAGATGAAAAGGGGAGATGTATGGGTTAGGTATCCCCTCGTGAGTGGCCGAGACAGCACGCTCATACGCTGACTGTCCCCCGCTCTTCCATTCGCGTGATGCTACCCAGGAAGTTCTCTATTGGTCGCGATGCCGGAGGCCGACGTTGCACGGCGGACGCAGATGGTACATCGATAGCTACGCCCGCAAAGGGGGCATATAAATATATTCGATCGGCGACTCCGGATCGTGACTTTGGCCATATGCGTATTATTGCCCGACTTCACATGTCCACCTTGCGAGAATCGCTGATCCTTTCCGGCATTCGATGAATCCTTGCTTATCAAAACAAGTATATTCCGTAAATGTGCATCCGGCTGACCTTTCTAAAAATCGATATCGATTCGGCAAGTACGTGTCGCAATGTTGCTCTCTTCGGGTTTCTCCCGAGCTGAAGTACGGATCTCGATAGACTAACTTGTTCGTTTCTTCTGTGAGTAGAGGAATTCCTAGGTAATAAAACAAAACTGCAATAGATCGAATGATCTATCGTTACTATTATCCGGATATACAGAGGTGAGTTCTTTTTCGGTGTTCTCCTTTTGGCGGTTGGGATAAGGAGATGCACCCATCAAAATGCCTATCCCTTTTCACCGACATATAGACTATCCTATGATCATACCAACGGCCATCCCTCCAGCAAACATTGCGGCCACTGTAACGAAGCTGGAGACGGAAAGAAGAGAGATTCCGCTAATTCCGTGGCCGGATGTGCAGCCACCCGCCATCCTAGATCCGAGTGCTAGGAACACGCCGCCGAGGACAGCTCTAGCGGGTTCGATAGTAATTTCGGGTATTTTCTGCGTAGATGGTGACGCCAAAGAAACGGCTAGAGCCCCAGTAGCCATGCCTGCAGTAAGAACAATGGCGTTGTACGACTTCGGCCTTATTCCTCGCCCTATTGCCCACAAGAAAAAGTCGCCGACCTCTTCAAAACAACCTGAAGTGCCAATGAGAGATCTCCGTGTCAGGATAGAGACTAGTTGAGCCCCGGCAACCAAGAAGCCTCCTGTCACTGGTCCTACCAAGCCACTAGACTTCGGTGACGCAAGATAGACTAGTGCTGCGACGATGCCTGTGAACAGAGCTTCGACGGCGATGAGGGCGCTCGTTTGGCTTGTTCCCGTCAACTCGCCTATGGTCAGGCAACGAGCTTTGATATTACTTGCCTCCGGAGCCGGCTTTTCCCGGCTACGGAGAGCTGGCCGCAGGAGACCTGACCATATCACACCCCCAAGCATTGCTCCGCCTAGTGTAAAGAAACCAGATCGAACTCCAGCCCCGACTTGTGCAAAGACAGTCCCCGGGCAGGAGCCGGAGACAGCCAAGCCGGTGCCTATGAGTAAGCCTCCTATTATGTTTCCGTCGAGGGATCCGAATATGTTGAGTGTCGAATAATTACGGGGACTTAGTTTGAGATAACCGAGTCGTTGGAAGATAGTGACGAGGAGACTGTCTCAGGGGTCAACGACTTTCTTTTAAATGATAATTATCTGGCAACATGAGGAGATTTTTGTCTTACGTGCTAGTTCCAGAGGCAGTCAAGAACGTGGTGACCATGTGCCAGTTCTGGAGACCCATCTGTTCGACGATTACATCTGGTTGATAAATGCCAGCGGCTGCTAGGGCAGCACCGAAGGCAGCTCCAGACACATAAGGTCTAAGCATTTTCTTAGATATCGACGTGATAATACTGTGAATTCGATAAAAGAGAGAATGTGATCGAAAAATATTGAGGGATCGTTGGAAAAGGAGTTCAAGTTTCTGAATCTTGATGGTAGGATATCATAATTTAGTCATCTTATAGTTGCCAGTCGCCGATAAATCCACCTAAGTGATCGCCTTCACTAGGTAGTTCCCCTGCTTGAGTCAGTTATACTAGGTAGGAAGAGACCCGTAACTCTAATATAGACAGGTGCCAAACAGGTGGAATTTTTGGGAAATTGCTAAGATCCACGTCTTGTCTGCCGGCGTGGGTTCTAAAGCGATCTTAACGGTCGGCGAAGCTAGTGAGGCAGCGTCCATACCATTATGCCATGCTAGGCCGGGTCACGCCAAGTTGATATCCTGTTTCTCTTCCCTGCCTAAGAGCATTGTGATCGGATCGCCATCTCCCTATGTAGATACCTTCGTTGGCAAGTCCCGACTGTCCCGTATTCCATTTTGGATCGAGTATGCTACGCTAGACTTCAAAGGAAGAGCGGATTGGTTGCACGAGCAGAGCTTCTATACAACTTCGAAGGCCTGCATGCAGCGAACCCTAATTCTCGAACATCGTCACATCTCTCGAGCGTTATTGTGAAACATGATGGTTCAAGCCCCAGATCCTGCTCGGAAATTTCCTTAAGGCTGACGAGTAGACGGCGATCAAAGAAACTACAGGGCTTCGCTTCGGGGATCTCGCATGAATCTTATCCGTGCGCCTCGCCGAACTACGTGGGGACCTCGTGGCGATATTATGGGTCTTTGACGTTCAACCGAGTCATATAATCTCCCATTTTTAAAGCTTGGAAATTATCCATAGCTCGTCTTTGTCTGCTTTTCCTGTGGCATAAAATCTTGATGGATTTAGAAGTAAATATGTTTCCAGCGTCCATAGGATCGTCATTCACCCACGTTGGTGGCTGACAGGATTCCTTTTGGATCGGTCTCAGATTTCTTATACTATTGGCACAGGCATTATGCAGCCACTATGAGCTGTGGAAATAATGCTAAATAATGTCCCAAAGGCCTGGAACCATGCTGCGATGGTCGATACCACAGGGTACACGTGCTAAAATAGCTCGAATTGCCTATCACTCTAGGTATTCGGTAGAGCCAGATTCTGCCCTTACTTCAACGGCTAGTTACTCATTAGTGAGATGTCACCATTGAATCGACGATCACTGCCGTGGCTGAATTCGATGTGGTGCCACATGATGGTCGTCCGCGGGAGACGTATCGGAAAATAAATTTGGTTAGTTCTTAGATGCCACCCTTCTTTTTCAGAGTGGTAGTAGGATTCGGACTGCCTATCGTCATTTTTCGGTCCCATAGCCGAACTCAAGCAAAGACATGTGGCTTTCACGGAATTAGTGCCGCAGCCTTTGTCTTGAATTCGTAATTAAGGAAATGAATTAGCAATATTTTTTCTTTAGAAAAATAAGCTCACTGAGTTAGACCATCGATTATTACTAGGTACGGAAGAATGGTAGTTGTAAGAAGCAATCTTCGAACAGGGCACTCTTATTCGTAGGAAACTACTAGGTAGAACAGTGTCTTCGATCCCCATACTTTCCCGCAAGTTTCAAATATTTATAGTAGGTGCACCTAAGTTGTGAATATGTACTAGGTACGGTACACATCAATGGATGTACTTGACAAAAAGTACTTCATAGATACTCATCGTAAACTTGTACAATTGTGAACGTTATACCAAGATTAGAAGTACCGAGGTTGTATAATATTGCGGGGAGAAAATTACCCCAGAAACATTGTGTGACGTCCGCTAGCTGACAAATGAAAGCATCATAAGTGGAACTCCGTAAACTCCATCGAGTAGTCCTTCACATCGTAAAGGGGTATAAGTGAGACTTTCAACTATCTAGACAAGACATTTCCAGTTATATTTTTTGATAATATCGTGATCACATGAACTAATCAACCTCAAACATCGTCCAAGATGCCACAAGCCCTAACCATCAAGAAAATCGACGGCAAGCCCGGTCAGGTTTACTATCCGTAAGCTCCCTCCCCCCCATAACCTTCCAACCCACCAAGACTCACATCCCACAGCCTCCAAATAAACCAAATCCCCAAGCCCGTCCCCGGACCCAAGGAACTTCTCATCCGGATCCACGCCGCAGCGCTAAACCACCGCGACCTGTTCATCCGGCAAGCGCTATACCCGGGTATCTCATTCACCTCGCCCCTATTCGCCGACGGCACCGGGAGCGTAGTAGAAGCACCCTCATCACCATCCCTCATCGGAAAACGGGTCCTCATAACCCCCTCGCGAGGCTGGGGCTCAACACCCGACGGGCCGGAAGACATAACGCGGTTCAGCGTGATCGGCGGATCGGTGCTCTACGCCGGCGCAGGCCAGGACTACGTCGTCGTGCCCGAAGACGAAGTCGAGCTCGCGCCGGACCACCTGACGTCCCACGAAGCAGCCGCATTACCACTAGTCGGACTAACGGCGTGGCGGGCGCTGTTGACGAAGGGATTAAACGGGGACGCGGCGTCCGCGGCGGGCAAGAATGTCCTGATAACCGGGATCGGGGGCGGCGTGGCCCTAGCCGCGCTGCAGTTCGGCGTCGCGCTGGGGTGTAATGTCTACGTGACTTCCAGCTCGCCCGCGAAACTCGAGAGTGCGAAGGCGCTGGGCGCCGCTGGCGGAGTATCGTATAAGGAGGCGGGTTGGGAGAAGCAGCTCTTGGCGCAGCTACCCGCTTCGCGGCCCTATCTCGACGCCGTGGTTGACGGCGCGGGCGGGGATATAGTGTCCAAGACCGTGAAGCTGGTGCGTCCGGGTGGCGTGATCTCGGTGTATGGGATGACGATGGGTCCGAAGATGGATTGGACGATGCAGGCCGTGATGAAGAACATCGATCTCCGGGGCAGCACGATGGGGTCGCGGGTCGAGTTCCGGGATATGGTTGCGTTTGTGCGGGAGCACAAGATAAGACCGGTCGTTAGTCGTGTTGTAAAGGGGTTGGATAACATTGAGGCGATCGACAGTTTATTTGATGACATGAAAAATGGGAAACAATTCGGTAAGCTTGTCATCGAGATATCCTCACCTGGTGACGAGGCGGAGGCAAAACTTTAGATGGCATTTGACTAGACAATTATTTCGCAACGAATCAATAAAACTAGACGCATAGCATGAAGAATTAACCCAAATCGAGACCAAAAATGGATCACCGAACTATCTTTGCATTTCTGATTTTGTTTATGTTACCTCGCCTATCAATCTCTGCCCGGATCGCGTATCACCAGACCCCAGGCTATTCGCCAGGGGTAACTCATAACAATACCTAATAGTACACTGACGAGACATTTCCATAGCCTGCGGAACCCAGGTTACACAGTAGGCCACACACTTTGTTAACTAAACTTCCTCGACAGCACCAACCTCGATATGTAGATTGGTTAAACGTACGAAACTGGTCTTGACCCGGGATAACCACTCGCCTCCATTGCCTTCCTTAGCACCTGGGCTTTATCCATGTCAGACACGCGGGCTCGAAAAAAAGGATCCTCTCGCCAAACGCCGGCCCCTTTCCCTATCATTATAGATATACCGAACCCCGATCATGCCAGAGCGTTAAGGAGGTATTGAAATTAGTCGATTCTGGCCCTCTTCACGCCTCGCCATCCGATCGACCGTGGCTCTGTACGTTGCCGCTCTTTATGTTTGGAGAAAGACTAATGGCGATCTTTCTTGGGCCACCTCCGGCATCTCGAGCACTGGACATACTCTTTTTCTTCCTCAGGATACCAGACACAGCGGAGGAATTAGAGCTAGCTGAAGTGCTATTTCGACGTTTGTGCTGTACCATTTTACTGAGATCGTCCTCCTCGTCCTCTTCACGTCGTCGTTTTTCAGACAAACGCTCCAGTGGAGGGGCGACATTCCTCGAACTTTGGCTCGTCTTCCTTGGCCCATCATCTTGTCTATCTTCATCCGCTGAAAGTGCTCCAGCTTCTAAATTTTCGTCTCCCTCTTCATCTGATGCATAGTCAACTAGCGGTTTCGCGTTTGGTGACCCTCCATTCATGGGTGCCCGCCCCCCAGGTCTTCCCTGCACATCGTCTTCCTCGTCCGATGTGTTCCAATATTCCTCCTCGGCCTGGTCCATGACAAGGTGTTCCATTAAAGCCCCCGTCTTTGGGTTGATGATGTTTTGCCGTTTCCTAGGTTCGTCATCCACCTCTATATAATAGTCCATGTTGACGCTAAAACCTCCGGTCTGATCATACCGGATCAACATAGTCCTAAATAGATCCAAGTAGGCAAGCGCTTGTACTTTCTCGCGATAGTTCTCGACGATGTGCTTAACAAGATCCTTGATATTTTCTTTCCTGATGAATTCAAAGAACTCCAAACATGCGGAGCTGAGTAAGTTGTCTCTCGGCATGGTTTTGATGAGAACGTCAAGGATTGGGCCAATGACCTTCTTCTCTGACACGTGTCTGATATAAAACTCATCTTGCAGGCTAATTAACTGACGAAGGAATCGGATAGCAACTGTAGAGAAGTTAGCTTTAAACTAGAACTGGCATCCACGAAAAACATACTAAGTTTCAGAAATTTCTCGGGGCAGCCTAGAAGTTGGCTAATGCGCACGACAATATCGTTATTTAAAACGAAGAATTTGCTGCGGTGTTGATGTTGGCGGATGAAGAAGCAGAGAATCTCAATCAGATACGTGAACATAGACGCTTGCTGGACTGTAAATTCCATGCTGGTTCTATCTTGCAGGTTAATCAAGGGTTGAAATAGCCTGCTTGCCGAAAATTCATAGAAACAGTTCAGGAAATTATCCTGTTGTGGGTCTGCGGTCGGTGGTATCCTGGACACATTCCTGACACCATATTCACCATTCGCTTTTGTATATGTTTCCTGTTGAGGTGGCGGGCCCTGATCAAGAAGCACCTTTAACGCATCAGATATTTGCGATTTAACACCCAGATCAACCTCTACCAAAAGTAGGTCGATTAGTGAGTCCGTCAGAGGCGGCTGTTTGTCTTGAAGTTGCCGGTATATCATGGCTCGAATCATCTGTGGATCATGGTCAATCATGGACACCAATATGTCGGTAGCGCCAACTCGGACAGCCACATCGCCGTGTCGCAAGCCAAAGTTAATGACTTGAAGAAGGCCATTGGCGAGAAAGTTGTTATACAGAGTCTGGCGAGCGGGAGGTTGAAGGTTTTTGGCAATTGCGCAACATTGCTGGATAAAAAGCACCGCCTCCTTCTTACGCTTCGGATCGGTGGGTAGAGGAGACTTGAATATGTTGAATAGCTCGGCCAAGAATGTCGCATTGGACTGCAGATGTTGTACGATATCGACCTGGTTGAAGAAGATGAGCGAGTTCAAGACGGAGAAAGTATTATCGTCTAGAATGCGTGCCAACACGACATCCTTTAGGTATTGGAGTCGATATGTTTGGTGGATCTTCTTTAATATCTGGGAATCTTCGATACGCACGACCTCCTTATATCTCCCTTCGCCCTCGAGCCATTGGCGATGGTTAGCTTTGTGGCTAGGAAAATCCGGATCGTATTCCAAAGCGCCTACGACGCCAATCACGCACTCGTCCGATACCGCATGTTCTATGATACTCGTATCGTTGAGAAGGATGACGATCTTCATAATGTTACAAAGACGATGTAGGTCGTTCAGGCTTTCGAGGTCCTCCGCATCAGAAACTAGTGGAATCAGCTTGCCGATAAAGTTCTCGGTTAGTACGTATTTGGTGAGGGCATCGCGACCATTAGCAGTTCCGCTAAACCCGCGCATTTGCGACTCGATCTCGGCAAGGTTAGCCATCGAAGCGTGTGGGAGGGAGACAGGATTTGGCATTTCCATAGCGAGATCTTCAGATAGGCTGTCTTCTGATACAACTAGATTAGCAACTTTCCACGTCAATGGGGGCTAATGGATATATACCTGGCGCATTCATGGAATGGCATTGCTGCTGAATACTATTGATGAACTTCCTGCAACATAGTTAGCAACTTTTTTTCCCTTACAGACATCTTCGGCGACCAGTCGGGGATTGAGGTGAATCGTACCATATTATGGCGCAGCCCTCAGCTTCCTGAAAACTAAGGGCCATATCCACGCCACTAGTTGGTTCGGTCCAGACGATCAACGTTTCTGGAGAAAATAGTTAATGACCAGGCAGCACAACGGGGTTTTGTTGAATCCTTAACGTACCTTGCTGTTTATGGAAGCCATCTTCTTTACAAATTCTCGTCTCTAATAGTACACGATCAGGGTGGTCCTCGGACTCTACGATTACTCGCGGTTCTCGTTGCTGGCCATCTTCGGACTACGAGCATTGGTCGCGTTAGTGGCTATACCTATGTTGGGAAGAGTATTTATATAAAAATAAATAGAAAAAACTGCGACGGGGGACTATCGTTTGCGCGAGGCGCGTCGCGATAATAGAAGCACTTACAATATTGAAGGCGGCTGTACAGAAGCCGGTTCCACGATCAAACCAGTCATTGTTGCGCAACTCGTAAACCTTCACTCGTTTCTTGTCCGTCGACAGATGAGGCACAGGCTGTGCCGCCATCGTCAACGGTGTATCAGATTCGGTGTCGGCGGCCAGTCGATTGTATTGCAGGAGGTCCGGTGCAAGAGCCAGATGTTGTTGAAGAGATAATTCGGTATCGGCCTGGCTGAGAAGAGTGAGCGCAGCCACTTTTTCCCGATATTGGCGCGCTAATTGACGGGCGCGCACGCGACAAAAGGATAGGTTGAGGGGTGGAAGACGAGGATGATGACTATCAAATAAAAAAAGGCACGAGCGGGCCGAGAGAAAGACAAGGTGTAGCGTGTGGTTGATTACGGACAGACAGAGATGGGGCTCTGTGGCTCGTGGTGTGTGGATGATGGGATTGCGGGATTGCGGTTTGGGATGAGTGAGGCGACGTGAGATGTAAATGTCGAGAAGTCGGGCTAGGCAAGGCAGCCAGGGCAGGATTGTCCTTCCGTGCGACAGGGTCTAGATTGGATTTTGTCTGGAGACTGCCTTAACTAATTCTGACTGGTCTGATTGATATGGCAGTATGGTTGTATGGCTAGGGGGGTTCAAAGAGTACGGTTCACATTGGGGGTCGTGCTCAGATCGGGTTGTGACGTATTTTAAGCGAAGCGCGAAAAGACGTAAGATAGGTACCAACGGATTGAAGATGGCGGTGGCGACACCTGGTATGGATAGAAAAATAATCCTATAATCGTCGACTTCAATTAGATAATGCATGCATTTCTCATGAGAAACATGAACTCCTCCAAAGTTACGACGACGACGAATATTTGCCTACCAAAGGAGAGGTTGGCTAGGATTAAATTGGTAAGTTTTCGACTTGTCGGGATTTTTTGGACACCCTCGGATTGCTAAGATGGGCGGACTTATGGTCCGTGCTTTCGATTGATGGGGCAGCTACAAAGATGGGTCCCTACCAATCTAGCATATACTTAAAAGGTACTTGAGGAGATCCGCACAGACACATAACATCTATGTTAAATACTAGGTTCACATGTAGTGACATGTACTCGGTATCTGCTTGGAAACATTGAAGGTCTTGGCAGAGGGGGATTTGGTCATACCTCCTATTTATATCATCTACGTACCTAGGTGAATTTTGTGATATTTCATTAGAAATATTTATATCTAACGACTTTGTAACATAGTCATACTACATACGTTACCTTAGTAGGAACAATCTGTGAAATATTAAACAAAACGTATCCATATGTGTCGTTGTTCATATACGATCCTCTTCAAAACCTGAGCAAATATTTATAGCCGCTTGATCAGCACCTGATGCGAACTAACTTATCACCCTTGCTTATTAGTGCCGGCAGTAGCTACTTGAACGATGTACAGATCATGGATTTCTACCACGATGTGCCAAGCGCAACCCACGTGTTACAAGAAACAGCATGCTTTAGGGGATATCTACCTATTTACAAAGGAAATCGTAACCAGATAGAATTGTTTTTTATGCTCGAATAAAAAAACAAAACGAGATAATCATCCGAACATGGTGAGCGAACTTTCAATCACGATAAAAGTTAACTAAGACGTTTCATAAACTCCACTCATGTGTTCAACATCTCTACTATTTCAGGCCTGGTAGTAAGCTACCACTTGCCTCAATTCCTCAGAAATCTGCCATCGCTCCAAGTCAAATTCACGTTCTATCTATCTATTGTATTTACCTAGCACGCTAAGTTATTAATATAACCTCCTACACTTCCTTGATATGAATTGGTTCGACGGATCGCGTGGGAGAAATAGTCTCGGGTATCAAGAATTTACTAGAACTTACAACCAGCTACTCATGTCGTCGTGACTCTCCTAAACACATATTCCAATTTGATAGACGCGTCAATTTCTGGTAAAATATACAGAGAACCTGCTCAATCTCTGCCAAGTCCAACATCCAAAGCAATTGGAATACTATCTCATCCAACTTTGCCAATGACTTCATTTAAGCCTTGTCTGATGGCCTAGGTCGTTAAGTCTTACGGAGAAAAGCAGGCTGTAATGATTATGAGAAACTTGATTTCTCATAACCACCGCGCTGCTCTAATAAGACTGCAAAAATGGCAAAGGTGGGAGATGATGGTATTAATAAGTAATCGGAATTTCGAAATTCCTTGTCATATCACCAAAAGAATATCTTTTTCTAGAAACTTAATTGCCATTAAATGTGGTTCCTGACGTATGGTTTGACCTCGAAGTAGCACTTAGGTAAGCAAATATTGTTGATTATGAGCTTATTGTGTGGGGTTCTTCCGATTTAAACCTTTTCATCCCATTTTACTTCCCTATCAAGGAGCAAATAAAAATAATAATAGTCAATATTTAAGTATTTACCCTTATCTTAGCTAAACTGAATCGCAGAATAATTTACAGTATATCGTCATGCTCTCACTTAATCTCGGAAAGACGACGATCTCAGCATCAATGCTTTTGTTTCGTGAGATTCGATGTGGCATTAACGTACTGATATCTAAAACAGCCAGAACAGCGGTCGGGGTCTAGTCATCATCAATATTCGATAGCGAACAACAACATGCCCGAATATGGGTCGCTAATGTGCCAACGTAGCAGCTGTATCGTGCGAACCCAAGGGTCTGGATTCCCACCTAGCAGCTATCTTTCTTAGACTTTCAGATCCGAGAAGCTACGCAGTACATGAGCTGAATTGAAGCTAGGCGCATGGTGCCACTGTTTGGTCGAACTAAGGCTCTGCTTAAGGATCTGGCCGGAATACGAGACTTTGGGATTGCCTATGCATCTATCTCTGCATATGCAAACCAATTCTGTTCGTGGGATACATGGGTCAATTATTCATTTCTCATTCGCCTCCCCCGTGCTGCTATTGTCTTTTGAATTCGCTTATGAGTTTAGTTACTTACATGCCTAGGTAATGCCTAGGTACCTACCCATAATAGTGTGTACGGGTCCTAGGCATTGCGTCGTATAACTGGAGGTGCGGTGCTTACGCTGAACCTATCGCCCGGGCGTGGGATGAAATAGCGATACGACCCTGCATCGTACACGATAAGCAGAACAGACCTTGCCTCGTTGGGGTAACAACGAGTGTCCTGTGTGCCCCTTACTCGGAGAGTCAGCCATCCATCTAATAAGTATTTGGCCAAAAAAGAATCACGCCAGATCCAACCATTTACGCCAATCTTAAAATTCCAGCCCCGATCGAGTATCCTAACGAGTGCCACCAGAGTTTATATCAGGGTACATTAGCTCCAGTCTATGTATCCTCGAGCCTGTTCACATAAGATAGCCGTGCCCTACTCGAAGTTTCGAGGTCTAGTCTTAGGTTTTAGTTTTCGAAATAACTCCAGTACTGGCCGTGCTTTCTTGTTAAGCGCCTCGTACCCGCCACTCAGTTAGCTACCTGTTCATGCTCTTTTTCTCTAGGCACTCACATACTGGGATTTTGATGTAACGCGACCATCATTAGTCTTACTCCCTCTTGTCCCTATTCCACGAGTAGGGCGAATACCAAGCCTCGTTTCATGTTTTTAGGATTTTCAAGTTTTCGTTACGAATCCGCCCTTCCCTTAGTTTTTATATTGCCTTTTACCTAGTCACAAGCTTATAAGCTTACCTATACATCTTGGAGTACCGTCGGCGCCTTTCCCTTCGAGGTTCAATCGACGGTGTAATCACCGACGGATCCTGTATTCGACTTGAGATCGACTTGCGACTTTGGGCATTACATACGCACTCCAAGCCTTCGTTCCAGAGCCCGGAGTTTGCTTCGGCTCTGTAACCTCCCACTGAGCCGAAATTCGCCATGTCGGTCTTCTCGTTAATAAAGCGAGGCCGCGCCCAAGCCAAAGAGCACAACGCAAAGCAGGCTGAGAGAGCCAAGGAAGAGGCCGTTAAATTACCTTACAGGCATGTAGTTTCGCATGCTGCCAGTGATGCCTTATCAGGAGCTCCTTCAAGCTGGAAACATGCCGACAGACCTAGAATCATGGAGCAGAATAAACGAAGGACTGCCATAATGGCTAAAGATCCCAACACGACGGGACTACCACGTGTAGGAAGCTCGCTATCATATGTTTCATACGCGTCCGTCTATGGTACTCCTGTCGTACCTCTTCCTAGGAACTACAGCTACAATAACGTGCCTACGTCCTGGCGTGATCAATTAGCAAATTTCCACGAAGGTCCTGACTACTTCACACAGCCTGTAAACGGAGGAAGTACCAAAGGGAAGGGACTCGATCACGTACGGACCCCCGGATCGATCGGACCAGCCCCGAGACGATCCCCAAGGCATTCCAGTACCGTATCAAGCAAAGGTAACAACCATATGCTCGAGATCTATACACCCCAGCTGACTCTTATATAGATGTCTCCCAAGATAGTAGCACGGGAAATCTTAGTGGCTCTGAAGATGATCTAGAGATGAAGACCAGGATCGTTATTAATCGACGGCCCCAGAGTATCGCTTATCATTCTAGCGCTTCCCAGCAGAGCACTTCCTCCAGCGAGAAATCCTACCGTACACCTCTCACTAGTGCAGGGACGGGTAATGAGCCGGCAGCAAAGGTCGATAGATACTATCCACCCCGGTCTCATAGCACATATTTTTCAGCACCTCGTCCTTTAAGCAGACGGGTTCCCGTCGCAGAGGTGCCTGTCCCGCCTGCCTCTGTCACCGAACGTTCTAACTCGACGGCTTCTTCATCGACGGTTTCTGGTCATTTTTCCACCGCTTCATCGACCGCTTCCATCGGCCTCGCCATTGCATCTCCCTTTTCTCCTAGCGATATTGAACCCCTATCGACGCCACCCACCACAAAAGATCGCATATCCCCTGAACGAAAGTCCAAAAAAACCACTACTATAGACGAATCTCATACCCAGTCAGCACGACGAAGTTCAACGGGACAAATACAATCCTCCACAGATGTCTCCATAACCAAGACCAGCAAACAAACTATTACTCCCGAGACGCCACCAACTCAGAGAAGGAGACGTAGACTATCTAAATCGAAGCCTCCAAATAGCGACGCCATCAGGATGTCTGCCGAAACCGTACGTCCTGCCAGGCCTAGTCTAAGTGCTATTACTCCCACGGCGAGTAATTTCGATAAGGTCGACAATACTATTCAACAAAAGGTCGAAGAGATTACAGTTGTGACAACTTCCGGATCCGTGCGGAAGTCTCACGGTAAATTGAGCAAGAGCCCGGAGATAAAAGAGACTAAACCGAGTCGGAAAGGATGGTTTTCGCTCCGACCTAACAGCAAAACACCTACGATCACTGCACACTAATAATAAACAAGGACCACTAATAGTACACGAAGTCATGGATGACAATAAGATCCATCCATCCTTCAATATTTACGAATAATATTAAAATCCGACACTATAAACCGCGATATCATCTATGAGCATCTTTATCATGAACCTTTTTTTATAAAGAGCAGCATGAGATGCTTTATAATCATGTATATCACGACAGCCTATATTTCCATATGTTTTGTCATATTATACCTAGCCGCCGCCCAAAATCATGCGGGTGCAAGAAAAGGAATCTCAGTTCTTGAGCTAACGGGTTAATACGGATAGATATTAGATAGCTACCTAGCTACCAGGTTCGCAAATTGGGGAACGACCATTATGACTTGGATAACATCTTCACTTGTTGAATAGCTTAGATTGCCTATCTTATGTACATGCCATGACATACGTGGCTCCATATCTCTCCTTGTCTATATCTTTTCATATTTAACATAAATCTGACCATCCATACCTACCATGTTAATCTCGCATATTACGACCATTGTTTTTGTGATTCCCGATGAGACATTTTATCAGCTAAAACATTTTAACTGGGAGATGGACGCCAGGATTTGATCATAGTTCCTTGTGAAATCGAGAGGATGTTTATCCTGAAACCGTGACACTGAAATCAGGGGAGGATCGGGTCGTCCCGAATGTACACACACCTATCATGGAAACCGTGCGCGCTAAGATCTCTAAGAGGATTGAGGTCGGCTGCTATAGGTCGGACCTGATTTTCGAACTAAGGGCCATATGAGATCTAGAATCTCACTCGTTCTACGTAATCTTAGCTCAGCTTGTGGTTCGAGCTATATTGCGTTGTAAGCTCCGAAACTGATCTATCGAATTTTCCCTCCCTCAAAACAAACATATTCTATCCAAGACGCCGAGAAGCAACCGACGATATGTACAGTCAGCGGACAAAAGCACTCAACCCGGCGCAAGTCCGTGTTCGAAAAATCCACATACATAAGAGTCTTATCTCCAGACTACATACATAACCCATATTTCCTGCTTCTAAGCTTCAATAGCCCCGAATTTCCAAAATATCTTTCTAGCCATTGACGACAGAGGGAATGCCACGAAGCATAATGTCGGACATCCTATTGACCGGTATGCCAAGTACCGCCAAGCGATTCTGCGAGCTACTGTTTACCTGAAGCAAGCAGACTTCGGCGCATCAGCCCTGAATGCAACACCACGAAGTATCATGCGCAGCACCTTTTAAAGCCTCGCTTAATATACTCCCATTCCAGAACAATTCCGGCCAACACGGCCGCAGCTGAAAGCACGTATCTATCTCTTCCATTAAATACCTCTGTCCGGCGTCTTATCTGTGCAACCTGACCTATAGTTCCCTATATCCGGGACCGATATTTAACTTGCTTATTTAGCGCTGTTCGCACGCATATCGATCCCTGAGGCGATCTCGCTTCGCTTCGAGGAGACCCGAAGCGCTAACGAACGCGATTGGAGAGCCACGATAAAGCCGTGGGGGTCTACAGGGGATTCGTTAGGGAACTTAACTGCAATGATAGACCTAGCTGGCTGCAAATACCAGCCGCATCTTCGCTACTGTAGGCACCTATATTCGCTATTAAAGCCTGCAGTCGATAGTTTTAGGGGCTGACGCCAACGCTACTACTTGGGGGCTTTTTTTCTTCTCGGCCGATATGTGGCGTTGCTGAATGACCAACGCCAACGCACCGAAACATACTAGGACTTAGGTACTTCAGGATAATTATCTTCAAAGAAATCTATCTCTACTAGGTAGATTGCATTCTTCACTACTAGGTAGGTGTCCTTGCCTTATCAACCGTTCCACGTGGCAACAGAACTGGCAGATGGAAAATAAACAAATTTACCTAGGTAGTCTTCGTCTGCTCTGACTTGTAAGTGCCAATCGCGAATACGAGTCCGGCGGCCACACGGCTGTTCCTGTAGTTGTTGAAAACGAAGGGTGGTTACTCAGAAGCAGTCAGAAGACTAATAAGAAATAACTACATCTGACCTATTACATTTCATTTCGAAGGCCTTCCTAATTCAGCATACACACGTTTGAAACCGGGTTGAACATCCTGGGTTGAAGAGGTTGGTATCGTGCGCCACTAATCTCAATGGCGTATATATAAAAGTAGGTGTTCAAGTCTTTGAGATTCTATCAATCACGTCATAAGACTCATACTACCACGATTGCAACACACATAAATAACTTCCAAGATATTGTATACAACGTCAAAGTCTTGTCCAATGAAGAGTATTTCTCAATGCCGAAATAAACCTATCACGGGGCACGATCTGTCCAAGATCGGTGATAGCCAGTCATTTGATCAACGTATCTTCACTACGACGGTGGTAGCACGCCTCGTCAGTGACCACATCACCTGAAACTCAACAACATATTAAACGATATATTTTGGGGTTGTAGTGGTGTCCGATTTTGCATGTACATGTTGTGAAGCCACACGGTGGTAACCAGAGACGGGGCTTGATCGATGATATATGATAGGACGCCTCCATCAATAATGGCAAATATTGCATGGGAAAAGAAACAACAAGATGGAGTCGTCCGATAGGTTGGGGAAATCCTTGGCTGCTGGCAAATGAGATATACTTAGCCATCGGCTTTCTTGATATATACCTAAGTGTTGCAAGTCATTTTGGATACCTACCTACCTAGGTACCTTCGTTGAAATATTAGTAAACTGAAACCTGGGCAGTAGATCACCGGTGATAAGCCATCGAGTTGTAGAGAGATGTTCCTAGTGTACTAATGAGATAGTATATGGAAACAGATGAGCATTCAACCCTTCTTCACATGCTACATACCTAGTCATAGCAGCGTAGGTAAATCGGGGTGTGGTTAAGTAAATGAATATATGAAACCCCGCAACACCGTCTCTGACAAATTCAACTAAATGTCCCAAATAAATAAAGATAAAGAATCAAAGATATCCTAGATAGAACGTTTACATAAGCACCTGAATGGTTGATCGGATTAAGTTTATCTCCAGTAGTAAGTCATGTAGCCAGCCAACTAGAGGTACATAATGTAAGCAATAACACTCTGCTCGTATAGAGGAAATCGCAACTTCATTTGCCAATGCCACGAAACATTCTTGGAAGGCATAAGGCATAAAGAACTGAGGCTGAGAGCTAGGATTACGTAGCTACGACAGAGCCTCTGTGTAATTGCGGGGAGATTACGTCGATCCCTAGGGGTCTACCGGTCGCTAACCTCAACAGGGATAGGTGATTGACCCCTAACATCAGTGCTGAAGTACCCGGCAACCGTGATTGGTTAGCCCTAGAGACGTGGCTTCTTCATCCGCGTCGTCAGCTGCTACTGTGTTAAGCTTAAGCTCCCGACGCAGTACCTGTTACCAATTCTGCGTTGCAAGGAACAAACTTAAACATTTCAACGTTCAATTCATTTCAGTCGTGACAGATGCAACAATTTACCAATTGTCTACGTAACTACGTCCCTCCTTAGTGAGGAACCGTGGTGAGACAAGACGAGTATTGTTTGACAACATACTCCCAATGTAAACGTTCTTTGCCAGCAGTTAAACATCTCGTCGCATTTTGCGATCGCAATCATGGATTTACTTATCTCGACCCTGAGCGAGACACCTCTTCATACCCTACTCGCGGCCTTTGTAGCATTGGTTATTTTCGCCTTCTATAGTGTATGCATCCCATAATCAATATAAGCTTCTTACACACAACCCAAGCTAACTCAATTGCAGCTCTACGCCATCCTCCATCTCATCGCACCCAAACCCCGACCCGCACTCCCATCCGAAAAGAGCTACATAACCACAACCCCGAACGGCACCGCAACGCGACAGCTACCATGCTGGCACGACCGCTGGCTCGCCGACCGTCAAGCCAGCGAGATCCGCGCCCAAAACGACGACCCGACACAGCTCGACATCGCAGACACGGGATCCATCGACCCCGCCGAAGTACGCATGAGCGTAGTCTTCCCCGCCTACAACGAAGAAGACCGCATCCTACCCACGCTCAAGGAAGCCGTCGAGTACCTCGACAAAACCTTCGGCCGCGACCCGCACCCACATCTACGCCATGCCCAGCCCTCGCGCGCGCGCTCCCCAAGACGACATATACAGAATACGCCGCAAGACGACCTTTCCGGCTACGAGATCCTGGTCGTTAACGACGGCAGCAAAGACCGCACCGCGCAGGTCGCGCTAGAATTCGCGCGTGAGCACGGGCTCCACGATATCTTGAGAGTAATAACACTAGAGCGCAACCGTGGGAAAGGCGGGGGCGTAACGCACGGTCTACGACATGTGCGCGGGGAGTACGCGCTCTTCGCAGACGCGGACGGGGCGTCGAAGTTCGGGGACCTAGGTAAGCTTTTGGAAGGGTGCGAGGAGGTCGTCGACGGCGCGAACCGGGGCGTGGCAATCGGATCGCGAGGCCACCTCGTCGGCAGCGAAGCCGTAGTCAAGCGATCCGCGTTGCGGAACTTCCTCATGCGTTCCTTCCACCTGGTCCTCATGATCCTCACTCCGCCCGCAACCTCGCGCATCCGCGACACCCAGTGCGGGTTCAAGCTCTTCTCGCGCGCGGCACTACCACACATCGTCCCGTACATGCACGCCGAGGGCTGGATCTTCGACATCGAGATGCTGATGCTGGCGGAGTCGGCGCCAGCGGTCCCGGTGCTCGGCCATGACGGTGCTGTTATTGGTAGCAGCCCTGGTATTAAGGTCGCCGAGGTGCCCATCGATTGGCACGAGGTCGGCGGGAGCAAGCTTAATGTCATCCAGGACAGTGTCAAGATGGCTATTGGCCTTGCAGTGCTGAGGGCTAGTTGGATGATGGGGGTTTATCGACGACGGTTGACGTAGGGGGATGGGTTGGGGGATGGATGGGTTTATATGGGCTAGATGACTGGCTGAACTGCCTTTTTTATGATGGAAGGCGGCATGGGTTATGCGCGGCGTAGGCTTTTACATACACTATACAGATGGAATGAATGATATAAATTCCGTTAAGTTTTCTGGTCTGTTAAGGATCTGTATTGCCAGTGTCGTGATCTGATTCTGAGTCCTTCGTAACTTAAGATGAAATTGGAAGTCCTAGCAATTGACATGAGATTAGGTACTATTGGAGATTATGAATATGGCACTCGTAAGTTGGGGATGAACGAAATAGAAGATATGGGTAGTTGATTACAATATCCCATCACAACGTTATGGATATCTCTGCTAAAGGGCTCAGCTTCACAACGCCGCCCATCCCTCGACATAATATCGAGACAACAATACATCATATAAGAGGGCACGATTATCAAATCAACAATAAAGGCCAACCTCAGTACTTCTGAATCATTAAAATTAAGTATTCGGCTATATACATCAACCCGTAAATCTATCTTCTAATCATTCTTCGTCCCACGCCACGCCGGACATGTCTACCTATTTTCCCAAGGCTATCTGATCTGACAATCGAGCAGAGAAGACATGCGTGTATGTATGTATGTGTTTAGCATCGGAACTCATCCCCACTCCCCATACCCCGTCCCTTTTCACCAGGGTCGAGAAATACGCGCTCGTAGATGAAGTATGGCACATGTATCGTAGGCTTCAGGGCAATTAATTCCTCCCCCCTCCCAACTCCAACCTCACCTCACCCCAGACAAGCTAGATAAGCAACTCGCGGTACATAACCGGCAAGAACACCACACTAGCCGTCCACAGGATCCAAAACGCATTCCAGAACAAGACCGGGACCTTCCAGAGCCCCGTCGTCCTCCAATCCAGCCAAATCGCCACAAAAGCCACCGAAAAGAAGTGATACGCGAGGACCAGGGGATCGGGGATAAGCCCACCGATCATGCCCATGGGATCGCGGGTGACGCCCTTTTTAAAGTAATGGAAACACCCGCGTTGGAGTTTGGCAAGCTCCTCGTTGCGCGCGGAGAAGAGGCTGTATAGCGCCATGGCGAGCACGTTGATGATGGCCGTGAGGCGCTTGCGCTGCCAGTGGAAGTCGTTCATGGCGCGGCGGACCGCGAGCGTGTCTGCGAGGTCGGGGATGTTCTGCGGGGCGAGCAGGTCCCGGAGGAGCACGACGTCGTTCAGCGCGACTGTCATGCCGCCACCGGTAAGCGGGTGTCGCATGTTGAACGCGTCGCCGAGGACTACGGCGCCTGGGACTGATTGTCGGGTCGGCGGGAGCCAGCTGTTCGGCATGCTCTGCGGGATCTTGGTGTCTTTCTCGAGCGCGGCTTTGAATGATGGGCGCACGCTCTCGGGGAGTGCTGGTAGGACTACGTTTTTCATGTAGCCCCTTACGCCGCCGTTAGCTGGGGATGCTTCAGGGAGCTTCTCGGGGACGTCGACTAGGACTCTGGTCTCGCGGGAGCCGATCTGGTATAGGAGGACGGGACTCGAAGCGCCGATGATGACGTGGCCGAAGCCGGGGGAGGGCAATTGGCAGTCGATAAGCTCGAGGGCGTAGAATTTGGAGCGGACGACGGGGACGGTTTCGGGGATGAACTGCTTACGGAAGCGGGAGGCGTAGCCGTCGGCGACGACGGTCAGCTGGCCGAAGAAGCAGTCCTTCTCCTTCTCGCCGGTCGTCGCGTTCGTCGTCCGCGTCTCGACGCCGAGGATCTCGGGGTTGTGGTCGCCCTTGATCGTGCTCACGACTTCGGTCTCGAACACGCTGATGTTGGGGTGCTCAAGGCACGACTTCCTCAGCTGCGTGATGAATCGGCCGTGGTGGAAGCTCTTGCCTTGGGGTCGGGGCCCGTCTTCCTTGTCTTTACCAGTCTTTTTCGCCTTTCCGCCGTCCATCCCGAGCAGTCCTTGTATTTGGGGGTAGGGCATGCGGACGTTCTCTCCGTAGAAGAAGACATTGAATCCGTTGCATGTTACGGCGTCGATGTCCTCGATGCAGTGTCCTAGCCCCAGTTTTCTTAACGAATTCACACCGCCTGGCTGCATGAGCTCGCCGACGATGCGGTTAGGTTCCTTCATCCATCGTTCGAGTAGAATTACGCTCCTTCCCTGCCCGGCCAGGGCATACGCTATGGCGCATCCGAAGACGCCGGCACCGACAACTACGACATCGGCCTCGTGATATTTAGACCTCCGCTCGGCAAGCGAGTCTAAGACGATGAGAGTTTCGCTCATAGGAATTGCTTGGAAGTGGTCGGGTGCGGGCTTCGCGGATGTAGTTGGATCGGATTAAGGTAAATGTGACGGTAACGGTGAATAGGTAATTATATCGTATTAGCTAAGTCTAGGAACCCGCTCGTGATAATGGTAATCGTGATTATGACTTTAGGATTCGACGGGGCGATCTACGGGACGGAAGAGGGAATTGAAGAGTAAAAATTAAGCTAATGAGTTGGCAAATGTGAATATTTATTAGAGCTTCGACTGTAATTAGGGGCCCTCCTCACGTAAAGGCGTAAGGCGAATAAGGTCTGGGTTGGGAAAATGAAGCTAGAAAAAAAGCGATCTCTCAGATCATGATGGTTCGACTCATCGTTCCATATGTAGTGATATTCATTTTCTGCCCCTTATCAGGCTTGTCAGGGTTCGACACGACCAATTCCTAACCTTCTATTAGACTAAACGTTATTTTTTCATGTTCCTTGCAGGCACATGTTATGCCAAGCCCGACGCCAAATTGCTGGATACCGCCGGGCGGTATTACATAAGTAAATCTCCATTTATCCCCACATTCCTTCATCCAATCAAGAGACGTTTATTGAACCCTAAACATGTTAAACACGTTACACGCAAAAGACATGTGAACGCCCCTGAAATGCGATCGAGTTCATACAGAACAACGTGACGAATATTTATATGGTATGTAATATGTATGTATGTATTTTTCACCATACACCTATGTTGGTATGTACTTATGTATTCACATCAGTTATATACAAGATGAATATCTATATGTAGGTAACTACCTAGGTACCCTAGTCAGCGCTCCCACCAAATCAGTCCGAAATTTGACCTGATTTAGTCAGACTAAGTCAATACCAGTCCAGATTGCCTTTTTTTTTCGACTGATCAGTTTAAATCGTTATTTTTTTCGACTGTTAGTAGCGTTAGTTTGGTGTTTTGTTATAGTCCCACTTATATACGCGTTCTAATTAGCTAAAATAAAACAGAAGAAGTACCTAAGTACCTTTTCAAAATAAATATTTTAATAAGTATAAAGAGCTTAGTGCGTACCCACTTTTATTAGTTATCTGATCAATCCGACTAACTGATCTGATCAGATCAGTTCACTACTTGCTGACTAATCAATCAGGTCAGTTGAATGGCTTCGACTGACCTGACTGATCTGATGAAAGCGCTGACCCTAGTATGTATGTAGGTATGTTCAAGAACTCAGTAAAAGCAGTTAGGAGCGCCTGATAATCCAGGAGAGCTCGCCTCTGCATGTATCCTTATTTCCACACGCCCGACAGTCGCGATTTGCGATTAGTGTATAGGATCATTTGACGTATTCGGCTTCAAGCCTTCTTGCATACTTGAAACTGCGTCTTGCATGATCCGTAGAGTCTCTTGGGCAATCTTTGCACCTGCTGCCCTGGTTTCTGCCCGCTGCTTCGTCGCCCCGCCGATGGTACCCTCTAGGATATCCAGTATAGCATTTCCTGAAGCGTCTTTATATTTGACAGCGAGTCTTCTGGTAGATCTTAGATATGATAGCACGGATTTGTCTGTAGCATATTCGCTTTCGAGAATATCACGGCAGAGCTTCTTCATCCCTTGCACATCTCGCAGCCTCAGGTAGACAATCAGCATGGCTCTGATGCATTGTCTCGAGAAAGCGAAATTCTTGAATCCATGTTGATTCATCGCGAAAGTGCACAATGAAAGCCCCTTCTCGAATTGGCCTACATCTATAACCATAATCGCCATTTTTATTATAACCCCTGGTTGGATGATAATGTTCGCTGCTTCGAATTGACCGATTAAATTCCGCATGTGAATCTGGAGGTCGTGCGCGTTGGCTTGGAGTTGTTCAAGACGAAGCTTGATGAACATTGCCACTGCCGAGGTAATGTCAGTACCTTTACTGTACGCAGTCCGGATGAGGGCCATCGCACAGTCAAACCCATGCTTGGGGCTTTTTGAGGAAGCTACTACAGCTAAGCGAAGACAGTGCTCGCATGAGGGCATCCCAGAACTCAGGGCTTGCTTATAAATCCTCATTGCCGTTGCTGGTCTTTCTAATTGGAGTTCCCGATTCATAGCTTCGAAAACGTCTCGCGGATCTATCGCCTTCCCTCTGTATGCCAGTTCGTTCATCATTGCAGTCCTTAAATGCAATCCCCGGCTCCGACTTATTCGCCTGCCACCTTTGCTGGCGGTGTTACTCGCTTGGCTCAAAATTCTCCGTGTGACGTCATCAGTGAGAGATGGACCAAGCTGTCGAAGTTTCGAATAAAGTTCCAAAAGTTCGGGATAAGAAAGCTTGAAAACGGACCAACAATTATAAAGAATCGAGTTGCAGATACCCGAGTCCAAAGCAAACCCAACTTTGCAGCAGTATGCGAGCCATGATATGAAGCCTGTCATATCGCGACATTCTCCGAATTTGTTTGCAACGAGCGTGACAGCATAACGATGCAGGCGCACACCTAAATCGGTGGTATAACTCGATACGAAATCTCGAACCTCGGCGGCGGGATGGGTCTGCGCAAAAACTTTGAGTACCATGATAAAAGCCATGCTATACTCCTTGTCCCGCTTCGCCTTGAGAGCTTGCATCTCAGTAAAGGTCTCAAACACAGCATCCCAATTCCCGGCATTAGCTGCCGCTAGGGCTATGAGACCTCTTAGACGAATATCGTAAAACATCCGAGGGAATTTGTGAATAAGCACCTCGGAGTAGGACCTTGCTATCTCATCCTGTTTGGCTCTGACGGAGATCTCGACCATTGCACAATATACACCTTGAGGGTGGGATATTTTATCCATCACACCCCAGGACACAATGTCATCGAAAAATTCTTTGGTTGCTGTAAAGTCTTCGTCACGCCTCCAGAAGGCATGTAGTGATTTCATAACCCAACGAGTATGCAAACGCACTGTAGGTGGAGGTTCCATCCGTCCAAGGGCTTCAATTACCTGCCTAGCTTTCAAGGCTTTTAAGTTCTCCACGGAGGATATGACGCAATCAACTGTCTGGTCGTAGCACTCCTTCGTCGGACTCATCTTGGAGTAATTGAGCAGGAAATATCTAATGACACTCCTATAGTCTTTGTATTGGTAAAACTCCCGGATGACCCATCCTGTGAAGTCGGTCGAAGAAACGGCAGATCCAAAGATTCTCCAATATATGTCATGGAGGACGGTCGGCTGATTCATCGAGATAGTATAAGTAAATAATTCCCGTCCGATGCAATCCATTTCCGGGGTGTGCAAGCGGGGCTGGTCTTTGAACCTGGCCAGAAATATATGTGTAGCTGCGGCGATAGTTTCCGGAGGACAACGTCCATCCCCATGTTTTTCATGTAGATAAAAATTTAGGATAGGCAAAGGATCGTGGGCATAAAATTGGTCTTCGTCGAGCGGTCCAGCATCAATGGTGGTAGTGAGGACTTTGGCTGCGTCGTCTAATCTAGATTTTGCCTGGCACGCCCGCGAAAGCTCAGCAGAAATGGTAAGCCAGTCCTCGTCAAAGTCTCGAAAGGAATAGTATAATCGAGACACATCGAAGAATTTCGTAAGGGCTCGGTCTAACCCATCCTCTTCCTTGTTTTTCAGGAGCACTTTGACAGCGTCGGCAAATTCATTTCTTATGCGAACTTTCTTGGCTGGAGCGAGGTCCATTCGCGAAGATTCATGAATAAATTTGGATGGTATACTGAGTTTTATATTCGATTTTCGTTCGAAAGTATTTCGCATTTCTGAAGATGTATCGGACACTATGCTCGAAGTTGGCGATTGCGTGGAATTCTCTTGGGGCTCCTCTTCGAGTGAAGTAAAGTCCATGTATCTTCTAGGTCTATCGCTTTGTGGGGGTCGGTGTGAATCATCTCCTTCTAAGAAAGAGGGTTCTTCGTGTGGTGTTGCGACGGCGGATACTCCATGGTAGCGCTTTGCTGCTTTTATTTTTTCTCCATTCGAAACGGCGGTTCTCAATATGCTAATCCGCCGTCTTCGATCTTCTACTATCACGCCAATGGCGCATGAAGTACCAAAAGCAATACCTCGGAGGGCATGGATCGCAGCCTTCGACGGCACAGGTACGGGGGGCGGCATGGCTTTAGGATGTGCTTCGCCATATCGAAGAAGAATTGGACATTATCTTATTCCATAGTCGGATTGAAACGAAGAATTATGAGAAGACAGTACCGACACTGTCTGTCTAAATGTGCGATCAAAATGAGGTCAAGAATATACCTAGTAGGTACCTGGTAGTTGAAGAGCTTTCATCCAATATTTAATGTCTGATGTCTGATGTCTGAATCGTACCATCAATTTGATCGTTCAAATCTAATTGGATCTATGGATTATTGTAGCTTGTAGCGGGCAGCGCGGATTAGCTTACCTAACATTATCAAGAACTTTAAAACCCCCACTTAGCGCGATATCGCTCTCTACAATAACTTCATCGTCGCTACCAATTTCTTTATTCCATACCCCTGGAGGTATTATAAATACAATCAAAATCGTAAAAAATCCTCTATGTGTAATACCGTAGTTCAGATACCCCATATTTTATATCTATTAAACAGCCGGAGATTTCTATTCATCGTAATATCTATTCTTTTGTCGCCCTCCTTGAACCCACCTATCATCCTTAAACGCCGTGCAGATGTGTTGAGTTGTTACAATTCTTCATAACCCCCCTTTCCCCTTTCACGGACTCCAGCTTGAAAAGACCCTTTCAAGTGATCTAACCTGAGATATCAGATCTCTCTATCGGAAGCCATACTTCTAATTTTCGCAAGATGGTCTGGTATAAGAACAACATGCAACCGCTTTGTACACTAGTCCAGACGAATCGTGGCCCAACTCCCCTAAACCATCCTCCAAAACCTTCTGTCTTGTAGATTAATCTGAGACCCCTAAATATCGAGTCCTCGTCTAATGGAATGGCGCCCGGCCGCGGCGTATGTGTTGAAGGCGAAGAGGTTGATATAGGACGTTGCTGCTGTTTCCGTGGAGGCAAAGATTGGGTTTCTTTCGCTGTTGTATCTTTAGGTCCCGACATAGTCTCTTTAGCCGAGCGATCTTTCGGTTTCCCTACAACTGGAACTGGGTCGATCTGTGTCTGCAATCGAGTCTTTACTACGTCAAGGGGACAAGTGAGAACACCAGCAAGTCCTCCGCCGGCAGCTCCCGTGAGAAGTTCTAATCGAACTCCGAGATCTCGGCTATTCTTATACTGTCGGGCCCAGCTCTGAAATTGCTCATAGAACATGAATTGCAAAGCGGAAAATGGTAAGTCTCGATATAGAGTTGCCTTATATCCGGAGAATAGCTCTGCAAACCCCTCCGTTCTAATTATAGTCCTCGCGGCATCAAATGTTCCACGGTAGTTATATCCGGATTTGAAATGAGGGTTGTTATATCGTCCCTGAAGTTGAAGGCGGGTCTTCAAAACCTCAGAAGGGACATAGACTATCGATGCAGCGAAGTCACCGATAAAGCCTAGGTACAATTTAGTAAAAAATACAGGTTCCACTAAGGGTAATTCCAGTGCGTACCAGCTATTAAATAGGAGACATGGGACTGAATGCCGTAGTCTAACATATGCCGCTTGCTCCATTCATATGTCCCGAAGAAAAGAACGGTGCCGGGAAACGAGCCCATCATGGCTGGGAGCCAACCCCCATATAACCCACGTCGAATCCCTTCCTGTCGCCATATTGTATAGTATGATGATCCTAATGAGGTATATTTAGGCGGAAAGTGAGGATCGCCTTGCTGTCGAGTTTTGACGGTATCGAGCGAGTGCATCAGCATATCACCAGTAGTCCCACCAAGCCCTCCAGCGATCATGGACTGAGAACAGGAGTTAGTCTTAAGAAAACGTATTTCTATGCGACAGTAGGTAGCACCTACGTGGATATAAGGTGGGCGTCCCTCCAATTCCCCATCGTTGGGGGTCATCTTATGACCATGCGCCTTAGTCGCAAACTTGATATCTGACAACAAAGATTTGTTCTCCTAAGGTCCATCGTTATAACCAAAACCTGCAGAAGAATCGGGTTGTTCAGCCGGACTGATGACTGAAGCAGACGGCCGTAATATAATCGCCAAAAGACATTCCACAGTTTCTCAAATTCCTTTTAAATGGTATATTGTACGAGGCGACCGCGCCCGAGAGCGATCACCTAGCGAATGTTGAAATTCTAAACGAGGGAAGGCGTTGGGAAATTTTCGACGTATTATTTTAATCTTTAGAAAACTAGTGATATCGGTGATATCGGGATCGGTTTACGCGCGGTTTACAACGGTCCCGCGAAATCCGCATATCCGATTCTTATCTCTTATCGGTGATAGATAAGCATTTATCAAGGTAGTTCTCTTCATGGATATATGCATCTGTGTCGAAGCAGCACTCTCGTCATGGTGGATTTACGCCGTCATGCCCATGTAGCTACAGTAGGACCGTATGTATAAAATGGAGAGGGATTGGGAGAACCAACAATAGCGATAAGACAATTGTTATATTGCTCAATTCCTAATGTCCCTAGGGAATTCCCACCACCGTACTTTACCGGCTCTATGCCACGGCCACACGACGTGCGTGACCTTACCAATTATCAGATTTGTCGAAATTGGTCCATAGCTATTACTATCCCTACTCAAGCGCTCGCCTCCGTCTCCCTCAACCCATACATGTCCCATAGGCACTCGGACAGTACTAGACGGGTAAGGACTTCGTGTGTTTATGATATCGCCCTCAAGCCCAACAATTCTTTTAACGGCAATGAGCTCCGGATCAGTAGGATTCCTGGGAGCGAGCTATGGTTAGCAAATAGGAAAAATCACAGGCATGTTTTAGAGAAACTATGAGTTACACACCAGAAAGTAACGATCATGCCTCGCTCTAACCCGTATTGCGCATTGAGTTTGTAGTTGATCACTATGTCTTTCCGCGTTGTCTGGTCTTTTTCCGCGTTTAAAAACGGATACATCGAGGGACCGTTAATCCATGCGAATTCGCCAATGTAGTGGTGGAACATGGAGATCATTGGAATCCATGTTGCGAATGCGAATAAATGATATCCGATTCTACCATAACGTCCCCGTTCACGTTTGATCTTTGACCATACCGGCCGAAATGCCATCGGGCGCAAGTTAATTGGAGGTTTGATCTGGAATAAGATCTAAACTCTTAAACAAGACGTTGAAGTGTATTGAAGCTAAGAACTTTGATAATCGAATACTTGAAACCCCACCAGTGAAATTTAGCTGGAAGTGGATACCTTCTTAGCTACACATCATGATATCAACTTCGGATAATAATATATATGTTTTTAAACAACAAGATACTTCAGGTACATACCTACCATACCCTGGCAGTGAAATATCCATTAAGGATTCATCTAATTACCACATGTCAAGCTTCAGACCGTACAAGTAGAATTTTCGCCAATTTTATTTCATTCCGAAATCACGATGCTCTATTCGCATGCTAGGTACTTTTATGTCCCGTAAAAGTCAAGACCTCCAGGTAGGTACCCCTGACCTAGCCCTATATCCCATGCGGTGGAACTGTAGAACTAATTGAAATGCCCCTATCTGTACCCAACGACAACTTACACGGTCTCGGGAATGTTGTCATCGCTCTCGCTGACGCTCTCGTCTCCACTAACTTCCGCGTTCTCACGTTCTCGTTTCTCCATCAATGCCTGCAATTCTGCGTCATCCGAATCTGTGACTGCCTTCGGTTCCATCTTGACGACCAGTTGACCACCCGCGCTCGTAATACTGCTGCGAATATCCACAATGGCCTCCTCCAGTCGCTGAATACCGATGCTCTTGTCCAGGCACGTGCTAGTTAAAACGTAGAGAGGTGGAGATACGAGTCGTACTTTCACTTGGATTTCCGCTGTATTTTGAGCCTCAGCTGTCCTCAGAGCCGCCTTAACGGCGTCGATTCCGTCATATTCAAAGCAGGTGACTTCGATATCGGCACGAACTTTCGTGGGTTGGGGTGTCAGGCGCTTTCCGATGTAGGACTTCAGCTCCTCCGCTACCGCTTCGCTTGGGAATGTGATATCGCTCCACACGTCGGGGTTCCTACGTATATATGTAAGCCACGAGAAAGCCACAGCACGCGATGATTGAATTACAGCAAAAGAACTACTACTTACGTTATAGAGAGCTTGAATGCGTCGATGGAGTGACCGTACTTCTTGTTTAGGGGCCAGCCTATGCTCTCGTATAGAGTCTCGATAGGAACAAGAGTCTTTTCGGCCACATGGCGCATAATAGAGTGGACCATCTTGCTCTTGTTGTATCGTTCTTCGCACTTAACGATGTCCTCGGGAGAAACACGACGCTTCGAGAGATCGATATATCCTAATTGCAATTAGCATTGCGGCCATGCGCCATTATATCCTCGCTTGCTGCACATACCCTTCTCCTTATCGACTCGGAGTACGACCACCACCTCGTTACGACCGACGCGAATCAACTTTTGGATACTTCGGATACGACGTCTGGAGAGTTCGGAAAGCAAGATCATGCCGTCGATGTTATCGTATTCGAGCAGTTTGACATATGCACCCATATCGGCAATCTAAACGATAGATTGTGTTAGGCAAACTTGAAATATTATGTACGGCGCTAGCCCACGAACCTGCTTGACATTCACCATGACGAAGCTATCGATCTCCGGATACTTCTCCTCGTAAAAGCGACAGTTTGTTAAAGACATCTTGGGCGAGAATAATAATGGGCGACCTTGATATGATTGATTAGAGAAAGTCGATTGTTGGCCCAAGATCGCGCGCTTAGGCGGGTTTGAAATTTCTCTGTAGGTCGTAAATCCAGTAGTCGTTCTTGTCTGATTGATGAATCTGGAAAATCAGTTCGTCTAGTGGTGTTGCGAATATCGTGCGCGTCGCCGTAGTAAACCAGGCTGCTTGATAAATTATTTTCTTGCTGTGCAAGGCGGGAGTCACAAATTTGCCAATGATCGAAATCTTTATGACCTGAGCGTGGGGTGTGGTACCCAAAGTTCTCCTAGGTTTGGCGGGGTTACAAGGTACTATGAGATTTCAAAGCCACATTATTAGCCACGATCTACCTAGAAAAGACGAAAGTTAACTAGAAGAACCAGTAGGTACCTAAGTATATGTGGCTAGAATATACGGAAGAATTCATCCGCCGTAATCAATAGACCAATAATTAAAAAGATCCACTTGGCCGGGGGGGTACCTTCAAATTCGACGAACACTCCACCAGCTGCACATGTCTCGGAGTTTTCTCTCCTTCAATAATTTTATATCTACTCCTCGAACCAGCCCAAATGTCTCTGGCGCCTCACATACACTGGAAACACTTTTCCAGCTTCAGCAAGTCGGTAGACAAAGCCGGTACTTGGCTTTTCTATCGTTCAGAAGGATGATTTCTTCAGTTATGATGTACTACAAGTATTGAATGTCAGCTGAATAGATCGTATATCTTGCCTTACAGTCTACGGTCATGGACCATTCCACCACCACCAAGGTCGAAATGGCCATCTCTCAGGCCGTCTCGACCATCGCAAACAGCTCTTCGGTCGCTGTCGCAGCTGCTGTGACAAGGGTAGACGATGTCGCTCGTTCTCAGGGTTCCTCTTCGTGGCTCGGGCTCATTGCTCGATTAGTTCTTTTCATACTGCATATCCTCTCATCAATATTGTACTGGAGCCTCAAGCTTACCACAATATCTGTGCCAACGTTGCTTTTCACACTGTTTTCTACTACCTGGACAGTGACGATGAACGCTACAACATTGTAAGGATCTCCTCAACCTGTCTAGCTTCGATATGCTAACATTCAAGATAGGGCTCTGATATTGTTACTCATGGCCTCTGCAGTCACCTGGGTTGTGAGATATCGCTACTTGAACATGTACTCCCGCCTCCCTCCAGAGCCACAGCGCAAAGAACCCGAACTAGATCTCTTCCCAGAAGGCCACGATGAAGGAGCTAAACCAGGTCTCACTAATTACTTAGACGAATTTCTAAGTGCCATCAAGATTTTTGGATACCTAGAGCGTCCTGTATTTCACGAGTTGACTAGGAGTATGCAGACCAGAAAGTTAATTGCTGGAGAGACGCTAAACCTGGAGGAGGAAAAGGGGTTCTGTCTCGTCGTAGATGGGCTTGTGGAGATTTTTGTCAAGTCCTCTAACCCCGATCATTCATCTCGATATGCTGCACCTCATGGAAGTTCGATGCCCTCTTCCTTCTCTGACGACGAACAGTCTGTCCCTGGTCAACAACGATATCAGCTCCTGACCGAAGTCCGAAATGGAAATCCTATGTCATCTCTTTTTTCAATAATGTCACTGTTCACAGAAGATGTCAAGCTCAAGCTACCATCGGAAGATGCTCTAGAACCTGGCGGCAACGATGAACATTCTACCCATCAGCGTTTATCTAGTGCTACTTTTACTCATGAAAACGACATGCCAGTTTTCTTAACTGGGGCTACGGATCTTGACCGGGCTCATAGGGGGTCGGCAGTAGCCTACGAGTCCGAGGTTACTGCTCCCTCTTCTCCTAGCCAACCCACCCTACCGAAAATCCCTCCCATTTCCTTAGACGATTCACCAATGCCTCGGAAGGCCAATCGTCCTATTCCAAAACGGACCGCCACATCTGTTCATCCCGATATCATCGCTAGGGCAACAGTCGATACAACGATTGCGATAATACCTGCAAGTGCATTTCGCCGGTTAATTCGAGTATATCCCAAAGCCACAGCTCATATAGTTCATGTGATCTTGTCTAGATTTCAGCGCGTCACTCTGGCGACTGCATATAACTATCTCGGCTTAACCAACGAAGTTCTTCACACAGAGAAGAATATGATTCATTACACAACTTGTCAGCTACCAAACATACTCCGAGGTGATGCCTTGGAACGTTTAAAGGAAAAATTCAAGCAGGAGAGGGAGAGGGCTGGTGAAGAGGAAAGTGGCAAAGGAATTGCTCTGCACAACGCTTCGGCGACTGCTCGCCGTCGTAGTTCGTCGACAAGTCTACGAAAGGAAGCCGCGTTGCAAGCAATGAGTCGTGCTCGTCCTCAGTCTGTGGTGGCTTCTATAATCGTACCCCCACAAGATCGTCTTTCGATTCATTCTCCTAGTCCAGGCGATCTACTGGCTAATGTCCAGATCGCCCGCGGTGGGGGATCGTCTGGCAACTTAGAGATACCCGATATTTTTCGGAAAGCCGACGCGAGTCCTCTAGGTCAACGTGCTTTCAACCCTTTCGCGACACAGAAGCGGGCTCGTTTATCAATTGACCCTCGCGAATCTGTAGACGAAGACAATTTATTCCGAGTATCCGTACTAGAATGCGTTTTCAAGGCTTTAGGCATGAGCAGTGGAGGGTCATCGTCCAGAGGCCCGGGATCCACAGAAGGGTCTCCAAGGCTTGTCTCTTACGATCAACGAAGGCAGAAGGCGGTTTTTAGTAGCAATGCGTTTGGGTTTATGGATCCTTTTGACGGCGCGACAGACTGGGACGCTGAATCGATGACTTCTGGGGGCATTTCTATGAGTACCCCGAACGTACAATTTCTTGCCTCGGAGATGAAACATGATGTCGAAATTGTATTCTTTCGACAAGGATCTGTATTAGTCGAACAGGGCGAGCGAAGCCCAGGGCTTTACTATGTCATTGATGGATTCCTTGATATCTGTGTTCCGCTAGAGGATTCGGGTAGTAATATCCTAAGTTCTTCGAGCAGGACATCAACGACCGCAATGCACAGGGCGGAATCCCAGGAAGCTCGGAGGTCGTCACCCCTCGGGCCAGTCAAAGATTCTAATCGCACCCCTAACGGCAAACAAAGTACCAGACCGGATCGTCGCCGTGTAGGACTCGTGAAACCAGGTGGTCTTGCAGGTTACGTCGGTACCGTCTCGTCATATAGGTCATTCATTGATGTAGTTGCAAAGACGGATGTATACGTTGGCTTCATTCCTCGGGCAACCCTAGAGAAGATCGTGGAGAGATATCCCATTGTGCTTTTGACAATGGCAAAACGACTGACCAGCCTACTTCCAAAACTTATTCTTCACATCGACTTTGCCCTTGAATGGGTACAAGTCAATGCTGGACAAGTTCTGTTCCACAAAGACGAAGAGAGTGAGGCTATCTATCTCGTCCTCAACGGGAGATTACGGCTAGTAGAAGACCGGAGGGATGGCGGAATGAATGTCCGCGCAGAATTTGGTCAAGGCGACAGTGTTGGTGAACTGGAAGTTATGACCGAGTCCACTCGTTCGGGAACTCTACACGCCATCCGTGCTACAGAGCTCGTCAAGTTTCCTCGTACCCTATTCAACAGCCTTGCTCAGGAACACCCTAATATCACGATCAAAATATCAAAGATAATAGCAGCACGAATGCGACTACTTGTCGATGATCCATCTAACCTCATGGGAAAAGAGGCTACTGCTGGTACATCAATTAACAAGATTTCGTCGACACTCAATATTAGGACCGTGGCCATTCTTCCAGTCAGAGCTGGCATACCTGTAGTTGATTTCGGAAACCGCTTGATGAATGCTCTGACGCAAGTTGGTACGCCAAATGGCGCCACGTCCCTCAACCAAGCCGCAATTCTCAGCCACCTCGGTAAACATGCGTTCAACAAAATGGGGAATTTGAAATTATCCCATTACCTTGCCGATTTGGAAGAGAAATACGGGTTGGTTGTTTATGTTGCCGGTAAGTGGTCTTTCTCTTAATCGCATCCCTCCCCCTTGGTATGATGAACAAATTATATCCAGAGCGCCGTCTATGAAGGCATTAAACTCTAATTTTTTCCTGACCCTACTGCACATTTATACTATCTCAAGTCAAGCTTCTAGTCATGTGCAATTCTAACCTGAATTTCTAGACACGAGTGTGACCTCACCTTGGACCCAGACATGTATCACGCAAGCCGACTGTATTCTTCTTGTAGGCCTAGCCGAAGGATCTCCCGAAATAGGCGAATACGAACGATTTATGCTTGGTATGAAATCAACCGCGCGTAAAACATTGGTTCTCCTTCACGCCGATCGATACTCTCCGCCCGGGTTAACAAGAGCTTGGTTGAGAAATCGTGTTTGGATTAATGGCGGTCATTATCATCTACAGATGGCCTTCGAAGCGAACACTGTTTCCTCACATCCGCCGGCACGAAAGGGTGGACCGACTCTGAAAGAGCGTGTACAAATTCTGCAGGCTGAGATACAGAAGTATACAGTCCAGAAGATACGGCAAAGGCCATATTACTCGCCTGACGCCCCCTATAAGGGAGACTTCCAGAGACTTGCAAGGAGACTATGTGGCAAGTCGATTGGTCTTGTCCTTGGAGGGGGTGGCGCCCGGGGCATTGCACAAGTTGGTATAATCAAAGCCTTGGAAGAGGCTGGTATTCCCATCGATATCGTTGGCGGCACGTCAATCGGATCATTCATCGGCGCCCTCTATGCGCGCCATGCTGATATAGTACCTATGTTTGGTCTAGCTAAGAAGTTCGCCGGAAGGATGGCGAGCATGTGGCGCTTCGCACTAGATTTGACATATCCGTCCGCCTCCTACACTACCGGCCACGAGTTCAACCGCGGAATCTTCAAGACCTTTGGTAAGCACCAGATCGAAGATTTTTGGCTAGAATACTATTGCAACACTACGAATATCAGCAAGAGCCGACCTGAAATCCACACCAGCGGATATGCCTGGCGATATGTACGAGCATCCATGTCATTAGCCGGTCTACTTCCGCCGTTGTGCGATGAGGGCAGCATGCTTTTAGATGGCGGATACATCGACAATCTCACCGTCTCTCACATGAAGTCTCTCGGTGCATCCGTCATTTTTGCCATCGATGTAGGATCTCTGGACGATGACACACCTCAAGGCTACGGAGACTCTCTTTCGGGTGTTTGGGCATTCTTCAACAGGTGGAACCCCTTCTCAAGCATTCCTAATCCTCCTACTCTGGCCGAGATCCAAGCTCGGTTGGCCTACGTGTCCAGTGTAGACGCCCTGGAACGGGCGAAAATGACCCCAGGATGCATTTACATGCGTCCCCCAATTGATGAATACGGGACTCTAGACTTCGGGAAGTTTGATGAGATTTATGGGCTGGGCTACAAGTATGGCAAAGAGTTCCTAGACCGGCTCAAAGAAGAAGGCGTGCTTCCGTTAGTTGAGGAGACGGAAGCGAAGAAGGCATTGAGAAGAACGATGGCACCACGTCGTGCAAGTATATAAGCATTAATAGTAAGGGTAATTGGTAATAATATTGTCGATGACACGTCGGCGCATCACATTAAGATCACATGATACTATTGCATTCCCTACCGTGTGACACATAAGTGAAAAGAGAACAACCATGCTGGTAGGGGATACCGAGTGCTGTGTCATATATCAGATAAAAAAAGGGTGAGCAAGGTACAATATTCGGAAGAATCTTGGAATATCCTTATAGTTACATTACGTCGTGTCTTCCAGTGACCACGTTCTCTTTCAGGCTATATGAATAAATCCTCGTAGCAATCACTCTTAGTTACCGTCATATGAATACCTGCCCTACCCCGCTTGCTCTCAACCCATCAACAGACAAGTTAGGATTCCAGAGAAGGATAGAAGTCGAATATCATTGCCAGTTTCGATGTTCGGAGCCTTCAGTGCTGTAGAAGGCCGTTACAGGTCTAGAGGATCACCAAGGTGCCATTAAGCCATCTGTCAGAGTTCCTATAGAAATAAATAATTGAGATTCTTGGCTATCTATTATTTATTCGAAGTTTAGAAACTGGTGTCTCCTCCTATCACTATATCGCATTTCCTTCTACATTTAGCACGATATTCCTAGAGTGAAGCGTCGCAACAATGAAGTTGAGATGGTTCTTGGCAGGGACTTGCATGGTAGCCACTGTATCTTCTCAAACAAGATTAAAAATTAGTGAGTTTTAATCTATAGTATCTCTTCCTGGCTCGATTCTAACACACAGTCCTAAAGTGCCACTGGGAGATAACCTGACCGAGCTTACCTGTTGGCGAGCAAAACTATGGGACGACCTGAAGGCGAATAATATGACGGATAGAGTTGAGTTTGTTGGATCAGTGAATAACACCCAGGGGTGCGATACGGCGGGCGAAGATTTTGCCAAACAGCATCACGAGGGTCATTCGGGATATCTTGCCATTGATATCGCATACGATCATATCGAAAACTGGATTAACGAGACTAAGCCGGACATCGTGACATTCATGCTAGGTACAGATGACATCGCTCGAGGACGACGGTTGGAGGATGTTGTAGAGGCTTATACGAATATGGTGAAGACAATGAGGCAGCACAACGAGTATATGAAAATCATCGTAAGATATATCCTGTCATTTTCATTTTAGCCCTTTTATTGGCCACTGAACAGTATGCTTCCAGGTAAACACCATAGTTCCGTTGCCAACCAACATGGAGCCAGTGAACAATCTCAACAGTATGATCCCGGACTGGGCTCAGGAGCAGAATAAGACTGAGTCGCCTATTTACGTCAACGACATATACCCGTTTCCGAATACATTCTTGAAAGATGGCATTTACCCCAATGATGATGGCGAGAAGAAGATAGTTGGTGGTCTGAGTCCTCTGTTAAGGTGGATTATCAATTCGAATGCTACTGGTAATGGAACGACGCTGGATTGAGTGAATGACATTCGCGAAAGCGTGGATTCAATGTGGCTAGAACAGGAGTTTCGAAAACCATCTAGACTCCCATAGACTCAATAGTGTAAAGTAATAGAGTAGACAGCAGGCCGATAACTGTTTCGGGACAGTCATATATGTTCTTCAACCACTCTCGTAGATACTTGATCGGCGTTAGCAAACATCCTCATCTTTCCTGAACAACCTCCTTATTACTCAACAACGCCGTCGTTTAGAGCTATTCTATAGTCTATATATTCGGGGAAAGCATCGTGCATCTAAGAATTTTAGTAGCCAGATCACCACTCTACCCTACTCTCATACCCAACCCTACCTTACCAACACTACTAACACTACTCAAAAGCATAAGCTAATAAACCGCGACAATGTGCAAGCAAGGCTTCAACGTCTATTTCTGTACGCTTGGTCAGCACGAGGTAGGCGAGCCTACGGTCGTGCGCCAGTACACATGCCCCAAAGCCAAACCTATCGGCTTCGGGAAGTGTGGTAAGATAACCGAGGCTCTGCCTGGTCACTTCTTTACCAAGTGCGAGTACTGTATCGCGGACAGGATAGAGAGGAGGATCCAGCAGAGGGCTGCCTCGAGGCTTTCTGCAAGGAGTAAGACTCCTGATGACAAGGCTAACACGCCTGCCATGGGAGCCGATGCTCCCGTTGCCGAGACCAAGGAGTCGCCGGCTTTGGGGGAGGATGATAATGAGGATGCTCAGAGCACCTATTAATATTATTATCCTTACCTAAATACAATCCTATCATTTTAAAAGGGGGTGGTGAGGTTTCCTAATAATAGGGAATAGGGGGGAAAGGGGAGATTGACTCTGAGTGTAAAAGTATGGAGGAACAAAAAGGAGATTGATTTATTTGGAGTTTAAAAGCATAAGTTTATTGTACTGCTTCTTTATGAAGCCTTTATCATCAATTCAGTTTCTTTTTATGACCATCATAAGTTTCTTTAGGCATTGTCTTCCGCTAGTGATGAACCGAATAGCTAATAGAAGCGCAATATCTTTACCGTAAACGTGTAGTATGAGAGGGCATGTTCGCTATGTAGATTACCCGTTTCATCAAACTGCTCAACTTTGTGTAGTACGGGTCAAAACCCGGGTTTTGAGGCCGATTGATGGTAGTGGCTACCTAGGCGCCACTTCTAGGACTCTACCTTACCGTCTTGGGGGGGGTTATCTTTACCGTTACCTTTCCGTTCATTAAATATCTACCGTATCTATGCGGCTTAATGCAATGAACAGCTCCTTATTCGAACGTTCGAAATTTGATTGGCTCAACCTTTGAGCTAAATTTATACGGCTCTTTCCTAAAACGCTCATGAATTTGGCAACGCTAACCTAATTGAATCGTTATTTCCTCGTTCAGCCAATTGAATCGTATATATACAGTTCAAACTTGGATTGAACCGCTCAATCAATTTGAACCGCTTAAACTATTCGAGCGCTCGAATTTCGAACCGCTAATGCAATATCAGCACGTGCACCGGGCCATTTTAGGTTAAAAGCCCCCGCTTTCTAGGTTGGTCATATACTAAAACAGAACCTTATTCACTTACGCGTAGTATTCGCATGTGAACCTTGTAGTCCTTAGTCAAGTGGCAAAGCGACCGTAGCTCATCCATCCAATTAAAATCAGTAAAACCCATGGTTCGAGTGTGAGTATATCCAAAAACTGTGCAATTAAACTGTGTAACCTGAATAATCCAAATGATCCAAGTATTACTCCCATACAAATAGTATGAGAGTAGTACTTGGAAATGCCTTTTTTCTTTTATTCAGGTGGTGGGGCGTTTGAACCGCTTAACTGCTTAGCGGCTCAAAAATCTGAACGGTTCAATAAATCAAACCGCTCAATGGGGTATATCTACGGCTCATTCTAATTGGAGCGTTCGAATATTAAAACGTTTAAATATTTTGAGCTAGTCTAATTTAGTGACGTTTGAACTTTTCTGAGTCGTATTATTGGCTGGAGCCGAAGCTAAAATTTTGCGCGCAACGTTCCATAAAAGTAATTGAGCGGTTCATATTTGGAGCCGTATATATACTGTACATATACGGTTAAAATTCCCCGGGAAACCCCCCAAGGTAGGGGGTTGGTGACCTTCACGCAGAGTATCATGCTCGGACTTGTCGGGATAGCAGTGTAAAGGGCGAATATTGTACTCCTCGCTAAGGAAATGTTCAACTTGATAAATGTCTAGTACCTCATTTATAGTTTCGCACTTGCGATGGGGCGAAGGTTGTGATTTCCTTGTGAAGCTCTGTAATTGGAGGGCGCTAGCGAATGACGATACAATGACCAAGTTTGTGCGTATATTTCAAATCACCGTACGACGATGGGAGAGAGGAAACTACACCTTCATCATCATGATGTCGTGGATTCCAATGTCCTGTTAAATACCTCTCGTCTGTACCACATCGAAGGTTGTAGAATTGTTTCAAAAACTCTCAACCTCTTCGACACAATAAATGTGAAGAACAAGATTGGCACTCAGAAAGAAAATAACTTCCTCCAAATAAATACAAAAGTAAACCACAGACATGGAGGAACTACCACCAACCCTTCGTATCGGATGTCATGTACCAGGCTACATGTTGTCGGGCGAGATTCCACTAATGATCAAGTTCGACAATTCGGAAGATTGCACAAGACATCACCTTGATGCCTCGAATTTCGAGAGTAACTAGGCGGTCAAACTCAAATCGACATCGCCTGGTAGCATAGAACAACATTAGTGGCTTCAGCAGTTAAACGGGCTATCATTCTTTTGCAAGAGTGGAATTAATCGGATATCTCCATTCGCTAATGGGATCAAGATGCTGAGTAACATTGTACGTGTTTCGCGTATATGCAGCGACATTCAGCTAACTATGAGTCTAAGACATTCAGACGGATAGTTGCTTCTAAGGCTCTATCTAGCCTCAAAAATTACAGCTCCGGATGCTGTGTTTGGATTACTTCGCATGATTTTCGCTCACCAACATGGCTACATGGATATAATGCTCCGGGCTGCCCGGGGTGGCAGCAACGATATGTCATGTGGTTGACAGGTATCCGTTGTTCGTGGGTTACTACATGACGACAGGGAATCAATCTGTTGTTGGTTGGGGATGTCTCTCTTACTAAAAGGTTGCCATCGTCATAAGTTGAGTTTCGATGAATGAAAGTCCGGACGGGTCCGATTTTGAGTGACGGCAGACGCCAAATCAATACGCCAAACCGAATCGAGATTAGGACATCCCTAACCATGGCTTTTTCTGTGTTTCCGGACGTCGGGAATGACATCATACTCCCAGCCACGGTAATCGTCTCGACCCCTGATCCTTCGCTTTCGCGAAGTCCCGTCCAATTCCCTCATCGAAAAGCGCCGCATCTTTCTGATTCGATTTCGATGATGGCATCCCGCAATGTCCACGTACATCACCCCTTGGGGCGACCTACCCACGCCAATGAGGCTTACTTAGGCTTTTGTAGTGCTCTGCGTGTATCAGTTACACCCCTTACACTCGCTTGTATCCCGATCCCATCTCCAGTTCATATAGATACCTAGGTATCCAAGTATATAATATAGGGCAAGTCCGTGAACCTGCAATTATATTTACGCCATGTTAGGCCAAATATATAACTAAATCGCCACATATATATCTATATTATCCTATTTATATCTTTTGGAGTAGTCAATTTTAAGTGATTACAATCATCCTATAAATCTACTACACAAAACAACGTCAACACATCTATAAATAAAATATGGGAAAACTTTCTACTGCCAACCCACGCGCCTACCTCCCCTCACGGGCACATCCAGAGCACCGCTCTGCGCGCAAGGAGCTCGAAAAGGAGCATCCGTTCGACTGGACCGGGCCGCTGGTCCTAGGCATGATCGGCATCGGACTAGCCTGGGATATCGAGAAGCAGGTCAAGAAGCGCGAAGAGCGCAAGGAGAGGGAAGGGCAAGAAAGCAACGAGAAGGATGAGCGTCGCCGCCGCAGGAGAGAACAGCAGATCCGCAACGGCACCTTCGACCCTGACGCCCAGGACAACGATAGCTATAGCCAGAGCAGCAGAGATAGACGGAGCAGCCATGCCGGTAGGAGTGATCGAGGGAGCGATCGAAGCGTGGCGAAAGACACGGTAGACCTCGAAAAGGGGAGAAGAAGTCGCCGCGATCGTGGTCGGTCGGTGGACCGAAGAGAGGACCCGAGGTATATCGAGGACGACCTGTACTACGAACAATCGAGGTACGATAGGGGATATGATGACAGTCAAAAATACCAAGACTACTACGACCACGGCGGAAGAAGTCGTCGCGATTCGTGGTAGTTGATACTTGTTAATACCCATTCTGAAGATACGACATACCCTCGTTACCACTTATATCGAATACGATCCGCCCCTTTTGCATTGGGCATACCTCATTAGGAACAGTATATCAGATAAGACGGTGCATAGCAAAAAGCATGAAATAGTTTAAGACATTGGATTAAGCAGGGAGTACGGCAACATTTAACAACGGGAGTATGGCCATTTAGCAGCGACCCCAATACTTCTTCATTGACGGCAACGGTGTTATCACGGGATAATTGTGCTATTTATACTCTACGATCTTATGAATAATGAATCAATATACCAGATTTAGACTTTAACGGGCATGGATACTATGACTCATAGAACATATCTCATTATCTAATACATGCTCATCTATATCTATACCTCAGCAAGCACTTTCTCAGCCGCTTCAGCTAGTATCTCGAAATGCTTCTTAACATGGTGTTCTTCCACCAGCGGCGTGGCGGGATTATGTCTAATAGCAAACACACCACCGACAACAGTGCTCGACAAGAAGATGCGACCGTCCTCTACCACACGATCATACACCTTCTTCGTCAACTCATTCTGTTCCTCCAACGTGCTTTCCCCTTTCTTCCCCACGACCTTGAACACTGTCAGCGCGAACCGCGGACCCGTCACGATCTCAAATAGATCCGGCCTGCCTTTAAGTAGCTCCCCAAACGTCTCCGCTAGACCGATATGCTTCCTAACATGCTTCCGCAACCCCTCGATGCCGTAGCTGCGCACGACGAACCAGACCTTTAGAGAACGGAAGCGTCGACCAAACGGGATCTGCCAGTCGCGGTAATCGGTAACGAGGCCGGAGTCAGTATGCTGGTTCTTGAGAATCGCAAGCGACACGCTCAGCGCATCGGTCAGATGTTTCCTGTCGCGCACCCAGACGGCGCTGCAGTCGAAGTTGACGAGGAGCCATTTATGCAGGTTCGTGTTGTAGCTGTGGAACTTGTCGAACTGCTTCGCGAGGTGCTGGTACTCCGGGCATATCAGCGCGGCGCCCGCATACGCCGCGTCGACGTGCACCCAGATCTCCCCCTTTCCCGGGGGCGCGAGCTCGGCGAGGACGGACGCGATCCCGTCCATGTCGTCGACGGCGCAGGTGTCTGTCGTTCCGAGCGTCGCTGTTAGGTAGAATGGCTCGAGACCCTTGGCGCGCAGCTCGCGGACAACGCGCCCGAGCTCCGCGCCTGTCATCCGGTACCCGTCCTCAGCGTGCACTGGGACGGCGCGGAACCGCACGCCGGCGATTTGCGCCGCTTTCTTCGTCGCGCTGTGCGTGGCCGCGCTCCCCAGGGCCACAAGCTTACTACGACGGATCGCGATCGCGTCCTCGCGCTCCTCCTCGTCAGTAATATGTGACGTCGCCTCGCGCAGGTACTTGTCCCTAGCGGCGACGAGGACCGTGGCGATGGCCTCGGAGGCGGTGCCGTGGATGACGCCGCCGCCGTTGGTCGGGCCATTCGAGAGGTAGCATGCCGGCAGCCCGAACGCTTTCGCCATCCAGTCTAGCACTACGGTCTCCAACTCCGTTACCGCCGGGCTGCAGATCCAGTTGAATGCTGCGCCTGTGAAGGCCGTCGAGTACATCTCCCCCAGCATCGCGGGGAAACTGCTCGATGAGGGGAACCAGGCTAGGAAGTTGGGTGATTGCCTAGGGAGTGTTAGTTACTTTCAAGCTTTGCTTTGTCATGGGGGGGAGGGAAGGGGTGAGACCAGTGTGTTAGACCCGGCACGATTTTCGACTCGAGATCTTTCTGGATGTCGGCCCAGGCTTCCCCGTGCTCGGGTGCCTCTTCCGGTAGGAGTTTTCGGAGGTAGCCTGGTTCGACATTGGAGACTACTCTTCGCTCCTCAATTGTGTCGTAGTATTTGACGACTGTGGTAAGTTAGAATTATGGTGGTTGAGTGAGGTTTTAGGAGGGGTGAAACTTGCTGTCGTCGATGGACGAGATGGCCGCTTCTCGGAATTGTTTGGAGTCCATAGCGGCCAATTCACTCTAATCAAGCCTTACTTTCAAGTAGCTATTGAAGGCGAATCTTTCATAAAACGACAATTATCTGAGACATGCAAACGTATGTCAATGAGATAATTCAGAAGTCGACAATTGTGAGTTAGAATTAGAATATCGTCTCTTTATATATATACTTTTTGGCTATTTCTATTCTGATACAAGTCGGTAAACCTTCGCTCTTTACAGATCTACGACTCCGCTCCACCTTCCGCAAATGTACCGATTTGTACGTATCTAGGTACGTAGCACGCGATAAATCGAACGACGGTTTCTTACATAAACCGCCTAGCGAGTCCCATCCCGTGGGTAGCGGCTTCCACCTCGGAGGGCGTAAGAATGGCATGAAATGTCAATATGTCAAAGCCATGTCTCTTTCCACTGAAGAGGGAAAGAATAATAGATTGCACACGTAATACAAAGGAGAATCCGAGTTGTAGATAGGAGTTGCTGAAATTGTATTTTATTTCCGCAGGAATTTGCCGGTCTGCTTGCTGAGTTTCTTTCTCCGGTTTGTTGGAGTGGAGCCACTAGCTATGCCACCACTTATGCAAGGTTGTTTCCAAGCGACTTAATGCCATTTTAGAACCCGTTACAATATCCATAAGAGAATTGAATACTCACCTGGTTTCGTGGTGTAGTTGGTTATCACGTCAGTCTAACACACTGAAGGTCTCCAGTTCGAGCCTGGACGAAATCATCTTTTTGTATTTTTGTTCTCTATAATTGTTTTCTATTTCGTTATCCTCCGGCAACTTGAACCTTAAGAACTATTTTTTGTGGTTGTGGGATTGGTTACATAGCCCTTGTCTGCACAGTTACTAACCCCAACCTATTCAAATTGGCTGTGATCATTATCATAAGCGTTGTTGTCGTTAGATCAACGGATGAGTGATACCACATATATAGGTAAATGTTGAATATCGGAATTAGTTTTAGCAACTATACGTAGGTGACTTCTAAGGTTATTCTCTTTATACTTCATACCTACGACCTAAACCTCTCTCCCCACTCCCTATAATGCTCTAACATATCCCCGGTGACCAACCTCGGCGTCTTCTCAATCGCCTTAATCAGAACCTCCATCGCGGGCATCGTCTCATCCTCCGCATCCCAAAACGCCTTATCGCATATCCTTGCAACCTCCGCGCCGGAGTATCCCTCTGTGCGGCTCGCCAGCTCTGCAACGTCTATATCTGTTGGGAACTCGAGCTCTTTAGCCTTAGCCGTAAAGATAGCTTGTCTTGCCTTGGCATCTGGTAGCGGGACGTAGATGAGTTCATCAAACCGGCCGGGCCTTCGCAGCGCCGAGTCCAGGAGCTCAGGTTTATTAGTAGCTGCGAGGACGAAGACTTCGCCAATACGCTCGAACCCGTCCATTTCAGTTAGTAGTGTCGTGAGGGCTTGGACGCCACCACTACTACCGCTACCGCTAGGACCCGACCGCGACCCGGCGATTGAGTCGAATTCATCGAAGAATATGATGCTGGGGCTGGCTTCGCGGGCGCGCTTGAACAGGTTGCGGATGGAGCGCTCGGTCTCACCCACGTACATGTTGAGTAGCTCGCCTCCTTTAACGGCAAAGAAGTTGAAGTCTGATTCTGTAGCCATGGCTTGCGCTGTCATGGTCTTAGAGCAGCCGGGAGGACCGTAGAGTAGCACGCCTTTTGGCGGTTTTGACATTCGCGCACGAGAACCCTGAGTTTTAGATTAGTGTTAATACCCTATTTTAAGATAGGAAACGTACCGTAGGATGTCGAAGCACTCTCTGGAGCGCAACTTTGACCTCTTCGTACCCGCCAATGTCGCTCCAGCGCACGGTGGGTGGCTTGAGATTTATGTCATGCATAGCGGTAGGTCGTACTTCTTGAAGTCCCTTCACAGCATCATCCCACGTTAAGGGGTGTGTCTTGGAGGGGCTTCCTACTCGCTTCCTCCATGCCTTGGTGGCCCTATATAGGACTTTGCGTAAATCCGCACCAGTATACGCGTGTGTGCGATCACCAAGGTCTGAAATATATTGATCGAAGACATCAGGAGAAAAGGTTGGCTTAAGATGCTTGATAATCTCTTTCCGACCTTGTGCGTCTGGAACGGGGAGGGCTATATGCTCCTCAAATCGACCAGGGCGTTGGAGAGTATGGGGAATATCATTTAGATAATCGAGACAGGTAGCAACAACTAAGACATGTGGTCTCCTATTTTGTTGACGTGCCTTATTCGCTAAAGCATCAAGCGCCTCACCAATAGTCTCGACCATGACCTGGCGATTTGATTGATCCTTTCCTATTAACTTCGTTATATCGTCGATTAAGATAATGGTTGGACTACGCTGCTCGAGCGCTGTTTTAAAATAACTCTGAATGGTGGACGGCTTTTCATTATAAGTGAGCCGTATAACTCTACCCCAGTTTGTAGCTGCAATTTGGTCAAGTAGCATCGATTTTCCCGTCCCATGGCTTCCATGGATTATGATGCCACATGAATAAGTCGGTATCGTATATCCTTCGAATTCAACGTCAAAGTCGTCGAAGAATTCGTTAAGTTCGTTTACTTGATGCCGCATAGCTGGGAGTAAGTTGACTTCTAACTTACCCCCCGTACTCTTTGCATCTTCATTGGAAAACTCGACAATTGTAGTTCCTGGTGCATATTTCGCAACGCAATCCGTTCTTCCGTTTACAGATGTAACTACGAATGAACGTCTCGATCCATTTAAGACGATTTCATCAAATGATATTTCAGGTAAGATGAACTCCGCTATTTCTATATATGCTGTTAGATTGAATAGTAGATAGTAGAATTATGATAAAAGTTATGAGAAGAAAATATTTATAAGTTAACAAAAACATTTACTTTTCACCCCACGTAGCTTCGGGGTAGTTGTTGTGAATAAAAAGCAATGACATTGTTACTCGAAATTACGAACGTAAGAGACAACGATATTGCAACTTACCTAGCCGACTTTCTAGATGATATTGCCATCTTGTCTGTTCTGAAGAAGGTAACGGGACAGCATCAGGTGTTATCTCTCTCATAACAACGACGGCAGCATCGGGAACGGGTCCATTACCAGGAGTCACTCTAGCTATTTGACCAAGTTCTACACTAGCTAGCTTTTGAAAGACTCGACTAATAGAGATGATGTTGTTGGCAACATTCTTATCTGGAGCCGGCCAAGCAACTGCTTCTAATCGAACGGCCCCATCTGTCTGGACATTGCAGAGATGTGCTGTGGTAAAGCCCCCCTGAGCGAAGGTGGTTGGATGGATGAATATTTTTGCAGCGTTTTTATGCGTAGGGTTCTTTTGGTTTGCGACGTCCTGTGGCTGAAGCCGTATTTTAAAATCGTCTTTTCCCATAATTGCTTATAAGTCTGGTTGACTTTTTGGCGTGTTTCGATTTGGATATACCTATGCAAATTTGATCATTGCCATTAGTATCCAGGAGGCTCGTTATTAAAAATGTGACTCTTGTAGCTATGACTTGCTCTCATTATAGATATCGAGAATGATAATTCCTCTCAAGAGTCAATGTCTGTCTATAGTAGAATGTTAAACTTCTCATGAGTGAAGTGACTAAAATGCTGCATGGTGGGATTAAACGTACAGTGCGGGGTATTATAGCAATTGATATGACCAATAGAAATCATCTTAATAGCCCTAAGAAGTAAGCCTTGATCGCTATCCCAGCTGTAAGACCGTGCGGATTGGTAAACCCCTCCCAACTATCTTATCCAAATCCCAAACTCAATTTAGCTCCAACTTTTTCTACCAATTCAAATTCCAACATCTGCATTGCAATGCGTTGGGTATCACACCTCGTCGCCTCATGCTCTTACGACAGCTCCAGCGACCATCTCCACGATCGGTAGTCGCTTTAGCAGCATGGCGACCAACACTCATAGCCATCGCACCGCTTCACGGTAGCAGCCGCCGACAAGAATCCAAACCTTCCACACCCTCGTCACCCAACGAGTCCGAACCGAAGACCGACAAAGATGACGAAGAGCAACCCATAAACCCACCTCCATCCCCGACCCCATCCCTCTTCGAAAAGTTCTTCCCAGCCGAAGCAAGGCAAGCCCGCCTCGCCTCGAACCCATGGTCGTCGCCTCTCTTCCCCTCGTTCCCCCAAACACCTCCCACCATCCCCACCACCTCCGATTCCAGCGACACCAGCGACACCAGCGAAACCACCACCACACCCGCGACCCCCTCATCCGACGTCCCCCTCCGCGCCAAATCAATGCTCATCCTCAGCGCCGCCAGCAGCACCCTCTCGGAACCCGACTTCCTCCGCCTAGGACCACAAGGGCGCCACGTCGAAGGCTGGGTCAACGGGATGTCACGGGTAATCCAAGCGCGCGACCCCGACACCCTCCGCGGGCTCGGGCACTACTTCATCCTATTCGACAGCGACGCCGCCGCGCTCGCCTACCAAGCCGAAGTCGCGCGGCTGTGGGAACTAGCGAAGAAGCACGCGCACTCGACCGCTCGGGGGAAACGGTGGAATAGAGTACCCGTGCCGCTTGGACTATTAAAGGATGAGCTGGGCATGGATGTCGCGGCGCAGATCAAGGGGTTTACGCTCGTGCCTTGGAGCCAGATGTACCGACTGTGGCCGGCGACCGGGGCGGGGAGGGAGCGGATCGCGGATTTGGATGTCCGGGACATGTCGTTTGTGGATCGGCTGGCGCAGCGGGCGGGCACGAGACACTTGGTTCTGGTTACGGTGGACGGGGGCCGGATACCCGTTGAGACGCTGAGGACGGCGATTGAGGAGGATGGGGTGGAGAGGAATCTGCCGTGGCGGGTGACGGATCTGGAGCATGGGATCTTGCCGTTTGGGAAGAGTGTTTTGAAGAAGGCGGATAAGGCTGCTTTGGATCAGGTGGGTGAGGAGGGGGAGCGGGAGGTCGTGGATGATAGGGAGTATAGACGATATCCACGTTTCATCGTGCCTTTCATGGATAGCGCAGAGGCACATCGTTTCGTTCGGGGTTGGCACCGGAGGCAGTTCTATATACGCTCGAGTGTCGAAGGGGAGGATCAGGAACAGATATGGTGGGATGAGACTAGGACACTGAACACCTCGGTGCTGTGGTGAAATATCGAGAAATATAGTATACTAGCTAAAAAACCTTGTACTTGAATCAATCGAAGTTCATTATCATTTTTACATCATAGCACAGTTTAAACGAACAGTCCAAGGCAAGGGGCAAGGACTTTCGGAATTCAGAAATGACATGCTATTCTTAGTTGAAGACGAGAAAAGGGACGATCAAATGCAGGTATCGGTATCAAGACTCTTCGCAAGGACGGGGAATCAAAACAGAGACGACCGCGTGACGACTGGAAAATGTATTAGACCCATATCAACCAAACTCCGCCAATATAGTTTCGCCATCACTAGCCCCCAGCCTCATTCTTCCTATTGCGCGTATGTGTGTGCGTTTGTGTGTTGTGTGTGAATGTCTATCATGAAGTACCAAGCAAAGTCTCTGCCTTGCTTTCTCTTTCTGACTTTACTCCGTTCCCTCTTTCGTTCTCAGGTGTGATACACTTTCCTTTCGTCTCCATCGGTGTCCATCAGGGGTTGCTCTTGGTCTCTCCATAAATCATATGCCTCGGTCTACTGCAAACTTCGCTTGATAACAAGAAACTTGCCAGTCCTTCAAATCAGCCTAGCTTAGCGCCTCGCCTCGCCTTTACACATTGACAATTGCCGTCTCTCGTTTCGAAATAGTATCTCTTAACCTGCTTAGACAGCGACCTGCTTTAGCAGCATTTCCCTAGACCGCCGTTGCCCTCTCCCTGAGCGACGTTAACGCCGCCTGACGATGGAGCGTCCGTCTTGGAGGTGACTATGATGCGCTTCTTAATGTCAGCAGCGAGGCTGTAGAAGGCCTCGTCGATGTTAATGTTGCTCTTGGCGGAGACCTCGAGGAAGGGGATGCCCAGCTCCTTAGCTAACGCCTCGCCCTGTTCTGTAGAGATGACACGCTTTTCCTCCCAATCACACTTGTTGCCGATGAGGATCTTGTTGACGCCTTCGGTGGCGTGCTGCTCTACGTTGGCAAACCATGTCCGGATATCTGTACATTACGTCAGCGTCTGGAGACCCTTGAATGTTGCTATACATAGAACATAAGCACGTCCTGGTGCCCATAGCTCATTCGAGCCCCTCTTGAATCACCAGGCTAGCCTTGTGTAGACAAGAGTGTTGAAATAGGTTGAGACATGTATGGCGGCTCTTACTCTCGAAAGATCTTTGATCTGTAACGTCGTAAACCAAGAGGATGCCCATCGCGCCGCGATAATAGGCCGTCGTGATGGTACGGAATCGCTCCTGACCAGCTGTATCCCAAATCTGCAACTTGACGCGCTTGCCATCTAGCTCGATCGTACGGATCTTGAAATCGATGCCGATGGTCGTGATGAATGACGGCGTGAACGAATCTTCGCTGAATCGCAGCAGGCAGCAGGATTTACCGACTCCAGAGTCGCCGATTAGAAGGAGTTTAATCTATATCAATCGGGCATCGTCAGTAAATGCTAGTTTGTTTCGAAGATCACACATGACGTAGAATGATGTTTGAAGAGCCATATTAGACATAGATACCCTATCTATCTTGATCTTGGCGGGTAGTTCGAAGGAAGAGATGGTGAAGGGTGAAGGGCGAAGAAGGCGAAGAGTGAACATACTAAGAAGTCATAGTTTCGATTGCCCGACATTTTGGCAGAGTCGCTCGTCTTAGACGGCAGAGAATGCTTTACGGGGTATTCGCTCGTTCGTCCTGGTTGTTAAGGGAGGCAATGATGAGTTTCAGGATATTTCTTCGCTACTCTAGAACAAACAACCTAAGACGTGTCGTCAGATGTGGCAGTAGCAGTAGGTAATAGTAGCGTCCGTGGCAGTGGTAGCGTATGTAGCGTAGGTAGCGGTAGCGGTAGCGTTAATTGGTAGCCAGCAGTGGTACATTTAATTGTACCTAGTTGTACCCTTGGTTGCTCTGGGTCTTGGCGCAGTAATCGAACTGTCTAACTCTCTTTGGTACTAGCACTTTGCGTTGCTTGGTGTACTTGGTGCAAGTTTCTGCACTTTCGGAAGATGGAACCTTGAAAGGGCTCAAGTTCGCAAAATGTTAGTGGAACATTGAGATGGAAATGGATTAAAAGTGTGGACCTTATGCATTAAGTCGGACGAAAAACGGTGTGCATCTCTACAATGCGAAGACTTAAATGAATTAATGAACCAATCGAGGTAGCCTCAAACTTTCGAACAATCTAATACTCATATTATTTTCTTTGCATCTAAAGAGAAGTCACCGTCTGTGCTCTAGACCCTATTTCTGGGTGACTCCTACTTCCAAGTTGTAGATGATTGTCTAGAACCTTAAAAAGGTTTTAGTTCGTGCTAGGATACACCTGGCTGCACTCTACGTACTGGGCTTATGTAAGGTATACCTCCAAGTTTGGGGTGGACCTTTTAATGCGTTTACCAATACCGATGCGATGGACCTGGTGGTTGAGTTTACTAGGCCTACCTTGATAGTGTATGTAGCTGCCTCATCGAGATACGTAAAAAAGGGGCTTATTCAATGTTAGAATTCCATTTTATAGTTGCATAGTATGTATGAAGTAGGCAATTCTTTTTAACCCGAGTCCTAAGATGACTATAAGACATAACTCATAGTTAAGCCATTGCTCAACAAGTTATTTGATACAGTCAGGGGCTACGGTACAAGTACCAAGAGATAAGTAACCACTAAGCTGACAAAGGGGGATCCGCATTGAGTATCAACTCAAAATGTTCAAATGACAAATAGTACGCGTAACCTACCTACAGAGTACCTACTTTTAATACATATTGTCACCAACATTGGATTAGTACGCTACTGGTCAATAATCTTTTGTCATTCAGTTCAATAGACGGTCATAACTACCAAGACTGCTATGTTCATCTCAGCCACTTAGAATACGCCCAACGTATCCTATCCAAGGCCCGCAATTGTGACTGGATGCCTTTGAGATTAGCAAGGTCATCCAAGTCTTCCAGGAAATCCTTCTCAATGTCGGCCGGAATGAGGTTTTGTGCGAGGCGTCGTAGGACATGCACCTCGCATACAAGGAGACCATGATCCTTGTATGACAACAGGTTGTTTGGTGTAGGTGTTGCTTCGGATAAGATGCGGTCAATGTTGCGAAGGACCCGGACGCACTTGCCAGCTTTTCGGGTCTCACGGAATCCACGTTTGCTTCCTAGAACCCCACGGAGGTACTGCATCACTCCGACGGACACAAGAATACCGGGAGTGAGTCCCACGAAGCCAAAAACAAGTTCCTGACTCTTCAGGAGAGCATCAATACCGCTTAAGGCAACTTCAATGTCGACTTTCGTCTTCTGCACTTGGATAAGTAAAGTTCGGACCAGGTCGCCTCGGACGGTGCCCTTGAGAGGGCTGCGCAGGTCTTTTTCGTACGCGCGAAGAATCGGAGTCACATCTCCCTCTCGAACCTTGGCTCTGATCTCAGCAACTTGCGATTCCGACAACGATGACGCACCGGTTGCGGCACTTGGTTTGTCAAGAGCGAAGTCGACTACCATACGCTCTAAGCTTTCCTTGTCCGCCTGAAGGCTATCACGGCTCATAATAGCAATTTCGCTATTCGCGTCGTGACGAATAGTACCAATAACCTTACGAATAGGGTCAATAATCCAGTTGAACCAAAAGTCTCGCACAGTAACCCCGAGATCTCTAATCCAATGTATGATCTCTTGGTTCTTGTTGACAAGTATTCGAAGGATCGTTGTCGAAGAGAAGAGAAGTACTGTGGCAGGCAGCCAATACCTCACAAGTCTCGATGGTCGTCCGTTCTCTGCCACTAGTTTTTCTGCTGCAGAGAGGTGTCCCGGTAAATGGGTCTCCAACAAGTCTTGGATCCTTTTGGCTACTATGGCGGGACGAGTAATTCCGTCCTCCTCGGCTTGGATTGACAACTCCGGATCTTCTTCAACACCAGCAAAGACCCTATCTTCAAAGTCGGCAACCCCAACGTTCAGCGTTAAGACATCCTTGAGTACCATGTCCATTAAAGCTACACTTCGTTCCACAACTCCTTTCCACTCTTGATTTGCCGAGAGGATCATATCGCTCTTTCCGTCATCACTTCCGTTGCTATTGAACACAAGACCTTCGTCGATTAAAACACCTAGACCACTGGATGTCATTTCTCTAAGCCTCTTCAACTTAACTTGTTTGTTGCGGGCCTCGGAACGACAAAGAGCAACGGGTGACATAATCGTTCGTTGTATGTTGAGAAGCGACTTCTCTCGTATGGTCTCTCTCACGATGCCGTAGAATTGTCTCCATCGCTGGGTAATGCTATCATGGATAGCTTCTGCGTGTGATCCAGCTTCGAACTCCCTAATTGAAGCATCGCCACTAGCGAATTGCTGGAATCTGATCTTGCTGTCGTGATAGATGTCCCTAGACCAAGCCCAAAGACGGATAGGAGAAGTTTGCACCAAGTAGAAACTGCTGTATGTCGGGGATGATACTATATCGTCCCAATACCAGATATGGTCACTCAATGGGATAATTTGATCTAGCAGTGTATCTAAAATGATACCGTACGTTTGAACAGTGGCCTTGCTGACCAATATCCATTCGAGCTCTGCCTCATATTGGGTTGTTGATATCTCCTCACCATGTTCTGATAATAAGCTGGATTGAGATAGGAGAGACTGGACCTGCCGTGCGGGGAGAACACTTTGCGATCCAGAGCCTGCCGATAATGATTTGATGATTTTCAACAAGTCTTTGACGCGAGGACTATCCAAATTTATGGCAGCTCGGGTGGCGTCATAGCTTGTTAAGTGGCTGAGAGGAACACGATCTAGCTGCGCGTCCAACCGTCGGACTTGGCTAAGTAACGTTAAGCCTCATTTTCATGGTTAATGGAAATGGGTTGGGATGTGCAGAACTTACTCTGCCACTAGGGACATTTTCCGCTTTGTTAGCTGGGACGGCGGTTTTCTAAAAGAGTTATATGGATCTATGCTCGGAGGTACGGTCGGACATAACTGGTTCTCTGGTTCATGTCATGGCAGGCAGGGCGGGCAGGGACCAGGAGCTCTCTTCGGTATTCCGTTGTCTCGGTAGATACCCAAAAGGAAAACCTCCCACAATTAGGGCAGGGTTTGGAAATTTGTTTCGATCCAATAGGAACGCCAATTTGCAAATTTCTTCTCTCTGTCTGGACGATTCTTGGTAAGGTATTCGAGAGACGAGGCTAGGATCAAACGATAGATGAGATTGCGGTGTGTGAAAGTGGAATATTTCCCACAGGTCGAACGTTCGTCAGTCGATGTTTACTTCGAAGATTCCGTCTCTGTCGGATGAGGTCATATGTAAAATCTTGGAAGGGGAAAATCTAAGCTATCGATTCGCCATTTACAAGGCTAAAAGCTTTAGTGTGAGTGAATCTCTAGACTTAATTGGGTAAGAGGCACGGTAATTTGGGTCAGGTAAGAGCAAGGGACTGCACAGTAGTATGTACAGTAAATTAACAGTGCACATACTGAGCTGATCGGAAAGGATGCGTTCCGGTCAGGTGACTAAGAATGATGTGTCGGCATGCGCGAGGGGATTGCCGTTGATTATCCGATAAAGTTATCTGATCAGGTCTCCAATACTTAGGTACATAGGAAATTACCTCCAGTTCACCAGCATACTAACAATTTTCAAATACGAATACGACAGCCACTCAGGTGTGACAAATGCGCGTCCCCTAGTAAATCTTCCCCACAAAGTACTTAGCGGAACGGGAAGAGCGAATTCCAGGTGGTCTCATTGTGGCAGCATCCTACTGATTGGTCGTACGTCTAGTAATAGTCAGGGGTCCCTAAAAGTCGAAACCTCTAATCTACTCCTTATCGCTTTCCACCGCCCCTAATTTCTTGAACTACAACAAATATCCGTCGTCTGCTCGACTTTTTTTTCCCATTCCTTCCAGAACATCATCCTAACAACCTAAGTACCTTGGCAACTTGGGACAGTCTTGAAGTGAGGGAAGGGTCCTTTGAAGACGTTGATATCCGCATAATTAGTCCACAATGGCTACAGTGTAAGTCGAGTTCCCTATTCGTTCTTCGTTCGCGTTTCAATCAAATACTAACTACGCGCTTTTACAGCAATGCTACCATCGTCGGTGCATTCACCAATTACGACACGTATATGGGCGTTTTCGAGGAGGTTTCTAAGTACAATGTCCAGCTCAACATCGTAGAGCGCCTGTGGGCGGTTAGTCTTCCCCCTAAACACCCTAAGCACCACCCTGCCAGGCACGATAGAGAAACTGACTCGGTATACTAGGCTTGGTACTTGTGGATGCAGAATGACACGCTAGCGACGGGAATCATGAGCTTCTTAATGCACGAGATCATCTACTTCGGAAGGTGTATACCCTATATGGTTCTCGATTGTATTCCCTATTGCAACCGATTCAAGATTCAGAACCAGAAGATTCCGACATGGAAGGAACAATGGGAATGCGCAGCCCTAGTTCTTCTTAGCCACGTTACCGTCGAACTTCCTCAGATCTGGCTCTTCCACCCTATCGCCACCTACTTCGGTATGGACTATGGCGTCCCTTTCCCTAAGATCCAGACCATGGCCCTACAAATCGCAGTCTTCTTTGTCATGGAGGATGCGTGGCACTACTGGTTTCACCGGGCTCTACACTACGGTCCTCTATACAAGATGATTCACAAGCTCCACCACACTTACTCCGCACCTTTCGGTCTCGCCGCTGAGTACGCCTCGCCAATTGAGACTATGCTTCTTGCGCTCGGAACAGTCGGAAGCCCCATCCTATGGGTTTCTATCACCGGCGAACTTCACCTATTCACCATGTACATGTGGATCACTGGCCGTCTCTTCCAGGCCATTGACTCGCACAGCGGATACGACTTCCCCTGGAGCTTAAGGCATTTCTTCCCCTTCTGGGCCGGTGCCTTCCACCACGACGTTCACCATGAGAAGTTCATCGGAAACTACGCTTCCAGCTTCACATGGTGGGACTGGATGCTCGACACCGAGTCCGGCCCCGAGGCTGCCAAGCGCCGCAGGGAGAGGATGTTGGCCAAGAAGGGCAAGAAGACGCAGTAAAAGGCTCAATAATAGCCTCGCAATGGAATACACGAATTGGGATATGAGGCGGGTCAACTAGTGATGACTTTACGCCAGTCCCATGAGGACACTTGCTCCTGGTTATCAGAAATTGCTGGCCACTGACGGAGGACAAGTCGATCAAGTTGCGCAGACGCGGCACGGGAACTAAAAAGCCATTCTACGATTTGCGTCGATCGTTAATACTATAGACTCGGACTGGCTGCCCTAATACATCTTGTAATTAATAAATAACGAAGAGAAGAGAAAGCTACCATAGATTAATATCAAGCTAGGCGTCCTTCAATGGAGCCAAAGCAAAGTTCACGATACTGTCTTGACCCGTTTTTATGAATATACACTTATGGTCTTGGTCGTAAATAAGTAGTGTATTTGAGTAAGTACATATGTAGTATTACATATATGTTCGGTTGTCAGCCTTAGGTTGAATATCATATAGGTTGAAATTTGGAATAAGCATCGAATTTGTATTCGATATGGCCTGATGTTTCAACGTGTATTACTTCTCGAGCCCTCTATTTTTTGGGTGTGCAGCAGGCGCCAGCATCAGTAACTGCGCGGTCAGCCACTTGCTTTAGTACAGCATTGTCATCACCGCCACTAGCTTCCTCAATAATCTCACCGAAGTCTTTCGCAAGACCATCGCAGATAGCAGCCAGCTCGACGTCCTTGGTAGAAAGGCCTTTCGGGTTATGGGTTGTCCACCGGATATATGTCGTATTATACACCTGTGCGTTGATGACGAAGTAGATGAGTCAGCAGTTGTATACCATCGGTAAGCAAGATGAGGACAACCATGTGATTTTATATCCGTCCAGTAGATCATCGATGAAGCGTGAGTGACAACACTAACAGCTGCTCTCTCCACTTCTGTGCGGGAAGGCGGCGGCGATTCGTAGCTTGAGGCTGACCCGCGTGTTCTAGAACTTATGCTAGATCGATATCAAGTAGCACATGTGAGAGATGCAACTCTCTTCTGTTATAGAGATGGGGGTAGCGGAGGACGCCTTACGTTAGACCATTCAGGGTGATGATTTTTTAGTTTGCATTGCAGTGAGACTGCGGTCATGAAGTCCTAGTAGGTCAATATTGATTAGCAAATCCCGTCTTCAAGCTCGGTCTCCTAAGATGGATCATGGTGCGGTATTGGAACGGCTTTGGTGGTGATGCGGCTATGGAGATAATATAGACTTTTCGGGCGTCAAATAATGCTCGGGATAGACTACCCCGGGGCCTTAGTGATGCCAATTCATCTAGCAGGCGGCTATATCAATGATATTAGAATCTGAAGACCGACACCGGCGAATAGGGTTTCGTTGGCGTCAGCAGGAGACCATTGATTTCTCTCTCATGATCAGTGATGGCGTTACATGGTGGTAGGTAAACCACGGCGCATTTTTCCTGATTGAAGATTTGAAAATTGGATCCTCGTGAAGTGCAACACCCTGCGGGATTCTAATCACGGTCTTCCGTCATCAACACGCTGAAGGTTGACCGATCATGCGAACTAACGACCAAAGAGAGCCAGATCCAGCGACAAGGTAACAATATAGAATTTGCATGTTTAACCCACCGGCAGTTCTCATCCTCGTCCAGCCTAGTCTCATAGCCCATCCCACCATCATATGTATAGGGGTAAGGTAAGGAGAGACATGGCGCAATGGCTTCTCCAATGAGAACTTCAGGGGTAATTGCGGTCGAACAGAACAAATACAGTATCCAATGCCGTTTCTAGAAAAATGGGGCGACGAGAGAGACGGGACCCGATGGCTGACTTACCCATGTCTTCGCAAATGTCTTGAATCTGAAGCTCCTTTCGATACCCTCGCCGCCGGGAATTAGACTCCACCGGCCGCCGCGACTTGCTGATGCCAGCAGAGGATCCAGGGTCCGCATCAAGGCCGGCTCATCGACGCCAGCGGAGAAGCGGGGAGCATTGGATTGCGGGGATATCGCCATGACCGCTGAGCCAGAGAAATTTCGCAGGCTCTGGTATGAGACGCCCTGCACACAAATGCGTGCCGTCCCGTAGATCTTGCTTGAGGCAGCTGCCCTGGCACAGCGAAGCAGAGGGCGCGCGTATCGGTTGGGCATTAGGCGCGATGTAGCTATTATTAGATACCAGACAGCTTTTGGTGTAACATGCAAACTCCGCTCGTATGTTGCACGTCGGGACGAGGAAGCAAATTGCGAACTATCCTGGTTTGCTTCCGTTGGGATCGTGTGGGGATATAAGGCAGATAGATTATGTTTGGATAAGCGAAGTTCGATATCAGACTGTAGATTCCAATTGGAATGATTTAAGTTACAATACAAGTTACTCTAAAGTGGCCTGTGCTTAGCGCTGTGTTACCTGCTCAGTGCTCAGTTTATAGGTAGTGGTAGCAGTAGCACTTGTGTGACTGGAGATCCCTCTTTCCTTTCCATTAATGCCCTGTGCAGCCTGTGTTAAATTGATGACAAACCACCTAACAGGCTGCCAAGGCGATATCTAGTACCTACATGTATATATATGTATATAACAGGTTTTGGTTCCCCTTTTACTTTTAAATCTCCAGCAATTGATACCGAACAGCTGCATACCTAGTAGGTACTAGGTATGATCATCCGCTTCATGGAATATAGGGTCGCGTTATCATACCCCATTCAGCGCTATGTAAGCTATCTCTTTCCAGCCTTCCTAAACCCGTATTCGTCCGGATCTGTCAGCAGACGGCGGTGGCAGGTTGTTGGTGTCGTACTGACCGCCTGAATAGACGAGCATTGAGATGAGACCTCACACTACAGTTTCTAACGGCGGCAAACATACCTCCATATCAATTTCGCAATACATATGTACCCAGGTGATCATATGTGGTTTTCAGCTTACATGCGACTCGGTGGATTCCGGTCCAGCAACCCAGCCCTCCCACGTGGGCGTCTCCTCTTATCCCGCTGCAGGTATGGCATTCCCGTCGAGATGATAGACGCCACACGTAACGGTATGGGGGATTGACCTGTTCATTCCCGGATCCAAGGCTGTCCATCAAAATCAGGGACACCAATATCTAATATCTAATGTATTGGACAATTTTCGGAGTTGTTCCCTTATCGGGTGTGACAATATTGCATCCTGTCGACTTCACGTCGATAGAAGCCCGAAGGCTAGAAGGGTTACCCATCTTCACTCTTGGGATCTAGCGGTCTGGCTGCCTTAAAAGGGACAAATTTCGGAGGGTCCAAAATCGTATTTCTGGTTTCTAAACTCCGAAGATTCAGCCTCCGCTAGGGTATCCCATTCTCGGAGTTTCAAATAACTAGATTGTGCTTCCAGCCTTGCGCCCCGGCTCCTCTAGCGAATGCCTTCTCGAAGCATAAAGCGCCTAAGTTGGAAACTCAGTAAGGCTTCTTCATCCTGATATTTAAACCGTTGGCAAGCGATGCAAGCCCCCATAGGCATAGTTCGTAAGCTCCAGAGGTCTAATGCGGGTTAACAACCTCTTTCTCAACGGGTCTTACATACTTAATGTAGGTTATTTGTATGTACCACATGACTAACAAGGCCTCTCCTAATTCGACATGGTTACGTTAGAGTATCAAGTTGTCTGTTCCTTCCAAATCGGCGGCTCTTCTGATCCCCGACAAGCACTCCGATGTCACTTGAGTTTCTCCTTGATTCTGAGTAAAAACCTGCTGGCGTAGTTCACAATTCCCAGATTTGCTTTCCAGACTCGTGGATCCTTCACTCCCATCCCGGGGTCGACTCAGTGGTGGGATGCACCGGGACTATCCTCTATAGGTGTATCTTAGATATAAGAAATCACCTTGAAGACGTTTAATAGAATATCAACAAGCTGTGGAAACCGGCGGGTGTGATTATTATGCTGCTAGGTTGGATAGCAAAAGAGGCTACTGAGTTAGTGAAAGGAGAGAGACGGCATTTTCGACTTAACCCTAAAATCTAGCCATCGCCTCGCCGTCTCCTAAAGCCCCAGACTCCAAATTCGGTGGAAATTTAAGAAAACAAAGTCCTCGACTAAATGGAACTATAATCCTGGCCCAAAGCTAAACGCTCGATCGGAAGTTTTGTATCAGAATGGACAGCCCACGATAAGTGATTCTCTAGCGAGGACGCCACCGGAGCTTCATTATTCTATCGAGAAGTGATTTAGTCCGTTATCACCTTTGAAGCTGACTCCGCAGACTTCTGATATTCCAGCCACACAACCTAGATTCTTAGCTTCTTGGGCTGGGTAGTTAAGAGTAGGTCAAAGTGTGATGAATGCGGTTACTTTCAGTCATATGAAAGACGCTGCCGTATCGCGAATAGAGAGAAAAGCCGTACAAGTTGCCATAACCGGTGCTAAGTCACAGTAATATTTAAATTACCCCTATAGTGACATAGGTATTACAGCTAACCCCAGCACGGGTGTGCGTAGATCACACACATATAATATGCAATGTCAGCACCAACGTTGCCCATACTACTTTGATAAACTTACGTTCCGCATTCCTAATCGGTCCCTTTCACAGTCTAACGGATCGTGACTGGCTGGATTTAAGAGATGACTTGTCCTGAGCTCATTAGTCATTCTGTGTAATTGGCATAGCTAGCCACCAAGGACCTAAACGGGCAATACTAAGAAAGCGGGTTAGTATTATCTCCGGGGTGGCTAAGATGGATCTCTTGAAAAGGTGGAATCCCTATGCTAGAGCAAACCGTAAAGATGTACTGACTCTTCCCGTCCACTCACCGAATATCTATTGTTTGGGAAAGCCTATTCAAACTTCGTTCAAAGTGTAAGGCTCGATGTCTTGAGCTGATCTCGCTTATGTTATGTTGCTATGTATAAATTTGAATTTAACGTTGGTTCGTGAGACGTAACAGTGTTGGCGTGTTGGTCATTGCCGCCCAGTGGTACAGCATTTCCGGGCCGAGGGCGACACGTTTCTGCATTCAAATTGCAACACAAGACTTGGTTGTCAGTATAGGACACGATGATTACTAATCCTATGCTGATCGGATGGTCCGTCTTGTCACTATCCAGGATCAACTCTTCGTCTAATGTGTCTGGTGATGCTGGCATGACGTGAAGTAGCGTCGAGCGTCGAAAGTAGTTAATAATCTCCAACTCTAGTTATAAGTAAACTAGTACCTATAATTGAGCCGACATGTTCAAAATCAGATTGGGCTAGTATTCAATTCGCAAGCGCGTGTGGGTAAACTACTGAATGGTATGAGAGATGATAGGACACCGCTAGCTAACGGCGACGGGGTTAAGAGAATTTGGCGGAGTTCCATCACCGGATTCTTCTCCAATTTCAAGCAATGGGCGGTCGTGCGGCACGGAGACTGGAGGTTTTCTGCATAAACAAAAGTTCAACAAACCATTTTCAGGCATCAATACTACAATACTACTCACTGTCAAGTTGCAGATTCATAGTACTGTGCAACCAAGAAGGATTATACGGGAATACCTAGTAGCAACTCAATTGTCTTGTCATCCACGAAAGCAACACATGAGAGAACTGTTACACAGAATGATAAGTGAGAAAGCAAGTGAGAAAACAAGTGAGTAGGTACCTACATAGGCAATATCAGCCAACAATGCCTTTCTTGCATTGTAACTGTGCGAATCCTTCTGGACCTGGCTCTGGTTCTGGTTATGTTGATCATGGCGGGACGGGACGGTTTAAGAGCCGGACGATTCCCTACCAAAATATGGCATTTTCCTAACGACGCCAATACATCAGGCAAAAATGGCTGATAAAGTGACACAACTTCTTAATATCTGGTAGGTGCGGATGGCGGAGGGGATAGATCGACAGGATTACTAAAGAAACAACGCGATAGAACCGGCTTTCCGCCTTAGGGTTGTCTACCTAGTAACGTATGTAGACGCCATAATGTCTCTGCTTTCTTGGCAGCGAATAGAGTAAGCGAGCTGTAGGAGACGCGCAATTAAAAAAACCAGATATGGTGAGCGACAAGAGAAGTTCTTGAGCTGGAGCATAGAAGAAAACGAGGAAGTCCTTGTTGCCGACGACCGCCGCAGAATGCCAAGGCTCCTGGGGAGGTGCGGGAATATATTGTCCTGCGAATCAATCTCGATTCTTGTAGGTTGTTTGGGATTGGACGGTGCTATGCGAGATCCAACATACCACATACCACATACCGCATACTACCTAACTAACTACCTGACTACCTCTAACTACCTACATACATAGATACATGGACTATATGCCATGCTACACACATGCTTCTATACATCCATATTATTGTATGTAGGTATGTTGTAGGTAGGTATTAGGTAGGTAGATAGGTACTAGGTAGGAAGTATGGAAGTAGGTACCTACTTAAGTATGTAATATGTCATCAAAAAGATATCGTCCATTGTTGATTACGGCGTATGGGGACAATCCTTAGTCGATAATAGTCGATATTCGCGTTTTATTCTTATTTACGGCGTATATTGCCTAAAAAGGAAATCAATAACACTTCCAAGGTTTCAAAAGCTTTTGAGGCTCCGGACTTTAATCTCATCGACATTCGAAGATTACCTAAAGCAGCAGTGCGCGAAGATTACATAATTTACGGATTTCCACGCGATCATTATTACTAATACTATGCGGTGCGCCGCGCGCTAGGTACCTAATAAGTATTGTGGATATACGCTAACATTGATTGAGGCAACTAAATTCCAAGACTTTTGATTCGTGAAATTCACTAGTCTGCCCGGAAATAATTCATAATCCCTGATCATTTGTTCTTAACCGTTTCTATACGGTACGGTGGAAAATCAATCAGATCGTGTTACGGAAAACACCCTTGGATATTCCCTTTTTCCACCTAGTCCGCCGAACTCCCGTCGTTTCATTGCCCAATCAGCTGGGCGTCGCAAGGGACCCTGCACATAAAAAGTTGTACATCTCGATACTAGGCCGCCAAGAGAACAGGGATGTATGTGGTTTATGGTTTATTACTAATAAACCGTGCACTCGAACGAGGTGCGAGGGCATCTTTAGCCTGATGCATTACGTAAGTACACGTTTGGAACTTTTGCTTTGACTTTTTTTTTATCTCCTCGAGCTGAATCGACGATAGATAGTGGGAAAACACGCAGGTAGGCGGTAAGTACCAAATCATGATATGTTGATGAACATATATACCTATGTATGTCCTTTAATAGGAATGTAGGAGTGCGAGCACATATGTATCTTGAGACCTTGATTTATTTGACTTCGCGTAACACGCCTTACGTAAACGAAGCGAGCACCAAGAAGGATGAGAAGATGCGAAGCTTTCTAAGACCTGCAAGCAAGAAAAACCAAGGTGTAGGGGAACATCAACATCGAAAACTGTATTAAGTTAACGCCAGGGGTGTGCGCATAGTTGGGAAAATTGCAACCGAACTCCCAAACCCGAAAAAGCACACAAAGGGACGAAAAAGAAAAGGCAAAAAAAGTCCGATCTTTATTAATTACTAGTCTTTTCATCAACTCAGCCTCAGTAGCACGACTTGGAAACAAATACTTTACCTAATATTTCACTTCGTGTGTGGTAGATGTTTATCCATTCTTATACCACGCGTATTTAATCTGCGTACACTGAATGGATGCTTACTTTTAAGGTTGCTCGAGGGTTGTTTATGTGACGCGAAACATTGAAGCAAAGGTGCTATGTACTTCCAAATATATTGGGGGGTTGTTGTGGTTTCGTACTAAGAAAGTACATGTACATACGGACGTAAATGTGGAGTGAGAAGAATTACTCAGAATGGAAGGGGGACTCATAGTTATGTGCGACGGCAGATGGATGAAAGACGGGGCAGGTACGGATCAAGTACAAGCGTAGTCATGACAATAGCAGTGAACTTGAACTGAAAGAAGTTGCCTCGGCCGACAGCGCGGAAACCGAGTTTTGCGAGGTATCATTGATGGGAAGGAAGCTGCTATGCTGCATAGCAGCCTTCGTGATGTACAGTAGCATGAAGTAAGTAAGTAGACAGGAGATTTTAACCTGTGATTACCATCTGTTTCGGGTATCAATTTGCAACTTCCTCATTGTTGTGGTTATATTGCTATTAGTCAGGTTACACAAATGACAAACCAACATTGATTACGAAGAAACAACACCTACCACTCATTCACACATCATTCCAATTGTGTACACCCCAACACCACCAACGCGCATCATCCAGTTCAAAGAGAAAATCAAATTCTCCCTCCGGCAGTTCAATCACTGGTACTTACTTACCTAACTACCTACCTAACTACCTCTTAGAAAACTCTCGTTACGCAAACTTCTCCAGCTATCTTTAGGATCCTATGAAATGGATAATTGAGATTTTTTACCTACACACACGTACATACATACATACATGCACATGTTAATTAGTAAAATATTCGGATTCGGTCAGCTATCAAATCCACAATATCCACATAATACCTTATAATTTCAATTTCCATTCGTTCTGTTGATTGCTTGGCTGGTAGTAGTCCGTGGGAGGAAGCTACGGAAGCTACGTACGGGTACCAGTGGTGTCAGTGGCACAATTAGCAGCTGCATGCGCTGACAAACCACATTGACTTCACTTTCTGATCATTCACCCTAGCGCGTAGGTGCCTCCTTCTTTTTCCCCTTCGGACATTTCGGTCATCCATAATCCGCATACTGTACTGTACTAAGTAGGTATTAACCAACACAAGCAGTTCGATATCCACTTACTTAGCACCTTACTAACTTTTTTCTTTATTGGTAATAGCTCGGGTTTTAAGCTAAACACTGTGTGGCACTGTTTAGTTTCTGCGCACCAGCCACGGGACCGAGCATTTCACATTTACGTTCAGTCCCTTCTTATTTTTCCTTTCGAAGTGTTCTATCCTTACATACACTTGTTTATCTACTTCACCATTCCGAACTTATTAACCAACCTGACTTATTAAACATCGATGAATAATCTGTTACTACCATAGATCGGTCACGTGGAGCAACGGGTATCACTGGGTCCTTGGGTCCTTGACGCAGTGAGGTCACTTTCAATTCTGCCGACGCCAGATTGGGTAGGCTATACGACTAGGAAATCCGGGGCCTCGCATTGGTCTAATCGTCCTGCTACCTACTCGCAGAATTTCACTAGGGATACATACGGGAATACATACCTTCGGTGCTAAGGTTGTCAGGGTACTCAGCAAATATCGAGCTTCCCTCTATTGACTATCGACACTACTACCTTGACTCATCAACTTCGGCAGCCACCCCGCTAGGCGCATTCAACCTTTGGAACGTACGGAACATTTTACCTATCGGCGGATATTGATATCCATAGTTGCGGGCGCGTGCAATTATTAAGACATTAAAACCATAATACTGTCGCCTCGTCCGTATTTGACAAAGTACGCCTTAGGACGTCGCTACTTATTACTACTTACTACCTGGACTATTCGTTGTTGGTCAGTTCAGCACCCAGAAACACCCAGAAACATTCCCAGGTACTATCGTGACCCCTTCTTCACTCCAGCCACAACGTTCGTCTCAAACCTTGGTGTGCGATAAAACACATCCTAGGGTGGACGCACCACATACATAGGGTACCTAGTACTCGGTGTTCAATTTACCTTTTCCACCCCTGGACGATAAACGCCGTCCTTACTCCGAGCGGAGCTGTCGCGCGCGCTCCTCTCTACGTTTTGGCGTTTTGGACGGAACCGTTTCCGTCCCTGCCGCGACCCCGTATTTCCCTGCGTATTTCGCTTGCAGTAAAACGGTCTCACAAGTCGTCACCACACACAGAAAGTATCGTAATCTTGATGCTGACTCAGACACCCAAGATGCAGAATAACATCGGCCAAACTGGTAAGTTGCCGCTCATTTTTTAGTCCTTTTGTCTGGCGCTACACTAGATTTTCCAACCATCATCATCATCGAAACCTGAACACCCCCACACCCCTTGTACCATTATAGCCACCCCTCCACCGTGACGCCGCATTACTGCGCAAGGCACACACCCTTGGATCACCCCCCAGCTTCTGCCCTGACCGTCTAAGTCGCTTTAAGTCACTTGAGGTCACCTCTTCGCTGCGAACATGTAATCAGACATACCTCATATGCTGGCGCCAGGAGTTTTCTCTCTGTTGTTACTTTTGACGGCTTCGGGGTCGCGTTGCAAGGTCAATCTGGGATTGATCCACTTGCTTTTCCGGTGCCCCATATCACATCCATTACGAAATACCCGCCAACACCCTTGACAAGCTTTCCCTACCTACACTTACATACATATTCGGTCTGTAGTCCGCCTCATTCGCTTCGTGGCTTAAACTCTGATACCTTTTTTTATGTCTCTTATTCCCATTTTTAGACATATACCCGGCTCCTCACTGATCTTCATTTTTTTACTGACATAACATAATTGTTTCAGACGATTCTGAATTGCGCGCAAAGCTCGATCAGGACGCAAATTATTCAGCTAGCTCACCATCCGCGTCGGCGCCACCTTCATTATCCACTGTCGCTACTGCTTGTTCCGCCCTGAAATCCATACAACAACCATTAACAAAAGCGCATGGTCACGGCGGTTCTGGTGTAGAGGTACAGTCGCATATTCACCCTCGATTTAGAACGTCTTCTGTGGACGTGTCGGCATCTGATATGATGCAAAGAGGAGTATCACCTCCGTCCGACGACGGCGGTCCAGTCTCTGGATCTCCCGTGTCCGGTATGACTGCCCAAGGCCTCCTAGGGCACGACCCTGATGATTCTGTGACCGACGGGCGAAAGGCCAAGCGCGAATTATCTCAGTCGAAGAGAGCCGCCCAAAACAGAGCAGCTCAGGTGAGTGGGACCTCTTCCCTTATTTTTCAATGATTTGCAAGCTGGAGCCGCGCCGTATTCAATACGGTTAGAGAGCCGAGCATCTTATTTACTTGTTCGGTGTACACGGCTAGTGCATACTAGCTTGGCTCCACCGTGTCGAGACTCATTACATAGTAGTGCGTGTCATTACGTAACTAACCTGTTTTTTTAGCGTGCCTTTCGACAAAGAAAGGAGCATTACATTAAGAAGTTGGAACAGCAAGTCCGTGATTTCTCAGAGATGGAGCAAAGCTTCAAGGCGATCCAGAACGACAACTATGCGCTACGCGAGTATGTAATACAATTACAGTCTCGCCTCTTGGAATTGCAGGTCGAATTACCTCAGCCGCCGCCTAATATGAACATTACGCCTCCTACCGCGGCATCTACTAGCACTCGCGGCGCACACGCAAGCACCGCCCCTGAACCGAGCTCCAGCAATAGTAATGCCGGAACTCTAGCGGATGTCGCCGCAGCCGTGACGGGGCTAAGAGCTCGAGAACCTTCAGCGGATGGGTTGTACTCGAAACCGGCCTATAAGGCAGAGGCTAACGAAGACACGCAAACTGCTGAAGAAATCCGCAGACAGCTATCGCAAGACGGGTTACCGGCTCCCTCGTCACTGCGAGCCTAGTCATCTCAGACGGGGGAACAGGCCACCTACGGTTTAGGAAACCAGCGTATAGAAGACAATTATCATCAGCAGCAGTACACTTATTCCGGACTGAACGATTTCCGAGGAGTTCCTTTCGATAGAAATGGTTCCGGTAGTGGCAGCTTTTATGGGATCTAGAGCCCATCGTGGGAACTTGGTGGGGACGAAGAAGGAAAGGCGGATGGGAGAACAAAACAGGAGATCTCGATCCCGGCTATGAGCCTAATCTTATACCTGTCATAACGTGGCGTTAAAGGCTCGCATGGTTTTATTTTTCTCGAACAATTGGAGGGGTTAAGGCGTTTGAGAGCATCATACCTCAGGTTGCGACGGCCGTGCCGAGGCGGACGGATGTTTCGCAATGGCTATAGATGGTTATTACTGCATCCCCGGCACGACCACGGGGCAACAAAGGCGGTACGATAGGAGAGTTACCTACTATTCGGCAGGGAATCGAGCGTCGGCTACGTATTATGGTGCGAGCTGAGCTCGTCCGCCTATGCGAATACGTTGTGGTTCTGATATTCGAGATTTGGAGGAGGAAGAGATGGGCCTTTAATTGCCGAGCATTCTTAGCGGGCGACGCTCGCGAGATCTTTAGTGAGTACCACGGAATTTAACGAATTAAGTTTCGTTCTGAATGGTATATGCATTCGCCTGGAGAGATATTTCTATGTGCTATATTATCGTGGTCTCGATGTGAGAGCAATGTTGCGATTTGTAAATTACGTGATATAAATCATCGTAAGTATATTTGCTAAGCAGACCTTCCTTGCTTGTGTAAAACGTCCTTTTCCATTCTTGTCGTAAAATCAAAATTTACCAGTATAAGTACTTATATAAGTATGGAGATTTCCCTATTGCCTTTATTTCATTATTTATCGTTATCTAGGACGAGGAGCTTGCTATAGATATCGTGGAAATTTGTCTTCCCTCATTAATCGATCGCATCCGCGCCAGCTATAAGAGGTAATAAGATAGGTACCTATATTATCCTTGCTTACACCGCTGCGACGAGATGGTGCGATGTAGCCTACCTAGTCCGAAGGATCGTCCCATCCCCGCCAAGACTGCGGTGACAGATCCGCCTAGCGGGCAACTTCCCGATCCTCAGCCTGCTTTGCTCTGGTAAAACCATTTAAAATACATGATTCCGAACGACGATCCGCGCGCGCGCAGGCAGGCAGGTAGATAGGCAGGCGACGTTTGAAGGGTACATAGCAGTATGTAAGTAAAAAATCCACATTCCGTTTTTTGCGTTGTCCTCCCCTTGTCCCCTTGTCATTCCTCCATCGCCTCCTCCTCCCCCCCGTCCTTCGTTTCTCCGAGCGGAGATTCGACGTAACCTAAGCAGAAGAAACCCTTACCCTTCGTGATCTGTCGTGGGTCCGAATCGGGCAGGACTAACGGATGGTCGTTGCCGAAAGCGTGGGTTCTAGGGATAGGAGTTACCCATATCATGTTCCTATATTTAAATCAGGAATTAGTTCAAGTGTCAAACAACAAACAAGCTAGCTTGTACAACGAAGTTTATTTTTGTCTTCTGTCCTTGAAGAAAACATAGGATTGGGAGTTGGATTTTTGTTTGTGGGATGGAACAAGGGCTGCTAGATCTACGGCGAGCGTGTGGATAGATCGTCTGTCGACGAAGTTCTCAAAATCGAGTATTGTCGAAACAGAAGAGTCGCGATTATTTTTCAACCAACGTTGCCGTAGATCTTCGGCTGGATAATTTACGCATTATACGGGCGCCGTACAACAGAGAAAATAATAAAACAAACAATAAAAAACATACCTTCAAGTAGTCATGTCCCTTCTCCTGATACTCTGCCTTGGTCACTGTAGCCGTCTTCCAGGCTGGCGTGCCAACCCACTGAGCGGCGCCGCGCCACGCATCTAGCAACGGGTCGCCGGCGCGACGAATGTTAAGCGGCGCATCTATAGGTAGGAGCGGTGTGAGACCCTGGCGGAGGCGGTTGTCGAAACTATCGAAGATCGTATTACCGCCCGTTAGGAAGATATCCTTCAAGAAGTCATCACGGTTTAGTCCTGTGATGCCCACGAGCCGTTGCGTAAGGATGTCGCCAGCAATCTCCACAAGGCCCGCCTGATCGACGCCTGCAATTGAAGGCTGAAAGAGGACCTCCGGCACCCGTATGCGTTCGACATTAAGGTGGATCTGATGGGTTTCTGCTTGGGAAGACGGGTCGAAGGGTCGGGGCCCACGCAGAAATGCGTGTAGGAGGCTTTTGTTCCAGTCGTTTTGTGCCTCCCACGTATGTTCGTGTGTGAATCCCTCATCATAACGAAGTAGGTCTTCCTCGAGCGTCTTAAGGGTTACCTCGAGATCTTCCTCGCCTTCTTCGTCGTCACTACCTTCGCCTACTTGGATCTGCCTGTACACACCCCAGTCGTCGTCGTTTGCGCCGAAGTTATCGTCGTCTCCGCCGCGACGGCGTTTGCCTCTCGGGTTATCCGACGCGAGATTCGCGATAGACTTCATGCGAATTTGTGAAGCTAGCGACTTTCGGTTTCCGAGATCTGCCTTTAGGCGATCTCTCTCCTTAATTTTCTGTAGCGTAAGGTTACGCGCCACTCGTTTTTCGTCGAGCCAGCCCTCTAGATCATTCACCCGTCGCTCCATGTCCAACCGTTCCTCTTCTGCAGCACGCGCTTTCTCGGCTTCCTTCTCGGCTTTAGCACGTGCTCGTGCCTCATGATTTGATTTTAAAAGTCGCTGATGCCGCTTTTGCTTCAGACTAGCTTCGTCTAATTGGTCATCAGGCACCTCAAGGAGGCTGAAGTCGGGTTCCTCCTGCTCCTCTTCTGGATCGCCACCCACGTCCTTCGTACGGGCTCGCTTGATGGACTTGTCTAGCTCTTTAATTGTACGCTCAAGATGCGCCTCATCCTTCATCTCCTCTGCGTCAAGAAGGCGTTTCGTGTCCTTCTTGTTCGCATCATTTATCTTTATTTGTAATTTTCTGTAATACTCCAACTCTTGCTCTTTCCTCATTAGCTTTTCTAAGCGCATCTTAGCCGCTTGCTCTTGTAGTCGTCGCCCACTCTCTTTCTTTCGCTCGGCTATCTTAGCGAGTTCTTCTTCGCTCTTTTGGATTATCACTTCTTCTGTGAAGGGATATTGGATTACGACATCGCGGTCTTCTAGCCCAGTCCAGTCTAAATAAGATCGTAGCTCGTCATCATATGACTGGGATATATAACAATGATCTCTGATCATATGCTCGGCCTGAGAGGCGTTGAGTTTTCCTGGGAACGACGGGTACTTGAGACGGATGAGCTTCAGGAGGTATTCCGCAGCATGCCATCCTCCCCAATTTAATCGGATAGCCTGTGCTAGCATAGCCTTCGAATCGAACACGGGAATGACATGGGTAGAGCTATATGAGGAAGAGACTACTAGTCCGGTAGAACCCTTGTTGTAACGGTAGGAGAAAAGAGAATCGATGCCGGTTGCAAATGACGGGGCCTGGTAGCATTCGAATATGATTTCATTCATAGCTATATGAGACGTTAGGTAGATTGAGGCAAACGGGTTTTTGAGAACTTACATTTTCGTGAATAAGGTAGGTTGGCCACGGCCTCAGTCATGACAATAGGCAAGTCAATAGAACCGTCGTTGTTGTTCATTCCTAGCTTCAGAAACGTCCAATCTAGAATGTGCTCTTCCACGTCCCAGTTGCTGACAATGCCTGTCCCAGCTTCAAAGGCATTTCTGATGTGTCCACGGGCAGTCGTGTCGGCGTAACAATCGAAGCCTGCGAAGGAATAGGTCTTACCAAGTTTTCGATCTCGATACTTGGCCATAATAGGAGGGATGCTCAATCGTGGCTTCGATTCGAATGACCACCCAGCTCTAACGGCAGACGACCCATTGTCGATGACGATAGCGACGGTACCGGCAGGCTTTGCCAGAGCCTCTTCGAGACCATCAGGCTGAGCAGGAGTTGGTTTCTCAAACTTGGTTTCCTTCGCATCGTAGATTCGGGCGGGCGGATATGTCTTTTCCTGGCGCACGGGAAGCGCAGGAATATCGATCGCGGAGGGCGCCATATTATTGGGATACGCGGTCGTGATAGTTAAGGAAGTTGGCAGTATTGTTGCATGGCTGAGTTGAGTTCAAGTTGTTGTAGGTGGCAAGTTGGAGGTTTTCAAAAATGGGACTATGATTGACCTTGTATTAGTTGCTTTATCAATTGATAACAAATTATGCGATCTATGTGCGTAATCTATGCTGTTACATGAATGGTGAACTTTTTTTTCGAGTTCCTTCCTTTCTCTGAACCGTTTGTCGATGCAAGGCTGACGAACAGACAAACCTTGGTAGAGCTTGCCCTTGCTACTGTCGGATGTCGGGACACTGTAAAAGATCCCCATTGGCAGCTATATTCAGTGGGATCCACTAAGATTGTACTACAAGGTTAGGTGCTGTACATAGGTACTATTTATTAAGAAAACTTTATGTATAAGCATCGCGTCCATTAGGCTAGGGAGTCGAATATTCACATTAAAGATCGCGAATATACTACATACTACTAGTAGGCACAGAGTAGAAGGTGGCCCTTTTAATATTTGTGCTTGATTGGTTGATTCTTATTATTCGGGAATCATCGAGGATCTACTGCAAAAGCATTAACTATAGACAGAAACTCCTAAACTTCATGAGTTCCTATAGACTTAAGGTCGAGTGTCTACTAGACCGAGGCTTATTATAGCTGTCTCGAGTTTCGTACAGAACACCTAGGACTGTCTCCTAATTGTCGAAGAGTTTGTATACCCAAATTCTCCCTCGGTATTGAGCTAACTTATATGGGCTCTTTCAAGTTGTCGGTGGCTGTTTGAGAAGTTTAGAACAAATTACAAGCTTGGAATTTGCTGGTCAATTAGGTAAAATGCGACTCACCTTCTAAGTGGAAGAGCACGTTGGATTGATAATTCTTGAACATCTGGGCTACAAGCTCGATATTCATGTTCTGAACGTTGATTTCCTGAAGACTTTTGTTCATAACGACGATTGCTTCGTTGAGTTTCTCCTTTATATGCTATAAGCTGTCTGGACTTGTAGTGGGGTTGAGAGCCATGATATATCACTTACAACATTGGTGATGATACGCGAGAGGAGCAGGTTCTGTTGATGCTCGTGAGGGCTCTCCTATATGCATGGTCAGCTCATTTTAATTCATTATTATGTCAATAAAATAGGAAAGAAATACCATCTTTTCAAGTTGACTCTTTTGCTTATACTTTATTGTTGACTTGTTCTTTGGTGGGATGTGGAAGAGTTCAGGTGTAGGTACTAACAATCTGGAATAGCGCAGTTGCATGGGTCATTTAGATAAGCGGTGGCCTAAGACGATCGAATTTGCGTGGTTCTTTCCAAGCTCTTTTAGCACCTTTAGCTGCATACCAGGTACCTAAATAGTTGTGACTAGGGCGTCATCGATCATATCTAATAAGAACCATACTATATCTAACAACAAACTTCAACATACCTCCTTCATAAACGAATCTCAGCCTCGATAAACATCATTCCAAAACAACATTTCCCTTCAATCGACCAAAATGGCAGCCCCGACTGAAGCACAGATTGCGCATCAGGAGCTCATCGACCAGCTCGACATCCATTCCATCCACAAGAGCTTCCGGAATCCTCACTGGCGACCTAATCAGCGGCGCAACAAGAACATTAAGACCATCCTTGGCGATGCCTCTCGCAAGGAGGCTACATCTATCGTCGCTACTCCTCAGGATAATAGCGGTGCCGTTACTCCCACTCCTGCTGACGACGGGCTCTCAACTAGCGGTTCTTCGACGCCCGCGCAGCAGTCTGCTACTAGTGCAAACAACAACTCGAACTTGCAGCCGAATCTTGCCCAGGCTTCACGTAGTTTGTCGAAGCTAGTTCTTGAAAAGAGCTTGCGACCGGGTGGAACTGGTGGGAGTGGAGGAGCGACGGTCTCGGCGGCACCAAGCGCGACGTACACGAACATCGAGTCGGCACCTTCACTCGCACACACGAAGCGGTATTGCGACGTTACTGGTCTCCCTGCTCCTTACTTAGATCCCAAAAGTCGACTACGATACAACAGCAGGGAAGTCTTCGGCTTTATCCGCACTCTACCACAGGGCGTAGCCGAGCAGTACCTGGAGGCCAGAGGTGCACACACGGTCTTGAAATGAAGAGAATTCGGCGATTCGAGATGTATGCAAGCGGTTTTATCAAGCATTATGGTTCTACTTAATTCTGCCTTGTCATTTCCACCTCGGCTACAGGATTTACAAAGACAAACACCATGTGCAATGTCCTTTAATCTTTAGAGGGTTTAGAGGCATATCTATTATTTGGGGAATTAGAGGCCAATTGGCCAAAGGAACAACGGCACATATACATATGTTCGACCAACAAAGTCAAGCCTATCCTACGCATCGGTCACCTCTCGACAACCGATGTAAGGTTACGCTCCGGCTTAATCGTGATCAGGAAAATGGGTTTGTTCTCCGCCTGTAACTGACGGGTACCGAGAATGAATGGGGATGATCAATCTCAGTGACCATAGCTCGAGAGCTAAGGACGCCGCGGCAGGATATCATAGCAATTGCCAATTGGCCTTCTTCGGAAGGCCAGTTCGACAGCGTTCAGTTAATAAAAACATATATCAACTCCAAACTCTCAACTCTTACCATCATTCTAATCTATTAAGCTCCAGTGATATGAAGCTCAAGCCCATATTCATTCGAACAGAACATTGAAGTATGTGTGTATAGACAAGAGCTTTTGGCAAACCAAAAATGTCGTGAATATTAACTCCAAGAGACATGCGTAGAAGCGATAGACAGTGTTTCTAATAAAAGGTGTCTATTGTGGAAGAAGATAGTAGAAGCTAAAATTCTGCTAGGAAGTACTAGGTTTAAGTACGCTAGCCATTAGCAGCTGCCACCAGCTGTTTCACACCATCCACGGCTGTCGCGTTTAAGGGTCAGGTTTCATTCCGCGATTCGTGTTCTATTCAACTAAAATGTCCCCTGACGCAAGCTTATTGAATATTTCGAAATTTACGACGATTACAAGTTCCCGAGTCCCAAAGCTTCGGCAAATTGACCAATTGCGCCCATCTCTTCGCCGATAAGCCTCCTATTTCGTGTACGCCTGTTGCGACGACCTCTATGTAGTAGGACCACCGTCCTCTTCTCTACATCTCCCTCTTTTCCACCTAGATCCGACCGATTCAAAATGCCTACAATGTGGTTATCAGATACCCAAAGTAAGAAATACCAAAATATGAGAGTCTCGGGTCCTTAAGAGGCTAGGATTAGCACGGACTAAATATTAACACCGCGTATAGAGATTGGGGTTGCTTTCTGCTCTGGCGGTACGTGATATTCGAAATGTAGCTGTGCTCGCGTGTCCTCTAAGGGATACCTCGCGCGCACATGCATGCATGTATTTTACGGCGGCGCTGATGCGGGGTGTTATCCGTGTTCCATAGGAGGCTTCTTCCTAATCGGAGGTGTTATGCTATTCTTTGATCGAGCTATGTAGGTGCCTATCTAGGGATATCTCCTTAAACTTCAATTTGGCACGTTTGCTTCGACTGCTATTCTAACAGCGTTTCTTTACACGCACATAGGCTTGCGATGGGCAATGTACGCCACCCTCTCCTTTCCCCTGACTTATTTCTCGGCCATACTCGAATATCAAGACTACGAATTTTCTCCCCCTAACCGTCAGCCTAGATCCTTTTCCTGATCGGACTCACGATAATTATTGGCCCGCAAAAAACGCTTCTCTTTTTCGCACGGAAGCAGAAGGCTAAGGGAACTGCTGCTTTCTTCCTCGGACTCCTACTAATCTTGATGCGGTGGCCTCTAATCGGCTTTTGCGTCGAGTTGTACGGTATTATGGTTTTGTTTGGCGACTTCCTCGGCACAATAGCGAGTTTCGCTCGTAACGCACCCGTTGTTGGACCCTATATCGGCATGTTGATCGATCGTATACCTGGTTTTGGCGGGCGGCGAAACGCCGAGTTACCCGTATAGACCGAACGACCACAAGTATGGATTATTCTATAGCTGTAGCTAGCTACATAACCCGCCCGCCTACCCCTTTTACACTACCTGAAATGGTTATTCACGAGGCCGAGCCGCGATGCCTTTATGTCACACAGCTTCAACGCGGAAACGTTAATGAGGAAGTAGGATAGGTCTGTATGATATTGTATATGACGGTATAGAGGATTTCTTTCGGGAGTGCCAAACTAGGTTCGGGGATACCCAGAAGCAAACTAGAACATTTGAGCCCGCAAGGCCTGTGAAGATCATTTTTTCGCCATGAGCTAAGAAGGCGCCTGTGTAACTTTTTACATGTGAAAAGAAAAACGGTGCGAGAAGAAGAAAGAAGGCCACTTGTCATTTGCCTATGCAGAGTCTAGGGGAACCGGCAGATGATGCGATGATAGTCTCGGAGAAAAAGGGACGACGAAACAGTCAAGGCCACCTTCGCCGCCGCCATTCGGCGTTGTATGACATCAACAACAGAAAATTCTTGCTAAACTCATCCCCCTTGCTCTGCAGTCCCAGAACAGCAGGCATTAATCCTATCCCACTCTGGCGCTATCCACACGCCACGCCCGTCTACAACCCTCGACACGATACGAGCTATCCCCAATGAATACCACGTCTAGTATCCGACCTTAATAAGGTAGTCCGCGAGTGCTTCGGTGGTCTGGGTCGCGTTTCCGACTTGTTGAGCCTCGCCGTAGTGGCCGATCAGGATCGCTTGCTTCGTCTTGACGATGACAATACCCGTCCGGCCCTATGATTTTGCGTACTCCGGTCAACTATTTGATCAAAGTAAGATGTTTATTATATGAACCCACCTGTCGTGCATAGACGCTTCGGTCCTCTGATCGAGTCATTACGTATCGTTCGCCTGCAACATGGATGCCGGCCGACCAGGCTTTGTCTTCGGCATCTCCAGTTTTGGCTAGAATGTTAACCAAGTTCTTCATCTCATCGGGTTGAATCTATCAGTCCAAATAAGTCAGCCACAGGAACCTTCGCACGCGATAACACTTAACGAAGTGTGCATTTGTTCCCTATCCCAATATATCTCGTCGAAAAAGTTAGGAAGGATAAAGAATAGGGATCATCAAATACCGTAAACCCAGCAGTGGTGGCCCAGACGCTGTCACCAGCAGCGCTAATGATGACGCCCTTATCAAGATGGCCAGTACCAACAAGGCTATCATTAGACAGGAATGGTTAGCAGACCGGTATGGATATGTTTGACGCATAACGCCGTCGTGTTACGGTGACGATGGTGATAATTACCTGGTATCAACGTAGGCTATGACGAAGGTCAGCCCTGTCACCTTAACAAAGGTGGGGTTACTAGATATCAAAAGGGGGGGAATGTTCTATTTACCTTGCCACGACATGGTTGCTAGAGTTGGTGATTTGCGTATATCTCGAGATGAGTAGCTGGCGGAAGAGCAAGAGGGAAAGAAGAAGAGACGATGTGTTGTTTACTGGAAGTTGGCGTGTTTAGGGGGAAGAATTGGCACGAGCCTTCAGATGTCAATGAGAGAAAAAAACGGATGCGCAGTTCTGATTAGGTGATGTGACCACTCTGGGCACGACCTGAAGGAGGGGCTGTTTTCGGGTTTAGATTACTAGGTACCTACAGGTACCGACTTTTGATTGCTGCCCGCCCGCCCACATTGTGGCGCATTATTAATAGACTATGTGGCTTTCCGTCATCTCAGGGGTAGAAGGGGGAAAGGAAAGTCCAACAATTTTCTAACAATATTTGCAGCTCACAATTTATCAGCCACAAATCAACAAATCATCCTCTCATCATCGCCCCGCCGTCATACGTCAGTTCCAATTACCGGGTTACTAAGGAACATGCCCAGTGGTTAGAAAGACCAAATAAAAAAGACAACAATGAAAAGTTGAAGTCATCAATTTATGTATCCATCATATCCATTATCTCTACCTACTTAGTACGACCATCACATACGTAAAGCCGACTTGCTTTTTTTCCCCTTCACGATCATGTACTACTCGAAACCACATGATTCATGCAAATTAATTATACATTTTGATTATTTAATTGTTTATGTGAGACAATGGATTGTCTCAGTGGCAGTATGGTAACTGAACGGATCCCGAAGATGCCTATCTTGAATTGTAATCCACAATCCACACAGACAAGACAGAATATACTTACCAAGAACACTAACATCAGGCACCAACATTTCCATTATAAACCATAAAACACTATAGGCGAATATTATTTCCCACCAGGCATCTCCATTTGTGCTTGTCCTAACCTCGAGAGGATGGTTTACTAATTATTAGCAACGCGTTGTCCGCCCCCATACCAATATTCTGCATGAAGACGATCCTACATCCTCCGTTTGACGATATGTCTTCCACCACCAACTCACCGCCATCATTGCTGACTTGGTATTGCATCATTGGCGGCATTGGCAACCTCTTGGAACTTAGGTAATCATGGCTCTACCCCACGACCGATTCAAGCAAAGTCATGGTTATAGGTTATAAACTTCGCATTATACTTTTCACCCTTGCGTCGAACCTATATCTCCAGCGGGTTGTCGGCGGGTCAAAATAAACTCGGGACGAAGACCTAAATAAGATAAAGCTAGTCCGATGACCTAAATAGGATGTGATTGTCAGGCACAATACAGGTCCGAAGTTATACATATGTACGTATGTAGTAACCCGAATTCTAGCCTCGGACTTCGTACCAATCTTCCAGGATGATGCCTTCTAAGTGTTAGTATCTCAAGTCTTCGACTCAACGTGACATACCTAGGTAATAAAGTAAGAAGAAAAGCTCTTGGTGTTTGGACCATCGATTATACAATATGTAACGGTCCTCGGTAACGTCTTACTAAATCGTCAAGGCATCATTGGATAGTCACAAGCCTATCTATCATTAGTAACAAACATTATCTATATGATATTCTCTTAGTGGGGAACAGAGCATCAAGTTATGAGTAGTGGTAATAGGTATCATGTTAATAAAAACAATTGGTTTTTGGAGCACGGAGGAGGGTTCAACCTCGCAAGTTATACCTCGTAAGCATCCAGGAAGTGATGAGCTTGAATGTGGATTATGTAGGCATACATATAGTAAGATCGGCGCCACAAGGTTCAAATTCCGCCAACGTGCTTAAGCATGAGGCTATTAGCTATCATGATGTTTGTGTCAATGATATAATACCCCGCCATACGACATTCCTAACGACGACCTTAACAATTATACCAAGGTATGTACGTACTTAGCAGGTGGATTTCATCTCGTCAATTTAGACCCGGATGCTTTTTATAGTCCCCTTCAGCCATTCGGAAATTTATGTGTCAAATACTGATCTTTCACCAGTCATGACCGAGCTATCCACACATTGTACGGCATCGTTTTCATGAGATGATGGAAAGCCACAAGGACTAAGTATAACCTACATACGTTATATCCATGACGATTGGCGTTAAGCATAACCTTGCGTAGCCGCCTCAACCATTTAAAGGTTCGAATGGGCGACGATGTACATAAGTTAGATCGTCTTGGGCGATCTAGTATGTCGATCGCTAGTATGTCAATCGCTAATGATCTGAGCTAGATCGCCTGGGACCATTTTCATACCATTTTGACGGGACTGATCACAAGGAGTTGCGGAAGATTGTTGTTTGATGTGAATCAGGCTTAAATACTAGGTGAATTCTATCTTGGGAAGATATCCTCGTGTTTGAGATAACCTTGGTAAGTCCGATCTAACAACAAAAAAAAAAACAAGATGCCGCGCGTCGAAGATGATAAAACACCCGAATTGCCATACCTACTAGGTACCCAAGTATTTGTTCGTCGGAATATATTTCCTAGCGTGCCTTCTTCAAGAACATTTGAAGATTTCAAGCTCGATTAGCTCCGAGCACAGACCATTCTCGGAGTCTAGGATACGTACATATTTCGCAATCTTCCATGTTTCACAGCGTCTAAAGGGGTATAGCTCAAGTTTCGAAACCACCAGCAAGGATCTCAACCCCTCTGTCACTCTTCAGTCCTAACGATATTTAGTTACCAAGTCATCTCAACCGGACCGGGTGGTGAACTTTAACGCGGATAATAATTCATACAAGCTACTGGAATGCTACGTGACATAATGCCGAACTACCTATTTGATAACGGGATATCAACTTCCAAGTTATTTACGAGAGCTTACCTAGTTATGCCTCGGCATGTGCAAGATGGCTCAAGCCATACGAGAGCTGCTCAAACATACTGCCCGTCAACTCGTACAACCCAAGAATCGATTCATTTATTTGATTGGGACATCTTCTAAAATGAGTAAACAAAATTCCGGGGATAATTCTCCTATGGACGATCCCATTGGAAGAAGCGACTGCAAGGGATCTTTGAACTTTTTGTTCGACCAAGATTTGACAATTTGCTATTGGCCAAACATGTTTCCCATCCTATCAGATGGAAGAATACAAGAGAGTAATATAAAATATGCCATGCGAGTTCTATACACCGCTGCTGCAAGCTAGATGAAAGGAGGCTCCCCTCTCATTTCCTAGCCTTGCTCTTATTTTCAAGATTACAGCGCATACCTCGACCATTAATGGGCTTCGGTAGAACTCCGAGCTTCTCACTCGTCCGAGACTCTGTCGACTTTCCTTGGTCATCGGGCCATTTTAAAAAACACGGGGGCAAACTGCCAAGCAACCATTGCTTCAGGGCATCCCTTGGTAGTACAGAGAGCAATGCGACCCCGTATCGAAAAGCTTCTCGAACAATTTCCTACTATTTACAGTACATTGCAGCTGTCTGTTCTCGCTCGATCGGTTTCTTAGGGGCGTATTGTATCAGCTTTCCAAGTCAAGTTGGCCAGATACAAACGAACTACCAAGCTGGAGATCCCCCATCAATGCTCATTGCTAGCCTTGATACACCACACCATCACTAATCCCGCGATCCCCCCTGGGATTCCGTTCACATCATTCCAACAAACACCCCGGTTCCAGAGTAAAGAACCCACGCAGACATGGGTCACCCTTGACGTCTTCTACAATGCATTCTGGAGCTGAACCCTACGTGTTGATCTCCCCTCCAAAATAACCATCCCATGATCCATCAACCTCAAACAATCTTCAGCGTTGTCACCTTTCTGACCTTGCATATCTTAGTGAAATGGAATCCCCCAAGCAGCCACAACCGTCATGGCCGATGGTTCATGGTGGGTGGTAAGCAATCGATGATCCGAACAGACGTCTGGTAAGAATTCGTTGACAATCCTCGGACTAAAGCCAATCGTCCATCACTTACCAATAAGCTTGTATCTTCCTTTCCCTTGCCCCTAGTTCGAACAGCGAACGGCCAATTTATTGAGCATGATCATAGAAATTACCTCATATGTAAAGACCACGAATCAGTACACGTTTAACCTCTCAGCACCCACAACTCAAATAGTCTATCTATCAAGGTCCATATTTGACTCCTCTACTTACTATACACGTAGTACAAAGTAGGGGTTGCAATTTGAGCCGAGTATGTATGTACCTAGCTAGTGCCGTTGCCAGACAGCCGATGGAGGGCCATGCAGGTCCGGATGCGTTCGTGACGCACGTCCCCGACTACCCCGTCCTAGAGGACTAGGTTGGGAACCAGGTTGTGTATCAGATCCCGCCCTACCACAGCCGTTTTATAATCATTGTGGTGCGCCTTACCTGGGTGTTCTTGCAAGTGCAAATCTGTGTTGCTCTCGTACTCAGTCTCCTTCGCCGCCGTCCGAAGTCAACATGTCAGTGAGACCGAGTTCATCGAGGGGCCTCAGTTCCAATAGTTCAGCCAACAACAGTTTTAAGTATGACAAGAGGATATCTAGGGACGACTCTTTCATCAACTCTCGAACAGCGGTCGGGGCTGGATTTAAATCATACAACAATTTTGCACGGGGACAACTACCTACACCAGAAATAAGCCCACGGACATCACCTCCGCGCAAAATATCCGTCCCAACTGTTAGGATGCCTACCCCCGAGTCTCTCAACGACACTAGTTCTTCGGAGATAGGCATGGCACTTGGAAGTCCTACAAGCGTCCCGGTGAGCGGTGGCTCACGGGCACCTCAAACGACTCTTCGCGCCCCGCCGATCCCGACACCATCTTTGGTATCGCCTGCCGCATCTGGGATTAGTTCTACTGGCTCCTTACCTAGGAAGCAGTCGACGAAGTGGAAGTTGTTTGGTAGATTTGGAAGGAAACCATCAGAGCAATCTCTCGCAGGACCGGTACCGAACGAACTGAGAGTTTTGTCTAAACCAGAACAGACACAAGACATGACTTCCCAGCCTTGGTACGACTCAAATGTGCAAAGGAGCAATACTGTTGGTACACGTAAACCACCAAAACATAAACCGATTGTAATTAGGTCTCAAACACTGCCTCATGATGACAGCCCACCACAAGTGCCAAGATCAACATCTAGGTCAAGCGGGAAGAAGACCGAAGAGACTTTTGGAAGAATCCCGATAGCATTGGACACTAATCAGTGTTTGTCAAGTCCCTTGCTGAATGTTGAGATTCCGGATATCACCATGGAAAGATACAGCGTCATGTTTGGAAGCGTACTGCAGTCACAACCTTCACTGTTAACTAGACGGCAAGCCACGGTTCAAAAGCTTAAGAGCATTGAAGATGCTGTAGAAAGAGAAGAGGTAAGAAATCCAAGACTCTACTATTATTCGTGTACTAATTCATTCTATAGGAGGAAAAATATCGCGAAAAGCATCATGATATGCATCATGAAGTTTTAAAGAGTCCGAGGAGAGTAACATCACCTGCGACGGGGTCGCCGGCATTTGCTTTATTTCCTCCTCAGAGAATAGCACAAACACCACCCTCTAACCCATCACCACTTTCACGATCTAATACTTCTCCTGCAATGCTTCGATCGCCTTTAAAGGCGGCCTTCGATCACACTGCACCTAATAATCACATACAATCTCATGACGCGCCCAGGCATAATCATCTCAAAGAATCTTCTGGTCGCCCCTATCCAAAGGGAAAGCTTACTATTGCAACTCTAGCTAGAGCAAGGGAGCAAAACAATGCTCCTAAGGAATACCAATTTAGTCCCGACTCGTCGAATTTAGTGCTGGAATCTCCAACGGAGATGTCGTCTCCTGAATTTGAAGTAGTCAAGCCGGGGTCTATACGTCCGAGAGCCTCGTACATACAGGAGCCCAAGTGGCAGATGATAACACCACAACAACAAACGCCCTCTACCGCAAACTCGTCTTTGGCAAGCGATAGGAAGCCTCCGCCTTCTTCGCCGGCGACATCCGTAACCTCGAAGACAAGCCAGGACTCGAAAGATGAGGACGACTTGTTGGAGAATAGCTCTAACATGAACCCCGTAGAGTTATCGATCGCCCGGCAGATCTCGATATCTCGACAGCAGCGAAAAATGCTGAGACCCTTACAAACGGCTACGAGGACACAGAGGAGCCCTTCTAAACCAATCCCCGTCCCTAAAATCGCTATAGGCCAGAACGAGAGACTCGCTGAAACGACTACTAAGACGCCGATTCTAATTACGCCTGAAGAGACAACCAGCAACTCTAACCTGGCGGCGCATCGGAAGAGCGAGCGCGTCGTATTGGAACGAGCATGAGATTGCTCGGTCCATATCTAATTACTACATCTTCACATCGACTTTTTTTTCATTGCATATCTGCTCGCGATTTACATTTGACTTCTAGGCGTCGGTAGCGCCTCCCACTAGGAATTTTGCATTTATAGAAAACGGCTCGGGGGTTTATTGTTATTTTTTTTCTTCCTCTTCTTCTCCCTTGGAAAAGAGGGGTGGGCTTTTGTTTACTTTGTGTCTGGGAATATACCCTTCGGAGGATAATAGAATCTGGGAAAGAGTCTGCGACTCGCATCGTTTATGCCATACGTTTTTACTTTGTCGAGAGCGCGGAGGGAAATGAGAGAAATGCACGATGTGCCTTGATGGTAATCGTTTGATACCCTGGGTAGTCCGAGGAGGTCGAACGGAGAGATGGGATTGGAGAAGAATGACTAGACTGATTGTCTTGGGGCAGATATGATGAGAGTAATTGGGATGGGGTCGGGTTCGCGATAGTTAGATCTAATCTGGTCCTATGCGGTTGAATAAACACCACCTTCACCCCAATATATATAAGTTTCGTAACGACGTAATCATGTGTGACCATTTCATATTATGCCTGCCCGCTTTGACTGTCGGGATGCTCTCTATGTAGCCATGTCTGCGTAATCTTTAACTCATTCATTCTCTCTGCCTCTCTACACCTTGGCGGTAATGTCCTCTTGCCTCTTTCCCTGACTTGCCAACGAATGACTCTGCCCACCACCGCTTCCCCTATAAGTGCTCGGGCGGAATAGCGCCCGCGGATATAGATAGACGAAATAAAATGGCCATCCACATAACCGTTCACCAAACTGCGTGTCTCGTTGCTATGCTAAAATGAGACACTGATGCCGTTCACTTCATCCATCCGGTGCCAATGCCAGTGCTAGCTACAATAATGGCGTTACGTTTACATGAGAACACAGCAGGTGTTCTGCTTTTTTGCTTGTTCTGTGACGGGGAAAGTCAGCATCACCCTCGAAAGGGGAGAAAGAGTGGGGATATGGGTAAGAGGGAAAAGAGGGAAAAGAGATAAGATGTTGGGTGGGGGGTAATGGGTAAGGAGGGGGGGATATCAAACGTACGGTAGAACATCTTGCTCTGGTTGCTCAGGCCGTCGCTCTTGGCGACGAGGTCGTCGATCTTCTCGCCGCGTTGGAGAACGCTCTCGATGGTCTTGTGTAGGGTGATCTTGGTCTCGTCGAGCTCGCGCTGGATCTTGAGGATGCTGTCGGCTTGGTGCGGGTCCTGGTACTTCACCAGGTAGTCTTGCAGCTCTGGCATGGTTACGGTTTGCCCTGACGCCCACGATGTTTTTGGGTGCGCTGCGAGGAACTCATCCATCACCTTCGATAGCAGCTGGTGCGCTACTAGGGCTGGGTATTGGTGGTCGGAGATCATGATCCCGCAGACGCCTTCCGTTCGTCCGTATGCGTGGAATGTGTAGTCTGTGTTCCGGCGAGGTAATGCCAATCAGTTCTTCTGTTCGTCTTTATTGTGTTGTCTGGGATGATTTCGGATTGGCGGTCGCACCTTGCTCCTCAACATCCTGTCTCTGTCCCGGTCTCGTCCGCTCCGCTACGGTCTTCGCGAACATGGTCATGAATTCGCCATAGCTATGTTGATATTCGGGTTAGCCCTATCTCTTCATACTGTATTCGGAGGCGGTGGGCCGGGTCGTACTTTGCACGGGTGAAGCGCGAGTAGGCGCTTAGCTCTTTCTCAGCGCATATTTCAATGCCTGGCTTGCTGTCGTTCTTGATGATCTAATTGTATGAAAATGCCATGTTAGTTAACTGTCATATAGGTACGGCTATGTGTAGATTTGTATGTATGTCTTCTAGGCAATTCCGTTGTCGACGCTCGAGATTGGCGACCGGGGTGTAGATATGTAGGTATACATACTCCAATGTAATGCAGCTTCATGTTGACAGATAGCTAGATAGAGGAGACTACGACTCGAAGGGATGGATAGGACGGAAATGGTCAATTCTGAATATGTTGATGTTTATTCGGTGTTGACTTTGGAGCATAAAATTCAGGAGATAGTAGCATAACCTCGAAACCAAGAAAGTTAGGGATTCAAGGATACATCCATGGATGGATAACAAGCAGGAGCCCCGGAGGTGAGGTCAGCGGTCACAGCCTTTGTCACATGTACTCAACGCTCCTCTTTAGGCGTAAGTACATGACTTAGTGGGGCCGTGGTGGCCGTAGTACCTCCCAATAGCGGGACTTGGAATTCTGGGGAATCAATCAGTGCGCTAAAATATCGGTACGCAACTGCCTGCAGTGCTCACTGACAGCCCTGGAGGGCAGTTACGGTACCTAGCCCCCCGGCGTAATAGTCATCAAGATTCAAGACTCATCCATCTTTTTTCACAAATTTGTGATTATGTCGGGCTCATATAAAATTTAACGACAAATTATCTATCGTTAGGAAATTCTGAGCGCTATAAGTCTATTCTTTTATCTTTAATCTACCAAGGTAGGTACCTATAAATCAACAAATTGTCTCATTTATTTGCCCTCGTCAATTGATCACCAAAATGTCTTCATCTATGAGCGAGGCGGAAGCACAATGGCGGGAACAGTTTGCTACTATGAAGGCTGCCCTAGCAGACTTAAAACTTCCAGGAAAGAATCGGTCTATCGAATCTGAGCTTAATCTAGACTTCGACCTAGACGATGAGGATTTCACTTCTGGAAATAGCGGCGACGATGTCTGGGATTTCATAGATGACAGCGAAGAAGATTTATATAGCAGCGATTTCATCGAAGAAGCCAATGGACAACCCGGTGACGGTCAATATGGGCCAACTTGGTTTTCAGAACAGTGCTCTGTTATTGCCTCTAAGAAGAACGGATTATCCCCCGACGCATTTCAAACCCAAGTCTTGGAGGTATTGAACTCTCAACGATCCGAGGACGAATTACAGTCTCAACTTGCCGATATCGTCGGGTTCGATGATTTCGAATTTATCATTGAATTACTATCTCATAGGCATGAAATTACCTCAAGTTTCGCTGCTCAGGAAACAATTAGGCCGACTGGCCGACTTCTAACTAAAGCTGAGAGAGATGAGGCTCTTCGACAAAAGGATCTGGAACATAAGAGTGCTACTCTGGCTCCTAGCATGCATAAAGAGATACAATATCCTCACGTATACAAGGCGTACAATGCTGGAAATACGTTGAGCCACACAGGGGCCCAGTATGGTATGCCAGTTGGCACAGAAAGAAAGGAGAAGGAGAAATACGAGGAGTTTGTTGTCCCAGCAGGGAAAACCGGTAAACTTCTCCCTGGTCATAAGCTTATCAATATCGCCGACATGGATGGACTTTGTCGAAGAACATTCAAGGGGTACAAATCATTGAACAGGATGCAAAGTCTGGTCTATCCAGTAGCATACAAGACTAGCGAGAACATGTTAATCTGCGCCCCTACCGGTGCGGGTAAGACAGATGCAGCTATGTTGACAATTTTGCAAACAATTGGTCAATATGTCACACCCAATCCGATCGAAAATATGGAGGCGACGGATTTTGGCGTCGATACCCAGGACTTCAAAATCGTGTACGTTGCTCCGATGAAGGCCTTGGCTGCCGAAATCACCGGAAAGTTAGGGAAGCGTCTCGCCTGGCTTGGCATTCAATGTCGCGAGTATACGGGAGATATGCATCTCACCAAATCCGAAATCGTGCAAACGCAGATAATTGTTACCACGCCCGAAAAATGGGATGTTGTTACAAGGAAGGGTACTGGAGATACTGAGCTTGTGCAGAAAGTTAGGCTGCTCATTATTGATGAAGTCCATATGCTTCACGATGAGCGAGGTGCGGTGTTGGAGTCTTTGGTGGCACGAACGGAACGGCAGGTTGAGAGCACACAGTCCCTGATCCGTATTGTCGGACTCAGTGCCACCCTCCCAAATTACGTCGATGTCGCCGACTTCCTCAAAGTTAACAGATATGCCGGGCTTTTCTACTTTGATGCCTCCTTTCGCCCAGTCCCTCTTGAGCAACATTTCGTTGGAGTCAAGGGTAAACCCGGTTCAAAAATATCTAGAGAGAATCTTGACACGGTAGCCTTTGAAAAGGTTCAAGACATGCTAGAGGAAGATCATCAAATAATGGTGTTCGTTCACTCGAGAAGAGACACGCTTCTTACCGCCAAGATGCTTTATCAGAAAGCTTCTGATCAAGCGGCGACGGACCTCTTCGACCCAGCAGGACATCCATACTATGAGCAGGCCATTAGAGACATGAAGTCTTCGAGGGCACGCGAGCTTAGAGACCTCCTGCCAAAGGGACTGGGCATACATCATGCTGGATTGACTCGCTCGGATAGAAATCTCATGGAAAATCTGTTCGCCAAGGGCGTTATCAAGGTACTCTGCTGTACAGCAACCCTTGCATGGGGTGTCAATTTACCAGCTGCTGCGGTCATTATCAAGGGAACACAGGTTTACAATGCCCAAGAGGGTAAATTCGTGGACCTAGGTATTCTTGATGTGCTTCAAATCTTTGGTCGTGCTGGACGACCACAGTTCGAGGATGTGGGTATTGGCATGATCTGCACAACTATCGACAGGTTACCACATTACCTGCAATCAGTTACTTCACAGCAACCCATCGAGTCCAAATTCTCTTCGAAATTAGTTGACAATTTGAATGCCGAGATTGCGCTAGGCACCGTGACTTCTATCCCGGAAGCCGTGCAATGGATCGGATATTCCTACCTATTTGTTCGTATGCAGAGAAACCCCATATCTTACGGAATCGAATGGGCCGAGATTCGAGATGACCCAACACTTGTTCAAAGGCGACGACAACTTGCTATTCAGGCAGCCAAGACTTTGCAACTAAGCCAAATGGTCATATTCAACGAGACAACCGAGGAGCTAAGAAGCAAGGATATCGGTCGCATTGCTAGTCAGTATTACATCCAGCAGACAAGCATACAGATATTCAACAAGAGGATGCGACCCCACTCAACGGAAGCAGATATATTGAAGATGATCAGCGAGAGCGGAGAGTTCGATAACATCCAATCTCGAGAAAATGAAGCTAAAGAATTAACTAGGCTAAGGGATGAAGTCACTTTTTGTGATATTGGCAGTGGAATTGATACCCCCCAGGGAAAGACCAATATTCTCTTGCAAACTTATATCTCTCGGGCTCAACCTGAGGACTTTACGCTCGGGAATGATCTTAACTACGTGGCCCAGCAATCTGGCCGGATTTGTCGTGCACTTTTTATGATTGCGCTAAACAGACGATGGGGTCACCAATGCTTGGTCTTGCTTACCCTCTCAAAGTCCATCGAGAGGCGCATTTGGCCTTTTCAACACCCGCTCCATCAATTTGAGCTACCTAAGTCAGTGCTCAATCAGATTGATGCGAAAGAAACTCTAACCATTGAGGTTCTACGCGATATGGATACAGCCGAAATCGGTAGCTTGGTGCACAACGACAATGCTGGTAAGAAGATAGCTAGGATTATCGAGAATTTCCCAACCGTATCTATCGACGCGGAGATAGCTCCTTTGAATCGAGATGTATTGAGGATTAAGCTTTATATCACGCCGGACTTCAGGTGGAACGACCAAATGCATGGCACATCTGAGTCGTTCTATGTCTGGGTTGAAAATTCCGAAACTTCTGAAATTTATCATCATGAATTTTTCATCCTTAACCGAAGGAAGCTCTACGACGACCACGAACTCAACCTCACGATCCCCCTATCAGACCCCCTGCCCAACCAAATCTACGTCAGGGCCGTGTCGGATAAGTGGTTGGGGGCAGAGACCGTCAATCCCGTTTCTTTCCAGCATCTCATTCGACCAGATACAGAGAGCGTCTATACAGACTTACTCAATCTGCAACCTCTGCCCATCAGTGCTCTCAAAAATCCCGGACTGGAAGAAGTTTATGCGAAGAGATTCCAGTTCTTTAATCCTATGCAAACGCAGATCTTCCATACGCTTTACCATACGCCAGCCAATGTCCTTCTAGGATCACCCACTGGTAGTGGGAAAACCGTCGCTGCAGAATTGGCTATGTGGTGGGCATTCCGAGAGCGACCGGGTTCTAAAGTGGTATATATTGCCCCAATGAAAGCTTTGGTTCGTGAGCGAGTTAAAGATTGGGGCGCTCGACTTTCTGGGCCCCTGGGCCTTAAGCTGGTTGAGTTGACAGGCGACAATACGCCAGACACCAGGACTATCAAGGACGCCGATATCATCATTACAACACCCGAGAAGTGGGACGGTATCTCCCGTAGTTGGCAAACTAGAGGATATGTTCGTCAAGTTGCACTTGTCATCATTGATGAAATCCATTTGCTTGCCGGAGATCGAGGTCCGATTCTTGAAATCATTGTGTCCCGTATGAACTACATTGCTCAATCAACCGAGAAATCTGTCAGACTTCTCGGGATGTCTACTGCCTGCGCAAATGCGACAGATCTTGGCAATTGGCTTGGAGTCAAGGAGGGTCTATTCAACTTCCGACACTCCGTACGACCTGTACCATTGGAACTGTACATCGACGGATTTCCGGAAGTGAGGGGATTCTGCCCATTGATGCAATCCATGAACCGACCAACTTTTCTAGCCGTCAAAACCCATAGTCCCGACAAGCCTGTGATCGTCTTCGTACCATCGCGACGACAGACTAGACTGACCGCGAAAGATTTGATCAACTATTGTGGCATGGAAGACAATCCTAGGCGCTTTGTCAACATGTCAGAAGATGATCTCCAGCTTAATCTTGCCAGGGTTAAAGATGATGCACTTAAAGAAGCGATAAATTTCGGTATCGGACTTCACCATGCTGGTCTTGTCGAATCCGATCGTCAACTAGCCGAAGAGCTATTCCTGCACAACAAGATCCAGATTCTGATTGCAACAAGTACATTGGCTTGGGGTGTTAATCTTCCGGCTCACCTGGTGGTTGTCAAGGGTACACAGTTTTATGATGCAAAGATTGAAGGGTACAAAGACATGGATTTAACAGATGTCCTGCAAATGCTGGGTCGGGCTGGTCGTCCACAATTCGACAACTCTGGTGTTGCACGCATCTTCACTCAGGACGCAAAGAAGGATTTCTATAAACATTTCCTACATACTGGTTTCCCTGTTGAATCGTCTCTACATACAGTTCTCGACAACCATTTGTGTGCAGAAGTATCGGCGGAAACAATTACGACTAAGCAAGATGCTCTTGACTACTTGACCTGGACTTTCTTCTTCCGCCGACTACACAAGAACCCTTCGTACTATGGACTTGAGGTCTCCGCTGAAGAGCATAACACAATGGCTGCTCAGCAACTTGCGAATGATTTTATGATCGACATGGTAAACAAATCCTTGGACGAACTTGATACTTCGAAGTGTGTCGAGATCTATCCTAATGGTGATGTGGACCCAACTCCCCTAGGCAAGATCATGAGTTATTACTATCTCTCACACAAGACGATCCGTCATCTTGTCAAGCATGCAAAGCCACAAGCAACTTTCTTAGACGTCCTATCCTGGATGTCTCGTGCAATAGAATACGACGAACTTCCCGTCCGGCACAACGAGGATCTCATCAACGCAGAACTGTCGAAAAACCTCCCATTCGATGGCAATGCATTTGGATTGCCGATGTGGGACCCCCACGTCAAGGCCTTCCTCCTACTCCAGGCGCACATGGCACGCATTGATCTTCCCATCACGGATTACGTCGGCGACCAGACCAGCGTCTTAGACCAAGCTATCCGTATCATTCAAGCATCCATTGACGTTCTCACCGAATTAGGCTACTTGTCTAGCTGCCTCGAAATGATCAAACTCCTCCAATGCATCAAATCCGCTCGTTGGCCTCAAGACGCGCCCCTATCTATCCTTCCTGGAACCAATCCCGACAGCCTCAAAGACAACCAGACAACACTTCAGAAATTGAGCGCCCTCCCGAAACCACAAGTCGACGATCTAGCCCGCAAGCTAAACGTCCCAAGCTCCCAACAGGCCCGCTTCACACGCGCGGCCGCTATCCTTCCTAACGTCAGCGTCCGAATCGAGGACGTGAAAGCGCAGTCTCTCGTCGTTTCCATGAAACGTCTGAATCCAATTACCGAGCGGGAGGCTCGCGTTTACGCACCCAGATACCCCAAGCCCCAAAACGAGGGCTGGTTCGTCGTCGTGTGCGATGTCGCTAAGGACGAAGTAATCGGCGTCAAGCGCGTATCTTGGAGCCAAAAGGGGCCCAATTCCAATAAATCCAACAACGCCCAGCAAAATGCGGGTGTTCAAGTTGGTTCGAGACCGACGGCTAAGACGGTGCTTAAGTTGCCTGAGCCGGATAGGGGAGGTGGTGCGAGAAAGGTCGACGTCTTAGTCTTGAGTGATGCGTATATCGGTTTGGAGTATCGGGTCATGGGCGTAGAGATACCGGCGTTGCCGACGGTGGATGATGATGTGGATAAGTCTAAGGGGAAGGGGAAGCAGAGGGAACAGGGGCAGGGGCAGGGGCAGGGTAGTGCGGCGTGATTAAGTTATAGGACAAATTTTGGATTGAGATGAGGAATGAGGATATCCATGAATAAATGATGAATACGACCCGCGAATATCATGCTGTAGCTGCGAAGGCATATATACTAGGTATGTATTGGGGTTTTTAAATGCAAGCCAATAAGCAGTCACAACACGAAAATCAATCTCAATAATGAATGAGAAAAAGGAACATCCATCATAATGCATTCATATCTCGTGAGAGAAACCCAGACTATACTCGATTATGACCATGCAATTAAACCACGACCCGACCCAGCGCGAATCGTCGACACGTTCGTTCTTTCGTCTCATTACTCATTACCCCCAAGGGCCATGCCGATTACACATACCACGCCATGCATATACTATGAGACCAGAACCCGATGAATGCCGATTCGAAAATATGCCTGTCCAAACGCCGTACTTAGTAAAATTGACCATGACCGCCCATTCCGTATCCCTTATCCGGTCGTTATGCCGTAATACCACGTCTTCGACCTTGTCCAGCTTCGCGATTTCAAATTATCTCCCGTAAGGTCCGTAGGAGGGGTACCACCGGTAGCCAATCAGACATTCATGTGTTGTCTGGTCATCGACATCAACAACACCTCCGCCCCTTCCTCCCCCCGTCCTCACCCACCCGCCGCTGTTCCGCACCCCCATTAGCAGGGTTCTCAACCGTAACAGCGGGCGAAAAGTTTGGCGAAAACAACCAACTCCGACGATCCCTACCCACGCGAAAACTACCACGCGGGTTCGCGCCATCGAAGTAGCTGCCGCCGGGCCCCGCACCGACAGGCAAGCCGTCCGCACCGGTGCCGTCGTAGCCGGGCGTCCCGGGGGTGGCGGTGGCGGCGAGGATAGCCTGCTGGATCTTGCGGTTCTGCTCGACGAGCTTGCGCGTCACGACGCGGAAGACCTCTTCCACGCCCTCCCCGCTCTCCGCGCTGATCTCGTGGCACGCGTCCCACCCGACCTCCTGCCCCCAGAACCCGCTGCTTCGCTTGCTACTCGGGCTGCGCGGCTCCTGGGCGCTCGACGCCGCGGGCGTGGTCGCTGCTGCTGCTACGCTCGACTGGCTTACCCCCGGCCCCGGCGGGAGACTCGTTAGTCCGCTTTGTGTTGCGGTTGGAGGCGGGGTCGAGCCTAGTCCTGGGGCTAGATTCTCTGCTACGTAGGCTATGCATCGTTCGAAGGGCACTTCGCGGCGGGTGGGGTCGCGCGCGACGATGTCGGCTTTGGTGCCGACGACGTGCAGGACGATGTCTGGTGGGAGGTTGCGGCGGAGCTCGGTTAGCCACATGCCCATCTCGGCGAAGGACTGTGCGTCTGTGATCGAGTAGCAGAGGATGCAGGCGTTGGCGCCACGGTAGTATAGGCGTGATATCGAGCGGAATCGTTCTTGGCCGGCTAGGTTGCAGGGCAGAGTTAGTATTGGTTTTGCTTTGGGGTGCTGGGTGATAAGGTAATGGAGGGGAGGAGAGGAATAGAGAGAGTGGGAGGGAGTAAAGAGAGTGAGAATTACCTGTGTCCCATATCTGTAGACGGACTACGGTATCGGTATCGCCGTCGATGACCCTCTTGGTCATGAAACTCGCTCCGACGGTGGATGTGGTTTGTGCGGGATTGAAGGCTCCCTTACAATACCGCGTGACGAGAGATGTCTTGCCGACGCCTTGGGCCCCGAGGACGACTATCTTGGCCTCGAGAGAAGACATGGTGGATGATGGCTAGGTATGTAGAAGACCAAGCCAAAATAAAGTGGGAAGTGTTGAAATGGATTATCGGGGATATTTCAACAGCAGACTAGGTATCTTAAGACTTAGAACCTAGGTACCTGTAAGGAATGACTCGGAATTTCGATGGTAAGTACTGGGGGGATCCCTGGAGGTGCTAGAATGAATGACTTCGACGCTCGAGGTTTGGAGTGCGGGTCTGGATCGTCATGCTCCTTCTCGAAAGCAAAAGAGATGTAAGTAGGTAAATACCTAGGTACCTATATAATAGAGATGATTGAGATGATGGAGATGATGTGATATTGAAATAGTAGTTATGTCGTCTTATGCGGTATTACATAGACCTAAGTCGGTATCGTCAATCACAATCACAATCAAAAGCAGAAGTGCAACAATATGAAGGGTTGAATGGAATGGAAATGTTGTAGTCTTGTAGATATTGATGTTATGCAACTAGGGTCCTTTGAGGCTACTCTGGAGCTGCCTCAAGTGCTTGGCTTTGCTGATAGGACACACGCTGACTCGTCTCTCATCGAAGGTCACATTGAGGGTCGTACCCTGTCGAACGAATGAAGGATGACAGATGACCAAACAAACTGGGGTAATTCGGGACGGATCCCCTATTAAAATATTGAAGGTATTAATGAAAACTAATCAATGAGAACTAAGACATTGGATGAGAATAAACTGCAAATAAACAAAGACAATGCATCATTGTCTTTCTGTGGGATTCGGAACTCATGTTTTAAAAGATGTTAGTTATACAACGTTATGAAAGGTTTAAAAAAGGGAAGGTTGGTTTCGATGAAAATCCCGAAGGTAAGTCTCACAATTGAAGCAGAAACCCGGAATCACGTGACATCCATATACCCTTGGTACATGGTACATGGTACATACTAGGTAGGTCTTGTACCCAAGTCTCAAGAAGTGACCCCTCCTGCCCCTCGTATTTCCATGTTCGCCATATTCCGCAACGCCATCGTCCATAACCTCAAGGGCGCATTTAGACATCTTCCAGTTCTACTTCTTCTTCTTCATCCACAGCATTCCTCTTACGCACTCGGTTTCTAAGCGCGTCCGCCCTGGCCAGCCACTGTTCCCTGGACTTATCAAACACACTCCGCATCTGCCTGCGCTGGGTGATGACAAGCCACAAGATGATCACTAAAACGGTAAAAGGAATTGTGAAGGCCCAATACATCCAGAAGTCCTTTCCAACGACGTCGTCTTGGTCCCATTTCAGAGACGGCACTGCAAATAACGTAGCAAAGAAAGTTCCGGGTAAAAATACCATCGTCATTACCGCGATCACCTTCATCGACGAACTGTCTATCTTTGCTGCCTTGGTGAGCTCAACACTCGACTTAGCTAGTTCGATGCTAGCTATAGTATCTTCTCGCATTAACCCTCGCGAGATCTAAAGCCACATTTATGTTAATTGGGTATTCTAAGACGTTCCTGGATAGGGGTAATGCCTTACTCGATCCAAGTGATCTTGATTCTTCTGCAGTTGCCATTCTATGTGATACTGAGTCCGAGGAATGCGTGATCCGATCATTTCTGCCGCGTTTTTGATATCTTGATAATCATCGGCGATGTCTTGGGGTAGCGTATCCGAACTCTCCTGCCTAGCACTCATATCTAGAACATATTTGACAATATCCAGAACAAGATGTAGTTCTCCGTGAGCCCTTCGTAGCCTGAAACGGGCACTTCCCCAATCGAGAAGATTGTCCACGTTGATAGCCTCATAATTCACATTTGTGTATCCAGGTAAGTGGATGATAATGGACTTCATTGACACGCTCATGAAGATGAACGGCAAAAAATGAATGTTCCTATACAGCCTTGCGTTCTGCTCCAGACATTTCGAGATTTCCCGTGATCTGGTTCCCCCGGCTGGTGTGTTGCGTTCAAAAAAGAAGCATGTTGTAGATCTAGTTGATTTGTTGTATGACGCTGCCAGGGCTTCGATTAGCTGAAGACGGTCAAGTCACAAGGGAGATTAGGTAATGTATGGGAGACGAGCCACTACTATTACCCTTTTTTCCCCATGATGCTTACCCGCAATGCCATTCTCACAGAGGTAGCTCACTATATTAAGCACCTCTTCCCCTTTTGCTAAATTCCGCTCCGTCGTATGAAATTCAGGTATCATACGAAGGAATGATAAAAGCCCGTATATCTCAATATCCAGCTCTGTAAGCATATCTAGGACCCAAGCGAGATCCACGCATTCTTTTCTAAACTTAGACCATACCTGAGTTTTAAACCGGATCAACCTGAAAGTTGGTTGAGTGGAATCGGCTCGGAGATAATTCCGTACTTCACTCGTAGCCATGGATTTTTTCGAATAAACAATATCATTCCCCGAACCCGATATCTCGATTACATTCCAATCTGGTGTTGAAACGGTAGATACTCTGCGGAGAAATAAATCACGCGCCTGGTGTCGAAGGCTTTCCATTTCGGTTGCCCTATGTTCAACAAGTATGATGGGATCTTTGAGATACAGAGTTCGATAGAATGAGGGAGGGGGGACGCAAAAACAAATTACTGTAGCGAAAGGATGGGCAAAATAATGTTATATAAACTTGAATACCTGTCACATTCTTAAACAAGATATACCTCAGCTCTCAGCTCTCCTCCTTATTTTTGGCCCCCATGCGCAGCTCCTACTACCTAATAGGCTAGTAGTTAGGTACCTAGGCAGTAATTCCTTCAATTCAAATCTACCTACCTAGGCAGCTAGAGACGACACCCGAAAATCCTCTTGTGCATGTATATGTAGTGTAATGCGAGCTGTCACTTTGGCCCCCAATATTTCTTAATGTAATCCCCCACCTGCGTAAACTTGTAGTCCGGCAGGAGCTTATTCCACTCGTCCGTTACATCGTATGCGCCACGATGGATCCCCTGCAGAAGGCTCTCGGTCGCATATTCCAAGAACGCCTCAACATCCTCCGGCGCAGAATTGTGGATGTCGAAACTCTCATTCATAGCCGGCGGCACTCCTTTGGCCTTGGCTTCAAGGTCTTCTAGTTTGAGCCATTTGACCGTGAATGGTCTCCCTGCGAGGGTTCTTAGCGCCGGGTTCAATCGAGATAACACACGGTATGGGCGTAGACTTACCAATGGACTCTCCTAGTTTAAGCATTTCCGCAACAGTGACTCGGGTTCCGACCATACCGCCGATGGCTGGCCATTCGCCTTCATACTCAACCGCGCGGGCAACCACCCCGGCGATATCTTGAACGGTTATCCAGGAAACGGCATCGTCAAGAGCTCCTTCAATCGCGGAAGCTTGTTGTTTCTCGAACAAGAACAAGAAGGGTAGCGTGGAGACATGTTTCGTGCCCCCCTGTGGGTGGCTGAGGTAGTTCATGAAAGAGCCAACTTGGAATCTGGTGTATTCAATCACCTTCTTCTCCTTGTTGACTTCCTCTAGATAGCGAGCGACATCAACCTTGCCCGCATACCACGGGATCACATCAAGCGAGTCCTCCAACTTCACGCCACTGGCTTTCAGTTAGTAAATGAATAATAAGACCGTTTCTCTATAATCCAAGTCATCGGTTGTTTTGGAAGAATGAATACTTACGTTGCCCATTCAGATGGAGCGATGCGCTTGACACCGGATTCAATGGAGGCATCGATAAGTCGCTTCTGTATTACACTTCCCGGGTCGGAATGAACAGGTAAGAAGCACAAAACTGTTTCTACGCCTTTGAGAATGTCGACAAGCTCCTTTTTGTCATATTTCGTTTGCACATATTTAACTCCAGCAATAGGTGGATATTGGGCGGGATCCTGAGTCTATATTAACTTCAATTGCGTATCGGAAATGGGAAAAATTGGAATGGCACCTTTCGGACTAAGCCAATTATCTCATGCTTTTTAGCCTCAACAAGCTTGTCGATGACTTCCTTTGCTAGCTCTGTCGCACAATGTTAGTAGGGATCTTTACGTAGAAGAGAGGGGGAGGAGGGTATGTTTAGCGGTAGAACGCCACATAAGTCACTTACGGCTTGAAGCAGCCGCGATTGCCACCTTGACCATTTTGATCAGTAATTATGACCGGTAATTATGAGTACTAGGTATTATTTGTTGAGAATTGTTGCGAATGGGCTGAAGTTGTTGAGGCTATTTCCTCCGACATAGTTGCTTTTCTTTCCAAAACCCATCCTACTTATACTTATAGATAATACCTACTCCTATTACACTTGAGAATGAAGCGCAACAACGGCGCAGCACTGCCACAAAGTGATGATGATTCATATTGAGATGGACTCACGTAACTGCCATCTAGTTAGAAGGTGGTTTCGGAAAGATTCAACATCCGCGAACGGTTACGTGATCGGACGGAATTGTGCCGCGCCAAGCCGGTTTCCAGCCTCCATAATTACGCCTTCTGTGCCCCTCAACGCCAACGGAACAATAAGCATGTAAAATCAAGTGTAAGTCCGATATCTTTGCAATTCCACAATCACATAACCGCTGAGGTAATCGGTTCAATCTTGCTCGTGAATTACTTAGTTATTTAGCATGTCGACCGCTGCCAACGGCCAACAGGCAGAAATGGCGGCGAAAGGGGACGCAGATGATGCACTTCGGGTAAGCCGGATGTTTAAGAAATATCTCCACCAAACGCCGAACTAATCCGACCGTAGCGTCGACGCGAACGGGGTCGTCGATCCCAAGCTGGCTTCCGAAAACGCCAAGCAGAGTCGAATCAGCATATGCGAGATCAAAATCGCCAGCTGAAAGCCGCGATTGAAAAATTGATCAACACAACCCGTGGCGACGAGCATCCAGAATTGCTCAACACCATATTCGAAGTAGCCGAAGCTGCTGGCATTGATGCTCGAAGACCTACAGACGGCGAAAACGTCCAGCGTTGGCCTAAACACGCGAAATACAGGAATAGACAGCCTTCCGCGTCTGACGCTGGCGGGGAAGTTGACATAACCATCGATCCTACGACAAGGGATATTGCTCCTCAAGAGGACGACCAGGGATACGCTAACTTCAACCCGTCGACGACATCACCCTCATTTTCATCGCAACGACTTCGATGTGGTATATGGCTAGACCACCAACATTACATGCGCATATCCATACCACCCGACGATATCCTACCGTTTCTAGGGCCGCGATCTAAGACCCTTGCCGGGATTCTTTTCTGGGATTTGATGGACCACACTCAAAATAAATGCAAGCGTCCACACTCAGACGATGCCACTGCTATCCGGAGAGGTTTGGGCCACTCAAAAGTTACCGAAGACTGGGCGGTTAGCTACATCCAAGCCATGGTCGAGGCGAGGCAGGAGTACAGGCGGACGGGGTCGATAAGTCCGCAGTACGCATCGGCCGCGGAACGCGATTTGGGAACGATGGTGCGCGATCGAATTACCGCAGAATACTACGCTCAAGGAAAGGATCCAAACCAATGGCTATCCACCTTGGGGATTGAAAAACGGGTTAGGGCTATGATCGGTGATGAGGCCTTCGCACGTCTGGAGGCGGCTGCGAAAGGCGAAGGGGATCCCGCTTTACGATATTTCTTCGAAAATATCGAGTGCAAGCTTCACGAAACTTGTATCTGCTTCGGTGACGGGCCGAGGTGGAGTGTCGATGTCGTGGACGGGATATTTCTTAATTGGGTCCACTCTGCCATCTGGTCCCCCACATGATGGAGATCTGGGGAAGCTTAAAGCACATGGAGTATGTGTAGCTGTAGGATATGTTTTTTGTAAGTAATAGATCCATATCTTAGCTGGATTTGCAGTTGATTTAAGGTGAACCTCCTATCTGCACGTGACCCCCCTTTGTGCCCCTAGCCCCTATTCAACATGTCAGCGTACCTCATCAAGAATAGGCAAAGATCATGGAAGAGTTGAATACATTTCTATTGACCTCACTCAGAAGGTTGAAATAAAGTTCTGACATTTGTTTAACTTAAAGGATCCATGTAATTTGGAATATTCCAAATACGAGGGAGTAGGGGGGAATAAGGCAGAAAGGAGTGGAAAGGGAAGAAATACTTTCTTGAGGTATACGATGTCGAAAGATATTTAGTAAGTTGCAGTGTTCCTGCCTTATTGATGTTCATATCCATATGCTAACAATTTTGGGGGGGTTAGATATGTTTTCGAGAAAAAACACATGACTCACATACAATATTGTCGTCAAGTACGACCACGTAAAATGAGAATCAACCTTTAACAGCCAGATTCCACTGTGACGATTTTGTTTCTGGGAAGGTACGAGGCAGGTAAGTGAGCACCTGCATTTTCGTACATTTATTCTTCCCACTCTTCCTCTACCTCCCAAGGTTATCTCGTCACCGACCTCAAATTTCTTACACCTTTTCCTTCCTCTCTTCTTTTTTTTTTCCAAGGAAAAAAAAATTGGACTCTCAACTTCAAGGTACTCCTAGAGTTCCAATTTAATTATCCTACATTCACTTTATCTTCTTCTCGCCTACAATCAATCATGTCTGAACAGACGGCTCCCACCCCCGAGGGCGATCGCACTGCGCAGTGCGCATCTTGCCTCGACTCCCTTCCCGCAACAGAGATGCATACGCTTCCCTGTTTGCATTCTTATTGCGCCGACTGCGCGCGCATGTTGTTTCGGCTGTCCTTCCAGAGCGATGGAAGCTTTCCACCTCGCTGCTGCAACGAACCAGTCGACCTCACGCCGCGATTGGTTACCGCCCTTGGCGAAGAAATCTGGTCCGTATACATTGCGAAGCGCAAGGAGTCCAAGACCGACACGCGCATTTACTGCAGCAATGCCGACTGCGGATCCTTCATCCAGGATGAATACAGATTCACTGGATTCGCCATTTGCAGCGAATGCAAATCCTTAACCTGCATGGAGTGTAAAGCTCCATGCCACGATGGGGATTGTAATCCCCACGACCCATTGGCCGAGCTAAGAGAGCTCGCCAAGAAGGAAGGATGGCTACAATGCTATAAATGTGGCAATATCATCGAGAAGGTTGATGGCTGCGATCGCATCGCGTAAGTTTATTTCCCATCCCTCTACTTTTCCTTATCATCACTTTCTCATCACTTTCTCATCACTTTCATAAGACAACTAAATCTAACATTTGCCTCTCTATAGATGTACCTGTGGCGTAAAGGTTTGCTACAAGTGCTCCAAGGACATCGAGGAATGCACTTGTAAGAAGGACAACGGCCCCCCCGCCCATGGCGTACAGGAGGATGGTGAAGGCGGTGCAGCCCCTCCCGAAATGGCCCCTCCCGACATAGCTGCTCCCGAAGCGGCTGCCCTCGATCCGGCTGCCCTCAATCCAGCTCCAGCTGATGTGGCCCCTCCTGGCTCGAACCCTCCTGCCACGACCAGCGAGTTACCTCCTCCCTCCCGACGGGATAATCAACCCGAGAATGGCTGTAATCACCATTCCAAGAAAGAGCGAGTAGAGCACATCGTGGCATGCCCACGATGCCAACGCTCTGTATCCTCGTACATCATACAGTGCAAAAGATGTGGTCTCCACGCTTGTTGGAGATGCTACAAACTTATGCGGCACGATGAGAAGAAGAATCGTACTTCTTAGGGACAATGATGGTTATGGGGTTTCTTGCAAGAAAGGTGCAGCTTTAGGGAGAAGTTGCTGTCGATAGCTTGACCCGATAACTTTGCTGTGCTTTCTCATAATGGATATTATAAATTGATTACAAGAAAATGAGTTTGACTAAATAACAATAATTATGCGTGATTTGGGGAATACCCAGTAGTGGTAAGATTGGAAGAGTAAACTTGTCAACGATGCCTCCATAGTAGGCAAAAATAAATTCAATTAGTGGTCACCTCGGCTTGAATATGCCTACGAGGTACCTACCTACTAGAAACATTGATATTAATCAAATCCAAATAGTATCCTTCATGAAGTGGGAAAATATGGGCCACGGAGATCTCAGCATATGAGAGATAATGGTAAAATTATTGAGAATAAAAAAAATCAAAAAGTGAGCAATGTGTGGTTTCTATACTAGGCGTATAGACTGTCTTACTAGGCGTAAGAACTGCCTTACTAGTCGTAAGAAATGCCTTACTAGGCGTAAGAACTGCCTGACATTCGTCAGAATCCCACTGTAATTATGGTCGTGGGAATTGCAGTACAATGGATCTGACTTTTATTGCCCTGAGCGCCACTCGAACCCCGAGCCCCCAGTTCAAGTCCACACATCAGACCATTGCACTACACTGCACCATCGAGTGACTTCTTGGAGGGTGGGCTTGTAGTTTAGATATATAAGGTATCTAGTGATGTTGACAACACTGTGATGAGTCATCCAGGGAACAAAGCACTGGGCACTGGGCACATTCTGATATTCCGGGTCCACATAGATCCGATCTCCTCAAACGCCTTCACCTATCTCTACTTACTACCTATGAGCAAGTAGGTATGCACATATAAGTCACTAAAATGCTCATGTGAGCCTCTACGTCGAGTCTCATCGCACTTGAAAATTAATTTTCAAGGACTTTGCACCTAAACCGCCACCACCTACCCAAGCATGCTTCCAAAGTTTGAACATGGCCTAGACTACCTATGATACTACTTTTGTGGTTCTTTTCAATAATTTATAACCTCAAGATGTCCGATACGTCAAATCCTTGCTCCTCGACCCTAATATTATATGATCGGATCTCGCAAATCCCAAATGGCCATACTTCTCTAAAAGGACCGTAGGACATTCTATTGAATATCTACTTTATTTCGATAATGTCGTGTCTCTATTAGAGCTCTAGAGCATCTACAAGGCATCAAAACCCCCGTAATAGTGGAGCTGCGGTTGCTTTAAGCAGAAAACTTCTGCAAAATATTGAATTTATTCTGTCTTTTATTTCTTCCCTACTACCTAAATTAAGTCATAAACAAAGAGGCACCACATGCGTTTCCACAATAAATCATACCCAACCGTTGTAAAGAGATGGATGTACCCGAATTCGGCGCTCACCCTTCACTAACAACAGGGTGTTATCTAAAAAATCAACATGTTTACCTATAAACATAGAAAATCGGTTAAGCATAACGTGACGATCTTATCAGATGCAAGATCAAGTTAATTTGACTACTGATCAAACAAGTTCTACTATCTCTGATAGGTGTAGGACGTCACCTTTTCTTCGGGGTATCTAGCGTTCGGTGACGGGCCAGTAGATAAGCAAACATCGTCCGAAGTTGTTGTCCCTGGACACGTAGAGGCGTCATTGCATCACGAGGGGTCATATTTGACCTATTTGGCAGAATAAGGTTCTCCGATACTCCCTCTCAGACCAACAAGGTATTACAGTACTACGTTCCTAGGGGCAAATTCCTGGAGTTGGCAATTATTCACCAAAGTAGGCAAATATGGCCACCGGATTCACGCTTGACTCCTAAATGACTAATACATCGAACTACATGTGCACCTTAGCCATCAAATATATGATATACTCAGCCCCGCGCGACTCTTGGAGTTAAAAAAAGATTCTTAGTGACTAAGGAGAAAGTTATGGCGTTGGTAATGTTTAGTTAGCTGTCTTCTTCACGTGTCTTTGCTGATGGGATGGTTAGAAGCTACACAGCCATATGTTGATAGAGGCTGTTCTATCTTCATACACTACTCACACGGATTAGTATGGGTGCTACTACACATCTCTAAGGAAGAACCAACATTCCCCATTTTAACTGAAGGCGTGCTCTGAGTGAAGATATCGTCATGTATAACGCAGATAGTCTCATTGCTTCATCTAGGTTATCTAGGACCTCCCGATTCGTGCCGATTCGGACAACCTACCCATCATGGTCTGTGCTGTTTGTTGTAAACTTATGGTTATCTCAGTGTCGAAGAATATTACTCGTAACATATATAGTTGCAATTAACGACTTTAAGTATTACAATGCCTTTTATGCTCATCATCCGAATTATGGCGGAAGCTCATGTGCCCTAATCGGAGTCACTTGCATCTTTCCTGGAAGTAATGTTTGGTTAAAGGGAAGCGTGACTCTCCTTGCCCATTGCCTCGAATTCATTTTCCATTCGTATATATTCATCTCGAAACCTAACCCTTTCTTGAACTTACAATCCTTCATACCACCAGTGCTGATCAGTATCTCCACAACTTTAACCTCTATTTACCCTCATCATTGACAACGAGGTTTAGAACGCACCATATCACCATGAGTCAAAACCAGAATCCTTGGCCGGGCGACAAGTTAGTTAAGCTTCCTGGTATTTATTTCCAAGAGTTAACACAGTACAGGATCCCCAACATGCCAAGGCATGCTCTTACGCAGGAGGAAAGGGAACAGCTTCAGTCCTTCGTGGTACCCTCGACAACTTCATCTATGCAACCTCCCACAAATCAATCTAGCGAACAGGCTGCCAACGGTTACGGAGCGAACCCTACCTCGACGTCGATAGCTCCTCAATTAACAACGACGTCGTCCGCGTATGGTTCAGCGCCACTTACTTCGAATCCACGATACCCCACATCGGTTCCTGGGCCTTCAACATTTACTTCTATGGCTCACCTATACCCGAACTATGGTTTGTCCAACAATATGGGGCTTCCGAGTACCTCAACATCGATGAATCCAACGTTCGCATACAGTCATCATCAGCAAAACAGTAAGTACCGTCCCGGGACAACTGAAAGATGCATATAGACTAACCTTCAAAGACAACATGATGGGAAACGCATCAACCTCTCAGCTTAATGAGTGGCCGGCCCAGCAGAACGATGCAAACCCCGGCGTATACGCATCTCAGAGCTTCGGATCCACGAATCTAGCAAACTCCGACCCGACCCAACAGAACCAAATCGGTTCGGCTAGTCAATACACCAGCTATCCAGCTCCGTTTTCACCGTCGCAGGGTATGGAAAATCTGGGCGACCCTGACATTTCTATGGGTCATAACGGGGTGTCGTCGGACTTCAACGGAGCCTCATCCCCAACCCGGCACGTCGGAGCTCAGGGCTCCAGGGACAGCTCTGACTCGAACACGAACGAAAACCGACGATCCTCGAAGCCTCGAGACAAGGCGCCATTCCGATGGAGGCCCGGCATGAAAGAGCGCAAGATCACAGACGATATGACGCCAGAAGAGAAGAAGGAAGCGAGCGACTGGAACTACAAGTACTCGGAAGCCAAGAAAGCGCACACACGGGAGCAGAACCGGGTCTCGGCGCAGAAGAGCCGACAGAAGAAAGTCGAGCTACTCGAGCGAACGCGCACGCAAGTCGAGGATCTAGAGGACGAGAACGCGCGACTGCAGAGCCACGTGGCGGGGCTCGAGGCCGCGATCCAGCAGATCTCGAACGAGAACATGCATCTGCAGAACCAGAACGAGATCCTGCGCCAGCGCGTCACACTCCTCGAGCAGCAGATCCAGGCGCAGCCCGTCCGCAACCCCCACGCGGCTCTGGTCAACCAGAACCAGACACCTGCCGTGACGCCGGGGGTCCAGCAGCCCCAGCAGTTCCTGCAGGCCCCGACGCCGCAGAACCCCGCGCCTGTGATGAATGGCGCGCAGACTCAGGGTGGTCTCGAATTCGGCCTCGGGTCTACGCAGACGCTTGCGGGTAACGGTCCCGTAGACCCTACTACTCTGCAACCTCAACAGCAGCAGCAGTCTGACAACGCCACGCACGAGTCCCGGGATGATTTCATCGTCGATTGGATGTCCATGGCTGATTTTCCGCAGAACTCGGACCCGAACAGTAGGCCGTGGAGTCCTTCTAACGGTGGCGCTCAGTAAGTCCGGATAGTGACACTGTGAGGGGCTGTCAAAAAGAAATATGGGCTTGGCGGCTGGTTTCCGAGTTTGTGGCTGGGTGGCTGAATTGCTATTGATCGGTGGGCGTCGACTCCTTGCTTGTGGGCGAGGTTGGGTGAATAATAGGCGGACAATTAACTCCGGTGTTGTACATTAGGATGCTTCGTGCTGGGGCGTATTGAATTAGTACTTGCCTTTTAGATAGGCGATGATTATGAACACGTCATTGTAATATTGGACTTCGAGGGATTGATGATGGCGATTAGTTGCGTGCTGGTATCTTTTGCTCAAGTGTTTGATTGAATGAGGTGTGCGAAGTATGTCCTTGCTCTAATCGAGAGCATCGTCGATAGGATCGCCTATGAAACTGTCGTAGGATATTTAATATGCCGACGCAATGATTCTATATACAGTGATAAGTATGTTATGAATGAAGGAGAATCAAGTTGGTCGGGTTGACAAAGTTGTGCCTATGGCTGAAATGTGCACTGTTATTTATACCTAATATTGTTGGTTCAAGTCCATGACAAAGTAAGGATCGTCAGGAAGAATGTGACGCCACTAGATCGTGATGGCTAATGAATGTTGTAATGATAAGAGATTCATGAGCAATGCGATTTTCGAGTTTTTGAGAAGCGTCACGGTTTATAGGCGATTCAAGATGGTCAACTTTGGTGGATGTCGTAGGAAAAATTACGCTGCGGGTACTGATGACTTACCATGTAAATTGAAATACCCTCTCACCATATAACGCTTTTCTTTAGTGGCTAAGCTTCCCAAGGAGGCTTGATCTGTAGCGGTTATCCACTAGAAGTTAGCGGATTAATCACTATCAGATCTCGGTTTTAACCTTCTGGATACCTAGTATCTAATTACGCACTGGGTAAGTGGCCTAAGAAAAAGTTCCATGCCCCGCACCTATGGGTCCACACATCACAAGCTGGTTGAAAATCAATACAAGAGGATCTCAGCTTCAACTTATGTACATGTGTTCCATGAATGGTTTTGTTGCCACGCCTAGAATCAAAAATGCATTTACATTATTAAAATCTGGAATGTTTACGGTTAAAAAAAGTAAATTTCTATAATCAAACAATAGTTTGGGTTATCCAGAACTTCGGCCAGTAAATTTCTTGGGGGTTTTCTATCACACTACCAAAGGTGTCACATTTGTAGATAGGAAAAAGAAAAGGGGTCGCCAATAGTGGTCCACATTTTGCCAAGAACTCTCCCCCTTTTCCATGGCTTACATAATCACTGATAACACTCCGAGGTCATATATATTAAACCAGAATTTGACAGCAATACATGAATCATTATTATATGTACATTCGAAATTGTAATTCCTATAAGAGCATATATTAAATACATTTTGCATGCACAGGAGATAGGCGAACCTTGGACTTGGCTAGTGTTTTCATACGAGCCTTGGAGCTTCGTGCTTTACTTGGCTCTCGGCATCCCGTCTCTAATGCGCACTCTGACCAGCAGGGTAGACGTGCTTTTCAACCTTTGTTCGCTTAATCCGGTCTTTCTATCCCCACGCTGTAGGTAGGAAAATTAACCTAAGTAACCTAATCACTTGTAAATGATAGATCATGTACGTTGGTTCAACTGACACCTAGCAAGTAAAAGGGTACTCGTGATCTTCTTGTCGGCTGTCTTGAAGTTATTATGTGCCTGAATACATAGATACTAGGAAATCGTCACAGGAAGGAGCGAGTTGAAGATGTTATTTTGTTCGAGTGATCCCTTTTCACAAAACTAAGAATCGGTCACGTGATACCCCTTTCCCGCACCATAAGTTAAGGCAAGGCATATCAGGGCGATAAACTTTCATATTGTCCTTATACAGACTGATTTTAAACTCCCCTCTCCTTAGATAACAATACCCATTCAATGCTTATGTGACGGGTCTCATTCCTTGTTCCCTTTGTTTGTGGAGTCTTTGTTAGTGCATTGTTTCGCTCGGATTTATCTATACAATAGCCAAAAACCCGCTAATGCGACAATAATGCGGCTTAGTCTCTTCGAAGCTTTGCCTTCCTTGAGTCGGCACAGTATTTAACTCTTGCGCCCCGCCAAATTTACGTAACCGCCAATATGTCATTACCTCCGTGGAGAAGAGTCGACAACCCTCATTATAGAACGACTCAACACGAGGACGCGTATCAACAGTCCTCAATTCCTCTTCCCCCCGGATTAGACAGAGATTATCAGTGGAGCGGGAATGCAAATTACCCACCTCCCGGACTTATACGCGCCACAATGCCTAAGGCTATAAGCGAGATTGAGTACTTAAGAGAACGGAGGGGCCGGTCAGTTATTCTCGACAACTCTGACATATCTTTATTTGGCGATCTAGCCGAATATTTAGAGTCGGGGTATGATATGCATGGAAATCATATCATGTGTGACCTTACATGTGTCATATGTTGCGGGAATAAGCTCGAGATGCCTACGTGTGTCAGCCCGCCACGGACTCCTGAAGAAGATGCTAAAACGGAGCCTTTATGTGTTCTCCCATGTGGTCACTTTTTTGGCGCTTATTGTATAGAGAAATGGATCTCAACATGCCGCGACGAAGACAGGTGCTCCGACTGCCCTGTATGCCGATTCCCCCTACTTTATGAATACTGTGGCCATGAGGTAAAGTTAAGGCATCATGATCCGCGCTTCCGCCGCCCAGGCCAGCTCCCTCTTACTATACCAGAGGGGGGTTGTGTACCTGCTTATTGTAGATGGTGCCGAGTTGACTATGTCAAAGATCTAGCACATCAAATGGCACAAGTAGTGTACCCTAAAGATGTTCCCGAGAGCGCGTTCTTTAGCCCAAGGAGTTTCGGTCCTAGCGACTTTAGTGAGCTGAGAGGCATCATACGATCTAATATGCTTAGTGCATTCTATCACGCAGAAGATGCCTTTGATCATTGGTAAGAGATGATAATTTTTGTTAAATTGATATGGTTAAGATGGCGAGAAGAGTAGGTACATGCATTATTAACTTAAAAATTGGGTTTATATTTTGTCTATTGGCATTTTTCTTACTTGGAAATTGTCCCAGTGGAACTGATATTATCCCCATCTGGTTTGATACCCGAAGGGAAGTCAGTTCCCAAATCCTTTACACAACTATCATGTCGAACTCACCCCCCCCTAAAAGATACAACTCAAGGATATGGAAAAGCTTTTACGGCTATGGTAAGTCATTTGGGCCATTGGTATTAATTAATTATATATTTTATTTAGCTTGTTTAAATTTGTTTAAAAATAAATACTTCATATTACACCTGCAATGACCCTTGATAATGTGTAAATGTGAAAAGGTACCTACCCAGACCTTCATGTGAACAACAGCCAACATTTACGCCAACAAAAAGTACCAAAATGCCGTTCTCCCTATTCTATATATACCTAGGCCTAAAAAGCTAACGTCCAGATTCATAGACTCACGGCTTCCTCATCGACTCCATAATCCCCCTAGCACCAGCAAACTCAAACTCATCCATAGTCTCCTGCCACAATTTATCCGCAGCTTCCCTTCCTTCAGGGGTATAAAGGAAGGTATTATACCTAACCAAGCCAAAGCCACCACATTAGCAGATAAACCAAGCAAAAAAGGGGTTAAGCCATCATGTCGATCATCACTTACGGCGAAATCTTCCAACTCATGATAAACGACCCATGCGACTCCTTCCCCTGAACCAAAGCCGCGTCCAAGTACGTCGAAGCACCATCACCTATGTTTCTAGCAGCAGAGGCAGCGAACAAGGCCGCCAGGGGCTTGATCCAGAAACTCGCGTCGCGGCCCAACTGGGTGCCCTTGACGAAGCCCGGACAGACTAGATTCACGATTACGTCGTTTGCAGAGACGTAGTCGATCATCTTGTAAGCCCACATATGGGCAAGTACCTTGGAGACGTTGTACTGCTTGTCGCTGTAGCTAGGGAAAAGCTTGGGGTCGTCGAGAGCATCTAAGAGGGATTTGTGACCTTTGGTCGTCGGCAGCGGTGCGGTTAGACCTAGCGCCGCGTTGGTGATTGTCAATCGACCCGGTGTGCCGGCCGGGGATCTGCTCTTGAGGATGGGGAGCAGAAGGGTGGCGAGTAGTATTGTCGATAAGTAGTTGATTTGGACGATCTCTTCGTGGCCTGTACTTTGTGCGACATTGTAAGTCATGTGCATTATACCGGCGTTGAGGATCGCGATGTCGAGACGGGGCACTTGGCTTTCTATGCGCCGGACGAAATCCTGTATGGAGTCGTACCGGCCCATATCCACTAACATGACTTCGATGGTTGCTTTCGGGAATTGAGTTCGGAGCTTGGCGGCGGCTGCTTCTCCTTTAGCGCTGCTTCGTACCGCGATAATCAGGTGTGATAAACGGAGCTCTAGCATCTGTTTGGCGGCTTCAAATCCCAGACCGGTATTAGACCCTGTAATGATCGCTACTTTCCCGGTGAGATCCGTTGTTTTCGCCGGCCTTTCAGGTTTGGTACAGAATTGGTTCTTGAAGAAGATATTAGGAAAAAAAGGGATATCCCATGGTGGTAAGTCTTTAGATGAAGCCATCGCGAGTGAGGGGTTTGGTAAGAGTTGTGTAACGCTATGGTGTTTTTTACTTTAGCCAGCTGTGTAAGAAACCCGAGATGATGCGACCTTGTATTGTATCAAATTCGTATCATATATGAAAAAATGTGAGACTGGGTCCATTATATAAAGAAAATTCATTGCGGCGATGATATCTCTTTGATTATTCTATCCGCGGAAGCGATTCTACGATGTTCTGACTCGATAAGTTCGTGGTTGTTTGCACAGAAATTCTACAGACAAGTACATGACGATAATACAAGGATGGTACAAGGATAGCCCATCTAATTCCAACCAATGAAAGCTCGATGCTGTCTCAAAATAGCATGCATCCTATTCGATCTTCAGCACTATACCTAAAGAGGCAACCAATGTCTGCATAAGGTGGATCTCGCGGAGTTTAGCGTGGTCCATATGAAGACTACGTAAAGTCAAGATTATAAGTCATCACTTGAATAAATACCTAGTAGCCATCAGATTCCTGTCATTTCCTACTACTCATGCACAGATTGATTTCCTATCTGGGCTGCCAATGTTGATTGCATTGCGCTATCATATTCGTTGAGCTAGATAGCTCAAAAGTTACCTAACTCCGGTTCGGGGCGAGGATCTATCCCGAGCTGTGGCGTGCGACTGGTGCGGCAGCCTACATACATAGACTTCTCAACCGATACTCAGCTCACGGAAACTAAGGGGCTGCAGCCGGCGGTAATTAAGCCGGTCGGGTTCGGAATCTTGCCATTCTCAATCCCTAATCTTCGGCTATCTACCTATCTTGGTAGTCCTATTGATTTTGGCGACATGGCGCCGACCACCAAAAGCTCAGGTGAGACACACGACGATCATCATGCATAGGTACACATCTATAGCGCACCCAAAACTCACGTGGCGTATTACGTAGGGGCAATGCCTTTCATAATGTCAACAGGGACAAAGAAGCCCGACCCCGAGCTGCGGAAGATGATTAGGAGCCACGTTATGAAAGGCAAGAACCGCGGAAGAATACTCCGTCCTAACTATCAGAAAGCCGTAGAGCTGGAAGTCATAGTAGACCCGGACGGAAATATCCCCAAGCTAGATAATGGGGGTTCTTGGAGCTTAGTAGTCCCAGAATATCTCCCTGCCATTCCTAGAAATATCGGTTCGGACTTATCGCTCATACGGTTCGCGGATGAAATAGACGAGCCTACTGTTAATACCATAATAGAGTGTAAGGAACCCTATCTCATCCTTCTACTCCCTTTCTTAGTTAGCCAGCTAATGCTTAACTCGATATTCACCCATCTAGTCTCCACCATCGCGAAGAAAGCCCTATTTCCCCTGGAATCATGCATCGACTTCGGCCCCAAGAAACGAGAATGGATGGAAGATCTCACAAAAGACGCCGCGTACCTCCACGCCATGGCTTTCTCAGCACAAGGCTACTTCGATCTACGACGCGGCCGCGCGCCTTCGACGAGTAGCGCGTTAACAGACCCTCACGTCGTTAAGACACTTAGGCTACTACGCGAGAGACTTGAGACAGTGGATCATGGAGACATGATGCAGTTCCTAGCCAAAACGGCTGCGATAGTGCTCTGTCTCGCGTTCCACGCACATCTGACGGGCGATTACTACGCGGCTAGACACCATATTAACGGGTTACGTCGGATTGTTGACTTGTCTGGGGGATTCGGAGTCTTGAAACATAACGCAAAGGCCATAGTAGAGGTTCTTAGGTAAGCTTGTGTGCCATTTTCCCAGCATGTGAAGGGTGCCACACCACGGACATGTCCTAAAATCAACTCCTCCGTAGGTGCGACATCGGTATGGCCTTACACAGCGGCACCCGACCCGTTTTCTTCTCGGACCTCGAACGGGAACCGTACTGGCCATACCCGGATTTCGCGGCCCATGCATGTGACCCCGCTTGGCCCCTACTCAACGCTGTAGAAGACGAACCATTCCTCGGAATCCTCGACGGCGAGATAGCAACCGCGTGGCGAGTGACGAAACGGTTCAGTACACTACTAAACCACGCCGCCGACACACGGAGCAAACTTCCGCAGGATTACCTTCTAGACACCATGGCCTCCGTCGCCTACCGGCTATTACACAAATCCTCGCTTTTCCCACGGAGTTCCCTCGACGAAGCCATGCGTCTAGGCATACTAGTCTTCGTGTCCAACATCTTTCTTCAATGGGCCGGCGTACGGTTGCCGTATACGCATTTCCCCGCAGCGTATCGGGATTGTCTCGTCAACCTAAATCTCAAGTCCCTAGATCTTTCTCTTAGTATCCCAACCATATCCGATGATAGTAGCGATGTTAGCAACCCGCCTCCATTATGGTCATCTCAGCTCCTTCTGTGGCTGCTTACCATCGGTCGCATATCTATATTCGATTCCTCCGACGGCGACAGGTGGCTGAAGCCCTGGCTACGCGTTAATCTAGATCTGTGCGGCGTGCGCTCCTGGTCCGCGATGCGTGGCGTTCTGGACTCGTTTATGTGGGTCGGGATCGTGCATGACGTACCTGGGAAGTCCCTGTTTGATTCAACTATGTCCGCCAGTCCGTCATCGTGATTTGCTTCGTGGGGCTAATCTATTCATATTAAAAAGATATTGCTCGAAGAACAGACGATGGTCTATTGAGTACGGGGTTCTGGGGTAATGGCATGTTTTGTAAGAACCAATTAAGCAGGCGGCAATGGTTATTTATAGCAATTAGATACTAGGTACCTATCAGACGAGACCGTAGGGTGCTAATATACTGTATTCTGTTAACTTGGTAATTCGACGATAGATATCGAGGGTTTGTAGCCCCAAATTCGGTTCGCACAATGTACTTCATTCATATCCTCACGTCCTAGGTTTCACCCAATTCAATGGTTGGATTCTTGGTTAGGTCGATAAAATTTTCTCATTTGATAAGCCTTTTTTTCTTTCCGCGGCTCATATATAATTCTTATATCCGGAACTCCTCCGCGACATCCTCGCAAAGTATATGTAAATAGTGGTAAATGCGACAGAAATTCAAGCGCTCTTTTTATGCAAGTCGTTCATCATATCAGATGCGAAGTTGCTCTATCATACAACACTCGGAGTGAGGCGCAAACTGGGTATTAGTCTTGTATATTTGACAGAGTAGAACGTCGTTCTCATCCATCCGGCACAAGACACAGAATTTGCACTTAATGTCGTCTTATCCATCAATAATCAACCTATCTCGCATTTTTAAATTAGCGCTCGTATCTCGGTAACGGTTCATGACCCGCGGTTTGATTCGAAGGCCCAGCAATATCATGATAAGGATCTCGGGCACCGTAATCGTGATTGTCATTAAGCACTGGAGCTGTCGGCTCTAAAACACCTGGCTGGCTTAAGGGGGGCGCTGACGGGCCCCCGCCATCATAATCATCCGGAACCTCTGGAGGTGAGCTAGCCTCCAGGAGCAGCCGTTGCCGCTCAAGTTCCTGTTTATCGTCGGCATGAGACCTCGGGGGACCAGTTGGAGTTAGATCTGCGAACGAAGGTGCTGATGGTCCTTCCCTAATATCTTCTTCCAGTGCTGGTAAGCTATTGGGAGGTTGAATGATATTTGTCGGGAAGGTGGAAATATTACTTGGCGCGGATGGCTGCGAAGGACCAGCTCCTGATTCAGAAGGTAGTTGGGGGGGTTGGCTAGGCAATAATCTTTGCTCTGCCTGGCGAGCACGCTCTTTTTCTGTAAGCCCATTTTCATTGGGCAACTCTGGCGGTGGTATATAAATCGGAGCATGGGCCTCTCGATCTTGGAAATCGTAGTAAGAGGTCTGGGGAGATGCGCCTGGCGGAAAATAGCTCTGTGGTGATGGCTCAAGCTGTCCAGCTGGGTACTCTCCATGATAATTGTTCTCATTGTCATATTCATTATGCCAAGTATAATTCGATTCGCCATTCTCACCATTGGCGTTCTCAGTCGGAGGCGGGTCTACTGTCAGCGCTGGGCGTATAACAGATTTGCCCTGTGACCGAGTAGAGTCCATAGTCCCAACCACAACCTCAAATGATACCGATATGACTCCTTTCTCACGTCGTAGGTGATCGGTGTCTACTATTGTACCATTCCAATTAGCAAGTCGCTTTATATCATATGCCCCAGCTGTTGAAGCAGGGTTTCCCCCCGGAACTCCTAAAGAGCCTATCCGACTCGTTTGTTGTGAAGTCCCGGACGATTGACCAGCAAGCTTCCCTCCGAGATCAAGAACGACCTCGATATGATATTTGAAGCTGATTAGACCTCCTGGAACGTTTTTTATGCTTGGAAAGACGTCCTCCGGGACCCTTATAGATGTTGTTATATTCGCTGTGAGTGTAGCGGGATCAATTATCAATGGTGCAACCGCTTGTGAGAGGTCTTTTCGGAAAACACTACATGAGCCGGCAGAGGATAGCGACAACCCTCCAAGGCCGGTTCTTGATCTTGGATAATAATCTTCGCGCTCTAGTCGTTTAGCCTCCTCCTGAGATAAATCTGCAGTAAATAACGATATCGGTGGTGAATAATCAACACGACCCTGCCGATAGAGCGTGACAATGACGCCGTGCATGCTCTTCATACGGCGATTATGTTCAACCTTAATTTTCACCGTTAGCATATCCCCGGCAAGACAACCTCCTTTTAACAATTCAACCGTAGCGTTGATCTCCCTGTCATCACTCCCCGACAGTCTACTTGCAGCGACAGATTCGCCACTAGCATCGGCGCCTCTGGCACTATTGGAGCCACTGTTGTTACTCAGGGCACTCTCGCCACTAATCTCGCTTTGTAGGTCGCCCGGAATTATATCGCTTCGTAATGGACTTCGGGGTAGATTACTTCCGCTTAGTCCAACCGCCGCTATCTCACCGAGACTTGCGCTACTTCCATTTGAATTTTCGTTCACCCTTGTGGAGTCCAAGTCCGATGCTGGTTCCTGCGCTTCTGTCGATAATGAGCCCTGTCTGACCGTCGATGCGACCGCCGGCATTGGTTTCTTCTTCTTCTTGGGTCGTCTACGTAGCGTCTGCATGCACACCTTTCGTTCGCGCGGGGGGACGAGTAAGCCTATGTCCACCTTCTCGACGAGCGCTACTTTTGTTTCGCAGCTAGAAGTCGCAGCTATGGACGTTGGTCTTGTTAAGGTGGCAGTAATCATATAGGATATCGTTCCCCTCTCAAACTATAGATGCCCAATATCAGTACAGTTCACCAGCAGGATAATCACTAAGCACACGGGCCATACATCAATACTACTCGGGAGTCCCTTTGAGGGAAAGATGAGGTCGAACTCGAACTCGAATCTCGTAGGCTTCAACCTCCCTTCACCGCAGAGAACTTGCTCATCTTGGAAAAGAGACGCCAGCCCGTTGCCAAAGTATCTAACATTCCGGTTCTTATCGTGGGATATTACGGCGGGATTGACGGGACTAAGCTGCGCACCAGCGCCGGCATGCTTGTAAACACGAACGAATCCATGTAAAGCGACGGTTAAGTGCGTTATGCGAATGGGTTTAACGACGGAAAGAATGACATGGCCTCTAACATGTTCGCCGGCGGAATATTGTCGGTGAGGTTCATGAAGGCGGATGTGGAAGTCGGCTAGGTTACGTGTCCGAGAGCGTAAGGGAGATGTCAGACGCGAAAAGAAGGATGGTTTCGATGGCGAGTCGTCGAGCGACACGTTATGCGCTTTGTCGGCGTCGGAACCCATCTATTCGATTTGTCTCAATTGACAACGGCGTGAGTGCCAGGCATGACACCACACGAAACCCGTCATCAATTTCCGATCGACCGTTATTAGAAGTTGGGCAGATGGGAAGGGAAGAGGCCAAAGAGCACGCGGGGGGACACGAAGGTTTCGGGATCCGCGTGATTCAGGAGGTTATTAGTAGGAAAAGCCGTTGCAACGGTCGGGCCGCAATCGGCGACAGAACAACGGTGAGGTTAAAAAACCCCAATAGGAGTCCTATGGCGTCGTAAGACAACCCAAAGATCTGTTAATGTAGAGGGGAGGAAAGACTAAGGAGTCTTGAAATAGGCTCGTTAGAATTGGCTTTCGGGAGGGTTCACCAAGATCTTGGGTGTTGCATGTGCCAAGCTGTGGGAGAGGCTTGGTAAAAAAAGGACTTGGGTTTAGGAGCGATTGCCAAGAGATGGTCCTCTTGCTTTTATTATTATTAATAGGTAGCGTCGGGGACTTGTGCAGCATACGTAAGAGCTTAGACCGGCCCTTAAATTGATAGTCCGGAACTGTTAGATGGTTTAACGGTTTAACGTTTTGGTAGGCGTGGCATGCCAGATTGAACCATAACCTTAGGAAGTATGAAAAAAAAGCCCAACGGTAAGGAGCAACCCCAACGTTTAATATGTCTCTAACGGCTAACCTAATAATGCTTTATGTAATCAATTGTTGTAGGACAAGACAGCCCTGGAGGACAGTTTCCGGGAATTATCCCTCTCGAAACTCAATTGTATGGGGCACGCTAGCGCATTGTGAAGTAGGTAGGTACATGCCTAGTACTATGTAGGTAGGTACTTACGATATCCATGGAAGGCATCTTGTGTCACGAATCGACGGGTACTTGCAGGCACATATGTAAGTCTTCTCGCGTCCAAGATCTTGGTATTGCTTGAGTCGACATCATTCCCGGCAGCTGCCCGGCTAGATTTATTTATACGCCTCGGAAAGTAAACTGATAGACAGTCAGTCTACCTAGTAGTAGGCATCGAGCCACTTACGTACCCTGTACCGATCGGTATCATCAGCTCTATGTATGTAGGTAGTATAATGTACCTACAATACATAGGTAGGTAAGCAGGTAGCTGCTAGCGAAACTGGAGGGGGAAAGACTCAGGACTCAAGACTCGGAACTAGCGCGTGCTGTGCATCTTTTACGAATGCATGACGCTCGAAATGAAACGTTTTCGCGGAAGAAAAAGGTCTTCTTCTGCGATTGGGTAACATCGGATGAGCACTGGTAGTTCGGTTTCGAGATACTTTTCGCTGTGCTACTGACGACTAATGCCAACTAGTAATAGTAATAGTAATAGGCGACACCAATTACAGCATAGTACAATGTACGAGCTATTCAGATGAGAGACGCGCACTCGGTACCATCAAGGAAGAAATGATCTCCTTCAGTTGGATGCCTACCTATCAGCTATGTAGGTACCTACATAGGTAGGCTGGTAGGTTATCCAATTGCATCCATATGGAAAGGTCTCAGAATGCGCCACCTTGCCACGGACGTGCTTCGGTGGCGTTGGAAGATAAGAATCCATATTCAGTAAGCCGCGTAAGAAGGTAAAGGCACAGCAACCAAGCAACTTATCCATCGTCAACTCTACCAACCGGAGTTAAGGATGTAGAGAAGAATTCTCAAGATCTACCTCGAGCGTGCGCGCTCATTGATACCAAATGTACGCGCGTAGTAAAATTTGACGTCGTGCAGTTCCATCCTCCAACCGGCCAGGATCACCGACTCCGCGCATACTACTAACGTTGTCGAAACTCGTCACAGCGTCTCAGACTCCAATGACACTCCCGTCTTGAAGTTGAAGGTCTGGTAATAGCCCGGGCTATACTTCAACCCCAACATTGTCGTCACTTTTGCAAATTCATACCAACTAGGTAAACACGAGAAACCAAAGCGATCAAGTGTGGACTCAGATTAAATCTAATCAGCCCAGTCTTAACTCCAAAAGCTTAAGTGGAAATGTTGAAAGGCTAATCGACAAGCTTTCTCATCCAAATAGGGCTTAGTCCTTCGGCAGCTAGCCGAAAAGTATTGGATCTGTGCATGACTAGGTATCTAGGGTCCCCTTAGCTCCCCCGTAACGTCGCCGAGGTCTAGACCCCGGAAAGTTAATTGTCAATTACAAATGTATCTCAATGTATTTAGCGCTGTACCACAATCATATTCAAGTCTCCCATGGGAATATCTCGAAATTACTTAATAAATAGATTATCATTATAAAAACTAAAAGCAGCATTGAAATACACCTTTCGATGTATACCTAGGTAAGTAACCAGATACCTACCTACACACACAATCGGTTATGTTTACCACGTGATTTCTAACACCACGGCAAACTCCTTTTCAATATATTTCAGTCCGTCTAGGAAAGGTACCACAGCCCTAAAGATATTCCAAGGGCAAGCTTGACATTAAGATGCGACCATACTAGGTACGAAACATATATGGTATTTAATCAATTTAATCCAGGTGGAGGCTTGAGAAGAGCATTGGGGAAACACATACCCAAGAACAAAAATCAACCTGTCAATGAAACGAGGCGTTGTTTGTGATCAACTCAAGTGTTCTCGGCATTTATAATGGGCACGAGTTGATGACCAATCGACAATCATTCGTTTATGTATGCGTTGGACCTTTCACCGGTTTGTGCTTCGTCGTCTGCACTCTAGAGATCACCTGAGCTTTGAGGGGATTGGACTTCGTTCAACGGGTGGTCCGCTTACAATGATACAAAAATATCATCGCGGGGTCGGTGTAGATAATATACTAGGTACTTCAAAATGTGTTCCAACATTTATCGAAACAGCTACCTAATCGTTCTATTGGTGAAAAGTACCTATTGAGGGAAACTTAATATATTTTCCTGGGTGGCCCTATAATAAAGTACCCAGTAAATAACTTGGCAGAAAGAAGGCAGGTATTTCATCAAGGGAAACATGATTGTTTCACGTCACTGCCCATTTTATTCAAACACGCAAGTTCCAACCCTCCCTAGCCAGAAATACCTTGCCGTATTGTCGGCTGTACAACACTACCACGAGGCATTGTTCCAGTAGGTTTATACGCTGCAAGGGTGGCAGATATGTTTGTATTAGGTGTGACGTCCCTGTAAACTACGAAAATGCATGCTCCTTCACTCACGTCCAAAGTTCACAATACCCAGATTCCCTTACCTAGGTATCTACTAGGTAGTAGAGGTAAGTAGGTAGATATAACATTAATTAGCCATCTCTTGTCAAACTTCGAATTTTAACCACATGCTACCTAGGAGGTGAGCGTGTGATTAGTAAGTTCTAAGCTGGGTCATTTTATTATATGAATAACCCAATTAGAAAAGTTCGTATGTTCACCAATCCTATTTGATGTCGTTCCAAATAAAGTTAACTAACCTACCTAGATTCTACCAACATGTAGCCCTTAAAACTAATAGCTATTAGAAAACAAGGAGTGACATACGTCGGCTTATAGCCCAGTTTTGAAGACACTTAGAGACAGAAAAAATATCACGACAAAGAATGCTTTGCCTCGGCATTTTTCAACATATGGAACGTTGTTTTCTTCTCCTATACAATTTATCTTGCACGGTGCAATCCAAGAGATTAATTCTACAGCTTCTACCATCCACCAAGAGTTATAATGGGAGGTAAAGGCAAGTGTCAGCATAGTCTACTTAACGCAAATCTCTAGAAGCTAAGCATGTTCCTAATGTAATTGACTTCATTTTTCGCTGTCAGGGGCTTGGAAGGAGAAACAAGGTAACAGCGTATTACCTCACTGGGTACCTATATATCATATAAAATATGCGCGGACGAATAGGGGCCTTCTATTCATCGAATGAAAGAGGAAAGATGGTAGACGTTAGGTAGTCATTCATTGAACCTAATCATTACTATTCCAAAAACCTATTATAAACCTATAACGAGCTACTTACTATTATCACCTGCTCTATGACACAGTCTCCAACTACGGGCTTCTCCCCAGACAAAAATTCTCCAATGAGAGTTACCTACTTAGCAGAGTAAATATTTGCTAGGCTAAAGGGGTGAAGAGTCTTTAGTTTTGGTAGACTAGCTTAGCCTTTGTGTAGCCCCTATGAGGCTATAGCAAAGCATAAGGGTATATAAAGAGAACGTTGCCCTCAGGAGTTGAAAGAGGTAAACACCTGTGTAATGTCCTATCTGCCACTTTTTACGAAAATAAAAGAAGGTTCTTCCCTTTACCTGTTAAGGGGGCAGGCATTGGATTGATCACCCTTTTCTTCTTCACATAGAACTCTAGTTCTGCCCCTCTAAAAAGGGTGCTCTAGACGTCCTATACGCTAACGTGCGTTTAAGTTGATGTTTATGCAATTGCATTGTATATACGTCCTATCTAGACGTAAAAAAGCTTATCGTCATCTGAATTAACCGCAGGTAGTCCTGATAAATAGTGCACTGTCTAGGAACTTGGACGTCCCGAACATTACGTAATTGGTATTAAAGGCAGCAAGAAGGTTGACGATAGTTTCATTTGCTCCGCAAATGATGTTTAGAAGTATTCATAAAAAGTAGTATATACCAACAGGTATGTAGGTATCGGAATATCGGTTTTTATTAAGTATAAGAGGCTATACTGTGATTTAAGTAGAGAGCTACGGTGTGAACCCTTGAAAACTAAGATAACAACAAGGAGTGGGCTATTTTTGTGTCTTTACTGGGTAAGGGGCACAGTATTGCGCCAAGTACCAGGTAGGTCAATCACTAGGAAAATATTGGGAAAATTTCAAGTAAAAGTGATATCGAAGATCGTCAAATGTGGTTCACCAAGGCATGGAATAATCTCCGAATCCTACCTTGGCGTAGTAGTGTGCTTCACACATTCTTCGTAAGTTGCCATGGGTGCCTAATCCTTCGAATTAGATGGAATCAACTTTACCAGAGTTGATTATAGTTTTCAGGGTGTAGGAATAGGTAGTTATCGAAAAGGGCATGCTAGCGGACTAACCCCTGAGCATTTTCAAGTATTTGATAGTAGGTACCTTGTAAAATGAATGGAGATGGCATGGATAGCTCAGTCAGGTATAGCTTTTAGCTTTTCTCATCGTACGCCGCACGACCGGAGTGTCCCTTGTGTAACACATGCTCCAACGCGACTCCCCTGAGTGTCAGCTGCTGCTGCATAGAAGCGACTTAGGAGTACCCTTGTGGGGCACCGTTAGGCTCCCAGGGGCTATAAAAGGAAGCTTCCACCCCCTTTGAATTTAGAAGAAGCTCAGGTGTCAATACATTCGATATTACCTTTGAAACGCATACAACCTGAAGTTGAGGGACAGGCCTTGACATCGAACTATCCAAAAAAAAAACAGCAACATGGACGTTACTGGGAATGCATTCGTCACCGGGGGAGGTGAGTACCTACTTTAGACCACAGCTCACGAATCCATAGACTCTAATTTGATATATCTAGGAAGCGGCATTGGCAAGGCTGCTTGTTTGGCTTTAGCTAAAGAGGGTGCTAGTGGAATCCTCGTAGTAGATATCAATGTGAAAGCTGCCGAAGCAACAGCCGCCGAAGCTATCGCCATTGCCTCTAATCCCAGCTTCCGAGCCGAGGCATTTGGAATCGATGTTTCAGTCGAAGAGTCGGTGAAGAAAGCTGTTGCACACATGGTTCAGTCCTTTGAGCGCATTGACTACTGTGTACACTGCGCAGGGGTGAGTTCTAAATTCCAGAATACCTAGCCATTAGCCATTGGTCATTACGTATCAAGTGCTGGCAAACCCCAGATACCTATCTTGGATGATTGCTAAAACTTCTACTAAGATCACTGTACAAAGCGCTACACCCATGGCTGAGGCTAGCTTCTCTGAGTTCCAGACTCTCGTCACAAACCACGTTCATGGAACTTTTCTTGTCAACAGTCACATCTTGGCGGTCATGAAGACACAAGAGTTAAAGCCAGTAGACACAGCTACCCCATATCTTGGAGGTACCCGTGGATCAGTTGTCAATTTGGGTTCCGTACTCGCTACTTGGGCGGCACCCGGTTTCGTTCCATACATTGCGTCGAAACATGCCGTCTTGGGAATTTCTAGGACTGCAGGCAAGTAGCATGACTGGCTTCGATCTCGTTTTTGTGGAATCACTTTCTAATATTTATGTTACAGCTATCGACCACGCAGGATCGGGAATTCGAGTAAATTGCGTATGCCCAACCTGGGTAGACACGCCATTGTTTGACAGGTCTGTCAAGGTGATTCCCGGGCTCGACAGAGAGACAGCCTTGAGCGGCATCCCGATGAATCGGTTATGCACGGCAAAGGAGGTATCCGACGCAATCCTCTTTCTGTGTGGTACAAGATCGAGTTTCATCACAGGAATTGCCTTGCCTGTAGACGGCGGTCATGATATATGTCGCGTATAGGGTTCGATGAATAGAATACACGTCACTCAGTAATACTATCGCGGATACTAGGTACCTAGTATACAATGAAGTGTATTCAATATTATAGACAATACAAACCATGTACCCGAGAGCTACCCAAGTTATCACTTCGAAGTGTTCGTTCAGTTGATTGGTCGTATATCTATGAATAGGAGGCGTCAAAGTGGCTAGCTGAGCACCCACAAAAATGATCCTCTTTTCTTTTGTCCTGTGCCACTTACGTTTGTCGTAAATATCATCGAATACCTAGGTACTAGGTAGGCAATGGACACGCATCAAGTAAGAAAAGGTCTGCTGGATCAACCAATTAAATATGTACCATGGTTGGTAGGTAATTACATAATCTTGATATTTAAGGTCTAAATAATGTCGTATCATTTCACGAGAAGTTTTGAGAAAGAGGTGAATAAGTAATCATGAACCTAAGTCGTAATTATGGCCCTCCAAAGATATCGTATATCCTACCTATCATATATAGACATCGTAAAGCTGTGTGTGGCTTGCGCCAAGATGCAGAAGCCCCCAAAACAGCAGCTCCATTCTGCAGATGCTCGGTCTTTCGGTATGTATCCATTCCCGACACAAAATTCAGCATTAGAAAGGGACGAAACTCGACCTTAAGTCCGGGTCAATTACATTTGCAAGGTTCCTTCTAATCTAAGCACAAAGTCTTGAGGGAAGCACAAGCTTTTATACCCTTCAATGACACACCAACTTGAGTTGGGTAGGTATAGAATGAGTAGCCTAGGAGGTATGTATGAGATCTATTATGTGTGAGAAAAGAGGGGGGAAAGGAGGGGGCTGGCATATTGTTTCCGTAAACTAAAACTTGCATTTATGTAGGAGACAAGACATTACGACAACGCCGCATATGGAGTATATTTCGACGAAAACCTGATTCGCCTGAGGCTTGGCCTCGACCGCTTTCCGAGAAACCTGTGAAAGACGGAACCCCACTCAATTGCCTATAGTAGGTACCTAGTACATGCATACTACCCTCTTTGGACTTGTTATCATCGTAACCTCTTTCCTATCGTGGACCTTACTATCGCCTCCATAATCTCCTGGTTAGTATTACGATGGGATCGTTGCCGAGGTTGTGGAGAAGCTTAGTAGTAGGCCTAACAAGTGTCCTAACAGATATATCAAAATCTGACTGAGTTCGACGTCGTTGATGAAAGTCCACATATGGTGGAGTGAATCTCCCTTCATTTTCATGGACCGCTTTCCGACACCTTCAGCGCATATCGGCAGATGGAGCGGATCACGGCTTCGTACAGAGTAACATGGTATACCGTTGTTTCCAATTACAAAGTCTTGATCGATTGGCCATCATCACGGTGCCATTGAGCTACTACATCATGAATGTCTTTCATGCAAGCCTTCAGAACTGGAGGCGTCCTTAGTGTCCAATGTGGCGCTCGGAACAACGCATACCCTATTCAGCTTTCTAGAGACTCACCCTATCGGGTGTTCCTACAAAGCAGTCGGAAAGTGGAATTGTCGTATTGTTTGTTTTCCATCGGTACGGAAGACAACTAGATCTTCCCGAAGTCCTCGGGACTCTACCTGAGCACCACACTGCCGCAGTACTCGCCGCAGCTGTCTTGACTTTGGTGGTGAGATGTGATCCCTTTTTGGCGCACGCGACACCAAGCTCGAATTCGACTCCCCTGACCGTATCGCTAGCATGCCTGCCGTAGCAGCTATTAATTTGTATGCATATCATCGACGCCCGTACGATCCTCTTCGCGATAAACATGTATACCTACTCTCTACTTCCGCGGCAAGATAGTTGGGTACGATACCATTCTCGCTATTTTAGGTGTCTACGTCCCGTTTAGCTAGCACGCATAATTGTGCCGTGTGCTCGATATTGCGATATCTGGTGTGTTCTTGCGAGCATAACAAGCTTGTGTTACTTCGACCGAGAGAATGTGTGCATATATCCCATGATTGTGGGGGTTGCAACCCATAGGGTGCCATCGATCATGAGTATATCGCGACGGATGAATCCCCGATGGATACTGTGATATACGACAGCTATATGCAGTCGATCGGGTTTAAGTTAGTTATCTACGTACCGAGGTAGTGATAGTAGGGCGGAGTGACAATAAATTCATTGCAATGAGCCCTCCTAAACTCTTGACCTAGAGACTATCGTATCAAAATCACACCATGCCGCCGTCAATGAAAGAAACGGGCCGTACCCCTGAGGCCGTGGATGTGGTTATCGTCGGTGCCGGAGTATCAGGCATAAACACTGCATACTGGCTTCTAAAAGAGTTCCCTGATATAAAACTCACAATTCTCGAAGCTCGTGGAGATATTGGCGGGACTTGGGATTTGTTCAAATATCCAGGGGTCAGATCAGATTCTGAGTACGTCCCCTAGCTCTGCCTCTAGTATCCTAGTAGAATAAAAGACGGCTAAAAAGACAACTACTTACTGACTATCTCCTTCGCTAGTCTCTATTCATACGGTTTCACATGGCACCCTTGGCCCTTTCCACAGCCCGTTGCCGAAGGCCGGCTCATAAAACAATACTTGAAGGACTGTGCCTCTCAGCATGGAGTGAGCCAACATATCCGGTTACAACACAAAGTATTGAGTGCAGATTGGTCACAGGATGTCCAGAAGTGGTCATTGGTCGTCAATCATGATGATTTACTCATGGACATCTCAGCAAGCTTTCTTGTCCTAGGCTCAGGTTATTACGACTACTACACTCCACTCCAGACGGTGATCCCCGGACTGGAAGACTTCAGGGGAACAGTCATCAACCCCCAGTTTTGGCCGGCCAACTACGAACATCGAGACAAGAAGATAGCCATCATTGGAAGCGGGGCTACCTGTATCAGTCTGTTCCCAGCATTGGCAGAATCAGCGGCACAAGTAACCATAGTGCAACGAAGTCCTTCCTACGTAATTTCTACCTCGCATCTAGGACTGCTTTTGTCGCCCCTGCTAGAATTCCTACATGTCCCTTTGTCCATACAACATCGCTGTGAAAGATTATGGGTCACGTTCTTGTATCAGATGATTGCACTGATCTGCGCCTTTTTCCCTGTGCAATCGAGAGGGTTTCTTCGGAAGTTGACGATCCCACAGCTACCAAAGGGGTGCGATCACGATATTCATTTCAAACCCCTGTACGATCCTTGGAAGCAACGTCTCTGCATATGCCCCGACGGCGACTTCTTTAAGACGCTACATAAACCAAATACCGGCATTGTCACAGGGCATATCGATAGGGTTACGGAGAACGCGATTAAGATGCAAGATGGTACTGTCATCAATGTAGATACCATCGTAACAGCCACGGGAATCACCATGAGACTCGGTGGACATATCGATATATCGGTTGACGGAAAGAAGATGAAGTGGGAAGACAAACTCATATGGAACGGCTGCATGCTCGATGGTATTCCCAACATGGTTTTCCTCTTCTCGTACACGAATTTCGCGTGGACTTTGGGTGCCGACAACACCGCGCGTACTCTTCTTCGGCTAATGAAGCTGATGAGGTCTAAGGGGCTCAAATCCATAACCCCACAACTCCCAGAGGAAGGTATTCTCGAGACACGGAGACTATGGAGCCTAGACTCGACGTATTCCTTGCGAGCCGCTCCCGTTCTACCCAGATATGGAACAAAGGGACCTTGGAAGCCAAGAATCTACGGTTTGCTTGACGAGGCAACCACTCGATGGGGCAACGTGACGGACGGGTTGAGATTTACTACTTAATTATCTTTCAGTCGGACTATTATTCGAAGTTTTTATGATTCAAATCTGAGATCAACTCAAGCAGAATGATATATACAACTATCAGCTAGTTATAACGAACGGGGAACATATACGCTGCCCCTATTTTATTCATCCGCCGCACCTAAACCAGAACGCGACTCCCTTCCCATATGAAAACCCCCAAAATTGATTCGTAGGCAGTTAAGTTATATACTTCGAACATTCAAATCAAACCAGTTATAACAACTTGGAACAGAGGTGTGCTATCTTTCAACTTCAGAAAATAGAAAAAAACCATATCACACATCACCAAGTTACACAAAAAAACAATCATAGGGTTCTATACACATTATCATTTGATGCGGCCTCATCCAGGTGCCCGTCCATATCTATCTAGTAATATTTATGCAATGCTTTTCGTAAACGCCAGCAATGCAATTCAACGCCATGTTAATACAAGCCCATACCCATCCATCCATCCATTTAATCCAACGCCTCTCCGCTCAGAATGCTCTTCAGAATATCAACACCGAGTCCTTCCACAGCCTGCTCCAGTTCCTTCTCGCCCACACAGCTCGCCACTCTCTTCTCGTCCGCCAATCCGATACCAGATGCGAATCCGCCCTTCTTTCCCCGTCTGCTTGGTGTATGCAACAACGCAAGAGAACCCGTCTTCCCATCCACGGCAGAGACCAATGATAAGGTCTCGAGACTGCCTATGACCTCGCGGAACTCCGAACTGGATAACGGGTGCAGAACCGACTCTCGAGTGCATAGTAGACAGTATGTCTCGTATAGCAACTTGACACTAGGAGCAATAGTCTGCGACTTAGACGGTGTAGATGGGACAGCCATAGTCCGGGCAGCTCTATTCCGCTTCTCCAAAGCCATCAGAGAACATAACGCGGCCTTCTGTTGCAAGTTCAAAGTCTTGAGTCGCTGATTCGTCCCGTTGCTGAAAGCCGCGGCGGTGATCTTGTTGAGATGGGCTATGCTCACGCGCGGTGCCGTCTCCACCGTCAAGCTTCTCAGAGATTCGGCTAGCATTGCCGATGGGCCCCTGTTCGACTTCTTAGGCGACAAGTGCACGTTTTCTCCAAGAGGTTTCTTCGATGGCGTGGCGAGGAGTATCTTCTCGTTGATCTCGGCCTCATGCTTCTGTTTCGTTTCCATCTCCACAAGGTCGATGGCCCGCCGACATATCTCGAACGCCTTGCGCAAATCACCCGTCTGGCTGGATACCTTTCTCGAACAAAGCTCAATGGCGGCAGGGTGAATAAACGGTAGAGGGCTACCCTCGGGTACAAGGCTCTTCAGGCGACCCGTGATGATTGTCTTGATCTGCGCGGCCGAGTATGGTAGAAACGGCAGGAGCTCTGGTTTCAGGTTCCGAGACTTCAGGCGTGGGAGAAATCGATCCGTTAGATCGAGCGCGTTCGCAATGCCTAGTAGGACTAAACGAGATGACTTCTGCATAGACCATTCAAATAGCTGATATAGACTTTCCAAGTCCAATGTAAGGATGTGATCAATCTCGTCCAGAACAACCATATAGGTATCTGTTGATTTCTTGCGTGGCATGAATAGCTTCTGGACAATTGTCGCCGCGTCGCCTTCGGGAATATCAGACTCGTCACAGATTTGATCCAACAAAGTGCCGTAGAGATCCTTCGATGATTTTATGCTCATGCAGTTGATGTACACTTTCTTCACAGTTCCCTGCTCGACCAGCTCTTGGGTGACTTCGTTCACCATCGCACTCTTTCCCGTTCCTGGGGGGCCGCTGACGTAGATGCATCCGCTGGGGTCGGGCTTCGAACATCGTTGCAAGAACTCCTTAAGTTGTGCACGTTCGTTGTCTCGTCCAATTAATTGGCCAGGATCGGCACTTCGGGAGAAGAGTTGGCGAGCGTGGTGATAGACAGTCTGTACTGCGGTAGGCGTGAGTGGTGTCGTGGGAAAGAGTCGCTTGGAGACTCTCCCGGCAGACATCACCCGATGACGAGGTGTGACGGGTACTTTGGAAAGAGCATCTCGAAAGCGAGGCGTAGAAGGTGTGAGCGGTGTGTATTCTACTACAGAATTAATTAGATGATGTTTCCTTGTTAGCTAGTTTATCATGAATCTAATCTTACCTTGCTTAGGAATCTCTACGTCGCGGATTTGCTTGGAAGGAGATGACTTGATATTTATCGCGTCAATGCCGCAATCGAGTTCATTATCTGTAGCAGCTTCTTTCGGGTCTATGTTCTCATCGTTGTGGGCGGAGTTGCGAGTCTGTCTTCTTGTTCTTTTTGCAGGCACATCTACGACCTCTAAATTCGGTGTCAGTTACAATGCATCAAAAACAATGCGATTGTCCCTACCAGTATTTTGTGAACTTCTAGTTCTCTTTCCGAGCGTGGATCGCACCATGTTCAATCGTTACTGCTGGTGTAACTGAGAAAACTATGAAGTTCGAAATATTGAAGTTTCCAAGTTGATGAACTGGAAGGTACATAGAATGTGAAGGTGTAGGTGTACAGAAGTACGAAGCACCGTATGAGAAGGAGACAAGGGAAGATGTTTTAAGGTTGAATTGACTTGGCAACGGCAAGGGGAAATGATGCGGGTCTATAATACGCGAAGAAGTCGCGTAAAGTGATTTCGACGCGTCCCGCTTTGACGCTACAGCGCGCGAGATACATAGTACTTAGGTACCTAAATGATGCTATGTGGGGCGATGGGGCTGGTAGTGAGGCGCGAGCTCATTCTTAGCCTCCCCCACCTTTGACGTAGGAAAAGCATGCTTATATAATCACATGACCCACCAATTTTTGGAGCATGGCGAACTCCGAATTGAAAGAATCGCTGGAATGCTCCTTATTTCTTAGTGAATTACGGATAGTTGCTTTATCATTGGCACGCATTATTGGGTACGCCCTGATACTGCTGTTAGCAATCGCATGCCTCAGGTATCTATGGTATTTATCGCTATCGCCACATTACCGTCGGAGACCTAAGGTCCTAAGCATGAATCCCACTCTTGGGCAACACAAATCATGACTTGGCCTGTTTTATTTTCTAGCCTCGTCAATGAAGTTTGAACTAGTCAAATATTTGGTGGGTAGGACGGCTTCAATGTCTTGGTTCCTTCCGGCTCTAACACCATCGATATGACGGGTGATGGCGGTAATATGGCATACAATAGCCGCATCGAAGGCTTCCGACAAAATGAGTTTCCTATGCTACGAGGCAAGCTTCTCCCGGCCCTCACTTTCTCTCTTCAAGATACGTTTAATTAATAAGCTGAGTAGATGAGGTCTACCTTGATCATGCCGGGACCACGTTATATGCGAAGTCTCTTGTAGACAAATTTGCCGCGGATATGACATCGAATCTATTTGGAAATCCGCATTCTGCTTCTTTTTCATCCCAAACCTCCACTTCGCGTATCGAAGATGTCCGGCTTCGAGTCCTACAATTCTTCAATGCCGACCCATCCGAGTTCGACCTCGTCTTTGTTTCCAATGCCACTGCAGGTATCAAGCTTGTAACCGAGGCATTTCGAGGTCACGCCCTTGGCTTTGATTATCTGTACCACCAAGCATGCCATACCAGCTTGATAGGCGTTCGAGAAGAAGCCACGCATAATCACTGTCTCGACAACGCTGGTGTGGATAGTTGGCTGGGAGGAACCAACCCGTTTACCGATCTAAGTCATCACGATAGTCCACTCCTTGTCGCGTATCCGGCACAGTCCAACATGGACGGCTCCCGGTTTCCCCTTGAGTGGGCCGACCAGTTTCGCAGAAGCCAAGCGGCGTCACACCGGCCAACCTTTACGCTGTTAGATGCCGCAGCATTCGTCGCAACATCCCCTCTAGATCTAAGCAACTCAGAGACGGCGCCAGACTTTACCGTATTAAGTTTTTACAAGATGTTTGGATTCCCGGATTTAGGTGGACTTATTGTGAGACGTCAAGCGGCTCCAATCTTCCGCTCCCGGAAATATTTCGGTGGTGGTACAGTCGACATGGTAGTTTGTCTCAGAGAGCAGTGGCATGCTCCCAAATCACAGGCTTTACATGAGTCGCTAGAAGACGGGACGTTGCCGATACATAGCATCATCGCTCTAGACTCGGCCCTCGATGTTCATCGTCGATTGTTCATTTCCATGAAAGATGTCTCGTCTCATACATCCTTTCTAAGTCAAAGGTTATATGACGGTCTGGCTACCTTGAAACATAGCAATGGCCAACCTGTATGCCTCATTTACTCGCAGCCGTCCTTGACATCAAAGCAAGTAGGGACTCCCTTAGGGAATGGACCAGTCGTATCCTTCAATCTCCAAAATCACCTTGGAGGGTGGATCAGCTTGGTTGAATTTGAGAAACTTGCGGTGTTAAAGAAGTTTCATGTCCGCACTGGAGGGCTTTGCAATCCCGGTGGAATCGCAAATGCCCTTAATCTCGCACCTTGGGAAATGAAACGAAATTTCTCGGCTGGATTTAGATGCGGAACTGATAATGATATCATGAGTGGGAAACCAACAGGAGTTATTCGAGTGAGCTTGGGTGGCATGAGTACAATTTCAGACGTAGATCGATTCATTGCTTTCATCATCGAGTTTTACCTCACCGAAAATATACCCGAATTCATCTCACCAGCCTTAGTACCAGATCCTCCAAGCCTACCGAATATGTCTGTGAAGGGCATTACAGTATTTCCTATCAAGAGTTGTGGGGGATTTCACATCCCTACCGGAGTGGCGTGGGAAGTAAGAGCAGAAGGGCTTGCGTGGGATCGAGAATGGTGTTTGGTTCATCGAGGGACCGGCCAAGCTTTGAGCCAAAAACGCCACCCTCGCATGGCTCTCATTCGGCCTGTAATTGATTTTTCTAAGGGACAATTGCGAGTGTCTTACTTTGGACCTCTTCTACAGAAGATCCTGCCTGAAGTAGCTGTTCCCTTATCAGCAAACCCAAGTCTCTTTCAAGCAAGTATGACATCCAATCCGATGGCGTCCAGGGTTTGTGGTGAAGAAATATCAGCACAGATATACACTTCCCGCGAGGTCAATGACTTCTTCACAGCTGCTCTTGGAGTACCATGCGCACTAGCCCGCTTTCCACCCGGCGGCCTAGGTAATAGTATGCGACACGCCAAAGCTCACCTTCAAAAACATCAGAAAGTCAATAGAAGGTCGCAGTGCATGATACCGTGTCAGTTCCCGGGTATGGACACGCCTCCAGACTCAGATTCCGAATCCGAGCGACAGCGCATCCTCTTATCGAATGAGAGCCCCATTCTCGCTATCAACTTGTCCAGTCTCGAGGCGCTAAACCGCCTGCTTACCGAACAGGGAGGTAAAGCAGTCTCCCCAGAAGTATTTCGGGCCAATATTGTCGTTGGTCCATTGACTGCGGGGTCACAGCGATTTGCTTATTCAGAAGACCACTGGTCTAGTCTGCGGATCGGACAACAAGACTTCAAGATGCTAGGTTCATGTCGGAGGTGCCACATGATATGTATAGATCAAGAAACAGCAGAAAAAAACGAGGAGCCGTTCGTCACCTTGTCCAAGACGAGAAGGTTCGATGGGAAGGTATTCTTCGGGACACATATGTGTCACCTACCTTCACCAAATACTAGTACCAAGGAGACCCAATTTCCTACCATTTCAGTGGGAGATAAAGTACTCGTGGATCCTGTTTAAGAAATCTAAATATAGTCAAAATATTAATCATGGTTAGCCATTTATTCATGTCGACGGCCCTTCCATTGTTTTCAGGTGATCTAATATCTATCCACTAGTCATCATCGTAGTTTGTTTACATTCGCACAGCCTTAATTAAGAGCTATGATACCTTCAAGTGGGTTATATATCATATGAGTATGTACTGGTCAAGAGCCAGGCCAAGTTCCAAATACGGTCTGCCGTTATTTATATTGATGGATCCAATGCCCACTCTGGATTGCCAGAACCGCTTGAAATGCCAGTCATTATCTTTTTTAAAAAATCATTCTAACGTTTCTTGCAGCTGAGTACCTATTAAGTGAAGCAGATACCAGGTAAGTCGTAGATCACAAGTTCTATTGAACTTCCACCACCTTGACTCGACAGTTAGAAATACAGGGGTATCAAATTTGAATCGATATCTTGTCGAAGGGAATTACTTTGAGCTAGAGATGATTCATTCGTTAAGTTCCTTTACATTTTGATTAGAAAGGCAGGTAACGAGTACCGTACATGGATGTTAGGCAATGCCTAATAAATTTACTAGCCTCCCTATCGACCGTCATCACGGGCATGCACAATGAAACTATTCTAGTGACATCCACTGACATGTCAACAAGAACTTGTGCTGTCGGACACTCCATTTGTCACTGATGACCTTTCTTCCCATCACCGTCCCTTCCATTCTACCCACAATATATTTGCATCTTCACACTCTCGTCACTTCCCTATATCTGCCCTTTTGGTGATGTTCTTTGCTTCATTTTATCACAGAAAAAATCACGATTGCTGTATCATTGCACCCTTTCCATCACCAACATCCACGAAGGGTAAGAACAATCTATTGGGTCAATCCTTACACTGCCATCTTGTCGTCTAAATTACTTCAGATGTTATTCCAATGATTCAACCATTCTAACCGTTGATTTTAGGCCATGCACAATGAAAACCTCGAAGATTCTGGAGGAAGCCATCCGTAGCTTAGACGGTTTTGTGTTCCAACAAATCGACGAGCTATGCACGGCGCCAGACAGCATTCTAAGGCCCTTTGTTAAGACTGATGTCGAAGGTATTGCGGTCACCCCAGAGGAAGCCCAGGAGAGACTCGTCATCCAGGTCAGACTCGCCTTTCTCATCTACGTTCAAGACGAAGATGTGTACCGTCATCTCCGAGGCGATAAAGCCTTCTATTATCTAAGTACGTACATCAATCGCCCCATAGTTCTACCTATACCTTTTCCTAGTAGCGATATTTCCTTATCGTAGCTATTTAATTCAAACGTGATTGAAAGAAACTTTTGATATTCTGACTTAATATCCCTATGAAGAGATTGCTAATCAACGCTTATCCATACAGTGCTCGCAAACTGGAACTCGGCACACGCAGCTGCACCCTTTCCCCCTGCTCGTATCGAGCAGCTCGTGGGCCTGTTTGTTGCCGCTCGTCGCCGCTACCTGGTAAAGAACCAACCCATGGAAGCTAGCGAGGCCGCCTTAGACCTGGCGTTTGTTGTCGATCGAGCAATCTCAATCATCGACAATATCGACAGTACACTATCTGCAAGACGCCCCCCTGGCCTAAAGGCTCCTCAAGGCACCAAATGCAGTTACGCCTGGCCTCCTAGTCGTTTTAGCCCACTTGATATTGCGATCATAGCAGAGACCGCAACTCGTAAAGCACTTTATGGTGTAAATAACAACCACCCACTGAATGAAAAGGATGCACCGCTGTATCCAAATGACCAGGATCAACCTCTCGTTGCCCGAAAATTCCTTTGCTGGCTGTCTTTGGTTGAGACAAAACCTCTTTCCAAGACATCACTTTTTCTTGCCCCTGTCGCATTTCTTGCCCACCAAGAGCGTGAGGACTGGTACAGGATCACGGGACACAAATCTCGTTTCTACGCCACTGTCAGTGAGTTCATCGATTATGCTCGCGCCGAGTTCGAGAAGGTTGGAGCAAACTCAAAGCACCATGTGATGGGCCTCCTTACACCTTGGTTCTTTGAGAAGAACGAGATTGTGGCAGATGCAGAGAAACGAGGCAGAGCCATACCAATTTCCTGGGAGAGAGGTTGCTTTCGAGCTGGAATGATGCTGCGTATCAACAAGATCAGAGAACCCAACGCAGATCCAAGCTACCAAGTTGTCTTGTTTAAGCCAAGTTCGCCAATTTACGCGGGTGCTGTTGATCAACGGCCGGGTCGACGAGAGAAGCAGGATGAATGGATAGATAAGTTATGGCAAGAGTTGCACGCGGGTTTTGCTCCTCAAGAGAGATGGATTGGGGGAGCGATACACATTCATCTCTACCCCGTTTCCAGAAACGTCCCGCCAGATTCTGTAGAGGTAACATGTGAGCTCATCGAAGCGACCATGCGAGACGGAAGCACCTTTCCCACCACCTCAGCCGAGTTTCTCAGGAGAGGTTACACGCGTATGGGACAATACCAGGAACGCAAACCTGGTCACTGAGATGACGTCGATCTCGAGGGAGGACTTCATGTTACACACTAGCTTATAGCTAGTAGTCATGGGTGGTTTTCGGTAGGACAGTCTATGATTAATACGACATGCTACACGCGTATTCTATCGGAACCATAAATGCTGAATTGTCCTGAATTGTAAATTTACTGGCAGACGTCAGGAGGTGATCACATGTCATTTAAGCCTCAGCCTTAGTGGATCGGAGTTATTGGAAATCGGATAAATGTATTTCCCACAAGCCAAGCCAGACCTCATACAATTACGTAATGAGCTCCATAACTTAGGCAGAGGTCACGGGTACATACATGTACCTAACTCGGGCAGCTGCATCTTGACCTCGATTCTCTATCTTCTACTTTTCATCTTCCCAACAATTATTAGGTACTCGGACTTCTACGCATATCGCCATTTTCCAATCAAAGCCAAAGAAACAGTCATTGGCCAACATGATTTTCGTACCACCTTCACCTCCATCGGTGATGTCTTTTACCATGATGTTCAAGATTCAAGCTAGAGGATACAAGTAATTGTCTATCTATCAAAGGGCGTCTCCGACCCCTCCTGATATTTCCAACATCTACCTATCTAATGGGCACGACTATCCCGGATTCTTCCGATATCCCATTCCAATAATGAGTATCGGAAAATGACTTGACGTCCATCATTATCCTCGACCCGACGACGTTTCGTCCTGGGCAAGACGATAAAAGGCCCCAAATGGTCGTGGAGCACAAGGATAACTCCAGACACTGACGGTCCTAGGCATGACGAAGTTTAAAAGGCCTTCTAGTAGCCACGAGATTCTATTTGATAGTGGCGTCACGGTTGGTCCTAGGCACGACCCGTAAAAGGCCTGACTTGGCGAGGCGGCGTTGCATCAATGGACAAAGCCACGCATGTACGGTTACTACGGGATGTATGAACATAACGAATTTTTTCTACGATTCTTGAGTTTCCGGCATTATAGAAGGTAGATGGCGTTCTTCGTCATGTTGGGTAAGCATTTGTCCCTTCTCTCCCTATACACTTGATGTGGCGAGGCGTCGGCTTACAAGTCGCTACGAATAGGTATACGATCTAGAGGACTTCTACGTTCGGTCAAGTTCAATTCGGTACGCACGACGCTAACGATACAATACCTTGGCATCAATGGAGATACTTGTATGGGAATAGTCACGGCACGGCAACTTAATTCCTCATCCAAGCAAGCATTTGAGGCGTTTTTTTAAATTTTGGGTGCAATTTCAGATGCCCGTGCTGCGTAAGTCTCAACCAATGAATTCAATAATAATCGGTGCTCGCTAATACCATCCGCAGCAAGAAGTAAGTCTCCACGAGTCTCGTCCTAGGCATGACGATAAACGGCCTCGCGTACTCCGGATATATTCATCCGGAGTCACTTCTCTAGACACTACTTTCTAGAGAAGTTCAATAGAGTCAGGGAGCCTGCTCTATTTTTAACTCTGGCTCGTTTTTCCCCAGAGGATACGTGGTGTGAGGGAGCCTTACTCCACGTTTTACCGGGCGAGTTGACCGCCTACTCGGACTTGTCGCGCAAAACACCGAAGCTTTAACTCACTGTTTTCCTGTGCAAATCCTAGAGTTGCTGGTCGCCCGGTAACGACGACATGACCTGTTCGTCAATTCCTTGACATCGTGGTTTCTGTTGCTTGAGTTTCATGGCCTATACTATTTCTTGGTATCCGGTCACGACATGATGCTCGCGAATCGCCAGGCGCCTCGGATCTTGCGATCGTGGTTGGTGGCGGTTATGATATGACCTCGTATACCTGTACCAGTCGATGTCACGACCCAGTTAGCTAGTTCAATTAACAGCTCTGGGATTTTTTTTCTTTGTTGGGATCAAATGGGAAACGGAATCCGGAGTACCTCTTTGTTCGAAGTTTTCCGCAGTCGAGCTGATCGATACGACCAAGATGCGTCGGCAGTCTGTACTTCGGCATCTTGTGGCGATCCCCATGAGGCTTTGGTGTATCGGGGGGCCGGAACATACCTGAGTGGCGTACATGAACCACGCCCCGTTCACCGAAGCCTCCTGCCTGGATCGCGTGTACCTCCATATGCTTGGGTTCTTTCTGAAAGAGATAAGCGCGATAGTAAGGGCAATATGCCGGATCAAAAAGGATTCTTCCCACCGGGAATCAATTATTCAATCCTTTTGCGAACCGCGGCAGAAGCTACTTTGCTCTGGAGCCAGCGTCTCGGACTAGGCCGAGGAGAACCCTTCCCACGCTGACAATCTGCCTCTTTCACAATGGTGCCTGTGCCTGTCGGGCCCGTGTGAAGCCCTCGGAGGCGTGGGAGCGAGCTTTGGAAGGATGATAAGAGGTCTACAGCGTGCGCAAGGGGATGCAACGCATTTCATTGCATGTACTTTGCGCTACTGTGTGACTTGGGGCTGGGCTGGTCGCGTCTCTCTGCGGACAGGTTCGCGGGTTCGCCCGCACTGTCCTAAAGGCCCCCAGCTCGACTGCAAATAAGCCATATCCGGGCACAACGTAAAGCGACCGTTCGTGACGCGAAGTCGCGGTCGGGAATCGGGCAGGTTCCTAACATCTCCGACAAAAATTCTTAAAGAAAAATCGGTAATCATTATTAAAAAAAAAAAAAGATAAAATCTGTCAAGGGGGCAACTGGTGCGGGGTCTCTGTCCATGTGGGATGCTGTTGGGATTCCTAATGTAAATAGCTGGATGTCGTAGATTCAAGCTAGGCCTTGCCCCCAATTTTTTGGTTGCCTTTCGTGCTGTGATTTGCTTGTGTGTGTTGAGGTTGATCGCGATGGTGATACCTTCGGGTCAGACTATGTCGACGACTTAAGATTGCCTTAGTTAAGATGCCTAACATTGGCAACACAGATTGATTATCTACCATAAGCTGAAGTGCTCCAGGACTAAGGCGAGTATTTGTTTTGTTGTAATACTTGGCATGTTGTGGGAGGAGATATCGTAACTACTAGGTACTCAGGCACTGATAGGATAAAAGAGACGTCATCGAATTTACACATAAAACAAAATATCAAGACATAAACTTAGGTATCAAAATTTCTTATGGTTTTATTCTGTGTCTGTTCATAATAGTAATACACCAACCAGACGCCGGCCGTCTTGTTTCCTGGTCCGACAACATAGACGTCAACATGCCTCTTTCGCACAATCTATAGACGTCTAGTCTTCTTCATACAGCACGGGAACTCCATTGACCCTATTCCGCAATCTCACGGTACGCCGATAACTTCAAGCGCATACCTCGTTTGTCGATTCGTTGAATCGTGTCTTAAGTACTTGGTGTACGGATAGGCTTATTTCGTAGGGCTTGAGGAACCGCGTGTGAAACTGAATAATTCACAGATCAGTATATTATACCTTAATGTAACCTGTCAAGTCGGGAACGCTCACCTATGCCACATCTGTCCGAGGAAGCCTGCCTGGGGCTTCTGGTCGTGAAGACTGGCTCGTCTAGCCATGGAAGTGCTGTCGCTGCCACGCTTCTGGTTCATGAGACCATCGAAGGTAGGTCCGGAGCCCTATATTCGACGTATTAGTTATCGGTAGATGGAAGTTATGTACTTTGGGATACGTACCCTTCGTCGAGTCGGGCTGGTAGGTGTTTGATTGTTTGTCTTGGCGCTGTCCATATTGATCTGTGTGGCGTATTTATTTTCCAGATATGTAGCTTGTTACTAATGATGCTCTACGTAATATTGATACGGTTTCACGAAATAGTACTTAGGATGATTGTAGTATGTCAAGGCAATGGATAATATGAGAATAGGAGGTGGGAGGAGAAAGGAGGGTGAGTAGGATTCTCTTTATGTAGATTCGACATGTGCCCAATGGACCACACGACCTTTCGAATCATACGGCGGCAGAATCCCACATAGAACTAGCTGGTTACTCAATGTATAAAAGATAAGCAATATCGTTAGATACAGCCAACGCTACTGCAACTTTCAATTGTCCGAAGCAAACGTTTGGGACTGATTGATCAACGAGCCAGGCTCTAAGAATCGGGGAAAGCTCCCCTTGATGACTTCACCAATGAGGTAGTCCATCGGGGTAACGTTGGGGGAAAGCTTTCCGTTTGAATCGTACGAGTAGCGCGTCCCCTAGTCTGATAGGCAATGTACTCGGCCGTTTCAATGATTAATGGTGACAAAGAAAGTACAGGCCGGAGAGGTCGGTTCAAGTTGTCAATACATGACGCGGTGCAGGGTACTTCTGCGAGCGGAATGAAGCAACGTCATAGGCGAAGTATAGCTCCATCCTTGCTGTGATAGGAGAGAGATGTGCACATTCCGTCTTTACCCCGCAAAAGAATAAGACAAGGAGATCGTGGAGGCTTATATTGATGATTAAATGATCGAATCAGAGTGTTCCGATCGACACTTGCCGCTGCCTTAATAAGTGGCACGAGGATGATACCACCATCTTCTTCGCAGAATGGATCTTCCTTGAAATAGATGCGATGGGGGAGGAGAGTGGGGTCTCCGTGCCTGAAGGGTTGACCAGATGAACATTCGTTCCTAGTTATTGAGATAAACTCATCTCGAACCAAGATCAGTCGAGTCATACCCAAGTCGAACGACCCAATTCATTTAAGATGCCAGCTTCCTATCGTACGCATGAAGCGTGGCAGTTGCAATGGTAAGAATTGGAGTTGATCGGAGTTGATAGTAGTCGGCGAGGTGGGGTCGATGATGCAACGGGGAGACAAGTTCCAGGCCCGGCTATTGGTAGCGTGACCCACTTTCCCCAGAAAATCCTACCTAACTGCCTAGTCCCTAATCGCTTCGCTCTTGAGTGCTTCTCCGAGTCATTGGTAATTTGTAAGCCTTCACTGGACGAAATCACGCGGATGTTAATACACATCTGGTAAGGATACAGGTAGATCGGGAGACTATTGAAAGTCATTGTATTATTCTGGTAAGGCTGAAAATATCCACCAAATAGATCCCTGTCTCATATATCGAATAACTACTTATAGATAGTACACGTCGCACGATCTAGATGATCAAAGACGGGGGGACTGTTGCAACACCGCAAACGCATACCATGAAGCGACGTTACGGTACCTAATTTAGAAATGTCAGCCTTCTTGCTATATCAAGCAACGCTAACTAGGAATAATATTCCATAGCCTCTTCAGTTCTCCAAGGTGAAAGGAAAAGTCTCGTCACGAAGAACTCCGATATCATGCAGGAAAAGTATCATCCGCGAGGCTTCGACTAGACTAGCGAAAACTGACTAACCTTTTAAGGGAGATAGTAATAGCTAAGTTGCGCATAATATATTGTTACCTATCATAACATCCGAGTTAGCGACGTCAACTCAGCTGCAGAACAACCAAGGTATAATGGAAAGCTATCAGGCTGATCATGTTAGCTTCGAACACATAGTGAGTCTCAGGAGAGCATACCTCATTAAATCAGATTTGTTTAAATGTTCATTTCCATGCCCATTGGACAGGATCAAACAGTGTGAATAATGTTCATCATATGCATTGATAGTAATTTGAGGAAAAAATGGAATAGTACCTGTTGAGGATTGTTAGCTATAGCCTAGACACAACGACAATACAATGTTCGAGGTAACAAGACACAATCAGTTGACGAATTCTCAACAAGAATCCCTCATGGTCCTCCTCCCACAAGGTTTGTAAAGTCTTGTGTTTGACGAAGAAGGTACGAGGGTTCGTTTATGTCCGCCCGTTCGTTCAAGATATCCTCATGTGAATATGATAGATGTATAATTGGGAGCATATGTACCTATTCAAATAGACGAGTTAGTTGTGAATACAAGTAAATATTGTCTAATAAATGAAGGAATAGGTATTGAGGTCAGACAAGGCTGAAACTAAACAAATCTACATAGTATATTCTGAATGAGGAATTCCCTAGGTTTGTCGATTTCTTCATCACTCCTCGGTGGGGTTGGATAAAGTGCTGGTCTCGAAAGAAAGAGAAAAAAAATGCATACCTTTTGTTATAAAAAATTCGAAGGTGGACGGGTAATAGCCACTACACCAGCAAAAATAGCAAGAACCTATTGCGAACTTAGTTAGCCACCTTGTCTTCTCGTGTACGCGAAAAGACTATATGCCAATGAGATTTGCTCAGGGTAATTCTAGAGTCTAGGATCCCCATTGTGTTGTAAGATTTGGATTGTTCAATTTTTTCTTCGTCACAGCAAGGAAACAAGACCAAACAATTGTCATGACTCACATCATAAGCAGGTTAGAAGCTCGTCAAGCGTCAACGGAAACAATTGAAGGAAGAAAAGAGCTCAATAAGTACGAGCACAGGAGTGCAAAAAGCTTCGAAGGACGAAAGGAAAATGTGGTGAAGAAGCAAAAGAACTAATTGCGAACGAAAAGAAGAAAATAAAAATTGTAGTGGAGTTTTTTCCCCACTAGTCCAGTTTCAAGAATCGGAGATTCGCTGGCTGTTAGCGTCGGCAACCTCCCAAACTGTGGCAACCGCTGCGCCACACCTGCTTACCTAACCCACCTTATCGGTGTAGATAACCCTCGTCATTGCCCACCGCTACCTAAACCTTCCCTCCCTCCTTCCCTCCCCAGACCAACCCTCTCCTTAACGTTCGCCGCCTCATCGCGACGAACAGGAAACCAAAACAAGATGACCGCTCCCATAGGTGGCATATGGGCGCCCGCCGCGCTGCGGGTCGTCCGTACCGCCGCCTACAAGGCGAGCAAGCTGATCCGGGCCAAGATCGCCGCCGCCGCCCGTCCAGCCAACAACGCCGTCCTCGAGCCCGTTCTCGCGCGAAACGCTCCCCGTCAACCCGTCCACCCCGCCGCTTTCCTCCGCCAGTCTAAGAACCGCCGATGGCACTCCACGTACCAAAACTTCAATACCGCCGTCCGCCGCTTCATGAGCACCGGCACTGGCTCCGGCGCTCCTCGGATCGACCGGGTCAAGTTCGCAGGCACTCAGACCGGCCGCGCTATCGCCCAGTTCACGGGCCGCGCGCCGTTCGCGAGCACCCTGCGCCCTAACCTCACAGGCGGTGCCTTGCCCCGTACCGCAGGCGGGTACGGGCTCGGTTCCGGCCGCGTAGGCGGCGCCCGCTACTTCTCCCACACGCCCGTGGCCCAAGCCCAAGTCATCCAGAACGTATCCGCCGCCGTGCGCGCGTTCTGGATATCAGGACAAAAGGCACAGTTCGACGGGCTGACTGCCCGAGGGGAAAGGAAATACCGCTCCGTGTCTGCGTTGCAGGAGGAGACGACCCGCAAGCTGGCTGCGCTGCCGCGCGATGTCCCGGGCTCGTACGTCGACTTCAGACTCAACCCGACCGTTACTGCTCTCAGCCCCCTCGCGGCTGCGTTCCCGTACCAGCCCGCTGGCTTCAAGGCCCCTGCTCTCGACGCTACGACTCTTAACACTGACGGCTTCCTCGATGTGCTGTCTGGTGACTTCGCTCGTGCCTTGAAGGACTTGACTACGACTTTGGCTGATATGAAGAGGCTTTCTTCGCTGGGCGACCTTCCGGTACACCTCGTGAAAGGACATACTCTTCGGGTCCGCTTCCCAGGCGTCGATAGGGAGACCGTCGAGTCGCTGTGTGATGATCTCGGGGTGAAGAGGGGCATCGTTATGGAGGATCCCGACTTCGCTGCCGAGACCGGGGTTACCATGGCGCTGAAGTTCCCTTTTGCTCCTGATGCTAGCCACGACACGAAGACGCTCACCTCGCCTGGTGGTTCGCTCAGATCGCAGGACAGCTTCTTCCGAGCGGAGGAAGAGCTCTTCGAAGAGGGCTTCAGCGATCTAGAAGATAACCCATGGCTATCCCTGCCAGCTGACCCGGAAGGCTACGAGAGCATGTCACCACCGATCAGCTCGGGTGAACACTGCTCAGAGGACTTCGAAGGCCTTGAGGGCATATACAAGTTCTTAGAGGAGTGCGATCGCTCCCGTGGAAAGTTCTGAACGCTTGCTTGTTGACAAATGAATTATGAAGGCGTACGGTTGTTTTGTTTGGGAGGGGATATCCATGTCAGATTGCCAGAATGGTAGTATTGTCTTTACACCTAGGAACCACACTCATTGTACCTTGATCGTCGCGATATCCTAGGTAGCTATCGGACTCACTAGTCCCGCTTAAATTCCATATGTCAATAAACCAATTACCTACAGTATCTAGTAAGAATCCGCCGTAGATAAGTGAAAAGGGTATCAGATTCATATACTCATCGAGTACCAGGCAAACGACCCGTAGTTGCAAATTATTCTAAGGCCATATCTAACTCGTAACATTTTCCAATAACCCAGAACTCTCAAGCATCAAATCTCGTCTTCCGCTTCCCAGTATTCGTCTTCAACCCACCCCCCTGTCCATCCTCGACCGAAGACGCTGTCGCTGCCACAAATTCAACAGGAGCCCCCTTCCCCCTCGCCCTTGCCTTCTCCATATCGGCCTGGCTCTGCTTAAGCTGTTCCTTGTAAGCCCACCTCGGGAACGCAGCCGGGTCCCATATATCAGCCGGCAGCGTAGTCTGATACTGGTCCGCGGCGCCGCCGAGCTCGACGAAGGCTAGGAGCTTTTCCGTTAGTGCGGGGTTGCGTAAGGATGGATTCTGCGCGACTTTGGAGTTGAAATGCACGCCCTGCTTCTTCAGCTCGAGGAAACGTTCGAACTTGGCGCTAGTTGCGGGTGGGGGTGATCCAGGCGGAGATGCCGGCATGTCCGTGTTGGGAATTGGGGGGAGCGTGAGGTCCCGCAGTAGTGCGCGGGTTGCTGTGTACGGAGATCCGGGAGGGAGGCCTGGTCCGGCGTCTGCTTCGTCGTCCTCTAGTGGTGCTTCTTCTAGTGGAGGGAAGCTGGGTCCTGCAGCTGGAGCTGGAGCTGGGCCTATTTGTGGCCCGATGATGGCTTCTGCTTTCTCGACTGGTTTTTGCAGCGCGGTGGCGGGCTCTGCTATTAGAGGCTCTGACCGTTTGTTAGGAAAACATATCTTGAATAGGTAGGAACCAAGGCTTAAGATAAATACTTACTTGATTTCTCATTGGTGCCCCCGGTAGTATCTTGAGTTTGTTTCAGTGGCTGGCCTCAGTTGAATCAGTGCTGTCCAATGCCTACCGGTGTCATATTGTATGTCATCTCGTGTTCTCATTCATACCTTTGGTTCTGGCTGTTGCTCGACCTCCTCCTCATCGCTGCTCTCGTAGCTTACAAGGCCTGACATTTTCAATGATTTATATCAATTCTAATTGAGCTTCACTTAATTTGGGCTCAATAGATCTCGTCAAAATGCAATCGAATTGTTGCATTAAATCACATGTTCATATAATTGAAGTAAGAGTTTCTTCGTCGCAAGTCGAGGTACATGATCAAGGTATCCTAGCGCCTCCCGGATTTAAAGTGGACCACAAGGCAATTTTCAGTTGTCAAGCAGCTGTCCACATGTGTAATGGTAGGCAGGTACGTACTTCATTGGCCTGTCTGGGAAGGCAGAACTGACGCGCAGCTCCAAGCTTGTAGGTCAAGGTCAACTCCCAAACGGCAGCTTCCCTCCATCAGCCTTACAACTTCACAACTCGATATTCCGAAAACGACATTTCACCACGCCGCCATTAATCCGAGTTCTCGCTACCCGACCCAATTCCCAAACCAATACCCACCAAATTTCAATATGGATCACCGACCACAAGCTTGGGGCCGTGTAAGTAGCTTGTTCCCCAAGAACTGAGGGCACCGTCAACTAACAATCGATAGCCTAGAGACGATGTCTACGGTGCCTACGATGCCTCATACATGCAAACAAACGGTCCGAACCAGCACACCCAATCCCCCGTCGTAACGGGAACGTCGGTAGTAGCGATGAAATTCAAGGATGGCGTAGTCATGGCCGCCGATAACTTGGGTATGCACATAAGTCCATCGCTACCTCAATATATCCACCTTTCCTAATATCTCCCTACAACTCAACCCCCCCATAGTACACCATAGCTAACACCACCTCCCCATCCAGCATCCTACGGCTCCCTAGCGCGCTTCACCGACGTAAAGCGACTCCGCACCTTCGCCGAGACCTCCCTCGTCGGCTTCGGCGGCGACGTCTCCGACATGCAGTACCTGGACCGACACCTAACGGGGCTCAACATCGACGAGGCATATCAGGAGTCAGCCCACACCCTGAACGCCCGCTCTCTACACAAGTACCTCTCCAAGCTCCTCTACCACCGCCGCTCCAAGTTCGACCCGTTGTGGAACCACCTCCTAGTCGCCGGTCTCGACGAAGAAGGCGCGCCCTTCCTCGCAGCCGCCGACCTCCTCGGCACAACCTTCACCTCGCCGTCCCTCGCCACCGGGTACGGGAGCATGCTCGCGCAGCCCATCATGCGCAAGTACGTACCGGACGAAGCCTCCGTCGCCAACGTGACGAAAGAGCAAGCGATCGAGGTGATCAAAGAATGCATGAAAGTGCTGTTCTACCGCGACGCGCGGTCGCTAGACTCGTACTCGATTGCCGTCGTGACCAAGGACGGCATCACGCTGTCCGAGAACGAGAAGCTCGAGAACCAGAGCTGGGCCTTCGCCGACCGCATCAAGGGCTACGGCACGCAGACCGTGTAGAGAGCAGACCCTGCTTCCGCCGGAGCCATCGAGCGTTCTTTCCGTCGCCTCTCCATCGACATCAGGTTCCGTGTGGGCGAACATGACGACATGATGGATTTGGATGGTTGACTAGACTAGGCTGGGTAGTTCGGGAGAGAAAGAAAGTATTCTCGACGGGACGGGATACGAGATCACGCTTGCCTAGGGAGTTTGATGGGGGAGGGAAGGATATTACGTATATTACTACATCACCATAAAGTCACGATGCTTCCCGGTCGTCTGTAGAGAAGAGCAGCATAGGTAGAGTAGGTAGGCAAGGAACTCTTGTAACGGCAAAATCAAGACATGTGAACAAGAATAATACTATGTTTTCGCGCGCACAATGCCTCGTGTCTAGATGGCATTCATGATTCACGTCGACTTTACTAGAGATTCAACGTCGATTGATCAGTGCTGAAAGACGTGGTCATCTCCGAGTTATGAAAGAATGATATTCCTAGCTAAGAACCAGCCCAAATCATTAGACAAAAGGTCTCTCAATCATGTTAGACCCAATCTTTTTGTGGTTGTCAACTTTTTACTTTATTCCTCGGTATCCTCGTCTAGATCGTCCTAGCCGATTTACAGATCGTCATCTATCTACTTCCTTTGCAGTACATGTGTCACACCAGAATTGGCGTGGGGGCATTATGCATCATGGGGGTTGCAGGAGAGATAGTAACCGCCTTCTCTTCGCAACCCTCTTATCATCTCCCAATCCCGCTGCCATCCATGTATAAAACCACCACGCGCTTAATTGCGACCCAAATCCATCCTCCCGCCGTGAAATCGGTTCATAGTCAACTCCCATATCATATCGCAAACTCGTCAAGAATGAGGCTAATCATATAGGTACGCAACCATGCTTATTCGACCGTGACCGACTTGGCCAGGTTACGTGGGAAGTCGACGTTAAGACCCTCCATAACAGCTAACCAGTAGGCAATCAGCTGCAGAGGGATGACATTGAGGATTCCTTGCAGACAGTCGACGGTCTTGGGTACCTCGATCTTCTGCGCTTGGCTGGCTTGGAATTCTTCATCGCTGGGGTTGCAGATGACGATGGGTTTTCCACCACGGGCAGCAACTATGAACTCGTTAGTATAATTCGAAACATATTCGCAAAGCTAGAAAATTCATGACGTACCTTGTTGGTAAGCGTTGAGTGACTTCGTGAAGAGGTTATCACGGGTCAGAATCATGATGATAGGGAGGTTTTCGTCAACCAGAGCCAGCACGCCGTGCTTCAATTCACCAGACATAACAGCTTCGCAGTGCAGGTAGGAAATTTCCTTGATCTTAAGGGCACCTTCGAGAGCAGTCGAGTATTGGCTACCACGTCCTAGGAGCAGTAGTGACTTCTGGTTCTTGAACGTCTTCGAGCAAAGCTCCTTGATCGATTGGTCTTGCGTCAAGATATCCTTGATTTGCGCAGAGATGTTGGACAGACCTTCAATAATCTCCTCCCGCCTCTTCTGCTTGGATGCTCGGTCCTCACTAAGTGACAGAGCAAACATGACCATGGCAATGAATTGAGACGTGTAAGCCTTGGTTGAGGCAACACCGATTTCAGGACCAGCATTGACGTGGACACCGCAGTGAGTTAGGAGCGAGATAGAAGAACCGACGACGTTAACGATACCAACGGTAAGAGCGCCACGCTCCAAGCAGTATCGGAGAGCCATCAGCGAGTCGGCCGTCTCACCGGATTGCGAAACGAACACACATGTGTCGTCACGGAAAACCGGCGCTTCTCTGTCAAGGAAATCGGAAGCGAGCTCGACGGCGATTGGAATCTCAGCGAGCTCCTCAAAGATACCTCGAACAGCCATGCAAGAGTGGTAACTCGTTCCACAAGCAATGAAAATAATACGTCTGCATCGGCGAATGGTTGCGATGTATGATCTCAAGCCACCGAGAGTGACAGACTTGTGTTCGATGTCGAGACGACCTCTCATGGTGTTGACGACGGATTCGGGCTGCTCGAAGATTTCCTTCTGCATGAAGTGGTCGAACTTGCCCTTCATGATCTCCTGGAGCTCGAGCTCGAGGGTCTGGATATTTCGGACATTGGAGCTACCATCAGCCTTCTTGAGACGGTGAATGTTCAGCGAACCCTCATGAATGTGAGCGATGTCGTCATCCTCCAGATACATGACCTTCTTAGTGTGCTCTACGATGGCAGATGGGTCGGACGAGAGGAAGAATTCGGCGGGCATGGGCAAGCCATCGTCGGTCATGAAAGCGCGGGATTGTGAGCGGTGTAGGAGAGACTTGTCAGCGGCACCAAGCAGAGCGTTGGGGGCCAGGAAGTTGCCAGTTTGCTTCTTCAAGGCAACGTTCTGGGAGGCAGCCTCGGCTGGTAGAACGCCATTCTCCTCCGAGTATTCGACATCGACAAAGTCGACCTTCATGCGCCTCTGGGTCTTCACACCAATGACAAGGGGCGAACCCTTGCGAGCGGCAATGACCTCATGGGGGTAGTGTACAGACTTGATCAGCAAACCGTAAGCACCCTCGAGCTCAGTAATAACAGCCTTCGCTAGATCGACAAAGTCAATTTGGGGGTGTTGGTCGTACAGGTACTTTGCGAGTTTCGCAATGCACTCAGTGTCGGTCTCGGTCTCAAACTTAAAGCCCTTTGCAGAAAGGAGGGTCTTCAATTCCTTGTAATTGGTGATGATGCCATTGTGGACGACTGAGAATTCCCATGTGGGGTCGGATCTGAAAAAAGCGATAGCTATATTAGCAAGGGGACTCGTAAGCTCTGCTGGTATAAAGAGTATTTACCGGTGGGGATGGCAGTTCAGCCGAGAGGGAGGGCCGTGAGTAGCCCATCGAGTATGGGCGATACCGGCATGTGAGTCGAAAATCTTAGTGAGATCTGGTTTGGACTCATCAATGAGTTGCTTGAGCTTGGCAACCTTGCCGACTTCTTTGAAAGCGAGAACTTCGTTCTTCTTGTCGCCGTCGACAGCTAGACCGGCCGAATCATATCCACGATACTCTAACCGGGAAAGACCTATATAACGAAAAGAACCAGACATCAGCTTTGAATTCCCTATAATATTATTTTGTGATTGCTTCTTTCTATAAATCGTCGAGGTTGTAAAATGCGGGTTGGACGTTGAGAAACGGGTTACGGCAGGTTGTCATGTCTCACCGTTTACGAGGGTGTCGAGGATAAACTTCCTATCCTTCTCGACCAGGTAGTTAATGTAGCCGAAAATTCCACTATAATAAAAGTTCAAATTAGCAAATTGAATTGATCCTAATTACATGAACTTTTGTTTCTTCCTCTATAAGCTCTTTTGTCCCTGACTTTGCCACAAAATCTGAGGAGCTGTGGCCGTAACCGTAGCCGCATTGAAATAGTCGAAACCAGGGGGTTGTTGGGCTGGGGTAACTCGACAGAAACATAGTTTCCATCTAGTCTTTCGATGGCGTAGGAATACGGATCGTTGGATGTTGCGCGGGTCTTACATACCACATATTGCCTCTAGTTTCGGTGTTGCAAAGCAAGAATGGCTACGGGGTGTGTTTCTCTGGCTTAGACTACTTTGCCGTCTTCCTTTGTAGCTACGGTAAAGGGATTCTTCTGGAGGGGGGTATCAATGGTATCAATGATAAAACGAAAGTCAATGGCGGTGAGCGTTGAGGGGGGAAGGGATTAAGTGAAGAAGAAAGGATAGAGTTTCCAGAACTTGGTCGGAGAGGAATTGGGAGGGCACAGGCTTGGACTTTTAAAGGTAAAGGGGAGCTAAGGCAGTGGATGGCTTGTCTGGCTTAACTGGATTGTTTGGCTTTTTTAAGGATGGCTTTTTTTCCTCCTTTAGAAAAAGAATGCTGGTGACTTGGTGACTTGGTGACTTGAACCTGACTGGTGCTTTCTTAGGCCTTTAGAACTTGGCTGTTACCAGGTGGTGAGGCAAGCATGTACGAGGATGTAGCTACCATAGTCAATCCACTAGTGGGCTACGATGGACCTCAGAGGTAGGAGGGGTTGTCAGGGGGGTAATGGGATGTACCTATGTTTTTTCTTACGATCGAATTCATGCCTTACTCGTGCAATGTATGGGACAAGTATCTAATTGCCTATCATTTACCTATCTTTCGCCTATCAGCCATCGAAGTGACTTGGGTAGTACTTATCGAAGGCTAGACCCTAAACAATAACCCTACCTCATGCAGTTGCAGCGTATCAATGACACCACACCGTACCTACCTCTCTTACCTTGTCTACCGCCTCTGAGGTCCTCATACCTCGATTGCCCGATTCAAGTTACGTATTATTTAGAAGTATTAACCTCTGATGTATTTTTTGCTTTTTGGCTTCATCCCGCGTCCGTTGCGCCCGTTGTACAGCTAAGGAAGACACATACGTACCTTCTCCGCATCTAGAATCCATTCGACCAATTTAATGTATCCTCTCTTATTTTGGCATTTTCGATGTTCACTCCTTCCCAGTATTTCCTTCTTTCTATTCCAGACTCTTATCAATATAGGCAATACCGACCAACGGATATAGGGTTTAAGTTTCCTAATTCCCAGTTCCTGGTTCCCAATTTCGTCATTCTATTTATTGCAAATGGACAGATGGGCAGATGGACAAATAGCAGGATCCAGCTTGTCAGCCCTTGTTTTACAATTAAATGTTTTTTAGTTGTTTTTTTGCATTGCGTTGCCTGTCTTTTAGCATTTTAGTCTTTGTGCTCCTAATATCCTCTCTTATTTATTACAGCCAATCGTTGGTCAAAGTCTATGCAGCGTGCCGACCCTTTCATCGTCTAGGCAATATTCAGCTTGCTGATACGACGATAATTGGTTGTCTTACAGAAGCAACACTTTGTCCAATTGAGCCGCTCTCTTCTTCTCTCCTCATCTGATCCGATCCCGAGAACCAGAAAAGGATTCAACATGCAAATCTTTCAACGTTACCTATGATATGGGTACATGGAGAAGGCATACGTAGCATCTCATACGTATTCTTCTTTTCGTAAAGACAAATTATTATCTGAAAACTTCACTAAATATCAAACAGATACTAACCAGATGTCTGCGCCACCACCCGATGGGGTGTCAACGCCATTCATTGGTTTCTTCGTGTTCAATGAAGATCGAGTTCTAAGCTGCAGTGCTAGCTGGCCGTCCGCCGGATCATCATCCTGGCCGCGGCCCCTTGTTTGGGGCTGTACCTGAGCTCAAATTTGCTTGGCCTCCTGTTGAGGCTTGGCCCGAGTCGGCCAAAATGCTACCCTCCACCACAAGCTGTCCCCCAAACTCCCTACTACTCCTTGCTAGTTTGTTGGAAGTCCCGATATCAGAAACAAAGCAAGCAATCCGAACACGACCTCTTCTGACGACATGTCGAAAAGGGGTCACCAGAGCGTGATGACAATGACGCGGCTTATTTCGTTTCTTACTCGCCATACAGTTGCCGCGGCAATTAAATAAATATTTATATCATATGAGCATAGTTGAATTTTTCCTATCTTTTCAGAGTATCCATTGGATTCATTCCAAAGTTTAGTCAGAGTCTTGATCGAAGTCCGACCAGTTGCGTTGCAAGGAATGTCGCCATCATCCTTGGTGATATCAGCCAATCGTGTTAACCAAGTGGCTAAGCTTTATTCTCATCTAATGGAACGTTCATCGTCAAGCAACTAGATCTTGATGTTTAATTATCGATCCTTGAGAATATCAAGACATTTATAACTTACTACCGCCAGCTCTTCTTTTTGTTACCGTTGTGGAATGCTCATCGGGAAATATCTTACTAACTATCGTATTCGAGGTCCATCCGTGTTTTCTCATCTCACTCTAAGTTTCAGGTGGTCGGTGAGGATCTTCGGCAATGAATGTCATGACTAAGTACACCAACGTCGACTTTTTTGTTTTCTTCGCCCTATCCACCAATGTGTTCGATTAATGAATTGCCTTCATTTCATCCGTACCATAGCTTGGGTATCGTTACTGGGCCACCAACCAACTTGGCATCGCTAATATCTATCACCAACCCGCGCCGGTCGTCTAGCTAGTCGACTCACGCCTTGCGCGCCTGGCAAGGTTAGCTAAGAATAGCAAGCGACATGGCCCACCCAATCGTGATCCCTGCGAGGCTCACAACTGAGCACCGGTTGCAATCCATGTAACATTGCCGGCAGCCCACCACACTGATGTCAGACTGACAGGGAAAGTCCTGCATGTCCTTTATTCCGGAGGCCTGCATTTCGTGGATGTCGGAACGTGTCTTTTGCATCGTATGTAATTCATCACATACCATACGTGGGAATATCGCATATCACTCGATATGAGGGATACGACAAGTTAAGGAGTCTCACCGTGAGTAGCGATAAATTTCCAACACCTCAATACGACCCAATTCTCGTTAACAGAGAATAACCAGTTGTAAATGTCACTTTACAATCTACAAAGCTACTCGTTTGCTTTTTTACGATTCATGCGCGTAGCTCCAATGGGATCGCCACACGGGGAAAATGAGTTCAACCGTCTCCCTTTAGTTTTCAGGAGCTTTTTAGCGAATATTTTAGCCAGCTAGTTAGCTAGCTAACATGAGGGCATTTCTGGAATTACATCACGAAAAGCTCTAGTAAAATACCAGAGCTATCCGTATGAATGGCCGAGTATTGCTTGTATTTTCGCCTCCTTGACGACTTGGATACTCAAACGTACTGACTGGGATAGACTCCGTCACAGTAGCTGACCAGCTATCATTACTCTATGCCTAAAGAGTAGAAGAAGCCGTCATACCCTAGTTTTACTCCACAACTCTAGTTAAAGCGAAACAGTTCATCCCAGTAGACTATATGTATGTTCATTGCTTTGTTATTAAAATATACTCTATAAAGCTTGGCTCGATTCAGAGATTTTGACCTCTATAGGTATGTAGGACCTAGGTATGTCATCAAACGAGTTTGGATGATCTTCGGGTCCCAACCTACCTACGCATAGTACACGTTGGCGCAAGTTGTTAGCCATCGACTAGCTCAAGTATGCAAGCATATAAGAGTCAGCAGCTGAAGTAGCCAGTCCACGGTATACCAATGATTCCCTGTATTTCCCAATTCAGCCTTATGCTTCTATATATCCCCTAGACCATGTACAATTCATAGGTAGGGTGAAAAGGTGCGTATGTTTTGGCCAATGAACGATTTAGCAGCTGTCAGCTTATGAGACTAAAGATTTACACCTACCTAAATATGCAGTCCTTTACTAGGTAGGTGATGATACTAATCCGCGGGGATTTGCAGGACTTGTGCATATAACCTATCGGGGGCCGCTTGATACCTAGGCAGACAGCCTGCGGCTCATGTAAACCACCTACCTAGCTTTCAGAGTGTATAACGGTGATCTCAGCCTAGGTACCTATCTAAATCCAGCTGAGGCAGAAAGGAGAGACATCTTCCTGCCGCTTGTATAGTGCCATATATGATGCTGTAACACTTCGACTAAGGTCTCATGATCAGACAGAAGCTAGGTTGTATGTGGTATTCTTTGGCGAACTATTCTGTCTTACCAACACCATCAGATAGGATGAAGATGCCTCACTTGTAGGCTGTCTGTAACTTTATGCTGAATGCGTTATAATACCATGATACAGCGTAGAACACGCAGCTCTAGCTACTTACATCGTTTCTTTCATATGCTACCTTTTACGTAGCCTAGATCTATATAGGTAAGTGTAGTCAATCCAAGAGTCTAGAACAAGAGCCTCTCACTTGAGTTCTTCATTATGAGCCTACAACTGTCCGATTAAGTGTTTATACCAGCACACCCTACTTTGTTTCAAAAAGGGGCAGACCGTTTATTCTAGAGAGGAAAAAAAGGAAAAAAATATCTAAAACCGAGACGACATAAAAGGTAATGGGTGTATTCTCGCATTTTGAGAACCCAATTACGATCAACGGCAGTGAAGAGATGAACCGGGACCTCGTTGTCCTCTAGAATGGCCAAATACCCTTCCAAGTGCTGTCACTTCTATTCGAAGAATACCTACCAAATTCATCTCAAAGAACTTTGGTGAATCAGTCGACAAGGGATACCATACCATGTTTACCATCAAGATTAGCTGGGACGAGACGAAATATACTTGAACATAGATGTTAAACGTCGTGGCTACTATGTATAGATCGGTTTCCAACCATATTAGCTCCACTAGGAGAATATGGGGAGGCACCTAGCCACCAATACCTAAGCATGATAAGCACAATGTATGCTTCACGAAGCACTCTTTATATCTTAGAAAGAGGTCAAGCAAGCGCAACGAGAACATACGACCACGTATAGGATCTAGAATCCATCATTCGTATTACAGGTGAGACTGATGAAAAGCCTCGCCTGGGTTCTACACATAATTTTACACGGAGGACTTAGTCTATGTAGTTGGTTTGATTACCCCCCTATTTCTGTGCTAGGTGCATGTAGTACCAATGGCAATTCTTTCGTGATGCCCCCTTTGGTTGGTATACCCCATGTGCCTCGAAAGGGAGCATCAAAAAGCTTAATGACTAGAGCTCCTTATCCCTTACTATCATGTCCGCTGTGCTTGTCTTATAGTTTCTGGTACTCGAGCTTGCCTTCTAACTTCTTGGCCTCCGCCAGCTTTCGCACCGCCTTGTTGAAGTCGTCTTGGTTGACGGCGTCTCGGTAGGCCTTGATGGCGAAAAGACCGCTATACACCAATATTAGTATTTCACTTAAGGTTTCGTAGACAGGATGTAAGAACTTACGCCTCGGTAACCACGTTTCTTAAATCTGCTCCGTTCAAACCGTCACTCATCTTGACCACGCTCTCAAAGTCGATTTCGCCCTCGGTAACTACGCTCTGGGAGTGAATCTTGAGAATCTCGAGACGTCCGACCTCGTTCGGTAGCGGGATCTCAATCTTTCTGTCTAGACGACCGGCTCGTAGCAGTGCGGGGTCCAAAGTATCGGGTCGGTTTGTGGCCATGATGATCTTGGTCTTGCCCAAGTAGTCGAAACCGTCGAGCTGGTTGAGTAGTTCCATTAGTGTTCGTTGGATCTCTCGGTCTGCGCTAGTTCCCTCCGAGAACCGTCGTCCACCGATGGCATCAATTTCGTCCATGAAGATAATGCATGGCTCGTGTTCCTTCGCATAGCCAAACATCTCTCTTATTAGTCGCGCAGACTCTCCAATATACTTGTCGACAATGGCTGATGAGACGACTATAGAAACAAAAATGTGAGTAAAAGCGCTGAATCTAGTAGTAGCTGTGTAGTATAGGGATTAGACCTCCTACATACCCTTCAAGAAATTCGTCTCTAAACTACTAGCAACAGCTCTCGCCAGGAGAGTCTTTCCCGTACCCGGAGGCCCATATAATAGCACACCCTTGGGTGGTTTGATGCCTACTCTTACGAAGAGCTCTGGGTTCTTGAGCGGTAGTTCGATGACTTCACGCAACTCTCGGATTTGGTCGTTCAGGCCACCGATACCTGCAAAACTGACTTGACCGGGGTCTTCTAGTGACATATTGTAGACGAGAGGATCGACTTCTCGAGGAAGCATTCGCATAATGGTAAGTGTAGTCATATCCAGCGCAACTCGGGTTCCCTGCTTCAACTTCGCCTTGTCCACCTTGGATCTACAGCCGACGACGTAGCGGGGCCCCGAGGAGGCTTTGACGATAACTATGAAAATGGATTTGGATCAGTATGTTATCTCCTTATATGCTGCTAGCAGTGGTAACGACGTACATCTTTCCTCATCCAATTGTTTCAAGACTTCGCCAATGATTTGTCCGACACTTTGTAGAGCCTTGATGTTCTCTTCGGTCTGGTTAAAATCCTTCTCTAACTCCTTGATTCCTACGCGCAATGCCTTTAACTTGGATTCCCACTCCCGTGACTCGATGAGTTTGGCACGGAGCGCTTGAAGCGCATGATCTCGTTCTTGGTCTGACGCCATAGTTTGTGTTGATGAGAGTTGAAGGGAGTATTGAGAGACCGGACCGGAATAGAAATGTTGACTGGATTCTTGTGGAAGGTTGGGTATCGACTAGGCTGTAAATTAAATGTGATGTATGAATAATCGAAGTGGTTATTTGCGAAAGTCAATAAAAAGGTTCAAGATTATGATGGAGCTTCCGACGAGGCGGTTGCTACTGCCGTAAGTAGCTGATGAAGCTTCCGCTTGCCTGGTCGGACATTCTAAGCTCGGACCCACTTTATGAGCCGAACTTCTGCCGCTTATCGAAGTACTTAGATACTTCGGTACTTATCTTTCACCTTGGAAGTCACTACTAGGTATCGGGGTCGTAAGAAATGATATTAATCACATGCAATTGTTTCGAAAACGAAGAAGATGAAGACGTATAATATATATAAATATCACATGTCACAAAGGGAATATCTGTATATACAGCTTGGAATCTCCCTAGACATTCCTTCAAGAGGTAAGAAACAGGTATGTATCTCGAATCCTACATACGTAGCTAAACAAACTAAGAATACCTTCGTATAGGCTATGGTGGAATTGGATTGAAAATATGAAAATTCATTGTTTAATGACTAGGTATCCTTGAAGTAGGTAGGTATGAATCTTTCAAAAAAAGCGTTGAAAGAATACGTCAACATCAACGCTATGCTTTGGGGTATATGTTGTAAATCGTGATGCAATAGTGTGCTCCAAGGGCGGTCGCTAACCGTCGATATGTTACTGTCCGCTCGCCAAGCACTATGAAGCTCCATCTACAGAACTTCTGACATCCGCGGATGAAACATCATAAGCGTGAACCCGTACAATATCTCGAATTTTGTTTATTCTTGACTTTCCCATTCGGCGGTGATCTCTTCTCTGACTTTCTGACACCATTTCCAGATTGCTGCCTCGAAGTCTACCCATACTTGGGGTTCGGTATTGTAGACCACGCCCATCACGTCTACCTTCAACATAACTTCGAACCGTAGTTCGGCTGCTTTAATCCAGTACCGGAGATTGTCCGCACACCTGTAAGGCTTCTGCGTGTCTGTGTGGAATGACCCAATGGCACCGAAGCGTCGCCGAGACTTCCTAACCGCGGCATTATGAAGCTTGACAAGCCTTAGTCCGTTTTGCATACTCTCTAGGAATGGCGTTGGTAGCTGTGATGCTTTATCAATTGGCGTCCATGGTGGCAATGGCTCAGCTTCGTTATCGATCGAGCTTAAGAAAGCAATCTCGCGCTCAATTTCCCTCCCAGACCAGTCTCCCTTCCACCATGTCCAACTGGCTCTCTCGTCGCGCTCGGCTTTCTCGATTTCTTCCTCTTTCCTAAGCATGGTGCGTATGCTTTCAATCCAGGATGTCATTGTTTTGTGCTCATCACCACGAGGACCGCCGGCAAAACTCCTAGTTGCCATATGCTTCAAGACCTCCATGACGGACAGCAGCTCTGAGCGAATCTCCTTTTCGGATTTGATAGAATCCAAACGATCCGGATGCTCATGTGCTGTATAGTAGATCTTCGCAGCGCGTATGGCGAGTGTCATCACGTCAAGCAACTGCACTCCTTGAACTTCGTACCATGTCTGTGTTCTGGGTGGCTGAACCGCAGCTGCTCTGGCAGATAACGGTGTAGACGCTACCAATACTGTCGAAGCAGAATCTAGCGCCTTTGTCAAGTCTGCCTTCATCTCTTCAATGGTGGGAGGTTTGGGGATATGCTTTTCTCGATGGTTGTAAGTGCTTGTTGTTGGCGGTAAAACGTCTGGATCTGGATCCTCAAACTCGTCCGAGTAAAACCCGTCGTGATCCTCGGTGGGGGATTCGACCATGAGACCACCAATAAAGTTCTGGGCCCCGAGCTCTGGGCTGCTGCCCATAGAGGCGTATGGGGAGTCATCAGCTGGACTGAGTCTTGGACTTAACAATGTGGGACTATTCAATTGCGATAGGTCCAAGGTGGCCCGGGGGTGCCGTTTTCTTGCTAGTTGACCCCCTTTCCCGTCCAACAGTCCAGTTCTAGCAAAATAGTACTGAAGGTGAGAAATGCTTCCTAAACTCAGGACGCTTTCTCGATGCCTTGCACTTGATGCGAAATCTGTCCCTTGAGGCTTTGTATATCCACGCCGTTTTAGAGGTCTGTCCATGCTTCCGGTCGACATGCGCGAAGAGGCAATACTGATATCTGACCTTCGGGACTGATAGCTTGCAGAAGACATCCTGGAGAATGCATCACCACCTAGCGAATTTCTATATGAGCTATCGGCACTCGAAGTGCGGGAAATGGACGAATTTGTCGAAAGGCATCGTTCCGAGTTTGCCCTATTAGGGCCTCGGGCTACACTGGGCGTTGTTTCTGGCGAGGGGGAATCACGGCGAAATGTTGGCCGCTCCTCTTGATTGGTTGACATAGCTTGATGCTCTTAGAGCTAGGAGTCTCGGTGGTTCTATACAGGGAGGACGCGATATAATTTTGGGATATTCGTTGTTGGTCGAGTCGCAAGAGCGACTCTCGGATCGATAATGGAAGGGCGGAAGAGCACGAGCACGAGTGGTTAACTAAAGTGTGTCTCGGGGCTGTTCAACAGCTTTCGAATTACATATATGTAAATGGCAAACAACAGCGTTATCTAAATCGCCGTGAGATATTTGTCGGGTCAACGAGCGCTATGAAGATGCATGTAAATAATGTGAAACAAGTTGGTATCGAATTCTGTGTCGGAGGGACGAATAGTCACACACAGAGGTGGCCGCTTCCTCTATTTCGATTATGAGATCGATGGGGGGATATTTTACCACTTCGTGCCTAGCGTAAATGTATCTGTGAGCATGAGTGGGACTTCAGATGGAGAAGGGACCAGGGGCTATAGAAATTAATACATTGGTCGTTCAACGCACCTTCTATCGCGTCAAATCGGTCCTCGGCTTAGTGGAGACGCGTAAAACGAAACAGCTGAGATATCAGCCAATCGTCGTTCTCCCAGTTGCCCGTTGCCCCTTTTTTTCTTCTTGGTATCGGCAGACTCTCTGTTGAATCATGGATTCAATGGCCTTGAAATGCCCAGGTATTTATATCTTATGTTTTGCATATTCAATGCAGCCAAAGAAGCCAAAGACGGATAACGTTGAAGGAAGAGGATCCGATGATTTTCGACACCAATGCTTGAGTTATACGGGCGTAGGCATATGTAAGAAGTTGAGGTATTGAAGCTAATTAAAGGCGCTGACTGGGCAACGAGATCCGTCGACATTCCTCTTTTCATAAGTCTTTGATAGTATTTATGGATTCCTCCTTTTCCGTTCATCATGATATCCCATTTATGTATGTACCTTGATTTCTTCGTTCATCGAGATGGTCGAATGTTGCGAAATCGAGGACCTATGATTTTGTATCCATTTACGTCTTACCAACTTGTATGTTGGGTAGAATGCAAGTATCAATACTTGACTGTACTATGCACAGTAGACCCAGGTAACAACCCATTGCCCAATCACCCCGCAAATAGCACAGACAGTTGTCAGTCCTGCAAGTGATAGCAAGTCTTTTATTAGTACATACCTACCTTATAGGTACTGACATAGCTGATTCCGACCTGATTGCAACTGCATACTTGCTGCAGGATGGTAACGTATAATGCATGTGAGGGTGTTTCTAGAAGCTTTAGTTTAGCTTGTAGCACGCCTTGGGTATTGTCTTTGGATACTACCTACATACCTTGTAGGTAGATTACCTAGATAGTTAAATCGAGTACCCTCAATTTTATGGTGACGTAAAGCGAGAGGCGACCTCTATTTTGAGGTCTTGTAAGAAGACTGCTATCCTAAGACATAAGCTTACCAAGACCGCACATACGTGCAGGGTATATACTTATGAACAGATATACCAGATATCTACCTAGGTAGACACGTATTTAGTCTGTAGAATTATATCGCCATGTCATGAAAATCTGCGGCGTTGCACTATTCATTTTGCGTCCTCCCCGACCCTGGTCGTCAAGACTGGCTTGGATATGATATGTTAATAGCCTGGTCCTAGTAGTCTTAACCAACGGTTCGGAGAAGCCTTGATCTAACCCATGTGGCATGCTTGGGGTCTCCCGCGCACGAGTCGCTCTCAGGCGTAGTTCCTTAATATTTGCTGTCATAATGGTTACATGGAATAAGGAGTGAAATCTTTAACTTCATCCAAAGGCGACAGAGTCGATGAATTTTACGCTTGTTCGGGAAAGCAGTGCGACGTAAATCGGATGGGGTTGTCATAGTACAATGACTTGGCTGGCAGCCGGTATGCTGCATACATATGTAGTAGCAGTGCTAACCTGACGTGCCGTCCCCACGCCGAATTTTCTTATTATGAGGCGCTAGCTGAGTGCCTGGGCTGCCGGGGATATTTCTCGAAGAAACCGAGCTGCTAATGAATTGAGATTACCAGAAACTGGGTCTTGATGAATGAATGGTCATCACCCCGGAGAGAGGATACTCTTGATTCTAGAATTGGCTTGCCTGGTTATTTAATTAAACAATAACAGGCGCATCTGTACTGAACCGTGTTATCTCGTTTTCTTCCCCTTCATTTTCGTCTCCCTTTACTGATGTTACTTATGTATTGCATTGTGTCGTATCATCTGTACATACGTCAACACCGATTTGACCGGATTGTGACGAACGCACAAATTGTTGCTTTTTGGTTGATTCTGGCCGATTGTAACAGTCCGAGACCATTAAACGAAGCTTGGAAGAAAGCCGGTTGGATATCGACAAACCCCTGCCGAATTTGAGTTATCTTGTTGCTCTTTACCTTCATTTTCATGAATTGTTAGAGGAGAGACTCTTGTATTGAACCAGCATCGAGTCTGTTCCTTTTGCCAGTTCGTTCGCTACAACCCAACTCTAACGAGTGCCGGCTCCTGACTTGCAACAACGAGACGAATCTTAAACTCGCCAAGTTCGTGCCATATATTACACGTTAAGGTCGATTATTTGCTCTTGGTCGAGAGCCCGAAAAAAGAGAGTGGGAGGAATAGGATTCGGACTGAAATATCGAAGAATTTCGATATATTCGATTTAAAGTACGGATGTTAAAAAACGACAAGGTCTAAAGATCTAACGCAGCTCCAAATTTGGTTCGACCCACTCCGTCCCTCATAAAGTCAAATGGTGGAAGCTTTTGGCATGTCCCTTGCCGGTGCTACTGCATACTAAAAGGGGAGGTGTTACCTTGGGTACCTACCTGAAATTTCATTAAAAACGAATTAGAGCGAAAAAGTTATTGGCTGCATCCATTGCATAAGGTTCAGTGCAAGTGGAACATTCGGAGGTACTGTGATCCTTAGCTGCCCGGTGTACAGAAGAGAGGGAAAGTATAGGTGTAGGTAGGAGCGAACGAAGGAATTGCGACGGACGGGTCGAAGCAAATCCATCCATCCATAGGCGTACAAGTACTGTACATCCGGTACTCGATACGTGACCGGTACTGATAGTACTTGGGTACCTAGGTATGTAAATTCGCGTCCCCCCACCAATCAAGGCACCAATCAAACCTGCACGTCTCGTCCGACACGCCAATTCCTCTCTGTCTCCGACCACATACGTGTAATTCCATTAATTCCATTCCCAGAAAAATAGGAGATCATCCACTGTGGCTGCATAGAGAAACAAGGAGCCCATCGCCTGTGTCTGTGCAGTGCAGTAAGAAGTGGGCAACAACACAGACAGTTGCTTCATCTGAAAAAAAGCGAGCGAGGGATTCCAGGATTAAGAAAATAAAGATAGAAAGGAAGGGGGGGAAAAAAGAAAAAAAAGTGATATATACCACAAGATATCTATCACCTATTTTGGGTAAATGACAGGCCCATCTGGAGCCGGTCCAGCTGCAACAGCACCACCAGATGCAGCAGCGGCAGCGACGGCGCCAGCTTCTTCTTCATCACCGAACGACCAAGACCAAGGTCAAACCCAGAACCAAAGCCAAAACCAAAACCAACATCATATCACCCGACCTACATCCGACTCTTCTCGCCAATCTCCCATACCGACAGCCTCCGCTTTTTCGGAGCTAGGATTGACTAACATTCAACAACACAATGCCGCCGACCCATCGATCCAACTTTTAGCATTTTCTGACCTACCGTCCGATCTAGTCCAGCTCAAACCTATCCCCGCCGACAATTACGCCATCACCGCCGACAGCATCAATAATTCTTCTACCATCAAAGCTAAAAATCATCAGCCTCGTAAACCTTCTCCTGGATTGGCTGCCCGTCTTAAGGCCCTAGGCTTCGGTACTCAGAGACAATCATCGCCTTCTGCCTTGACACCGAATCACGAACACGTCGGCCGCCTACCAGAGGATCAACTACGCTTTCTTGATCGGAAGCACCAAGCCAATTCAACCGAGACAGTCATCGAACGACGCGGTCGTCCTTGGAAGGGTGCCGGTGCCCCTCTCCAGCTATTGAGATCTAAATCTAGTCGCGACTCGTTTCGGAGGAAGAGCGCCGCGAGCGAGGACGAGAAGCCATCACCGCCTCTATCAGTTCAGGCCGAATCAACTTCCAAGCCTGAGCTTCTACCTGAGATAACTGAAGCACCGCCCTTGGATATGGACACTAACAAATACCGATTGCCCGACCACACGAATGGAAATGGCACCAAAGCGCAGCTGGATACGCGTAGGGAACATCTCGAGCGAGATATCCCTATCCCTACCTTAGAAGTCGAAGATCCCCAAACACCACCTCCCGTGCCAGCTAAGGACACACCGCCTGGAGGGACAGCCTCTGCCGAATTTACATCCGACCTACCTTCTTATTTTAACCCGCTTGGGCTTCAACGGCCCGGGTCTATTTACACAATATCTCGCGCCTCTTTTGCCAACCAACTAGCTCAACTTACCGCACTACAGCTGCCTGATGCTGAATTATTGTCAAGCAAGGTTGCCGCCATCCCTACCGCCCAGGCTGCAAATAAGGCCTTGCTAGGTGCCGCCGAACAGATACGGAGCTGGATCTCGAAGGCCTCCGAGGTCATCGGAGGTCTCGATAGTGACGATGATGTGGAGTGGGCGGCGGCCGGTGGTCGAGAGGGGTATGAAGAAGTGGAGAATGCCATCACGAGATTTGAAGGACTTATCAACGTCTACGTCACCGCAATCGAAGAGCTCCAAAATCGGCGAGATATCGCCAACGTATCTAGCGATGACTTACAAAAGGCGGTAACACAGATGGAAGCTATTATGAGCGAATGGAGTAAAATCCGCTCTACTTTAAACAACGTCAAAGGCCAAGTCGAGACAGCCATGGAATGGGAGGAACTATGGAACATGGTTCTCGGCGACATCCAAAATGAAATGGATGAGTTGAGTCGATTAATATTTGAAATGGAAGAACGACGCCACAAGTCTATAATGGCGGTTTCTAATGGGGATGGAGTTGACATTGGCGACTTGGAGACTATCGTCGAGGAGACTCCGCCGGCCGTTATGCGCAACAACAGATACAGCGTTCCATCGTTTCCACTTAGCCCCAGCTCTCCAGGAACTCCTACTCTTACCCAGGACGACTCGAGTTTACTTGCATTATTTGCAAGGATGCAGCCTTTAAGGGCATCCTTGGACTTTTTACCTATGAGGCTGTCAGTATTTGAGGCGAGAGCCTCTGGTGCCTTCCCAACAGCCTGTGAGGAGCTAGAAATGAGAAGAGAAGGCTTGGAGGCTAGCTATGTGAAGCTCGAGAAGGACGCCGAGTCCCTGAGAAAGGAGCTAGGGGAAGACAAGTGGGTTTTGGTATTCCGTGGTGCCGGTAGGCAAGCCCAAAAGATGATCGAGTCTGTAGATCGAAGCATGGGTAAACTGCGCGAGTCTGTGGACCAGGGGTTGCAACTCTCAAGCCCTGCGGCGATGAGCAAGAAGATCGAAAGCTACGAGGCGAAAAAGATGCATTACGGGCCAGCAATTGAGCGCGTGTTATCCATTATCGATAAAGGTGTTAAGGATAGGCTTACCGTGAACGGTGAAGTTCTGAGGCTCCATAACGAGTTACAGTCGAAGTGGGCAGAAGTTAGAGAGTCGATGGCAACAATGAGTGTCGTCTTGGATGAGATTCAATCCTACAAGCAGAATCAACAGCTGCGAGATTCGATTTCAAGTATGCTGTCCATCGACAGGTCTACCGTTGCTAGTGGCAACGATACTCCGGGAAGTTCGCCTCCATCGTCCGTCGTTATGTCCAGCCTAGGCTTGGACCCGATTACCCCGTCATCAAAGAATAAGAGACGTGCCACCAGTGGCGGTAGCCACCTACCTCAGCCTTCCACCGCCCGCAGAAGTAGTTCAAGTTTAGCCCCCCCACCTTCTCGACGCCCCCTCGGATCTCGATATTCCACCTATCAACCAAGCACCTCCAGCTTGATGACGACGCCGCCCCGAAGCGGCAGCGCGACACCTATGGCGACTCGACTTCCAAGATCTACTTCTAATGTTGCTGACAACCGCCCTCGATGGAATGCGTCCACAAACACCAACGATTCAGACGTTGGACACAACTTCAAGCCACTCAGCCTTACTACCCCCAGCCCGTACGCTAGAAAGACCCCCACCTCATCTTCATCGATAACCCCAACCTCCGGAGTTTCTAAACTCCCCCTCCGCAGTCCATTGGGGAGGGCAACTTCGTCGTCACCGATCCCCGAGGATACGCCTCCTAGGAAAAGTACTTCTCGACTTTCGTTTCGCGATCGCATCCATGCTGCTGCCTCCGGACAATCTCCTGCTAAGCCTCGATTCGTGACACAACTATCTAATTCTTCTTTTGATAGTCGGAGATCTTCACTCCAACCTCCAAGGCCGGGCAGTAGTATCAATGGCAATTTTGGTGACCTAAGGCAGCGGCCGGCTAGTTCCCTGGCTACAACCAATCGTCGCAGCAGTTTACTCCCTCAACCTAAGTCAAGGGCGGATGATGAAACTGGTCGCCATAGCCCGCACGCCACAGCTGCCGCTCGCGCCGCTATGCGAAAGGGTAATAGTATGACGGAGTCGAAACAGCCGAGGGATAATAAACCTCGTTGGCACTTTTGAGTAGCACACGCTCGCTTTATTTTCCGATCCGATTTGTAGCTCACCAAGAGCAACGCGGCAGAAGGGGATTTTGCCATACCCCTTATAACTCTCCTATTTGTTAGAGGTTCGCTAGACGGACTTCGTCTCCTTGTGTTCGATTCTACTCCAATGATACCACGAAGGACTGCTTTTCGAAAGTACTGGAACCTAGGTTGCATAACGAGCTTTGCAGCCGACAATAATCTCGTTTAACAGCAGAGCAAGCAAATTTTACGCATGGCAGACATGGATTCTTTCCTTGCGGTTGGATTATTTATCACACGTCTCCATTGTTCATTCCCGCCCATAACCCCGTGACGCGGAAACGAAGGGCGAAATGCAGCATGGCGAAACTTGTGGAGGTCAGGCCAGGCGTTCTTGAGGATATTCTTTTTTTGTCATCGTCTGCGGGGTGTTTTTTTATTATCTTTTTTCCAGCAACACGGGGGGTCGTCATGGAAATGGACCCAACTCTCACAGTGATACCTCTTATTTTATGTCTTTTTATCATCGTCGTCGTCGAGATGCCTACTATGTTTAATCGCGAGCGTTTCGAGGAAGCGTAGCAAGCGACCTAGCGAACTAGCGCCTTATAACACGAGCGGATAGATTGAGCATGCCGAGAAAGGGAGAGGCGGGGAGGGCTGGGAGAAAGCGCGAGAGGATGTCAGGGAATCTGCTTCTGTCTTCTACCCTCGTATGAAGACGGACAGTCGGAGACCCTGACATAGGCGAGGCGAGGTGCTGTGTTGTATGATATGAACGTCTTCTACCTACCTGCATAATCCACCCATCGGCCGTTTTTTCTTTTTGGGAAGGCCCGTGGCAAGCAGTAACGTAGGAAAGAAAGAAGGTCGAGATAGGAAAGATGCATTTTTGGAAGGTCTGAGCGAGAGTAGGAAGACGGAGACGGAGACGGAGATGTAGTCCATAAATTTGAGAATTGGTATCGAAACCATCCCACTCGAGAGCTGAAGTCGAAAGGTACTACCTAGGTCCTACATACATTCCCCATAGTGTTTTGTTTGACATGTGACGAGTTTTAGTTGGTTAAGTGACGTGTTAGACGGTAATGTTTTTAGAATGACGATTGAAAACTACCTATTGGATTCTTGGGATGTATTAAAATAGAGAGAGGGGGTATGTGGAATAGGAGCTCGCCAAGTAGCCGTGAGGCCTTAGGCGGGATTTGTTCGATGGATATGGATCTACGAATGACGGATCGAGCATCATCTTTACCTGCCTAGGTGCCTAACCCTAAACCTTGGGAATGTAGAAATTGACTATTTCTTCCTATTTATATTACCATTCGTTAATATGAGTATCCTGCTTCTTTTAAGAACTCTGCGTGTTTTCTATTCGCCTCAATCTAGGTACCTCGGCAGTGGTAGCACAACGTAGCATGGGATAGTTCGACAACAACGCACTCACAAACATCACGACGACGGAAAAAAAATCAAATCAAACATGTAATATCTGTATGCACCTAGGTACGTACTGTATGTCATATATAAATATCAAACCGCCTATCCCCGATGCCCTCAGTTCGCCCTTCGCCATCACCATTGCCATAGCCATAGTCCGTACCATGCAGTTAGTTCGTTCGTCCGAGCCGTGAAAAATAAAGAGGCGTGATAATGTAGGTAGCGTAAAAAGTAAGAAAGGGTATGTAAAAACGCGCACTTGTTTCGAACACCTTAACTCGATTCGTTAATACTCCATGAGCCCGATACCGCTATGGCTCGCACCCCCGCCTTGCGATCTGCCTCCTCTGCTCGGCTTCGCCGTCGACCTTGATGGTCCGCCGAATGATGTGGAGGAAGTACCGGCGGTAGTCTTCCGGCTTCCTGCCGTGGCCTTCTTCTTGACGCCCCCGTACGCCTTGTTGCCCCTACTAGAAGCACCCGATGATCTACGCTGGAATGGTTTTTTGCTTCCGCGCCATGCAGTCGCTTTGCTTGCCCTTGGCGCCGACGAGGTTGAGCGTGCGCGAGACGCTGTGGCAGTGGCGGAAGCACCTCGCCCCGTACGCGCAGTTGGACCTGGACCCGGGTCTGGGCCTGCAAAGTAGGACGATATTGCGCTTTGATCGTTCATATCTCCATCGTCGTAGTCAATGTCTTCCATTTCCTCGTCGCTTGATACGAGGTCCACTACGTTGCGGGAGCCAGATGCGGGAGTGGCGGCCCCTATGATCTCTTCATACCGGATATGGTATTGTCGGATTAAGGGTACGAAATTGTTGCCATATCTACCCACTTTATCACCGTTGATACCGGGGATCGCGCGCATTTTATCTAGCGTTATAGTCCATCGTATAGCCATCTCGCGGAGTTGTTGCTCGGTGAAAATAGGAGTGCGTAGATTCTTGGAATTCCGCAAGTTTTCTTCTAACTCCTTGGCTTCATTGAGAAAGTTACTGATGATATCATCGTGAATGTCAGATAATTCGGCGTCATTCATCCGCATGTCGTGTGATATCGGCGGACCCAGGGCTTTTCGCTGTGATCGACCTTTAGATTGGGGGAACATCGTCTCAAAATCGTCGTCGGTATCGTCAGGCACAACAAATCCATCTTTAGCGTATCCGTTGCTAAACCTAGAATAATCCTCGTCGCTCTCGTCGTCGTCGTCGTCTAGCATCGCGACAGCTTTCCCCTTCTTTTTGCGATCCTTACTTAGGATAGGCGATGACACATTAGTAGATGGAACATTGCCTGAGGCGAGGCGCTTTGTTGCTGCTGCTGCCGGCTTAGTGATCCGCGTCTGTCTTTTAGATGTACTTCCCTGACTATCCTTGCTCTTAACTCGGGTAGTCAGGAGAAGTTTACGTTGGCCGTTTAGGAATGTACGGGCCCCGTACGCAGTCTATGGTAAAACGGTTAGCGAAATGAATAAGAGATACAGAGAGAACACTTACTCTAAAGTATTGAATAGCAATTCTAGCCTTTTGATTGAAAGTGTTCTCTTCGCTTAATGCACCCTCAGCAGCGAGGCGATCAATGATGCGATGAACCTCGTTTTTAGGCATCTGCTTTGCTATTCCGCGGTAGTGTTCGGTCCCGGGTTTATAATCTGACAGCTTCCTCTTCCCCATCAGGAAATCCGTACATTGGTTGAGCGTGAGTTTTCCTTGGGACTTCACGATCGTTAGGACGGCTATCGCATATTCACTAAAGTCCTTTTGCTCAAACACGTCATTGTTTAAGCAGTTGTCGCAGGTTTTGCCACATAACTCCTTATCGAAAGTCTCCCCAAAGTAGCGGAGGATCTCAACTCGGCGGCAATCACTCTGGTTGTCGCAAAAGGCAGTGACGGTGTTCAACATATTCCTCTGTCTTTCCTTCTGCTCCTCGCTGCCGTCGCCATCTGTGATAAGTCTCCTCATAGAGGTGACATCTCCATAACTGAAGTATAGGTAGCATTCAGATGCCAAGCCGTCTCGGCCGGCACGGCCAGTCTCCTGATAGTATCCTTCGAGACTCTTCGGGATTGAGTGATGGATGACAAAGCGGACGTCAGGTTTATCAATTCCCATACCAAAAGCGATGGTTGCAACAACAACCTTGACCCGCCCGGCCTGCCACTTTTGTTGGACTTCCACCTTTTCCTGGACTTTTATACTGGCGTGGTAGTGCTGAGCTGCTATGCCATGGCCTCGTAACTTCTCAGCGATCTTCTCCGCCGACTTTCGAGAAAGTGTGTAGACTATGCCTGTTTTCCCAGGATATTTTGTATTGATCAATTCGGCAATACTTTCAACGCTGTCCTTCTCCTTTTTTAAGACCTCATAGTAAAGATTCGGACGATTGAAGCTTTGAGTAAATTCAGCGCATTGCTCGATCCCCAAATTGTGTTTGACATCCAGAATGACGTTTTGAGTTGCGGTAGCCGTTAAGGCCATGATAGGCACTCCGGGAAACCTATCCCGGAAACTCCCAAGTTCTTTGTAGTCTGGGCGAAAGTCGTGGCCCCATTGGCTGACACAATGGGCCTCGTCGATGACAAGACGAGCGAGCTTCTTATTTCGGTAGAGCGCATTCAATCCCTCTTGGAATTGGTTACTATTATTTATCATTTCTGGAGTGACGTAAAGAAGCTGTAGATGAAGTTCCGGGTTCCGCTCCTGAAGGTATCCCATAATCTTGAGACGATCACCTACTTTCTTATCGCCACTATAGGAAGCTGCCGCGATATTCAGTGCTTCTAGGTGGTCCACCTGATCTTGCATCAAACTGAGAAGAGGTGATACGACGACTGTGACGCCGTGCGTCTTCCCGCAAGTGACGACAGCCGGGAGTTGGTAACAGAGAGATTTTCCACCTCCCGTAGGCATCAAGACGAACGCATCCTTGCCGGATAGAGTAGCATCAATCGCCTCCAGTTGATTATGCCTGAAACCAGTCATCCTAAATCTATCTTTCAGTGCTCTTCTCACGTCTTTAAACCATGGACGATTCTTGATTTCTCGCGGAATCTGGCCTGGTTTTGTCGGATCTGTGGTCTTCTGGACAGCTGTCTTCTGGGGTCGTACACCCGCATTCCCCGACGTTTCTGAAAGCGCGGGTCGCTGGGATCTATGTTGTCTGCTTTCCCCTGATGAATTTTGAAGGTCAAATTCCTCTGCAAGCTGAACCATGTCAACATCATCACTATAATCACTGTGATATCCCTGCTGGCGGCTGGATTTTCCCTTGGTTGGACTCCTATGTGTTCTAACGCTCGCCTGTTGCACATTGGCCGCCGTTTTCTTTGCTGTTCGACGACTAGGTGGAGGTAACGGCTCCTCAAATAGGTCATCGTCATCGTCGAAGCCGTAGGGGTCCGGCTCCACAAACATTGTCGATTTCTGACGGGTTGGGGTTTTTGACAGCTTACTGCTGCTAGCTATAGTGAAAGGCGGCTGATCATCAATCATTGCATCGATATCGGGCGAAGGGGAAGGGACCCGACGACGGTGTCTTCCCATTGAATTCTGTAGAAGTGATGTGGATTCAAAATGGTCGTGTTTAGGAAGTGGTGGAGGTTCCATCTGTCGAGGCAGCTGTGTTTGGAGGATAACTTGCGTGCCACCTCGTGGGACAAGGGTTGATTCTCGCGACAAACTCGTCGGCTGAGCGACTCTGGCTGGCTGAGTTGCTTGCACAACAGGGTTAGTTTGGTACGCTTCGGTATTGTGAGTCTGGTCGCTCTCAAATAAATTTCGATTATCGATGCCCGCTTTCACAATGCTATCCTTTAGGGACAATTGCCGCCCCTTAAGCAAATTTTCCAATTCCTCGAGACGAACCTCGTCGTCCTGTGTATCCAAATCTTGATCGTAGGCATCCGTTATTCGCGCAATCAGAGCCTCTTTTTTGAGTTGGACTTCCTCATATGATCGATACTCACCACAGAGCTCGTCTAGGGCTGCTTGCTGCTGTGCGAGCTGTTCCTTCTCCCGCTTGAGACGGCCTCTGGGTGCGAGTTCGCCCTTTTTTAAGGATTGCATGTAAGCTTCCCTATTTTCCCGCAATCTGTCTTCCAAGGATTTCCTTCTCCTCTCAATAGCTGACGGTTGAGCTAGGAATAATTCAAGTATGGCGTTTTTCTCTTCGTCGTCGATCTCAATACAAGTTTCATACGGGACTTCAGATCCTTGCGAGGGACCAGCTGCTCGGAGATCGCGATCATCATCTTTTATTGTATCAAGGTTAGAAGAGTAGCTTTGCTCATGTTTCCGAGGTGATCGGAATGGTGTACGTCTTTCGCTAATAGCCGGTTGCTTTGGCTTCGAGGGCGTGTCATAGGCGACGACGAAATCGTCTTCTTGAGATATCCGAACAGATGTTCTGGGGCGGTTATTCGAAAGAGCCGTACTACCTGGTACATTATAAGCAGGAGGAGTCATGAGTTCATCATCGGAATCCTCGATAACTCGATCTTTACTCTTTAGATTGTGTGGCTGATGAGTCATCTGTGCTCTAGGAGTCTCGGGAGCCTCCGAAGACGATTCATGCTTAGAAAGGATGGTATCCTTGCTCTCAACAGCAGGGGTTACATCACGAAGAGTTTTATTCTTCCGAGATGTTCTTGGTGGGGACTGCTTTATAGTGCAGTCGGCGTCGAACGGCGAGTCGTCAGGGATTTCTGTTCCTCTTCGAGCTCGACGGGATGTTTCTTTCTTTGGGGAAGTTGTGGGCTTCGATGGCGTTCGAGTAACCTCTGTCTTCAGTTTCGACTTTGCTGGTGATTTTGTTGGAGATCGTTTTAGATGGGAAGACGCAACTTCTTCCTCGGACAAAACTTCGAAGATATCAGGGAAGTCATCTGCGTCAGCAACAGTGGTAGCAGGCGGTCGACTAATTTGATCACTTTTCCTTTTTTTACCTCGCTTCGGCGTCAGTGGCACTGGCCTTGTAGCATGCTCCTCCTCCCATACCATAACATCGGTCCCAAACGCTACCGAGTTTTCTGTGGTCGTAGGAATAGGTTCCGCCCGCGTAGCATGCTCTTCCTCCCAGAGCGCAATATCGGTCCCAAATGCAACGGAGTTTTCAGTCGTAGTAGGAAACGGTTCAGGTCGTGCAGCAAAGTCCTCCCGCCATAGCCTAATATTATTTCCAAATGCAACGGAATTAGGTGAAGTTATTTCATCATCTCCGGTTAAATCGACAGTATCGAAGGTCTGGTCGCTCCCAAATGTCGGACCCGGTGTTGGGAACTCGCGTCGAGGTGAGGTTCTTTTCTTGGCTGAACTTGCAGTACCTGTTATTCTCATTTAGCCACACACAATATTTATAAATAATAATAAAACAAAATATGAGCAATCTGACCTGAGTTCTTTAGCAAGGCTGTATATTCCTTCGCAAGGGACCCCGCACCTCCGCGTGTAGATGTCGGAGTAAGTAATTGTTCCTGGCGTAAGACGAGAGTCGGTCGCTTTGAACCAGATTTTGAAGTTAGACGCCCCATGCTTTCCGTTTCTTTCTCCCTTCCTGCTACCGTTTCCCCCCGGGGTACTTGGAGAGGTTTCGCGGCCGGTTTGGTAGACCCATTAGTCGACTCCGGTTGGGCGGGCTGAGGAGCAGGAAGAACTGGATACAGAGGTGATTCGGTAACAGGTCGAGTACGCGTTTCTGGACGTATATTCGTAGAGCGATCAAGAGAAGATGTGGGTTCGGAGGATGATTGATTGAAAGCTGGTGGTAAAACGGGCGCGTTTAGCGCGTTTAAAGCAACATTCGCGAGAAGCCAAGGTAAATGATCGCCAAGATTGTTTCGAGTCATGAAGACGCATTGGAACCCTTAAGCTCCATGGGAATTTTAGAAACAATTGACATGAGAAACTGTACCTAGTAGAAAGAGATTTCCATGAGAAGCATTGTAGGTTGTCTCCTCTTGTGTCGATGTGACAGTACTGCATCGATACTACGCACGATATGGAATTACGATGGACCCGCCCAAAAAGCTCGAGCCATGTTACACTAAGTCGCGCGTCCAGGTGACAATCAATTAACGATGCCGCGCTAGTACATATCTGGGATATGATTATGTAATTATATAATCCCTGTACCTAGCTTTTATACTACCTTTCAACCAATTAACGTAAAGGAAGGAATAACTCTTACTAAGTACCAAGGCCATGTTCTATGTTAAATCATCTTCAGTCTTGATTTTATGATCTTGTTTAAGAATAACTTAAACTTTACTTTACTCCAATCGAAAATATCAAATTTTTCCATAAAAGAATCATTGAGGCATCATGAAAGATTCGATCAGTATGCTGAGTGTAACCTATTCAACCCAGATAAAATGTGGCTGCCCTTAAATCAAGTCTACCTATTTATTCGCCGTCTATGTATCCTGATATTATCATATCTCATACTTCATACCTCATATTACCCATCCTATCCCGTATCTTTACCTAGATATCTAACAAGCATCTTCCCCCGTGGTATTCTTAGGTTTCTCAGCGCTGTTAAACAAATACATACATGTGACGAGCATCTTCCCAGCAGCTGATACCAAGATAGCCACCCAAGATCCAGCAGTCCGATAGATTCCCGCGCCTGCGAGCGATCCAGCGATAAGCGTTGTTAGGAACATAGCACGCCTTGTGCGTGGTCGGTTTTTTAATTTGAGTAGACCCGGGTCGATTACCAGGTCAACCCAAGCGGCTGTAGCCATAGCCGTGCTTATCTCAGTCATCCGAAAGGCGCGGGACTGTACGACTTGGCTACCAGATGCAAATGCCAGTAGTCCTATAGGAATTAACGCATTTGACCCTTCCAAATCCGTACCGTGCAGGTACTGCATAGCCGCGGCGGCAAATACTAGGCACGACTGGATGAAGTTGCAGCATACAAGCCACACCCGCAGCCGGGGACCGACGATATTGCCAATTTGACCAGTTATCCAGCTACCCAATAAGAAGAAGCCGAGGGCTGCTCCAATGTTTGCCGTGATGAACATCTCGCCGTTGAAATGGGGCAGTATGATCGCCAGCATGAGGAAAACCGTATTTCCTGTCTGATTCGATGCGAAACAGTGGAAATCGGGGAAGGAGATGGCATCTTGGATACCGATGCAGCTAACATGAATCAAGTATTAGCAAGTCGATCCGAGCATACGAACCAATCATGAACATTGACCCAGTTTCTCCTGTGCTCAATATCTCATTTTGGCAGGGGAGTCTCTTACAAGGTCAAAATTAATAGTTCAGATTCAACAAGTCCAGATGGACGAACGGGCTCTAGCATGTGATTCCATGCTCTCGAGATGATTGAGCTTGAACCGGACGACAGAACTGAGTCGGAATCGGCTGTCCGGATACTATTCGATCTCTTTTGCTCAGGATCTTGGGTAGTATCGACTCTTAGGTCCGCCATGCTTTCTGAAATTCAAGAATTGGATAGGGTTAGATGGCTAGCAACCAAAATTGTTTAAATATCAGCAAACTTCGGGCAAGAATGTCACAAACTGGGAAAGTTGCGAGTCACAGCCCGGCAAGGGTGACAAGTCAAGGGAATCACACTGAATTTATTAATCTTTGACAGATAATCGACTCGCATATTGGAAGCCGGAGTCGGTCAAGAAAATTTGATTACTTGCCGTTCCTCCAATATTACCTGAATACCGTTGTGAGTGTATCTTGCCCCGGCGTGTTAGCCGACAACCGCCGCAAGGCGAAGGGAACCGTAACCTCAACCGGTGCTTTAATGGATTTTCATGGATCTTGGCAACGACACCGCTATTACTTCTCGACCTGATAGATCCGTGCCCGATTTAGAGGATTGCCGGGTTACGGCTCTAGTGAGCCGTCCCGAGAGCCTATTTCAAACCTCTTTGTCTACCGCGACGCCAACAAGATGGAACAGTTGCAGATAATAGCACTTCAGGGATTTATCGGAGAGATAGGGAAACAGTATCATCTTGCCAAGCTACGTTGGGACCGCCCATCACATTTAGCAGTCTTACGGCATATGAGGGTATCCTCATTACACAGCGAGTATCCACATTATAAGATGTCTAAGAGGAACATGACCAATGAAACGGGAGCCATTTATTGGTCTTAGGTGCCATTCCGACCTCAACAAAGGAGGTTCTATCTAGTAGGGATCTGCATTATACGTATAATGGAGGCACTATACGGTATTACATTATACATACCCCATTATACCATTATACCCATACAAAATTGTATAATAGACGGTATAATGTTGTATAGAGGCCAAAAACTTCCACTTATCGACGATTTTCTCCCTTTTCTAATACATACGATGCCTCAATTGATCAAAGGATATCTATAAGTACGATCTTTAAGTCGATTCCTTCTGAACGCGCTTTCTGGGCGTAGAATTAGGTATATACAGGACTCTACCTAGATAAGGAATCGATTAGATTAGATCAAAACTAACAAGCTGGCGTTTATTGACGTCAATTCTCGTAGTATAGGTACGTACAAACGCGCCTTCTGAATCTCTTGAATTTTACCGACAAATTAATCGATCGCATGGAATAAGAAAGCTATGGACAGTTGCTAGATCACTTAAGAATTGAATAGGGTTGTTTCAGATTTGTATTTAATTTCTTCGAAGTTAGGTAATTTTTCGAAGAATTAGGTAGTTTGATTGATTGAAATATTTGAAGCTATTTTGAAATAAAATTGTATGTGTTATATGAATAACCCCTGTATGTGTGGATATATGGGGCCGGAGGGTTTTTCCGTTCCGTTATACGTATAATGAATCTATTATACGGTATAAGTATAATACATTATGCGCATAATGTATAGTTGTATTATACATTGCGGAACCCTACTATCTAGGTTCTTACTTAATACTACCCGTAGGCCAAAATACCAGGTGCCGACTACCGAGTGGATACCCGAGATCCGTGGTCCGCATCTATCATCCCTTAACATCAAGTTACGGCAACAATCCTATGCCGTTGCCGGCATACTAAGGTTAAAATAGCTATGATTGTGGCGGTTTTGACAACCAAGATCCTGCAAGTCGGTACGGTTGAGCCCTACGGAAAAGCTGCCGATACAAAAGCAAATGCTTGGCAATTTCCAGCAGCAGCTGACATAGAGGTTAACCGGCAGGCTTGAAGCGATTAAAAAGTGAATGCCAGGCAATCGGGTTTCTTTTTTCAGCCTTTCCGCATTGAACTAACATCTAGGAAGGCAACCGATTGCGACTCTAGGATCTCATCCCGCATCGTCATCCCTATATCACTAGATAACCGTGACTCAGTTCTACTGGCGGCAACGCAACTCCACCGACAAGCGACGAAAACCAAGTCAAGCGGTGAACTCAAATAAGACTCCAAACCGTCAAACATAAAAGAGAAGCCAATAGTTGCGGTTCCTCGTCGACCATCTAGCAATTGATCACGCTTCTTTTGAGCTCTTCCGGCTTCGATGGGATACTTTGAAACACGACAACTATAGTATAACAATATAAAACGCTCAGCCACTCTTTCAACATATACTCTATGAAAGAAATGCAGTCAGTCTCGTTTCAAGACCTCAAGGGCGATATTCTCCAGGAAATCGGTATTTCGATGTTTAGGCCCAGTCGAGATTCCCGTCTGGCGAGGTGTATATATGGCGTTCTTAGACGATGAGAACGAATTGCGGTCGAGATTGGAGACAGTATACAGTGTATTCGAGAATGTTACTTCGTAGAACGGTAGGTGAATATTTGTCATGTTCGATATGCTACCAGGACCTTTAGGCTCATTTCATACATGCGCCGAAACAATGAAGAGAAGAGCATCTCTCCATTCACGAGATGTTCCCAATCATATGGCCGAAATGAAGTTACTCGGGTCTGGCTATACCACACCAAAACACATGTGTATCATAAGGCTGATATATGACATATCACCTTTACCATCCTATTGGTACCACAGTAGGTGACCAAGCGAATATATACCTACGCATGATATCGTACAAGAGCTCCAACCAGGTGCGTGGGGGCATAGGACAGGGATCTATGGTGTCCAATCTAGTGGAGCTGCCGGTATCTATGGAATCCTTCCAGGTACATACAAGCCTAGCGACAAATTGTCGGTAGATCCGCACTGTCCTCCCAAGCGTGTTAATTAGATATTGTCCTTTTCGGATTGGATACCCGAGTCATTCAGCGATCCAAAAGGCCGCACATCTATTCTAGTGAGTAGTACCAAACAAAATTTGTGTAACGCCTATAATGACGTTTCCCCTTTACTAACTCGAAGAATCTTGACGAGCTGACATTTCGAAGGATGTGTCTATCCCCGGACTCGCCCAATCCCTCGGATCCCGAGCAGCCACGGGAAACCTCCCCAATACAACCGAAGCCTGCATGATCAGGGAAACCTGCCTGCCTGCCTCAGATCGATGTTCCAGCACCTAACGCACACGGTACGCGTGGAGCTAAGGCAAGCCTCATTCCCGCAGAAATCTTACTAGGCTAGTCGAGTTCGGACACTAGACCACTGACAGCGCCTGTTCTTATCTCTGAGCCGGTGAACCGAAGCGGATCGCTGTCGTTTAATAGAGTCAACTCATTTTGTTATGTATTATCGATCAGGCGCCCAGAGATAAGGAGAGGGATCTTCAACATCACTGTTAGTGCATCGCCGGACAGTTGCGTCGTGATATCTGAAATTGGTTGGCTGTAGACTTCAGGGTTTCGTTATCTACCTACGTTCTTATTCGATTCCCCAACGGCAACAAATCTTACCCTTATATCATGGCTGATATACTGCTAGAGGCATTCACCCGCGCGCAGTTTCACGAGGGTTTATAACACCGGAGATGCGAAGTTGGCCTTGGACTGTAACTCTCATTGCCGCCAGGTTACCATTCAGTGGAACGGAATCATTTTGTCCAAATTCGCTCTCCTGGTGTAACTTGAGTAATCGATCATACCTACCAACATACATACACACATACCTAGCAATACGGCTGCGTTCGCACATTTCTCGGGCAACAAATCATTTGGCCGCCAGAGCCTTGGACTGGTCGGCGCATCTTACACAAAGTCTTGCTATAATAGCCTTTCAGAAGCCCTCTTCCGATTTATCGAGTCCAGTCGAGGTTGGTCTTGAGCCTCATCCACCGCCAGTCTCATAACATAGATATCTAGTCAGGGGTCTTTTCATCGTCTAACACTTATTTTTAATTGCATCTTTAATAATTGGACGACCGCAACTCATTATCTTGTTTGTATCCGAATCGAACGTTTCCGTGCGCTATTCTGGCGCTCCTTCATGCCTTATCTACCAGAGGGTCTCCCGCGGAAAACAATTATTCGGCCGTTAGTGCGGGTGTTGATACTCAAGGCCCACTGCCGAGACGACCTGTCCGGAGATGCACAATTGCACAGCAAATATACTCGCTAAGCCTAAAGAGTATATGCGTATAAGTTGCACTTAAAGGAGTATAAACGACTATAGCCCACGATCGCTAGAAGTCGAGTCTGGGATCTAGTCAAGCAGCGCTCTCCTAATAATAATAAAAATTGAGAGAAAGACATCCTTGATCGCGAGGTCTCAGGGGTCTCAACTCAGAAATTTCAATATGAAGTTTTCATACCTTTGGGTGGCTCCGGAGGTCAACCCGATCAACCGCAAAGCCCGATCGGTCCCTTTTCTAAATATCTTCAATGTATACGGGCGCGTTTTCTTCTTTTCTTGGTGGGGATTCATGGTAGCCTTCTGGGGCTGGTATACATTCCCTCCTCTGGTGAGTTTCTCATTTTTCTTGCTTCGGTACCATATGTCATCTGAATAGGTAAAGGGGACTGACACTACTGCCTATAGTTAACGCACACCATCAAAAGCAACCTTCATCTCACCTCAGCTCAAGTTGCCAACTCCAACATTGTCTCGTTATGTGCAACGTATGTATTCATCATTATGCAATGGCCGTTTCCCTGAGCTAACGTGACGGAGATTGTTGATCCGGTTTGTGGCTGGTCCTGCCTGTGACCATTTCGGACCTCGCTGGGTATTCGCTGGTACACTTCTCATCGGATCAATTCCTCTCGGTCTCGCTCCTCTCGTCCACGACGCTCAAGGCCTCTATATCAGCCGTTTCTTCATGGGTATCCTCGGTGGCTCCTTCGTTCCTTGCCAGGTTTGGTCGACCGGTTTCTTCGATAAGAATGTCGTGGGCACTGCCAATGCATTAACAGGAGGATGGGGTAATGCTGGTGGTGGAATCACGTACTTCATCATGCCTGCCGTCCTCGACTCCTTCGTAAGACGCGGTTACTCGGATGGCGTCGCATGGCGCCTCACTTTCATCGTCCCTCTCATCATAACCATCGCGACCGGCATATCTATGCTGCTCTTATGTCCCGACACTCCTACCGGCAAGTGGTCCGAACGCCATCTCCACGCAGACCAAAACCTCGCATCCCACAGCAGCGGTCTGTTCTCCACCCCACCCAACGGCCTCGTCGACATCCCAGGCAGCATCACCGACAAAGCGGAGTCCGCAGGTGACAAGAGTATCCACGAACTCGAGCAGGACCGGAAGCCCATCCCCTACGACCACGAAGCCGCGCTCTCGAAAGAAGAAATGCTGGAAACGGCCCGAGGCGAAGTAGTCCAAAAGCCAGGCTGGGATATAATCGCGAGCGTGCTCGCCTCGCCACAGACGCTATTCCACGTGCTCACATACATCTGTTCGTTCGGAGCCGAGCTAGCCATCAACGCCATTCTCGGGTCCTACTACGCGCAGAACTTCCCGCGGCTCGGACAGACGGTGTCGTCGGAATGGGCCGCCATGTTCGGGTTCATGAACTTGATAACTAGACCCCTCGGCGGCGTTATCTCCGACGTCCTGTACCACGCCACGGGCCGCAACCTCTGGGCCAAGAAAGTCTGGATCGTCGTATGCGGCTGTCTTACCGGCGCCATGCTCATCGTCATCGGCATGCTCGACCCGCATCACCTGCCCACCATGATCGGGCTCGTTGCGCTAATGGCTATCTTCCTCGAGGCGGGCAACGGCGCGAACTTCGCTCTCGTTCCACACGTGCATCCCCATGCCAACGGCATGGTCGCCGGCACGACGGGCGCTGGGGGTAATCTCGGTGGTGTAATTTTCGCGGTTATCTTCCGCTTCATGGATAATGGAACCGATTACGCGAGGGCGTTTTGGGTTATCGGGGTTATGACTATCGTGCTTAATCTGTGCCTCTGCTGGGTTAAGCCTGTTCCTAAGGGGCAGGTTGGTGGGCATTAGGTGGATAGGTACCTGTTTGAATTGGGCGGGCTTTTATTTGATGTTTCTGTTGTGTGCGAGACGGAAAAAGCCTGGTTGGCGTTAGGGGTTGGTTGGTTGGATAGATGGATATTGGATGTTATATCGAATGGGAATTGGAAATGGGTCGGGTTATGGGATAAGATAACTGTCAAATGTATTGGGAATAGGATTCCTATATAAACTAGGAGATGAAATCTTGATAACAATAATATGTTTAGATTACCTTGGTGTGGTTTAATTTGCTTGATTTGCTTGATTTGCTTGATTTGCTTGATTTGATTCGAATTGTCGTCGGTGGCTTTGAATATTGGGCGCCCCTTCATTCTTATGCAGCTCGGACTTTCCGTACGGAGAATTGTCATAGCTCATAAATGACTACCAATTGGAGAAATCCGTAACGAGTAACCGCGCGAGTAATATACCTATTCAGCACCCCAAGAGCAAGACATGATCTCCCGCAGGCTATGCTCGTTAGATAATACCGAAAGCAACAAACCAGAAACAGCTCTGTCTCTCTTCCCCAGAAAAATCCCCAGCAACAAGCTAGGTAGCTCCCGCATCCTCCACCCATCTAAGATATCACATCTCAGACAAACCTAAAAAGCAACGCCTCCGATCGTCCTTCCGGATTTCCCGATCTGTCCCGGTCTCAAGGGCTCCCGGCGTCGATGATTGGGGAGATCAACAGATAGATAAAGCAAAGATAACCTTAACGAAGTTACACAAGCAGTCGGGGACGCGCGGCCACGTGGAAGTGACATCCATAGATTAGGTAGATTTAAAGATAGACGGTTGAACCTAATTCGAGTTTACTTATGGGGTCTTAGTCATTGAGTTGAACCTTAGGGACGTCTGATGTGTTACTTATTCGACGTTGTCTCTCCTTTCGAAGTATATTTCAACTACATACACCTATCCATCTATCTATCTTACCATCTCTCAATGTCACCTCACTCGCCTCGAAGAAACGATATGTACGATATACATGCCTCTTATAACCTAGAGCTATCAAAGCGACCTAGCTATCAAGGGGGATAAAATCATGCCATACACAAACACATCACACGCAAACAAGTCAAGCAAGGGAGGGAGGAGAAAAAGTAATAGTAGTTTTGAGAAGGTATATTCAGGATGCGACAGGGCGCCTATCAAATAATTGACAAGAAACGTGCGGGGCATTATACGACTACCAAATCGCATCCATCTGAAGGTTTTTACCTAGGATCCCTAGCGCACAATTGAATCCTAAGCCGTCGTCCGTGTCAGACGAGCCCGTTCAATTAAGTTCATTAATTCCTATCCCCCGATTTTTCCATTAGTCCCAGAGAAAACGCGAACCACTGCTTTACATGGCGAGGACGGCGAAAGCGACACCGCCAATGAGGGCGAAGGAGCCGGCTGCGTTAGCAGCGGCGGCACCGGTGACGACCGCAGGGCCAGAGGTGGTGGCGGTAGCGCTGGGGGTGACACCAGTAGCGCTGGTCACGATGGTGGTGGCCGGGTAGCTAGCGGAGACGGAGAGGTTGCCTGAGGGGGTGACAATGGTGGAGGCAGAGTACGTAGGGACAACGGCGCTGCTGGTGCTGTTGGTGACCGCGCTGCTCACGGAGGTGGCGGTAGGGTACGAGGGAGCGCTGGAGACGGAAGTGGTGGGGTATCCAGCAGTGCTGGATTTGGAGCTGGAGACGACCGAAGAGCTGCTGCTGCCAGCAGTAGGGTAACCACCGGCGGTGGTAGAGGCGCTTCGGCTGGTGGACTCGGTGCCGCACGAGGGTCCCTCAATGGAGAACGGGAAAGAGTACTGGAAGATGCTGGCATCGGCGACGGAGGCGATCTTGATACCGTAGGTCTTGTCAGTGCCGAGAGAGCAGTCAACATCCCAGGTGAAAGTGCCAGCGGTAACGTCGACGGCTAAAATCGCGTTAATACCCAAATACCAGATATCATTCAGCAACAGGAGTATACATACTGGTCAGGACGGGGCCGGGAGTAAGAGTGGAAGGGGTAGCGCCTCCGAGGAGAGAGACGGTAGCCTGGCCGGTGTACTTGCCAGCATCCCACTTGATGGTGAAGGCCTTGCCAGAGGCGACCTTGGTGCCCTCAGCAGGCGAAGTCATGACGGCGTAGCCAGCAGTCTGGGCGAAAGCCGAGGCGGCGAAGGCCAAGGCGGAGGCGAAAACGGTAGTAGAACGCATTTTGTTTGGTGTTTTTCCGTGGGATGGGAATTAAAGGGGTGGGAGAATTAAGTCGACTTAAAAGTCTGGGAAGGAGTGACTAAATAAAAAGAATGTAATAGGCCGATGAGGCTGAGTTTAGAAAAGAGCGTGGTAGTCTGGAGGCGACTTTGGATTGTTGCGGCTGGATGGAGTAGAAGAGGAGGAGAAAAGAAAAGGGAAAGATGTGAGAAAAAATAGGTCGACGATATTGTATGACTGATCCCAGGACTGGTGAGAATCACCCTGGTACCTTGGAACTACTTTAGGACCAAGAGTGGCACAGCCTACATCGCGGGTACCTTCTCACTTCGCTACTGCATTCTGTTCCCCATACTGGGTAGTCCTAGACAGGGGTCCAGTTCCAAGGTCCAGTCCAAGGTTGCGGTAGGCTGGTTCGTGCCAGGTTTTGTGGCTAGATCTTTTGTTTGTCTCACTCGAGATGCGACAAGTACCTCCCCGCCAACCATTCGTTATAAAGATACATTCCAATCGACAAGAGATACACGCCAAGAATTCTTCAGAAGTATAAGGGTATCCACTTTAAGGCAGACTAACCTGCGTCTAAAGTCCAGCTTTCCGTCATTCCACTGGTTGATCAGTGGACGATCAATCTCATGGGTCCTGAAAAAGGTAAATTACAGAACCCACCAATGTAGGCTAGCAAAGCTAACAGAAAGTTAACATTACATTTCGAAAGGGGTGACCCTGTTTTCTTCATGCCGACCCGGTGCCTTTCTTGTGCCTTTTCGATCGTGACATCGGCTCATCTATCGCGCAGTCAAGATGCGTGGATGCGTGGAGAAACACTTAAAAATACTTACTTAATACCTTGCTGTCTTGGTCGCATAGTTAATATCATGCGTGCTGATCAACGGCGTAAATGAGTCGTTAGTTTCTCTACTGGGCATTTATTGAGAGATGTCCATTATTAATGAGAGAACTGAACTCCATTCTCGGATTCGGGTTTAGGTTCAAGGTTACTATCTGGTTACCACTGACTAATAGTATTCACCTTGTTACAGCGTACATGTTACATACTCCATATTATTATCTACCTACCTACTTTACCAAGAAGTAGAAGACTCACTCCTGACTCCTATATTGAGGCTGGAGGCAGAAGGCTGTCGAAACGTCGATGCCCGAAACATGCTTATTTCGCAAAAGGACCCGGATACCTGCGCGGAACATAGGCCCTTATTCCTGGCGCCTTGCCCGACTCGTCTGGAAGGTCCAAAAGACAGCCTTCCTGCAGTAGTGCTGGGATTTAAGGCGCCCGGCGTTTATAGTGCCTATTAAGTGCTGTGAGTCAGCAAAAAGTCCCTGTCTAGCATCCAGTAGCTGAATAGCACGACTTTCAGCATGCCAGATCTGTTTGCGCCTTTACCGCTTACACATGCAGGTACCATAGCAGGTACCATACAATTGCAAGAGCTGCAATATCATTCATCAGGGAATTAGGTGGACTGACTCGCTCTCAAGCCCCTTCTCATTTGACTATTTTATTTGTCCGCTTACGGTCACACTAACCATAATCTCTTTATATTGTGGTGCTCTCTCTCGAGACTGCCCACAACCATAAGGCTGGGTGAGAATTATCTCATCTGAGAGAGGAATGACTGCATTAGACCCTCCCCAATCCATCTTCACCATAGGTACATATCAAGCTTTTGTGACGCAGGTAATATCTGCGTAGCATTCTATGTCATACTATCGGATTAAACATACCTACGCGCTCCGTTCTAATACCTATTAACTTACCTCCTATTATATCATCGTAATAATAGACCTATCAAGCTTTTTTTAACTTGTCGGATTAGAAGGATTCGGGATATCTACTAGGTACCTATCCAAGCTTCCCATCCATGGCCGTCCAAATCATGCGTCCCGCGTCCCGCGTCCCATCTCCCCCCAGCTTCGAGGTCCTGTGCGAGTAATGCCGGGGAAGCAATAATAACGGACGTATGAGAAACTTGGTAATAGTACGATGGCTTCCCCGGGAAGGGTTTTGTTTGTTGGGCGTTGGCCTGAATATGTGTAACGCCCCCGTAAGCGAGTATTACACAGATTTCTCTTGCATAGTCCAACCTGCATACACGCCAAGAGAAAGAAGCAATCCTTTAAAGTTTTGCGCGCCCGACCATCCCGTCCCCCTTCCCTCTTCCCCCCCTGCGCGGCCGAAAGAAAGCCAGCGAAACAGGCATGGTTCGTGTATTTTCGTCGTAGCGCTGACCCCCCTTCCCCCTGTTACCTATTCAAGAATTAGGGAGTGACCTAGTTAGTTTTTTCGTCGTAAGCGAACTAGTTTCCTAGTTTAGTCGCGTGTGGCGAGAGAGGAGGGAGAAAGGGAAGGGAGAGATATCACTGCCATGTTGTTGGCGTAGGGCTGAAGGCTAAGGCGATGCGGTGGTGCCTTACCTTACGCTGGAAGCGCATACATATCTGCTATAGACTGCAAACACACCGATTTAGAAAATAAGTGCGAGGCTATATGCAGAATAATACTATTTTGGTTACTCTTCTACAGATGCGGGAATACTAGTTACACTAACGTGTGCTCTGAAGAATAATACGTGAGGGAAGGACATCGAGGAAGTCATATGAGCACGCAAGGGCAGGGGCGGCATAGGTACCTAGGTAGGTAGGTAGGTACGTGGGAATGAAGTTTCACGAAAGGTTGAACTCGTCTATACTACATTACTAAACCCATCGTAGCATGTGCTACTCCAACGGCTGCTTCGTCTCATTGCCTTAGCCAGGTGCTCGGACGAGAATGATATATATTATACGACCACTTCTGTTAGGAACTTGCAGATCTTTGCCTTGTCTTGGATGTTTCGCTCGTGTCGCCATTCGTATTATAATATCTGTTTGCTGGCAAGACGAGCTTGTTCAACCCGTGGTTTAGCTAATTTGAGCGAGGATAAGTTTAAGCATGCTGCTAAAAGCAACTGCCGAATCCTATACAGATCGACAGGTCGATGGAGTATTGTAACATTTCATGATCGGCCAGTAGGCTATCTTGAACGGCAATATAGTTACAATTATAGGCTACTGGTCCTAGCTTATCCTTTATTTATGACAGTCCTGCTAGAATCATTTCCTCAATTTTAAGTTTACCTACTTACTCAATCTTTAAGGAGCTGATGGTGAAACGACAAGAAGGCTACCCGGTTCAACACCCAGGCTAACCGTCGATGATGATGGTCCTATTTAGTAAAGGAGGGATTTTTAAAAGAGTATTCGCAAGGTGGACTAACCTGAGTATCTCACATGTCTACCATGTAAGGTCACACTACCATACCTACATAACTTCCGATCAAAGACAACAACTCCCGCGAGTGAGTTCGAGGTTCCCGTGCTAGGATAATGGGTTTATAAGATCATTGATACTAGGAGCACCAGTAGCTATATGGTTGAATCATTTCTTCATGTCTCTACCATTACCCTATTTCTTACGTCTCATACTTACCTCGTGCCTTTACTTAACTATACTTATTACCCAAGAGTATTTGGACTTAGCGAGATCTTACAATATCCTCGAACATAGCCTTAAGGAGAGGGAAATCATTGCTACGTGGATAGAGACATACCTTTTCTCATTAGCGTTTACGGTACAATACATACCTCTGGCCAGGTCAAGTTTGTTAAGTCCTTGCAGCAATGATCTTTCGGGCAATCGAACGCCATTCACTAGGATGCAGTACCGAGACTCGTTAAGAGAAGAACTGTGGATTAATAGCAAGGCAAATAAAGCTACGCGTATAATAGGTAGTATAGCCCCTTTCCACTTTTCCATGATGTGCCCTGCCTACCATCTTATGGTTTAACACCATCAATTTCATGTTATGAATTACCTGAAATTTCACAAAACTACCTAACGCCGCCATCCACCATGACCCTCCTCCCTTCCAGTATCATGCGTCAAGGAGGCACTGGGGCCAATATGAAAACGAATGCCATGTATAGAACCTGAGGAAGCTCCTATGCTACGGAAAAGTCGAAGGTATCGGGAGAGCCGGTAGTATAATACACCCGTCGTATGTGCTAACTCGTTAGATTCGGTGTTTTTCGCTTTCTGTTTTTCATAGGTATGGTTAGTTCTCTGGGTGTCTTTGGGGGGCGGCCGGGCTGAGTTAGCCTCGCTGCGTCTTATTGGATTGCTCACCCAGTCGAGAATAGAGCATGTAGAGTGCCATTCTGTTACATTCCTCAGTTCCTGTGATCGTGACAAGTCGCTCATTGCTATTGTCTTGCGGCTCGTTGATCTTAATCACACTACCACTGATTTGGCGGATCTCGTTAATCTTTTGTCCACCCTTACCGATGATGGCACCGACCATATCATTAGGGATGTAGATTTGCTGGGTCATTGGAGCTCCAGCAATAGCGCCACCATGCATTGGTTGAGCCGGAGGTCCGCCGTGAGGATGGGGTCCGCTCACATGTGGAGCATGATGCGGCGGCATGTGAGGAGCAGCGCCGTAACCAGCTGCCTGGGGCGCATAGTGCATCGGTACACTGGGGTTAGGTTGGGGAGTAGCCGTGTGCGGGTAGGGCTGCGCATATGGAGCAGGTGGCATATGATGTTGTCGGGGATCAGGTCGTCGTCCGTAGTTCTCTCGGTGACCGAAGTTGCCGCCGGCAGGTTGAGGACAATATGGAACGACTTGCATACCACCGGGGACAACACCCGTAGGGCCGCCGCTGCGGGTAGCATAAGCCGAAGCGGCAGGGCCACCAAATCGCTCGTTCAGTTGCTGAAGGAGCGTGCTGCCTACATAATAAGTAGCAATATGAACAGCGTCAGCTACGCCCATGACTACAAGGGAACGTTCACTTGATAGTGGTAGGCAAGAGTCAGAGGCGTTGAGCCTCGCTCCTGAGGCATCTTGAATCTCGCGAATTCGGGCACCACCCTTTCCAATGATTGATCCTATTAGGACGTGGGGGATAAGGAGCCGGAGAGGATAAGTTTTGGACTGGGAATTAGACTTCTCTGTTAGAGGTTCATTATTCAAGGTACGGATAATTAAACCGAAGGCCTAGACGTGTTAGCTAAAATCCTTCTATTTGTTATAGGTAGACGACAAATACCTTAGCTACGGCCTCGACCGCGCCACTCACGGTTAGGATCCTTTCTACGGCACCTTTCTGGTAATCACTGACGGTACACTTGGCGTTCGACAGTTTTCGGATGTTGGAGACATTCTCACCGCCCTTGCCAATAATAGTGGCAGCTTCGGGACTGGAGATGACTGCACGAATGTGAATCCATGTGGTCTCATCATGAGTGTTGGTCGAAGGAGCACCAGTCGCAGCCGAAGGGCCGGTGATGGCGGTATCTACGACAAGCTTGGACTCGTCGATATCAGGAACAACAGTATCTCCTTGGTCATCCTTAACTTCGACCTTGTCGTTGGTGGCTTCTTCAGCCTTAGCTGTGCCGTTGGCCCCAATTGGAACCGGGATGTCATCGATGCTGTTGATCGGAAGATCAATGTGCTTGTCGTTGCCATTGTTCATAACTTTGTCGAGGGCTGGTCGTTTAGCCTCCGGTTGGTCAATACCACGAGAGGGTGACGAAGCATCCTCCAAGGGACGCTTTGCCGGATTAGTCGGGTGAGAAGGTGATGCAGACATCTTGCTCTATTATCAGGTCACTCTTGAGAAGGGCTACGTGTGCCTTATACGGTCGAATTGATTGTATTATCGGGTTCTTTGTTTTATCTACACCTTGAGGGTTTTCGAAGGAAAACGTGCAGGTGTAGTGATTCGGGACGGATGTGGTTGCAATACCCTCAAGTTGATGTAATCTTGTATGCGGGATCTGGAAGAGAGGTCGGAGTTGATGCAGGGCCGAGGATGGGACGATAAAGATCGAGGTCGTCAGGCTATGTGACGACAGGGATAACGAGAAGTGTGATATGAGAGATCTTTGTTGGACTTAAGAGTTCGTAGTGAGGCGAGGATGGTAATGACCTGACGGTATGGTTGAGGACGAAACTTGGTAGAGGTAGTAGAGGATTGGCTAGCTTAGCTAGAGCAGGTGATGCAGTGACCGAGTCGACGGGAGAGTTATGATGGAAAGATGAACGAAGTAGAAGTTGAGGATTTGGAAGTTGGAAGGTGGCAGGTGGCAGATGGCAGGAGTTAGAGACGTATTTGGTTCTCAAACCTTTTTCTTCCGCCAAAGGGAAACTGTTACGAGATATCGACAACGGTCTCTCTTTCCTGATTACAGCGCAACTTTTCTTCTTCTCTTAGCGAGCAGCCTTCCTAGCAGGTAGTACCTTAACCTCGCAGTTGACCAAGTCGAATTGACGCGTTCGAGCAGTTGCAGGAAGTTGGTCTCCTATCGTTATCGCTCTTAACACGGTTAGATGCAGCGCGATGTAAGCTTCTTTAGGAGGTTAAGGTTCGTGAGTAGGTAGTCATCCACCAATCTACCTATGTGCTCGGAAAAACTTATCAAAGGGTCAAGGGAGAAGGGGGAAAAGAATGAGGGAATATTACACCATCGAATAAAATAAATTGCGGGGGATAGAAACGGACGTAGGGTTATGGGGAACCAAACGCAGACGATAGAAGCGACTGGTTTGATGGTCGAGAAGATGGATGAAGGGACAGATGTTGTTGAAAGGAGGTTCGTGGTTTAGGGTGATGCAAGAAAGATCTAGGTAAAATGTGGGCACCCGGCTCAGGCATTGCAGTTGCAAAGAAGGTGGGTCTCCTCCACACGAAAAAAATCTACCGTCCAAGCGTCATTGATTTCTAATTGGTCCAATAAACACCGTGCGCTTCCGGGTTGGATCCACTCGGATAATACGGTGAGGCAATAATATACTTGAAAACGCTTCGTCAGCCTTGAATGTACTTTGATTTATTTGTGTTCTCCGTATATTTATCTTGTAATTAACTTTAGCTTAAACGTTCAATCACGATGTATGCAATTTGAAGTCATTCCAAGCGTGAACGGCAGCAACGTTGAATGGCCCGATTATGTACTTGTCAACTCTGTTTTCTATATATTGAACTTTATTAGGAATATTCAGGAATCATTTAACAATTCGGTCCAATTAATCAGAAATACTCCTGAACTGTTTGTTTGCACCGCAGATCCACCGGCAATTCCATTACTAGCATCTCGGTGCTTGGCACCTTTTTGACAATGCCCCTAGCCGGACATTTCTTCCTGCATATTATCTGCAATATGGGAAGATAGGCCTCCACCACAAGCTGCAAGGCATCACATCACATTTTATCCCATTACAAGGAAGGTCTTCTAGCATATCAATCGTCCTCTCTTGGCAATTGGTAATTTGAATGATACCTCGATCACAATGGACGCCACTATGCGCCTGAGCAACGATACTGATTCAGCTCATGAATCTCATCTTAAAGAAACACTACAAGAACTCCAGGCGAAGGTCAAGGTTCGCGAGACTACGCTGAAAGAGTTGCGCCGTGCTCCAACTGCACTACGCTCAGATCAACCTCATCCTCCTACGGCACAATGGGATATTATGAAGACAGCCTACGATGAGCTGGCGGAACAAAGTCCATTTTTACCGTTCCCGGATTCTGTACTACCGGCTCTCCTAGCCCTAAGGAAAACCCATCAGACAGTAGAGGAGACCAAAGCCTACCTAGCATCCCATAAAGACTCGGTTGAAAAGACTAAGCGGCGACTTGAAGTAGAAAAGTCGAATCTTGAAGACCAGAAGGCCCTCTCGCAGAGCTTACGCAATCGTATTCAATCACTCCAGGATGGACTGGAGAGCAGGATGGAGATGGGACCGGAAGATATCGCAGCAGAGCGTATCAACGAGTTGAAACAAAAGAAGAAGCGCTACGATAAAGAGACTTCTACGCTCCTCAAAGCGCTTAGAAGATTTATCGACGTGCATCTAGCAGGCATGCTTGCCGCTGAAGAACTCGGCGGTCCTGTCGTTGGCGAGATTATGGATATTGACGGAGATGATCTTGCTGCCGGATTTAGTTCTCAGGGCAAGCTGAAGAAGGCTAAGGAAAACCCAGATCAAGATAAAAGACAACGGCGGATTGACGAGATATGGGGTACACGAGAAGGTGATCAACCGACAGCGAAAGCAAATAGTAACAACCGGGATGAGACCGCGGCTGCTGGCGCGGAGATGCGGGATCTAACGGAGGAATTGCTCAACAGCCTCGCTCAATCAGACGGCGACAATTCAGCCGCCTACGTCCAGCTTCCCAGGGAGTCAGCAGCGGCTAGATTCCTAGTTCGATCTAAAGTCGCGCAGTTCCATCCTAGGGACTCTACAAAGTTACGACTAATCGACTTTGGTAAAGAATTGGACGAATAATACGTTTAATTCCACCGTATTGGTAGCCTTGTCATGAGTCGATTACATGATGATACGTACGCTACCAAGCACAACACTACCAAGGTTGAGGCTGTCAATCAAACAGGAGACTCTATCTCGTTTTCGTTACTAACCCCTTAGACCCGTTTTCTGTTCAAAGTCCGATATGATATCGGAGCTCGGAGCTTAGGGTATTTATCCAATAGGTAGAAAGCTCAATGCTGATGTTTTTAGTCGCACAAGGAAATTGACTAAGGTAGAAATACGTATCTGTTGGCCCAAGAATCGGCGATTCTTCTTATATTGAAACCTGAAACAACCTGCCACATTGTACCACGAGAATTGCTTTTGTTAATACCGAATATAATACCAATCAGCTCAGATTAGCAGTCCAAACCCAGATGACCATTCGCATCCGAGATAACCTGTGCAGCAATATCTACTCTGCACGACATATCTATCTGTGACCAAAAAATGCAACCATGAACCCAGCACTACGTATTCGTACCTGCGTACGCTTAAATCGCACAACCCTTGGCGCAGCACTCCGTGATAATTGGCCAATTAGCACCCCTAACCAACACGCCCCTCAACGCGTCGCAGCAGCCCGCAGCGCGTCCCACCGCCATATCCCACTTTCCTCCGCTGCAAACCATCCCGTTCGCCGCTTCCCTCACCGCAATTACATCCCGCCGACACCGCAAACACCAAAACCCAACTCCACATCCCAACTTCCCTTCCTACCACCACACGCCCAAATCCGAAAGAAACATACCATGACCACTTCCGCCTCCGTAACCTCACCACCAACATCCCCGCCCGCAAAGCGAGTCAAAACCACCACAACCGACACCGAAACAACCATGTCCACAACCAACACCCCCACCGCCATCCCCTCCTCTCCCCCCCTCCTCATAAAAAAGCTTTCCCCAAAAGCCAAACTCCCAACCCGCGGCTCCGCCTTCTCCGCCGGCTACGACCTGTACGCCTCAACGCCCACCACCATCCCCGCGCGCGGCAAAGCCCTCGTCGACACGGACATCAGCATCGCCGTGCCAGCAAACACCTACGGACGGATCGCGCCGCGGTCCGGGCTCGCGGCGAAGCATTTCATCGACACGGGGGCGGGGGTAATCGACGCGGACTACCGGGGTCCCGTGAAGGTGCTGCTGTTTAACCACTCGGACGCGGACTTTGAGGTCGCGGAGGGGGACCGTGTGGCGCAGCTTGTGGTGGAACGGATTTATACGCCGGAGGTGGTGGAGGTGCAGGAGCTGGAGGAGAGTGTGCGTGGGGCTGGGGGGTTTGGGAGTACGGGGACGAACTGAGGGGGTTTTTTGAGGAGGATGAGTAAGGGGAGATGCTTGGGCTTATTTATGTCTATAGTTGAGGGGGAAGAGATGGGGTGTGGCGGGTAGAGGGGAGGTGCATAGAGGTGTTTAGAGGAGTTGCCCTTGCTTGAGACGATCGGAGCATTGGGGATGGCTAGGTCGCATGCTTCTATCTTGGACGGCTAGATCTCAGAAAGCACATGAGTTTAGATGATTACTAATGGGAATGAGTCTAGTTGTCCAAGAGCTACCCTCAATATAACGCATAGTCTATTGCAACATCAACCGTTTCTCGTTACTCTTCACTGGATACTAACGGTACCTATGTGTTCACATGTCTCTATTCTCTATTCTATATGATCCTGTTAGCTCGACCTATCTTAGGCATCGTCTATGTAATCTACGCCTCTATACAAGAGACCCAACCATCCTCTCATCTTCCTCATCCCCTGAAATATCCAATCGCTTTTTACATCTTCTCCGCCCGATATTCTATCGTCGGATCACGCAAGCATCCCAAATTCCTCGTCAGCCTCAACTCCGCAGCCCGCGATTTAAGCAGATGCAACGTCGTCTCGTCTATGTCGTCGCCCCTCCGTTCTCTAATCGCTCTCATTTGAGCATTCATACTCTCACACGTACGATCGAGGACCTCATGCATGCTAGCTAGGACCTTCTCCGCGGCCCTCGCAAGCGGCAAATCCAGCACGCCTATAGTGTCGTCGCTAAGCCACGAGCGCCTCTCGCCCAACTTCGAGGATGACGCCCCCTTCCCCTCCCCAACCCCATTGCTCAGCTTATCGTAGTTCGCAACGGCCTCGCGCATCCGCACCACCATGAGCGCCGCGAACATATCCCCCGTACCGCTGAAGTAAGCCTCGAAGACCGGGAACGAGATCCTGAACACGCGTGGCTGCCGATCTGACGTCATCGACGAGCCCACAACCGACATCGTGCGTGGCGTCTGCGGGGTGGCGGCCGAGGAGGAGCTGAAGAGTGGGATGGACACTGATGTGATAACGACGTGGGGAACTCCGAATTCTTGGTGTAGGACACGGATGGCGTGTTCGAGGGAATCGCGGTCGGTGATCTTAACGCCCGAGAGGAGCCTGTTGAGACATGGGAGTTATTAATTAGTATTTTGTGAACTCGGACTCCACCAATTATCGTTGTCATTGTTGAATGCCGGTTTGCCATTTCCCTTTCCCAAAACGGTTACTTGAGCATAGGGGACTTACTCAGCTTCGAACTGATTCGGTAGTATGAGGTCTGCATAATGTATCAGGCTCTTATACGCGGGAACAACGGTTTCCGCCACGTATAAACGACCATTGTCGCCCATGACAGGGTCTAGGACCCAGAAGAAGTTTCCCGGCTTTCCGACTTCCTCCGATTTCTGTCTCAGTTCCTTGCCGATATTACCTACGGCAGTGACAGCCTCTGCACCGGGAACGTAGCCGGAGAGCATCATGTCGACGCCATCGAGGTACGACTGTTTAAGACCCTCCCATAAGTCTGTGATCTCTTGCGCCGATACCCGTGTGCCCTTCCATTGTTTGTAACCGGTATGATTGCCTTTCCGTTGTGACTTAGTAATCGACCGTTGAAAACGTACTCAGAGGCGAACTCTTCTCTGGGTCTATACGTACTGAATTGAACCGTATTTAAGGCGGATACATCGCAGCCCATAGACTGGAGTACGAAGACGGCGATCTTGTTTCCTACGTTCCTGTCCCAGGAAATTTGGAGTTAATGGATAGGTCGACGACGATATACGAGTAAAAATCTAGGAATCTCACCCTGAGACAACCTTCAAAGTAAGGGATTAGCTGTGAGAAAAGAGGAAACTGACTGCTAGAGACATTGTTTTCCTACATGACTGGCGACGGCAAGGACGCTCGTCTCTGGAACGGGAGGTTCGGTACTCATGCGGACGGTTTGGTTGATGCAGGGTATATTCTAAGGAAGTGATAGTGATATCTATGTGAATCCTAGGTCACACCAGTCTATAGAGAAAAGAACTGGGTATGTACCGCAAAGCCATTCAAGTATGTTCATAAAAAAGAAAGACAAAAAATTGGTAAAGAGCTTAGAAGATGCATGTACCTAATCATTATTCACATCCGCCGATTGCCGATACGGTAATGGAAGGGCGCATGACTCTTTTCTCGAAGGGTCTATCCTAGATCTGCAATTGAAACTTTACCTAAGGTTATCAAGGTGCCCCGCCATCGCGGATAGCCCCGCAGAGACCCACTTAAATTTTCAATACTCTCATGGAACACTCTCATCGAGGTTCACCTCTTACATCTCACCCCGAGTACTACAATTTAGGGACTACATAAAGAGGGGCAGGAAAAAGAAACGTAAATTATAACTGCAGACAAATTATTATCTCGTGTTAATTACCCCGAAATACGAGGAGTAGTACTGCATAAACACCTAGCACGTCAAAAGGCTATATGCCCGTAAATGTAGACTCATTGTCCTGATTGTCTTCCGTGCTGAATGCATTCGTATCCATCTCATAGCCACGAGTAATCTGCAAGCAAGTCTCATAACTAACCCGCTATTTTCTCCTGCCGATGTGGTATTATCATAACATTCATTATGTTCCGTTGCTTTAAACCATTACTCCTCGTCACCAATCTGTAGTTCTAATGTTAGTAATTCGGTACGTATACTATTAAGGGCTGAGGTGTCACAAACCTTTGGTGCGAGATAGAATCTCAGAAAACTGCTACCAGCCAGACCATACTCCACCAAGAGAGGCACTTCGTTGGACAAGCAGATCTTGACGGTGCTGGACAGAGCTTGAGCCTTGCAGAAGTTAACCAAGTATTTAAGAGAGAATGTTAGGCCGACCGGTTCGGAGAGCTCAATGTCGATGTTGAGCTCGGGCTTGTCAACGTTTTGGTGGCTTCGGAGGGTGACAGCACCGTTGCCGATGTCGCCATTGCAAGAGAACTTGACACCATCCTTGCTTGCATCGATGGTGACTTTTAAATGTTAGTTATGCCATTCATACATAATATTTGAAAAAGGTTAGTGTACTTACCCGATTCAGACATAGCCATCAAGTCGGTGCAGATGCGTCTGAATTCTGAGGAAGGCATGGAAATTGTGGCTGCGTACTCCGTCTCGGGGATACCAAGGTGCTCCTGGTCGATATCCATAAGCTTCAGATCGTACTCGCTAATACGATCATTCTCGCTGCTCTCGAAGACTAGGTTGAGGGAGTCGGGCGCGTCTTCAGCCTTCAGAGTTAAGATATCTTCATTCTGTGCGGCACGTAGAACTTTGGTAAGGGAGACTAAGTTGACGCCGAGGGCAATGTTACGATCGCATCGATAGGGAGAGAATCCCTCGGCCTTCAGCATCATGGACACAAGGGCGACGTGAGAGTTGTCCATAGCTTGAAGTGCAATGCCGGAGTCATTGCAATCGAAATTGCAGTCCTGTACTAGATCCTTGATAGAATCCACCACCTATTTTGTTAGCAAAGCTTGCAGATAGGAAGGGTATTGTAGGTTACGAACCTTCTTCAGGATCTGGGCCTGTTCTAATCGTGCCTCCAACATGATGACGGTTTGATAATATTAAATGACGAAAATTTCAAGTTAAAATTCCACGTCGATAGGTTTTTGGTGTAAAATTGCGAGGGAAGAACGAGATTGATTTTGTGTGGGTAGATTTTTGCTTCAAAGTTGACAGTGTTGTCGGGAGTTGTAATTTCTTCTGTACTGGCGATTTCAGAAATAGTGGGATGCATTAGAGAAAATACGCGTTGAGTGGTTGGACGCGTCTTTAATTGAAGGCAAACGCGAATGCCCCACTTCCCTTAGATAAGATATTGGGGTTGCAGGGGTATACCTTCCCCCCCCTATTGAGACCCCGGAAACAATATTACGGGTGCTTCTTGCCCGTGGGAGAATTATCCATATTTTGTATAAGTTTTATTGCTTGAAAATGACAGTCGACGCTTACCAGATTTATGGTTTACTCTGCAAGGTACGATCAATAGTAGGTACATAATATACATATTATTCCTTAAATTTAACTATCTATAGATACCTGCCTAGGGGTCTAGGTAGATAATTAAGAGAAGATTTCGGGATATCCCTTCTTCTCCAATGAGTTTTATTATATATAAACCTAGATAGGTAGGTTGGAGGTGTTGATAGTGCATATATATACGGCGACATAGAAAAAAACCATTATGCGCAAAGATCGTATGGATGACCAGCTCTCTATGAATACGCCCCTTACCCTATGTAAACAAGCCAGACCACGCCGTGGTGAATAGAACTTCAAGCCGAATCGCTCTATCCCAAATACGCCGTATTGCAACCGATGATGGCCCAGTTCATGATCTAATCGTTACCAACGCCGCAGGCTCAGTCAATGCTGTTAGTCGAAGTGATACAGATTCCAAGGAAATTTTCTTAAAGAGAGACTCGGCCACGTCCGGGTTTTCTGTCCAGTACCCCTTGCAATTCTCGCATCATGCCCCTCTGCGCTTCGGCTTTTGCCTTGGCAACCTCTCTGCTCTTACGATCTTCTCTCATTCTGATAATCCTCTCTTCTCGCGTAAGTAAGCTCTTCGGCCGAGGGATCGAGATGGCCTCGAAAACTTCAGGTTCGATCTCGACTGGTGGTGAAGTGTCTCCGGTAAGCTTCTTTAATGCATCGGCAACACCATCATGCTCATCAAGGCTGCTCTCATCCTCTTCCACAATCGTTCGTCCACTCATCGTACTCAAAGGAGATACAAGCGTAGAGCCAATAGATGACAGGCGCTTCTCGTTTCTATCGATACCAGACGCCAGCGAGGCCTTGCCGGTCTGCCATGCTTCCATCAAATCTCGAAGATCTTGCCCGATCGAATCATACTGAGCCATAAATAATGGACCAAGATCGCTGATATCGTCCGCTTCGTTCAAGGCTTTGGATGACTCTTCGCGTAGAAGGTGTAACTTTGCCTGCACACTGCGGATGTTCATAGTCATCGAGTTGAGTCTACGAACTTGGTGGCGCCATCGGTCGTGGCCAGGGGTCTCGGGACTCCGTGGTGTCTTCGGGATTTGGACTAAAGTTTCATCATTAGAAAGTCGTAGTATACTTACTAACTATACTTCACTTACAGTCATTATCAGCCAATATATCTCTCACTCGCACGTACGCTTGCTTCGTAGCAACATTTAATTCCTTAAACGCCTCTAATATCGTCGAGAAACGAAGTCGGTCGGTGTCATTGCCAGCGCTATGGAGAGCTAGTAAACCACTTAAAAACATCTTTCGGATATCATGGAAGAGGAATGCGGCATCTTTGAGGGGTTGCAATTTCTCGGCATTCTGGGGATCGGCCCTGGAAAACACTTGAAATCTTTCCACCACATCGGTAACTGTAAACTGATATTGAGATTGTAGCTGCATCAATTCGGTCTGTTCTGCAAATCCCCAAATTGTGAAAGCTATTGTGTAGTACTTGGAGATAACCTCTGTAAGACTGTTTCGAAGAGCATTCCTTAATTGAAGGCACTTGACGTTTTGTCCATTATTCTCTAATCGACTAATAGGGGGAATAGGCGTGCTCCTGTTTGAAATTAGCTGTTTGTATCGGGGCTTTTTAGGAACAATGAACCTTACAGTCGATATCCACGAGCAACCAATTCCACCTCCATAACGAAGTTAAGGGCGGCGCTGTTCGCACAATCGTACTCCCGCGAAAGCGAAAAGAATGCTGAAGCCTCCACCAGACCCTGCTTCTGAATATTTCTCAGGAGTTGCCTTCGCACATATGTCCTCGCGACTAGGAGCGCTAGGGATGTTACTACGGTGGAAACCAAGAGCCGTTTCCAAGTCGGCATAAATCCTCCAAGCACGAACCACCGAGCTAGGGATGCCGCACCGAAGCCGAATACGGCTGCGGCGACGGCACCGGAAGCTGTCAGACCGTGGAAATTTGGCTCATTTTCTGGTTGCGACGGGTCGGATCCTATCGACGGTTGATAACCTAGCACCAAGGGGTTATCTAGAAGCTGGGACTGGATGATGGCAAGACGCAGCCGCTCGAGGAAACCGATCGATTTAGCATGGTCGATAGATGAAGTAACTGCTTCGACGAAGAGTCGTAGCACATCGAAAAGAGGTGAGGCGTGGTTGTGAATCTCATCAAGGCTGATACGGGAAGGGAAAGTATTAGAATCAATACACAAGGGTCTCGGCAAGTTTTCCCGAAACTTTTTCCGAACCTTGGCTAAGCCTCTCGGAGCGAAATCTCGTGGTGGGCTTGACTCCGGTGAGAAGTCGTGGTCGGTATCATTTTCGAGTTCCTGCCACAGCGATTCGTCTCTCTCTCCGGTGCCTATAGTAAGTACAGTTAGGGATTTGAGAGCTTCAGACATATCGATTATATTGTGAATATTATTTAATAAGGGGACTAGGAGCTCTGGTATATAGGCACTGCATGTGTATAAAACAGATATACATACCCTCGAGGTAGTTGCTCAAAGGCGTTCCCTCATCTACGTGAGTCTCCATGTAATTGAGGTGTCACACGACGGATCGCGTCCATCTGGCGCGAAAGTGCTTGTGATTCGCTCAGTTGTGCGAATAGCTTTACTAGGAGTGACTCGGTTCGATTTGGTTAAAGTGACAATCAAACATGTAACATGTAAGGAAAATAGAGAAGAAAGGGGGGGGTTAGCAAAAGTTAGTAAAAGGAAATGTTTGTTGTAAAGGAAAGCTGCCGTTATTGAAAGGAAGTTAAGTTTACCAGTCAAGCGCTTTGTTCATTTGAATTGTACGAAATTGTACGAGATTACCCTGGCATAATGCTTCTCTAATTAGGCAAGTACCTACCCTAAGTATAGGTCTATGTAATGTCCGAAGCCCCCGTTGAAGCAGGGGAGAGCAGGGGGAGCTTTCCCCATAGAAAAACCCGAGAGAATCGAAAGAAACAACCAAAGGTGGAAAGAACGCAAAGTGGAAACTAGAAACGTGGAACGTACCACATGAGCACCTGCGCCGTATGTAGGTACATACATACGTAGTATGTGCGTAGTTTGGTAGTACAGATTAAACAGATTAACAGGGCTGCTGCGCACACCGCTTGCCGAATTAGTCACTTAGTCAGACGTTTGCGGTCCACCTGTCAGATAACCTTTCTAACGGAACCGCTATCCTGGGGTTTTAGTTGCTTCACGCTATTCGCTAACGAGTGCCTTGCGGCTTATGGTCCAATAGTTCATTACTCTTAAAACATTACGTACATCGTATGTACATACCACAGACGTCAAGCTTTTAAATTCCCCGTCTTATTTCGAGACACAGATGCCTATATTAAAATTTGAAGGACAAAGATCAGAATAGAAACAAAGACGAGCGCAGCCATGCCGACCGAAAGGGAGCTCCAGATATCTCCTATTGTGCCGGAGTCGGTAATGCACAACTCAAAGGTTAGTTCTATCAACACATCCATCGTTGCTTTAGGTATTGCAGGTATTGACATCTTCTTTTTCTACTCTGCTAGGCTCTATCCAACCTCCAGACCCTTACTGCTTCCATATTCGGCGCTGCGGCTGGCATCTTAGGCCTCGAATCCTACAGCGGATTCCTCTTCTACTTTATCTTCACCATCCTCACCACTGTCCTCTTCTACACAATCCGCGTTGCACCCACGTCGTTAAAGGCAGGCCACGGTATTTTCGATACGAGCAGATACTTTAGAACGCAGTACGAGTTCTGGACAGGAGGTCTTTTTAATGGACTTGCGGGATACATATTAACGTGGACGTTGTTCTACGGTCTAGTGAGAGCCTGATAGGACTACCTATTCTCATCTAGGAAGATTGCGAGGCGTTTGGCAATAGAACAGATATACATCAACGAACTCATGACCGGCTAGGCTAGACCACGTGGGCATGGATAGAGTAGTCCTGAACAATGTCGAATATCATTTTGAAATTTCAGTATGTCCTTATTGATGTTCCCATATCTAAAAAAAAACGCTATATAGAAACGCTATGACGGTGAAGTTTTATTCACTCTACAATCTCGATGACGTTGCCGACATAACCTTCGAGCCCCGACTTGTCTCTAAATCCCCCTTCTACCAGAACTATTTGAGAACCGAGTTCGATCCATTCCCGATTATTCAGAAGTTCCAGCGAGACATGGTATTCGGCTTGATATTCGTCGAGGTCCGCTTCTGACCTAGTACGTTCGAGCTCTATATGATCGTTCATGCCAAACATATCTTCGTCATCTTCTGTGGGATCCTTTTGTGCATTAAGCTCGGTCCTTTGACGTATCACTCGCAATACCCGAACGGCGGTACGAACCATTCCTACGTAAGCGTTTACCAGACTATTCACTGTTAGTGACTTGACGTCCGACGTTTTGAAGGAAGCTATGAGACTAGAAGCTGCTTGAAGGGAGAGCCCTGTATCAACCATATGTTGACTAGGCACGGCGAGAACCTGGCCCTTGCGGAGGCTATTAATAGACAGTTTCGGTTTCCCAGGGGTAGCATTAGAATCAGATATCTCCGCATTAGGCTCGTTAAAGACCACCTGGATAGAGCCCGCCTGCCCCGCTTCGATAGTTTGCACAGGGAGCCTCAGATCGCGGATGTTCACGATCGTAGCTTGGCGCCATTCGCCTTCCACCTTGGAGGCTGATAACGTATGACGAGAGCTAAGTCGAGCAAATTCTGCAGATGAAGGATGAGGAATCGATAAACCATATCCGGGTGGAGGGTGATCATTCGGAACTAGAGCACCAGCATCCTCGTCATCTCCTGGGAAAGGTCCTAAGACGACTTTATCACCTATGGATAACTTCCCAAAACGTAGATAACCCGTTACCACAGGTGCGCTTTCCCCTGACCCCGAGGTCGTAATAGTCTGGGCGCGGCTCAACGACATGTCAAAAACCTCATCGATATGAAAGAGAGCAGCCGGTTGTTCTGGATTCAAGGCGAGTGGTACGAAATCTCTTGCCGTCGGTATAGGTGGAGTCGGCAAACTTCTTAGCAAAGCATGAGTCAGCCCAATACCTATACCTTTAACAGCACTTGTAAGAATCACGGGGACGATAGACAGCGGGTCACCAGATTTGGTAATAGGGCTAATGACTTCATCCTGGATCTTGCGGAGGTCGTTTTCGGGTACTTCTGTCAGATTATCCTCGTCGCGTGCGGCTGAAGTCAACAATTTTGGTGTCCTCCCCATAGCTTTGACTTTAGTGAACACTATAGCTAAATGTTCCTTCAGGGTTGCCATCTGTCCTAGCTCGGATTTAGTGATGAGGATGGCGAGAGGTATGGCCAGTTTTAGGCACAGATCAAGGTGAGCCATAGCTAAATCCATCGAAACTATCCCAACTCCCAGAGCCCCGTCCACTCCGGAAAGGGAATGGACGCCAGAAGTAGATGGACCATCTTCATTTGGAATACACAGAAAGGTCCAATGAGGAGCCCAGCCGACGAGAGCCCGAAGGGTGGTTCGCTGATATCGCGGGTGTCCAGCGGAGTCAAGCAAGAAGGCCAGACGGCCTTTCTCTGCACGATCGTGAATATCTGGCCATTCATTGATATTATCGATGTTGTAATTGAAAATTCTTTGATCCTCATATCCGATAAGTTCTTGCGCAATTGACTAGTGAATTGAAGTATAATATGTTAGCAATTTTGACGGTCTAAAATTCTTTCAAAGGTATACCAAGCGTTGTTTTCTGCGACGGGTGTATAGAATTGTTTCACTCACTGCTATGACGTTAGCTACACTATATCACAAAATTTAGGCATCTTAAAAGTATGAGTATCACTATTCGATACAAGGTTTAATACATACCGCTTGTTTGTCCGGATGCGACCTCATGACGGTGCCTCAATAGGTTGATCCTACTTCTTCCCCGGCCATTGTCCAATGTGCCATTGGAAAGTGTTCCGAGTAGTGTTGTTTTACCAGATGTTGTAGGCCCAATGAGTGAAACACGGAGTTGTTCGGTGATCGAAGCGCCTCTTCTAGGAGTTGCATCCAACTGGTCTGTTTGCTGACCATTCCTGTTACCCTCGATATTCAACACTGGCATTACGAGAGCTTCTGCAACCCAAAGATCTGCTACACGAGTCTCGCCTTCTGATTCCGACGTGCTGTCATTCCATTCACAGGTCCCGACGGCCTTCATGCGCTGCACCTCAACTCTGCAGCCCAGACTAGCAGCCATAACTTTGAGGGTTGTCATACTCTCGTCCATTTCGTCTTTAGTCAAGCCGATGAAGGTTCCGTCGTCAGCTACTCCTATTTCATACAGCGCTCCATTGGATTCCTCGAGGCCTGGGAGCAGTTGACCTGGCTTCTCTAGAGCAGTAAGATCAGCGATGTCTTCCGGTAATCTTGGTATGACGAGGTCACGTCTCGCAGTTGAATGATTTGGCGATGACTGCTGCAGTCTCCAAAGCAGTTGAGTAGTTAAATGATGGAGACGATTCTGCCTGGTAGTTTGGCTTGAAGAAGAGAGAGGTAGACCGCTTTGCTTCGGTTGTTTCGCTTCTCGCATTGGTTTAGATTGCTGGGACCCGGATACTTTCAACGCAGTGCTCATAGTATTATATCGCCTTCGAGGCCGTAGCAATAAGTGTAGTTTGTACTCGATTGGACCGTCCTGTGGCTCAGCTTCAAGTCTCTCTAGGTGAGAATCAGAGAGTTGGTCTGACTCAACAATGGCTCCAGTTGTCACAGAACGCTCGACCTGAGGTCTCTTTCCCGACTCTTGGGCAGTTTGCCAAGGAGAATTCACCCGTGGAGGATCATGATCGAAAGTGAAAATGGAAGCCATCGTAGGCTTTGGTCATGAAAATGATGGTATTCAGTAGTCTGTGTCCAATGAGGAAATCGGATGAAATTCAGTTGGCTGTTGTTTTAGGTAAGTTCGAACAAATTGACCCTTGTTGAAAAGTATTATGATTTATGGCTGTCTTGAATTAATTTAATATCTACTCGACGCTATGACGACTTCTTGTATTGGGTTTGTTGCATGATCTTGCGATAGTCGCTGTGTATGAAATATATGTATTTGTAGTATCATCTTCGATAAACCGGAGCTTAACAGCTCACAAATATGTGAACAGGAAGTTTTAATATGTTTTGTATAAAAAATAGGTTTAACAGAATGTCAGACCAGCCATTGTAGACGACGAGTTACAGCTGATGATATTTTTTTCAAGACGAAGTGGTGATGGACTCATTTACGAAGCATCAGCAGAACGTCTTGAACTTGGTACGGGAAGAAGTACCTATATGTATCTAATGCCAGGTGTACAAGCTGACAAGTACCATGGACGTAACAGTCATAATAGGTGCCTCAGGCAAGAGCGTAGAACCAACAGAATACATTCAGAATGTACATGCAACAAGGGGAAGGTTTCGGTAAACTAGCAAGTAGATCCGTGTATTTGCATACTTCTAAGCAGCAGTTACATAGTATTCAAACCCTTTAGGACTGTATTAGAATGATTGTAAGTGAAGACAACTCGATTATCAATTCCTCATACACATGTTGAAGTGAGTCAGTTAACTCAAGGTGAGCTTGTCAAGATATTTGGGTTGATGTACTTTTAGGTACAAAGAAAGATGCATTTTCATCAATAGTACGGGTCAACTAGCACGATTCAAAAGAGCCAAACTTAGAATACGCACCCTTGTAAGTTGTCAGCTATGGTAGTTGCCACCATACTATGTAGTGGCTGACTGGTTTACCGCCCCTGACCGCCTATATAAAATATGGGAACCCCACTACATACAGTGCTGCGGCTAGTAACTGACGAATCAATTTACACATTTCCTAGTTCCTATGGTCCCCTCCTTTTCGAAACGTAACCTAAGACGTCCCGTGTCTTCAGTTCCATAATTCAAGCCATCTTATAACTTGCGACATTCTTCCTTTTTCTCTATTTCGTCGGATTAATACAAACTCATCAACCAGTCAATCAATCAATCGAACGTGCAAACAATACAAATCGACTACAAATATAATGAAGAGATTCCTCGGAAAGAAGACATCCGATGGGGATGACGATGCGAATCGCTCCGCCCTTTTTGGGAAGAAGGGCTCCCCAGCTCCGTCGGACAATCCCTACGCCCAATCTCAACCCGCAAATGACCCCTACATGAACGACAACAACAAGTATGCCAATATGACGCCCTACCAACAAGCTCGATCGGGCCTTCAGAACAATCAACCTGTCGGTCTCCCGAGCGGACCTGGCCCTCGCAGCGGATTTGGTCCCCCTCCTGTTTCTCGTAACGCCAGCAATTCCTCCTCTGCCACCGCCCCGCCCCCCTATCCTAACGGGCAATCTAACAACCAGCCGCCTAGCGGCTACGCCAACAACAAGTATGGCTCGTCTATGGGTTATGGAAATAATAAATACAACAATTCGAACAACGCTGGTGGTTCAGCTGGACGTCCTGGTGGATATGGCGGACTCGGTCGAACCGATAGCAACGGCACAGATGCTAACCGAGATGCGCTATTCTCTGGTGCCCAGGAACGATACGAGCAAAAGGGCAACCAGGATGGAGGTTATGGTGCTTCCGGCGCATCTGGCGCATCTGGCGCTGACTCCAAATACGGTGGTTACGGAGAGCGACGTGAGCTCACAGAGGAAGAGAAAGAGTACGAAGAATATAAGGATCTGAAGAAGGAGATCCACGAGACTACTAAAGCCAGCGTCAACTCCACCGAAAACTCCATGAGAGCCCTGAACCAAAGTTTGGATGTTGGCATGCAAAGTCTGGCTCGACTCGGTGCTCAGAACGAACGACTCTATAACACAGAGCAGCTCGTAGACTCCGCGATCGAGAAGCAACGCCATGCTGATGCTCAAACAAAGAAACTCAAGACGTTAAACCGAAGCATGTTTGCTGTCCATGTAAAAAACCCATTTACAGAAAAGCGAAAGACCGCAGAAGAAGAGACGAGAGTCATAGCTCAGAACCAGGCCGATCGAGAGGTTCGCGAGGCTACCAGAAGAGAGAAGTTTGCCCAGAATTCGCGCATGGAGTCAAACTTCGCCGAGTTAAACCGAGGACAAGCACCTTCGTCGTTCTCCAAACCCAACAGAAACGACAGGAACAAGTATACCCTGGAAGATGATTCAGATGAGGAGGGTGCGCGTGACTTGGACAATGACAACGACCAAATTGAGAACAATCTGAACGAACTCCAGAATGGCACTTTCAGGCTCAACCGCCTTGCAAAAGCCTTGGGCGACGAACTCGACCAGGGCAACAAGCTTATCGACAGAATTGGTTCTAAGGTATGTAACTTGATGATATCCCCATTCTCCGGTGCTAAGCTAATTATATCATAGACCGAGCCACTTGATGACCAACTGAGAGTGACCAACTTGAGACTGAAGAAAATGAACGGAGAGTTATAGATGATCCGAGAGTGTGTGCATATTTACCATCCAACGGAAGCACGTTTGAATACAGACTTTTCGTTTGGATTACTGACACTCTACATGATGGCCTGGGTATCTATAGTTCTGAGTAGTCCATGCGTGGGAGGAACTAGAGTAAGGGTTGTCGCAATAGATCAGCAGATGACACTTGAATACGTCTCTTGCTTTTCATCCGAGAGGCCAAACCGTACATACATCATGCTTTATAGCTATGACGTATTTTTACGACACAACAGCCCTAACGTATAATAATAGCACGGCATTGCATCCCCTACTGAGTACTTACTGAACCCCTATCAATAACCACCGGTGAAAATATGTCAATTTATTTAGTCCTAATGCAGGAACCTAGAAAGTCCTATTTATCAATATTCCCAACATTTGTTGTTCTATGGATGGTATAAGTGATTCGGGAATTGCAAATGTACAGTATGCGCTTAGGTGTGATACTTTGAATGCACTGTATAAATCAAATTTTGGTGCCTGCTACTAGGTACAAGTGTACCTAGTATTGTACCTAGGAAGTAATTATTGCGAACCGTGGAAGCTCGAGATCAGATCCGAAGTTCAGCACCCGATACCAATCTACATTCACCATGAAACCTTCATGGAGATTATTAGCTAGTGCGACGGCTGGAAACGGATTGAAGCCAGCGCCTATGGCATTATTGCCACCGATTCCCCTTTACCGTCGCCTATTTAGAGCTCACAGAAAACATTTGTCGCACGAAATGCGTCTGCTTGGTGACCAGTATATCAGGGCTGAGTTTCGCGCCCATAGAAATGTTGACAACCCAGCACATTTGGTATAGACCCCTTTCCTACCATCTAACTCAATTTAATTGTTAACAATGCCAACAGATTGGATTCCTTACGGAATGGCAACTCTATGCTCAAAAGATCGAGGGTGATTCATGGGTTGGTGAGAAATTAGATCCCGAGAAAGTTGCGAAGATGAGTGGTTTGTTTGACCTTGACCTTGCTATACAAACGATCTTCTAATAAGAGTTCACTAGACCAACAACTAGGACAACTATATGAGCTCATGAACGCCATACGGAAGAGGCATGCAGATGGGAACAAGGAATAAGGATAGGACATTACGATACCCTATTGCCATCCTAGGTATTTTAATGATTCTCAATACCCTGTTAACAGATCTTAATCAGAGCAAGAGACCCTCCACATATCTGAACATTTTGAGTCATTGTAGTTAGATAAGTATTGTGGTGCATGGCGATTTCGTTCGTCGTAGGATATCTACATTTGTATCCTGCCATCACATGAAATGTACCTAGGTACCTAGGCTGACGGTAGAAGGGGCTGGGCTGCCTTGATGGAAACTGTAAAGCCACACTGTGTGGGGTATTCAAGATCTAATTGTGGGACTATCTTAGATCTTACAACTGAACTTTTCACTTTTCAATTCTAAGGTTGGAAGAAATCAACCTCATTCACCCCGACGACAGCTCAAAATGGCTCAAGATGAGCATAAACCCAAGAGACGGAAAACTAAGCCGACAAATGATGCATCAGTTGTAAAAATCGGCGACAAGATCATATCTTTAAGCGCTTACCTAAATCCTCAAAAGAAAGCACCAGAGCAGCCATCAATAAATCAGCAGCCCATCATAACAAATGAACCCCAACAGAATCCTATAGAGGAAATCAAGCCAGCATCTCCTGAGAAAAATGTGACAAAAAGACTTGCGAATAGTGGAGATCCGTCGCTGCTGAAATCTCGAAAGGCATTGCCTATTTGGGCTCATCAGAATGAAATCAGGGCAAGTTTACGGGGTGATAAGAACGTGCTACTCATCGTCGGTGAGACCGGTTCGGGTAAAAGTACCCAAGTCCCTCAGTTCCTATGCGACGAACCATGGTGTCGAAAGAAGAAGGTTCAGGTCGAATCTGATACGGTGAATATTGGCGGTATGATCGCTATCACTCAACCACGACGAGTTGCCGCGACGACTCTAGCCAACAGAGTTTCTCGTGAGATGGGAACTCCTCTTGGATCGTCCCGTGAAGGGTCTGTTGGATACTCAGTTCGATTCGACCACAATGTTCCAAAGGGTACTAAAATCAAGTTTCTTACGGAGGGTATGCTTCTCCAAGAACTCTTGCGAGACCCGAATTTGCGACAGTATAGTGCTATTATCGTTGATGAAATTCACGAGAGAAGTGTCGACGTTGATCTGATCGCTGGATTCCTAAAACAAATCCTATTGAGTGACAGGGCCGGCCGGGGAGGCATCCCCTTAAAGGTCATAATCATGAGCGCAACAGCAGATGTAGAAATGATCCAAGATTTCTTCAAGCCCCAAGACCAAAGTCCATCTGTTCAACTTCTCCGAATCAAAGGAAGACAGTATCCAGTAGATATCAAACACACGGCTAGACCCGTCCCAGATATCCAAGAAGCCCTTCTCAAGAAAATATTCGACATCCATTTACATGAGCCGTTACCCGGCGACATATTAGCTTTTCTTACTGGCCAAGAAGAAATCGAGGCTGCCCAACGCATGATTGAAGAATACAGCGCTACATTAGCTTCGGATGTGCCGAAGTTATTGGCCTGTCCTTTATACGGCCAACTCTCAATCCAGGCACAACAAGATGCATTTCAGCCTGCTAAGAATCGCTACACACGGAAGGTTGTCTTGGCAACAAATATCGCCGAGACGTCCGTCACCGTTCCAGGCGTCCGCTACGTGATCGACTGTGGGAAGGCTAAGGTGAAGCAATTCCGGTCACAATTGGCGATGGAATCATTATTAGCTAAGGCGATATCGAAATCGTCAGCTATACAACGGACCGGTCGAGCCGGACGTGAAGGCCCAGGCAAATGCTTCAGGCTTTATACTTCGGAAACGTACGATTCCCTCAAGGACGCAGATTTACCTGAAATTCTGCGCAATGATATCTTAGGCGCCGTTTTAACGATGAAAGCGCGCGGCATCAATGATATTCTCTCATTCCCGCTAATGGACTTTCCCGATATCGAGTCAGTGGAAAAAGCATTAATACATCTCCATTTCCTAGGTGCACTAGCAGATGATGGCAGTATAACAAAAATCGGGAGAAAGCTAGCTCTTTTCCCGGTTTCCGCTCCATACGGGAGAGTACTTCTTGCAGCAAGTGAACCCCAATATGGCTGCCTCCTTGAAGTCATTGACATCATAGCTTGCATTACGTCAGGAGAGAACATATTTCACCAGCTACAATCAGAGGAAGTAAGGGAAGAGGTCGAAGAATACCGCAAGGAATTATATCGCAGGGAAGGAGATATCCTCACCTATCTGACTACCATGCAGCGCTACGCGGCGGAAAACGCGGATCGAATCGAGTGGTGTAAGAAGCGGAAGATCAATATCCGGAATATGAAACAGGCTCTCAATATCCGAAAACAGCTTCGAGGCATATGCGTGAAGGAAAAGATGTTCACGGATACACCACCGCCGGATCCTCAACCGTTCGTTCCGATGTCTCCCGAGAGGGCAACCTTGCTCCTGAAATGCTTCATGAAGGGGTTCGGGACAAAATGCGCCCTACTAGCGCCGGACTCTAGTTATGTCACGATACAAGGAAAACATGTTGTATCTATTCACCCGTCGAGCGCGATGCATGGGCAGAAAAGGGAGGCGATCATGTTTCTGGAGCACGTGTTCACGCAGAGGAGTTATGCTAAGAGGGTCAGCGCTATACAAGCAGATTGGATTGTTGAAATTATGGAAGGCAGATGATGTCTTGCCCCTTCCCTGGAAGTCGGTGTATATAGAATGAAGGACGACGTTGATGTTTATACCCACTGTAAGTCTACGATAGATCGATGTCTAAAGATCGCATTGTGTTCGCTTGCTTGTTAGTATGGAGCAATCCGGCGTACCATCGTTTTTCGACGCGATGTATCTTTGCTGAGCTATTTTTACCGAAACGGTATCTTCTAATAAGTTCTAAGAACTTAAGTTGTGAAAGAGAAGAACGTAAATAGAGGTTAGACTCATGGGATTATATGTAAGGCTACTGATTGAGATATAGCGCTTCATTCGCTATAGGCTGGTATTCTGTGTACCCCGACGGCTTTCTGAGCAGCCTGGCGAGTTGGTGTTAAGTAGTTATAGATACCTACCTAAGTTTAGAAACCCGAAGATCTCAGAGAATGCCTCGTGCAAATGAACTCGTAAACTCAGCTTACACCGTGCGTAAGTGACAAGCAGTTAGTTTCTAAATAGTCTCTATTCTGTAGTTGATCGAAACGATTGGCGTTGGAATTATTGTAAAAGCCTGGTCGATAGTCGCGAGACATTGAAGAATATCATACGCCACCCTATACCATGCTGTGTGTAGCGCTTTAGGTATAGGTATGGATACATCTAGGAGTACCTAGGGATGTACATACATACATCAATGTACCTACAAGAGATATAATATGTAGGTGTCTTCTCTTAACCATGTACGCAGTACATCACGCTCTGCATAAGTGGCTTTTCCTTTTCCCATTGACGTGACACTGCATGCGAAATTAATATCACAAAAACTCACCGAAAACAAGCGTGGCTTAGGAAATCCGGGATTGCTCACATATCGAGTCGAAGAAACCGGTATTGGATGAAGGAACAGTATATACGGTGCTCTATCAAAACATACCTAGGTATATAGACCAAAGGGTAACCATTGTCCTCGAACCTGTTCATTGATAGATACAGACACTTATAAACTCCCCTCCCCTATTCTCCCTAAATACACCCACCTACCCCCCAATTCCCACCAAACCTACAACCGATCCGCATCCTCCTCCAAATACCAAGTCCGATCCCCCTCCCCACCCAACTCCCTCTGCGAGAACCCATTCCCAAGGTACCAAAACCGATTCCGAGCCGGGCTATCATACGTATACTCCCAATCCTCGCCCCTCAACCGCTCAAGCATATGGAAGAAATGCACACGACTACCGGGGTGTAGAGCGGTCACAGGACCGTCGCGGGCACCGTTCTTGAACCACGATTTGCAGGACCCGGACCATGCGGTGCGCGGCATCAGCGCCGCGATGTGCTCGGAGTAGTCGGCGACTGCGGCGGCGGAAGGCGACACGGAGCGGATCCCTTCGGTTTGGCATTTGAGGATCAGCCGCGTGATGTACCGCGCGATGTGCTCGCTTAGTGTGAAGACGCTGCCGTGGCCTATGGGGCCGTTGGGGCCGAGGAAGGCTGGGGTGTGTGGGTTAGGTTACTTGAAAGAACTAGGTAGGCGTTTAGGGTTGGCTATATTAAGGGACTTACTGAAGTAGTTCGGTACACCGGGGAATGCGCACGACATATAGCTTTTAGGAGTATCGTTCTTGAACGCGTCCTGGACGTTGCCGTGTCGGCCGACGAGAGGGAAACGTGGGGTGAAGGAGTTGTCGAAGCCAGTAGCGCAGATGATGGCGTCTAGTTTGATGATCTCGCCTGACTCGAGTCGGATGCCCTCGGGTACGATCTCGGCGATTCCCTCTGTTATCACTTCCGTGTTCGAGGACCGAAGGGCTTCTAAGTACCCCGGAGCCGGCGTTATTCTGCGACATCCGAGAGGAAATTGGGGGATTAGGGCCTTGCAGAGCTTCTCGTCGCCACCTAGAGTTGCTGTCATGTATTGGACTACTTTGCTCGTTGCGAAAGCTTGCATTGGGCTGTTATTTTGGATCTGTAGACGAACGGATTAGCGATGATGCAGGTATGTATATGCGGCAAGAATTACATACCAGGGCGAAGGTTCCATTGCTGTCCTGCTCGATTGTCTTGATGAATTTTCGGTAGAAAGCAGGATCCGCCTTGAACTTTTCGATCTGCCGCTGAGTGAAGTTCTCCTTTTCATCGAGCTCTATTTCGCCGATTATATCTTTAGCGGGACCGCCCATTACCTTCATTGACACCAATCGTGGTGGAATGACCCACGTGGGCGTGCGGACGAAGTGGTAAAGCTTTTTGACATCTACTAATATTAGGTGGAGAAGACATCAGGGGAATAGGGGTCGACCAACCTGGCTGGATTGTAGGTAACAGCTGAATGCCGGACGAACCATTTCCGATCACAGCTACAGTTTTATTGGTATAATCAAAATCCTTAGGCCAATTCGCTGTATGTACTAACTCTCCCCGGAAGCTCTTTATGTTTGGAATACTCGGCCATTTCCAGTTACTAGGGGTTAGTAGTTAGCGGTGTAGTCTATAGGAGATATATCTGATAATTGGTGTCGTGTCTTACTTTAGAATGCCCGAGGCGTCGACGATAAAGTTAGCCTCATCCCTGAACTCCTCCCCAGTCTCCAAATTCTGGACATTTAGATCCCAGATTCCACGATCTTCATCCCACCATGCGCCAACGACCTTATGCCGTATCTTAATAGTGTCTTTCATGTGCTCTTCTTCGACTATTCGAGTCAAATATTGCTCGATTTCTGGTGCGGGTGCGAAGAAGTTGGTCCATTCATGATTTGGGCGCCAGGAGAATTGGTAGTTGTGGCTTGGTACGTCACATCTACACCCGGGGTAGCGGTTTTCGAACCAAGTTCCCCCGACCTTTTCATTCTTTTCGTAGATGACATGTTCATAATTTGTTAAATTTCTTCGGAGCGTCCGTATCATGTTGATGCCACTTGCTCCTGCGCCGATGCCTACGATCCTGACATGTTTGGCAGTTCCGAGAGGCTCTTCTCGAATCGTATATGGTGCTGTCACTACGGGGCCACGAATGTTAGTACCGTTGGCATTATTATTACCGCCATGGCGCGAGCTTTGGTGAACTTTATGGCGTGTCATGTTCGTTGGATATGTAGATAGATAGGTATATCTTGAAATAGGGAGACTCAACGCTCTGAACTTATAAACTCTCCCATATTGTCGTGTTAGGAGACTCTGGCTTTTATATCTGAAGCTGAGGCTCGGCCGATATTACATGGGTGTACCTTATAGGCGGAAGACCACTAGTCTGTATCCCTGGCGTGAGAGGAGGCTCCAGCTGAAAGCTGTTTCAAAAGCAAGGCCAACCATAGGCTTACAAAAGGTGTAGTTTGAGAAGAAGTAAGTTAATTGAGTAACGGGAAGGGACGTATCTCAGCCTACCAGCAGAGAGGAAAGGAGCTGCTGAAGTAGTAGGCTCTTATGTTAGCGAAACAGCGCTTGCTCATATAGATTACGTACGGGGGAGGCAGTTTGCAATATATTTCTTGCCCCTCTAACACATCAAACAGATCAGATTATATCTACATCGCATTCGTATCCAGTCACCAAACAAGGGAGGGTGATATTTATTTACCACAATCACCCCCTGCCAGCAGAAGGATGAGAAATCGATAAATCGTGCCATTGTGACGGAGCTTCACGGCTACGACGAGATGCGAGGAGTCGAAAGAGAAGTTGGCCACCTAGTATAGAAAACGGCAAGATGGATTTTAACTAGGAAGCTCATGAATTGATGAGTCCCCCGCCTGATAGGTCGTCTTGCTTGCTATCATGAATGGGGCTGGAAGTGAATCGTATTCTATCCAACCACAGCTTGACTCCACAAAATCCATCACTCATTGCATAACTGTGCTGCATTGTGCGCATAGTACTTAAATGATAGACATTCGTCCCACCGAGGCGTGCATGTGGTAACCAGCCAAAATGGAAATCGAATGCGGCAACAGTTCATGAGAGGATCTCAATTCATGTAATGCCGAAGCGGTGACCTAAGATGGGTTTTGGATTGTCGTTCGTCGTCGTTGGTTGGTCAATCAAGTTGCGATAAGCTTTTTTAGTATACAGTCAGAGTTCTTTGTAAGAAAATAGAAAAAATAAATCGATGCCCCCATAGTTGATGAATAAGCGCTCCCAACTCAGCCAACTTAGCCCGAAGATCCCCCGCACCGGTCGCAACCGACGCAACCCTAGTAGAGGCTTAGGTATAATACGATAATACGTAGCGTGCATATTTCTGCATATTTCTGCATATTCATATGGATCTATCAGTTTTTTAAGGATCTGCAGACGCACCTTTGTCACAAACCTTGATACAGCAACTCTACAACGTCGAATATCAAGAAACGAGGTAGAGCACTAGGCTCACTCGTCCTATTAATATGTCCGGGAACTTCTCCTTTTCCTTTTCTGGTGACGACATAGAAGACAAAGGCGAGTTAAATCCCGCGGCCCCCAACGTCAGCGCATCTGTGCAGCCGCGACCGACCGCCAGTGCGTTTCCCGTGGCGAGTAAACCTTTGCTTCCTGCAGCTTCTCATGACCTACATCACATGCTGTCTCAGCTACCGTCAAAGGTCGCTTACAGCATATTGGATATAGATCTCGATGGCAATGGGAGCATCCAATTACCCCGACGAGAGTTATGGGATGTCCGAGTCCAGCTTATGGCCGAGGATGAAGGAGGTGACACCGAGCCTGGCTTGGGCAATCATGATGTAAAAACCGGTGTATACGAAGGCGGATTTAAGTCCTGGGAGAGTAGTGTGGATCTTGTGAAGGTCCTTTCACCCTCGAAGGACTTCCTCGCTGATGAGAGTGTATTCCCGACACTTATCGAGGTATGTCTTTTCGATTGTACCGAAACTTTCGAGGACGTATAGAACACTAAATAGATGTCCGTAGCTCGGCTGTGGCACGGCCCTCCCATCGTTAGCCCTCTTTCAGTGGAGCCTCAGTCTTCAGGCACCCCAAAGGAATTCCGCTCTCTCTATAGTTTTGGCCGACTATAATCCAACGGTTCTGCAACTCGTAACACTGCCCAACTTTATCCTGTGTTGGGCTCTTCACCAACGAGGGGAGCTGCCGCTATTGGAGAATGCATTCTCTTTAGAGGGGGAACTGGACCTAACACCAGATGTCATCGGGGCCTTTGAAGAGTTCTTGTCGGCTCGAAATATCTCTATTTCTTTCTTCTCCGGCGGTTGGTCAACCGAGTTCATCAACCTTGTGAGTTCTAAGGAGACTCTCAAAACAAGAAACGATGCCAAACGACGCACTATCATTATTGGTGCAGAGACCATATATTCTCCCTTTGCGCTGAGCTCTTTCACGCAAACCGTATTCTCCTTTCTAAAACAGGAAAAAGACCAAGGAAACGCTGCAGAAGCTCTAGTCGGTGCCAAGAAGCTTTACTTCGGTGTGGGTGGCTCATTAGATGACTTCGTCGCCAAGGCCCGAGAATTAGGTGCAGATGTAGAAGAGCTTCGAGAGGAGACAGAGGGTGTTCGACGTGGCGTTGTTCGTTGTAGCCTTCCTTAAAATATCCACATATCCATAAGGTGAGATCGGAGGTCCACGTAAATCCAAGTTGTCGACATTTCTTATGACAACAAAAGACCCATAGATCATTCATTCTCTCACCCAGATTACCTTTAGCTGAAGCTCTTGAGCACATTCCACATTCCACGGCAGCTATGAATTTGCTTTACCTACTATTAATGAGTGGATGAATGATAAGGCTAGCGCTTGAAAACAATTACATAGCCATGCCACCGTAATTGATTGATTTGATGAAGTCGAAACTACGACTTCAACCTTGTGAGCGATGCTCACAAATAGAAGCATATGTAGACGTGGATATCCAGTTTTTCGATCATCGGTATCTGATCTTCTCACTCCATTCTTACGTTTCAAAGAATTTGTCCAGAGGTTGTCGTGTCAAGGTGCATCAGCCCACTTCGGTTGCCTCGGCCACCCGAGGAATTGAGTGTGTCAGTCGAAGATCAACACACCGCATGTCTAGTCGAATGGGCGTCGAGAATCTGTCGAACGACATTATTTGGCAACAACCGTAAAAGAATGAGATCTGCTGGACGAAATGAGATTCCAAGAACTTTCATTAGCCTATTCTTATAGTTACGAACTCTAAAGAAAGTTTACCGCGTACCTAGTAAGGAACGTGGCCGGCTAGACCAGCGATGATCTTCGATGGGTATAAGAGGGGAACCCCCTTGGATTGCATATCGAGATACATATCTGGGGAAGCTGCATGTGGGATTTGCCAGGGAACGCCCTTGATGGTTTAGATCATATTGCGTTCTCGACGCAGGAACCAATCACCAAAGACCGAGAACCCTGACATAGCGTGGTTTGTTAGCGAAATTGCTTCGGCCCCGCTTACCTGCTTGGAGTAGGACAAGTAAAGATCCTGCCGCGAACCGGACAAGGACTTTCCATATTCCTGCTTATTAGTGGCTGCAGGTTTTCCTTATTACTTGCATACATGTATATGTGATATGTAATAATATGAGAAGCAAACCATTTCTAGGTACCTATGTACTGTATAGGTTCTTGACTGAATTCTGAACTTATTATTATTATAATATAATTATAATTATAATATAATTATAATAGAAGACGTACTTTGTAGTATCACAAAGCTTCGGCGCGTCGTTAGCAATTACCCAAATAAAGTTGAGCTTGAACGTTATGTGCCTTATGTCCCGAAGGATTGGTAGGTTAGAGGTTGCTGGATGAAACCTCTTTTGCTTTTTCGCCATGCAAACGTGTGCGTGTGATCCAGCCTTGAAGTGCTAAGACTTCCTGAGACTTTTCAGATGTAATGCATGAAGATTGCGGTTCCGAGACATCCTAACAGAATGGCAGTGGACGTACGTCATCCTCGGAATTTTGGAATTTAAATGCGTGTATCAGCGTTTATGATTTCGAAGGATGTGGCTAATATTGGTGATTGAATTCGTCATCGTCAAGCCAAGGGATACGGCGGATAAGATGGATAGGATGGGGATAGAAGTTATTGTCATAAGGTGAAGGTACCTCACCGAAGTTTGTTCGGAATGGATGGGGTATCACCGGCGGTACGCATAGCAGGCATAGTAGGCTATCACCAACAGGCAAGCACCGTGATTGCGTACCAGGTGCGCGACTGGCTGGACCTGAGCTAGACCAAACTATGGGACCCCTGAAGATAGATGCAATGTCTCATTGGCTGAAGAAGATCTACTACATTAGGCCCTACCAAGATTAGCTAGGTCTGTATCTCTGTAAAAGGAAAGAACCACAGAGATGATGTGCTTGAATGCTGGATAACAGCATGTTTATAGGCGAATTGCCCCCAATTGCCCCAATTGCCCCCTACAAAACTCAATTAAGTGGACTGTGGGTCATATTCTAGTGGATGGTAGTAGGGCATTCTAGCTTCTTAGCTATTCCAGGCAAATCTTGTTATTTTCATTTGGTAATTTCCCGGGACGCGGCCTCTCCTGCACCTACCTGGCGACCCGAGTAGCACATGAGCCTTCACAGTCTTTTCTTTCCTTTTACATCAGCCGCTCATTTCAGCAACTTCCACTCTTTTCCCACAAAATTACGTTCGTTACCAAATCCATTTCTCGCCGCCTTTCTCCCATACACTTTTTCTAATACCAAAGCAGTCATCAATATTGGTAAGTTGACTTATACTCATTTTTCATATACGTCTACGGCGCAAGTCGACAAAGGATCAGATATTCCGCACTTCTGCCTGCTTGTCCGCGGCGTTGCGACGGTTGATGAATCCTAAAATCGACAAGCGTGAAGTCACAGCTGAGCCCGCCCGGTTTAACTTGTTATGCCTTCGCCACTCAGCACTTAATATCTTAATATTCGGAGAACGTCACTCAGCTGTCATCTGCTCTACATAGTTCTCACCGGGTGAACCCTGCTAATATCTATCTTCCTTTTCACAGCTTCTCTAATCACTCGTTCAAGACGGTTTAATACGAATCACCAACAGTCAAAATGAAGAACATTTTCGCGACTATCCTCCTCGCCGCTCTCCCGGCTTGGGCGGTCCAATTCACCAACACTAATTTTGATAGTATCACTGCCGGCAAGCCCTTCGACATCACCTGGACCGACGCTTCTGGCGCCGTTACCCTGACCTTGAAGAACGGCTCTTCTGACAACCTTCAGACTGTTGGCGAGATCACCTGTAAGTCGTGACTGAACTATATCATTTTATGGTACTCATTATTGACAACGCGCAGCCGGCCAAACTGGCGAGAGCTACACCTGGACTCCCTCCACCACCTTGGCCTCCGGCACCTACGCCTTGGAGATCAACGATGGCACCGAGGTGAACTACAGCAAGCAGTTCGAGATTACTGGTGGCACCTCTGCCAGCAGCAGCAGCAGCTCTGCTAGCAGCACCTCTTCCAAGGCCAGCTCCACCTCTTCTTCAACTGCCTCGTCTACCACTGTCTCCAGCACCACCTCAAGCAGCGCTTCTGCCACCAGCAGCTCTGCCTCTACCACCAGCGGTTCTAGCACCTCTGCTAGCACCACATCTGCTAGTTCCAGTAAGTAGATTATTACGTATTTACGTTGTTACGAAATAGGTAGCTAACATTACACAGCCTCTTCCGCGTCTCGCACTTCTGCTGCTTCCTCCACCTCTGCTTCTGCCGTGCCCAACACGAATGCTGCTCAGACGATGGCTCCGTTTGTGGCACCAATGTTGCTCGCCGTCGGTGCCGTCTTCATTTAAACATGATGCGCACCCGACTATTCTTCGACCGAAGCAGCACGATCTTTCGTCGTTAAGGGGATGGGATGGGGTTTTTCATTGTATAAAATATGCTTCTCGCACTGCTTGTACAATGTCATACTTTTGATAGTGGACGTATAATGGAAAGGAAACGCTTTGATATTGAGGAATCGTTACTGCTGGTTTAAAAGGGGGATGTTTTTCTAATCCCCCCATAGCGGTTTCAGGATCCTGCCGCCTGTTGTTGTATACGTAAAAGTCTGTCCCGCAGAGTAAAATGTATAATCTTCTCAGCGAACGGATACTGTGCTTGATATTTGTACTGTGACAGCCTTGAAGTCCGCCTGTCTTGGTGATCATGGATGCCTAGGTATGTTACGGTTCGCAGCACGGCACGGCACGGCTCGGTATGGTACGGTGGGATGGTGAGACATCGGATACGTGCAGCTTTTGGAGATTCGGCATGCACTGCCTGCATTGCCGCGTCTTGTGTCACCGTGGCTTGGTTGTAGCGGTATAACGAGTGGTTATGGATGGTGGGTGTCTCGTCTGGGTGCGCGTAGCTGTACCGGAATCGAGGATCGATCGATAGCGTTTTTTTGCTATTGGTATCTAGCAGTAGTAAGTGACTGTGTACATGAGTGGTTTGTGCTGCGCCGACGGCTCGAGGATTGTGGTGGCTGTTGAGACTCGGGACGGATACAACCGCTCTGGTCTTACGTGGATGTAAGCGCTTCTTGAAGGGAATACGGGATTGGAGGTATGTTTATGGTCCTCCATAACACGTAATTGGCTATTGTAAATACCAAGGCAGCAAGGTATGGTCCTCTAGCTAGACGGAAAGGTTCTACGCCTAGTGCGAATTACCTCGTTCTAGTCTCCCGTTACTGTTACGTGATATGTTACTCGTACATAGACAACCTGTACGTAGGGCCAAGCGAGCGTGTTATCAGAATCTAAGTTAAACAAGTCACTTCACACAGAAAGCTAATACACAGCAACATCATATCCGTCACCACACACGGCCAAGCACAAAGTCATCGCAGCATAAATCCTTGTCATATTTCCTATTCCCATTTATTCAGTCATACGGCGTAACAACAGAGTGATTGCAATAGATGGATGTATAGTGTGTCTACGGTAAGTAGTAGACCCCAAGCCGGCCCCCCTATTTGATCCGTAGACTCGGTTTACAGTCCCATCCAGTCCAATCTAGCCTCCTCCAATGAACCATGCATTTCCATTGTCCGTGGCCGTACAAGTCATTCATCGTCTTCAATGTGACAAATTTGAATAATGCTTAGACGACCATTTCCTCCCGCTTTGCCTTCAGGTTTCGCTTAGAGAATATCTTCTCCATCCCTACAACATCCACCGATCCCCTTTGCTACCCCAATACCAAGCCAAACCCTCATTCACCTAAAACTCGATATCCCCCCTGAAGACTTCCGGGTCTACACCGGGCAACACCTTCTCCGCGAGGTCGCGTCTGCCCATCTGAGTGAACACGCGGCGCAGCGTATCGTAGAGATTCGTGCTCCGGTTTTGCGTTGTCATGGCGTCAAGCTGTGCATCGCTAACGTCTCCTCCCAGTAGTTCCCGTGCCTTCTCTCTTCCCTCCTTCTCGACCGTCTTGTGCATGCCAAGAGCTGCCAGAAGGTGTCCGGCTGCTTCGGCATGACATCCCATGTTGATGCAGCTTACTCCGAGATTGTATCGCGCGCGAACGAAGTTGGGCCGTAAAGTTAACGCCTTCTCATAAGCGGCGATGGCATCCTCGCTCTTGCCGCTGTTGGCAAGCGTTGCACCTAATCGGTTCCATAGGAGGTGCACTTGGCCTTGTCGGTTCGATGCCCCCAGTTCCGTCGAAGCTAGAGCTGCCGAGAAGCAATCCACCGCCTTGTCGTACTCTTCAGCTCCGTAGAATAACACGCCCAATCCCACCTGGACGTCCGGGTCCATGTGCTCGCCGTCCGGGCTAAGCCGCGCTGCCTTGATGAAATGGTTCGTGACTCGATCGTGGAGCTGCTGGCGTTCGGTGAAGCCAAGCTCAGCCGGATTTGAGAGGTCGCCTGGTGCGATGACAGAAGGATATCTGATAGAGAGCCACCGCTCTAGCGTCCGGTAGGCAATACTGTCATAGCCTTCGTTCGTGTAAGAGACGGCTAGGGTCATCAGCGCCGGGGCATTATTCGGGTCAAGGTTTTTCGCTTGCTCGAGAGCTCGAATCGCAGCTGTTTCCTTCTCGTTCTGTGCCTGGGCCATGCCGAGTTGGACCCACGCTTCTACATGTGTGGGGTCTTTCTGGGCGGCGGCTTCAAAAGCGAGTGCGGCCAAAGAGAGGTTACCGCCTCCATCTACGATCCGCATACCCTCCTCGAATGGATTTCCTGTGTTTTTAAACAGGTTGTCTTCTTCAAAGAGATAGTTTTCTATTTCAGGATCCATCATCAACCTGCTGTTAGCGCCGGGCATACTCCAATCCCCAAAACGGTCAGACCAATCCGCAGGGTCTGCTACCTGCTCAACCCACTCTTCCTCGTCGAGCATTTCCTTTCCGGCCGCTTCCTCTGCTCTGATACCCCTCCAGATCGATTCGAAGTCTCCGAATTCGTTAGTTTCCGACTCCAGGATTTGTTCATCCAACTTATTCAATTCCGGTTCCAGTGCCGCGGCCTCGTCAACGTCCTTGGTCACATTTTCTTGCAGCTCTAACTGCTTGAACTGCTCTTCCCATTGCTGGTCATCAAGCTCCACCACCTTTTCCTTGCCCTTCCCTTTGTCTTGGCTTGTCCTCTCTTGAAATTGTTGCCGTGCGGCCATAGGATGCATCGCCATACCTCCCATACCGTAGTTCATGCTCATGCCGTTCATCATTCCCATCCCCATCATTGGATTTTGATATTGCATGGCCGAGGGCATAGGGCTTGCTCGCGACGAGTTTGCTTGACCGGTCATCCGCTGGAACTTGGCATAATCTTCGGGGCCAAACTGTGTGCCCTGGGGAACTTTAAAAGCTGACTCCATCGCTGCTTGTGGATTGTGTTGAAACTCGTTTGCCCACGACGGTGAAGTCGAGTTCGCTCGGAGGTGGACGCCATGTGCGGGGTGATCTAATCGTATCTGATTCATGCCCTCGAGAGGCATGTTCGGTAGCTGGCCATTTTGTTGTAGGAATGAATTCATCATCTGCGAGCACATGTCATCAGCTTAATAATTCATACTCGACAGTTGCTCGTCATCATACCTCATCTTGTGGTCCATGCTGGGCAGCAGTGCGAAAGCCGCCCATGCCACCCTGGGGAGTGCCATTTCTGAGGCGATCTCTTTGTAAAGTATTATCATCCTGGGTATGCTTCGTGAACTGGCTGAGTGGGTTGCCCGCAGTCGAGCACTCAGGCCCGCCAAGGAAAGACATAGTTAGAGGATTGAATATGATATGCGAAAGTTCGTAGGTATATTTATGAATACAACTATAGACACAGCTTCAGTGCAAGGTCTAGTTGTCGTCGAAGATAATAGTAGACACTCGGAATAGTTTACGTTCAAATATTTAAATCAGGCCGTTATCGGGCGGCGGTGGTAGGTTTTATTGGAACTCTAGCTCGCTGTGTACGAAGCAAAGACGCTGTGGGTTGTGGATGAAGAATGTAAGACGTGTGAAGTGTTAGAAGCGTCGGAAGCTTTAGAAAGCTCAGGAAATAAAAATGATTCACGTAAGAGATAAGTCAGTGGTGGATTAGGTTTGGCGTTATTCTTTATTACAAAGCCGTTTTCTGATGTGAGGGAGGTCACTGCCCAAAGTTGCCGAGGAACCCCACGGGCAGGAAAGTCCGGTGATAATTTCCACCAAGTAACCAAGTACCTAGCCAAGTGCATTCAGTTGCCGCCGAGGTCAATGGGTCCAAAGTTTGCCCCCTCTCCCCCGCCAAAACTTCGTGGTTACCTACCATTTGACATCCTAGCTTAGAAAAATAGTGGTCGGTGCGCTAAAACACGCCACATCCAATCCATTTACACGAATATCTTAGGTACATGGACCCTGAGCCCTAACATTAAAAAAGATCCATTGATGCTCATGCCGTCTAATATCGAGCAAGTATGACTGACATGATAGGTACCTACCTATCTTACATGTAAGTATAAAGGGAACTCTATCTACCACATGTAGGTATATAGGTAGAAGTACTTTACGATTACGAGGTAGATCGTCAAAACTACAAACATCATAATTCATGCCATTTGAAGAAGGGAGATTTTGTACATTTAATTTCATCGATACCATGCCACCATGCCACTCATTTTGTGTCAACCGCCGAGCCTTATTGCGTAGAAACGGCCGTTCTACAGATAGAATGTGTTGTTGTTACATACAGTGGCCTAGTCCTCTATCTCTTTTGAATGGACTTCCGCCAAGGACCTCATAGATATCATGCCTCTTCATCCTTCCATCATGATGTCTTCTCGGTCACGTCGCAAACCTCATCATCCCACCGATATCGTTTCGTGAGTAATGAGTAATGAGAACACAACTCCAGGCTCGCCGCGAGAAATGTCAGAACTGGCACTCCTTAAATCTTGGGTTTCCTGTTCTGGGCGAAGTCGACGCGGAGGGTGCGGTCTCCCACGGTAATATTGCGCAGCTTCTCGTGTGCCTTCATGGCGCTCTCGACGTCCGCGAAGTCAGCGTGGGCGAAGCCGCGAGGCCAGCCCGTGTTGCGGTCTACGGCCACGCGCACGTCCGTCACATTGTCCAATTCCCGGAAGATTTTGTTCAGATCAGCATCAGACGTCTCATACGGGATGTTGCCGATATACAATGAGTCAGTCGGTTCCAGCGGGTTCGCGTTGCGATTTCCTGTCGAGGATCCTTCTGACTTTCTGTAGTTCACATAGATGCGACGGCCGTGCCAGAACGAGTTGTTGGCTTCCTCAACGGCGCGATCGGCGGCTTCCTGGTCCTGGAACGTGACGAAGGCAAACCTGCAAATTTGTGAGCAATTTCAAACGTATACGAAAATTTCAATTACAATAGGGGAAATGAAGCTATACAACCCCAACATAAAATCGAAGTGGGTTAATGCGCTCACGTACCCTCTGCTTAAGCCTCGACCATCTCGCGCAATCTTGAGATTGGTGATCTCTCCATACTTGCTGAATGCTTCTTGAACATGTATGTCGGTAGCATCGAACGTCATGTTGCTAACGAAGACAGTGGTACCCGGGACAACCTCAGCTGAGGATGCGGGGGTAGCGGGAGTTTCAGTGACCTCTCCATCAGCTTCTTCACCCTCCCCAGAGTTCTCATTTTGAGCAACCCGCGACGTCTGTGAGAAGAAACGGGCGAGAGGCAGCATCATGGCAGGCCGTGCGTTGGCTTTGCTCACTTGCATGGCGAAAGATGCAATCTGCTGTCTAGGAACAGCGACAATGGCGGAAGAGCGTGCTGCCCGCACAGCTGCGCGACGAATGGACTGCCTGTTAAAAAAAAATCAAAATATTAGCATATTTCGATAATCTGACCGAGGAGTGTAAATTCATACATTTTGATCGGATACTTCTCGTAGGAATGTCGATAGACTTCGTCAATCAATTGAATTTTGTATTCGTGAGTAGTAAGATCAAACCGTCGGTCGTAAATTGACTGAAAAGGTTTGAAATTCTAACAGAAAAAAATTTCGATTTTTATCAATGGAAGGATAAGAAAAAGGATAAGAAACCACCAAACCTCCCGCACATCCACCCGCTAATACAAAATTGGCGAATTAAGTGGGCCGTACCTAGCCTAGCATTTTAGTTTTTGCCCACGCGATAAAATCCGCTTATCCTCTCCATCTTATCGGGTGTGAACCGATGCACACCTCTATCAACCCTGAAAATACCTACTATGTACATATAAAATGTCTTCAGGGTCACGGACTAGAAAAACGGACTAGACGTAGGAAGAATTATAGACACGAGTCATGACTTCCGACTCTTAATAATATTGACTCGCTAACATTTATACTGCCGGCGGCTAGTTAATCTGCTATACACACGCAAGTCGTCAACTTCCTCTTGATAATTCGTACCGAATCAATACAATTCCTATACTCTATATCACATAACTTGACTGTCCGAGACATGGTCTATCCGATCCACGTAGCTTCGGCAGGTGACCGAGTTTCGGTAGCGCATTATCCCAATTCCCACCACTCCCAAGCCTTTTTTTCCTTCTCGATATCCCTCTCCTTGCCCATCCCAATATGTCCCCATTGGTAGTAATGCTCGTAATCCTCAAACAGTCCAATAACCGTAACACAAATGTGGCCGAATTGTTAAAAAAACGGCGGGTATATGTATATATACACTTGCAACAAACCTAACGACGCTGGGATAGGAATGAAGACGAAAACGACCGTGATGCGTCAAAGCTAGCCCTCAGACAAGAGACCGCTGAACGTTACCATGGCGCATCCGGCTAGTCGCCCGTTCCCCCATATTAGAAATTGCGCAGCTCTCTCTCTCTCCCTCTCCCTTCGGATATGATAAGCGACGAGTATCTCCTAAGGGATCGCAATTTGCAGATCGAGATGATTAGATATGTATTGCATCAATCGAATTCTTCGCAATCACTGGCAGACCAGAAGAGATCCAAGAATCTTCCGCCTCGCAAATTCACCAACGCCAAAGTAGCAAAACACTAGACTGTAACCTTAACCCGACACAATATCCTCTGTTCCAAGTCCGAGTGCGCCTATAAAGTTCCGAGGTGCTCGTCGACAGCCATAAAGAATTCAGCCGGACGGCAACCGTAATCTTGCACGGGGTATCGATAAAATGCGCAGGAAGTTTCTAGTTTTTTTATGGCTGCCGCCTCCCAAATATGACACGTTTACAACAAAAGAAATTACGAATGATCGTAGGTGCGTTTATTTTAGAAGCGGTCTGGTCGATAACCATTGGGTCTTTGACCTTCGTACTGAACACCCGTCATGGATTCGGGCGCGTTTAAGGCACGTAGAGGTGGTAGCTCCGGTCGCGTGGCTCTCCCATATGGATCCTGAGTATAGTGTTCCGTAGGCGGTTGAGATGGTATGGGCGCATTCGGTGCGCCCTGTCCAGGTGGAAGCGGCACGTTCCCACGAAGCTGCGCATTTTCCATGCGCAACCTGTCCAATTCACGACGTAACATATCCGACTCTTGAACAGCAGTTTGGTAGTGTCCCGATAGAGACTTTATAGTGTCCGTCTGCTTCTGGTGTTCGGCGATAGCTACAGAAGTCAGTATGTATTAAAAGAGCCAGGTTTTCGAAACAGCATACCTTTCGTTAGTATCTCCCATTTAGAAGCCTTGGATCCTCGCTCTTGTGGCATGAGCTCGCGAAGTTGTTCGAATAATTCTTTCATCTCTGTCCTCCTCTTCCGTTCAGCAAGCTTATGACTTTTACGCAGCTCCGGCGTCCGGCTATACGGTTGATTACCGCTATGCGGACTAGATTCCTCACTATGAAGATCAGAGAGCTGTTTATGTTGAAGCGTATGGTGGTGAATCGTTTGCTGGAAGTCCGGGCCAAGGCCATCATCGAGTCGCCGTTGTCCAGGGGGTAACCGAGATTCAGTCGTGAACTGGCTGCTTGCAATCGATTCCGCAATGCTACTCCTCCTCGAATCGTAAAATGTACCAATCGAGGATGGTAGACGCTGAATTTCCTCCTCGGGGAAGGCCCAGGCTTGACCCTTGGTTGGTTCGGCGGCTCGAGCGATGGTACTTGTAGCGGGGCCCGTGATAGCAGGCGCCGTTCGAGCCGCTTTAGGGTGTTGGCCATCAGGCGTACGCTCGATATTCGGTTGGTATCCATTAGATATCCTGTGTACAGATAAATGTTCTATGCCCGGACGAGGGTTTCTTTGTTGTGCTAAGGCCCCGTGAATCGATGTTGTCGATTGATTCTGGCTCGCGTAAGGGGAACCGCCTAACCGTAAATCGCCAAAGCCCTGGTTAATTCTACTATCCACGCTTTCCCGTCGCGAATCCGGTCCGATGCTTGCTGCACTTAATGATGTGGTACCCTGTATAGAATCAAACGATTGGGGTCTTTCAAAACGTCCGCTACCCGGTGTCGTCGGTGATACCATCGCCGCCACACTCATATTGCTCGCGGGAGATACTAGGGGCTGAGGAACCAGAGTTGTTGTTGTAGGAGAAGGGGTCTTGTCTTGCGCAGAGTGATACACATTGAGACCCATGCCTGACGCGGCGGACGTGTCTATATGGCTATAGTTAGCAAACCAGTTTCTCGATTCTCAGCTTAAGTGACGTGGTAAGCGAGCTACATACGCTTGCTGGACGCATCTGTACTCGAGTAATACGCCGAGTCCCGATTTTCCTCGGGGGCGTTTAGGACTGTGGCCAGGCCGGCTGGGAGTTTCTGCGACGCAGGCCGAGATTGTTCGGCCGCCATTTTAATAGATTGGAACAGCGATCTTTATAGGAGGCAAGGAGGCAATGAAAGATAGAGAGCTATTGATGTAGTGTAATAGAAGATAGAATTCGAAGGGGCGTCGAGTTAAGATATGGTCATCGAAGTCAACAAAGGTTATAATCGCGTAAGACAGCTTCGTGGTATGATAGTAGCCGCCCTCGAGAGGGTCAAAGGACGATAGAAAAACTTAGAACGCGGTGTTCAAAGGTGATTTACATTGGCGAACGGGGTTAGAATAGCATTGACACTAAATAACGTCCAATTATAATCAGGCGCGCAACTGGATCGTCAAAGTCCCAAAGTTTCAAAGTTTGTGTGGGGGAAAAGAAGGAGGAGAAGAAAACGATCTCTCAAGACTAGAGCTAGTAGTAGTAGTAGTAGTAGAGTAGTAGTAGAGAAGTAGTGTAGTAGTATAGAAGTAGTAGTTTAGTAGTTGTATAGTAGTACGATAGTGGTAGTGGTGGTAGTGGTAGTGGGAGTAGTAATGTTGTATAAAGTAGCTGGAGGACAAGCCGATGGGTAAAATCTAGAACTGAAAGGAAGATAGCTGCAGGATACAAAGCGTTAGGAACGTATTTTGGTACCAGCACCCGAACGCAACATACGACATAACGACGATGCGCTGCGCTCTTGAAAATGATGGTTATGGTCTTAATTGCTCGGGCGCGGGAAACAAAAGTTAAAAAGAGCAAAATAAAAATAAAAATAAAAAGGAAATTGTAATAATAATTGTATGTCAAAGGAAAGATCTTAGCCCCCCAGCTCAAAAGTTCCAAGTCAGCACACTACAGCACAGGCTCGATGGACAAGGGACCCGTAGGTACTAGGTAACTCCAGGTTTGTACGTTGTATCCAGCTATGTATGTAGGTACCTAGGGTGGTAGGGTCGCAAGGGGGTTTATGATGGACGATGTTCTCTAAAAAAGAAGAGAAATGGCCTAAAGAGAGAAGAATTGGCTGGGTTGACTAGGTTGACTAGGGGGGGGAAGCCTCTTAGAATTGTAAAAAGCAGATGTAGAATTGGAAAAGAGAAATGTCAACCACCCCCCCCCCCCCCCTTGTTGGATCGAAGGAGGCAGCCATGGAGCCCTGCGCGCGTGGAGGAACTGCAAGAGAGAAATGGCAGGTGAAAAAAAGAGCCGAGAGGACGGCCATTCCTTCTGTCTCCATGTCTCCATACACAGAGTAGGTACATAAGTACTTACATATAATATGGATATACTATAGTGCAGAATGTACAGAATGTACTACGGTATACTATCAGACTATGTAGTATACTACGTAGAATGTATTTAGTTAGATGAAGTATAAAGTACCTGGCTATATACATGTACATAATAAAGACATTGGCGATGCTGCAATTGCTGTATACACGCGGATGGTCATGGCTATTACACACTCCGACTACTCTGACTAAGGATTTGTCGCATGGCTTTTTCCAGGAAGACTGTTGGCGACTATACTTGAGGAATGTGTATTCTGTACTTTTGATATCCTCGCTTTTAGACTAGCGTGTAACTAATGCGCCGCTTGTTATTGCTTGCTGTTTCTTTTTCCTCGTGGCGCGCGATGTACTGGTCACACGTGAGGAAGGTTGAGCAGGGATGTTCTCGGTCCATGTGCATGTAAAGTGGAGCAGGTCCATGAGCGGCACCGTGGCCGAGTCAAGGTAGCAGGGTAGTAATAAGGTACATCATCTCATGTCGTTCCTTTCATCAGAAAAGAAGTACCTGAGTACATGTATGTCTGAGGCTTGGCTTCAATAGATGGCCCCAACTAAAATCCGTCGAGGTTTTACATAGCACTATGCTACATACACATACACATACACATACAATACCTACCTAACTACTATGGTAATAGTACTAAAAGAAGTATGTAGGATGTCTACGAAAGATGTACCCGATTAGGTATTGGTTAAGAGGTTAGGATGGCATCGGAGCAGCATTAAAACAAACTCTGGATAGGATCGAGCGTCAGCAAAAGACCAAGTGCTGTACTTTCGCTTTCCTACGGCCAAAAGTATTTTACTCCACGGCGTCTCCTTCTACTCTCCGTTTGAATCGGAAGTCCCGAATTCTAAGAGAGGACAGAAATCGGCATTTTTATGGATAGGGAATGCGAGGTCTTTCGAAGGAAGAAGACGAAGAAGAAATAGAAGAATAAGAAGTAGAAGTATTCTCATCCTTCTATTTCTGTAGGTATTCTACTACGAAGTAACGACGGAAGTGTCAATGGTCAACGGACCAGGCCAGGATAGGATCGAGGCGAGTTAAGTTTGCCGCCCGCCCGGGTCCAGGGAAATAGTGGTCTGTTTGAGCCTGGAAGTTCAAGGAGTCAAGGACACTGACAGGACGGACTGGGCTAGACAACCTTGGAAGCTCAAGCAATTCAAGCGACCTTAAAAAGGTACCTACATCCATCCATACAGGCAGACAGGCTACGGAAGAAAGAGACCCAAAAAGCCAAACTCGTCCCAATGTCCCTGCCCTGTAAAAGCACGAGTTGTCTGCTGGCTCGTGCTGGAACCCAATACCGGATACCAGCGCGGTTGGTACCAGCATGGGTCGTGCTACCTAGGCTACCCAGTACGTTGTACGGGGAACGAGGGGGGGAACCCTTTGTAGGGTTTTACAAATAGATGACATACCGTCGAGGCATGGATATCGCTTTAAATCCTAAAGCATCAAGTGATTGGAATACGTATGAGAACTTCCGTCTCCGCCAACACGAAATGGTCATATATTTACTACTACCTAAATATGTGAAATGACTGACCAACAGTTACAAAATACCCGTACGCATGATACAATCTATGTACCTAGGTAAGTACCTCTCATTATAGCGTATTAACGTGTTTCCCGGCAGTTCATACCTCCCTACCTAGGTACCCTAGTCAGCGTACCCAGATATAATAGCTATTATTATGTTTGTTCTGTATTAAAGCTGGTTGAAATCGCACCACAAATCAAGCATATCGACTTGGGACCTAGGTATGTAAGACACAAATATCGAAAATACTATGCGTGTCCATATCTTCACCATTACTACGCATAGGCTTAAAGTACATGACTAGTCCTCTATAATCTCAAGCGCCGCTCGGATTGAGCTCGTGAATTAGCCTAGGATGATGTGAAGCATCCTGTATGGGTACGTTACCGTCGGTGTCCCTGAAAAGAAGTAATGCCCGAAAGGATAGAAGTAGTGATGTACCTACCTACCTACTATAGTACCTACACCTACCTACACAGGCTACACTGGCAGACTATTACATACCTAGAAGTCAATAAGCTCGCTTGGATCCGCTGCAGCGGAAGTCTACCTAATTACATACTACCTACAGACCTATTACTAGAGCCATCTTACGATACCTTGGCTTCTTACGATCCTCCCGCCGCCACGTGAGGTGGTACCTACTAACCATACAAACCCTTTTAGTAACTTGGCTAAGCTCCAGACTAAGCCTAATACTACCCCTACTACCCCTACTACCTTGTGTTGGTTGACGAGATGTTCGGCACAGTGTTATGCACCATATCCCATCAACTATGCGGGGTGCGTATCCAACGGGTAGCTTTCCGACAAACCTGTCAAAGGATGATCTTGTAACTCGCAGGGCTATTATACATACATGCCTCACACATACATACATATACGACAGGATCTCTAATGCCGCCGTCCTCACGGCACACCATCTCTCAGATCTACGGCAAGAGACAACCTTGGAAGCCTTTCTCCACCGGATTAGGTATGGGTCCATCCCCTACATACGTCGTGAGCGGTGGGGATGCCGGTACAAAAAAAAAACAGGATGGGAACCACCAGTCTGCCAGTATACCACGATCCAACAGCAAGCGACGGCATCTTACATAGCCCTGGCGAGGTGTAACTAGTTTGCCGACGTTGCTCTGCTCTTCTCTTCTCCGTGGAATCACGGAAGCGCGAAAGCGTCGACCAAAAAGATGTGGTCCCGGATCTGCTGTCTCGGGTTTGTTAACTCCCTCATGCGACCTAAAGCACCGGACCGGTTTGTTCTACTAATGTGCTCGGTTATGGAGTCGTCTCAATCATGAGGCCAACCCCATCTTACTGTGCGACTTAATGACCTCAGAAACGAGACTTTTCAAGACTCAAGTTTCTATCCATCTACTACACCCCATCATCGTCGATTCCCTGCAGAGACAACGAAAGAGAAAAAGGAGACTTATCGGTCTTAGTCAGATATGATATGCGCTGTAATGGTTTTCGTCAACGGCGGTAGTTGTTTGACAAATCATTCGGTGCCATATACATATGCGTTACATCCCCATCTTCGACAACTCCCTTTGAAGTAGGTAGGTAGATAGTAGAGTCTGATGTGTGCAAGTAAGTAAGAACCTTCTATCTCTTCCCGCCGCCACTTAACACGAGCGTCTTGCATTTTTGGGACGAAGAGACCTATCACTGAGTCTCGCCAAGGACTCGTACACGCGTCGCACGCAAACACATAGACGGGACGCCCACACGCACTTTTCGGGTTGTCGCTTGCCATCGGTCGGTGTGATATCTGTCATATTTCACTTTCGGTGTGCCGCCCGGGTTTTACATATTACCTACTAGTTTCTTCTCCTCGGAGTAAAGAGATATGGGGATAGGACGGGGAGGCAAGAGGGACGGCATCAAGTGAGGGCACAGTGTCCGGATCTATATCGTTTTATCATCATACATAGTATCTCTATTAGAGGGTGGGAACATCTCTGTTTGTCTTGCAGAATTGCCGCGGTTTTCATGCAAGTCTTGGGTGAGACCTTACCCAGGGCTTTCTCTATCGACGAATTGGAAGTTTAGAAGCTTGTACGACTTGAGGCACATCGTAGGTAAAATGTTGCATGCGCAGGAAAAAGGGGGTGTGGATGTCTTCACCAAGCCACTTTTCTCCGCTTTATACAGTATTAATGCTTGCTTAATGCATTGTATAAAGTGAGTACACGCTGATTCAAAATATGTAGGTCAAGAAATTCCACGTGGTTGACGGCGTTTCCACATTACTCGAGTCACATACATACATGTTATTTAATGTGTCTTCATAACCCCTTTTAGGCTCAAGTTAAGACAAGACATCTTACGAAGGCTTTATAAGCTGCCTAGAATTATACATACCGATAATAGTACCACAACTTGAAGCTTCCGAGTCCCAGTATATATATACATATATGTATAATAGGTACCTACGTATCAAGATTTATTAGATCAGATAACATCATCGTCGAAACATCACATAGGGTTTTGGGGGCTGCCGGTACTGCAAAGGTAAGGTAAATTGGCCTATGTGATAGCCTACAGGAAAGACAGAAATCGGTACCAATCATCACCTGGTCAGGGTTCCATGTCTGCAAGGCGGATAACGGTGATCGTTCCCACCCCCCTCCCCCTCCCTCCTCCTACATAAATTTTTTCATCGTGACCCCGTTTAGGCTCACAGACCTACAGGCTCACAAGTTTCCCCATCCCTTTATCCCCCCCAAACCTGGTGTGAGTGTGGGCGCGGCATGCGGCATGCCACGTTCCTCATACACTTAAAAGGAATTTTCCCTTCGCTAGCGCGTCCGCCATATCCCTGATTCCCTGTGCTGTGCCAAGCTCACCAGGTATCGTCCCTACGTAGTAGTAAGGCTAGCAACGAAGCAGGGTTAATCGGTGATTCTCGTCATTTCGGGAGTGAGATCCTCGTCCTGGTTCGGCCGTTCCCTATCTTTTTTTGGCCGAGCTATTATTCGATAGCACTCAGATCTGATATTAAAAAGTCAAGCCTCATGCTGGCCCGTGGTTAGCATCCTTGCCGCGTCCCCGGGCTTTTGAGAAGCAGGGCTAGCTCACTTCATCCTTTTTCGTTTGAAGATATTTGTACCGCGCCCACCTCTTTACTTAGAAAAGGTACGCGATGGGATGCTTCTCGGTCTAATATCAAAAGAGTCTAGGAAGCCCACCACTTCTGTTCCTTACAGAACAGAATGCTAAACCGGTCTCCCGTACAATGCCTCATGCACTCCATCGCGCTACACCGATATAGGTAGCTTATTAACTCTTTTGTGCTTACTGTATCTTGTATCTGCGATATAAGTGTGCCAAGCTTATTTTAGAGGATACGATCAGCTCCCCAAGGATCGGCCACCTTTACGAATGTGTGATACCATGCAACATCTACCGAGAGATGGCAACTTTCAACTTCGGACTAGCCAATATGTATTAGTAGCGCGCGTATTCCTAAGTGCGTAGTGTTCGTAAAACGATATAGGACACATTAGTATAGCGACTGTGCAACACCAGGTATGTAGGTGTAGCTGATGTAAGAATGCAAGTGAAGCTATTTGGCAGCTTTACAATCTATTCGGGCTAGGACCTATACTATACCTCACCAGCACATTAATCGATGTAAAAGCTACCTACTCTGATTCGATTATCCTCGGCGATATTCTCACGGTTGCCTTCGAACCGGTATCCGCGTATGCACGTCGTACCGGCGGTTCGCGCAAGGTTGGGGTCTGTTCAATGAACCGTTGAACTATTGGATGCGAGAAAAGAAAAGACGGCGTCCGCTCTCCGCCTAAAGAGATCTCTACTAGGTCTACCAGGTATTATGGGTACTTCCGAGTGCGGCCATTGCTTTTGATATCCGCACTTGATTCAATGCACGGGGCAGAGATCTACCATATGTATATCTGTATGATAGATGATGAATACGATCGATGCACGCTGCACACGTCTCCCTCGCGTTGCTGCTGCGTAGTGCGTAGTTTACTATTCCCACGAGAACTAGAACTAGTACCTACATGGTACTGTACTGAAACTATTCGTCTTACACGTGCTGAGTTGTGGGGGGTTTAAGAGATCTAGCCTTACCGAGGGAGATACACAGCGCTTGCAGACCCCCTGCGGAATTAAACCGTGTCCGACGGATGAAAGTGATCAGGTATTAGGGAGGTAAGTGATAGAATCAAGCCACATCTTCGATCATTACACAGTATTGTAATATGAACAAATTTAGACCTCGGCCTTTCAACAGCCCTGAAGCGTCTCTAATTCATGGAGTTTACCACGGACACCCTACCGACTTAGGCATACATGCAGTATTACATACAGGTAACAGGTTATGAGCAAACGCCTTAACTCGATTCGTCCTCCACCCGAATGGTATTCAAAAATAAGCACGCATATATACCATGTCCTCATTAGTCGATAGTTAGTTTGATGCTGCGTGGAAGATCCTTATGGAGGAACTTCCGCTTTCGCCTAATCCGAGCCGATTCCTCTCGGGATCACCACTGGTCCACTGCATCACAGCTGATTGTTACTAAGAGCTAATAACCCTTACTTGACTTGATTATATTATTTTCCACGCCTTTTTATATGTACGTTTTATAGCCCGTGCTCTCTAAGACCTACATACCGAGCACAGATCAAGGCATTGCGGAACCCGAATCATCAATTGCTTTCTCCTCTACCAGTTTCCTTTTGATACACCTCGGTCTGGTAAGGTATCGCCGAAGGAATAGGATCCGCGCGCCACTCCCGCCGGGGGGGCCATCCCGTCTGTGATGCCAACGTGGGAGGCTCTACGTGCGTAAAGGGCCAAGCTTTAAAGGCTAACTATCAGACAGTTTATCCATGTCCTGCGCTTAGATCTATGCTTATTTACGATGCTAAATCTACAAGCGAATTATTTGATCCTCCGGGCAAGCCTTGACCGACGACTGTGATGTAATATCGTGCAGATGCATGCTGACGAGCATACCACGAGCTGAATGATTCGAATCCCGGCTTGAATTACCCCTGGTTTTTATGTAGGTATTGTACAATCCGCCGCTTAGTTCCTGGCGTCAGCCATGTCGCTATTCAACTATTCAACATCCCACTAGACGGGACCGCCGTGGGGATAAATAGGCTCGGAGACAGCCGCGGTACCTTGAATCCTTTTTTCGCATTTGTGAATAAGGTGGAGTGATGAGAGTGGTGAGAGTGATATTGTGTTGGGGGTTTGAACAACTTCGGCGCTTAGTCTTATGTTCTAACTCGAGGTCTAAATCGCCAAACAAACAAACATATACCCTCAAATCCAACCATGCTACCTTTCGTACGTTTAGAAGAAACAGGACTTGCTCGGATATACGGCATATATGATCAGATACAGCTTCTCACAGAGAGATGACGTTCGTCAATAGTTAACGCCAGGGGCAATTGATTAGTATGAAGCGCAACCATTCTATCACATAGCTGGCCAATAGTTTCGGTGCCAGAATACACAGTAGCACCGTCAAGTCTCGCTAAATTCTTAACTTAGGGGATAACTAAAGCTTCATGGTCATATATCAGAATATTTAGATAGGTACCTATCTACCTAGACTACATACATACCTACTTACCTCCCTATGAAGACAATGTTCAGCTTGTTAAACAGCCTTCACCGTCATTGATTCATCCCAGCTATCTCGCGAAAATTCATCTCGTGTGACTCAAAAAGCCCTACGTGGCACGATGGCTTCACCTATTTTCCTTAAGGGGAAGAAGCTGGCGAGACCGACCACTAAACCCTTCCCTTCACCTCGCACGAATCTTTGTCCTCACGTTTTTGCCCCAGGAAATCGGGATCCCATGGGAATTCCCCCTTTTTTCCAAAATTTCGGGGTAGCAGGTAAGACATGGGACTTAGGAGGCACAGACAGAGGATTCTGTGCCTTCTCTACCACGTTTCTAGACCCCGACGTAGCGCGATCTGGATGCGATGGTCCGACCTGCCTGCTGCTGCAGCGTGGGACCCGTATGTCTCGGACGCGGATGTATCGCGTCCTGTAAGGAGCTGGCGGGTTTGCCTTGAGTGCTGCCGGGTCCCGTCTGCAAGGCCTTTCCCGCCATGCCGCTTGACGGCCGAATCTAGATCTTGAATAGGCAGGAATTCGCGATCCAGCGGCCTCCTAAATTTCTCTTGTCCTTTTGCGTCCCGACTAGCTGGGTCATTTCTGAGACGGCCTCCGAGTAAAATCTCTGTCTTTCTTTTTTTTTCTTAGCACACATGCCAGTGAACTTGTGGAGTATCGCATTCTTCCAATCAGTCATCCCTCGCGTAGCATGGCTAATGTCTCATACCAGCGTGCTTCTCCTCGCGAACCAATATACAAGCTGAACTTCTTCATCTGCTGAAACAACGGTTGCCATGCTATAATCACGACGATGTCAAGCCATTGGGAACACCAGCACCGTGGCTTTCGGGATCTGGTGTAACAGTTTCAGAGCATGATGAAGTGACTTGAAGTACATTCAAGCTACCTAGGTAATCAGCTACCGCTCGCTGTGGAATCGTATACATGTGCGCAACTGCAGCGAGCCTGGTGCCCGTCATTGTGGTTAATTGTTATTCTGACCGCATAATGAAGTCGTACGTAACGAACTTAAGTACACAGAACATACCTGGGTGTGTAGTATAGTGTATGGGAACACGGAAGAATCTTATCGGCGATTGCTACGATTCACCATTCTCAATCGTGCTTAATAGCACCACATGTATCTTGTGTAAGGAAGAATAGGGGTTTCTGATCAGCAGTCCCTAGTAAACCCTTCCAAAATATGAGAATATTATAATTTGTAGTAAATATGGGTAGGTACTCACTATATATACCATATTGCGAATGTTTTATGGGTAGTATACCCCGAGCGATACCGTATTTTCAGCTCTAACTAGCAAAACTCGTCGCAAGATATACCGAAGTCGTCGTTGTATTGGAACTAAATAGAAGCGCAGGCTTTCTTCATAGACCCCTTGAATATTTCCCGGAGCATTCACTCAATCCTACTATGATATTGCAAAGAAAAAAAGTAATTAAGAGTACTATGTCAACAAAAAAACTAGCTTAGAGAGTAAATATAGGTTTTCAACTAAAATAAGGTCGTCGTTTAACCCCATGATTTTGACGTGTAGAGGATTGCGGACTTTGAGTGGATCTTGCGGAGTTGGCCTGACTCGGCAGCGGAGTTGCGGACATCCAACGTCAGCCTCTAGATGCCTTCTTTTATCCTGTTCATTAAAACACATTCTCATTTCATTAGCATAGAAATAAATTCGATTTCTTCTATACGCAGATTATCTAGCGCTACCTATTGTCATTATTTATACCGTATATCGTCTCGTTTTTTTAACCATTACTCCGCAACAGAAACCATGGCTCCTGGCGGAATTTCGACGAGGCAGAAGAGCTGCAATGCCTGCGTAAAAAGCAAGCGACGTTGCGATAAACAGATACCTTCTTGCGGAAACTGTCTCAAGCGGAGATTCCCTTGCTCATACGGAGGCAAATCGGCTATGCAATCCCACTCAAACTCCGCAAGTGGTTCTAGTTCAGGCTCTGTTGCTAGTCCTCCAGCGGTCTATGAAAGTAGTTCTGCATTGCATAACGGGTTCTCTGCCATATTCGACATGGACTTGGATTTTCCTGATGCGACACTACATTTTGATGGGGCTTTAGAATCTTTACTGAATTCAATGGCGGATAATCAATTCAATGATACAGACAAGTTGTCCGGCCTCCTAGGACGAGATGCGCAAACAGGTCCTTCATCGACAAGTAAATCCCTATCACGGATAGATTATTCCAAGATAGCACCTGTGTGCGTAAGTATATACCCCTGTGTAGAGACCTTTCCCTACGTTGATGCTTATACCTAATCGTAGGACGACTTCGAACCGTGGCAACTCACGGACCCTTCGACTAGGATTTGCTATATAGTAAATGTCCTCAAAAATTTTCATACTACCTTCGCTCAGTATAAGTCAACTATATACATGCATGGTCAGTTGTATGCATCAAACCCACCGCGATGGATCTTACAGGCCTTTGCTACGTGCGTTCTGTACACGAGCCAGACGGCTGCAACTCGTGGCTTTGTCCTGAAGATTCTCCAGGAGAACGTCAACAACCTCATCCACACAGCTAGTGGTACATCATTTACACCACGAGAAAAACTTGCAAGGGTTCACGCTCTTATGGCCTACCAGACTATTCGTATGTTTGATGGAGACATCGCACTTAACCAGCAAGCCCAGAATGATATGCCCATCATGGAAGCCTGGAATGAAGAACTAAGAAAAATAAGGGATAACCTTAATGATGTATTTGAATTAGATATGATTGAACTCCGCAAAAAGCAGCCTGAGTCGTGGGAGGTACGTATGAAGAAACTTCTACACCAAAGAATACGTTATTCTAATCATTATTAGCGCTGGTTGTTTGCAGAAAGTGTTAGGAGGACATATATCATTGGCCTAGCTCTCAGGACATTCTGGGATCTATTAAGGGACCAAGGCGATGAGTGTAATTATATTAATCTGTGTATTTCCATACCGAAGCTGACATATGAGCGTAGCTGACTTTGGTAATTGGGAATACATCCACCGATGGACTCTATCCAGGCACCTATGGGCTGCTCAGAACTCATTTGATTTCTGGAGAGCATGGAATGAAAAGCCTATGTGGGTTATAAACGCCTTTTGCTTTGACGAGTTTCTGCGAACTGGAAAAGGAGATGACATAGACGATCTTGCCTTGGTCTTTTTGGTATTGTGAGTATTTGCGTATTATCATCACAGTTTTCGCGATTAACTTTTGTCTTTTAGGTCTTTTGGTTTGGACGAAGTGAAGACGTTTTGCTATGAGACTAGCAGAAGACTTCTAGAATAGAAGTATTCCTTCCGTACGGGAAGCCTACCGCAACTCCGCAACTAGGATGATCCACTCCTAGTCCGCAGTCGCGGAGCGGACTACATATGACAGACACGGATAATATAGAACGAACTCCTTACGATGGAATTGGCATTGCCACTTTATGATCGTGATATAAATACCTCTGGCCCAGTTCAGATCGAAAATAGTGAATACCTACCGCCTCTCAAGTCATCGATCCCCCTTATCTCAACTCTCATACCATCGACACTACCCATACACCTAAATCCCAAGTCAAAATCATTAACCATGTCATCAGTCCCAACTCGTCAACTAGGCAAGAATGGCCCTCTAGTCCCTCGAATCGGCTTCGGTACCATGGGTCTCTCAATGAGCTATGGAAAGCCCTTGCCCGACGAGCAGCGCCTCGAACTCCTCGACCACGCCCATAAAATCGGCGCGACCTTCTGGGACACCAGCGACTTCTACGTGAGCCCTCTTCCCCATACTAACGACTACAACCCTCCATTTCCAAACTAACACATACTCGAATCCCCATACTAGGGCGACTCCGAAGACATAATAGCAAAATGGTTCGCCAAGACCAACAAGCGCTCCGACATCTTTCTCGCAACCAAATTCGGCGCCGTCGTCCTAGACGGCGGCCGATTCAGTTTCCGGGGCGACGCCGCCTACGTCAGCGAGGCCTGCGAGAAGAGCCTAAAGCGTCTCGGCGTCGACTACATCGACCTATACTACCCGCACCGACTAGACGGCAGCACGCCCGTCGAGCTAATCGTCGCCGAGATGGTCAAGTTGAAAGAGTGCGTCTCAACCCCCCTACACCACCACACAGAACGTAAAACTAACACCCAGTCTTAAAGCCAAGGCAAAATCCACCACCTCGGCCTGTGCGAAGTCTCCGCCAGCACCCTGCGGCGCGCACACGCAATCCACCCCATCGCCGCCGTGCAAATCGAATACAGCCCATTCACAACGGAAATCGAGTCGCCAGACACCTCTCTCCTCTCCACCTGCCGCGAACTCGGCGTCGCGATCGTAGCCTACAGCCCTCTCTCCCGGGGTTTGCTCACAGGCCAAATAACGAAACCAGACGACTTCGGCGCAGAGGACGTGCGCCGGCACTACCCGCGCTTCTCGGCGGAGAACTTCCCGAGGAATATGGCGGTTGTGGAGGAGTTGCGCAGGATGGCGGGGGAGAAGGGGTGTACGGCTGCGCAGTTGACGCTGGCGTGGTTGTTGGCGCAGGGGGACGAGGTGTTTCCGATTCCGGGGTGAGTAGACGTATATGTCCATCTTGTGGATATCTGTCTACACCTACTGCGTATTCTAACAATTTATGTTTCTAGGACTACGAAGATCGCCGCCCTAGAGGAGAATTTCGCGGCTGCGTCTGTGTCGTTGACCGCTGACGAGACTGCGCGTATTAGGTCGCTCGTCGACGCGGCGTCGTGCCATGGTACCCGATATCCGCCCTCTCATGCCCTGGGATTGTTTGCCGATACGCCAACTTTCGAAGACTATAAGCCTTTTTCTGCTCGTACGGAAATTATTGGGGCTGTTTATGAGTAGATGCAGACAAAGCTTTATTGAAATAGATGGATTGTCATATGTTAGATTCTTGGGATAATTAGTCTCACTGTTCTTATTTAAATTATTTAGGATTTCGAATGTAATTTTTCCTTGGATTATATCCTTAACGTGCTATTGGCGATATGGAAAGTCGGCGTCATTGCGTTCAACTCGTTAAGAAAGAGGTGTCATAACCTTCAATTCTCTACCTAGGGAAAGGTGTAACAAGTGAACGGCCTCTCTTCACTCCATCAGCATCGAAAAGACAACTTTTCAGCAGCAGCACAATTGCCAGCGAGCTATCATTGCCATTCCACTTCTCGGCTTATATTACTTGGTTTTAAACATATAAACACCAAGAGACAGTACATTAAATCCACACTAATCCATACATCCGACCGAAATACCAATATCGCTCTTGATCGCCTGACCGATCGGAATATCAACGCTAACATTGCTAGCAGCTAATGCATTGGCGAAGTACGGTATGGGCTGACCAAGGCTCGTCACATTCTTTCCGGACAGTTCGAACGTAAGGGTGCCATTGCGCTCGCACGTTGGTCGTTTTGTTAGTGCACTGAGGACAGCCGTGTTGTTAATGTCGGCCCAAATGAAAAATTCATTCGCCCCTGGATGTAGGACTAGGTTTAAAATGTACGACGTGCCGATGTCGCTGCCGTTCAAGTATGTTTGGAAAGTAGTATTGCCCTAGAAATGCACATTAGTTTCTTTCCTGGCGCGATTGGTGTTTGAAATTTTAATATAAAAGAAGACAGGGAAACTTACGACATCCAGTGTTAATGACGACGGGTTGGGGATATGGGCGGTAGCGTTGAAATTGTCGGATTGCGCAAGGCTCACATGCGGATTCGTGACGGTGAGGCCCTTGAAGCCGTTAAGTCCCTTAAGCGGAACGGTCTTGCTGAATGTCGCACTATAGGCGCGAGATATCCCACGGACATGGATATTTGTGTCCCCTTTTACCAACACATAGACGGACTCGCGCTGGATTAGGTGCTCATTGAACGTCGTAAACGCATTCTGGTCTGAGATCTGGATTTCTTGACTGACATTAACGGTCTGATGGGCGTCCGACGTCGTCTCTGGAAAATTGATCTTGGCGAACGCTAGGGGAGGGTTGACGTCTGCTAAATACATCGTGCCCTCAAATCCATCTATGGTGGCGTGGGTCGATCCGTCCGTAGTGATTGTCGAGTTGATGGCCATGTTTAGAGAATTGGTCTGGACGTTAGTGACACTGATGCCATCGATAGTCAACGTGGCGTCGTCAAGCTTCTTTTGAGCCATCCTAGGGACGGCTACGAGTATCCTGAACACATTTTTAATTGCGTTCTTAGTAGGACTCGGTCGATGTGTGGAACTTACACGCAAGGCACAACGACAACCACTGCGATGATGAGTATTACCAGCACATAAAGCCACCAAAATCTCCCGCAATGACCCTTTGAGCTCTTACTAGCACTGTTACCGCTTGTCCCGTTTCCTGAATTTGCGCCTCTTGCGTTACTTGCTTCCGCCATGTTTCAAGCCTCCTTTTTCTTTTTCTTCGAATCTCAAGGCGCGCTCTTCTCATTCGGGAGATGGCGATAAGCCACAAGCTAGAACCGAATTACGGCGAAATCAATAAAAAGAAGGGTAGCCGGTGTGGAAGTACTTAGTTTCTAAAGGGACTATCATATGTTTAAAGGGAAAGCCGCGTCTCGTAAGGGGTGTATGAGCAACCAACCATTGCGAATCCATGATCTTGGATTTGGAAAGTCCTATGTGTTAGGGTCATAGCGGCATATTGTTGCCTTCTTTCTTTCTATAACTACATGCCTAGGTACCTACCTATGATAGACATTGTCAAGATTGCCACTGCCGTAGGCGTCGACCTGTAAGAGTTACCTTCACAGCTTCCCCCGAGAAGAGGCTTGTTAGTTCGGCGAAATTGACTAGACCCAGTTACACAATTACCAACTTTACCCCTATACTGCGTTAGTCACATTACACAACAGTACGCCCACCAATGAGAAGATAAAATGAAAAGGAGATCCTTCCTATTTCGAAGCAACACGAACTTAAATACCCCAGAGATATTAGAGGAGCAGTAGGTCGGGACATGCAAATTTTATAATGGCGTTCGTTCTCTTCCTCGGCGTGGTGAACGAGCACATGAAAATCATCTACTCCGAGCTTTCCAAGTTTGCTTGTCAACGTATTGAGGTCGAGCGCGTCTTGTATAACATGAATATAAACGCTGATTGGGTCAAGTCCGCCTTCCTGGAAAGTAATCCTTGTAGGCAATTCCCTCCGCATCGAAACCTGGGAACCTGGAGAAAACCTGGGGAAGGAAACCTGACCAATTCTCAACCTACGTCTTCTAATAAGATGGTGTCCGGGTACGTCCATCATACCAAACGAGTGATGGCCATGATGTTAACCTATTCTTAGTATTTCTGCAAGAGATAAATTATAATGGAGAGATTCTTAAGCAGTCAGTGTAGGTATTGGAAGTCAAACGAAGCGATGATGTATGTAGTCTCGGGTGCCTGCAGATAGGTTATGTCTGGCACATTCTACAGCAGGCATCTCAAGCCACAAATTTCAAACCGTTTGAAGCTGGAAATCCAAGAGGTAATTTTTTATATGAATACAGCACAAGCAAGGCACCGCTCTCAATTCCAAATTCTTCATACACGATAGTGGCAATATCGTCATCGTCATCAATATTCTAATACGAAATGGAAGATTATAACTCGGAAGACTTTTTTTTACTCAGAATACTCATACTCAGAAGACTCTAACTTGGAAAATGGTGAATATGCGGATGAAATCACATTTCATCATCCCCGGTCGGACCGCATTTTAATGTCTGTTCCACCCGTTGATAACAACGGCCTCCACCATGAAACAATGCGTGTTGCTTGCTGTCTTATGGTCAAGTATCGGTGGAATGGGTATCTATCGACTGATCCCCCGACTAATGGGCAGAACGGAAAGCCTATCATTACTCCTCCTGATGGCATATTGACCCAGCCGTCGTATTTCTTTTATATCCCAGGCAGTATGTACCCCCTACCTATACGTATTCACTAACATAGTATCGTCGGAGATGGAAGTTATGAGTATGTGTTAACGTGTTTATATTATTATTAGACCCTGATTATCCCGTTGTACCATCCTCGTCTCTTTTCCAGTACCCATCGAATCGCCCGGGGGGTCAAACGCCGACGGTTTCTGACGGAGAGCACATAACTGATAAATCAATTAGTTATATGTTAGCTTCTAGTATATACACTAGGCTCAACTACATCGTACCCTTAAGCCAGCAAGACTGGTGGCGCCGTAATCGTATGAGATATTTGGCACACGATCCAAAGGCGGAAAGGGATATATCGTCAGGGTGCGAGAAAAATAGCCTATTTCAGGCATGGATGGTGCTTTGACATTGTTATTGACAATGGGAAATGGGCCGTCTACAGTTCTTGGACGCCGAAGAGCTTATGGTGCGATCTCGTAACTGCCAAAAGGAAATCCGGTGTATTGTAATATTGAAAGGATGGACAGTGTACTTCTAGCTCTAGATAGGTTCAAAGTGCGTATAGAATATTGGAACCACGAAGAGTGCCATATGATACCCATCATTTCAATCGAGTGCCTCGTGTGCAATAAGAGTACCACAGCTAAAAGCCGACATTGAAATATAATAGCCAATTTAGATCATCATTTCGCTGTTCTAGTTATATCCAATGCTAGATCGTACATACCAAACCTCTATCTATCATGTCTGTAACTCGTACGGCTGTCGTAACTCATAGCTTAGACTTGACCTGATCCCACAGGCCAAATGTGTCCAAACCAGCTCCTCCGTTGAAGATATCCCTTTCTACCTTGCTTGAATTGATCTATAACCCATTATATTAGCTCCCAGATATCACGTATAGGTAGAAAGGGGAAAGGCAGATAATACTCACATGTCTCGGACCCAACTCGCTCACGTTCTGGACGCCTAGCAACCTCATACACGTCTCCGTCTCGGCCTTCAGGACTATTCCCTCATGTCAGTAACCCGAACCCCAATGAACACAGCAACAAAATAAACTTACTCTCCAAAGTCCTCTCCACACCCTCCTGCCCACCAGCCCCAAGCCCAAAAAGCGCCGCCCGTCCCACCCCCACCGCCTTCGCGCCGAGGGCCAACGCCTTCACCACATCCGTACCCCTCTTAATCCCGCCATCAACCCAAACCTCAATCTTCTCAAAAACATCAGGACAATACTTCCTGATCTCCAGCAACGTATGCACAGCCGGGGGCGCCGTATCCAGCGCCCTACCACCATGATTCGACAGAATAACAGCCCTAACCTGGGGCGCATACCGACTCGCCAAGAACGCATCCTCATGCGTCTGCAGGCCCTTCAGCACAATCGGGAGATGCGTATGTTTCGCCAACCACGGCAGGGTGACTTTCCACGTAAGATCCGACGCCGTGCCGAAAAACAACTGCTGTCCAACACCCCCACCCCCGGGTCGACTCGGCTCATCATCCGTCTTCACGCCGGAAGCGACCCTCGTCGCGTTCTTGAAATTCTGCTTCTCGTCCAACTCCCGCTTCCCGGGGACCGCGGCGTCGAGCGTAAGACAGATGAACTTGAACCGATCGTCCATTTTATTGATGCGCGCGAGCATGGCCTCGCTTTTCGCGCGGTCGTTCTGCACGTAGAGCTGCCACCCGAATATCTGCCCGGGCTTGGCGTCCGCGACGATCTGCTCGGGCGTCATGCTCGCGTTGTTCGAGATCACCTGCATGGCGCCGAACTTGCCGCACGCGCGCGCGATGCCTGCTTCGCCGTCGGGGTGGCCGAGCCGCGCCATAGCGGCTGGTGCGACGAAGATCGGTATGTCGACTTTGTGGCCTAGTAAGGAGGTTGAGGTGTCGCATTTCGTGCAGTCGACGAATACGCGGGGTCGGAGTAGGATGTCCTTGTACACCGCGTTGTTAAACGATTTTGAGATTTGGTCGTCGCTCGATGAGTAGTAGTACGCCCACGCCTTCTCGGGCATGCGTTTCGTAGCGACCTCCTCGATCTCGTTCAAATTGAGCAAGCTCTCCATTGGCGGCGGGCCTTCCTCCTCCATCTCTTCTTTGGCTTCCGGCTCGCTGGCCGCAGTTATGGTCTGGGGATCGATGCGGCCTAGCTTAGCTTCGGGCTTTAGGGTTTCCTCTAGGATCCCTGGGGGATGTATAGGATCGTATTCCTCCGTTGCGTCGCGGCCGGCGAGCTGTAGGATGATTTTGGAGCCTCCCGGATGTTCGGGGAGGAACTCAGTTACGTCGTAGACGTTTCCGTATAATATTACCCAGCAACTGTCCCGACTCGTGTGCTTCTCGACTAAGTGATCGTGCAATGTTAGCGAACCTATGAAAATCGATTGGATGAAAGAATCATTCAGATTCATATCTTACCTTCCTCTGCGCTGATGAGCTTATCCGACATTTTCATAACATGCTAGGCTATAACATACTCTGCCTTATCATTTACAATTAAAAGACATGAATTTTATTTTGTTGAAAAATAAAAAGTTAGAAATCATAGAATTGAGAAAGCTCTCGAGCTCTCGGTTGTATTTAACCCGCTACAACCCGGAGCTCGATCGGCTTTCTCAACTTAGTAACTCCCCGCGATGTACTAGTCTACTACCACGGGAATGAAACCCGGTATTAGCTATTAGGTAATTCCTATTGGATAGTTTGCCGAAGTCTGGAGAGCTTAGACGTCGGTTTTATTGGTGGAAAAGATAAAGGGGTAGCTTGCCTGTTATTTACACCTAGGTGTATGAGAAACTAATCCTAGAGCACTAATTAGGATAATTACGGCGATTTTACCATTCTAAAAATTGATACTATTCGGATTTTATGGCCATTACCATTATCCACATTCACATTCAGAATGTCAGCCTCACATCATCCTAATTCGGCATAGGCCTTATCAGACCGAATTGAGCACACAAAGAAGCAGAACCCAACAAAAAGCAAAATATCCATCATACTCAAAGGAGCGCATATCTACCATACAAGATATGACGTTAGCGAAACACCTATACATTAGGTAGCTGTGTCAAATACGACAGTTCCAATTCCCAAGATTCCTCCATCGTTCGTTCTTATGAATTGTTGTTCCTCTCAGCGGCAGACTGTCTGTTATCCCGAATGGCTCGATCCCTATCTCCATTGCTAGGTCCTGTGATGCTAGGAGGAGCATGCTGGCGGGTGGTGTGGGGACGTAAAGGAGCCAGGTGCTGTTGAGGATGAACTGTAAAAGGTGTGCAAGCAGGTATATGAAATAGAATCGGCGATTCGTGATTAGGTTATGGTCTCGGGGTTGAATCGTTATAACCTCGACTGTTGTCCCTATCAAGAGGCGTGTTTCTGAAACCACTAAGGTACTCCCTTATACTAGGTCTTGAGGAAATGGGATGACGTATAGGATTATGGTGTTGAAGGCGAGGTTGAGGATAAGGATCCGGGTTGGGAAGATATCCACGTCGTGCTCGCTCACGCAAATATAACATGTTATCGTTCTGTACAGCAGTGGAACGCTGTGCTGAATATCCCTGGGTAAGGTCAGTATTCAAATCGGTCGCTATTTAAGTGTGATGTTCAAGGGGGGTGACAAGAAACTTACGGAAGAGCGGGCACTGTCGCTTTCAATAAGAGGTATGTGGGAAGAGGACGAGGTCCGTCCAGTTTGGTCCTCGATACTGGCTATCCACTGCTGACACCTTTGATCCACCTCCTTCCGGTTTATCTTTGGGAGGACCTTTGATAACGACTTCTCTTCGTTTTCTTCCTTAACGGTGACATCCCTGTTGTCATCTTCCTCGTTTTTCGGGCGTGAGACTGATCCAGATGGGGACTCCTAAGTGCCATCCGGATAAATCTCGTCCGCGATCTTCTTGGTCTTCTTCTTATGCTCACTCTCGGACTGTGCCGGAGGAAAGTCCTTGCTGGAACCCATACTTAAAGGCCTGAAAATGATTCAGGGGATAGTCTGAGATGTTTCCTGGATTAAACTAATATACCAAAATCGTGGTATGAACAATTACTAACTGAGTGATAGTGTTAGCAGATATCACATATTCCAAAGATTCTTGAATGAATTCGTTGAGATGTTGACAATTAATTAGGATGGGATAAAAAGAGTATCAATGAAGTAAATGTGAAAAAAGGCTACGCGTCGACGTGTCGAAGGACATGTAATAAACTATAATGTGAAATATTTGAAGTCATCGTACTTATTCGCGACGTGCCGCTATAAAAACACGATATGAGGACGAGATAATGAACGAGGTAGTAGTATCTGGATTGGGAAAGAGGGAAGATGAAATTTCATACTTACATCGGATGTTTCCAAGGTGTTTCCAAGATATTTCCAATATTGACCAAAGAAACCAACCAAAACGAAATTCATGAATGAATGTTTGAAGGTGTGAATGAAAGTAAAAGTTGGAGAAACTGGTGGGGTGGGTTTATAATATCGAATATCTACGACGTAGCTGCCGCGGCGTGTTTCTGGCAGAATGATGCAACTGCCCGGAGGACCCCACCAATATGCCGATTAGATCTTTTAGGTAGGCGGTATGTCGTACCAAGGTAGGTACCGTTGACGCAAGGGCAGGAGCTCTGATTGCATATCTTACCGCTTTAGGCACAGTCACGATACTCCACAACAATGAACCTCGGCTTGGGAAGGGTAAAGATGGGGCTTCCTAAGACCGGACGCTGTCTTTTGCATGAGAGCTTCAATTGACACATATCAGGTAATAGATCACCAAGTTGTATAAACCTTAATACACCATACTCGTTTATTTCTTGAACTCTAAACTATTAAACTAAATTAAAATAAATCGAAAATGAGCGGTCCAGGAGCTGGTTTCGAATATCCTCCCGTCCCGGTATCGTGGACAAAGCGCGATGTTTTGCTATTCGCCAACACAGTAGGCTGTACATCCGACGAGCTTCACTTCTTATATGTTAGTATCCTACTAGACTTACCTCTTAAATGCTCATATTTTCAATGGGATCAAATTCTAATAACCTAGCAGGAGCTCGACCCCAAATTCGCCGTGTTCCCGACCTACCCGGTTATCCTCCGTAAGCGCTTTGCAGACGACACAAATTAGTTGACATGTGCGCGACTAAACTAACAAATGCGCAGCTTTCAAGAGGGACCAGCAAGATGTCATCGACTTCTACGCCGAGCAGAAGGCCATTCGAATCCCTAGCGTTCCCGAATTCGATGCGCGACGAGTCGTCGATGGTCAGCGATTAGTCCAATTCCTCAAGCCTCTCCCTACGTCGTCTGCCGGTAGAAAGTTCGAGTCCCGATCCAAGGTCCTAGGTGTTTACGACAAGGGCCGCCCGGGCTCCGTCGTCGAGATCCAGCAGGACCTAGTCGACGCCAGCACGGGCGAGGTCTACTCGCGCGCCATCGGCAGCTCGTTCTATGTCGGCCAGGGTAACTGGGGCGGTCCCAAGGGACCCGCGACCGAGAACTTCCCTCCTCCTAAGGGCAAGACGCCCGACGTCGTAACCGAGCATCAGACGACCCCGCAGTCCCCCCTGCTATACCGCCTCAACGGCGATTACAACCCTCTGCACGCACACCCGGAGCCGGGCAAGAAGATGGGTTTCGGCGGCGTCATCATCCACGGCCTATACTCTTTCAACTCGGCTGCTCACACCTTGGTGCAGAAGCTCGGTGGCAGCGACCCTGCCAACATCAAGGAATTCGGGGCTCGGTTTGCGAGCCCTGTTAGACCTGGCGACAAGATTGTTACATCGGTGTGGAGAACCGGCGAGAAGAAGGGTGAATGGGAGGAGATTAGATTCGAGGTGAAGGTTGAGGGCGGAAAGGTGTGCCTGAGCAACGGAAGAGCGTTGATGAAGGTTGTAGGAGAAGCTAAGAGCAAGCTGTAAGTGAGAATATTGGACAATTGAGTGTAGTATTTAATAGTTCGCGGGTTTAAAAGTTCGAAGCGGTGTGTAAGATGGAATTTTGAAATCGAATATCTAGCATTAGTTGGCTATCGAATATGATTGAAGCTGTTTATTATCGTTATCGCCAACTCTCCACCTATGTAGTGGTACCAAGTAATTCAGGGGTTACCTAAACTTTGTAACCAGTAACACCTCTGTAACGCGGTAGCAGCCCCAAATAAACGCTTAAGTTGTTGCCTGATGTTACCTGCTGTCTACATCCACTATATTTTCTCAATATCTGCAAAGTTGAGTTGTCTGCCACTGCAGGCAAATCTTATAAACTATCTCATGATATTTTTTCGACTCTCATGGCTTCTAACCCAAACGTCGGTGATCGATTATCCTACGATGGAGCTGTCTGCACGGTCCGGTATATCGGCGAAGTTAGTGGCACATCAGGCAGTTGGCTTGGCGTAGAATGGGATGATCCAGCACGAGGAAAACATGATGGTTCTAATAAGGGCGTGCGGTATTTTACCTGTGAGTTTCCAAATAAGCCATCTATGGTAAAATTATCGTATTCTAAACACAAGAAGGCCGATCCAAATCACCAAATGCCGCATCCTTCGTACGGCCAACACGGCCTGCGGAAAAGCCACTTAGTTTCGTGACGGCGGTAACTCAGAAGTACGCCTGTGAACTAGCGAAGACTGCCGTGATCAAGTTTTCGAACAAAGTTGCGGAGGAAGTCGGCTTTGAAAAGATTCAGCGAAAGCAAGCCCAATTAGCTGAACTGAAGATCGTCATCGTCGATGGTGCCCGTATCGCATCAGCCTATTCTGAAGGCGACGAACCTATTAGTCAGGTCTGCCCCAAGATAATTGAGTTAGATCTCAGTAGAAATCTATTTCAGAAAGTTGGAAAAGTTATTGATATTTGCTCCGAGTTGCCTGTCCTCCGGAGTTTACGACTGAAGTAAGTCCTTTCACTATAACTCCGGGTATTTGATCGCTAATCAAAGCTAGTGGCAATCGATTCCAAGACATACTTAACGATGATGACCTAGAACAGGCCCAGAATTCTCTGAAAGATATTAAAGATTTAGCTCTTGAGGAGACATTCATGAGCTGGGAGGAAATATGTCATGTCGCATCGAAATTTCAAACACTTTCGACACTTTCAGCCAGTGCGAATCGGTTATCATTTTTACCGGAGACACCCTTAGCTTTATCGACACTCGCCTCTACTATCGTCTCATTGAACCTGGAGTTTAATAACTTCACCACCCTCACCGATATCGCTAGTTTAGCCTCACTGAAATCTCTCCGTAATCTACACCTCAAGGGCAACCATATATCCACTACCACACAGGACCCGTCTCATACCCTGCCGGTATTTTCAACAAGCTTGAAATACCTAGACTTATCATACAACAAAGTGTCATCATGGGCCTTCGTCGACATGCTACCACATTGCTTCCCAGGGTTGGCATCCCTTCGTTTCTCCCACAACCCTATTTACGACAACCCCGATCCCGAATTCTCAACCCAGTCTAAGAGCGTCACAGAAGAAGCGTACATGTTCACAGTTGGTCGTTTAGGAAACCTCAAGACTCTAAACTTCGGTACAATCTCAAGCTCCGACCGCCAGGACGCAGAAATGTTTTACCTAGGCCGCATCGGTAAGCATCTAGCCGCTGTTTCGGAGGACCAAGGGGCAGATGTCATCAAGCAGCACAAGCGCTTTGACGAGCTGTGTGAGATATATGGAGCACCGGTAGTCAATAGGCGGAAGGAGATCAACCCGGCGTTCTTAGAAGCTAGACTAGTTACCGTGCACTTCAGTTTCCACCCAGCTGGCGAAGAGGACAAGGTTGTAGAGCGAACAACCAGAATCCCAAAGAGCTTTGACATCTATGCTGTGAAGGGAATTGTCGGCAAGCTGTTTGGAGCGAAACCGCTCGGCTTGCGTTTGATCTGGGAAACAGGGGAGTGGGACCCGGTTTTTGGGTTCGATGACGAAGTAGAAGACAGTGACGAAGAAGAGGATGAGGAGAAGAGGGAAGAGATAGATGCGGGGGATGCGGGAGATGTCGACGATCTAGGGGAAAGCTCCCAACCAGACGGTAAGCCTGGCAAGTGGGTCAAACGGGAAGTAGAGCTGCAAGACGGGCCCCGGCAGCTTGGGTTCTGCGTTGACGGCTTAGAGGCGAGAATCAGGGTTGAGTTTAGGTGACTCAGGCCAGTCTCAGTTTGTGTCTATAGAGACAATCATTTGAGTTGTCATGAATATCTTAGATAGAAGGCTATCTGGAATTTAAAACAACATGGGCGATCTCTGATTATGAGAACTGTATAGGTATTTCAAGACAATTACTATACATAGGTACGGCTTTTCGTTCTAGCCTATATGACAAACATATTTTTCATTGGTTGACTAGAATATCTATACAAACGAGCACTGATACAGCAAACGGATGCAATAGATACCCAAACGATACGATCTTAGATGAATAGCATAAAATCAAACTACTAGACACATGTAGCCAACCCTAAGGCTCAATCTTAACTTGCTGTTATTCTCTCCTCTGATATACCAACTTATTTCTAAATAAAAAAATTGAGAGCATGTCTATGGCGCTTAAGAAGACGACAAAAGCTTGACAATGAACACCACTCACGCCCATCAAAATACCGTCGGCAGCGGAGGACCAGCAGTAGCGACAAGCCATCAACGGACTGCCTCTATATCTACGCTCTCCACTCGCCAGACAAATAACACTGCTCCTTCATCCCCTGAAAGCCCAAATCGAAGCCAAATCCAGAGTCAGGGCCAGACCAACTTACCGCAGCACTTCATCGTGCGTCCCGGCGTAACTAAGCACACAGTGTCAGGCACAATTACCACCCCAGGTCCTATCGTGCCTCTCGTCGCCGTGGACCAGTTACCAGAGTGGCTAGACCTATTCGGGGTGCCGCGGGAGCTGAGTCTCGAGCAGACAGTCGGACTGAGCAACCTGGGCACCGTTGTCCGGAGCCCCGAGTTCTACACCGTGTACATGCACAGCGACTTGCAGCCCGCACTAGGTCGTAAAAGCCAAGATTACGGACGAGATGGCCAGCTCCCGCGGACACAGATACAGATGCGACAAGGGGAGCATCGGGAGGATAGGAACAGCGTCCTACTTGTCCCTCCGGATATGTCCACATCTGGTCCACCTTCCATATCGTCATCTACAGTCTCCACGCCGGGATCTCCGTTAAGCTCGCGCATGGATCCCGCCACGAAAGCCGTATCGAGTGGCAACCAACCACACACCAACGATCCCGACAAAAGAGCCGCAGGAGGCAACAACGCCAACATCCACACCTCCCCCGAACAACCCCCCGCCATGAATCTAGGCATACACCAGCACCTCCCCTCGCCCACAGCAACAGGCAGCACGCCGCAAACAAACACCAACCCGTACCCAATCCTACACCCATCCTACCCGCATCTCCACGCACCACCCTATCCCCCATCCCACCCACACGCGCCCTACCCGCCTCCCGCACCCCTACCACCAATCCACCCCGCCGACCGAATGCTCTACTCCTGGACCCCACCCACGCGCAAATCCACCAGCACCTCCAACCCCCCCAACCCGCCAAACCCCAACTCCTCCTCCACGCGCCAGAAACCAAGCCCCAACTCCACCACCAACAGTAGCGGAAACAGCAACAGCATATACTGCAAACACTGGTGCCACCGCGGCACCTGCCGCTGGGGCGCACAATGCCGATACGCGCACACGATGCCGGCGACGCCGGAGGGGCTGCGGGAGGTAGGGTTATCGCACCACCCGGCGTGGTGGACGGCTGCGTTCAACATGGCGTACGGGAGCGGGGGGTTCGGGGGGTGGTATCCGCCACCGGCACCACATCCGCACGCGCATCCGCATCATGTGGTGTTAAGTGGGAAGCATTACGGGGGAGGGGGGAAGAAGGGGAGGGATGGGAAGGGGAAGGAGAAGGAGAAGGAGAAGATTGGGGAGAGGGAAGGGTTGGGGAAGGGGAGGGTGGGGGATGGGGATGGGAATAGGGGAAATGCAGTAGTGGGAGGAGGAGGAAGAGGAGGGGGGGTTGAAGCTGGTGGGAGAGCGGAAGCTAGTAGGCAATTGAAGAAAGATGTTGTGGAGGGAAAAGCGGGAGGCCAAGAACAGAGGAAACCGGAGGCGCCAAAGGAGGAGCCGAAGTTGGTTGAGATCTAGATAGCTGTGCCGCACCTGTAAGTCGCCTGTAATCTAGGCCGTTAATTCGCTGAACCATAAATCTTCAGCGCCCATGTACCTGTATTTCATTGGCCGAACATGCATGTCTAGCGTTAGTATCGCCGTAAGAGGCATTAGAAAAAGCACCTAAGGGACCTGTCGATCATTTGTAAAATTGTGTATTTTGTTATCGCAGTCGGATAGTAAAGAATCTCAAGACTCACAACTCCAACCATGCTCGCAGACAAAGAGGACACGGCTCAAAACGTCCAAATGCAACCTCTGCTGGACTAACAAGCCATATAGCATACACATGTTCCATCGTCGTACTTTGTACAATTGTCTTCCACCCCCCACTCATCTTCCGACTCACAGCTCACAGCTCATGCTGATAGCTCATCCTCACAATTTCTGTTCACTGCGCACCCTCGCAACTTATTCGTTGAAGTCCGCCTTTCTCACTACTGTGTACCCTAACCTAAGAGGATTAGTCCTTCCCCTAGAAGGACATTGTCTTCTTGATCTCGGCAATCGCTAATCCGGGGTTTAGACCTTTGGGACATGTTCGCGTGCAGTTGAGAATGGTGTGGCATCGGTACAAGCTCATCGAGTTGTCAAGCGCGGCCTTGCGCTCCGCCTTGCGCTCGTCGCGGGAATCAGCTAGCCATCGGTAGGATTGTAGCAGGATAGCAGGTCCTAGGTACTCTTGGGAGTTCCACCAGTACGAAGGACATGACGTCGAACAGCATGCGCACAAGATGCATTCGTACAAGCCGTCTAGCTTCTTGCGATCCGCTTTGCTTTGTCGGTATTCCTTGTTCTGGAATGTGGTAGTCAGTATTGGCTGTGTAAACATATTTGTGAGACTTATGAGAGAATTCATTACATACATCAGGTGAAGGTGTATCTCGCTGGAGGTAAGGCTTGATTGACTTGTACTGCTTGTAGAAATGCGTCAAGTCGGGCACAAGGTCCTTAACGACGTAGGTGTGGGGTAGTGGATAGATCTTCATCTGGGCGCTAGTGTCTGTGGGAATTCGGCCTGCCATGTGAAAGCCATGTTAGCCACCCATCTAATTGCTTCCTTTTCGCCGTTAATTGTCAAACGGTTATATTAGGAAAACTTACATAGGCAAGCTAATGTGTTTGTGCCGTTAATGTTCATAGCGCAGCTACCACAGATACCCTCTCTACAACTTCGACGGAACGTCAACGTAGGGTCTAACTCGTTCTTGATTCGGACGAGAGCATCGAGAACCATGGGCCCGGTCTTATTCAGATCCAATGTGTACTCTTGCATTCTCGCTTTCTCATCAGGAGTGTCAGGATTCCATCGGTAGATTTGGAATGTCTTTAGGCGCGAATCGGTGCTGCTTTTTGGGTCTGCTTCTACGGTAGCGCTACCAACTGATGCCATTGATCGCGCGAACATCAACGGCAGTGCTGCTGGGCGCGGCGATGCAGCCGCCGCGAACAGTCGCGACGACGTTGAGCGAAGAGCTGTCATTGCGGGCAATATCGGGAATAATTGGACCGATCAATTGCTTCGGTATGCTTATCGTCGGGAGAAAACAAAATAGGTGAATAAAGTAGAGTGGCGTGTACGAGATTAATGTTAAGGTATTTGCGTGATTGAATTAAAAGTTAAAGAAGGAATCAACGGCCGAAACGAACCTCTGGTAAAGGTTGTTCAATAGTAATTAGTGGCCAAAAAAAGGAAGGATGTCTTCATCATTGAACTTTCCTTCCCACTTCCCACCCGACCCGGTTTGCCCTCGGCTATTGGCATCAAAAGTTCCGGCCAATCACATGCTTTCAATTAATCAACTCACGCGGTCCGTTTTTTCTTCCGTACCAGCTGCCACATGAAGACCCTTGCCGCCTTTAGCGTCATCAGTGCCACCCGTCCGAATAGAATCCCCACACCGACCAATCAAATAATATGCTGAATAACCCGCTGAATCGCGTCGTGCATTCAGTAAGCCACCGAGAACATCCACCACCCTAACCAAGCCAATAATGGAAGACGTATTTGATTTTGGATCTTCCTACATGCGGGCGTACCTATCCCCAACTCTCTAAAGAGGGGGGGTAAAGGAATGTAGCATTGAGAAAGGTATAGCTAATAGCTACAACCTTAGATGTATCATTGATCTACATATGAACTTCCTTTAGTATTAGGTAGGTATATTCAAATATGTACCTAGTAAGCTCTTTCTTATGTATGAGAATGTTAGTGGACGAGCCAGATCGGAGGGCATGATGGATTCAATATTCAAGTCATTTGTCACAAATCATATCATCTTTCGTAAGATACTATTCGTGATCGATTATTAGAGGTCCAAAACATACACCTCCATCGCATAGCTACCTGGGTAGATGAAGCTTTCGTAATTGAGGGGTCTGTAGAAAAGGAATCGCACCTAAACCCATTTTATCTACCCTCTTAGTTCCCGTTTCCTCTAATCATACCCTACCTAGCCTGCTTTTACTTTGCCGTTTCCCTCAATTATTTCCTCTTGGAATAGCGATCGCGTGCCAGACGCCCAATACTTCCTTGGCTAAGTCCTTGGCCTACCACATCTGCAAGATCATTGATAGCAGACAGCATTGGAGAAGCAACACCCATTTTTACGACATAAACATACAGAAACCTTATATCTCGCCATTCGCCTACCATCCGGATATCTCGATAATCTTGGAACATTATCTTCCCAAGATCTGGACATGAGATTTACGATTATATGCCGTAGATGGCTGTACCATCAAAGTTAGCACCCATCGATACTAAATTTATCGGGGATAGCGTTGATTTATGGGACAGGGGCATAATCCTATGATAAATGAAGAGGAACGAGCCATGGGTTTGCTTACTTTGGTACATAAAGTCCTCTGCAAGGCTCTCATCTAGTCCGTCAATGAGGTCGTCGTACTCATCGACATAATCTAGATATTCTTCAAAGTCTGCTAGGTCGTCATCATCGCTTGCATCAAGTTCTTCATCGTCTGTACCTATCTGTTAGTACTAGTCATAATCTCGAGACATCTGCTATGCTCACCATCCTCGCTTAAGTCACCGAATGCATGTCCATCATCCTCTGGTAACATGTCAACCATGCTTCCTATGGCCTTTTCCATGTTGGGGCCGGCGTAGGAAAAATCGTCCGCATCGTCGAATACCATTACTCTGCGTGCGCGTCCTGCTCCTATAGCTATCCTGTGAAGGTGTATCTTCTGAAGGCAACGGCCATTTCGGGCCAAGGAGGCGATAGCTTTGGGCCACTCTTCAAACTCGGTTTTAGAGGGGTCAGGTAAGATAAGTGTCATGTCATGAAGGGTCAACTTCTGCAAAGTTGTGGAGAATCTCTTCAGAACGACCAAGATGTCATGGAAATTGACCTCGAACCAGCCGAGCTCTAGCTCGTGGAGGTTTGCGAATATCGGAGGTTGAGCTGGTTCGGGTCCGAGAAACCTGCCACAGCTCTCGTTCAATCGTGGAGCCGTTAGCCACTTGAAGAACCCGTCGAAATGTCGTATTTGCTCAAGGCGCAAGTGCTTGATTTGGTTGGACTGCGAGAGAAATTTACGTAGGTAATACGTGTCGAGCTTGTCCGATATGGTCTCCACCAGCCCGCTAGGGATCGATACCATGGTCTTAGGACCAACGCGGATTTCTATAGCTTCAAGACTCGATAAGACCGGTGAGACGGCCTTGCTCATGAAGTTGGGGATATTAAGGGTGTCGTCGTCGAATTTGTTATGGTATATTTCAATTTCGAATCTTTTCGGCCTTGAACCGGCTTTCCCTAACGCAAATAGGACGTTCTGTACGCAACTCGTGTTTAGTTTCCGGTGGAAGGAGTGGTTACTAATATCATCAAGTTTGACGTCGACCGAAGTCTCTCTTAAAATATGAGACACTCCATAGGCGACAGGAATACGGCTTGGAAAAAAGGTAAGCGTATGTTCGCTGACCTCGACTACCTGGAGATTGAGATTGCGGAATGCCTCGACGAGCATCTCCTGATAGTAGCTGGTCTCTAGAAGTGCTAGTTGATCGGAGCATAGCTGGTTAAATTTGACTAGTCCGTTATCCCTCTCATCCATAGGGGGTCGCTTTATGCTAAAGCTACGCTTAGGGCAAAGAAGCCGCGTCGAGATAATCACGTGTTGAAGGTAAGTCGAAAGGCGAGACTTCGATATATCGACGAGGGCTTGGAGACTGAATTCGGTGCGCATGAACCTGATCTTTCGGAAGTACTTTTGGGCAAATGTTCTGAATACCGCGGCTTCAATCCCTTTGCAGGTCAGGCGAAGGGCACAATAGCTCGGCGTATCAAGATATGATGTAATCTCGATGAGGACCTCCAAGGGCACTGCGCCCAAATTCGCGGGAGCCATCGTTAGAATCGTAGGCGCTGATACGTGCGGATGCGTAATCAAGTTCGAAGAGCATTGATTTGATATGTTACATTTAGTAGGTGAGTAAATGTGAAAAATAAATGTTTGGATTCGTTCGCTTTGTAGGTTGTTTGAATGGAATGAAACTAGGAACTGCACAAGCTAACATTAATTGAAACGCGGGGGGTTAGCTACCACCTTAGCTAAGGCTTCTAACCTACCAGCCCTGGAGCTGCTAGGCTGCTAGTGCTGTACTGTACCTCAGCTAGCGCGGCTGCCCACAGCTGAATTCGCAGGTACGATTTACGCGTGAGCACGTGCCAAGATCATGCCATTTCCAGGATTGGTTAAGTTCGCAGCTGGCAGCCGTCTGTCCAAATTTGCCTCAAGAGCACTTTTCTACTTTCTACTTTTTACTTTTTTTTCAGTCCGTAGATTATTATTTACGGATAACATTAGAGTGAGGAAAGGGTGAGGTGCTTACGGTAATTTATAATCCTTCGTGGCCACTCATGGAAAGCCACATCCTCAAGTTGAACCACGATGCTCTCGAAGACACATAATGGAGTTCCACTCAGACATTTAATCCCGTGTTTTCAATCCCAACTCAGATCCTCACTGCGACTTACGCCTGCCTCGCCGCAACTATATCACCATATGCGGACTTTCTCCGTACAGTCTATCCTTCGATCGAAAGACCCGCAACCACAAACCGAACCTACACGTCGGTTTGTATACCATGCTGCGGCTGCCTTTTCTACAAAATTCAAACGATTCGACCCATATGCTCATGTCTTCCATTTCAACCCTTACAACCGAATCCAGACCCACAAACGCCCCAAATCGAAGCGTCCAGCTAGCGGCCAAGATGCTTTCTTCATAACTCGGGTAGGCGATACGAATACGGTTGCATTCGGTATTGCCGATGGTGTTGGTGGTTGGGAGGATGCCGGAGTCGATCCAGCCGATTTTTCGCACGGTTTCTGCGAGTACATGGCTTCGGCGGCGTACGAGCACAAGCCGGTCTCGAGCGAAGCGTTGCTGACGGCAAAATCGCTTATGCAGAGAGGATATGACGATGTATGCAGAGACAATTCTATAAACGCGGGGGGTAGTACGGCTTCTGTTGCTATCGCAAACGAAGACGGGAAGCTCGAAGTAGCTAACTTAGGCGATTCGGGTTTCGTACACATCCGTCTAAATGCGGTGCATTACTATTCAGAACCGCAGACTCACGCATTCAACACGCCTTTTCAGCTGGCGATAGTACCAGCTAGCATGCTCGCACGCGCCGCGGCGTTCGGTGGGGCCCAGTTGTGTGACTACCCTAAAGATGCAGACGTCACACAACATACACTCAAACATGGGGACATCCTCATCTTTGCCAGTGACGGTCTATGGGATAATCTGTTCAACCAAGATATACTCCGAATCGTTAGTCGACTAATGGTTCGCCTCGGTGCTTGGGTGCCAAGTAAGAAGCGTGGCATACTAGTTGCAGATGATATAAAGCATACTCAAGACGACCCTTCGATACGGCCTCCATTAACACTCCAGAGCGCATTAGCTGTGGAGATCGCGGGGGCAGCCAAGTTAGCCAGCGTAAACGAAGAAGTCGACGGGCCATTTGCGAAAGAAGTCCAAAAATATTACCCCCGGGAAAATTGGCACGGCGGCAAGATCGACGATATCTGTGTTATTGCAATCGTGGTATCTGAAGATGGGAAATCAGAAATGATCAAAAGCAAGTTATGAGACTATTACGACCAAGTTCCGAAGAAACATAAAGTTTGCGTTGTCAGGCGTTCAAAAAAGGGGGGATTAATCAAGCTTCGTCTAGGTCATATGGGCATTCCTATATACGAGTAGGCAAGGAGAAGCAAGGCTAGGCGAGACAAAGTAAAGTGATCTTCTTGCTTCTTGTATATTCTTAGTTACGCACGTATCTATAAATCTTCTGTTTTGTCTCTTGTAGGAGGAAGACTACAGCTCATGCTAGAAAATTACATTATATTCTACTTATTTATGGGTGCTCTCGACCTAACATCCGATACCTTCGATTTTCTACCACTTTCATCATTTATTCTGCTTCCTAAGTTATATAATAGGGACCAATATAGATGTTCTATTTAAACGAACTTGGCGGCAGTCTTCGGACTTTTTGCTAGTAGTGGTGGGGGATTTGAACTCGCCAATATCTTAACGATCCAACCAATCAAACTCTTTGCTTCTTTTAAAGCGGGTCAATAGACGATCCCTGATTGTCGAATCCCAGCCTCCCCCACATAGTAAGTACCCAGGTACATACCTAGGTATCCATGCAAGCTCCAGGTGGGGCTTCAATCAATCCAACCCGGTCCGCCCAAAATATAGTCGACCCTTGGCCATGCACGCCGCGCTGCAATTGCAAAACTTCAACTTCTCAATTCTTTCATGTTTCTGACTATAAATGTGCATTGATTCCTACACAATTGATTGCGAATTTATAACGCGACAATGGATAACCCCGTCGCACCCTCTGATGAAGGATTTCTGCATGAATCGCTTGAAACTCCTATAATTGATGGTCCATTGTCTATCACTGATCCCGATCCTGAACCCTCGCATACCTTTGACATCGATATTGAAGCTCCTCCATCAATTCCCACCGGCTTGCCTGAGGATGCGTCACCCGACACAGCCAATAGCGAGTCTAGCAGTCTTAAGCGTTCAAAGCCGCACGATGAACCCGACGAAGGGTGGCAGACTGTAGATCGTCTCTCCAAAAAGTCAAAGAAGGAAAAGAAAGAGAAGAAGATTCCGAGCCCACAATCGACCAATTACCCTTCTATCACATTCAACTACAACGCAAAACTCCAATCTAAGATCGCACTAGATTCTCTTCGGAATCTAATTCTTTACATATTTTCTGAAGGAACTGCGCCCCAATGGGTCGCAATTTCCCAACGGCCGCAATTCCGAAAGATTGTCGCAATCATGGTACCGGGACTGGAGGAAGCCATGTTTAAGCAGGATGTCGATTTCGCTACATATAATGACCAGCCTTTCGATCTTGATCAAAGACCTCGAGTAATGACATCTCCGGATGACTACTACCCACGACTACTCAAGAAAGACGAGCTTCCGGATATCTTGAAGGATTTCGCCGATATGTTTCCCCATCTCTGGCCAGTCAAGACCCCGGGGAACGAAAAGTTTGGCCATTTACGTTCACCATTAGGTACTATGCTCACGGCGCCAGTTGAGAAGGCTAAGGAAGAGAAGGGTAAGGGTGTCCAGGCCGCGAAGGAGCCGAAGGGCTGGAAAGATCAACGCACAAGAATAACAGAGTTTTTGACGATGCCGGAGGATTTTCAAGCAAATGGGTATGTCCTACATCCTGCTTGTATACCAGCAGAGCGGCGCAAACACTTCGAAGATCTACCTGGCTGGGTTCACACCAACGTAGAGGATTTTGCGGATGGCGATGTTCCAGAAGAAGAAATTCAACAAGGAAGTATCACGGCTGGCCGAGAAATCCTCGCGCTCGATTGTGAGATGTGTGTTACGGGCCCAGATGAATATTCTCTTACGAGGATCAGTTTATTGAGTTGGGACGGGACTATGGTCCTAGATGAACTCGTCAAACCAGACAAGCCAATAATCGACTATGTCACCCGTTTCTCCGGCATCACAGAGGAAATGCTGGCCCCTGTAACCACAACACTGGGAGATATACAGTCGAAGCTCCTCGAAATTCTCCATCCACGAACGATCCTTGTAGGACACTCATTAGATGCCGACCTAAAATCTTTACGACTTACCCACCCTTTCATCGTCGACACCTCCATTCTCTTCCCTCACAACCGAGGGCCTCCGCTCAAGAATAGTTTAAAGTTTTTGACCCAACGATTTCTCAAGCGCGAGATTCAGAAAGGAGTTGCCGGTCATGATTCGATCGAAGACGCCAAGGCATGTCTGGATCTTGTAAAACAGAAGTGCGAGAAGGGGAAATCTTGGGGCAACCATGAAGCGCAAGGCGAGAATCTCTTCCGGCGATTAACTCGCGCCGGCAAGGCTTATCGCGCGAATGGTGGGGTCGAAGCCAAGGGAGGTGTCCATGTTGGCAAGACAAGCGCTATGGTCGACTGGGGCGACCCGATGAAGGGTGCTGGTGCAGCATCAACGTTCCCCATCGGATGTAAGTCCGATGAAGAGGTAGAAGAGGGCGTCATGCGCGCTGTGAAAGGCGACCCTGTCGCTGAGGAGATACCGTTCGGCGGCGCCGATTTTATCTTCGCACGATTTCGAGAATTAGAGGCGCGCCAAGGATGGTGGAATAACAAGAGCGATATTGCACCTCCTGATCTGTCGGACATATCTCTTGAGACTTGCGTCCAGAACCTCACCCAGCGTATCAAGCGCATATACGACATGCTACCTCCCTGTACGGGATTTATCGTGTTCAGCGGCTCCGGCGACCCCCGAGAGATGGGCCGTCTACAAGCTATGCAGGCTCAGTTCAAGAAGGAGTACGCGGCGCCCGGCAGTAGTTGGGATAACCTAAGCGTCAAATGGACGGATAGGGAGGACCAGGCTTTGAAGAAGGCGGTCAGCGTTGCGCGGAATGGCATCGGGTTCATCGGCGTCAAGTAAATTGTGTCTTGGGGTGTTGTATATCGCGGCAGTCTTTGTTGGCTTGTATAGGCAGGTAGTGGAAAGGAAGTCTAGGAGGTGAGGCGCATGAGATACGAGTCATGAGTGCGGTCTGGCATTGGGATTAAGAGATACCCCATTTTCATACTCTTTGCAATGGATACGTGCTATCCTTGATATATTAGAAGATAGTTGATCTGATCAACAACTTTGGCGTCATTGGCTCGTCTGCTGCTAGTTACACATTTTTGGATTGAGTGTACCTGTTGGAAGCTTCAATGCAGTAGTCTCAGGGTTCTATAACTAGATCTAGATATAGGTAGCTATAACATTTATTGTTGCCTCTTAATTATCATCCATGGATCACTATATGAAGATATGGGAGCGTAGACAAATCCTTATCTCTTATCATAATGTCCCGCTATTTGAATCCACCAACCCCGTATTTTATGCAGGTACCCGCCTTCCTCTACGGGCATCCATCAACGCCCATACCTCCAGAATCCTTCAACATTTCTCTTGACTTGCCAGACATTCAGTTACTATGGAGAAAGTCATCTGCAGCTGCGTAAACTGCAACGAATACCTATGCGATTTCGTTAATCAGTGGATCAAGATTGGCAAAAGCTATATTAGTCCCGTTATAGACAGCGAACAAATATTGTCTGTCGCGCTCTCAGGCGCGGTGCGACTTGGGGATAAGCAAACACTGGTAGAAAATTGGTATGGACCCTATCAGAATTCAATGACACGCCAAATTCGGCTAACAATTGGTCTCTTATAGCCATCTTCAAGACTTGGCGTGCAACTGCGATGCAGTCATTGGACTCAAATGTTTAGACACACCAGTTAACCACGTTCTCCGCGAGTAAGCATTTCAAATGTATCTCGTTGCTTAAGCGCAGTTAGCTGATAACCACAGTGGACAATTGTTTCTACGGCTCTCTTCAATCCGACTCATAAACTCAAATACTCGCAAACTTGCTGAAATAAAGATTCAGAGAACGCTGAAGCTTAAGGAGGCTTCACAAGGTGGATCCACAGCTGCTGACACCCCTCCAGCCTCCGAGGGTAGTGCCAATATGTTCATGGATCATGACGGTCCCTCAGAAATCCAAGGTCATCTCCTTGACCATCTTCAATCCCAACTAGATGCACAGAAGGAAGAAACCCATAGACTGAATCGAGCTGGGTTTCAGATGGCCTCTTCTTTTGATAATGCTGTGCTTCGCATTGAAGGTGAAATCAAGAAGTTGAGGGATGACATGGTTGACTTAAAAGAAGAGCAGAGGGGCAATTTCATGAAGATTGATAGCATGGATGATGACGTTGCTCGACTGCGAATCGTCGTCGACGATGTCAAAAACACGTCTCAGAACAAGTCAGCATATACCCGTCTTGACGAAGAACTTGCCTCCGCCAAGAAGGTGATTTCGGACGTCCGAACATCTTTAAGTGACGAACTAGAAAAATCGGCCAAAAAGCAACAACGAAAGCACGAGACATTAAATTCAGGCCTCGATACTGCCCGACTTAATTTGGGGGCTTTGCGGGATGACTTAGACGGAACTAAGAAAACAATGAACAAAACGATATTAACAGAAAATGCCCATACTAAGGAAATAGCTTCACTTAAAGCCGAATTGAGGGAGCTCAAGGAAGAATTGGCTAAAGAAAGATCGCAAAAGTCAGCGCCGAAAGAGACCGTGTTTCCATCACGAGAGATCGATATACTTACGACAAATGTCACCAAGATTGGCCAAAGAGCAAACCAGATTGAAGCTCTCCGGATGGAGTTTGAAATACTCAGAGAGCGAGTTCAGAGGATGGATAAGGGGCCAACATCTAATAATCAAGATGCTTCAGATGTGGGGAACCAAAATAGGCATTCCATTAATTCACTACCTGAAGCACCCAGCCGGAAAAGGAAACACAGTCCCCGACTAAAGGGAGCTGCTGGCTTACCTATGTCTCCGACTACTTCGACAAGTAAAAAGTCGACGCGAAAGGTGTGGACCGATTCCCCATCAAGTAACCGTGATTCTTCATTTTCTTCGCCGTCTACTAGAGCCCAAACATCAGGTGCCCAGGCACCCAATTCTCCACGACTCACCAAATCAGGTGCAGTTGATAAAAGGACCACGAGGAGGCTCACAAGGCTTGCCGCATTGCGGAATGCCGCCTCAAATGACTGAATTCCCATCTCCCGGCAACGGATTTTCGTGCGGAATACAACGTATCCAGACTTATCCACCAAACTCGGCTTCCATTATCCTCAAGGCAAACCCGGCTACTTCTTGAATCGGCCCCACAACCACGGTGTTGTAGAAACGCCTTTCTTCTGGGCCATTTGGATTCTTGGCGAAAGCATCGACTAACGCGTTCTCGGTTTCTCGGCCTGGTAAGGATTTGAGGTCATCTAATAGATCCTGTGCTTGGTAACGTAGTTGCCATTCGTCGGATTTGGCCGCAGGGCAATACTGTATGATCGCTACTAAGAGTGCCTGGCACATAGTGGCCTGGTCTACCTTACTTAAATGTTGGGCAAACCTAGTTGCAAATTCTTCCCTGCTTCTAGCCGGTGTAGAAAATGGACCTAAGCTCAACACCCTGGTGAGCATCAACATGCTCTTTACTCTCGATGCAAAGAACGGTGCAGGCGATATCACTGGACTAATGTTCAGAGCGCCGAAGCATTCAATAGCGAAGGCGTAGGCATGTTTGCCTGTTCTCGCGAAACAGAGACTAGCATCACCAAGCACCCGGAGTAATGGATCTGAAGCATACAATCCCGCTGTTCGAAGTTGCGCGCACAGCTTCCAGCGGTGTCGTACTTGTTGTTGCATCGCGACCGGGTCCCAAAATTTCAGTTTGGTCTCGAAGATGGGAAGTATCTCTGCAATATTGTTTTGCAAAGATTTGTTCAAGCTCAGGAATTGTTTGATGGGAGGGTTTCGTAGCCCATCTATATCACGGACAAGACTAAACGGGTCTGACAAGTTTAGTTCCAGATTCGGATATACCTGGCAGGTTTGGTAGATATCCAGATCGTCCTGACACCGACGACAATTGCAAGTAAAATAATAGTGCGTCTTCAAGTAATGCCGGCGCTCCGAGCGAGGGATGTCACAGTCTATCGTAAGCCAACTGTTAGTAGTGTTCGTAGAAGATATATCGATTTGAAACTCACTTGAATAAGATATCGTGACCTCCTCGCCCTCTTTGATGTCCTGATACGCGTGCAAGATACCATCCCGTCCCGTGAATGACACATAGGCGTTCGGTATACAAGAGTGGTTGACCATTGCCAACGCAGCGTTCATGTAGATGCCGCTCTGTCCAAAGTCTGAGTCCAGCCGGTTGAACGAGTTGACTTGTAGCTAGTCGTCGTTAGATCCAAATCGAAGTATCAATGCCACAAGCACACCAAAAAAACGTCATAGGTTAGGTACTTATATCAAGTAACCCTTCACCCAAACATAACCACCCACCCACACATTCACTCACTCACCTTACAAGTAACATCCAACCCCTTCGGTATATTAACATCGTCCGCCTCACCCTTAAGACCAAGATACTCCAACGCCGCCTTCACCTGCAACATCATCTCGAAAAACCGCGTCCCAGGCGCCGTCCGGTGCTCCCCCTCGTGTCCCTCCGTCTCATACACCGCGTCCAGCATATCCGGACGCACCAACACCTGGATCAGCGTACGCACCGGCGTCGGCATCTCCTGCGGCAACCCCTGTTTCATCGCATCCAGGCGAGCCCGTTTATACGCTTTACACTCCCCCTTCCCGTGCCCGAGCGCCCAGTCCGCCTTTTGGCACGCCACGCTGCAGTACCGCGACACTTTGCACCCGGTGCAGAGACGCACTTCGGCGACGGACCCCCGCGGGACGGTGGTTGGGGGGGTGCTGGGGATGGTGGCGGTGCGGGAGAATACGGCGTTGGAGGCGCTGGTTAATGTGTTGAGGAGGGTGGCGCTCACGCGCAGACAGTGGCTGCAGGTTTCGGAGAGACGGGAGCTGTCTGGGATCGCGATGGTGGGGGAGGAGTGCGGTCCGGTGCCGCTGAATGTTGCGATCGTGGAGCCGGCGCTGATGGCTCGGGTCGTCCGGACCGAGCGCCCGCGCTCCGGGGTGGAGGGGTGGAGGGTTAGACCTTCCGGGAGAGTGAGCATTTTGGATTGAAGGTGGGGGTTGGTATGGGATGGAGGGACTGGGGTGGCTTGGTTGTATGACCGGATTTGGTATGATGGGACTAGGTACAGGGGTTTTATAGATGGGTGGTGTAGGGAATGGGCAGGAAGGTGTTTGGTATCCCCCGTTTGACTGTGGATTTTTGGTTTTCAGATACGTGCAGAAGGGGCAAATGGCGTATGATGTAATATGTAATATGAACCTAGTCATATATGCAGGCACGGTGTAGGTGAAAAAGAGGTGAGGATGAAGGTGAGAAGGTGAATGATAGGAAGGAAAGCGGTATGTTTCGGACATGTGCCTGGCCGTTGGAGAATATTTCCCCGGAAAGATCTGGGGGTTTGGAACTGTGGGTCTATGTATACCTGTTATCTAGATCACCACCAACATGAATCTTACTTTCTTCTCTTCAATGACTGCAGTTTGGAGTTTTCTGCACCATGAGGAAATCAAATATTTCATAGGGCGATACTCAAGCATCCGGTAAGCATCTATCAATCACACTCGCCGAAAGTCTCCGGCAAACGAATCCTACATAAAATTAAGTACCTAACATAGCGACATTCAACCCCCACTTGACCAATGAGTCACTACCCGTATCGCATAGCGTGTACAGATATAATATTTTAGCTACGGATTTGGAGAGTCATAGGCACAAAGATTATGTGATGAGGTAGGCATCCGGTATGAGGCGTGGTCAGGAATCCAATATTAAGAAGCCACTTCAATGTTTGTCTGAAAACAGTGCAGCTTCTACTTCTCTGTCCACATATATCAAGCTAGTGGTCAAGCAGGCTTCCGTACAGACGTCGATCCATAGGCCTTCGTTTTACCAACTCGCTTATATGTACAGGCAATCGTTACTGCATAAAGCAATCAGCTAGGATGTCTCTAGAACTACAGCCAGCCACTGAAGCCGACGCGCGCCGATCAGCAGAGATTGAAGGGGTGGCGTACGCCTCAAACTCGTTCAGCGAAATTTTGTTTCCAGGGCCTCCTCCGCCGGATGCATTTGATGGGAGAGCAAAAGGGCTAGTTGCCGAGTTACATAACGATGCTACGGTGCGATGGTCCAAGGTTGTTGATACCGACTTGCCTGAAGGCGAGCAGATGATCGCCTTTTCTAAATGGCATATCCACGCCGAGCCGCCAAAGCCGACGCCTCTTCGTGAGTTCGGTCCCGGATCCAACGCTGAGGCGTGTGAATTGGTGTTCGGTGGCACTATGAAGCAGAGGGCGCGTCTCTGGGGAGATAGGCCACATGTCTGTAAGTACCCCATGTTTCATTCGAGACTATACTATTCATACAAATAGGAGAGGAGAAAGATGTCGCTATGTGGCTTTTTGAAATGTTGTATGAGAACACTAATAGTAAGTAAAGATATGGCACTCCTCCACACCGATCCAAAACAGCAAGGCCGCGGTGCGGGAAGGATGCTAGTACGGCAAGTTATAGACGAGGCCCGTAGGCTTGGTCTGGTTGCCTACCTCCAATCTTCCCCGGCGGGCCATGAAATGTACAAGAGATGTGGCTTCCATGACATCGAATGCCTATCCACCGACTTAAGCAAATGGGGAGCTATGGAGACGCACTGTATTTGGGCGATGATGTGTGATCCGTCTAATACCTAGTCTTTAGATTGATGTCGGCGCAAGAAAGACATATTTCAAGTCAACGAATAAATATGAGAGATCAGATGTAGTTTTGAACATAATGAGTTGAGTTGTACGAGGACAACACATATGTACATCTCCGAGTGGAGCCTAGAAATGTCCGGATACATCATCTCACTCGGATCTTACCTGAGCACTCATGGATCTCATCTCACCTTTATCTTGCATTTAAGTATTTTGTGTCAAATGAACAGAGACAGAAACATCAAGACTTTTCAGATATTAAAATCCAAGATTCCCATCTACCATTCCGCAGAAAGTCAAAGCCCCTATCCCATTAGCTATCCTCCACTAACAACCCCCACTAAGCCACAGCCCACCTTGCGTCATTAAAGGCGGGTTCCTCTACGCCGCCCCGTCCGTCCGCTAAAAAGCAATACATAACTCCCCAACCACCTTATCCTACCCTACCCTACCCTTAGTAGCCTAGCAACAATGCTATCATCCCTCTGGAACCCCCCCGCGAAAATGCCCGGCGGCCCCCCAACAAACGACACAACCGACCCCCCAGCCCCCCTCGTCAGCTCGTGGCAAGCGCGCGCAGATGCAGGCGAGCCCGTCGCTGTTGTCCGCGTCCGCAACCTGCAGGCTTCGATCCCCGTCGGTCGCGACGCCTGGGGCCGTGCCGGGCTCGCGCAGCCTATTTTGCTTTCCTCGGAAGTCTCGTTCGCGCGCCCGTTTTCTGGGAACGCTGATGCGGGGGATGAGCGGGTTTCGGCGTCGGGCGACACGGATTTACTGGATGCTGGGACGGTGCATTATGGGAGCTTGAGCAAGACGCTGTTGGCGGGGCTGGAGGTTTTGAGGTTGGGTGGCAAGCCGGGAAGTGTGGGGACGAAGGTGGTAGGGGGTGTGGGAGAGGGAGGAGCACCTAGGACGGCGGATGTGTTGGAGTTGTTGTGGGTGAGGATGACGGGGCGTGTGGTTGATGGGAGTTCGGTTGCGCTGCCGTTGGACCAGGTGCCGTTCTTGGATGCGGCGACGCTGCGCTCGTTAGTGTTGACTATTGGGTTGCCGAAGGCGTCGTTGCTGGGGGCTGGGGTTAGTTTGACGGTTACGGCGGGGTTTAGGGGGGAGTTTGCGGGAAAGGGCGAGGAGAAGGAGAAGGTGGCTAGTAAGAACCCCTTACAGTCGTACTCGAGATGTCTGAGGATCCAGGGGCTGCATGTCCCGACGCTGATTGGCGTTAACCCGAATGAGCGTGAGGCGAAGCAGATGGTTGTTGCGGATGTTGAGATTGATCGGTATGATGTTGTGGAGGATGTCCATAGTGATCTCGAGAAGATTATCGTGGAGGTGAGCATTTGAGTTTAACAACCTATCGAAAAAATTGCTGGGAATCGCTGACATTTTCGTACAGACGATAGAGACTTCGTCATTCAAGACGCTCGAAGCCCTGGCATCACATGTGGCGAATAGGATACTATCAGATTTCAGAATAGGCGATAACCCGGCGCCCATGAAAGAGCGAGGATGGAAGGTCAAGGTCTGTCTCGAGAAGCCGATTGCTGTGCCTTTTGCGGAGTGTCCTTCTGTGGAAGTGACTATGGGATAATGCCCCCCTTTTAGTGAGATGGCAATATTCATGATATATGAATTGGTATCATTGTCGATGATGGACAAGGATCACTCGGGGTAAGTTCGAGCAATATCTTTTATCGGGTTCCTCCTATTCTAACTTTAAGAAGCTGTTCAACACATATTGCTCTTCCATTATGAGATAGAAGATCTTATGTCGAGCGAGGGGATGTATGCCCTCATACAACTATCTGCGGCTACTCTTCTGGGTGCCCCTAAATGTAAGGCAATTGCGAGAAACAACACCACCGTATTGGTGAATCTCGCAAACTTCAGTCTTCGCCATTTTACATAAAATTCCTAGGTAAAGAGAAATGAAAAGAATGTTCACATTAAGTATATAAGGGGCTCACGATATCTATACAAAATTGTAACCTAAAGGTTGAGGGTTGCGGTAGTGACTGGAGTACGCATATTGGCCTAGGCATATGGATTTATTTCATTGTTCGCATAATTGGTACACTCGGTTCAATTGAAACAACATGAAAGTTGCATAGAGATATTATAGCACACCCTTATTTGGCGAAGACGATTCCCGCGTCGATTATGACAGTATTGAAATGTTTTCAGAGTAAGCGAAGCGAGACGGCGGAGTGCAGGAAGATGAGCGGGCTTAGGTTGCCGACCTTGGAGATGCCGTAAAGCGGTGAGGTGCATTGCCAATAAGTTCATTACCTACTAGGTAGGTAGTTTGCCTTTAGATCCCTCAATTGTATGAATGACGCGGCCGCTTTAATTGAAACGAGAATAATGCAAATAGCAAACAAAATTTTATTTGTACCTATTTTTCCACTACGAAACATCTTGTTCTATGCCTGTATTCTTTCATTATTGTCATGCCTCGTGGTTACAGTCTCATATTGAATCCGATGAATGTATACTATACGTACACATACTCGTGGCCATGCATCGTCTAATTCTATCATAATGACAGGTCAAACCTTGCGACAAGATGGAATGTCACCGTTAGTGATCTCATCAATGAATTTAGGATCCGGGTCGAAAAGCATGACGTGGAAATGCTCTACGGCATGGACGGATTTCAACGATCTCCAATTCTTGAACCAGATGTACTACAGTGGCGTCTTAGTGTAATCAACTACGGAGGGAATGAGGCTGCAATATCACTTACGCGATCCCTCGCCACCCTAGACCCAAATTTCTTCTGCACGTACCCATCAATCGCGGCCCTCGCCTCGTCTGTAAGGTCCGTCGTGACGGGATCTTCAGCTAGATCGAACTTGGTCCAGACCACGAGATGCACTATCCTTTCATCGATACCATACGGCCAATCATTCCAGAGTATCTTCACGTCGTCGTCAAATTCAAACGGGTTGCCCCGGGGCGCCACGGGAGCCTCCCAGTGCAGCCGCTGACTTAAGACGAAATTCATGACGCTTCCGTGGTCCCGCTTTAGAGTCCAGGTGTACTCAAGATAGCGCCTCAGGTCGGATGGCACCCGGCGGAACGCATCTAGCCGGTTCTCTGCCACGATGCTCTGCACTTCGGACCACGTGGATCTGTGGTAGAGGAAGTCGGGCGTGCCGATGATGCCGATATCCTTAGGGCTCAGTTGGTTGAGAAATTCAGGGCATTCCTCTGTCCTCTCGTTTTCGGGAATGTTGACTTGCCAGAAAGGCAAGTCACTGACACTTCCCATCTTTCCTTTACGGTTGGATGTGAAGTATCTGATAGGTAGAGATGACTCGGGATCTAGTCGATTACCTAAGGCGGTTCGTAACGGTAGGTTGGTACCTAGTAAGTGCTGACAAGAATTTCTGGAAGCGAGTTCGCCTGTCTAGACTCGATTGATAAGAAGGTTACCTAAGTTAAAGATTGATCGGACCGAGGACTTATTGATAATATTGGTGTTCGACGAAGTCTAGAGCTTAGTGGATGTTTCCACGTTCGAGTTCAATAAAGAAAGTTTCAGGGGTAACTGCCCAGTGGTTGACTGCTGAGCTGACAGGCGGTCAAGCCGCAGCTTGTGGATGCGGTTCGCGCCTGTAAACGCCACAGACGCTACAGACGCCATCGCGGCATCACGGCACCATCCGAAAATTGTGAGTTGTGCAAGTTTCTCGGAGAAGTATCAAAATGAGGAAATATCTTGGTACAAGAGCTCGTATTGTGAAATTTAAGTCTCGGGATTTATATTCATTTTTTGTTTTGTTGGTACCATGAAAACCGATATTTCTTATGTGTACCCAGTACCTTGGTACCTATCTACTTAAGAGCACTGGGCAGCATCTTCAACTGTGGCTTTATTCCAAGACTTCGGGATTTTTCATCTCAAGCTTCGGCCGGTTATTAAAGTTAGCTAGATGCGGCTCTTATCTTAGTCGTGAAGGTGTCGATCTCACCCAAGATGAAAGGTTACGTATGAGATGTCAAGTCAACATAAGCACGAGTTCCGAGATTGACGTTAAGCCCAGCTTATACATGATTGACTGGCTTTTGCTGCTACCCCCACGTGGAATCCTCGCGTCTATCTATTTGCTACAAACCGACGTGGCTGATTCCGTCATCATAGACTCACGAATCTGATCATTATAAATGGTAATTTCATATCTACCGCAAGAATAATTTCCACATTTTGTCGATGTATGATTTGGTAGGAATCTTTTGTGAACACCCCTTTTCTACCGTCACTGCAAAGTCCTACATGACTTCAATACTCAAAGCTACCTTACCTAGTTAAATATAGAAATCTCAACTGTTATAAGAGTTTTATTAATCACATACCAAGTGGATTGCTCCAGAACCCAACTCCCATCTAGTTCCCGCTAGATTAGAATTAAAACAATGTATTGGGTGAGCTAGCTGTTCGTGGTGGAGAGAAATACTTGCACTAGCTCTTGCGAGATCAAATATGGCGAATATGCGAATTTGCCCAACGAAGACTCGCAGGACTTAGGCGTCGTTTACTCGAAGCGGCAGATAGTCTTGATGAAGGCACTTGCATAGAAGTGTCTGGATTGCATAGAAAATGGCTAGGTAAAGAGTATCGTGGTGGCTTGTATTGTCAACATGGCGCCGAAAGTGGTTGGAAATACTACCCACCCACTTGAAGTCCGGTCAGGCTAGATTTAACAACGGATACAAGCCTAAACCGTTGTCCCACACACCATGGGTGCCAGACAAAATGTGATAGGTCTCTTTGAAACGTAGCAGCTTTTCAGCCTTGAAGCGCTTGAATCGCCCAGGTCAAAGACCTTGGAATGGTCAAGCTTGAGATACTATGCGTAGATATCCGATATCGTGGGCTAGGATGCCGCATCAAATACATACCTGTATGGTGGAGGGGCTTTAACCGCTTAACTTAGCAGGGTCTAGCCGATGCCAACAAATGCCGTAAAAGTACTAGCCTATCCTTGTTTTAAGGGGTATTTTTGGGAATATGATCCGTTTATGAGTGAAATTCCGCGGTCAAGATCAGGTACAAGGAGAATACTTATACACCGCATATCGAGAAAATACCTCCGCTTGATCGTAGAATGGGGCGACCGATAATTTCCTGGAGCAACCATCAACTTTCAACTATCCAGGGGGTCCAGGGCAGTTAGGACGAAACTAAATAAAAGGGTAGAAGATGCTCGCTTTTGATATTTGCTTATACCTTCCTTTTCTCTCCGTAGACTCCTGATTTGGCCAGATTGGGTGTAAGATTATCTCCAGGTACGTTCATGATCTTCTCTTACTATAATTTGAGCTGTTATGCGTCGCATGTTTTTTGCTTGTTCCCCGCCCTGGTCTTTGCATGTGATTGAACGCCGCACGAAAAAAAGAGAGGAACAAGCCATGGTGGGTTGATGGCAAGATGGCGAAATGGCGAAAAAAAGAGTACGATACAGAAACATTTTGTGGCGTTCAAGACATTGCTAGACAATGTTATATTGGATTATAACATTAAGATTTGTATAACTTCAATCGGCTTGAAGCTTATACAATATTGATGCTAGCGAGTGCGGCCGTTTTGTCATTAGTTTCATTTGAGAAACTGATGAGGCAAATGGAGATGAACGAAATTTGTTTTATTGGCTGGGGAAGGCTGCACAGGGTCGAAGGCAAAATGCAGCTGGCAAGCACAAGCAGGGAAGAGACTTGCTCTAAATTAGACTGCATTACGTCAATGGTGCATTCTACGATACAAAGTGAGCTAACAAGCTAACATTTCCACCCCCCCTTTTTTAGGTACCTATAGAAAATTACCGTAGCTGCCAAAGCTCCGACGCCAACCAAATTTACCCCGCCATTCTACCCAAAACTACGAAGTCCAAAAGCCAAAAGGTCGAAAGTTTAGAAGGAACAATCATCATCCCAACCTTTACCTTCTAAAGTACAAAATTAAATCTTGACCTCCTTTTCTTCCTTATAAACTTCGTATTAACAAAGCACCCTTCGAATTTGAGGGTGCTCGTCTTCCTGAGTGACTACTCTGTACCTACCTGTCTCCGACTCACAATTCACACGCGATGGCTCAAGCAATTAAGAGTGCGTTGCCTTCCCATCTGAAGCCCGGCGGGAGGGACGCGGATGCTGAGTTTGCTGGAAGACATCATGGCAAAACTCGATCACATATGGTATGTATAACTCCACATCCTGTTATGACTTCTCTATCATCTACAAGCATTTGGGTCAAATCGATAGTCACTTGGATTTTCATGCCTCGAACCCCTTAACCCCTCAGAGAACAATGGAGCTACAGACTATTTACAGCTTATTTCTTTGTTTTTCCGCCTATCTCGATGACGAAGCAACCTAAGCATTTGACTTGTATCCGCCTCAGAGCTTCGCATCTTACGATTACATACCTCAGATAAAGTTTCTCTTTTCTCTCGCTACCTGAAGTTTGAATCCTTCCAACATCAGGCAAATCATGTACCACTTAACACGACCGTGGAACACTCAATACTCTGAATCACCTCCCCATTCCCCTATCATCATTCACTAGGTCTGGATTCTATAAAAGCCTAGGAAGCTCTACGGTCATCTTATAAACATTCACATATCCTATCTGCTAAATGTTTCTGCCGATTTATCTCTTCATCTTTCATCTTTCGCCTTCCCTTTACCCTTAAATTTATATTATTTTGGAGGTGGTAGAACAAGTACAATGCCTCCTTTAGTAGCTAACGATTGTAAGGCCTTTGAGAATGCTTCGACTAATGTTGCTGCGGCGCAAATGCGCAACTCTTTAACCGAGCTTGCGGAGACTGTCAAGGATCCGGAGCAGAAGAAGTTGTTCGAAACTGAAATGGACAACTTCTTCACCCTCTTCCGCCGATACCTGAATGACAAAGCTAAGGGCAATGCTGTGTATGTATAACTCTTAACAAAGTAGCACCTGAGTTACAGAAGGACGAGTGCTAATACTGGATCGGTAGTGATTGGGACCGTATTGCCCCTCCCGCGCAGGGTCAGGTCGTCGACTACGAAGACCTAGCAAATTCCGAGTCCGTAGGATTCCTCAACAAGCTCGCCGTCCTGAAGTTGAACGGTGGTTTGGGTACATCTATGGGTTGCGTCGGTCCTAAGTCCGTTATCGAAGTTCGCGATGGCATGTCTTTCCTTGATATGTCCGTACGACAAGTCGAGTACTTGAACCGAACGTACAACACCAATGTTCCCTTCATCCTAATGAACTCGTTTAACACCCACGACGATACTGCCGCCATCATTAAGAAGTATGAGGGACACAATGTCGACATCCTTACCTTCAACCAATCGAGATTCCCTAGGATCTACAAGGACTCGCTATTGCCAGTTCCCAAGAGCATCGACTCACCGATCAACGAGTGGTATCCCCCCGGACACGGTGACGTGTTTGAGTCTCTATACAACTCCGGCCTCCTTGATAAGCTCATCGACCGCGGTATCGAGATTATCTTCCTATCGAACGTCGACAACCTAGGCGCTGTGGTGGACCTACGTATCCTACAACATATGGTCGAGACAAATTCTGAATACATCATGGAGTTGACTAACAAGACCAAGGCTGACGTCAAGGGTGGTACCATCATCGACTACGAGGGATCTGTCCGCCTACTAGAAATTGCCCAGGTCCCCAAGGAACACACCAACGAGTTCAAGTCGATTAAGAAGTTCAAGTACTTCAACACCAACAACATCTGGATGAACACCAAGGCCATCAAGCGCGTTGTTGAGAACAACGAGCTCGAGATGGAGATCATCCCGAACGGTAAGACCATCGCTGGCGACAAGAAGGGCGAGTCAGACATTTCTATTCTCCAGCTCGAGACTGCAGTTGGTGCTGCCATTCGCCACTTCAAGAACGCCCACGGTGTTAATGTCCCACGTCGCCGATTCTTGCCGGTTAAGACCTGCTCAGATTTGATGTTGGTCAAATCTGACCTGTACACTGTGAAGCACGGCCAATTACAACTGAACCCGAGCCGATTTGGTGGCGCGCCGCTTATTAAGCTTGGCAGCGACTTCAAGAAGGTATCGGACTTCCAGAAGCGTATCCCGTCAATCCCCAAGATCATCGAACTGGACCACCTAACGATCACTGGTAATGTCAATCTGCATCGCGGAGTGGAACTAAAGGGAACCGTCATTATCGTCGCGACAGAAGGCTCGACGATCGACATCCCACCCGGATCGATCTTGGAGAACGTGGTTGTCGAGGGTAGCTTGCGTCTGTTGGAGCATTAATCTCCGATATTCTCTCACTCTTATCGTTGTTGCAGTACTCCCGTACATTCTGTTCAGCGTTTGTTCCGACCCAAATGTTTGTCCGCAAACTTCATTCCCTCTTTCCTATTCCTTAAAAGGGATTAGCGATTTGGGGTTTTTATAGAGATAGCTAGCCGTAGTAAAGGTATCATGGGACGGATGTGGGAGATAATGATTGATGTTATGCACATGGGGCGCGTGTTGGAGCAAAAACGCCAGGAAGATAATGCGATGCAATAAAAAGGTATACATGTGGTATAATTCTGCCGAGTCTTCATTCGTTGAGTGATTTGTATGATGCTGTGTGATGATGACTGCTGATGATTACTTGCACAAGGAGGAGTGAGGCGGTTACCTAAATCATCTAATCGTATACGAGTTTTGCATTCTACGATTACTTCACTTCAATCAATGCATACATACCAAGGTACCTAGTAGGTATGTAAGAAGATTTGACCCTTCAAGAAAATCGGAGACTTCATTGATGTTGAGAGCTCCCAGTCATGATATGCGATGTGACTACCTAGATAATTGTGAGGGTTGAGTGTCTTACATGGTCCTGATCCTTTCACGGCTCTATATCCTTTGGGACACCTAGTATATAGTGGTTGGGTGTGTAAGTCTTCCTATTTTACTAGAAAGACTAAGACTTGCCATCACCCATCATCGCGCTGCTCATCCCATACGCCCCCATATTGCTCGCCTCCCGGAATTTCCCTTCTTGAATCGCCTCACGCCCCTTCCCGTTTTCCAAAATGGAAATTCATGTCGGTCAAGACAAATTTCTCCTAAGGGTCTGACTGTATCGTGGCGATTTTGAGTTTCATGGTCGCCGAGTATATTGAATAACTACCCGAAACTAGTTGAAAATCCCAGTAGCGCATCTGGGTGGCGTACTTAGTAAGGGTTGTGAGAATTCGGTAGTGAGCTTTATGCCTCATCTGACGGTAATCTCATCATCACCCTCCAATCATTAGGTATTATTATTCCTAAAATACCAACAACAGCTTATTAGGTAGTTCAAGAACCAACTTCACTTCCCCTTCTTCTTCATAGCCTCGGTACAAGAAGGGCAGTACCAGCGGCCCTCAGGTTCTGATTTGAGGCCCACGCATGTCCAGTGGAACCACTCGAAGGGACACGCGTTGTTGTCGCAGGCTACCATGTCGCCGTATGATACGTGCTGGCACAGACAATATTTCTTTCCTTCTTCGTCTTCCTCGTCATCCGATGCCCCAGAGCCTGCTGACGCGGACCCCCTGTCTGGCATCTCTTCATCTCCTTCTACTTTACTGTGAGTACGACGGTGTTTATGATGTAGGTGAGGGCGGGGAACAGGCGTTCCGCTCCCGGCTCGAGACCCGGCGCGTGACGATCGAACGGATTCAGCGTCGGAAAGCTCGCTATCTGCTGTCGATGCCGGGGATCCCTTTGATATCCCAGCACGTCTCACACGTGACAGTGTCGATTTCGAATTTGGTGGTTTCTTACGACTAACTCCTGCTGATGGCGTGCCTCTTCTCCCGGCACCTATACTTCCTGCTTTAGAACTGGCTCGGGGTCCTGCGCTCCCAGCCCTAACGGTTGCTCCTGGTGTTCCCGCCTTGGGTGTCCCTGGCCCGAGAGAAGAATGCCGAGCCAACCCACTCGATGCCGTAGGCAGACTGCCTAGGCCAGAACTCACCCGTGGCCCTCTCTTGGGGACACCACTTCCACTACAATGGTTTGTTAGTACTTATAACTTATGTATAGTTCTGTGAATCATCGGTATGAGTATTGGTAATGTGCCTTGGATCATAAGCAGAGACTACTGCAACAATGGGACGGGGGCTCCCAAAAAGTATTGAAATGGTGCAGTAGTTGGGGACACATAATGATTGTAAGGTTACTCACGGTCCAGCAGAGGACTCGCGCTGGTTACGGTTACTCATGATCATACTTGCGGCGGGGGACGTAGGTGCGGAATTGGAGATGTGGGTTTGCGATTGGGTTGTTCGGATTTGGGGGTTAGCGGCTCGCGAAGTCGTTGGAGTTGCGTTGGTCGAGATAGGATTGAGTGGCGTGATGTTAGACGTTGTCACGGATAGCCCTCGAAGACTGGGGTTGTTGTTGTTCGCGGCGCTAGGTCGTACCGTGGAGGGAAGTTCATCAGGGTCGGTGAAGCCGGGCTCTCCTCGATCACCTAGCTGTTTGATCTGCATGTCGAGATGTCGAAGATGCTTATCAATAAGGACCTTAGCCTTATGTGCCAGAGCAATCTTCTCCTCCGCAAGCTTATCGGCTTTCTCATAGTTATTACGGATGGTTTCGCGCAATGCCTGCTCTCGAGGGAAGGGCGCATGGCTACCGTTCGTTCGAATCCAGCGTTGGATCTTAGCGTCGCAGTCTTCGATAATCTTGATATGGTCGTTGAATAAACGGTCTTTGTATGCTATCTCGTCTTGGTAGAAGCGTAGTTCCTCGGGTAGGTTGGACGTTCGGTAGATAAAGTCTTCGAGGATGGCGGCCGGATCTTGGGCCTCGGCGGAGGGCGCCATCTTCTTCACAAAGTCTATAGAGAGGTCGTCTCTAGGCATGGTTGTTAACCTGGCCCTCTAAGCGGAGGCGCGCTTGAAGTGATGATGAGGAGTGTTTAATGAGGTGAACGACACATGCGCATGATTGTTTAAGTGCAAGGGGAGATCTGAAGAAGGGGGAAATAAAGGCTGAGACGAAATTGCTCTGAAATAGGTTGCAATGTCGTTTTGTTTTGTTGATATTGTTTTTTTCTGCCGTACTTGAGTTTGTACTGTGTTTTAATTGATTCTAAAGTTTGTTTTTGATTGCGCAATTGTTGCTTGTAACCTCGTCCCAGAAACAGTGCGCAATATTTGCTGGGGATCATAGGGAATGTGACAATAATGGCATGAGGGTTGAAGATTGAAAAAGGTTGAGAGATGGTTGCAAGTTGGCAATCACATGCATATTGATTTTTTTTTTCTGTAATAACGGTTGTGAATTCGAGCTGTGGCTCACCTTCCTAACCAGTTCCAAGAATTGATCTCAAAAATGTGTTCTCTCAAGTCAAGAACGACGCGATACAAATTTATGAGGACGCCACTATGAATACGTAAAGAAGGAATAAATTATGGCTTCTTTAGGCATTCGCTAGGTACGAAATGGCTTGCCACGGGAGGCGCAAACAGGAGTAGTGGTCCTAGTCCCCAGTGCCAATGTGGGGTGTCGTTTTCGAGTGGATGAAATTATGAAAGTGAATGATAGAAAGGAAGAAAACTGCTGAGCCAAAAATTAGGATGTAAACCAATAAATTACGTAATTCGGCTCGTCATCATATACCGGTCTATCAGTGTATAATCCTTAAATTGAAGAGTACTATATCCAGCATAATACACTAATTGAAGCGTTAGATCCAGAGACCTGTTTAGTAATCGGTCACGTGGCCATATTAGTAAGCGATATTTGTAGGTAATTTGAAGTTTGAACAGGTACAGATCTATGCATTCTTCTCTTCTCTTTTTTAACTAATAGGTCTCATTATCTGAATATTTATCAGGTAGGTAGGTACCTAATCCCAATTGAAATTCATACTTAAGAATGATGCCGGTGCAGTAAACTCTTATATAGGTATGTAATAGGTACTATACCATATCTACATAAGAGGCAGGTCTGCCATACAAAACATTACAGTAATTACTTTAATGCATCAGTCGATCTACATCAAAATTCAAATGCCTTGATCATTAGAAAAGGAAGGATATTATGTTGATATATGTCTTATGAACGGTGACGGTGAGTTGATGGCTGGAAACGGCTTCCATATCTAAATTCATTGCAGGGGATGTCTTTTGTTCGTTTGTCATCTTAACTTGACAGCCTAGGGCGTAGGTGGTGAGGCTGTTGACAGTCTCCTGAAAGGAACACAGAGCAATAGAAGATGATAGTGTAAGTCCTCGGGTTAGAGTTTGAAACAATACCGGTTAAGAGGTAGTCCTGTATTTGAATGAAGATGGGGAAATTACCCCAGCCAGAACAATGTCTTATAGATGCGCCATGGAGAGCCGCCAAAGTTTAAACTGGGCTTTGTCTGGCGGGTATCGAGTTCTCAAGGTACCCGGCAGCCCGAGTGGGTCACATAGCGCCGGAGCTGCGGAGGAAGCCACACCTATATCTGACACAGATCTAATTCGTTACCAATTGGGATTAGCGTCTTTAATTTTGCATATCGTTAGTGCGTTACAGTGGGACTAGCCGGTAACTACCGCGCTTTGGTAGTGGTACGGCTGAAAGTCGCCTTCATCCATCTTCAAACTTCGTCACAATTAACAACAATTTCATCGCCATTCGAAAAGACATCCTTCCAAGTGATAAACTACTTAATTTTTATGTTATAAGGGACGCCATTTAATTTTCTTCATCTAATGAGTTACGAGAAATCTTGACTGCCGATAGGCGACGCGCTCACTACTACCATCGATTTTTAACGTCTCCCTCATCCATCTTACTCAACCTTTGAAAATTATCATCCAGAGCAATAAATATTGTCGCGATTGTCGCGCGGGCGAACCATCACAGACACAACACTATTACTTTTTACAGTTTGAATATTCAAATTATTTAATCAGCAGCAGTACATCTGCAAGCTTTCACGATGGAAGTAGACCCGGCAAATCATTATTCGTTACGGATACCAAAACCCAACTACCTGCCTCACAAGGTCAATGTGGATCAGCCAGTGGTTAAGAAGTTCTACAAACCTTTAGATCGCCCAAGCGACCTAGAAAATGCCGCCTATCTCAACAAAGTCAAACGTTTCGCTCATGAGTATGGCATCACGAAACCTAAGGGCTACACCGTCTCATTTCACTATAACCCTGAAATGGAGAGACATCACTTCGGCCAGACACATCCCATGAAGCCTTGGCGCTTAACTCTCACCAAGAGTCTGGTGTCATCATACGGTATGAATTTCGCAATGGATAACTACACTGCTCGCGCGGCCACATACGAAGAGCTCACAGGTTTCCATACGGAAGAATACGTCAACTTTCTCGCCATGGTTGAGCCTCAGCCACTTCCACTTGACGTCGACAACTCTAGTCCAGATCTTAAGTACAATCTGGGAGGTAGTGACTGTCCACTTTTTGAGGGATTATATGACTATTGTTCAATGTCCGCTGGTGGTTCTCTAGATGCGGCGAGAAAATTATGTTCGGGACAATCTGACATCGCCATATCCTGGGGTGGTGGACTACATCACGCCAAGAAATCGGAGGCTTCAGGATTCTGTTATATCAATGATATTGTCCTTGGTATACTACAATTGCTGCGCGTCCACCCTCGAGTTCTTTACATCGATATCGACGTACATCACGGCGACGGTGTGGAAGAGGCATTCTTCTCTACCGATCGTGTCATGACGGTCTCCTTCCACAAGTACGACCCCATGGTCTTTTTTCCCGGTACGGGCGGCCTAGACGACAACGGCCCTAAAAGCGAGCATAATCCAGGAGCCCATCATGCCATCAATGTGCCTTTAAATGATGGGATTACCGATGAGCAATACGAGTGGCTTTTCAAGAGCATTATCTCACGATGTATCGAGAAGTTCAGGCCCGGTGCAATTGCTTTACAGTGCGGCGCGGACTCCCTAGCGGGAGACAGATTAGGTAAATTCAATCTGCTCGTTCAGGGCCATGCGTCATGTGTGGAGTACTGTAAAAGCCTCAATATCCCTCTACTCATGTTTGGTGGGGGTGGTTACACACCACGGAACGTTGCCCGTGCCTGGGCGTATGAGACAGCTGTGGCTATCGGACACAAAGAGACTATCCCTACGGAGATCCCCTTCCACACTCCGTGGCGCGAGCGATTCCGCCAAGACACGCTCCTGCCCACATTACAACAGATCTTGGGCGAGCCGCGCCAAAACAAGAATACTAAGAAGAAGCTCGATGATATTATAGAGCACGTCGGCGAGCAGCTACGATTCGTCGAGTCCGCACCCAGCGTGCAATTCTCTATTATACCACCTGATCTCGGACCTATCAGGGACGAGGTAGAGCAGCGGATTAAGGAGGAGATCCAGGAGAAGGATGAATTAGGGCGGAAGCTTCGGGAAGAGGCCGTCGGAGATCGCATGGAATTCTAGTTGCTAACAACAGTACACTATTTGACGACGAGCTCGGTTGATAAGCGCCTCGATTCTAACCGAAACGGTGCCTCATACTAAGGGACATTCGACACAGCCTGTCCAGGTATTCGATGCGAGCCTCGTCGTCAACGGTGACACGTCCTACTTAGATATAACAAGCAACGAATATTTGGGTCATAGCATTGGCTTCACATTGCATCTATCATCTGTTCGATTTCGTGATACCTTCATTCAAGGTGCCTTCATTCCACCTTGGAAATCTTAAACCCGCCCGGAACCCGTTCCTGGAACACTCCGGCTGGATCATACTTCGCCGATGCCTCTTTCATCCTTTTAATATTCTCCTCGCCGTAACTCTTAAGAGGGTCTTGAGATCCATCACAGTAATTGAGATACAGAAATCCAACGTTTTTGTCAAGCAGCGTAGCGTACGATTCAACCTTACTAAACATTGTTCTTGTTGCAGGTTCGCTAACTTTCTTAGACAACTCGGACGTTGCGACTTCGACTGCAATTACTAGCACGACGCAATCCTCCGTTACATGTTCGAGACCAAATATGTTGCTGCCCTGATCCACGGAATGTTGTGTCCAGGATGCCAGCAGTGGTTGGAAGACCATGTTGACGCTGAAGTTACTATCGGGGATGGCCTTTTTGAGGTCTGCTAATAAGGCCTCGTACGCGTCGATTGCTTTACGAATGACTCGACTGTCGAGCTTGAAAGTGATGGTCATCCAGAAGTCACTGACCGAGTAAGTTAGCTAAGGGGATCCGCTGTATCGTACATTAAAATCAAAGAACGTTTGACTTACTACCTCCCTGAAGGAAGAAGGAATTCTGCTACTTTCGTGGCCACTGTTGTCATCTTTTTTTCCTGTTGACCCGGGATCCTCAGAAAATTCTGGAAAGTCTCTGGGTTCTCAACCCCGTCGAGACTAGTAAAGACAACGTTTATGATGTGCTCTTGTGCATAAGGTACGAAAGCAAACATCATGGTGGCATGGCTATTGGCGTTTTTAGCAAGTTTCTTCGAGAAGTCGACATAAGCGTCAATGGCCTCGTCCGTATAAGTTGGCGAGATGATTGAACTCCCGTCCCAGATGTCGTGTGCCTTGAAGGTTTGCATGTCAAATCGCGTGACTATGCCGAAGTTGTTATGGCCTCCTTTTAGAACACGGAATAGATCCGAATTCATCGTCTTATTGGCCTCGATTACGCTTCCGTCGCCCAGAACGACTTCGTAGTTGACAACTTGGTCTGCATTGGAAAGTAGGTAAGTATCCAGTCCTATTCTCACAACACAAAAAGGGTATCACTTACCACAGCCCCACCCATAGCGACAATTATAAAAAGTCAATCCGCCACCAGTCAAGAGGCCCCCAACTCCGACCAAGCCTTCACGGCCACCAGCAACCATCATTCCGTCTGTAACATCAATTGTCAACAAATTCACATCCCGCCTGTTTCAAGTATGTTACCTACGCTTTTCCATATCTGCATAGACATTCCTCCATTTGGCACCAGGGAGTATTGACGCAAGCCTTGTCTTCGGATGATAAGTTGTTTCCGTCATAAGCCCAAGATCGATGGTGACGCCCTCTTCGATAGCATTACCAGCTCCTATATGTGGCATGTGGCCGCCACTACGCACGTAATTACCTATTAGCAATATGCAAGACTACTAGACATGGGCAGCTTGGGACTAACCTGCGGATAGCAAACTTGCAACCGGCAATTCCTACTAGAGCCTTCACGATCTTGGAGACCTCTTCCGTGTTTCGAGGCTGCACGATAGCCCAGGGTTGCTGACGAGATGTCAATGACCAGTATGACCCGACTCGTGCCTCGTATGCCGGGTGGCCAGGCGTGTATAGTACGTCCTCCAGGCCGGCCTCCTTCAGGCTAGAGATAGCAGACTCCATGACGGAAGCCATGATGATGGTTTTGTTAGGTTGGAAGTCGACGTATGTATGAATATGTGACGACGAACTCCAAGAACATCGCCTTGCCCATCATACCTTATATATGCCATACATACATCACCTCCATCTCGACCAGCTCGACGAAATCCTTGTCTAAGCCTATTTTCGGCCGAGCTATAGAATCGATAAGCAGTTCCGAGGCACCCAATGAAAACTTCCATGCTAATGATAGACTATCCCGGGAAGTTTACAAAGACTCGGACTAGACCTATTATATAAGTAATAAGCTTATGTCCGGTTCGATATAATGACCACCGGGATAAGCTCTAAGTAATCTCCAAGTAATGGATGGAGATAGACAAAACTTCCGGTATGTATCAGGGTCCTATTCATCTTGAGCCGCGAATAAGGCTTATCCCCGAGCATATGCGTGTATCGTATAGGCAGGCTACCTACCTAGTATAACGTTTAATCTAGCCCATGTACGCAAACTGAAGCTAGTCAATTTCAACAAAAGAGACTTGTCAGGGAAGTGGTTATAATACATGCTTAAAACGCGATAGTCAGAGATTGGCGAGTGACATCGCATCCAATAGTCAGCGTAACCACACCCAAAACCCTGCGATTTAAACTACCACAACCACCATTACCACCACAACCGTATATAAGTCTACATAGCAATACTGAAATAGCCTATGTAATTATGTATATGAGGCTAGAACGTTCTAATATGTTTCTCTTATAGAGGAAACCCGAACTGTGTATCGTGGAAATTTTGCAAGCTTCGTGTACAGACCTTCACCAGCTAGCGCTCTAACAAGCCAAACTTTTTGACTCAAATTTCTTCTTCTCGTTACTAGCGTGATACTATATATCAAATATTATCGAAGTCTTCTAACAGGTCTCGTGGTCTAGTTGGTCATGTAAGTAAACGTCTTCCCTCACTAAGTGGATCTCATATAAAAAATCCAGTCAAGCTAATATCTTCCCCACAGGGCATCTGTCTAACATCACGAACTTCGTGCGCGGAACACAGAAGGTCCCCAGTTCGAGCCTGGGCGAGATCATAATCTTTTTTTTGGAACTGCTATGGCTGTCATAAAGAGATCTTTCTGGGCCACCTATGGTGGGACTAGCATTTATTCTTGGGTTGACTATATAGGACCAGACATATCTAAGGAGTATGCATAACCTGTATGGATACTAGATCACCTGCTATACCTCCAACCCCCCTGCAGCAAACGGTCATGCTCAGTTCGGTACCGTTTTCTCGTAAGTTGGATAGTCTGTGTACCCAACACTACTCTTCTCCAGCGGTCCATAGAAAGTAGAGCGATCATACTTCGAAAGCGGCAAGCCGCGGCGGAGTCTCTCGACCAGATCGGGGTTACTAAGAAAGTATCGTCCGATAACCAAGGCATCGTAATCCCCTCTCTCCAGAACCCCCCAGGCATTTTTATCGTTCCACCCTCCTCCGGAGAAAAAGGGGGTATCGCCGAGTATCTTTCGGAAAGGCTCGAGGCTAATGTCCGGTAGGTCCCAGGAGTCGAGGAACTTCTGCTTCTCCTCCGCCGTGTATATCTGCTCGAAGCGCGGCTCGATGAAGCTGATGTAGGAGAGCTTGGGGTGGTTGGCTTTGATCTCCTTACATAGATGGCTCCATGTCTCTAGACGCTGCGTCCCCCGCGCTTGGTTGAAGAGGCCGAATGGCGATAGCCGGATCGACAGGTTCTCCTGCCCGACGACCTGGGAGAGCTCGTCCATCAGTTCTAGCACGAACTTGCAGCGCTTCTCGGGCGTTCCGCCGTACTCGTCTGTACGACGGTTTATGTTGGAGCTGAGGAACTGCTCGGGTAGATACCCGTTGGCTCCGTGGATCTCGACGCCGTCGAAGCCGGCCTTCTGGGCTAGTCTTGCGGCGTTGCAGTAGTCTTGGATTGTGCTTTTGATTTTGGGGATTGTCATCTCGATTGGAGGGTAATCCACAAGTTTGACTTGTTGAGTACTGTGGGGCGGAGGGTATGCTGTGATCTGAAGTTAGTAAATGTTGTTTTCATGGGATTAGGAGTTAGGGGCTTAGGGGTTTAGAAGAGTTTTCCATTTGAGGTTGAGTTCAGAACCATTGCTACTCTACACAATCTCTTTGATAGGTGTATGCGGTATATGAACTATGATAATATGTTCTAGATATTCTTACCATAAAAATCATTTGGGTCATCCCACGGCGTACTCGAGGGACACAAGATTGGGGTACCTGTCACACCAGACGTCAGACATATATGATAAGCTAACAGTGACATTTCAAGTTGCACATGAAGGTGCGGAGGTGAGATAGCCTGAAAAGTGGCGGACCTGTAAGCTGAGGAATATTTGCTCTCCCAGAATGCCATATCTGCGCATAGATATAGCCACCCTTGGCGTGGACGGCGTCAACGACCTTTTTCCACCCGTCTGCGTGTTCGGGGATGAACAGACCGGGCACTCCAGGCATACCATTTCCCTAAAACATCCATTAGAAATGATTTGAAAAGTACCTAGGTATATCTAAGGATTGTTTTGCTTTACTTCAAGTGAAGGAGGGATGGCCTCTGATATGATGAGTCCTCCTTCTGTAGCCCTCTGAGAATAGTACTCAACCATAAGATCATTTGGCACCCATATCCGATTCGGCTTTTCCGGAGTCGACTCAGAGTATGGTGTACCACGATTTCTAGTCAGCGGGGCATGGACAACACGGTGCTTTAGAGTGATCTTGCCATCGGCGATGGCTAGCGGTTGGAAAAGCTTAGATTGGGACCTGTCGGAAGCCATACTGATCTATAAGTAATTGGAAGTCTAAATTTATATCTTTATACTATCTAAAAAGATAATATATACATTCTAAGTCGAGTTTCCTTAAATACCTCCTCAAGCGTTCTAGGATAATAGTGCCAAGAGAGTAGTGTGCAATGGACCATGTCCCGAGAACGGAAGGGATATAAGCCTAAGATGCGCGTTAGTGCTACTAGTAACTTGCGAAGGTCATCCAATTAAGACCTTGAAAGTGATGACTTTACTATGGAGCGAACATTCAGTTAGACTTAATGCCGACGGTGATAATGGGGATAGTGGGGCCATAAGGTAAGAAAAGGGGCACCCCGTCAGCCTAGGGTTACGCGGATGGAGTGGATAGTTGCAACAGGACGAAGTCCGAGTGACGTTACGATGTACACCAATCGGCACATACCTAAATAACGGATCCATCCTATGTTGTATGCAGTTGGATCTTGGAAACAGGGGGATATTCGGAGAGCGGGCGGGTAAACTTTGATGAGATCAGAATGAATGAGTTTGAGAATCATTCTTCAGCAATCCAATCTCATGCTCAATGCATTACGTTAAAGTGTATAAGCACCTGTACTCTTGAATGTCAATTGATTCTTCCATATAAATACGATAAATACCTATATATTATAAAAAGAACTCCAAGCTCTCATTGCTGGCCTGGAAAGTCTTTGGATCCGATCTAGTAAATGGCAGATGAGACATCCGAGTCGTAAGCCAAATATTTCTATTCTGTACATCACTTTGGTATGCTCTGAACGGACTCAAAAATTAGTTTCTTCGATTAAATGACGAACAGCTCATGATATACATCTTGGAACTAGACATCAAGTGAGAATATGTTACCGTGTCATAACGCTAATATAAATTTTAACATCTGACTACATTTCCCTCATCACGTGCCTGGACCAAGCCTTTGTAGCTGGGGTGGTCCGTGTGTTGGGAATATCTTCAATATTTATTCGCTCACGTGACTGCAATTGAGACAAGAGAATTTTGCAGTGAAGAATCTACTGGTGATCATTCTGACAATCTTCACAACTTTAGAAATTAGATTTTTCATATTGGAATTATTCAAGTATACAATACCTATTTATTTTACGGGGTGTTAGCGGTTTGGGTTAAAAAATCAACAATTTTTTAAACCCTGGACAAATTTGACACACCGACGACACGCTATTGACGCGTTTTCAGCCTCACTTGAGGGACTCTCCTTTTTGTAAATGATATGTCATATTCTGCTCTATCGATTGGCCAAATTGGGTCCGGGAATTGTTCAGTTGTGGGTATTTGACTGATCCCCGACTGCTAGGTATTCACGAGAATCCCTGTCACCTAATGTTCCACCTCTATACGCGATCATAAAATTGATGACTTCTAATGATGTTGACTAAATGGATGTGGAAACTACATTGACTCTTTTCTACACTTGTAAAGTTAGAGTAGTGCAGCCACCTAACCGCTGAGCGCCATCGATGTCATGGCACCGTCTAACGACGACATTATCCTTAGGAATTCTAAGACGGAGCTGCTCGAAGCGATCAAAAAACTTCCATCACGAACTGAGGACTTGTCTAGCAGGCGCGAAGACTTCGAAGATCTAGTCCGGAAATGGACTTCCAGCGCCCGAGACGTACCGACTCATACTGGCGAATTTCTCTATTTGCTCAATAAGTCTTCGAACACGGACCTTTCCGCCGAGGGTTTAATAGAGGCTGATTTGGCGCGGTTCCGCTACTTACAGAGTCTTGAGTCTCGATGCCGTTTTAATGTCTTCATTGTCCAATTGGAGAAGAAAGAATTAGTAACCATTTATGGGGACTGCGCACATGCGTGCTTTGAACGTGATGAAAGTGAGGATGAAGATGATATTGACTCAGACCCAGGCAACATAATTGAAATTGATGACCTAGATTGGACTCTACGAATAGCGCTGTTTGACGGAACCCCCCTTAGAAAGCCATATAACTTGGGTGTGGATCCCCACGCTATGATAGAAGGCAACGTCTTCGAGGGCTATGATCCCGACGAAGACGAACGCGTTTATAGAAGTTATGGGGGTGATGAATACGAGGATGTCCGTCCTAACAATTCTCAGGCTCATACGTAATTTCGCTAACTCACCCAGATGTATCAATTTGCACGATATTATAAATCATCAGTTAGTATCATCGGAAAATGGATTGGCTTGAGACATTGACTAACGTTGAATTCTTCAAGGCCTTGCTAATGGTCCCTCAAGCTACGACCGTCACCTATTTTACACAGAACTCAAAAGCCCGTGACGACTATACAGCAGCCGACTTGCTTGAATACTTTTCATCAAAATGTGCTAGGTCCGGAGGCGACGACGGGTTTTTAAACACACTGACTAGTCTATGCAAGTTATTCTTCCCCCCGAAGGGCGTGAAGTCGAATAGCAGGATGGATATTCCCGAGCCTAGTATCGTCAAAATTCTCGACGCTGCGATAATATGTCAAAGCCAATATCTGTTCGATCTAATCTGTAACAATAACGAAGCCAACCTTTCACCTAAGTTCTTCTTGTGGGTATTGGCTAGGTTAAGAGGGTCTTCGATGCTACCCTTTACTACATTGATCTCCGCGTTAGTAACCTAACATTACAAACTGGGTTGATTAATACTAACTATGATAGTCTCGATCGGTCTATTTTCGCTCTAAAAACCCTTGACGAGCAATACAGCTTCATCATGGGGTTGAATGATCTTAGTGGCAGACTACCAAACGAATTAGAAGCGCACGTTCTCGGTCTTTTCGACAAAATGGTCAGTCTCTGTTACACGTCTTCACTATGCGAGAAAGATGGACAAGTTCTTGTCTGGATTGCTTGTCGTCGGGATTACGACTGGCTGTTGAAAACGTAAGTTGTCTTATAGTTATCACTTATTTCTCATGAAAATCTGACATTCGATACCTACCTAGTCTTGGCCCTCTCATGTATAAAAACTGCGAGAACGCTGCATTTACTTTGGGATTCTGTTGGGAGTTTTATGTTAAAGCTACTCGAAATGAACTGAGAGTTCCTGATTCATTCGCCTGGCTCAAAACTATCGTCAAATCCCTGGTTGTGCGACTTGATGTAAACCATCTTGTGAGCGTGGGTGGTTTTCGCTGTTGGCAACAGAACCAAGCTGCTCACGGGGGAAAAGATGGGAACATAATTCCACCGCCACCGCCGCCGCCAGTAACTAGCCAGACACTCATCAATTTGTGTATATTGTTATTGGACCTGAACATGGAAGAAGATCTTCGTGATCTGGCGAGGAAGCTCACCAACCAAAGTGGAAGAATCGTTCCATTTGAGCTCCTCAACCTCTATATTCCCTTCGCCGGCGGTCTTATGGACGTCCTAGAAAACCGATCAGTATCTCCCTTAGATCCTGTACTATCATCACTAGTTAGAACAATTGTTGTGGTATTTTGGAACCAATACGCTCTCCCAGGACAGCCGATTTGGAGAGGACCACGCTGCAAGGTATACTTAGATCCCTGTGGCTGTCGGGTTTGTACGTTGATGAAAGATAACCTTCACAACCCCAAGCTGGACAATTGGGTAATCAAGGAAAGCGAAAAGATGGCCCAGAGACATATTGGGATGGTGATTGCAAACTGCTGTTCACGGTCTCACATTTCCTTTACTAGCCAAACCAATGGAAAAGGGGTTATGACCTGGTACATCAGAAAGGTTCCTACGGAATACGACAAGGCCAAATCCGAGTGGGATAACCGGATGGCTAGTTTCAGGGCGCAACTAGCCAAATTCAATCAGAGGAAGCTGTTACAAGTGTTGGGAAATGAAGCCGATTATTTCTGTATTACTGGGAATGATCCATCCTGTTTTAAAACTCCGCAGATAAACGCCACGATGGTTGCGCCCTCGACGACTGCGCAGGCGCCTCCATTGGCTCGTACACCAGGACATTCAGAAGCCATGTCTCAAGCTGCATTGCTACCACCCGGCAATCTTCGTGGGGGCACATCATCACATCAAGATCTACAGCCTCTTGTTCACGATGGTCTCCCTTCTATGACAGAGACTTCACAAATACCGATTTTCGAAGACCAACCATCATGCTCTCTAGCAAATCACGGACTACCACAGCAACCCCCGGTTATCAATGCATGGCGTTCGGGTATGCCACCTCCCGCGGCCCATCCGGGTGTGCCGGCCCAAATACCCACACTGGGCTCGGTTCATGAGCAGGGCAGAATGGTTCAGATGAACCAACAGGGCCAAATACCGCACTCCCAATTTCCGCCGGGGCGACCGCCTCTTGCGTCATTCCATCAGAACTTGGCTTGGAGCTCGGGACCGAAGCTCGGTCAGAATGGGGAGGCGTCTGCGGGCGCTGGGCTGAAACGCGAGCGAGATGATGATGATCTTTTATTTCTTGGCGAACGACCGGTGAAGAAATGATATTAGAACTAGGTGGTACATAGAATGGTATTGGATGATTTTGTATCTTTGGCGTTGCTATTCGAATACTAGGTAATTTTTTAGTTTTGTCGACCCGGAGTACGTTTGGAAAATGAGCTACTAATTAGACTCGTGGGATAGACATTATAATCGCTGGAATATAGGTCATATAGAATGTCTTTCGGTACGAATACTACCAATTTAGACTGTCCGAGTGTAATATAAGTCTATTCAAATTCATATACTCGTCATCATTCTATCAGCAAGGTACTCACTTTCTTTTCTCTACCTATCTTGAGGTCTCATCCTCATGAGTCGTAAGCCGTAATCATTTGCCCATCAATTCGCGGGCTTAGACAGTATCTTCTTGTTAACCTGATCAGCACTCTCACAGCACTCCTCGATAACCTTCCAGAAAAGCGGAATATCTAAGCCGCGGGGTATGCGAACACCCTCACTTCCGGGGGGCAACAGCTTGACAATAGTGCGACCCGTCTGGGTACCGCGTTCCTGAGCATCCTCAAGTGTACCCTCTGTCACGACTTCAACCGAAAAGCGCTCTTTCCGATCAGCACCCTCAGGTTTCCTAGCATCGTAGTCGTAGAACGGGATCTCATATTCCGTGCCCGTGAGTATCGCCGCCACCGTCAACGGATCATGTAGCGGCGGGCCTTCCGTAATACCAAACTTATCCCTAAACGCCCACAATTCTCAGTCTTCACCAACCCACACACGCAAAATGGGGGATTCTAACTCACCGATAAGTCCCCGCAAAGAAATTCAACAACTCAACCAACATAACCCTCAAATCCGACCTGCCCCTCCCCTCCCTCGGCCTGCCCTCCCTGCCCCTCTCAGTCGGCGGTCCATACAGCAACAACTCCTGCACCTCCTTCGTAGCAAGAACCAAATGCGTTAAATCCAGGGGAATCAGCGTCGTCTTCGCCGCCAACACGGGGTTATGGAAAACCGCTGCCGCCGCCTCGGGGTCAATTAGGACATTGAACTCCGCCCACTGGGTGTAATTCCCGATCCGCGGCTTCCCATCCACAACGCCCATCACCGCGTCCGTGAACCCGTCTCCCACACTGCCCCCCATCACCGTCAACCCCTTTACTTTCGCGACTAAATCCGGGTTCTCGGCGAACAGAGCCGCGACATTCGTCAGCGCCCCAGTCGCCGCGATCCACACTGTCCCAGGCGCGGCGTCGCGCAGCGCGGAAGCCATGGCGGTGATCGCGCTGGGGTGCGTGGGGGAAGTACATGTCGCGAGCCGGTCCGGCGGAGGAGGGGGGAGCAGCGTTGTGCCGTCGAGCCCGGAGGCCCCGTGGATTTCGGTGGCGTGGACGGCGGGGCGGACGAGTCCGCGCGCGGCGCCGGGGTACACGGCGATAGAGTCGTGTTTGCCGATTGCGGCGAGCACGGAGAGCGCGTTGCGCGTTGTTTTGTCGAGGGAGGCGTTGCCGTGGACGGTGCTTATCCCGAGCAGCTTGATGCCGGGGTGGTGGGCTGCTAGGAGGATTGCGAAGGCGTCCTGGGGGGTTGGTTAGTTGTTTTCGTGCGTGTAAGTGTGGTGTTTAAGGTTGTGGTATATGATCTTGTGTGATATGATATGGGAGGATGTAGTGTAGGAGGTGAACTCCGTGGGGGTTTCCGGGGTTGCCGTGCCGGCGGCGTCTGGGTAGCAACGTGACGCGGAGCCGAAGCCGGCCTAAGCCAGAAACACGGGATGGATCCGCCAGGATGCTACATTGCGGCGGCGGCCCCGACGTAAGGAGTACCATGGCATCTTGTTTGGGATATTTCATGGTTGATTGGTTGGGAAAAAGTAATGGGTGAATTCAAACTCACATCGTGACCTGGATCGCAGTCTAGCCAAAGTGGGACGGGCTCCGACATATTGATATGATGCCTAGGTCTATTCTAACGCGATAATTTAATGCAATGATAAGATATTGGGTAAAGACGTCTACCAATATTTTAGGACTAGCTTCTTAGAGAAATCAATTGATGTTGAGATTTATTTAAAAGTGAAAGTTGTTTACGAGAACTTAAAAGTGGAAAATAGTTGGACAAGTCAGCGGTGGGCAACAGCGGGCAGTGATATGCGATATGCTTTTCTTTGTGGGACTTGGCTGGGAAAGTTGGCGCATAGCCCCTTTTCCATGGAGGGGATTAACAAGCCTACGACCTAATAAATTAGCACATCACATCCATGGATACATGTGGAATAATGTAAATCAGAGAGAATGGCCAATTTACAATTGTTATTATCTATGATCTGACTAAGTGTAGAATTATTCCGCAGCTCGGCGTTTCTCAATCACTCGTAACACGTCCGCAGCATTATTACCGTCTCCCTTCCGCTTTTTGGGAGCTCTCTTGCGCTTAGGGCCACCTCCCCCACCGCGACCATCCTCGTCGTCTTCACGTCCCCATTCTGATAGCTTAACTGTTTTATCTTCGAAGTCCTCTTCGTCTTCGAACCTACTCGTACCGAAGCCCATATCCATATCCTCCGCGTCGCGGTCGTCCGACTGCAATAATTTCTTCAGGCGCTCCGCCTTAGCCCTAGCTTCTTCATCCTCCTCGTCGGTTGGCTTGGGAATTTGTTTGAGAGATGCGGCCCTCTTGAAAGCAGCTTGTATTGCCGGATCAGACATAGAAGGCGCCTTGAGTGTTTCTGATGATATCAATCCCGTCTTAGAGTCCTTGAAATAGTTCCGCGGTTCTGTCGTGGTTGGACGAGGTGGAGGAGGCATAGCAATATTGTCTTCTTTGCCAACTTCAGGCGGTTGTGTTTTCTTCTCGCCGGCTTCTTCGTCCTCGGAATCCTCCTCTTCCAGTCCCGCAAGAGGATCGTAGTCATCACCGACATCATCAAAAATATTAACATCCTCATCTTCTGGTTCTTCGGCCTGTTTCCTATACTGCTCCGGAACTTCCATACCGAGTGGTTTGGCATTTTTATCAGGCATCATATCCGCAGCTTTCGGTGTTTCCTCGATCGCAGGTTGAGTCTTTCGTATTTTACGCTTCTCGTTGCCGTCCTCATCCACCACGATTAATACCTCTCTACCTTTGTTGTCTCTCTCTATTCTCGTTCCGGGAGTCTTCGCGCCAATCCTCTTGAACTTTGAGCCCAGACCGGTATCTTCTTTTGCTTTCGCAGCTTCCCTCGCAACCTTCATCTCGGCTAAAATTTGGTCTCTCGTTCGCTTCTTCGATGGATTTAGCGGAGCGGTTGATAATTGACCCTTCTTTTTAGTTTTCTCCTTCGTGACTGTGGTGACCTCTTCTTCTCCTAGTTTGTCTAGCTCTTCGTCAAAGTCGGCTTCTTCCTCGGAAGATTCCTCTTTCGCGCCTTCTCCACCGTCGCCATAGACATCTTCCCCCTTTCGTATTCGCTCAAGTAGTTTAAAGTCGAGGCCTTTTATCAAATGCGTGCTGGAAAGATCTCCGCCAGCAATCTGACTCCGGAGCTTGTCGAAGGTTTCTTGATCAATCTCTTCCTTCTTCAAAGACTCTTCTAGTGCCTTTATTCGCGCTGCTCGCTCATCTTCTTCTTCCGCGGCCCTATTTCGAGAACGATCGACGTACCCTTCTGCTAGTTTGCTGCCTTTCGGATCATACGACTTAAATTTTTTAGGTTGCTTCTGACCCTTGTTTTGGTCTGATAACTGTCGCGCGAAATCGGGTTTATGGAAGCCAACTGAACGCCTACATTAGTTAATAATGTACGTAACTAAATATGATTAGTACTAGACTTACGGTGTCATGGGTATACTTGATTTCTGCCTAGAACCAAGTGATACTCCGCGCGGAGTGGCTGCACCTGGAGACGCGCCATTGCGATCCGCGGAAGGCTTGGGGGTGTTGGCACCGACAAGGCGACGAAACTGTTCGTTGTTCATTGTTGTACTCTTTCGGTGAATACTAGATGGAACGGATACGAAAGGACAGATAGTTCCGTCGCGCGACTCTGTCGTCAATGTGCAAGGCTAAAACGATTGAAATAAAATAAGGTCTAGATAGGTACTTAGGTACGTAATAGAGGCTTGCTAAAGTCCGAACTTGGAAGCCTTCGTGCTTTCTGCTTATGTAAGAGAAGTGATAAGATAACGGACATGGCTTCCCGGACCCACTAGGAGTTCTGGGGTGATACGCTAACTGTATTAGGTTTAATTGAAATTAGTCACGGGATGACGTGACATTACCCGCGCTGTCCGCGTCTTCTTTAATCAGCATCATTCTACAACGCGTTTACCGCTCGAGACCATCCTAGCTAATATTCGTAATTTTTTGCATCTATCTCTTTCGGATTCACCGGAGAACCCAAGATCATATTCTAACTAATGGTCATTATCACCACGATTGTATTATTTCCAAGATGACCTCCCATCGAAAGATCGCCACAGGCAATCGAGTAGAAGTTATTTTTAAAATAAGAGATCATATTCTTTGATGCTGACGGCAAAATCTTGTCAAGATGGGGAGTCGCCTAGAAAATAACTCGAATTCTGTGCGAAAGCGCATAGAGAATCACACTTTCTCAGATGAAGGGGGCGACGAGTACGAACCCAGCGCCTTCGGAGGGTTTGGGGATTACTTTCGTCGCAAGAAGATCAAGTTGCAAAATCTTGATTCCGAACTACGAACCTCATCGACCGATAAACCTCAGATCTTCAAAGGAGTAGTCGCACATGTAATGGGTTATACACAACCATCGCTCCAGGTTCTCCACCATGATTTAGTACAACATGGAGCCGGGTTTCTACAGTATTTGGATTCCAAGACTATGGCGACTCATATCATAGCGTCGAAACTACCACCGAAAAAGATGGTTGATTTTGGCAAGTACAGGATAGTAAAACCTGCTTGGGTAATTGATTCTATCAAAGCCGGAAAACTTCTACCATGGTCCGATTACCGAGTGATAGAGGAGACCCCCAGACAGAAGACATTGAAAGTAAATGGCAGTGGTATATCTACTCAGTCAAGCCCATCTCCGCTGGCAGGATATCGAGAACAAACCGAATCAAGTTTCTACACAAGTCAGCTGAAGGATATTGCGCAGTCTATCAATGGGAAGCATCTTGGGGATATTACACCTAGTCGACCAGGGCCGGTTGACAAAATAGCTCAGAGGGTTATGTCTAGCGAGCCTATGACACCGGAGGGATTACTTCAGGAGTCGCGAGGCTCGCCAGGAATATCCGATCAGTCGGATGAGGACACGGTGATGATGGTTGATTTTCCAGATTCTACACCTGATACTTCCAATAAAAGGCCAGGTCACCAGAGCAAAGATGATATGGAAAATGAGGTTCAAACTGGACGATCAATCGAAAAACAAAAGGCAATGACTTCCGAGGAACATAACGCCATGTTACTACAAGATCCTCGAATGAGGAAGTCATCGACTGCAAATCCAGATTTTATACAGCAGTATTACTCGGAAAGTAGACTTCACCATTTGTCAACATGGAAAGCTGAGTTAAAATCAAGAATGCAAAAGCTTGCTGCTGAGAAGGGCGCTCAGGGAAAGCCAATAAAAAGAAAAGCAGGCGCAAGGCGATACGTGATGCATGTAGATTTTGACAGCTTTTTCTGTGCGGTCTCGCTGAAAAGCGCACCGGATTTTATTGACAAGCCCGCTGTTGTCGCACACGGAACGGGAGCGGGTTCGGAGATTGCCAGCTGCAATTACCCGGCGAGAAAGTACGGTGTCAAAAATGGCATGTGGATGAAGCGAGCTAAAGAGCTATGTCCTGAGCTCAAGGTGCTCCCGTACGATTTTCCAGCGTACGAAGAAGCCAGCAAATCATTCTATGAATGCATCTTAGAAGTCGGTGGTATCGTGCAGAGCGTCAGTATTGATGAAGCTCTTGTGGATATCACCTCAATTATACTATCTGCGGTCGGTTCCGACGGCGTTGGAGTCGATGAAGGTAGTATATGGAGAGAACAGGAGAAAGCAAACCAGATGGCCTTAGCTTTACGAGATCAAGTCAAAGAAAAAACAGGATGTGCAGTTTCCGTTGGAATAGGCGGTAATATCCTTTTGGCAAAGGTCGCACTTCGAAAAGCAAAACCAGCAGGTCAATACCAAATCAAACCAGAAGAAGTACTGGACTTTCTTGGGGAGTTAAAGGTCGATAGTTTGCCCGGAATTGCTTATAGCATAGCCGGCAAGCTAGAGGAGATTGGGGTGAAGCTCGTAACCGATGTTCGACAGACTTCTAAAGAGCGCCTTATCAACACTCTAGGACCGAAAACTGGCGAGAAGCTCTGGGAATACGCTCGTGGAATAGACCGAACGGAAGTTGGCGAACAACCAATACGAAAGTCGGTTTCTGCTGAAGTCAATTGGGGTATACGGTTTATTAACCAAGAGGAAGCCGAGGAATTTGTGCTCAACTTATGCAAAGAGTTGGAAAAACGACTGCTCAATGAGCAGGTCAAAGGCAAGCAGCTCACGATGAAAATCATGCGACGCTCATTTGATGCACCTCTTGATCCGCCGAAACATTTAGGTCATGGCAAATGTGACACTTTCAACAAGAGTGTTATGTTTGGTGTTGCGACTCACGACTACAAGGTGCTAGGAAAGGAGGCTGTTTCAATCCTCCGTTCTTACAAGTTTACCCCCGGCGACCTGCGCGGTCTAGGCGTACAATTGACCAAATTAGAGCCAATCAAGTCTTCATTATCTGGTCTCGATGGAAGCCAGAAGAAATTGAATTTTGGAGCCTTTCGTACTCCTGGTTCAGCAAAGAAACCGGCCTTAGAGCCAATCCAAGATGGCATCGGCGAAGAAGAGGCGAGTTCGAAACAGAATCGACGTGATTCGCAAGATCCTATCACCGATGGACCCTTAACGCCGCGTAAACCAAAGCCAGACGCTCGCCATCCAGCATTCACGATATCTCGAGCAAGCGAGAATGACGTCAGGGCAAATACCCCCTTAAATATCGCGGGGACTCAATTTATTATGCCATCCAACCCAGATCCCGCCGTACTTGCAGAACTCCCACCAGATATCAGAAGCCGGCTTATGGGACAAGGTAGCAGAGCCCGCGACGAAGCACAAACACCAACAGCCAAATCCCGGGACCAAAGCCCAATCCCTGCAAGCGAGATCCCACCAGAGATTGACCCCGAAGTGTTCAACGCCCTACCAGATGACATGAAAGCAGAAGTCCTAGAACAATACAGACCCCGAAGCAGGCAGCAAAACCCGCCCCTCGCCCCTCAATCCCCGCGCAGAGACCGGGCCATCCAACTGCCCAAGCAAAGGACCCCAACCAAACGCCGCGTAGCCGGCTTATTCGCCCGCGTTCGCGAGCGCCAAGCCGATGCCAGTGCGAGGATCGTCCAAACCACCATCAAGCACCAGCCCGAACCCCCGGAGATCGGTGACCTAGACCCGACCTTCCTAGCCGAACTACCGGAAGAAGTCCGTCGGGAAGTAATCGCAGACCACCGTCGCTTGCGCGCACAACGATCAGGCCTAGACCTACCATCCAAACATTCCCACAACAACAACAAAAAGCCAGACGCAGACGCAGACGACAACGCCGCCTTACCCGGCGGACAGACACGCCTCCATTTCGGACCCAAGCCTGTGAAGATAGCGTTTACGACGAACGGACTAACGACCTTGCCTGAAATAAGGGATATGTTAAACGTATGGCACCGCGAGACCCGAGACGTAGGCCCGCATAAACGAGACGTGGATATGTTAGAAAAGTACCTAGTCCGTGTCGTGGTGGAAGAGAAGGATATGGATAAAGCATCGAAACTAGTCAAGTGGCTCGATTATCTAGTAGAAGACAGCAGCGACGAGCTGGAGTACAGTGGGAAAGAAGCCTGGCGAGAGGTCGTGGGACATATTAGGCAGGAAGTGCAGAATGCGGTGAAGTCGAGGGGGTTGGGTCCACTAGATATATGAAGGTATTTATTTTATTGCAAATAACTAAGTGGTTTATTCAACAACTTGAGGCTAAGCATAGTATTATCACGATCGAGACGACGAGAGATGAAATAGCATAATGATGAGACTGGGTCTTCTAATATTGATAGCGTTGTATTCAGGCAATTTAGGATAACGCGGATGGATGCTCCCTCCATATCCATTATTCAACACCTCCCTCTAACTCCATGCAACGGGCTCCTCCGCCCCGAGTCTCATATGTAGGTAGGTTTCTTCACGACAACTAGCTCTTAAAGGAACGACTCTATAACACCAACGTCCACCGAGGTTATTAAGACTTCAATGCCGACTCGAACAAATCCATAGGATCTCAACAAAAGAAACAAACAGCAGAAACCACCTCTTTCCTCACATCTACCCCCACTCACAAGCATCCCATGCCGAGAACAAAAGTGACCGCCACAACCACGAGGCCTACGCCCACAGCCTGTGCAACAGCCTCGCCCACCGGCGCCGGTTTTTCAGCATCACTCGTCTTTGATCCTCCCGATATTACGGGCGCACCACTTGTTTTTGATCCTCCTGAAATTACAGGTGTTTTCGATCCTCCTGATACTACAGGTGCTCCGCTCGTCTTCGGTGGCTCAACGGTTCCGGGATTGCCACTTCCTGGCTTGTTGCTGTCCGGGGATGTGGCATTGTACAGCGTGATGGCGAGATGTCCTCCGCACACTGTTGAATTGGCACCGTCGCACTAGAACATGGATTAGTCGATTATTCCACTTTCTTCACACGTCTAGCTTTGAAAAAAGAGGATTAATTGTAAGGGGTAAGGGTTGCGGAGATATACGTACAGGTGTGTCACAAGCACTTTCCGCGAGGTGCATACTCCTCAACGACAGGTTATCACCGCACCAGCACTCGCGGGCGTACTCGAGGCCGGCGTACTGCCAGCCCTTCTTCTCAGGGTGATTGTGGTTGTATGAGTGGGCACAATAGTTGATGCATGGGCTCACTTGCATCTGGCCGACCACGGTCAGGTACACGCCGTCTAGAGCCCGGGTGTGGGGTGTGAGCTCGGTAGTCTCGGACCAACAGCCCGCGTAGCGGTACTTCGCATCATCGTCAATAATGCGGAGGCCGTTGGGCCCTTCTCGGGTGCCATCACGGCTGTTGTTCCCAGGCACGGGGGTTAGTGTTGGGACGACTCCTGATTCGGTTAGGTCTGGTGGTGGGAATGAGTTGCCCTGGCAAGAGGAGAGGGGGCTGCTGGCGAGCAGCGTAAGGAGGCTGAGAGTGCCAGTAGAAAATGCGTGTGGTGCCATTGTTCTTAGGGGGGTGTCAAATATACAGATGGATTAGGAGTCGTTGTATATTCTACCTTGCCTCTTGGAGATCCTTGAGGCGATGGGGGACTATCGTCTTGTCTGAGCTACTAGAAGCTGGATGGATGGATATGTTGACTTTTAGAGCAGCGTATCTTTAGAGAGAAACCTTGAGACGAGAAATTATTGATTATTGGAGCCCTAGTATGAATGCTCACGATATAACGAAGCTTTGAAGCAAAATTGTGATAATAACAGCAATGATGATAGCAACGTAATCGAATTCTAGAATAGTAACGTTTGTTGTGAACGAGAGGATGGAAAAAAAACGCAGACATCCGAAGAGGAGAAATGAACGTACAGCTTCCTTCGCCGATTTGCTCCTGCCAATTGATAAATGGTGTATGGCAGGAAGCGGGCGTGTATATAAGTAAATGGGGCCGTAGAGAGCTGTGAGAAGCAACGACGGGTCTATATGGGTGAAGATAACTTCATAATATTGAGTAGCACATTCCCCGACATAACATTTACACCTACCTACCTAATTTACATGTGAATTTCGCAAAGGAGGCAGGAGCCTCTCGGGATATTGACAACCTACCCCTGAATTCCATTTATAGATAAGGGATGAAGCTGCCTCTTGTTAATTATAATATATGCCAACAGTAAAGGGATCTATTATGTCAAATGACAGCTGGACAATCGTATAAACACTAATCTACCTCTACCTATATACGTGAGTTTTTATACAAGACAATCATCCGTACCTAGACATCTATGTAATAGCTACTTGGCATGTTCATCTCTATCAACCCAGCTCCCCACTAATCTCATAGCTTTCTCGTCGCCATTAACTAGACGTTCATCTTGTAGGGCATCTGAGAGGCATCTCCACGGATCACGACTACCTCCCCACTTGAGAAGGTTCTCTTTCAGTCTCTCGCCGTTAGCCCGGTCGAGAGCAGCGCCGTTTTGGCCTGCCGAAAATACGACGTCCCACACGCGTTTCGAGAGCACCTGGTCGAAGAGGTAACTATAATAAGTGCTACCATAACCGAATAGATGACCAAAGAATCCTTGCCATCTAGTCCCTTGTGGGTCAGGCGGAAGTTTGCCGAAATTCCTCTGAAGGTCGAGATAGATCTCCGTCGAGTCGAAACTTTTTTCATTTGGCAAGGATGAATGGTATTGTTGATCTAGCATAGCGAGTATGATTTGATTCTCTCTATCTGAAGCCTCGAATCTTCTCGCAATATGTAGTTTATCTACCACCATTTCATATGGCAACGGTTCGTCAGTGATATAATGTCGCGCAAATAAGCCGAGAACAGACGGGTCGGCGCAGAAATGTTCCATCAATGTCGAAGGCAGCTCCGCGAAATCAGTTGCGCATCGAGTTCCCGCCACATTTTGTAAAGAGGTCCGTGCTAGAACAGAATGGATAGCGTGTCCCATCTCGTGGAAAAGCGTTTCCATCTGATAATAGTCTAAGAGAGCAGGTTTATTCCGACCTTTATTCTCCTCAAAGTCGCACACAAGTGCAATTGTTGGTAGCTGTTTAATTGTGCCTGATGATTGTGACACATGCATCCCGTCATTCGCAGCGTCGATAGGTGAATCGAATTGAGGGAGCTCCTCCGCATAATCATCTTTTCGTTCTGCTGCTTCCCGAATTTCGGCTTCCGAAATCTCTCTAGAGCAACGCACGGTGAAATGGGCCGGATTAGGGGACTTATCAGGCCGGTAAAAGAGATCGCAGTAGAGGACAGCAACGTGTCCATCGGTATCAGACACAACATCTAGGCGTCTCACATCCGGATGCCATGTCTCCCCCGCTAGCGTATCCCGAGGAACCAGCCTGATTCCATATAAACGTGTAAATAATCTTGACAACCCCTGCATTACAGTCCCTAGTGAGAAATAAGCCGACAGGAAATCGTCATTTTTTCGTCGTGATCTCATAGCTAAACGTATATTCGTCATATAATAATCCCTATCCCACGGTTGAAGATCTGTTACCGCAGATTGCAGCTTTTTTCTCTTCTCCTGGAGTAGAACCGCGATCTCTTCTTCGACAAGTGGCTCGTTGCGCTTAGACAGGGCTAAAAGGAACTGATGAACGGACTCCGGAGTTTTCGCCATCATCTTATCATGAAGTGCCATTTGCCCATAACTTTCAAAGCCAGAAAGCTTCGCTAGTTCAGCGCGTGACTTTAACATGGCTTCCAGCAATTGAATAGATTTGCCAGACGCAGTTCGAGTTGCATAGTAAATCGCTTTCCTCGTATCCTCATCGTGGACATTTCTGAGCGCCACCGTGGCTTCGGGCGCCATCGTCTGCAGGCGAACCAAACCCCCGCGGGTGCGTAAGCGGGCTATTTGGGGGTCCAAACCATATACCTTGCTACTTGGGAACTCGATGACCGTCTGTTCAGGGTGCATGTACTCGACAAAAGCTGAGCCCAGTTCACTGATATGCTGCGATAGGTCGACGAACCGATCTCGTAACTGTTTGGGAAGATGTATTGCCGACTTCATAAAATCCTGTTGCAACAATTTCGCGACCGTCCGTTCCTCTTCATTCCAGCTGGCCATTACTTCCGGGTTGGCGAGAGCCACTCCTAGCTGATTGCTAAGGCCCGTCTCAGTGTTCAATTGATTCATATATTGATAAACCAACGACCACGCTTCGGATGCGGCGTCTTGTATCTTCGAATCGGGATGGGTAACTCGTACAAAGTCGGATACATCTAAAACACGGCAGAGAAGATCGCTCAGTCTATCCAGGTCCCGAACGATGGCCTTATAATCCTCTAGAGTTGATGCATTAAGTACTTTATCAACCACCTTTTGCGCTCTCCTCACCGTGACATCAGCAAATATAAGAAACCCTTGAGGCGTTGTTAAATATTTATTCCTGAACAACCCTACGTTTTCGCGGCTCATAACCTTGAGGATAGGTTTCGTAAAGTCTTTGAACGTTGGCGGGGAGTCGAATATCTGGCGCAACAGAGAGTCGTCATGCTTTAGATCGGTAGAATGGTCGATCGGTATATGTGGTGTATCGACTTGAGTAGCAGCACCAGGCGCGGAAGAGAGCCATCGTCTTTGATCTCGGACCCGGAGTCGAGGGGTTTGTCGGAGACATCTTGAGCAGGTCCAAAGACCTGATCGCACTGTCTTTATCATGACGTATAGAACATTATTAGGGACCTAGCTAGGTGTATAACCAAGCAAAGTCGCCAATTAATATTACAAGACGAAAAAAAGTTGTAAAATCTATAAAGGCGATTTATTGCTTAGGAGCATTTTTAAGAAACTTAACCCTCATCCATTGAAATTGATTGGAAATTGCAAGTTGCCGGTCTACCATCTACGTCAGGTACAACGATAAAGTTTGGCCGAGGGGCCACCGGTCCGGGAATCGCCGCGAAAAAAAAGGTACCGGAATTTTAGTAACGGTACAGAGTACGTACATCATCGTTGCAGTCTGGTCCTACCCAAATTAATCCTCAAGCTCTAAATTCAATATTTAATACTTTTAATACCTCGACAACAGCCAACGTCAATTGAGCGCAACATGGCTGCGAGAGTGCTGCTGCGACGGGTGAGATATTCTTCTAAGGATGATATACAACTAATTATATGCTGACAAAATAAAAAATGCAGCGTGTCGCCGCGCCTTTCATGGCCGCAACTCTGGTCGGAGGAGCTTTATTTCCCTCGGTTGCGCTGGCTGAAGCACCATCACACGACTACGTACGGCCTAATTCCCTCTACTTATGAATCAACGAGCCCGTTATTGACACCACAAATCAACAGTTCAACAATAAAAAGCCTATCTACGACGACTTCGAGACCTTCCTCCCTCCAAAATCCAGCAAAACCCCCGTCCCCTCCCCGGCCTCAGACACCATACCACCCGCCTCATCACCAGACTCGCTCCTCCTCCCCGAGCCCAAACAGCACAGCCCAACGCCTACGGACAGGCTAGCAGTCCAGATAGGCAAGGCGCGGCTATTCCTATACAGGTACGCTACCGTGACCGAAGATGCCGTCAACAATACCATCGATGCAGCCTTCGGACTCGAGCGATCCTTCACCGAGACCGTAGCCTCCCTCGCGCCCTCCCGCGAGAGCGGCGAGAAGCTAATGCCAGGACTTGTGTACGTGCTCGTAGCGTCGATGGCCGGCAGCATCGCAAGCCGAAACCGGAACATATTCCTACGAGCCTCCATCCCTCTAGCCTTCGGCATCGGCGCTGGCTGGCTCTTAATTCCCGTCACCATGACCAACGTATCCGACCTACTATGGACATACGAGCGACGGTTCCCTGCTCTAGCCGACGCGCACCTGAAGACGAAGCAGGGTGTTCAGGATGCGTGGCGTTTCGCCAGGGTCCATGTTGACGTGGGCAAGAACTATGTGGATGACAAGGTTAGCGATGCCCGGGATATCGTCGAGGGATGGGTTAGGAAGGGTAAATGAATGGGGAAGAGGAATAGAGAGGATGGTGTTCGGTGGAACGAACGCTTCCTTGTACTATAGATCAATGCATAATAGACAAACTTTGCTTGGTTCGAGGTTTTGTGGGAGATACCTATGTAATTGATGTCAAATAAAAGTGAGAGCATATTTGAATTTTGAAACAGAAACATCAGACAGGTTTTGTAATTATAGACGTAGTTGACTTCGCATTTTTCAAACGTAAATCGTAGAGACACGTGCGTAGTTCATTCATCAAATTGAACGTCTTAAGCCATTATATCCATACCTAGGCTACAGCCGATTAAGCCAAAGCCAACGTATACTATGCAAACTATACGCATCAACGTCTATGGAAATATATATATGTACCTATGCACCTAGGTCTATATGCATATGCCAAACGCCATGGATATTTTCCCGACCCCGATGCTCATTGCGCCGTCCCAGCCTTCTCGCTCCGACTAATAAGCAAATTCAACACCCGCTCATACGTCCACATCGTAACCGCACTCGCTGGAGCCGCCTTTATCAAGCTCACCGTTAACCCCCTATACAACCCCCTAACCCCCTCACGATGCAATACCTGGCGTACCGTGCTCACCGTACCCACGTACTCGGGTATGTTCTTATGAACATAGCGGCTCCGCGTCGGGCCCTGGACCTGTATCCGCTTGCGCACGAGATCGAGCGGGAACACGCCCGTCTTCGCGACGACACTTGCGATTATACCCGCCGTCGCGTCGCCCGTGCCCCAAGGCAAATCCATTTTTCCGAGCGGCAGCCGCGCGCCCTCGTACACGGCGAAGAAAAGCCCCATGAACGGCACGATCTGCGCTAGCGCAGGACTGAGTCCGCGGAAGAACCCCCGGATCCCCTCGTCCCGGTTTATGTCCGCGATGGCGTGCCGTAGCGACGCGTACACGCGGTCGTTGCCCTGCGCGGCGAACCGCGTGCGCAGCAGGTCCAGCGGGTACGTAGCCGCGGTGGCCGTGGCGCCGGCGGAGGCTCCGCTGATGAACGACTCGACGGATTTGGGGAGCCTGCTCTGTGTGCTATTCCCTCCACTCCCGTCTTTCGCGAAGACCCGGTGGAGGAGCAGGGTCATGGATCGGTATGTCGTGAACTGGATCGACGCGTACGCGACGTACATCAGCTCGGCGGGAACATTGCCCTTCCAGAGCGCGGCGACGCCCTCGTTGGCTACGATGTGGCGGAACGTTCCGATCGTGCCTTTGTAGATGGGCGATCCGCGCAGGTCGACTTGGGACAGCGGGTCGGAGAGGGAGTGCGATTGTAGTTGCAGTCGGATCTTGACGACGTCGAGGGGCGCGACTACGAAGCGGGATATTAGACCGGCGGTGGCCCCAGCGGTGACGACTTGAAGCTGAGAGCCCTTTTAACGGGGCACGTTTAGTGTCAGCCTCTTCTAGTTCCTAAATAGGCAGTTTTTCTACCCCGGCATTACAGCTGATTGCTACTTTAGGAAGTCATACCTCATCTTGAAGGCGTTGGTCCGATTTCGACATACATCCGCGGCGGCCCTAACCCGGACTAGGGGTGTTTCGATACAGGAAACAACCTTCTTCCAGACTCGTGGATCTGAGATAATTACTGTTGGGTCGTATTAGAATGTGGCGTGGCCGCCTGGAAGCCTTCGCGTAGCTATCCGGTCTCCCCCTTAGGTAAGACGGGATTCGAATCCGCGTCTTTCTGGAAACAGGGGTTCGTTACGAAATCTGTATGTATGAATTTTGAACGGATTTAGTAAAAAGCCTTCAAAATTCACGGCACGTGCCGTGACTAGGCTCAAATGTTTAATTCTATTATGGTAGGTATGTTGCTACTCTGCTGTATGTAAGCGCGCAGCTAGCAGGGTCGAGACCCCGAGACACGATAATGAGTAAGGTGACAGGTGAATAATATTGGTGCCGGTCAATTAATTAGTCGCGATCTCATAAACTTGAAGATATCGCCGATAGTTTTGCTTGTTGCTAAAAATGACGCTCTGCATCGGAACTAAAATGAATCTGAGGCCGAATTTGGTACCGATATGGCAATCTCCCATTCGAAAAATATTGAGTGACGTAAGACTCGGAATAAAAACATTACAGGTCATTTTTATTTTCTGTATCGTCGTCACGTGCATCTGGTTAATCCCTGGTATTCTACGTGTTACAGGGGAAATTGTTTGGAAAGAAGCATCGTAGAATCTGGACTTTTCGAAGGATCGACGAAATATTTCACAAGGTTTCAAGGTAACAACGTAAGGCTCCGAACTTAAAACCATCGGTATCGGAGGTTCGGTGCTTATTATTACACATCAAATTCGTTTATTACTTTTCCATTTCCTAATCCGTCTCTCAAACGTCAATGTATTGAAATGGATCAATGGAGTCATGCATAACCTAGTACGCGGCTGATAGGAACAGTCATTTCCACCAGTTCCAGAAATCATTTTACTTCTACTGTTTCTAAAGCCAAGCCAAGTCCGCACTAGGCATGTAGTTGCGGCACCAATACACGTCCATTCCGTTGCACCTCGACACCTGAACAAGTTATTAAGTCACAGGTCATTGGACAAGCTTCCGCCCGCCCGAGTTGCTGGCTCCCATTTGTCCCATTTGTCCTCTCCCCAGGTTTGCGGTGGGGTTTGGGGAAACCGGCCGTGCTATTGGCCACCGCCTAGTTCTTGAGGGGCTGTACGTGTATCTACATAACGATCTTGAATGCTCACCTGAATCGTTTGTGTATATTCCTTCGATTCCACTGTAAGCAACTTGAATCCTTTATTATAATCTCATTTCCCCTTGCAAGGTTACCTTCCAGATCCAAGGTGCCTTTTCTTTTCCGACCCTGAAACAGAATAACCTTAGCTTAGCGTCAGCCACTCCGCTTAAGCTAAAAACAGCTAAAATAGACAGTCAGCACCCAGCACACAGTTTGCTAGACATTGCATGTGATAAGGGTCCATATCCATCAACCACCCTAAAATACTAAGTCTTACCAACATATCTCGTCCTTTTACACACAAAACAACACAGAGTACAACACCAGAATCTGGGCAAACTTGGGCAGATCTGGTGAAATCATGACGACCTCTACTACCATCAAGCAGCCGGACGTTCAACAGGTTCTGGGACAACTCTTACCCTCGCTCCCGGCCGCTGCATTATCCACGGAGCCGACAGAAACCGTTCTGCCTATTCTCTCCCCCATTCTTAGGCAACGAGTCCAACTTTTATCATCAGCATCTAGTTCAGACCCATGGATTCGATTATTGTGTTATGACACCTCAAAAGTGCCTAGGTTGACGGAGATTGCGCAGAGCGATCGATTAGAACCTCACCCCGCGTCTGGAGAAGTGGAGATCGACTGGGACTACGATGCCGAGATTCGTTATCGACGAGTAGATGAGGAAACTCTTCAGGCGCTCGTGGTTTTTAAGGAGCTAGAATTAACGTTTCGTTTGATTTATTGTGTCGGAGATCCGCTCGGCGACGGTTGGAAAGTCGGCGAAGTTAGCGTCGCTGAAAAGCCATCCCCATTTTCTTCATTTGGGGGGGTCTCGAGTATCGTCGAGGCCGAGAGACAATTTAAGGAATCGAGGTCGAAAACTTCGCAGAGCCATGTCACAGTTAGTCGAGATGTTCCTTTGACGCATGATGACGATGAGGAAGATGACGACGATTACTGGGCGAGGTACGATGCGACGCCTGCGAGAACCCCCGCGATCAAAAGGTCACCTGCGCCGCAATCTGGACACGGGACTGCTGAGGATGATTACTATGCTCAATATGACGATGTTCAGCCGGCCATGGATAACCATGATCCAGACGAGGAAGAAAACCTTCGCAGTTTAGCACCTCTAGGTCTAGGCTCAAGACCTGAAATCCCCATTACAAATGGGAGCGATGATGAGGTAGAAGTTAATGAAACTCAAGGCTCATGGACACTTGCCAATCCGCCAAGATCGCCCTCTACTCACTCGAGAAGAAGTGGCGATGATCCGAACTTAGTTCATCCCCACCCGAGACCTGCTTCGAGCGCCGGGTCCAATGCGTCGGTCGAGAAGCTCGAGGCCGCAGCAGCTAAACAAGAGCAGAGCGACTTTGGGGTTAAGCAGCACGTGTCTCGAAGTATTAAGAGCTTATTCCAGCTATCCCGCGCATCAGGGATTGATCGCGAGGAATTCGAACGATTGGTGAAAGTGGAACTAGACATGCTAGGATTGATGGAAGATTGAGAATATTCAAGAAAATATACGGAAATATAGGATCGCATTTATTTAAGGTTGGGAGAGCTGATCTCCCCAGGTATTTGAATGGTGAACGGCGTCCGGGGTTTCGATTTTGGCGGGTCCCGAAGCTTGGGATTTCTGGTTATTAGTAAAGTTTGTTGGGGTGCTCCGGGGACCGAGTTACAGCGCACGGCGTAACTATTTCAGGAATATCTTGCATCTCGCGGTGTTGGTTGGCTATCATGGTCATGGTTAAAGACATCGGATGGTTTGGTCAGAATAGCGAGCACATTTAAATATTCACAAGTATCCGGCCAAGTCTGTAAAGTTAGGTTAATTAAAATAATTGCCATTAAATTTTGATCTTAACTACTACTTGCGCGACAATCGAACGATACCTCTATTATAGAACTTCCGAGGAAAAAATGGGGGTTTCGATGTTATCTGCTTGTACTTATGTACTGTAGACCGTCTTATCATCACCTTTTGCATGATAAGCTCAATTTGGTCACCGATATCTCCGGCGGGTCAAACCAAGCGACCCCACATGCCCCCGAGTCAATGCCCCTCTATCGGACCCCTCTGACTCAAAAATATCAAATTATATACGTCCCTTAAAATCATCTATACAATTAGTAATAGAAAAAAGTGAAGCTTGAAAAAAAAAGTTGTCTTTCTATTTCTCTAGCAACCCATACGTTCTTTTTGCAACACTCATTTGCAAATATGACTCCCGAAGAGTCAATCGCCTTGATCAAGGCCAACTTGACCGAAGTACTCAATCCCGAAATCATCGACGATGTTATCCTCAACCAGAAACGTGACCTCAAAGTCTACTGGGGAACGGCGACAACAGGACGACCTCACTGCGGTTACTTCGTATCGATGACCAAGGTCGCAGAACTCCTTCACGCCGGTTGCCATGTCAAGATCCTCCTCGCCGACCTACACGCCTACCTCGACAACATGAAAGCCCCGTTGGAGTTGATCGAGCAAAGACTCAAGTACTACGAATTCATCGTCAAGAGCTTGCTAAAGGCTGTCGGTGTCGACATTACAAAACTTGAGTTCATCAAGGGGAGCTCGTACCAGAAGAGCGAGAACTACACAATGGATCGATTCAAGTTGGAAGGGATGACAAGAATATCCGTTGCACAAAAAGCGGGTGCCGAAGTCGTCAAGCAGACTGTTGACCCGTTCCTTGGCGGTTTGACCTACCCATTGATGCAAGCGCTAGACGAAGAGTACCTTGACGTCGATGCGCAACTTGGTGGTCTTGATCAGCGCAAGATCTTCACATTCGCGTTAGAGAATCTGCCGAAGATCGGATACAAAGTCAGAGCCCACCTGATGCACTCGATGGTGCCAGGTCTAGGTGAGGCGCAGAAGATGAGCTCTAGCGAGCCGGATTCCAAGATCGATCTGTTGGATTCGGCCGAAGTCGTCGGCAAGAAGTTAAAGAAGGCCGTGTGCGTGCCGAAGAAGATCGAGGGTAATGGCGTCGTGGCATTCGTGGAGAGTGTCATTTTTCGGGTGGTGTCTATAAAAACGGGTGGCAAGCCTCACTTTGTGGTTGAAAGACGAGATGAGGAGCCCATTATCTACGATGACATCGAGAAATTGAAGGCGGATTACGAAGCAGATATAGTAAGTTGTCCTATGTTACTCGAACACTATGATAGCCAAGTTACTAACCGTTTTCCAGCTCACACCCCAGCTGCTAAAGGCTGCTTTAACAAAAGCGCTCAACGAGCTCCTAGACCCTATTCGTGACGACTTCAATTCATCGGAGGAATGGCAGAAGATCGCAGAACTGGCCTACCCGGCAGAGGAGAAGCAGCAGAAGGTAAAGAAGCAGAAGGATAAGGGTGATCCGGCTAAGCGTGCGGCTGCGCTTGCTGCGAAAGCAGAGCAGTTAAAATTGAAGGACGGCGAGTAAATGATTTAAAATAAAGTGAATATTCAATAGATACCTCTTGACAGCAAATATAGTGCACACGGCGTCGTGCATATTTTGATAGAGCTGACGAAGTTTTAAGACATGCCTACCTACCTAGGTGTTTTCAGATTCCCAATCCTCAAAATCGTTCATCTTACCTTAAATAATTAGATTCTGAAGACAATTATAACTAGAAGGGAAATTTCTACCCGCGATTACCTAGTAACCAACTTGACGAGCTTGTAGTTGATGATGAGTATAACTTGGAAGTATACTAGGTACTTCGGTACTTCTAGAACTTAGAAAGTGCGGCGAATCCAATGTTCCCCCGCCGAATGGATTGCAGCCAATCAGAACTCAGCGCACTCAAGCTCGCGCCTGCTACAGGAAAAAAAGTGAGCTATTGAATACAGCGACTAAATTCGAACCTCGAGATTGAAATATCTCCATACAACCACAAACCCACAATGTTGCGACCGAGATTACGGATACCGAGGGCAAGCCGACCATGGCGCCCAGCAATATCCTCACGCCAAATACACTTCGTTCCAGCTCTACGACAATTCAACCCCGATGAAGGAGTTCCAGGTTTATTATCATCAGGAGGCTTCGATCTAGCATGGACCCAATACATGGCTTTCGTTATGGAAAAGCTTAATATCATGATAGCTGGTACGTTTATAGGATCATACAACTATATGGATTGAGTAGTCGGTGCAATTGGCGAAGGGAATCTCTTAACCGAACTTGAGCAAACGAATCGCGGGGGTGCTTCTCGGAATTAAATTTAGACACAAGTATTTTATATAATATACTAGAGAATCGAAAGCTAACTATGGAACCAGAGGATGACCTCGGACAACAAGACCCCCTATCTATCGTCAAAGCGACCGCCCGCGAGCCTTCACAGGCACACATCTTCAACTATGCTTCCATGGCATACAACAACCACTTCTTCTTCGAGAACATCGCGAGAGTGGAACAAGAACCCGGCGGTAAGCAATGAAGGCAAACCCTCACTCCACGGCACAAACACGGGACGCGGAAGTAGAGGATATATAGATAGAAAAGACAGCGGCTAACAGCCTCGAAAAGCACCTACGGGAGCAGACAGGATCCCGGAGAAGCTAAAAGAGGAGTTCACGAGACATTTCAGCTCGGTGGAGACGCTACGGCGCGAGTTCCTGTCGACGGCGGTAGGCATGTTCGGCCCGGGCTTCGTCTGGCTCGTCAAAGTCGCACAGTCGGACCAGCTGCGCATCCTGCCGACGTACCTCGCCGGCACCCCGTTCACGGCCGCGCATTGGCGACGCCAGGGCGTGGACATGAATACGCAGGGCCCCGCCTCCCGCGAGGTCGTCGACAGCTGGATGAGCCGCGCGCAGACCGGTGCCGGCGCCAACGTCGGGTCCAGGTTCGTCGACCCGAACCTTGCGGCTCCGGGCGGCACAGACGTCATTCCGCTCTTGTGTCTGAATACGTGGGAGCATGTCTGGCTGCGCGATTATGGTGTTGGTGCGAATAATCAGGGCGGCAAGAGGCAGTATGTTATGAATTGGTGGGAGGTTATTGATTGGGATAAGGTTGAGGATCGTGCGAATTTGAGGAAGGTGGCGTTTAAGACTTAGATGTGGATAGGTATGTGTATACTGTGTCTATGTATCTAGGTAGGTAGGTGGGTAGGTAGGATGGTATGTACATGTCTAAGAAGGCTGGAAGGCTGGCTACCTACCTACCTGCCCGCCCGCCCGCTTGGTCTGGTGTATGATATGGACTCGACTCAATTCCCTTGCAGATAGCTAGCTGGGTATCTACATAGACGGCTGGCGAGGCTATGCTGGGCTAGGGAGGGCTATGTGCTATATATACCAAATTTGTAAATTATGCTCTTGGTGATATGGATGTGATTTTGTATTTCTGGGTTCTGGGTTGAGAATAATATCGTAGGTATTTGCCTAGTAAGTTATAGGGTTTCTTGGTATGGCTACCTAACTAATTTATAAAATATAGTCAAATAATTAGAAGTTCAGTACCTACTATTGATTGCCTTCCTATATCAAAAACTTGAGCAACGCAAGGGATGGCTCGTCAACCAACTTACACGCGTGGTTAGGGAGTTGGTTGACTGTTATACATTCGCGACTTACAACAGAACTTATAATAGAAACAAACACTCGCTACCAAGACCACGGAAGAGGCAAAGTATTAAAGTGAAGTAGGCCTTTTATTTTATTTTTATCAATCTTCCTTTTCCAAATTTTCAAAGCTACCTAAATTTTGCCGGTTGCCCTGGCATACAAGACATCCGTGATATGATATAACAACAACCTTATAAGGAGCGTGCTGGTATCTCATGCACCCATCGCCACCGTTATTCGTTCGATCCAAAAACAACTACATATATGATGATATATAGGTTAAAAAGAAAAAGGTATTCGTCCAAAAAATCCATTTCGTTAATACGCCCCCTTAGTGAAGTTGCCTTCGCTTGTTTTGTTTAAGCGGCAACCTAAGAAGACGAATTGCCAGAAGAGTAGGTATAATAAGAGAAGAAAAAGGAAAACGTGGGTTTGCTTGCTTGAAGCGGAAGCGTCCAGTGCTTGGGATATCGAATCTTGTCCACGTCCATTATAGTCGCCGAAAACCGTCATTAGCATCTCCCGTCGTCATCGTCAACCCCCGAACACCTCACGGCTCTCCAAGAACCGACGACGGAAAAGACAAGTAGGGATACACCCAACCACAAGACATTGGTCTTGTGTATATAGGTACGTCACCTCCATATATAAAAAGAAAACGAAAGAAAATATAAGTAGGTAGGTAGTATGTCGGTAGACGACCTGATCTAGACCTAGATCTAGATCATATTCCCATTAACACTAACCTCGAACCCCTCGCCCTTCTGCCTCAACGCCTTCGCAAGCATAAGCTCGCGCATCCAATCGATCCTCTCGTCACGACTCCTCACCGCGAAATGATGCGTCTTCCCCGTCCCATTCGCCGCGCCCTCGATCCCCGGAGGCGGACTCGGCAACCCCCCTGCGCCGCCCACACTCTGGCTCTCCCGCTTCCTCAACCGCCCCCCTAACGCCCCGCGCCCGACTTCGTTCTGCGGTATCAGCTGGAAGCTGAACGCCGCAACCGAATCCGGGTCCGCGGCTGAGGCACCGTTTTTCGCTGACCGCGATATGCTCATGGCTTTGAATGCGGCGTTGAGCTTTGACCCGGTGGAGAGCGAGGAACAGGCGATTGCGTAGTCGTCTATGTCGATGTATTCCAGCGCCCGGGACCGCGCTTCGGCGTCTTTGTGCAGCGCGAGACGGGTCCCTTTGAGTGTCGCGTAGTGGTCGTGCCATTCGTGCCGCAACATCCGCGTCTTCCGCTTCTTTACGGGGCCCGCGTAGGTTACGCCTTCGGCGTCTTTGACGGTGGAGGGGGTGGGTTGGCCGGGTGTTGTGATTGGGCCGAAGCCGGTGCGGGTGGAGGGAGGTGACCAGGGGTATTGTGGTCGAGGGGGGGCTTGGAGTGGTTGTGAACGCGAGGGGATTTTGGGCGCGGAGGAGGTCTTGGGGGACACGGAGTGCGTGTACCGGTGTCCGTAGACCCGGGCTACTGGGGTCGCCGCGGCGTCTTCTTCTACGGGTGCCATTACTTGGAAGGATGGACGCCGGGAAGCGCGTGATTGGGAGCGGGAGATTAGAGGGGCGGTGCGGTAGTTCATGTCCGGAGGTACGGATTGGGATGCGTCGCGGGCGACGGGGCCGAGGGGGACGGCGGTTAGGGGTACGTCCATGTCCGAGAAGGGGGTGCCGAAGCGGTAGGGGGCGTTGTGCAGGTCTGGTGATAGGGCTTCGCCTCTGTCCATCCGTTGAGGGTAGAATGAGGGTTGCGGTGTCTGGTTCGCGGAACGCAGTTGTTGGGAGTGCCGTTGAGCTTGCAATTGCTGCTGCAGTTGAGGTTGTTGTCCGGGGATAGCGAGCTTGGGCAAGGCACGTAAACCCTCATGAGGTGTTCGTGGAGTTGGTGTCGTGGTGGCAGTTCCAATAGCGGGTACCTCGAATGGAGGTGTTGGCGGGACTTCGGTGGAGCTGCACTCGTCACCGTGCTGATGCTGGAAGTTGAGGAACTGTCTGACGTTGTCCTGGGGATCTCGTGTCTGCAGATTACGTAGCGCGGCTTCCTGCAGGTACTGGAATGGGGGCATGCCGGGGCCGAGAACGTCCGACGACGCGATCACGGACGGCACGGCGTCAGACATAGGCCTTAAAGCCTCTGTCGACGAGGGCCGGTTGATGGCCGGTGCAGTCTCTGGGTTTCCTGGGTCTCCTGCAACCATGATGATGCCACCTTGGTCTACGTCCACGAAGGGATGATCTTGCTTGAAGGCCTCGATCATGCGCTGTTGTCTCCTGAACTTCGAGCAGTTCTCACCCTTGGAGCAGTGGTGCGGTTTCGGCATCATCTGCTCGATTCCGACGATGGATACGGACTCTAAGGGCGAGATGATGTCTTCATGCGCAGGCTTCTTCTTGCTCTTCGATCGTTTGACGCTCTCACTGCGAGGTACGCTATTGCCTTCCTCTTTTCTTTCCCTCCTTCGTTCCCTCCTCACTTCTTTAGCTTCCTCATCCTCTATCGGGGTATCAGGACGAGGAGATGCTGCCGCCGCCTCTGCCGCTGCCTTGCTGTCTCTCAGCACGTGGATCTCCTCCCATACCTTGGTCCGGACTCCGAAGGACTGGATACTAAGCTCCTTTAAGTCCTCGAATTTAAGAGTAATTAAGATAGCACCGTTGATGTCATTCTCGACGAACTTCTCGGCGACCGGGATCTCAATGCCGGCATTGAGCATCCACTGCGCTACTTTCTCGGGCGACCATAGCGACAGCTCAACCGGGGCCAACTTCTCGTGAGTAAATTGGAATGGGCTGTTGCGCGAGCGAGGAGGTGGCGGCTCGTACGTCAGCGGAAACCGATGGTCCGCTTCGAACGGTCTGGCCGTTTTCGGCGTTATCGGAGAGAGGGTGAGGGTGGATTGGTATTCGAAAGAGTTAAATGACGACGCCGTCGAGGCTCGGAATAGGTGCGGGCCTCTCGGTCCCTCGACTGGCTTTGAGGAATCAAAGCCGAACGGGTACACCTCGCGAGCCCTGCTCGACCTGGGTGTTTGCGCTTCTTCATATGAAGAAAGGGTAGTTACACTTGGTTGTCCCGACTACCAATTCTATTAGTTGCCAGCGCAGAGATCGCATAGCATTGGTTGTTAAATCTTACCGAGTTCAAGCTTATTCGTGGCGAATCTGGGTCTTCGTCTTCTATCTCGCTAACAATATCTTCTTCTTCTTCTTCCCACTCAGTATCTACAATCTCAGTCGCAACCGAAGTCGGTCGTGGGTCGAGCCCCTTTAGACCGAAGAAGGGGTCATGGAAGTGATTCTTTTGTCGCATTTCCCTTCGCGATCGCTCGCTCATCCTGAGCGATTGTGTATTCTATAGCATTGAGAGTTAGTTACCACCACCTCAAAGGTATGATATGGGTACAGGCAAGCCCGGGGTAGGACATAAACAACTACCGAGACACTTAATAAGCTTACCATTTTGGATATTTTAGAAAACAGGGAAAATGCAAAAAGATGCGATTTTAGATACCAATGCCGTTGCCGGCTTCACTTATTCTTCTCTCTCTGTCTAAATCAGGGGGGTATACGGGATCATGCGAAAACGGAAAGGAAATAAGCTCGCTATAGGTAGTCGAGGGACAGGTTCGACGTCGCAAAGGGGAGGAGAAAATGAACTAAACTACACCGCGGGCGAGTGCGGGATGTATATGTATGGGCATAGGATATATGGGATGGTGTAGTATAGCCCCGGATCGCAACGGGCAAGACTATCTAGGTATATGCAGGAGACGGTGAAACGCTGCGATAATAGGGAGCTAATCACGATGTGATTTGTCTTTAAGGTCTAGGTCCCTTCACACAGCAGACCAGTAACACTTCATGCTAGGTGTTGGTGCGGAGAGAGTTACTAAAGCTACTATGTAGAGACGTAGAGACCGGCCAGGTTCGCCACGGCCAGGTCACCTTGAACACCTAGGACACACTTAACTGCTGTGTTCTAATGTCCCTAATAATAGCATCCCCTCTCTCTGTTGCGTGGGCGTGGGAAGCATGGGAGGCATGGGAAGCACAACAAAATCCCACGAAGGCCAGAATGCTTCCCACCACATGCCCAGCGTTAAACCAACCAAATGCGAAGGGCTGGTTGGACAGAAACTAAGGTGTGCCAGGAAAGAATTGGAGCTTTCTAGAGTTTTCATTGGCCACAAATTTGTCCTCTCCCCTGCCGGCATCGTCTTCTAAGCGCCCAGATAGCCTAAGCACGGGCTTGCGGGCGACAAGGATGATGTAGCCCATGTAGCCCATGTCCGTTTTCTTCGACTAGAGACCCGATTAGGCATCGCCATAATAGTAACGGTTAGCAAGAAAAAGTGGCTCACTCTAAAAAGAGTTCTAAACAAATGGATGCAGACTGCACGGAGGGACCAACACCCGTTCTCGTCAACCCATAATAGCCCATAACCCGACAATCCATAGGGAAGACGTCGAGAGGCGCCCTCGAATACCTACATAGTTAGACATACATAATCTATAGTGCCTACATATGGATATTGGGGATATTGGGCACTCCCTTACGGGTCGACGCCATGCGAGAAGGTCATTTCATACCTGTGCTTCGATCTTTCTCCGCAGAAGTCTGCGTGATGAAGCGGAATTTCATATAAACCTGGGTATGTAGGTGCCACTTTGAGCCACTTTGGATTACCCGTACAACGGGAGAAGCCCGCACTACTGCATCACGGCGTCAAATTCCCATCAATTGAGATGTTGACTGTTCCTGACCTTTTGAGGCGGTCAGACGTGAGGGACTCTTCGTCGTCATACCTTGCGAATCCGACCTATCGAGAACGAGGTGCGGATCTGTTCAATTGATAAAACCCAGGATACGATAATTTGGTCGAACGATCACGATTACTGAAAGCGCCTAGGCATTAGCAATAGCAATTGCAATAAGCACTTACGGATTTCGACCCAGCAGCTAGCAGATGCCCAGGTCCATTTCTGCAGAATCTGCGGTTTGCAAAATTTTGTCATTTTGCTTCTCTGCAGCGTCTGCAGCGTCTGCACATGCTAGTAAGAGTGAAGACAAGACCTGGATAAGAGCCCTGGAAGATGGTCCACTACCCGGAAAGACGGACAGAGAAAAGAATACGACGCTGAGCCAGGGGTAGTATATGCCGTAGTTTCCCCCCACAAGGGATTATGGGATGCGCAAGATACTGCTGTAAGTATTCCATAGGTGATAGGTGATAGGGGTAAGTAGCCTAAGAAGAGTTGTTCGGTGCTTTGATGGTTACCGGTGCTACATGCTACCACATACACTACATACACCACATACTACCATGCGGTAACCATACAATCATACAGCCATACAGCCATACAATACATATCTTTCTACCTAACCCCTCTCGTGTGGCACGTCGCGAGGCGATGGGATTGGCGTCTCCAACTAACGATCTCTTCTTAATATCTGTACTAAGAGTCAATTCGGAGAAACTAGGATTTCCCCCTCACCAATGACGGGATATCGTGAAGCCAATTACGGATTTCTAAGACACTCTAAAGAAGATGTTCATGTTCGCATTTCCCGACGAGACGACAATGTGTAGTACAGCAGCGCCTCCATTATGGAACCCGTCAAGATCTGGAGCGGTCCGGCTACTGCTAAGCAGAGACGGATCTATCCAATCTTCGAATTCGAATTCGACGCGGCCGTGACCGGTGTCGAAGGAACAAGTTTTCGAAAGTTCCACGGTCCCTTGCGACGGGTCCACCTTGGCTTGGTACCCAATGAATCGCATATCGTGGGAGTCAGCGTGACCTGGCTCACGGACACATGACGGCCGAATATCAGAGGCTTTAAGTACGTGAATGGCCGAGTCCCACGATGATATGACGGAATGGAGAAACGATATTCTCCATTCAATCCATTCAACAGTCAACTCTCTGTACTGTACCTACTTGAAATAGGTACCCAAGCGGAAGATAATTCACCATTCGATCGTTCAATCCCGACTGTAACAAGACATAAGCCACGTAAAATCGGGTAGGTCGTCGAAAAAGTAACTCATAGGCAGTCTTCTCATTTAGACAAGGCCATCCGACTTGACGATCCAGCGAAGACGAATAAGGCAGTTGTTGACTGGGTAATTTCCAGCTCCACGAACGGCATGTGGCGGGGGTCACACTTCGTCCTGCAGTCTTTGCATGGAAGCCAGTAGCTTCCCGCATACGGTATGCAGCTGGAAGAAGTTGTGTCCGTATGCTCCCCGCGAAGCGAGTTCACACACACGTTACTACCTTAGCGTCGGCCAACCCAATATCTACCTACATATCTACTACATATCTACATACCTAAGTAGGTATCTACATACATACATACATACATACTTGGTAGTAGGTTACGGAATACACCGACAAGTTAGTTTGATATTGATAAAAAACGAATGCAAGATCGTCACCAGCTAGTTTAGACTATCAAGGGAGCAAACCAAGATCTAAGACAATATGACCCCCGTACTCGTTCTCGTCCGACGGCAACAATGTAACACTTTACGAGTCGGTGACCGACGAGGATGCACTATTACACTATTAGACTTTAGTAATTCTGCCATTCCGCTGGCGGCGGGCTCGACTCCGCCGTCGTTGCTGTGAGGCTCACTGGTAGATTGCTTCAGGCATTATACATGGTAGCTACAGACTACGGTTACTTCCTTGTCACCAGCTGGCGTATCGTACATAGTTGGCGATCCACATCTTAGTTGACACGATTCATTAGAAGACATTGATGAACATGGGCACTTCCGAATATATCCGACATTGAATGACACATTCAACCTAGATAGCAGACAAATAGTTCACTATCAAGATGTGAGTCGTCATTTTTGACCCTGACGGAGTAGCAGTACTATGATGCCCAGGTAGTTATCACGTTGACGAATGCTTATCTGATTCGCCTGGACAACTTCGGGATTCAATGTTGCGAAGCATCACATTTTAGACTCGGAGCAGCTGTGGGGAGAGCTGTGTTCTCCAGAGTGAAAAGAGTTCGCCTCGATTTTAAGCGAAGTTGATCAAAAGCCCCAGACCCAATGGCACGCCGAGAAGGAGCACTTAGAGGTCATCACATGAGGATTCCTTAATGCGAGTCTAGTCAGCTGGTGGATGGTTGATTCTCCTTTATTCCGAATGAAATGAACGACTCGTGGTCTGACGAAGATCTGTGTTATGCGATGCTTAGATGTTATGCCATCTAGAGGCCCTAAAGGCTCTAATTTGATTATTTGTGTGATTCTTCAATTTTGCCGTCGAGTGCCCCCCAACCGGTGAATAGGCGAATAGGGTTTTACAAGGGAGATGTTGACGAATGCAGGTAATCTCACTCAAGCTAGGGGATCTTGATCCCTGAATCACCGTAGCAGCGTAGCAGACCGTAGCTAAGGCATAGTCAGCATTAAAGACAACCTGGTTGATTTGATAATTAATAGATCGTGAACGGCTTAATACGCTTAATACCAGCTCGATTCGTGTCTAGTACAACTCCACTATGAGACGAGTCACAGCGGACCGATGAAGGGTAGAGCCTAGCTGCCTAGGTGCGTCAATCCTTTCATCGTTAGCCGACGGATGATAGACCGGGACGCAACAGCTTGGCTGCCGGGTTAGAGCCGTTAGAAGCCATTAGCAAGCTCAGGTATTGTTTTTATGATGATTTGCATCGAGACCACGAATTGGCAGGGTTGGCAGGGACATCATAACCATGACAGCACCGCTGCACGGACTCAATTATTCTTTGATAATATCCATTACCCGTTCAGCCCATTCTGCCCATTGTCGGATTTGTCCAGAGTCCAGAACTCCACGGGTACGGGGGTGGAGCCGGGGAAAAAAAGTTCTCTACCACTCTGGTGCTTTTATCATATCTGATGCTTGGGGGCTGGATGACGATACTCGGCATTGATGTCGTTCAAATACTTACCTACCTTGGCTGCTTGGTATATAAAATACGCAATATTATACACCACACGCAGACACGTGCATTGGAATTGGAAATACGTATCCCGCGTATCCCACGTATCCCAATGAATCTCGTAGCCTCGTAACATCGTAGCATCGTGACAGTAGCATCAAGATGCTAGGCAAAATCACGTACATAAACGGGGATGTGTTCAACCCCATTCGCAATGAGACCATACTACCACTTCTCCGTCCACCACATACACCACGTACACAACCTACACACGTAGTTATAATGAATATGTATGTATGTAGCATAGCATATATTAATAATGACAACTAGCAGCCAAAATATGCGAGCATCAGGATGGCATGACGCATAAGTTAATCTACTTGTTGGTGAAAGAGATGCATTGAAAAGACGCCGCCATCTTCTTGCTTCTGCTATGACCATACTGTCGGGATGGTCGGTAAGAACTTTTGCTTACAGGGGGGCTTAGGCCTGATTCCCGCCTGAAGGAGAAAAGAGGCTTGAAGAGTTAATGAGGATGTTAGGCGTAGGCGAGTTGTAATGTTGCAACGGGGCTAATCTCGCGATCGCTGTCATGGATGAGGATAAAGAAATTCGAGTTGACTAAAAAAAATCAAATTCTATCAATTAGTATGGGTGATAACAAAATTAGCCCACATTGTCAGATGGTACAGAGTACAAAACTGACAGATTCAAGAATGCGGGTTAATTCAAAAATAGAACTAATATCGATGTTGGTCGAAGTGCTGCAGATAAGTGTGACGGTTTAGCGCCCGTTGTGCATTTTGCATGCGAGTACGGAATGTTGCTCAAATTAACCCATAATTAGTCCAAATGGAAAGGATGCTAAGTGTGCTAATTGTGCTAAGTGTGCAAAGTGGGATAATTTTAGAAATATTGGGCTAAGTGATGGTCAATGTGAGCAAATTAGCCCACCAAGACGAAGTGATATCGGGTGATCTTCGTCCAACAGCCGGTCAGCTTCCGGCTCGTATGCAAATCCGGTAAGCCACAAACCAGCCCCCCAGGAGCTTGTGAGCTTATGGGGTGCATAGACCACTGCTTGATTAAAATGATAATGCTGACGGGTTGGCGGGATCATGGGGAAAGCTAAAGTTTGGTGCTTTAGAGGTACCTGGGTACTTATGTGAGTAGCTCACTTAGGGCTAGCCTGCCGAGAAGCTACTTGAGGTACAGCTGTCTTGTTTGGCTGATCTAGAAAGAAAGGAAAGAAGACCCCTGATGCCGTGTCTTGGCGACCAGGGATCCATAAGATTTTACATATGGACCCCACCGAGGACCACTATTCCACCATTGACGCTAATGGGAACTTGCATCTTTTCAACAGAGATTGGTTAATTGTACGCCCTCCATCATGAATTAATCCCGGCCGAGCAAGCATTTAGCTTCCGAGCTCGAGCCAATCCGCTTCCCGAACCCATACTTTGTCACATTCACTAAGATTTCGGCTAGGGCCGCTACTGGCGCCAACTCTCTTAGAGCCTCGAATCAAAATGCTCAACTGCCTTTTTTTACTTCCTGAAATCTTTTAAGGACGCATCACCAATATTCCTTGTATATTCGTATATTCGTCTGATTGGCGAGTTCATAAAATCATCGAGAATTGCAAATATTTCACCGGTGCCACAGCAACGTCGAATTTTAAAGAACAGGACACAAGACAAGCCACGAACTTGTTTCTTCCATGCTTAAATGGACTGACAGATTACCTACCAGCCTAGGTACTTACCTACCTAGTAGGTACCGTTGCTACCGGCAATATAATCAAAATGAGACCTGGAAAACACATGAAAACATATGACTCCCGATCTTCGGCTGCGGGCATTCTAAAAGTCGGCGCGACTCCTAGTCCCGACCTCGTCGTCCCGTCTTGCTTGCAAGGTATCTGAGAGTCCGGTCTTAATAGCCCTGCTACCGGACTTTTACTGGTCTAAAATTCACGACCAATCTCATGCTCATACTCATAGACTCGGCATTCATTGGCACTCACGAATACTGCCTAATGAACGCTTGGAGAAATATGATAGTAATTATGCTATACGAGTGGTACAGAGCCGTATTGCTCCCCGCTCCGCTTAGGAGAGTAAAAATTCGCTATCGAGAACGATCTCCAAGCTCGCCAAAGTCGCAAAATTCTACCTAATTTTTATTGACGGATAACTTATTAATCCATACCAGAACTCCCCACTCGGCGATATGATATCCGTATGCAGTAACAAGCTAGAGTAGCGGGGGTGGTATGCGGAATACAATTCGAAGTAAGCTACGTACTACTACGCATAGTAGAGGTACGTAGTATAATAGCTGCGTACGGATTTGGGTTCTCTCAATATACTGCATATGCAGCTCGAGAGCAGAGCAATCTATGATTATCGGTCAGCCCATGCAAAGTAACCACACCATCTGTGCCCCAATGGTCAATGCGAGGGCAATCGGCAAGCTGCCATGGCTCCTTGCATACATATTACTTTTTACGTGCTGAGTACGACAATTTTTGGTGTCTTCCTAGCATAGGATGTACCTAACCTAGTACTCAAGAATGGAAGCCCACACGTGGGGTTTCTCTTCTCTCGTGGTTCTTCTCGCACAGCATGTCTATCATCAACGTGCAAACTTAGCGAGGCAGCGAGGAAGCGCGAGAGAAGAGGTTCTAAGACATACTAAGATAGTCCAACGATCTACAATCTCCGCTTAAAGACTGGGAGGTGGCATGACAAAGTTCCTCGAAGAGAATAGGCTCTCCTCTTAGAGGTAGTACAAACCGCACTTCTCACCCTCTCCTTACCTCTTCCATAAAGTCGATCGACGCTAATAAATCCCTGCGGCTTTCAATAAACTCGTCGACCCTGGCTCGCAAGGGCTTGCTCGATGCAAGGATGAATACAGGGCTGGCAAGGTATGTGGTGTAGGTCGCTCACACAGACGGCCATACATTATTACACGCTCGCTGAACGCACAATTAGAAAATCTGCAAGTGCTAGCGGCGGTCGACAAGACCCCATGTCTTCCCTTCTGCATGGTGGTGACATTCATAGTGGACCGGACTTTCAACTGGTCTATCCAATGACCGGCCAGCCACGTATGGGAACTGCCTCTTTTAGTCGCTCAACGTCGTCTACCTTGCAGAATGATCCCTGCTCATGCTTGCAGCCACCGTCTTCCGCGAGTGTGACCGAGTGCCTGCGAGTGGTACAATGTCCTTGTACCGCTCACTTCGAGTGGAGTGGTTGGCCAGGTGGTCGAAGTTACCCACCATCATCCGGGTGACTCGACCACAATCCAGCGAACCGGCCAAGCTCATTGGAATCCGCAAGCGCATATCCGGCTCAAGTCACCAGCTGCTACCCCAATTTGGGCTAATTTACATATGTTGTGGTCCGTAATTAGGCCACAAAGGTCATGGGTTAAAAAAGGAATTACCCCAAATTGCGTATTGTTGCTATTTTTGAACACAGCCTTCATCGATGCGCCGGCTTGAGATGCAGCTAAAGTGGTGGCCGAAGAGGACAAGGCCACGATATAAGTCTTCACACATCCAATCTATGGAAACACTTTTTTTTTTTGAAGATAGATGTTGTGAAGGGTAGAAGATCCAAGTGTCGTTCCAGTTTCTCTTTTAACTATATTCCTCCTCTCTCTCTCTCTCCTCCTAACCTACTACTTCCCTCTCTATACCTTTCTTATTCCGCTAAACTCGACTAACGTGAAAGGCAAGCTGGTACTTGCTTGGATCCTATCATTCATTCGACGGGAAGAAAAATAATATTAATTTTGACGAATTTCGAATACACCCTTACCATTCCGCTCTGGTCGGTCTTATCCCCACTTGCGGATTATTATTCACCGGGCACGAGGACTTGAGAGCGTTGAGCGTTTTTGGGCAATTACTGGCTTCGAGGCGCAATCTCTGGAAAGATCCTAGCAATTATCGACCTAGACCTAGAACTGGGGTCCCTGGTTCCCCTTGTCTCCTCCCGCTTTCGCTCGGCTTGCGACTAGCATATCCCCCCCCACTACCATCTCGACGCAGGTACCTTACCTCGAACATAAGATACAAATGTCAAGTCTACCCCCCAACCCCCAGGGAGACCTAATGAGAGCATCAACCGTCAACATGGCCGTCGCACAACCGACCAAGACGAAGGCTGCTTCTAAGCAAACCAACAATGCCAACACTAAAGCTAAGACACAGATGCACCGCCGTTCCAGAACAGGTTTGTGTTCCTCTATACCCCCGACTTATACGGCCACTTACACGGGATCGTCGTCGGTACGTGTAAGTTGGTCAACAACCACATACTAACATGCCACGTCTTTTATAGGTTGCTATACCTGCAGATTACGACGAAAGAAGTGCGATGAGGGCACTCCCATGTGCACGGCATGCAAGCACCTCGGTCTTGTATGCGAATATAAGAGACCAATGTGGTGGAGCAACAACGATGCGAGACGACAACACAAGGACGACATCAAGATGATTATCAAGAGGAAGAAGCTCTCCGAGAAGGCGTCGCACACCATCCAGACTACGGTTAGCTCGCCGCCCGGCCTGTCTCACTCTCTCCCTACCTCCGCAACCTTCTCGGACCCCCTAGACCGAACAAGGTCCGCATCGATCGATTCGCAATTCGCCTTCAACTTCAACAGCCCACCCAATGTTAACGATTATGGGACTTACAACCCGCACATGCTCCCATCACACGCCGACTTCATGTTTAACATGTCTCCTTACGAGATTGATGTTAAGACCGAGCGACAAATGTTTGTCAACGATGTCCCAACACTACGAGAATCTACAGTTTCAACCTTCAGCACTTACCACACTCCGCCTCCACCGGGAACAGTCCTCCCGTCTTATTCCTCGGATGGAGAGTGGTCCGAACAGGTCTTCCAGGAGCGCCGCGAGTCCCTAGCAGAGGAAACCTTGAACTACAACTTCTTCGACTTCGCCCACGGCCTTCCTTCAGACACAAGGCAAGTGGACATCGAACTAGACGACAATGACCAACGACTACTGGATCACTTCATTCAATTCGTGCTACCAACTATCTTCCCTATCTTGGAAACTAACCAACATGGGTCTGTCGGCTCTGACCTCATCCTACCTAACCTACAGAGCAACAAAGGCTACCTTCACTGCTGCCTCATGATCGCGGCGCAACACTACAAGGCCACGATGAACGTCCAGGGCGAGGAAATCGACAATGACATCATGCGACACCGACACGCTACCATTGTTGCACTATGCGATGCGCTAAACAAGGATGAAGACCACCACCAGATCCTTGAGGCGACTCTTGGTCTCATCTTTTTCCAGTGCTGCGTTGGCCGATACGATGACTCATTGCCTGACATCCCATGGCACCAACACTTCCAGGCGGTGAACTCTCTAGTCAACAAACTGGATCTGCCTCGACTAGTTTCTGAATCAACCGAGCAGTTGACTCAGACACCTTTCAACATGACACTAACCGCGTGGATCGATATCTTGGGCGCAACCATGCAGGGGCGTGCCCCGACCTTTGCGCACACCTATCGCGAGAAGCACTTGTCGACAACTAACCCTTCCCTTGGGCTCCGCGAGCTCATGGGTTGCGACGACCACGTCATGTATCTCATTTCGGAAATTGCCTGCCTCGAGGCACTCAAGAAGGAGGGAATGGACGACATTACTCTATGCACACACGTTCATGCGCTAGGTGACCAAATTGGGTTGACGGAGGCCAACGACTGCGGGCCTAAGATGCCATTTAACGCCAATGGCTCTCTTAGCCCGAAACAACTCAGCAAGAACATCACCAGCGCTTTCCGATTGGCCGCCCGCATTTACCTCTGCAGCTTGGTTCCTGGTTTCTCACCCAGTCAAACCAGCTGCGTTGGCCTCGTCGAGAAACTAACCAATGTTCTACAATTTATTCCATCTGGCCCTGGTGGCTTCGACCGAAGCCTGTCTTGGGTCTACCTGATTGGCGGATCCGTTAGTGGAATGAACTCCAGCTTCCGACAATTCTTCAACGACCGCATCGCGCAGCTCGGTGACTCCGCCAACTATGGCAGCTTCGGCGGCGTCGTCTCGCTGCTGAACGAAGTCTGGCACCAGGCCGACAACAGCCAGCCGAGTCCTAGTGCCAACGGGACCCCGGAAGCGCCCTACATCTCCTGGAGAGATATCATGCAGATGAGGGGATTCGACTACCTCCTGATCTAAGTTGATCATTCACCTCACAGCTGGTCTTGGGGGAGGTATCCCTCTCCTCATCTGCGGGTGGCTTCCTGGAGCGATTCAGGAAATTGCTATCCCGTTTGCACTTCGACTACGGCTGACTGCACACTATTTTTTTATTTTACTATTTTACTACGATAATACCCATTAGAGACAGGTAGCCGCAAGGCAACCGGAACGACACTTGGAATTGGCAGGATATCGGGGATTGGATCAATGATGACGACGGGTAGTCGGGGAGGACTACCACAACTGGGAGGTAATGAACCTGCTATGGCTTTACGATGCGACGACAATTTCCTATTTTCTACTTTTTAGTCGATATCATCGTCGAGTTACTTATATATACCATGCATGCATTGGTAGGAAAGGCAAAGGAGTTTTTGGGCAATTTTAGCATTGGTGTATATTTGGATAAAGGCCTAGCATCTTACTTGCCCCTGAAAGGCAAAGAAATCTTAAGGGACAGGTTCATTAGGAGGCACCGATTTGATTGCCCCCACCTCTCGAAGCTCTTAGGGACAAAAAACCCTAAGGGTCGAAGAAGTATCTATTATTGTAATATAATAACACAAACACAAATCTCAAATAAAATACAAAAAGTTCAGATATTATAAAATTTTGAATTCTTCTACAGTGAATTGTGCGAGCACTATCTACCTACCTAGTACCTATGAAGTAGAACTTAAAGAATTAACAATAATATTCATGGTTGGTATTGACCTAATTATGTTCTGGACTAATTAGTCTTATTAGTTGATTAACATCAATTAGGTTTTGACTTAATTAGCCTATTTTGTCCTTGTCCTTGTCTTCGTAATTGGAACACACAAAACCAACTTTCTCCCTTACAACAAAAGTCTTACAACTAAGCCGCAAAAATTTTTTTTCGCTATGCCCCGTAACGACCCACGATACTTTCACCTGCGCCGAACCCGGAAACTTGGATAATTGCTGCAAGTCGCTGAGCGGTGAACGGGAAATGGATCTCGTGATCGATGAAGGAATGAGTCATGTGCTCAACGCCCAACGGCGACGATCCCATCGGTTTCACATGGGGAAGATCCAGATCCCCTCCCGGCCCGCATCCTGCTGCTAATTGCCGCATGTGGGAAGCCGGTCAAAAGAGGCGCTTTTTTGCACTTGCACCTCGACCCATCGCGACCCTCCGATGGCTTGGACTAATGGATAAGCTATGTCGAGGTTTCACTTTCAGCTGCGAATGCCGATGGCACTGGACACTCGCGGACTGGTTGTAAGGCAGACCTGTGGCGTTGCTGTCGCGTCAATGCGGGCTAAATGCTGGGAGTAGAGTGGGCAGAGAATTATTACTTTGCTAGTGTATACCTGCCATGCTATGCTATGGATGATGATGCTATGGATACCTAGCTGCTGCACCGTAGATCAAAACCACGCGGATCAGAGAGATCTCGGCAGCCATCGCTAAAGCTTCTCCAGCGGGCTGTGCGCGGGAAAATCATGCGTGTGCGCACCCAGTCCAAGCTCGAAATCGCACGTAAGGTAGCAATGACGTATGGCACAGATCTTCACCTTTCTCCTCCCATCCTTGCTAAGCTGAAATGGCTCTCGTCCGAACTTGGATTTCCACCTTTTGAAACCTGCGAAGCCACTCGGCCGGGCACGGCAATTTTTTCAATTCTTCTTCTTTTTTAACACCTGACAAAGTGGCTGGTATACATAGAACACCCCAACATACCGACCTAGTTGCCGTGGGAATAACGGGACAACGGATATAGGATCGAGGATGATTCAGCAGGGCAAGGAATAAAAAAAATGCGACCGCTTATTATCAGGCGGACAGGATAGTGAGGCGATGATCTTGTTTCTCCGCTCGCAGGCGATGCGAAACAAACAAACAAAACGGATATCGTTGCACAGGCGGTCTGCGCCCGATGGCTCGCGTCGGAGTCTGACAATAACGACGACTCCCAACGACCCGTTATGCCGAGGACCCTGGCATTGCGGAACACTTCTTATCGCGCGCGTTAAGGTCGGTATGGTTAGGTATGGGTATGTATGGAAGTGTTCTTTGCAGAAACTAGTGCCGTGGCCGCATCGTGGCCGAGGCTCGAGGATCACCTACTTACTCCCGCGACGAGCTGTCATGAGACTACTTTCCAGGCCATAAGGCACCTACCGTACTAAGTCGCAAATGTCGCGCATCGCTTAGTTGGGTATCTACCTACACAAGCAAGAAGCGGATTAAGGCCGCCCTCGTCGATTTCGCGGGGACAAAGTCCATATTGGCGCGGCGGGGTCGTCAAGACCCTGCTGTCGTTGGTGGTATCGTAGCCTATACGGTGGTCGTTGGCGCTTGATTGGCGCGTGGTGTTCCTCGGCGAGCCGCATGTGCGGTTCTAACAAGGCTAGGTAGGTAGGTAGGTATCTAGGTCTTTCCTTCCGCCCGACGTCATGTGTCGCGGGGGTTTACTTGGGGTTCTAGACTGGCGGTCTATGTATGGGGATATGTATTGTCGTCACATCGTTGGTCCGTCCTGACGGCGGGGAGACCGAGGTTTCTGAGGTGAGGCTCGCTGTGAGGTTGGGGCGCGACTTGGCCTCGTGGTTGGGTGTCGTGTCGTGAGAGGTGTTTGCGGCGTAGCATTGTCTCCCTTCCTGGTTGTCTGTTGGTCAACGTCTATTCTTGAAATGCCATACATGGACTTATCTAACATCGTAGGCCGGCCCTGTTGAGAGGCAGAGGATGTTTCTTCATACCGAATATTAAGTTGGTTAGGTGCCTACCTACTAGACAGGTAAGTCATCGGGATCAAAGGGTAACTAATAGGAGGTTACCTAGGTAGGTAAGTAAGAAGAAACCCGTGATCTCCAGTGTTTATATCGTGCTATAGTTAGGCGATAATTGAAGATTTATACCACTTTTCTTCGGTATGCTCAAGTGTTGATGCGATCTGTTCTATGGTATAACTTGATAACTTGCCAGTACCTTCCAACAATAATACTCAATAGGTAGACATTCTAGCGTATTGGGGACTAGTACTCTGATCAAATTGCTACCTAGTATACAATTCACAAGTGAGATGCCAAGTCCCAATGAGTCTAAACACCTTTTCATCGTTCACGCCAGTCCCTTTGCTTGCTGGAGATTTGCTTCTTGCTTCATGCACAAATCATGAATGTCGTTAGTCTAAGTCCTTGGCACCCAAACACTTAAATGAACGTAATATTGGACGCAATGAGTTATGAGTTCCGCATATATCAACACATGATGGTGAAGAGCGTGGCTTGACTCTAAATAGGTACCTTTATGTAAACTTCGTCCTCTATTGCGAAAAGGGGCAAGGAATGCCATTTTCTATAACATAACATTAGTCGAATGGATTACAAGTATTAATCTGATTTCTCCCTATTGGTGATAACCTATTATTCCTACTTTCCCCTTTTCCTACTAGCGGTTTTACGATATCGACGGCAAAATGCCTATCTCCTAGCCCCAGCGTCGCATACAAGATTTGCGGGGCGCGTATCTTCAATGTCCAGGAATATGGAAATATGAGTGCGATTAAATGATAAATCGGGTTGTACAATACCTCTTCCCCGTCTTACCTTAGGTGCTCTTCTTTGCTTTTCCTGATGATTTGGTTCTTCAATTAGCAGATCCCGCATTACGCCTTGCCTTAGAGCAATAGTAAACATCATGGATGCACCCGAAAATATCAGTCCGCCGACTAGTGCTCCCTTTGATAAAACAGTCAGCGATGATGCGAATCTCGAGCATCTAGGTTATGAGCAGGGTCTGTATAATCTATGTGCGCGCGTAAAGTTAATGCTAACATATCATATTGAACGTAGAACTGCACCGTTCCTTCTCACTCCTTGGCATGATCGGCTTCTCTTTTAGCATCGTCACATGTTGGAGCGCGCTAGGAGGTACCCTGATAGTAGGAATCGTCTTAGGAGGACTATAAGTGATGATATATGCCTGGATCGGCGTATCTCTCTTCTCATTAGCGGTGGCATACTCCTTCGCTGAAATGTGCTCGGCATATCCAGTCGCCGGCGGGCAGTACTCGTGGGTAGCAGTTTTAGCTCCGAGCCGATGGGCTCGCGGTATGTCCTGGGTAACGGGTTGGTTTATGCTCGTTGGACTCATCGCTAATGGCGCTGTGAACAACTTCATCGCCGCCAACTTTATCCTCGGCATGGCAAACCTGGCGAACCCGGATTATGTTATCGAGCGGTGGCACACTGTGTTGATCACTTACTTCATTATCCTCACCGTGGGAAATGTCAATATCTTCGCCCCGAGAGCCATGAACAAGATCACGCAGGTTATTCTAGTGTGGAACATCGTATCCTTTTTCGTCATCGTTATCACGATGGTCGCCACGAAAAAAGAGAAACAGACGCCGTCGTTCGTCTTTCAGGAGTTTCGTAATGATACTGGGCTGTCTGCTCCCCTCGGCGTAATTGCTGGTCTGTTACAGACGTTCTATTCGATGTGCTGCTATGATGCTCCTGCACATATGACGGAGGAAATGAGGAATGCCTCGCGGGATGCGCCAAAGGCTATCATCGCCGCCGTAGGGTTGGGCGCGGTGACCGGATTCTGTTTCTTGATTGCGGCGTATTTCTGCATTGGAGATATCGATGCTGTCGCTAATAGCTCTACTGGTTAGTTTACGACCTTTTCGGTCTCTGTCTTAGACAAGGTGTTTTCTCGAGCTTCTCTTTAGTTGCTAATCACTTCCCAACCTAGGTGTGCCGTTGATCCAGATCATATACGACTGCACAGGATCTGTGGCCGGGACCTGCTTCCTATCAAGCTTGATCACGGTCATCCTCTTGGTCTGTGCTAATAGTATTATGGCGGAGGGCTCACGCGCTCTTTGGGCTTTCGCTCGTGATAACGGGCTCCCCTATTCGAAGGCAATCAGCAGCGTCCACAAGAAATTTCAAGTGCCGGTAGTAGCCATTATCATCTGCATGGTGATCCAGGCAGCTCTCAACACCATTTATATCGGCACATACACAGGCTTCAACACCGTTATCTCGATCGCAGCAGAAGGCTTCTACGTCTCCTACGCCATACCCCTCCTCTCGCGCCTTATATCACACTTCAGCGGCGCACCGGTTCGGCTGCAGGGAGGTCACTACAGCCTTGGTCGGTGGGGTGTTCCCCTCAATATGATCGGTGCTGTCTACCTTCTTTTCGCCGCCGTGACGTTTAATTTCCCCAGCGCTGCCCCGATCGATTCGCAGAACATGAATTATTGCTCTGCCGCCGTTGGCCTTGTCATGCTCATATCCGCCGTGACCTGGTTCACGGGCGGACGCAAAAATTTCACTATGCCCCTATTGGAGGAGATACCCGAACGCGTTGACGATAAAGAAGCTAAGGGTATAGATGGGAAGAGTAGATAAATTGGCATGTTATGTTTGTGAGAGACACGATTCTGGTAGTTTATACCGGGAGCTACCGAGTAATTAAACCTTGTCGGCGGCTAGACCCGGAGCTAATCACGAGCGGTTTGGGGCGGCAGAATGGATAATGATAATAGTGGCTTTAGTGTGTAACAACTTGGAAAATTCAGCCATCTTTCAAACAGTGTATCAATCATATATTTAATTATATGACGGTGAAGTATAATAGAGCCATGTCGATGGCTCGTTCGAAGCGCCAAAATCCTACAAAGGAAGATCCATCGTTTCCGAGAAATGCTCTAATTGTGCTCCAGCTCTTTTGAGCAGCACGGTGCAATTTCTACAAGGCGCCGCATTGTTTGTCCAAACTCCGCCATTTCTCGTTCTATCGTACTGGTTGAGAGCAGGATTTCTCATGAAGTCTCTCTTGAGAGACAAGCCATAGAGATGGCGATTCTTAAGTTTGTCACTAATATTACGTTAAACCGGAATGCGAAGAGAAAGGGTGGTATGTGTATCGGATCGTACCTAGACAGCATCTCCGCGAAGGGATATCCCTCAGCACAGGCTCCATACGGGTTTGGATGTCCGCCCGCTCTCTGCTCGGGGGTCCTCTGAGCGTAATCCCCGGCTTTCACAATCTTAATCTGTGAGCAGGTTCGAAACATGTCGAATCGATGGCGTTGCACTGTTTCGTTGAAAGTGCCAACCGCATTCTCCATCCATGAATCACCCCCCAGAGAACTTCCGAGGAAAAACCACTTCTTGGTCGGGTTTCCGGGGTCATCCCACCATGTGCACTGGTACATGAAAGGCCAGGTCCCCGCGCCCGGGTTCGCAACCGGGGGGTAGTTGTACCCCCTAGGTGCAGTACCCGCGATCTTTGAGCACCACCGCGCGTACACGGCTGTTAGCGGTAGGAAGTAGTTGCTTTTGTTAGCAGCCGGTGGCGCTGGGCCAAGAACGTTGAAGAAGTACCCTAGTAGATCGTACGGATTCCAATAGGGTACTTGAATCCCGGCGTCTCCGTCTCTGCGACGGCGGAACTTGTTCGGCCACTCGTTAAGGATGAATTTCGAAATCTGTCTACCTCTTTCGTTTTCATGGCCATCCCACCTGTCATCGCTCCAGTCCTCGTTGAATGTTCGCGCGAAGTGGGAATTGGGCCCGACCCTGGGATCCCTGAATCTTTTCCCGTCCGGGAGTCTAGTTGTCAAGAGTTTGTGAGCATTGTTACCCGTTACGTATCGGGTATGTAGGAGTTGATAATCCCGGTAAAGGGGTATAGGTAATACATGCAAACGTACGCGACAATCTTGATTTTCGATAGGGTATCCTGAAGATACTTTTGAGATACTGGGTCTTTGGCTGTCTGCGAAGTTGTCTCAAGCCACTGGAAGATCTTCATAATATTTAGCTTCGTTTCTGTCGGAGTTGGACGGGAAACACAGTGTGGCAATGAAAGTACCCTACGATTATTATATGGGGTCTGGAATACTTACACGGTTTAAATCCCAGTTGAAGGCGTCACGGAACCAATTTGGATCGCCGAAAGCAGCGAGAAGTGTGACATCTGCCATAATCTCTTTAGTATGAGGTCTGTTGGGCTCGGTTTCAGATAGCTGTTCGATGTGAGTGAAAGACAAGTTTGGGAAGAAAGTTGTTTAGAAGAATCAAATATCTTAATCCTGGGAATAGGTTGGAAATATTGAGGAAGGCCTGCTGAGTCCCATGCCACAGTATTCTTGGTGGATATGGTGAGATGTACTGAGAGAGACAGATACTAGGTAGGAGGACAGTGGTAGTACAAAGTACCATGTACATGCGAATATGCTGATGCTAATATAATTAGTCAACAGGGTTGAAGGCATTGAGCAGCACGTGTTCAGATTTGGATAAATTCAGTGACGATGTCCTGCTCAAACCTTCCAGAGACATCTTGATTCCCTTTACATTCGACTTTTCGAGCAGTTCGTTCATCTTAGAAGACCTTGACTTGTCATCGGAACCAACTATGGTATGTTCTCAATTTGTCTGTTAAGGAAATGACCCCGGTACGCCACATTGGGGCCATCGTCATCTCCTGCTGCTGCCCTAATTCAGCTGCCAGCTAACACTTCTACAGTCTTCCCAAAGAGCCAACCCCCCCGATGGCTGGAGTGTAGCCGATGAGGATATGCAAATTAGCCTCTACTGGGGAGACGTGGGCGAAGGAAAACTCGCAGCAAATACCGTCGGTCTGAACGCCCCGCAGCCTGTGATGATCAAAAGCCGTGACACTGGAGGAGACGCTTACGTCTTCACGTCGGGTGACAAAGTCTATCTCTGGAACATGACGATGGGAAATGTGTGGCAATACACGAAGCCCGCCGACCTAGACGGGCTTCTGACTGAGATGAGAAAGCCGGCAGGGACAAACGATGTGGATATGGAGTTGGTGCATCAGGTCGTGTAAGCTGAGATGTCAGTTACAAGAATAACAACAACAACGAAGAAGGCCTAAAGCGGCAGGTAGTCATTCATCTAGACTGTTAGCAATCTAAGACTGCAACTCTCTCTCTCTCTCTCTCTCGGAACATACTTTCCAGACTTGTAGTGAGGGGATTCCAAGCCTCTCTGACATATCCTTCTTACGTGATCACATATCGAGACTGTTACCTTATACCTCCCTGAGCTAAGTAAGAGGCCCATCATAAGATCGTCAACCACAGAAGCGAACTAGTCCGCAGCGAACTATCTGACGCCGTACGCCCATACGTTTTGAAATGCAGAGCATCCCGCGGCTGTCAAATTTGCAGCATTGCCTAATTCGCTTGATTACCTACCTCTCGACGCCAGAATAGATTGGAATTCTCTCGCAAAGACTTGACATCTCCAAGTTGTAGCATATGTCAATAGGCTATCTCCAACTTATGCATATACGACATGTAACAACCCCGAAAACACTCCAAACCGGGAAAAGTTCAGCTCGCCACGTACCTAGTCGAACCGTCCAGTCCGGCGTCAGCGGCGTACACCTTCGGCGTCGCGAACGAAGTATGGTGATACCCGGTACGGCTCGATGCGTTAGCTCCGTCTGTCGTTTGTGGGGTAAAGGGGTAAGGGGCAGGGGGGGACGCCGCGCATTAACGCGGTTTGGAGGTTATCGAGTGTAGTGCGTAAACGAGTCGTTTTGGTCGATATTGCATGTTATGCGAAAAGAGAGAAATTCCGGTTATTGTATTATTTGCAACTGCGAGAAGTATGGTGAATATCGGAAAGCTTACCTCAGATGGTATCTTTAGAGGTGATCATGTGATGAGTAGATTCCTAATAATCACGTGCTCTAAATCAAGCTCTTTTTTTTCAAGATCAGGTGGTCTGTGAGTCAATGACGAAGATACCTATCTCAATCTTTGGCTATTCACGTGATTTTATCTGAGACACGAGTGTTTTCTGAGTCTTCTCGTTTGTGAAGGACAGAACCAGAACGGCACACAAATTCTTCAGATTTATATCCAAAAATGCAACGTAAAGAACTCAATTTACTTCCACTTACTAACTACCTAGGTAATTATGTCTATCTTCAACCCATAAAAAATAAAATAAAACCAAAAGCCCACCCCAAAACAACAACCTCAACCTCGTAAACAAACCTAGAACCCATAAACGGTAACCCTTGTAGGCGGGTTCTTAATCGTAATCGTATTCCCGACCCCCGGCCTCGGGTTCTCCGCGTCCTTGCAGTAGACGGCCCAAGACTGGACATCGACCTGGGTGAAAGCGCCCTGGGGCTGATTAATCGGGGCCAGACCAAGGAGGAAACTAAGCTCCTTGACCGTGCTCGCGTCGATCCAGCCTTTCGCTGCGCGGGGGAGCACGCGTAGCTGCAGCACGGGCTGGTCGTTGCCGGTGATGGAGGGTAGCACGTTGAAGCGCAGGTTCGTCAGCATGTGCGCGCCGGGCCCGACGTACGTCGGCATCAGGAAGTTCCGCGGATCGCTGGGCGAGGCCTTTGCTGGGCCGAGCGGGATCGAGATGTCCAGCTCGACGAGCATGTATTGGTTCGTGGTGTTCTTGCTCAGCAGGATGGAGAAGATGATGTCTTGGTTTAGGTTGTGCTCGGTCAGCTGGATTATACTCCAGTTCCCGATGGAGTTGCTGCTGATGGTTATGTCGTACTGCGGTGCTGAGGCTGGGTCCCCTGAATCTGGCACGTTGGGCTTTTTACTAGAGCCTTGAGTTTCCGAGACTGGAACGGTGTCGTCGCGGATACCTGTGGCTGTGAGAGCCTTAGTGACAATTGGGAGGGCTCGGATGTGAGGAGCTAGATTCGTCGAAAGAGCTACCGATGAAGGTTCGTAGCCGCTATGACGCTCGAATGTCGATTCACCTTCGTCGTCTGAGTCGGAAGCCTCATCGGATGCTTCGTGGATGTCATTACTTCTTCCGTCGTTGACGGTAAGCCTCTTCACGTAAGATGTCCCAAGCTGCTTCAGTGTCCTGATCTCAGGGCTTCTTATACCGACATCACCAGGAGGTCCTAGGCTTGCCATGCTGCTTGCATTTGGATGACCTTTGAGATCAATTTCGAGCTTATATATGGGGTCATTCAGCTGCATGGCAAGTAAGGCAGATGTGGATGCATTCTCATTGAAGTATGGCTTGCTGTCATCGCCCTCACCATAACTTCCCATTCTTTCTTGTAGGGTTTGGAGCTGAACGTTGGCAAATTGAGGCAATCGCAAGATTCGTAGGTCGTTGAGCCCACTACCCGGTTCTGAATCCCAGATAAAAATGTTGTCTGAAGAGCCCTTGTCTTCTGAAGGAACACCACCGGCCATTGGGGAAGGTTCATTATCCGTCGCCGAGGTTGTGTTGCTGGGTGGATGGTAGAGAAATTCGATGAGCGCATCTTGCCTGTTACCGTCTGTTTCTCTAGTAGTTTGGTCCACTGTGTATTGGCGTCGGATATCAACCTTTATTTGGGTGGAATCAAGTCCCCGAGCTGCAGCGAAGCGCTGCTGATGAGCCGGTTGGGTGAACACAAGACTTGAGAATTGAGGAGACCCTGGGATGCGGTCCATATAGGCCATCATTACGCCATCCGTCACAATTTCATGAAGGAGTAACGGAGCACCGGTTGGAGGGTCCTCGCCGGCGCTAATTAGCGCAGCCTCGTCTGCTAGAACCTCAACTCGTAAGTCTGGGAACATAGTGACCAAGTCTGAGCGAAGATAGAAGCCGTATGTAGGGATCTGCACGCTGTGCTCGTGTCCGACAGGCTTGTGTTGGATGTATTCGTTAAGTCCATCCTTGATCTTTGACCGCTCGACATCCACACCAAAATGATTCCCAAGGGAGAGTGCGCCGTCTATCAACGCGTCAATCCAATTGCTATCAATACGGAAGAAACGAAGACTTTCGGGTTCTAGGTGTGTCGGGTCCGCTACCAAGAGATGCGCTGGTACGCCCTTCAGAAACATCCTATCGACTAGCCAAGCCAGAACGATCATCCAATCCGTTGATAATGGATCGTTCGTTTCGTCGTACAATCCACCCGATGTGCTTTGCGCAACCTTTTTCACAGCTTTTCGCGCGGCAGCTGGGTATTTCTCCTTAATAGCTCGTGAGTTCAACCCCAGGTCAGGAATCTGAGAATGTGTAAGTCGCTGGCGAAACCAGCGTTTTTTGGCCCCTCCAGCGGTAAAAGCTGGTTGTTGTGCCTCTGGCTGCGTCATTGGATCACTGTTGATGTGGAGCGCTGCGAGGCTGTCCACTGTGTTGGACAGGTTTCTGAGCACCTCCTCTCTTGTACGTATGCCAGAATCGTTGAACTCTTTCAAGGTCTGCATTTTGGCTTCGTCGGATCCTTCTTTGTGGATGAAACTCCTCAAGCGACATAACGCGGCGGTAAAAGACTCGTCGGCAAGGGCCATAGTGCGGCCAGTCTGCCACGCTACGGAGTACGTGATGTCCATGATTCCCAAATCCTTATCGAGTATCTGCAAGTCGACGCCAGAGTTTGAACACCTTGATAAATTTTCTAGCGGTGGAACATACGTAGGCGTAAACGGTCCTCTATAGAGCGCGACAGTGGTCTCGCCCGTCTGAGTGTAATATTTCGTCATAGTATAACCGTCGTTAAGGCGACGAGCGACTCGTTTTTCGGCATCACTGCTGGAGGTCCGCAGGGGAGCGATGATGCTCTCCCGGGTACGAAGCACATCTAGCGTGCTCCCTAGATGCTCAAAAGCATCCGGTACGTTCAGTAACCCAGGCGGTAGAACCGTATAATTCCAACTGTGCAGCGAACAGAGAGCGACGTATCGTTGGTCGCTAGTTGGGAAATTCATTCCCTCAACGCCCTCGATTGAGACAAGATGCACACACATAGTCGTAGGTGAGGCGTTGTCAAGCGGTCCTGCCCGATTGCCCACAACGATACTGAAGACAGCTGTATCTTCGACACCTGCGAGCGCCATACCCGAGCTGTTGATTGTACGCACATGTGCTAAGTATTGGTACTGGGAGGTGTTTGGCTTGTTACCGGTTACCTGTTTGTTGTCTGCGTCAAAGGTCGAGAAGAGGCTTTTGAATAGATCAGGCTTGACGAAAATGAAGTCTCCACGACTGCTCTCCATGCCGCTTGGCACCAACTCCCTAGTGACAGGATATGCGACATTATCCAGCTTCCACAGATCGTCAACACTCATGTTGATAGTCATAGTCGATGACTGCTTAATCGGCTTTATCACACCAGCGCTGGTGTCTCGAAATATGCCTGTATTCGCGTCCAAGTCTTCAGGAGGCAACCGCAGCTCGTCTTGTGAGAAGGAGAAGATCACGAGCCATGGAACACGGTTACGGACTGGGTTGGCTTCTCCATTTGCAGTCATCGTTCTGATTCTTGACTTGAGTTGCGTGTTCGTGCCTTCACTAGGGCTTCCCAATCGCTCCCATGGAAGATGGGGATCGGTTAGGACCACGTGGGGTAGAATGCGATGGTCATCGCTATAGCCTGGCGGCGGATAAGTTGAGTGTACGGAGCCATCTGGCAACGTAAACTGCGGCGCATCAACAAAGAAGTCTTGCTCCGCTGTTAGAGTTAGCGGGCTTTCTCCGTTATTCGCGTTGATCGTCTGAGAAACGTTGATGCGGTGTTGTTGGCCGGCTTCAAGTCCCGGAACCCAATATGCGTTCAACTTTTCTTGGCCGGGAGGCAGAGGGTCGACCTCGTCCTCATCGCCACTACTGTCTTCAGCCGAGCTGCGGAGGAGACGTTTTGTCTGGCGTTGGTGAGCAGCGATAAGACGTCGTGAGTGACGAAGAGTGAGGTGTCGGGGGGAGTCTATGCGTGTGCTTTTGCCGGCGGGATAGATGGCCATGGTGGTGATCCTGACGAATATCTCCTCAAACACCTGGGAATTGATTATGTGTCCCCGTGTCCGGTGCTTTAACAGAAGGCTGGCAGTATAAGGAGATTAGGCTTGCTTGAACAAGGCCAGCTTTCACCCAGTGACACTATACAATGACCCGTTGGCTCATTCAGTATATACGGCGAAACTCGAGGCTAAAAAGTAAGATTTTACATTTGCCTCAATCAGTTCACTTTGGTATGAATATTAGGTACGCGTGATCGCTTGATATGTACTAGGTAACGAAACTATTGAAGCTATAAATCGATTAGCCCCTAAACCGTCACCCTCGCTTATTACATACCCACACATCCGATAGATGATTGGAGCTGTTATAGTGCTATACATGATTTCGAAATATCTTCACTTTTTGGGGTGTATATTCTATGAACAGCTAGTTGCATCAATGGGGACTGGAACTCTTAGCTTAGTCATATTCTTACGTGCAACAGGTTAATAATCCGAAATATCTTAACTGGTCGAGAGTCAAGTCCAGATCTTCCTAAATGATCTATCATATTACTTTTATCGCGATGACGAGACTCGTGATACATACCCAGGTGTTGTAACAAGAAAGTATCGACGACTTCGCATACCTGGTAAAGTCAGAATCGGAGCTGATCAAGCCGATCAATAATAAAGCTCATTTTCGACCGGCGGCACTGGCAACGCAACATTCCCCTCCAGCTCCAAAAGCCACTTTTTGATGCTGTGTAACATGATCAATCTGATCTGACGATGGAAAGCCTACTAGCTGCGGGTTAACTGCAGCTGTGGCAAAGTCAGTACAGCCAATCGGAGTTTCGAGACCACAACGAGAAAATATAAGCAAAATAGGAAGTGAAAGGTCATTAGTGGCAACCTGAAAAGCAGCCCGTCGGGGTTACCTAGGAGGAAACCAAACAACGACTCAGCGAGGCTGATGCTCGCTCTTTGGTGACCATCGATATCGAGAAGTGTCACTTTCAAACTCAGGTAACAATCCAACAAACATGTAGTTACCTACTGGTCTAGTATCTACACTTAGGTATATTAGGCGTCGTGATGGCCTCTTGTTGTAGCGAGAAGTGTGATCTCAGACTGAACTCTGTTTTCTAACTGTCTATCTACACTACCTCTCACCCACTTCATATTCTACTTCAAAACATCAACCCAAACACCATAATGCCCGCAGTAGCAGCTATCGTGAACCAGGCCGTGGCCGGCGACAAGAACATCAACCTGTTCTACAACACCGCAGACGCCCAGCTCGGCATGGCCTTCAAGAACGGCACCAACGTCGACGACCCGCAATCTGCCTGGGCTGCCGACGCAACCGACTACAAAGGCTACATCTTCAACCCTTCCACCATCGCCTCCGACTACTACCGCGGCAACCAGCTCGTCATCGGCGTCACTGAGCCCAGGGTCGAAGAGGGCAAGCCGACGACCAACCAGATCTCATTGCTCTCACCCATCTACAGAAAACTAGCTATGACCGCGCTGCAGAACAAGAACGTCAGTATGTGCTCGTCTGGAAACAGCGCTTGGGTGTACTACTTAGAGTAAGTATTACGCGTCTTTCATTTATAGCGTCGACGCCTCCCCGCCACATGTTTCAGTCGACACTAACCCTCACCAAGCGGATCCGCGCCGGGCCAGATGCGCCTGAAGGAATACAACGTCGAGAACGGCAACGTCTCAACTTTCCTCCAGAACCAGGACGTCACTCTCAACTGCTCGCTGGCCGCTTGGTACAACCCGACGACGTACGAGCGCCTGGTCATCTACCAGGAGATGGTGGAGGGGCACCTGAAGGAATTCAACACCGTCACGAGGCAATGTAAGTCCCACCCCAAACCTCGCCTACCTACCTAAACCCGGTGAATCCCGTATCGCATCTCCCCCATTACCTAGGTACTAACACAACACCAGCCTGGGACATCGACGGAACCGACAACGCGAAAGACCTAGCGAGCATGGCCATCTCGTACACGAACGGCAAAGCGTACCTGTACTACGTCGACAGCAACGACAACATCCATCGCGTCATCAAGGATGAGAGCGGGTGGGGCGAGCCGCGCACCGTGGCTGGTATCCCGAAGGTCGGCACCAGCCAGATCACCGTGGTGGCGGCGAATAGCTATAACCATATTTTCTATAAGTCGCAGGAGAGCACTATGGAGGATGACTTCTTCCATGCTCATGACCCCGTTCAGTAGGTTGGTGGTGAGATGTGATGTCGAGGGGACGGGTAAGCGGAGAGGAGAGGAGAGTGAGTTTGGAATTGTGTTTTATGTAGGTAGCATGTATCTTTTACCAGATCAAATCCCGAAATGCACCTAAAATTCCGGTGTCTATGAATCTATGATTGTCTCGGGTCGCTGCGTTAAACCGAGTCGTCTTTTGTACGATGCTGTAAGTTCTAAACAGCGTTTCGTGATTTGTTTCCATAGTTACCAACTTCTTGTTAACGAGACCTGAAGCCCTTTCCAGCGAATAGATTGACAGCTAGGTAGAATCCATACTAGTAAAGAAAGTATAGACAGGTAGTTTAGGTACCTAAGGATATACTGTAATGAACTATGCGTTTTGCAATCCATGTAGCCAATCACTATAGCGGTAAGTCAGCCTAGGTACCTAGGGGATACGATTATTTCAGTGTATAAACGCCCTACAAGAACCTTTTCCAGCGCTATTTTACAGCGTATTATCCCCAACTTCAACACAACCTTGGCCCTTGGACCTGTCAACAATAATGGGTAAGACATGCGGAACACGATGTATTCACTACCTACGTAAACACCTATGCTTACTCCAGCCCAAACCTCAAATCAAGAACAAAACAAACCCACTCACGATTGATCCCCCAAGCAACCCCCCTAGCTACTAGCCTTAGGCACCATAATCGGATTCCTCAACTGCAAGAACCCCTCTACCGCACTATACGGACCCTTCTGGAACCCCGGCTTCGTCAAATCGCCTCTCTTATCAACACCAAACGCATTATACACCGTACCGTCCTGGCCCGTCGACTCATCATACGGCTGGAACCAGCTCCAATCCCCAGGTCCAAGCGAGGGCAAGGGTAAATCCCGGGGCGGCCTATCTCGCGCGTTCTTGTTTGTGAGGGGGTTGTCTTTGTCGTAGGTAGGGACTGAGTTGATGGGGAGGGTTAGCGGACCCGCGTGGAAGAAGGCCGTCATGGTGTTCATGGCTTGTTGCCAGGTCCAGGATGGGAGGGATAGGTCTGTGGGGGGTAGGAAGGAGGAGTATGCGTGCACGGGTGTGAAGGGGTCGATGATGGCTCCGAAGACAGACATGCGTGAGTTTCGCTTGTTCTCGAATTGCGCTGGGTTGATGTATCTCGTGGGGTCATCGAATGGTGTGTCTGTTGGGAACGGCGCCTCCCAGAACGGCGTGAATAGAGGGTAAGTTTCTGTGTTGAGCCGTCGGAGGGGCTCAAGGTTGTCTGCTTCGGGAGTGAAGAATGTTCTGATGTAGTCGAGGTTGAGCTCGTCCGAGTCTGGGGATGTGGTGTCAAAGTAGCCAACTAGCCCGTCATAGGCTGCATCGGCATCACCCAGTCGCACCTGTAATTCGTAGAACGGAGTCTTGTCATCGGGGTTGACAGGCTTTGTCAATAGGCGCTCTGGATTCTTCACTTGGGCCTTGGTGCTCTGGATCTCTAGCGGGGGACCGTCTAGCTCTAGCGACCAACCCATGTTGACCAGCGCAAGCGGCTTACCAACGATAGAGTTGAGGAATTGCGCGTACGAGCTAGGAGCTGCAGGTAGTTTATCCTGTGCATCTGTGATCATGTGCCAAAAGCCCTGCAGATACTTAGGGTTGGTAAGTTTGTCCACGAGTAAATCTAGCTGTCGCGTTTCGGGTGTTGAATCGTCCATACTTGGCTCAAAGGGAAGCCATTTAGGCGATTCTAGCGCTCCCAGAGGTCCTCCAAAGCGCACCTCGCGGTAGAAAGTTCCGTCTGGTAGGAATATCTGGATGCCGTAATCCGCATAGTTGGTGATCACCCAACCCCAAATTGGTGATTCCCACTCCGTCGAAGGTCGCCACTTGGCTTCATCGCCGGAACCATCTTCCAGCCCTTGCCCATTGATATCATCGGGATCATCAGCAATGCGCTTAACAAAGTTCGCATTTAAACGCGAGTTCTGATTGATCTGGGGCGGTAATTGTAAAAATTCGCATAGTTTGGGTTGATTTTGAATCGCTGTGTTGGCGTACGTCTCACCGTCCGGCAATTTAATAGTCTGCGGCTCATAGTAGTCGCTAATGCAAGGATAATAGGGCGGGAAGCCTCCGACTCGAGGCCTTTGATCGATGGCCATGAGTGCTTGCCCAAATTTATCAATGATGTTGAGCTTACGGAACCTATAATAGCAGTTAGTTGAAATGCTAGTGCTATGATGAAATTATTCAAAAATACAAGGATCACATACCTGAATTGACCATGCGTAGCGGGCTTGAATGGACAATAAAGTCCGTCCGAGAAGTTCACCGACGATGCGTAGGGCGTCAAGGCCGAATTCCCCTGAATCATCCCGATATTTGTCTCCGTCAAGCCAGCATCATTGATGACCGCCGACCCAATGACTGAGCTAAACTCGCCATCTGGACCAACCACCTTATTCTCAGGTTTGATGTGACTACCTTGGGCTTGCGTAACCAGCGCGTCATAAAATCCGGACAGCGGCGAGGAAAGATACGACAGCTTCTTGATATTATTGCGCAAGTTGGCCTGCTCATCTTCGTCGATGTACTCCTTGAGAATGTCCGCTGGCGTATTATCGAATAGCTGTGTCACCTTAGCTTCGAGAGAAAAGCTAGGCTGTGGTAGAATAAGGACCCGTCCCGACAAGACACGCGTATCCGCCATCTCCTTAGGAATAGCATCCCAAAGAGGCTGCGGTGTCTGGCCAGGTTCTGTAGGCACACTGATACCGTAGCGGACGTGCGGAGTTTCGGATAAGCGCGCTGTGTGTTCATCCAATTTCCAATATTCCATGGGAATGTGAGTATACTCAACTTCCCACTCGGCATAGAGAGGGAACCACGGTTGTCGATCTCCCCACTGGTCGCGCCAGCGCCCATCGGTATTCAGCTGATCATGGAATTGAGGAGGGTAGAAGGTGCCCTCATTGACTATAGCAGAACCACTTTCTGTAGGCCGTATGGCATAGAACTCGGCCATTAAGGCTTCAGCAGGCCCCTTGAACACATCTGGGACCTTTTGTAGCAGTGTGAAGAAGTTTTTCAACGCATCCGGTAGGTTAGAGAGCCCACCCGCGGGACTAATTGTTTGGAATGGCGCGCGAATAAGCACTTTATCCAGGTAGTCGATAGGCCAACCAGTCTCAACTCCGCCGATGAGAATGGTCGGATCATTTGCACGGTAGAAAACGGGCATACTTGCGGGCTGAGCTGTCTCCAGCGGATTTTCCGCGGGGTCGACGGGCTCTCCCTGATCATCTTTCGGTTGCAGTAGGTCATCAATCTGCGTTTGCAGTTGCTGGATGCGATCGTTCAAGCCAGCAATGTGATCCGATAATTTAGTTGCAGCATCTTCATATGCCTTGTTGGTTTCACTAGTTTGGTTCTCACTTTTGTTGCCCACGTCACTGACGTATTTCCACCAGAGCGAGAACATGTCCCAGCGGTACTGCGTGAGTGCTCTACTACAAGAGTCCTGTAGCGTTTTTGCCTGGTTGAGTTCGCGCAACTTCAGAATCGAAAGTCGATCCGGTTCTATCGGCTGCTTGTTGGATTGCCCGTCGTTGCCCTGACCGGAGAAGTAGTAATGTGATCCGCCCGGTGAGCGGTTAAAAGACCAATTATAGACAGAATCGGCTGCTTCACGCTGGGCCTCAACTCCGTCATCGCGGGCATGCAATAATTTTTCGATTAAAAGGATATCTTCCTCAAGCTTCGTAACATCCCCAGGACCGTCTGGATGATCCTTGCGGGCATGACAATATGACAACAAGGCATCTATGGGGGTAGTACCGAGCGACACAGCCGCTTGATTCTGGTCAACTAGGCGAGCGTTGAATTGATCTGCTGGTACATCCCCGGGCTTGGTATCGTAATCCCAGACTACATCATACATTGCGCCATGGCACAAGATACGCAATTGACTCTCCTCATCTAGCCAAGGGTCCCGTTCTTCGGGTGGCGATTCCGTCGCGCCTTGGAGCGTCATAAAGAGTGCTTGTAAGCTCTCTCCATGCGCAACACTTTTGCCAGACTTCCATAGAGGGTCGACGTCCTCTTTCCAATGCCACCCCAGCACGTAGTAACTGGCCTTGGCGTGAGTCAAATATTGCGGCGCTTTGGCAGTGCCGTACTCGAAGTTGTCAAGTATGCTGAAAACGTTTGCATTGTGCATCTGAAAGTCTGCGAATAGCTGGTTGCCGCTTTGCAGCAAACTAATGTTTGGAGGCTGCGCATCGGGGTCTTCATTGCCAGACCAATCCCGAAGCGCACTCTTGCGCCCAATGAACACTTCAGCTTGCTCATCAATGTTGACGTCTGAACCCTTGTGGCCAACGATGAAGGGAGTAACGTCGGTCTGCAAGTCAAAATCTAGTGGTATCTCTTCTAGAGTCCACAGGTGATCGCTCTCTACCACCCAAGCTTCATATTCGCGACCCTCGAAGGCTGACTTTGCCTCTGGCGGCGCAATGCTGTCAAGCTCAATCTTTCGAACGACAATCCAACGTGTGGGCGGTTCTACAAACTCCGGTGTGTCGTTACTGGCATCACCAACATCGGAGTCTGGCACATCTAGGCCACGCCGCAGTCGCTCTTTCCGCCGGCGATCCGAGGATACAGCTTTGCCAGTTGAAACACCGGCACGGTAGAAGCGCGGTAGGGTCCAGTGGAGGTAAATGCCGTGACGATGGCGGAGCGGTGTTGGCCTTGGCCGAGCGCCTATATCACTCATACGAGGATTGACAGTAGCTGGCGCGGTGTTGTGCAAATCGGTGTGATTCTGAACATCGCCTTGGAGAAGGAAATTGTCGAGGCGTAGGAATGTGTAGTTTGGCTGTGTGATAGGACTGATACGTGCTGTGGTATCGTCGTCTTCACCAGTGCCGCATACAGCTGGGTTGAGCCTGAAGGCATCCAGCTGCATGGGCACCAGAGCAACGTCGAAGTCGGTGATCCCCGAAGACATAGTTTCTCTTCAGTCAAGACGATGATTCTTGCAGTGAAACTCGTATCGACGAAGAAGGTTGACTCACCTTAGTTCAATGAGCGTAATTAAGTGATACCGATTCTCGAAGCAACAATGGCCGAATCCACGTCTGATCGAGTCCATCATTCTGAATGTAGCCAGCTCCGAATCAGATGCCGACTTACTTCCTCTCTGCTATTGATACCACCCAACCCCTTTGCCGGGATGGTTGATGACCCGTGTCGAGCATCTTCATTGTGATCTCTCGTAGGTATTAGATACATAGCGCGACACAATCCAAACACCGTTCAATATTAAACGCATGCAACCTTCAGCTCACCGCAGAGACGCCACAAAGGTTCGGATGCGCGCGTCAGGTCATGAGACATGCATCAAGCAATGTCTGTACGGCGTCTGATCTAATACGTGGTCGTCTTGGCGTCATGAAATGCATATAGGAATATTGCATTGTGAATCCTTTTCTCTAATTGCAATGCGATATGCGGTATTCTATAGAATTCCGATAGTAGCATGGACTGCTTACCTGTTGCATAGTACCACAGTAAGATTGATGTTAGGTCTGTCGAATAAGATAGGTACTCCTAAGCGTCAGGACCGGATATTGTAGGGTCAGTGAATTCGGTTACTTTTTGCTATCATCTCGTTGTTTCCAGGGCGATGCTCTCGAGAATCCCCAACCGCTTCTCAGAACCTCTAGCCTAGTTCCTAGTAGACCAGAATTAGGTATCATTCATTCCAATATACATAATCCCACAAAAGCCTGTCTTGTTGTTGGTGCTATCGCAGCTCTCCAGTCTCGGTCCTGGAGCTCAAGTAAGCCAAATTTCGTGCTTCTGAGCTCCATAGAGATCCCTCGATCGTTGGCAAGAAGCTATACGACGCACCGACGAGGGAATATATCGACCTAAGTGGATTCTCTATTTAGAGAATGGTATACTGAATTCTTTTCCTTAGCTCAATCACGCCAAAGTTCGATATGGGCGCCTCTCCAAAGCCTGCCGCTCTTATAAGGGCAACAGGAGATTCATCCCTGGCAGCGATCGAAGAGGGAAATGCCTACTACATTTACGCAAGCTCCGCAGGCAAATATCCAAGCGAGAACATAGATGTTCTTAAAGAGGGTAGCTTGACGGATCTCTTCGTTGCCTCTTTGAACGAAGACAAGGTCATTATTTTGTCTGAAGCCCCGAAACCCACAGCCAGTCTAGATGACTCCGACACGACCAAACAATGGTTGCAGGAAGTCGATATTGGCGCTACAGCCTCGTTGACGGTGAGCGGCTCTCCGCAGAAAATCGAGAGCTTCTTAATCACACTCTCGGAGCCATGGGAGCTCACCTTCAGTTCAGCCAGCGATGTGTTATTATTCACCTTCGGTGCTCCAGTCGTTGGGAGTACAGAACCAAGAATCCAACCCCCCGGCATTGACTCCGAAGGCGCAACGTTGATCTGCGGCCTCGACTTCACCCAAACCGAAGACATCACGGGTACAACACTCAAAGACTTGTTCACATATGCGAACGTTGGCAGCTTGGTTAATTCCCTGCCCAGAAGCATGGTAGATCTGGAGGTAACCCTTAAGAAACCTACCGTGGACGATGCCCCTCAACGGAATGCATTCTGGTTTACTCCTGGACTTGATAATCAAATCGACGTTCGCCTCCAGTTCAGACTATCCGTGCTAGAGCCGCTGCAGCAACTCCTCGGCTCCACCCTAAAAGGTTTCACTCTCGAGAGTGCAGACGTCGTCTTCAAAAAGAAGACGGTGCTTGCGGAAACCGAGAATGGGGATGAGGCATTGAGCAGCGGCTCCGTTTCTTTCGGTATTGGATGCCACGTCAAGGCGAGTGCCGCAGATGCACCACAAGTGTCAATGGCTGCTGGTGTCGAGGTATTCTCCTCCGCAATTGCTCTTACCTTCATATTTCGCTCTGCAGACCCCCTCACGGGAATTCTCCGCTGGCTAGCCGAACTTATCGGAGACACTGATCTCGAAAAATTCGTCAACGGCATCTTGAATAAACAAGAAAATAGTTCCAAGGTGTTTCGTGACTTCACTCTGAGGAGGTTGACCGTCGGTCTTAATACTAAAGACTCAGAGACGCCCAAACTATCGTCATTTTCATTTGATATAGAAGTGTCTGCCAACTTTGGCGGTAACCCCGCATCAAGTCCAGCGGTGTTTTTGATCTCGTACAATTGGGATAAGTTGACGGGTGGGTTCGGTACGCTCAGTGGCCAACTATGGAATGGTAAGTGCATGACCTGTGACATGCAAGAATTAGACGGCTGATATTGGGTTCAGAATTCGACACCTCCAACGACCTAGACCTGTTACCATACGAAGAGATCTGGACAATCTTGCAGCCAGTGACAAAGTCCCCGGCCAAATCAATCCAAATTGCATCATTGATTCCCACTCGAGACGTGATCAACATCCCCGACACCTTGCCGTCTGAGATAGAACGAGCATATATTAGTCTCTCCAAGGACACATTCGACATTGGTGGCACTGCCACTGCAAAAGAGCCCCAGCCAGGCAATGTCCCTCAACCGACCCTTGGCGAACTCTCTGTAGATGCCTCTTTTCAATGGGACGCGAGCAAAGCGTTCACTCTAGACGTTGGAATCCGGGCTACAATCATCCCTAGCGAGGAATCAAATGACGACGACCTTCCTGCTGTTCTGGTAGGAAATCTGAGCTACGATTCGGCACAGAGGAAATGGGCTCTTCATGCCTCCCTAAGCGGCCTATATGCGTCAACCTTAGTCGAGTTCTTCGACGAGGATGCAAAGGCACATGTTGGGCCTCTAATGCAATCAATTGAGATCGAGACGCTGGACGTGAACTACACATACGAGCCCAGTGGAGACAAGTCCAAGACCAGCAGTTTCAGCATCCAGGGTGATCTTATCATCGCCGAGCTTAGGCTGGGACTTGATTTCACAACAGACAAGGACGGTGTCAATTTCGTAGCCACTCTGAACCCCAAAAATAAGGACACCAAAGTTGGAGACGTGTTGTCAGCCATTTTCGAAGAAGATGAGATCGAACTTCCCCCGTTCATCACCGACATGGTCTTGGTAGATGACAATGAGGACGCTTTCAGACTTGAAATTGCAAAGAAGACGACCAAGATCAACGGAGTAGAGCAAAGTTCGTTCCAATTCCTCGCTCAAATCAACATTGGCAACTTGCATGTCGCATTCGCACAGCTTCATAGCGAAGACTGGGTTGTGGGCACCCCGTCTAAACGACTCATCATGGCTGCCATCAACGGCTTCCCAGATCTCTCAGTCGACATTCCTCTGATTGGCGAATTGGAACAGCCGCTTGACGAGCTGTACTTCCTCTGGGTACAGGCGCCGCTAGGAAAGTCGGAGGTACCGCAGCCCAATAGACAAGCTGGTCTCACACGCAAGGACCTTGCACAACTCAACGATGGCCTACAAGAACAGCTCCTGGTCAAGGATAAATTCAAAGAGCCGACTGATAAGGACCTGCTGGTCCAGGCCGGTTGTCACTTTGCTGTCATTATCCATAGCTCCACTGGTGAGCGGTCCTGTCTGCTCGATTACGCCTTCATGAAGCCAGTAGATGCTGTTGCCAAGAGCGACAGGACACTTGTGCGACGTCGTGTCGCCACTGCTGAGCCGCCGGCAGACACAGGAGATGATGAAAAAGGTGAAAGCGCGCAAGCGCCGTTCAAGAAAAAGGCAGGCCCTCTCTCCATCACCAATGTTGGACTTAAGTATAAGAACAAGAAGCTGGTCATCATGTTCGACGCTACATTGACGATGGGGCCAGTAGGGTTCACGGTGCTCGGATTTAGTCTCAATGTTGGTTTTGTGACACTAGACAAGATTCCGTCGATCGACGCCACAGTTGAAGGCCTGGCGGCGGCATTTGAGAAGCCTCCACTAACGCTTGGCGGCATCATTCGCCACGGCAATGAAGGCGGTGCAGACTACTACGCCGGTGGGATGATCGTCGGTTTCGAACCCTGGCAATTGCAGGCCGCTGGTTTCTACGGCGAGGTGACTCCGAAGGGTCACCCCGAAGACAAGTTCAAGTCTATCTTTGTCTTTGCCAAATTGGACGGGCCTTTGATAACGCTCGAGTTTGCCGAGATCTCGGGAATCTGTGGTGGGTTTGGTTACAACAGCAACGTTCGCCTTCCCGGGGTGGATCAAGTCACCAAGTTCCCTTTCGTCGCCAATGACCAATTTAGTAGCGCAGATAATGTACTAGAAGTGCTGGAAAAACTGATTGACATAAGCCCGAGCGGGTGGTTCCAGCCACTAGACAGCTCGTATTGGGCTGCCATAGGCATGAAGGTTGATGCGTTCCAGATGCTGAGCGTTGATGCTGTTGTTGTCGTGCAGTTCGGAAGCTCTATGAAGCTTGGCATCTTTGCGGTAGCATTGGGGGATATTCCATCGGCCAATTCACCCATCAAGTTTGCGCACGTCGAGCTGGGCATAGCTGCCGTTGCCGATTTAGACTACGGCACGCTAAAGATCGAGGCACAGCTATCGCCGCGCTCCTACATATTTAGCCAGGAATGTCACCTCACTGGCGGCGCCGCTCTCTGCTACTGGTTTGATGCGACTCAAGCCAATAAGGGCAACGTCGGCAACTTCGTCTTCACTCTAGGCGGCTATCATCAAGCATACGTAGTGCCACTGAGCTACCCCAACCCTCCGCGACTAGGCATTTACTGGAATGTAGGCGGCGGTCTCAGTATCTCAGGCCAGGCGTATTTCGCTATCACGCCTAAGTGTTGCATGGGCGGTGGCCGCCTGCATGCCGCCTTCAGAGCAGGACCCATCGAGGCCTGGTTCGATGCCTTTGTTGACGTGTTGATTAATTACAAGCCATTCTTCTTCAATGCACAGGGAGGAATTTCTGTCGGTGTGCGTTTCAACATTGACTTCCTTGTGGTCCATACGCACATCTCCGTCGAGATCGGCGCTCAGCTGTACCTCTGGGGTCCACCAGTCGCAGGCCGTGTGCATGTTGATTTCTGGATCGTCGCCTTCGACATTAACTTCGGCAAATCTGCCAATGACGACGAGCGTTGCACTTTGTATCAGTTCTATCAGCTGGTCCTCCAATCAGAGTCAGCTTCAGTGATGTCGCAAGCCGCTGCCATGTTGACCACGAGAGAAGAGTTAGTTATAGAGAGTAATCCCCCGATACCAAAGAACGAGGGACACAACTTCCTTGCGCAATCTGGTCTGATGAATCCCGACGAAAAGACTGAACGCGCGCAGAATGAGCAGTGGATCGTGCGTGCTGGTACTTTCTCCTTCGTGATAGCGTGTAAGATGGCTATCAATGCCATCAAGAACGACCCGGAAGCGGTACCCATCATCGTTAACAATAACCCAGATCCTAACATTAATGTCTTCGGCAAGCCAATGAAGCTTGTGATTCCCATGACGTCTACTTTGACCGTGGTAGTTAAGCAAGACGGCGTAGACCACCCGGATGTAGGCTGGCAGTACGAACGGTATCTGAAGAGTGTGCCTCAAGGCTTATGGGCCAAATGTAAGCTTGTCATGGCTATGGCCCCTCCATTGATTATTCCAATCCAACTAACATCGATGCCACAGATGACAGAAACGCCGACCCGCATGATGGCAAGAAGAATACTGGAGACCTCCTCAAAAACGATGCTGGAAGCATGAGCCTTATGATGGGTGTCAAAATCACAGCTCCAAAGCCGCAGTTGTCGGACGACCCGTTCCCAGCCTTCAATGTTGACGACGCCAACCTTCAACGGCTCTTAGCCGAGAAGGCATTCCCCCCATTCCCCGACGCCGACCAAGCTTGGGCTCCCGACGTACCGCTCGAGGACGAGGGACAGTTCGATGCGGTGTACACCGATTGGACAACGCCGTCGATGGGAGACGAGGGACAAAAAGGGTTCGTGAGCACTCTGGCACAATGCATGACGTGGGATGACGTTCCAGGGCTGAAGGAAATGGCGAGCATTCCAACCCAACTAGCAAAGAAGTTCAAGAATTTGTATGTCGCGGCGCCGTTGATAATAAAGTAGTTAGGTATGGAGGACCTAAGTAGTATGTAGGTTATTGGGTTAAGAAGCTTCGGACATCCGTTTGAAGGAGGAAATTGCTATGTAAATGATAAGATGATTGATAGATTTATCGGCAATTGGTGATTGGCTATTTTTCCTTAGCGCAGCTCTAGTGGGGCTTGGCAAGTCCTTGAATTTGATTGGGTGCTTCTGTTTCTACCAAGCTGCCAAGTAAAAACAGCATTTTCATACTATGTACATTTTCCACGACGAGGAAGTATCTAATCGCCATCAATTAAAGTAATAGTAAAGTGATTCAAATAACGACAAAAAACACTTTAAGTGTGATAATTTACTACGAGTGGTTTATTTTGAATGCTTTCCCTTACACGGCCTAGTCAATATGCATGATATGATGAAATGTGCGTAAGAGCCAGGAATACAGATGTTGCCATTTTCTATCAATCCCTTATCTCCTCTAGCAGCATTACCCAAAAAGGAAATCGTGGCACTATATCCACCAATCAGAACCTTTCTTTCTCCTATATCCAAAGTGATATGTCGTAAAAGTGATCTCACTCGGCATATTCCCTACAAGGTAAGCCGACTATTCGATCATCATAACATTTGATAACTTCGAAGATACCTAGGTAGGGATTAGTTCTCATATGTTAAAGGACTTAGTTTATTCGGAATATGTACATTGTAGTATGGAATAGCACGATACTTCGAGATGTCAGGCATTTAACTTTATCAATCAGCAATTCTTGATTATCAGAACACATATGCATGGCGTCGACATACATACTACTCCAAAGATAAATCCGCAAGTTGGGTGGCATCAGGAAGCTGATGCGGTGCCTACCCCTCCCCCTATCTACGGTAAAACCAACAATATTAAAACCGTCTCCAAAATATAAAGAAATTCGCATTGAAATTTGACTGTTCTCTATACCAAGCTCTCATCGTTTCTATATGACTATATTCCACCCCGAATAAACTCATCCATAATGACGGTACTTCCAGCTCGCAGAGCCGCTGCGTTTCCCATCCAGAAGGGCCAGCATCTTAAGATCACCAATACACATGGCAAACAAGTAGTTGATTTCTGGGCCTTCAATCCCAACAACAGTCATGATTACCTCTCAATGGGGCATTCGCGCACCATTCTAGTCTCCATATCGCCGCGAGTTGGCAACAGCCTCTACAGCAACCTCCGGAAACCTATGCTCACGTTGGTTGAGGATACGACGCCGGGTGTACATGACATGGTATGGACAGCTTGCGACCAGGAACGCTACCGCATGCTCGGCGCTGTTGAATATCACGACAACTGCCATGACAACATGCACCAGGCTCTTAAAGAGAACTTCCCGGCAGACCAGTATCCTAACCTCCAGATCTCAGATGATTGGATTCCTGACCCCCTGAACCTTTTCATGAATGTCGCAATTGACCACCGCGGAGGGCTGGACATCCGGCCGCCAGTGAGCGAAAAGGGCCGGTATGTTGTGCTGAGGGCGGAGACGGATTTGGTGATTGTGATGAGTTCTTGTCCTCAAGATATGGCTCCCGTTAATGACGGAATGCCAGCGGACTGCGAGTATGAAATATTCGACGATGCAACTCTCGCGACCGTCATCCCCCGCACCCTTACTAAGCGCCCAAAGCGTGTCAAGGTTGCGCTCTCCTTTGATTTCGACGCCGTTTCCCACTGGCTCGGAACGGGATGCCACCCGGACAACAATATGGCCGACTACAGCACCGGTATTTTCGCTGGTCAGGTTGGTGCGATTCGTTTACTAAATATGCTGAAGAAGAAAAACATCGCAGACAAAGTCACTTGGTTTATCCCTGGCCACACTATTGAAACCTTCCCTAATTCAGTCAAGAAAGTCGTCGAATCGGGTGCTGAAATCGGACTCCATGGCTATTCCCATGAGGGTATCTATCAGATGACTCCTGAGCAAGAACGCGACGTCCTAGTCAAATGCATTGAAATCGCTACGAAGTTGTGCAATGGCCAAAAACCCCGTGGCTACCGTGCACCTATGTACACTATCCGAGAAACCACCGTAGAGCTTCTTCGCGAGTTCGGCTTCCTGTACAACTCATCTCTCATGCACCATGATTCTCAGCCATACTGGACTCCAGCCGATCCGCCTATACAGAAGATCGACTTCTCAAAGCCTGCTTCCTCTTGGCTGAAACCAACATATATCACCGAACCCACTATTGGACCGCTTGAGTCTGGCGAACATCCATTGGTCGAAATTCCCTGCGGCTGGTATAACGAGGATATGATGCCACTACAATATCTCCCACACCTCCCTAACAGGTAAGTAAAGATCGCAACACACGCTCATGGTTAAATGCGCTGACCACTGTACGAAGCATGGGATACGTGTCTACCAGAGTGATAGAACAGATGTGGAAGGATAAATTTATGTGGTTATGGGAGAATGCCCCCAGTGCGGAGGGCGAGGCCGACAGCGAGAGGGCTAGCAACTCGGCTGATTTTGTTTTCCCCATCTTGATGCATCCCGATACCTCTGGAATGGCACACATAATTGGGATGTCGGAACGTATCATCAGTTGGTTACAAGGGTGGGGAGAATCTGTGCAATTCCATACACACGAGGATATCGCCAAGGAATGGCTGAAAGAGCAGAAGTCCCACGAGTAACGCAATGTAATTTCTGCGATGGTAACTATCCGTTATTCCTACCATACCTATCTACCTGGGGCACCTATTTTTGATATCAAAACAGTGCTAGGTTCGTCATGACTTATGATAAATATGATTCTTGCTATTCATATTGTGCTTAATTAGGTACCCGGGTATACTTTGGGTTGGTCGCTCACCGATGAGAAGATGTCTTGAACGAAATTGGAATAAGCCACCCGGACAGTTGTCGGGGTAGACCGAATTAGAAGCCAGTGCACGTTCTACCTGCACTAACCGCTCAGCCCGCTCTAAAAAGGACCTAGGACTCGAGATATCCATGCTCGCTAATAGCACCACGAGGCTGTAGCTCGACCTGGTACGGCCTACTGGCGTGGAGGGGGTCTTCGGTATATTGTTTTCTAGCGAGCGTTGGGGCGTCTATTAGCCGACGCTGGAGGCCTACGAGAAGACTCTAGGTCATGTGGAGATGCGGCCAGACGAGGCTATCATGGTCGCAACGCATGCGTACAGTCTCGGGTCTGCGCAGATTCTCGGCATGAGAACTGATTCCGTCTATTGTTGGACTGTTGGTCGCGGTGAGGATATTAATGCGGTTAGGATGGAGAATAGCATCGAACTCCTCGGCGAGGTCATGCGTGTGTTGCTTCCTGCCGTCAGGTCTTGGGTCAGGTCTCGCCGAAGAGTTGACAGCCAGTTCACGCATCTCCAGTACCATGTCTTACCAACAGCCTTGTAAGGCGTCGAACCAGAAATGTTCGGATCACAGGAGCCGGCAGGCTGTGGCTATGCGATGCCGTGCATACTTTTATACGCATGTTGGTATGAGGCCTCCGCGAACGAGCTGGTGAGAACCCGACAGGCTCGTCTTCAGTTACATTGAAGAAATTGAATCGTGCAACATCGTCATAATTAACTATACGAACCAACATGCGTATGTGTTGTACGGATGTGGGTGAGGTCTGCGCCTCCACCGATTTGATAGAGGCCGGCAACTATCGGAGCCAGCAAATGAGTACAGCGGTACTTCGTACTATGTACATCCGCTAAATTCATGAAATCCCGGGTTACTGGGGTTTAAACTATTAGTGGGTCTGAACCGGGATCTTACAGAACTTGTGTCACGCAATCAGCGTTCGGATTTGCCAGATTCATATCCAGATTAGGGAACCCAGTTTAGCGAAAAGATAGCTCTGGCCAATCAGACGCGTGCAACGTACATCGTCACGCTTAATTTGAAAGATCGCACCAACTCATCTAATCCAATCATACTCTTCAAATCTTTTCTCCTACTCAACCGCCGTGACTGGAGCGCCCCTGTAGCCGCCCAAAAAAGCATCGAAAACGAACATGGCAAGAAACAAATTCGGGCGATTCGCTTCGTGAGAACCTCTCGTTCTAGCTATTCCTTCGTCGCCTAAGACCCGCAATGCCTCATCTCAGTACTAAGATGCTTGCTTGAAGCCCCGTTACACCCACTCACGCTGCTGCGCGTACACTCAAGCGGCACTGATGATGGATAGTGCGGATACTACCCAGTCCAGTAGCTAGATGGGATCTTGCTCTGAATACCGTCTGATTTATTTTTGGGCTGAAGATGTCCAGTCGATCATCCGCATGCTACCGCTTTCATTCTGGGGCATCGACTTCGACGGACCCCATCTGGTCGCATCTGTTGGACCAGAGATGCTCGTCTTCGTTCTTTAGTCAGACGACCTATACTAATTGTTCTATCTAGTGTTTCCGCCGCCTTGGCTAGAGGAGACAGGGGAGCCAAGAGAACGAACAATGGTCGAACAAAGTAAAGTGGAAACAAAGATATCAAGGTATCAAGCCGTGATTCATAGGCCGGGCATCAACATTTCGCTGTCGTTCCTATCTTTTGTTCCGACCTTTTCTTCGTAGTTTGTTTCGAACCTTTGTTTTACACGTCGTCTCGTCTCCTTTAGCCTTACAACCTTTTCATAGTCATTCGATTCAGTACGAGGTCACGCCCATTGTCCGTTCGTGACTCTTCTAGTTGCTATTTCTAACTCACATAGCCCTGCGCCTCCCGACGCCTCTGACTGACAATTCTTTCCGTGAATGAATTTGGTCTTCTTTTTTTGCTTCTCATAGATATTATTACCAACTACTACCTTCTAGTGACTATTTACTTTTAACTCTTTTCGATATTTTTCTACATATTTCCTATTTCAAATCCACCATACATACCTACTACCTAATATCCATAGCTAGATCAATCAAAGTGGCAAGCCCTTCTGCCAAAGAGAGAAGTCAAGATATTGAATACCCAATTCAACTAGTATTCGTAAGACGGCCTAACACATGCCGCATTCCTGTGTCCTGACACGGGCTCTCTATCCCGCGGCGCTGCTGCTGGCAGCAGCTGCCTCCGCGTCTGCCTCTGCTATACGACCAAATTCAGCAGCACAACTCTTCGCAAGAGCCGACAGTTGCGGGGCGGATTTCTCGCCATGTTCTCAATCAGGACTCCCCGCAAACTTCTGCTGCGAGGCGGACGCCACATGTACGATACTCGCAGCCAACACAACAGTTCTTTGCTGCCCTAAGAACTCTAATTGCGACAAAATTGGCCCGATAACATGCGATCTCGGACTCCAAGACCCGGCCGTGAATCCTTCCGCCGAAATCAAGACCACGGTGCTAAACGGCATCCTAACAACCTGTGCCGGACAATGTTGCCCATTCGGGTACTCCTGCGACGGAACAAACTGCGTGAAGGAAGCAGACCAAAGCAAGCGACCGCCCGTGAAGGCGCCAACAAGCAGCAGCCCGACCTCCAGCCCAACCTCAACAAGCACCCACAGCGCCTCAACAACCGTCGCCGTAAGCGGGATAAGCTCCGCGAGCAGCACCGCCTCCGCCGCCCCCTCAACGCAAACCCCCACAACATCGACCTCCGGGACCGCCAGTACCGTAACAATCATAGGCGGCGTAATCGGCGGGCTCGTCGGCCTCGCCCTGCTAATCCTCGCAGTCGTAATGCTCCGGCACCGTCGCAAAAAGGCGTTAAAAGCCAAACAGGAGCAACAGCGCCGAGACTCAACCTCCTCCTTCGGGAACATAATCTCAAACCCAGTGCCCCACGCAAACTACCCATCCCAACGTCTCGATTTCCTCGCCAAGACGCACGGCACCGGGTCTCGAAAAAGCTACGCGCCGTCCTCACCAACCGCAGTCGCAAGCCCGCAATCGCAGCGCAAAGACGGGTTCGGCGGGGACGTGAGGGAGTACTACGGCGCGGGGACGCCGGGGTTCATGCCGCCGAACAGCCCGTACAGCCCGTACGCGCGGCGCCCCGATAGCCAGATGTCGGACGCGCCGCGCAGCTACCACGCGTCGGCGGAGATCAGCGGGCTGCGCAGCCTAACGCACAGCGCGAACGCATCGCCGACGCCGAAGGCGCGGGGGAAAGGGCAAGCGCAGGAGATGGCGCCGGCGCCTCTTGTCACAGTGACGCCTGCGGCGGAGGAAGGCGGAGCGAGGGGGCGCGAGAGGTATCCCAGCTCGAGCGAGGGGGAGAGCATAAATATCTTCGCGGACCCGCTGATGGTGCCGGGTGGTGCGGGGGGCGCGAGGCCCGGGAGCGCGGCGACGACGTGGTCGAATATCCAGCAGCGGGCTGATAACGCGATGCACGGCGAGAGCGGGGGTAATGGGCGGAGTAGATTGGGAGAGTCGCCTTTGCGGAGGTGATTGCGTTTTCCGATTCAAGATAGTTACGGGATACCTACATTAATAGTGTTTATGAGCTTTTCTAGATTGACTTGTGGGCGGGCATGGCGTGGGCTGGCGTTTTACTACCGGGTATCTTATCAAGGTTCGTTTCTTCTCATCGTCCGCAGAATTCGGAACCAGCGAGCGACAATCAACTTCTAAGTACTATCTCTTTTGTTGAATAGGGGGGGATAAGGATATAATAAATAGGATCGCGGGCGGGACATCATGATACCACTGAAAAGGATAGGATAGGGGAAGGCTGCATATCACCACGGAGTTAGAGACACTCGCTTTGGGGAAAAAATCTCCCTTTTTTATATTCTCGCGATCTGGCGCGGGTGAGTTGGCTGGGCTGGGCGGACATTGAGGTTGTCGTGGCCGTTTGTGTACATATCTAACGTATCCCCTTTTGAGGGAGTGGTGTATCTACTTGTCGTGGGTAGATTTCATGATACATGCCTCTGACCAGCTAACTTCGTGTTGTTTACATACACTCAACTTCTTAAATCTTAGTCACGCTTCTATTATCTATATGCAAATTCCCTCTATGACGATGTGGGCACTAGAACCATTGTCATGTGCTTGTGGACAGAGTTTTTTAAGTTGGTAATCTAGAATGTCTCAGTCGATGTCGTCATACCCGTTTATACAAAGCGTTTGTCTCTTTATCCAGATATTTTAGCTTAAAATAGCATATGATGTAATAGACTCTTTCTTCCTTCATTGGGTGCTTATCAAAAGGCGTTTGTCTGTATAGTTATAATATGAGATGGTAAATAGTAAAACTAATATGTGGTAATATGAGCCAGTCACGTCCTAGACGATGGCATCTTAGCGATGAGCCGATCAGTGTCAAGGTAACAAAGTGATCCGTATACCGACTATTATGTATTTCCAGTGAAGCATTATTCAGCGTTGCTGTATGATACGAGTGACTCAAGAAACCTGAGTGTAGATTAACAATTCCAAAGGCCAGTAATGTTTGATCACTTATATTGAAGATATGTATGAGCCAGCGCACTACATGTCGCGATGAAAACTGGACCAGACGTGTGATCTCGGAAGGCTCGGAAAGCATCCCTACCAAAATAGAGGCATCACAGCTGCATAGAATATGATCCAAACATCTCAACTGACCAACTCTGCATCATCTCAGTTCGTAGACACGTTCAGATTCATCTGATCTACAGGACGCAGAAGCACTTTTCTTTTCATGCAAACGGATCACGTTTGCCTTCCCAACACGCGAGACATCCCGCACTTCCGACCAATCCATATCCTCCCAACGTTCGTGACGCAAATGTACTTGTTATACACGGCAACGGCACCGACGCCCGCCCTAAGTCGTAACGACGTTGGGAATGGTCTATATGGCCCATCCTAAAAGAATCGAAGAAAACAAGGAGAAAACGCGCGAGAAGCGAGTAAGAACGCCATTCACTGCTTCTTCTTATTCTTCTCGGCTGTCGGGCTCGACGGCGCTGCCGACTTCTCTTTCTCGAACTTCTCGAATTCCTCGCTGTCCTTCCTCTCGGCATACCACTGGCCAGCCTGCAAGACCAGCACACCGACCAGTACGAGCGCTAGAATGGTGTTGCTAGCCGCGAGGACCTTCAAGCTGTCCTCGCGACCGAGGATCATCTCTCCGCCGGTAAGCGGGTCGCCGCCCTTCCTGTGGGGGCTCGCGGCGCCCTTGAGGTCGAAGTCGTCATCGGTCCAGGCCCCCGCGGATACGAGGCGCAGGCCCTTGACGATGTTAGCGACGTAGACACCGACGCCGATGAGGTAGAGGACGAGGGAGGCGCCGTCGAACAGCATGTTGGACTCGGAGGCGCGGAAGAGCTTGATGAAGAAACCGAGGAAGCCGACGCCGACCATGATGCTTAGCACGCGCGCAATCAGCGGAGGCGACTGGTGGATGAACTTCAGGTGCGTCTCTAGTTGGTCTAGGTACGCGGCCGAGATGGGGTCTTTGGTCCAGAGAAGCGGGAAGTCGTACGGGAAAAATGCGAAGAGGATGCCGAGGAAGAAACATGTTGCTGTTGGTTATATCTGTTAGCGCTTCGTTCAAATTCATCTAGATATGGTAGGGCGAGTTGGTAGGTATGGTGTTGCTATAAGCTATCTAGCTAGTCCTTGTCGTTATGTGTCCTATTCAATTTTCTTGGCGGGGGAGGGGAACACAAAAAGCAGAGATGAATTGAAGAAGAAAACACATACGGCCGATGATCATGAAGGTCGCGAACGAAGAAGACCCTCGGTAATCCTTAGACCGGGTGGTCTTATTCCAATCCACGAACTTCTCCGACATGATGACGGTGTTGGTGGTGTGCGACGAGGCGACGAGATGCGACGGGATTGAGCTGCGAGGCTATTTCGAAATACGTAATAAGATAGCTGTTAACAAAACTCTAACAGCTCAAGTTAAAGAAGAATCAAGTGTTCGTGAACTTTCTTTTCTCTTATTTTGAGTACTTTTTCGCATGAGGAAAAAAAGCTTGTTGAGCTTCTTGTTTTTTTTTAAATCGAGGTCGACTAAGTAGGTCGCAATTACGTTTCTCGGCGCAGCTGAGGAGAAAGGGAAAATGGTTGCGTTGCAATCTCTGTGAGGCTAACCGCTAGACACCCGCTAACAAATCTTAGGTACCTCGGAGATGTGGGGTGCGATGGGGTGCGATAAGAAAGTCGCAGTTGAGTATTATATGTTATAAAATAATATTATGCGTCTATATGCTAGATATCTATATAAGAGTGATACGAGAACTCTCACTTGCCCACATCTCGAAAATCGGAAGTGCTGGAGCATGCCATCTCACACTTTTGATTCCAATTCTCTTGAACCTATTCTCTGAATCTTGTTTGAGTAATAAAAAATGAGTAAACCGCGCAATAGGAGAACGCCATTCGCATATTGGAATACATGCTCCCCCAAACTCGCTTTTGTCGTCGAATCTGAACTGTCCTTTGTGTGTGTCGGGAAATATTCCACCAGGAGGAATATCTGTCGCCTCCTCCGTCCTGTCATTATATATTTCCATTGCCCCTTTCTTCCATATAAAACTACACAGTGCACATTCAATATCGAGTTCAGCCGAGCGAAGAAGACCAGTGGGATCACCTCCAGGTGGTTCCGTCACGATCCTCGCATCGACGAATTTAATGAGTGACTCGTATCCTTTGCCGACATTGATGAACTCTACTTGACTTCCCGTCATCGAAGCCCAACTCCATGATGGTGCATACCTATTTCGGTTGACTAGATCGAACATCTCGCGATTGATTTTCCATAAGAGGTGAAGGCAGAGCTCATTTTCCCATAATCCGGCGAGGTATCTGTCGCCATTGAAATCTCTAAACGTTTTAGCGATACCGGATATCGCCGCCAATTTGTCAGACTCTTTAGTGAGGTAGCAGGAAGAAAATTTCGAGACGATAGCCCTCCAGGATTTGTGAGTAAAGGAATCATATATGCTCTTCGGTAAAGGGCCAGATGAATTTGCTCTGATTTTGGCCATTGTTAATTTTGGGTAGGCATAATTCCAATTACCTGTTTGATTTACCACCTCTCTATTCAATCGTAGGAGCCCTTTCTTTGGCTCTGCCTCGCAATGAGTGCATTCCAAACACTCCCAGTAAATTTGGTTTCTCGCGAAGTGAACTAGTCGCCTAGCCAGGAACCGTTCTTGCACGACCCATCCGCGCTTACTGAGAGGCGCATTCTCAATTTCGTAATCCCAGATCGATTGATTGCGAATCATCCACGAGCCATCACTAACATCCCCAGATTGATCACAGACTCGGATATCAGCTCTGAATGGATACAATGTCTTCGTCTCTGCCATTCTCCGACCGAAAAGCCCAGTACTTGCAGGATTATATGACGAAGAAATCGCCGATATATTACAGAACGAGTGTCGATAGATGTCAGCCAGGGTACCCACTTCTCGGTGCCAGTCCATCGTTGAGTCTTGAAAGATACAGAGTGAGTCGATCCAGATATATCTATACCCTAGACGGTGGACAAGAAGAGCCGCGTCACGAAAAGCAGGCGACAGTTCATCAAGGGAAATTCCCTCCCGAAGCCGGCTCTCCGTAGTCCTAAGAAGTTGCTTGATCTCATTCGGGTCTCCCCAACGGTGAGATAGGGTCCAGTAGATGGGATACCTCTGTGTCGACTGAGGATTAGACCTTTTCTCCCTTTCATATTGGGCTGCGACTTGCTCTCTGTTCTTCACAGATATTATACCAGAATCGACGTCTGTTACGTCGATAATTCGAGCTGGAAAGAATGTCTCAGCTCCCGCATGAAAAGATCTGCAGTGTTCATGCTTTTCTTGGCATGACGATATCCAGCCTTCGATTTTCTGCAAGGACTGACTAGATCCTATATTTGGGTCAAGATCACACGGCTGTACATGTTCTGGTATAGAAGTTTTACAGTTCCGGTATGACGGTTGTTTACGCAGGGAAACTAAATCTTCGTCAGCGTATGTTTCTAAAAATGTGTTATTCTGAGAATGGCGGCGGACGTACGCTTAAGCTCGGCAGGAGGGGCCCAGTCACATTGAATACTAAAATGTGTATGATATGAGTCCCATCCCCGGATGACAAGGCAAGATATGTAGAATATAGGTTCCTTTTTGTCGTTCTGATCATGATACGATAAAGGCAGAAGAAGTCTTTCCCATAGCCACGTGCAAACAAAACAACCTGCATCCTTGCCTGCCAAGAGATCTTGATATTCCCGACAATGACTGGTTCTTAGCATTCCTTTGAAGGTCGATATGCAGGTATGGCATAATATCTGCTTAGTATTAGAAATGTTAGCCATTTAGCGAGAGTTAAAGAAGCGACAACATAGGTATGTATGAAGAAGAGAAATTCATCCATGAGAGAATGATGCGATGGAAAAAGGTAAGAGGTATCTCATATTAAGATTGTCAGGCTATGTAGCTGACCTGCCTGGCTCACAGCCACAAACATGAAGCAGCTTCGAGCCTATAGGCCAGTAGTATCTCTTCTAACTAACTGAATAACTGCCCAACATCCCATCCATTACCTTTAAACCCCGTCAGATCTCGATTTTCATTGTAAGAGAACGTCAATACATCATCCTTGGGACAATTCACCGAATCAATCTTCTAAACGGATGCGCCTCGGTATTAAATACCCATTCATCTAGGCTTATTAGATCCGGTTCGCTGAATATTAAATAGAAATATCTGCATTTATACTTAGTCACAATTGAAGCATTCTGAGTGAAGGGGAAGAGGTGGGAATTTAACTTACTTTAGTGTCTCGCCCATCCAAAAACTCTCCATTGAGTCCGTCTTCTTCGGGTTACTATTAACAGTCACGTCGTTAATAGCAGCATTCGCCAAATGGGTCTTCGTGTTCTTCTGAATTGCCTCAAACATAGCCCAGGCTGATTCCAGAAGATCTGGGCGACCAGTAGCCCGATACAAGATGAAGACGCTTTCTATAGCCTCCGGTCGTAATATGTATTTTGTTTCGGGGATTTGCGTAAATCCTTTTGGGAGTCGGGACTTGGAAATTATCTCGTCTGCCTTATTCATATTTGTTAGGTCTTTCTCGCCTGCCTGATGTAAAACGGCACGCTTCCACAGAGACTCGTCCCATTCACACTCGGTTGCTGATTTACAAGGGGCCATGAAGAATGTTTCAGGCATTATTCCCAGTGGCATCGCTTCATAAGCCCATATGCAACCGTCCACAAGCTTTCTGGCTGCATCGAGGTGCTCAGATTTCTCAAACAACTTCCCGCCAACCGCTAGCATTCCTCCCGCGAAGCAGACCAGATGCTGGCCTTGGTGTTCAAAATCCAATGTCATTTTATCGCCTTCCTTCACAGTATGCAGGGTTCCCGATATTAGTATGTCGGCCGTGTCTGGCACCATAGGTCTGAAGAAGTTGTGCTTAATAGTAGTCTTCATCGACTCCTCGTACATATTCTGGTAAGAAGGTAGAAGTCCGCCCACGAGAGCATGCATCTTAGGCAGATATTCATAGGTGCTATCTGCTAAAGCGCCTAGCCCGAACGTGTTGTCGAAGTTGAATTGTTTCTCTCGGGGATTAAGTGTAAATGGCCACATGCCGGGCAACTGTGTGCTACTTTGCTGTTCTTCAAAAACCTCTCTGATTCTTTCGGCAGCATCAAACCATTTCGGGTCGCCGGTAATCAATGATAGACGCGTAAACTCCATGCAGAATGATCCAACTTCTGCCAGAAGTGCCGCTTCATTCGCGACTTGTTGTCCTCCTTGAGAGGCATAGTCAAAATCCCAACGAGTTATGGGCATGCGGTTTGGCGTATCAAATACCTTATAAAGCATATCGCCGACCTCTCTAGCCTTACGAAGTAATCGCTGGTCGCCGCTCAAATCATAAGCCGAAAGAAACCCTCCAAGGTAGCGGATCGTAGTCTCGAAAGCATTCACAGTTTCGAGTGAACTAATAGTAAAATTGATCTCGACCGCGGCAGCAACAGCTTCTTCGAACTCTTCCCGCAAGGACATGATCCATAATGTATCCAAGCTGTCGACCAAGGTGGCTCCCCAACCCCCGAATGTGTCTTTGGATTTACCACTAATAGGGGCAAGTTCATCGCTCATAAACGCATTGGCTTTATAAGAATCCCAGCAGCGGATGAACGCTTTTTTAACGGCTTCCTGTCGCTGTTTTCGGATGGCCGCATCTTTTCGAGATTCTTTACCGAAGGTAGTCTGAATCTTGGGGAGCTTATGTGGTTTGCCTATCGGTAAAGGCTTCATATCCTTGACAGGATAATGCGTGGGCAATCTCCTCCAGAAATAACCTTCATCGTCGATGACATTCTTATCAAAATGAGGTCTTTTGGTCGACCTTCCAGTGCCAGCCCAACTATAGATATCTGGGGTTGTTCCGGAACAATAGAATAAAAGAAGCGCCGCAGCGATACCGAGCGGAAGAAAGATGCGTCGTCGCAATATCATAGCTACTAGGTACCTAGGTACGAATGGCTTAGGTGTTTGAAATATTGGGATAGATCGGGTCAGAGAGCTGAAGCGTTGGAGGAAACATCGAAAACGAGTGACAGCAGAAGCAAACAAGAATGGACGAAGTGATAAAGTGATAAAGTTAATGGGAAACAAACGAGAGTTTCACATCTGATATTCGCAACCTACGTCGTTTCCCCTAAAGATATTTGCAGATTTAAGTAATGATATTCCCCGGTGTGCCTTCCCCACGTAGGTACGTATCTTGATAATTAAGATTAAAGGTGATTCGGGCTCTACGTCATTATGGTTATCTGTAGGTAACTTTCTTTTTCCGACTCAATACTCTGTACACACCGGAGTACCTACTTGTCACATTTTGTTGACAGTTTTATGTACTGGCATAAGTCCGAAGTCTCTGCGACCAAACCTGTTTTGCCAAAACATTCCAGGTTACTTGTGTCTAAATTCTAGTCCCAACAACTTTGATTTCCCTTTTATAACAAAAACATCCCGAATGTTTTCTTTCATCAAATAAAGACGTAGTTACTATGGATTCGTTGACGGAAGAATGACCATGCTGCTGAGCCATCTCCAGATTGAGCGAGGGATATCTCCGAATATGAGTACAAGGAGGTACGAACGGGACTCCGATCATCTCGTTCCACAACAGACGCCTCAAGCCTATTGCCCGAGAATCATATTCCGTGTTCGATTGTATTTGCGTAGCTTGACTGAGTACATAAATTTTCAGGCAGAAAAACGTCTTCGAGAATCGTCTAACTCCCTCCTTATCTTGACCTAGGGAAAGGCAACACAGCAACTCCCCTAAACCCATCGCTACCCTTCGCCCTAACACCAAACACAACATCGTCCTTACTTAGCGACAGCTCAGCCTGCACAGCGGGTCCAACATCCAACACCCCCGTCCAAAACGGCGCGCTCGTCGGTCTCCACACTATCTCGTATCCGTCTTCGTACCCCGGGTTCGGCGGGTCCCAAAAGAGCGTCGTATTTGTAGTTAGAGCTGCCGTATCGACCCTAACATTCCGAGGGGCACCGGGTCCCGTCGCTAGACTCCACAGCGCTGCACCATTAACTCTCGCCACACGCGCGACAAAGTCATAATCCACGAACTCGGGCAGATCGCCGTATTGTTTGCCGGTCTCGTCAATACGCACGTCCTGGTGCTGGTGCGCGTAGTTCTCATGCGGCTCCGTAAACCGCGCTGCCGGGTACCCGGCCTCGAGGAAGGGTCTGTGGTCGCCGCCTCGCAGGTACCGGTCTAGTCTATACACGACCGACACGTTCATCCCCGTCGCCTCGTTCTCCGCGACCTCCTTGACGAATCGGGCTAATTGGCGAGCGGGAGTGTCGTTTTCACCACCGATCGTTAAACGTGTTTCGCGTGTCGTGCTGTTTTCTACTGTGATCGGTGGTAGGCCTTGCGCGAACAGCCGTATCACGTATGGGTCGTTGCGTTCTCCGTCTGCGCCGCCTTTGGGAGAGCCGACGATGTCGTTTGTGAACATGCCTTCGACCTTTCACATCATTATCAGTTGAAGTAGAAGAACTAAGAGCTTGGAAATTAGGAAAATGGCAATTTACATTAACTCTCGGTGTAGCATTAGCATACTTCTGCGCAAGAAACTGCGCTCCATACAGCCCCTGTTCCTCACCCGCGACCGCCACGAACGCAATGCTCGCCTTCGGCCTCGGGTACTTCGTTTGCGAAAAGACCCTCGCCAACTCAAGGGAAACTGCCACTCCTGAAGCATCATCATCAGCCCCAGGAGCATCGTCTTCATAGTTCAACGCATCGGACACCCGCGAGTCATAGTGCCCACTCACGACGTAAAGTCTATTCTCCTCGGTCCCGTGGAGCGTGGCAACGACGTCACTGATCAGTGTCGGGAACAGGATCCGGTTATTATCCGCTTCCTGCACGTAACCCACCGTCTCGACGCTTAGCCGGCCATCGCTCGCGTCCGCGTACCGCTGGAATTCGGAGTGGATCCAGTCCCGTGCCGCGCCGATTCCGCGTGTACTAGAATTCTGGGTCGACAGAGTGTGTCGCGTGCCAAAGGATACTAGTTTCAGGATCGTGGCCTCGATGTTGGCTGGGTCGACTTCAGCGAGTATAGATGTAAGATCTACGGACGGTGGTTGCGGTTCATTGGAGACGCCGATTAAGTTGGGTGGCCAGCTAGATGCCTCGCAGGATAATATGGACGGTGCACCAGCTCTAGGGCGTAGGAGCACAGCTGCCGGGTTGGGAGATATGAGTGTAAGTGGCGTCGCGCTGCCGAGAGCTGCGAAAGCCAGCATAGTAAGTATCGTAAGTTCCATGATGGCGGTGATATCCCCACGTATTGTAGCGTGAAATGAAGAACCGTAGACCGGAACCACTCCTGAAACTGTAAACAAAAAGGGCGGATACTCCTCTTATAACCTCAATCCTCCAATTCTAACCCGTTTGCAGGTATGTAACTAGAAGCGATGCCGGCACGTCATGTTCCATATCGATATCACCACCGCCACCACCACCTCGTCTCGGCTGCATCCGAAGCGGGAGGTTACATGCAGACCCCGAATCTCATCTCTTCCCCTCTTCGTATTTCCAAGACTCTTAGCTATCTCCCACATCCCATCCGAGCTTGCTTCTTCCTCGATAGCACGGATTGTCCAATCACATCAGATGTACAAGTTCGTCTTCCCGTCGAAACGGGATAACGAACTCGCTTCAATCACCAAAAACCTAAGCTTGCTTTTTTTTCTTGGAGTACCGGGGATAGGCGTCGTGCATGTCTTGGCAACGAGGTCGCCTATCTTGATCTGGAAGCTGCTGTGGCTAGCAATCTGTGATTGAGGGGGCGTACATGATGCGGTTTATTTATTGGTAAGCGGTGCCCAGATCGCAGGTTCTATAGACGAGCTTGACGACAATTGAGCTTGAAACATCATGTTTGTGAAGTAGGTAGGGAAATGGTCCGGTATGCTATGCTGTGCTGGGTGTGGATGCATTAGGCATATTCAAGAATGATGAGATTTCCTAGTTTCTTTTTGAACTCTTGTCTTTTAGGATGACAAGGGAAAAAAATTCCTCAGTTTAGAGAATCGCTCTCTATAATCAATAAGCAGTCACTCAAATCCAAAAACTAGAAGAGCAAATTGTAATCATCGTCAACGGCGGCAGCTCACGTCCTAGACGTGCGCACCTCATATATTAAATGAATTATCACTAATACACGAGGTTATTTCGAACTACCTCCATTAGACACTCTTACGCCTCCTTCCTTCGCTTTCCACCTGGTATCATTCGTGCCTGAATCCTGCTCCAGCAATGCTCTGCGCAAGATAGACGATATCGAAAAAATCTCAAAAAACAAGTTAAAAAACAAAATGCGAGCAATGCGAGGCTGCTATAATGTGGTATCAAATAACAGGTTCAATGTGGGATAGTAACTTGGCTAAAAAATACAATGAGGGAAGGGTAGGTGAGATGGCGGCTGTTGCAGTACCATCTCAGACGGCCGTGACAGAACGACAAGGATAGCTCGCTCATTCATCTCGCTGAGAAAAGGTCGCCATGTAAGGCGTTAAAAAGGAGGGAAATCTCGTCGTATAGTCGTACATCTCAAACGCCATGCTCGGACATCGTGATAGGATCAACCAGTGTCGTTGCGCCCAAAGGTAAAGACAAAAAGCCTCCTATGCCGAAATTCCAATTGCGTCCTAGAAAACGAGCAATAATGCTGGGTTAAAAAAAATCGTAGGTAGTAGTGATCTGCTAAGTTAAAGCTCGCGAGTGCATTAGCTAGCATACTTTACAGTCCGTGTAGTCATAAATCTACACCGCTCTCTGGCGGAGACCGCACAGGCCTCTTTAAAGTTAACTGGCTAAGAGAAAGGGTTCTAGCCGCCTTCTTTCTCGAGCCGTCTACCTCTTCATCCCGTAGCTCCTCGCCGAAAGCACCGAAATGACCCTCTTCGCGTGGCGTTTTAAATGCCTCCGACTCGGTGTCTGCGCCAGCACTCAGGGGCTCATCATCGTCATGTTCAAAGGCAGAGACGGTGGAATAAGTAGTGGATGCAGTCTCGAGCTTCGGTGAAGTACGGCATATGAGGTTGAGTCGGTGACTCAGTTTCGTTACACGGGCTTCCAACGCCTGCCGGGCGTCTCGCTCGGTGTCAACGAGGGCTTTCAGTGTTGTATACTGATCGGCGGCAAGAGCTCCCGCATTCTCGCCTAGTAGTGCGGGCAAGCTCGTCGCACCGCGAATTGTCGAGTTCGACGTGGGCCTTACAGGCGGTGGTCTCGTCGAAGGGGGCAAAGACCCAATGAATGTGTTTCCGTCTCCGAACGACTCATTCGACTGCTGAGAGACGCTATATCTCGATGTGTGTTCAACATCCTGCGAGGATGCATGGTATCCAGACGATTCAGCCACTACCGCGCACGACGGCGCCGTAAAAGTCGCTGACTGGGCTACGGATCCTCGAGGCTGTGCTTGGTCAGGGGTATCAGGTACATAGTTGTTAACACCTGGCACAAGCTGGAAAAGCTGAGACAATATTTTCTCTAGTTTTTGATTGCGAACCTCCAGAGTAGCTATACGATCTTCAAGGCTGGCCGCTTGTGTAATTTTCATTCCGAACATTGGACCGAAATTGAAGGGCTGCGGCGGCGTCTTCGGCGGAATCTGCTCGGGCGGTTCTGCTGGAGTTTCTGGTTGGGTTCCCGCATCCGTATCCACGATGACAGGATCGTCATTATTTACCGTTGATGAATTAGGCGACAAAATAGGGTGGTTAAAACTCTCCCTCCAATAGCGAATCTCATCGCTGCGCTTTCGGACCCGGATATGACCAACCGCAGTATCATTAAGCTGCGACAGACTCCTTGATCTTCGACGATGCGTGCGACTGTCACTAGTAATGGCACGACCGATATCTTCGGGATCATCCTGCCTTGATAAATTGCCACCACGTCCATGAGTGCTAGCTGGTCTAGGCGAAAGGCCTATTATCTCTCCATCAAAGTCTTTAATTCTTCCACTCAGGATCCTGTTAGAAGACGCAGCTCTCCTTCGAAGTAATGCGGGATCTACTTGTAATGAGCTACGAGCGCTAGTAATCGCCATCATATCATCGGGACCGATCGAATGCGATCTTAGCGCCCGGTCGTAATCGGTAACTGGCAACGAGACCGACCGTTTAGATTCAGTCTCCTTTTGAACTCGATTCGAAGCTGACGCATCCTAATAATAGCGCTACTGTTAGCAACGATCGATGTTTGACAGATACGAAAACAAAATAATACAATTATGCTTACCTCTTCGCCCGATCCTGTAAACCGACCCTCCGAGATAGAAGTCCCGCCGGTACTCTTCTTCTTTCGTTTGAAGAGTCTACCTAGTGTAGATTTAAGTGTCGATCTCTTTCGTTGAGGTCGATCTACGTCCGTGCCGTCGCTGACGGTGGAATATCTTAGGGTAGTAGGACGGGCAGTTTTTTGCTGCCGCGGGCTCGCAGAGGAATTAGAAGCTTGGCTCGGTCCGTCAGGGGTTACAGAATCTATATTATCCGCCCGTACCACGTCGGAAGGTGGTGTATTCTCAACCCTAGAGGCGGGCTGGTCCTCGGCGCGGGACTCGGGTGGTTCTGGTTTGCCTTCATGGGCTATCCCATGCCCAGGTTGCCGAATAGGAAACTCATCATCCATCGGCATAGGACCACTAATTCTACCACGGAGTGAACTCGGATCAGGCTGAGCGGTTTTCGGTCGACCGAGGTTGGTGGAAGGCCTGAAGAGACCCATGATGTCTTGAAAAGCTGAAGCGGGAAAAAGCGCGATTTACGAAATGACAATTTTCAGAGTGAATAGCGAACGACTAGAAAGATAGTAGAAATATGGTAAATATGGGAGTTTACGGCGGCCGGCGATCCATTTCCTGACTCTCACAATACGGTTCGGTCGAATTCGCAGCTGGTCACTTTGCTTTAGGAAAGAGATCAGTCTCTTGCATCTCACATCGCCAGCAATGCGGCTCGACGGGACGTGTGGACGTGGACGTCGGTATGCGAGTCGATATGCGAGTCGAATGGGCGAGAGGGGACCCCCTCCTCGTATTGTCACTGGACGAGAGTGTGGCGAACAAAGACAAACAGAAGGAAGGATAGGTTATGAGGGCACGAGGCTAGTTTATGGGATGGGGGATACGACAGGTCCTGGGGCCACTACAGCGCATATTGGAATGCGTTCCTGCGAAGGCGGACCATAGTCTCCATAAACCGGTGCATATGTAAGTGAGCGAGTGGGATGGGATGGCAAGGCTCCAGCAGAAGCTCTGGGGATGAGGAGCGGGCGGTAAACATATGGATACATAAGTCTCGACCGATGAAACGAATCAATGCACAATAACGGCGAGCTCTGAAGGGTTTACTGCAGGTTTACTGCAACAATGTCTAATGAGATGATCGGCTATAAGTGGCAGAAGCAGCAGAAACAGTAGAAGCTAGGGGCGCAAAGTGACCTCAAAGAGGGTTAGGAGAAGACCAGGATAGTCGGGATGACGAAGGACCAGGGAGATGGAATGCTCTGATATTGGTTGGCCCCCAGGGGTCCCTGTAGTGGACCGAGCAGACCTGAGTGGACTGAACCATGCTCGGACCTTGCAGGTGCAGAACAGTCGAGGGTCTGTGTGTTCATCTGTCCGTGTGTTGGCTGAGATTGTCTCGATGTTCTCGATGTCTCATGGTCTAGTCTATGGCGTGTGCGTCTTGCGGGCATAAGACGAAGAGGGGGGAGTGGCTGTGACGAGTTTGAGCTCTTTTTCTGACATCGTATCGAAGTACTTTGAGTACGTAAAGTGTCTCAGATATTATTGTATCATAGAAAGACTATGAATTCCAATTTGGCTGCATCAATGTAAGGGTATATGCAAGTTGACATTTACATGTTATTCGTGTGTGTGTTGTATTAAGAAAGGTTCCAAGTTTGTAAACAATTTTTAGAGAGCACTAAGATAACCGATTAGACGAAACTTGGCCATTTGGCTGCTATTGGCAAGGGAGACTGGTAGCTTCCTAGTCAACTAGTTCATAGTATGTACGCTGTACGGTAGCTTCCCTGCAGGCTGGTCGGATAGATGCATATACTTGAAATGGGAAGCCACTTGGGGGTATCTTTTGGGTATCTTCTACCATATCTGGAAAATGTACGAATACTCAAAGTCAGAATTAGACTAGGTAACTTCCCAATAGAACCCTTACAGGGCCTACACCCCTACGCCCTTGTAGCGAACGGAGTCAACTTCCGGTTGGGGCTCCACGACCGTTTCGTCTTAATAGATATCTTTATACTTTTATATATACAAACCAAATAAACAACCTCAACTATCACTTTCAAATTTTCGAATTGTCAATAAACTTAATAAACTTATGTCGGTCAACATATAGGATGACCCGAAAACCGATCCCGAAACAAACGCCGGGAAATTATTCAATCGCTAAGCAGTTATGGCTATCATTAATTTGAATATTGATCAGTAACTTGGCGTATTTTCAAAAAATGTGCCCAGGTGTGATGTCTACCTAGTACCGTATACACACACCGAATTCGAGTTACGAGGCAAATACAAAATACAAACGGAATAGTAAAACATCAAGGCGTTTTTCAGCCAGGTCATCCTAAACCAAAAGAGTATCATGCTCAAACGGGTTTTTAACCAACAATACTAAACAATACAGAGCTTGAACACCGCCTATAGAAAAAAAGTGATAGCTCTAATAGTGTTGTTGAATTTTAGTTCTGAGGCCACCAACTAGCTGCATAATCTATTGTCGCCATAGGTTCCTTAACCTCAACATCGCGAGGAGTCTGGCCCGATTACCCGCCCAGCTGAACCCCAAGTTAACGCACGGAAGGCGGCTCTAACTAATTACAAGCCTAGCAACTTGCACCGGACTGTGGTTAGAATGGGGCAGCATACTCCATTTTCGTCCCTTTTATTTTGCACCACGTTTCTCTCCGCTCGATCCGTCAACTTATCTATCTCTAACGGACAACCGCCAAGCCTAAGTTCGGTGCGACGCACGACGAAGGAAGGAAGCCTTGGTACACCATCACGCGAACCCATGGAAGCACGCCGCGTTTGATCTGCGTGAATATCTGGGGGAACGAAAATCCTATCGGCTAGGGTATCCCTTAATAAGATTTCCTTAATAATATGATTTCCAGAACAAACGTTGATGTAGCGGAGGCAGTCTTATTATTCGACAACATCCAAGTTAAGACATCAACAACTATGCCGTTGGCATTATGATATTGGTCCCATATTTGAGCCGACACCGGCACAATGCTAAACGACGCCCGCGGATTCGTCGGCGCTTCCAGATGTATGTATGTAGGTTGTTGTTATTCTAGGCGAGTAAAATCGAAAGAGAGTTAAGAAGCGAAGAAGCGAGAACTTGCATATCCAATCCGTATCTCCTAATTCTTGCATCCAGTTGCTGCATTGGACGTTGTCGAACGCTACCTACCATGCATACAGCATACATGCATGCAGACTATTACGAAGCTAACCAAATCTAAGCAAATCCCAAGAGTCGCAGAATTTCTCCGAACCGCTAACTCATGCAGGTACACCGTCGAACGTGTGTTTTTGGTTACAATGGGGGAGGCTATGCTATGCAACGTACGAAGCTATATGAAGCATAGTACTGTAAGAAACTAATCTGCGAATATTACTCTATATCGAGTTCCAGTTTGCCGATATGGTGTGAGGAGATTTCGTTCGACCCTTCAGCCTTTCACCCCTTCCCCCCTTTGAAGATCAATTTCTTGATATTGAGTTTCCGCCACGATGGTAAATTCGGGTATGCTCTTTCTCATTCCTCGGCAACTTCACCAGCCGGAATATTTTTGATGGATAAATTACCGTACACAAGGTTCGTCCATCTTGTATTAGGTCTAGCCCTATGGATCACGAACGGTCCGCCCCCGCCACGAAAAGACGTTCTGAAACAGCAAGGATATGGGTACATAGCATGAGATATGTACTTAGGTACCTGTCTAGTAGGTATCGATCCTAGCCTCCGTATTTCAAAATTCCGCATATCGGTCACAGCGCGTCATCGTCTGATATTTCTTCAGCTCTTTCAAATTTAGACGTTGACGGCATGAATTTTGGACTTCTGCATTGAGGACAACCTGGGGTGACCTTGGCTTGTCTATTCCTATGCCGATTCCATCAACCCACCGATACGGTCCAAATATTGCATTCCATGTCCATTATTAATGCAAACCATCAATTGCCCCTTACTCTAAATGCACACGAATACATCCAAACGGATATTGTCGAAGTTGTTACAATATCGTGTTAGGGCCGTTGGGGGCCATTAGTAAGGCCAAAAAAATCTACGAGATGCAAGGTAACCTATTGTCAATAAAAGTCAAACAACGCCAACCAGGAAATCTCGATGTAGGTTCGGCAAGAATCGTAGAGTCGCATCCGTATTCTCCAGTCACTATCATTCGCTGTGCTAAAACTTCGGATGAACACCCCTTCAATTCATCGGTCCCAGAGGGTTGAATATTAAGGTAGAGTCCGTTCGCCTCAGCCAATGGACCTTGGCCGCACCTGTTCGTCACATCTCACGTCTGTATCGAAGCCGAATCGACATAGCGAAGATCGGCATTGTTCTCCAGCCACTCCATCCAGTTGTTGAGAAATTTGCTGCCTCTGGTTCCGAAATCAGTAAATGACTTCTGGAAGCATGTGAAACGGCCAAAATAGTCCAAGCGTGAGCTATGTATGGTGGAGACGATGAATCCGAAGATTCATTCAGATAAGAGACAGGTATATCCATTATAGCGAGATACGGTTGGCAAGGGCAAGGGCAAGGGAATAAGGATAGCTGGGAAATAGTATGTAAATAAGACAGCGAATAAACATACCGACGAACAGTCTCCGAATCACCCACGACAACAAGTGACCGTTTAGGCCTCGTCATTGCAACTAACCTAGTTAGCCTCACATCTCCGATGTAACATCATAATATCGGTAGGTGCTTGAAAACTCACCATTGAGCCGACGCTTTTCACTCAAAAACCCAACCTCCCCTTCGGAATTGCTCCGTACGAGACTAACGATCACCGCTTCTTTCTCTCGGCCTTGGAATCCGTCCACGGAGCCGAGTTCGATGCCGGGGAAGGCTTCCTTGAGAGGAGCTAGGAGGCCGAGCTGTAAGGGTAGTAGTTAGCGTACCAGATATCAAAATAGTGACTATCGAAAAAAGGCACCTAGATAACCAGAGAAAACGAGTGAAAAAACAAGAAAACTGTACCTGTGCATTGTAAGGTGTGACGACGGCCACATCCTCCGGCCTCACGCCAGCATCAACCAGTTTCTTGACATGCTGCCTCACAAGCGCAGCCTCCATCTCATTACTTTTACTCTCACCAAATAACGATCTAGCTGAAGCTTTCTTCTTTCCCTTTTCGCCGTCCTTATCCTTCCCCTTACTCTCTTTATCCTCTTCCTCTTCGTTCTTCTCCGGGAAATCTCCTCCCTGGGTATCTATGAAAATGACAGGCTCGCTCGTATCCTCCGTATCTTGAACTTCGTACTCTAGGTCTTTCAGTAGTCTCTCTTTCACCGCGTCTGCGGCAACTAGTTTCCCCTCGTAAAGCTCGTCCGACGGGAACCGCATAATCTTCTCATGCATACGGTACTGCGTCGTCAACATCCTCTTAATCCCCTCCCCATGTAGTTTAAGCAGTCGGTCAAACAACGTAGTCTCCAAACTCGCCCCTTTTATCACGTCTCCTTTCCCTTTACCATCGTCCTCCCCACCCTCCTTAACCTCTTTCGCCTTCGGCTTTACCTTAATCTTAGAATTCGTTGATTTGACCGTCGGCGGCAACTGCAAGTGATCACCAGCGCACACAGCCTTTTTTGCCGCTAATAGCGGGACCCAGCACTGGGCCTCGAGGGCCTGGCTCGCCTCGTCGATAATGACGACGTCGAACTGCTCGTTCTTGAGTTGAAAGCCACCGGCACCGTGTAGCGTCGCTAGCACGACCTTGCTGCCGCCGACGAGCGTGGCGACGCACTTACGCTCGCGCTCACGGTATTCCTTCCTTAGTTCTTTTAGGTCTGCGTAAATGCCCCGACGCTCCTTTCCGCTACGCGTCTTCTTGATGGATGCTTGCTTGGCGTCCATCTCGCCCCGCACATCCTTGACGATAAGACCGGCCTCAGACGTTTGTGTGAGAACGTCGAGAGAATGGCTTAGGACAGAGGGGAGAAGGCGGGCCGGGTGCCCAAGACGCACAATGGGGACGCGATGCGGGGAAAGCCGCTCGACGATGTTGTCGACGGAGATGTTGGAGGGTCCGCAGACGAGGACGCGCTGGTTACGCTTGACGAGTTGGAGGATCAGCTCGATGAGGGTGTGTGTTTTGCCTGTCTGTTGAACTTAGCCCCAGTCTCGATCGTCTCTGTTAAAAAACAGAAGCAAGTACTTCACAACTGTTAAGAGACACTCACCCCCGGCGGTCCATGAATAAGCGCAATCTCCCTAGACCTAAGCGCAAACCGAATAGCATCCTTCTGCGACTCATTCAAATTCGGATCAAACCACTCAACCCTCCCCTCCCCCACCTCCTCATCAGTCTTCAAATCCAGCGGCACCACCGACGGGCTCGTAAGTCCAAACAGCACTCTCACGAACGCAGAATACTCCGCATCCGGCATATCGCGCATCCTCTCCATCGTCTGGTTCATACGGCGATACGTGACATCATCCGCAAGTTTAACCAACCAAACCCTGCCCGCAAACCCCGTCATATCCTCCCTCTCCTCATCAACCGCAACCGCAACCGCCTCCCTCTTAACCCTCACCACAACCCCCTTCACCCCCTTCCTCTCCAAATCCTTGACCTCCCGCTTCTTCGCACTGCCAGCTGGCTGCTCGGCCACGAGCACGATGTCCCCCGTGCGGAGGCCGTGTTCGGGCAGCTCGCCGCCCGTCGCAGCGTCCGGGCCGAGCTCGACCACGGTTCTGCCGCCGAACCCCGTGCGCTGCGAGGTCACGGACAGGTTTGTGACCGCGAGCCCCGCGCGCTGCAGTGCGGAGGGGCTGGTGCCGCCGATTAGGCTGCTGGTTTCTGCGATCTCGCTTTGCAGCTCGGCGTCTAGGAGCGCGAGCTGGGTCCGCGCGAAGGCGGGGACGTCGATGGATTTCATGGCTGTGGGGTGGGCATGTGAGAGAGATGTCTTCGGAGGTCTGCTTTGATGGGGTTTGGTGTTTTGGTGACGTAGTTGTTGAGATGTAGTGAGTGTGGGTGTTTGGTTGAGTGAAATGTGAAATATGGAAGTTGTGAGTGGTGAGGTCTTGAGGTTTAGTGGAGTAAAGCCTTAATTGATGTACTACCGGGTTCTATAATTCATGGAAAGTATCACCAATTGAGTTTTTCAGGAGCAATTGGATTAGGCAGGTACATTTCGATTATGTACCTGCTCATATAAACATTATATAACATATCCAATCATTCTTACAGTCATAAATTCTAACTGCTATATATCTTAACCAGACGTGATACCTGTAGGTTGTGTAAATATAACCACAAATAAACTGACGACAATAATGGCACACGCCACTATCGACACTATCACGATTGTCCCCCTGGACGCGGGGAATTTCCCCTTAATAACCCATTGTTGGCCTTGGTAATATCTACGATATCCCAATAATAAAATCAATATAGATATGCCTATGAATGTCGCGCCGAGCGGCTTTCCTATACGACGGATGGTTTCGGAGTTAGGATCGTCTGCGCTTTCTATCGAAATATTTAGGCGGAAAAGTTGAGTGATGGCTATCCCGATAGACGCGAAGGAGAGCGATGTCCGAAGCCAAGCAAGAAACGTTCGTTCTAGCCTCGCTCTATTAGCTTACAAACACACGAGAATGAGTAGAATAGGAGTAGTAGCAATTGGACATACCCAAGGCTAAATGGTCCCTGGCTACGCTTCCCTTGTTCTCCAGCTCTAGCGACCATAAACCGCTAAAGCAATTATGTATCCAGCTCTTCTCGTCGGCGCGATGATTCACGCCGTTCGTATTAGTTGTCGGGTTTGTCGGAGTGTTGTCGGTACCCGATTGTTGCGCAGGCCGTCTATTCCTCGGACTGGGTGAAACCCGCGTGCCTAAGTAGTTCGGCGTGTTGTCGCGCGCGTTCGTGATACTCGTCGTCTCGTCCGGACAATCGCCATCGTCGCGCTCCGACAAACGTTGAAAGTTTATACTCATTCTTGGACTTCTCCCCGAAGCTTGCGAGCCAATTGTGTCGGCGCGTTCTAGAGCGGTCTAGAAATGGGAAAGAATATCTCGTCAGATGTGTAATTGGAGATATGGAGGCCGTGGTCTGGAAGCGATGAAAGAATGCAAGGGTTGATTGTAGATAGTCTAAGACCATTACACCTGCATTTCTTTTTTCGGCTAGGAACCCAAAAACGCAACACACGGACTAGATAACAACTGTGATTACAATATGCACACGAACCTCGAGAATGCCATTGAGCCTATCGTGGGAGGATAACCTCGACAGCGAGCGGTCTGGTACCGGCGAAGATCCTCGCAGGCAGGGAGCAGAGGGTCCCACCGCCTGCATTGGGGAACCGGAGGCCATTAACGGAAAATTTGACGGAGAGGAGAGCGGGCTCACTCTATCGCTCTATCGCTCCCGAATTGGTATTCTGTGGCTGGCCGTACGAAAAGTCAACCCAATGCCATGCAAGCGCGAAGGTTAATAGACTAGGCATGTTTGGCACCTAGGCATTCGGATGGTGTTTTCGTTAGCTTTGATGAGACCATAATTGGTGCGATAAGTTTCCTAGCTTAGCTTTGCCGCCGTTATTCAGCAATACGCGCTACGTCATTAGCTCTGAGCTACCCTGCGACTTCCTAATAACAACCTTGGGAGGAGGCACCTGGGTTACATTTACTTACATGCCGATTGACTTCAATACCGATTCCTTATAACTTTAATGTTTAAATCATCTACATCTTCACTCTTGAGCCAATCCTAAAGGGCCAACCGCCAATCGACAAGTCCTACATATGTATGATACTATGGACATCTTCACCACCTAGTAGGTACTAATGCAAGCTAAGTATTCGCTGATAACTAAGCTTCATATTTGGCATATACAAGACCATTCCATGTCTTTATAAGCTGTGTTATTATATTATTTACCGATGAACAGTTACATCGCAACAGTTTCAAGTTAGTAGATAAATTCATAACACCACTCTTCTCTCCATTCCTACTCGTTTATTTCTAAGCTAACTCGGTCTACTATCTTAGCTCTCGTTCGAGCTCAATCACATTGGCATCCCGAAATTTATCAGGGTTAAAGTCCTTTTCTCGGAGTTGTCTTGCCTCTCCACAAGGCAATAAAGCCACCGTTACGGAAATCCCCAAGCTTGCCGGACAATGGAAGCCAAATCTTCAATGTTAGGTAATTAGAAAGATTTCTATTGATATCGCATCCCGATCCCAAGGCAAGAGTCCGAGATACCTTAACCAATATTTCAAAATAAGTCCCTACATCAGTAGTGCGTTAAGTTTTTTTTATGAGCTCACGTCTAAATAAGGGTGAAACGGTAATAATCACACCCACACTTATTTGAGGCAGAGTCGAGTTGTCCTGATAGTGTCCATATGACACCTTGATAGTTCCGCAAACTATTTAAGGCCAGTGCTAATGGCATTTCGAACGCCAATCACTATGTTGCCTTTTCATATTCCGTGGATCATGTGTTCAGATCAAGGTATCCTATTCTTAGTATAGGAGGTAGGTACTCTTTAATGCCTACGTTCATGTGGTCAGTGGCACGAATTAGCCATTCTGCCATATCGATCATCAAGGCATCTACAATTTGATACACCCTAGCCTCCATAAATAGGACTCCCACACATGCCCTCATAGACAAGATAGGCATAAGGACAAGGGGAGAGAGAATCTTCGAATTTAGTCTAGACCATCATAGATTGGTTGGACACGCTTACTGGTAAAGTAGACGACGATTTGGCCTATAGTTGACTTGGTCACACTGGAATTGAACACCTCTGTATACTACTACCTAGGTAACCATGATACCTGGCATATAGTCCAACCCTTCGTTCAGCCCTAAGCAAAGCAAGATATAACCCCCAACAGACTAATAATTGGTCAGGCGTGATGATTTGAGGGGCAATTCAACCGATACAGCTGAAAATGATCTGACTCTGACAAATGATAGATCATACTTGGCTCGCCGCTCACCTCAACACACTGCTTGGTGCGCGATTCGGACTCCAATCTATTGACATCACGACATCACTCCAGAGATCATGGGCGCCTATCTCTATCATATTTCCGCCTAACGCCGCTTGCCAGGTCCGAGCTTGCCGCCTCTCATCTTTTCCAGGCAAGCTGGCGTAGAAGGGCAATAATAACCGGACCCGAAAACCCGGTCTTGCGTGTCCTGTCTAAGACACGTCTCAAACTCCTCACTCATAGAAAAGCTTGTCTTTGTCCTTCCTTGCCTTGTACGGTATCGCGTAGTACTAGGCTAGAAGCCTCGTGGCGTCGATGGTGAAAATAACCTAGGTTATCGGCTCATGTCTTAGATCTCAAGGCCTCTAAGGTTTTGCTCATATGCACGTCTCTCAGCCCCCTTGTGCGAAGTCCTACGAAAGTCATATACCGAGCCCAAGGCTATAGTCTATCGATACTCGGCAGAGAACTAGTTCGTGTGACCCCAACCCAAGACAAGAAACCTCTTCGCGTGTGGATATTATAGGGAATATCTATGGCGCTCTGGCATGTCAGATCCGTTGATCTGATACGCTAGCTTACCAGCCGATGCGTATGACTAGAGAGCTAGCGGAGATGGACGGCTACGATCGATCTAACCTTATGCTTTCTTCGGGCCTGCTTTCAGCCCCGAGGTTGGGGGTTTTGGTCTGATGGTTCTTAGCCTCATTTGCACTTAACGACGCCAGCTCATGGCTTGTGAACTAGGTATTCGGGGCTTTCTTACGGCGGTTCGGCAAATGCTGCCATGGCTTGCTCGAAAGGTAGCTACATCGAACTATTTGGTCTATCACACTTTACACTGTTCTTCATATTCGAAGCTAGAGCAGATTAATCAGTAATCAGTACTGCGACATTATAGCTTGAGATCTTCAACTGCGCCTCCGTTCTCACCACTCCCACATAGGATTCAGAGCACCTAGTAGCTATCCGCTCATTCTATCTCACAAGAATAGTCAATATTTCTGCCAGTGACGTACCAGAAGTACAGGACAACTCTCCTGGGGACTTACTTAAGGACATATTCTCTCAAAGGTGCAGAATTACTACCAGACTTACCCACTGCGGAGAAACAAAAGCTATTCATAACTATGCTTACAAACATCAAGTAGGTATGTAGATACATCAATAAGATACATCGATATGATCACCTCTGACGATAAAGGAACCTAAGGTCTCCATGATTTGGTTCCGGTACCTGAGCTTGCACGTCATATTACACGGTAAGCTGACGACGGGCAGATGAGCAGACAAGCCCACGGAGTGCGGAGCTATTGAAACAGATTTCTTTGTCATGGATTATATCCGACTAGTCAGAACTCTATGATGATGAAGGCAGTGAGATCCGTGCATGTTTCGATATCCGATAGCCTACCCCCTACTCTTGTCGATATCAACGAAAGTATACCGGAACCAAAGGTACCTCTTGTTGATACGTGTACGATACTTCCCCCACAAATAAAAAAAATCTTCAGCGGGCGGACATGATTAACCGTAGCACAGGACAGCCGTTGAGCAATGGGAAGCGCACCATGCTATCTCATCGGGTAGGACACGGACGAGCCAGTTTCAACTCGGCAACCGGCCACCAAAGGCACAACTACCTACATTTACATACATGCTTCTTACCATACACGACGTCTACGCGAAAATCTTTAGCTGTAAGATATTGCTGATCACCAGAAGAAAACGATATATGGTTCGATTCGTGACAAGCACCACAGGCAGGAGCGTGGCGTCAGCAGTCACTTGCCTGGGGAGTTTCACAGCATCGGGGACATATCCACGGGTAGTCATGATCTGACTTTCGCTTAAAGGGGGAGCCAAGAGCACACACACACACACATATACGTAGAAGAAAAAAAAGAACACTAGTTAAATGAATTGAAATCCCGCCTCCTGCACAAGCAGACAAGTGTATGTAGGTATGTTAGCTGATTACGCCACGTTATACCTCTAATTCGGCACATGAATCCCTTTGGAGTGGACTAGGTATGTAGGTAAGCTGAGCACCGAGATGGTGATAGGGTAGGTTGTTGGATATACTCTAAATAGTCTTTTTTTTTCCTTTTGGCAGTCTTGTGCTTACGATGACGCTTAGTTTGACGTTTGGGGTGTTATATTGATTAATAGGATTACCTAAATTGTTATGTGATGGTGTATATGATCGCGAGATCTGTCTCGTAGCTTATGTATGGCGCCATCTTATGGATAGTACTAGCTTGAGTTTGAAGGTTATCTACATGAAAGTCTGGTTTCTGATAGCAAAAGTAAATCTCCAGCATCGTAGCCTGGTAGACTTTTCTAATTCGCTAGATTTGATGTCGCGAATTGTAGTAGCGCGTTCCAGTAGGTACAGCGTAAGCAGCCTTGCGACACAACAGTAGTAGCGGTCGAGATGATTGGATTCCGTACGGGAGGTTCCTAATTCCTAACGATCATTCGTAGTGCGGCCAGCCACGGAGTAAATGGCGCAGGATTCGATCAACCTACCAGACAGCTAGATTCTAAACCGAACCGTTTATGATGGCCAGGTACTATATTTCGAGATGGATGGATGATAGGTGACTATCGAACGCGAGGTATGTCAGCGTTGGACTGGTCTGGAACCAATAGTATGCGGCACTGCAGACTCGAGAGCAAGCTACGATTTCTTAGATATTCGGTATATCAAAATAGAGGGTAAGCGCACTAGGCTGTATACGCTATGTGCATAGATAAGTGACTCCATATAGGTCGGTGATCTTGCGATGGGGTCCAAGAAAGGATTCGAAGATACATGTTGTGTCAGCGGACATACATATCTACACACAACACTTGCACTTGGATATAGTAATTCCTCAGATAATTCCCTACTAGAAGCTATCTCACTGGTCAGTCCGCGCCGCATTATAGCTTCGTTCCGTTGGATTTCGACTCGCATGCATATTCCCTCCGCATCTATTTACT